CTTCACCGTTCTTCTTTGTCAAAAAGAAAGACAGGAAGCTTAGACCCGTACAAGACTACCGAAAGCTGAACGAAATGACCATCAAGAATCGGTATCCCCTCCCGCTCATCGGAGAATTGATGGATCAACTCAAGGACGCCAAGTATTTCACAAAGCTAGACGTACGGTGGGGATACAACAATGTGCGAATCAAAGGAGGAGATGAATGGAAGGCAGCCTTCCGAACCAATAGGGGACTATTTGAACCAATGGTGATGTTCTTCGGACTCACCAATTCACCGGCCACCTTTCAATGGATGATGAATGACTTGTTCAAAGAGCAGATCACCCGAGGAGACATCACCATGTATCTGGATGACATCCTAATCTGCACCAAAGACAAGGACAGACATCGAACGGTGGTACAAGAAGTTCTAACCATTCTACATGCAAACAATCTATTCCTAAAAGCAGAGAAATGCGAATTCGAGGTGTTAGAAACCAAATACCTTGGAGTAATCATCAGCCAAGGATCTGTATGCATGGACCCCGTAAAAGTCAAGGGCATCACGGAGTGGCCCCAACCTACCAAAAAACGAGAGTTACAATTGTTTTTGGGCTTTACGAACTTTTACCGAAGGTTCATCCGGGACTATAGCAAACACGTATGACCCCTAACTCAACTCACGAGGAAGGCAGAATGGACATGGGGAACAGCTCAAGAAAGGGCGTTCCAAGAAATCAAAAGGAAGCTAGCAGAGGAAGTGGTACTAGCGATACCCACACGAACGGGAAAGTATCGCGTGGAAGCAGACGCCAGTGAAGGCGCAATAGGAGCGGTTCTATCACAAGAACAAGAGGGAAAGTGGAGACCGGTGGCATTCCTATCCAAAGCCTTAACAGTCACAGAACGGAACTATGAAATTTACGACAAAGAGCTTCTGGCAATCATGCTGGCCCTTGAGGACTGGAGACACTATCTAATGGGCGCGTCTCAGGAATTTGAGATCTGGACAGATCATCAAAACCTGCAGTACTTCCGCAAACCCCAAAAGCTCAACCGAAGGCAAGCGCGATGGGTAACCGAGTTGGCGGAGTATCACTTCACGCTACACCATAAACCGGGAACGGCCAACAAAAAGGCAGACCTACTATCCAGAAGAGCGGACCACGACCAAGGGGGAGAGGACAATAAAGAGGTGATAGTACTCAAACCAGAGATGTTCCGAGCCTTGATCATGCCAGGAGAGGAGGAAATTCATAAACGCATCTGAATGGCGCTAAGGGACAATACCAGATGGGACAAGGGGATCGAAGCATCCCTTCATCATCCCCGGGGAATAGTCCAAAAGGATGGGCTAATGCATTACGATGGACGGCTATATGTTCCTCGGGATGCCAAGCTACGAGGGGAATTAATCGCCATCCATCATGACCACATCACAGCTGGACACCCCAGGATTGAAAAGACCAAAGAGCTTGTCCAAAGAGAGTATTGGTGGCCGAAACTCAAGAACGACGTGGAACGGTATGTGAAAGGCTGTGAAGCCTGTCAAAGAACCAAGACCAGCACTCAAAGGAAACGAGCGCCTCTACACCCACATGCCGTACCCACACGACCATGGGAGCACATCACGGTAGACATGATCGGCGAACTACCTGACTCAAATGGGTACAACGCTATCCTCATGATCGTGGATCGATTCTCCAAAGAAGTCATCCCCATACCATGCTCCACTGAACTAACCTCGGCAGGATGGGCCAAGATCCTTAGAGATCATGTTTGGGCCAAACATGGAATGCCTCAAAAGGTGATCTCGGACAGGGGACCCCAATTCGTGTCCAAGTTCATGAAAGAACTTTACGAGATGCTGCATATTCAAGGCAATCCATCCACAGCGTATCACCCACAAACCGATGGGCAAACGGAGAGGGCCAATCAAGAGATCGAAAAGTACCTCCGCATCTTTATCAATCATCGGCAAAATGATTGGAGCGAATGGCTACCGCTCGCAGCTTTCCAACACAACAACCGAAAGCACTCCGCAACGGGGTACTCCCCATTTGAAGTAAATCACGGACAGAAACCGCATCTCGCTCCACTCACCGTAAAGGAAGGAACAAACCCTGCAGCCAGGGACTTTGTAGCGGACATACAAAAAGTCCACTGAGCAAACAGCCAAAGCCCTGGAAAAGGCAGCAGAAGCAATGAAGAAGCAATACGATAAGCACCAATGAACAGCAGTAGAGTACCGACCTGGGGACAAAGTCTGGTTGGACTCCACAAACCTACATCTTCCTCGACCAATGAAGAAGTTAGGGGATAAACGCGTCGGACCATTCGAAGTGCTATCCAAGCATGGCGCCTCCGCATATAAACTGCATCTTCCTTCCTCATGGAAGATCCATGATCGGTTTAACGAAAGTCTTCTTACCCCTTATCATCTGCCGGAGTTCCCAATCCAAATACAGCCCTTGCCTCCACCACCGGACCTCGTAGATGGACAGGAACAGTATGAAGTGGAGGAGATCGTAGACCGAAGGGAAAGAGCACGAGGAAGGGGACAAAGACGACATACAGGAATCGAATACCTCGTCAAGTGGAAGGGATATCCGAGGGAAGAGAACTCGTGGGTAGACGAGCAAGATTTGGACAATGCCAGGGATGCCATCGAAGACTTCGAACAAGTCTCATTCATTACTCGCCCTCCTGCGGAGTGGTGGGAAAACAAAGATGAATCAGACTCCTGGTCCGAACACGAATCCATAACCGAGTTGGAGATCGACCACCCATTAGTACAGGCAATTCAAGAATACCTGGGGAAACCAAACGCGCCCTCTCTCGTAGGAGCCTACCTTCCGAAACCAAGTTACAACGCAGTCGGGACGACTGCCTTAACAGGGGGGTAATATTGCGATTTCGCGCTCTATCTTATCTTATCAGCTCTCTCATAATCTCGATATGCTAATCCTCCAGACTTGATCGCATTCCCCATGCAGGTCCAGTACGTTTACCGTACCATTGCAGACACTTGTAGTATATTTAGCACGACCCAAACTGTATTTAAGTAGCTCGACTGCAGGTCTTACACCTCAGTCTCGAACTAAAGTTTATTCACCCAATAACTTAGTCTGCACTCACTCTCGCTCAACTAAGCGATAGCTCCCTTAACGCAAACCTACGGACAACATACAGCGCCTGACCGAAGTGCGAGTCATGCTGAGTTGTTTGATCTTGTTTGTGAAATCGGTCGCTAACAGGAAGCCACCTGGATCAAGAGGAGTAACCTCACCAATGCCAAAGAACTTGTCAATCACTACAAGAACAAGGAGGACCATGTAGAAGATCATGATTTGTGACACTTGGAGAACCAGACAAGAGGATGTATAACCATATCATCTCCTGACTCTTCAACTGAGAGCTCAACAGTCTTGCTAGACAAGCAGGGCTATTATTCATCAGACATGGATGAAGATGTCTTTGAAGACAAGTGCTCAGTGTCTCCTCTTATGACTCAAACCGACCCTAGCTCCTGGATATAAGAATGGGGCATATCTGCTTGGTGACAAAAAGCAGAATCCAAGGATTACAAATCAGATATGGAATCTACTTACTCCCTTAACTCAGGAAGTGAGTACGTTTAATGACTGTCAGGATGATAGTCTTAGTCAGGGGATATTATTATGACCTTACCCCTATTTTCCTTATCTTATCTTATCCTTATCTCTCAGAACCCCAGACCTACCTACCTTATCCCCTGGACCTACGATATTCCACTGGCACACCTCTTACCCATTTACCTGGTTGCTGTCATTCTGCTGATGACTCACATGTCCTGGATGATCAACATACCACATGTGCTATCATGCTTCTTAATGGTTTGACAATGCAGACCACTAGTCGAGGGTGGTCTACAGGATATGGTCCATTCAAACAGAGTCCTGCTGCCATATGGGTGACATGTGCTCTTTACACTCATTCATTAGAGGCTGCACTTCTCTATGCAAGAATTGCGGCCAGGACTTATTATTAGGTAGAGCCAATGTGTATTTAAGCTAACCTATGCTGTGGTCTTAAGCCCCAGCTTCGGCTAAGGTTATATACTCCCAACTCTTACTGAACTCCCTGTTTCGCAACTCAGCTGTCCATCACCATCCATGAGGACTCACAATGCTGTCCACCCTGTGAATCACCGAACATGAGTGACATATTGGACTCATGCCTTATGCTGTTTTGAGTTGGTGCATAACACATTAAAGGTAGGACTGAACTGGTGTATCCATAAGCGAGTTGAAGCTCTATAGAGAGATTGCAAGATGGTACCCTGATGGGTATGGCTGTCAGAATAAAATATTGCCACAAGATGAGTATTACAATTTCACCTTATCTTATCGTATCCAGACTCCATCATAATCCTCTTCAACTAATACTCTGACCTTGATCGCACAAGCCCATATCATAACTGCATGTTAACCACATCACTACAGACTCTTGTACCTATTATTAGCACACTACTTCCTGTATATAAGTACCTCAACTGAAGGTCTTAAACCTCAGTCTCAAACTAAAGTTTATTCACCCAATAACTAGTCCCAGTCTCACTTCTCATAATACTAAATGTGTGTGCCTCTGAACCCAAACCTGTGAACTTTATCCATGACTGACTGAACATGAGTCACATGGTATTGTTTGATCTTATTTATGTTAAGGAACAATGAACTCAGTCTCCACTCAATATGGTGGTAAAAGACTGTATTTATACCTGTTAAGGAACAACAAACTATGAGAACATAAGTACTACAGAAGTAAATATCATAGAAGAAAAACATACCTCAGTCTCCACTTGATATGGTGGTAAAAGACTAAGGTATGCTAGTGAAAAACAAATGGGAAAATGCTATGGTAGTGATCACATGACTCAATGTAAACCTTGGTACCTAATAATAGCCCATGTCTGAGAAGACCATGTGGGTGTCAACTGAGCCTCTCAACAGTTTGTGTAATCAGTCGCTAACAATGAGCACTTGGGGCTCAAAAGCAAGGACTTGAATATCAGGAAAGATGCACAAAAGCTAGGAATATCTTTTCTCTAGCAGGAAGTATTTACTCTTACCATCTCTCTCAATATTAGAGGCAGAAGAATATGTGCTGTGCATAGATGATGGATAAGAAGACATCCATTGCAGAGCTCTACAGGCATCCAAAAACTACCAAATTATATAATACAAGCCTATACCCATTGGGATTGAAGGGAAGAGAAATGCAGAAAATACTACCTAGATAGATATTCCTTACACCAGATATACAATCATAAAAGTCTCTATCTAATATAGATTTCTGGTATTTTTGCACTTGTATAATTAGATGAAAAAGAACATTTATAATAGACAATTATTTAGATTAAAAATCATTATCCTTATCCTCATCTTCTATCCATTCTACATCTTGTAATGCCTTTTCACCTTCATCAAATAGTTTATCTAGCCCTGTCAATCTTTCCAAGTACTTTGAATCATTGAAAGCATTAAGAAGCATTGAAAAGCCTTCTGTTTCATATGCATTTACCACCTAAACAACTTAGTTAAGTTAAAGTTATGACTAAATAAATATAAGCTTACAGTTTCACTACAACCAGTACATTTATCATATGCAGCACCAACAATATGCATATTACGGAATTGAGCAAGATAACCACGAAGTTGATGTGGAACCAAGCCAAGAGCACTTGTCTCCTCATTACTATCCACCATATCTGTATAATTTGATGATAGTGGTGGAGCAGGAGCATGTATCCTAAAACAATGATTAATCCACACTATAAACAACTGATAACACTTGAATTATAGTAACTTGCCCTTTTGGATGTTGTAAAACACTTATCATCAATTCAACAGCAGTGGAAGCAGCAATAGATGCAAGCCCTGGACGTGTTACTGTACACATCTGATCCAATGTGCGATCTGTCAATGACTTGAAACAACATTATACTATATCAAAGGTGCACAAAAAAGAAAAGCTCACATCAGCAGGTGCAACAATGTCATTACAATAGTAGCATCCCAATCTGGGGTTATCATCTGTTGTCTGCCTTGTCCCATGTCTCATTACCAGGAAAGTGTCAAATCCTAAAGCAGCATTCATAACCAGCTAAAAAATTGTAAGTACTGGACGGAGTTGATCATATAGAATGACTACCTTGCCCTTTGATCGTGCAATGACTGTAGGTAACCAACGACTCTCTCTTGAATCCATGAGTAGATAAACAACATCATGTTCTTCAATCAGCTTTTCTAACTTCTCCACATCCTGTTTGACCTGCTCAGAGATGGAGGGAGATGCTGGTATAGGATGCCCAGGCATTGGAATAGAGAGGGTATAGCCAGAAGCATTCTATGGTGCTTGGTTACATGAGGCTGATGCAAAGGAGACCCATATCTGCTCACCAGACCAGGCCATACTTCCTGTAATCTTTCCGCAGCACACTCTGCCTTAGGTCTTCCTCCATTCAAACAGTCGTTGAATTGGAACAATGGTTGTCTGACAGGATTCGAAAATGACACGCGCGCCGAATCAACAAGCGTGATTGTGCGAACTCCCCATCCCTTAACCCGTGTCAGACCATCGAAACGAATGAAAGGACTCGACATACCATCAGACACCTTGCAACATAACATCCTAGTGTCCCGGCACCGAGCAAGAGACACCTCGTCGCTGCGATCCTGTCCAGGTCCAAAGATGGAACAATACGCCAGCGCATTAACTTGAGATTGAGATCTACTGCTTGATTTGCTAGCCTGGCCATATTTGAGATGAATATATCGAAGCGAGTGTTCCGATATGAGATGCTTGCCTTGTAGGGTCCATCATGGGCGCGAGATCCGCCACACGGGGACCCAACTTCCCTTGAACGTTCTTTTCCCAGCCGACAGCACTCGGCCTAGCTTTGGGGGCTGCCACCGTTTTGTTTAGATCGCCGTCGCCAACCATCAGACTCCCGACGCGACTCTTCCAACCTTCCCGAGGGATCTCGGCGTCTCGCCACGAAAGGATGTCCAAAGAAGACGTAGAATCCGGACACGAGTATCTGAGGTATGTCAACAAATTTCTCAATGGCCATCCCGGGTTCTGAGGCTGCGCCGACGGATCGATGAAACCAACAGTAGCACCCGGGACATAAGCATCAATCGGAGAGACTGTCACTTCTGTAGAAGCGCTGGGGGAGATGAGGACAACAAAGAATGCTAACGCAGGCTGATTTTCGGAGAGTTGATCGTGAATCGAGGTCATCTGCGCTTCACTGAAGCCAGCCTGGATAGCGGGAACCCAACCGCGTTCAGTGATGTGCCATGCGGGTGACGCGACGAAAGCAGGGAAAGCGAACCAGTAGTAGTACTTGTACTTCTTAAGGTCGGCATACGTTATGACCAGAAACGAATTGAGCTCAGAGGTATCCTTGTTTGTCACTATGGAGTCCCAAATCTTTGACGAATCAGTGAGATTGAACAAGTCAAAGGGTGTTAGAAGTACCTTGTCTGCGCATTCGTTGAAGAGTTTCGTCTTATCTGCGGCCTTGAACTCTTCTATGGTATTATAGTTCTTGAGAATTCCTCTGGCAGCTACGGAGCCTGCGGGTATCCTACAAAGACAGTATAGCAGCGATACCGAAGGAGAGTTCAGGGAACGGACTTGATATCGGTGAAACTCTCTTCCTCAACTGCGAGATTCGCGTTAACACTGATCCATGCACCAGCCTCTCTGTCTTTGATGAGGCGACCTACGCCGTAGGAGCCAGTGATCTCGACCTGGACATCGGACAGTTTAAGAACATCGAGCTTGAGCTGAGTGAGCTTGTGCCAGAAGGAGGGATGAGAAAGAGATGGAAATGGGGTGAACTGGACGATTGCAGGAGGCATTGGTAATGTCGGTGGTGGTGGTGGTAGCAGAGCAAATCTGCCTCGCTACGAGCAGCCTGGATTCGGATTTCGGAACGGATGCCGGACTTGGTCATCTTACACAACGACACTGACGCCTGGCTCGTCGTCGATGCTGCCCTTTTCGAGATTTGCTCGCCCATGTCGCGCCCAATGGTGTTCTCTACGCAATATTTCTCTTGCTAGTCGCGCCGCTCAACAGGAAACGCCAAAATCCATTCGACATCCTCAACGTCGCCTCCGTTTTTATTCGACGGAGCCTCCTGCACCTCCTCGCAGCGTCAGCGTAAGGCGTTCACGATTTTCCTTACTCAAAGTTATTCAGCTGCTCCTGCAGGTGTTCACCCCATCTTCAGCCGTCGTTTTTGTGACTGTACTCGTTGGCTTGGTCTTTTATTTCCGCCATGAAAAGGCCAAACACATCGAACAGCGAGGTACGCGCTATCCTTTTCGGCGTACATCACACTTTATCTTTCTGGTTAGAAAAAGAGCGTGCTGCCTCACAGTATGGACGTCCGAAAGTTGGCGGTCCCTTCAAATTAATGTCGCATACTGGCCAGCCATTCACTGATCAAGACCTCCTTGGAAAGTGGAGTTTAGTCTACTTTGGTTTCACGAATTGCCCCGACATTTGTCCTGCTGAGCTTGACAAGATTACTGCTGTTGTAGAGGCTGCAGGTTCGTCCATGTCTCCCCTCCGTCTTGCCTCCCTTCTGACGTATATTCAGAGAAGGAACACGGCAAAATCTTTCAACCTGTTTTCATATCAGTCGATCCCGCTAGAGATACCGTGTCACAGATGGCTGTATATCTTAAGGACTTCCACCCGTCCATTGTCGGTCTTGTCGGCACGTATGCTGAGACTCGAGCGATATGCAAAGCCTATCGAGTTTACTTCTCCACACCGCCGGACGCCGACCCCAACGGCGACTATCTTGTTGACCATTCGATATTTGTATATCTCATGGATCCCAATGGTCAGTTTGTCGAGGCCTTTGGTCAGGTAACTACATCCTCTGATGTAGTCGAAAAAATCCGTGAGTTTGTGGGCGAGTGGGAGAAGGATCATAGCAAAGTGTAGAGACCTTCGAACTCACCAATATCTGACTATTTATTTAATAATTGCAAATCCTTTCATCCCACCTCACAACACCTCGTATCCGACTAAAGTAAGAACAGAAATGGATTACTCTTCTGTATGGGTGGTACAATCATTTCTTGGCCTGCTCGTCTTTCTGTGGCGGCTGAGGCTGTTGCATACTCATGGCAATTGCTCTAGCTATAGCAGCCTCTTCATCCTCATCCTCATCCATAGGGACATCACCTTCATGATGAGCCGTATCCATCTCGACGTCATGATCTCCCCGAGACAGAGCGATGGCTTGCTGTAACAAAGCTTCTTCTTCGCTATCAGTGGGTTCCGCTGGGACTGATGTGGGAAGGGTAGTGGAAGCTTGCGTTGTTGAAGAGTCGACGTGAGATTGCGATGTAGAGGTAGAAGATGCCGCTGCTTCCGCTGCCTCCCGTGCCTGAGCTTCCTGCATCGACATGCGAAGCGCCTATACGATAATAATTGTAGCATATGCTTCAAACGCCAAGGAAAGGAACACACCATTGCTAGCTCAGGATCCAGACTAGGGTCGACACCAAATTCAAAGTCGTTAGCAGCACCTGAGCCTGATGCTGCAGGTACATCTGCGCCTTCCATGAGTTCGTCAGGTATGCTGCTCATGCGGTCCGCAGAAAGAATGGGCGACGAAATGAGAGCATCGGAAATGAGACGTGTCCCTGGAGCGACCGTAACGATATGTCTATACGCATTTCTTTATAAAGGGGAGAGATGACATTCAGGACAGACGTTACTTACGAGTTGTCACCACTACTGGTATTTTCGACGAATGACCTAAGGACCGTCTTTCCTTCTTCACCTGGCTCCTCGATACCGTCACCGAAAGATACGACATCAAGAGCGACATTGTTCTTCTTCAGCTTCTTGGCGAGCTTGATCATGGCCTTTTCATCTGCAGCCTGGCCCTCCAGTGGTGATCCTACAAAGACGACGATGCGCTGTCGGAGATTCTTGTTCTCTCTGTGTTTCAATGCAAGTTGAGCAATTGCGATAGCAGTGGGTATGTCTATTGAGCCTCCAATTTTGGACGAGGTGGTGTGAATTGCTTGAAGGATCTGACCAAGGTCCTTGCTGTGGGTTACAAGTACTTCAGGACTGTTTCAATAATGTCAGATGGATATACAATGGCTGGTGGTGGAAGGACGTACCCCTTCCCAGCCATAGTCATGACACCGACCGTATTTTCTGGATTTGAGTCAATCTTTGTCTGGAAGACCGTGTTGACAGCGTCGGCCTGGGCATCGAAACGAGTAGGAGTATAGTCGCCATTGCGCATGTACTCTGAATTGTCGATAATCATCATCGTTGCTTCCAGCGGCATTTTGGACGAACGGTGCTGGTGGTAGTAGAAAGCTAAGGTGACGCGTACAGAAAACGATCACGTGCACACGATAAGATGAGATTGCGAAATTGAACTAAATCGATCAATGCCTCTCATTGTCATCTACAATCCTGTCTGCGGGGATAGAACTGCCAAGGCATCGCTTTTAATCCAGAAATTGGTTAAATCACTAACAAATTTTATTTTTATTTAGCAATTTTTTGATGACCACGTTCTACCATTGCTCGCAAGCAAAGGTCAGATTGTAGATAAGGTCTTCCAAACAGAACGCCCAGGTCATGCCGGAGAAATTCTGCACGACTATCTAAAGGATAATCATGGCGATCTTACCATAGTTCTGGGCTCTGGTGACGGGACTCTCCACGAAATATCCAACTTTCTGTCCTCGACCAAAGTCGAGGCTAAAGAGTACTTGCCATTTCACCTTTCCATCGTCCTTGTTCCTTGTGGAACCGCCAATGCCCTCTATTCATCTCTTTTCCCACCCACTACCGATACTCTTGACATAGCTTACAAATTGAAGGGCCTCGAATCTTTTATCTCTGGCCCCAATACCATACCCCTTACCATCGCAATCACGACAATATCGTCTCCACCCACCAGCACAAAGCAGCCAGAAGGCAAGTTCAAATCCTGCAGCGCCCATTTTTCTCATATTCTGACAGTGACTTTATCCGCGGTCGTTGTATCCACATCACTTCACGCGTCAATCTTGCATGATTCTGAGGCTTTGCGCAAAGAGCACCCTGGTATCGAGAGATTCAAGATCGCTGCTGCAAATAATGCGAAGAAATGGTATTACAGCCATGTTAAGCTGTTACCTACCTCAACGGGGCTCGTGCAACTGTTCGAACCATCTTCAAATACATTTATCGATCACCCAGAATCTGTGACTCACGATCCGATCGTGGACTTGTACGGCCCGTTTGCTTATTTCCTCTCTACAGGTAGTATTGATACGTTTTCGTATCATTCAATACTAATCTAACTTCAAGTCAATGTCGACCGCCTTGAACCTGCATTTCGAATTACGCCTTTGGCTCGGGAATTGCCATCCAAAGGCCCATCTTGTGACATTGTAATTATCCGTCCATTCCGTGGAGGTACTATGATGGATACTTCAGAGGCTAGAGAGGCCTTTATTCCAACTCTGTTCAGTGTTTTGGGAGGAGTATATCAGAATGGTGCGCATGTCAGTCTTCGGTACCACAAAGGTGGAACAATTAGCGCCGAAGGAGACGGTTCTCTCGTCGTAGAATATATACGGTGCGGTGGCTGGGAATGGATCCCGGTTAGTATTCATTTTCGCTTCCAGAACAATGCTTACTAGAATGGAATTCAGGATGATATTGATGAAGGAGCACACTTACTCTGCTCCGATGGCGAAATATCGATCATTCCTAAGGGAGGGCGAGCAGTCTGCACGGCTACAATACCAACTGATGGTGCTGGTTTCATGGTATACTCGTGATTTAGATAGAAATGAGCTATGTGCGTATATTCTATTTGACCAGATTGGAGTCTAGGGTCCGCGATCCTTTGGGAAACGAGACAAAGGGTTAAGCAGATGCCGTAGCAACATATTCTCCAGATAGAACCTTCTTGACGACCTCTACCGTATTCTTATGGACTTCATCGATTGAAACTGAGCTGTCAACCTAACCGGATGTCGGTTCAGTGCTTACACAAAAAGAATAAAAGAACACACCTCTGCAACCTTGTCAAACTTCTTGTAATATTCTATGACTGGCATGGTCGTCTCATGGTATGTACCTACATGGTGGTCAACATTGATAACGAGGAAAGCGAAAAGGACTTACGGAACCGTTTCTTGATACTCTCCTCGTTGTCGTCTTCTCGGCCGCTGGTCTTGCCTCGTTCTACAAGTCTCTCAAGCATGACTGCCTCAGTAGTAGAAAAGTACAAGACCAAGGAGGCAGTGCAAACCTGGATTCAAATCAGCAAACGAATGAAAAGTAACTTCAGGACCTCACATCCTCTTCAAACTTGATTGCCTGATCCATTTTGCGAGGGAAGCCGTCAATAAGGAAACGACCCTGACCCTCACCCCAGCCATCTCCCGACTTGCCGCCTTTCAAGGCTTCAAGCATGGCGTTTTCAAGTAGCTTGATGGTGACCTCCATGGGCACTATCGTTCCCTCGCGAATGCATGTTTGAATGAGCTCCCCATACTGAGAGCCCTCTCTCACTTGTTCCGCACGAAGGAGATCACCGGCTGCAACGACAGTCAGAACAAAGAGCATAGATCTGGGAAATCAAGTACCCGAAAGATGGCAAAATCCAAAGCTCTCAACAAGCCGAGCGCACTGAGTACCCTTGCCTGCGCCGGGACCGCCAAGAACGAAAATGACGATGACCTTGCTCGAATCAAAAGCAGGCGATGCGACCACCGTTTCCTTGGGCGCCTTGTGGAGATGCAGCGCGTCGGCAATCTTATCGATGATAGCAGGCATTGCTCAGTTGTCGCTATCCTTTCTATTGAAGGGTGGTACAAGAGGATGGTCTGCTTGTCGTGGCTGCTGAGAGAGAGGATAGGATTTTTCTCTCTGCTTGAGGATAATGTAGAACGTGAACAACGAGGACACAGAGACGGCAGCGAATAACCAGGGATTAGGAGGCTTGGTGGAAGGCATCAAACCCGTGTTGGCCACTGTTGCTCAACACTCTGAAAGCCAACATGCACATACAACGCGTCGCGCTCGACAACGACCACGACGATGGACTACAACCATCAAACTATCATCTACGTCCTCACTGCCTGCAAGAATGACGACGCCGGAGACCTTGTCGCTATTGGAGGCGAGCATTCTGTCCAAGTTCTCCTTGTGGTCAGTTACTATTCCAAAATCGAGGCAAGGCATTGTGCTCAATCGTTGCAGAAAGAAACCGGCTGCGAGTCCCTGGCAGCCTTTCACATTGGATCTCGGATTACCGCCATAGCATGGTCGCCCAAAACTGTCTCTCCGTCGTCTAGCGACAACTGGGTCATTGAGTAGTTCGACATCCTCTCGGCAATGACTGTCGCTTACTATGATCTAGGCTCGCTGCTGCCGGAGTTGACTATGGTCTGCATCTACTCACAAAGCTACCCAAGGACGAAGAAAATATATTCCACTTTGGCGGAGGTCTGAGTGGGCACCACGGCAAAGTGAACGACATGTGTTTTGGTGGCGGTAGAGGAAGCGATGCCTCTCGTTACATCGCCACCGTCTCAGGTAACCCCTTCGACTCGTCTGTGTATTTCTTACCACTTACATTATGTCCAGATGACAAAATGCTTATGGTGTGGAACCTACTCCCTTCCGTTGACACGGCCTCAATGCTGGTCTCGCCAGTGGCGCACAGCGGCACGGCATCCCCTCCCCCAAGGGCACAGCCGACGGCATATGTTATCGCATTTCCCCACTCACTGACGTCCATCAATTCTCATCCATCTACCAGCAAAGAATTCCTTGTTTCAGATTGCAAGGGATCTCTATTCCTTACGGATTGGCGTTCAGATCCAGATGACCCAGATCAAGATTCCTGGCATAATTCAAGCCTAGTTGAGCTTGTGGAACCACACGCTCTGTCGGAGGCTTCTTTAGGACGGTCCCTGCAATGGTCGGGCTCAGTAGCCTGGCAAAGAGATTCAGCCAACATGTACCGGATCTTTCCTCATCGTTTATGTCGTATTTTAATCTCGTTTCTAGTGTGGGAGCCGTGTACGGGTCCAAATTTTCCATATGGGATCTCTCCAAGCTTCAAGGTGGCAAACCCCTTACCGCTGGAAATAGTTTCCCGGAAGGCGGGGATAAGTTCCGGTAATTTCTATTCTTTGATCTATCCAGAGCACTCCCCTGATTTCATAATGCTCAGATGGTGCTATACCTATCCCGACTACTTTGCCATCTCGACACAGTCTCCCTCGAAAGGCGCCCTTATCCATGTACACAACCTGAGTTATGTGCATGCGCAACCCGAGATCTTTACCGTAGCATCTCGGCCCCATCTCGTTCGCGACTTTGATTTTCTTGGTCTTCGTGGTATCCCACGGTTGGCAGTGGCTGTTGCCCGAACAGTGGTGATTTTCCCAATCGGTGTCGAACCCTGATCAACCGCTATCAACCGCCCTTTAATTTGGTCTTCCGGTAAATACGGAATCTGGTCACTGTATAGCGCCGAACAAGAGACCGAATTGCCAAAAAAATCAATGTCATATATATGCAGTTCAACAGATGGTTGGTTAGACAGGCGGTACGAAAAAAGTACTATACAACACTTAATATAACAAGATCAAGATGGAAACAAAGCGACACAGCGTCAAATCAATTCAGTAGCTTGGATGAGAGGATTGAGTAATATGGTACGCTTGGTGTTGGTGACGAACATCGTACGAGGAACGTAAGTCGCCATTGCTGTGCCCTGAAGCTTGAGCTTGAGAGGGCGGACCGGCTTGCTCAACATTTCCGCCGAACCCTAGATCGAGAAACATATTCTTCCAGTACTGCGCATCTAGCTCCGCAGTATGCTGCCCTCCAATGTAGGATGGATGATAGCTCCCATTGGACGATGCACTAGCATTGCTGCCTGGTCGCATAACCTCGGAAGAGGCATAATGAGAATCTTGCGTCACTGGATGTGCCGGAAGATGGGGAGATGCGGGAAAGTGGAAATTTTGTTCATGTGATGAACTAGGGGGATATCCCTGAGGGGGGGTCTGAATGGTAGTCGGCGAGTCTATTAAAGTTATAAGTATACATATGTTAAACCCCAACGACATATGGGACAGTACCTTGAAGCCGAGGATCAATCGGTGTCTCGTATCTTCCCTTCTCGGCCCTTCGAGCATTAAATAGATCATTTGTCAATAGACTTCGCAGGAACCGGGCATGGTAAGCTGCCAGAGTTGACGCGGGAGAAAGAGTAGACGCCTCGTGATACGAATCAGCTGTTTTTGATATAATGGCATGAATCTCCGAAGCAGCCCCGTCATGCAATTGCGGATAGGTGCTGGAGCTTCGTAAAAGCTATACAGGGTCGTTAGTACCATACACCCATGGGCCGAGATCTGATCTACCTTGAGCAGAAAGACTGCAGAATACGCAGACATGATCGTAATTGTGTCCTGACCGTAGCGCTAAAGAAAATGCTTAGTCTTTCACCGCATCAGACGGCGAACTACATGGAACGTACAAGCATGCTCATGTCAGCAAAATCTTGTGAAAGAATACGTAAGGCGTCCATGGCACTGGTGTAACATGTAGATAGCGCTTGCACGCTAGGACTAGAGCGACCACCCTGATGAGCAGCAACCTGTATCAGCTTCGGAAACTTGATTGTTACTGATCAGGACTTACGGAAGCAACGGAATCCTGAATCCCAAAGCTGTTCAAGAACAGCCTGATATACAGCCTGAACAGACTCAAGAACGAGAAATGGAATGATTCACCGCCAGCTAGATAGATGCCCGGTTAGTGCAAGACAGATCTGGGGCTCAGGAACAATTGTTTTACCTCGGTGCATTTCCCGCTGCCATGTGTCCATCCATTGCGAGAGTTTGTTGTTACAGTTACGGAGGACGACCTCATACTTGATATCATTTTGGATGCCATGAGGATTATCGGCCTTGGAAGTATGAAAGATGTCGGTTGTCTCAGCCTTGCGTAAAAAATACATCAGTAGTTCGTTCGCGGGAACAGTAGGCTAGTCTTACAGCAATATGGCGCAATTGAACAAAAGCAGAGACAATCACGTCTTCGGGCCGTATGGTGCTGCCGCCTTGTTCGTGCCATGTTGAAGAATGACGAACCAATGCGTCCTCCGGAAGCATCCAGCTCCTTCCAGTCTGTGTGCTGAGGCTCCGATCGTGAACAAACAACACAAGGTATGTACGCTCTCGGTTTCTACGTTCACGCATCTGGAACTCCGTTTCATGGGGCGGTGACACCGGAACGTAGCGATTGAGCCCCAGTTCTATGGCCATTCGGCAAGCCTGCCACGTAGTAATAATCAGTGACGGGTACAGACAAAAGACAAGCCGATCACGAACATATCCGATATAAGTCCAAGTGCGCTGATTGAACACATGAATTAGAATCAGGACGGGTGTAAAGAAGTGAAATGCACATTATCATCTGGATCTCGCCAATAGGTGAGGCAACAGAAAGCCTGCACGACCTCCACGCTCTTCCAAGCCTGGGCAAATGCTTGAACGGCATAATCGTTTGCGATCTTTTGGCATTGTTTAAATAATTCGGGTCTGAAGAACCGGCACGCGGCCATGATTAGGGTACTAAACAGGAAAGGGCATCTTGACCGAACATAGGTCACCGAGTGCAGGGCAGGGTCAAACAAATTGATGAAAGGATTGAGCCTGATGAAGAGAGCGTCGAAGAGGACTTTGGCTTCCTCTTCATCAATGATGCCAGCTGAGATTGGGTCATTGAGTCCCGGAGAGACGGGGGTCATGCGCGACTGAGGTGGGCTGAATGAAGCGCCACGGGTAGGAGTCTGGCCCGCGACGTTTTCATCCTCCGGATTGAGAATAGTGCGGAAAAAGGAATTCCTTTGATTTTCCTTCCGAATCATCTTGGCTGGAAAGAGTGCCTCGTTGTTGCGATCAGGGTCATCATCGTCGTCGTCCATGTCCACGGTTCGGGTGCTGCTGCTTGACGTGGGATAATCCGGACCGTTTGCGTAATGTGGGAGATTCAGTGGAGGGAGCTCGTTAGACGGGAAATGAGTGCCAGGAGATGTGTACGGATCTCCACGAAGGACACCGTTAAAAGACGACTCGGTAGAACCATTATGACCAGATTCAGGGAATGGCGGCAGCATGTTGGACTCTGAAGACTGGGACTTTCGCTTCGCGTTGATGAGACCCTTTTCGAGACGACGGAGCATTTTCGAGGCCTCTGAAAGTCTGAGGGGAAATATTTAAAATATGGAATAATCGTAAAAGAAAGGCACTGACTTGGAACCTGGCTTCCGACCCCGCCTATGCTTTTCAAAAATGCATCTAACGGCATCGCGTTGGTAACGAGGACAAGAAGCGAGGCAAGGACGGTGGACTCACTCTACGTTGGCACGTTTGCAACGCTGACACTGTTTTTGACCGTCCTCTGCACCGACACACTTCATCTTTGGGGCAGCGGGGGATGAGTGGGCGAGAAAAAAGAGACCGAATAAGAGCCCACCTTTGCGGCACGACATGTCGTACAGGCCCTGGCACCACGCACTACAGGAGGCTTGGGGCTGAAGAGAGCTGTAGGCAACGAAGGAAAGGGTAGAATCAGGGACATACCCAGTCTTTGATTCGGACAAGTTGTCGGGCTGGAGATCCATTTTGTCACCGTGTTGGAGACCGTATTGTAGACCGGGGTTTCGATTGGCAACGACGGGGAAAGGACTGTGGTCGACGAGGAGCACGATGAGGACGAATAAAAGGGACGGGCAAGACGGCAGGAGGCAAGCGGGATGAAGAGAAGATGGAAGTCAAGAGCAAGAGAGAAGGGTGGGGAGAAAAAGCAGCAGGAGCTAGCAGCTGGCTGGCCGGCAACTTGAATCGCCGCTTATCTCTTATTTGCCCGGACCTTGCTCCATTCCTTGCGGCATTCATCAGTGCGGTCTCCGTTCCTTTAAATAAATACCACAAATCCACAGAACCAAAAGCGAGCAGAATAACTACAAAATACAGAAACCAAACCCGAATATTCCTCAACTTGACCAACCTGATTCTGCTTAATTTTTGACAATAAAATAATTCAGATTCCGGCAATATATTTTGACAAAGTCGCCGGTCAGCTCGTATCGATATCTCCGGCGCTCGAACTTTGTTTTCTGTCCTAATTTGCCTGGAAAAACAACGGCAATTGCCTCTACTTTTCTTTGACTCCGAAGCCGAAGCTAATCCAATGTGCGCCTCCGTTCAGCCTATTCTGGCACAGTTCCAGCCCTCTGGTGCCAGAAGGGCGATAGACAGGCATTCTTTCTTCGGCCTTTGCCTCCGCGAATGCTCCCCAAATGGAGCCACTGTAGACTTCATTTCGACTCTTAGTACCTTTGCAACTTGCACTAGACCGTATCAAAAAAAACAAAATGAAAAAACTGCACAGAGATGTCGTCACAGGTACTTTATTCGCCGAATGCCTCCGGCAACTTGAAACCAGCAAAATCCCGGAGAATTCGAAGGGGCTCGGTTCAAATGTCGAACCTTTCAACCGGACACAAGCGCCAAACGCTGGTAGGCTCCGTTTCCGTTGCAGCCGGCTGATCTTCTTGGGAGAAAAGACGGCCAACTATTCCCATGACAAGGAGAATTCCAGCTTCTACTGTACTTGATATTGAGACTGCTCCCGACTCGTCTGTCGGCCAATCCCCAACGATAAGCTCATCAACAGGGGTTCGTTCATCTGTCATTCAAAGGCAACCAAGGAACGCTATTGGGTCCAGACGCTAGGTGCCGTCGGCAGACGAGAAGGGAACAGGGCAATCCAACAATCCTCCCCATCGCACTACATAGAAAGCTAATCGTATGAGAGAGATACAAGTTCCCCCTCATGGTAGCAATCTCCAGATCCCCACGAGGCTGATAAATCCAACTTTTAGTACAAAGCAAAATCAGTTCTTCGGGTTCTTCCCTTGTACACGCGCCGAAACACGAGGACACCTGAGGGGCTTTTATAAAATTTAGGAGACGGATTCCTGCTTGGTTCGACCATGGCGCCAGCACAACCGGAAGTCATCGTCACGACGACAGTATTCCAGGACGAGCCAACATCATCTGCCTCTGCGGTTCAGCACAACGCCAATGAAATCCCTGTCGGTGCGATCGCGGGTGGTACCGCCGGAGGTGCTTTCCTGGCGTGTGAGCTTACCCGTTTTACTCACCCTTTATCAACAATGCCTAAACTGCCGCAAAAGTCTTTTTAGTATTCGTGTGGATAATGTGGGGGAAAAAGATCAAACGTCATGAATTAAAGCAGCAGAAGGAGCTCGTAAGGCAATTACTCAACGATATCAACCATCTTCACTCACATGAAACAAAAATGAACCAGAATAATCTGCGGATAACGCACAAGAACACCATGATGAATGCTTCCAAACTCTCCCGTCCTCGAATACCTCATCTCGCACCTGTTTTCTGGGTCCCAGATTCCAGCAAGGTACAGTTTGCAGACAACGTCAAAGGCGGCGGCAGAACAAAAGATACTGCGAAGACGCCTGCAGATCCGCCGGAAATCAAGCCATCTCTTCCAAAGATTCTTCGACCTGTCGTGTCTTCCCCCGATGTGGACCAGTCAAGGTCCAGAGCTCCGCCTTTACGAATGAAAACGGCTTCGCTGCCAAAATTTCCTTCGCTACTGCAGCTAAATCGCAAACCGTCTGCGACTAGCTCAATAGATGCAAATGAAAACCCGTCACCTGGTGGCGAGGTGGGAGATTGTGCGTCAAAGCTTGAGGATATCGGTGCAGGCACAAGAGACACCCAGCGCCTGTCGTGGCCACACTTTTTGAGGAGCAGCCGAGGTCGGACCATTGTGGATGCTGCACTATCCAGCAGGACTTCTCGAACGTCGCAGGCAACAAGTGGCTCAGCATATTCACAACCTGACGATCCCTCAGCGGTGGTTGGTGTTGCGCTATGACGAAGACAGATATGGACCAAAATAACGATACGAAGGACGATGTATTCATGACTTTTGACAGATTATTGTAACGATTTAACATATTTCTATACGACAAAAAATGAAAACAATTACTTGGTGGAGGGGTTATTGAACGCACCTGTTCTAGTTGCGCTACGGTCTCCTTGAACAGTCCTACTTCTCGCCAACAATCGAGACTCCTCCCGGCCTTCTCTCTGCTAGAGTTTTAGTTACAAGTTCAGTGGAATAACTGCGGAAACGACGAGCCTGTAGCACGCCAACACGGCTTCCTGGTACGATTTGACCCCGGGAACTTCCTGGAGGTCTTTCCGGGAGTGGAAGCGGTCAACCTTCTGGCGAATATCTTCCAAGTCGTTCAGGAGAGACACGCTGTCCTTGACGCTGCCGGCTTCATCGCCTGTCACTGTCTCGCCAGCTAAACTTCGTTCCCTATCCAAGTTTTCCTTCTCAAGGGCCTGCTCGATGCGCTCGCGCACTTCTTGCTCTTCCTTTCGTAGATGTTCAATTTCGCTTTGTATCCGAGCCCGAATATGTGCGTCCAGTGTCGACTGTCGCTCTGGGGTAACGTCCCGAGCAGAGAGGTCAGCAGAGAGCTGGTCGACGACGTCCTGCGAAAACTGGCAATGGAAAGGTAAACAGGCTATATTGCAAGAAAAAGGTGGTGTTCCGTACTTGTATTGGAGTTTCGTTGACGAAGACCTTGTCGTCTGACCGGGACTGAGACGCACCCATCGCGGTATAGGTAAACGGGACGGACCGTCACGTATGTCACGAGTCTAGCAGTCGTTCGCTCCTTGCAGTCCTTTTGAATACTTTCTAAATTCATGCAACCAATCTCTACTTGAATAAATCCAAATAAACAACAAGAAATGCTAGAGGTACAGATAGTTTTCGCGGAACTCGACCAAGGTAAGAATTATCATCATCCCCGTTTATCCCGATACTCTAGACCGTGCTCTGTCAACCTTCAATTTCATCGTTAGTCAATGCATAATCAAAATGCGCGGGACGTTACCAGTCCGGTTCGATCTCGGTTATAATCCGAATTCTGTGGATGATTAGCAGAGCAAACGCATTGATCATGACGGGACGCACTGAGTTTTCTTGGTTTCTTCCATCTCATGGAAGACCACCCATCCAGTTCGAGGCTTCCTCGTAAATAGAACAGATGTGGGGTGAACGTGAAGAATTGAGTTTCCCCGTACAGAACGGTAGGTGCCGTCAGCCATCCATCGGGCGCCATTTCGCCAGTACCCACTGACAAGACATCTTCGTAAACGCTTCGCATCACCTTCACAACTAGTCAATGGAAGATTGAAACGTTGCATGTATTTCTTCAGTTGCGCTCGAATAGAAACAGCTCGTGACATGACTCTGAACGACAAAGCGTGCGATTTGCACCACCCTGACGATTTACCATAACGTACGAATGCATTGTAGGCTGCAAATAAGGACATAAGCATCCGTTGTTGAAGGTAAAGGACGGATCTAGCTCACCGTTCAACAGTGTCAGGTGGTCCTAGAGCATGTAGATAAATCTCTTCTTGCTGGCCCAGAGTGAAAAGAGACGTACCCCTTCTTCTGCAGTAAATTTACGGCGTTCCAATTCGGCTAGAGCTCCAGGGGCACCATCGGGAATGATGAATACATCCTGGAGACTTATTAATATCTATCCAATACGCACGAAAAGAAGTCCAACCTGGACAGCGGTCATCGCGGCAATAGTGAGCATCTCTTCGCCGCAACTATATTCTTTCGAAGTGAAGAGCTGCGCCAGCATCAGTACACGTCAACGAATAACAAAAGACTATTACCATGCGCGCAATACCAACTTCAACAGGACATTCTGCCACTTTCTCTCCCATAAGCGTCAAATGACCATCTTCGCCTATCATACCTGCCGCAACGAGACCCTCGAGTGCCCTCAATACAGACTCTGCCGGAGGAGCAGAAACCCACTCAAATTTCATTAGATCATCGATTCCCAGCGACTTCAGTTGCAAGATAGGTGTTGTCATATCCGTCCGGGTGATTTCAGGAGGCATGGATTTAGGAAGAGTGTCGAAAGCAGACTTTGGATATAACCTGTAACAAATGCCGGAGGAGGTACGCCCGGCTCGTCCAGCCCTTTGTGTGGCTGAAGCGACTGAAGTCGGTACAGTCGCTAGCGATGATAAAGCTGTAGTTGGATTGTACGTTCGAATCTAAGAATACAATAGCCCCGGTGATCAGTTATCTCCCAGAACAAGGAAAAAGATGGATACTTTGACGTAACCACAGTCTATCACAAACTTGATGCCTTCGATAGTGACACTAGCCTACACATGAGCTAGCTTTCCTCCCGAACGTGAGGAAAGCGATTATTGCTTACTTCGGCTATATTAGTAGAGACAATGACCTTCCTAGTGCCTCGGTCAGCAGGTTCGAACACGCGTAGTTGCTCGACAGTCGTCAACCCAGCATGCAACGGAAGGGGAACAAGCCGTAAGGCGCTTCGAGGGAGACTGTAATGGTTTATGAGCGCAAATGGCTGCTTCAAGAGTGCAATACAAACGTTACGAGGAGTTCTGAAAGAAAGTCTAAACAGGTGTCTATCTCTTCGCGACCGGTAAGGAAGATCAGTATATCTCCTGATTGTGACTATGGAACAGACGGTTATAAACTGAGATATTGATGAAGTAGTTACTTACCTGCAAATTGATATTGAAGGCTGTTTCTGCAGAAAAACGCACGTAATCGGGAACGGGTTGCTCAGAGTACGCGACATCGACGGGAAACATGCGCCCCTCTAGACTAACGATAGTGGCTTCGTCGGGGGAAGTGGCGGCGGTGAAGTAGTCCAGAAAATACGATGCATCTAGTGTAGCAGAGGATACGATTATTCGTAGACTGGGACGTTTGCGACGTATTCTAAGATTTTGTAAGTCACAGGCAAGATTCATTAATCTCGTCGCATACTTTTTGAGAATACCAAGCAAAAGGTCGGTATACGTGCTGCGCTCATGGGCTTCATCGATCTATGTGTGGCCACATGCCGTAAGTGATTGTAGACAGTTTAAGATAGATTGTATACCATGATGACACTGTAGCGAGTAAGCAGAGGGTCGACTAGAGTCTCGCGGAACAACATTCCGTCGGTCATGTACAAAATTCGAGTTCTCTCCTTGTCGCTAACGTCCTCGAACCGTATTGTATATCCAACCTGGACGCACTTAGGATTTCCACGAAAAGCCATGACAAGGAGACGTACCTCGTCTCCAAGAACTGTCCCTACTTCAGTTGCGACACGACCAGCAACTGAAGTAGCAGCAACACGACGTGGCTGAGTACAAGCAATGACGTTTCCTCGGGCGGCCCATCCAGCTTCTAAGAGATATTGCGGTAGTTCTACAACGCGTCAGAAAGAGATCCGGGGGACGTGGATAACGATCACCAACGAGTGGTCTTGCCGCATCCCGTTTGGCCAACTACAATGGTCACACCATATTTTTCTACGCAGTAAAGCAGCTTTTCGCCTACAAATCACATAAGAACATGGCAACGGGAGGATGGACTGAACAGACGGTGCTTGAAGATGGGCAGACGTTCCCGTTGGCTCTGGACCGAGAGAGAAGAGTACTGCGACGACGAGCCGACGACGTTTCCCTCTGCCTCTGTTGCCCTGTCGAGAGCACTCCCTGGCTCAGCAGTACCGGGCTTCCAGAATTTCAGTGACATACGGGAAAGAGGAAGAAATTGGAAATTCGAGGCGTTGTTTGGCTGGGACGTCGATCATTTAATAAGCAACCTTGGCCTCCAACCACCACCACCACCACCACCACTAAGCAATGTCTGAACGCAAAGGTATTTATCTCGCTACTGTTCTACGGACTTTTTCTTATTTGCTTCTAGTCCTCAACAAATACTTCCCCCCGGACTTTGACCCGGATCTCATTCCGCGTCGAAAAGGGCCCAAGAATTCACAGCAGGTAGTTCGATTAATGGCTCCCTTTTCCATGTCTGTGCGCTCTCACATTCTTATGCTGACGTATCTAATATTCTTCCACAGGCGCTGTAATACCTGCGGAGAATACATCTACAAGGGCAAAAAGTTCAATGCCCGCAAAGAAACAGTAGACGGTGAGGATTACTATGGAATCAAGATATTTCGGTTCTACATCAAATGGTTTGTGTCTCATCTTAATATCCATGAGGTTTTTATGCTCACGGGTCACGATACGTTTAGTACACTCTGTTCAGCGGAGATCACGTTCAAGACAGACCCCAAGAATACAGACTATGCTGCCGAACATGGTGCTTCTCGGAATTTCGAACCATGGAGAGACGAACAAGCAGTTCAGGAGGAGGACAGGCTAGCGAAGCTTGAGGAAGAGGAGAACAACCCTATGAAGGCGCTAGAAAACCGGACCACGGATTCCAAACGGGAAATGGACATTTTGGATGCTCTACAAGACATCCGTGCCCGGAATGCGAGAAATGAACGAGTGGGAAATACTGTTGACTTGCTGGACCGTATAGGGTTGGAGGAAATAGAGTCGGCGGAGGATCTTGAGCGTAAAAAGCTGGAGGAAGAAGATGAGAAATTGGTGAGGGCCGTCTTCTCCAAGGTTTCGATGCCAGGCTCTTCGACGGACTCTACTCCGGAAGACGTGATAACCGTGAAACGGAAAGCAGACGATGTTGAGCCAGACGTACACAGCCTGTTGCCTGACTCTACCCGAGCACTAATATCCACCAAAATGTCGTCAGTGAAGAAGGCTAAAAAGAATACCTTAGGAATTAAGATGGTGAAAAAGGTGAAGACATAGCTACAATACTGTTGTATATTAGGGTTAGGGTTGTATAATACTTATTTCTTACCATCATGGAATCTTCACGAGACGATATGCTTCGCGTCAACGTCGACACCCAGGGTGACTTCCAGCGCATCAAGGCCGATTATTCAAGGCTGTTTCTCTCTTTTGTTGAGGAGCAGATACGGACCCAGGGCTTAGAGAGCGAAAGGGAAGCTATGGTGGCTCACGCCCAACAGGTTGGTTCTCCTTCTCTTGGCATCGCTCTTGTACGTTCAGCATCTGCCAGTACTTGGACAGAACTTTCGCAATGGCGCAATCAAACCTTCGCATCAATGGGCGCAACCAGTCCCTTACCGAGAGTGACCCTGGTACGTGAACTGATTGTCGTTGGTCGTCAGGACTTTAACTCAGACTGTAGACATGGAGCCATTTGACGAGGCCCTCGACAGGCGGATATGGGCCCTCGCTGATACTCGCCTTGGTTGGCACAAGGTCGTTGCAGAGACGCGTCGCACAGTGCCCACGGAGATCGAAGCGACGTTTGAAAAGCTCATTCGTCAAGAGCGCGACGCCGACGCTGCCGACGACGACCTAGACATTTCGCTTGAGGAAGATACTGAGCCCTTGCCTGGTGATGAATGTGAGTAACTGCGTCCTGTGCTGCCTACCGCGCTCAATGCTGCCTCAGTTCTTGCCAGGCGCTATCCGAAGATACAGGACGAGCTTCACAAAGCTATTGCTGAAACCAATGCCCTCGAGCAGGTAAGTTATCTTTTGGTTTCTTCTTCTTTGTCTGATTGCGCTGTGTAGGCTATACCGAGCCAGACTGAACGGTCACTAAAATACGAGAATGCATCGGCAGAGATAAAGACGCTCAAGCCATGATTGCTGCAATCTGGTATATTCAACCATACAGCTAGTAGGACACTATGATCCACGGAATCCACGTCCACCGCCACCACTGCCACGGGCGCCCCATCCACCGGCGCCGGCGCCGCCCCGACTGGCGCCCCGTGGACCACCGCGACCGCCTCCCCCAAAGCTACCTCTCGTGCCACCCCGACCACGGCTGCCTCCTCGTGATTGGAATCCACCACGACCACCGCCTGCTCCACGTCCTCGAGGGGCACCTGCACCTCGGCCACCACGACCGCGTTCTAGCGAGATATTAGCCACTGGACAACTTCTACAAATAATATCAGCTTACTTGTAACACCTAATACAGCCCATTTTCCTGTTGAGTAGCCTTAGAATAGATGATACAAGACAGCGCACCTCCTGCGACTTTTGGTTTGGGCAGAAAGCGCTCTATAGGCAAAAGTTTGTCGCCGCCAATATACACCTTGTCTCCCTTTTGAAAACTGCTGGCAACCATGCCCTCGCCCATTTTGATGGAAAAGTAGACTTCGTTTATTGGGCCAAGAATTTCGTCAACTTTTCCGATGACTGATTTATTTTGCAGGTAAATTGGAGCATTGAAGTATGGCACTTTGTCGGGCAAAAGAGAAGAACAGAGCATTTCATCTTCAACGGCATGCACAAAGGTCCCCATTTCTGAAGAGTATTAGAAACGAAAAGATACAGGCAAGAGTAATCACCTAGGACGGTATCTGGAGGCCCCATGTCCCTCTGTTGGAATCCGCCCCTGCCGCCCCCACGACCTCCCCGGGCTGAAAATTGCACTGTAAGGTCATGATAAAGGCGAGAGAAAGGTAGCTCACCACCGCCTCGCGAAGAACCGCCTCTTGAATTGCCTCGATACATGGACGTGGTGGAAAAAAAGAATTGAGATCGACTTTTGGCATGTGACCTAAGTAATACCTCAGACTCGGGTATGGCAGCCCCACCAACGCTGGCCACCCCTGCCGTCGTTTTCTCTTCTCTACCACCATGAGTCTTTTCTTTGACTCGCCCTTTTCCGTCCATGCTGCCTTCATCGTCAGGGAAGATGCCGAGCAGTCAGACGACACTGTCCTTGTCGGTCACGACCTCTGGGATGCATTATCCAATCAAGACGCGTCGTCAACCTACAGAATCGGTGTATCGATATCGAGTCTCGTCAAGCGCACCTCGGGATCCCAGATTTCACTTTCAGCTGTCTCATGCTGGGCTGTTCTCGACGACAACATCACAGTACGTCGACTATACAGCCATTTAGTCAAGTTATTCATTCATACCCAGGCGGGACAAATAGCTATTCCTCAAGCATGGATCAGCATATATCCTCGTGTTTTTTACCCCTCTATGCGGAAGCCATCCAGTCCACCCTGCCTTTCCGTCTCGCCGGTTCATCTACTACCTCTCACGGAAGTCTTTGTTACTGCATTATCTCAAGAAGCCTATGACATGGCCCAAGCTCACCAGACGCAGCTCGAAACTTGGTTTTCCCAAGGGCATAAGATCCTGCGACAAGGTACAGTGTACACATGTAACGCCAATAGCCTAGGACGCGTGAATGGCTACATCAACCACGAAATGAAGTCGCTCAAGTATCGTCTAGACACGTTGGAGCCCGTCTTGCAAGGATTTTCAGACAAAGGGCATACCGCCTTCGTTATATGTCCGTTAGCAGACGAGAATCTTGACCCCACTGCGTCGGAATCCGAAGAAAGCACAGATTTAGAGAGAATAGAAATTGGCGAAGATTTCTTAGCAAGTTCGGCGGGTCTCTCTTTCGATTTCCCCTCCGATACAGAAATTGAGTTTGAAGACCATCTTGACAATATGCACTGTAGCGGACAACACCACTCTTCACCTCAATCTACGTTTCATGTTAAACCATTATTGGAGCCAATCCAAGAGCGCCTGGATGACTACACTCTTTATATCCGAACATCCGATCTTGGTCGCGTCGGTGTCCTCAACGGCGAGTGGGTAAGTCAACGAATCCTGCTGTCCTACTCTGGCTTAATACGAACAGGCCGTAGTACATTTGGCAGGCTCTTCAAAATATCGCCTTGTTAGGGTTGTTGCCGATGACAGCATAATCTCTTCAACGTGAGGTTATAGAAGGTTCTTCTCCAAGGCAGTCTACTCATTTCAACCAGTGGTTGTGCTCTAGGCTCCTCCGTCCTCCTCCATAACATTTGCGGAGAATCTAGTCCTTCACTATCATCCACTATCCAGCTTCATCCTAGCCCTTTCGGTTCAGGGAGACCCACAATACCCGTCGCCCGATCTATAACTGTTGCTCGGGTGGCCTCACCCATATCAGTGGATCGCACATATCAGACCCTATTTGTGACCGCTTTACAACGTCATTTCGAGGGCGCACCGACTTTGGTTAAAGCAGGAGACATAATTGCCGTTGCTCTGAATACCGACGATCAATATGACAATGCGGAGTGTGACAGATACCCATTATCGTGAGATTTGGGTTTTCCGTGATTCTCAACGCGGTACTCAATTACATTTTTCAGAGATTCTGCACCGGGCCGTGCAAATGAGGCGGTCTTCTTCGTGCTAACCAACATTGACCACGACGTAATATCTAACGAGGCAGTTTCTCTATCACCGGACGCTTATGCCGGGGCAACACTCGGCGAACTGGGATGCTGGTTCGATTCTTCTGTGACGCGCATGGTACAAACCGGAGTGGAACATTGTCGGGTACCGGACGCTTCTGCATATCTTGGCTTAGGTATGCCCCGCATTAGTCAAAATTCCTTCTGGTCTCATAAGGACAGATGTTCAACCAAAAGCTTTATCGTACCCTACCATCTCTGATCCAGATTCTTCCTTTGGAAAACTATTCTCTATTGCATCAGTGGTACTGGGGAAGCACAGCGTCTCTTATAATCTTCCCCTCTCTTTTCTGCTTAGTGGCGCGCGGGGAACTGGCAAATATACTTCTGCCCGTAGCGTGGCGCGCCTACTCGGTATGCATGTTCTCGAAGTAAGTAGCTTATTTTTTGCTCTTTGACAGTTCGTGAACGTAATACAGATAAATTGTTACGACGCTGTGGGTGACAATGATACGCAGACCGAGGGTTTACTCCGGGCGCGGTTTGAGAAGGCCACAGACTGCTCTCCTTGCCTTCTCATCCTACGGCAACTTGATGGGCTGACCAGTAATTCTCAAGGTCCTGATTCGAAAACAGGTATGCCCGCATTCCTCTGTTATGTACATGCTGACAGTGCTTCTTAGGATCTCCAATGATTAATGTGCTCCGAGATTGCCTTGATCTTGTGCATCAGAGCTGGAAGATAACGGGTTATCCTGTTATGATATGTGGTATCACAAATGAATCTTCTAAGCTGCCCCCAGCATTCGTCGCTCTTTTCAAGCATGAAATCACCTTCGAGGTTGATCCCTCCCGAATTTATGAACGAACTTTTCCTTACTTATAGATGACTAGGCTCCAAATGAAGTTGAACGGTACGAGATACTACAATCTCAACTTGCAGGCAAAGTGGTAGCCCCCGACGTCTCTGTGTCCGCTTTGGCAACACAAACAGCAGCCTTGGTGGCTGGAGATCTGGTAGATCTGGTAGTACGTGCGGAAGCAGCTTCGATCGAGCGTGCGGGCTCAAATGGGTATGTTTTAAGAGTTTGCCCTTTTATCCACCCTGATTCGTCTTTACTCACAGGGATTACGAACATGTTTCCGATATAATCCAAGCAGGAGTTGCACTATCGAATTCAGACTTTGAAGGGGCCCTCGGGAAAGCCAGAGCATCGTATTCCGAAGGCATTGGTGCGCCGAAGATCCCTAACGTTTCTTGGGACGATGTCGGTGGTCTGGCTCACGTCAAATCCGATATTCTCGACACGATACAATTACCGTTGGACTACCCCGATCTCTTCTCAGACGGGTTCAAGAAGCGATCAGGTAAACAGTGGACTCAGTATCGTCCGAGGCTTAACCCTGACCGACTCGGCTAGGTATTCTTCTCTACGGACCTCCTGGAACAGGGAAAACCTTAGTGGCCAAGGCTGTAGCTACGTCCTTTGCGCTTAACTTCTTCTCCGTCAAAGGCCCTGAGCTGCTTAATATGTACATCGGAGAATCGGAGGCCAATGTACGGCGTATCTTCCAGCGTGCACGAGATGCAAAGCCATGCGTCATATTCTTCGACGAGCTCGATTCGATAGCTCCAAAGAGAGGCAATCACGGTGACTCGGGAGGTGTCATGGATCGTATCGTTAGTCAACTTTTGTCTGAACTGGACGGCATGTCGGGAAGTGGAGGCTCGGATGTCTTTGTCATTGGTGCTACCAATCGACCTGATCTATTAGATGCTGCATTACTGCGCCCTGGAAGGTTAACTCGCAATTTTATGCTTTTTCTGGATCTAATCTAAACGTGTTTGCAGATTTGATCGTATGTTGTATCTAGGTGTAAGCAAAACGCACGAAGAACAGCTGCACATTCTCGAAGCACTGACAAGAAAATTCCGCCTTCACCCCGATTTCGATTTGAGTGTTCTGGCTGAGCGATGTCCCTTCAATCTCACTGGTGCCGACTTCTATGCACTATGTTCCGACGCTCTTTTAAACGCCATGACGCGCAAGGCAGAAGAATTGGAACAGACAATCAGTTCGTTTCTTGTAGTGCAGCTAATTTTGTGCATGCTAACAATACCCCGTCGTCAGCTCGGCTAAACAGCCAACCCGGTGTACATCAGCATCCATACCCTTTGACTCCCCAATATTATTTAGCGGAGGTTGCATCTCAAGAAGAGATCAATGTCATAGTAACCGAAGGCGATTTCACGCTTGCTCTCAATCACTTGGTTCCCAGTGTTAGTGACGCTGAAATGAGGCATTATGCCAATATCCAGCAACAATTTTCGCTTGACCGATCGGCGCGACCGCAGTCGACGAACTCGGAGTAGAAGCAAAGAGGAACAGTGTATTTTTATTAAAACCATTTACTAGGATGTATGCCGAATTTATTGAACACGTCCTTGATACCTGTCGAGACAAATATGCCCAGAGCCGTAGACGAGTGTATTTTCACCGGCGTTCCATCCAAAGTGTAACTATGTCGAGAGGTAAACACTGTCCGTATCTGAGAGAAGACGGAGGAGCTCTCTCACCTATACGCTGTCTTGCCGTCGATGGTGAGCTTGACGCGTAGGACCGGCTTTTCCAAGTCCGTACTATCCACCTCGATGGTGGACCTGGATGCAGGAATGAGATTAAAGGTATTCGCTGGATAGTCACGGGAGAATGTGAACGAACCATTTGTAGTTGCCGGAGGGAATGTATTTGAATACACTCTCCGCTGGAATCTGTTCTTCCACTGTGATATATTCTGGTCCCTCGCCGGTCATGTTCAGTTTGTGTTTAATCCTAGTGATGACCTCTGCGCCTTGCATTTTCAGTGTTCTATAGAAAGGAATGTAGAACATGCTGAGAGGGCTATGGAAGATGTCAGATATTGAGTAGAAGTGTCGCACACCAAAAGACTACCTTGTAGAAAATTCTCGCACGGTATGAAGACTTTCGTGATTATATTCGATGGCAGCAAACTCGTGGCGATCCCCAGAAAGAATTATTACGTTTGGCACGGAGTGCATCGCTTGCAGTATAGAGGCCCTTTCGGCAGGGAAACCAGCCCAAGAGTCCGTAGCAGCGTCATGTCCCCAAAGCGTTGTGAATGGTACTGATGTTACTACGAATTTGAAGATGGCTGTTTCGTTAGCCTAAAACATAAAGTTGTTTAGTTAGAAATGGAACACGTGCATGATATACCTTCGAAAGCCAGTTATAGAAGGCCGCCAGTTGAGCCTCACCAAGCATTCCACGCGCATTTAAATCATCGATTGCAGAAGATCGATAGCGGCGTGTGTCCATGACGAAGAAAGCAGAATCACCGTAGCGAAAATCGTAGTAATAGTGACTTTCGTGAATCGGATCGTAATTCGAATTGGCGTTGTAGATTTCAAAAGCATCTGAGGCATTGGGAAAAGGTGGTTTGAGATCGTCCCCGTCACCAGCGTAGTTATTGAGAATCTTCATGACGCCGTTAAAGAATGTTCAAGCTGTTGTGCACATACACACCTCGTGGTCATCATACGTGTGAAATATTGCTGAGCAGTTGTTAACGAGCTCATTCGTGTTAAAAGCAGCTTTAAAACTCACGCAAACGCTCATAAATCTTTCTAAAACTGCTGCTTTGATAGTTTCTGCGATATAGTCTGCGATAATCCTCCAGGGTGCTTCCTGTGTAAATCGGAACATCGGCATAGATAAAATCGCCAAGGAAAAGCAAGAACTCTGGCAATATTGATCTCTCTTTTGCTAGTGTCTTATTCCCAGAGACATCTGTGCCATTGGTGGGACTAGATGCAGATTCCTTCGGATACAGAAGGTCACTGAGTATGTCATAACCTTTGATTCGTCGTCCTTGGAAAGGGAGATAAGGGAAATTCGTGGTCATGCATGACGACACCAAGAAACTGAATTTGTTTCCATTGGGGAGGCGAGGGTCAGGGAAAGTATGAAATTTAATAGGTGTGGAGGGGTAAGGTAGTAGCGTTCCATTAGTCGTTGCAAGCGAGTCTAGGAATTAGCGGCAAGTTAGATCTGTTGGGATAGTGAACGAGACAATGACGCACATTCGTAATGGCTATTAGGCCAAAGTCCTTTAATCCTAACGACATCTACCCAGTCATGATTTTCATCAAAATTAAACAGGGGACCGTCATTCCAAGATATTTCTTTGTCACTTGGAGACCCGGACTTGGGTGCCTCTCTCCATACAATGCGTATGGATTGGGTCATATTGTCTATAGGTGGATAACGAGCAATAACCTTGACGTTGTCCGGATAGACAGCGCCGACGCGGGTGAAGACGACATCCGAAGCAGAATCTAAGAATGGGGTACAAAGGAATTCGGCAACGGCGAGAAGAAGAGCAATATTGATTGCGCTGTTGATCCAGCGAACTCGACGCGATGACGATGGAAGCGACAGAAGAATGTTTAACACAATGTCGTCGCTTTCAACGTATACCTGCGTAGGACATTCTCGATGAGCCTTCCAAATGATGATAGGGAAAGGAGCTACCGCTGCTGTACGACCCTTGTTGTCGCTTACTTCCTTGTGCTCTGAAGGAGACGGTAGCATCCATGCGGTAATAAGCCATGCTGAGAAAGCAATTGGCAGGATAATTGCAAGTATTGGAGACGGAATCTGTCTTTCATGGGTGAGGTTTCCTGTTCATATAGTTTCACCACTGACCACCTGCAGAAAAAGGTAAACAAACACCCGGAATATCGCAGAAAATGCAGCTGGAATCAGCGCCTGAATGTGCCGCATTGCTACGGTGGGGGTGTCGTCGTCGTAGGTGGTGCTGGTAGCAATGAAAGCCTTGCGGAATTATGTAATGCGATGGAGACGCGCCCGGCCCGGACATCCTTTTTTTTCTTTCATACCAACGATGTTGTCAGACTCGGAATCAGATAACGAGTCGACTCACCAGCTTACCATTAACGAACATTATGCAAAGGCATTTCAATACAGAAAGGAAAGAGAGGAGCTCGAAAAGCGTCAGTCCACTTACTGAACCACCTGTCAAAGTCTGACGGCCTGTAGTGAAAGCCAAGTATGGTTCCGACGCTGAAGAAGACGACGACAACGACGAGACCGACTCAGAGTCAGCAGAGTCCGAAGATGAAGATGGAGAGGAACTAACACCCGCTGTCGATGCCGCAATTCTGAGGACGCTGGCTCGAATCAAGAGGAAGGATCCAGACATATACAATTCCGAGAAAAGTATTTTCGGAGGTGCGTTTGTTCGTTCTAAGAGAAGAAAATATGTCTGATTCGTCTTTGTTTAGAGGAGCAGACGCTTTCAGTCCCCTCACAGCCGACAGCACGAACAAAAATCAAAGTAAGCTATTTGGCTGTCGATGGTTCAATTTTAAAAAATTTTACACAGCAATCCAAACCTGTCACTCTACGTCAAGTTGTACTTGAATCTACACTCAATCCGACTTCCCGTTCTCCATCTCCTGAGCTTACACATGTCGAAGCTCAACGCGAACTTCGCAAGGAAACAATAGCTGCTTTTCACGGAGGCGAGGCTGAACGCGACGATGACGATCTACTTGTTCCTCGGGAGAAGACCAAAGATGAACAGGAGGAAGAGGAAGAAGAATATCGTGATTTTCTGCAGCGTGAAGTCGGTGGTGATCTTAAAGACTTGATAACTATTCGGGATAGCGAAGACGGGGACAGGGAGCCTAAGCAAGAGGATACACCGAAGAAGTCAAAAAAGAAGAGCAAGAAGACTGCCAACAAAAAATCCAAAGAGGAAGAAGACCAGAAATTCCTCATGAAGTACGTCCGACTGTCTTATATTCGTCTATTCGACACCTGTTGACCGTCCATCCTTCAGCTATATTCTCAACCGAGGTTGGATTGACCGATCTTCAACACATATCCCGACGTATCAAGAAGCAACCTCTAGTAGAACGAAAGGTAAAGGTAAAGCAAAGAAGGAGGAGAAGGACGATGAGGACGAGGCTGGTTCCACTTCTGACAATCATGACCTACCTACGGCTGACCCCGAAATCGACGAAGACGAGTTTGAAGACATTGTGGATAGATTCGAAAGCTCATATAACTTCCGATTCGAGGAACCGTTCGTCATCTTCCTCTCGTTGTATACACCTGTGTCATTCCAACTGTCTTTACAGTGATGCAGCAGAGATCAAGGGTTACCCTCGTAACATCCCGTCCCTTGTACGACGAGAAGACACTACAAGAAAGGACGCGAGAGAGCGCAGAAAGATGAGGAAGGAGGAGGAGCTCCAGAAAAAGAAAGAAGAAGTTAGAAGGCTCAAGTCCTTAAAGATGAAGGAAATACGAAACAAGTTGGACAGAATCGGACGTGAAGGCGGAAAGAGCTTAGAAGCCGACCCAGGCGCGTTTCGCTTTGATAGGTCATAATGAGAGACTGACATCGCATGTTTTCACAGCTCTCGAAGCGCTGGATTTGGATGCGGACTGGGACTCTGAGGCTCATGACGCCCAAATGGAAGAGCTTTACGGCGCAGATGAAGAAGTGGAGGACGTCGAAAAGCCCGTGTGGGACGACGATATTGACATTGGTGACATTGTGGTCTCAGATGATGAGCAAAAGTCGAAAAAGAAGAAGAAAAGGAAGAAAAAGAAAGGTGTTGAGGAGGAAGATGTAGGCGGTGTAGATGTCGACGCTATGGATGCTGACCTGGAGCATGGGGACGAGGAGTGGGACGGAACAGAGGAGATGCGGAAGAAGAAGTTGGATGAATACATGAATGAACTATACGAGCTTGACTTCAATGATATGGTATGTCCTACCTATCTTTGTGGTGCCCACAAATGACTTGCTGCTTCTAGGTCGGCGGCATGCCCACGCGCTTCAAATACACTCCCGTGCAAGCTCAGAATTTTGCCTTGACTCCGGCTGAAATTTTGATGGCTACAGACGCTGAACTCAATGAATATATGGGTGTCAAGAAATATGCGCCGTATCGAAAAGACAATACATGGGACGCGAAGCGTGGCGAAAAGTTGAAGGAACTGAAGAACAAAATTGCGGCGAGGTCTAGTGCCGGCGCCAGTTTACTTGACGCCGAAAAACCAGCAAAGAAACGGAAAGGGAAGAAGGAGCGCATGCGTTCGAAAGCGGGAGCGGCTGCAGATCAGCGGTTTGAGGAACCAAAGGATGATGCTGTCGTTCCCGATGCTAACCTCAAGCGAAAGCAACCGGATGAGGACGCAGCTCCAGAGCAGGGAAAGAAGAAAAAGCGGAGACATCGGAAAAATGCAACGGAGATAAGTAGCTGACTGTTAGTTTCAACGGTTCCAATATAGTGCATTTCAATCTGTTAAGAATAGGACATGATCACGAACAGATCAACGGACCGCTCTCTTCTTTCCGGACCGGATTCAAAGTCGATCCCCCTACTTAAGTGAGTTTTCCCGCGTTCCCATATGCACCCATCACCCATGGAGACGTTCGGAAACACTACCCCCTTCACGCCGAATCCCATACAGACCAGAGACGACCTGAAGAAATTCCTTGTGAATATTCTCGATGCCCTTGAGAAGCACACTTCGCCTGGTGGTGCCAGAGTCCACATCGGCCATACTGGAACACACTATGACGAGGCCGCTGCTCAGTTGGAAGGCTTCTCCCGTCCTATCTGGGGTCTTGCATCATTACTGTGTGGTGGATATGAATACCTCGGAGCCTTACGATGGGTTAATGGCTTGAAGAATGGGACCGATCCTGATAACGAGGAGTTCTGGGGGAACATGCGAGACAAAGACCAAAGGATGGTCGAGTGTTCAGCCCTAGGTTTCTCCATTGCAGTTGCCAAAGAGCAACTGTGGGATCCCCTTCCTCCGGAATCCAAGGTCAAAGTTGAAAATTGGTTAGGTGGCATGAATGACAAGGAGATGCCTAACACAAACTGGCTTTGGTTCAGAGTGAGCTATGTATTTATTTCCCTAATCCATATTTATGATTCTCTCCATCAGGTCTTTGCCAACTTGGGTTTATCAAAGGCTGGCTCGTCCCGTTTCGATGCGGAACGGATGAAAGCCGACCTGGACCATCTCGACACCTTCTATATCGGCGATGGATGGTCTCGCGATGGCCCAGAGGGTGTCGTCCAACTCGATTATTATTCATCTTCGTTTGCGATTCAGTTTGCTCAGCTTGTCTACTCGAAACTCCAGCAAGGTGAAGATCCCATTCGATGTGAAGAGTACAGGAACAGAGCGAAGCAATTTGCATTGGACTTCGTGCACTACTTTGACGGAGAAGGTAAATTTATGTATTTTCCCATGGACCTTGATATCATACTCACGGAAGACAGGTCGTGCGATCCCCTTCGGCAGAAGTATGACTTATCGCTTTGCAATGTCGTCATTTTGGGGGGCCGTCGCCTTCGCCGATGTCGAACTCCCAGCTCCATTGACCTGGGGAGTCGTCAAAGGTTTACAATTGAGGAACGTCAGGTGGTGGGCCAAACAGGCGGGGGCATTCAATGCCGACGGTACCCTCACCATCGGCTTCTGTTATCCCAACCACAACATGACGGAGAACTACAACTCTCCCGGATCTCCGTACTGGTGTTGCAAGTCCTTTGTGACGCTCTCCCTACCCAACAACCATCCGTTTTGGGCAGCAAAGGAAGAACCTTACCCTCTGACATTGCTTGAGACTACGAAAATCCTGTATCATCCGCTGCATATCGCAACCAACGTTGGAGGGCACACCTATATTCTATCATCTGGGCAACAGTGTTCATACCCTGTCAAACAGGGACCAGCAAAGTACGGGAAGCTTGCTTATTCCTCCGCCTTCGGATATAGTGTTCCTGTTGGAAATGGAACGCTAGAGGAATTGGGAGGCGACAATACGTTAGCTCTAAGTGACGATAACGGAGAGACATGGAAATGTAGAAGAGACACGAGAGAGGCTAGGATTGAGGGTGGCAAATGGCTGAGGTCGATGTGGTATCCCTGGAAGGATGTCGAGGTTGAGACATGGCTTGTGCCGCCACAGCAGGACTCACCGCTGTGGCACCTCCGTGTGCACAGATTACGGACGGGGAGAAACTTATTATCTGCTGAAGGCGGATTTGCGATATACGGACAGGGAAAGGACGGGAGAGCTCTAGACTTCACAGTAGGTGGATCGGAGGCTTTTGGAACACTTGAGCGCGATGGTGAAGGTCGCGCGGCGTCTCGTGCTGGCGTCTCTGGAATCGTTGATTTAGGACCGTCTGGCGGAAGAGTAGGAAAGGCGCTGAGAACAGACGCGAATTCCAATCTGATGGTCCCAAGAGCTGTTTTGCCAACGTTGCGGCAGGAGTACTTGGGCAATACAAAGAATGTCTGGTTAGTCACTGGCGTGTTTGCCCTTCCAAGCGTTGGCGATGAAGAAGGTGCCAGGATCGGATGGCTCGCAGAGTGGGAGAAACGGCCGACAGTTCCAGCAGAAATAGCGACATTAATGCAGCACGAAAACTCATTGTAACGATACTGGGAAATTTCAAATTATGGTTTGGATTAATATTGAACAAAGGTACTTATGTTTTGTCTGTTATTACCATGTCAACCCTAGGTGTCCTTGACACTCGTCCTCTTTCCGAGCTTCGCCTCAATGATACCGAGTTTGCTCAGTTCCGCAAGGATGCCCCACCTTCAAGCACGTACAAAAGTCTTGTTGACCAACAGTCTCCCAGACTCAAAGTCATTGGCTTCAATGAAGACACAAAGAACGTTTTGAAGCTGTCCAATCCCCAAGGCGAGGATTATGTCGAGGTGCCTTGGTCGTCAATGGACAGCATCGTATGTTTCAGTTTCAGCTTAAAAAATAAGATTTTGCTCAAGTTTGGCCAGCTTTGGATTGCTCAACGGCTGGAAGATATCATTCATGTTTCCCTACACCACTTTGTACATTTCTCTCTTTTTCTTCTTTATTCCTCCCTCATACTTCCCAGTTCCTAGCGACTGACGACGGTGTGGTTTTCAAGGGCTTTGGGGAGCTAGTATGCACAGTCAACGCGTTCAAATCCAGAGACCAAATAGGTGGGTGGACTTCCTTCTCGTGCGCCGCTTGCATTTTTTACAGCTAGCATTAGTTCTTACTCTTCTCACTCACGCGGACATGCCCACATACATGTCGTCTAATCTCAAAACCCATTCTTGGTGGCATCTTGAGTCCGACACAACCGATTCCCTTGACCCCCTTGAAAAGTGCAATGCAGAATTCCACTTGATCCAACCCGAAAAATCAAAGGATTGGTCGGCATATCTCGAACAGAGAAAGAAGGCTGTTGAAGGCTTTGAATCAGAATTGAGCCAGTTCGTAGGAGAAGACCTTTCGGCCTTCCACGAGCATATTGACAAAGGTGTCTGCGCTGCACTGGCTGTCACGGATCTTGAAGAAGATGAACAGAGCGTACTTCACGACACTGTTGTCCCTTTAAGTGTCGACGGTTCTGATGACGGATGGGGCAATGTATATCTTTATGGACATGATCCTGAGAAGTCAACTGACAATTGCTCAATATTGCAGGTCTCTCAGTTTGATGTTCTCTCCCGAATCTACTCCCCCACACGCCCTAAATCTGTGGATGTCTATTTGGAATATTATTATCGCACTCGGTACAGCTCGGTTGAGTTCTTTTGTAATGTCTGGTATCGCGCCAGCACCAAGATGACTCCCGACCTGAAGACCAACATCCCCCGTGGCCCGCGTGCGATGAATGGATTTAGGTCCCTGGTGTCCCTTGGTCTTGAGGACGTTCCACCTGGCAGAAGGTGGCGAGCAATCGACGAAAGCGAATGGAATTTGTCGCCCGATCAACTCCGTGGTCTGCATGCGTTGCTGTATGGAACGGGATCCAATGGTGTTGCAGAGAAGATTTCACACCTTGCCCTCGTGCGACTCCTTCTGGGATCTGTTGGTTTTGTGCTTGACATTGCAGAGCATGATGGAGAAGAAGACGAGCAAATACAAGTCGCGGAATTGAGGTGGGAGGGTACCGACAAAAGTGCTCGTTGGCTGGGCAGCAATATTCGAAGGGTTTGTGGTATTTCAGCTCTCGAACAGGATGCCCACGACACCGATAATGAAGTGGAGGAAGATGACGACGAAGAGTATTCAGATGAAGAATATGACCCTCGCGGCAGAGATGGATGTTCTTACCAATAGTATATTTCATGATCTTGAAGCCAACAAATGTGTACCACGTTAACTTGTCAAATCCTTGGTATTGTAAATGATATTTTCTAACATACCGCTATATTCTGTGCAACTCGGAATTTTGATTCATCGCAGTATCAAACTCCCCAAGTCGTGTACTACAATTTGACTGCCGGTTCTTCCGGCCCGGAACTCGTGACCTGTGACAGCAAGTGACAATTGACCGCCTGCCCCACAATTGACAGTCTCTGCAACTCCCATTCTTCCAAGTCCCAAACAGATTCCAATAGCAACACCTCTTCGCGATGGACGGGACAAAATCTGCAAAGTATACATTCTTGCATGATTATTACTTCTGATAATGACTCTTTTTGTTCAGGCGACGAAAAATAACCGACAAAACGCTGCCTAATGTCGTTCTTCAGAACCCAGAATTTGCTCAAGATTCGCAAATGTACCAGGATCTCTTGGAAATGGAACATAAATTGGACTGGACGATGACTAGGAAGAAGGTCGAAATTCAAGATTCGCTTGCTCGGAATCCAACAGTATGTATCATGCATCACATCCGAAGGCCCGCTCAGTTTTCGAGGTAGACTACGCGAACACTGCGACTCTTTCTCAGCCATACAGTGTCTTCGCAAATATGGCAAACAGGTGGTGAACAGATGGCCAACTTTGAAACGGGAGAAGGCATACCAGCCTGGAGCTTCAAGATCGAAGGTCGCCTATTGGAGGTACGTGCGTCCTACGTCAGTCAAAGGCGAAATCTTATATACCCTTTATTCAGGTTGGGAACCAACGAAGTAAAGACAAGGCGCCGACGCGAAAGTTTTCCACATTTATCAAAAAGATGATTGTAGAATTGGACAGGGATGCCTCGTTGTTCCCAGAGGGAAATATAGTTGAGGTCAGTTGTAGGCACTCACCCTGAAGCTCTTCTGGGCTGACATTAATACAGTGGCCTCGCGCAACCGGACTTCAGAACCCTGTTTTGGATGGGTTCACCATTCGGCGGACGGGGGATGCAGCCGTCAAATTACGCATTATCTTGTATCCAGATCATTTTCCGGAGCAGTACAAAGTCAGCCCCGAACTTGGTATATCGCTCAAGTCACCACATGTCAGCTCGTTTGACCATTGTTCTTTTCAGGTGAAATCTTGGGTATCAAGGAGGAGAGCCGTGTCGGCGTCATTCAAACACTTTGGAACTATATCAAACTCCACGGTCTACAGGATAAGGTAGATCGAAGGCTAGTACGGGCTGATGAAAAGTTGGCGCCGGTGCGCGATGATCTCATTTTCAATACTACACTATACTCACCTCTTCCATAGATATTCCGCTCCGAAAACATCCCCTTTCAAAAATTACCCGACCTAGTCAACCAGTATCTATCGACACCAGACCCTGTGGTTTTGTTCTACACCATCGACCCTTCAGTGCCACCTCCAGATCGGCCCACTGCCTGGGATATAGAAGTGAAGGCAGAAGACGTCTTCCTCAAAAATCGCATGAGCGTCATGTTACAGACGAACAGGGAAAGCGCTCAGAACCTCGCCAAGCTAGATGAAGAAGTCAACAATTTGTATTTTCTCTTAACTTTGACACTGACCTCGATTCCAGATAGCTCTTCATGCACAATCACTCCATAATTCCCACTTGAAGCGTACCTTTTTGGAATCGTTCGCTAAGAAGCCTGCGGAGTTTATACAGACTTGGCTGGAATCCCAATCGCGTGATCTCGAGACCATTCTGGGCAGCGGCCCGACGGAGGGCCTGACAGTAAGGCAAGAAGAACTCCGGCGGAGCGAGTTTTTCAAGTTGCCATGGGTAGAGGAGGTGAAGGCAACTTTCTTTTTATCTGCTTTGTAACTCACTTGATATTACCAGGCTGTTGCAGTTCAAGAAGGATTACGGTTAGCTGCAAAGGGCATGCAGTGAATTGTTTATTCGGGAGCCGTGTCGCTATCTTTTTGCTTTTGTATTTGCCTTGTATGGACCCAGATTAGCCTTATAATAATGCAACATGTGTGTTACTATAGCTCCATGACCCACCAGCCAATCAGCAAGCTTCGGCATTCTCCGCATCAGGCTTTGAATCCATTTATTGTAATTCATGGTATCACTTGTACTTGTACGCCATCGTATCCATTCAGATGGCCAGCAAACAGGCAAGCCCATCTTGAATACTCTACCTTGCTCTCTACTGAACTGCTCATTCAGCTAGGTAAATTGCGCCAGGTATGTCTTCGATGAGCCTCGACCGACAGTGACCCTAATTCCGCCATCTTGGCCACAGTGGGCAGGGGAGGTAATATCCTCTCGTGAGAAGACGACGGTTACAGAAGAATTCCATGAACTCGAGCTGGATATCGAGAAACGGAAGCTTGCTGCTCAAAAGTGCGTCCGGCATCTCCTCTTCGTTCAATATTGGCTAATGTGTACCGCATAGACTACATCTTGCGTCCGAAGACTATCATCATGCCCTCACCAAGAAGAAGGAAAGCGAGTCCCTCGATAACCCGGAAAAATTGCTGCCTATCGACACTCTGGGCGTTGTCATGATCGTCCACGGTGAAGAATACGGGGATGATTCTGCCCTCGGTTCGCTGCCCGCCACTCTGCTCGTGCCACTTGCTTACTATTGAACAGGCGCCTCGCTTATAAAGCTGGGTCGTGCTCATTGCAAGATCGCCACGTTACAAGAGGCCTACGCGCTAACTCTTCGAGATACGTACCTCGCGTCACTTGAGAACTTTGGTAATGAGGTCAAAGAGTACGAACACCAGAGAAAGAAACTAGAGAGCAGAAGGTAGGTCTTTTTGTATCTTTCGGTACAAGTTCTAATCACTCCTTGTATCTCTAGACTCAGTCTTGACGCCGCCCTAACGAAACAGGAAAAGTTGAAGAACAGTAAGAAGGAGAAAGATAAAGTAGAAGCGGATGAAGAAGTTGAGAGAGCGCAAGCCCGATAGTGAGTTTGTTCTTGACTCTTCTTTTCCCTAAATTCGACGGTGTATAGTGAGGAAGCTGCCGAAGATGTGCGGGCCTACATGCAAGCCATCCAAGAAAGTGAAATAGATCAGCTACGCGAATTGACTGGCTTTCTGGAAAGCGAGGTCAATTTTGTGAAGCAGTACCTAGAGGTCCTACATGAGACACAAGCAGAATGGTAGGCATGCATGCTATCAGATATCCTAGACTTGCGACTAAAAGGCCTCATAGGTCCAGCACCTCAGATGTCATTCCTCGTCGAGCAGAAGGGCCCATGCATACTTTCTCTCGTTCTAATAGTACCAAGACTCCTAAGCGTCCCGTGCAGAAGAGATCTTGGTCCAGCCGCTCAAACCCTCAATCTACATCTGCAGACTCATCTGACGACGAGCGGACAAACACGTCGTCATCAAGTCGCCGCCCGTCCACTACCCATCGCCGCACCGATTCTGCGGGTACGGCAAAGGCTTCTTCTCGTCCACCTTCTCGCCCTAGCTCGCGAGCGTCGAGAAAGCGATCGGACAGTTTAGTGAATCCAGACTCTTCGATGAGAATGAGCGTTGCTGGTTGGGCTAACAGTGCAATGGGATCTGTACGAGGAAAGAAAAAGGAGAAATTCGCATCGTTGCAGGACGACGACGACGATCATCCGCCAGGAAGTGAAGAGAACTCACCAGTTTCCAAGTCCCCGAGCTTCACTAAGACATTGCGACGGAAGTCGCAATCCAAAGAGGCAGCTCCGAAGGAGCCCTCTCGCATTCTGAAGCCACCCTCCTTGCAGGAAAAGAAGGTTGTGCGCGCTCTGTATGATTTCAACGGCTCCTCCGATGAGCTATCATTCAAAGCGGGCGACGAAATTGTTGTGATTAACGAGGTTCTTGATGAGTGGTGGATGGGTCAGTTAGATGGGAAGCAGGGATTGTTTCCGACGCCATACACGGAGGCTATCTCTAAGAAGCCAGTGTTATTGAAGCGTTCTCGCAGCGGAAAAGCTTACGAAGAGGATACTGCCTACATTGCTCCATCGTTCCAGTCTGACGACGACTCGCCGGATGAAGGATATAGAACGAGTGATCTAGAAGAAGAAGATGCATATAAATCCAAGCCTCTGAATCCATCTCATAGCCCTTTCTTTGGGGGTCCTCCAGACCACGGCCTTGCAAGTACTGTAGTGGACGACGATGAAGACCACCTGATGCCCTCGATCTCGCGTCATGGTTTATCTGATATTGGACCAAACCGGACAGCGGAGCCTACTCCTCCAGCGCTCCCAATGCGCAGATCATTCACGACTGACGTCCTTGCGACTCTAACTCCCGGAAAGAAGGCTCCCCCTCCCCCTCCACCACGGCGTAGCGCTACCCCCAGCACAACCCCCAAGATACCTCCCCGTAGGCCCAGCGTTCCGGCGTCGTCTTCATCACCGAGTTTGTTGTCTCCGCAAAATCGGACAGAAACGCCTTCGCCCAAGAGCAGCTTGGGTTATGATGCCTCTCCTTTTGATAGCGTGTCGGATCTGTCGCTTCCGAGTTCGACAGCCTGCAAAGAGTTCAGACAGAACCCCTTCAAACCCAAGGGCATGTGTAGTAATTGTTTTGAATATCATGCATAAGCCCACGAAGTAGCATAATATGTATACCCTAATTTTTTGTTCACGGATACTGTAGACTATGTATTAAGGGATCTACTATAGGATAGTGCATACTTGTACGTTGAGGAAATCGACAGTGTTTGTATTAAGTAGCATCGGCAATCGGACCGGTAAGAAACGAAGTCAACGTGACTGAACGGTACTTACCTTTACCTTGTATCCGAACGATGACTACACCCAATCCACCCGCCGCGTCGAGCTCAACGCCTCCAGCCAATAGACATGCTCTTACCGCCGTCGAAAAGCAGCGTATGCAACTGGAAAAGCTACTCAAAGATCCCACAAAGCCTGCATTTTTGCCACCGCCTCCGAAGGAAAAAACAATCCGTCCAGCCCGAGAAATGATGAAGAACGTGCAAGGATCCAGCGCTGGTGCAGGAAGTGGCGAGTTCCATGTCTACAAGGCCAGTAGACGGCGAGAATATGAAAGGTTGAAGCTCCTGGAAGAAACTGTGCAAAAAGTACGTGTCATTGCCCTTCCGAGGTTGACATATTTTACCTACGTGAGCTTAGGAAACAGACGAGGCAAATTTCGAGAGACGGAGGCAGGAAGCTGCGGCTGTGACGGAGGCCAAAACAGCTAAAAACCGCGCAAAGCGGCAGAAGAAGAAGGAGAGATCGAAAGCGCATGGCGCTCAGACTACAGAATCGCTGGGAAAGGGTGGCGACGACGCTGCTGCTGCAGACGTGCCTATAAAGAAACGGCGGCTTGTCAATGGGAAGGAGTTGGTATTCCGGAGACCAGGTGAAGGTAGCGACGAAGAGAACGAGGATACCGAGCCTGTCCCGGGGCGAGAACCCCAGGACGTCCCACAGGACGTTCCTTCCAATTTGCCACCGGTACTAGATGAGCCCAAGATCATGATACATGAAGACGATTAATGTACGTCGCCTTCGGCGCGCCAACTTTTGTATTATATACCAACATTGCTCTTCTCATTGCTGCTTGTGTCAAATTCTATGCATATCCAGGATGCCATTGTCAAGATACATCGGAAAACAAACTATCTAGAGGATGTGAAATGGATAATTGGAAGAGCATTGGACACGGATAGGATGGATGGGATAGGTGTCGCAGATATTCATAAAAAGGTGTCGCACAACGATATTTGAACATATATAAGAAAGGTGACCTGAAGGAAAACAGTGATGAGAAATGGGAAAAGGCACTGGCCTGAAACTCACAAAGAGACGTGACAAAGCGATGCAGAGAAAATTGGAAGGCAGAAAAAGACTGTGTGTGAGATGAAGGAGAAATTTGAGAAAGGAGTCAACAGCGCAAGCAATGCTGCAATTCGACGCAAAAATGCATTTTACCGCTTAGATCGTTCCGTGACCTTCAACTCATCTGCAAACAGTTTGGTGGGTTGAACTTGAAGCGATGCCTCATTGTCGCTATCATCTGCAAACACGTCAGAGAGCACAGCGGAGGCCTTGCTTGTGTCGACTTTGGTGCCTTTCCTGTGTTTCTTTTTAGGGAATAGGACTTTGGGAGGGCACCTCAAGTCGGGCGAAAAATCGATGTGTTCTGGCGGAAGCAGAGAATTGGGAGTCGGAGACACGGGGCCTTTCTTGACGGGATCATAGTAAGGGTTGGGGAAGGTCTTTCGAACACCGCGACTGACAGTATAAAGTTAATAACGCGAATAGCGAAGGGCTGCAGGAATCACTTACTAAACGAATGTGACAGTAGGCTTTTCTTCGTAAGGTCGCTCGACCAACGATGAGCCGTCATCCTCATTGTCACTAGCATCATCGACGCCACCAGGCGTATCCAGAAAAGGGTTGTTGGGAGAATCTCGGATTGGGTGCTGGACTCTGTTTTTTGGGGTCCGTGGTGGCGACGTGGTGGTGGGACTCGCCGACCGAACAACGGAAGGCTTTGCTGGTGCAGGCTTGGTCTTTCTGAATGAAGGCGGCGGAGAGACGAGGGAAGAGGTCGACTGTGCTCGCTCTCTTTTGCGGAAGAGCAAGGGTACAGGCGAGCCAACAGGTGACTCTGACCGTCGCGTCGCTGACGCGCTCTGAGCCTTGGCTGAGGTTCCTGTTGCCTTGGTGCTCTTCCCACCAGCCCAAAAGACGTCTTCATCGTCAAAGTCCTCCTCCTCTTCCTCCTGGATGTCGCTGATACGCCGCTTCTTGTTCAACCACGCGACTTCATCACCACTGTCAGCAGTGTTGTCTCCATCACTTTCGTCAGAAGACGCCTTGGAGCGTGCGGTGCGCCTTTTGCGCTGGGTACGCGGGGGTGTCGGGAGAGATGCCGTTGACGACGACCGCTTCAATGGACGAGGTACGGGAGGCAATGCCACCGGGGAAGAGTCGAGCATCACGACGAAGAGCGAGTATATACGGCGTAAGTTGTATGAATGATGATGGGGATAGCAAAGGTAATAGAGAAAGAGCAACGGGGGAGGTGCAAAAAGTAAAAGGTGTACTTATTATCGAGAAGAGGAAGGTCCAAGTTGCTTGTGCATAACAAGTGCAAACAATTCACAGCCACTCCCATTGTTCGCTTCTTGTTTTCTCTGTCTTGTTGGTGAAACGAAGTCCCCTCTGGCCTAAGCATTCAATCTGGTTGAATTTTAATACTTTTGCGATGCTTTTCTTGGAAATGCTACACAACTCCAGTTTTGACTCTAGTCTGCTCCAGTGGAGTTCGGTGATCGCACTCTACGTCACTTTCTGGCAATCATTTAAGTGGAACCACTGATTGAGCACCAACTTTGTAACTATGCATCACTCAAACTTCCGTCTCGGTATATGGCTCAGACTACATGGCGAGGATCTTATTACCATGGCCCTCATGGGCGCCCTTGGACTTGGAATATATGAAGCTTGTATGTCTACGGAGTTTTCGTCGTGCATTACTTAGCTCACTGAGTATTGCAGCTCCTGCACCCAGCAGATCTTTCCCCGTATACTTCCAGGACGGTCAAGTCGTATACCCACAATTTGTCTATCCTCTTCGTAAAGAAATCATACCCATCGCGGCAGCTCTAATTGCATTCTTCGCCCCCTTCTTCTTCGTCTGCCTCTTTCAAGTTCGCCGGCAAAGTATAAACGATCTCCTTACTACCACTATGGGAGTTCTCAAGAGCTTGATCACCGCTGCTGTCTTTCAGGTGCTTATTTTTCTGTTATCTTGTTGCCTTGTGAACACCAACCAAACCAGGTTTTCATAAAATGGCTCATTGGAGGACTCCGACCCCATTTCTATGCCGTCTGTCAACCATCCATTGAACAAAATACCGCTCCATCAGGAACAGGATTCGCCTCTCTTATGTATGACCGAAGTGTTTGTACTGGAGACAAGAACGAAATCGACGATTCCCTGGAATCATTTCCGTCTGGCCACTCGACTGCGGGATGGGCAGGGTTGTTTTACCTGGCTCTCTATCTGAATGCGCAACTCAAGGTTACGAGTGCGCATAATCCCGCCTTTTGGAAAATGGTATTACTCTTTTGCCCGCTTTTGGGGGCAACCCTGATCTCGTGCGCGCTAACAATTGATGAATGTACGTGAATTTTCATCCACATTTAAACTCGGTATTCACATTTTGTATAGATCACAACTGGTACGACGTACTTGGTGGCGCGGTCATCGGTATCTGCACAGCTCTGGTTGCTTTCCGACAAACCTTTGCCGCGGTGTTTGATTTTCGATTCAACCATCTGCTTCTTCCTCGCACGACCTCCATCTTTCTCCGCAAGCCTGTGACATCTACCGGTCAAGAGCCGTATTTTTCGTATCACATACCTCGGGAATATACAAGTGAAGAGCTTCCGTTTACGCGTGAAGGAGGTTGGGGCTGGGGTCAGGAAGCATATGCTGGTGCATCAGGCGATGCCACGGCGCTAGGAACGAATGGTGAAGTCCGAGGAGATGCAGGGCAGAGAGGTGATCTAGGTCAGGAGAATGTGCATGTTGTATGAATGTCGCCTTGCCTGCCCGTATTTTTGTATCATACATATGACCTCATCAATATCATTCCACGTGGGTGCTATTTCTGTTGAATGCCCCCCATATAAGACCCAAGGTCCATCTGAATTATATCCATTCTCTCTTTCCTTCTCCCCATCATGCTCACCAAGGTCCGTGACCTGCCCGTACCTAACCCACTTTCTCATCCATTTTCCAGCACGTCAACCCAGACCGCCTCGTCCAGGAATCTCACGTATGCCGATATTGTCCGTTTTGTGTCTTGCAGCGTGCTCATCGATTTCTAGGATAAGAAGGGACATCCTCATTCTCTAACGCATACAGATCCCGACGTTGTCCAACACTCGTACGGCGCTCGATATGGAACCAGCCCGATCCCAAAGTACCATCTTGCTTCCAAGGCACGTTCGAGTACTCGTTGCTGCTGCGCTATATATACTCACCCTTGAATTGTTGTGCAGGGCCTCGATGCCGAATCATCTTATCAGCTCGTTCATGATGAGCTCGCGTTAGGTGGCGTATACTTTGTTGCTACCTTACCGGCACTGGCGCTAACGATGCTCCACTAGATGGGAATCCCGTGTTGAATTTGGCGTCCTTTGTTTCGACTTGGATGCCTTCTGCAGCCGACAAGCTAATGAATGAGAACATCAACAAGAACCTTATAGGTACCTGTTTACTCTGAGTGTGGGTACATGCTAGTCTCTGATGTATGTGGACAAGATTGCGATGAATATCCCGCAACTCGTATGTGCCTCGAATTCTTCTTACCTTTCGATTTCACTGATCGCAATTTCTAGAACTTCTGCATACCCGGTGTCAGTCCTCTTCTCCGGCGTTCACACCTATTCACTAAACCTCCCACGCAAGGCATCTCCATACTAGCCAACCTGTGGCATGCTCCTTCGGCCAAGCAGGCTATCGGGACTGCGACAACAGGTTCTTCCGAAGCTATTCAGCTTGGAGGCCTGGCCATGAAGCGCATCTGGCAAGAGAAACGCAAAGCCGCTGGCAAGAGCATCCATGAACCTGGGTAGGCGCGTCGTTTCCGCAGTAGAAGCGCGTTAACTGATCGATCTAACAGCCCTAATATTGTCATGGGAGCCAACGCACAAGTTGCACTTGAAAAGTTCGCTCGTTACTTTGAAGTCGAATGCCGTCTCGTTCCTGTCTCCGTCGAGAGCAACTACAGGCTTGACCCAAAGGCTGCAATGCAATATGTCGACGAGAATACTATTGGGGTTTACGTTATTCTCGGAAGTAAGATCTGATTATAATGCTGTGAGTGTGCTGCTAACCCGTATATAGGCACCTACACTGGGCATTACGAGCCCGTCAAAGAAATGGCAGATCTTCTCGACAAGTATGAGGCTGAGACTGGGAATTCGGTTCCTATTCATGGTATGGTCACGACAAAAATAGCACAAATGAACCTAAAATAACACAACTTTCAGTCGATGGGGCATCAGGTGGTTTCGTTGCACCATTCGCGACGGTAATTCAATTATATTCTATCTCCTTCACCTTGCTCATCCTGCTTATAGCCGCATCTGGTGTGGGACTTCAAAATTCCCCGAGTTGTGTCTATAAACACCTCGTGAGTATGATACTGGTTTGGAGCGAGTCTACTCACTATTTATAAAAAGTGGTCACAAGTTTGGGCGCGTCTACTGCGGAGTTGGGTTCGTTGTATGGCGAGACAAGGCCCATCTTCCTAAAGATCTCATCTTCGAACTTCACTACCTGGGGTCGGTCGAATATTCCTTCTCCCTCAACTTCTCTCGCCCAGCGGCACATGTCATTGCGCAGTACTTCAATTTCATTCATCTCGGATTTGAAGGCTACAGGACCATCGCCTTGAACGACCTGGCGAATGCTCGACTTCTCAGCCGGGCGCTGGAGAATAGCGGTTACTATACTGTCCTGAGTGATATCCACAGGCCTGCACCTCATGTACAGAGCACTGCGAAGCACGGTGTCGGTGTCGATAGCAACGTCGAGGTATGCTTGTTTCGTAACTTGGATGGTATACACGCCTAACACTTGATAGAATTACATGCCAGGACTTCCTGTAGTGTCGTTCCGCTTCACGGATGAGTTCCAAAAGCGGTACCCCGATATTCAGCAGCGTTGGATTCAAACTCTTTTGCGTGCGAAAGGATGGTGGGTTGATATCTTATGGTCCCAAACATATTTTCACGTTGATCCAGGATTGTTCCAAACTATGAACTCGCTCCCAACTTGCAGAACGTCCAAATCCTCCGTGTTGTCGTTCGCGATAGCATGACTGCTACGGTATGTAAACTGGTCGTTTATGCGACATGCACAATCTAAATTTCTTCAAGCTTGTTGAGAATCTTGTCACTGACATTGTAAGTGTTGACGTTCACCTCGTTGTTTTTTGGAATAGACTAATACTATTCTGTTAGATTGAAATTACTGAAAATCTCATGGACAAGGACAGTCCGGCCCATGCTCTCAACGCTTTGGAGTATGCATTTGGTAAGACTGAACAAAAACGCGGGACCTTGGACGCGGGTGCTGGAAGCGAATCGAGTGGCACCTATGCGAAGCCTTGTTAAAGACACTGCAGAACGTAAGTACTTGGTAGTTGAAATGTGTACGATATGAAGAAGCCAAATTCAATGTGACCGAATTGATTCAAATCTTTTTTTATTTATTTGAGGAGCGCGGGAGATTCTATGCAGATGCCTGGCTTGATGTTTGAGCACAAGGAGTAGTTTGAAAACTCAAACAGCCGTTCGGGGTATTACCATCGACTAATACTCTAGCATTAGAGTTGTATGGATATGTTCTCGCCATTAATATTACTTGTATGCAGCAAACAGTATCCGCGGAGTCCGGGCCGTAAAAAAGCGACGACAAACATCGCGTCGCGTCTTGATACCTGCCATCACCTCGCAACATGGGCAAAGTCAAAATCGACGACGTGTACGTGCACCAACGATGAAACCATATTGCAACTAATGACCTCCAGACCTGTGCCTACGACGCCTCCTCGCCGGAGCACGACCTTGCTCCTCGACGCCACCGACGCGACGCCGTCATTCCGAATCGGCGACACAGACAAGTCTTACAAGCACCAATACTCCAACATTTATTTTACTCGACTAAGCGAACTGCGAAAACCTGTGGAGGAGAGGGCGCTGCGACGATGGGCAAGTGTCAAGGGTGCGTGTATCCGTGTTTTGTCACTAGCTTTATTCAGCTGGTGGATACAGGAAATCCCCGCCTCGTCCGACGCGTGCTAGAGGTTGTCAAATCGCAACTGTGCTACATTATCGGCACGGTGTACATGGACATGCCACTTAAACCGAACGTCTTGGAAGACATTGCCCGGGATGTAAGCCATGGAGGTCTCTTTTGCCACGGTCATACAGGGCTAACGTCGTTTCTAGCACACCATACCGCCGCCTCCGCCTCCGCCTAAGTACTACTCGGATGAAGACAGCATCCTGCTCGAGGACGAGTCTGGGCGGTTACAGCTCGTCGGAGAGCGCGTCAAAGCGGCGGGGCTGGTGACTGGTGTTGTTTTAGCTGCGCTCGGGGTGGAGACGCCCAATGGAGAATTCGAAGTGGTGGATCTATGCTATCCTGGACTTGCCTCCTCAGGACGAGGATGAGGATAGGATGGAGTTGGACGGTGCTGATGAATGGATAGCGGTAGGTGTCTGGTCTAAGTATCGGCTCGCCTTCATCACCGGACGTGTCACTGCAGATGCTTGTAGAGTATCTCACGGGAGAAGAGGGCGGTGCTGAAGACCAGGGATCCTGCAGCTCGTATATCTCGACTTGTGATTGCAGGGAAACTCTCTTGGCACCTGTGATTATTCCTGTCAAAGGGGAGCCTACTGCCGAAGGGGATGAGAAGAAATCGGCAAGTGTTAACATTGATGTTATAAAAAAAGGATCTGTTCTAAAAAGAAATACAGCGGGGCAAGTACAATTACGATACGACGACGTTTTCTCCTCATCCGACACAAACGCTTGCTGGACATTTGTACGATATCGGACGGGTAATGCCTATCCATGTGCTACCGGGTGAAGCAGATCCCTCGGGAACGATTCTACCTCAGCAGCCGTTTCCACGGGCTATGCTAGGACCGGTGGCGTCGTTATCATCATTCAAGTGCGAGACGAATCCAACGTATCTACGTATTGGGAGTGGCAAGGGGGTGACACGAACGATGCTGGTGAATTCGGGACAACCGTTGAACGACATGTTCAAGTACCTGGATTGCCCACCGAGTACACGGTTATCTATTCTAGCGTCGACACTGAACTGGAGACACATGGCGCCTACAGCTCCCGATACGCTGTGGTGTCATCCGTACTTTGGGGTAGATCCGTTTATTATGAGAGAAACGCCGGATTTGTATATTGTAGGGGGACAGAAAAAGTTTGGGACAAAGGTAGTGAGAGAGGATGGAAGACGGTGTCGGTTGGTGCTTGTTCCCGAGTTTGTGAAGACGGGAACGGTGGTGCTGGTAAATGTACAGAGTCTGGAAGTGAAGACGGTGAGGTTTGGGACTGATGGAATGAGTTGATGAAGTTATTGTGTACATTATTCGTCCCATTTGATTGCAGACGGAACCCAGTAGGCTCTGCCGCACTGTTCGTCCTGATCGTCGACCCAGCAAAGGCCGTCTCTGGTGAGCATATTCTCTAGGGCTGCAGCGGGCCCGTTCCCGAGACCAGGACTTGCGCTCTACCAGAATATCTGGGACGATCCTGCCTCCCAGTTCTGTGGCAATGGCAAGGATGACAGTCTGGTCGTCGTCGAGCTCCTTGACGACACTACGTACCATCTTGCGGCCTGCAATGTCGACGACGGCGTAACCTGCACCAAGGGGCTGAAGAGACTTGATGCTTCGGATGACGTCGTCTTCATCGATGGCGCCGCCTGCGAGACCCCTGAGCTTTGTGACGAGCCTGATGAGCTCTGCCATGTCGATGAGGCCGCCGTTACGGTCGCGGGTTGTGACGCAGACAGTCGACGATCTGGAACGCCTAGCTCGTGCTGCCAATCTGCCATGCCTAGCATCTCTGCCCACCATCCGCCCTTTCGTGGACCTGCAAGAGGGTCGACGCCAATAGAAGAGCACATTTGCTGGAATGCATGGCGAAAGGCGGGATCCCGACGGATGGAGTCGCGGTGAGTGGCGGCGAAGCGGGCGAGGGCGGTGCGAAAGTGGGTGAGCTGAGCGTGGAGGTGATCTACCTGTGACTGTGAAAGGGACGTGGGAAAGAGCAACGAAAGAGCGTTGGTTCTGTTGTTGACGTTGAAGCGCGGCGATTCCTCCTCCTCGACGATGCATGTCATGTCAAGGCAGTGACGTCACTCTCTCCTTTTGACATAAAAGTTACACGCCAAGTTTAACTTAGAAACCTACTTTGGGGCTGAAATGTCCACCCACACTGGGCCCCTCGGAACAGCTTGCACTAAAAAGTATCTGTACTTTACACGCTCATGGCTGACTACAAGTTCTCTGGCTGTGCATTTCTCTCATGGTTCACTTAAAAACTGACACCCAGCGTGGTATTCGCCAATGTTCTGCCTCGCTTCCACCCTCTTGTTCTCTTCTCTTGTATCTGCTCAGTTATACGGCGGCGGTGGTGGGGGTTCACCTGCTACCACTACCTCTGCTGCTGCTGCTGCCGCTGCCGCTCCTTCTGCTCCAGCAGACACGCCCGGTCACGTCAACATCGACGTTGCCTTCAACAACGGCTTTGTCTTTCACCCCGCCAATGTCACCGCTTCCAATGGAACCCTGGTTACCTTTTGGTTCCCAAAGTCTGTCGTTTCTTTTCCTTCCCTACCCCAGTGGTCTGACTCTGTTGTAGCAACGGCCTGACTCACTCTGTCACTCAGTCCTCGTTTGCTGCTCCCTGCACATTTCTTGCTGCCAATGGCTCGTCCCCTAGTGGGTTCGACTCTGGTCTCACTGCAGGAACTCAGTTTTCCGTCAACATTACCGACGATACAAAGCGTATGTCCCTTCTTGTGTACTTGTTCCCCATTCTCATCGCTATTGCAGCCATCTGGTTCCACTGCAAACAGGTTTGGCCCACCCTTTGTTTCGCTCGGACACCAAGCTAACTCTTCCCTACTAGGTAGACCATTGTGGCATGGGAATGGTCGGCTCAGTCAACGCCCCATCCACCGGCAACACATTCGAAAGCTTCCAGGCTGCTGCCATGAGCATCGGCAGCTCTGAGACACAGGTACTACCCTTGCCTTTTTCCCTTCCTAGCTCTACTAACCACCGACGTAGGAAAAGGATAATGGAGCGGTCACTGGTGGTGTCAATGGCGTCGCCACTGCTGCACCTGCTACAATGTCCGCTGCTGCAGGCTCAAGTTCGACGGGCTCGTCGTCGTCGTCAGCCTTGAGGCTCATTGCTAGTATTCCCCTTGCAGTGCTGGCCGCAGTGGTCGTCCTCGTACTTTAGTAATACTAGATCCTCGTACTTAGATCCATGGACTCTTTCAGATTAATTATCGGCCCACAATGACATTTCTCATCTTCACCATCATGAGTGCGTGCGATTTGAAACACTACTACATTTGAGCGCTTCTTCACACAGGTACCCTTGTATTATGAATCCTTCACAACATTCAAACCCCGAAGACTGGTTCTTCTCGGGTGTGAATTCAGGGTGCCTCAGTGTGGCAAAAAGAGCTCGTTCCTAGCCGCAATTGTCCTTGTACTCTCACGACAAAATGTTGCAACCGCGTTTTCGAGTAAATGATCAATTTGAATGATCAGCATGTGGCTGTGCTAAACTTCCTGACCTGCTTCCACGTTCTCCGCTGCGGTCGACATGTTTTCGAGTATACCCCAAAAGCTCACTTCGCAATTTGGCCTGCTTCCAGATGAGAAAAAGCTCGCCTTTCGCAGTCAGCCAGGCGGTCTCTCCAAATTGGCCACAGTGCGGGTACGTCCGTCTCTTCCAACGACTACTTGGGAACTCGCGTTTACTTTTTGCTTAGAATATACCAGAAAGCGATAGCTACTGGGATCAGGTGAGCACTGTATGTCCTGACTTTTGGAATTGAACTGAACTGAAGCATACAGTATGTCAGCCTCTTCGACTCGGCGTCAGAGGTCTTCTCTCTTATCACTCCAAACGACAGTACGCAACGCTATCTTTCCCATAAATTGCATCGCTCATCATCTATCTAGTCCGTCGCGCCCTCCTTGACGCCCCAGAGAACATCGCCACCCTTATTCGTGTCATCACCTCCCGACTCTTCAACCTCGTATCCGACCACACATTCCCCTCCGCTTCCAACACTTCCGTCACCGCCCTTGCATCATCGTTCATCAAGGCCGCTGGCTCTGCAGACAGGAACACGACAAAGGAGGTGCTTAATTGCCTCCGCGTTCTGCAACGCGTCTTACCAGTCGTCTTTGAAGTGGACGGCGAGGCGAGTGTATTTGAGCTCGAGGTGCTGTGGAAGAGGCAGCAAGTTGACGAGGGCTTGGATGAGGGGACGCCACAGTTCGTGATTGAGGATGAGGACGACAGCGAGGATGAAGCAGGGACCGCGCCCCCGAAACAGACCAAAACGATGCCTTCGTTGGGGGAGAAGCTGTTCAGCTGCATCATAGATCTCTTGTTCTGTTGCGGTTTCACGCTGCCCACCAAGATTCAAGTCGACCACCACAAGATAAACTATGTCATTTGGTATGTATAATGCTTTCCCTCTATCGTCGTTCTTCTGCTGAGATGCACCAAGGGAAAAGGGCGTTGGATCGACGACAGACCCAGGCGTCAGCAACCAGTATGACAGTAACAAGACCGAAGTCCTGCGCCTCCTCCTCGTCCTCCTTTCCAGACAGATATACGTCCCATCATCGTCGCTCTTCTCCAAGCCCTCCCTGTACACCCTCCACCTCGTTCAGAAAACACCCCGACGCGACGTTCTCACCATTCTATGCTCGCTCCTCAATACAGCTATGAACTCGGCTCAGTATCAGCATGACTGGGCGGTTACCCTACAATCACCTCGTGTTCAAGGGCGAAGACCCCAGATCAACCGCTTGTCGGCATGTGTCTCCAAGTGTTGATAGCTATTCTTGACTTTCAGAGCGGCGGGGCGAGGGACATCATCACCGAGACCTCGGAGAAACCAGACATTCCGTTCCTACCGCCAAAACAAACTCTTTCCGGTATTTCCTTATGAAACTCGTAAGTATTCATTTAGGTTGGACGCAGCGATTACTCATTTTGGTGGTTAGCATCGCACGCAGGATTTCACCTTTATTCTGGACTGGCATACTCGGTATCATGAATCAACAATTGGCAAGCGTGAACAATCTACTTCCCGGTGCAAGGAAATCTATACCCTACGTTGCAGAAATAGGTGGGTTTCATCTTCTGATATCACCCTGTATGCTGATATTGGGTGTCAGTACTATTTCTATGGAAGATGATTGAACTCAACAAAGTTGGTGTTTCCCGATGATCAAGGTGCAACACAAATTGATCCAGCACCTACAGAAATTTCCGCGCATTTGTTCTGGATACGGACAAGGCCACCGATCTGATTGCCCATCTTCTGTGCTACAATTTAGAGATCAAGGACAAGCCTCGTATGTTCCCTTCGTTGCCGTTGCCATTCAGGTACTCATAAACTGTCTTAGAACAACATGGACTCTGTAGAACACTATCCTATATTATCCAAACACTTTCAGCAGAACCCGCGTTTGGGAACAGACTGGCGTCACCCATCAGAATACAAGTTCCCGCAAAATGGAGCATGTCAGGAACTGCTGCTGATTTCATGATCAATGTATGTTTGTAACCTCTTTTGTCGTATCATTCTCACCATGTGTCAAAGGCAATTTATTCTGTGGTGGCAACCACTTCTGGCTCTCTTAATTCACTGTATCCCGCCCTCATCATCACGCTGTCAAATTTGGCGCCCTATTTCAAGAACTTGAGCGTGACATCTAGCGCCAGATTGATCCAGCTGTTCACGTCCTTCTCGAATCCCCTCTTCCTTTTGGCAGATGAAGGACACCCTAGACTTTTGTTCTTTATGTGAGCGCTCCACCCGAGATGTACACGTCTTTCTAACAGTTCCCTAGGTTGGAAGTATTCAACTCTGTCATCCTTCACCATCTAGCGGAGAATCCTAATCTCATATATGGCATCATTTCATCCCATAAGACGTTTGAGGATCTGGGAACGTTTACGCTGTCTCGGGGATTACGAGAAATCAGGCGTGTCCAGCTAGCAAAGGAGGAGCAGAATCGTAAGACTACTGCCAGAAATCCTAGAGAATCCGCGGAAGGGCCTGAATCGCGCACTGAGAAGGCGCGGCTTCTTTCAAGCGAGTCTCAGGACCAGCTGGAGGAAGTCGCCGATCACGATGCGGAGACGTCGGTGGTTGTCCCCCTGATGTCGCCGACAGCTGAAGTCTATCCCAACAGCTGCTACTGCAGATCCTGCGTCGTCCGTGTCTGAGAAGGCCCGAGGTAAGATGAAGGAGAGACGTTCTCTGTCTTCCGATACCACTATCAGCCTTGAGCGGGTGGCTGCTTCTGGTATTGGGAGAAATGGCTTCATACCTACTCATGACTGGGTTTGTATTTCTTGTACCAACGGATAACATATTGCTGACCACGTGCTTTGTAGGTGTCATCTTGGCAGGAAGGGTACGTGCAATTTAATATTTGAACAATTTGCATACTAACGCGCCTGTCATCCCAGCTTACCCTTAGACCCTGTCATGCTAGTTATATCTGAGCTCTTACCAAAAGTGCCAAGAACTCCAAGCATCACGGCAGAAAGCCAATTCAACGTCTGCAGTCTTAGATTTCCTAGGGTCAGTAACTCTAAAAGACGTATTACCTCCCGTTCCTCCCTTAACACCTCGGAAATTCCTTGGTCAGTCAACGTTCCGCTTATAAGCTCCAGTGTCGCTTATTACTGTACACAAACAGTGGTCGGATGCTTCCATCGTATGGTTGACTTCTTTAATTTGGGGTGAAATCTACGTTCGAGGCATGACTCCTCTAGGAGTATGGAACTCGACGAGTGTTCGTCTGTTTTACGTAAAGCACTCGCAGATTCAGCAGCGCCAGATCACAGGAACTGTGTCTAGTGTTGTTGGTGGGTTCCTAGGGAGGACGAATTCGGATACTTCTATAGCGTCACGGCAGCGGTGAGGGGAGAGCGATTTGTGTTTACGTATCTATATTTGTTACGGAGGATTTCATAAATTATGCGTCATTGTTTTCTGTTTGCCTTGTGTGCAAACAACGCGTTTTCATGCGCACCACCAACATTTCGCCCTTTGACAAGCTTCTTGGCGTACAACGAGTCGCTCTTAGGAAAGGTAGCGAAACCTCAAGGTTCGCGACGATACTGCTAATACTCCGAACAGGAAATTATCTGACTCCCGACGATGTACTTTTAGCTCCGCCTGAAGAATTGGCTCGCAGATGCCGAATTTCGCCCTTGGAGGTCAAGAGAATCGTCGAGATTCTGTTTCAGGACGACCTATGTAGGATCCAAACATTACAGGAACTTGCGCATGAAGGCGAAGGAGAAGATTACGACCGGAGACGAGCACCTTGACCGTGCCCTTGGCGGTGGTATACGGACAGGAATGCTGTGGGAAGTTGTTGGCTGAAAGGTCTGTCTTTTGCAATTTCTCTCCCAGTGCTCAGTTCTCATTCTCTTCTTAGCTGCGGCTGGAAAAACACAACTGGCCTTGCAGCTATCGCTGCTGGTGCAAATACCACCGAGGCTTGGAGGGCTTCTTGGCTCGACTTGCTATCTGACGACGTCCTCGGTACTTCCGACAGTGCGTCTGCTCGACATCTTGGATGCCCACCCGTTACTGTCTCCTTCATTATGTGGACTCCACGACGTTCACACCATGTCGTGCCCTACGATACCCGTGTTAATCCACGTTCTATCCAGCACACTTCCCCAATTTGTCGATTCAAGGCTCACAGGCCAAACCTGTGAAACTCTTGGTCATCGACGCTCTTGGTGAATTGTTCCATACCACAGACAAAACCACCACAAAGACGCTGGTCCAGCGCTCCAGGGATATTGCTGAGGTATCCTCCTTGCTTCATATTCTTTCGAGCAAATACAAGATCGCAGTTCTTGTTCTCAACGAAGTCGTGGACGCGTTCGACCGAGAGCCAGTAGAGACAAACGACAATAGCGTTTCGTACAATGACGAGTCTCGCTGGTTCGGCCGTGCTGACAGCATACCCGGGGAAGATAGGAAAGAAGCTAGTTTGGGTCTGGTTTGGGCAAACCAAGTCAACGTTCGGATCCAGCTCTCTCGCACGAGCCGGCGCAGGTATCTACAAGATTCTTTCGCGGAAAAACGTCTGAAGCGCCAGGGCTTGAGCGCGGCTGGTCCCTCGAGGCTAGCTAGCTCCGAAACCGATCAACCGACCCTCATCCGACGACTGAGTATCATTTTCAGTTCTGTGTCTTCACCGGCGTCCCTGGATTATATAGTTGGCCCAGCCGGTATCTCGGTGTTGCCGGATGGTGACCGTACGCCCAACATTGCTGTTCAGGCCCAGGTCTCGCAGTATTCACGGCCAGTTGCTGAGCCTTTAGTACTGCCATTGAGCACTCAAATTTCACCCCTGGATGTTGGATACATCGAAAACGGGAATATATCTGTAATATCTGAACCTACCGGCGTCGATATGGATGGAGAACCTGACATTGAGTGGGAAATCGGCGATAGCGCACCACCGGATACTCTTGCTGGACTTGACACATCATCTGATCTATAAAACCTTTGACTTCGAGACATATGTATTATTGAACGAACAGACATAGTTGCGCAGGAATAAGGCAAGTGGACCCAGTTTCTAGTCTAGCGCCACGGTGCTCCATCGTTCCGAGTCTGGAATTCGACAGCTTGGTTCTAGTTGCACCCTCGGTATGACGGTTCTATGAGTCCTTGATGGATCCCAGGGAGTGAAGCTGCCTATCTTGTACTCCGTTGTTATGTGGCCCAATTCCATCGAATGCGTCCTAGAAAGGTTCACCGTATCATTACTGTATAGTCTGCGTACCACTCGGGGAGGTTCAAGGACGGGCGGGGGGAGGATCTTTTCTCTGTATGTAACAGCAAAGCCAACGATGCCTACATTTACTCATCAGCACTAGATACACAAGAAATACGAGACCATGACGTGCCTGCCAGTGGTGAAAGCCACGATAGAACAGCCAGAGCAATGGCCAATGGTTTCGGGTTCGGAAGTGCGGCAAAACTCTGGATCAACTGTCCTTGTACTTCGAGAACAGTGGTCAGAATCGACGATGCTATAAAGTGGATCAAAATCGAGAGAAACGGCTATTTTAAATGGAGGACTCACAAAGAGTAATCACAAAGAGAACGCTAAAAGTCACCATACTGCGAACCTTTGATACTTCGTCAATTTCTTCTTTGGACCACCACCCGTATCTGAGGTACCTCCAGACCATCGTATATAGGGTAATGACAGGTGCAAGTCCGTCCAATAGTATCAAACATGCTTCCGCGACTAGTAGAGTGATTCATAAGTTGATTAGCGAACCAACAAAAATTGTGGGATGGCGTACCGCCTATAGACCCCGCAACGAGCGAGGCCATCAGCAATGACACCATGGTCATATTCACAAGGACAGATGAAGACTAGAACAGACGAGGAATATTTATGTTAGCATTCAGGAAACTTGATAGAAAATGCCACTGACCATATACCTCAAATCTGATAACTCGATATTTTATAAAAATTGGCCTCATAATTTACGAGGGAAAGGCGGTGAAAGAGTGTTTTGGACCGCGAAATCGCGTCTAATGGGACGTGGCGAGCTGGCCAGAGCTGCTGACAAGTATTTGGGCTGTTAGTAGGTGAAAGAGATCAAGGGGAGATAAACTCTTTATATCAATGGGGAATAGGAACCGGGCAGGTGGCTAAGAACCCGACATTGTCTTTGTTCACTTTGTCCATCATCACAAGTCTGAGGATATTTTGAGGCTTCTCCACTTACGGAACCCTGCATCGTGGCGTTATTCATGAACAAAGGAAATCGTGATAAAGAAATTTAAGAGAGACCATCATCGAAAAGCTTTCCCTCTTCCGGATTTCGATGGGACATTCTAGATTCGCCACCCTTCCCATCCTAATAAACGGTGACCTTCCAAAAGACAAACAAGTAGTGACCCAAACCAGAGCGAGATGCCGTTAGGTATAAACGCAAAATTCGGATGCAACGGGAAAAGACTTGTGTTTCGCATGCACCTTCTGAGACGATGGGATATCCAATCCCTGGTTTGCGTATCGACAGATTTTTCTCAGAACCAGACTGGATTGAACTTTATGAAAGAGTACAAGACGTGAATTTTAAAATCGATCCGGCGTAGGCGTCCAGTCCTACTAAAATGAAGAAAGATAATCGACAATAAATAAAGTCCAAGTCACTCATCAGAGATATAATCATCCGACATCAGCAGGGTATAAATCTTCTTACTCAAGGCATCCCCAATAGGTCTCCCACTCTCCCGGTTTATATCGGTCAACAGCAACTCTGCCTTGGGTACGTCGCTCCTAGCCTTCCGCTTTCCTTTCGGCACCTGCGGACCACCATTGCTATCTTCAAATTCTTGCATCACCCGCTGTAGATCTTCCGCTTCGCGAAATGCCACGTATAGACTGGTAGGGGTTGGGTATTTGTTCAGGATAGCGCCCACCTTCTCTGCGCTCAAACCATGCACGCTCAATAGCATCTTCGCCCAGACAGTGCTCACAGTTGTGAATCTGTTCTTGGAGTTCAGAGACTGGAACTGCGTAAACGTGGTCAGATAGACCCGATCGGGATGGCGGTCTCGGAGCATCTTTTGCGTATCTAGGTAGCTGTGTCGTCTGATAGCTGTCGAGGGAATGATGTACAGGTCTTTCTCCTGATACAAGTCATGAATGAAGTGAAGTCCAGAACAGAGGGGAAGCTGCCAACCTTGTAGGCATCCATTAGACCCTTATGTACACCGACATACCAGGTAATGGTGTCTTTTATATCACGCGTCTCTTTTACCATGAAACCATCAACGACCTGCGTTGATGACAGTGCGGTATTGATCTGAAGTTCATACTCCTTGAGAGCATGATCCACCTCTGAATAACATGCCATTGAGCATGAAATAATAAGATAGAGAACTCCACTTACTGTAATTCTCAACAAGGTAGTATACGTGCGTGATACCAGACTGATGCAAACGAAACTACAAAACATAGTCAGAAGGGGGGAGACACTAAATGAATGAATGGATAACCTTTTGCTCATGAAACCGCTTGTCTTTGACGATACTGTAGTGCAGGTCTTTCAATGTTTTCCGTTCTACGATGGCATCGAGTACGACTTCATCCATCTCGTCGCCAAATCGATTTATCTTCCGCGCAATCCAGCAAGCGTCGGCCAGAACCAGCGCTCGCACCTCCACTTTGATGCCTCGAGCTTCTAGTTGTACTTTGAAATAGTCCCGATTCCGTTGATCTTTAATTTCCCGATTATCCATAATCAAAACAATCTCGTAAGTACGAGCTGCAAAAATAATCGGATCGAAAGGAGTGAAGTCCATTGGATCAACCAAGGAATTGTCAGTAGTTTGGGTTGGCGGAAGATTTGGAATGGCGTGGGAAAGTCGGGGTCGGTTACGCGTTTGAGTTCTTGTCGGATCCAATGGCGGCATAGTTTGAGTGCGTGCCATTGCTACAGGACGGCCACTGATCCTACTCGGACCTGCATCACTTTGAGACCTGCTCGCACCAAATGCACTAGGTGCAGCGCTTCTAGGAGGGGGAGGACGTATTGGGCTCCTAGACATTGATGCAACCCGACCAAAATTCAAATTCGACAAAGTCACATTGCTCGCCATTGCAGGTGGTTCATCTGCGATAAGGGCAGCTTTGGCTCTGGATGGAGATATTTGTGGGGTAGAAGGCAGAGAATATGTCCCAATTCGTTGCAGACTGGAACGGGAGGTTGTTGCCTGGTGGGGAGCATTGCCAAGCCTTTCCTCTATAGCCTTCAATCGTTCTTCAATGGAACTGACTGTCGACGTGCTTGCTTTGGAATACGATGTTGAAGCCTGCCTGCTAGGATCGAGAGAATACACTGTTCTACGTTGTCCAGCAGTTTCCGCAGATAACAGATCAGAAAGGGACGGTCGTGCAAATTCCTCTGGTGACAGTGTTGATATTGGGAAATAGTCGGTGTCGTCAATATCCATGAAGGCGGTAGCTGATATCCCATCGCCTGAAGGCTTGGAACCATAGAGCCGTTCTTGCATGGCGTATTCACGCCCCACCAGATATCGAACTTTATAGCCCAAGCGATGTGAATTTTCCCCGGAGTATCCTTGAATATGTGCTTCATTAATATTGCTCACTGGGTGGTCAGAGTTGTCTCGATGGCAAGTCAGTATATAGATGCAGCGAAAACTTCCTAATTAACACACCAAGATAACAAAACTGGAAGATATTATGCGGGACGGCGTCGGAATAATCGCCATCGGAGTAGGCAGGACGTTTGACAGGACGTGATCCCGAGGCATCTCGTGAACTCACAGATCGCTTCCCCGTCGAGGGTCCAGCGATTGGGCTGTCATCATCTCGCCGCTGTGCAGCCTTCTTGCTCGGTTGTCTGCCACGCTTTTTTGGCGTAAGCGGCAACGATGGAAATTCAGTGCCACCGACGTCGACACCGTTCTGCTCCATTTTCTTCTTGAGAAAGGAGGCGATTTTGGGGCCGATGTATTTGACTCGTGTGACTGAATGAATGTCAACAGGCTCTGGATATTCTCGTATACCTCTAAGCGCCTTTTCATAGGTGAAGCAAAAGTTTGAGTCTAGTGTGGAAATCAGATAGGATGCTACTCAAATACTTATACGTACCGGGCGTTTTCTCTTTCAGTTGCATCAGTTTTTCTTTCAGCCATCCTTCAAATAATGGATTGGCACACTGTTTTCGCGGAGGCATTGGGTGTCGCAGAGTGAAAGGCGGAAGTAAAAGGCCAGATTTTTAATTAGAACGCGTTGTTGTACAGCCACCATGTGCACCGTGTTTCACCGATTTATTTAAACTTTTTCGTCCGGGTCCAGCATCCAAGAGATGGCATCCTCGAACTACCCTGATATCTGGGAAATTTCTGACGATGACGACGACGATAGACGCCCTTTACAATCTTCATTGCCTTCAAGCAGTCAGCTCAACGGCAACACTGGTGGTGACGAAGTTGTATTGATCACTGACACCGACTCTGACGACGACGAGCCACCCCCTTCAAGCCAAATTCCTTCCTCATCTCAGCCTCGCCCATCTTCACCGCTTACCATCGATTTGACGCGAAGCGACGACGAAGAACGTTATTCCGATGATGACCGCGATGACCTCCCCACCTTTCGTGCCACTGCATCCGACGACGACGATAGTGACTCTGATTTACCGCCGCCAGAGCTTCTTTCCCAGTCGCGTAAGCGGAGGCTCTCACAGAGCACAAGTACCGACGCCAACGGTTCTCCTAGCAAAAAAAGCAAATCTCAATCATCGTCACCCATTAAGGTTCGTCTCTATCGTATCCATGTATTGCTCTTTATTGACGAAGCGTTCTAGATGCCTCTAGCGTCTGCATCATCTAGCCCAGACAAGGCTCAGACTAAACCAAAACGCAAGCGTAGAACGTCTCAAGAGCGGGTGAGCCCTCTCTCCCCCTCACTTCAGGAGTAGACACCCAGCGGACCTATATTTTTATAGCGCGACGAGGAACGGGAGAAAGAGGCGCGTAGAGCTCAGAAAGAAAGAGAACGCGAACTCAAGAAAGCTGCTCAACTTGCTGCGAAGGAACAAAAGAAACAGGAAAAGATCGAAGCTGCCGCCCTGCTAGCCCAGAAGAAAGCAGAAGCCGCTGCCATGAAAGATGCTAATAAGCTCCAGAATAACAAAAGGGAAATGGTGAAAAACAGTGTCCCTCATTCTCTCCGATTCTTTCCAGTACGCGCATCCGGAACTCCTGCCGTCCCTCAAGGAGAGACTTCGTGGACTCGGCGGCACTCTGTTATTTGGACGCCAGCTGCTCCGGGACCATCACACGATACAGTGGAAGATGCGTTCCAATAAGCGATACAATGTGGAAACGAGAAATTGGATCCCTTGCGAGGAGTACGAGGACTTGCAGTCCACGGCGTTACTCTACATCACCGGCGCGAATCTGGTGCATTTGGTGCGCACAAAGACGTTAGTGCAGACGGTCAAGGATTTTCGCAATGCCCACGGTAACCAGTCTAGACATCACCAGACTTTTATCATGGTCGAACGCCTGGAAAAGGAGAGGCAACGAAATGACGTCCACGAAGCTCTTGCAAGTTTGAATATTACTTGTCACACGCATCATGTCTTTGTTGAAAGCGTTGAGGAGGCTGTCGAGCGATTGTACAACATCACTGCCGATATAGGTTAGTGGACTGGTTCCATCTCCCACCATAGTGGACTCACGCACAATGTGTAGGTATCAAGCCATACAAGTGCGTAGCATCAGCAACAGAACCCTTGAATATCTGACCAAACATTTCGGTAGATTGATCGAAAGGTCACATCTCCCTTTTTGTGCAGATTTCAAGCAAGTTGAGACTGGAAAGACCTTCAAGGAAACTTGGAACCGGATGCTCTGCCAGATTCCTGGCGTGACATTTTCGAGCGCACAAGGTATTGTACATGAGTATCCCACAGTTTCGAGTCTCTTTCGAGAGTACGCCGAGAACCCAGCTGCTGGCGAGCTTTTACTCCAGGATTGTGTGGTAAGCAATACGCACTTGATCCTCCAGTTATCCGTTAATTCTTTTGATGTAGGTTCGTGCACGCGTCGACGGGGTGCAGAATGCTCGAAGGTTGAACAAGGCACTTTCAACCAGAGTTCACGCGGTAATGTGTGGGGAGGATGAGTTGGCACTAGTCGCTAGAGGTGCTTAGATGAGCCTCATCTTTCTATTTACTTACCATATTTCGATCATACCCTTCTTCACCCGTTTAACACTTGAAGCTTGAGTTTTTGAATCTGTATACCGGTATTGACCTGACGATGGACAACCTTCCTACGCAGGTCAATCACCCGCTGTAAATACTGCTATTAACGTAGTATTGAAGGAGGCAAAAGGCGAGGAAGAATGTTCTCCCCTCACAATCCCTAGAACTAGGTCAAAACTGGGTAAGAAAGCTTTCCAGTATCCACATCCGCATTCGAGTGTCTCCATCCATCGAATACTGTTCCAGAGCAGGGCAGGATGGGTACGGGAGCATCAGGATTGCACCCATTGTCGGTTGCCAGGCTGCGCAACCGTAGAGGAATATGAAATTATAGCTAGGACTGCTACGAACGGGCATATCGTTTCCTGGGATTATAATTCTGCGATCTCCTAGGATAGAGTCCGTCCGTATGCTGTCCATCGCCGTGATGATTCCACGGTACCCTTGAACCCGATACAAATGCTTGCTCCTCTTCCTCAATTTCGGGAGCAGGAATGACGACACGCATGTAATCCCAGGCGGCGCGCGCAGTACCCTTTCCCCAGGCCTCGTTCGCCTGACGTTCGATCTCCTTGATAACACTCGCCCTGAAGCCTGCACCACTGGCCGCTGGGAACCGACTTCCGATATGATTAAGGACCAGTTTCTGAGCATCGATGGTGCGCGCAAATGCACCAGCAAGGTCGGGTGTTGAGTGACCACGAGCGAAAGCGGTGCTCGCGACCGTCTCCTTGGAGCGTTTCGCTTTGGCGTCGATGTGGGAGTCAATATGGGCGTCAGTAGATTCATGAACGAGGAGAGGATGTTGGAGACGAAGTAAATCGGTTAATGAGTGGGACGAGGGATGTTGCATCGTAAGTATCTCCAAGAATGACTATTTTGCGGTACGGGCTAACAGACTCTCGGAGGATGAAGCCAAGGCATGGATCTGTAGAAGAGGTGAGATCTAATTTCCTATGTTTGATTCGTGCGGTGCACCTCGATGAGCAATGGGTCCTGCATCAACACAGATATCGCCATAAAAACCAGGTCCTGTGGTAATTTCTGGCCAAAAGCCACCTTCAGACACTATGTCACGACCGGGAGCCTCACTGGAATGTAAGTCCTCTGTTGTACATGGTGTCACGGTGTCTTCTGGGGTGAGCAGTTCGTGGACAACGTATTTATCGTTGGACCGACTGAGAGTCATTTTCATATTCAGCCGGACAAAATTTCGAATGCCTGCTGGACCATATATTTCGACTGTAGGATCAGGCTTTGGATGATGCTGCGATTGTGCCGTCGGCAGAGGTACAGGATAGAGCACGTTACGCAAGAAGGTAATGATTCCCATAACATGATCGGCATGCATATGGGTGATGAAGATCTTGTTAACGCGAGTGACCTTGAGGTGCAGGGCGTGTTCGTAGGTGACCCGCTGGTTGTGGAACTGACGCAATGTTCCTTCGGCGCAGTCGACCATCCAAAGGCTTCCGTTATTGCAGACGCTGGCGACGAGAGACGAACAGTTGCGAGTGGGAGAAGGACCGCCGCCACTGGAGGTGCCCAGGAAGGTGACTGAGCTGAAAGAAAGGTCATTAGGTGAAGAAAGATCAGGCAGGTACCAAGAACATACAAAGCGCGAGCCATCTGCTCGTCGTTGAGCACGATGACGGGATGATGAAAGGGCTTGAAGGAATGGAATGGTCGGACGTGGGAAAGGCGCGCTACCAGTGAACGAAAGAGAAGCATAACGCGCACGTGACTATGCAGTTCGGATTTTACGCTTTAACCACCAGCTAGTACGCTCTTTGTTGGCTTCCAGGCCAGTAAGGCTTAGGATTCCAATCCCGCCATTCTCTATGCCCGCCACTCGTTTCCCGCCTGCCCCGCCGTCGTCGCCCGCCATGATGCGCCCTAACGTCATCGTTTTCCCTCCAGAGGAAGACAGGGAGGAGCCTTTTTGCTGCTACGATCCCGACGACCCTGTCGACCATGACTCTCACATCCTAGCCGATGCTATCCACCGTCTCGTTCCTTCCCACAACACTGCCGAGCTCCTTCTCGAAGACCTTGACGTTGATGACGCCGACTTTCTCGTCGGTAATGACCCTGAAGACGACTCCGAAATATACGAAGTCGTCCGTGTCAGCCGTCACCAGTCGCGCAGTCCACCATTGCCTCAGCCACCACCGCCCCCACCACACCAGCAAAAACGGTCCAAGACGTCCTTCTTCAAGGCAACCAAGGCATTAATACGGCCCAAGGCCCAGCCGGTGCTCCCCCCTCCCCTGCGTACGCGGCAAAGCAATGCGTCATTATACAACGAGTTCCCTCATCCGGATGATGAGGAAGAAGAGAATGTCGACTGTCGCGCACCGTCACCTTCACCGACAACCCGTTCATACATGACTAGACGCCTCAGCATGCTCAACCTCTTTTCCTCCTCTTCACCCAGCCTGCCTTCCATGTCTCGTACTTCAGATTCATCCTCGTCTTCATCGTCTGGGCCAGGTACCCCTGTTGATACAGAACCCAGGAGGAGTACCTCCATACTCAACTTGCGCAGGTTCCCGTCATTCCGGAGAGAGAAGGGCAGTGCAAGGAGCAGGGCGAAGGAGAGTGTGTCGGCACCGCAAATCTATCAGCCACCACCAGCTCCCCCAATTCTTGGCGCGGATACCAGCATCGAGATGCGACTAGATTCGCTACATTTTGACGACCTATCCTTTGATCCAGACCGATTTTGATATCGATTACCCTTGCATTCCTTTCGCTTTCTTATGTATGATTTAAGTTCATCACGACTCGTTACATACATGTCATTATCCTACTATTAGTACTTTTCAGACAAAACTGGCACGCTATTCGTCAGTTACATCGTTTTTGAAATAAAGTTGTAACTCACTTAATGTCACCAATGATGTCCAGCCTGTGAACGGATGACTTCGTCGTCCTTCACCTGTCAAAGCATCGTACTGCTCCCATACATATCCTGTACGCTGGTACTCCTGAAAAAGACAGTGTCAGCTCCTCTCTGTCAAGATATGTAACAGCATACCTTGAAAACATTATCCACCACGTTTCGCCTCAGCTCCTCATATATTTCTCGTGCTTGCGCCTGGTATGGTCCTGGCCGTGCCGCGTACGTCTGTTACTTGTGGAGTCAGTCAAGGAAGCTGATAAGATAAACATCTACCGGCCTGATGCAAAGCTCTCAAGGCTAAGAAGTTCATCTGCACCCAAATTGGTCCCTTCCAGTAATTCTCTCCTTGTCCAAATTCTGGATGGCTGGCGGACAAGCTTCGAAGGCCATATGGAGACCATAGATGCTCAGGATCCCGAACGAGATCGAGAATCTTGCCAAGGTGAGGGGAGTCCACAGGCACGAGTTCCAGCAAGAATGGGAATAGTGACAAGTATCCCCGATGACAAACGTGCATCGATTCATCTTCGTCATCTACGGACGTGTCGCAGTACATCCCTTGCTCCTCATTCCAATGCAGGTCATCGATGTTTCCCACAATGTTCTCGTAGATTTCACCGAACGACAAGGCATCATCCATCTCGCCAACAAATTCGGCGATTTCTTTCATTGTACGTGTGAAAAAGCCCATCCATGACATAAGATCCAGGTGAAGCTCCCCGGCATGCGGTGCACTACGTGGATAGTCATCCATCCCTGACGTCAGAACGTGGTTAAGGTTGCGACCCCTCCATCGGTACGCCTCAGTTCGCGAACGGGCTTGCCTAGCATACGGTTTGATAAGCCCGCGCTGCGTGCGCCGGAACCAGTCGTAGTGCCGTCTGAGGGGCTTGTAGATTGATTTCAAGAATGGCAGCGCAAATGCGGGTCTACGAGCCTCAGGGGTATCATCTCCTCGGATATCAAGCGGTGTCTGCTGCGTATCCATACCCAAATCAGCAAGGGACGGGCCGGAATCAGCAGCTTTGACACGGTTAATGTAGGAAGTGATAGCCATGGTAAGTGTAGGCGGGTTCGCATACTTTGGGTATTGCGTTTGGAACTCAGGTGGGACTTTACTTCTGGCCTCCTCGCCAAGAATCTGTTCTCTTCCCACCCAGCCATCGTCGTCGATCAGGTCGATCCAGCTCTTGAGTATTTCCAGTGCTAAAGCATCATCCCATTGTCCGATATGTAATAGATGGAAGCCTTCATCCCAATAAAACCCGCGAGGGAAGAAACTGCGACTGGGCGTAGCAGTGAGAAGAGATTTGGGTTCAGTAAGTTTGGGACCACGCTGTTCCGGAGGGATATCGTCATCAGAACTTTCATCATCTTCGTCCCATTCAAAAGAGAAGGATCTGTCGATGATGGAGGTGCCATGGAAATATCCTACACCTCCTATCAAGTTGGCTGTGATATCTTGTGAAAAGGCTTCAAGTTCAGGTGTGGATGGATACGAGGAAGGAATGGGGAAGGCACGAGAGAAGCGTGAAGAATACGACTTGGTTAATGAGGGAATGCCTTGGTCCAGAACGGCAGCTATAGGCGTGTAAATGCTTCACATACGTGTCAAAGGGAGAAGAACTTACAGGTAAGCTTTTGGGTAACAGATGCACTATCAAAAAACACATCAAACTGGAAAGGCCCCGTAAATGTTTTCTGGACAGCGTAAAGGTTGGAGCCACTGTAGACATCATCGGGGAGCTGAAGAATGAAAGAAGGGTCGGGAAGTCCAACCGCCGGGTCTGCATAAGGTGTAATAGCATCTTGGGCTCGTTTGATCATGGTTTGGAGGATAGAATCGCGTGCCTGCCAGATATGTCCAGAAGGAATAGGTTGTCCTAGGTAATGGGTCTTGCCGGCACGAGCAGAGAACGCGGATGCATGAGGACCCTCAGTGATGTATGAATTATCAGGACCTATAAGCAATTAGGACAATGAGTAAGTCAATGGAAGAGATCTACCGTCAACTATGCGAATTGTGAACTCGTCCAACTCGGGTGTCGATCCAGAGAATTTGACTTCGCCATCGAGTCCCTGAAAATTATAAGTATACATGCACTGGATATAGTGCAGATGAAGACCGACATCTTCATCTTCATCTGTGTCCATATCCTAGGCCTCCTAGGCCCTCCAATCCGAGATACCAAATGAGGGAAGGGCGTGAAATTGCGGCTATTGTAAGTCAGGACATGGGAGAATGTACGAGGACAAGTCTACTTACAAGGATCGATGGGTTCTCCTTTGACACGAGCCGCCCAACTGCCACCATTTTCACCCCCGCTAACCTTGATGAACTCTGTTGTAATTCGAACATTGTTGAGTGGATCTTCGATAGTTTGTACGCCGCCTTCGCGAGGGTCATAGACATTCCATGTATACGAATGTAGTTGGTCATCCTGAGAGCATGCATGACGTGCTCCTGCAGGATTTTTGTATCAGTAGGACGCAGAGGAAATAAGCAAGACAAGACGCACGAGAGATTGACTGGTAATCATGAGCACCGAACCAAATGAGACCAGTCATAAGGCTTTGGGGTATTTGTGGACGCATTCCAAAGTAAAGGTTGGGTCTGTATGCACCCCAAAGAGTGTCACTGTCGCCTGATGCGGCGACCAGCACTGCGAGGAGCGGCAACAACCATGGCATACGCATTTCGCAGCAGCTGTACAAACTGTAAGGAATGTGTTTAGTCAACAATAAGTAACGTACTGTATTGTCGTTCTTTCGGGTCAGGTTCAACAAGCTATATGTCCCTGGGTATTTCCTGTATATTGTACGTGTCGTTGAGAGCAAGCATAGGCTGCGTAGCTTCGTCGCGAACGTGGACGTGGATCACGTGGTTCGGGAGTACGTCCCGGGTCCCGGTCGTTCTCATACAGTAACAATTACCTTGCTTACCTTGCTGGCCCGGGCCCCTTGTGGGCCAAAGAAATCCTTCATAGCACAGTGATACAGTACCAGCCGTCTTACTGTAATATTTTCATGTGTCAACGCTGTCAGGTGTTGTCTCGGTAAGGATCTCAGCACGCTGTCTCATGACACAGCCTATAGATAGATCAATATCACACCAGCGGCTAGATTCACACTGCCTGTTTCCTTCGAATATAAAGCTGAGGTCTTGATTTACCTTCCTACAAACATGGCCAGCATCATGGACAACACTACCGTCGTTGGGGACCGTGACACCCTTCGCAAGGATCAAGAGTTCTCACTCCAGTCAAAGGATTTCAAGTCTGCTATCAGCCATGGAAAACAGAGACAGCAGGAACACCATTTTGCAACTGCGCTCGATTACATGGAAGAGGACAGGCCATTCTTTGTTACGATAGGCAAGGACGGTGTAATTGCCGCACTTCAGAAGCTCGATAACCAGCTTGTACAAGTGAGTCTTACTTTCATTATGTAGGGTCTGCCTCTTATATTTCATCCAGGCTGGTCGTACCAATATCCTGTCCAAGAAGGTTAGCCTCTTACTATCAGTCCACATACATATCGATTGCTTATGCCGTTAACGCAGACACCAGTCAGCTGGATAGGCAGGGAAATTACCCCCGGACAGATTGGAATGATCAACCACGGTGGATCACCAAAGATTGTGACTCGCTCTGGTCGTTATCCCGGTTTTCCTTTACGAAACTGGTGGGCGCGGACATGGTGTGGGCCCAGAGGACGTAAGTACTCTACCAGTTTTGTCGCACTATCTCACCTTCCCCTTCATAGTTTCGGATACTGTCATCGAATTCCAAGGTCTCACCGTAGTTCAAGTTTCTCAGAACCAAGCAGCGGTCATTTCTGACCCTCAAAACCATATATTTGTCATCAAGAATGCGGGTTTTGTTGCATTTGCCATCGAGGGAACTTACGATGTTTTGTCGATTGTCGACCAGACTCACTTGCCCAGTTCTGTTAAGGACCGCGTGACTGGCAGCGTTTTGGGTTCGACCCATGAAGTCAAAATGAAAAGCAAAATCAATGATCGTGAGGAGAGGGACTTTGTGGTTGCTCTTTTGTGAGGACCATAAACTTTGACACGAGTTGAAGAATCCTGACTCATTTGTTCGTTCCCTAGCTTAAACATTCCTGCAAATAACTGTGCAGTTCTGCAGCGAGGTGATGACCTCGAGTTGTTAGGCGCAGGACAATCTGTCATCACCAACCCCAGTGTGACTCTGCGTGGCTTGTACACCCTTGGAGAAAATCAGCTCGAGATGCCGACCAAAGATATGTACGCGCTTTCCATGTTTGATTCGCATTGTACGGCTCTCATGGTTTCAATTAGCTTCACGCGGGATCAAGTGCCCGTCAGCTTGACAATATATCTCAAGTGGCAGTTGACGGAGCCATTGAAGCTCACTACACACGGCTACAATACTCCTTATGATGCTCTTCGGGACAAGACGCAATCTATACTCACCCAGATTGTCGCTCACTTGGACTATTCTGCAATGGCAAGTAACGAATTACTTGCGAGTTTGATGGTAATTTATAACTGGATGTCCGTACAGGTCAAACAGCGCTCGTTTGGACCGGATAATTTAGAGGATGGAAGTGATCCTTCTTCGGCTTTCCTTGATGCCCTAAGAACGCGTGCCATGGACGAAATGCATCAAGCTGCACTTGAATATGGTATTATTTTGAAGGATCTTGGTATGCTGCTTCCTTCCTTTGGTCATACGAGCTCTCACATACTGGGAATCAGCCGTCATTGACAGGCAATTCAAGGGTGACATCGCATCAACGATGGATAAACTCACGACTCGTGCTTTGCAGGCCCAGGTTGAAGCAGCTGTGAGTAATATGCTCTATTCGGGGCTTGTCTGCGACTGAAATCACTTCCAGAATGTAGATAGGGAGAACAGCAACAAAGTCAAGCAAGAAGAAGGCGCCCTTTCCGTCACACGGATCAAGGCGCAGGCCCTGAATACCCAAGCAGACGCAGATGCCTATAAAGTTATCGCGGCGGCTAAGGCCCAAGCACAACGTATGCGGATTGAAGCGGAAGCCGCCGCTGAAGCGACCCGCATGGCTGCAGAGGCCGATGCTGCGGCCATTCGAATTAAGGCAAAGGCTGATACCTGAGGTTGTGGATGAATTTGCCCGACAGATGGAATTCCGACGAATGGAGGTTTCTCGGGTGAAAGCCTTTGGCTCGAAAACCGTTTTTGTTCCTTCAGAGGGATTAGGAACCCAACTGGGAAATGCGATGGCTGTGGGTATGGCCGCCAATATGGGAGCTAGCTCGAACCAGATCTCCCGTTAAAGCTCCTTTAGGCCTTGCATTGATTTTCGACCAACATTGTACAATATTTCTTATGGATACGCAATCGCCTCCTTTCTTATGACTATCAGGTGTATTACTTGCTCAGAATTATACCCATATTATCATGTCGGAACCGTTGATCTGAACCACAAATGAGTCAACCGGCGGCAGGCGCTAAGCAACCAAAAGCGGACCACAGGAACGGGTTGTTTGCTCGTGTTGTTCTGGGTTACGGTGAGGTCCCCTCGTGGCTTGGTCCTTCCTTGTCTGCTTTGACCACCAACCACCACCACAGCTTTGACTTTCTGTATATTCAACCTCTACCCTCATCTCTTCGTATCGCCGTCACCATCGTGTACCAACATGGTCAGATCCAAGTTCAAAGACGAGCATCCCTTTGGTGCGTAGCCAAGCATCGCCTGTTTCATTCGTTGACTCATGCTCTGTCGCAGAGAAGCGCAAGGCAGAGGCTGAGCGTATCCGACAGAAGTATCCCGACCGCATACCAGTCAGTCCTCTGCTTGTATCACAGCTCGTTATATCTGTGGCGTTAATACTGGCCGATCTTAACAGGTGATATGTGAGAAGGCAGATAGGACAGACATCCCTACCATCGACAAGAAGAAGTATCTTGTCCCTTCTGTGCGTTTATCGATATATCGTTCTCGCATTCCTTGCTTGACTTCGAGATAGGATCTCACTGTTGGCCAATTTGTATATGTAATCCGCAAACGCATTAAGCTGGCACCAGAGAAGGCCATCTTCATCTTTGTCGACGAAGTATTACCGCCGACAGCTGCCCTGATGAGCGCTATCTATGAAGAGCACAAGTGCGTCCTATCAGTCCATTCCTAGGGTTAGGTATTCAACCTTTTACAGAGATGAAGACAATTTCCTATATGTCAGTTATTCAGGCGAGAACACATTTGGCAGTGAAGGATGGCTAGAGCTACCGTCTGAAGCATGATCTTGTTTCTCTCCGAAGGATCTTAGAGCATAGGAACATATAGTGGCATGACGTCTGGATCGGTGGGCTGTCCCGACCTGTGGTCTGAGGTCTCCGTGCATCGGTATTCCGTCGATTCTTCGTGTTTTGCTCCCCCTTTTGTACTTTAATATGACCCCCGCCCTTTCATACATGAATTGGATTGTATTGATGAATAGTATGCTATAGCTCGAGCCGTAGTCGGATTGATCTCTGAGATGCTATTAGTATTAGATGTTTGCGTAGGTTCTCGGTACATTTTGAATCGATACATTTGTCCATTTCGACCTTAAGCGTTTTCGGATTCCTTAGGCGGCTTTAGTCATTATGCACTTCTCTATGAACCTTTAAACATTGGCTGGCAGTCAACTCGCATGGAACCTCAGCGGTGGTCTATGGGACTAATTCACGCTCAAAGAAGCGTTTTATTCGATTCATTTCCAATTCCTTGACTTACACACCTTTCGTGGGACTTACTATATTGAAACACCATGCTGACAGAGCTGCTGAGTACATGGTCTGAATGAAATGTTTCACCCGTTGCTTGTTCGGAGATTGCAAGTTATGTCGCCACCATGTCGTCTAGGGATTGACGACTGATGTCGCAACAACTGATGCACGGCATCATAAAATAAAGCAAGATGGTGAGAACAGATGAATGCCCGTATGTATGCAATGTCCTTGATGTTAAGTATGTTAATAATGCAGATCGTCCGAATTCCTGTTGCCCAAATTTGATGAAAAGCCTGGCCCATTGGCTAATGTGCCTCCCTTGTTAGATCATCGGTATGCCTCCAACTGCGCAGCAGCGTCTGCTTAATATTTTCCAAGCCACTTCTCGTCATCTTCCGCGTGCTTGTACTCCGTCTGACCCTTGCAAAGTTCTGCGGCGGTGCGACGGTCACCAGGAGCGAACGGTTGGTTCCACGGGGTGAAGACGAAGCTGGCAGGGTCCGGAAGGGGGTGAGCCGTAATCTCCTGTAATTCTCGTTGTATAGCCAGGCAGAATGAGTCGAGGTCAAGGTCATTAAGGTCGTAGTTAAAAGGATTTTCACTACAGCGACAATAAGCATGACGGCTGATGAACAAGAGAAAGTACACATACATCTCAGAACCAATTTCAAGGAATCCGAGAAGGAGGAAGGATGCAAAGGCTGTGGCCGGAATTGTCAGGTAGTGGAAGGAGTCAAAGACTTGGAACTATAGAAACCGGGGTTGGTAAGGTGGACGAGAACAAAGTTGAGTATAACGAACCGGCAACAAGAAGAGATAAATCCAAAGCGACATGCGCAAATGTGCCTGGTATGCAAATGGAAGCGGTGTCGTCGCGATTCGTCCCAGGTTGTTCATCGTGTCCTGGAGCATGCCGATGTTGTTCGTGATAGCAGCCGCAATGGCAGGTTGGAGAAGGCCATTGCGCATAAGGACTACACTTCGGTCAATCTAGGCAAGAGACGGGTCGAAAGAATAACATACAAGCCGAGTAGGTAGACAGGTAAATCGTGATCTCTAGAGGAACATTGCTTTCTTGGAGCTGCGGCTTGATTTTCCTTCCTAAAGCGTTCCTCGTGGCACCTCTTACGCTGTCGATTCTGCGAGAGAATATCTTGGCGATCCACTTGAAGAAAAGGAGTATCGGAATATAGTCATAGAGCGTCACTTTGGGGGGATTCCGCGCAGGCTTGAGAGGTCGGTGACTATGGACAGAGGCCAGAGCTTTTTCGGGATCGAACGCCTTCGTTTTAGATTTTGTAGACCGCTTGCCGAGGGACTGGAGCCATGATGATGATGGAGCTGGAGAGAGACTAGGACGGTCTTTAGATTCCGGTGTATCGTCACCAGAGGGCTCAGGAATGGTGGAGTGGACATTATGGTCATAAGGATGCTCTCCGTCTTCGGAAGCCTGCCAGAGAGGAAGCATCTCCGAACTGGTTCCAGTGGCCGTAGTAGATGCAAATCGTGGTAAGAAGCAGATGAGAGGATAGAGGTCTTGATAATAGACGCCGTTCTCGCCTCGGAGAAAGTGCTGATTGATCATTCGTAGTAAGGAGGACCGCTAGATAATACATGTAACAGCAGGCGTACCTTGATTGCGACGGAAAAGGCTTGCACCAAGTTGATCATGGTCTTTTTCTCGATGACACTCTCCAAAGTAGTCTGCACTTTGTTCTGCCCCTTGTCCAGTCGTTCATTCGGAACGTGTATCCAGATCTTAAGCGGCAAGTTCAGTACCGGTAACTAGTTGCAAGCTGACAGGAATCACCATCTGAGCTAGATTCCTTGACACGATGGAGATGTTTGCCCACATCTTTCTTCCGTCTTGGTACCTTTTCAAGCGACGTTATATACAACAGGGACTGACAAGTGGCAGGGGGATTATGAATACCTTTCATAGGCAGTCGATGTACGGAATGAAATGACCAGACCGAGGACTGTACCCAGTACAGTCAACAGTTGGGGAGAAATGGCCAACGAGTGAGGCGTTTTAATGGACACGAAGGTCACCACTAGGAAACCGAATGTTGAGTAACACAAAGGTCTCCAAAGAAACTATCTTACTCGTAGCAACGGCAGTGAAAAACAGCACTTCGGGCCATATGTCGTTAATGACGGTGGCATTGAACTTTTTGACAGTCCATTTTCCGCGCAAGACAGGATTGTAGGCAACCATTAGAAGAGATTTTTACAGCTCAAGCCCTGGCGGCTGCGGCTGGGAGGGATAATGAATGTGGGAGATAAGAGAAAAGAAAGACGTAAAAATTAAGCTTGGCGGAACGGCATTTTATACGAGCGTCGCAGTCTGATGATTTCTGGGCGCGATCAGGGTGAAAACATGCATCGTGATTTGGCCAGACCCGAAGTTCACAAACAGAACATGTATGCACGAACCCGAAAACAAATGGAAAGCCCCTCGTTGGATCAACCTTGTTCTAATATCGGATAGATTCAGAAAAAAACAGTGGAACAGTAGTTTTGTGGTACTCTTGTAGCCGCAATGCAGCAATGTCAATGTTACAGTTATTTACCGGTCAATGAAACAGCAAAATTGGATATTTACTGTAGGTTCCAATTGGTTGGGAATTTTGACTAGGTTTGAATGTAAGAATGTGTAATACTATGCAACAATAAGATACAGTAAAAAAAAGATGCTCAAAGGTGCGGGTACAAGTCCGCTTTCACAGCATTATTGTGGCGTGGGTATTCTGGGCTATTTTGAGTCATTGAAACAGTCCGGCCCATGTACCCAAACCTCATTAGTCAGCAACTTGGAATCACTCGAGTGCTATAAGAAAGCGAGATCTCCTTTCCAGTCTCCCTCTGATATACAGCCTCGAAATCTTTGCAGATTTTTCTTGCATCTTTCTGAGGAGCACCGGGTAGTTTGGCAAGCTCATTCTTGTGTGCAATGACTGCCTTTTCCATTAGCTGGTCATGGCATTTGCGAGTAATCTGGCACTTTTTCAAGTTTGATTTAGCATGTCCAGGCATAGTAAAAAATTGAGCAAGAGGAGAAATAAAATTCGGAGGCAATGGGGCAATAATAGGCGCATTGGACTGTCAGACTGTCCATCAAAGGCAATAGCTTGGCAGAACCACACTTTTATCTATGCCCTAGACTCCTCAGATAATGGGCGCCTGGTCTCAAACTTGTCATACAGGTTCTTCAGAAGGTCATTAACATTATTGAGGCCTTTGTGGGTGATTACATTCAGATGGAGGACACACATTTCTGGGTCAGATTTTGAGTTCATGAGAAAATAGATATTTTTAGAACAGAAGCCTCAATTTCTCGGAATATTATCCATGTCACATATGAAGAATTACTGTAGAACATGAAGATACAATACACATCAGCAATGCAATACAAATTAATGATGAAGGATGAAGGGAGGGAGAGCAAGAGGCTAAGTGTTTCATTGAACCATGGTGTTGCAATGACCGGTAAATAACTGTACAGAGTAAAGACATGAGTCTGGCCCTGGCCCTGTGTCAGATGATGGTTGTCAATAGCAACGTGACTGAATCCATGCGGAAAGCGAACGGTTTTTTCCAAGTTTCCTCAGCAATGATGTGTGTACCCAGCACCTCAATTGCATGGAAATGCCCGAGCTCGCATGCTAGTTGACTGGTATCACAGGCATCACTCTAGCTTCATCAAGCTAAAGATTTAGAATCGCTACTGCCGAAGCTGTGTACATTTATCTAGCTTATTGACAGTTCGGTCAAATCGTTGTTCTAGTGCGGATCTTATGGGCTTCATCTATCTCAGTTCTGCTATAGAGTACTGGTGTTTTGCATCGAGTAACGTTGCTATGCTGTAAAGATGGTCCCTATTTTCAATGGCAGTCTCGGGCATCTATCATGCGTTTGCATCGACTTTCTGACGAGGACAACAGACGCCAAAACCCTGGACTGGCTCAGTCTGGCTGTAAGTGCGCCTGTAGATGCACTTGCGGACATCCTTATTCACAAGGCCCGTTAAGAATCAATGGATGCCGACAGCTGATATATTCTTTTATGTAACGCGCTGGCCGCTCTTTCAGCCAAGAGTGTCAGAGCAGCGTTCGCACTAAAGATAGGTGATGTTCATGAGAGTCGAACTTCACGCATAGTTCAACGGAGACAGCTTAATCTTCCAAGGCAAGGTAACTGCGTGGAGAACCTTTAATGGAGAGTTTCCTTGTGACCAGCGACTTCTATCAGAAGTTAGGTCCGACTGGGTTTGACTGCTTCCATCTGAATGTGAACAAAGATTCCTCCCCCCCCTGTGACCATCCGCTTATACCATCTGCAGAGGCTACGCTTCCGTCGTACGTTACAGGTCCCATATTCTGTAATAGCTCGGGGATTGCTTTCTAAATACTTCATTTCAATCGGTAGCTCGCGGAGATGGTATTAGTCGGTTTTAATATGTCCAGTTGCCTTCAATGTGTTGGAACTGGTATGTTGGACGGTAGAAACGCTGTTGATATCTGGTCCTATGCAAGTATACCGGCCCGAATATCTAACATTCCTCATGCTCTTAACCCCGGTTTTCAAGATTTCGCCCCGGCCTTGACACAACCATAAGACTTATCAAATCTGAAGGAAAATAGAGTAACGACTTCTCACCCAGAAATTGTCAGTTTTCCACGATGACCACTCTCCTCGACCAAGTACGCGCGCTTCTCACTGTCGACGTCGACTCCATGAATCCAACCGTGGCGAATCGGCACACCAGCGATAGCGTCAAATTCGTAGACATGACTTCGAATCAGGCGATTGTAGCCGGAACTGCGACCCCAGAACTACTCGCAGAAGCGGTGAAAGTAAGCGGCGGTGGGAGCGTGGAACGAGTATTGGATGTTTTGGTATGTTCCTTGATCCTATAATCATGAGATGCCTTCCACCCACTCACTAGAATGATCAATACATAGACCGTCCTTCTAGCGAAACGAGTACTTCCATATCTCTCCGGGAATGTGCACGCTCAAACAAGCCCTAGTGTTGGCTATAGTGTGGAGGGAACCGTAAGCGAAGCACGAAGAATCGTTGCAACATTCGAGGAGCTAGGTGTTCCACGAGCGAGAGTTTGCATAAAAATACCAATTACACCCGAGGGAGCACAGGCATGCAAAATCCTTCAAGATGATGGTATCCAGACCCTTGGAACATGTATCTTCGGGGTGGAGCAAGCCGTCGCAGCAAGTTTGGCAGGCTGTGTGTACCTCGCACCGTACTTCAATGGTAAGGGCAATGCATATCTTGATTAGCCTATCTTAATGACCACTTGGACGATAGAACTGCGTGTGCATTTCCAAGAAGGACTATGGAAAGCATACAAAGTGGGCGTGAAGGGGGAGGAGCATCCAATGATTGATGTGGTACGGGCGATCGTAATGGTTTATAAAACTAAGGGAACCAAGACCAAAGTCATGCCAGCGAGGTGCGTATTATTATGTAGCTGATGAAGTGCACCAAGAGCTTATCGATAACGCAGTATTGTTACTGCTCAAGAAGTGATCGCACTCGCATCTCTGCAGCCCGACCACATGACTTTGTCGGGTGCCGTACTCGATGAACTGGCTAGCCTTCCTCCGGTACCCGTCGACCACTTCGATGATCTTATGAAACGCGAATTGACAGTCGAGGAGTTAAAAAGTGCGTATGTCGCTGTCCTGTGGGACTATCCTAACCGCATATACAGCTATCGAACGAGATTACTTAGCAGACGGCAGTAAGTTGTTGAGGGAGGCATTTGATAGGAATGCGGAAACGGCGAGAAAAATGAAAGATGCACTGTCCATCTTTGCGGACTGCGAGCAAAGGACAAAGACCAGCATCAAGGCGCTTTTGGTGTAATTGCGTTTTCAAGGGCAGGAATGATATGCTTCGTGAACGAGTCTATGATGTGAGTAAGATATTCTGGAGTGTTCTGGTCCTGCATAGTCCCTTCTGGGACGTCAAGGGTGAATGAAGGGGCGTACAATGGGAAAAAGGGATGGTCGTAGGGAATTTCAGTACTAATGGGTAATGGATCAGATAACTATATGTATGTTAGTGCCTAGGTTGACGTGAATTGAAGAAACTCACAGCGACAGACGTCAGATACGCCCAGGCTCTAGCTGCATTAGGGGAGTTGTAGCCTCCTCCGCCGAGTAAGAGCTTTTTCCCCGGAAAAGTCGTGAGAATACGATGAATGTAATAGCCCATTGATCCAGGCTGGTCAAGTGAGAGGGACCAGTTGAATATCGCATGGGGATCCTCCGATAACGCGTCAACGCCGCATTGAATTATAACATGTGTTGGCGCAAATACTTCCGCGACCTTTTGCACAAGGGGAAACACGGCCATGTATGTTGAACATGAGGCACCAGGTTGTAGAGGAAGAGAGAGCGTAAAGGGGTCAAATGACGGGTCAAATTGAGTGGGGAGCTGGAGCGGTGCAAGAGACGAGACGGGGAAGAACCCAGGCGAAGCATGGTGAATACTGAGGGTTAGGACCGAATTTTGCAAATAAAACGCCTGAGAAACCGCGTCGGAGAAATGCAGGTCGAGGTCAATGTACATGATACGGGGACGAGGGTGGTGAATCTCCTTGACGCGCCTCATGGCAAGGATAGCCAAGACGCAGTCAGCTACGTAACAGAAACCGGAAGCAGCCGATTTCTGTGCGTGGTGGCGCCCACCGTCCCAGCATATGGCGACGTCGGTGATTTGCAGGGCCTTGACTGCCGTTAGGGTGGCACCTGCAACAAGCTGGACGTAGGTTGGGAGTCCTGGGAAGACAGGACAGTCGTCCGTGAGACCATGTAACGTCGAAGATGATGCGCTGTCGTCGAGGACGATGTCGAGGTAGTCGTCAGAGTGGTATTCACGTAGCTCTCGGTGTGTTGCCGCAATGGGTCGGACGACTTGGGCTTTTTTGAGAAGGCCAAGCGAATTGACGAGCGAATGGACGATTTTAGAACGATTTTTGTTTGACGGAAGACGCGACGCAGCCTCAACGAGCTGCGAACTGACAATATAGACTACCATCGTGGTGGTCGACGTTCAGGTATTTCACGATCACATGACTGCGCCAGCTCTTACTACAACCCCTTCTTGGTGTCTTACTACCTACAGCACTCTCAATGAAAGTAGTTTCTTAATGTGTAAGATCATATTAGAAGGGGATTTCCGTTTTCATATTCACTGTCATCTTGGCATGCTTCTCCTGTCTGATACCATTTTTACCTCAAAATAAAAACAAGGAGTAGGCTCCCTCATGATTTGCCGCACCCCAACGTACAGTACAATATGAGCTGCTATTCTCTCTGACTCCAATGATAGCTCTCCGAAGAGGTCAACGCAGAACTCTCCGAACAATCAGCGTGGATGACTACGGGATCACTGTCGTTACTCGGACTCTTTTCTTGGGAGCCATAAGCCCGTTTCATTCCTTCTACTTACTTCGCCAAACCTGCTTAGTTTGTAAGAGTGGAATGGAAAGAGCCCTGCCTGCTGCCTATCTCGGCCAACGCTGCGTACAAACTAATCAGATCACCTTGAAACAGCGTGCGTACTTCATGTTGAGCTGTAGGTATTATAGGCATAGCTTGATATCAGAAACCCTATCAGAATTACAGTCGCCCTTCCCTTCTTATCCTTTACTAAAACTCGAGTTTGTGTACGCCACCGCAACTTCTCCGAAAAGATTCGAAGGCTGACTGTCCAGTGATTAAATTATCCGGTAGAAAGTCCAAACGTATTGTCAAGTGCAGCATGCGATCTCGAAGGGAACGCGTGCACAAACGTAACTTATGTAACTGAAGTTGGTATCAAGTAGCTGCGTTATACTTGCTATACTACCATCATCAATTCAGAGCCGAGGACAAAGTCCTCAACGGCCAAGCGATGCTTCCCTCGCGGACCAGAGTTGTCAGTGTTTGTGTTGTCCAGAGAAGCTTCTTCCGGTGTCCCGCTCACTCGCATTCGATATGGAGAAACAGCGAGGAGGCGGAGCACAAGTTGTTAAAGCTGCCGCAGAGATCCGATGTTATGCAACCGGCTCAAACTAATTCGTGGAATCAGCCTCAGTAACGGGTCCCTAGTCTCCGGGGGAGCGCTCCAGCCGTTGGCATGAGAAACGAATGTTATTGGAGCAACATGACCTGTATTTAGTGTGAAAAACCGAGCGCTTTGCGACAAATGAGGCTAGCAAAGGGTCTAGATGATTGTTTTCCCAGTGCAAAAAAAAATCGCTAACGGTAGTAGGCCCATTGGGATGCAAACGAGCGTAACAAGACTTGAAAGTCACTAAAATGGTCCGCTGTTCAATAGGACACAAGTCGATCAACTTTTGGGGGGCACGATTTCCTACGTACTGCAAGGGTTACCAAAATGTACTTGGCTGCAGCACAGTTAGCGAGCAGTTCTGGGGCGCATTCCAGTATTTGTGGAACAAAAAAGGAGATATTAAATGGCCAGAGTAGAATCAAAGTTCAAAAGGTGTCAATTGAGTGTCGTTATAGAAAACACGAGTTATTTTTTTGATCGCGTCGCGATCTGTACGTACACGTGGCTTGAGATCGGACCGACGATGTCGATGAGCGGTGCTCTGACTGAATATTTTAATGATGGGTGTGAATGCCAAAGTCGACGTTTAGACGTCAAGAGGTCCATTTTGATAAATGTCGTTCATCAGTCATGGCCCGTTGAAAGTCAAGAAAGAGTAAATAGATTTTGTGTGGAGAATGTCGAACAAGTAATGACATTCAGTGTAGCAGATATGTAAGCGCCGCCAGACATATAGACGGAGCAATTACGGCCAAGTTTCTCGTCGGAGCATTCGATCGACGCGACAAACTCGGAGAGAAGACGAGAATGGTTGTAACGGAGGAGGATCCGCAAAACACGCGCTGTCCCTGGATGTCTACGTCCCTCGATAGAAGAGCGGCATGATTTGACCCTGTGAGTACTGAGATAGGCTCTCTGGTATCCGACTTTGCGACTGCAATGCGCCCCATTGGTCGCCGGAATTTGAGGGTGCGTTGGGAAGAACAAGCAGCCGAAGAATTCTTAGCATTGATTGATGTCGATAGAGTCGATAGGTGAGTAAGAGAACCAATACCGTGGTCATCACGCGTTGGAACGTTCTCTAAGTTGGATAGACGTCACGGCGACTCGGCTGCATCTGACCACTTCAACACGTGTCGACGTCGGCAAAATCAATGGGCGAGACTCTTCGGCAGGATCGTTAGCCGTCTGTCAGCACGACGGACGTCGGAAATTCACTCGAATTGGTACGCTGTTACTAGTATTTAGGCGATACATACTTTGTTGTCGGGGCGCGAGGCCAACTCCCAAAACAGGACCAGGTGATCGGCAGAAGCCACGCGTGGGAACAAGATGTGATCCCGAGGTCAAGAAGCGCGGTGGAACCTCCCGGGGCTTTCCCTTTTGAGTAATCGACACGCCACTCTGGGGGCGGGCGGACGGCAATGGCCGGAAACCAAGGCCAGCCTGGTCCAGGCGCGTGCCCATATTAAGACGCAATGCGAGCCGTCGACGTGCCCACCCGCCCATTTGCACAGGGAGCAGCATAGTGGAATATTAGTTGAATAATAGCCGTGTCCCGAAAAGAAAGGATATGAAGAAATATGGGGGAAAATAATAAAGAAACAAGAAAATGTATTGGAGGCGTGTTTGTGCATGTTGAGGCTCTGGCTTGTGACCAGTCCTGTCCCTTCATCCTCTCCTCCTCTTCCACTCCCGTCCCTTCTCCACCGCATACCCTGTCCATTGCCGTCCAGTATCCTTTCCATCTAGGCCCTTTCCCTGCTCTTTCTCTTCGTCCTTTTCCCGTCAAGGCTTCCTATTCGACCACTGGCTACCGTCTGCGTCCGTCGAGACAATCTCCTGCTGTATCTTCTGCAATGTCAACCCATGGACCCATAAACGGCGTAAAGATGTCTCGTACGTCTCACCATTTTCCAGTTCATGCCTTACAACTCACCTAGTATCCTCATCTTTTCCTTCCGCTTCCGGCCCTGTTGTCGATAAATCGATTTGCATCGGTTCTTGTTTCCTTGTTCTATAGCTATCGATGATCCCCACAAAGTCGTCAAAGTCATTGCTTCAGATGGCAAGACCGGTGACACACGCGAACTGTCTTATTCCAACTGCAAGGTCATTGGAAATGGTTCTTTTGGTGTCGTTTTCCAGGCGAAACTGCTCGGCGTTCCCAAAGAGAGTGAGGATATCGCCATCAAGAAGGTTCTTCAGGACAAGCGCTTCAAGGTACTCAATCTTCTCTTTCCGTTACTTCCGCATGCAAAATGTCTCGCTTCTCCAGAACCGTGAACTTCAGATCATGCGGCTTGTTTCGCATCCGAATGTAGTCGACCTGAGAGCATTTTTCTACTCCAATGGTGATAAGGTGCGTCACTATTCCCATAGAGTCGACTCGTCGCTCATTTTACCACAGAAAGACGAGCTCTATCTCAATCTCATGCTGGAATATGTCCCTGAAACCGTCTACCGCGCTAGTCGTCACTACGCCAAACTCAAACAACCGATGCCCATGCTCCAAATCAAACTGTATATGTATCAACTCCTCCGCTCCCTCGCCTACATTCACTCCGTCGGTATCTGTCATCGAGACATCAAACCACAGAATCTACTCCTCAACCCTGCTACCGGTGTCCTCAAGCTTTGCGATTTCGGCTCTGCAAAGATATTGATCGCCGGCGAACCAAACGTCAGTTATATCTGCTCCAGATATTACAGAGCACCGGAGCTCATTTTCGGCGCTACGAACTACACTACCAACATTGGTACGAGTCATCCATCCTGACCACGGCTCTTGTTCCTTACTCACCGTCGGTTTCGCTTATGTAGACATTTGGTCAACGGGGTGCGTGATGGCAGAGTTAATGCTAGGCCAACCGTTGTTCCCTGGTGAGAGTGGCATCGATCAACTGGTGGAGATCATCAAGGTGCTCGGAACGCCGTCCAGAGAGCAGATCAAGACGATGAATCCTAACTATATGGAGCACAAATTCCCACAAATTAAGCCTCACCCCTTCTCAAAAGTTTGTAGTGCATGTAACTCAAATAGAGCTGTTGGATACTGACAGGATTAATGGCAGGTGTTCCGGCCTCGCACATCCCCCGAGGCAATTGATTTGGTGGCGAAGTTGTTAGAGTACACACCTGGCGCACGGCTCAGTGCGATAGAGGCCATGGTCCACCCCTTCTTTGATGAGCTGCGGGTCGAAGGCGCGAGGATGCCCAATGGGAAGGAATTCCCGATGCTGTTCAACTTTAAACGTGAAGGTATGTTTCACGGAGTGTTCTCCATATGCTGTTGTGCTAATTAAAAACTTACCAGAACTCTCTGTACGGCCGGATTTGATCCGTCAACTTGTTCCGCCACACTGTGAACCAGAGCTGGCCTCCCGGGATATTGTGTTAAACGGCTTTGTGCCCATACCATTGGAAGACCTGAAGATAACGCTGGACTGACGATGGGGAGCGGTCTACATTCGTGCCTTGCGTTCGATTTTCTCTTCATCTTTTTTTTTTTTCATTCAGTCCAACTTATATATATATCTTGAATTCAATGCCGAGCAGGAGATGTACACGATGTTGCAATGATTGTAGTATTGAAGAGTGATTCGTGCTTGCGGTGTGATGTGAGAAATATGAAAGTAACTGCAAGGAATACACCAGAATTTGACGAGAATTGCGACATGTGGCGTTGAGCTTGCACGAGATCACTGTGATCGAACTTCACCACCGACCTCTATAAGTAAACAGCGCACCTTATTTCCTCCTTTCCCACCGTATCCCGCCTCTTCTTCCTTCCCGACGACCATGACGGCGAGCACGTCGTACGTCTGCGACACAATTCCCTGCTGCTCGCCTCGCCCTCGACACCAAGACCGAAGATACCCCAATGTCGTCGCCGCCACCATCGGATGACCACGAGCACGACGACATACCTTGTCAGCAGCCAGAGCAGGAAATTCATACAGAAAGCGGAACAGAGTCACCGCCGCCATTCCAACAGCAACCTCCAGCGAGAAAGTTATGTGTGAGGCATCAAAGAATGGCAGATGAAGGGACGAATTTGAAGTTACAGCAGGTACGAGGCCTTGGATAAAGATAAAGAACGACTATTAATTGTCAGTACAGTCTCTGGACGCTCTACCGCTCGAGGACAGGTCGGCAGTTTCTGCAATCTGGTCCAACTTTTCATCTTCATCCCATCCACGAAGAGCCTTGATTCTTCAGGGCCTGCTCACCATGTGCTGCTTTTCTCAACTTTCCCTTCTTACCGAACAACTTGCCCACCTCATCCGAATCGATCCGTTCACTGTTCTTCCTCGCGAAGTTTCCCTTAAAGTCCTCAGTTACCTCGATGCAACATCTCTATGTCGCGCGGCCCAAGTTACCAAGCACTGGCGCAGCCTCGCTGACGACGATGTCTTATGGAGAGGCATCTGTGAGCAGCACATCGGTCAAAAATGCAGGAAGTGTGGTTGGGCCCTGCCTATTCTCGAGAAGAAACGGACGTTTGCCAAGGCTTTAACGCCGCCGCCAAGCGTTCCCTTGTCGTCGTCCGAACAGAAAGCAAAGAGAACATTAGAGGATCTCGCTGATATATCCGAACGACCTCTCAAGCGGTCCAGGTCGGATGACGGCAGCGACTCCTCAACATCGGGAGACGAATCTGCATACGCCCTTCTTGCTCCTCTTGCTCCGGTGCCGACGACCCAGGTTACGCGCCCGTGGAAGGATGTCTACAGCGAGCGCATGACGATCGAACAAAACTGGCGACGTGGACGATGTACGGTCCGCACTCTCAGAGGGCATAAGGATGGTGTTATGTGTCTGCAGTTCATGGAGACGCTGTCACATCCTGCATTTCCTGTGCTCATCACCGGCTCTTACGATCGTACAGCCCGAGTGTGGAATCTTGAGACCGGTGTCGAGTTGCACTGTCTAAAGGGGCATACAAGGGCTATCCGTGCTTTGCAATTCGACGAAGTCAAGCTGATTACAGGGAGCATGGATTCGACACTCAAAGTATGGGATTGGCGACGAGGAAGACTTATCAGGACGCTTACGGGACACACGGAAGGCGTTGTCTGTCTCAATTTTGACTCCAACGTCCTTGCCAGCGGCAGTGTTGACTCGACAATTAAAGTGTGGAATCTTAGGACGGGAGGTGCATTTACGCTGAGAGGTCACTCAGATTGGGTCAATGCGGTCAGGCTTTGGGATTCCAATACATCGTCGACACCTTCCACTACTATGAAGAGTCCAATGTTCGACACGCCTGGATGCGCAGCTCCACAGATCGATCCAGGAAAAATGCTCTTTTCGGGATCGGACGACGGTACTATTAGACTCTGGGATTTAACACAACGGGCCTGTCTCAAGATCTTTACCGGTCATGTGGGGCAGGTACAAAGTCTCAAGTTGTTATTCGCAGATGATTGTAGTGGAGAAGAGGTGGAAGGTGACCAGGCCAAGGACGAACAGAATGAAGAGGCGCCGCAGTCCCAGACCAGGGCGAAGAAGCCCATTCTGATCTCTGGAAGTTTGGACAACACCGTCAAGCAGTGGGATATCGATACGGGGAAGACCGTAAGGACATTCTTCGGTCATATCGAAGGGGTCTGGGCAGTTGCGAGCGATAAAATGAGGCTGGTTAGTGGCAGCCATGATAGGACTATCAAAGTTCGTTTTGTGTTTGTCTTCAGATATTTCTTGCTTACGCATCTGCAGGTTTGGTCGCGAGAAGATGGTAGTTGTACTGCTACGCTCGTAGGGCATACAGCGGCAGTGAGCTGTCTTGCACTAGGCGAAGACAAAATCATTTCTGGTGGCGACGATAACGACGTCAAGGTATGGAGCTTCAGCGAGTGAAACATATCATCTCCATATCACTTCAACAAGTCTATTCATCCGCATCTTATTGTTATATTTCGCTTTAGTTGTTGCTGTCGGTTTTGGCTTTCGCTGTTTTTTACTTTCAATATTACATTATCGTCTACCAATACACATCTACGAATACAAAGGATATAAATAGATATATGGATAAGCAAGTGCGACCAGATGTCCATCATCGGTTCAAGATTGAAGAAGCAACGGGTATCAGTAATGAGGGAGGCGTCTGGAGGTGATAGTCAGGATGCAGTTGAGAAACCAACCCTCCGTAGCTCTAGGGTGCGATTCCTATGCATCCGATCTTCATCAAGTTCACGGGCTTTCGCACGCTCGAGCAGCAATTGCTCGAATTTTGGATCATCTAGACGAATACTTCGCAATCGATCTTCCAGGTAGCGTAAATAGCCCAGTGGGCGATACTCCTCCAGATCTGGTGACTTGTAATATAAAACTTCCTTGACCTTATCGATGAATCGTACATGTCGCTCGAAATTAATGAGCGTGCGACCTTGATGCTCAATAGTGGGCCCGTTGTTCTGTAAGACAGAGTCCAGATCTTCGATGTGGGCATCTGAACGGTGTCAATAGGATATAGAAGGAACATTTAGGGACGCACCAATCCAAGGAACACATCGTTCCCTGTCATCTAACTGGGAAGGCTGCCCTAAGGCCGTATGATAACTTCGGTATTTGTACATAGGATTCATGATGTTGATGAGGCCGTCCATGGCTTGTCGTTGACGAGGCGTCAGCTGCCCTAGAGTCATCTTCAAATGATCTTGAATGGCCTCTGATTGCAAGGCTGTGGCTATAGCAGCCACGGATGCGAAGTTCCTTATTTTCAAGCATTCCTTTACACAATGATTCTCAGTATGAACACTTGACAGACGTATAATGATAGAGCAATACCTGGCCCGTGTTGACGAAAAACACCAACGCCGCGGCTCTGTCATCGAGGCGAGGGGGATAGATGATGGATTTCTGGACCCACAACTGAATTGCTTTATTAACTTTCTTGGCAGCCTCTACTCGGTTTTCCATTTCACATTTGAGGTGAAGAATGTAGTCGGCTGGAATAATGGCTCTGTACTTGTCTCCCTGGATCAGGGTTAGTGCGATAGCCAAATGCTTGGGCTGCATCTCTGAAGACTTTGGGATATCATACATAGGGGATGTCTCCGGTAGTACCACAGTAGCCGACTAAGAACATGTCAAGGAGCGTTCGGTGACAGAGTTAGTCAAACTTACTCTGGCATCAATGGCACGCAAAACCTCCTTGGCTTTGTCGTTCATCGTGGAAGATCTTTTTACAGACAGAGACGAGATACAAAAATCCTTCATCCGCAAGAGTAAGGGCGTGTCCACATAAAAATTACTGTTAGACAGCCAATACAGGGTCACCGCATAGACGCTGATGTGATGTGAGCGTGGTGTCAATGAATCATAGAAGTCAAGGAATCATACTTGTATTGTGTGTCGACTCTATTGCGAGCATGCAATTGCTGATCAACCTCAGCATCATAGAAGCGACGAGCTAGCATGGCAAAAAAATCCTCGGCTGGTGTGAAATCCACCAACGTGGCTAATAAAACATCCCGATATTCAAGATCCTTTTGCAAACCTTGGTAAAGAAGTCAAGATCAGAGATGTTCCTCTTCAACAACAAAGGTAAAGGAGGACATACTATGCGTCCTGATGAGCCGGTCAACAAGACCTTCCAGAGTGCCAGATACGACAGACAGAGAGTTCGAATGGTATATAATTTCGCCAGGCTCTGCCTGAGGCGATAGTGTAGCTTTTTCAAGATGTAGAAGGCTTGACTTCCTTGAAAATTGACTGGCAGGAGACGACTCTTGATCGGAAGCAGGGCTGTAGTAAAAAGTATCCTTGAACTCAGGCGAATAATCCAGACTAGTTGGAATGTCTAATCTAGGAATAGTATGGTCGGGATGAGGCTGGGGTGCCGCGCTGGATAATGGACGTTCATGTGAACGCGGTATAGGAAGGGACATCGATTTAGATTGGAAAGAGGAAGAGGAAGAAGGCGAAGGTATATGATTGGGGTCATACTCGTGTATGCTGTCAATTCGACCACTTTCGGATACTGTCTGTATCGCAGGCGGAGAAGTGCACTTTGGTAAATGAAATGTTTGAGTTTTGCTGGTAGCACTATCCGCAGAGGATGAACTCCTGAACGTTATTTTGGATCCTCGTTTCGGAGAGGCTGCCATCCAATGAGTGATAAATCGACACAAGAGAAACGAAACTTGCCTGCAGGTGACGTCAACCCCCGGATGAATAGAAGCTTTTCCTTGATTTCTGTCATCGAGGGTCTCGATTGAGGTTTCTTACGCCAGCAGCGCTGCATTAGTTTCCAAAGATCATTACTGAGACCGCGGTCAGTCACATCGGGTCCAGGCCGCCGTGGAACGCGTCCTCGATACACTTCATGCTGTACAACAGCATCCACTTGGATGTAGCTAAACGGTTGTTCGCCCGTCAATATCTCGAGAGTCACCATAGCGAATGACCAAACATCTGAGAAGGTTGATATAGTGCCACCGGTTTGTAAAAGCTCGCAGGCGCCCCATCTTGGATTGATCGTCGGAGAGGAAGTCGCACCCTTCCCACACTGAGGAAAAGGTTTCAAATCAGCACACGACAGCCTTCTGTTATACTTCTTACTTACGTCTCCCAAAACCTTCGACATCCCGAAGTCAGACAGGCGAGCCGTTCCGTCTCGTGAAATAAGTACATTATCCTGAATGAAAAATTAGTTGAGATATCGCTGTTAGCGAAGCGTGCCTACCCCGCGCAGGTCTCCATGTATAATATTTTTTCGATGAAGATACTCCATGCCTTAGAGAACAATGAATATGGCATAACGATGAGTTTTGCGAAAACTATACCTTCTGAAATTTCGTTCAAGATACGTAGTCTGTCCACTTTTGGGTTGTTCCTAATAAAGGCATTGACTGTTCCGTTATCCATCCATGGGCTGACCTGGCGTCAAAGTCAAGTGTTGTCTAGGAGGGAAACTGTTCTGATACGTACAGAGTAAACATCATCGTCGATACGCAGGAACCCATATCTGAACACATCAGCAGAGGTATGAAGGAAAGAAAAATCACTGACAATGGAACAACGTTTTGGTGATCTAAACTCCTCCAAATGGTAATTTCTCTTTCAAACCGCTATAAATTTCGTCAGGAGGCTGAAATCGTCCCAAAGTAAACCCCATCTGCTTACTCTTTGCACATCTGTGTTGCCTCTTTCAGCAATCCTTGGGAGTCTGACCGACACCTTTTGTATGGTGAGCGTTAACAAGACCTTGAGAGAATTAGTGCTTACAGATTCCTTGTCCAGCCATTTACCTGCTCAATGAAAATCAATGCCGACCGCTGACACGAGTGTGAGTGGTTGCTTACCCTTGTAAATATCGTTGTATGTTCCCCGAACAACTATACTCTGAATGGTTACCTGTCCCGTCACTGTATAAAATGTCAAAACAAGGAAAAGACACCTGTGAAGCTGACTTACAATCTTCCATAGGCGGCAGTTTGGAAGTACGCTCGTGAATTTCCCACAGACCTTGCCTGAAGTTGTGCTGCTGGTTAGGTTCCAGCTCGGAATCATGAAGTTCCTGACGTAATAGCAGATGCAGGTAAGTAGGAGTCGAGGCACTGGCGTATAATATATACATTCTGCAGGGACACCATGACATCTTCAATCATATCCGGATGCTCTGTTAGCGCCTTCATATCGTCGTTGCTGTTGACAATTCGTTCAAGCAGCTCGCGAATTTCGGCTTTATCACGTTCTTGGATAGCTCTGGTTTCCGACTGCCCACGAGCCAGCTGCAAATTTAGTTGTATCTGTGAGTTCAATGTTGGTATCCAAGGTCTGCTTTGAGAAGGTGTCACACACGTTGAAGTTCTGCACAGCCGTGTCAATGTCTCGATGAAGACGGTCAATGCCTTCCTTTATCTCCTTTTGTTGAAGGAAACTTCGTAGTTGGCTTAATTGGGCCCAGGCGTTGACCTTTCTGTGGATGCGCTGGACGATGCTGATAGGACTTGTCAGACGAAGAAACTGTAGAGAGGACGTAACATACGCTGTCACCTCATCTGCCAACTCCGAGGGCGTTTGACCCTCTAAGCCTGCTGAACTGTCTCTCAGCGCTACCATCAGGCTAACACATCTGTTACTGATGTCTGTGCATTGTCGCTGATGAAGGACAGTTCATGGGTGCAACGAATGAGAATATTAGGAGTCTTACTCTATACAGCTTCACATTCTCTAGGTTGGTATACGTGGCCTGCACTGGATAAGGTTCCGAGGTTAGATAAAACGGGAGAAGTAAGCGAGTTGAATAGCATACAGAGAGAGGCACCAATCTGTAAACCAGGAATCCCCACACCGGTCAAGAGATCTACTACGCTCATGAGGGGGAAAGGAAGAATGGTAGATAAGCGATAGTTATTACAGCAGCCCTCTCAGGAACTCGATGCACTAGTCCCATGAAAGATCAATTGAAATTGTTAAATTGATACCTCCCGCCTTCGGTGCCTGAAAGTGATAATTTAGAGTATAGAAATAAAATACCGACCAATAGCCGTTGGTAGCGTGGCCGAGTTGGTCTAAGGCGTTGGATTTAAGTTGTCTTGATTCCCAATGGACGTTAGTCCGCGCGAGTTCGAACCTCGCCGCTGCCATAATTATTTTTAAATTTTACCAATTTTTGCATCAAACTCGGTTTTTGAAATTTTTATTTGGATCTGAAAGTACATACTACATAGTAAGGCTGTGCCGAAGATCCCAGCTGAACAGACCTCATGGGAAAGGCACAGTAGCCCTTAATTGACATGAAGCATTTAGGGTAATTACATGGTCAGATGTGACAGCAATACTTGAAGATTCTTTCTTGTATCACGCTTGCAATCAAAAGAGCTGTTAATGCGTCGGTTAGTTTGATTATAGTGATTGATGAATCGCACGTACATCATTGATGTTATCCTGGCCACCAGGTCCTTGACGTACTCTGCGTTTCATAGCCTTTGTGAAAAGATCTTGCACAGCTTCAAAATAGGTATGACTGACCTCCGCGTTGGTTTAAATTCCTCAGGTGCCGGGTCGTCACCCCAAAAGCTACCAAGCGAACTCTTTCCACCGGGTTCGGTCCTGACTCGTCTAAGCCACAAAATATGATCCACAAGTAAAGGTTCAGAGAAGGGCCACATGCCTGCTGGGCTTGACAGTCGATGTGAATGGGATTCCATATTCTGGTTCCTCTTCTTTCGCAGGGGCCGAGGAGACTGGTTGTTCGGGCGCTGAGACCTAGCAAAGGCCGAAAAGCACGGGTCAGATTCGATAGAGAAAGAATTAAAAGAGAGTAGTTGCCTGATGTGATTCTTTTTGCGGTGCTGAGGCTAGAGCATCATCCTGTTCTTGGAAGTCACCGCCGAAGATGTCAGTGTGTGGGCCCCCAGGGACAGTTCGTACGCGACGCGTAGGTTTGAACGTGTCAATTTGCTCTAAGTCGAATTATATGGTAAGGGACGTGAACTCTTATGCCGCGAAACGCTCACCGATGGCTGGGGATGCCGAGGGAGCTGCTGCGGCTTCAGCAGCATCAAGGCCGTGAAGCGGCGGAGAGAAGGTGCCAAAGGTCGCGTAGCCTAGGACGCGTTAATGAGTGCGGAAGGCACGAAGAAATAAGACTTACGAGGTAGCTTTTGAACATTGGTAAAGTTGGTGTCCACAGTAGTACCGGTGTACCTGCATGTATACAATGAACAGCCCATCGGAAAGAGAACGGATTTGTGTTTACTTGAGAAACTCAATAAGAGATCGTTTCGTAAAGATGATATTTGTGTCGTCCCAGTCAAGCATTCCTGACAAAATGATGATGAATGGCGTGTCGATGGGTAGTATCGACAAAGGATCTAACCGAGGTTCGCAGGCCAGTCCTTTTCCTTTGTCATATCGATGGTATTGGAACGCGAGAAGCTGGGTACTAGTCAGACGATTAGAATTTAATGAATCCTGCACATACGAGGTAGACATTCTGGTGCAATACTAGGGTTGGCGTCGTTGAGGTTGTTGATAAAGGTTTGTTGATCCAGTGACCGTCGCGACTTGTGACGTGACTCGATGTCTTTCCTTAGACCGCTTCTGACCCGAAGGGACCTTTGCTACCCACCGTATCCTTCCTTCGGCAGCATATACAGATGCTTACAACCCAAACAATCCAGCTATAACGACGACGCCTACTACAATATCTGCGGACGAACGGCATGCTCTAGACAGCGCCCTGAGAGTCGACCAAGCCGGAGAAATTGCAGCTGTTTCAATTTACCAAGGCCAGATAGCTGTACTAGGGTGGAATGGCAAATTGAAATCAATGCTTCAGGTTTGTAGCTCTTACGGACGTGCTTTGTTGCTCGTCTTTACGTGTTTGTGTAACCAGGAAATGCTGGAGCAGGAGAAAAAGCACATCGCTGTGATGGACAAACTACAAGTACAGCATAGGGTCCGTCCTACCGTTCTGACAGAAGTTGCAAGGGTTGCAGGATTTGGACTTGGTGCAGCGACGGCTCTCATGGGCAAAGAGGCTGCAATGGCTTGTACTGAAGCCGTTGAAACCGTTATTGGAGAACACTATGACGAGTAGGTGTCCTTTTATGTGCTTCCTTTTATGTGCTCAACTCTCCTTGTATATAGTCAACTGAAAGAGATGGAATCATTGCCTTCAGATCATCCCAGTGTGCCATTGTTGAGAGATGTGATACGAGAGTTTCGTGATGACGAGCTTGAGCACCTTGACACTGCTGTCCAAAATGATGCTCAAAAGGCACCTGCACATGCCCTGTTGAGTGCAATTGTCGGAACTGGTTGTAAAGTAGCCATAGAACTTTGCAAGAGAGTTTAATTGCTTGTAATCATGCGTTCCTACAACCAATATTATGTTCATTCCGGCTTGACGGACAATGACTCTGACTTTAGTGCTCCCGCCCACTTCCAGCGCGACTAGAAATAGCCAGTTAGCAACATCATGACAAAGAAGGAAGGATTCCGCGAACATCCGTTGACGAGGCCAACAAGTAAATAGCAGTTGGGAACACGATTCCGGCCAAAACGCCCGCACGAATGTTGGATGGCGTCCAGCGAAATCGTAGATAATTGGTTTCACGCTGAGCAGAGGGTGTCAAGGTAAAGCGGTCCCCAAGGTTCTAGTCGAACTCACATATCGGTCAAACCGCTCGACAGCAGGATCAATGAACTATGATGAATGCTTAGTGACAAGTCAAGGGTTCACAATAGATATAACCTTGTAGGGACCTGTAGAATACTGAGTGACGCTCAGTATATGCGAAAGGACAGCCTTACCGTGACCTGCCATGGTGAAGAGGATCAAGGTGATGCTTTGTTTGTTCCTTGTTTGTTCCTCCTTTCCTTCTCACTCTCATCTACACTCAACGGCCCATGGCATATAATCGCGAATGGGACAGAGGCAAGGACACTTGGGCAGATGGTGCTCAGTGGCCTGGAGCAAATGTGCGCCCAAGAGAAGACGACCATTATGGCGACGGCAAGCGACGAAAATTTAACAGCGGGGTATGTCATGATTTTGCCAATTTTCATTTTCATTTCATTCTCTTCACTGTTTTCTACAGGGATATCAAGGTTACGATGCCTACTCGAACTATGAGGAGGCTGCCTATGACAGCACTGCTGCTCCACGCCCATCCGCCCAAGATTTTGGACAGCCACGCAACACCGCTGGAGGATTTCCCAAGAAACGCCTGCAGCCCTCGGATCCCAGCCCTCATGTCATCTTTCTTGGCCTTGATACGGACTTCACAGAAGCTGATGTACGACACCTAACCTTCTTCGTCTGACGTCGTTCTCACTTTTTATCCGCAGCTTCAGGCGTATCTTTCCTCCAACGGATGTAGTGTCGAGACTGTCACCATCATCCGAGATAGATCAACAGGCACTTGCCCATTCGTATTTCCTTTTGCACACACATTGACATGATTCGTCGTCGGGTTTTCAAGGTACCTCAAAAGGATTCGGTTTCGCCCAGTTCTCTTCAACAGACCACGCACGGCTGTTTGTGGATCCTCTATTTCCTTACATCCAAGTGCCACCACCTGCATCTCATGGTGCGACGGCAGCCGCAGCGTTCTACAAGGCGTTAGAGACGGGCGCCCCGCATAGCGGACGAAGAGTTAAAATCGACTATTCTCAAAGCGCTACACCTCATGAGAAAGGTCGCTTCAATCGTGGAAACGTCAACGACGGCACTCGTGACATTGGAAACTCCCAAGCGGCCGTTTTGTTGTTCCGTGGTCTTGATCCTCTCTCTGGGCCGCAGGCCATTCATCAAGCCATGAGGTCGTCTTCTGGGCCTGGTAAGGAGGGTGCTAAGGGCATGAGACGAATTATCTTGATCAAGGATCGAGTTACCATGGCCAGTTTTGGTTTTGCCTTCGTGGAATTCACTGATGTACAGGCAAGTTGTGTTGTCACGTGCGCTGCTCGAGAGACGTTCTGATCTTTGTCTTCAAGTCTGCGTCGGTAGTTCTTGCCGCGACCATGTCACCTCAGATTCATCCATCCGGTTTTCGCATTTCGGATCGACCTGTGGCTGCTTCTTTTGCTCATCCTGACTCATTCCAACCTATTGATAATGTGATGTTACGCGATGATGCCTGCATTCCATCTTCTCTCGTTCTAGGAGGTGTTGAAGGCACTTGGGTAAGGTACTGGGATGATAGTTCTACCTTGGCTATGCTCGAGTTTCAGGTTGCCCAGCCTGCGCCGGCAGCCCAGACTGTCAAGGAAAAGAAAGAAAAGAAGAAGGCCAAAGGTCAATTTCATTTCTACTCATTGTGTTCATGTTTGTTTTATTGACAGCAATTTATAGACACAACGATTCAACGTCTATCTGTTCAACCCGCTCCTTCAGCGTTACCTGTTTCCGACAAACCTGTCACTTTGAGTTTCAGCAAAGGTCCAGCTAAAGCTGCAGGTAAGCCAAACATGGTATGTCCTCAGGAGTTTCTTTTCAAACAATAAACAGCATCTACCGTCAAGAAATCTGTGGCCTCAGCTTTTGCATCTGATGATGCAGACGACGATCAGCAGGACGAAGCTGAGGACCTGCTGAACGCTAGTCGGAAAGGTAGAGAATCCCCTCCCTTAGTTCACCACTCTGCTTATCCATCCTAGCCGGAACGTCTAAGCCGCCCACGCTGATCGTAAGCAAGAAGGTAACGTGAAAAGAATTTGTTGCGCACTTCGTTATTGTTCTGTTCCTAACTGAGTTTCGGTAATCAGATTGCCAGCAATATCAACAAATGGAATCAAGTTCAGGAAGAACTTTCTCAAGATGTCAGTACTCGGTCGACTTCTGCTCTGGTGACGATCATCTTTTGGCTCTTCTTAGCCCTTTGGAATTCCACGGTTCTTACATTCTGGATACTATACATGCAGGCCACGACATCTACGACTGATGCTAACGGGTCCACTGCGCAAGCATCGAGTGCACCCCCCCAAGACAATACGACAACGACAACGACACCGACACCGACACCGACCGAGTTCGAGTTCTCGGATGTCAGCGCTCATGAGCTGTCTTCTCTGCGCTCGACAGTTCAAATCTGTGGATCAGTTGAAACGCCACAACAAGGAATCAGATTTGCATAAGGCTCGCGTCCTTCAACCTGTGTACTGTCTGTTGTTCTGTAACTGGGCTGACCATCGTCTTTTTTGATCTTTTCTCCCGGAATCTTCTATCAATTGGAAATGAACAGAAAAATCTCAAGGATTCGAATTTGCAAGAAGTTGCCCGCCAGAAGGTCAAGGCTCGACAAGCGAGCGCAGTCCCGAAATATCGTGATCGCGCTTCTGAACGGCGAATACTTTTCAACCAGCCTGAAACTCCCATGCCGGAAAAAGACAGTGGATGGACAGCACCCAGACGACAAGTTGAAGGTCCACCAGTAGCGTCGCCACTGCCACTGCCACCCCCGCCACCGACCAACCCGGGTGAGGATAGCAATAATGTCGGCAATAAAATGCTCAAGATGATGGGTTGGACGGAGGGAACCGGCCTAGGAACAAGTGGCGAAGGCCGAATCGACCCTATGTTCGTGTTATACATGTCGTTGATTGATTCTCTATTGATTTCTCCCACAGAAAAACTGCCATCTACGTGGAAGGTGCCGGTCTAGGCGCCAGCAAAGGCAAAGACATCGGCAAACTCACGGAAGGCTATTCAGGCTACGTCTCGATGGCTCAGGACTCTGTAGGTGGCTTAGGGCATTTTCGGTTCAGCTGGCTCAAATTTGGTACAGGCACGAGAGCGGTATGGGAGCTAACCAGATATCTAAGTCTCTATGCTCTACACATTTTTGAATCAGAGAATGATACTAGTTTTGTGTAATTATATACCAAAGTCATTCACTACTACCAAATCGAACGAATGAGTGTGCTATATCTGAGATGTAATGGGTAATTTAAGCGAACACTTGTAGCGCTAGAGCCAAACCGCCGAGACCGGCAACAACCATTCCAACACCGTTGCTCAAAGCCCCGTTGCTGCCGCTCGTGCTGCTGGCAGAGGCGGAGGCAGCGGATCCAGAGGCAGAAGAGGTGCCAGTGCTTGAAGCACGAGTTGAAGAAGCGACAGAAAGTGTCGAGGTGACGACGGAGGATGTTGCAGAGACGGAAACGGTCGAGGTTCCCTGTTCGACAGTCATGTACGTTCCCTGAGAAAGATATCGTGTGTCAACCGAGTGGCAAGGGCGGGGACAAAAAGATACATACAGCAATGAGGGAACCCATGCCGCTCTCCTGTGTTTATAGGCATTAAGCATAAACGGATGAACCCGAAGATTGCAATTATGTGAAACTTACAGACAAGTATGAAGCCAAGTCGAAGGTAGAAACACCGATGTTTTCGGTGTACCCATCAGGGGAGGTGAAGGTCGAGGGCTGTTGAAAGAGGAGAATAACATAACTTGCAAAAGATATAGGCGCTTAGTAGAAAGTGTCAGAGACGAGCAACTAACCGGTGGGCTCCACTCCCTTCCGCCGGAGCTGGTCCGGCATACGAAGTAATAGCAGGTAGCAGAAGAATTGGAAACGGCGTCATCTAAAATCGCATTTGAGCACACGTCTGACATACTAAGAGATAACGCAACTGGAAATGGTGTCTCCGTTGACCAACCAGTGCCGAGTGACCTGGGCGTTCTTGGTTCCAACGATGTCGGCGTCGACCATGACAAGCGTGAAATTGCCACTGAGCGTGACCGACGAGTTCGCCGGGGTGACGGTGACAGTAGGAAGTGGTGCCAACCTCTGCAACGTTTGTCAGAGAATTGGCTGTATGTGTATTGAGATTGTACTTACGGTCTTGGCTGAGAGCCTGTCCGGGCGTTATGTCTCCAACGCCTAGAAAGTTGTCAGTGTATTCATGGGGTGATGTTCGCCGTCGACCGAACCTTCAAAGTTGACGGTAAGAATGGCGCTGGGGTCGAAAGACGACAACAAGTCGGGTACAATTTCAGACTGGGTAAAATGAGCTTTAATGGCGGCAATCTGAAGGGCGGTATCATTGGAAGACTGAGAAGCCACGAAGGGAAGAAGAGAGAGTGACAAAATGACTGGGAGGGAAATCATGGCAGCAAAAGGTGATGGTGGTATGAGAAAGAGAAAGAATTGAATTTGCTTGGCATGACCCGTGACAAACGCGTGTGGCAGGCATACTCCGCCGTCAACGTTTCAACCCCAAACACTATATGAAAATACTATTATATGCGTGGTCTGTGATGAGAAATGCAATGCGATACAGATACAATATAAATGAAAATTCTGAAAGCACCTGTGAAAGCCTGTACCATAACATAGATAGTGTCACCCATCATCGTTCACTGGAATCCTCTGAGCCTATAGTTGTATCTTCTAATGAACTAATTTCAGACATGGGCGGCAGAAGAGGCGAGTTCAACAAGTCTGCATCGGATATCGATGATGCAGCCTTCCGTCTTCGTCTCCTCTGTGAAACAGCAAATGTTGGCGATGACGGCGTAGGTGGTTCGAAACCGCTCGATGCTAAACGCGCCAGAAGGTCCCGGGCCACGTCGTCTGGGTTGCCGTTTAGATCTAATGACGATGGCACATTAGCGCGAGTTTCCGCGGCACTTGGTCGTGCCCGGCGATTCTTTCGTGTCCCCACAGTATCGCCATTCCGCAACTTCTCTAGCAGACTGTCCAGAGCGTCAGTATCCTGGTTCGACATCTCCATCGCCTTCTCGCGATTCAGCCTCATGGTTTCAGCGGCCTGTTTCCGTTTGACTGTTGCAAGTCGTTCATCTGCTGCAGTTTGATTGTCGGCTTTGCATTTCTATACCGGCCGTGAGTCAAGTCTTTTCGGAAACCAGAAAATGACATGCCTTGTACGATGTGACGAAGGTTTTGAAGATACCGTAGAATTCAGAAGAGCTCATGTTTCGATTATCCTCTTCGCCATAGTAGCAAATCACCTCGGTGAATGTTGTATCTGCAAGCCGTACTTCGTCCACCAGGTCGTCCACCTGCATCTTGGCTTTGTTGACAAAGTTCCACATTTGCTGGCCGTATCGTTCTGTTTGATCGATGCGCGCAAAATGCTCTTCTAGCTCCTCACGTATTCTCTTGAGACCATCCCGAAGATCTCCTAGGCCTTTACGAACTTCTTGAAGATTAACTGCCAAGAGCGTTGGTAAAACGTGGAGGCATCTGAAGGAAGGGCGTAACATACCTCTGTACGCCTCTGCGGGTTTTGCAAGTTCCTCGAGGAAATCTTCCATGTCCGGGAAATGTTTAGAAACGGTACGCTCCAAGAAATGAAGTAGTGTCGTGTTGTTTACTGACTTAGTATCAACCAGCTGAAGGTGTCCGTTAGGCGACTATCGAGAGCATCAAGTAAAAGAATTTACCTTATTGATACTACTAACACGGAAACCGAATGCGCCACCCTTCACACCGGTCCCGTTCATGTAATTCCCAATCAGAAGAATGAGCTATTAAGGTATCAGTCAGGGAAACGATTAGCTGAACAACAGATAACCTACACTGAGCAACTCCTTGAAAGCTTTAGCATGTAGAAGAGCATCTCCTGCCTCGGAAAGTTTCCGTGCACCCTGGGTCATAAGCTGAGTAAACCTTATTCTGACTGATGCAAGACTGCCACGAACCTGATCTAGTAGCGACCACCGTTCTTCAAATGCACACTTGTACAACATGCCCTCAATACGAGGTCCCAGACGATCAATTTGTATCAGTTTAACCATGAGGCGGTCCGAAGGATGAAGCTCAGCAAGTTCCTCTGGCCCTGAGTTCCGATATACGTTCAATTTGCCGACCTGTTCTGGGGATGGCAGTACTCGTTTTAATTCACTCAAGAACACCTGAGAGCACAGATCCTGGTCGAAGTGCTGAATTTTGCGAGCGATCTCCTCGGGCTCAAGTTTTTTGACACCTTGAATGAGGATTTCTGACTAGGAGGTCAGAGATGAGCGCCAACAACTTTACGACATACACTCACCAACTCTTTTCTTAGTTTCAACATCCAGAACACTCTTCAATTCGGCGCGTTTCTGCCGGGCTAAGGGACAATAGTCAGAAAGGCATCTTTCGCAGTGGGAGAATCTACTACATACCCATTAGGTTGATGACTAGCTGCTTGGCCTTGAAGTCTTCCTCCATTTCCATCCATACGCCATCAATCTGGAGCTTCTTCAACATCTCGTGTTCCTTTGCAGGCTCTTCATCATTCCACAGTGTCTTTGAAACTTGCTGATGAGGGAGTTTATCCCACTGCAGCTGTTTCATCTTAGTACTCGGCGTAATAGGAAGATCTTTGCGAGCAGAGAGCAAGGCGTTAAGATTTGAACCGAGCAACATCGATGCTCGTGTAGAGTTAGGAGGAGAGCTCGGGTTAGAGGCTAAGCCTCGACCTGGAGGCGGCGGCGGAGGTGGTGGAGGCGGGGTAGAGTTTGCGGAGAAGGCAGGGACCATTCCGACAAAGCCGGGTGGAGGTGGCGGAGGCGGAGGCGGAGGCGGAGGCGGAGGCGGAGGAGGAGCGCCCTTGAAACCACTGGGTGGCGGCGGCGGAGGAGGCGGGGGAGGCGGAGGTGGTGGTGGTGGTGGTGGGGGAGCACCATGCGCATCGCCCTCTTCTTTCAAGGTCGGGAGAGGTGAAGGTGTCGGGCCTCCGGAAGAGGATACCTGGCGACTCTTGGCCAGGAAATGTTTGCTGAGCTGTTCAGCCAATGAACCAGGCGCAGGCGTCCGTCCGTCAGCAGAAACGTGAGAACTGATGGAAGTTGAGGGTGTATCTTCAGATGAATTATGTGATCCTCGGACTGACCGATCGCCCTCGCTCTCTTCACCATTAATGTTAGAGTGGTCGCTCGATTCGCCAGCATCTTCAAAGTGTGGCGGAAGAAGATTGCTGCTCTTGTACGGCGCTCCTAGACCTAACAGGGGTCTGTCCGTGCGTCTCGGTGATCCTCGTGCACTTCTCGAGCTCGACAGTTGGCCCTCTTCCCTTGGGGAATACTACAGACTTAGCATTAGTTATGAGCACAGAGTAAAGGCAAAGATATCAATTACAATTACTACGCCGGCAGCCAGCTGATGTTGTATTTGCTCATCCGCGTCTTGATCATCTGCGTCCATAAACTGCGAGACTCTTCCGTTACCGTCTTCCGAAGTTTTTGACCCGCCAGTCTTGGACGCCTTACGAACAACTTTTGAACCACGGCGCAATCCATTTTTACGTGGCGTTGCATCCATGTCTTCCTCGTGATCGCCATCGTCCTCCTCCCCGCCGGGACCATTTCGGCGATTCCTTCCGTCTCGACCCTCAAGAATACCGATAGTTTTGGTCCGTTGCCATTGTTTCTCAAGCGTTTCCACAAGAGTCTTGCGATCCATGCCACTATTGTCTACGATGGTCTCGACACCTTGGCCAACCTCCTTCAGCATCTTGAACAGTTCCATGATTTGCCATTCCAGTTGGGTAATTGTCTGCTCGTATCCAGATTTCTGAGTGACAAGTTGACCTTGAAGTCGTGTTGTTGTTTCCCGAGAGACATGCAACTTCTGCTCGGCGTGCGCCAGCTTTTCCTTCAGCTGCCCAACTAGACCGTCATGGCCTTGAGAAATCTCGTCCTCCAGCGCTTCTTTTTCTAGCTTCAAGCGCAATGCTTCCGCGCGAGCCTTGTTTGCTTCATCCTCGACGGCTTGATAACGGTCGGCCTCGTTAAATTGCGCTATGATGCGTTCCACTGAGTGTCCGAAACGCTGCTCGGCGCCAGCCAGTTTCTTGTCCATCACAACGTCGGTCACCAGCGAGTCGAGAAGCTGGTAATAGTGTACCATCGGCGGACCTTCCTCTCGTATCAGCAGTAAATGCTGCATCATAGACAGGAAATAGTCTCGAGCTTTACTTTCTTGAACCTTGGCATAAATCGCGTTATAAACGTCCAAAGGGTTAGTAAGGTCGCGTAAAATCTCTTGATCCAGACGGTCGCGGAGTTTCTGTTCGTCCTCATCTAAAGAATTTTGCAAAAGCCGTAATTGCTTGTCTATATTCGAAACGTTGAAGTTTCGGCAGAGCTCAAGAATTCGCTGTAATCCAGCAGCCTCCATTTGGGAGCGATGGTGGAGCCTAAGATCCAGATCATCTACGAACTCGAGGACACCTCTAAGGAGTATCAAATTTGACAACTGTAAAGGCTTAGTAAAAATCAAAATAACCGTTGGAACGCACTTACAGCGTATTCATTAAGGTTAGTGTCCAGGCCACCGGCCTTTTTGACATCTTCGCTTGCACCAACCAAACTACCCATCTTGCCTCGTCCAGAGAGAGAATGCTCCATTGATTTGAACCAATAATCATATGGTCCCCCACTCTCATTATTTGAGGAACTGAGGGTTTCCAAGGCGGCGACGACAAGATTGTGCACTTGACCATCTTTCCAGTAAGTCAGGAATGACAACAAGTCTAGCAGAAGCCTCCGTGTGGGGATATGAGGAGTGTTGAGAGAAGACGCAACTTGCGTTACAATCAGGTTGTGCGTCAGGGCTTCTGCCGTCGCTGCCTATCTCTTACATTAGTATAACTTTGAGAACAGTATAAATACCACCTACAGTGTTGTTAAAAATTTGTTTGAGGCATTTGACGATTTCATATTCAAGATTTATGTCATTCTCTCCTCTAAACCTCCATCAGATCACAAGCAGAACGACCAGGTTCAGACAGCCCACCTTGATGAACCCTTGCGACTAATGTGCGTAAGTGTCTGTGCTAGAACCGATGTTCCTTGTATAGAAATGAAGTGCTGAAGCCAACTATTGTAATATCAGTACACCCTCAATTTTAGAGTAACAAAGTCGAACGGACCTCAGCTCTAGACTACGTAATGATACCTGAAGACTCCCGGCTTGCTTTGGCGTAATGGTTTTATTCAAAAACTTTTGAATGTACCACTCCGGCGTTTCGCGAATTATAGTGGAAGGCTGGCCTGATTCCGTTTGTCTTCGCGTCTGGTCGTCTCTCTGCTTCTCCTCTTTCCGTCGAATTTGCCAATCATTGTATACCATATGCCATTTCTGATCAATCGGGAGGTTCGGAAGGTCTCCGAGGTCTCGAGTACGTTTGACATTATCGAACAGTGCCTCGATTTCTTCGTCGGTGTCCGGCCGAGATAACTGTGCATCGTCTGAATTGTTGTGTCGGTGAGGATGATAGAAATGGTTGAGAGAAGTCCCTTCAGAGGAAAGGGATGAGTATTTGGAATGTCTTGTACCTTCGGACCGTGTTGTGGCGGAAGACATTGGGCGCTGCATCAGAGTCCCAGCGGACGCTGAGGCCGGCATGGGTGCATAACCATTCGCAGGAAACTGGCCAAAGTCGAGCATATGTCCCGAAGATGAAGAGGCTTCACTGCGACGCATACGAGCTGTTTGAGGATTATAAAGTTTGCTCCCGGAAGAGGATCCAACAGAATCGTTATACAAAGTGGAAGAGTCGGAAACTGAGAAGGTGCTGGGTGATCCCATGCCATGATCTTCATTGCCTCTGTCTCCACCAGCCCTACTCCGAGTCATGCCAAACTTGTTGAATTCAGTGCCATTGGTAGTCAGCGTCGGATTGGTGATGGGTGCTGAGATGTATGGTGCTCCACGGAGCCCCTGCGAAACAGTGCCGACTGGAAGGGGTGAGCTAGGCGGGGGTCCTAGCTTATCGTAGGGAACAGAGCTCTCGCTGAGTTCCTGAGTAGAGGATACCGAAGATTGACGAGGCTTTGTCTTCCTGCGGCCAAATATGCTGTCCATTTGGGGTGCACTGGAGAGAAGAGAAAGAATATAGGCCCCCTCCGACGGGGTATGGAAGGAAAAAGCAGGAGATCAGGTAGGCCGTACCGACATTCGGTGAATCGTGAAGCAGTGAGTAGTAAATAATGAAATAGAAATGGTGATACCGTGACTAGATGTCGTGTTGTAATGCCTTGTTGATCATCACCCCCTTCCCGCCAAGCACTTTCACAGCCGCCACCACCATGGCAGGCCCAAATCTCGAAATATTCAAGTTTTCCGTCTATCTCTTCGTGCCAATATGGGCTCTCGTTCACTTTGGAGACCCGGCTTGGTATAGAAATAATGTTCTTCCAGTGAGCTTTCGTCCGCCCTTTTTTGTCTCACCCTACACTAAAGTCTTCCTAGTACAAGGACAAGCTGTTTCCTCCAACTGTACAGCAGGTGTGGTCCTATCTCAACTTCATGAAAAAGATGCCGAAACCTGTGTCTAGGAAATCCCTACCGAGCAAAAAGTTTTACGAGAGCAACTAGCCCAAATCAAGGCTGACCGGATTGCTGCTGCTCGAGCAAGAAGTAATAATGATTCCTAGTTTGCACGGACCCATCTGTCGTGAGTCGGCTAGCATGGCTCTATATAGACACACTCAGACGGCTTCTAGCTGTATGTTATTGTCGCTGCAGTCAAAATACACGCTCCTCATACATTTTTCTCAATTATCAACTTCTCTCCTTCGTTAATTGATACCTCCCAGCCTCCAGCTATGTCCTTCTCAACCAATTTCCTATAAATCTCTATGTCATCATGGGAAACCTTGAACCCGCCACAGACAACGAACACGACCGTCCTTTCCTGCATCGAGTTTGCTTGCCCTGATACAAGTCTGTCGAACAAAGCGGGACTGTATGCAGGGGTAAGGGTGGTAGCACAAGCCAGCTCTACCAGAAGTTTATGATCGCCTGTGATTCAAATTCGAAATCATGGACGTTACGTTCAGAAGTACAGCGCTCGGCGACTCACGCGTGAACAAACAGGAGGCTTGCATGCTCAATTCATCCGGTACAGTGACGCAAGTTATTCCTCCCTCTCTTGTCAGCGCCATCTTTACTACCTTGGCTGCAGGCTGGGATGCTCCCAACGAACCAGATGCCATCGAGGAGAATTCACTGAAATGGGCCAACGCGATACTTTCCGTCTTGTCCTCGACGATAGTCACATGGGGCGGAAGAACTTTGGCAAAATCTCCGGAGGATTGACGGTTCAATGCTATGGAGTAATGGAAACAATTTGATCCTCCGGTCTCTAATGCAATGACGGGCACTGTATAGAGGGTTGTATCGATGGGGCCATCTCCTTCGCATTCATAAGTACTCACCGTCATCCCAGCCAGCCTCTTTGCAGCCAACAATGATACCTCCTAGCAGTCCACCCCCACCGACACTACAAAAGATCGCGTCCGGTTTCGAGGTCAGCTGCCTTGATATCTCGGAGACCAGCGATCCGTGTCCTTCCCAGACCGTTGGATCATCATATGCTGGAATCATCACCCTGTAATAGGGTTAGGAGCTCGACGACATGTATCCACTCCGATCCTACGCACGCATTCTCTTCTGCTTCTATTGCTTTCTGAGCAGCAGCCAGTGCTTCAGCATACATCTTTCCAACCACTACTGTCTCTGCGTTTTCTCCCTCGAAGAGATCTAGAGTTCGCTCTGCAACACCTTCGGGCACGTAGACTGTACAACGAAGGCCAAGTACATTTGCTGCACAGGCACCAGCCAAGCCCGCGTTTCCTCCAGATGCCACGATGAGATGGACAGATGGACCATGCATCTCTTTTGCTCTTTGAATGAAGAGAGATAATCCCCTGTACTTGAAAGAATGTGATGGATGGAGGTTCTGTGACCTCGGATTGAATAAAGCTCTGTACACACGACACTTTCCCGGGGGATTAGATGCAGACGAACCTCGAGTTTCAAATATACGTTGCATCCCAACTTTCTTGATATGTAATTGGACCTTATAAGAGGAGTTTCGTTCCAAAGGGGAGCAAGCATTGAGTCCAGTCGGGGGTACAGAGTGCGTTTTTGCAATTTGAATTGAATAACAATTTCTTGACCTAGCACCGTGACTCAGTCATCAGCGTCCCGGGCCGGCTCATCGTCAGCTTATTTCAAGATTTTTTGAGGCTTTCTTGGACCCACTATCCGTTCGTCGGCACTGACCATTGGCACTAACTCGAGCACATACTTCTTCGGAAATGAAACTCGAAACGTTTCGTCTAAGTTCTGCACCTAATCACATTGCAGTCGAGGCACTACGGGTTTTCTTCGGAGATTCTGTCAGACGGCCTGAGGCCTGAGGTATATAACAAGGTCCTCAAGATAAAGAGTGCATCCTTCCTTCCTCTCAAGCATGAAGTTTAACGACGGTTTTTGGCTACTCAAGAACGGTGTCAGGCCATACTTTGGAATTCAGGTTGTCGATGTTCATCCGACTTCAGATGGCTTAGGATACGACCTTCATGTTGCGACTAAGCCTGTCAATCATAGAGGAGACACACTAGCTGGTTAACTTGAGCATCATTGTTCTGCCAAGGAAATACAACTAATATTTTTCCAGGGCCAGTCTTCACGATCAAGGTCTATTCACCGACAGAAGGCGTAATTGGCGTCAAGATCGATCACTTCAGTACCATCAAGTCTACCACCAATATTCATTTATTCCCTGATGATCCTCCCATCCCCAATGTCACACTTGATCAGGCCGATCGGTCCTTCTCTGTTTCCAGTGGTGGCCTCACCGCAGTGGTCACCGGAAATCCATATACTGTCACCTTCAAATCTCAGCATCGCACGCTAACTTCTTCGGGTCACAAATATTTGACGCTATATGATATCCCTTCGAAGTGGACCCTCACCACGGCCGCGAATAGCTCCTGCCTGATGACTGATCGTGGTTCCAATCCAAATCCCGAGCCCAAACCTGATATCGTGAGGTATCTCCACTCGGAACTAAACACCTCACCTGGTGAACTTGTGTATGGCTTCGGGGAACAATTTGGCGCTTTCGTCAAGAACGGCAAGTGCTATATCATTGCTTCTCCATTCATTTCGTTAGTCAACGCGTTGCGGCAGGCCAATCCATCAGAATTTGGAATCAAGGTCCGAGACTACACCGTACTATCTATATCACGCGTCTCATCAATATCTTAACAGATGGCGGAACTTCTAGTGATCAAGCATACAAATGTGTTCCGTTCTATATAACGAACAGAAACTACGGCGTATTTATCAACAATCCCGGTGAAGTTGAAGTTGAAGTAGGAAGTGAGAAAGTATCCAGAGTCGGAATCTCCCTTGCGAGCAACAGCTTAGAGTATTTCATCATATATGGAAGGACACCGTTGGAGGTCAGCGTCTTTTATGGATTGTATGAACCTCTTCATGATGCCTGATTATAGATTTTGGAACGATACACCAGGATGACTGGGCGTCCTGCGTAGGTTTCGAAAACCTCGTAACATCTGTATACTAAATTGTACTGGTTTCTAGCATTCTCCCGAGCTGGACTTTCGGCCTCTGGCTTTCCACGTCATTTTTGACCTCATACTCCAGCGATACCGTTTCTGGTTTCCTTCAAGGGATGCAGGAGCGAAAATGCCCCGTTAGAGTCTTCCATCTAGACTGCTTCTGGATGAAGCAATACGAGTGGTAGGCTTTTGTTGATTTTTCTTATGCTGGATACCATCGTAGGAAAACTTAGGTGCTCGTTCACATTTGACCCCGATAACTTTCCCGACCCCAAGACGTACCTTTCCGAGATCAAGCAGAAATACGGGGTGAAGATATGCTTATGGAGTACGTTCACAGACACAAAAATGCCAACTAATTCTCATTCTCTCAGTCAATCCGTACATCTCTCAACTCTCCCCGGTCTTTCAAGAAGGCGTTCAAGGTGATTTCTTCATCAAACGGAAAGATGGGACGCTTTGGCAGTAAGCACAATAGGGCACTCGACTAATATAATTGCTGAAATTTACCTCGTCTAGATGGGATCTTTGGCAACCCGGTAAGGTCTACTTGCTCAATTCCATAACGCTCAGTGTGTTGATTCAGAAATATTAGGGCTCGCTGTCGTAGACTTTACAAATCCGGCGGCAGGGGAGTGGTACAAACGCAAGCTTGAGGCGTTACTTGATCTTGGTGTCGATTGTTTCAAGGCGAGTTTTTTGCAATTCTTCAACCTCATGATACTTATGACTCTGGTAGACCGATTTTGGTAAATAAAACTCTCAAGGCAGATCGATCTTTGACAGCTTAATCTTCGTAGGCGAACGTATTCCTTACGCCTCGGTCGTCTACCATGACGGAGCTGATCCCATGAGGATGCACAATATGTATTCCATTATCTATAACGAGCTTGTCTTCAACATTCTGAAAGAACGCTTTGGAGAAGGAGAAGCGGTGGTATTTGCTAGGGCATCGTTTGTGGGAGGGCAACGGTTGGTCCTTACAAACCTACGCACTACTTTCCTCTGACGGACTTTAACAGTTTCCCTGTACATTGGGGTGGCGACTGTGAGTCTTCTTTTGAAGCCATGGCAGAAACGATTCGGGGCTGTCTGTCTCTGACACTATCTGGCTTTGCGTTTGCTTCTCACGACATTGGAGGCTTCGAGGTAGGTCGAGATTACCCCTAGGCTTGATATTGGCTTATGAATCACAGGGACATCCACCGCCTGAGATATATCAACGATGGGTCGCATTTGGGTTGTTCTCTTCCCATTCCCGACTGCATGGGTCCTCATCGTATCGTGTGCCATGGAGCTATGGTGAGGATGCCGCAAAAAGTATGGCCCGGTTCTTGGATACAAAGCACCAGTTAATGCCTTACCTTTATGATCTGGTATGGAAATTATGTTCATCGTGATTTCGTCTCCAAAGCTTCAGGGTTAATACGGTTATTGTCATAGGCTATTCAGGCTCGTATCAAAGGCCATCCGATGCAACGGGCCATGTTCCTGGAATTTCCAGATGATCCTACGACGCAATGGCTGGACCGCCAGTACATGCTTGGCCCTTCCCTCTTGGTTGCCCCCGTATTTGTCCCGATCGAGGAGGAGTCAGTCTACTACGTTCCGGCTGGCCGTTGGACATATTATTGGGACCAATCTAGGACCGTCGTGGGGCCACTTTGGGTGCGGGAAGTTGTCCCTCTCGATGAGATACCGCTGTGGATCCGTCCCGGTACGATTCTTGCCACCGGTCCCAAGGGAATTGGCCGGCCCGACTACAACTACACACAAGGCATCAACGTCAACGTGTATGGGTTGCTTGAAGGACAGACTTTGAAAGCCAGTTTGCCCGCTCAGCACGGCATCAAAACGGCAGCCGTTATTAGCGCCGAGAGGACAGGTACGGGCCTTCGTTTAGAGGTACAAGAGGGAGAATGCGATATTAGTTTTCTGGGGATACATGAAGAAGGAATTGCTGTCAAGAGTGTGGTAGGGGGAGCAAAGTTTGAGGAGCATAACGATTTTGTGGGGCTGAAGTTGGACGGACAATTGAAAGAGGTCGTATGCACTATGGGATCTTAATATATGCAGGGTTCTAGATTGTGCTGTCATATCGAACAAGTGCAACCAGAGACCGTATACGAAATGGCATCCATGTGAATAGCAGAACAAGAGACTTCAGATTTCATCGCTGTAGAACTCCTTCATGCTCTGCTCTCTCTTGGCTCGACGAACTTTAGCCTGTTCTCTGTTGTTAGCCGTACGTGCAAGCCGCTGGAAAGACAGTTCTTGAATAAGAAGATGAGGTTAGAACAGGGAAATTTGCGCACCTCTTTACGAAGACACGCATTCAATTCATCTGCTTCCCTATTGCAGTAACCAGACATCCTTGCGACGAAGCTAGAGTGGCATTGTTCGAGGGCCTGGATGAAGTCTTTACAGACTAGCGCAAAGTAAATGAATTCGCTCAAGGTGAAAAGGAAGACGCGAACTTATTTTCCTATCCGACAATTGAGGGTGCATTGGTAACCGGTATTTTGAATGGTTCGGAGAGAGCTTTGCCGGCGGTTGCCGAACGGACTGGACGAAAGATTCCGGGTACATAAATGGCCGCTACAAGAACCCCGGACGCGATTAAATTATTCGTGTAAATCTGTTGGAAATATTTACGGGGGAATGTATAATAAGGGTAGGTGCGAGAATATATTTGGCGGCAAATGGAAGAGTACGTAGTAAAACACGGAACCTCGGGCCAGGTCTCAATAATATTATTTGTCACTACAACGATCCCCATTTTTCTCCTGTACCACCATGTCCTTCGTCCCCAGCCAGTTTGACGACGTGTCCTATCGCCACCATCCGTACTCTCGCGGCGGATGTCGTTGGCAAGGCCAACTCTGGACATCCGGGTACGTCTTGATTCTTGTTCCCCGTTGCCAGCTGTTCACTTGCCGCGTAGGTGCTCCTATGGGCATGGCTCCCGTAGCCCATGTCTTGTTCTCTCGGTGCGTAGAGTGCACGGAATCGATCCTCACCTTTCTGATCTCGGTTCAGTTTCTTCAATGCGAACCCAAAGGACTCCAAATGGTTCAATCGCGATCGATTCGTGTTGTCAAATGGGTTGGTGCCCTTTGTTACTGCTGGATACCTGACTAATCGCATATCCTTGTAGTCATGCGTAAGTAGATCGCCTATCCTTAAGAATCTAACTGATCCTACGAAAGTATCAGTTGTGCTCTCCAATACATCCTTTTACACTTGATGGGATACAAGCTGTCGATGGACGATCTTAAAGCGTTCCGGCAGCTTGATTCGCTGACGCCTGGTCATCCAGAGGCTGGTCACACCGACGGTATGTCTTCTGTTCGGTTTCATATACAGGCCGTACTTAACGTTTTTACCAGGCATTGAAGTGACCACCGGACCTCTTGGTCAGGGATTCGGAAACGGTGTGGGTCTAGCGATTGCTCAGGCGCATCTTGCTGCCACGTATAATAAGGATGGGTTTGACTTGATCAACAACTACACCTATGGCACGTCATTCTACATTGAGAATGGAGGCTTAATCTCACTGCTGAACAGTATTCTGTGGTGACGGTTGTTTGATGGAAGGTGTTGCTAGCGAAGCCGCTAGTCTTGCTGGTCATCTCCAACTCGGAAATCTGATTGTTGTAAGTGGTGACCTTTTTCTACATTCCTTTTGGTCTTATCGGGTTCGTTACTAGATTTATGATGATAACCGTACGCATGCTAATTTCCAAATGTCATGACGTATGTAACCCTGATCGTTAGATATCTCCATTGACGGTGACACCGCGGTCGCCTTCACTGAAAATGTGGAACAACGATTCCTTTCTTACGGATGGCAAGTTCTAAACGTCGACAACGGTGACAGGTAAATATTAAGCGCTCCATACAGCTGGATCCGACCTAACTATAAATGATGTAGCGACTTAGCTGGAATCTACAACTCAATTGCAGAAGCGCGCCAAGAAAAGAACAAGCCTACGATCATCAAATTGAAGACGACCATCGGTTTCGGCTCCAAGGTTCAGGGCACACACGGCGTTCATGGATCTCGTATGTTATCCTGGTTACTGTATTTTTTTTTTAAAAAAACTGACGCGTTCCCTAGCCCTGAAGGCTGATGATATTGTCTCTTTGAAGACAAAGTTCGGCTTCCCTGCCGACCAAACCTTCCATGTCCCTCAGGAGACATACTTTGCCTACGAAGAAATCGCGAAGCGGGGCGCGGCTCTGCAACAAAAGTGGAATTCTGCCCTTGCCAGCTACAGGCCAGCAATATCCCAAAGAGTATGCTGAGCTTGCTAGACGTATCGAGGGCAAGCTCCCCGAAGGCTGGGAGAAGAACCTGCCTGTGTACAAACCCACTGACGCTGCACAAGCCTCTCGTAAACTCTCTGAAATTGTACTTACCGCCATTACGCCCTCTTTCCCTGACCTCCTAGGCGGATCTGCAGATCTTACGGGGAGCAACTTGACCAAAGTTAAGGGTACTGTTGATTTCCAACCACCCAGCACTGGACTGGGTTCTTATGCTGGTACATATATTCGTTACGGCGTTCGGGAGCATGGCATGGGCGCCATTGCTAACGGACTGGCGGCATATGGCGGCATTGTTCCTTTCGTTGCGACATTCTTGGTGAGTTATCACAGATGCGACCTATATATATATATCCAATTAACTGTCATGCCCCCTAGAACTTTGTTTCTTACGCTGCCGGCGCTGTTAGGTTGTCTGCGTTGAGTGGACACCAGGTTATTTGGGTCGGTTCGTACTTCCATGTGTTCACGTGCGTATTCTTTATTCACTATTTGTAGCTACCCACGATTCCATTGGTCTCGGTGAAGATGGGCCCACCCATCAGCCTATTGAGACTGCCATTCACTTTAGAGCGACCCCCAACTTGGCATTCTGGAGACCTGCAGATGGAAACGAGACTTCGGCAGCATACTATGTTGCTATCACATCCAGGTCAACACCTTCTATCTTGTCTCTGTCTCGTCAGAACCTTCCTAACCTTGCCGGTTCGACCATTGAGAAGGCCGTGCGTGGAGGTTACGTCGTTCAGGAGGAGAGCAACGAGGCTCTCACCATTGTCAGCTCTGGTAGCGAAGTGACCATCGCGTTGGATGCTGCCGCGAAGCTTGGTGCTGAGGGCATCAAGACACGAGTTGTCAGCTTGCCATGCTGGCTTGTATTTGACCAGCAGCCTGAGGAATACAGACTGAGTGTCTTGAGGAGCGGAGCTCCCATCCTCTCTCTAGAAGCGCTTTCGGTGAGCTTTTGTCCTCCTGGATTGGCGGCTTGCTAAATAATTCGTGAAGACCGCCGGATGGCAGAAGTACAGCCATGAGGTACATTTCTTCACTCTTCTCAAGGGATGAGTTGATTGACGTCTTTCTTAGCAATATGGCTTGCCGGGTTGGGGTGCGTCAGGTCCTTACCAGAAGGTGTATGAGAAGTTTGGTATCACTGGATCCAGTAAGTTTCCGCGGAACCAGTCGCAAATGGATTCTAACTATTTACTAGATATCGCTGCTGTTGGTAAGAAAGTAGTCGAGTTCTACAAACAGAAAGGCGGTCAAGTCGTTTCGCCCCTCGTTAAAGCTGTCACATTGTAATGCGTAAGGATTGATGAGAAGTTTGCGTGTTTTAGATATAACCTGTAGAAATAAAAGAATAGATGTATTTCTTGCTGTCTCAAGAAGTGGATATTTAGTCGATTATGACGAACATGCTCAATAGGATTATTTCCTGGTGACAGTAAGGTTATCCCAGTAGGCTCTCTCCGTGTCCTCTTTTACAACCTCCTCGACGTGTGGAGCGAGGTAGCGAACATCCTGCGATAACAAGTGAATTGAGATATAAAGGGTGAGATTGAAGAGACATACCTCCTCGGCTGACATCCACTGTTCCTTGGGAAGTGGCCTATGCAAAACGCTAGTGTGAGAAGCCCGTTTGATACGGAAAGCACGGTCGTATTGTTCGCGAGGCGTCAGGCGACCAAGAGCCTAGGAACGTTCCATTTCATTTTTACTCCATGCAAAGGCGATACAACACATACACGTTGGACGTCCTCGCGTTCCTCAATCACTGGGCAGCATTAGCATAGAGTAGAAGCAAATAAAGTCGGGACACACAGAGATCGTCATATTTGAAGCCATACTTCTTGTACCCGGCAGTTTCGTTGTACCAGGAAGCAAACGGCGTGAGCCATTTTGAAAGTGACCTTGGACGACCTGACGTACGGCGCCTAGCGAAAAACTCAGAGGGCCAAGCATGATGATGAGTGGAATAGATGAAAGCGGAGGGATGGACGGCCAAACTCGGGTAATATTTGTGTTTGTTTATATGTGGCGGAAGATCGATAACATAAAAGGGAATTCTGTTGCCGACATATCACTTTACTGCAACTTTGACTGATCTCTCCACGTTCCAGTATCCTTCAACTTTCACTATGTCTACCCAAGAACGCACCTACATCATGATCAAGGTGAGCCTCTGCTGTTGTCGTGGTCGCCGTTGCACCACTCATATCCTGGTCGATCCAGCCGGATGGCGTGCAGCGCAACCTAGTCGGCAAGATCATCGCGCGATTTGAGGAGCGTGGATACAAGCTTGTCGCCCTTAAGCTCGTCCATGCTACGCCTGAGCATCTTGAGAAACGTATGGCGCGTCCCTTTTGATTGCCCCTGTGGATCTTAAGTCTGCTTTTCAAGATTACGCCGACCTCAAGGGCAAGGCTTTCTTCCCTGGTCTCATCAAATACATGGCCTCTGGACCCGTTGTTGCCATGGTCTGGCAGGGTCTTGATGCTGTCAAGACTGGCCGTGTCATGCTTGGTGCTACCAACCCTTTGCAGTCCCCAGTCGGTGCGTCGTGCAACTTTTTAATTTCTTTCAACAAACTCAGCATACATCCAGGTTCCATCCGTGGTGACTACTGTCTTGCTGTTGGCCGTAATATCTGCCACGGATCCGACTCTGTTGAGAGTGCCGAAAAAGAAATTGCTCTGTAAGTCTGATGATCAATTTCATCGTGATTTCCCCTGATGTTGCTCTTCACTCTTAGCTGGTTCCCTGAGAGCATTGTTCAATACACCCACATCCAGGAGCCGTGGGTCCTCGAAGACAACTAGAATAATTTTGTATTAGACGTGCCAGGATTCATAGCGAGTAGTCGAAAATACACAAGAAACAATCGGATTTTAAGGACAACATAAAAGCCAAATGGAAGCGCAGTCAAACCGTTCATTACCTCGTTACCAAGCATGATGACCACCATCGACAAGAATGCTGAGAACAACGCGTCAAATTTTATTTAACGGAAAGTTAGAGTTTCACGTACTCGCTGCCCGTACAGAATGTGGAAGCATCGCTAGCGAGCCAAGTGATAACGCCTCGTAACTCGTCAGGTCTTCCGATCCTTCCCATTGGATTCAAGTTCGACCATTTATCCAGCAAAGTAGGATGTTTGTCCAGGTATTGCATTGTTAACCTGCGCAAGTATGATGAGTAACGCTGTCAGACATCTACTACAGATGCACTCACGCGGTGAAGATATGTCCAGGGGAAAGGGAATTGACCCTGATACCTTCCTTGCCGAGCTCGCAAGCCATGCTCCGAGCCATCTGTAAGCAGGCGGATTTACTGGTGTTGTACGAAACCCAAGAATGCCCCTGAAGAAGATCCGTGAACATAAGTCACTACGTATCGCGGAAGCGAAAAGAGAAAACATTACGCGATTTGTTAAACTTCCGCTCATGGAGGCGACCAAGATTATACTGCCCGGTATGCCGAAGCGCCTCATTTGGCGACCAGCAGCTTGGGCGGTGAAAAGGACGCCGTTTGTGTTTACGTCCATGACCTGGAACACCAATCGTCAGTCTCGTCGGTTCAAAAAATTACAAGGAACTTACTTTTCGGAACTCATCTTCAGGATACTCCAGGCAGTCGATATGGTTCATGAGAATACCCGCAGCAGCGACACAGACGTCGACTCGTTTCTCTTTGTCCCCAATCTCTTCGACGGCCGCCCAGACGCGTTTCTGATCGGTGACATCGCAGGAAACGTACTCAAGCCGGGATCCATGATCCATCCTAGCAACAAAGTCACGAGCAGCTTGCCATTCTGCACAAGATTCTTTTGGAAGGTCAAGACAGTAGACAGCGCGAGCCCCAGCTTCGCAGAGCGCCACGGCCATCTCTAAGCCTAGCCCACGATTACCACCAGATACAATAGCGACCCTGTCTGCTAAAGTAAACTCGTCGAAAATTTTAGGGCGCGCGGGGATGGAAGGATCTGCAGCTGCCTGCTATCGCTGCGTCTACACCTATAGGTGCTAATGGGGACACCGATTGTACAGGATAGCTCCCGCGGAGCAATCTGGATGTAGAAAATGAGGCAGAACCCAGTCGAGATGCTGCCGCTCGAGAGAAAGTGGTACGTTGCAATCTGAGGATTCTGGAGACAGAGGCCATTTTTGTTGGGAAAGGAGCTGTATGGTCTAACGTGGATGCAGGGATTTATACTGAGCACTTGTTTATTTGTCCCGACGGATGGTACACCTGACCGACCATATTGATCGGCATAAAAAAGCACAAGACTCGCAACGTACGGAAATTGACAAGCACGCCAAGCGACGCCGTAGGTTACACATATTATGGTCCGTCGTGTTTGAAGGGGTGCCGTCGTGTGATTGAGATCCGAAATCCTTCATTGAATTCAACTGTCGACTGTGGTCCAAACCCGTAGCGTGTCTTCATTACCCTCTAGCGCTGTTATCAGCTGTTCCAGACCAGATGCAATCTCATCTGAAGGGTCGATTCTCTCCAAGGGACTGTATACTAGCTCGCTCGCCAGCAGTTCGCGGCATTTACCGGACGACGTAACTGCGCCCGTCAGTCGGGATAACGCTACGGGATCACAAGTGAACTAGATGGCAGAAGTCAGATGGCGAGTAAGAATCAGATTCAAAAAAGTGTGGGATAGGTACCATTAATTCAATAGTGCTATCATCTTCCCCGGCTGATTCTTCAAAGTCCAACGCGCCTTCATCCAAAGCAAGCTCGACTAGCTTTTCGACGGCGTCCTGTGATGCCGGTCCGCGATCTATAGCCACCCTGACAATGCCTCTGCGTTGGAACATAAAGCCGACCGGAGCTATACGTGAGCTGGCGGAGGAAAATGAGCATAATATAAGGCCGGGAGAAGGTACAGGACCGACCCTGTTCGCATGCAAGATCTCCCGTATTACTTGCACCGTTCTTGTCGTATTGTCGCTGAGACATTCACTTTTTGTCCCCATTTTCAGAGCAAGTCTCTGACCAGGACATACAATACGCACATGATAACGCCCACAGAGCCAAAAGCCAAAGCTTCATAGGTGATGGCCTCACCACCCTTATCCTTGCCTCTCGACGCCTGGAGACGGGGATAAAAACGCGCCGGCGAAGCCAAACTAGAAGATGCTCACCCTTGCCAAGGTCCTCTCGATATTATCTTTCGGAACATCTAATTCCTTCAGTCGTCGTAGAGTGACAGCTAGAGTGAGATTCTTTTCTGGGTCAGCTGATCCACCAGCTAGAGACTGTCAGCCCACGATGGGAGCGCCGAGAGACGTTGACACACTTCTGACGGCAACCAAGATGTCCTTGTATATTAATTCCTAGTTCTAGTGAACAGGAAGGCAGCCAATATGAAGAACACGTACGCGTTGAGCACGGCTGATCGTAGCGCTTTTCGATGCATCGTTTGCACCTTTCTTCTGTTTGATCTTCGACCACTAGAAAGGCGTCAAACCTGGCACGACTGTGAAATAGCGACAGCCTTACTTTGTTATGGCCAGCAAGGCTCGCTGTTGAAGTCGAAAAGAGACGACATGGGAGAATTCGAGGAAGGCGAAGCATGAGCAAGCAAACAGACCTTCGAATTTATTTACAGTCAGATCGGCGCTTACAAAAAATTTCGGCACGGCCTTAGTAGATTTTATGGAATTACAAGTACTTAACAGGTGTGTATACAAGTACATTGCGACATATAGCTACAATGCTACAACGATTAAAAGACGCAAGGCAAACACTTACTTGCATGCCCAGGTTACGACGCTGCATTTTCTGCCGCGCGAACAGCGGCTGCAAGGTCGAAGTGGAAGAAAGGCGTCTCTACAGGTAACAGAGGAGCGAAGCCAGGCGGGACTTCCTGAGTCGTGGACCCTTTATCTCCTCTTTCTATGTCTTTTGGATCCGGCTCCAACGTGATATTATCCCTCAGGCTGTCTCGATAAGGGACAACTGCGGCGATCTCCTGTGGAATCTTGGACGACGGTGATCCCGTTCCCAAAACCGCCGGCCTACAAGGGCCCGACGTATCCAGGGAGAGAGAATCGTGGCAAAGTGGAACTAGCGTTGTGTGAGTCACGTTTTTTGCAAGAAGGGAAAGACGTACTTCCACAGAGCGATCCGCCCATCGTTCTATTTCGTTACGGGTATCGATTAAGGACTGGACGGCAGTGGTGTCTATTTGTGAACTGCGTTCAATGTTTCTATTAACGACACATCACAAGTCAAAGAAAGTTCTAACTCACATGCCAGAAAAGTCGAGAACGATGACTCGGAGCAGAGGAAGGTTGGTGTTGGCTTCATACTCCGCATTTGTACCCCGGCGAGGACCAGGATCGTTCCACGCCCGGTCCTTGCGCTTGACTACGCTCATATCTTTTCCTCGTCTAGTGTTCTCCTTGACATAATCCACAAGAATTGAATCTAATTGTGCGCAATTGGGATAGAGATAGCTCTCTTCAAGGCGGTATATGATAACACCTGGAGAAGGGGGGATAACTTTGACCTGGGTATTGGTCACACTGTCTTTTGTGAGGGGAACAAAGACCTCGCGAGGATCCTTATCTTCGGAGACTCCATTATGCACCGTTACTTTGCCAAGGAAGTAGCCTCGTGGGTGAGCAACGCGGACGAGAAGAAGTACAAGGGAGGCGCAGATGGATGCATAGATACCGTTTTCGATAGACGAAAAGATTGTGATGATCACGGCTGCGAGCCAGATTATGAACTCCATGGGTGACACGCGCCAATAAGAATACACCTATTGTTGCAGGTACTCAAAACGGTGATTCCTGCAATATATTGTGAAACTCACCTGCTTGGGAGTCGCTACTAAATCCGCTACGGCATGAATAATAACAGCAGAGAGTCCTGCGGTCGGAATCCAATAGAAAGCCGGTGTTACGCCGTATAATGCAACAATCACAACTGCAGCCGTGACTATGCCACCAGCAGGGGTTCTGACACCAGATTTGGATTGCAAGGCAGAACGAGAGAATGATCCCGTTGCAGGATAAGCGGCAAAGCATGACCCCACAGTGTTTGTGACCCCGATGGCAATGAGTTCCTGGTTGGGGTTAATTTTGTAACCATTCAATCGTCCAAAAGCTTCAAATGAGGATGTTAATGCCCATGATCTGAAATATGGTCATTCAAATTTCAAACTCACACTTCGCGATCGCTATGTGCTCCAGTAATAGAATGATGACTGCAATGGGAAGCTGCCCCGCCAGAGCAGTGACAAGTTCGGGGTCAATGACTGGCTGACCGACGTGCCGAAGACCGCCCGGTACATCCTTCAAGATTTTAATGGGATAGCTACCGCTGGCGCTCTGTCGATGCCTCGTATACAACCACGCCGCAATCGTCAAAATCAGGATGACGAATACATTCCTGAACACAGAGATGAAGAACAAGATGCGTGCTCTGCGGGGAAAGCGCTTCGCGAGACGATCGCATGAGAAGCGGATGATATACAATGCGACAAGTCCAGGTAGTCCCCATGCGGCATCAAGTTTCGTTCTTGGAAGCCCTTTCAGAGTGTTGATGATTACTTCGTAGGTTGCGGCTCGGGTGCTAGAAATTTCAACGATAAAAATAGTCTCAAGAAGACGGAAAGGCCATACGTACTCAAAACCAGAAATACCCATCAGACCGGGAATCTGACCAGAGACGATACTGATAGCGGATCCGGTCATGAACGCACTTACAGCAGGCGCCGGTATGAACTCAACAAGCCAGCCCAGCCGTAAAAGGCCAATGCCCAGAACAATGAAGCCGGCGATAAACGCGACAGTGGTGGCTATCTGCGGGCCCTCCCATTTACCGGGATGTGCATCATCGACGTGCTTGATAATTTGGGACACAGTTAAAGACATGACAGCGACCGGGCCAATGGATACATCTTTGGACGTCGCGAAAACCTAAACGGAGTCAGAAGAAGTGTATAGATAGTCGGAAGAGGTTCGTACACAGTATAACAAAACGCCAATGAAAGAAGAGTACAATCCGTACTCCGGACTTAGAGTAGCAATCTACGGATCAAGAATCAGATGTCGAACAAGTACTCTATGCGGACAGAGTCACCTGAGCGTAGGACATGCTTTGTGGGACGAGAACAATGCCCACAGTGAGGCCAGCAATAACGTCGCCCGTCAGCCATCCCAAATCTATTCTCTCGTTTAGCGATATGATATTTGACCAACTTGGAATTGTAGCTCACTGTATCTAGTTATCCACCCAAGTATTGGGAATAAGCTGGCGATGTACTCCAGGATCTGGAATGGATAATTTCAGCGCGTCCAGGACACAGAATAGCGGATACCGACGCGTCGAATAGGATCCTGCGTGGCTTGGAGGACATAGTCACGCGCCGAAATGACGGGGACTATCTCCTCAGGATATCCAACGATTCTTTTGCCCAGTCTTTTTGCTGTACTAGCCATGGAGTGACTGGTGCCAAGATGATAGCTGCTGCATGTCCTGAATCTCCCTTATATACGGATACATGTTGGTAGCGTCCCTGTTGCTGGAAACCTTACTGTTCCTGCCTCAGGAAGATGCTTCTGTCTGAAGAATACACATGCGGTGGAAGACATACCCGTTAGACTCGGTAGAGCTGAAAAAAGAAATAGATACGCACGAAGCCTCGAACATGCTGCAACAGAAAGATGCGATAAAGGAAGTGTCGTGCTGAGGGATCACGAGCGCCGTTAGTAAACCATTTTTCGCAGTGTGTATCGATCGGAAATCGCGACGCTGATGTGATCACAGCGAAGAAGCACGCGATGTAAAGTTCGAATGATATAATTCGTCGCAATTTACCTGCCAAAGCCCACATGGAATCCGGAAAAAAAGGCTGCGACCCATGGGTATGATAGCATCTACCCTTAACAAGGCCCTACGCGGAGGAAGAAGTCTGACAGTGATGCATCTGTAGTTTACTGAGAGTTGACATTGTCCGCAGTTTCCATCAATCACAAGTAACGTTTGTCGTTCGAGGTTCCGTTCGAAATTCGATGCAAGTTCCAATGTTGAGATGTCTCTGATCGACGCTGCTAGTCATGACGTCACACATGGTCAGGAAATAAGAGTAAATCTTGAGTAAAAATCAGTAACTATAGCGTACCCGATCTAAATTGACTGAATTTTACAGCCAGTCCTTTGTTGTACAGATATATAAAGCCAATAGAAAGAGAAGAATAACAACCCCTGGCAAAGTTCTCCACAACGGCCGTGCCCTGTTTTGGTCAAAGGAGTGAAGAAATATACAATGTTGCAGGCTGGGTATCGATAGAGAAAGACAGCGCGAAAAGAACCAATTGGACACCGACCACACAGCGTAACATGAAAACTTCGGCAGTAGAAAACGAGCGTCACAGATAGCATGGTAGGAGTGGGGAAAAGAGTGGCGTCATGAAAAGTCGTGACAGTTTTAAGCATGGAATGCGCCCATGTTTTGTGGATTCTGAGGGTAATTTTGATACATGTATGCTTGATAGAGCTGGGGAGGCATCGTTTGTGCCGGAGGGACATTATAAGTGGGCTGGCCCATGCCCATCATGCCGCCACTTTGACCACCGAGGTTGGGGGACTGTGCACTATAGGTTGAGGCCATGCCGTTACTCCCGCGCTGTAGTCCAGCTCGAGAATTCATATCGTTCATGTCTGGGGATCGCATCCCGAAAGGATTGAAAGGGTCGGTAGATGGAGAAAAGGTGTTAGAGGCACTGGGAACACGGCGTAATCCTGGGGAGTTGGAATTGCTGTAACCAGGATCGACGTGGAGCTGCTGAGGCCCTGCCTGAGGATTTTGGCCACCCATCTGCAGCGCTGCCATCATAGATGCCAACCCTTGATCATTGGACGGATACCCAGATGGAAGTCCTGTCATTCCGAATTGACTCTGTGTAGCACTTTTTGGTTTCCCTGACGGAGGCCCGCTGCTTGTGTATGTGGGCTGGAAATTCGGAATTGGCAGACCTACTTCTTCAATCAACCTCCTATATGCCTGGGTCGCAATGACTTTCAGCTCGATTAGGACACGCTTCGTTGCTTCGATGTATTCGTACTTCTCCAACTGGTCGATGAACGGACTGGTGATGATTTTGTGAACGACCGCAACCCCATTGACCTGATCGCCGAGTACGTCCGTCAGGACATGATCACCCGGGGAAGAAAAGAGAGCTTCTACGATCTGTCTAGACGCGTCGGGCTCAATCTTTTGGTTAACGATTCTGAGCACCGTTAGAGACGCGAGTTTGTGGGTGCACAGGTGCGACAGATGAGGGGTGAATCGAGGAGCAAGAAGGTTGTATCTGGATGGGAAACCAGAAGTATCCAAGAGCCAGGTCAATAATAATGCACCGTTAGGGTTAGTCGCCAGCGGAATCGAATTGAGGATAATAGCAGTGGCGATCCGGCGCTGCTGGCTCAAAGTGATGTGAGGGCTTTCCAGGCATGCTCGCATGCTGCGGGCTCCGAAGCGACCTTGTGCAACTTCCCACATGCGGTCCACAATAGCGTCAAAAATAAAGTCGTTAGCGGGGGCGCCGAATCGCAGACAGCATCTGATTGTTTAGTTTCATCAGTCAAAAAAGAAAACGTCCCAGATGACGGAAACTCACTGAACGACATAGTTCCCAAACTGATCAAGAAGGAGTGGAGGGGCATAAGCCCTCAAGTTTTGGGCAATTAAGGCAATCTCTTCGGGCGTTTGAACGCACTCAATAATCTTCTGCGCCGCCCAAGTCCCATTCTTATGAATTCCAATCATGGCGAGATTCGGCGTGATACGTTCGAGCATAGAAAAGCGGGGTACGGGAGAACATCTCTCGAAAAGCTTCTGGACCACCTGCATCGATTGTAAGCTTCACATTGCCATCAGGACCTCCGACACATACCGTGTTACCAAGCCAGTCAGAGGCAAGGTCCACAATCTCGCCATCAAGGAAATCGGTAGCGACAGTATCTATCTCTTCAGTGCTCATGGTGCCTGAGTCCAGACGTTTGCGCAGCTCGCGTAGTTTGGACGCGTCCCACCGTCTGTTGTTGGTTCGTTCCGACACAAGCGGGATTGTCGTATAATACATGGTCGGCGGTCGGAATTCTGTGTGACAAGATTAGCATTAGGTAGTATGTAGTTCAAAGACGGGATCAGTACCGGCAAGGGCTTGAATATCAGCCTCCGCGTCACTACTACCGGCGCTGAGTTCCATCATGATCATCTGTTGTTCGGTTACCGCTGGTGTCCAACCGGCAGGTTTTGGTAAACCGTCCGACATGTAGGCAGCCGTATGCGAGCCTGTACCGATCATACTGAGTAGAAGATTTGATCGGTAATTCTCGACGGCACCGCTCAAAACTTGCTGGTCGGCAGGAATCGTGGACGCTCCTTTCACCATGCGAAGGGCTTGAATAGTCGCATTGACACTGAGATCACCAACACCTTGAACAGTGACACAGCCATTATCATCGGGCCCACCACCCTCTTGTCCATTCTTGACGGGAACCTTGGCAAATCCAATGCGGATGGCGCCGACGTCACTGCCCAACACATCACGACCATTCAGTGCTTTTCTGGCACGTACAGCATCATCCAGTCGCTCGAAATTGACTAAATATGGAGTTAGTTTCGCCACACTTCAACGTAGATGGTGAAACTCACTGAATCCACAGTTCTTGTGGGTCAAAACTCTGGCGGATTCAATGGGACCATAGGGACTGAAAACACTGAGAATTGTCGCTGGCGTAGTAGTTGATGGGATGGAACCAATCCACAAGGCTCTCGTAGGAGTAGACTGCAGCTGAGCATCCATACCTCCCATACCAATGTTTGCGCTGGCAGATTTTGCGGCGCCTCCAGGAGATGTAGGTCCCGGACTAGCAGGAGTACCCTTTGCCGGAGCAACAGGCGCGCTTTCAGCCTTTCCGAATCCAATACGCACAGTCTGACCGTTCTGCATGCCAATATTCCCACCAAGACGATTAAGAACATCTTCTTTAGCGCGAATGGCATCAGCCTGGTCCACAAAGTTGACAAATCCACATTCCTGATATTGATATTAGCTAGTGGAAGTAATGATATCAGTAAACAAACCTTCTCCGGAAGCAACCTAAGGCTCTCTATGGCGCCGTAAGGAGCAAACACATGAATGAGCTGCTCGCTCGTCACGGCACTGTCTAGATTGCCGATCCAAAGAGAACGTGTAGGCGTTTGGATTTGTGACGATGGAGTCTCCGATTTGGGCGAAACGGATCTATTTTGCGCACCTGGGGCGAGTAGATAGGCTGAAGCGCGGCTGGGGGGTGTCTCACCACCATTAGGGAAATGAACAGATGGTCCGACTCGAGAAACCATGTTCTTGTCAGCTTTCAAGATACCAGCCGGGTTTCCAATGTTACTAGACACCACGGACAGTCCCGAACTCTGATGGGTGAGCTCATTGATGTAGGATTGGGCGTCTACTACCCCCGCACGTCGCTGTAAAGAAAGAAGGGGGTCTTCAAGTGTGCCCACGGATATTGCTCGGGGTCTGGTGGGAGCTACAAGATGATCCGTCTGCTTAAAGCCTTTGGCGACATAAGATGCTGAGTAAGAGCCGTCGGTGCCTTGGGAATCATAAGACGTAAGCGGTGGACGATTGAATGCCTGTTCATCATAACTGTCCAGGTATTCCTCTTCCTCTGCTGCCGAGGGAGTTGTCAAAAGAGAGCCCGCAAGCGATGGCCTTGAACGGTAAGGATTCGAAACGGTACTGGCTCGTAACCTCGAAGGATGGCCAGCGAGGTTACCAGCAATAGCAGCTTGAGCCTGATGACGCAACTCGGACATTGTAGCAGCTGGAGGAGGACGATGACCATCATCCAAGCCCAAATAGTCCAGAGTGTGCACATCAAAGTCATCAGCACCTGAATCTGCAGAGTTGACGGAACGCAACTCGTCCAAGACTGGGAACCCATTGCCGTTGGTCGACGACAACCACGACGAGGAGAACAATGATGGTCCAAACGCGTTCTGAAGACCACCTGCAGGGAGTGTTAGTGACTCGGAACGAAGACGGCTGTTGGTTGGAACGCCAGTTGCGACAGACGCGGAGTGTCGCAGACTTGGACGGGCAGGTGCTACATTAGTGGGAGTGGCAGGAAGCTGGCGCTGAGGCTGGTCGATAAGTGATTCACTGGAAGCAGGGAGACTGCTCAGAGAGTTGGAGGCTGCGGCAAAGCGCTGGGCGGCGAGTTGGACGTTGGAAGGTAGGGTTCCAGCCCTGGCCCTCCTAAAACCCTGAGGATATGTCGTAGGAGGAGGCAAAGTGCCACTGTCCACTGGAGTCGTGACAGAAGGAGAAACCTCATTAGGAGGAGATCCACCTGAAGCAAGGGCGCGCAACGCGGGTGGCCTATACCTGCCCCCGGCCATTCTTTCCTCAGCCTCTCGTGCTCTACGCGACCAAATAAGATACTGGAAAGGAATGAAGAAAAAACACGCACCGCTTAGCATAAGCAGCTGAAGGTGCTGGAGGTGGTGTCTTCCCAGAGGGAGGAGCCCTTGAATAGGAGCCGTTGCTGTCAGAGGCTGATAATGACATTATACGTTTTTGAATGAAGAACAATTAGGGATTACGAATGTATTGGGCAGACGCTTGGCAGTCTGTATAGAGGACCGTCAAGGAATAGAGCCAATTAGGTGGGAAAAGTCGTCCGAGTAAAGGTGAGGACGATTCCCCGTCGTGAAACCTCTCTTGGGTGGTAAACGTTAAAAATGGCGACGAAAACCAGATTTTGGGGGTCGAGAGAGAAACAGACAAGAGAAGCCCAGGACTACTATGATAGATGCCTCCAGAAAATAGTACTAAGTAATAGTAGTGAATGGTGGATGGGAGCAAAGAATCCACCCAAGCTCTTTGCTCACGGTTCGAACTCCGCCGCCTTTCCCAGCTGCCACCGGCATCCGGCGGCCCTATATAGTCATCTTTTTCGAATACAGGTCTAGCACAGTATTCGCCTGTTACATTGTTGTTATCCCTGTGTATTATTTTGCTGTCCTTGTGAATTTCCAGTATGCTAACCACCAAGTTGCGAACAGCCTTCAGCTTCAGTTTCGGCCGGCTCAAGGTTTTCATTTGACTACTCCCCGCAAATTCCACATTTTCACTACGCCAAAGCTGTTACGTGGTAGCGTAGGGTCCTTTTACTGTTGCAAGTGCCCCAAGTTTGCTGTTGCAAATTGCTCGTTCTTCTACGAAACCGGAAGAATAGGATCTTTCAACAACGCGCATCATCCATGTGTTCGGCATCTACAGCCAGGTCCCCGTATACCATATGGTAATACTCATTGTCAGGCAGTGCCGTGTTGTTCCTTTATTAAATGCCTTGAAAGTCGGGACTATACAATGCTTCCTCGTTCAATCTGATACAAACAAATGTCTCCCTTGAAACTATGATCCTTGAGTACAGCCAAAATTCTCAGCATAACGTCTAAGTATTGATTTATGTAAATAATCTTCGTGGAGTATCACTCACCAAAAGATTAATCCTAGAACGATCACACCGATCGAATAGGCGACACCGATCCACGGATCCCGTCCTGGTCCACTGCTGTCTCGTGAAGTAGTACAGAAACAGCTAGTTTTCTATAGTACAGCTGCCTGACACAGAAGGCACAAGTCGGAATCTGCGGTCTCGGCATATTGATATTTCCTAAGTAGAGGGTCATGGAATGAATTTTTAGCGAGATTCGATGAACATCCATGCCTCCGCAGCGAGCGGTTTATCTCCCAAACTATGTGCCCGTCTCTAGCGATGAATCCAGACTCTGGAGTCACTGCATTTCTCAAGTACGTGTACCGGTGGAACTTGGATGAGCTGACAACTGGTTCAGCTGCTCATCGTAAAAAAGTTTCGTCCTTTCGTTGGTCCCGTATCAACACCAGGCTCTCTATAGTGTAGAAAGGCCATGTAAGTTTCGTATGAGTATGGAGAGCTCCTCCAGCCACGAACGGATGTCGTCGGTCATTTCTTCAAGTCACTAAGCTGGAATGGACGTCCCACGGAAACGGAGTGCAGTTTGCCGCTCCCTATTCAGGTGACAGTGAAGTCAGCCCCAGAGCTTCTAGCACGAAGGACCGCTGACGCAAAGCTGGATGGAGGTATTCAGACTACTTAGAGCGGGGATCAGAACTTCGATGGAGTAATAAACTGTGCTCCTCTCGCCACAGCGTAAGCAGTGTCAAAGTAGCCAATTGGTGCAACAGTGAATCGTGCGCAACCACCTGGTTTTCGAAGAGCTTCGACGTGGAGATCACCTTCGGAATGGTCCGACAAGGATGGGAAACCTTGAGTCAGTCTACCGGGAGGTTGAAAGGCTGCAGTACCAATGAAGAACGACTCCTTGAGAAAAGTACCGGCACCCAGCGAGGACCCAAGAGGTCTCAAATCCGTCGAGGACTAATCAGATAGTCCCCCTTCGCTTGCCAGTCATTCAAATTCATGATATTATTCTGTGGTCACTCGTCTTCTTGAAATTCCAGAGGTCCGGTAGGCTGTAGCATTCGTTTGACGGTCGTCGGCTCTGCAGAATGTGAAGAACCAGACCTTGGCCAATGAGAACTAGAACAGCGGGATATCTCCCCGAAGCCTGAATGAGTTTACACGACAGCCGGACCTGGCTTAGACGTCGACCTAGTAAGAACTATATGACTATGCCCTGATCTGTAGCCGGGACCGACACAAGTCTATTTCCCTCTCCAAAAACATATCTCTCGCGAAGTCTTGATTTGTTTAAACTCCGAGAATACTGAGTTCCGTTTCAGAAGCATGTACTATTAGAGCCTGAGTACTGAGTACTGATTAGTGACCCCGGATTGCAATCATTATGAGAATCTCCCAAATGCCGTCGTCGGCACAAGGCATAGTTGGACGTGCATCTTCCCCAAAGGTGCCTCCCAAGTCTCGCGTGCATGAGGCTTTACAGCAGTACCAGCGCTACGAGCTCGACAGCCAAACATAGTACCCAGAGTACCCAGACTTAATGAAGGAGGCGCCCAGTATCAGCATCAACAGCATCTGCATCATGTGGGGTGATGTAGAAGGTACAGAAGCAACTAGGGCGCCAAATTGAAGTGAGCACATGGTTGCTCGTACTCGGGGTTGCAATTTTCATAATTCATTGAATGGAAGACATTCGATACTTATAAGTAAATGTGGAAGAAGCCATGTCAAAACGATTCAATTTACAGGTATAGTACAAATCAGAGCAGCTGATATTACGATTTATTTCAATTGTCTATAAAACCCCACGGTCCTCCCTTCCAAGATAAAGCTAGAAAGACAAAGCCTCATAAGATACATGTAAGTAATATAGCGGCGCTGGCAACAGCGAGAACTACGATCCGCCCCAAAGAAACCGAAACGGAGCAAGGGCATAAGGGAGCATAGGAATCATAGAGCATATGAGTGAGGGGAGCGGGCGAACCTCGGCGTCATGTCGTAGAAAACCGTACTATGCAAAAAATAAAAGGCTGTATGCGTACTTGTTGAGTATAAGAGTGCTTGTCGTCGTAAGGTAAGAGGGGGGTTTGAAAGACAATAGAATCGAGAAAGTGAACAAGAGACGAAATATATCTGATACAAATCTAATGCAGTTGATTGGGAATTCAGAAGCGACACAATGTAGCAATGCGGAACGTCGATTCAATAAATTTAATACTCAAAGAAAACGAGTGGCGAGGTGGGGGGAATATAGAACGAATATCAGGATAGATTCCTGGATTCCCGCCTCCTCGAACGAGTCCGCGAGGCTATAGCCGCTACCCTCTTCGAACGACGTAATGGGCGGGTGTCCACATCTTTCGGCCGCTCCGGTTCTGGAGGTGGTGGATTTGAAGTTACCGGTAGATCACTGCTGGTCTCCTCTGCGTCCTTTTCCCATTCAAGATTGACACAAAGGGCGTGGAACATTTCTTGCTCTGTTGCACTGAGCGGCTCGTCATATTTGACCACGGCTTCAGCCTTATGCTCGTCGAGGACCACGTTTAATGTGGGCAACGGTTTCTCCTCCAGCACAACATTGAATTGGGTAGCAACCTCCCTTGCTTGCATCATACTAACAAAACCTTTGCCGAAACCGGGTGGTCGAGTCTTCCTGCTATGCCTCACGAACTCCCGTATCGCATCAGGGAACTGCTGATACAGGTCATCGCTGAGGAATACATCAAGAAGACCTGACTGAGACAGAGATGATGAGGACGTCCGTGTAGGTGTGGTAGGCGGAGACACATTGGTGACAGGATGATCACAGACATACGCTTGCGCAACATCAAGAGGGACCCACGTGCCTTGAATCAGCGGGGAACCTTTGGAAATGACAATGGCAGACGCTATAGTGCTGAGAACCGGTTGTGGCCCATGGGAGTACGCCGATATGGGGGTCAGATTGACAAAGTCCGTGTCAATCCTTCGGAGGACGGTGTATTCACCAATAGTCGTTCGATAAACGGAGATACCTGGATACTTACTTAGCTATGACACATCGATGATATGGAAAGAACAACGTACCCTCAACATCGGTAGCAAATATTTCCGGCACACACGGCTGACACGTCGTCACGACGACGACATCTTTCCCGCTCGCGGAGCCCTGAGAGGCACAACTAAGCCGTATGTCATTCGGAGACACACAGACAGGCAGCGGAGAGAAAGAAGCGTCTTCCATTTTGACTTCAGGCTTCACCTCATCCGGTGATAGTACAGGCGGCTGGGAAGTCATTTTCAAAGACGCAATGAGCGACGTAAGACTTTCGTCTTCCTTCACATCCTCGACTTTGAAGAAACCCCCAAGCGAAGCGACGGTTTTGGCGCGTGGTCGCAGCGTGGCATACTCTCTCGGATCATCTTCCATCCACGCCGACTCGCTGCCGCGACGGGGCATTGGCGAGCTGAGCTCATCGTAGTCGAATGGAGTAAACGGATCACGAAAGTCAAACGGACTTGCGATGGCCGACGTAGCCGATGTTGGGGAGACTAGAAGTTCTGCACCATTGCGCCAGGCCGTAAAAGACATCAAGGGTGCATTCAGATCGAGATTGAGATCGGGCGAGTCGACCTCCCGCTTGATGACGGTGTGATCAAGCGGCGACGAAGAGAGACGGTAACATTCACTGTCCCAATCACTACCCGGATCTTGAGGTTCAAACTTGACTGTGTTATCCTCATGTATGCGCCCGACGTCCATCAACATATGGGTGGCGGCTTCTCCAATGACCTGAGTAGCTTTGACTTCTTCAACCGTAGAGGGAGGACGTATGCCAGATGCATCAATGTCGTCCCAAGCATCAAGGATGCCCTGCACATCGCGAGGCTCTTGTTTGACAATGGAGGGAAGTAAAAGAGGAGGGGCAGAGAAGGGGGAACGAGGACCTGGTGATTCAAAGGAGGTTTCGGCATCGTTATCGTTGTCTTCAAAGTCGGAGTCAAAGTCCGATGAGGGATAAGCATAATTACCCTCTTCCTCATCACAAGACGAATTGATATAAGAGGAAGAGGTGTTCCGGCTGCCACCGAAGGTAGAAAAAGTATTATCATCATCCTCTTCTGAATCTGGAGGAGGCGATGCTAAAGAGTAGGGGACTGAGGTAGAGCGTCTGAATCGAGAGAAAGAAGAGGCGGGAGAAAATGAAGGATGGTCGCTGGATGGGGAGTACGGGGGTATAGAGATTGATCGTCGCGGATATGAATGCATCGACCATTCTTCATCATCGGCATCCTGCGAAGGACGAGAATCCTCGCCTTCTGAATCAGACTCGTCGTTAGAGTTGTCGTCGGACGAGTCGACAGGCATTTCATTATCATGTTCATCGTCTGAAGAGAGGGAGAGATCAATAATGTCGGCAGGGGGAGGCGGTGGAGGAGGCGGGAGCGACGGAGGGGCGACAAATGAAATACATTTCGCCAAAGGCTTCAGCCTGAGAGTAAGCTTGACCTTTGGAGGAGGAGCGGTTTCAGTCTCGCTAGGATCCGAGTCCTCATCGTCTGAAATTGCTGCGCGCACACAGCCTCTGGGTGAACGGCGCTTTCTCTTCTGACCACAGCGTTCTGAAATGGCAGCAGAGCTACGAGTCTCCCTGTTCCGCCTGGGGACCTCCTTGTCCTTGACGGTAGAGGAAACGTCGACATGGTCGCTGAGCCGAATTCCTGCTCTGGCGAAGGGACAGGGGGCGCCAGTGACGCGACTGAGGTACCATATCATAGTGCCCTTCCTGAAATTAGTTGATCGTAAAGGAGTATTAGGGTCGGAATGTATGTTTTGATGGGCACCGCCCGACTTTGAATGGAGGGCGGGAAGGAGGAGATCATCGGAAGGAGTTCCGGATAGAACATGCCGGAGGAGAAGAGGCTGATCCTGTTGAACCTCACAGCGATGTAGATGAGAACGTATGTAGGTCGTGATGGCCTGGGAGGCGGCAGAAACGCTGTTTAAAAAAATATAAAAAATAAATGGAAAGTGAGATCAGAGTCATGTTGGATGACATACTTTTGGCAGGCCAGACCCTGCGCCACACACATCTCGGCAAGGTCTTTGATCGTCACGGCACGGTTGTCCTGTGGAGAACTGATTGGAAATGGAACATTTAGAGAGAGAAAAGACGTACAACGGAAAGGAGCGCCCGCGCGATTGAATGAAAGACACGGCTGGTTGCATCGTCGGGATGGAGGACGACGTGAGGGGATGGGAAACGGGTCTCTGGAGCTGCTGGGTAGTCGTCCCGAAGGCCCGTCTCAGTGGCTGCTGGTGCTGGGGCAGGTCTGAGCTTTCGATGGGGTTCAGGAGACTGGCGAAGACGTGTCGAGGGCTTGATGGTAATGTTCTGGCGAATTCTGGTTGCATATGCGTGAACTGGGGCTGTAGTAGTCGCAGATTGAGTCATTTAAAGGTGGAAAATGCAGAACATGGGGGGGCAAGGACAAGAAGCGGTGGAGGTAAGCGTTGGTCAAGGGAAAAGCTGCGATTTCGTTCAGGGCAATCCATGTCACCCGCTAGCGTGCCCTTCTATATTAGGTCATCCATCACTCCCTGTTGCCACCCTGTCGGGTCCCCTGTCACTTTGGGTTTCGGGGTCCTTATCTCATTCTGGGCGTTTCCATATATAGATATCCGGAATAACATCAAGCATGACGACAATAACATACTAAAACTACAATAATAAAAATAAAATGTCGTCAAAAGTACCCATCTCCTCCCACACTTCCTTCTCAAGCCGAAGCCTAAGTTTCCACCGTTAATGAGATTCGTGTCTACACAGTTATCCCCTTACCTTAGCCCTAGAAGTCGGCTTTGATCGAACCTTGGAGGCGGCACCAGTCTGGTTCCCTTATATCAATCACACGCTATCATTTTAATCAGGCCACCCCTTACCTTTTTCGTCGCACCTGCGGTCTTCCTCGCTGCCGTGGGTTTCTTCGCTGTAACCTTTGTTCCAGTTATTGTCTGCCGAAAAGAAATAACGAATTAGTATACAATCATTCTTCCCGTCATTTCGACAAACCTTCTTCGCTGCACCCCTTTTGGATGTGGTGGCGGTCTTTTTGGCCGCTGAGGCAATCTTGGGCTTACCGGCAAGCACCTTCTTGGGTTCCGCTTTCTTGGTTGTGGTCTTAGCAGTGGCCTTGGTCGCAGTCTTGGTAGTTGCCTTAGCAGGAGCTTTCGTGACAGCCTTCGTTGCTGATTTCGCAGCAGGCTTCTTGACCGTGGTGGCTTTGATCGCGGTCTTGGGCTTAGCGTTCTGTAAAAGCATATCAATCTTTGGACGTTCCTAACACTCGATAAACAACAAACCTCCTTGGTAGCTGTGGATGCCTTCTTGGACGGGAGCTTCACCTTGCCAGAGAGTCCCTTGGGCAAGACAAAGACGCCGTTATCGGCTCCAGTACTGATAGCCTTCTTGAGTTGGAACAAGTTGACCCCTACGACTTCGATATTGTATCGGTCCTCGGCGTACTGCACATACATCAACACGACGCTACGACATACAGAAATGACTGCGTACCTTCTTAATGGTGCTACGAGAAACTCCCTGGCGCGCTTCCTCCTTGTGGTCAGTGATGCATGCCTGTTGCAACCATCAGTGAACATACTATCAACGATAGACGATTCCAACATCACTCACGGTAATGATATCCTTCCACGAGGGTCGGGTAGCAGTGGTAGTAGTCTTTGCTTTGGTAACGGTCTTCTTGGTCGTGGTGGCCTTCTTGGTTGCTGTGGCTTTCTTGGTAGTAACAGCCTTGGTGGCCCTGACTTTGGAGGCAGGCTTTGAAGCAGGCTTGGCGGCTGAAGCAGGTTTGGAAGCAGATACGGGAGTTTCAGCAGACATAGCAAGGGATATCTGGGTAAAGTCTTGATGAAGCTGGGGCGTTGAACTTGAAGGGGGTGATCTCGAGAACCTGAATTCTGCAGCGCCCCTTTTAAACTGGAACGCGTCTGACAAACAACGCGTAGTCACATGATGAGATAATCAGCGCGCTCAATCAACAAACTACGCGACGGACACTGCCACAGCTAATTTCCGTATTCAGGACGTTCTCCTATTCTTCATTGATCGGCCGTACTAGTTCCCCCAGATTCATAGTGACTCTATTAATATTGAAACTGTTTGTATACCAATCACAATACAAGGAATGATCCATTGGTCTGTACCCTCGCTCTGACACCAGCACCGACCCAGCCATCTTCCTCTTCGGTACTGCTTCCGTTACTTCCCCCGCTTCGTACATCCACGTAGTCCTCAACACCACCTAACAGCTTACCCACCGGTGGTCCGCGGACCAGGAGTGCACCCTCCGGATCACCGTCTTTGGCAATGTCTTCATCAGACACGCCTAAAAGTCGAGCTTCGATGTTGATGCTGGGAGGTCCCACATGCGCTGCAGGTGATGCGGCAGGGAAATCTTGAAGATCTAGGGGATGAGAAGCAAAAACAGGCGCTGCGACAAGTGGATGCGTGAAAGCATTGACAAATGCCGTCGAGAATGCGACCCGCGCCGGCGTAAGAAGGTCGGATAAGATAGGCCCTAAACGACATTTAGCGTACAGCAACATGACTGATATCGGACTTTTTACCTCCGCTTACAACAACTGCTGCAAGAGTGCCGGCAGCATCACCGATAACCTTCGCCCTAGCATTGTCAAATACGAGCCGGTCCCATAAGCTGTCTTTAGTCAAGAACCCTTCCGCGATCCCAGAAATTTTGTGTCTCCATGCGAATGGGTAGATCAGGGATGCTTTTTTCGCACGATCAAGAATGGAAGATACTAGGGTTTCGAGATGACCAGGTTTGATGAACAGGACAGTGGGAGAAGGAATTGGGTAATTTTTAAGAGTCGCGACATCCGCAACATCAGCTTTCGCAGCAGCTGAAAATGATTATAAACTTGGCGCTCCTCTGAAAGATATATATGGGACTTACTGTCGCTAAATGTAAAAAGCTTCGAACTATGCAGTGTCGCGAAACTAGTGCCTTCAAAAATGGCAGCATAAGCGATAGCACGACCGTATGCTGTACTCAGGGAATGTGCAGAAACAATAGTGTCCAGAGGCGAGAGGGGGTGGGATGCAGGCAGCAATGCGCGAATGGCCGCGACGCCTGCCGTAATATTCTCGTGGGTGAGTTGAGCCCCTTGCATCTGACCATTTCCATTGGCAAAGAAGGACACAGTAAAAACATCGCTGGGTTCTATCAAAGGACAGCCTTAGAATGTTCACACGATGACCAATAACAAGTTGCAACATACTGGGTACCGGACTAAGAATTTTCTCTGTCTTCACACCTTCGCGCTCGACGTCTTCCCATTTCAGAACCTTAACCTTACTCGCGACGCGAGCCATGGCTTGAGGGCTTGGTTCACCAACAATAATGATAGTGTGATGTTGGCCGCTCTCTCCCGCATCATAAATCAACTCGAGCAATTGAAGAAGTAACTCGGCATGGGTGACAATGACTGTGGGTGGATGAGATTCCAGGATTCCAGCGAGAAGGTTTGCAGCAGCAATTGTGAACGACGGAATGGAATGCATAGCAAGCGCCATGTCACTGATAATGAATTCTACCTCTTTGTGAGAAACATATAGCTAATGGGATCTAATGATACATACCAAGCGAGTCATTGAGTAGGAGAAGGACGTTAGATTCCTGGGATTGTATACCGGTCAATCGCAGTAGACCAGTCCCAAAAGCCGCGACGCGGTCTTGTAAGCCGGGGTTAGTAATCTAGCTGAGTATTAGACAAATAGCTTCAAAAGGGTACGAAAGATGGCACCTTGGTGTTCCAAAGAGTACGAGGCGCATCATGGTCTGGCTTGACCAGGTCACTGAGAATGTGTACATCCTTTGTGGGCCGCAGAGGAAACTTTTCATATGAAAATGTCAATTGCCACGTACAAGAGTGAACGACGGTCTGCGTACCCTTCCCATCAGTCCAGTCCCATAGTTCCTGTATACAGCACTTTCTCCCGGATTCCTGACACGAGCAACATCACTTTGGCGACCGAGAAGGATAGGGTGCACTAGCGGCTGAGGTTTGTAGAAGTTGTGCAGCAGAAAGACGGTTGCTGCAATGAGACCAAGCAGAACAGTCAGGTCGTCGGTAACCAAATAGTCGGAGATATCGACGCCCATCTTGAAACAGCGGTAAATCCAGCCAACGTAGGCTCGTCTGTACGATTTTCTCGCGTAGATGAGAGGCTGAATGTGAGAGTGTGAATGGACCCGAGCGGCCCTTTTGCGTGGTACGTGGTAGGTAACGACGGGCCGAGATTCCAAAAAGGGCCGACAAACTGAGCGATCGGCCAAACTGCACCTCTTCTTAGGCCTATTGGATCATTGACCTTGCCTTTTGCTTGTCACTTGTGCTGCTATTCACTCACGCAGCGAAATAAAGGCTGTATATTTCAGCCAGACTACTACTACTCGGCTGGCAGGCTATCCGATGACGACACTGCAGCTGGGTCCGTTCTCAGGATTCTCATTGGCTAAAACATGTCCTCTGTTTTCTCTGGATTCCAGTGTTGCCTCTGCCTAGGCTACAGCGCTTGATTGGTTGTTTACAAGACAGCGTCGTAAAGGCTCTGCCATGCTTCCCAACAGTACTGAGGGAACTACCCATTTTTGTCGCTTGCCCTTGGAACGGTCTGTGCACCATTGAATCCACGTGACCAATCTAGGGGTCTTGCAATCAACAAACGGGCTACTTTCAACCCACTTTCCCCCTTCTTCACCATTTCTCAAGTACCCGCCTCCTCCGTTATCGCCCTTACCACCATGCCTGCCGCCGTCAAGAAGTCTTCAGCAAAGGCTGCCACCAAGTCTGTCGCTGCAGCGAACAAGTCGGGCGCTGCAACGCACCCATCTTGGGTAGACATGATCAAGGTTCGCGTTGTCTTCACCTTCCTCCAGCGCCTCCTTTGCTCGGATCTTGCTCACTGCTAACTGGTACATCGTAGGAGTGTATCACTGCCCATCCTGAGGATGCTCGTGGCGGCGTTTCTCGGCCAACAATCAAGAAGGTGAGGCCGCACGAGGGTTATCGTCACCCAGATGTTGACAGATTTTCGTTCCAGTTCGTCGAATCCAAGTACCAGATTGACCTCAACAACACCGCCGCTTCACAGCTTAACCGTGCTATCACTTCAGGCCACGAGAAAGGCGTCTTCATCTTGCCCAAAGGTATGCCACTGTCGCATTGTCCCGATATGTGTCCGACGGATGTCCTCTTTGTTATAGGACCGTCGGGCAAAGTTAAGCTCGCCCCAAAAGTCCGTGCAGATGCTGCCAAGGAGGTATGCGTCTTCATGACGGTCATCATGGGTAAACGCCTGAACCACGTAACAGAACGCCAAACCCGCAGCCAAGAAACCCGCCGCCACTGCTGCCAAAGCCAAAGCTCCCGCCAAATCTACAACCGCTAAGAAGCCTACGTCCAAGACAGCAACAAGGGGAAAGGTCGCCACTACCTCCAAGACACCAGCCAAGACGGCGGCGTCTAAGACACCCGCTAAGACCGCTCGTACGACCGCCGCCGCTACCACCAAGACTGCTCCCGCTACCACTAAGAAATATACGTCCAACGCTAAGAAAGCTACTCAGGCGAAGAAGACCACCGCTGCGACAAAGAAAGTAGTCACTGCGAAGAAACCCAAGGTTGCAATCACGAAGAAGGCCTCTACGGCGAAGAAGGCTTCCACTAAGAAGGCTAGTCTTTATACATCCTACTTTAGACACATTGACTGAACGGATTGTATAGGCCACGGCTGCGGCCAAGAAGCCTACTTCCAAGGCGAAACTTGCAAAGCCCAAGGCTGACGTTCCCGCTTCCAAAGCTAAGCCTGCATCCAAGGCGAAGCCTGCGTCCAAGTCTGCCACTACCAAGAAACCTGCATCTAAGAAGGCGGCTGAAAAGGTGCAAGACATACTTCTTTCCCGCCTCCACTGCTGACATGCACACAGGCTTGATGAACATCATGTTCTGAAGCCTTTCATGTTCTCGGATTTCTGTAGTTGGAGGAATATAGGATTTATTTTTGTAGTGTATTTCTTTTCTCTTTTGTTCTATCTTATTCTATTCCAATGGCCTCTTGTACCTATCTTGGTTGTATTCTGTATATGTACGATGTCCGACCCAAGTAGCTTTGTACTACGTACGGATTTACCCTGGCTACCTTTTGTATATATTTGTATGCGCGATATTGGCGCGCCTCGATCATCTCTTGCTTTGACCACAACGCGTACGTTTTGAGAAATTCCATGGACAATACTCTGGGTACAAGAGATGTTGTTAAACAATTGCGATTGCCAGTGGGTGATATCACCACGCTGCTTGCTCTGCTCAGCGGCCCGCTCGATTGTTTGGGGCTGCTGCCTCCCTCGTTGAGAAAGTACAACGTTAACCCTCTTCCCGATGATGCTACCCAGGTGCTTAGGCATATATCTACCATCCAGCAGGCAATACTGCAGCACATATTCCCGACATGGGAGACAGCTCTCGCCGGAATCAGTGCGACCTCGATCCTGGAACAGTACTTCTGTCCGGATAGCTTCTCGTATGCTCTGTCATCATCGGGGGATGTTGCGCTTTCTGCGTATTCGACCATTCTATCTGTACCTCTATCGGGATATTCCATTCGCCTTTTGGAACGCCTCACAAAAGAGTATCCAGTCGATCGATTACACAGAGCTACCTTCTCCGGGAATGGCACTTCGAAGAAGGACGTGCTCTGGGAAGACTGCGTACGAAATATTGCTGCTGTCCCGGCAAAAGTGGCGAACTCTGCTGGTACAAACTCCATTCCTTCCTCGCTGGAGCAAGGGAATTACTTTACCAGCCTCTCTGTTCGTTGCGAAGCTCTCATTTCCTCGTTAGCTGCCAATGCTGAGCATGAAAGTGGTACGGCGTGTCTATTCTTTAAGGAAACTGTAATGTTGAAGCGCATGCTAGGTGTTGTTTCATCCGTTGTTTACCTTCTCGTCAAGATGGTGAATCTTGGCCTGCTTCCTTCAAGTCCCCCAACACTACCATCACAAGCATCCTTCTTTCTGGCAACGCTGCCGATTATCAGGAACCGCCTTGATGGCGGTGCGAGCGAGAACTATTCCAAGATTTGGGCTGAAGTCTTCCTCGGATTTCCGTCAATCGCATTGCAAACGGTATTAACATCCCTTTTTGCGTCGTTGAGACGCTTGGACGCGCCACTAGATGGGAGTGCATATCAAAGGGCTTGGGTCAAAAGAGAAGCGCTATTACTTGACCGGCTGGTTGGCCGGCTGTCCCCAGACAACGAGGAACTTTGTGAGACAGCGATTCCCGTCATTTTAGGTCGTAATTGGGATGAATCTTGTGCACGAATTTTCGTCTGTTGGGTGGCGGGTCCACAGACGCATGATATTGATGAGAACGGTGATACAATTCATATACGTTTTTGGCCCTGGTTTACTCATTGATTTTACCAGCGCTGGGTCACTTTCTGCAAGAAATTGTAGCGGTATGGTCTTCACCTGACCACGTCAAGCATTCACTTCTCGCTCGACACCAGTGTAAGCTAGATGTATTCTTTCGATGCTGATAGATCCGACTGAGCTGGATAATTACTTAGATTTCACCGCTCTTCTGGTCCTCACGGTAGCATACTTCAAACGTAACTCACCAGAAGTCTCCGGCTTAGCGCAGGGAGGAAGCTTCATCTCCGGCGTTAGCTTGTACATCGGACACATGGATCCCTCAATTCGCCGATGTGGAATGCTGGCTGCTGAAGTTGTTGCCGGTGCAGCCGGAAAGAAACTCAATTTCGATGATTGGGAAGGCGCTGGTGATGGAAAACCATGGGCTCGAGCTCTTCGAGACCTACTTCGCGAGCGTGCCGTGGACTTTAATACCTCCGTTCTTGAGCAGGAGGAACCACTTCCAACAAAAGAGACAGAGAAGCTCAGTGGGGCCTCATCGATACACGAGGAATCACCTGGCCATTCTCCGGTGTTACGCAGTAATGCAGGCTACGATTCTGATGACTCTTTAACTGGTTATGCATCCCCGGCTTCTTCGCGCTCTGCATCGCCAACACCATCCGAATTAGATGATATCGAAAAGGATCCCACGCTCAACGTTACCAAAAAGAAGCTTTCTAGACCCGTCTATCTTGTTCAGCTTGGGGAACTATTACGAAGTAGTGGGGTGCAACAAAGCGATGCGGCTCTTGAAGCTGACAGGATCGAAATGGCCCTCTCGTGCAGCGAAGGTCTCATCCGGAAAAAACAGTTTTTTGGCACAGAGCTAGGTCGGCGTTTGTATCACTTCACACTTTGAAACATGAAATTCATGCTCAAGATAGAGGAAAATGCTGCCAACCTGGCGTATGGTCTTATTGCACTTAATAATACCTACAACTTGGAGAACTTCGACGCACGTCGACAAAATGCTCTTGTCGCTCTCGTCGCCTGTTGTCCCCGGAAGACTGCACCGTACGCTGGTTTTCCACCAAAATGTGCTCCTCTGATACTTTTGAATACAGATGCCTAGTCGATGAGTTTTTCAAGAACCAGTACAACGTCGGTCAACGGTATGTCATGCTCAATGCCTTAGCACTAGGTGCCAGAGAAACAAGCGGATTGGCGCATGCACCCCTACCCCAATTTCCAAGCAAGCTGCTACCGGCATCGCTTCACAGGAAATACATTACAAGCCGGGGTCCTGAAACGAGCATATTACCGGCCATCATGGGAGACCTTACTCGACAAGCTATTCAAAGCAGCAAGGACAATGTGGGGGAGAGTGCGCCTACCCTTGTTCGCGAACGACGGTTGCGCATACAGAAACCGCAGATGGTTTCCGAGATCAGAAGACCAGAGCGCTTGAACGAACCAGCACAACGCAATGCTGTTAAATTTACAGAAGTCGCTGCGGAATTCTTCGTAGGGCCACTTGTCAACCGATTTTGGCTTTTCCTTCGAGACGAGCAGATGCGGGAAGAGCGAACTGCACATTTGAAAGGAAGACAGGCGTACTATGGCGCTGGAACGGGTCTTATTCTCAATTCCCTTGTGCTAAGTTATTTTCTTAGTACACTGGGCGTCTTGCTTCATGCCTCAAGGAATGCTCCAGAATGGTCTGCGGTCTTAGGGCCCGATGCTCTGGAGCTGGCAGTAAACATCGGAACTCGGCCAGTTTCTCGAATAGAAGATGAAGGAGAGTTTGATGGCGGTGAGGGAACGAGGAACCAAGAGGGTGGCGGACCAATGCAGAGGGAAGCATCGGTTCTTCAGTCTGCATTGGAATTGGCCCTTGTGATACTTGAAGGATATCAGGAGCTGGATGAAGGGAAATCCCTGTGTTTAGAGCACACTGCACTTCTTTTTGGCGTGGGGGAGTGGGCAGGTGCCGTGTTTTCCCGACTGGACAAAGGGGAAAGGGTCCAAGGTGGTGGTGGTGCTTCGGAAACTGGTCTACAGCGAGCAGCGGCGGGAGTCCTCCTCAAGGCTGATAATATTACCAGCAAATGGCGTCGGTCCATGATAAATACAATATAATTTTAGTGCTGATAGTAAATGTGACAATTCTCGTGATCTGATTGGCGGGAGGGACTCGCACCGACTAGCCACGTGGAAAGCCGAGTATCACCAGAGCGCCAGTTGGAATTCACGACCACCAATGTTCTCCAGATTAGCTCTGCGACTGCCTGCACGCCCGCTCGCGCGACGGATATCAACGACATGTCCTCGCCAATCAGATGCTCTATTTGTGGTTCGTAACTAAATTCTGCTTTTGTTTTCGTATATTGAGCCCTCATGACAGCATCGGGACACACCGTATAACAATCCCAAGGCATGCATTCTCAGCAATTCACATCCAAAACGATTCGACTAAGTCCATTGAAATAGATTGCATTTGAATTCAACGCCGACAACCTGACGCGAGCGAAAGAAATCATTGCCAGGTACCCACCTCAGTACAAGAAAGCGGCGGTAATTCCCCTCCTAGACCTCGGACAGCGACAGAACAAGGGATGGACGAGCATCAGTGTCATGAATTATGTGGCAAAGCTCCTCGAAATGCCGCCTATGCGGGTGTATGAAGTGGCTACTTTTTATACCATGTTCAACCGGTGCGTACTTTGTCTTGCATTCTGGCCGGTCCAATCTCAAATCCTCTGTAGTGAACCGATAGGCGAAAACTTTGTTCAAGTTTGCACGACGACTCCTTGTATGCTGCGCGGTTCGACCGACATCCTGAATACCGTATGCAATCATCTCGGAGGTATACATCCTGGCCAGACGACAAAGGATGGCAAGTTCACAGTGGTCGAAGTGGAATGTCAGGGCGCCTGTAGCAATGCACCAATGATAGTCGTTGGTGACGATTTCTACGTCAGTGACAGCTCAATAGTTCAATTTTGCCTTGCTAACGTGTTTTCTAGGAGGACTTGACCCCCGAATCCACTAAACGTATTTTGGACGCCTTTGCTAAGGGTGAAAAGCCTAAAGCTGGACCCCAGAGTGGGCGTCAAACAAGCGAAAATTCGGCGGGCCTGACAGCGCTTACTACAAAGGCATGCACAGAAATATCTGATAGCTAACTACGCTAATTGTTCATTTCAGCCATATGGTCCTGGAGAGTTCTGCTCCCCTGAGTTTCAATGAATGTCCAGGTGTCATTAATATATACGGAAAGTCCTAAACCGAATGTCCTTCCATTGTGTGATTTCATGGCAGTGTTTCGAACGCCGTTGTCAAAGCATTGGTATCTCAGTCATCTCCTTCACCGTCGTCATAGCCGTATACTCCCTCCCCTACTTCAGGAAGTCGAGTTATCATAAATCTAGAGCCGACCATGAGAAATCAGCCGATTCCATAATAAAGAAGCTTACGCGATTTCTTCCTTCAGATCTTGGCAGTATGTATCTGCGAAGAGTCAGTTAGAGAAGCAAGATAATGAAGTCACACATACCGAGAGGAAGATCAGATTTATCTGTTCCTGTTGAAGACGTTGCGTCAAAGAGAGACGGCACCAGATCAATTGCATACTCACCAAAGGGCATTTCAATTTCATCAGCAATACCCTCTATGCCCATTAAAGTGAATGCAACAACGGTGACGATGGGTATCATAGTCCAGCCAAGGTCATTGACCATGGTAAGTGGCAAGGCAAATAGATAGAGGGTGACACATTGTTTTAGATGAATTCCATCTAAGGGAGAGATAAGAAGACGAATGAAACACAAAAGATACACGTACAAGAGGGCGGAATTGGGGTATTCGCAACACGCTCCATAGTCGTCATTTGGTCGACCATGCTCTGAATTCTGTGATTGTCGCAATATAAGTCAGAATCATTCAAAGATTGCGAGAATTTTACAATTGAGTCATCGCATTTGTACCTGCGCCAACGTTAGTCAAGATTGTGATGCTTCCCTACAGTCAGACAATTCACCTGCTGGCCCAACAGTTTCTAGCAATCCGTCCCGACGAAAACGGAATATCATTCGGCCTAACTCATGGGAGATACTACGCATAGTCAGCCTAAGCACGGTCAAAATAATCGATCGGGCACTAACATTAATGGAAGAGGAAGAGAGGTCTCCTCGGCAAATTGAATTGATAATAACGGTGTCGTCTGACTGACAAGGTTCGGCTTGCTACGCTTCACACGCACTCGCTTTGTGGCATTGGTTCGGTCAAGCGACGCCATGCCGCTGCTACTATCACTTGGCGACGGCGATGAGCTACGCGTCGCAGAATACGCATCAGAACGATACCCCATATCTTCGGCTTGGAGGAATGAAGGCGGGAGCAATCCACGATAGTCTTCCCAATTGATGCCATCTTCTCCACGAAGGTAGTGCTTAACTGCATAAGCAAATGCTAGACATAGACGCAATGCATCTGCTTTCCTGCGTTCCAACTGTTTGGGTGTGATGGTTTTTGTTTTTCCTTTGATAGAAATCTCTTGGTCTGAAGGTGGAGGCGCAACATTCACCCAGATCAGACGGGAAAGATTTCGGATGTTGGATGTCATGGATGCAAATGACTTTCGGCCTTCCCAGTAACGATCATAAGAAGTGCTTTAACCTCGTCAGCAAGCAAAGAGATGCAATTGAAAGGCAGAGAGTACCCATTTCTGAAAATGACAATGAGAAAGGATGAGCTCTGAAATAAATACGCGTACTAACCTGAATACCAGTATGAGGCCAACCTTGAGCGGAGAGGTCAAGATATGTACATCTGTAAGAGCACGCGCGAACTCACGACCACGGATAGCAAGGGAACAACAGAGTTCGTAAGTTGGACCCGATGACCCTTGGTATGTGCATAGGCAACAAACGTCGCAAAAATCGTGACAGTTAACACGGGTCCCCAGATACGGGGTATAACCTGGCATCTGTTTAGGATATAAACCTCTCATCGCAGAGTGTGAACGTACGCTGCCTTTGATTCTGAGGACGTCAGGAAGCCATGAGTACTTCAGGAGCGAATTAGTGGCAGTCATTGCGTGTCCCACAAAATTTTACCTTTCTTAGATGTTTCCTCTTGATCTTGGGTGGCTTTATGGTGGGTGGTTAGGCCTTTGGGGAGTAAACGAGTACTGGAGAAATTTACTTACATTTATGATTGGCAAGAACGAGTCTTTCACCGTGTTGGTCATGGATGCCTAGGGACAAGAAGTTCGAACGAACGATGGTTGCTACAATAAATGGCAGCTCAGGCCCAGGTTCCGTCTTTACGTAATTTACAATATCACGGGTCCGCGTCACCGGCGCCGCAAAGAATTCGAAGGATTCTGATACAAGAACTAAATACACACAAAAAGGACATTCTATCTTATAATATGAGGGTGAAGTGTTGCGTAAAGTGAGTCTAGCGTCTTTAGTAACATCTACTAGCTGCACCAACGAGCGGATAGCATCGTGGTGACTTGCGCACGGAGCTTGAAGAACGTAGCAGAACGGGCGATTGTAAATCTTGAGTGTTATGAAATGGTAGCGCTCGAAAGGGTCGGAAGGGGGACAAGGTGGCCACTCCGGTAGGACGTGAATAGGATAATCGTCTTGGAAGCGTGTTGAAATGGTCTTGCGTTGATAATAAAGAAAGACGTTCTGTCAGACTTTCGACTGGCGTGTCATCACAAATGCGGCGTTGTACAGAAGGCGAGATGTTGGCAGGACTCGGCATGGGGGAACACGTCTATAGACTAGAGAACTTCTTTGGACCTTCAGGCTGCCGAGCTCGCGTTCGTAATGGTGAAGGGGGATAAAGGGGCATTGACAAGACCTGCTGATCCGGCGTGTACCGGCGTGGGATAATGGCTACTATTAGCGAGGAAAACGGATGAGCAGGAGAGGTCCCCGAATACAAGCCTGGGTCACAAACAGCGGTGAAAGATAGACGACTTCGGAGAGCAGGCCTATTGGAGGCCAGGCGCCTTTGCGACATGGAAGCAGCGGTGATACGGCTAGGAGAAGACGGGGGAGGAGACGTCAAGTTCGGTGCCTTTTTCATAGGGTTGTGCTCAGGTGAGATTCCAAAGGCGAGATGTTTCCAGGGGGTCACAGCAGTGATAGTACTGATAGGGCTTTCGGGTAAGGAAACACCTAAAAAAATACGATTGTGAGAATCTGACAGTGATACCACAAACTGGGAAAACAAGTACCATTGTAGCGAGTGATGATATTAAGGAGGTCCCGAATCCGACGTGGCTGGAGGTTGTGTTTGACCGCATAGGCGTGTACAAGACGGCAACGGGCCAAAGACGGCGCCCATCCAGAAGCACCGCCTTTTCTGAAACTCAGGATACGATATTTTGATATAGCTGTCGAAGCATCAGAACACAATCCAGGTGGAAAGTTATCACTAGGAACCTTCCAATAGTGCGAGGTCTACTTGTTGGGTGTTGTGAGGTCTATTCACGTTGGAACGACGGCGCGTCATTCTGAAGGACAGGGTCACAGATGACAGATTCCGAAAGGAAGGCGAAAGAGTGTTTGATGTCGCGCTGGAGGACGAAGGAAAGGTAAAGTCGGCTGCTCAAGTATTTGTCACGTCATAGGTCGCGTAGAGCACGTGCACGACACGGGACCCGTGAGTCGCGTCGCACTTAGTCCTCTGACTTCCTTCTCGACCATCACCACTCTGGCTGCTCAGTTCTGACGCGAAGCGCCATGGAGGTGCAAGCTGCGGCGTCTGCTCTATCTGAGTCCGCACTGTCCCTTAAAACCGAAACCGTCGATACGTCGTTAAGGCACGTTTTGGAGGCGGTAAAACTGCTTGTACGTCCATACCAGTTCCGCCGGGTTTACCCTCAACTAGGTTTATTGCAGGATATCTCATCTCCGTCTTTGAACATCATTGAAAAAATTGGATCTCGCCTTCGTAAACCGTTGCTACCGCTGTACCAACATTGCACCGATCCTGCGCTTCGATTCTGCTCTGCTACCTTAAACTTTATTTCGGTCAAGAAGGTCCAACCTGCTCTACTAGTTCAAGCTAATAGCCTTGTTGTGGCTTGGCAAGCAACGCAGTCTGCCCTAATTTCTGGTGTATTAGTGCGTAAGACATTGCTCTTGCGTTACAACAGCTCATCATCTGCCAGGATTTCATTGAACGAAATCCTACAAGTTGTTTGCTTCTTGGACCGTTTGCTCAATACTGAAACGTCCCCAGACGAAAACAAGAAGAGCATCGCTACAGAATTATACACCGTGCTCTGCGACGGATACTTTTTGAGTACACCAACTGAGCGTCTAACGGTTGGCGTCAATCTTGTCTGCTCGGCAGGTCCTTCTTATCTCATTTTGAGTGCATATATTCATATGTATTGAACAGGCATATATCCTACTAACAGAGAGTGCATCCCTGAATGAAAATCGACTCGTGCTACAAGATCCAAAGCTGCTTGGAGCGTAAGTGGACGTCTACCGCCGAGATTTCGATTTCTCAGCATCTTGAGTAGCAAAAGGATCGGTGCTACGCTTGCAGGATGCAAAGGCAAGGGCTTCCTGGCATTGTCTCGACCCCCCCTTGGCTAATACGGAAAACAGACTACTTGGCTATAGAGGCACTCTTAGAGCTCTTTGCGAGTATCCTGCCACCCACCACAAAGGGTGCAAATGACAAGCGGCGGCGCTTCCTACAGCTGGTGTTCGATCCAGAGCTCTTTGCCTGCGGGGCTCAACTAATAAAGTCCTTATCCTCGCCGTCGACCATTGATTGGGAGACATTGTCGATAGAGATTATCACAACACTATCCAAGTCGGATATCACTTTGTGAGCCGACTGAAGCTACGCTTTTACACTCTTCTAATATACGATTAGTCCGCAACCCTTCAAGATTGCGTCCTTGCAAGTTGCAGATACCTTCCCCAATGTGGATAATACCATCTACCTTGACAATAAAGGCTTCACGTCCAATATTGACGAGGTAAGAGTCCTAACCTTAATTTCATCTAAACTGGGCGCACTACGCTAAATCACACTGTCTCTTTGCATAGAACGGGACCTATGAAACCTTTCATGTTCCTTTCGCTAACGTTAAGAAGATAAGATTGAACGTGGCTGCTTCTTCGTTGCACACGGTTGTTACAGTGCATCTAACAGCATTTCCAATCATTGATCGCACAACTGGAAGCCAAAATCCTAATCAAAATGCAGTGCTAGTGTTCGAAATTACCAGTACCGAAAAGGAAAGATTCGTCAAGGGCCTGAAAGCTCGGAAAATGGTTCGTTTTATTGTATGTGACCCTCCTTGACAGCTTCTTCATTTTCATTAGGGCCCAAACATCGTACCAAACGAAAGAAAAGCATCGAAGCTTAATGTCGACCTTCCATTAGATTTTACATCTAACGGTCAATCGTTTCCAGTGAGCCTTATCTGGTCTGACATCGGTACTGTGCTGAAATTTTGTTGCTATAGGAAAAGGCTGGACGAGGTGAGTATTGGCCCATGCTCGTTTCGCCAACTTGATGAATTCATGGCGTCCTCTAGTGTTGGGTGTTGAGGCTTCTTCTGATTATCATTTTCTTCAAACACCCTCTGTATCGGCACTTCACGGCACTTTGCCTGCGTCGGCTGACGACCTGAAATCCATCGCTGTTGGGGGTGATCAAGATGACGCGGCACCGAAACCACCGAAAACTAGGCGCGCCCAAAAGCAGAAGGCTGTTGAATCGGATGACGAAATCCACGAAATACCACCAATTCCCGTAGCTAAAGCCATGCGACACTCGACAAAACCCCGGTCTTCGGAACAGCATCCCCCAGTTCCTGCAGAACGCGTTACGCGCGCGCTTCCACAATCGCGTGAACATACGCCAAATAAGAGCTTCCCGACAGCACAAGTTCACCGGGTTCATTTTGGACGCACAGAGCATACCTCTCCAAACAAAGCTATTGATGTCTCTGAACCCGAGGAGGACAAATCGAAGCGAGCCACAAAGATAGGTATTGTCGCTTGCGTGATATTCTCGGTCGGTCGTAACTGAACCACGTTCCAGCGTCAACACGTTCAATGACCACTAGAAATTCTCCATCGAAGAAACGGCAGCGAACTGCCGAGGTCGAGAATGCTGAGGACCAGGACTCTCGTCCATCAAAACGTCTAAGACCCCAAAACGCACCCAAAACCGAAGCTACTAGAGAATCGAAATCACCAGTTTTCAAGAAATCCGTTATTGCACCTAGACGTTACAAACGCAAGGGTCGAACCTCGTCACCCACCCCTTCCACGGCGGCCGATATGGAATATGATAAAATACCCTCTGTTTCTAGTCCCAAGCAAGCTACGTCAAACATGTCAGAACAGCGACCCGTCTCGGCACCGTACTCTACTCGTGTCTCAGCTATGAGAGGCAGAGGAGGGAAAGCGCTGGGCAAAGGGGTCTCTGTCAAGGCTGAGCCACCTCCAATCCGAAAGGCTAAGGGCACTAATCGGAACACCGTGAAGGATGACCAAAAGGAATTAAAGGTGAAAGCACATATAAGCCAAGGTATGCCCAATGAACTAACGGATCGATCAACTAGCCCACGCGTCGTTCAGAACGTGCCAAGAAAGTTGTAGACAAAACCACCAAAGCAAACGCCGTAGTAATGAGTGTATCTCCTCCGTCTACAGTCACTCACTGACACTCATTCAGGTCGAACACAGATCGCCCACCCCTGTCAAATCGGGACCGCAGAATAGCTCCCTTGAAACAAACGTATGCATTCGTTGGGATCTCTGTATGACCTTAGCGTAACACTCCACTCTAGGCCGATATGAACACCATCCAATCCACAATTCAGATTGCTCTCGGACCCTATCTCACGGACGCTTCTCCTACGGACCCTGATTCGATGGAGATGGAGATGCTTACTGACTTCATTGTCCCGGTTAAAGTGATCATCCTATCTTCATGCACTTGGGACTGTCTCACCCTACTTCTTTTCTGCAGATTGAGGATCCAACTTCAGACGCCCCTTCTGCACCTTCCACCGTAGCAAAGAATGTCACGATGATAGACTTGACATTGGACGATTCTCCTCCGCGTACAACCAAACCCAAGAAGGATAAACAACGCCAGAATCCTGCTCACGCTTTTACTCTCGATGTGGGCCAAGAGTCGTCGAGATCTGACGATTCTATGGCAAAGAAGTTGGAAAAGTCTCTGGATGTTTCTCCGAAGGTTCTTGGTGCTACGCGCCGAGCTGTAGAGGAAGCCGCGAACGAGTCGACCATACTGGACCAGCACAGCGGATCCGTAGAGACCCGCACCAGGACAGAAAAACCTATAGTATCTCGGCAACCCTCGATTCGACAAAGGCAATCCATTAGAACATCCGACAGTATCCTCAATCTCGATCGTAATCCTATGATTGTGCATACTACTGTTCCGCGTATTCGTCCGTTGACTGTCACAAAGCCGGACGCGTCTCTCGGTGTCTCGTCTCCTACTTTGCCTTCCTCTGTTAAAGCTCCTGCTGGTATCAGTTCCCGTCCGCACGACAGTAATGAAAACACTGATCCGATAAACCATACTCGTTGGCAAGAAACTCCGATCTCCCTTTCAGAGCGAAAGAAGAGTCCTATCCCTGTGAAACTCCTCGTTGAAGAAAATTCTTCGGCCAAAGCTAAAACACCTCATTCCAAGCAGAAATTTGATGTGCCCTTGATGACGATGTCTTCTCGCGGCGTGCCACTATTCGACAAAACCAATGCCCCCGAATTTTCTTTCCGCACCGAACAATATTCTCCTCCGAAAGGAACTGCTAAGTCATCCAAACATGGTATGTTCTGTTGCCTGTCTATACCGGCATCTGATTACTGTTTCGCAGCTCGACCTACCAGGGAAGATAAAGAAAACAGCGAACAGCGTCAGAGGCGATACGAGGCACGTCATGACAACCGTGGCGGCAATATAGATCACGACATCATCCAAGTATGTTTACCGAGCTACTTGTTACCAGTCTAATGATCCATCGTCTTTGCAGATCTTGAGTGAAATGCAGGATGTCGGTCGATTTTTAGTGCTGAAGAGGCATATTTATATATCATCGTAACAGGTAATCGTGGACAAGATTTCAAGACGCTTTGATCACGTCAAGACAGACGTACGTGCGGGACGCAACTCCATCCTTCGAGAAGCCGCACTTGAACTCGACAAAATGCGAACAGAAAGGTAGGTTGCTCTTACCAATCAGGAAGCACTCTTTTCATTTTGTTCTGTTCCAGTATCCAACACTTCAGGAGTCTCTTTGACTTCGAATCTGAGTATTCTTCCTGCATCCGAAACTACACTAATGGCTTGGAAGATTTGCACAAGGTAAATCATCAAATAACGCGTCGAATTGGAGAAATACTGCATACACATGATCGTCGTTCGCTGTCCAAAGTCTTTCCTGCTTTGTCTCCTCCTCCTCCTCGTGTATTGCGTCCATCGTTCTGATACCATATGCTATGTCCTTTGCTTGTTATAATGTACCAAATGTCTGTTATGTAAATACTTGAATTGCTAAGTTAGGACTTTGGCAGTTAAATTTGAATTGACCTCTTGACCGGCGGTGACGCGATCCGGTATCCCCGTTAGTAAGACAGCTCGAAATCTAGTGTCAAATTTTGCATGTTTTCTCTTGCAAGACGGGCCGTTGCTCGACAAATTCGAGCGGATGGTTTTTGCAGAGAACGACATATTCATTCTTCCAGCAAAATCTGCCAGGATACTCCTCTACTGTCAAGAAAGCCAAATTTGACAATCTGCCATGCCCGGCGATGCATTCAAAAGCAAGTGGCATGTGGTGGACCAGGGCATCGATCACATCTTAGCTCTGCTCTATTGCGTTCTTCAGTTCAATTCTCCATAGCGCGACTTTCACCACCTCTATCATTGTACAATATGTCCACTGTCGCCACCGCCGACCCCAACCGCCTGCCAACGAACGTGAAACCCACACATTATGATGTGACTATTCGCACAGATCTGGAGAACCTCACCTTTGAGGGATTCGCGAAAATCAGGCAAGCATTGTTGGTAACGAAAACCATAGCATGGATCTAACAGGTTCTTATATAGTTTGGATGTCAAGGAAGAGACGAGCACGATTGTGCTGAACTGTGCTGAACTGTCGTTCAACCAAGTGTACGTCCCTACAGTGAAAGACAGATTAATCCAGTCTAACGATACTCATTCTCGAAGGACCCTGACCACCGACACCAAGAAGGAAAAGCTAATTCCCACCACTCAGGCCGTGGATGGCGATCGTATCTCATTCACACTTCCGACTTCTCTTCCTGCTGGCTCCAAGGCTGAGCTTTGCATTGGGCCGTACACGGGTCCTTTGGGAAACAGTATGACAGGCTATTACCGCTCAGAGTACAAAGAGGGTGGAAAGACAAAGTACTATTCCCTGACCCAGTTTGAGGTGTGTTTCATAAATCAATCTTGAATTGGATCTAACCGGACCGACAGCCCATCGATGCTCGGCGCGCTTTTCCATGCTGGGATGAACCTCTCCTCAAAGCGACTTTTGCTATCACCATGATCTCTCGTGCCGACACGGTCTCTCTTTCAAACATGCCTTCCAACTCTGAAAAGGTCTATGTTCGTGGAGATGCGGAGTTTGCGGCATTGGAAGAAAAGTTTCCTTCTCTCCAAACTTTGGATGGGGAATGGAAGGTCACTACATTTGATACGACTCCTCCCATGTCCTCGTACATCGTGGCCTTCGCAAACGGCCCGTTCTCTTACCTTGAAAGTTCCGCCAAGATGCCAAGCGGAAAGACCGTCGCGCTTCGCATATATGGTGCGTGATTTGACCTGGAGTTCTGACCGTGGCTAGACGCGTGTTATATTTCAGCCACTTCCGACTTCATTCATCAAGCACAATTCGCTCTCGATGTCAAGGAGAAGGTGCTGCCGTTGTATGAAGAGGTCTTTGGCGTGGAGTATCCACTTCCCAAACTTGATACGTTGGTTGTAGGTTCATTTTCTAGCTTACGAATATCCTATGCTTAACGTTCGTTAGGCTAGCGATTTTGATATGGGTAATCTATCTGCCTGCTCATTCCCATGCAAGCATAGTGACAGTTTTCAACGCTGTTAGGTGCCATGGAGAACTGGGGATTAATAACCGGCAGGACCACGGCATTCCTTCTGGATCCTAACACCACGGATACGAACGCAAAGAAACAGGTCTTTACCACTCAAAGCCACGAGGTGGCGCATATGTGGTAAGCATAGAGAGTAGACTCTTTGGAGTTTTGCTTGAGCTTCTCATGTCAGGTTCGGGAATATCACGACTATGGAATGGTGGAATTATTTGTATCTGAATGAAGGTTCGTCAACTCCGCTGCCTTTCACTTTTTCGAGATAAAGATCTGTGTCCAGGCTTTGCTACTCTGGTAACTATTTGTACACTGATCTACATATGTCTCACGAACGATTATTCTTAAGATGGGCGAAGTGATTATAGCAGGTAAGAGCTTCAGCCTCTAGTACCACGAGACATGGCTTACGGACTTTTTCATAGACAAGTGACCATTCAATGCATCTGCTGACGCGTTAAATTAATGCCCGTTTTCTCAGAGTATTTCCCGAGTTCAAACCCAAATCGGATTTCATCGGCGATCACCTCAACCAGGCTCTTGCTCTTGACGCGAAAAGATCTTCCCATCCCATCGAGGTTGATTGTCCTACAGCTGACCATATCAACCAGGTTTACTTTGTCTCCTGCTAATTATATTTCCCCTTGCTAACATGTCACATTCAGATCTTTGACTCCCTCTCCTATGCCAAGGCTGCTTCAGGTCAGTAATTCCTTTGTCTAGAAACATTAGCGATACATTGATACTGTTTTGTCTAGTGTTGCGCATGCTTTCGGACTATGTTGGCGAGGAACGCTTTTTGAAGGGAGTCTCCATCTACCTCCAGAACAAGAAGTACGGCAATGGTACGTCCAAAGATCTATGGGAAGGCATCAGCACAGCGACAGGACTGGACATCGTCAGTCTCATGGAGAATTGGGTCACCAAGGTATGCGCATCTTCGAAAGCGTCAATAGCAACCTATGAAGCAAACCTTGTCTGTAGATTGGTTTCCCGGTTCTTACTGTCACTGAGACGCCAACCGGTATACAAGTTCGTCAAGACAGGTTTCTAGAGACAGGGATTGCTGAATCAGCAGAAAATGAAACACTCTGGTGCGTTCCTTGGTATGAAAATCTTGATGTATTTTTTCACCATATAAATTAGGAACGTCCCGCTCAATATCTTGTCCGTTGACTCAGCCAGGCAGGTCAAAGTTGACAGATCGGCTCTGCTACGAGAACGAACCCAGACGTTCGTGTTAGACACCAGTAAACCCTTCAAGCTGAATGCAGGAACTGCTGGAGTCTGTGAGTCCGTTCTGCCGCAAATTGAAACAGAAATAAACGACCTTTATAGACAGAGTGCTGTACACACCTGAACGGCTTTCAAAAATTGCCGATGAAGCCGCCCAAGTCGACTCTCCTTTCTCCGTCGATGATCGCATGGGTCTGGTGTATGATGCCATGGCACTTTCAAAGGCCGGTCTTTCCAAGCTAAGCAGCGCCCTTATGCTCATAGACAAACTCCGGAACGAGAAAGAATGTAAGCCGAATAGCCATATAGGCTTGTGACTGCATCGCTGACATGAGCACCTCACTAGTCTTGATTTTGGACGTCATTGCATCGAATCTGACTGGACTGGTATCCACCTGGTGGGAACATCCCGAGATTGTTTCCAACTTGAATGCATTCCGCCGTGTGAGTAGCCCGTCGTTCATATTTTGCCTCCCGTCACTCACCGGACGCAGTCATTGTTCGTTCCGCTGGTGAAGGAATTGGGCTATGATTATTCTGATGGGGAATCCACGGACATTATACGCCTGCGAACGACGGTGATCACAGGGGCTGCGGTAGCTGAAGATGAAAGGTACGTCCATTGATGCTACATATGCTCTTTTGCCTAGCTGACGGCGCATGTAAAGCGTGATAAATGAGCTCAGAGCGCGCTTCGATCATTTCAGGAAAACTGGAGACGACTCTAGAATTCCACCCGGGTTACAACGGGTGACCTACCAGATGGTGCGATGGCGCAGTTTTCTTCATTTTCTCCATCAGGAATGCTCAATCACAATACTCTAGGCTGTCAAGTATGGTGGTCGGGAAGAGTACGATGCTGTGAAGGAGATACAACTGTCGCCACGGACACCGACATCGAAAACCGCGGCCATGTGAGTGTGGCGGTCCAAGACCGGGCCCTTGATGTTGATTTTGGTTTCCCACTTCAGAATTGCCCTGGGACATGCGCAGGATCCCGCTTTGATTAAAGAGACGTTTGAGTACCTGTTGTCTTCAGCGCGCGACCAGGACTTTACATACTGGCTGCGTGGGCTATCGACAAACCCCAAGAGCAGACGCCAGGTAGCACAGTTTTTCAAGGATGAGTATCAAGTGGTAAGCCTGTTTCAGGATGCGGTGGGGGCCGAGCTGACACGGCGCAGATCTACAAACGTTTCGAGCTGAACGCCACTCTGAAATATCTCGTGGAGGTCCGTGGAACGATGGAATGACCCGCTTATAACTAAGGAATATGCAGGTATCATTCGGACTACTTTCTACTGCCAAGGACTACGAGGAGACGGAAGCATTTTTCAAGGTAAACGTAAGAAGAATATGCAGAGCATGTGCTGATGATTGGACAGGACAAGGACATTTCCAAGTACAACCTATCACTAGCACAGACGCTAGACACGATTAGAGCGCGAGTAGGGTACATTGAAGGAGCGACTGAGGATCTCGCGTTGTGGCTGAGTGGATGGCGGGGACGGACAGATTTGGGCAAAGAGTTACATAAGGCGATCTTGTAGCGTTCTCCGCTAACGGCGTAAAACTGGGAATTCTGTAAATTACCCGAGGCAACCAAAGGCAAACAGCTTGACTGGCGAGGGATGCCTAAATTTGACCCAGTGCGCGATGCAGTCATGAATTCGCCGCTCTCCCCAGCTCCTTCACCTTCTCTCCCACGACGAGCAACCGACCTCGCCGTCCTCCTCAATGCCGACGCACCTCAACAATCACGCCGCCCGACGCTGAACCATCTCTTGCATGCGCCAGCCGACTCTCACGACGACAAGCTCTCGTCTTCTCAGCCATTGCGTAGGCATCAGCTCATCGTCCACGACGACGACGACGACCTCCACCGTCCAGCCTCTTCTCCATCTAGACGCTCTCCAGCTCAGTCGCCTGTCTTTTCACGGCCTTCGTCGTCGTCATCGTCATCTTTCCAGCAACCCCATCCGTCCTCGACGCCCCGTTCGACCGTATCACCCACCATGCAGCCACCGCCGCTCCCAGCGCCACCGACCACCATCCCATATAACCCTCGCAAGCGAGTCACCCCAGCACAGTCCGTTCTCAAGCCCATGTCTCCTGCAGAAATGGCCATGTACAAGCAGTATCACGGCAAAGGCACGTCCCGCCTGACAAAACGGAAACGAGAGCCAAGCAACGATACAGACGACCGGGACAGGCCTCCAGCTAAAAGGGCTGCCGGCGATGTAGGCATGGTCATTGATCACTGTGTGTCTCAGTTCTTCCATGTCGTGCTAACTGCCGACGCTTCTTGACTAGACAACTCGCGTCCAGAAGTCGGTGTCGTCCAACGACTTGATTCGCCTATCATTGGCCTCAAAAATTTCAACAACTGGGTCAAATCCGTCCTTATATCTCGTTTCGCACATCCCGCCCTTCACCAGAAACCTCAACAAAGTTCTGGTCCTGGTAGAGGGCAGTCAGGTAAAGTGCTCGACATGGGATGCGGCAAGGGCGGAGACCTGTCCAAGTGGGCGAAAGCAAAGGTCCGAGACTATATTGGCGCTGGTGAGTATAGGGATCGCGTTTATCTATGCAACTAACCGCTTCCTAGATATCGCTTCTATATCTATCGAGCAAGCCCGACAACGATGGGAATCACAGCGAGGTGCCCGGTTCAATGCAACATTCGCAGCGCTAGATTGCTACACCCAACCGCTCAGCCAGGCCTTTCCAATAGACCTACTACGGCAGCCCTTTGACGTGGTCTCTATGCAATTTTGCATGCACTACGCCTTTGAAACTGAGCAGAAGGCACGATGCATGCTCGATAATGTGAGCCGATGGTTACGACGAGGAGGTGTATTCATTGGTACCATACCGAATGCTGAACAATTACTGTGAGCCTCTTGCAAGTAAACACTTCATTATTTGTCTCATTCCCTCCCTTGTAGCCAAAATCTGGACGATCTGCCTCACTCTACCGAAGACCTAACCTTTGGTAACTCTGTGTACAAAATTCGTTTCGAGGATAGAAAGCACAGACCTGTTTTTGGTCATAAATATTGGTTCTTTCTTCAGGATGCAGTCGAAGATGTCCCGGAGTATATAGTCCATTGGGACCATTTTGTACAGTGGGTGCTTCCGACCTACGTATAAGAAGGCAAACTGACGAACCTTTATCAGACTAGCTTCAGAATACAACTTGTATCCGGTATATAAGGAGGAGTTTCATCACGTTTTTGAAGAACATCAGGAACATCCAGAGTTTGGTCCTCTGATGGTGCGGATGAAGGTAGTCGATGCTAACGGTGAGAGTTCCATGGACGAGGACCAGTGGGAGGCTGCTAGTATGTTGTTCCCCCGATATCAGTCCTGAAAGTACTGATGTCTGCTTGCAGATATTTATATTGCTTTTGCTTTTGAGAAGCGGTAGCTCTACTGTATATTCTAGTCATCTTTATACGTTGTCCTGTACGCATTCGAGTAATTGATATCTCAGAAAAAAAACATAATATTTGACCATCTGTTGATATAAGCAACAAACCGGATAGATTCATAGGGGGGTGTTAGGCTGTTTAAAATATGGGGTGGTACTACAGTTGTCCATTACTCTTGTCCAAATCCAACGGTTTCCCTAGAATGATGTCTGTCAGAGGTGCATCAGAGACAAAAACTGAAGTACTCACTCTACTGCTAAAGTGAGCTTCTGCTCTAAACTTGCATAGTCTTTATATGGAGGAAGATCTATACGGTTGAAACATGTATGGCTCTTAGGAAGCTGTGAAGGATCGCCCGACTTTTCGATTGTGAAACGCCTTGGTCCATCAGACCCCTGCAGATCTTTGAAACCATTGACGGGTATACGCGATGTCCCAGTAGCGAACTGTAACAGGCGCGACTTGCGTTCAGGTGGCCAGCTACGGACGCATTTCCAGAACCATTGTATAACTTCGTCATTCATCTCATAGCCGCGGTAGTCGGTGAACTTGGTCCAATCGTCCCTAAAGAAGAGTTATGACAAAAGTAAGGCAGCAGAGACAAGTGAATCGTACACGTCAATTTCTGACATTCCGCCAATAAGAAGTTCTAGTTCCCGTTCGTCGAACACGGTGATAAGATCTTGGGGGATCAGTTCGCTGAATCCGGACATAAATGCTTCGAACTGCTCCTTGACTCGCTTGGAGATACGATACTCGACGACATGCTCAACGTATTCCTTCTTGTTGTCTTGAGTGACTGGAACATCTGCACCACCAGGTTTCAGCTCGATAGTGACCATTTCACCGAAGCGTTCCTCAGTGGTGGTGAACGTTTCGTCAATAACATCAGTGATATCGTTTTCCCTGTGTCATAGAAGATTCAACTTTGAGTAAAGAAATCTAATCGAGCGACTTACAGCATCCACGTCATGCCGCGGTGAAGTTCCGCATCCACACTTTCCAAGTCGGACAAAGTCACCTTCTTCTTCAGAATCATCTTATAGAAACTGACAATGAAGTAGGCATCCAGGAACCTCCGATGGAAGATACCGAGACCTAAACATCGTCCGATAAACTTGAAATAGTTCAAGTGTTCCGGGTTGACCCCAGAAGCTGGATTAATTTGGAGGGTATAGTTATCGTGCGCGGAGTATTCAAATAGACAATAGAATGGGTTGAACATTTCGTGTGACAGCAAGAAAAAGAATTCTCTGTGTATTCAGCCGTGAGCACTTTATTTCCAGATTGATCATAAAGTTTACGAACCTTGAGAGACCACCATAATCAAGACCATCTTCGCCGTCAAATTTGATCATGAGTCGTTTCTTCAGGTCGTTGGGAGTCTGCCTCATGATCTCAGCATAACTGTCTTCGAAAATGTGGTTTCTCCTAATCTTGATCTGGCAATTGCCCGGTTGAGCACGCATGGCAGGCTGACTGCGGAAGTAGATAAGCTTCCTCCTAAAGTCGCGTTTGTATTGCGGAACGTTAGCGTCAAGAGTGGATGGCAAACGTGGATCGTCCCATGTCGTGGTCTTGGTGTTATGGTCGACGAAATACACACGGGCGGTGGAAGTCAGACGCATTTCCCACCCAGAGGGAAGAGGGCCAAGCTGTGAAATAGCTTGGGGCTGTAGAGCCGGCCCCTGACCATTGGGGCCCATCACTCGGATGATTGCCTGTCGACGAGGATCGACCCAGGTTGTGGTTCGAGTATTGTGATCGACATAATAAGGCCGACCCTCCAGTGTGAACCGTTCCTCCCAACCATTGGGGAGTTGACCTGAGCCCGGCGTGGTGGTGTTGTTTGCGGCAGCCATGGCTGCGGGCGCATTCTGGGCACCAGCAGGAGTGGCTGTAGCACTAGTGTTGCGGAAAACACTCGAACTACTGTTGTTGGCTTCAAGGAGGTCATCAGCAAGGATCCGACGTGAATGCTGATCACGGGCGGCATTAGTTTCACCCTCCTGCGTATTACTATTGACAGCTGCACTTGCAGAGGGCCTATTCCAGGTGGTAGTGCGAGTGTTATGATCGACGTAGTATGTGCGGCCTAACGGATCGATACGACGTTCCCAACCAGGCGGCAAAGGACCATATTGATCAACATTAGGATTGAAGTTCCGCATCTGGCTGTTTGCTGTCGAGCCACCCCCAGACGCAGGCGTCTGGGCGGTGTTGGTATTAGAGGAAGCCGTAGCGGTGGCTGGAGAAGAACCGGGGCTAATAGAGCTTGTAGGGCGAGAAGAAGACGTAGGGGATTGAGCAGATGGCTGTTGCTGCTCAGCGTCCGGAGAAGGTGCTGGAGAAGGAGTGGGCATCGAAACGGGTGCAGGGCTGTTGGTATCTGCCCCTGTGGCGTGGGAACTCGAGGCACGGGAAAGAGAACCCGAAGGCCCTGGTAGCGCCAAGTTTGATGTACTCGCGGACGGAGAATTGTTCAGACCCATGTCTGCAAAAGCGCTACTCAGGCCCGACACTTGAGAAGGCCCAGGGTTGCTGATCGGCTGGTTGATATTCGTCGACAGGTAGATAATCAGTTTGCCATGAACGACCAGATTGTCATTGGATTTTTTCAAGTCCAGCGTGAGCATTTCTAGGGAAAGAGTATGGGAAAACGAGCGTCTCTCAGTGGGAAGCACAAGACGCACCATGACCGCCCAGCTCAAGATCAAGAACGTCACTGACTCGTACATTAACCACACCCAAAAAGCCCTGATCTCTTCTCTTGAATTTCCGCTGGTCGAATATCTGGACTGCGACGACGGACGAGTCCTTGACCGTGCTAAAATGGAATAGTCAGATAAATACACAAAAAATAACAGCGAACTGACATATCAAAACTCTCATTCCAATACGGATTCAGTGTCTTCTTCATCACACTCGTTGTGTGTGTCTGTTCAGCATCAACAGTAATAACGGCAAAGGGGTCTGGGAGGCGGAAGACATCTCGTTTGGAAAGTCCGTCTGCGGCAACAACTAGCAAAGAGCGGGTGAGGCGTCATGAGCGCAAAAGTGGCAAAAGGGTGTGAGTCCTCTTACCCGTTACCCTTATCTTCTTCCTGCGTAGCAAAGTGAATACGGTGCTGTAAGGCTGTAACTGCGAGAAACTACTCACAGAGGCCCTGGAGGAGCAGACATGATTATTCCAGGAGAACGAAAGAGGAAGAAACAAATATGCTTGGAAGCGTAGAGGTAGCGACAGAGACCGGCGCTGTGGTCGACGTCGTGAGCGTCGACTGTTAGCCTCGCTTAGTCAAAAGCCTCGGTTGCCAACAAGAGATCCGGAAGTTCCATATCTGGCAGGATCCGGGTCAATTTTCCGGTCGCACAGCCTCATCAGATTTTCCAGAATCAGGCTACTTATTATTAGGTTGCACTATATGGTAATCTACGTCTTTCAAGCTATCGTATACTACGCCGTGTCCGTTTTCATGTCTGTTTGCTAATAACTATCTCAAGGTCAACAGGAATAATGTGTTTGGATGGATCCACGATTTCCACTTGACTCGGACTGGCCAACGTTATTGGTGCCGAATATATCGGCTTCTGAACAGCATCCACGCTGCGCATACCTATTTCTAGGAAGGGGTCTCTCTCCAATGGAACGCGCGGTGTGGTTCCCGATGGCTCGGCGTCGCCAAATGGATTGAACAGCCTTGTTTCCTCCGTCTGTATTGCTAGTGCTGTTGGTTTTCTAGCCCAAGAGGAGCGTCTGGAATGCATCCTGCGTCTCCCAGTGCCATGACTTTCTGGATCCATCTGTGTTCTGCTATGGCGGCCAAGTGTGAGACTGAAGCTCCTCTCCCGTTTGCCTGGTTTGTCCCCCCGAAAATCTCGCGGAGATGCCCTTGTCGGTCTTGATATCTGCCAACGTTGTGTCAGTATCTGCCAAACCTTTCAAGGGGCATGACGCACAAAATCTACTATTCGCACTCTTCTCTTTGTTGGCATGTCCGCTTTGACCTAAGTGTGTGTGAGGATAGCGTCTACATTAGAGTAACGACTCGTACCTCGCCGTCGTGAGCCATCTTCTCTCTGCGCTCAAGTATCGTTGGAATGTGGTTCATCGAGGGATTTATGGAGCATGGTCGGGGATCGCTAGCCTAGTTTTATTATTTTTGAATAGGGGGAGGGTGCTGTGTTTCGGAGCTTGAGATACCTTAATACTGACTCGTTAGTCGGTGCTTGGCGCCTATTGAGCCAATGTGTTCACACTGTTTGACTGCGTCACTTGATTCAGGGTAGCAATCTATATATGGAAACATCCAGACTTGTGCTCACCGTCGAGTCGCAGTACCTTCGTTTACCACTGCTCATGCACGATGTCTCAGATTGACATGCCAATGAATACTGTAATCCTCTTCATCGAATCGTTTCCTTTTCTCTCTCTCATTGGCATCCTCTATATTACTAGGCACACCAGCATGCCGCCAATGCAGAGGACTTTCTTAACAACGGACTACTCATTCCAGCCGCAGAAGAGCATTCAAAAGCCGCAGAAGCGTATTTTGCTGCCGTAGAAAGGAGTACCGATGATTCAGTTTGTACCATTCTGTATATCATAGCTCACAATTGATCTGCTGTGGATTAGGCTAAGCGTACACTGCAAATGCTCTACAACGAACACCGGAAGGCTGCCAGTGAGCTCGAGAGGAGAATAGAGAAGCTCAGAGAGGATGGAAAGGATCCCCTTGTACCTCAGAAGCGCGATATACCCAAGCTCTCAGCAACCCCCAATTTTGTCGCCGATTTTTCACCCAGCTCTTCACCACCTCCTCAAAGGCACACTGCTGACTTGCAGGCCACTGTCGACGAATCTTTCATGCTCCTAGGTGGTCAGCGTGTAAGTGCATCCTGCAATTGCTCAAAGTCGTCTTATTGTTCTTCAGTCGGATCCAGGCGACGCTTTCAATCACTGGTGGAACTTTGTACAGGCCAAATTTGATCAGCACTCAGAAGCAGTCGCGTTTGCTAGTACACCTTTAGGCTTTACTGATACTGTTGGCACGCCCCCAAGGACTACTACGCCACCTATTCATCGAGGATTGAACAGGGACTCTAGCCTTAGCAGTGACGAGGAACCCATGGTAGTAAGGCTGACGAAACGACTCAGGCTTCCCGGAATGTCCAAAGAAGTGCAGCATTCCCCTTCCAAGCCCAGCAATTTGACATTTGGTTCAATAAAATCTTCCTCAACAGAAGATTTTGGTGAAGAGATATTTGATGAAGGTAGACCTGATTTGTTTGTTTGGCATTCTGTCTAGTAATACAACCATACAGGCGATGAATTATCCGAATCTTTCTTCCTCATACCATCTGATTCGGAGCCCTCACACGCCGCACTGAGGAAAGAAAACATCGGACTGAAAACGGAAGTAGAAACTCTACGGCGGCGTTTAGAGGCTGCGGAAAAAGCCATGGCCATAAGAAAAGAACAGGATATCCAACTCCGGGAGAGCATATATCAAGCAACAAAAGAAGTTGTGCGTTGACCCGGCTGAAAAATTTGTTCTATCTTTGACCCCTTTTAAGGCTCAACGAACAATGGGTACATCTATGAATCTGCAGCGTACGGCAATGGATCTTAACCCGCATATACCGGCACCTCTCCCAATACCGGGTTATCATACTGCACGCGAAGCGCAATATGCCCGTCGGGTTAAGGAACTCGAAGATGATCTCCGAGCTATGCGAGTGGAGAACGAGAAGCATGTGAGTGACCTACCGGTGATATGGTACTGGTACCCATAACACCGCCCAACTTTACAGAAAGCAATGATCGTCAAATTCCGCGATCAGTGGGAAAAACTGAAGGCGTCAGCGAAACGAAAGAAAGAAGCCAAGGCGAAAGCCGCCGCTGCAGAACGAATCGTAGAAGAGCCGGAAGCCGAAGAGCGACTGGATGTCCAGTAAAGTCGTGTGTATTCTTGATCTTGGTTATATGTGTGGAGCTGTATTTTTAGTTGTACTATACCTATGCTTTTTCTAATCTTTACCTCCCATTGAATGAAAGAGAACATGCTGTCGCGGCTCCGTCTGCGGGAAACTCTGCGTTTGAATTATCTACGTACTTGCCCGATTTGAAGATGAAGACTTATTAGGCGAAGAGCCCGAAGTCAACGATAGTCAAAGACCGGACAAACGTGTCGAACTGAGTTCGTACTATATCACGACCAGCTTCTCCCACTCCGCCCCCATCATTGGATTGAAGAGGTACATTGAATGTGACAACCAAGTCAATTCCCTTATCCTCTATACGATAGACGGCCATCAGGACAAGAACCTGGTCTGGCGTCGCTTGATTGAATTTGCGGACTACCTGATGTCCAGAGAGAACAATAGCAGAAGGTGTTCTATCTCCTCTATCGTTTGGAATGACATCCACTGACTCAACATTGCTCTGAAGGGCATTATTATCGTGGGCCAGAGAGTCAAAATGAAATCTGTGCCGATAATCAAGATGATGAAGGGAGTGTACTATTGCAATGACTTCACTTGGCGGCATCGCGGAAATCTGGGGGATCAACCCTCTGAAGAATTTCTACGATGATGCTGATGCTGGAGTCGGGGTAAAGGAACACCTCTTGGGTGTCTGGAACTTGGCGAATATCCCTAGCGACTGGAATTACGAAATGTCAGAAAGCGAAGAATGAGCGACTGACGAGGCATCGACAAGATTTCCGGGAGTAATTGCAGTAATGGCACCACCGAATAGTTCGCGGACACTCATGGTTCGGTTAAAGGCAATCCAATCGCTATCGTCACGACTGAACTGAATAGTTACTGACGGTGACTGCACATGCCGAATTGCCGGCGGTTCCGATTATTTGACACGTGATCCGTGACCGACGCGGTAAAGTCACAGTCACATCCACGGTTGGCCACCTCCCACCACCAGACGCGTCGTTAGCGGCGCATTTCTTTGCCATGGATCCCCGTCGTGGGTCTGTTATGCATTCCCTTGAACCTACAGCAGGACGGTCTGGAATCCCTCTTCCATCAACAGCTAATAAGCCTACCCCCAACCTACGTGCATCTCTTGCCGGCGGGCCAGCTCGAACTCCATTCACCTCTCATTATGGATCCCGGCCAAATAATAGGCAATCTATATTCCAACCGCAGAATCCTCTTCTACAAAGTGCGTCAAAACTATTACCGAACCTGGGTAAGACGCCTTTGAACAAGTGCGTAGCTATTACCCTCTTCGTTTCCGTTCACTTATACTTGCGTGGCATCCTGTAGCAGCGTTCGCCGTACGTCGGTATGGCCTGCTGGAGCTCTTGGCGGGGCTCCATCAAATAACCAAACAACGAAAGATACTCGTCCTCTTCGCGACAAGGCCTACCAAGCCAAGATGCGCCATGATATACTAGACTTCTTCCAGAATGCGGGTCACGAGACAATTACAATGAACACGTTGATCAATATCCAAGGGAAGGACTTTCGGGCTATCTTTGACTACCTAGTTCTTTCCTTAGACGCGTCGTATCCCTTGAACCCCAAGGCTTCGATACAAGAGCAGTTTATACCAGCCCTCAAGTATCTGAAATACCCTTATGTATCCCAAATTGATAACAAGTGGCTGGCCGCACCCGCCAGCATGCACTCGTGGCCATCTCTTCTAGGTATTCTCCATTGGTTGGTGCAACTATGTCAAGTAAGCAGGGCTTGGCCATGATGTTTCGTTGACTCACAGCCATCAGATGCGGAACCATTATCTAGCGAGTGGACATCCCACTCTTCAAATAAGCACAGATATACCCGATGAATTCGACGACCCAATGGATCACACTGCACTTGCGTACGATTTCGCCGAGCAAGCCTATTCCCTTTGGCTCGATAGCAGCGACGAAGACAGCAGGGACTTGATGGTTGAGCCCAAGCAGGCTTTGGAAGAACGCTACGGTAAGATCATGTAACTAACCGTCCGTCTTATCTCACGATGCATACAGCGAAAAAGAATGAGCGGGTACAACATGATCTGGAGCAACTGAGAAAGCAGCTGGACGATGCGACGATCGAATACGACAAACTGAAAAGCTCCGCTGTACGTGCATGTCTCCACCTCCACTTATACGTTACAAAACTGAATGGTCTTTCAGGCCCCAATCGCGAAAGCCCAAGATGAAAATGGCTTGTTGAAGGGTGACAACGAGAAATTTCAGAAGATCCTTCAGCTTTATGAGGTTAAGAAGAAGAAATTGATTGACTTCATTGCTCAAGAGAAGACAGAGCTTGCAAGAAAAGGTAAGTAGCGTGTGGGGTCTTCACATCACGCTCAACGATACCTCCAGATGAAAGCTTGACCCAGATGAAATTGGAGCAGGAGAGGCTTTCAGATATTGTCAAGACGCAAAATTTGTCTCCCGAGGAAGTCAGTCGCATGACAACGGAGCACGAAACGCTCTCCAGGAATTTAGAAGACCTCAGACAAAAGATCGCCGAGACTCATCGGACTGTTTTGAATTTAGAGGTCAACGTCACGAATCGGGCTGCTGCTACAGAGGAGGCTCTGGATGCATATATCAATTTACTCTCCTCTTTGGAGCTTCTTCCGCCTCTACCGCCGCCTTTTGAAGGTGTCGATCTCATGCTGGAGCTGAACACCGCCGCTTCCAATCCTCATCAGCTTTTAAAGGGCGCCGAGATCAGGAGGGTCATTAGGCCTACCCTCAACAATATTGCGGAATCCAAGAGATCCGAGCGCGCATCTGTTGAGAGCGAGAGGATCAAGGTTGATAATGAGTTGGACCAACTCATGGCAGAATGTGAGAATCTTGACCTCGAGACAACCGAAGTAGAGAAGAAAGTCGTTAGCCTTCATGAACAAGCAGAGGAATTGAGAGACGTAAGTCATTCATTTGACTAGTTTATTATCTAACCAGGGCCACATAGGCCGCGCAACAAGAAGCACTCGTTGCCAGCAATGAAGCAACACGAGTGGAACGAGAACTTGCCCACGCTAGAACGGCTGCTTTGGCCAATGGCATGGGTGTCAACACACGACTGACCGGCTTACAATTCAAGTAAGCTGTCTTACACCCTTGTCAAGCGCTCCACTGATAGTTATCTTTGACATATATCAGATATCAAGAACAGGTGGAGAAAGTCTCTCGACTGAAAGAGGCAACTGTGCGTGCTATCATCAAGAACAGTAATGATATTGCCATGTTCAAGAGCGAAGTTTCGCGGCATTTAGTTGATTTGCGGGAGTTCGTGGACACATCTCAGAGTTAATGCAGGCCTTACTTGTGGTTGTGGGCAGTATCTAAGTTATTGGTCTTGTATTATTTCTTGTATTTCCATGGATGTCAAAAGCGGAGTTGATGGCTAACCGGTATCAGATGGAGATCCTGAACCTCGGTGTGGGTCAAAACCGGGCCCAACGCGTACAATAGCGAAGCTAGACGCTTCATATCGACAGTCGTGGCGCCGGGATACAAGCTTTGGAACCAGAGAACGGGTCCGGCAAACTGTTCGGAACATATAGATGAACGGAACCTTCTTTAAACAGGTTTCGTTTTCGTCAAATACTCCTTGCTCCTCATGACTTTCGGCAGCGCTGCCTATTGCATCATCATGAATGCGAGTGAATGTAGTGTCTTGGATGGGCGGTCCGCATTTTGAGCTTGTCGGGTATGGATTTTGCGACCGACCCGGGGAAAATGTACGTGTGTGCCTGGCTTTATCACGATATGGTTTGCTAAATATATTTCTTACTTGCTAGACATTCCTTCACAAATAATGGCTCTCAGACTTGAAAACATACCCTGCTGCGTACGGTTAATGGCACAGTGACTTGGAACAAGATTTGCTAGAGGTGGAGCCGAATGGTTCCCGATGAAAGTAACATTTACAGCAGAGCCTGCCACCCCTCCTTGTGGCTTCAGGAATTCAGGGCACAAAAGATTACGGAGAGGTGGGATTGTGGACATTCGGCTACCTTATTAAGCAACCGGCGTCGCGTCCCCATCACTTCTTTTCGCTGACAGTATGCTTCTCTCCGCTTCGCCTTGTTAAATTGAACTTCCAGGTATCTTTTTGTTCTTGGGCCTCCTAAGCTGCGTACAAAGCTATGTTATGTCCGTTGTCTATCACAATTACGCTCACGCCATAGGATGGCAGACGGATATTCAATACAAACTCGGTAAATCATGGCCGCCGTTGCGATTCAGACCTATATTCTGCCTGTGCAACGTGAATGGGGATCATTCCGATTTATGCACTAGGAAATTTTTTCATTGACACGCCAGATTGCGATATAAAGTCACTCCCGATAACGCGAGAGTAATAACCGTGACTGTACGTTACATGTGGATCAACAGGGCTTGGTTCCGATACTGTGGTAAGTATTCGCATAGCAACTTGCGCATTAGGATTAACCCTTCTCTCTCATTGGCGCATCTCCAGGTACTCTCAGGATAGAGAGTAGGTAATTCGATTGGAGAGTTCCAGACACGACACCAGCTACGTGTTGTCAGCGTGTTAGGAGGGTCTTTCTTCAATCAACAACCGAATTGCTCTGAGAAAGTTGTTGAAACCGGAAATCGGTACACAACGCTTCCGAGAATCGCTGAACCCGCATTCTAGGGATGCTCGGAATTTTTAGGTCATCTATCTACCGCTTTTTGTTGCTAGACCGTTCTAAACGGGACGACATTGGCACCTAACGCGTGTAAACCGCCATCAATTGCCAGGATTGTGTTTCACATAAGAAGGAGCCGGGATCTCTCTTTGCTATCCTTGCCCTTTGTTCTGGTCCCACCAGCTGTCCTGCCGTTGCTTCTGGCAACTATGGGTTCGAATGCGACGTCGACCGACGCCGAGCTAGGTCTAGAGTCAAACCTGACACTGGAAGCCGCCCCATCAGAAGACTCACGGGTGGAGGAGAAGGCCACTGTGCTGAAGGTTGAGAATGCCACCCCGGAGAAGAAGAAGGTCGACAATAAATTTATCACCACTGCCCTCCGTCCCATTTTCAAGTCCAGGACCCCGACGAAGACGAAGAAGAAGGTATCGCTATGGATTAGGTGGACTTTGTGGTTTAACACGTACAGGTGAGGTCATCGCTATCTTTTTCTGCTGGACCTGCTAACGATGTGCACAGAAAGTTCTTCACATTTACGTTCGGTCTGAACATGATAGGCTTAGGCTTAGCTGCCTCTGGTCATTTCCCCTATGCCATCAAGTACTCTGGCGCTATGGTCGTGGGTAATCTGAATTTTGCGATTTTGATGCGAAATGAAATATTCGGTCGAATCCTCTATCTGTTTGTGAACACTTGTTTCGCGAAGGTTAGTACAGTTCGTCTGGACGTTCGTTTGAGTTCGATCTGAGTTTTGCATTATACAGTGGACCCCACTGCGGTGGCGTTTGGGTTGCACCTCTGTTCTGCAGGTGGGCGTTTTTTCATCATTATATTAAATTTCGTTCAACTGAGATAAAACGCAAGCATCTCGGCGGTATACACAGCGGTTGTGCACTATCGGGCTGCATCTGGCTACTCTTCAAAGTCGTGGTCATGTTCACCACGCTTGACGTTCAGCATGACGCCGTACTCATCATGGGAGTGGTCACCAATACCGCTGTTATAATCAGTGCACTCAGCGCCTTTCCCTGGGTCAGAAATACACACCACAAGTACGTCACCTAGACTCATCGATCATTGCTATGACGCTGAGCAAGCGTGCAGCGTGTTTGAACGCCACCACCGATTTGCTGGTTGGATCGGTCTTCTTTCAACATGTAAGGACACTTTGACTTTTAGTGACATCGTGACTGACCATGATCGTCGCAGGGACGTTTGTGATTCTCGGAGACACTTATAACCCCGTCACACGCCGATGGAATCTCGATGGAGCAGCTCTCATTCGACACCAGGATTTTTGGTTTACGGCAGGAATGACTATCTTGTATGTTTGTTCATGGCATTTTTCTTTCTGTTATTAATCACGTTTATTCTGATCACAGCGTTGCTCTCCCGTGGATATGTGTACGTGAAGTGAAGGTTGACATCGAATTGGTACGTACCACAAAGTAATCAGCAATAATGATTACTTATTCTATCGTGAAGCCGTCGCCGAAAGTTGCCATCATTCGTTTCGAAAGAGGCATGCAACAAGGTTTACTGGGAAGGATTAGTCGGTCGTCAATAATGGAGTACCATGCCTTCGGGATTATTTCGTTAGTCGAACCTCTTAGTAACATGACCGGGCATTGAGAAGTTTTTAGGGAGGGAACGAAAGCCAAGTACCATTATATGATAGCAGGAGTGCAAGGTGTGTTGGCTGTAGTACTACCGGCGGGTATGAGCTGACGTGACTTTGTTAAGGGGACTTTACGAAGGGTCTTGTCAACGACCCCCCGAGGACACTGTGGACACGACAGGTTAAGGTAAAGATAACTGCCAATGTGATGGTTGCTTCCCTGACTGGTTGTGCAGTTTGCAGGTGTTTCCAATACGTCCACGCTGTATACGAGAGGTATCCGCATCTGCACAGGCACTGGGATTGGTGCCGCTCTTTCGACTTGTATCCAGTCTCCAAACTGGTAAGCGTATATGCGCTGTGTTAGCGAGGGCGCCACTTACACCACCGACTCAGGTTCTTAATATGGATTGGCAAGTTTCTTTGTCTTCGGCTTCGCGCAAAATATATTGACGGACTCGATTTCGTAATTTAGGTTCTGACCAAGAGAAGACGTTCGGACCCACCATCAGCGGATTAATTCATAAGAACATTGAACCAGAGAGATTCATCCTTTGGGATACCAAAGAGCGAGGCGGACGACCGGATACCATGAAGCTGCTCAAAGAGGTGTACGTCTCGTTTAAGGCCGAAGGTATAATCGAAGAAAGTCAATTCGATTTCCTGCTCACTGCTCGCTCACAGTTGTTTTCATAACGTCAAATTACATCGGTAACACTGAAATCATGCAGGGGTGTAAAGAGGCTGACATACATGCCTTCGGGACGTTATGGGACTTCGTATGTCACTTTTTAAATTCTAGATTTTATGACCCAGTTAACACCGTATGGCAGTAATTCGTCTCGACCCGTTCCCGATACTTTTTGCATTTATGTTGAGATTTAAGAAGGCTCGGCAAGCTTAAATAATTGGCCCACACTTTTGTAGATATAATGATCCGAAATGTACTATTGCTTTCAAGCAACAGATAGATTGTGCTCTGCTATTAGCCCGATAAAAGCCGCCGAACGGCGCTGTAGCGTAAAACTTCTACAATTTAGAACAGGATTAAATATACTCTTCGATAACCTTGCCATTTTTCCCCATCCAGGGCCAACGGCGGTGAACATTTATGCCTAAGTTCGGTCTGAGAGCAACACCTCTGCGCGCAAGCTCAATGACTATTCTAGCAATGTTGCGAGTATCCTACAGAATGCCAGTCAGCACTGACGCCGTCACGACCATGATGGGTTCTCACGTCAATCCCTGAATGCATGCTGCCTTCGAAGTCTGGCAGGCCAAGAGCGTTTAACTGCCGTACTATGCCCAAAGGACGGGGTCGGTTTCCAGGATTCTGCTAACTTGAGGAAATACTAGCCCATGAAATAGTGATCACCTTACCTGGGTATGCATCCAAGACGTTACTTGTGCTCTAACGTCAAGAATGTTACCTTGCATCCAAGCTGGCATGGGGGTCTATCGGTGGAATCTGAGAACAGACGTATGGAAGAAATATTTTCTTACTTTGGAGATGAAACACGTTTTTAGCAGAAGGTCTTGAATGTCCCATGGCCCATCAGTACACCAACAGAAACGGGTCAGAGTTTGCTCCGTATCCTTGTCAATGAGTTTATGTTTTGCCATAAATACTTTGAGCAACGAAAACACTTCCGAAAGCGATGGAGCTTCATCGACTTGCGCCTGCATCAAGTTCAGAATGGGACGCAGGTAAGACTCTGAGGCAGTACGAACTTGTGTTATCCCAGTCAAAGTTGTACAATATTCTGAGAGAATGGGCTTCCACGTAGGTTTGACAAATGAACGAAATTCATCTACAATGGCTAGCTGGCTAGCTGTTCCATCGGGAGTTTTGTCTTCCCATTTGAGTAATGCAACAGGAAATTCCTAGGATGTTCATTAGTAGGACGGATAGGCCAGCAGGAGGTATATGAAGTCTCACAATAATCTCATTTGCATAATTGAATCGTGAGGTAGCTATACAAGTCGCCTCAAAGTCCATAACGAGGAATGCATCGTACGGTTGTGGTTTTCGAAATGGATACGCTTGACCTGGGTGGGGAGTTGTCTGTTGGCTGGCCTTCAGGTATGTATTCCTGGACGGACTAGAGGATGCTGCGCGTCCAGCTTTCCCTTCAGCAAAATTGAGACGCGACGGTGTGGCGAAAAAAGTGCGAGAGATGTGACGATAGGCGAGGCCCGACATTAGAAGGGTTGCGAGGATAAGAGTGAGGCCGTATATAGAATAAAAGTGTACAATCAAATCCCAGAGCCAAATAGGTATTGATAGGAAGCTAGAAGACAATGGCATACCAGAATCAAGGGAGTACGTCCATCAGGTTAGAAAAGAAATTTGTTGATCGGTGACGCATGAAGCCATATTTGTGTCCCTTTAGTCACGTGCATGCTCAAAGGTCCAGGAAAGTCCCGTCTGCCTAGTACCGACTATTACCCCACCATGCATCAAGGAGGAGACGACCTCGAAGACGACTTTGTCCTAGACATCCCCGAAGAAGACAATGATGGATTCCACGTTGACGACGCGCAAGACTTTGTTAGCGAAGAGGAGGGGGACTCGGCGGACCAGCCTGAGGACGGCCAACGAGACCAAGCTGGCCCTAGCAACGCCAAAGCTGTAGAAAAAAAGAGGAAAAGAAGGGAAAAACTGAAAGAGCGAAAGGTGCGTCAGGCCGTCATAAGTCTTCTTAAAAACGTCAACTTATTCTACGTTAGAAACGGAAGCTAACAGACACTCCTGGATCTCTTGCTACTGTTGACTCTATTGCGGCGCAATCCACCCACGAGCTTGCCAACTACCTTTCAGAAATGCAGAAAAAATCCTTTCCGGATATGTCTGCGATAGAACTGGAGGCCACGGCAGTACCAGGTTAGTCCATCTGTACCTTTGATACGCTCTTGTTAAGAAAATTTCAGAGTCTGCAATAGCAGATACGGCGTCATGGCAAGAACCAAGAACTCTGGATAAACTAGTGGAATTTATCATTAAGGGTATATGTCTTGTAATCTCCAGTGGCGTCTATGCACTTACAAGACATTAGCTGTTCCGTCTCTTCGAACTCGGCTCTTACAGAGATCCAAGGCTGCTGGATCACCAACACTTCTTTTTATAACGGGCGCAGCTCTGCGTGTTGCTGATGTCACCCGTGTCCTGAAGGACAAGAGACTAAGGGGTGATAAGGGTGGCGAAGTAGCAAAACTCTTCGCCAAACATTTCAAGTTGGCCGAGCATGTCACGTACCTTCGGCGGACAAAGGTTGGCGCTGCTGTCGGTAAGTCAAGTGCGAAATCTCTTGGTTCTTATCTCATACAACTTTAGGCACGCCTGGGAGGATTGGGAAGCTGTTATGCGAGACAGGTAGAATCTGGCCCGACTTTCACTCGTCCTTCCACTGACAAAAACACCCCAGATGCATTGACAGTGTCCGCACTCTCTCACATCATATTGGATGTCACTTTTCGAGACACCAAGAGACGGAGTTTGCTGGACATACCGGAAACGCGGGACGAATGCATGAGGACGGTTCTAGGATGTCCACAAGTCATCAAGCAAATGAAAGCAGGTAAGATACAGGTAGTACTGTTTTGATAGGCACCGTATTAGTGTTTGTCGTCATGATATGTATTTTGAATAAAGTACAGCTGCGAATAATAGGCTAGAATCCCTTGGGGTTTGTTCGAAGGGTCATCTACGGCCGTTTGTTAGTTTGCTTTTGGTAGCCAGAAGTTCTTTGACGCACCCTGGTCCATTTGGGCACTTTGTGTATACCCTTTCTGTACCCTTTGGCATGAGGAGAGAAGACAGTGTATTTGTCGCGTGCAGGCATTTCGTGTTCTTTCGGAAGCTCCAAGGCTTGGTCCTGTAGCGGGTAGCATTTAGCAAAGTCCGTTGCAAAAAAGAATGCGACATACAAGTGCACCGCACTGAACTCCGCTGGCTCTTACAGCTTCAATAACCGCATCGACTTTCTTTAGTCTTGCTCGAGCATTAGCTTTTCTGGTGGATGACAATCTCCATGGAATCTTCCTAGTAAAGTCTTCAGTAGCCGTCAGATGCATTGGAAAATGCCCATGTAACATACCAAAGGAGGCCACCAAGGTTTACCTGGGTCGCTCGAAAGGCGCCGAACATCGACGTTTGAAAAGAGAGATCGTGAGAAATATTTTCCTCGTGCTTGACTTGGACTTGAATTACGACCACAACTGCACTTCATTGACACCAACGACGACAATGAGTGTCCTCGTCGATTCCGTCGCTAACGGGCACGTCAACGGCAACGGAGATATCTCAATGGAACCGGCTGGCGCGAGATTTGCTAGCGGTCTTATTCTCCCTCCACCAGAAATCAAGTGTAAGCGGCTCTGTCTTTCCCTTTTCACTTCTCTTATTGAACTTCTCCTTTCAGCCGTTATTGACAGAACAGCCGTATTTGTTGCACGCTCAGCCAATCCACCCCAATTTGAGGATAAAATTCGCGAAGGCCAGCGTTCCGATCCCAAGTTCTCCTTCCTCAATCCAGCAGACCCGTATCATGCTTACTATCGAGACAAAATGGATAAGGTCATGCAAGGAGACATGTCTGGCGAACCAAGTCAAGAGAAGGCAGACAAGGGGGAACAGGGTGAAGCGGCAGAACCTCAGATACTGGATATTGGACTGGAACCTCCCGCCCCAGTATTTACAATGGACATGCCAAATGTCACTTCAATTGACCTGTACGTCTCCTTTCTTGTCTCCTCAAACAGTTCTTATATTGTCTGGTGTAGCGACATCATAAAAATGACTGCCCTTTTCACTGCTCGTCGAGGGCGCAGTTTTCTCAATTCGCTGTCCATGCGAGAAGGACGCAATTACCAGTTCGACTTCTTACGGCCCCACCACTCGCTCTTTGGCTATTTCAATCGGTTGGTGGAGCAGTATACCAAAGTGTTATTCCCTGACAAGGAGATGCTGGAACAGTTGAAGAGTCGCACTTCCGAGGGATCACGATGGAGGACTCTTGAAATTGCCAAACGACATGCCAAGTGGGAAAGGACCAAGCGTGAAAAGGATAAGAAGCGCCAAGATGACCAGGAGGCCGAACGAAGTGGGTATTCGTTTTTCTTAAATGCTGTTCAATATTCATTCTTTTATAACAGTTGCATTCGCGGAAATTGACTGGCATGACTATGCTATTGTTCAAACCATCGAGTTCACGGCTGCGGACGCAAATACCGAATTGCCGCCGCCTATGAGCGTTCAAGAGGTCGAGAGCATGACTCTTGCGCAGAAGAGAATGGCCGCCATGATCATGGAGAATACTGTGGATGACGTTGAGGCACACAGAGCTCGACAGGCGGCAGCAGAGGCAGAGGCAGCAGCGGCAGTCGGAAATGCTGGCGTTGGAGGAGGCGACGACGATGCTGCTATGGAGGAGAGTGATGATGAGGGCGAAGCAGAAGAGCGTAAGCGTCGCGAGGAAGAGCAACGACTTCGGGAAATTGAGAGGGCGAAAGCAATGCAAGCTTCATCTAACACAGCCGGACCCATGAAGATTCGAACAGATTATGTTCCTAAACGTGAGTCAGCCCTCTTTCGTCTGCGGCTTCTATTAACAATACATATAGTCGGTTCGAAGAACGCGAAGACTGCAATGACTACTTGTTCAATTTGCGGGCAGCAAATACCCGTTGACGAGCTACAGGAACATATGCGTATTGAACTCCTTGATCCTCGTTGGAAGGAGCAGCGAGATGCATTAGAAGCACGCAAGGCACAGTCTTCAGAATTGCAGAAAGGCGCCAATGTTGTCTCCTCGTTGAAGAATCTTGCACGCACTCGTGTAGATATCTTTGGTGCTGAAGCTGATGAAGAACGTCGCAAGAGAGAAGAGGAAGAGGAGCGTGAACGACGGAAGGAGAGAGAAAAGGTTGTTTGGGACGGACATACAAATACCAAGGCCAACACCCTTGACAAGTACTCCACGAACGTCAATTTCGATGAGCAGATTGCTGCTATTCATCGCGCAAAAGGACTCGGACCGTACGTCAGATATCTTTGTAATATGTTGAATATTAAGCTGATATGTATATATAGGCAAGAGGCAAATGCCATTGGTCCTGGCATAGGTCCTGCTGCTGTCCCTCCACCTCTAACATCACTGCCGCCAGCGCCAGCTTCTCTACCAGCACCACCTCAGGGTTCAGGCAATGCATCTTACTCTGCTGCCACTGTGTCATCAGGCCCTCAGCCAGCGTCCATGTACCAGCCACCGCCGGTCATGCTACCGCCCCTCCATTATCAGGGTATGGACGCTGCACAACCATTCGGGTACCAACCGCCCCCAGGGGGCGTGCATCCGACCAGAATGGCTGCATTGGCCGCGGCTAACAGTACACTACAAGCTCAAGCCGGGATGGTTCGGTCTGCGGATGAAATGGAGGGCGTTGTTGATGAAATCCCGCCAGCTAAACGTCAAAAGGTTGCTAAGGTACCTGGCAGCCAAATGTATTCTGAAGACGATTGGATCACGATGCATCCGGTGAGATTTCAGCGTTGTTATGGTAAGATCGAATACTGAATGTTTCATCCAGTATCCCATATCACTGCAGGTACAACTGCCTAACGATACTTCAAAACCAGAGTGGAAACTTGACGGTTCTACTGTCACAATTCCTGATCTCCCGTTGAATCTCCTGGTTTCGACACTACGTGACCGTATTGTCCAGCATACTAGCATCTCAGTACCCATATCTAGGATTAGGCTGTCGTATGCCGGGAAGATGCTTACCAACTCTAGCTCAATAGCGGTCTACAATATGGAGGACGAAGAGTTGCTTATGCTTAGTGTTAGTCCATCGAAGAAAAAGTAATCGTGCGTTCTATTTAGTACCGTATTCAAGTACATTCTCTGCCCTCTCTTTCAGCCCGTGTAAACTATTCTCAAAATAAAATATAACTCGTCAATACATGCCCCAAATGAACCCGAAACCCAGGTAAATATAATGATACAGTCAATGTAAGTACTGTGCTTCGTGGATGATATGGTATAATTACGATTCCGAAGCGCAAAAAAGGATGATGGCTGAGGTAGGTGCTGGATGACGGCCTGCGACTTGGCGTGTGTGGTGTGAAGTACGCGCATGTATCCAGCGTGCGTTCAGAATGCCCTTGCTTTACCAGTCGTCGACGACTGCCTACGCCTCATGACGACGGACGTGTATGAGTGGGGGTGAAGGGAGTGCCGGAGGGGAAGTGGTGCGCAACTCTGCTGCGCGGCGGAGCGCTTGTTGCTCTGATAATGAAGACCCCCTCGAAAGAGAGCACGAGGACGAGGTGGTCGAATCCATGCTCGCCTTCCTTCCCATGGTGGGAGTTGCTGGGACGGTGTCCTGCAGCCACTGCTCGTCCTCGGCGGTGGGTGTATGGGGCGAAATGACTCTCTGGAAAATGCTATTGGGTGAATTGAGAAGAGGTGACTGTAGAAGGGAGGGGGGGACAGGCATGTGCATCGTATTCTGGTGACGGTTGGACGAGGTCCGGCTCTGCCTCCGACCAAGATCGTGCGATGGCTTCCGGTTATGTGAAGGGTAGGCGAATGCACCAGAGTCAGAAGGATTTGAGGGGGTAGAGGAAGATGAATGGCAGGGCATGATTAAAGAAGAAACAGAAGAGGCCTGGCTCGCGTATATAGTAGAATTCGCAGACTAGCTGATGGATGAAAAGTAGTGTTGATAAATCTGAGACGAGACACGTCCTATATAGTAGTACACTGTACAGCTCGATCAAGTTTCAATATTCCATTTTGCCGTTGCACAGTACACCCTGTCTCCCGCCGACTGAATTTCATCTCTGCCGGGTTTTCCATTCTGGAGAGGACTTGGCACAAATTCCATTCTAGACTCGAAAAGGTACACAAGCACGTTGGTATCTATATCATCTTCCTACAAAGCAAAGCAAAAACCAATACAAGGAGGAAACATATCGCAGTATCCAATAAAACGGGGGGCCGACGCAGCGGTTGTGGGGATAGGACATTTGCGTCGTGCTCGGGAATAGTAGGTGAGGAAATACTTTCAGTCATTGATAGAGAGGTCTCTTGCGCAACTTCGTCTTCTGCTTCTTCTGATCGAGGACCTACAGAGTTCGCGGAAGGAGAAGCATCATTATGTTCTGGCAGTGCTGCTAGCTCCGGTTCTACGGGAGGAGGAATAGAGTAGCTGGGTCCATTCTCTTGACCGGCTGGTGAGTCAGGAAGTATGTCGAGATTTGACTGCTGACAGTGCGGGCACACCCAGTCCCGAGATCTGCGGGACGGATATAAGAACTAGCCAGAACCCATGCCAGTGATCTTAACATACAGTGCGGCTAACCTCCTCCTTTCTGAGGCGGGGTATTCAACAGATCCGACACCTGCAGCAGCTTGACCTTTCAGGGGGAAGAAACCTTGAAGACCCAAAATTGCTACCGATCAAGCTGAGTGCAACCCAATCTCTGTATTCCATTGCAATCTCTTACCAGTTCGTACACCCCAGGCAGGTTGCCACAGCTCCTCGTGGTCTATAATGATGATAATGATTGTCAGGATCATAATTCTCGACACGAAGCTGTTGGCTCACAGTTGGTGAAGCTTATGCATATCTAGGACGTGTGAAATAACCGTTTTACCGCAATATAAAGCAGACGACTGACCTTGGTATTCAATTCGAAGCGGCCGTTGGGCGTGAGAATCATTAGCGATGGGGGGCGGAAGGGATATTCTGCGGGCAATAGAATGCGAACATGATAGAGGCCACCCTCAAATTCTGTACCCGCAGGACCCCGTAATGTGCAGTGCCATTCCTGGATTGTATGGTAAGCGACCATGGTAATGATTATGCCTATATAAACTTGCAAATATATCGTCCTGGATGACCGGTCAACACTCGCAGGCGCAAGAACAAGTATGAATACGAACTTCCAAAGGTCCTGCAGCATAGTCTGTCGAGGGGTCACTGGATAGCTCTCGAGCCTCCTGCATGATGCGCTTGACAGCTTGAGCGAGATATGAGCGATTTCGCCTGTATACAGAGCTAAATACAGACCAGAGTTGTTCTTATTGAGGGCTGACATTGTAGCAATGAATCAGTCAAATTCAGGTAGCTGGACGATATGTAGGTAGCTTGCTGGTAGATGTATAAGTAAGTAAGACAACGGATTGATGATACTTGTATGGAATCAGTACAACGTGGCAGAATCGGAACGTAGGCCGGTATTGATCCGACTAATGGCTGTTTGTGGCTCGTACTCAGAAGTTGTCCTGCACTTTTATTTTTGTGTCTTTAGAAATCTAACAAAGAGAGGTAGATATTATTCTGGAATCGGCCACCTGAACGGGAGTCGAGCACAGAAGAATACAATACAACAGTTGTTGCCGGACTACTCCGGACCGCAACCCTAACCTTTGTTTTCCACCATCACTTTCTCTTGCCCTCCGTCGACCTGAACTACTCCATTACAACCAAAGATGGGTGTTCACATCAGGGAACTCAAAGTTCGTCCGAGAAAACGTGTGTACAGTCCTTGCCTGTCGCGATCTGCCCTCATGTTCCGTAGGCCAAATGGATGGTATGTGCGGCGTACAGCTTGCCGCCATGCTGGGTTGCTGGGCAGCATCCAAGGACATCCAGTCCATGGGTACATGTCGGGCTGCTGCAGAAAACCTGTTGCATTGCATGAGGGTGACAGTGCGTCGTCCATACCTCATTTTCAAAGATGTCGACTGACAGCCCACCAAAAAAGCCTCCGAAAAGGCAGACGCATAGACCTGCAATTAATTTCCATCTTGCAAGACTAGGGAAACGAATGTAATTGATATAGATCCCCGCAGCTGCAATACCAACTTTTCTCTGCATGTTCTCGGCGTCAATGTCTTCTTGAGTGCCATAGGATTTTCGGATCGAGCCTGCGTGAAGCATTACCAGTGCATAGCTTCCTATGGCAGGACTGCGAACAGGTCCCCTTCTGCGAACACGGTGTACAACAACAGTACTATACAAGGTGAGAAAGTATAACGCCCCCGTGATGCGGTCGGCAATCCCCCTTCTCCATTAATTGTTCGAAGTATGGGCGCCAACTCATTCCTTTACTTTCATCATGCAAGTGTCCGACCGCGTAGCCATCTTCTGGGACTTTGGTGCGTAATACTAGTCCGTAGTACGTGGGCGGTGACTAAACTTTGAATAGAGAATTGTCCAAGCGCCCTCTGGTGCCTCGGGGTACGACCTGGCTAGTAGTATCCGAAATTGTGTGCAACAATTCGGTCCTATCAAGCTCTTCAAGGCATATGTAGATATTTCAGAGCAATCAGCAGGTCAACGAGGGACATGTCTTCGCTCCGAGTTGCAACTGTCTGGTGTGTCAATGACTGACACGCCACACATGGGGAAGAAGAATGTCGCCGACCAGATGATCATTGGTGAGTACCTTTCACCATGCTGCCTGCCGGCTTGCTCATTGTGGATCAGTGGACATGCTTGCATATGCATTTGATAACCCACAGTCCTCCACGACGATCGTGTTAATAACTGGAGACCGGGACTTCGCCTATGCTGTAGCCATTCTTCGTCTGCGCCAATTCCACGTCGTAGTGATCTCACCTTCAGTCCCGTCACCACACACCAGTTTGACAGCCCATGCATCAATGTGTATTGACTGGAATAAAGCAATCATGCAGAACATAGGATTGGAGACCCCGACTTCTCAAACTGTTCCGCCAGATCGAACGAAAACGGAGTCACCTCCAACGAAAGTAGAGTCACCCCCAACAAAGGCAGAGCCGTCCCCATGTCCCCCGAATTCTGCTCCTGCTGCCTGTCCGACACAACCAGTGAATTCTGGTACTTGCAACTCATCACAGCCTCCCCAACCTAAGCCTCCCTCCGTCCCTGCCAACCTGCCAAAGCCTGTCCCCCTTGAAACGAATAATCGCTCTCGCTCTGCTGATCCTATTCGCAGAACTCAAACTCCTGATTCTATAGGCAGTTCTACTCCTGCACCAACTTATACTGCTCATCCGCCACCAGTCTCTCCGGTTCCACTCCAGCCACCTGACCAGGTGCCACAATCGGGCGTCCAAGGAGACAGTAATAACACCTACACACCTCCACAAACCCCTGGTGTCAATCATCTCTCAAGAGCACAGCCTGTCCGAAATTTATCGATGCCAGTACAGTTTCCTTCAATTGCGCCAGGATACATAGCCACGTCGCCCACTATGGCACCTCCCGCTGTATCGGGAATAGCACCAGTTCCGTCAGTCTTGCCCTCTAATTCCGCTCCCCTGTATCCTCCAGTCCAACAACCTGAAGCGGCCCCTCCTGCATCCCGCAAGGTTGTTCCCGTGCGATTTTCCAGTCTTGTAAAGCTTCTTGAGGCTCATCGTCGGAACGGTTCACCTCGCCCTTTCCGTTCAGTCATCGCGGTCGAACTGGTCCAGTCAGATAAAGCCATTTACAAGAAAGCTGGAGTGGAGAAATTCAAGCAGTACGTGGCCCTGGCCGAATCTGAGGGCATTGTGGAGCTCGGGGGAATGGAAGGAGGTGCCTGGATAGGCCTTCGTACGGATTAGTATGGATGTGTGGTGGGTCAATAGAGCACTCGGCATCTTGAAGGTAACCGTGTGCTCCTTTTTCTCACGATTTAGCTCACGTTGCTCTCGGCGTGTGTACAAAGTTGAAGAGTTTATGTATTAAAGGGCGGGAGGGTGTTGGTAAATCTTTTGACTATTTTTTATTCCCCTGCATGAGTGCGCTTCCAACAATTCGATATCAGGTCATCCGCTAATCCTGACTAGTCTTTTACCAGATTGCTACCAATGTATTGTTAAGTTCTATGTATCTTGATATCAACCCCGTTGAGCGGCTTTATGTTCCTGTGGCTCCCACGCTCTAGGACGGTGGGAACGACATGCCGGTGTGCGGGAAGGTTTTTAATTCCCTCCTGGGATTTTACCTCCGGCCTGCGCATATGTGTGGTAAGATGATCGCATCCCCAAGCGCTATAAAAAGCAGTGCCTCTCTTGGATGAATGATTCCCTGCGTCGTGTCAACCTCTCGTCCCCAGCATGAACCGCCCAACATCCCTGATTCTTCTATGGATTTATCTGTGGCTGACATTTTTGCATCAGATATACGCACTTCACGGTGATTCAGCTTGTGGCAAATTCCTTTGTGTGAATGCCACAGTGTTCTCCGACACAGTCAGATGTAGGGTCTCTGTTACGCGAAAGTGCAAACGCCAGCTGATGACGGTTAACAGATGAACTAACGGCATTAAAACAGCCCCTGGGCTGGGTGGGGTTGTACGTCGCTCCATCATCACCTTGCAAACAAGAATGATTGATTTCGTGTGTTCCACACAGCGGTTTTGGCCGCCGAATGGCGGAGACTCATATGGTCATATTGTGGTCCAACAGCGATGGCACTGTAACACTTTCACAACGATATGCGGTCGGACATAGCCAGCCGCGCATCGTGACAAATCCGCCACGACTCGCGACACTTCAGGTTCCTAGTGACTCCGCAGTGGGTTTACTAAATATTCTGATCTTCGTTGCACCATCGCTGACGTCAGTGATAGTTGCATCCCGCTAATTCGACTACATTTGCTTTCGAAATTGAGAGAGGAACAGGTCCGTATTCTGGAAAAAATGATTCAATGGAGCGCTTTATCTGGGCATACTCGCAAACGAATCCTGAATCTTCTGACCCCGAAGCTGATATCACTTTCCACTATGCCGCTGGCTTCTTGACGCTCGATCTAATGAAGGAGTTGGCCGAGATGGAGTCTCCAAGCCCGCCTCCCCTGGAGTCGGACAACTCAAACGGCGGTTCCACAAGTAATTCGCTGAGTCACGAAAGAGTTGTGATTGCTCATGGTGTGCTGGTGTCCATCGGCTTCCTATTTTTCCTACCCATTGGTTCTCTTGTTGCGCGTTGGAGTAGGACCTTTACGCCGAATTGGTTTAAGGTCCATAATGCTGTCAATTTTTGGATGGCCCTGCCAGTCATACTCATTGGTTGGATACTTGGTCCGGTCGCCGTCTTCGATGCGCAGGCTACTCACTTTTTGGATTCACATCAGGTGGATCACATCTGCTTTCATGTATATGCATTGCCCTTACCCCTGTCATCAGATTTGCGGTGGATTGTTGCTCCTCCTCTACTTTTTGCAGGTAGCTTTAGGACGGTACATCCACAACCACAAAGGGCTATCCGCTCTAAGACATCCCCCCTCTAATATTCTGCACGCGACCCTAGGATTGATGTTACTATGCCTGGCCTTTTTCCAGGCAAGTGGTTATGTTCTAGGCTTCCGTATGTGAATAGATGATGATCATTCCCTTTCTAGGTACGAAGCGGCTTTCACGAATGGAAGACTTTAAGCGGTAGAACCGCCGTACCAACGTGGGTCCATACTCTGTGGTCGTTCTGGGCATTGGTAAGAGCGGCAGTAATCTTTGTTTTGATTGATGTCTCAACACGCACTGTCAGGCTGTATTCATAGCCTATTCGCTGGGTCTCGCGTTACTTAAACGCCAATTTCAGCAAGAAAAACTAGGGATCATCACCAACCAATACATAGCCTTGGATAACGAAGTTCGCCTATCACCGGACCCCTCTCATCCTGCCGACGGTCGTTTAGACGCGTACGAAGGAAATTCATTAAAGGATCTTGAGAGCACGCCGTTCTTATAAAGTAATAATATCACATTTTATGTACAAACACTTACTTATACGGTGATACAAATAAATATATAAGAGACGAGGAGAACACTGTAAATGAAGGTATATGTGATGAGGGTATGAAAGAGTGTACAGTTTTATGAGTCAAATAACCATGAAAGCCCAGATAACAGAATAATATCACGCAGAGTCCGTTCTACGTGAGGTACACCGTGCTGTATCGCAGATGCATTGCGCGTGTCTACATAGACAACGCGGAAGCGCCATGCAAGATGCATGCGGTCTGCACAAGGGACACGGGGCCAGAAGGGCAGCAGGCAGATAGATGGATGGAAGAATCAGCCCACAATCCCTCTCTATACACCTTTTGAAAGAATCGATGCAAGATCCCTTTCGCTCGCAGCTGGTAGTTGGCGCGAACGTGCTTTAAGCCGCACTGCGTGAAGTATTATTAGTCAATCAAAACACGAACAAGACAAAAGAGGAGCTTACAATTGCGGTCCAAGCTCAAGAGAACCACCTTGACAGGGTTAGTTACATTTCTACCTATAGCATCGCTCCTCAAAAGAGCCGATCGATCCACCCAATGCTCGTCGTGCCAAATGGCGGCTTTCAGGATAAGGTCGTCCATGTTTCGATCAGAAGCGCCGTTCGTGAAGTCAACTTCCTCTGTGCGTACATTCAGGGTTGTCAGGTAATTGCCCTTGGAAGTTTGGACTTTCAATGACGTAGAATGGGTTCGTATGTGGGAGGACATGTAAGTCATCGCGCTCTGCGCTGCCTCACCCAATTGTGATGGATTCGATGACAGGCCATCGAGTTCCATGATAACGGGCAATGGAACAACCACTGTCCATCGCAAACTCTCCACAATCGATGCAAACATCGAAAGCGAAGAAAGCAAAATGTTGGTATCCACAACAAGGACCGTATATCCGGCCAACACCGGGAGGGGCGGGCGGGTATCGGTATTTTTACGACCCTTGCGACGAGACGACGAAATAGGTACGAGTGATGCCTGACCGGAGTGGAGGAGGCTTTGCAGGTATCTTCGCCTCGCCTTGACAGCAATCAGTTAAAGACAACAAAGCACACGAAGAGAGCCACATTACCTTCAACGCTTTCACTGCATCAGTGTCATTTTCATCATCGCTTTCGCTTTCTTCGGATGCATCCATTGGATCGTCGTCAATATCCATGGAGTCGTCAACCCATCGGTTGCCCAGGCGTCTGCGTTCTTCCGCTTCCCTCTCGTGTGCATCTTCCTCCCTCCATCGCACAACCTTCTCCGCAAGTTTTCCTTCAATTCTCCACTCGCGAGTTCCTTGGACCCAAGTGAACCCGTCCACAACGTTGGCTATTCCCACAGCACAGCGAATGATGCGTACCCATCGCTTGCCAATGTCGCTACTCTTTCTCTCGCTTGCATCATCGTTGTCATCATCTTCAATCTGACCGTCTGTCATTTCTTGCGCTTCCGACTCATTGAGTACTTCAAGTTCTGCCTTTCGGTCCTCACCACTCTTCCAGAAACCTCGCTCATAGACTTTGCGCGCTACCCACTCCATACCGCGTAGACACCAGTCCTCCGCCAAAGGAGGCGCGCAGCTGCTTGTCACCATATTCCATCGTTCAGTATCACGAGGTACGGGCTCATCCAATCCCTGCCCGGTCATGATGCTACGAGGCACGACGGCAAAGAATCTAGCAAGTTCTTCCCATGGAATACTGCGTTCCAATACTTCCCGCGAAGGTTCGTGTTTAAGAATAGTTGCCAAGAACGTCAACACGACTGTAAGGTACGGGTTCACTGTAGAACGCGCAAAGGGGGAGGTTTTCCGCGTAGGCCGACGCAAGACATGGGATAACATGGTGAACGTGATTTGAAGTGCAAGCTTGAAAGCATATGGGAGTTCTCCAGAGTCAGCCTCCATTTCTGAGAGCGCAGGAGAAACTTGGACTGTCGGCTCGTCAACATCCATTCTGTCCTCGGCAAGAAGTTCGCGCTTCGCCATAACACGCATGGCAGCAGCGGTTCCTGAGTCACGAGGGCCAACACCACCAATCCTTTTCAAAACACCGCTGGGTTTGCCATACTCTAATATGGAACCGATATTAATTGCAGCCATCATCGTCCACTCGCGGTCTTCGGCGCCTTCAATTTCCAGGCGTTCAACGAACCGTGCGAGGGTCGGCTGGAAATCATCGAGTTGGATGTTGGTGAAAAGCATGCCATGTAGCAGGACGAATAGGTCAGGCACATGCGCATCTGGAAGGGATCTTCGAGCCTGAGCTGCGGCGGACCAGATAGGGAGTACGGATTCACGCGATGTCATGAAAGGGTGAAGGGTAGTCATGCTAAGGGAAAAAAAAAGTCTGAGAAAAAAAATTTCCAAGACGATCCGAACCAACTCACCTCTTGACAAAATGATAAACACCTCTCAACTCTTCGCCTTCGACTTCTCTGCTCAACAAACCCAGGTGGTGATGGAGCTTACCAGTCCCAGGTTGATCGGCCAATCCGGCACCATACCAATCCCGGGCAATCCCTCGCCATCGCTCCTTTTCAGGTTCGACGTCAAGTAGGCGCGCCGCAGCCAGCCCAACGCTGGGCGACGGAGAGTCATCGATCCTGGCTGCGGGTGCGTCGCTGACAGATTTGGCCCCGGCTGGGACGGGAGGCGCCAAGCCATTCGAAGATGGTGTGCCTGCTATCCGAACAACTTCCGACACATTGGCAGCTGTGAGCGAACCACCACCGTTTGAAATTCCAGTGACCATTGCTGCGACGGCCATTCGATACCGTGCAAGATCGCCTAGGGCTTCCAACCATCCGCTTTTGAAGGTGCTGAGGGCAGGCTCTTCTAAAAGGCCTGTGTAGAACGTATAAGCGTAATATATAAAGTCTTGGAGATGCTCCATGGCTAGCGGAGAAGTGAAAGAGGAGCGCCGAAGAGACTCTAGGAGCTTGTGAAACCCGTAAGTCCATAGTCGTACAATAATGTTGTACTTGGTTGGAATATTGCGGAGCGAGGCAGGAACACTGGGAGCCAAGGAGATTTCGAGGAGATTGTGAATGTTCTCGACCAGGCTACAAAAAAAGACCGTCAGAAGGTGAGGCGGGATGCATAAGAGACGGCAAAAGTACCTCTTGTGATCATTGATCTTCTTCTTCCACTTCTCCTTCTCAAGGTCTTCGTCCTCAACTTCTTTACCTTTCAGCAAGATCCTGCCACTATCCTCGTTCTCTTCGAGGTCCTCCTGATTCACCTTGGATTCGAGACTGGTAATTGTCCTGTATAGCTTTTTGAGCTGCACAGCAAAGACATTGGTGCCTTGTTCCTCGGCCGACTTGCGTTGTCCTTCGAACAGCGCAGAGGATGCGGATGAGCCGTCGGTTGTCGAGGACAATGTAAAGCTGGATGAGGTCTGGGAAGCAGCATATGATGAAGTAGAAGAAGCAGATATATAGTCTCCCGAGGACTTTGGGGTAGGAGTAGGGCGGCCTGGAGTCCTAGCCAGGACAGAGAAACGAACTGGATCATCTTTACGATGGTTGAAGAGCTGCCTGGCAGCGGTTTCTCTTGGACCATTCCGAGATGCATAAGAGCTGGCGGCATCCGACATGGTCTCAGGTTCCGCGGTACGTCGCATTGGTATGGGATCACGATCTGGGTCGAAGAGTTTATGAGACTGCTTGGCTACTTGAGCCGGTCGAGCAGACGGAGACGAAGGTGATATTTTGAGGCGACGAGAAAAGTCATCTGGATCTGCTTCCTGTGACGGGCGCGAGACGGCGAGCTGAGGGGAAAGATGATGCTTTCTTGGTGAAGGTGAAGGCCGAGTTGGAGGCGGAGGAGGTGGCCTTGGAGAACGATCCTGGCGAGCGGGCGGCGGCGGTGGGGGAGCGGGCCGCTCAGATTTGTCTCTGGGCCGACTAGCGCTAATATAAGACAAGGATAAGCAAGAAAGGTCCCCAAAAGAGAGAATGAAGCGTACGCTGCTGTGCGACGACGAAAAGCAATAAGTTTTTCGTCAAGATCAGTTGGCTGAGGATCCCTAGGTGAGTCCCGATGCATGAGATCACGCTCCTTGCCCTTCCTTGAGGGTCTTTGTATCTCTTGCTGTGAAAATTCGAGCTGCATGGTGGTGAAAGGGAAAGAAGGACAGCGGTGGGTGACGGGGACGTCGACTGCGGCTGGGGTCGCTGGCAGGAGACTCTGAAGGAACCAAGAGATGCGCAGCAGCCCGCCACAGTCCACTGTACTGCTGCGCTCGATCAATATGTTGAAATTCACGTGGCCGGCCAATACCATATTGCGGCAAACAAGCCGAGTTATTAACAAAAAAATAATATATATAATACTATGTAATCCAAAGTAAGTACAGCTAACAGTACAGTAGTAAGTATGTCCCAGAACTTGACAACAATATTCATGCCTGCTTCGGCACATGTACAAGCCAAGGCGTCACCTTGGCATTCGCACGTCTTAAAGTATACGATCCAAACCATGTCGACACCTTTCCATCCCATTGGTCAACCAATCTTACAATCTTCTCTTCACGATCAAGGTCAACCACGATAATCGAGTCGATGACCTGGCACGGCCTCAATAGTCAGTCCACTTTCAGATCCGAGATACCCCCCTGCTTACCTTTTTACGGCCAAACAATCGTGCGGTATACTCTTGTTTCTGAGCATATACCAAACGGTTCGGGGAGCTCGTCGACGACATAATTCTCGTAGACAGCGTCTCCGACTTTGAAAACAATTTCGGCTGCAAAAACTAATCAGCCAGAGAATAGGCTTATTCTCACACACACATCGTACCATGGCAAACCACTGTGAAAGTGTCAGTCACAGATGTAGACAGTAATGTAGACAACGTGCCTGGGCAGCATACTCATTGTAACCTTTGCAATACGAAAGCGGGTCCTATACGAACTGATTCAAAAAACGCCGAACAGACACCAGGCTTCAACGTACCTCAAAAACAGCGTCCTTGTTCCATGACCTCTCGAAAATCTCCACGGTGGGTCGGCAGCAATAAAGTTCCTTCAAGTCAGCCATGATGCGTTGGTGGTCTGCCTTCACCGGCTCATTGCAACTGGATTCTCTTCGGTCCATACTCGCTCGCCTGTGTTTCAGTGTTTCCGGGTCTACTTTGACGCCTGAGTAATGGGCAGCTCCAGCGACTGACTCGAGAAGCGCAGGGGTAGGAATAGAGTGAGGTAAAATCGACGAATGAAAAGTCTGTGATGGAGGTGACGGCGAACGGGGAGATGTCGAATGAGCCGACTCGAGAGACAGCGAACGATGGTGATGATGATGACTGGGAGGCATGACGAACAAGATGGTACTGGGCTTGGATCTGGGAGAACAAGAGCAGCTTACGCTGTCACGATCTTGTCACGCCAATCATATTGGTGACGTAAGTGAGCACAGCCACGAGCAGCGAGTCATTATTACAGGGCATTACATGACAGGTTGCAAATGCAAGGATTCATACAGTACATCTTTCTCAGAAAAAACAAATGAACCTTCTCAATATACAGCAAATCCACTTAGCCTCCGTTTGTCTGTCCCTGCCATAGACCATAAGTTTTTCCAGGTGTAGTTTGCCACAGTCGTATAGTTCCTGAGAGAAAGAAAAAAAAGATCAGAATCACAGCATAGGATTACAGGGCCATACTTACCGTCCTCTATCATAGTTACCCGTCGCAAATCAGTCAATTGTCGCTATCAGAAAATTATGGCATCTACGCACCACTGCCGCTAGCATACATCTCTCCGTCGGGGCTAAATTCGACACAGTGTACGGAACCGTGGTGTCCCTTTAAAACCTCCCTTTCTTCACCGTCCATCGCGTGCACCCGAACCCATTCGTCGCCCGTGTTACCAGTGACAAATCGGTCCTGTAGAATGGGATGTATCGTTGCAGACGAGGGTGAGTAGGGAAGGTTCAAACTGTGTGTCAATCCATTGCTATTGGGAAGAGCAGGGATAAACGCGACAGTTGTACCCGAGGTGACAACTAATCGTCCCGTCTGTGGTGACAATTCCATGGAAGTGATAGGTTTTGGAAAGGTCATAGTATTCGTTAACGTCCTCGTTCGTAGATCCCACCACCTATTCGCGTCTCAGCAATCTCAGCAGTTCGAGTCATGAATACGTACTTGATAAGACCATCCTCTCCCGCAGTCACGCCGGTGTGGTCGCCGACCCAGACCACGCTTTTGACCGTTCCATCATGCGAAAGGGCACCAGGCTCTCCGAGGTAATCCGGGTCCGCATCAGGCCTACCAAGGTCAAACATCCGCACTTTCTTCTCTTGCCCACCCGTGAGCAGATGGGACGATGTCGGAGAGAGGGCTACGCTGCGGACAATGTGATTGTGCGGAAAAGAATGTAGCAGATTTCCTGTATATGTGTCCCAGACTTTGCTGCAACGACAAGATGAGTAAGATAGAATGACAAGGATATCAGACATACATACGCGGTGAAATCAGCACTTCCGGAAGCTGCCCTAGACGCATCGGGGGATAGTTTGGTACTCCAAACAGCACCCTTATGCCCAAGAAAAGTACCGATCCAGTCGCCAGTCCATTCCCTCAACATCGGATTTCCATCTTTGCAGCTCGAAATGAGCAAATACGTGCCGTCGTCTTGAATGGGAGAAAAAGAAAGGTGGGTAACGGGGCGAGTGTGACCAGACGCCACGAGGGGTGTGGCCTTGGCAGGAAGGGACATTAAATCGTACTAAATGAGGTCTGTGGTCGTGATACAAGCGCACCGCGCTGCAGATTGAGAAGGATGCTAAAAACAAAAGGCAAAGGAATGCCTCAAAGACGCTGCTTCATCACGTGCTGATGACCCTCTTCACCACACAGCCGTCATCATGGGCGCCGCCTCGTCCAAAGCTGCAAGAAAATATCCAAAGATGGCTGAGAAACAGTCCTGGGCCGGTGCTAGGACTCCTCGTACTGCAGACACAACTCCTCGACCCAGGGCTAGCCAAGTCAAAAATGAAGGTGCGTCCACTGTCAAGTTGCGTCCTCTCTTCTATAAAGCATGCCTAGATATCGAACGCGATGCCCAAGACCCACATTTTTTGTCTAATTTGAATCGGATGGGTCAAGTACGCGTGGATCATCATATGCAGTCATTCCAGCCGGTCTGTGTCTAAGCCTTCGCTCTCCGTATGCGACTGACATTCTTCGAAGGCTGCATCCAAAAGCAGCGTACTCCGCTCCCGTGCCCGATCCGAGTTGGAAGAAACGTCAAGTACAGGACGCAATGTCTACGCTGCAACACTCAGCTCCATGCTTAATCAACGGAAATCATGCACCACGCGTCTCGACGTCGAAAATCTTGCTCGAAACTACAAAATTGATGTCCAAAAACTGGAAAGTATTTCAAAGTTTGTCAACAGTCCTAGCGTCGACTCTAGTTCCGTCGTGAAAACCGTGGATGAAGACGGTAACGAGAGTCGAAGCATGCTGGTATGTGAATCCAGGTATTCTTCAGATACAGGCTCACCGCTTCTAGGCTGTTTGGATTAAACCGAACATTCGCCAGTGATGGACATTATATTTCCCTGACCATTTTCTCTCGTGAGCTCTGGAAACCTCGAGATAGAAAACATCCATGTATTGTGTCAAGCAGCACAACAAGGGCAATCCTCCTGTTAGATTGCACCAATATAACGCTAATAATGATCCGCTACCAACTCCTCTGTTACCAGTCTAAGAGCTAAAAGTGAGCTAGCTGCTGTCTTTCCACCCTGTAAGCATAGGTGTAACAGCTTCAAAGTCTTTTTGGTCCTATAGTAGAGAAACAAGTTAGAACGAAAGAAAAGAAAAACATCCTTAGGCGTACTTATTACGTCTCGTGCGTTCCATTACTTGGTTTTTCATTCGGGATGACTGTTGGGCGGCGACAGACAACAAGCTTTCTGGTAGCCCAGCGAGGGCGCCGCATTCTACACCAAATGATTCTGCGTAGATTAGCGAAGAATTCAGAGATGTCAAAAAGGCATACAAAGGCGTACCTGGAGCAATTCCATTAGTCAGACGGTACAAGAATGTGATGTCACGAAACCCATTGATGCGAGTTTCAGCTTCGTAGCCCATATGTAAATTATGGATCTGCTTGGGGAACTTCTTCTCCAATCCTAGTGCTATCGAAGGATAGTGCGTGATGAACAGCGTCTTGCACCCAACAGATTGCACCAGATGCTCCAAAACAGCGTCCGCAATCGCCATCTAGGATGGTGTAAGCTACATGTCATGGAAATCTGTCAAAGAGAAAGACTTACCCCATCAAAGGTCGAGGTTCCCCGTCCAAGTTCATCTAGAATTACTAGGCTTCTCTCGGTCGCTGAATGCAGAATTTCACTGGTTTCCGCCATCTCTACCATAAATGTAGACCTTCCTCTCGCAAGGTCGTCAGAAGCTATGCGAACATGTCAACATCGAGTTCTCCCACACAAGAAGTCATGTACCTCCCATCCTTGTAAGCACAGAATCTAATAGGTTGATTTTGACAGACGCGGCAGGAACATAGCTACCGACCTGGGCCATAACGGCAATAAGGGCCACCATACGTACCGAAGAGCTTTTCCTAGTCAAGGATTTAATATGACACATTTCATTTGAGTCGATGGGAAAAAAACCTTACCCTCCCATATTGGGTCCTGTGATAATTTTATTCTTAGGTTCAGAGCCTCCCATGAGGACAGTGTTCGGAACGAACGGATTATCTCGCAAGGCCTCAACCATCGGATGACGTCCGTCAACGATCTCCAGGATGTCTTCATCAGCAAGACATGGCTTCACATACCCTGGGAGTAAAGCTACATGTGCTAAGCTGAGTAGACAATCAGCAATGGCAAGTTTGGTGACCGCGTTTCGTAATATGCCATAGTATTTCTGGCTGATTTCGGCCAGGAACGAGAGATATGCTTTTTGAGCCTCAGCCTGGTTTCGATTAAGTACTCCGGTAATTGAAGGTCAATGTTCCATAACGCACTTTTAAGCTCTCCTGTCCTTGGTTCCGTTCCTCGACTTTGCGTTTTACGGATAAAGGCTGATAACGTTCTAAATACTTCGTTCTTCGGTATAGACATCAATTCCAACCAGAAGATTCCATGGGATAGTGCATGTGACGAACCTTGAAATTTGGATCCAGGCATCAGGAATCGGTCTATGATCGCTTTTCTTTACTTCCACAACAAACTGTACAAGCTTAGGGACATAATAAAGAAAAGAAACGACCGCTCACTTCTTCTCCTGCAATCGTACTCCATTGAAGCGACGGAAACTTCAAGAGTTTCCGAACTATTAAAATGAGTAAAGGTCATATACCAACCCTCCAACACTCACTCGCTTTCAATTCGTCTTCCAGTTCCGCTTCTACTTGCAATATTGCCTACATTGATACTCATCACATCAGTGTCTCATCTAAGACATCAAAGAAAACGAACGAGGTCACGATCCAAGACATCAGGAAATCGCTCGGGGTCAATCCACATAGTAGCCTTCTTGCCCTCCGCCGCCTCGTTGAGATTTACTATGCTCAACATATCTGCGGCAGGACCTTTTACATGTTGAAGCGAAAATATGATATCGTTCAGAAGCATGGAATTAAATCCGACGTCAGATGGGTTCTCTATGACCTCTACAGAGTCAGCGATCTTTTTGAACGCGCGTATAAGGGTTGCCAGTTCTTGAGGAGTACACTAATAAAACAGTGTGAACAGATGGTACATCCAGCTGAAGCACCATTACCTGGCCGTAGTGTATCCTACAGAGGCCCTTGGCGAGATCAGGAAGTCCCTTAAGAACCTGACGGAGGCTGACGAGTTTTTCGGAAGAGCTTGAAAGAATCTCTTCTACTGCATCTATTCGTTGCTGTAGAGCGCTATCAAGGAATTTAGTTCTTCACGCAGAAAAGACTGAGTATCAACATACATCTTATCAACCAAGGGCCTGCCTACCCAGTACCTCAGTAACCGGGCGCCGAATCTCGTCTTCGTACGATCCAAAATCCACATTAGGGAGCCGCGATTTGTGTAATCTGTCTCGTTCCTATATATCTCAAGATTCTGAAGGGTATTGGCAGCCAGCAACATGTGAGCATGCGTTGTGAATTTTGTAAAGAAGTTGGTCTCCAAAAAGGCGTCGGCGAGGCCAAACTTTGACAGGTACTTCATAGAGTGCGCAAGAGCGACCACCACCAACTTGGGCAAGTCGGAGATATCTGCAAGGATTTTTCCTGGTGGAAGAATGAGCGCCTGACAGTAAAAACTATTATCGATGTGTACCAGATCTGACATTATCTGAAACCACGGGTCCTGGTTTCTTCTTGGAGTAGAAGTCGGTAATGTACGAAAATGCATCTGTATACGCCATCAAAGCCTGGAAGTGCTCAATACGAATGCTACCACTGGTCGACGAGACGCTAACATGATAGATTACTTCGCACATTCTCGGTACCATGACGTTGAAACGCACGTCGTGAAGTGAGATAACATCTTCTCCGTTGCTTTCGTCAGTCCACCTTGATGTAACAACAACTCGGCCGGCTTTGTATGTGACAACCTTGTCTAACAAACGATGAGAGAAGTTCATATTCCAGCAAACTTCAGCGGATATTACCTCTAGCTCTAATCGCATGAGGGCATCTACAATGGAGTAGTTGATAGTTTTGAGGGTCCCGATCATCGTATCATAAGAAGTACACATACCTTCAAATGCATCCCATATAACGTCTCCTGTACTCGGACAGATACTGATTAAGCCAATATGCACATCCCCGTCATGGGGGCCACTTTTCTCCTCAACAATACACATAAAAGGTGGAGCAACATATTTGTCGACGTCATCTACAGAATCGAGACCATCCACAAATCTACCCTGTTGTCAGGTTGCGCGTCAATGAGTATATTAAGTACAAGACTCACGTAGTTGCTGTATATAGGCCAGTCAGTTTCCGTTCAAAGGGTGTATTTCGGTTATCGCCGACTTTCTTCAAGGCAGCGGTTTCCGTCTGTTGCACAATCCCAACTCGATAACCCTGCGACAGTAGCCTACCCGGAAACAATTTAGAAAAAATGTCAAAATGGATATAAAGTACAGACTTTTTAAGATGTATGTCCCGCCTGTGAGAGGGAATAGAGGCCACAAGAAAGTTGCGATCCATAAACGACACCATCCCAAGTTCTTTACTCGCGACCTGGCCTGCCGCTCAGCTGAATGCTTACCTTGACAAAGTGTAAATACCGCACCTTCGCATCATCTCCAAAAAACCTGTACTTGTATCCAACCTCAATCATTAACACAGTGCCGGGATTCTCCTTTTTAAGCTGTAGAACCTGGTGTATGGTCGGTAAGCATTAATCATACACCGTCTGTTGATGAATGTGATACTTACTTGCTTTTCCAAAGGTGTATACGGCTGTCCGCATGGTCCGTTCTCTTCGACGGCCTTTGGTGCACTCCTTGTGCGTAAGGGCTTCTTGGCGGAGACCTTCTTAGCATTCTGACCCTTGACTGAAAACATCTTTGTCAATGCCTTGAACCCATCGTCCGACTCGCCTCCCGACAACTCCTCAACCTCTTCATCTTGTTCAGGTTCACGTATGCTAGAGGCCCGTCGACTAAAGTGATGATCATCCGCCAACAGCTTCTTCTTGAATGCTTCGTGGCGTTTCTTCTTTGCGTCAAGTTCGCTTTCAGTCGAGGGTTTTGGAGACGCGGTCTCGGTATTGAGGGGCGAATACTGCCACTCCGACGTCCGAGAGAGGACAGGAGAAGAAGGAGTGGTTATTTTCCTTTTCTTTGGAGGCGGCTCATTATCTGAAATGTCCGCCTCGCCAGTCAAATCGATAGGACTCAACCGATTTTTGCCTCCTTTATTGGGACTCGAACTTGAGACCTGAGAAAAGTACGACGATATTCTAGCTTGAGGGGGACCAGAGTGATTCTTCATGGCGATCGAGAAAGTATTAAAGAAAGAGGTGCGGAAACAGGAAGAGAATAATTCGCAGTCAAAAGAGGCTAAGATTTGAAGGTGCGCGTCTGCGATTTGCCACGTGATATATCGTCACTGTACGTCACGTCACGCTCAAATTCTTTCTCGAGTCCCAGCGGTGTCGTACTCAAGACTATGGGTAGCTTCTGCCGGCCATTGCCCATAAGATTAACAACCAGAATCTTTCCACGTAACTTTAGGAGGCTTCAATCGACAGTGTCAATTATCGATGGCCCTCCGGTCACAGAGACGAACCGTGAGTGGACTGTTTACTTTCCAGCTGTATATTTGTTGAAAAAAAAAAACTTTGTAGGCGCAGAGGCGACGATGAAACGCTTTTGGAAGGATGTGGGCGTCGAGAAACGCGGAGAGTCCTTTGTCGTAACTCTGGATAGGCGTGCACTCAAAACCCCCGCCGGCAATACGCTCCTACTGCCTGAGAATAAAAAATTGGTTGCGGCTCTTGTCGCTACTGAATGGGATAACCAAGACAAACTACTAAAGCCTCATGCCTTGCCAATTGTGAGTCAGCTGTTTGATACCTTGTCAAAGGATTTGAAGGAGTCGCAGACATCTTTGGTCTCTAGAGCGATCGATTCTCTTGGCGAAGATGCTGCCCGGGAAGAGGTCTGCCATGCTTTGCTTGAATATCTTGATACAGATACGATATGGTATGGAATCTGGGCACCAGTTCCTTCAAGGGGTCAGAAGCTGATACATTTTTAGCTTCCACGAAGACTACCCTCCTCCGCTCGTGACGCTCCAGTCGGACCATTGGGATCCCTTGCTGGAATGGGCACGTAATACGTTCAATGTCGAGATCCACAAATTCGAGTCGATACTGTCCAACAAGCAGCCGGAAGCAACGAAGCAGAAATTCATCAAAGAGCTGAAAACGTTCACTTCCTGGGAAATGGCCGGTAGGTATATTTCGATCCTCAACGGCGTCGGGTCTCATGGGAAAAACAGCGATGGAACGAGCCACGTACATAACGAAATCGTTCTTGATTGCTTTGGCGTTGGTTAAGCGGTTTATCACGGTGGAGCAGGCATCAATAGCCGCTCGGGTCGAGGTATCGAGCCAAATCGAACGTTGGGGCGAGGTCGAGGATAGTAGGTGATAGTGCTCTGGGGCGGTTATTCTTACTAACCTTTGGGGGATACTAGGCCATGATGTTGATTTTTACGACGTACGACAACAGCTTGGGAGCGCAGCGTGCCTACTATCCCTAACGTGATTGGGTGCGGCAGAACATCCATACGAATGGTTGAATTTTGCGAGAATCGGCGTAATAGGCTTTGTGGCAGAAATCCAGACTTGCGGTGAGACGAGCATGCCCAACGGCTACACGAGGATTGCGGACTGCATCAACTCGTTCGAGAGTCGAGGCGCATAAAATTACACTTTGCCCCTTCTGAATAACCAATTGCATCCGGACAAACCACGGAATACACAAATTGAAAAAGAAAAAAGATTCGAAGCCTTGTCGAAGACGAGTGATGAGAAGTGATGAGACAAGAATATGAAATGCAGATAGAAGGCCCCGATCCTAACATCAAATGACTAATGTAATGGTTGGTAGGCAATGGTACGTACGCTAATTATTGACAACAAATGCCAGTGGTCCGTTGGTTTATCCGCCGTCGCCAGCATATTGATGAGTAGAATCGGAGGAGTCGGAGCGCTGGAAGGGGAAACGGGATGATCGGCGATCGAATGTGGGGAAATGCAATCCACGTGGAAGCGGATACCTCAGCGGAAGGCCGGGCCTCCCGGAATAATACCCTTCCAAGCCGCATTCATAAAACAGAAAAAAACAAGTGAAAATTCGCGCCCATCCTGCGTTGCACATGGCAATGGCTCGCTCCCCCTTACTCGACTCCTTCGACCCTTTCGCGGTGCACCCCTTCACCAATTCGTCGGTCGTCCTACCTCAAGCACCTATGCCATCCCAATACTATTCCCAGCCAACATCGTCCGTCGCCACCGCCCCCATCCAAATTATGGCGCCTAGTCCCAAGCGGCCCGTTGTACAATCAAAAGCGTCACCTTCGTTGAATCGCCCGGTATTCACTCCATTCCGAGTGGATACGTCTTCTCCGGATCTAGTTCTGAAATCCAAAGTCAGCCCTTCGTCACCCCAAGGCTCGCACAATAAGCAGTCTTCATGATCTCTTATGATATTATTATACCCGTATATCCACGCATGTTGTAAGTTCTATTGTTATTCCGCTTCTCGCAGCCCGAAATTCATTCGCAGCTTGCAGTGTCCTTTACGTTTCGGGATCCCTGTAATTGTGGACTGCCGCCAGCCACCATCATTGATGCCTCTTTACCATTGTAATCAATTGCATTATCACCTATGAACAATTTTCAAACTGACCGCGTGCCCATCGTTCGAAATTATGGAGGTTATAAACGTTGCCAAACGTGTCATCCGAGGGCGTCATGCAGACGAAGCTCTTCATCAAATTGGAGCGGATGCCTCTGCCAAGAGTTTTGGTTCCGTATATCGGGGCATACAAAGGTGGCGGAGACGAGAACGAACCATCTCCGTGGACCTGTAAACTGCGTTCTTGACCCTAGATTTTTCCAAGAGATGAGAGCAGACTTGCCATATGGGAGCGGTCCGAGGCAAAATACTGGAGGTATATCTCACCGGGTACAAGACGGAACAAACTGAAATAAATGATCGATTTAAATGGACGAAGAGTTGGATGCGCCACACTACTACTGACCTCTGAAAATTTTCGGGGAATTGGTCGCTGAAAGTTTGACGGAGGTATTCTAATTTGTATCGGTCAGTTACCGGTATTCTATGGCTGTCATTGGATGATCTTCTAATACCTGCTAAAGGCACAGGTACCGGCAGGCTAGTGTCGAAATCGTATACCCAATTGCAGTTTTCCGTGTCGGAAGGGGGATATATCGAGATGCTCCGCAATAACAGCACTACGTGGTAGTCCCAGCAGACCGGAAAATCTTCATGGGGCGCATCCTTCTGGTTCCGAAGGGCCACCTAGAATAGGTTCTAATGTCAACTGGAAGAACCATGCCGGAGAAGCTGACTGGTACAACACGGTCTTGGAATCATTGGAAATGAAAACGACATATATGTTCCAGTCACCGTTCACTCCTGAATCGGATATGAATTTCTGCGCGAGAAGGTATATGTTCTCTTCACAGTAGCAGCGAGTGTATGGCGAATCGCGAGGCAGCTGGGGCGGCAACATGCAGGCGGAGTTTGAAAACAGCAAAGGGCCTCTGCGGGCCTTTTGCTGCTAGCCAATTGGACTGGCGACGGAATAAATAACAAGGATAGGAGAATTATGGTCGAGACAAGACGTTGAGTTGGCTTGTAGAATATTTTTTTAGGATGAAGGGCAGCAGTGTCGAGTGTCGGTGTTGTTGAATTTGAAACTCAGGCGTGGCCAGGACAGCCAGCGGCGCCTTTCCTCGGTTTGCTCACCACGTCGCACTGGCACTCGAATTTTGCCCTACATCTGACAGGCTGCCACTGAGTGACAGAGCCTCGCTGTATCTTTCTTTCATCTAACCGAAAAACGACATGAGCACCAGTTCATCATCGACCTCAATGAACGGGCATGGCCACCCGAATGGGATAACCTATGGCCAGTCTGCGCCATCGTCAGACTCGTTCGACGACTCGAACCACTCAGCCACAGGATCTGCATATCCAGCGAATGGGTATTCCCAGTTGGTCTGCTCTCCTTCGCGTCCGGGACGTTGTTGATCTTTTTTATCGCTCTCACAGCTCGTACCAAAATCACAATGAAGATATCGTCAATCATCTTTACCATGCTGGTTTCCAGACGGGAGTGAGTTTTCTTTGATGCTGCGAGTCTGGACTCATTCTCTGACCGTGATCTCGCCTGAAGAACTATGCCGACACCATCCTCGTACGTCCTTTTGACTTGTCGTCTTCACGTATTCACTGATCCTTTCATTTCCGCATTTCCGATCTTTCTAGCAAGTACAACAAAATAGTTATCGTTTACATGCTATTATATTGTCGCGGTCACCATTTTTGGCTCACTTGATGTCAACATCACCCCAAGGTGGGGGTCAAAGGGTAATATTTGTACCTCTCGAACAGGAACCAGAGGTTACCCAAGAGGTTCGTAATCATGTCTCCCATGTCAAAGAACGCGTTCTTAATTATTTTTTTTCGCCTGCCAGGGCTTTGCAATAGGTATGACATCTAAACAACATTCGCCGCTATCATCCCTGATCGCCCATTTCTTAGCTCTGGGCTATCTCTACTCTTCTGTTTCGCTAAGTTTGATTAGGCCAGAAAATGCGCGGGCCGTCCTAGCCGCAGGTTGTCTCCTGGGCGGTATGGACGACCTTTGCCAGTTTGCATATGAGACATGCAGACGATCTATAAACGTCCATACCATTGGGTCGTGGCTCGAATTTGTTGATACACTTCCTCCGTCTTCACCCGACGGATCATCAACGCCTGATATTCCACCAGTCACCGTGTTTGGTCACTTTGCCCAACGAATCCGAGATGATGTCTTCCACTTCTTGGTTGTTACACTTCCCGAAGTTCTAGAGGTACAAACGACTCCAGACTCCGTACCGTCTACTCCATCAGGCTCTGGACCCAGTGGACGTGAGGTGTTGTTACAGATATTTTCTCGCGTCCCCTTCGAGATGTTCAAGGCAGCCGTTGAATCACCTACTTTCAATATCGGTACGCTCCCCTGTTCTTTTCTTTCTTTTAGAAATCAAAGTTTAACCATAACTGTACCCCTGCAGGGTCCGACCAAGCCCGTTTCAAATTTGCAAAGGAGGCTATTGAAATGAGGAAACGGGGGATCGCGCGCGGTCCTGGAACTGAGGAAACCGTGGTTCTTGCTTTCGGCGGAGGCAACTTTGGGGGGAGCGCTGTTCATGTGACCAGGAAATTGAAGAAGCGGCCATTATGGAAAGTGAATTCCTAGATTTTCTGTTTTCCTCGATAATGTTTATAGTCACATATCGGCGAGAATTTACTCTCTTGTGAGTAGCAGCTTGCCGGCTGCAGTTTTTCCTGATTTTCTCTCGCAGGCTTTAGAACTCTCATCAACGATCAGGACTGTCAATGACGTCTATAACTATGATTGGAACACTGAGTCTTTTAGAGGTCTGGACGATCCTAGGCAAAACTAGACGACGGGTCGGTGACGCATTGCCAACTTCTTTTCAACATGCGCCTCGGGGCTGGAACATAAGGCTCCAGTGGCTCTGACACCGAGGCTAAGAGACCTATGGTTACCATTTGAAAAAATAACCTTTTAGTGAGACTCATTTCTTTTTCAAATAAGGATTGACGCCGCGTTGGGAGCGTCGGCACCGCAGATGTGCGGCATCGCGAGCAGCACACATCCGCTATACTGGGCTCAACTTGACATCATCATATCGACCACCCTCCCTGACCTCTAGACCTTACACTCGCTTCTCTTCTTGCGCCACAATCGGTGATTTCTTCCCATGGAACGCGCTAAATCACGGGTGCAACACAGTTCAATAATGGCTCTATAAAAAGCGGCTAGAGGCAAAGTTGCAGGACACAAACATTTGCGACTTTTATCCATGGCTGACCCAACATACGACCTCTTCTTCACTGGCCGAGATGACCCTCGCTCCTGTGTTATCATTGGCGAAGACACAAAACCCATCTACCTCTGTTTCGACACTCCCGAGAGAAGTATAGCTCCAAGTGTCAGAACAACTGTGAGCTTGGAATTGCAGTCTTGCCTTGCAGTTGACTAACGGACATTGCTCATAGGTCCTCAGCAATAACAAAGACCTGGTCGCGTCCTTTGACTGGAGCCCGGGCAATCATTTGGGGAGAGTGACGATTGGTAAACGACAAATTCCAATGTCGCATCTCGTACGGCCTGGATCGAGACAAAAGTAAGTTCTTGACATTTAATTTTCGTCACCCTGCTCATGGTTTTTCCGACAGTGCGCGATCGTTTGTGTCCTCCGATGGAAGACAACTAGAATGGCGCAAATGCCCTAACGACCCAACGTCTTACGATGTATGTATCATAAGTAATCATTAATCATCAACTTCCGCTGACTCGTGGCTTCTCTAGTTGTACGTAGCGCCGAATTTCCAAATTGCTGCTTTCCGTCGGTATGTTTCTTCGACCGCAGTCGGCCCAACACATGGATTGCTGCAATATAAGTTCAATCATGACACATTATTGGTGGAAGCTTTGTTGGCACTTGCGCTGAATCGATGGATTGACCTGCATGGAATGTAAAGATACCTTGTACATTATATATATATTATAGTTTCCGTCACTTTGTGGACATTAAAATGGAATAGATATGCAAAACAAACAAGTCCAGATCCCAGTAAATACATAAGGCCGCAAAAAAACCCTTCGAGTTTACGCTCCCTTCATGGAGCCAATCATATGGTCTAGTCTTTCTTCTACCGTCCAGCCATTGTCAAAGGTTGATAACGATGATGAAGGGGAGTGGACCGGGGGATTTGCCGTGCGGAAGTTGAAGGATCCGGCCTCCATACCTTGTGAGATGTTCTCGATGAGGCGTCCAATTTGAGCTGATGAACTATAAAAAACCTATATAGTGATGAATAATGATAACCATTGAATGGAGAAACGGTACCAGGCCTTACCTTGGTCTCAGGACGGGATGACTTTCCTTGAGGTTTTTGGGGGGAATAATTAGAGGCGACACTTTTCCTCAGATGCTCTCTAACGTAAACTTGCATGTCTTCATCATGGACATCGTATTCCGAGGCCAGGCTGGTTCGAGAGGCATAAAGAGACTCCGAGTCATCGTCTCGGAGACCATTTACAATTGACCTGTTGTTGCGAAGATAAGGAGACGGGAATCTCGGACATTTTCCAGAAACTCGCCATATAGTCTCTCCGTTGGCAAGTTCTATAACTTCGATGGACGGACCGGTCGCTTCGCTAGGACCTGCCCTTTCATTCGGGGCCGATGACTGCGCGTTTGGTTTGTTGTCGCCTGCATACATGTCATACCTTCAAGCAACCAGAAAAATTAGACACCTGCCAAGAAATAGGCGACGGTGACACTTACAAGGAATCGTAAGTAGAGTTAGACTTTTCGATACCTGGAACATTCAAATGGCTTTTTCCCGAGACTGAGACGGCTTGTGGAACGGCTTGTGGAAGCTGCGGGACCGGAGGGGAGGTATCTTTGGAATACCTCCGACCTGCAGTACGTGGTGGGGGAGTAGGTACCCGATCATGAATCGACCGTCCTGAGATCGAGGCAGCACTGACTCTGCGCCGGCGAGACGAATTCTTCCTGAGCAGGGCATTGATATCTACAGTCGAAGCTCTGCTATCCGACGGCACGATTATGGTACGGCGTATGACAGCACTGACAGCAGGGTCACGCTCATTCTGTCCTTCTCGAGGGCGACGAAGATGATCGGGTTGTTTTCGAAGTGAAGGCGCCCGAGAAGGACCTTTATCATCTACGGTACGGGAATTGACACCAGTAGTTACTGGACGTTCATTGTCTCTAACTTGAGTGGGACGACGACCGTCTGGTGTGACAAACGCCGCAGCGCTTGAATTGCTTCTCGTCAATGTCGACGGCCAATTCGAAGTCCTGGAGGATGTCGATCCAGAACGAACTAGAAGAAGGTCATTCAATTTCTGTTCGTCGAGGCCCAGGTTATGAGCTGCATCAAAAAGTTGTCTTAGAGCGACGGTTTCGTCAGGATCCACGGGTTCTTGGCTACCCTGTGGCAGGGTTAGCGGTGATTGTTGAGGGACTCGCGGAGTCGTTGGACTTGTATCGTGGAGGTTTCGCGGCGCACTCGAATCGGTCCGACGAAGTGAAGAAGACACAGATAATTGAGGGGAATGTCGGCCAACGTACTGGAGACTAGGGTCTATCGTTCGTGGCTTATTGCGAAGACGAGAAATGAAGCCCTTCAGTCCTGGTCCAGCTGTAGCCGGAGGACTGGAAACGGGTACTTTGAATCTGGGTTCAGTAGCACTCATGACGCCAATTCCGTCAATTGCGGGGTTTAGCCGATCCGGTTCATACCCGGTGGTTTGGATAGGTGGTGGAACGACTAACGGGTAAGGCGTCACCTCCTCCCCGGTGGGTATGTTGTTTTTTCGAAGAGTTCCTCTCAGCTTTCTAAAACGGCTGCCAATCCTGGAAGGACCTGGCTGAGAAGCTGAAATTGATGGAGCTCGTAGAGGTATCGTATCAACACTAGTGGAAGCCGAAACCAGAGTAGGCGTTGAAATTTGATGGGGCGAAACACGTTTGCGAGAAACGGACCCAGATGAAGATAGCCCTTCAGAGGACTTTGGAGGACCCGGCTTCTTCAAGGCTAACATCGCTGCCTCGGCCCTACGCTGCACCTCGCGCGCCAGCTCTGCTTCCGCCTCCGGAGACTGCGGCAACTTCGAAGAAGAATTATGCGTAACAATATACGGAGACGTAGGCGGCGATAGAAATTGAGTGTTCTCTGGAGCCGGAGCTGGAGGGGTGTTTGTGTTTAATGGTAATGGAGAAGTCAGGACCGGGATATTATCCACGGGTTCTTTCTGCGCAACGGGAACCATGGGTTTGGGCGTCGGAGAGCTGTCGTACCCTTCGGCTTCGTCATCATATCCAAAAAGAACATGTGCGAGATCCCGATTCTTCCGAGTGGTTGGGGATACGTCCCCGCTTGTCACGGTTGTATCTACCGGTTCAGGTGATGGAACCTTGCTGACATCAACGGTAGGTTTCGACGTTTTGGCCAATCCCTCATTGGGCGGGGACGCCGAAGGCTGTGATTGTGCGGGACTTCCGATCTGGACGATAAGTCAGAATGAAGGAAACCCCTAAATGAAATCACCACTCACTCTGCCATTGACAGAATAGTTCGACTGTGCGGTGGACGGACGTCGTCTTCGTAACGATGGAGCACGGTTATAACTTTCTGATGATGACGAAGGTGTGAGCTTAGCGACTGCCACACCCACAAGCTTTTCTTGAATGGCGAGGAAGTCCGCTTTTTTCAACCCTGCATATCTGCGAATGATTTCTTCAGCATCCCACTCGTCATTAGGGGAACTGCCTGGAGTAATGGAGGTGGATTGGTCGGAAACATATACATCATGCCAAGCGGGTTGCTGGGGGTCAGTATCATTAAATAGTGACATGCTGTTTTCTTTGTAGTCTCCTTCCCAAGAATGATAGCTAGAACCTGCAGATTCCAGCGATGACCGCGAGGAGCTGGCAATGGGCGAAAACACAAGAGGATTGTTAGGTCCAAAATTGAAAGGGTTCGACGTGCCATTCTGTCTGGACGACCGTCTACTGCCATTGCGGGGAGACATTCCACCACCGGAGAATGTAGGAGAAGCCGGAGAACGCGTGCCCTGTGTCGGCGTTGGCGATCGTACAACTTTGCTGCTAGATGGAGCGAGTTCCATAAGGGACATGGGCGAACCAGGACGTTTGTCGGAAAACGAAGAGTAGCTCGAGCTGATAGAATCCAATGTATTGTGTCCACGATCGATCAAGGGGGAATCAGGAAGCGCGGGGGATTTGAGAGATCGTGTGGCCCCTCTGTTCGACTGATCGAACGAGCCAGGAACTTCTGCGCTACTATTTGCATCACTGAACCAACTACCATTTCTACTATGCCCACACGACGACTTGGGTCCAGGAGAAACGGGTGGCGACCATACACCGTTAGACGGAGTACCAGGCCGAGAAGTGGCTGTCATTGGCTGGTACGTGGCCGTGGAAAGGGGCGAAGCAGCCCGTCTGCGTCCAAGCATTAACGAAGTAAGAGACTTTTCTGAATCAACAGAAACCTCCACCGACCTTGGCGGTTCATCAGGCGTCTGTCTGCCGTTGACACTACGCTGGAGAAACAAAGGCGCTGAGGTCAAAGGTGAAACGGGACGTGGAGACTGTCTCCGTGAAGATGACGGTGATGAGGTCGAACTTTGTCTGAAAAGACCAGATACTAAACTAGGCGGGAATATAGGGGAAGGAGAGTCGACACGGGCTGGTAAGGATGGAGGAGAGGCTGCGCGAGGGGTAGTAGAATAAGGCCGCTGCTCTTCAGAATCAGTATTTTCATGAGGAGTCATCGGTCTCGGCATGCCGGGTATATAACCGGGAAGTGTACGAGAAGGAATGGGAGATGCACGTTCTTCATCAGTGCGGATTTGTTTGTCCGAAGATATCGCCATGCCTGCCTCGAAAGTGGGTGGGTCACTGGTTCTCATCTGGTAAAGCTGAGTAGCGAATTAGCTGGCAGAAAAAAGTTACTCACAACTTCCGGTGAGCGACGATGGTCAACACTCGAACGCACAATTGGCGCCGACCTTGGTAACACGATTTCATCCTCTGGTTCTTCTTCCTCCATTTCGCTAATTGCTTGTTGCAATGCCATCGACGCACGTTTATATGCAGATGCTCCCAATGTCCATGACAACGCCATATCTGGCGATTCGGGTATTTGCTCGTTGTAAGGAGTGGGTGCAAGCAAGGGCGCAGAGCGAATTTGGGGTTGGTCGGAGCCTGTATCCGGTGGCGTTGAAGATTGCATGCCTTCAGAGGATGGGATCGACTTGTAAGAAGTTTCTGCAGACGACATGGAAGTCTGAGCGCGCGAATGAGATTTGTTATGGGCAGTGCGCATGTAAGTGTAATCGCGAAGTTTTCCAGAGCCAAAAAGATTGTTGCTGTAGCGCTTCATGGAACCAGCTCTACTCGACGACGAGGGCGAATACGAGGAGCCAATGGTCGTTGAAGAATGAGAGGACTGACGTGCGCCACCATCTGAGGCTTGTTCTTGCGACCTTGCAGGTGTTGAGGGTCGTGACCGACCAAGGCCCAATGATTCGAGAATCATATCCTCCTCTTCTTCCGTAACCTGATTCTCTAATCCCCTAGCCCTCTGCTCTGCAAGTTTTGAACGAAGGGCGTCGGCAGAGAGAGGCGCGCCGGACGATGAGCGGAGAACACTGAATCTGCGAGAAAGACTGGGAAAGGAAAGGTAAACAAAACAACGTGGATAATGAGGTAAGGTTATCTTACTCTGGAAGTATAAGTGACGTGCGAAAGTCACTAGTCAGCGGTAGCTCTGGTAAATGGCCAGGGGGATCCAAGGTAATCTCTGTGTGAAGAGCTGGAGTGCAAACTCTCTTCGCGTCGGACTTTTTGCTGTAAGAGATAGTCAGGCGGTGATTCCAGTGCCACAACGGCCAACAAACTGACCGAAATCGATGCATTGTCGGACCCTCGTTTTATACACGTTGGGCTACAGCCATACAAGATTTCTGACCGGAAAGGAAAGTGCGAGGCAACGTGTTGAACACGAGTAGTTGGATGGGGATCAGAAGCCTGAGACGTAACAGCGATGATAACGGCTACAGAATGGCCAAGATTCGGCAGCCAGCACAGGAAAACAAGAGTGAAGGAAGGGCGCTCGTCGTCGTGTATCTTCAGCCTGTGACGGTCCACATCCGAGCCTCATGGCATCAATTCCCACAACAGCCACAAATACTACTTTTGATCGAACGCGTCCAAAAATTAAAGTCGGCTCTCATTCCGTGACTACTATACATATATCCTATTCAATCCTTTCCACAAATTCCTTACGTTGCATACCTACAAATATCATATATATCAGCAAAACAGTGAGAACTTGGGAAATTTTTTACTTCTTCGTCCACTCCTTCGCAGTTGCAAGGAACTTATTCTTGTCATTCTTGAGAAGCTGTTTACAGTCGTTAACAAGGTTCAGACACGTATGTGATATCCCTACCGCAGCTATATCCGGCTCAAATGGATCGTCAGTACTTGGGTTGTTGACCTTTTCTTGAATAACAGAAAGAACTGGATGGCGGTCAACTGAGCACCCCGTGTGTACACACGCCTTGGACTCACCCGATGATAGAGTAACTGATGGTTTCCACTAATGCAGAAAAGGTTCCGTTAGGCGTGCGTAGTATCGGGATGACGGTAGACACACCTCATCGCGGAGCACGGGAATACAGATGCTGCCTTCTTCATTGATTCCGGGATGGTATATCTTCGTGGAGAACGTAACCTAGGACACAAGATGAGGGCTTGCTGTTACTGAATACAATCAAACGGCATACAGTCGGCGCTTTGAAGGGAAAGTTTTGAGGGAGAGTCATGGTAAAGCGGAATGTTCCGCCCTTGTACGGCGAATCTGGCTAAATTCAAAATAGTGAGCAGGTGGCATTCGACTGGATAAACGATGCGCACTCACAGCAGCCTTGATCGCGCAATTCCAACGGAACATGTTATCTTCTGCAGTTTCAACAGAGATGCCCTAAGATAGTTTACTGCTGTGAACGAGGTTGACGGTATTGTTCAATGAATACCTCTATTGGATTCGAGGAGATGTCTCTGAGTTCCTACAGCATCGATGAGCATGATTGCAAAGTATAGAGCGAACTCAGGAAAGCCGACCTTTTGGATTCGACTGCATATAGGAAACCAGCATTAGAGGTACGTGGTGGTAGATATACAGAAAGCACATTACCGAAGAGCAGTCATGGTGGCAGTTCGTCAAGACGGTGGCGTCCCAAAATGGACGTTGTCCCAGCCATGACGAACGCCGTAGCATCACCTCCTCGTGAAGCTCCCTCCCCTCAGCCTATTAACCACACACCGTCTTCCAGCAAGAAGAGAAAGCGGCCACCAGCAACTGCATCGCCGGCGCCAGAAGGAGGAGCCCCACCAGTGCCAGAGTCAGTTTCTCCTGTTCTGCCATTTGGGCAACGGCCCGTAATAATGATGTCTATAGGGTTATCTCGTCTCGAGCAGATCTTTCATCTCGACCACGACTTTCGATATCTCGTGGACCATATTTCACTCCGCTGAAAGAAGGCTCAGAGTTCTTCAAAACAGACCCAACTGGAATCAATCGCGGCCGCTTTCGATATACCCCTGCTGGAATCAATCCTCCTGGATGCTATCAGCCTTGTCACACTATCGAAACCAATCCTACGTCGTACAGGATCAGCTGGGAGGATCGCAGCCCGTTCCTTCATGTCACCAAAGATGCCCTAGGGCTCCTTGGTACAAAGGGCTTCAGGAGCGCGCGCTGCAACGCACCAATTCGCGAAGGTCGTTGGTTCATGGAAGTAAAGATTGTTCATGGCGGGGGAGAACATAGTGTTGATTCTGGGAGAGAGGGCAGCCACGTTCGACTTGGCTGGGGAAGGAGAGAGGCAGCCATTGAACGGTCCTGTTGGTCTCGATGGGTACAGCTATGGGATACGCGACAAAACTGGTGAAAAAGTCACATTATCTCGCCCGCGTCCGTATGGACGTCCTTTCACTTCTGGAGATGTCATTGGCATGTATATCTGCCTTCCTCCACGTCGGCAAGCTGACGAAAAGGACCCTCACGATCCTGCCCACATCAAACGCGAGCGTATAGCTATAGATCTCAAGGGTCAGGAAGTCTTCGAAATTCTCGAATACCCTCAGTCTAAAGAAATGATTGCTTTGATGGATTATTCCGGAAAGTCATCTAACACAACATCTGTTCCCTCAAGTAGTACCAAAAAGTCCGCTACTTCCAAGCCAGAGCGACCCACCGTCACCGTCCGTAAGACCTCCCCCGAATTACGGCCCCTTCCCGTCCTATCAGACTCTCGCATTGTCTTCTTCATTAACGGTGAATGTCAAGGCGTCGCATTTCAAGATCTCTACGACTACCTTCAGCTTCGCGTCACTGATCCATCTCGGAAAGCCAAGGAGAAGAAAAGAGCACGGGAAGGTGTTAAAGAGCATCGAGAGAACCCCTTCGATGATGGCTCACTAGGGTACTATCCATTCATATCCTTATTCAACAGCGCATGCGTACGGATAAATCCAGGACCTGATTTCGATTTCCCCCCACCACCAGACATGGATGCACTGGCGAACGGTGTAGCCGTGCCCGAAGGCCAGGAAAGGACGTGGCGCCCTATCTGCGAACGTTACAACGAATACATGGCAGAGCAATGGGCTCTGGATGAAAAGGAGGAAGAGGAGGGTAGAATCGAACTCCTGAAGCTCGCTGAGCAAGAGAAAGAGGATGCTGAGAAGAAGGCGCAGAGATTACGGAAACGTCAACAAGCAGAAGCTCGCAAGCGTGCAAAGCAAGCCGCTGTGAGCTCTACTCCAGAACCGGTATCTGCTGTAACGCAGCCAAGCCCGCTGCGACATTACACAGCTTATGGGCTAGAGGAATTCGTAGATCGGTCTCCAGCACCACAAGAGGTACAAAGCGCCCATAGCGAGCCAACTTCAGAGTATGGAGATATAGACGCTGAAAATACAATGACGCGCCATTCCAGCGAATCACCGTGGCCACAGACGGAGATGGATGATATTGCAGCAGGGGCTGATACCATCGATTCCTTGATAGCTAGTAGTGTTTGAGTAACAGTAACGGGTAGATTTATGGTGAATAAACATAATTAGGGGATCCTCCAATGGGTATATGAAAGCGTAGAAGAGTGGGCCTAATTTTAGATACATATGGCCGGTTATCCTCGATTCCAACGAGGCGGAGGCGTGCGAACAGAATATCTGTGTATCCATATCAGCTAATACTACGCGAAGCGTGCACAGTAAACCTTACCCGACAGTTGTTCCAAGACCTTTCTCCTTCTCAACACGTATGTCAAACACGAGGTCGCCAGAAGACGCTTCCCAATCGACACTACACCAATTTCTGCGGCCCATGATGTACCTCAATTTGCGATAAGAACCATCGGTGTCCTTCGAAAACAGGGGTAACTTGGAACGATTATGGGCTTCGTCTATCATTACGATAGAATTCTTACGCACCAAGGTCTCGTCAGTTTCAGTGTGATGAAGGGTTTTGTGAATTTTTGATGCCAGGGCACAAACCATTGTTATGACACCCATTGGCCTAGAAGAGAGGATTAACTAGAAAGACAGTAAGGAAATGACAACATACGGGGGAGTATTCACGATTGCACCTGACAAATGAGTGAGGATACACAGGTAAAGGCAAAAATGATGCGTACTTGTCACTACATTGATCATGTATCGATGATCCTTGGCAGGCGGAATCTCGCCTTTGCCCTTGCTTTTCAGCGATTTGAAAACACCCACAGCAGCACAGTGAACGTCCCCAGAAACGAATGTGATTCTCAGATGTTTGGCCAAAGCAATTTTCTGTAGCTCCAGTATAAGCCAATTTCGTTCTCGCTGCGGGCCATAGGTCATTAGAACAACGACGGCTGTCTGATTGAAGCAAAAGTACAAACCTTATGAGAACGAGCAGTCCAATGGTCATTCTGGAGGAGGAAGAGTAAGCAAAGTATCTGTACAGTATTGACAAGGCATACTAGATCATCTAGAAGTTCTGCGTCTGCATTGAACTTATTAACAAATCCTGACAAGCCTAGAGACCCCGTCTTGCTAATTGCAACGATGGGATTGAATTTGGACTCCAGAGCAGTCTCCAAAAAGACCATACGGGGATATGCAATTGGAATACCTAAAACCCCACTTAGTTGCAATCATCACCAAGTATGTTAGACATACCTAGTTGTATCACAAGGTGTTCTACACTCTCTGGTAGCTCCCGTAATCGCTTGAATACCTTATCATATTCATAGCTGCTGCAGACTTGATCTTTCTTTCGCTCGGCACTGGTTTACGCCGTCAGTCAGCGTACACAGATAGTTATGCCAGATAGCTTACCGACAATCCAGCATTAGTATGGCCACCTGGGGTCCAAGAGAACTGAAAGTGTATGAGAATGCATCCATGTCAACCTTCAGGCGGACTTACGCCAGAAAAGAATGAGAACGCAGCTTCACATATGGTCCGGGATTTCCAATGATGACAGACCTATTCACGTGTTGTCCTCGGTGATCACTGATACCATCGATATCAACTAGACTGGAGTGAAGACAGATGCGTGTGTGAGAATGAGAAGTGTGCGTACCATTCAGGAAGCATTGGAACAGCAGGAAGAAAAAGTAGCCCCTCGCGCCGATACTGTAAGCAAAAGGTCAATAAGCCACTGTTACACAACTGAAGGCTACTCGCGTTTGGAATACAGGGGCAACCTGAAGATCATCCGGATCTGAAAGTTACACGATGAAACGCAGGGTGTAGATTGCCATTACTGCATTACTTACAACTGCCAAACCCGTCAATCTAAGGAGAAGTGTCAGAACAATCTCGTACACGTACATAGGAATCGACTTACTATATCTGTTGTAAAGGGGCGAGACACCGTGAGTACGAAGCAAACAGTGAGCGATTAATACAGTACCATGGTCGTCTGAAAGCTTCTTCAACATAATCGATCTTCCATGAAGATAAAAACCCTACCACACATATTCATCATAGGGCTTGAACAACATGTCAGTGCGACGACCAGAATATCACATATTGGGAACTCACATAGAACTATTCGCTCGTGCAAATGCCCCACTTCGAAATGTTTGACAATAGTGATTGAAATAAAATCTATCAATCGCCTCGCTGATTTCGTCGCTGAGGAGATGTGCTTTCCTCTCTTCGGGCTTCATTTTGGCAACCCACTCTTGTAGTTCAGGCTCCCGGGTCAGCCTTAGTAGTAAAGTTTTATAAGCCGAGAGAAAGTATAACACTGTCTGACGCATACCCATCGCAGTATACCTGATCACCTCCGCCCATTAACATGTGGAACGGCTTCTCGGCGTGCTTTTCCAGTAAATCGACCCATACCGGATCATAACCAGTGTGGAAACCAGGTCCTCTGAAGTCATCGGGATTGACCCCAGCGGAGAACCCGTTGCACTGGAACACAGTTAGGCTGAATAATGCGCACCTTGTGTACACTTACCGAATACGCCGCCCATCTCATATTTTGATTCCGGCCCGGGACGAAGAAATGTAGTTTCTGTCCTCTGTTGATCGAGTATGATACAGCCATCTCATGGTGTCCCAAAGGAATATGGATCATAAAGCGCCAAAAAGTGAAAGTCCTTCGTGAAAAACGTAATCATGGGAATGGAAGACGTGCCGAACAATGCCTCACGTACCCGCCATTTCCACCGTATACCCAAATTTCTTGGCCCGGTGATTCTTCGGTGTGAACACTGGCAGTCTTGCCATTCACAGGACTTCCTAGTGGTGCAATTGGCATAACTGACGAGTGGGGATCGGCAGGGTGAGGTCCAAGGTCGAACGATCTGCCATTGCCATGTCCCGTGGAACTTTGATGCCTGAGGTATTCGGAGCGAAGTTCGGGGTCCCACTCGTAAGTCAGAGTGGGATGTGGTTCGTAAGTAGACCCAGCATCGGCCGCTGAAAGACCATGAAGGTTGTTTGTTGAGGGAAGAGACCGGGTACTCACTAACTATAAGTGCTGCTCCGTGCCACACTCCATGCTCATCAATGGTATCATATCTTTTTGGGTAAATGAATTGAAGCTCAAATTGATGCGCCACGACGCGACGTACCGCAGGAGGGGGCCAACCATGAACTAAAATAATGGTCTTGTGAGCACAAAACGTAGAATGACATTTTCCGACCTAGGCACCTGAAGATGAGGATTCATCCGAGCAACTCGGAGCAAATGCGACCGCTCAATCGCGCTCAAGTGTGTCATTTGGGAAGAGGACATGGTAAGTTGGCTGCCTTGACTGCTGTTGAAACCTGGCTGTATCCTGTCCTTAGGCGGCAATGGAGGCGCCGGAGACGGCGCACGACTGGGAATGTGAGGGTGGAAGCCGCCAATAAAATTTTCGTCCATTGGCGTAATTTGTTCTACGGGAAGGTACCTCCCGTCAGGACCCCGCTGTGGTGAGACGAAAATTTCGCTCTCCTGCGCAAAAAAGCTGAGCGAATAAAGATGGAACATATAAGAAATGTACTCGTTGAGCGCGACGAAAAGCATGCCATCCCGCGTTGTCCATTGCGTTAATGTGACAGGCCCAGTAGACGATTTATCCAAGAAATGAGACGGTGAGGGAGGACGCGACAGGTCTGGCGCTACTCGTGACAGATCAAGGCAGAGTTACCTCGTTCGGGCTCAGGCTTGGCTTAGGCAGGTAACCAGTCAGTGACGTAACGAACCCATGAAGAACCAAAAATTCCGTGCATTGAATTAATCCACTCAAACGTGTAGAGGGTATATGCTATTACGATTAACCAACGTGTTCCACCACCGTCGTCACTAACTGTCCATCTTTGACCACCGTCTTCAACATCTCAGGGATAGGCTGCTCGGCGTAGTCAGGGTCCTCGTCACTTCCAACGGGAATGCTGACGTTGATAGCACTGCACTTGGCCGTCATGATCTCGGCCCCCAGACTCGCTTTCGACAGATAAATCTGTCCAGAATCAGTCGAGTCCACCTGGATCATAGGTGCGATACCCGTTATTTGAATTTCAAAAGATGGCGACTTTGTCACTGAAATGGATGAGACTACCGATTCGATGACAACCGAGGTCTTTACGCAGTTAACTGACAGAAGACCAGTGAGATACGATGAAGAAATGATTCCACAGGTAAGGCCTACCGAGTGAGACGGCGTTCACTTTGCCTTTGATTTGAACAACCGCGTTCTTGCAACCAAATATGTTCACAGCTTGATTAAGCTGACATTCTTCAACGGCTAAGCTTCGTTCGTCTTCTTGATACTCCTGAAACATCATGAAATTCAAGAGATGATCAATATTAAAGAAAATGTGGTTACAATATTCCAGACTTTCCCTTCCAATGCGAACTTGGCCGGTTTCTTGCCCATCAGTGATTGAGGTTTAGAAGGACGAACGGGTTTCTTCGGAGCTAGGTGCAAATCAAGTCAGAGCACACACCAAAAGGCATTCATAACGTACCAGTGGAGCCAGGGGCGCTTGGAACGGCGCTACTAGCGCGCAAAGCAGGATTTTTGTGAGTCATTTCGCTCTTGTCGACCTTGCGTAAACCTTTCGTGACTTCCTCGCCCCGGTTGATTTCAGCAAACACAGCGGCTGCGCCTCCAGTAGCGGTAGAACCGGAGGGGGGAGGGGGTGCCATCGCAGGGGGTGGCGGAGGGGGAGGCGGCGGAGGCGGTCCACCTGCGCCAGGAGCTGGAGAAAGCTTATAATCGACTACAGCGATACCCTTTCCCAACTACATCAAAGAAGGCTGATAGGAACGCAGAAAGCAGACACACCCTTGGATTCCACGACAAGCCAGTCGTGTGGAATTCAACCACATACTTGCGAGTTTCCTCTATGAGAGAAATGTACGACTCCACCCATTTTACGTGTTTTGGGTCTCTGTGAACGCATGAATACGATATTAAGAGACAGTGGTCATATATGCTGACTTGTTCTTGAACTCCTTGATGATTCTGTTTCCCCAGAAAGTCACGGCATCCTTGACCTCGTTGAGATAGGGTCCTGGTTTGGGCTGAATGTGATGAAGTCAGAATACCTGTATTATGGTACAGAAAGCGACGCACATTGATCACCCATCCTACCGATGGCGCACCCTCTCCAATAACAACAAGATGGTTGTACCAATCTCTATCTGAGCGCTTCTTGTCTTTCAGGCTAATGATTGCTTCAATGGTTTGTTGAAGCGGCTTGATGAGCTCCTGGATCTTAGTATCATCGGGCTTCTGACAAGCAGCGCTTGTCAACAGAAGGCTGCGGACATCTGCGAATTGCTTCTCGACAAGGCCGACCTAGATACCTGAAATTGAACGCGAGCACAGACAAAGATAAAGTATAACCACGTACAATTTCAATGACATTAGGACCAGCAAACTTGGTTAGTTCAACAAAAGGTTTCAATTTCCCTTCAACTACGACTTGGTCGTACGCAATGATGCTCCTGGGTAATTCTTGGGCAGCAGCAGGGGCGGGAGGCGGGGCTGGTGGCGGCGGAACAGCTCCTCTAGATGGAACTGAAGCAGCTTTGGGTTCATCCTCTTTAGGAGGCCACACACTCCCGGAGGCTAAATCCTCAATACGCGAAGTCGCGGCTTCAAGGCTGGTGTCGGACGATGAGCCGGTCGAAAATGCATTCCCCATTGAGGACGCACCGTTTGATAATGGTTGCAAGAGAGTGAAGACCACCTCCTGACATTCTTGACGATGTGGATAGTGCTCCTGAATAGAGACGTGACAGAACGAAACCAAGTCGACCAAGTCAGGAAGGAGCTGGCCGCAGTTTGCCGATCTTCAAATTTGAGTACAGTATCATAAATATTTCGTACTTTCGTATCTAACAACAGTATGCTCAAGACTCTGCCTCCTCCGTATCATTTTTGGAAGCTTTTTTCTTAGCTTTCTTTCTGCGTCGACGCTCTCGTTCACGCTGTTTCGCTCGGCGCATCTCTTCTTTTGATAGTCCGGGATTAGCAAGTTTGTCCAGCTATTACGTTGAGTTATTATTGACAGAAAAATGTTGGAATAAATACCTTTTCAACCAAAAGGCGTCGTGCCAACTTCCTGTTCTGTTCCAGAGAACGTGTTAGTTGGCAAGACACGCGAATCATGGTCGGTTTATGGAGCAGCTGAACATTATTTTCGGTTTTATTGATTGATTGGCCACCCTAGCATGCTCGTTATTGGGTTTAACATAGATCCTGCCGTGCAACATACCGGACCGCTTCCTGACGTGCAATGTTCTGCTTCACCCTTCCTTAGCCTAGGGCAATGAAGACATACCTCTCACAAATGTTTCTTCAAGATCCTCTTCTCTAAGCTCAGGTATAACACGTTCTTTGTGTGCTTTTTTAAGTACAGAAAAATTCATCCGCGGTACACGAACAATGTTGTCAGGACGAGCAGCATCTGAAAGACTGGATCGTCAACACCTCAAGACAGGAACGTTCATGAACAGTGAGCATACTTGTGTTGCTTCTCTCGTCTTCTGGCCTGACGATCAGTCTCCATTGGTGGGGGATTTTTTATGGAATCATTTGACCCCAGTTCCGTATCTTTCGTGATCCTCAACTCTGGTGACTTAAGTTAAGGTGGAATGGTGAAGTAAAATAGGTGAACTCACTCCAAGTATCCTCTTCACCAGCAACCCGAGAAGCTTGGATGACGTTCTGTCGAAGAAAAGCGGCGACCTTCAGTGCGCCATCCGTCTGCTCTTGATAATGGACAGGATCTGTCTCTGCCTGGCCAGAAAGCGCATCCTCCCTCAGTTTTGAACGAAAGGCTAGAAGGAAATCTGTCAGCAGAGTACCGGAGAGAACATTTTGCTGGCTTGACCTCTAAGCACGGGTTCGTCACCTAGAACGGTTGTTAGGTTATCATTTTTGTTAAGCTGAAAAGCGCACCAGAGAAAGTGACAGCAGACGCCCGGAACAACTGACGGTATGCAGACCGAGCCAATGCTCTGAGCTCAGGTGTGATGGACATGGACGTAGCCGGTATCTGTGGGACGTGGAATATGATTGGTGGAAACGACAAAGCGCCACCACCGGGCCGAAGCGCGGTTCCGTCACTGTCATGTGACACTCAGACTAGCGCGTTCGGTTGACGGTTGAGTTTCAATCAACCAACTCTTCCTCAAACCTCCACCATCTATTTTCGCAATTGCAAGTTTGCGCCGCCAGTTCTCCCGTCCCGCCTGTCTACCTCGAGTTTTTTTCTTCTTTATTCCCAGTGTTTATCTTTTTTACTATCCGTTCTCCCATTGTCTCTTTGTCGTGAACAATGTCTGCGAAGAAGTCCGCTGCCAAATCTTCTGTCAAGAAGGCTACCAAGGCCACTCATCCGCCTTGGTCTGACATGATCAAAGTATGTTTTATTTCTGCCTTTGACGGCTCCTATCATTATCGTTTTCGTTGCTTATGTGCTTTTGCCGCTATAATGTCGGCAGCTTGCTATTTGGCGGCCTTTGTTCGTGGGATTACCGTCTATACTAATTTCCGCTCCTTAGGAATGTATCGCTGCGCATACAGAAGACGTGCGTATAGGTGTTTCCCGCCCCCAAATAAAAAAGTAGGATGCGACCTGTCCGTCTAAGTCATGGTAACTCAATGAATCACTCAGATTTGTCGAAGACAAGTACAAGCTTGTCATTGGCGCTGCTCAGAATACTCAACTGGCGAGGGCGCTCACGTCTGGAAGCGAGAAAGGGGTGTTTGTTCTTCCTAAAGGTGGATCAATCAGCGCTCTGTCGATGTAGTATGTCCTTATTCGTGTATAGGTCCTTCTGGTCGTGTCAAGCTTGCACCGAAGACCAAGGCAGTTGATACCTCGGCTGCTAAAGAGGTGAGCTTGTGCAAAAAAATAATCTAAGACTGTACTGAAAACTTTTAGAACAAGCCTGCGACAAAGGCGAAATCTACCGCCAAGTCGGCTGCCAAACCTACTCCCAAGACTGCGACCGCTAAATCTATAGCTACTAAATCAGCAGCCACTAAGGCCAAGCCCACCACTAAGGTCAAGGCTACTAAGGTTGCAAAGAAGCCGGTTGTTGCGAAAAAGTCAGTTGCAAAGCCAAGAACGACAGCTACATCGACTGCCGCCTCCAAACCCACAGGGACTGCACGTACGACTGCTGCTGCTAAGAAGGCGTCCTCTGCAAAGGCGTCCTCTACAAGAGCTAAAGTAGCGCCCAAGAAGACGGCTACAGCCAGTAAAGCTACTACCACCAAGAAAACCACTACTACTGCGAGACGTGCACCTGCGAAGAAGGTATTAACTGTTGTCTATTTATCTGTCAGCGTTGCTCACCGTTGGTCAAGGCTGCCACCGGCACGGGTGCCACAACGAAGGCTAAAGCCGCGGCAAAGAAGGCCCCTGCAAAGAAGACAACTACCAAAGCTGTAACGAATACTGCCAAGATCGCACGGAAGAAGGTCAGGAGATACCTCATACAAAGTATGACTAGCTGATAGCATTTCTTTTCTCTAGCCCACGAAACGGTCGTAGGAGATGATTCGAACATTTCCGTTCTATTTTTACTGGCATCTTTTGTATCTCCATTTCTCCGTCATATCTATGTCTACGTCTTTTCGTGTCGTCTTGTTTCGCATAATTTATGTCCCTAGTATGTATTTGCCTTCATCAAGTATGTACCACATAGGAAGATGATATGATACATTATTGTCTATAGATTGTATACACCTATCATGGCAGGCCGCAGCTATTCGGATCTTGAGATGTAGCATGCGTGAACAGCATGCTTGCCATGAAGAATCTTCGTGCGAATTTATATAACGATTATTAAAAAACTGCTGTCATGTTCGAGTAGGATCAAGTCTATTCGTCAGGACTAACTACAAACGTGAAATTACCAAACTTCACTCAAAGAAATCCAATCACGCAAAATGACGGTTCTCTCCGTTCCAATCTGTCTTGTCATTTCAACCTGTCTCGATGTTGACAATGCTCCGAAATGCTCAAGCAGATTTCCATCGAGGACTCCTTTCGTAAGTGGTCGGGAAACGAAATCATTCCGCACGATGCTACAATGACAATGAGCAAGATCATTTAAGCAGTAAATGAATAATCCTAACCGAAACACTTTTGGGTTCAAAGCAGCAGCATGCTGGATATTGCGCGTTAGCTGGCCTTGCAATAATTGCAACCTCTTAGCGACAGGTTCGTCCAGAGGTGTCAGAGAAGCGATTGATCCATTTGTTGCACCTAGCCATGAAAAGGGTAAGAGAAGCGACTGGTCCCCAAAGGTATGCGTGTCTTACCGTATATCAGTTTGGCTTCAGGAATCATAGCCCCGTTCCTCCTATAGGCAATCATTGCTGAGGCCCTATATTCAGCCTGGCTTTGGTACTCAGTCCGAAGTAAAAGGGAACGACCGTCTCTGGAATCAGGGTCTGATCGAAGAATCAGCAAGTATTAATGGCAGGCAGTCAAACCGGAACTACCTTGTGGATTGTACTCGTACATCCGTATTACACCTTCCTCGTCACAAGTGACAATTGACATAGCGTCTTCTTGGAAGAAGAAATCAACATTAGTTACACAAACGTGGTTAAGATCTTTGGCAAGAACAACGAGTTTGTAGGGGTCCTCCTTAAGAGCGACAATCAGCTAAACAAGCAGCTGAAGGATCGGAAGCGAACCTGAAACGCAACAAAAGAAACGCTCTTCACAGCATCACCAATGAGGAGAAGATTTTTGAGACTCCTAAGCGAAGTCACATACACCCCAACATCGAGGAAAGCGACGCCCACGAGGCGTTCGTCTGAATCAAAGGCCCGAACAAAGATCTGGGGTTCAATCAAATATATTCAGCTTTACGTTTAAATAACATGCGTGATTCTCAAACCTTTTGACCCATGGATGAAACCAAATAGCCTTTGAAGCCGCAAATCGCTGTCACCGGGCCCTTTGCATCATCGCGGCAGCGCAACCTGAGCTTGTACCAGCGCTTCGGCGCAGACTTTTGATCTGGTACTACTTCAACAATCTCAAAGATATAAGTCTGCAAAACATTTCAGCAATCTGACAATGACGATGAATCATGACATACACATCCTTTCGTGGCAAGGTCTTCTCCGCGATTAATACTCGTGCCCACAGCGATGAAGTCCTTGCTGCCAGTGTCGGTGCTTGACGTTTCCAGGGATACTACAGAAGTCGCGTTGACAATTTCATTTGAGGCAAACTCGAAGCTAGTGTAGCATTGATGAGTCAAGTGCAGGTATACGCCCACATAAACATGAACATACCCATCCATCGATATCCATAAATCCGGTGATATCAACTCAAGAGTCGAGCAATCTGTCATGGGATACCCTACATTCGAAGCTAGGCATATGTGCCCATAGTTAGCACCAATCCACGATGAACCGATGAGATGGACTTGCCATCAGGCTCCCACAGTCTGTTGCCGTCCTCGTCGAAAGAAGCGAATCTCGCTTCCAAAGATGAAGCTGCAACGATCAGAGATGTCGAAGGGTCAAACAGTACACTGGAGTAGGGACGACCCCTCGGAATAGAACGCGTCGGGATAGGGCTTTCATATTGAAAGTCCGGCATCCACTCAAGGAGACTGGGTCCCTGAGACGCAGAGTCAGCAGTCGCAAAATACAAGTCACCAAGGCACACCTCTTCGGAGTATATAAGGAAATCTCCCTTCGACTCCCATAGCGAACAAGGAGTGAAGGAGTGGACGACACCATGACCCGATGGGTACAGTTGAACACCACCTTTGTCCGAGGCGATGATCCAGCTCGGATTGTCACCGGTGAAAAAGACGCCAGAAAATGTTGCACCTGAGCCCCGTGTTGTAACGAATGGGATAAATGCTCGTGAGATACGTTTTTGTTCAGCGATAGCGCTTCTTTCGGTTTCCTCGGACCTCTGAATCTCGAACGCCTTCGAGTATGTTTTAATGAATTTTATTTTCAGGGTCGAAGCCCGAGGAGATGATGGCGTCTCAGCAGCTGAACCAGCGGGAAGAATTTGATATACAGCTATTTGTCCGCTTCTCAAGAACACCTGGTGAACGTCGCTTCTCAGAGAATGACACACCGGATGAATGGGAAAAGTAGCTTACGAAAAGATGAGGCTGGGGTGTCGACTCTCCTAGTGGCGCCACAAGCACCTGTTCAATATCCAGATCCTGAGGCTTGCGAGGAGGATCTTGGGGCAGAGACAATGCGGCAGAATCATGCGAGTCTGTGAGGACATTTTGAAGTGTAGAGATGGCACTGGTGGAGAACACAAGCGTTAGTTTTGGTAAAGCCCAGATCTACGATATGTTTATATCAGGTGTGAAGTGTACAAGTGTTTAGAAATGTCAAACCTCCAGAATGCCTTGAGGCCGAACGAGAAGAAGCCATTGCGTTCGATGACCCGAACTTACGACGTTTTGTAACGTCGATGTCTTTTCGCTCACAGCGCTGTTAGGGACCGCTGCACTGCTTTCGAGGGCGTGTTCAAATACGCCACTGAAATCGGTGAAGAAGCATCCAGCAAGGTACCTTGAGGTCTAAAGCCACTGATCAGTCAAAATTGTCATGTTGGGTTTGAGCTGAGTGAATTGCCTTATCACCCATGGGAGACATATCTTTGCGCCTGATCTTCCCTCGATCAGTCTCAATGAAGAGACCAATGGAGTCGTCCTCCCGCAATATTAAAACAAAAGGTTCTGAAATGCTACAAGCACGGATTTTGGCCCGCGGTGTGTTGCCGTCCATGTCTTTGATACTTTGTCTTTCAGTACCATCTGATAGAAATTTGGTAAAGCAACACATCAGAAAAAATCTAATCTTTACCTGGCTCCAAGACTCGAATAGCGTTAGTCATAACATGGAGAATAGCAGTTCGCTGGAAAAAATTCCCTGCCCCGACCGTCGTCCCAGGAATACGGGTAGTGATGGAGATATCACTTTTGACAGAGCGTATAGCAATCTAGGCACTTATTAGAGCGTCTCAGTTAAAACGCCCAAAGTACATACTCGTGAAAGACCAGGAGCTGGGTTAGCATCAGTACTAATGATAAGAGTGTCATTTTCTGCTTGAAACGGGTTAATGGGTCGCTCAAAAGTGACGCCTCCCGACTTGACTGGCTGCCGGATTGGAAGCGACCACATCCCCCGAGCGCCTCCGATTGCATGAAGCTTACGCTTCGTTCTAAAGGGAAGATCCCGCTAATACAGAACCCAACATTAGCGAGGGAGGAAATACGGCTGTAGGATTTACCTGGAAGAGCGTGAAACCTCCAAGAGGACCGATGCCTGTGGCGGCAACTAATTCGGGCACAGACCGATCCTTAGGGAAACATCAGATAGGTTCTGTTGGAAGCAATAAAATTCGTACACCGTTCTTAGCCACTGAGAATGTAATGCCAGAGATCGGTCCATATGCAGACAAGGTGTCACACAGAGAGAGGTGTATCACAGTCCGTGTTTTCTTGGTGACTCCGCTTGTAGTTCCGTTGACTTGAGGTTCAGGAACCATGGAAGAGCCATAGATATCTAGAACAACGAACTTATTCACATGTCCATGTCCAACAGGAAGCGACAACATACCATCATCATCATCATCAACATCCATAGTAGTGGATGTGTCTACCACTGTCGTAGGCACAGTGTCCATAGCCTCATCATCGTCCACCTCTTCTTCGACCTTCGTAGCCTTGACCAAAACTGAGGGTCCAACCATACTTGCGATAAAGATATGATGGTCATCCAGCTTTTTGACGAGGCTTGGGACGGACGTCTGCGCAATAGCAGCAGATATGACCAGTTTCGATACGCTCTTGCCATCGGCGACGATCTCGATAGGATAGACGGTTCCGTCTTTCAGTGTGATGAAAAGGGTTTTGTCGTCTACAAACACGGAACGAGAGCCCTCTAGCGATAGATCACGGCTTTCTTCCCCGGGTGGAGTCATGAAAGGAAGGTCGCTCATCCTAGAAGCCCATCCATTGACAGGGAGAGTAATACGGCGGGCGGCTTGGTCGACGTAGATCACAGCGTTGCTGGTGACAACAACTACTCCTCCCAGTACTGTGGTTGTAGGCAGAATATAAAGACAGTCATGAGGAAGGCCAACGACAGACGAGATTATGGGAAAATTTTGCGACAAGATATCTAGCGTGAAGACAACCAGTCGGAACGTATCTTTGAATTCTTTAAGGCGGCTAAACAACATGAGCGTCACGTAGAAAATTCAAGGACAAGGACATACCCAGCCCATGTCTGTTGGGTTTGAAAAAGGACCGCTATAGTTGGATTATTGAAGCCAGGCAAAAAGGAAAAATCGGCGACATGTTTGATGTTCTTGTCTACGGACGAGGGGAGATCCAGTATAAAACTTGGTGAATAGGGAATATCCCTGTAAATGGTTTTAGTTTATCACTGCAAGGAACATTAATGAGACTGACCTCGAATGAGCGTGATCCTGGTCTTGGTCCATTACTTCAAGTTCTGCCTGTGACTGATAGAACGGGAGAATTGCAAGTGAATCCTTCGGGAGGGATAAAGCGACACAGCGAGAGAGGGGGTCAACCCGAAGGTCCGCTCGGAAGAGGCTAGATTCCGAGAACATCTGGAAGACATTTGTCAGAACTTTTCAGAAGGGCATGATATCACGTACGACTTGGGGGGCACGCTCATATGTATGAATCGACACCGTAATAAGATCATGAACGGCATCCGACCATTCCATTAGAGCAATCTTGAACCCGATGTTAGAATATATATGAACCGAAAGGCATGCCATGTACCTTGGCGTCTCTGAAAGAGACCAGCAAACGGTCTAGTTTGTCGTCGAAGGAGGCCATCAACCTCACTCCCGACATTCCGGTAACAATTCCATGCAAGCGATGTTCTCGTAGAAAGTAAAACTTGGTAATGGTTTGAACGGAGGCTTTTTGAGAGCTTGACTGAGAATCATGTATTAGCATGTGTCGCAGGAGAAAAGATAGATTCAAGTAGACGTAGAATATGTACACAGAACATTCAAATCACCTTGGCTATATTCACGAAGCCCTCTCCTTGCCTGTCCATAGACACCTCGCTTTCAACCGCCTCCGTGTCCTTCCGTATCTTGCCATTCTTCTCCCGTTCTTCTTCATCCTGAACTGACACGGTTGCTAGTTCCTCTCGCACTTCGAATATTCGTAGAATATTTGATCGTGCAATAACGACGTTGCAGAGAACTCTGGCCGTCAATTCGTGGCGTGTTGACGCGTTTGGTGGCACCGGGAGCTCCCAATTCTTGACCGTAGAAGGCGTCAGCTTGAGACTGGTGGCGAATTCCACCCCACTGGGAGGTAAAATTTCTTGATGAAGAGCATGCATGACCATCAAGACCAAGCTATGTAGGTCAAAAGGTATTTCTCTTGACTTGACTGTTCCAGGGCCTTCACAATGGAACCGACAGTGGTCCGAAGGCAAGAAGCTTGAAGGTTGAGTGAAGCGTTGAAGCGCTGGTGACAAATAAATCCGGCTTGTACCAGTAGTACATAGGGTTAGGGTTTCAGTACGAGGCTCTCTTTCATGCAATCGTCCCAGTATTCACTTGGCTCTACTGCAGCGCATTCAAGGCACTCGTCCAGATCAGCATATCCTTCCTTTCTCTCGGTACACGTGCATGGCGTGGTCTGGCTGATAGCTTTCGTTGGGATCGTGCAGTATCTGCGGTTGCAGGGTAAGCAGCGTTCCAGGATATCTGTAATCAACTGGACTCTATTTTCCTCATGTTCGATATTCAGTGACGCGGAAATACGAGCCAATGTGTTCAAATCAATGATGCTGAATTCTCTATCTTTGATCTCTATATACGCTTTCGACTTCTTGCTCCAGCCGCTAGTACGAGATCAGCAGAAGTGGCTTCATCGAAACGTCGGGTGGTTCTATCAGCTTCTGTGGCTTTTCCCTGTCGTTAGCATGTCTTTGTATCTCAACGTGGGTCCGCACTTGCAACACATGCCTTCACTGACAACGGCACTAGAGCTCTTGGTGTACAACAATTGCCCGTCGGACCTATACGATTCAACATGGACATCGTGCTCTTGCTCATCAGACGAGTAGTACATATACTGGAATGCTCACAGCTATCGCGACGTCTGCATATAGAGCTGTGATGGTATTCACGTCAGTTGTTGTGTCCTTTGCCTTAGGATACGTTCCTTACGTGGGGCCTGTCGTCGGATTCTTGTTTCTCTGCTGGGTGGATTCGTGAGTTACAGCAGCATGACTTGATATACTCTAATTATCTTGGACCAATATCATACAGCTATTATTGCTTCGAGTATGTTACCCTTTTCCTTCTATGAAGTATGAACACCTCTTCTGAATTCTCTTTGTGTCAAGATTCGTTTGGATTGCGCGGGGTATGTCTCTCTCTCGAAGAATACGATACCTTGAAGAACGCTGGGCATATTTTCTGGCTTTCGGTCAGTTGAGAAATTTGCTTTATGGTGCGGCTTAAGATACTTAACATGTAATGAGTGACAGGACTTCCCTCCGCCGGTCTCTGTACATTTGGTAGTGGCCTCGCTAACGCTGCACTCTTCGCATTGATATTTCCCGCTGTAGGTCAAACATTTTCGCACACTGCCATTCATATTTACTTTGCAACAGTTTATCATTATGGCGATGCATGCTACTCCAGTCCCAGTCGATCCATACAGTCCCGTCAGCAACACGACCAAGTCACGAAGCACCAGCGATCATACCGACACTATCAGGCATCCATCACCCTTCGTGCCGATACGTTTACCCGTTTTTGCCATAGTCCTATTCATCAACGATGCTATTGTAAGGGTCTTAAGTGTGGGAGGCCAACCCACGGGACGCAGTAGAGCATTCAGTGACGCAACGGAGAATGCTGAAGAGGGAACGATGGAAATGAATACCTTTAGCTCCCCCTCACAGCCAACTCGGCGGTTCAAAATTAGCTCCCGGAAACAGGACTGATTTTGCGAATGGCGTCACTCTAGAACCACCTCTTGTCTTCCCTGTCTAATAGTAATAGCATAATACCATACAACTTGTAGAAGCATTTTTCAACCAAATCCGGCCCATTCAATAGACATCGTTGTCACTTCCTTTTTCTCATCATCCCAGCAACAAAGGAGATGTGCTTTCTTCGTAGCAGTACCCAGACGTCCATGAGCAACAATCTCCATTGGCTGGAGTGCAGACAAGGGGGCATCGATAACCGTAGCAGTGAAATGAGAGTGATATCGCATGGGATCACCTTTCCAGTGGGTAAGAAAAAGACTAAGAAGTGAAGAAGATATCGCGGACCTGGATATACTAGATAATCTCCGCCAAACTTGATACCTCCGCCCATGAAATATCCCTGCTCCCACAAACTTCTGAAAACCCCACATTTAGCCCGTTCATGGAGATTTGAAGGATAATCCCATATTCCGGCCGCCTTGGCGGAATCAATGGAGGCATAGGTGCACGCATCAGGAGAGTACCATTTCGTGGACAAGGATGATGCAGGGATAATGATGTTATGGGCTGGATGACCGAGAATAGGTTCTTTGGGGATGGGTTCTGTCTCCTCCTCCACAGGTTTTGACTTTTTCTGTTCTCGCTCGCGTCTCTTCCTGATGGCTTCCTCCGACATAGAACGCGTATTGGGGTTTGAAGCATCTTTGAGTGATTCAGATATATTGATTTGTTTTTGGATGGACTCTAGACGTGCTGAATCCCATTCTTTGAGATGCTCGAGTGAAGGCTCGGGATATGCGCGTGGATCGTCGACAAGGACAGCTGAGCCTATAATGACAGTGTAAGATGCGATTATTAGTTTCGAAATGAACAAGCATGCCATTGTCTACTAGCAAAAACACTTCCTCTGGCATAAGCAGCAAGGGAACACCAAGGAAAACGTTTTGTTGGGAGACATGCGGAAGAGTGCCGGTCAGAATACCGCAAATGCGATGTTTAGACCGAAGCATCGCAATATCTAGCCCCCTCTGTCAATATCCAAAGAATAATCAACTAGAATGAACAAACCGTCGACCTCCCAGATGAAACCTCTTTTATTCGCGACAGAAATGGATATGCGAGAATTTGAGTCAGTCATGACAGTTGAGGATAAAATGCGTAGATCGATCAAGTGATGTGGCTGTACTTGTCCTGTACTTACCCCTGTCAGCGTTTACTGCAATCTCAATCATTGAATATTGAGCATCCATGGCGGCATATATACAAGACTGTGTTATGCTCTTCGGCGATTCAATTACTCAGGGCGCCTGGGAAGATGGAGGATTCGGCCAACGCCTATCTCGTGGGTGTAGCTTAAATGTTCGTATTGTGCTCTTATCGCTATTAACAGATGTATACGCGCGAAAGCTAGATATCCTGAACAGAGGATTGTCTGGATATAATACGGAATGGGCCATCCCAGTGTTTGAACAAGTGGGTACCCAAGATGCTGCAACATGTCAATCGAGTTGATTTCGTCGACAGTGCTTCGCCAAACAACATGAGCAGGAACATGTTCCCAAAGTTCGCATTCTCACTATCTGGTTTGGTGCCAACGACGCTTGTATCAAACCGTCCCCCCAGCATGTCCCACTGGGAAAATTCACCTCTAATCTTAAGCATCTGATAGACCTGGTGCATTCTAGCAAGTCACCCCATTATTCCCCCGATACCCGAATTATTCTTATCACACCTCCACCGGTGAACACTTATCAACGGAGTGCTGATTTACAGTCCAGAACTCCACCGTTGGCACTTGATCGTTTATTCGAAACAACCAAGCAATATGCTCAAGCGGTGATAGATGTCGGAAGAGAAGCCGACATACCTGTCGTAGATGTTTGGGCGGCGCTCTGGAACGCTGCAGGTCAAGATGAAGCGGCGCTGAGCAAGTTCTTGTCTGATGGTCTCCATTTGAACCGAGACGGATATTCGGTAAGAATACATGCTCTGCAACTACTAGAGTCTAATAGTCGAGACCCATCAGATCATGTACGAGCTCTTGATAGATACCATTGCGACAAAAATGGCAGAGCTCCACTACAACAATCTTCAACCTGTCTTTGCGCCGTACGTGTGCTATGTGCCTCTCCATCATGCATCACGTCCTTATTGTTCTTGTTTTGAATCAGGTGGGCTGAGATCAATTGGGCGGCACCAGGGGCCACATTGATGAAGCGAAAGGCCGAGGTTTGAACCGAGAATTCGGTTTGGATGTTGCATCTGAAATACATACCAGGCGGCGTATTTGTGCGTATAAAAAATAGATGAACATTATCATTCACCGAGTTCTTTCCGGGAATTGCGCGGTCCAACATTATGTTCGGCCGACAAACGTAAATGAACATGCGGGTTATTTGAGTTTTTGACCGCGCTGGCAAAGTAAGGTCCAGGGAAAACCAGAAAAACGTGTACGGGCACCGGGGGGTTCGGACCAATAAATTCACGGTCACGTGCTGAAACTGAACATAGTCAAACTCGCGTAAATAGAGAAAGGCTTGGCGTTTCACTATTTGCTCGGGTCGGGGTTCTTTGCAATATCGCGACACCGCTACGTATACGTTGGAGGGCTTCAAGTCGACGACTTTAGCTTGGCTGTCTTTCGTTCATATTTCAGTGCGTTTTCTATTTTTTTCTTATGAAGGAACAAAACTCACCATTTCTGGAAGGCGGGAAGTTTTTAGGACCTACAAGAGTCCATATTAGCCTGGTTTGCTTTTCTTTCCGTGAGAATCCCGTCGCTGCTCTTTTCTCCTCATCCACGAGCCATTGTTCACGCTCGCAGGCGCGGTTTCCTCCATCGACACGTTCATTACGCCTCAAGGTGCGTCCTCTACTGTTCGTACTCGTCCAAGTCCAGGAAAACAACCAACACACCCGGCGCCCCACCACACTCCGGACCATGTGTGACACATGTCCCCTTTTGGCTCCAACAATAGAGTGTGTTGGGAAACCGGGGCCTGGGTATCGTCATGTTCATCCTTTGTTCAATACCAAACCTCTTCTCCGAACATTCCTCATTGTTGTTCTTCAACCAGCTGGGCACAAGCCGAATTATCAAATTTAAGTCAACCACGATTTCTCCTTTCTAGGTGAGTTGCTCCTTGTCTTAGCATTCATCGCTCACCGTCGTTATTCGTGCTCTGTCGCCTTTATAACTGCACCTTCACTGCTGCGCTCGTTCTACTTTCACCTCATCATCGCTCATGTCTTTTCTCGATCGACTAGTAGAACGACAACATACCAGCAAGTACCACAAGATACACGCAGACTACGAGTCCTCACCAACCATGACATCGCTATTCCTTAATGTGTCCTCCACCTTTTCGCGCAAGCGGAGCAATGCCACACCCGAAAGACACGATGACGACGAAGAGTATCTTTCCTCGGATTTGGAGCTTTCCTTTGCGTCCACAGTGTCTTTGAACTCTCCACCCAAGGAGCCAGTTGCGTTGATGCCTGAGAGCGAGTACGGAGTTCCAATGGACATATCACCGGCGCCGCCCAAATTCCAACCAACTAAAGCCGCTACTCGTCCTCGAGCTTTCACCAGCGCCGCTTCAACTCGTGTGTTCGGCAGTGATGTCAGTAACTGCACGGACCAAACGTCTTCTCAGCGAGGTCCCTCTAGCTCTACTCATTCAGGTTCGAAACGAACTCAACGATCTGCATTGCCCATGGAATGGCTTATGGCAAGCCCTATCGAAGATGCGTCAACATCGAATCAGGATAGTAATGTAAGTTATGCATAGCTTGTGGCATTTGTTTGGATCACTGATCCAGACTACAGTTCCTCTCAATGTTGGAACCTGCTTCACCCATGGACGTGGATTCGTCGTTTGCCGAAGAGAATAACCCAGCCACTTCATCTCCTCTGGCGTCCTCCGCGACGATCACCAACTTCAACAACCTTTTCTATGAGAATGCATCTCCAGGATCTACGTGTTTTGAAAGCCCTACAATCCGCCTTCCTAAAAAGCGGCGTTCTTTCTCTCCTTTGACTGGTGTCTCTGATAGAGAGGCTGCGTCATCATCCCCGGGGTTACCATCTTCGCCCTCGGACCGCAAGTTGGGCAGAATAGTGAGCGGTCCGATACTGTTTGGCGGTAGTAAATCGTCCCTGTCTGGTACCAGCCCTTCAGCTGTAAACGCACTCAAGAGACCCCGCAGGCCCGCTCTTTCTGCGTTAGTACACCCATCTCAGGCGAATGCTATCATTACCTCGGCATATCCTATTCTTTCCTCTGACGACCACTCGAACGAGGACAAATCAGAAAGGCAGCTTCCGCCCGCGCGTCGCGCATTCTCTGCCATGATTGCTCCGTCCGCTTTGGTAGACTTCTCAGATGAATCTTTCGATGGCCTGGATGGCTCTTCTCCTGCCCAAGCGTACGCCCAGCGTCAACAAGTGAAGACAATCCGACGCTGTGACGGGACCGATGACTTCTGGCCGTTAACTGGGGCCACTGCCATGGTCATGCAAGAAAGTCCTTCTGCGAAGTTCATGTGTTCGGGGATGCCTGGCTTTGGGGACAACGAACTCATGGGCAAGATATTACCCTGCCATCGAGTTTCAGAGGACGGTTTGATGAGAATAACGGTTGACACGGTCAGAATCTAAGGACTAATCACGTATGCGAAAGCTAAATTCCCTTTCAGCTCGACGATCTACTGGATGGCGTCTACGACTCCCAGATACAAGACTTCCGCATTGTTGATTGTCGTTTTGATTATGAATACCAGGGTGGCCACGTCCCAGGTGCTATCAACGTCAACACGACGAGCGCCGTTGAAGAACAACTGCTCGGACCGATTGTACCGAAGCCCAAGCCAAGTGTTAGCGGCGATAATACCGCAAAAACAATTTTGGTTTTCCACTGCGAATTTAGCGCTAAGCGCGCACCCACTTTGTATGTTCTTCGCCTTCCATTATGGTCTTAAGCTCATCACGCACTGTAGCGCCAAACATCTGCGTTCCAAAGACCGCTCTATGAACCATCACGTGTACCCGAAGGTCCACTATCCTGAGGTCTACATTCTGGAGGGCGGATATTGCAAGTATTTCCAGACGTCTCGGTGCAGACCTTCTGGTTACACTCCGATGGATGATCCCACTCATGCTGCGTCACGTCGAGAAGACCTTGACCAGTTCCGCAAAGCAAAGTTTGGTCGTCACAAGTCTTATGCGTACGGGGACGGAAACAATAGGATGTCTTCTTCTGGTCTGTCTTTACCAGCTCCCAAGAGAAACACAGCGCCAAGCGGAGGAAATGCCCATGTATTTGCGGCTGCCACTGCTGCACGCAGTCGGCGCGGAGGAGCCAGCGCGACCTTGTCCACCCTTGCTGAAGACAGCATGACAACTGCCGACGGCGACGATACTGACACCGATATTGGCGATAGCCCTTGTCCTCCTCCTCCTACCAAAGGCAAGAAAGGTCGTGGCTCCTTGTCCAGAGCAGAAACGTATGGACCGTCCAAGATGCCGTTCTAACTCTGCTTCTGCTGCGCCACAAGATGATCAATGACCTGGTTATGATTCCAGAGACGCTTTGCACCGACTTTAAAGTTATGAACCACGAATTCGAAACTGACACTGCAATGTTCAACGCCCCCGTAGAGAAGGGCGCGTCGCTCCTTATATCGCACGCTCGTTTTATGCCCTTCGTCTTGCAGCCATTTCACCACACTCTGTCCCTTTGGCGGACAGCTTGGAAACCCCCGTCATCGCATTCGATTTTGAAGCATACAATGCACATTCAACCACCTAGGCGGTTATTCATTCATCTCTCCCAATTTCTCATTCGAATCTCATGGACATTCCAATTTATCTATTAAAGTAACTCATTTTTCCATACATCGCATATCACATTTTTCGACATCTACATATCTTTCCATGTTTTCGTTGTCCATCTCCTCTCGTTCTGCTGTTGTCGTTTTTCCGTCCACCAGCTCGCCTGTAGTTTTGATTTCTTGTATGTTCCGGCGGTAGCATTCGCTCGAAGTTATTTCTACAAAGCTTCGAAGCCCCGGCAACAAAATTACTTATTTATCTACTCTCTTCAAGTTACCAATGCTATACTGGCTGCTGGCTCTGTACCACTGCGTGGTCCTTGCGGTTTCTATTTGTGCCACCTTCAAAAGGCCTATCTTGTCGTCAACTGGTTGAAATTGTACAGGTTATAACTAGTGCGCAAGCTAACACTCCTAATTGCATCTCTATCAATGACCATGAGGATCAGGCTCTCCCTTGGGTTCTATATGCGAATTAGATTATCAGTATTTACCACAGGGGGTTTCATAAAGAGCCTTACCGGGTATGCACTGGATTGCATCGTCGATCCGTAAGAGCGACACGGCGGCTTCATACGCAGATTTCAAACTCTTCACCTTGCTCATCGTAGGCTCCAGCACGCCAGCAGTCACATTATCTCGAACTTCGCCGTTCATCAAATCAAGGCCATACCGCAAAAGGACCTTCTTCGGATCACCTGCAGGTGCGTTTTGCGCAGCATTGTGGTATGAGCGCAATTTGGCGACGAGTTCTGTCGAGTCCTTGGCAGCGTTGACAGCTAATGTCTTTGGTATTGAAAGAAGTGCACTGGCAAATTCAGCGATAGCCAGTTGCTCACGAGAACCCTAAGCAAAATTATATTAACGCAGATACGAAAGAAGGAAGCATAACGTACTAAAGTCGTGGCAAAGTTTTCCAGATAGATACTCAGTGCGGATTCAACAGCACCTCCTCCTGGAACGACGGAACCACTTTCAAGAGTTCTCTTGATAATAGAAAGGGTGTCGTGGAGTGCCCTTTCCATTTCATCCAACATGTAATCGTTGGCTCCTCGCAAGACGATAGAAGAAGAATTGACCACCTTGGTTCCCTTGATGAGAATCAACTCATCATCAGATATGCGCTCTTGAACAACTTCATCCGCTGTACCGAGGTAGCTAGCCTCAAAGGTCTCATCGCCTTCGAGATTGGCAAGACTGGATACGAGCTGACCTCCGGTGGCCTTGGCAATACGGCGTAGATCCTCTTTTCTACATCGGCGAACGGCCATGGCCCCAGCCTCAACAAACTCCTTCAGACAAAGATCATCGATTCCTTTCGTGGTCAGTATAACATTCGCCCCAGCATTCAAAATTTTACGGATACGTTCGAGAGTTATCTCAGATTCACTGGATGCACATTGAGACTTCGTCCTTGATGTATTGCTGAAGTAACGTACCGTTTCCGTATCTCCTCAAGCTGATCTGGGTCATCCACCAGTATTTGGACACCAAGCTGCATCCGAGCCTTCTGTAGGTTGATATCGAGACAGGCGATTTTCGCATTCGTGATGCGTTTTTTCATGGCTGCCAAGTTCGTTTGAGCTGGGACAAGAAGGTCGATGTTGAGATTCTCATACCTTGACTAGCTACTGTGCAGTTCAGGGCATATCCTTGAACATAGAGAGACTCCCGGGCACTGCGACCGTGAGCTTTGAGGACGTTAACAGCCTTGACGGGGTACTTGATGTCGCCTCGCATGTTGATTGTCTTTACTGCAAGCATAGCATCGACGGCCATAGGTGCGAATAGATCATCATCACTAAATGAAAGAGGAGTGAGACCCCGGGTGCAACGAACAGGTGTATCACTCACTTTCCAATGATTTTGCTTGACATACTAGTCTTAGCAGCGTTTATGAGTGCCTCTTTTCCCAAAGCATCCACCTTGACACTAAGCTGATCCTGCATGAATTTCACAGCTTCCCTACAGGCTAGCCGATAACCAGTGATGATAGTCGTCGGATGGATTTTGGCCTTGACGAGCTCGTTGGCACGTCGAAGGAGTTCAGCAGCAATGATGACGACAGACGTAGTACCATCGCCGACTTCCTTATCTTGTTTTTGAGAAAGATCTACAAAGATTCGGCCAGCTGGATTTTCGACTGAAAGGAGCGAGAGTATGGTGGCCCCGTCGTTGGAAATAGTGACTTCCTGGTAGAAGTTTAGCTTTAATATAACAAAGAATTGAGAGTATAAAATCGTACTCCAATATTGTCGACTAGCATTTTGTCCAATCCCAATGGCCCCAACGAACTTTTCACGATGTTGGCAATGGATTGGGCGGCAATAACTGGTAACAGTCCAACGGTTCAGCACGAATAAGGACGACAGTAGTGGGCAATCGCACCATTTTGGTCCCGGATGTCCTGTCCTGACACACGGTCGCCTCCCAGAAAAGCACCGGCTCTTGGATCGCGCTGAAACATTGCAAAAAGAAAAGAACGCTGAGAGTCAGTGAGAAAGGGAAGCGCGTTCAGGACTGTTTAGGTAAGCCAGTTTTCTTTATTGGGCCTTTTCCGTATTATTTTCCATTTCTTTCTCAAAAATGCATCACTACTGACTAGTAATTATCCCTGTCTTAATGTTAGAAGGTCATTCAAGAGTCCTTAATTCGCGCTCGATGAGCAATCCTGGACTGAACCAAGTGGTCTTAAGTACATATAAATAACGTCAAGCAATACGAGGTTCCAATTTTCCAGAGCTGCTCCAGTTGTGGAAACTGAGGTCACTCCATGGGTCACCACGATCGTGATTGGATGCTCCGCATGTAGATCTTGGCGCCTGGTCCCTTGCTTTTCTTCCTCCTTCATTCATTTTTTTCTCTTGAGAAATGGCTGACTACATCCGGCGCTTCGTTTCAGGAGACAAGGCGCGCTTCAAGGACAAGCACCTAGACTTAGATTTAGGTGGGTCCTTGCTTGGTCCACCGAACTTTTGCAACTGACATATAGTACTAAATAGACTTGGTATATGTTACAGAACAAATCATTATCATGGGTTACCCAGCTTCCGGCATGGAAGGCCTGTATAGGAACCGCAAAGAAGATGCGAAGAAGTTCTTGGACCATCGGCATGGCAAGGATTACTGGGTCTTCAATTTTTGCCCCGTGAAGGAGAATTCTTACCCTAGATCATATTTTGAAGGACGCGTTAGTCGATATCCATTCCCAGATCATCAGTGCGCTATCACCGCCCTTCTATCCTTAATCGTTCAAATGACTTTCACACCCTAGTGCCCCACCCCTCGCTCTAATGCCCCTTGTCGCACGGGAGATGCGTGCATGGTTATCCGGATCGCCACACAGAGTTGCCGTGCTTCACTGCAAAGGTAGCTTTCTTTATCTGCATTCCCAGTTACCTTTGGTGACACTAGTTCAGCTGGGAAAGGGCGTTCTGGGACTATGGCCTGCGCGTATCTCTTATCTCTGGATGAACACTTGATACCTTCTCTCAAACGGAGTTGCGATGCTAAAGAAAGGGCACAGCTACGAGCTGACGATGTAATAGAGGCAATGCCGGATTCAAGCCGCGATAGCTCTGCTACACCGGACAGCACGTTCTCTGACGCCGACGTGGATAGCCCACAGAGCACGGGGACACCATCATCAACTCTAACGTCCAACGGAAATACGTCTTTGAAATCCGTTTTGGATTTGCACACCTCTAAACGCATGAAGACTCCTTCTGACCTCAAAAAACAGAAACAAGGTGTCAGTATTCCTAGTCAGAGACGATGGCTTCACTACTGGTCTCTTCTCCTCGCACATGAAGCGCCCTCTCATATGTGGAGTGGGCTTCCCCCATCACGGCCTGTGACTACCCTGGTCAAGGTCCCAAAGGTGCGCCTAACACAGGTAACACTAAGGATGAAGGAGAGTTCTGGCGTGAAGACGAGTCTCCTCATGGCCGCTAACATTGTCATCGATCGTGCTGGTTTGGGAAAACTAGGTGCGGCTAGAGCCAAAGCAGCTGGCGCCAACCACGTCTGGATTTCTCTTGCAAGGTACGATGACGATCTTGTCGAATCACTCGAAAAATGGGAAAAACACACAAGAAACCCAGACGGACACATGGGGGAACGAAGGCCTGGATCAGAATGCATGGGAGAGGAAGAATTAAACACTTTTTTCAATGACGGTCGCTGGGACTCAGGAAAGATGGTGCCAAGTTTTGCTAAGATGGGGGCCTTTGGGGATGGATCCGTAATCAAGACCAGCGACAGAGTTAGTAAGCGACGTCAAATAACATTCTTGACTAACGTTTCCATAGGATGACAAAATTGTAACGTTTGTCCTGAAACCTCTTAGCACGGCCAAGTGGAAGAACCTCCAGGAAGAGGTGAATCAGGACTCTCGGGTAGATGTTTCGTCACTCGACGAAATAGGTATACCACAGAGTGAAACGACGTCCATAAGTGATGCCACCCAAGGGGTAAAGGAAAGAGGTATTGTGCTTGATGCGACTCGAGAGGTGCGACTTCGATTGTACATGGGTCAAGTACGTGCTTTTTATCGAGTAATGTCTAGTGCCAAGTGCTTACCCACTGACATACAGATTTTTATGGGATGGATGTGGTTCATACCCATATTCCATATGCCTCCACTGCCCTCAACGTCGGATGCTCGAGATGCGCCCAAAGCCTCGACATTTCGTTTGATGCAAAAGGACCTTGACTTTCCCCTCGGTATAGGTTCTTCGATATTGGACGTGGAGCTCGCTTTGGAGTGGTTAACTGAATCGGATTCAGAGGCCGTCCAACCATCTCCTCGTACCGCGGGTACAGAAGAGCCCGTAGGTCTTGCAAACACCGTTCAGGCAATAGCGGCTGTAGATGTAGAAGCTAAACAAGCTGCCGAAGATTGAAAGGGTTGCCAAAGTGCCATTTCAGTTATGAGATATATATCCTTCAGGATTATGCTTGACAGAAGGTGGCGCTCAATCCGATCATCTGTTCAAGGCTCGATCCCTTTGTCCAAGTCATGACACTGTATCATATTATACAGATTTCCTGTTGCTACTCCCAATCGTCGGTCTATGGCTCAAAATTTTGTCAATTGGAATAGCGGCCTGTACGAAGGAGGTCATAGGCATACATGCGTCTGTTGTTTGGAGGCTTGGATGTCATCGAAGGGTGTAAAGTCCGACTAAAGTGGGGTGTCCTACGATTTACCACAGACTCCCCTCCCAATGCGTCTCCCACCAGAGCCACCAGAAACACCATAGAGAACGTTACAAAATCACCTGGAACAGACAGGATCCTGAAGAAGAGCAGGAGAGATGGCTCCCGCTCAGGACCCACACATACCTCGGACACTGCCCATGTCCCACCACTAGCAACGTCCCAACCCTCACCAACAATACCTACCGGACCTTATCGAGTCCGTCACCTCCATCCTACCCCCCACAACCAGGGCCAAGGCACCTGTGCAGTCTCATCCTCCGCTGCCGGAACCCCCCCCTAGCAGCTCCCGACCAAAACCCATCTACGCCACAGTCACCAAGCAAACGACGAAACACGTACGCACCCACCCACAGCAGTATCAGACAATAAAGGCCGTAAGCAAGAGCCCCAACGACAAAATACGAGCCTCCAGAATAGTGGTAAACTTCATCACCAAACCACCGACTGCGTCAGAACGCCCGTCGTACGGACAGGAAACAAGCTTACATGACTCCTATTACTTACTGAACTGCTAGCATCATATCACATATGTTCAACACCAACATACCCCCACCCAAGTACATACGTCCGTTGCTATACTCCACAGTACCCCGGTAGAGATACACGATGATCTCTAATGTCGAGAGGTCTGTCTTAGGACCACCGCGTCTTAGTAGTAGGTTTACTTGTTGCGGTTAAGAAATGCAGAGTTCAAAAAAAAAAAAAAAAAGAAACGCGTTAACATCACATGATACTCAAACACGTCCAATTTGACCAAGCCGCCTGTTCTGGCCCTTTGCATCAACACTCGGTGGTGGCACTCCTTTTTTTAGCGCGCCAACACAATACGGCCGTTCCTCGCATCTTCGTTCTATACTGCCACCTGAATGCTGGCTCTCATCGATGGATTCCTCGGAATTTTCACCGGCATTCCAATCTCAGGTCTCTCAACGTTTTCAAGCTCTTATATGGGCGTGTCTTGACTCGGACCTGACAAGATCCGCTGTTTTCTACGCGGAGAGATATTTCGCCATTCATAATGCTACCCACGATGCTCGCCATCTCTATGCTACAGCTTTGCTTCGCGAAGGGCAGACATATTCCGCATTGGCCATCGTCAACATCGCTCGGCAGCAGCAATGTAGTGGCTGTCTTGAGCTCAAGGCGAAGTGTTGTACCGCTCTTGGACGTTATCGACAAGCGCGGGAAGCGTTGGAAGAGACATTGCAAGATCCTACATACCGACCATCAAGTGACTCTCTTAAAATTAACATTCTACCAGTCGGCTAAGCCTATGTTTATCAAGGTTCAACTGCTCCCAGAACCGCGCGTCAGTTTCCCGACGATGCAGCTTTGCATTGCAGAGCTGGCACGATGGCGTTGAAGGGGAACCTTCAGGATAAGGCAGCGATTAGTTTCCAGCAAGCACTATCACTGAATCCTTACATTTGGGAGGCGTTTGAGGGACTTTGTTCTTTAGGTGCGCTGCATTCCTTTCTCGCTCTGTTCGTAGGTTTAACTCCCTGTAGGTGTCGTTCCGGACATCGACCAACTATTTCCACCGCGGCCGATTCCCACCCGGCGAGCATTGCAAGAAGAACACATACCTCCCAAGGCGTCCATCCCTGTTGCTACCGGCGCAGCTTTTTTTACCCCAGAGGCAACTAATACAGGGAATCTATTTCGCCCGTGGAAACCAGAGCCGACCATACACACTCAGCTATTCCGAATGGGTCCGCCTGGGATACCTACGAACTCAAAGTGAGTTCCCCGCTCGTTGGTACTGGTATTAGGCCTGCAATTTACATACAGCGCTCAACCCTCCCTCGCCCCTGACACACTTCAACAACATCGACATACACGAACGCAGTCTTCAACACAGGCTTCCTCCAGCCAGACACATTTTTCCCGCCCTCTTTCATCCGCTGATGAAGCCGGTCCCGTGCCCAAGAAACTTCGCTCCACCCGACAACCCGAGTCATCAAAGCATTCTAAGTCACTGAAGCAAAATGGGGACGACCCACAGAAAAAGGCACGCGCACGCCAGGGCTTTCATTTTTCTAACCTCTTCTCATCATCGAGCCGTCGCTCTCAACAGTCATCCCGAATCAGTGCAGTGCCCGGAAAGATTGGTAGTGCCGCCTCAAATGCTACACGCCGAAGCACTCGTCTGTTAAGCGGCACCGGTACCAAACAGGTCAAGGTGTGCGGTCTTCTAGGTCATCCTTATCTCCTTCTATAGTGATATTCCGTGTTCATCAGCCTTCCACTCGTGATCGACGGCGTCAACAGACACATGGACGATCTCATTCATTCGAATCTGATAGTGAAGACGATGCATACGCTGTAGAGGTTGGGTATTCTCCTTCGCCCCCCCCCAACCCACATTCGCCTCGATCAGAACAGTCACCGTCTCCAGGTCCTTGGGCATCTGTAACTCAAGACGCATACGAAATGGAACTTGCGGATAACTATGTCTACGATACCATGCGACGTTTTGCGATTGCGACAAGAGCTCTAACATTATTCGACTCTGCAAGATGTTTAGATGAGTTAATGCAATTACCCGAAGAACACCAGAAAACACCTTGGGTGCTCTCCCTGATTGGCCGAGCTCATTATGAAAGGGCCGATTACGGTGCTGTAGTGCAATTATCTTCATACTCTGTTTCATTATCCTGACCTCTAGCCATAGGCGGAAAGAGCTTTCAAAGCACTTAGAACCTCCGATCCATATCGTTTATGGGATATGGAAGTATACTCGACGCTTCTTTGGTACCTTCAAAACCATGTCGAGTTGTCTTTTTTGGCTCAAGAACTGCTAAATATCAACCCCCGGTCGGCTCAAGCATGGATAGCGATAGGCAATCTGTTTTCTCTACAGAAGGACCGACCCCAGGCGCTGACATGCTTCAAACGAGCCGCTCAAATGGACCCGTCATGTGCTTACGCATTCACACTCAGCGGACATGAGTCGATTGATGAGGATGTTGACAAGGCGAATCAATTTTTTTCAGTCTGCTTTACGTGTCGATCCTCGCCACTACAACGCATGGTAATCGTTTGTTTTGATTGTAGAAGCTATAGGACTAACAGATAACAACAGGTATGGATTAGGGTCTTGCTATTTGCGGATGAGCAAAATAAGACTCGCGGAATACCACTACCGAAAGGCTAACGCTATTCATCCAAACAATGCGGTCTTATTGGGATGTGTTGGGATGGTATGCCTTTATCTCGTGTCGTTTAGCGTAAACCCCGTTCTTATCCGTTATCAGGCAGTGGAACGGCGGGGCGATCGAAAGACAGCCCTTCAAATATTTAATGAAGCCATTGACATCTCACCTGAAAACGCATTGGTTCGTTATCGGAGAGCCAAAATCCTTATCTCCATGAAGAAGTATGAGGTGAGTTGTGTACGCTTTTATCTGGACATGTGTGTCTTATGCGACTGGATCCGCAGAGAGCGATTGAAGACCTAGAGTACCTTCGGAAGTCGACACCGGAAGAGTCTAACGTTGTGTTTCAGTTGGCCAGGGCATATCGTCTGGTTGGAGACGAGGTCAAGTCCGCACAGCTACTTGCGGCTGTGCGTGATATTGCGCCAAAAAGCGTCAACAAGATTAAGAAGCTGCTGGAGACAGTTAGGGACGAGATGAGTGATGACAAGATGGACGAGGGATGACGGGATAATGTTGAGCGGCTGTAGATAATAGTTGAGCAATCTGACGAAACAGCGAAACGAACCGAGTCGGCCGATTCGGCTGGGATGCCGTCGGTTCATTTGTTTGGCGCTTGAGTCACCACGAGAATTCCATATAAAGCGAGACGCGTACGTGAGTCCCCCTTTTACCTCTGCCCACCAACCATGTCTGCATAAGTCCATGTCCGACTAAGTCTTGCCCTTCCTCCTCGTTGTCCTCGCCATTGACCGTCTGGCGACCCAATAAACAAGCATGGTTAACACAGTCGTCCGTATATCTAACAACGGATCCCTACTCTTCGAACCCGAAATCGTCGACCGTATACACCCTTAATTCCATGTCTGCCTTTCCTTCAGCTCTTGTATGTATTCTCTGTTGTTCTCCAATGGAATAGAGGTGTTGACCGCGTCCAGGTATCTACTTCACACCCTCGTCTTTCGTCCATGTCATCCAAGATTTTCTCGCTCGCCCGATCCAAGTTGAATGTGTCCGTTGGGAGCAAGGACAATGTCAGCTTGCATCGATGGGTGCTAATAAAAAATTCCATTATACAGTCTTCTCACACCGCCGCTGAAGCTCCGGTCGAAATCGACTCCCCCCAGAATGACTTGGACCTCGACTCTGACAGTGACTCCAACGAAGCAATGGTCGAGCAAGATTCCTTCTTGTTTCCTGACGTTACAGAAGAATCGCGTTCCTCCGTGGGCCATTCGGAAGCTCAATGGTTAGATTGCATGTTGGAAATTGTTGACGATGACGAGGACTCGGACGACTTCAGTTCTGGCGTGCAGGTGTCTGTGTTACCTGCGGACGACGATGACGACACTATCAGTCCATTGCCTTCCCCCATGTCCTCGTCAGACGACCTCACCAACCCGGCGTATTTCGCCACACCCATGACATATTCGTATCCGTATCCTGTACCATATCCTCCCTATCATCCCCCGCTCATCTCCCCTTACCATCTTGATTCCACGGTCGACTCGTCTCTTTCGGCTCCGTATGATGATCCCCTGCCTTATTATGATCTCGACGACGTAGAAGATCTTCCCGTTCCAGATGCTATAGAAGACACCTCTGATGACGAGTCAGACGCACCGACAACACCATCATTGGACCAGTCGACTTCACTGACGCTCGACCCGGCTTCTATTCCATTACCTACGGGACGCAGCAGGCTCAGGCATCCAGATCCACGTGTGTATAGTGAAGCGGACGACTCTTTCTTCAAACCATTTGAGTTTGATGCTCTTCCATTTTCCCATGTCCTTCCTAGTTACTCCCTCCAAGAATGTTGACCATCATCATCACCGTAATCATCTTTCGCCAATGTATATAGTCATTATTTACTTGTACATGCTCTCGTTCCTCTGCCCATCTACAATATGCACCCCGTACTTCCCCTACTCCTGTTTCTCTCTCTCTCTTTTTGGCTATCCTTGTAAGTAGACATATGAAGGGTTCTTTGATTGTGACTAGTTGATTGAACAGCAAAAACGAGGACACGGCGATTACGCCTTTCTTGCCCCAGCTTCGGCCGATGCATCGCCGTCGGAGGCGGATAAGGCAGCGCTCTGTTCGCCGGAGTAAGGAACATTCTCCGAGGACCAAGCATCAAAATTGCATATAGGAAGGTACTGGACTGATGTATTGTTAAAAGCAGTAGGCCAGACATTGGACGGAGGCAATGGCACTGATACTAGGAAAGGGACTGGGGACAGATGCGGATAGATGCGGTCAGTAAGAACACGGACATCGTGTCATGAAAGGCTCACCAATTCGGCATAGATATGGAACCCTGGCTTCGAGCTTGTGAGAAGGATTACTATTGGAGCCTTAAATCTTTGCACGACATATGGGGACCGCGAAACTGCCATTCTACGTACCTCTCAACGTAATCACCGAGACGGTTGCAGATAAGGACAGCGTTTCGCACAGTGCTGTTGTCCTTGAGTATGCCTTCATGAAGCTCCATGTCGCAATGAGGCATATAAACAAGGGTAGGGCTTTCGATCGCATAGCCTTCCCTTTCCTGTGGAAAATGAACAGCATATGAATATGTGGGATGAAATGATATGAGAATTGACGTGCATTGTTCGTTGGCAATACCTTCAGTTTCTGTTCTGCAAAGAAACATAGATCTTCCTCCGTGAATACAGGATCATACAAGGAGACTCGTGAGTGGTCCTGCCAAAAAAGACTTGATATTGAAGTGGATATCTATGGTAGGTACACACACTATGTTGAGGGATTTACAGATAAGAAGCAGAAAGGCCAGCTGCGCCCGGCTATTTGGAGACGAACAGGGACTTCCGAGGCCAAGGCATAATACGTCAGGACATCCGTTGTTGTGTATGGCGCCAGACGACTCCCGCACAATTTCTAGCAAATAATGGTCGGTAAAGACGAAAGGATGGGGGAGAAACGATTCCATACGGATGGCAGCAGCTGTCCACGGGTCGTTTTGAAGATCTTGTTTGGTGCGCTCAACAAGATCGGAGACGGACGGTCTGTCCCTGCGAGGCCTGTTTTTTCGCTTCCTTTGTGATGACACTGCAATAAATTCCGAAGAAGAGCCGGGGGGTGTTGTCTGGCTCGACATGGTCGTAGTACAAGCGTGACCGTGGCAAGGCTGCCGTAGCCAGGCCGAAGGCGAAACATGACCAAATACGAAACGACCTGGTTCGAAAGTTTCGGCTAGAAAATTTGACTTTGAATAATTGATCGCTGCAGTTCTCAAAATTGTATAGGCCCCGATGACCCGCTGTATAGAATCGCTTCCTCAGTCGAGAAGGTCTGGATGGGCCGGGGAATTGTATGTCTTCTATGAAAGGAGTACCTCCAAGAAATAAGATATCCTACAATGGAAATCCATCAGAAACAAGTATCCATACGGCTACAAGCTCTTCTGCGCCCAGAGGTCGTCGCCGAGGTAGGTAACAGTCTCCACACCAACGCCTTTATTCACTTTCCGCATCTCTTCAGTGTCCAGTTTCGTGATGCCGACCCCCACCGCGTGCTCCTTGCCCTCCGCAAAGATCGCAACCGGGGTCCCTGCAGGCAAGGCCTCATCTGCAGGGGGTAGATAACCACCTGCGGACGTGAGTCCGGGGCACATCATATGGGCTCCGGCCAGCAGAAACCGGATCGCCCCACGATCGACCTTGACCTTGGGCAAGATATACGGGTCTGCAAGGCACATTTCTTAGTTCCCCATGAAGTGACTATCCCACCTGCGTCACATACATTTATGAAGGATCCTTAGTGTTGGGTACAGTGGGCCATCAAAGTGCTGGAACAGAAGAGGCTCCCCGTGTACTGTGTAGATCGAAATATGTTCTCTGCTAACATACGCCGTCTTAGCTTTTTCTTCTCTCACAAAGTTAAAAAGACATGTACCATTTAACGTGTATCAGTCCCTCCTTCTTTGGCCATATAGCCTCCAGCGTTTCAGGTTCAATCTTCCACTGCGACAGCACAGTTCCGCGAATCGCCCTCTGCACTGATGACTTTACAGGTGTGTGGCCAGCGACATCGGATGACGGAGAGAATCTTTGGATTTTGGATCAGCCTTGGATGTCAGGAGCGATTCGAAAGACTTGCTTTTTGAACATGATCTTGGAATCGCGAATTTAGAGGGATGAAAGTACGTGACAGGGACTGATTGATGACGCAATGATCTTGAACTGTCAGCGTTGATCGCAAACAGTGAGCTTGTTCGACAGTTGTAGTTGAATCAAGTTCGTCGAACTTGGAAAACTTGTAGCATGCTGTATCGATACCTATCGATACATGCATTTTCATCGAGAAGCAGGAGCAGGGTTTGCCGATTGAAAGGAGATAACTGTCCATAACAAAAGATACCGTCATCTTCTTGCGATGAACATGGTCCCGGAACGCAGACCTAATCAATACGGCATGTCTTGCCAGCCTATCGGTCCCACAAACAACTCTTGAGAAGGACGTATTTATTTAGCAACCAACCGATAGCCAGCACGTATTGGTTCGCGGCTCCTTTTCCTCGTTCCTCGTTCCTTGCCGCAGGCTGCCAACGCATAATAATGGCTCACGTTTCCTTAGTTCGGCGGCGTTCACTTTCGGATCATCCTGCGAGCGCTTGTAAGATGGCATGATACACGCACTTGCATGATTCGCCACGGACATTGAACACATATTATGCGATATCTGTAGCCGCGCACAGTAATTCTTTTGAGTATCGACGAAAATATTAATCCTGAGATCCGGGTAACAAGATATTCCCGGGTACTAGTTGGAATTGCGGAGTACTCTGGAAATAGATTGAGGTACGTACCACTTAAACAATTTCCTTTCAAGTAGTTAGTAGCACTGGCCCACACGAGGCCAAAAAGGACAAAGACAATAACAATCAAATTCCGTCAGATACTCACTATCTCGTGTCACACGCTGAGCTCCAACTACGCGATGACAGTTCCTGGGCTGGTCAGCAGATAAGGAGACACAGGAGAATGATGTGATCTTGGAGGAAATCACCTTTTCGAACCGCCTCAGAGAACCATGGCCAGACTCAGTAAAGCGCCTAGACGTGACGAAGGATAAGCTCCGATTTTCAAGTCGCGCTGATGATAAGGGACTACTCTACAGCACTGACCTACCAAGAGCAAACTAGACGCTACCCGTTTTCTGGTGATGGCCCATCTCCAGATCTGAGGATTGATGGCAGTGCCAGTAGACTGCCGAGAAGATGTGACATCTCGACATATGTTCGCGCTGTTCGCGAGATTCCGAAGATTTGGTAGGATTGTGAGCTGTTGAACTGTGATCCAACACAACAAATGACGCGCCTCTGTCAATCTTCTGACTACAATGATGTCGGCAGTGTTATGTTTATACTAGTATGCAAGCTGTACTTCAGCTGTGGTCCGTGACCCGGTCAAGCACCGTTTAACCTTTTTTGTGTAGCTGTCAATAGTCACCAGGCTGCTGCGAATCAAAGGTATCTGCAGCGGGGCCATGTAGAGAGAGCAAAATGGAGGAAGTTTGATCGATCAGGAGACTCAGCCATGTTCTTCTGAGATGAAATACATTAATGACTGGTCCCCTGCCCACCCAAGCGGAGCGCAGCAGTGATATTCCCAAGTCACCGCCTTAGCGAGACGTCGACATGGTACTATGTCTGATGACCGCCAACCTTGGGGCATAAAAACAACTCTACCTGTCAGGCGTGGTTCTCCAATAGCCGGTCTATCTTACGAATACCCACAGACGATCACGACCCCAAATGATGCCCTACATCAGCTCATACGCGTCTTCTTACTACCGGTAGCAGAAGTGCCTATCCTTCATATGGTGATAGCTACGGAATGCCTACCCAGCACTACTATAGTACTCCCATGTCGTGCAGTACCCCGTACGAATATTCGTCATCTAACTACGGTTCATCGGATGGGCCTATGCCTATGGTCGTCGCGCCTTCAAGACGCCACCATCATCACCATTATCGCTCCAGAAGCTTGGACTCGTATTGACTCCTGAGAGAGATGAAGATAAAGATTACGATGAAGCACTGTATATTTTTTCGATACTGGACATACAAAGAGGTTTTGCTAGGCTCGTTTACCAGCCGGCGTTTCGCCCACGTGGCTGCGCTATCACTTTTGGGCGAAAGCGGCTGGGCAAAACGGAAACGTTTTAGAGGGTCACGCTTTCTGTGACTTGGGACTTGGATAAATTTCACATCTTCACCGCTAGTTTTAATGGCTGTCTACTCCCCTCCCTTGCAATGCACCGTAGAGATACACATTGTATACTCTGTTTACCACTGAACCTCCCACACAGCTTATTTTTTGTGGCCTCGCCTGGAAAACATTATTCAACTGTCTGCTCTTATGATGTCATCATTTAGTCATCATTCTCTTGTCATTCTCTCATGCGGGAGAGACAGTCATCGAAGGGCAAAGTAGAGGGCTCGATAATTATGAATTAACAGAATTTAAAATAATATGTGCACAGGTATACTATGCATACTAACCCTTATTGAGGCAAACCGGAGGCAGAGGAAGTGTAATGGCTGCTGAAAATAAGCTGCAAGACAGAAATCAGTGAAATTTTTCTAAGTCCCATGTCACAGAGAGTGTGACCCTCTAAAACGTCTCAGTATTGACCAGTCTGTTCGCAAGCTCACCTCTCCTGTCAAAATCATGTCAAACCATACCAAACAACCAAACAACCGTATAAGGAATTAGCATCACGAGGTGGCAGCTTGCGAACGTCGACTGGCTAGCGAGTCTAAGGTTTTGCACGGTTGAAGAAGTGTTCGGAGTTTAAATTCTACAAATAAACCACATGATCAGTTTAGGGCAGGTCGAGTCGCGCACTAGATTCAACGCGCCTGGCTTTTTTCTCTTTACCACCAACCCCCGCAATGTCGTCGAGCCCGACCCCATCTTCCTCGTCCCTGTTTATGTCTGAAGCAGCACCCAGCACAGCACCTTCGACGCCACCTCCCGATGAAATGGAGGACGTCGATGTAAGTGATTCAGTTGTGGAACCGCGTTCCTGGACGCTCATATTCGAATTAGACATCAGTGAAGCCAATACCTCTGGAGGACGCGGAAACAGCTAAGAAGTATTCTGAGCTCAATCGCGTATTGCAAAAATCCGCCATGTATTCCAAAATTCTGCACGAGAGGCTCCTTGAGACCAAGGCTGCGCAGAAGAAGATTGCTGAAGAGAAGGCTGAACGAAGGGACGCTGCTGCGAAGAAAGGAAGGAAGAGGCTACGTGTTGATGTGGATGACGATGCTATATCTGCGAAAAAGATGAAAATGGATGATGGTAGCGCTGAAGCATCCGAGATCGACGACGAGACAATGCTCTTTCCTCAGCCATCACTTATCACTGGTGCGAAGCTGAAAGGCTACCAGCTAGAAGGTCTTCATTGGATGGTGTCGTTACATCAGAACGGGATTTCTGGTATCCTTGGTGTGTAGCGGTCTGCTATCCTGCCACTAAAACATGCTAACGAACCCCTTCAAGCCGATGAGATGGGCCTAGGAAAAGTCAGTTTCCCTTATTTTTATGGGAATCATGCTAAATTCTCTATCAGACCCTTCAAACGATTGCATTTAGTGCTTACCTTCGGGAAAATGAAGTGTCTCAGGCATTTCTTGTTGTCTGTCCTCTCAGCGTATTGCACAATTGGGTGGAGGAGTATGCCAAGTTCGCTCCTGAGGTATGTAGGCCGTCTCCTTGAAAAGGACAGTGCTAAGTTATGGTCGTAGATTCCCGTGTGCATGTACCATGGAACACCTGAAGAACGCGCTGAATTGAGGCGCACCGTCCTGGCTACCATTCCTCGTTCCAAACAAGCCAGTTCTACTCCAAACACCACATCCACTAGCAAAGCCAAACCAAAAGTCAAGGCGAAGAAAGGTCGAGGTCGTAAAACCAGGGTCGTCACCGACGAAGAGGAGGGAGAAGCATCTTCACCCATCTCATTCCCTGTTGTTGTCACCACTTATGAGATGATCATGAAGGACCGTGTCCACCTTGCGGACTACAACTGGGGCTATATCGTTGTTGATGAGGGTCACCGGTTGAAGAACCTCAACAGCAAGCTCATGCGTGAGATCAAGAAATACAACAATGCCAGTCGAATGATATTGACGGGGACGCCTTTGCACGTAAGTCATCTTCGGTTGTGGTGATTCCATGCACTTATAAGGACATTGAAGAATAACCTCTCAGAACTCTGGGCCCTCTTAAATTTCGTTCTTCCTGAAATCTTCACCAACGTAGACGACTTCGAGGAATGGTATGAAAACTTCTCTATTGCCAACGTTTTCATGACTTGAGATGTACTTAGGTTTAATTTGCCGACGATGCAAACGACACTTGGTTCTGAACGGTCGTCGGAAATCATTGATGCTCTTCATGCCATTCTGAAACCATTCCTGCTCCGCCGACTCAAGGCCGACGTAGAGGCGAACCTGCCGCCAAAAAAGGAATATGTTCTATATGCGCCGTTGAGTGTTACCCAACGTGAGACGTACAACAAAGTTCTGGATGGTAGTCTTCGTGCATACCTGATCGGACAAGAAGATGCACAGAACAAATCTGTACCTGCGGTAGACCCTGATGAACCGAGACAGCTACGCAAGAAGAAAGACGGAAGAAAAAGTTATTCAGTTGACGGGGATGATGACGACTACTTTGCCATGCTTGAACAAGGAGAGGTCGACAAGAGAGGTGTCAAAGTCAAGGAACAGTCTCAAAATATCGAGGCTTTGAGCATAGAGCATCAACTACGAGCTGCCAGTGGGTTTTCTCTCCCTCCCTCACTGCTGTCAGTCTTAACATATCTCCAGCGAAACACGTCAACAATATGAGACTTCAAAATACCGTTATGCAATTGCGCAAAGTTTGCTCGCATCCTTTCCTCTTCGAATGGCCTTTGGACCCCAAGACACATCAACCTGCATTAGACAATAGAGTTGTAGACACGAGCGGCAAGATGATGGTTCTGGACCGTCTTCTTGACGAGCTTTTCAGAAGAAAGCATAAAGTTCTGCTATTCAGCCAGTTCACGACCATGCTAGATATCATAGATGTAAGTTATACGATTTTTAGCGGTGCTCTTCTGATGTAGCTGTGTAGGATTGGGCCCGTGAAATGAAAGGATGGAATATATGCCGCATCGACGGGTCGACGGCCCCAATGGATCGTCGAGAGCAGATGAATCTGTTCCAGAACAGCGGTGATGCGCCCGGTGCGCCTCACCTGTTTCTCCTCAGTACGCGTGCGGGAGGATTGGGCATCAATCTCACGGCTGCAGATACGGTCATCTTCTATGATCAAGATTGGGTATGTCATGTCTACTCAGCTCGCGTCAGACGCTGAAGCCACTGTTCTCTAGAATCCACAAATGGATGCCCAGGCTCAAGACAGAGCGCATCGAATTGGTCAGACGAAGCCTGTTCTGATTTTCCGGATTGTTACGGCACATACTATCGAGACGAAGATCATGCAAAAGGCTACTGAGAAGAAGAAACTTGAAGCTTTGGTTATCGCCAAGGGTAGGTTGTTTCAGTTTCTGGTGCTCGTGTTCTCATTTCTGTCGACAGGCAAGTTCAAGGCGCCTACTGCTGCTGCACGTCGAGGCAAGCCTGAGACGATGGTAGAGATGGCTGCGTCACTTCTCAGGCTTGAAGGCGAGAAAATTGACGTCGTCCCGGAGACGGTGGAGGGCAAGGCAAATGTTATCAGTGATCATGACCTCGACGCTTTGCTGGACCGCTCACCGAAGGTATTTGCTGATAGAGGACAAGGCTGGACTCATGAGAAGGAAGGAAAGAAGGCCGCATTTGCAGTTTACGAGGCTCCGCAGAACGAAGGAAACGATGCATTGGTGAAGATGCTTAGTGAGGATATAGAGTAGATTTGATTTTTGGGTCATTTTGGGTAACATATTTGTATCTATAGCTTTGTTTATATCATTTGCTGTATGCTAGGGTCTCTGTTAATATACGATGAAAATATATCAATACTCTTACCCAAATGAGCATTCCGGCATTTTGTTTGACTGTTCGACCGTTGAAAACAAACCGATCCACCAAACGTAGTGTACAGATAATTGAGTATCATTCTACAACTAAGTTTGTCGTTTAGTGTTACATGCGTTACAATCGAAAGCAACCAGAGCCAGCAGGCACAGTAGACAAGAGAATTATAAAGGGAGTTTACGAAAACGGAGTAAAATAAGTAGATGAATAGAAGTGACACCAGTATAGCCCATGTTAAATATCTTCGTCCTTGTCCTCTAGTTGTGAAGGCTTGATCATGCCAGGGATACGCATGTGCATTTGTCGTTCTTCTTCCGCTCTCTTCTGGGTCTCTGCCTCTCGCTCTTCGAGGAAGAGCTCTGCATTATCGCTATTGGAGAATTCCTTGAGCTGTATAAGGAAATCTCGTAGTGCTCCCTTGAATCGGTTAAGATCACTGTGATATTCGCCGAGGCTCGTAACAAAAGTCTGCACTTGAATTCTACAGACAAAGTGGTGAATAGAAGATCCATCGCCACGGTAGGTCGACTTACTGTGGTACATGGGGGAAAGCTGACCGCAGCAAATTGATACAATATTCACGTAGACCCAAAGCGTTGGTCGCGCTGGGATTAGTCAACTGCGACGGATCGAAGAGTGGAGCTTGGATGATGTTGAGCTCAACAAGCTGGAACAGTCGCGCAAGTAGGATTGTCTGGAGCTTGAATCCACTTTTATGATCAGTGTCCGTCAAGACAAAGAAGATGTCTTGGACGACACTCAGGAAGTATTGCTGGAAGAAGGCTTGACTGACCGCAGGATCTGCGGCACCGGCGAAGTTGTTTATAACTTCGAGGCATACTGAAGGATAGCCTCAGTCACTCCGAGCCTTATTAAGACAGAAAGCAACGTACGGTTTAGCCCAAGGTCGGATATATCACGCATAGTGTGCTTAATAGCCCAATTAATGCTATCCATGAATAATTTAAATTGAGTTGGTGGTATACTGAGAAGTGCTGTTCAAGGACGAAGCGTCAGCCTAAGATCAAACTACTCGACCGTCCACGTACCAGGGAAACAATTGAGATTAATCGTCCGCAAAAGTTTGAAGAAACTGGAGCGATGTTCAGGATATTCGGAAAAGTCTTGATTGATCATATTTAAAGTCGGTTCAAACACAGCGTCCAATATGGCAGGCACTTGTGGTGTTAGCAATGGCTAGATTCGCATTAGCATACGCAGACGTGAAGTAAAGACAAGGTACGTACCCCCAGACGAGCAGTGATCGTATTCATGACATTCAAGACTTCAGCGTCTCGTGCTGCTGGAACATTGCGGTTGTAGTCACCAAGAATGGAATCCAACAGTGGAGGAATGAAGCTGCTGTTAACGGACTCGAGATCTTCTGCCTTCCTGATGTACGTCTCCATAAGCTTCAAGATTTCCTTCTTTACGGTTCTCAGTTGTCGTATTTTTGGTGTTTTGGTGGCAAGGGGTCCTGCGATTTGCATCAGTACAAACAAAACACCCCGTGATGCTCAGATAGATACCTTCTTTCGCGATGGTCTCGCTGATGATACCGCTGACGGCTTTATACAAGCCAAGCATGTCGAGGAAGATACGACCAACTTGGGGCAGATAGAAGCTCCCAATAGACGTACACGCCGAAACGTTCGTTTTCAGTACGTTGGCCAGAATTTTGATGTTGTCGCTGCTCGCCAGCACATCCATGCTTTGCGAAGCTTGAGCCATGAGCGAATCCCACTAATGATGATGGTGTAAGTCTAGTCTTTATAGGGTGAGTAATATGGACCCACAGCATTGTTAGGGAGCTCCATGAGTTTCGCGATCAACTTCTCTTGCTGAGGCTTGTTGGGCTGCGCAGAAATCATGTATCCGACAGCCTCGTAGAAAGTGTGAACTTGCTGGGGTGAAAGATCAACGGTATTCCGATGCAAAAGGCGTAATATCTCGTCCACAAAAGGCTCTGACTCTCCAGACTGCTGCATGACGAAATGGCGTCGGCATTTCTGTGCAATTTTGATAAAAGTATCGCAAGCCATGTCTTGGACACCTACAGATAGTGCTGAGAATAGCAGACTTGCAATGTAAATCTTTTACTTACCTTCATGACTTTCGTGCATGAACTCGAAAAGCTTGTTGACTACTGTCTTCAAGAACTTCCAATGTGCCTTCAAAAATCTAGGATACTGTCCGACGATGTACATAATGTCAGATGCGACGACCGCCTTGTTGTCCTTCCCTCGCTTGATTTCACAGAGACCGAGAAGGTCCTTGATGACGGTAACCAAAAAGCGCTTCTCCGTTTCCTCGTCTGCAACGAGGGTCAGAAAGAGAGATGGATGTCATGTGGACCAGCACTTACTCATTGCTCCAGAGATAGAGCCAATAGCCCAACACAGTGTATTGAGGTTCTGCCAAGACCACTCGGAGCCGTCCACTTGTTTTGCGAGTTTTTCCGTCAAGATGGTCTCCGTATCCAAGACATCAAGATGGGTAAGGTAAACGAGGAGTTCCCGCATAGATTTGTACAAGACGATAGTATCGCTCTCTTTCATAAATTCGCGGACGATTTCACCTTCTTCGTTTTCGACGATAAGAACCTATTTCATGTATATAAATTGAAAGAATTTCAAGGATGGAGTGAGGATTACCTACCTCTTCGGGCTTGACCATGCGTTCAATAACCACTAGTCGTAGATTCGAAAGAACATCACTGTATATATTCTTTCTCATAGGCATTCCTCCTAACATGCCTTGACCATTCGTCCCACCCAGATTCAACCCCATTAACAGCCCAGAGTCCCCAATCGGAAGGTTTTGCAGCTCGTCATAAAGCTCCGCGACGAGCTTCAGCCAATATTCGAGGCAGATTTTGAATATCTCGCGTTCATCTACCTGGGAAACCTTGACCATGTACAAGTGGGCATTAAGAAGAACGTCACGGTTCTGCTCTCCCTCGATGGCGCGTACGTGATTAGAGAGGAAGTTGGCGAGAAATAGGGACAGATTTAGGACGAGTTCCTGACTTGAATCTCCGGAGTTAGCGTATGCTTGAGCGATGTTTGTACTTGGAGGTATCATCCGATTCACAGATGTCATGACCATGGCAAAGAGAATGACAAATTTGGGGTCATATTCCGGTCCGACATTGAGCGCAGCTATTTCCGCGAGACATTTGAGGGTGACATTGCGAAACTCCGGCGTCTCCAGGAACTATAACATAGCATCAGTACCAAGTTAATTGATAGGTAAGCTTGCACGGACGCGGGTCAAAAGTAGATCAATGACTTTCGTCTCGAAGATATATCCGAGGGGTATCCAATTGAGGAATCTGAGCAGGGTCTCCAGAGTCGCTTTTACGAGAGACGTCTTGTTGGCTTCCTCCAGTACTTCAGAGCAAAGCTTGAAGATCTCAGAGAATTCGCCACACATTTGATTTTTCAGATTCTTTATCTTCGTCTGCGTCATCTGTTCCGCCGAGAAATCGAAAATCTCCTCCGAAAGTAGCTTCAGAATGACCATATTGTTTTCACAAAGCGAAAGGCTTGTCTTTGAGGATTCTACGAGTTCCGAAATGAACGTTGGCCAATTATGCGGCCACTCTTGTTTGAGAATCTGACAGCCGGTTAAGAACGAATGAAACATAGGCAACTATGACATACCTGCACTAGCGCAAGGTTGAGCTTATTGACATACGTCTTCTCTTTCCTAGCCAGCGTTTCATCAGACGCCACACCAACGTTGATTTGAACGATAAAATTCCTGATGCCTAGCGATAAGACGAACGAACGTAAGTTGTGCAGCTAAGACAAGATAGTTCGTTATAGGACCTTGTCTTTGTTCTTCGGGCAAGGTCTTCCACCTCGTAGTGATCAGCTTCTCGAGAATTTGAAGACCGATATACTAGGATACAGTCAATGAAGACACGCCTCGAGGTAGAATGCACGAACTTTCGTTTGAGGATGGGATGATGACTCTAGTATGTTCGGAACTCGTACCCAAGCGTCTGGATGTTCTTGGAATTGGGTCAGGATCTGTTGAGCCATTTGTTGCTGTGGAATTTAATGTGCTTTAGAACCTATCTGACAAAACTGTAGAGCACCGTACCTCTGCCCCGGAGCCAGTGTAGAAGGCCATAACGACCCGGTCCATTAGGGCTACATCGAACTCTTTATCGAAGTCGAGAATGCCCTACAAGCCCAGCGATAAGGTATCCGGAAAGATCAGACAAAAGCCACGTACCTCCATAGTGGTAATGAAAAGAAAATCAAAGGTACAGCCTGAGTTCTGGTCGATTATCAAAGGTGCTAGATCGGCTGAATAATCAGCCAAATAAGTGCAACAAGCTGTTCCACCAATCGAAAAAGCCTGCAAATATAATTAAGGGTTCCGAAATAATGATAATTGCGGTGTGGTACTGGTAAGGTATTGGTATGCTACGAGGGCTGAAGCGATATGTGGGGTGATTTCAAGTAGAGATAACGGCAACGAAGTAAAGAAAATAATGATCCTATCCGGCAAGTCTCCGGCTGTCCTTGTCTCGTTTCCCTGCCGCAGAACTACTTGCTCGAACATTGGAGCCGAATGTTGCAAAACTATGATTAGATTCGTCGGCCCACTCAGTTCCAGTCTTGGACGCTGTTGTGGATAAAGATGACCCAGACATCATGCTCTGCAGAATCTCTTCGACGTCATTTGTGGAAGGCTGGTCAAGGGTGTCTGGCCCAAACGACATGTTTTGCTCGAAGATTTCGTTATCGCGTATTTGGTCGACTTCGCAGCGAAGATTGTGCAGAATTCGTTCATACAAAGCTAAGATCAAACAGCATGATGTGAATCAAAGATCTACCACGACGACTAGACACACTTACATCGTTCACTGCTCGGCGTAGTTGGCCGTGCAAAGAGTACATGGCACTCAGCCTTTTCTTCGTCAACTCTCTGTTTTCCTAGGCCAATCTTTGCTTCCCATTTCCGTTCGAAAGCTGCCTGAGATAATTCACCATCAGAAGCCGACGTCTGATCGTGACATGTAGAGCCTATTGAGCTGGTTGGTGAGACCGCCCGAACGCTTGTATCGTACTCCATGGAAGAGAGGGCCGATTCCCAATTTGAATTGAGCTGGTCTCTCAGAATCACGTGTTTTGTGACCGTTCGTGTCTCGGGCGCCGTTCCGTCTGGCTACCTTCTCTTCCCTCTACTCAACACGAAATGTCTATTGATATTAATGAAGCCATGTTAGTTCTAGTTCTTCTCCTTGGAAACATCTAAAAATTTTTCTAGTAAACTCATAAGAGACATGGCAACCATGATAGATCCTGACGAAGACTATCTTTCAATTGCGGAGACGAAAGAAAAGATTGCTGCCTCGAAGGCCGATAGAAAGAAAACAGCAGAGGAAGCCCATGCAGACTTCAAAGGTGAGTGGAACTCCATCCTCTGAAATTCTCGCTGCCACCGTATCTGCATAGCCCTTGCCAAGGCTCTTGACGCTGCACGAATATCATCTACACGACCGTCTTCCGTCCTCTCTGCCGATGCCCACGCGTCTGCTCTGAACGAGCTGGATGTATCCGGTCTAACTCTAGGGAAAGCCATTAGCAGCATGGAGGGCCTTGTTGTTAGTAAAGAAGCGGAACTCTCTTCTCTAAAAGAGAGAGCGAGGCAGCTTGAAGATTGTGACCCCGCCGCTGAACATAAGCGGGAGCTGGACAGTACTGCGTGAGTAGACTGTTTTAATTATTCACCTCTTCCTGTCCTCATAATATTTTGTAGTCTACGACTGAGGGTCTTCAAGGGTCTTGGATTTGAGCCCATCAATGACAATAAGGGGAATCTCTCCAAGATGTTAGTCTGTAAGTACTTCAGATTGTAACAACAACAGATTCCTGAGTCCATTTTCAGGCTCATTGACAGGTGACATCCAATGCATACAGTTTGATGGGAGACACACCGAGGTCGAATATACCGAACAGCTATGGACAGCGGCTACATCCTGATCTGTGTATCAGGATACTTATGAATGTCCAGCACATGTAGCCTCATAATGTGTATAATAGTCCGTCTAGTTTATTAGAAACCAAGACAAAAACGGAGCCATAAAAGAGCAACTTAAGTTAGATAGGACATGAGAAATGTGTTAATATCCTTATGCCTGCGTAGCGGTGTTCTCCTGCTCGAACTGTGCGACGCAATGTCAAAGTCAAGACACTGAATCTATGCTCAAGTCACTTACGTCTGGCTTAACCTTCCAGAACTTCGTGTCTTTATTTTTCTCTCCCACCTCTCGCACCTTGGCCTCGATTGCATTCTTCTTGACCTTGTGCGCCCGTAAATCTTGATATATGGCTTCGACGAGGAACGTTAAGTTGGTCGTTTGAAGTGCGTTGATCTTGGAAAGTAATAACGGTAAATGGGCCTCGGGAAACACTGTCTTTGGTAGAGGTGCCACCTTCTTTGGCACAGAATCCTTCGGAACGACAACCCATGGCTGTACGGCCACGTTGGAGGACTCCTGGGCTTTACCGGGTCGAACAGGGATCGAAGGTACAGTGAATCCATGGTCATCATGCCTGGATGCAGCAGCAAATGCCGATGGTATTTGTTGTGGCATTGAGCAAAATGTGAAAGGATTAATAGGGAATGGAGTGTCTGAAGAGATGAACTTAAACCCAATGATCAAATTTCGAACAAGACACATACCGTTGAAAAGTCTGATGCGATAAGGTTTGAACGCGTCGTATGGACATTCACCGATAACATCTTCCCAATAAGGGCCTTTTGCGTAAGGCACTAGAGGGACGACAATTTTTCTCTTCTTCGGCGGTTTGTTTTCCGTCGCTTCGGGTTTTCGTTTGGGCGCACGAGAAATGTCGGGTAGAAAAGACATCTCCCTATCCTCCAAGGGTGTTCCCGGCTCTTCGTCGTCATCGTCCACTAGCCAATCACCCATATCAGAGTCGGGATCCTCTACTTCTCCTTCGTCGTCCTCATCGTCGACAACGTCGTCCGCTTCGCCGAGTGGTTCTTCTTCCCATTCTTCGCCACTGTCGTACGCGTAATCAAATTCTAAGGTGTCTCTATGAAGCGGTGTTCGCGGCCCTATCGTTTTCGAGCTTCTTGTCCATGTTCCGAAATAACCAGGCCGCGCATCGTCGGCGAATATGAACACCTTAGCGGGGACAGTTGCGCGATCACAGAGTTTCGAGAGCAGTTCGCGGACAAGTCCTGTGTCCCCAGTTACCTCGGCTTCGGAGAGCTGAGTAACCATATCCCGAACTGAAACGGAGCTATACGCTTTAAACGGCGTAGATGTCCTACGGCGCGTCGGGGAAGGCGCGAGACCTGCAATTGAAGACAGAATATCCTGTAGACGCTCTGCTCGTTGTCAGCGAAAGTTTTTCTTTCATAATGAAGCCCGAACCTTGGGGTGTCAGTTTCTCAACTTGAACTTCAGAGGGTTTCTGACATGTAGTCGTTATTGACATTTCGTCATCGTCGTCAATGACTATAACATCGTCCTGTGAACCACGTGGACAGCGTTTTTGGAGGAACTGGTTCCATGGGGCGAGCTCGGCATCCTTCTTCAGCACAAAGGGTTTGAACATGCGATCGAAATCCGATGTCGTAGTCGACGAACTCGCGACTTGTGTCTCTGGCTTACTGCTAGTGGGAGCAGGAGCAGAAGCTTTAGGTTTGCTGAAGAAGGTCGCCATCAAAGAGCGGGACTTGTTCTGGGATTCTTTTTCTTTTTTCTCTTTCTCCGCTTTTGCAGCCTTCTTTTCTGATTTCTCCTTCTCCTAAATGATAATTCGGTGGGAAGAATGAGTTGACAGTCTAAAAAGCATACCTTTGCTGCTCTCACGGGATCCGCGGCCTTCTTGGGACGTTTGCTACTACTGCCACCGCTCTGGTTGTCCGGCTATGCGAAGATCTACATGAATTGTGGACGCAAATAGATGGAGAGGTCTTACCGGTTCCTTCGATAGTTCTCGGTCCTGCTCCGGCTGCGAACAAAGGTGAACGGCATCCTCCTGGGAGGTATTCGTGGGGAATGCTTGTAATGCGTCTCTCGCAGGAGAAATGGCAGTGGCAGCACCCTTACAACCAAGCATCGAATCCCGCTCTTGCTGTGGCAAAGCCTCAAAGAGCGTCTTCAACACCTTTTTTGCCTAAATTTCTGCTCGACAGTTGTCCGGAATATCGATTGTAGTCAACTCACCTCGACTCTCTCCGCGATTCTAGCTTCCGTTTTCTCTCGTACTGCTTTGGGCAGCCAATCTTTATATTGCTCTTTCATTTCCCATCGCCAAACACACGAAGATGAAGGAAGTTTGACTCCGGGTAACGCGTCTAAGCCGTAGTTGTTACGATTCATCGTGGACTTGATGACAGCTTCGACGGCTGCCACAGGTAGACAGGCAGATACATCTCTATCTTCATCGTCCTGAACAGGTAGTAGTTCTTGCTTGATATGTCTGGCAATAACTTGCAAGGACTTATCACTGCAAAAGGTCAGTTTGATATCAAGAGAACCAATGAAAGCTGCATACCTTTCGAATGCCAGTTTGGCAACGACAGGCTGATATTCATTGGGTATTGTGACAAGAGGGCTACCACCACTAGACATGCGATATTCCAGTAGTTCGCGAAATTTGACGATCTCTAAAGCATGATAAGGCAGAGTACGCCAGAATATAAGGGGACCGACCCTGAAGAGTCTCTGACTGCTTCTCAAGAGAGACGATCTTTTGCTTGAAAACGACCTTGTTGTTTCTAATTTCCACCGTCAAAGGCTTTTCTGTCTTCTCTGGAACATCAACACGTATGTCAGTATCATTGCAATTGCGCGTGGCCTGCCGACGCACGCGCTTCTGGATTGACTGGAGGAGCGCGATTTAGACCCAGAATTCAGGTAGGGATGCGGCAAAGTGCTCACCTGTTATTATGGTTGGTGTAGCCATCGCGTCGTTGGGTCTACAGGTCGCAGAACCCTTGAAAAGGACGCGACGGAAAAGCTGGTGTGAGAGCAAGAAAAGAGACGATAGTCACGGAGCGTCACGCGACTGTGACAACCATGTCTTTCTTCAAACCCCAAGCCCAGACGACCAAGGCGTCACTGAAGCATGTCGTGGAACCTGAATTGCAGCCTTGGGTAGAAAAATAGTGCGTTGTTATCTGAATGGTCGTCCTACCGCGTCTGACATCAACAGCCGGCCTAAAACTATCGACGATGTCTCTGCTCAAGAGCACACTGTTGCTGTCCTCAGAAAGACACTGACATCGACAAATGTATGCGTGTCCTTTCACCCTTTCGCCTTTATTAACATGTCCTAGCTGCCCCACATGCTGTTCTATGGACCACCAGGGACAGGCAAAACGTCGACCATCCTCGCCCTTGCCCGGCAGCTCTTCGGGTACGCGCCCTATTCCAAAATCTAGATTTTCTTTTTAGAAACCAGTTCTATCGCAGCCCGGAAAACTTCCGTAATCGTGTCCTCGAGTTAAACGCGTCTGACGAACGTGGCATTTCAATTGTCCGCGAAAAGATCAAGAACTTTGCGCGCCAAACTCCTCGTGCCCAAGCTGTCTCGTCAGACGGAAAGGAATATCCATGTCCACCTTACAAAATCGTTATTCTCGACGAGGCCGATTCTATGACCCAGGATGCCCAAGGTGCCCTCCGACGTATCATGGAAACATACGCGCGCATTACACGGTTCTGCCTCGTCTGTAACTATGTCACCAGGTGCGTTCACTCCCAAGTCGAATTTCGCGATGCCAATTAAAGACATCTAGAATTATTGAGCCGCTCGCCTCGCGTTGTTCCAAGTTTCGCTTCACTTCCTTGGACAACCAATCATCATCTAGTCGCCTAATGCATATTGCGACTGCAGAGCACATCACAATAGAGCCCTCAGTGGTCGAAACCCTGATCAGTGCTTCCTCCGGCGACCTTCGACGCGCCATTACCTACCTCCAGTCAGCTTCACGTCTGTCTTCATCGACAAGCCCTCCGACTCCAATAACACCTCGTGACGTCCAAGAAATCGCAGGCGTTGTTCCCGACGATATTATTAATAATTTCGCTGGTGTCCTAGGTATTGACATGGATCAATCAATGAGTGGCACCACCCCCAAGCCTGGCTTCAAGGAAATAAGATCGGCAGTGAAGGAGATCATCCGAGAAGGATATTCCGCGTCTCAAGTATTATCTCAGGTGCCCAGCTCTTTTCACCATTACGTGCTCTCTCGTCCTAACAACGTCTTGCGGTAGCTTCATGATCTCGTGGTACTACATCACACCCTAAACGCAAAACAGAAATCTCAATGCGGTCTAGTTTTCGCTGAAGCCGACAAGGCTCTTTGTGATGGGGCGGACGAGGAACTATGGATACTAGAAGTTGGCTTACGCGTCAATAAAGCTGTCTCATAAGTCTTCCTGTGCGCTTGATTATTTTTGTCTACTGTATACCTAGATTGAGCTATTTCTCAGCGATATTTATACAAATTACACTGATATCGATAGACCATCATCAAGCATGCGACGCGACAATGAAGTTCAGTAAAAAAAGTTATGTAAATGCAAACATCGAGAACACAATACAACTGCCTATTTTTTGGGGAGCTCACCGGATGCCGGCGGTGGCTTTTTGCAAGGCCCGCTTAATACCGAGCTGCGCCTTCTTCAGCTCATCGGCGGTAGAATCCTCAATCTCTAACTTCTCAAGCGCCCTAGCCAATTCAGCTTCCACCTGCGACTTAGCACCCCGCTTAAGCTTCATGCCAATTTCGGGTGAGGTGATGGTGCCTTCGACTTGATGAATGTAAGCTTCAAGATCCGACTTGGCTTCGTGGCGAGCAGAGAACTCTTTGTCAGCCATCTTGAATTGCTCGGCGTCTTTAATCATTTGGTCGATTTCAGCGGAGGATAGACGGCCGACGGAGTTCGTGATACCTGGAATAAATATCGTCAACATGAAATCGGAAAAAGTATAATCTGAGAAATCATACTGATTGAGGCTTTGCGGCCAGATGCACGATCCTGAGCAGAGACCTTCAAGAGACCGTTGGCATCGACCTCGAAGGTAGTAACCAGCTCGGCTTGACCCCGCAGCATAGGAGGAATGCCAGTAAGCTCGAACTCTCCAAGCAACCTGTTGTCACGGACACTGGGTACGCTCTCCTTCGTAGCTATGAATGGTAAGTTAGCACGAAAAAAGCAAGGAAGAGAGTGAACTTACACAGGGAAAGTGACAGTGGTTTGGTTGTCCTCGACTGTAGTGAATGTCCGGGACTTGTTGGTAGGAATGGGGGTGTTGCGAGGTACGACAACACCGAAGACGTCACCCTGCATGGCAACACCGAGCGACAGAGGAGCGACGTCGAGAAGTAGGAGATCCTTGGTTTGTTCGGATGTCTGGCCAGTCAAGACAGCAGCTTGGACGGCAGCGCCGTATGCAACAGCTTCGTCGGGGTTGATAGACTTGTTGAGCTGACGGCCTCCGAAGTACTCCGAAACGAGGGCCTGGATTTTAGGGATACGCGTGGAACCACCGACAAGGACGATGTCGTCGACCTTCTCACGGGGCATCTTGGCATCCTTCAAGACCTTCTCGACGGGGTCAAGAGTGGACTTGAACATCGCAGCGTTGATCTCCTCGAAACGAGCCCGCGTGATGTTGGCAGAGAAGTCCTCACCCTAAAGCATGTCACGTCAGCTAGAAGAATGTTTTGAAAAGGTGATAATACCTGGAACAAGGAGTCGACTTCGACGGTAGTTTGCGCGACGCTGGAAAGAGTCCTCTTGGCACGCTCGCAAGCACTCCTCAGACGACGAAGGGCACGGGCATCTTCTGAGATATCGAGCTTTGATTTCCTTTTGAACTCATTCTTGAAGTGCTCAAGGAGGGTGTTATCGAAATCTTCACCACCCAAGTGAGTGTCACCGGCGGTAGCTTTGACGGCAAACACGCCACCGCTGATGTTGAGAAGAGACACATCGAAAGTTCCACCGCCAAGATCGAAAATCAAGACGTTCTTCTCGGTCTTGCTTTGACGGTCCAAACCGTAAGCAATGGCGGCGGCCGTGGGCTCGTTGATGATACGGAGGACCTCCAAACCAGCAATAGCACCAGCATCCTTGGTAGCGAGACGTTGAGAGTCGTTGAAGTATGCGGGGACGCTGTTAAAAAAATGAGCAATATAACCGGCGCCATCAAAAGACCAACATACGTGACGACGGCCTTCTTCACGGTCTTGCCGAGCTTAGCCTCGGAGATTTCTTTCATCTTCGTGAGGACCATGGATGAGATTTCCTGGGGGCTGAAAGTTTTGTCCTCGCCAAGGTAGTTGACCTTGATCAGAGGAGATCCGTCCTTCTCCACAACCTCAAAAGGCCAGTGGAGGATGTCCTGAAGCGATGAAAGATGGAGTTTTTTCGTCTTTACGGGACAGGTAAAATTTTCATACCTTCTTCACATCGGGATCACTGGATACTCGGTGAGAAAGGCTAGCAAGAATAAGAACAAAAGGCACTCAACTCGAAACGACGACCAATGAGCCGCTTAGCATCGAAAACCGTGTTACGAGGGTTCATGGCGGCTTGATTTTTTGCGGCGTCACCGATCAATCGCTCTTCAGCAGAGAAGGCGACATAGGACGGTGTCGTCCGGTTACCCTCTGAGCAACAATAAGCACAAGTTTGGAGCATGTCATGAAAAAAGGCAGCTCACGGTCGTTGGCGATGATCTCTACTCGGTCGTTCTGCCAGACACCAACACATCTACGCCGACCCCATGAAAAACGTCCAAACGATATGAAAAGAGAGAAACATACGAGTATGTGGTACCGAGATCAATACCGACAGCGCCATCGAAGAGGTCATCCATTTTGAAGAAGTGGAAAGGGAGGGAGGGGATTGGGGCACGGGTTGCGTTGTGGAAGGGAAGAAAAAAAATTTGGCCCAAAATCGATGGCTGAAGTAAGCAGCTGTAAGCCGAGCACAGCCACATCCGTTTTCTTATGCTCTCACATCACGCAGGCAATTTGGCCAAGCGATGTATACCAGTCAAACGGTTCACTCGTACTCTGTACAGACTTTCCGCCACCGACGATGAGCCTGCAAATAAGCGTCTTGAGACGACCCAGGACTGGACCGAGTTCCAGATGGATCGTGTGCAGCGGACAACACTGAGTGCGTCCCGGTTCACCCCATTGATATATTTTCTAAGTCCTGTTTTGCGCAGTCAAACTTATGGAACAGTACGGTTCCACCCAAACCCGCGAAAATACATGGACACTACGGGATTCCCTTCGAAGGCCCCCAGCAGAAGCCACCTTGTCTGCTCTCCTCGCGACTGGCGCTCACTTTGGCCATGCAGCCTCCATTATGAACCCTAATTTCATGCCATATGCATATGGTGTGAGAGCAGGCATTACCATCATCGATATGGATCGTACACTACCTCTACTTCGTCGCGCAGTCAACCTTGTTCGTTCGATTGCACACAACCGTGGACAAATCGTCTTCGTTGGCACGCGACCAGATATTCGTCCCGTGGTTGAGAAAGCCGCTAGACGTGTAGGACGCCAGGGATATCATGTCGGGGAGCGGTGGCTGCCTGGTACATTGACCAACAAGTTTCAAATGTTCGGCGAGGACACCGTAACCAAAAATAAGGTCGTACCAGACCTTGTCATTCTTCTCAATCCTCTCGCAAATATGAATGCCATTCGCGAATGCGCCGTCGAACATGTTCCTACTATCGGGATCATCGATTCTAATGCCGACCCCCGCCTCGTCATGTACCCCATACCCGCCAATGACGAAAGCACGCGTACGGCCGAGCTTATTGCTGGGATACTCAGCGTTGCCGCTAGAGAGGGTGTTGCTATCAGGCAGCAAGTGCTGCAGATGCCAGACTTGTGGGAGATAGACGAGAGGATGAAGAAGACCATTCAGACAGACTTACCCGACATTGACTTGGATACCGATTCCTACATTGACGGCGAGTCTTCCCCTGATAGTAGGTCTCAAGGAAGGCCACCGCAAAAGCCCGACGGGCATGGCTGGGATTATTGATATTGAATATACATTTCATATGCTCTATCCATATTACTTGGTCTGTCCCTGCTGAATTTCGTACCAATATTCTGCAAGGTAAGAGCATAAGCTTTGAAGTGTTTAATATAAGCGAATAGTGCGAATAGTTCTTACGTTCTGCTTGCTCTAAGGCTCGAACGTTCCCTTTCAGTTTGTTGATGGTCTCGATGTATTCGTCCTCCTCTTCACTATCAAAGACTATCCCTCCTCCTGCTTGAAGGTATGCTGTACCGTCTTTAAACACCATCGTTCGGATAGCGATACACGTATCCATTTCGTCAGCTGAAAAATCGAAACGACCAACCGCGCCTGCATAAACACCGCGACGTTCTTGTTCAAGCGACGATATAATTTCAATAGCTTTGATTTTCGGTGCACCGGACACTGTCCCGGCAGGGAAGATTGAGCGGAATGCATCAAACCTAGATCAATCATCAGAAGACTTTCGAAAATCTGCAGCAAGCAAACCTAGTCAAGCCTTCACGGAGCGTTCCAGAGACTTGGGATGTCAAATGTATCACATGACTGAATTTTTCGACTCTCATGAGGTGGTCCACTTTGACCGACTTGGGTTCACAGACGCGGTTCACGTCATTTCGAGCCAGGTCTACAAGCATTATATGTTCTGCGCGGTCTTTCTCGGAAGCTGACAAGATAGCCCCTAGCTTGGCGTCCTCTTAAAGCAGATGTCAGTAGGTATTAAGCAGACAAACGCAGTCGCCAACCTTCTGGAGTCTTGCCGCGCCTCGTTGTTCCCGCGATGGCGTGGTTGAACACGACATTTTTTTCGACTTTGCAGAGCGTTTCAGGACTTGCACCAACGATCTGCAGGTCTCCACAGTCGAGGTAAAACATGTATGGACTTGGATTGACCTGTCGCAAATGCCGGTATGCATTGAACGGGTGTAGAGACGTAGGACGAGCAAGCCGTTGAGACGGTACGGCCTGAATGATATCTCCCGCTACTATATGGCCCTTCAGCTTGGTGACAAATGCCTCGTATCCCTCCTTCCCCACGTTGGACACGCCTTCAACGCCCAGTGTGGTTATCGGAGGTTGGAGAACTTCGGGAGTAGTGTTTACGAGGAGGACTTTGGCTAGTCTCCGAGCCTTGGCCACGGCAGTTTGGTATACGAACGACAAACTTCCTGTGCCCGCATTTCTGGGGCTGAACACATGGGACACAACTTTTAGAGTCTGGAATATGTGGTCGTATACAATGAGAGTGTCGACGAGCATGAAGACAGTTTCGGGTATCTGCAAGGTATCCTTGAGTTCGCAAGCGGTCTTGGGCTCAAAATGCTGGATACAATCATAGGATATGTAACCGATAGCGCCGCCAGTAAATGTGGGGATCTCGGGAATCTTGACGTATTGGTACAGAGATAATTCCTTCTGAAGAACAGACATGGGATCGCCATTGTGTTCCTCTCCGGGGCCTGTTTTAATTACTTTGAAGGGATCTAGTGGACATTGAAGACGGCGCAACGAGAAATGCAAGTACTGCTCACCAGCGCCGATGAAGCTATATCGACCAATGCTCTCCCCACTGATACCAGACTCCAGAAGGAAGCTGTACTTTGAGTCTTTGGCGATGCGCAAGTAGGCCATACATGGTGTTATCAGATCTGCTGGCAGTTCAACATAGACGGGCACGCAGTTTCCTTGTTTTTCTTTGACGATGAGCTGCTCAACTGTTTCCAGAGGAGGATATGCGGGAAGGTTCTGGATAGGATGAATTAGCTCAGCGGCTCAACTGCCTGCAATGACTCACTTGAACGTCCATCAACACAGCGCAGAAGGGAACGGCGTCAATTAGGAGCAAATGGCAGAGACTAAGTACAAATACCGGTCAAATGTTTGAACGTCTAAGCGTGACTCAGTCGCGATCCAATTCCGTCCATGATCACCCCGCGATTTTCGTGTCGCCAAACCGTCGAGTCCGTCGTTATCTCTGTCTACTGTCCGTCTGTCAGGGTAGGTCGCAGGTCTGGCACTCTAGGTCTGTGCTGAAAGAATTCCAGGCTTCGGACGTCGAGTTGAATGTCGACGACACTTTGTTCACGCTCCATATAAATCCGTATTTCTTGCGCCTTAATTTCTCTCACGCATTGCTTGAGGACGACAAGTCATCAGCGACTTACGATGGGGGAACGGGCTACCTGACTGTTGTGCTAACAAAGCAGACGCGAGGGCAGGAATTCCGTGATTTAGATCTTTTGGCAAAACTGTTGGCGCCTCGCCCGTCAAGCAATGAAGTCAAAATCGAAGTACTTGATTCGAGCCCTGAAGATGATAACGATCTCGTTGCAAAAACTCAGGCTCTTTCCATCGAGCCTGATGTATTAGAAGGTTCCCCCTTGCTCTCTCACCTTCATGAGAATGTGTTGACGATTCTGACCAGCCGCCCAAAATGATTGGCAGATGCCTCAGACTGTTCCTGACCTTCTACCTCCCCTGCATTTATCAACATCCTATGGCTTTTTGAATCGACATTCGGGATACTTCGTCCATGTTACTCACACTGAAAATGAAGTAAACGAATTAGGCGCAGAAGCGGAACAGTTGTCATCTGAAGAAAGACGTCACATACGCATACAGCACGAGGATGATAAATGGGATGAAGAATACTACATGTAATGTAGTCTTCTCGACTGATCGTGCACTGCAACCAACCATGCGTTCTAGGGCAGACTTCGCAGAGTCCGATAATATCGAACCGTTCTTGTCGTGGTCCCATCCTCATATAAATACCTCCGGCGATTTCCAGTTTACTGAGGCCGAAGAACTCGTCATGCTGAATCTGCCGCGGGTAGAGTGTAAGGCGCCATTTCTCTCTTAGCGCTTTACGTTGATCTGATACGCGGCAGTTCTCGTGACCGCAATGGAAACGCACAATCTGTACTTGACTCTGATCAACCTTTTATTTTCATACTCGTACGAGTCCCGGACCACACACCATGACCCCACTCCCGAAAGTGCTTGGACCATCAGTTCTCTAACACCCTGTTTCTCAGCGCTAGATCCCCCACCCTACTGCGATCAAACCTTTACCCATGCGGACATATTTTCTCCATCTGAAATTGCTTCGACCTTCATTGCGTCGTATAGACGCAGCCTCGCCTTTCCACTTTACCGCTCCTTTACTCTGGCCGAGCGGTGTCGTTTAGATGTCGCCGAGCTGCTAATGAAAGGCAGAAGGACACTGGCCCGATGCCTATTGGAAATGAAGGACATCTTAGACCATCATGAGGTCTATTACATTTACAGCAAAATATGGGTGAACGATTTTTGTGTCTGGATTCAAGTCCATGCCAAGTACGACATCCTTCTGTTTCTACGATACCCGGACTGATAATCATTATAGGGATGAAACTCTGCAGCTATTAGGGAAATCCGTGAAATCCGCAAAAATAGCCAAGTCTTCGATTGGTTGGGATCTCGAACAACTTGAGGCATTGGTCCTTGATGCCCAAGTAAGGAGTTCAGACAGCGACGAAGATTCGGACGATGATGACATCTGATGGCCCTGCGCCAGTTTGGGGACGCTGCCCACTTCCCGTCACAATCACCGAATTTGAGCGCGTCTGCGTGTTAACATCGGACATTAGCTCGCCCGTTTTTGACGACGACGTTAGGTTGATCGATTGGTGTGACTCCTTATCTCAATCGAGTCTCTACTTATAGAACGTCAAACGCCGGAGCCGTTGTCTGTATAGACATCAAGTAGACATAACGACTTGATCAATGTATATATGTTGGATCTGGCAAGTTCTTCTCAAGGGTTACATCAAGTTTCCGCTAAGTTTGTAAAATGATTTACATATATCTAAACTTGATTCTTCTGGCTCTAGTGGCGCTTTCGGCACATTAACGACATGTCCACGTTCACGAGTCTAACGGTACTTTGCCGACAAATATCGCTCTATCGATGACATGTCATCACTTGGGTTTCACCGTATCTGGCATGTCTTGTCCAAGGTGCGCTCATAAGTAATATCATCCCATGTTTGATGTCAGTACCATTGTATTCCAATCCATCCGATGACCGCCATTGGCCTTCCGTTTCGTCTATATACGTACGTATTACGATACTTGTGCATCTGCCCATGCCGCAGGTTTGAACATAAATATCATATCCGGATTACTTCCTCGTTCCGAACATTCGCCAAGTCCATATGCAGCCATCCACTTGACGCATGTCAGATGGTCCACGTCGAAAGCGAATATTAATGCGAATCAATAAGTGTCCGAAACATACAATTATTATAACGAGATATGGCGTTATTTCTAATCCGTACGGACAGATGGCTTCCTAGCATGAGCTGTCTGCTCTTCGGGAACCACATCAAAACCACTCTGCCCGAGATCTGCCGGAAGGGCGGCTGTCTCATCCAGTGGAGATGATAGAAGACCTTCTTCTTCTGGTAGACGATTCTGCTCGGTGGTTGCGGGCAGTAAAAATGCTGGAGCAGGAACGAGTCCGTTGAACATGAACTGTAACGAAGATTAAGCGGACTGGTGTTGTAAATCAGATGCAACATTACCGTGCCGTAGCTGTGCACAAAATTTTAGTATACCAATGACCCGTAAGGATATGAAACTTACACCAATAGTGAAAATCCGAGAACCTGTAACAACGAGACTGGCCATAGAAGCTTTTCCCAGCCCAGTCCCAAACTAATTATCCAAATGGAGAGCGTCCTGCAGGTATCCGTCAAAGAACGAGCGGTCGCGCTGACGTGTCGCGTAACACTGAGCCCGAAATAATTGAACAAGGAAATGCTGCACGCAATGGCAATACCGGAATACAATACAGAAGGCGTGTCAATCATCTGGTGCCAGCCTCGGGGGATATCAAAGAACGCCGACTGCTTGGAAACGGACGGTGTAGCGAGGATAGGGAGAATCAGCAGAATGGAGATAGCACCGAACAAGCCTTCGTAGCCGACAGCGACCAGAGGGGGAACTGAATATTGACCTGGAGATGTAAATTATCAGATCTAGCGAACACACAGGAAAATCTCGATTACGAACCCATGATCTTCTCTATAATGCGATGGAAATGAATGGGGAAAATGTTATATGGTAAGGAATGATGACGGACCTTCAACAACAAACTGAGTTGCCGTGCTAGATGAATGTCAGTCAAGTATATTAAGTATCCATGACGAAGTTGGCTTTACAAAACTTGTGCAAAGAGGATGAAGAAGATGCCTAACGTGAGTTATTAAGAAGGCCTGCCGAAAACGCGGAAGAAAAACCATACCGACGAGAACAGTGGTGGCCTCGGGCTTCTCGATAGGCTCTGGCGGCGGCAAGTCGGAGCTGACTGACGCAATCCAGGTTGGCATGGACTGTCCGACGAATTCTTTGACGGCGTCCTTGATGAGCGACCCGCTGAATCCGACTAATCCGACACCAGACATAACCACAATAAGGGACACCCATCTAAAGTTGAAATTCGACTTAGAATGAAAAGATACGCAAGTGTAAACAAGCGACTGAACTGGTACAACCAAAGCCGGCGGCGAAGAAACGCAACGCTAAAGAAGCCAACAAACAAGACAAGAGCTCCCCGAGTCATTTGATAGATTGATACAGGCGTATACAACAGCCCGACGTTCATCAGCTGTGAAGTTTGAGATGAAACCTCGACTTGATATCACACCATTCTGCATACGTACAGTGGTTCCGGTGAGGTCACACGCCGCGGGAATCCACAAGAGTAGAACCTTGGCTCCAGTAAGAGATTGAGGTGCGTTCTTGAGAGGGATGGACGCTCCGAGTTGGAGAGTCGGTATCAAGATGAATAGAAGGTATTCGGCGCTTAGATTGGATCCACGTGTACAATACGGGGAGGAAACCTTTGCCAACTGAGTTAATCAAGCGACCCAGATGCGAAGATAGCACCTACATAGCATTTCTCCGACTGATGCGGTTTATCGTTAACTGGACAACAAGAAGAACGAGTATCAACACTGACCAAACATCTGCAGAGTCTGCCATACAGGCTGTTCATACAGAACACGATGGCTGACATCCGTGTCGTCACAATTCTCTACACATTGCATATCCTGAGGGTTGGTTAACAGGGGCCAACCAGAACGGAGCGGCTATCGTACCTGCCATTTGCTCCAAAGTGAGTTACTGGAGCCCTAGATAAGAATATTAGCAAGGAAGAGAACGGAATACGAATGATATACAGTAAGTATCATGCCTGCCAGCAGGAAGGGAATGTAGAGAGAATGCATCGAGGGCATGGTGAGGGACGGGAGGCGACGTAGACAAATAGGCAACCGGTTTATTTAAATTAAGAACCCGGCTGAGATGAGACATATGTGAAATAAATAAATAAATAAATTGCTTCTGTACTATATGGCTCCAAATCTCCTGCTTCTTGACGAACTTCTTGGACCTCCCACCGCTACCCCTCCCAATTCGAATGGTCCGCCTCATCCTAGGCTCTACGAAAGGTGCGTCCCCGTGTCGTCGCTCGAAATCCGGTCTCATATCCGTCTCTAGGTAATGGCGTACGTTACTTTCCCTACACTGGTTACCTCGGCTTGACTCCAGTCAAGGTGGATGGAGGTCAGTCTTGTTCGTCTGCCCCATCCCGTCGCTGATTTCCTCTAGCCGTCCTCACAAGACTCGACCAGGACCTCAAAATGCTTCCGGCAAGGTCTATTACAGTTTCCGTACGATGTTACGAGCTAGTCCTGGGTCGCGTTGGCGTCTTACAGTCAAATGTGCTGGTCGATTACACAAAGGTTCTTTGGGAAAAGCCAGAGGGCCAAGAGTACGGCGAAATCGGCGACCTCGAGCTTCCTTTCAGATTCTCGATCCCTACCAAGGTCGGCGGTCTCAGCACGGCGTCCTTTGTGGAATACAGGTGTCTATGGCGTGTCGAAGCTAGTGAGTCTTCGTTTGCCTCATTTTCCGGCATTCTGAACTGAATTACGGCTAGTTCTCAATCATATTCCTATAACCGCCGTCGGTTCTCGCCAAGTGAAGCACGCCGAATTACCTCTAACTCGCTATGACATCCCTGCTCACTTCCTTCCTTCTCACCGTCGCCAGCAGTCATCATCTATACCTCCCCTCGACCGTCAGACCTCGAAGCCCCGCGCTCCCCGGATTCGTTATGCCATTAAGTGTCCATCGTTCCCAATTGGCCCCATGGACCTAGTGTCCGTCCATCTATATCTCTTACCTAACGATGCCTCAGTGTCGGTTCGAAGTGCGAGTGCCATCATTGAACGCCGTATACGCGTCAATGAGGCTTCAGCGCGCTCAACGGCACCAGCATCTTACTCTAATACCTCCGCAAGACCTATAAGTCAAGCCATCTTCGAGCATCACTCACCAGCACTGTCACCATTATCGCATTCTCCAATTTCATCATACCAGGATTCACACCATAATACCCATGCATCTATATCATCTTCTTCTCTTGCTTCTTCTCATCCTACTCTCACCCCGAACACAGTTTTTCCTTCAACAACTACCCTTTCCACTGCCGAAAAACGACCTCTGCTTCATGTCGGCAGTTCTTCGGAGAGTCCTTCGACCCCACCTACACCGTCAGAGCTGCCTCACGGTCGCACATCTGTTCATCCTGTCGCCGGAATGGAATCCTCTGGTCCATTCACTCGCGATCAGAACGGTATCCTTGCCAAAACTCTCACTGTACCATGGCCGGTTCCGAAGTCCAATAGCCGATGGGCCGTTGGAGAAACTGTGATAACCGATTTGGTATCCGTCAAATTCTTTGTTCGTGTCAAGGTTAGTACATGTCGTTGTCATGCTCGCCGCTTCTTACATTAGTGCATATAGGTTGTCGTAACCAGCCCTTCTGGTACCGAGTCTTTGGAGCTAGAGGAACGGGAATTGTCTATTGTGTCAACCAACGATGCGGAACGCCAGCTTGCCTTAGCCAACTACGAGTCACTTCAACAAGAGGCGCTTCGCTCAAAATCTAAATCACCCCGACGCTCCCGCCGGACACACGACGACCTGCCGGGAACTCCGGTACCTCGTCCACCGTCCGAGCGATCAGATGGACATACAGTCTCTTCTGGATCGTCACGGCAACCGACTAGTCACTCTGCCAAGGGTAAAGCACCTATCCGTAGGCCACACACTAGTGCCGGCCCACGAGACATGTTAGCCAAATTTTCTGTATCACGCCCACCTGAGCGCGAACCCGTGCCGTCGTTGGAGGTATTCAAGAGGATCAAGTACCATCGACCAGGGACAATGGACTCGGGGAGCAGAAACGGTAGCCAGTATCTGTATGCACCAAGAATGAGCGTTGCTCCGAGTGGAAGCAGTACTAGTTCGGGGACGAGTAGCATGACGAGCATCACTTCCAGCAGTTCGAGCTGCCGAAGCTCAGAGGAAGTGAGGGAGTGGGAGCAGGAACTGGCGAGGATCGAAATTCAGAGCCGGAGATCGAGCGACTTGGTTGGCTTTGCATACAAAAGAAACCGACCAAGCACCAGCAGCGCGAGACTACTTGTGGCGGGTAAATCTTAGACTTACAGGTAGCGCTGACGAGTCCTCATCCGAGTGCTCTGGGGTTGAGTTGATTTACACAGCATTTATTCGTATCTTTTCGCATTTCTGTATTTGTTTGTTAAACGTATATATGCTGTTCAGTACCTTGCTATCCTAGTACTAGTAAACGTCGATGTAACAATGTATTTCTGGATTTTGTACGCTTACCGCGTGACGGCGCCAGCCAAGAGGTTCGAGCCTCGCTGCATCAAATCCCGAGTCGGAAAGAATGAAGCAACAGCCGAGTAGCAAATTTAGATGATCGCAAGCTCCGACAGCAGTCTGACTGACGTAATAATCTTTACTCTGTTTCAATCATGTCTGCTCCGGGATTTCCTTGGTTTAAAGTCACAGGAGCAACGGCTGGCTGTAAGCAACTACTTTTACTTTATCCTTCACCTTGCATCTCTGATGTTGTGCTTTGTTCAACGTATACTTGTTATTTCACCTCCGCCCTTCTCGACATTTCGGACTCGGATTTTCTGGAATCCGAAAATCATCTTTCGTTTCCATTTTGTGGGATCGCGATCCATGTCTGCATACGCGGTGTCTGGTTAGTATTGGGCCTAGGCTACCTTCTCATGAAAAGTATGCGGGAAAATACACTAGTATACTCGCGTGTATTGACCCTTCTCACCAGCTACCGTTCCCTCCGAAGAGCAACTATACAATGTGAGTGTCCTACAGTTGTATTTACCTTCAAAAAATGTATAACTCTCCACGTAGAGAATGCCGCCTGACATGCAACGTAAAGTGGATGCAGCTCGAGCTGCGCGACTTGAAAGAGAAGAACAAACTACTCGGCAACTACAAGCGCAGGTGCGTGCAGCTTGTTCTGTTCCCTGTCTTCCTTCCATTCATCATGCCTCTTTCCTATTTCCAACACATGTAAATCCAAACCGCTGTCCGCGTTAATCCCTCTCCTTCGCCGCTTTTGCCTTAAACTATTTTTGGGATATGCTCTGCTACTACCTCAATTTGTGCTATTCCATGCATAGTCAGCACAGGATGATAGCGATCCCGATTTGCGAAAACCCATATGGGACTCTTCTCGCAGGAAATGAGGCCCGGGAGCGGCTGTATTGATGTATCTGCTTACGCTTTGCCGGTCCCGTCGAGGAAAATTTTTGGACATGTGTCGTCATTCAGTGTAACCGAGACTTCTAAGTTCGCGCTTAGAACCATGAAAATATTTATAGTTATCGGAAACAAGTTAATTACTAGTGAACGGAGATGACGAGAGAAAAACTGGGAGCGGTGTTGAATGCTAGTACTTAAATAAGCTGAGGCGCACTATTATGTGCAGGTGTAGTATGATCTATCGTTACGAATTACAGGCAAATGCTAGTGATGAGTTCTGAGATTGTCCAAATAGGTCATAATGAACTTGGTCGATCATAATGATCTATGTCTCTCTCTGCAAACATTCTGGTGAACAAGCAAAAGTGGAAGAATAATTCGTTAGACTCACCCTTCATCTCTGCTCTCGTCTCCTGTCGGCGTCCGCGGCCGCGAATATGCAACTGCCTCGCTCTCGCTTAATAAAGGTTCTTGTGTCATAGATTCCGGCGACGACGGTAAATTGTCATATGATGACCCTGGTGCCGTCTGAGAATCTGCAGAATGCACAGAGGACGGCTGAGAATTCGTATGAATAGGTGGTGGACGTTTACTCTGTTGACCCCCCCAATTTGTAGGCTCAGATTCCGGTGGAATACCAATCGTTATTGCAGGAATATCATGAGTTGGATTGTAAGACGTTTGTGGTTCGTTAATCGTAGCGTTCGTACTAGAGGGATCATGACTGGCATTAAGGACGGCACTTGCAGTGGAAGTAGCGCTTAGAGCGGCATTTAATGTACTGAAAGGAGCGGGATTAGGAGATTGTTTCCGCCATGATAAATCAGTCGGTGGTGATGGAGTGCGACTTCTGGAGGGTATAAATGACCTGCGTTTACTTGGAGAATATTCTGTACCAGCAGGAGACGGCGGCGTAAGAGATGTCGAAGGCGTAGAGGTAAGTGAACCGGAAGTTCGGTCTGACGGGGGTACTTCAAGTGCCGAAGATCCTGCGCCAGAAGACTCTGTAGTAGTTGCTGCTGCTGCTTCGGGATCGCTGGCATTCGCGGCCTTCCTCTTCTCTTCTGCTTCTTTCCGCTGCTGCTCTTCGTGCTCCAGTAGCGATAAACGCATTGCCTCCATGACCATGAGCTGTTCATTGATACGTCAAGCTCAGACCTTCCAAACAGATAAAGTACTCCTACCTCCTCCAAGTCCTGGCCACCCAAACCTATGTACTGCTCGAAACCCTGATTCGCGGAAGCTTGTTGTCGTCTACGAGATCGCCTGCTCCCACCTGTGTCTTGGTTCTCAGCAGCAGCAGCAGCTTCCTCTGGACTTAGGGCATGCACACGACCGCTCGTTACACCAACAGGAATAAGGCGATCGCCTACTTGTCGCATAATTATCCGCCTGTTTGCGCGACGAGTAACAGCTGCTCTCACGGCGGCTAACTTGGCCTCCCAGTCAGGCCGAATTTGATCTTGGAAGAATTGACGAAGGTAAGGATTGTCACGAAAAAAACCAAGATATGAGACAAACCAATCGTCACAACCTCTGGACTATCCGCACTGAAACTCTTCTGTCGGCGTTTATGAGTTGGGTAACCCGCTGTTGGTATCGACGGCTGAGAGCCTTTAGGTGAGTCGGATGACCATGGTGAGATCTAGTAAGCCAGCCGCATTAAGTCAGAGTCCGGTGTAGAGACACTTGAGAGCTACACACCGCCCCGTCACTTCCAATACCTGTCCGCCATGGAGGCGGGGTATACACTACGCCAAAATGCTCCTGGACGCAGTAAGGGCAAGCAGCAGGGTCAGAAACTAGATGGGTAGTAGTCGGTTCGCTCCGCTTTATCTGTACAAAGCATTCGGTGCAAATTGGATGGTCACAGCAGCGGGAATGATTGATGTTTGGGGGATAGTACTGAGAGACATGACGTAATGATAAATGGTTGTAGTCAGAGCAGTAGCAGACTCACAAGAAAGCAAATAGGACATTCAACAGCACCTCTGTAAACGGATGCCTCAGGACGCGCTGGTTCCTTGAGCGTGCTCGGTCGTTTGCTGCTTGTCTTGGGTCCATTCGAGCTGGGCGCGGCTTCAATTCGTGTCATTTGGTCCGCATTCTCGGGGTCCGGTAGTTCTTTCCTAGCAGCAAGTATCTGGTCGTCATCCCACGATTCATCGTAGTCCTCTAGTGGACGGTAAAAGGGTGCCAGTCGTCGAGCGCAAATGAGTTGGGAGACGACAGCTTGGTTCCAATCTCTGGGACCTGTGTAAACACCCTGGGGCGAAAGATGGCCAAAGTCTACAGTATCATCATGATGACCACGACCGGAAGATGATGAGCTGTTTCCCATGCTGATGCCTGCACAAGAGACGGGATAATGAAAGAATCCCCCAAGCTTTGACTTGGATCGTTGCTGTCAGTGCTAAGTAGTAAGTGGCTGTTATGTGATTGTTTGCTGCTGTTGAATTCGCCGTTCCAACCGAGGTCCCAATCACTTGTCGACGCGCTCACTGACTGACAATGACGGGAGCGTTGAGCAGGATGTCCGGATTTGTAGCCATTGCAGGAAAACAAGCCAGCGCCCGACGGAGGTAACAGTCATGGTACCATTGCATACATATGTTTTTCGACAGCTGTAAATTACTTACACACCGTCTATTTCTCCGCCCCATTTCCATCCTACTTAGACTTCGAGAGTCGGACTGTTCATTGCATACTTAATGAGTCACATTGAAAATCCTCCAATGGCGCCACAGGGTAAGATTTTCTCCACGATCTAGAGCCTCGGTGGATGTATGCGAGCATGAGTTATCGTAGAGGCTGAGGTGCAACAATACCCTGTAGATTTGACAGCTTCTTCGATGAGGCTACAGATCTGCCAAGTCAAAAAATAGAATTCGAATGGTAGATTGCATGTGCATAGCAATAGAGGACTACAAGTGGGCCGTCTTCGATTGCTCGTGATGAAAGAATTCCAACGCATCGTCGAAGACGTGACGGAGACTTTCCTCAAGTTATTTCATGCTTGGCACGAAGACAAATCGTATTTAAAGTGCAGCAATAATATCTATGCATGAGAATTGGTCCGTTCTCTCCCGGTTAGTCCAATAGATAATTTGAAGAATTAGCGACATAGCCACGTGTAAAGCATGTTGTCTGTCATAGATAATGGCACCTGGAAGGAAGCTAAAAACTTTATTTCCGATACATACAAACGTTCCCATCCCCGGTTGGAGGCTGCTAGGAATCAAGACTTGTGTCCTGTACGTTTTGATTCGTCACTCTGAAGCGGTGGGATGAGGGTGGCTTCCTGCCAACCACGAGTATAAAGATATTTTCTCTGTGGGTTCTCTTCATCCCAGCATGGAATTTCTTACAATGCGTGCATGTCGGTAGGAGGTGCATCCGAAGTCTTTCAAAGAAGCGGTTGGATAGATAGTCTTACATTTGCAGTTCGGAATGGACGCGCGGCGGGCCACAGAATCATACAGTAAGTTGACCACGATGTCAAAACAACTTCAATCAATTTACGGGCATTTGAGAGTCATGAGACAAAGAAGCGTTCGGAATAAGACACAACCACCAAGTTGGACAAAGCCGGTGAAGTGGGAAGGGCATTATAGTTGCGAACTTGACGGTGGTCACGGTCCCAAAGTCGCAAGAGAAGAATATGGTCCGCGAGCTTCATAAGTACCGCAGTAGTGGACCATACATAATTGCATTGTCAATGTAATGTGGCCTCAAGAACCTTTAGGACGTCCACAGATAACAGTTGACAAAGGCCTAACGAGTGGATATGGGAAAGGTGATGGCAGAGATCCAACGCCAGGTCTTAGGTACTCTGGACCCTGGCTGGATTATTGCCGTAGGCTAGTGCGATGTTCCTATCGCTAACCGAACCGGAGATTCTGACCGCCTTAAAGCTTGCCGTGATAAGTTCGCATGGTGATCACCGAGTAGCATGACAGAATTGTACGAATACCAGGCAGTACCAGTGACCAACAATGGTATGGTAGCAAGGCTTAGCAAGGTTCAAACGGCAACAGACTTACCCGGATGGTTGGGGTGTAGTCGCCGGCAACTCGAATGTTCGGGAGGTGACGTGGCCCCGTACTTCCACGTGGAGGACCGTTCCTTCAAATTCTCGCTGGTCGATCTCCGTCACGATCCTTTTTTTCTTTCTATGACCTGTCTCCCGTAATTTTGGCCAACTAGACGATATAGCTCTCATACCCGGCCTGCTTTCGTTCTTCATACCCCGGTATCATGGAAGCTCCCTGGACAAAGTCCCCAGAAGAAATACTTCAACATTTTGGCGTGGATCCAAGCCGCGGTTTAACTTCTGCTCAAGCCGCTAAGCATGCTGAACTGTATGGGAAGAACGGTGCGAGTATACTAAAGTGATTCGATGGCGCAATTGCTCACTCACACACTTTAGAGCTACCTGAAGATCCTCCTACTCCTCTCTGGGAGTTAATTCTAGAACAATTCAAAGATCAACTCGTCCTCATTCTACTCGGATCTGCTGTCGTTTCATTTGTCCTTGCCATCTTCGAGGATACCGAAGGCGGTCTTTCCGGCGCTGCGTTTGTAGAGCCACTAGTCATATTCCTCATTCTAGCCGCAAATGCGACTGTTGGCGTTATCCAGGAAACAAATGCCGAAAGAGCAATAGATGTACGCTTCGAATTAAACATCTCTCCAGGTCTTGCTAAATTCTACGACAGGCTTTAAAAGAATACTCGCCAGACGAAGCCAAGGTCATAAGGTCCAGTCAGCTCGCGCGAATTCATGCCTCGGAACTCGTACCTGGTGATATCATATCCATTTCTGTGGGAGATAAGATACCCGCAGACTGCCGATTAATCTCCGTATCTTCGAGTAGCTTCAGGGTCGACCAGGCTATTTTAACAGGAGAAAGCACAAGTGTCAACAAGTCTGTCGAGGTCGTTGCCGATGCTAGAGTTGTCAAGCAGGACATGGTCAATATCTTGTTTTCTGTATGTCGCATTTACTTGCCACTGGTACACGTACTAACAGATGGCCAATCAGGGAACAACCGTGGTTAACGGGAACGCGAAAGCAATCGTCGTCTTCACCGGAGAACATACCGCCATCGGTGACATCCACAAATCCATCACATCGCAGATTTCGGAGAAGACGCCGTTGAAGCGCAAGCTCGACGATTTCGGGGACACCCTGGCTAAAGTCATCACTGTCATATGCATTCTTGTATGGATAGTCAATATACGCCATTTCTGGGACCCTTCACATCAAGGTGCTCTACGCGGCGCTATATACTACTTCAAGATTGCGGTAGCCTTGGCTGTTGCCGCTATTCCCGAGGGTCTTGCTGCCGTCATCACCGCATGCCTAGCACTTGGCACAAAGAAAATGGCCCAGAATAACGCTATCGTCCGCAATCTGCCCAGTGTCGAAACTCTAGGCTGTACGAACGTCATCTGCTCTGACAAGACCGGGACATTGACCACGAATCAAATGAGTGTTTCGAATGTATGTCCTGTCTTGTATCTGGTACAGCCAAGAAAACATTTAACTTACATCCTTATTTTTTAGTTCGTCACTGTTGATGAATCAGGCCGTCCACGTGAATATACTGTTGAAGGCACCACTTTTTCGCCCTACGGATCGGTGACGTCTGTTGATGGCCCCGCCGAATTGTCATCAAACTCTCTTCAACGGTTGGCTGAGATCAGTTCTATATGTAATGATTCTAAGATCGTTTATCATTCGGTGCGTAGAGATGTCACTTCCCTTGCAGGAGACTTCTGAAGAGTCTCTTATTTAGGACAAGGACATGTACACCAATGTCGGTGAACCAACGGAAGCCGCTTTGAAAGTCCTCGTCGAAAAGATCGGCTGCACCGATGCCGAAGTCAATAAATCGTTGTCCTCGCTGTCACCCTCTGACCGAGCCAGCGCCGTTAATGAATACTTCGAAAGGACTATTCCTCGGCTCCTCACCTTCGAATTCTCTCGGGACCGTAAGATGATGTCGGTGTTGGTGAAACTAGAACGTGGAGGTGCCCTTTTCGCCAAAGGGGCCCCTGAATCTATCCTGGAGCGATCTATCTCGGCTCAGGTAAATGGAAAAACGATACCCATGACGCCTGAGCTACGGGAGGCGCTATTGGAACGGACTCTCGCGTATGGATCCAAAGGTCTTCGGACACTCGCCATGGCATATACCGAAGTCGAAGATGTTGACTCCGCACATTACCTGTCTGAGAGCTCCAAGGACTATTCTCGATTTGAGCAGAACCTAGTGTTCGTTTCCCTTGTGGGAATGCTCGACCCCCCACGCCCCGAAGTGAAAAGCGCAGTGGCCAATTGTAAAGCTGCTGGTATTCGTGTTGTCTGTATAACCGGCGACAACAAAGGAACGGCCGAGACTATTTGCAGGCAGATAGGAATTTTTGATGAGGACGAGGACTTGACTGGCAAGAGTTACACGGGACGGGAGTTGGACCAACTTACGCAGGAGGAGAAAATTGTCGCAGTCCAAAGAGCTAGCCTCTTCTCGCGCACGGAACCGGGGCACAAGAGTCAGCTTGTAGATTTACTACAGGGACTCGGATTAGTTGTGGCTATGGTGCGTTTATACTTTGCCTATGGGTTGCGTGTCCTCAAATACTGTACAGACCGGTGACGGTGTCAACGACGCACCTGCCCTGAAGAAAGCGGACATTGGTGTCGCAATGGGAAGTGGTACAGACGTCGCAAAACTAGCTGCTGACATGGTTCTGGCCGATTCGAATTTCGCAACGATAGAGAAAGCCGTTGAGGAGGGTAGGCTTATTTATAATAATACTAAACAGTTTATACGTTACCTCAGTATGTGTTCTTCTATTTCTCTGGATACCTTTATTAACCTAACTTTCCAGTATCCTCCAACATTGGCGAGGTTGTTAGGTTAGTCTGCAACCATTCGATTCTGCTGACCGCCGTTATTCATGCATGGCCTCTTTTTCCAGCATATTCTTAACCGTTCTTCTTGGCATGCCTGAAGCTCTAATTCCCGTCCAACTACTATGGGTCAATCTTGTCACAGACAGCTTACCGGCGACCGCATTGGGATTCAATCCCGCAGATCACTCCATTATGAGAGTGCCCCCTCGAAACAGCCGTGAGCCGCTTGTCGGCAAATGGCTCTTCATCCGATACATGGTCATTGGGATGTATGTCGGTTGCGCAACCGTCTTTGGATACGCGTGGTGGTTCATGTTCTATACCAACGGGCCGCAAATATCCTTTTACGAATTGGTAAGTCCCAAGCGTTCTCGACTGAAGTTCTTTCTCACAAGTCGGCCCGTAGACACACTTCCATCAGTGCTCGGCACTTTTCCCAGACATCGGATGTGAAATGTTCTCAAATGAGATGGCCAAGCGAGCAACTACCATCAGTCTATCCATCTTGGTGGTCGTTGAGATGTTTAACGCAATGAATTCTTTGTCGGAGAATGAAAGTTTGCTAAGGCTTCCAGTGTGGAAAAATCCGTTCCTCGTGGCAGCAATCACTCTGAGCATGGGACTACACTTCATGATTCTCTATGTACCGTTCTTTACGGTGGGTATTCTTGCTTCTACTTCGACCGGAGTGTTCTGATCGAGGCTTTAGACGTTGTTCGCCATCACACCGTTGAACTTGGATGAATGGAAGGCAGTCATATACATCAGCGCTCCTGTTATACTGATTGACGAAGTGCTGAAATTGATTTCGGTCCGTTCCACCGCCTTTTCTTATAAAGGCTTGCTAAACCGATTTCAGACGATGTATATTGACCCCCCTTCGAAGGCCAAAATAGAGTAGACTGTATGGTAGTGTAGCACAACAACGTATAAAGTACCTGAATATCGTTATATCTGAAACGCCCAGAGAGTGATGTCAGTGATGTCAAGGAAGAATTGATGTGGCGATTCTTGTATGCATATATTTGGATCCCTCAACCCCTCTCAGTCGACGGTCCAAGCCCGTCACCTTAGCCTCTCTCGCCGTTGTCCTTCCTGGCTGTAAAGCCCTCCAGACGCTCTCTTCCCTCCCGTTCCTTTGATCTCCGTCATTTTACGTTTCTCTACGGATAAAAACTCTTACCAAGGCACTTAAAGTCATGTTTTTCCATATCCCCATTGTTACTCTGGCCCTGTCCCTCGCTGCCCTCGCCGTTCCTCACGACAACAACATTCATGCCCATCGCCATAATGGCGTCGCCAAACGAGCTCGCGGAGACCTCAACAATTTTGTTAAGCGATACGATAACGCTAGATGGACTTTTTATGATGTTGGGTTGTGAGTATTGCTACCAATATCTATTAGTCGATCTCAATAATCTGACTTGTCCTCAGAGGTGCTTGTGGTTCTACCAGTGTCTCAAGCGATTATGTGAGTCTCTCGAGGGTTGCAATATGGAATTCACTAACATTTTCCTAGATCGTCGCTCTCAACTCCGAGGTAAATCATTCCATTTGCAAATGATTTTCCGTAGCTCAATGTTATCCGCAGCAATATGGAAGTGGATATCCTGGTCCTTACTGCTTCCAGACTATCACTATGACATACAATGGAAAGACGACGACTGCAACAATTATGGACGAAGTGAGTGACCCCACCCCGACCCTAGTTACGGGCTCATATCCCTCCTCTAGTGCCCCGGCTGTCCCTACGGAGGGTTGGATTTGTCTCGTGGTCTCTTCGACTTCTTCGCTGATGAATCGGCTGGTGTCCTTTATGGGACGTGGACCTTCAGTAGTGGCGGTTCAGGCGCAGCTTCGAGCTCATCATCCACTTATGTGTACACACCCACAACGACCAGTACCACTCCTCAGTGGACCCCCTCGACCACCTCTTCCAGTTCACAGTGGACACCCACGACCACTAGCAGCACTTGGACCCCACCAACTACATCAACTAGTTCCACTTGGAGTTCCTCCAGCACCAGCTCTAGTTCCACCTGGAGCGCACCAACGACGTCTTCGTCTTCAACCTGGTCATCCTCTTCGTCGTCGTCGTCGGCATGGTCCTCTTCCTCTTCCTTCGATTCGTCATCAGCTTCTGCTTCCAGTGCATCAATAGTGGTCGGCGTTATCCAGTAACAGTATGGTTGTTCCGACTGGTACGGTTGAACAGTCTACCGGTGATGGTCCGCAGATCCTGTATTACATGAATCAGGTCGTGGTCAACGCGGCGGGTGTAGTGCTTGTGGGAGCTCAACAGTTGCCCTAGGTGGAGTAAAGGCTCTCTTCACGCAATCTCCGACTCTAGCAGTCTTGAAGCTTGGAAGATGATTTGGTTTCATCGTTATCATTATTATCAGCATCGTTATACCTCCCGTTGATCGTTCTGTGCTTGCTTGCGCTGCTGGATACCCTTGTTTATCACATTCATTGAATTACCCTTTATCTCATCGATATTTCTTGACATTTCTCACTTTGCACCTTGCAAGCTTTTTTGTTATTCATGTGGGTTTTATTTAAATGACATTGCGGCATAAGACATATAAGTACATCTTAATGTATGTTCATAACGCTGGCGCTTTTAATACTTAGCAATTTTTAAACCTGTTTGTGAAAGGGGGATGATCTTCGATGATTTGGCTAGCGGCGATGGTTGAAGAAGAGAAGGAGCTGAGGCCGAAAAGATGGCTACCGGATGACAACTCACATCGAAGATTAAAAGGTCCCTAAAGCCTCAAGAATCGGAGGCAGTCCCGTATTCATATCGAGGACTGGGATCAATGGTTAACGTTAACTCAAAAGTGTAAATCCTATAGCCGCTACGATTACCGGATCGGATATTAAACTCGGGAGAACAGCGTTGACGGACGTTGATGTTTTGTTTAGACAGTGGTAGGACAGGCAGTGACTAGGGGGTACTTGATACTATGGTAGCAGGGTATGTTGTCATTTGCAGAAGCCGATCACTGCGTAATTTGAAAAAGGGGCCTGCCTCATTGCGGCTGGTCAGCTTCTTCACGGCTACCACCATGTCGATGTCGAGTGGTTTGTCGTCGCCAACCTTCACCTCCGTTTCGACGACCTCGTCGTTCGACATGGTGTCGCCGAGGTCCCGCTCATCATCTACCATGTCTTCTCAGTCATTCGTCTTGTCTGAGGACGACGACTCCGATGACGAGATTGTCTGGAGTGTCGCATCCTCTGGCATTTTATCGCAATCCGACATATCGACCGAAAGTAGTCTTTTCCCTTTATCAGAGGGCGATTTCGTCCTTCTTGATCCACCGGGCACCCTTGATACTCACAGTGGTCTCTCGACTCCGAGCGCTGTCGTATCTCAAGCTTCTGATGATACTTCTTCCATCAGCCTATCTTCTGACTTCGCGGGGCTTTCGCTCACCGCAACCACCCCAAAGCGAAAGGCGAAGGCTAGCAAGCGAAAGAAGAAGCGGAACCCCCCTGCTGTAACGTCCACCGCAGCTTCTCCGGCACCTCCAGAGCGACCGTCGTCAGTAGCGAACCCTGACCAAGGCTTCGACGCCGACGCCCAGATCTAAGCGTAGACGTTCTCGTAAGTCCAAGAGCTCTGCGTCCAATCCAGGTTTGGGCGCCCGGCCTATTGTGGACTGACATATCAGAGGGAGTATCTGAAAGGGGCGACGAGGTTTCTGTACCTTCATTATACGACGATGCTGTCCGATACATAACTTCGTACGTTCCATCTGAGTCCTATTACACCTCTATCTCACTGTCATATGTCCTAGATTTCTCACCAATCCAACAGCGAAGGAGACTGTATGTCACTTGCGCCTTCTTCAGTCCCTGATCATCGAACTGGGACTAACAACATCGTCTATTCCTACGTCCCTCACGTCCGCCAAAACTCTCATCAAGTCCCAGGCGTTCGTGAATATCCGAGATTATCTCGCTCTTCGCGGACAGGGTCTTTCAGCCGTTCAGAGAGCTATGCATCCCAGCAGGTCTGCTTTGCGCAAGGATATCAAGAGAAAGGGGAACCCGGCATCACTTAAGTGGGTTAAGCAGAATGGATTGCAAGTCTTACTTGTATCTTGCTATCCTTGATTTAGGGGAAACGAACACGGAGTTCTATAAAGATGAAGATCATTGTACTGTATTTTTCTGTTTTCTTCTTCGGATTTCTGCGCTACCTTGATTCACAGTTATCTACCGATTTTTACAGCCATTCTCTGTTTGTATACAGTAATGCGCTTTTCTGCCCGTCATTGTTGTCATACTATCATACCATCACTAGCCAAACTTTTACCCTTTGCTCAATCTATATCAACATACATATTCCCTTGCTTAACAACAAATGAACCAGGGATCTGCATCTGAATGATTTGACCTGATCGCAACACGACTGAGCAGGTAGAGCAGACTACATTTTGTCACAATTGTCGTATCTTCCAATATACTACGCTATTGTTGTATCCGGCTACGGCGGTCTGTTCGACCTCAGCTTTTCGACTCCACAACTGACCTTTCAGATCCGTCACCTTCACTCCCTTTCGTTTTCGAAGAATAGCCCTCTCGTCGCCCATCTGGATCGTAGTCGGCACAGGGACACTCGACTTTTTCCCGTTCCCAAGCTCTGAATCTTGATTCTTGCCCCAAGCCAAGAGATCGCACCCTGCTCTCCCGCCATCCGATGTGTCGAGCGTCAGTAGAACATGACCTGTCTGTGATACGCTCACTGATCGTGGGATAATCGGTACTATGCTCTGGGTAGCATCGCTGTCTGCAATTTTAGAGCAAACGAGTAAGTATCCGGACCGATACGCGTAATTCGATACCAACATTCAGACAGATTGCCAACATTCTTTGCCCGTACGGGTGTACCCTGAGCATTGCTGAACAAATTGTTGCCAAGGCCGCCCCATTGGCCATTTCCGCACATGAAGATATCTGCTTTGCCTTCTTCTGGATACTCTACTTTGAAACAAGTCAAGTCACCTCCTACTCAGACTTTTTAGTTTTCTGCGAGAACTGATGATGCATATAAAACGCCCACCGGCAGAGATATCAACGCATTTACTATGCGTCTGGTGAGACATTCGCCATGGGATAACCTCAGTTGGAACCGTAACTGCAGGAACCGTAACACTGCCGCCCAACCCAATCTGCCTGGACAGACGAATCAGACGAATTGACCGGCCACTATTAAAGTCCTTACCCGTATTCATTCGCGCCCCAACCTAATATGTAACCAGTGGTTGTTCGAATAAAACTGTTCCGTCCACCTGCAGCTACCTGACTAACTGGTATGTCACGTAGCGAAGGAATCTCATAGATAGTCGGACAGAATCTGATAGTGTCGTTGTCCTTCCAGGCTTCTGCGGAAGAATTAGATGCAATACTGAGCATCAGAAATAAGTACATGCCGGGTTCCTTTCCCAGGAAGAGTACCGCCGCTGAGTGGTTTTGGTATTAGCTGTACTGGTAGAACGGAATGTCCAAAAGGATGACCAGGATCAGGGACTTCGATTTTTCGGAACCCAAGTTGACCATATACGTTGGCGTTACAGTTCACGGGATGGGCAAATGCCCTCCCCGAGCTTGTTAATGCCAACAAATGGTCGTTTCCCGCAGAGATTGACACAAACCTTTGAAATATTTTCAAAAATAAAGTAAAAGGATGTGGAAGAAGGGCCTTACAATTCGTGTCTTTTTAGTTGCTGCTGAGGTTTTATCTCCACAAAATCAACAGCTTCTTCTTCCTTACCCCAGAGCCAGCCCATACTCCACAAAGGGTAGCTTGACGGTGTGGAGGATCCAGCAGGCAACGATTGCTTCGAAGCGGATGCTTCCATGACATAAATTTGCCCGGATGCGGAAAGAGCATACAATTTTGATTCCGTCAACTGAAGTTGTACGATATTCTGAATATCAAGTAAGACATCGTGCTTCAGAGGAAGATGTGGTATCGCACTTTGTTTCGCAGCGTCGGTGCAGGGCTATCATGTTCTACGGAGCCAAAGTGACCAGCTCCCCATTGATACACGTCTCCTCGAGCGTCTACACACGCTGCATGGTCCTTGTGTAGGACCAGGTCTCTGAGTGCAACGCCTTCCAGCCACTCTGCAATGGCAGGTGTGCGGATGGAATCTGGCTCTTCCCTATCCAGTAACAGTGTTTTGGACCTGGTAACATCATATACATGTAGGCACAAGAAACATTGGAGAACGGCGTCACACACTGGTTAGAGCCCCAGACAATTGATTGCAGCGCCTCTGAGTCTTTTATGTCGCTGTCTCGAGTTACTTTTGTAGGTGTTTGCGAAGGACCAGGCCATTCACTGTCATTATGTATGATTTCTCTGTTCGAACGCCATATTAAGGCACCAGAAATAACGACTGAAGACACTATAATTGCGCGCGAAGCATATCTAGGTTGCTGACGGAGGAGCGAAGAAGTATGGATTTGGCGTAACCTTGACTTGAATGTGAAGGCTGCTCGTCGGTGCATGTGAAGGAAGTGAGGAAGGGAGTCAAGGGACAGTCTCAGATGAAGGACCGTAGGAAATGTTTCGGCCCGGAAGCCCGCCAAGAATTTTTTTTCAAATTTAACAAGTTGACTGCTACTTACTATATCTACAAAGACGTACTAATCCTAATATTACCTATCGTACATCCACAGTGCTGGTAGCTGCTGAAACTGTCTTAGCCCAAGCTGATTGGTCAACTGCAACCCCGCCAGCTGCCTTCCACAACCTTGCTAGCCAGTACGCAGGCTCCAGCCACTTGCCCTCAAATGTGACGACGTTAACATCGCATTTACCAACATCGCGAAGCCTCTTGGATAAGCAGCCCATCAACAGGTCCATCTGCCATCGCTGGATCAATGCTGATATCCCAACCCATCGTTGATGCTATGACTCTGGCTTGCTTGCGCAGAGCCTCGTGTTTCCGAAGATGTGACCAGTGCTTTTTTGGCCTTGATGGATTGGATGGTCCTGCGCTTCTCGCCACCCTGCCAAGTACCAAAGGGCGTACCTCATGACGAAGATGTTTGAAACGACCGTGGCGAGTTCCTCTCGTTTAACGGCGGTCGCCAGCTCCAGCATTTCCTGCTCGTCCCCGCCAACGTCCATGGTGCGTTCTCTAGAGCCTCGGTGTTATCATTTGCACGATATTGGTTGGTAACTGTCTGGACAGTATGTATACCTGACTGTCCAACAGAGGTGGATGTCACGGGGTTGGGCGTTACTTTGGTAAATGGAATAGCTGAAAGCGAGGTAGGTCCATCGAAAGGGAACATATGATCTCTGTCACCACGGTGTCCAAAAGGCGCCCTATACAGGTGCCTGTTGAGTGATAAACGGAACTTGTTCATTTCGGAAACAAGGTCATCCGTATTGTGGGGTTCGGGGTCTGATAGAGGTGCGTTGAGGCTGTAAGAGTTACAGGATTCATTAGCCCTTGTGGGATGCACAGAATTCGGTTATAGTCCTGGCTCCAGGACGAGGCATATCAATGCCAGCTTGCGAGTAATGCTCCGCCGGAAGAGCACCAGTGAAGACGCCCCCGTAGTGCTGGTTAGATTCTGATGCTACAATGGAACTCGATTCTTGGCTTGTCGGCGCTGCTGCCACCAGGTCCCAGAGGTTATTGGTCCCAAGTCCGCCATGACAGGCAGTAGTGATAACCATGACCTTTCCTTTACAGGTTCGAACAGAAGCCTCGAGCTCGTCTTTCGTGAGCTGGCGACAAACGCCCTCGCCGTTGCCAATCAGAAACTTGCCCTCGATGTCGCTATGGCCGCATAAAATTATAATCAGAGTCTCCCCTTCCTCGACGGCTGCAGCACCATCTCTGATCGATATCAAGGCATCCGTCTTCAGGTGGCTAGACATACTAGTGACGACGTCGATGTTCTCTGGACAGGATAACTGAAGACGCTCGCAAGAGGGATCGCCTATAATCATCTTGGGATTATCTGAGAAGGGCACGAAGAGTAGACTCGGCGAGGCAAGTGAGCAGGACAGATTTAGGGGAGGTTGATGAAGACGTCAAAGCGCAGTGAAGTAGTACAAGGGAATCCATGACTTTCCAGTCATTGGAAAGCGTTCTATCGTGGTCATCCTCAACTCCCAGTACAACAAATATCTGAGGAGGCATTGGAAGTTTCTGTAATACAAGGCAGATGGAAAAAGAATGAGGGCATTGGATCACTGTAATGGCCAAGGCAGATATTCGTAGTTGAAGTGGTATCCGGACAGGGGTAGATCGGAGAGAGACCTAGGTTTTATGAGACCCTGGTGCTCCTGAACAGAAACGTAATGACGTCCGTACTCTCCGTACTACAGCAGGCTAAAGTCTATGAAATAGATACTGGAGGATAGTTGCAAAGAAAGCTCGGACGAGCCTAAGACTAACGTCAGAAGTTGTTATAGTCGCGCTGAAACTAAAGACAAATAGCTAGGACTGAGATTTCTTCTTCTTTTTGCGTTTAGTAGTCGCATCTACACCATCCCTCTTCCTCTTGTTTCCCATCGACTCTTCCTTCTCTCCAGTATGCTCATTCTTGGCCTGCTTTACCACCTCATTGCACATCGCGTGGATAGAAGTCGACGACTTGAATCCCGAAGCAGACAACTTGTCTGACAACTTTTCCCAACTCGACGACGCCCAGATGGCGTCGATATCTGGTGATGAAGAGAGGCGAGATGTTTGTTTTATCGACAGCAACACCAGTTTGAATAGATCTTTCATCTGAGCCGCGTTGACGGATGTCTTGCCGTCGCATGCATCATTTATAAACTCATGTAATGCTTCACGCAACGCTGTCATGAATGCTACCACGTCCGCGTCTGATTTCTCCTGAAAGTGATGTGAGCCTATGTTTGAACACAGAAAAGATGAATCATCCGTACAAATTTCGGCAACTGAGCGACAAGGACGTATATCAAGCGGAACGCCTGACACTTGCCGATACACATTGATCGCTTTTTTGGACAAGTCAATAAGATCCTGGCGTAAACTCCATCCAAGCGCCGGTATCCGCATGATGAGATCTTGGAAAAAGTTGAGATTCAAAGCGGAATTTTTGCGGGTCAAGAAATCAACAAGGGATTCCCGATACGTATCAAGCACCTGCTCTGCACCCTGTTGAGCCGCCACGACCTTGGCCAGATATAGGCTGCAAGAGCTCAGGATGGCCAATAGTTCTGATGAACGTGCTTTACGTGCATGAGCGTGTAGTGATTGAATAATGGATGCAGCTTGAGCCACAGGGGCAAGTAGGTATATCCTTGGCTTTTGTTATACGGGATCGGAGAATGCCCTGGGTCTTGTCAGAGAGCTGCTTCTCGTCGGTGCCAGAGGAAACGATCAGGTCGACCAGAGGCAGGATGAGATTGATCACAAGGGGACTTGAAGGCAGCTTCTTGAGGAACAGATCGACCAAGTCGAGCACCCTGTTTTTGAAATGGGTAGCTTCACGTTGTGCATCGACATCTTGAAATAGAGTTAGAATTGTTCTGGGGATGACATGATTGTTACTAACCTTTAGACGTCTTCCCTACTTGCATTCGGGACTTGAAGACCTCCGCGAGTTGCCCATCGAGTGCCAGCATTTGATCATCGTCCATCAGCATCTCATCATCATCTGTATCGCCAGTGACAGGCTCCACGCCGTTCATTTTCAGGGCCTCCAGGATTTTACTCCGAAGCTCGTCGTCCACTTCCTCTTCAGCATCATCCTCGCTTGCCTCATCAGCACTCTGTTCCTCGCATGTCAGAGTCGCTTTGATCTTCAGTCACCTTCATCTGCAGACATGCCTTCGTCTTCACTTGCATCTTCTGAATCTTCGGCATTGAGATCTCGAGATTCAAGTTGCTGCATAGGTGGGTCATATCAGAAGGGGTTTTCCATCTGTTTCAGAGGAACTTACTGTAAGAATAAGATCGACGGTGCTCTCTTTCACTAAATCTGTTAAAGACGCAAAGGCGTGATTCGCGATAATTCGCAGGTATCCACTAGGCTTCTCTAACAGACCAATGATAATGTCTATTAACCCATCGATAGGTTCCGGAGCGTCTTCATCGTCACCATCGACCTTGGCGGCCTTCTTCTTGCTCTTCTTGCCGGTCTTGTTGCGAGGAAACAGGCGTTCCACGAAGTCGATGCATGACTACGGGCCGGCCCTGTGAGTCCAAAAAACTGACTATGGAGTACTGAGCTTACCTCCAGAGTTTCTACTGCGGTTTCATCTTCTTCATTAGTACAATATTCGTGCGCCACTAGCCCCAAAAGTAGCAGTTGGCAGCCTTGCGCCGCGTCATTGCCGGAAGTGACCTGGAACCATACGATCAACATATAATTTCTTTAGTACAGATAAGGTTTACCTTTCTCAGATGGGCATCTAATTCTTTGGCTTTCGTTCGAAGAGCCTGGACCTCTTCGTCGGGTTCCAAAAGGTACGACACGTTCTTATCTTTCTCTAGTCCTTCAATTGTTGTAACAACTTTGTGTATCCAATAGTCTCCATCGGAGGACATGGCCGAAGATTTTAAAGTTTTCGTTCCGTCCTCTAGAGCAGAAGAAATACGAATGAGGGGGGAAAACCATACGTGAACTTTTCATAGTGCTTACCGTTAGTTATTGTGAAGGTCTGACTTGTGAGATCGGAAAGACAGGCCAAGAGTCGACTGCGACTATACAGCCTGAGAGCATCGGATAGCGGCGGCTTGAGTACGTAGTCCGTCTACAAGGGATAAGTATAAGAAATTCAATTGCGAAACGGATAACATACACCACGATACGAATTCTGCTTAGCGGGTTTCCGTACAATGAAGAACCCATTAACCACAAACCACTCCAGGATCTGTCGGATCCAGTCATCTCGTCTGGGTATTGAGCCATTTTTAACTAGCGCGACAAGCTGATCCATGACCCAAGATCTACGTGCATTGATGCCTTCTGTGTCATCTCTATTCGATGTATTTAGTAAGGAAGACCAGTAGAGATACAGATGAAACACATACTTGTCTATACCTTCATTCCCATTGAATTGGGAAATTAGATGGTCCACGTAGTGAGTAATGCCATCCGCATTCATCGAAGAAAGGATCGATTCGACGGTTTTCGTTTTGGTCAACTGGTCAAACTGTCGACTGCCATTTACGCCAGTAAGCTGAACGATCAGTCCCATACCCAGCTGCGGCCTCTCCTTCACGAAATTGGATACTCCAATAGCCTACCAAAAATATCAGACGGGCGCTGGACACATCAAAGAAATAACCAACAGTTTGTTTAGCGGCTTTGTGCAGATATCTATCTGGTTTAGACGAGTGGTTGATCCACGTACGCATGAAATTTTTCGTAAAGATCATAGGAATATCATCGGCCAGTACTCGTGGCAAAGCCTTTTGGAAAACTTGGAAACCCCAGTACTTTCGTTCCGGAGAGGACGTGGAGGAGAACAGACACTCTGCGAAGAGACTTTAAGCGATGAAGTGTGAGCACAGATAAATGGGATATACCATCAACAACTATCCTGAAAAATTCCGGGAAAGTCCCCTTCGCCTGCTGATTAGACCCTGAACTGGGAAGCAGATAATCGAATATTATGTCCCAGACAAAATTCAACTCGGGTTTCCATGAGCTTCCGGAAGATTTGGAGTGACTTTCTTCATCATCAATATCCTTCGAAGTATCCTCAGAGGACCATCGACGTAGAAGAGGCGAAGACAGACCTTTAGTATCTGTCCGAGAGCGTGGTAATTTCCAGTGCTGAGCAACTCTGGATTTTTGAACATCGGAGAGGTGTATTTCCGCCAATCGTGATCGGGACACAGATGCTGGAGTTTGAGCATCAGCGCCACCTTTTCAGACGTCCACTGAGAGTCGCTGCCCAAGGTCGTCTCGATGGAATAACCTAAACCCTCCTCCTTCCAAGGAACACTCGACGAGTTGAGGGCTTCTGATGCTAGAAGAATTGTCCACCAAGCACTTTCCCGAAGCCAGCTTTTCTTCTCTCCGAGCGCAATCAATTCTGATACAATATCCTTGAAGCTCTGTAGGGATGATGCAGAGGTGGAGGAAGATGCAGATTCCGGTAAAGGGTCCGTCCGAACAAATAAACCTGACTGAATGACAGCGGTGATTCCAAAAAGACGAGCAAACAGGACATCTCTCTCTTCCTGTCCAGTCATGGATTTTTGAGTTTTTGTAGCATCCATGATCAGTGATAGTATTTGTGCACATGTGAACGTCAGGATTCTAGACAGAAGCTATAGAGGAACGTTCATGAAAAAAGCAACCTAAGCAAAACGGTATGAACTTACCTCTGTCAACGCAACCGAAAACCCTAATCTGCTGCTCTCCCTCGGACTCGCCAGCCCACGAACAAGACGTCGTACGGAATATGACACATCATGCGCATTGTACTTGTCTAAAGGGTCGACGTTGTTGTCCTCCTGGCTTTCATCCTCGGAAGTATCTGAAGAGTCCTTAGCAAATTGTTCCTGGAACTGCTCTAGTGACGAGATGAGCTTGACAGAGGCATCGATGCGCTCTTTCTTGGATGATGAAGAGAGATTCCAAAAAAGCGGGAGAGTCGTAGACATTTATGACGAGTCTAAAAATAAAAGTCAAAAATTTGGAAGGAGTGTTTGGTTGTGTAGATACCTCCGGTCCGAATCGGTCCGCCTTGGCCTACATTTTTTTTGAGTACAAGGATTACTTATTGATCAAAGCTGGCGCTTATCAAGGTGTTCGGATGTGCAAGGGGGGCCTAGAGGGCACCCGACGTTTCAATCTAATTGTTTGCATTTCACAATTTACTATAGAACAATAGTGTGCTTATGGTTGAGAGTTGGTATTCTTATTTAAATGCTCATTATGATTGACATTAATGTCAAAATAAATCTACCAGCATACAGATGAGTACGTGGAACCATACGGTAGGCAGAGAAATATACAAGGATTAATGCAATGGCACATATCTTCATAACCGCTTCCTAATCAACATGCATCCAATGTCCCTTCACACCGAGTCGACATTTTTCACAATCTGAGCGGGGTCCCATAGTGACGCGCTGCCTTTTGGTGGGAGACAGAGTACTTGATCTCAGTCCTCCGGATTCCATGGAGATATTCATAGGCGTAAGACTGTCTGAGACTGGCGTGCGAGGCCTTGTCACATTAACAATACCGCCTTCGACTCTTATTGTCTCGGGGGTAGGTGGCGTGACATCGATTGAAGGGAGACGAGATAGAAAGGAGCCCTGAGCATGGTTTGCGAGTGGTCGTGATGCGTTTGCATCAGTGAACGACGGTGATAAATTCCGAGGTGACTGACGATGCGCTGCGAAGGTGTCGCGCGTATGAGACGTACTGGGAAACGTCGTTTGCAGAGGTAATAGTACAGGTCTTCCTGGACCATAGGCCAAAGTAGAAGGCTCATCGACATCATCCAAGTCCTACGACCGCCATTAGTCTCGCAAAAAATGAATCAAGCCAATCACGCACCATGGTATCTGAGTTACTCTCCGAATCTGGTACATATTCTTTCGGTGTTCCGATGCTCAAGCCGCCTGTCTGTTGTACCCAATCCTCAGAGGGGTGCCGACTACTGCTGCCACTCGAGGGGAGTGAATTCGTAAATAGTGGTGAAGGTAGCCCATCTCCCAAAGCAGGAGTCAGGCGCTTCTGTGAGAAAAGGAAGTAAAAGTGTTGCGAGGTAAAAGTTGTTTGAAAGACCCACGACAGGACGACTGGAAGGGCTGTCTTCCTCGGTGGGACGGGGTCGCTTGGAGGACGTATTGAACTTGGACATGGAGTGAAAGGCGCTGGCCGGCGAAAACATATCGACCTCCATTTGAACCATTTTGGTTACAAAGGCTTGCGTCGGAGCGAGAAAAACGCAGAGTTATGTCATACAGCTAGTTGAGAAACAAGGACCTTGGAAGCTCAGCCACCTCAGCCACTGCAATTCGCGTCACAGGGATCACATGTCCATTGCACGCGACGCGACGCGTTGACAACTGAAAGCAGCATTCGACGCCATGATATTTCTACTACTCTAGGTATTTTCTACATTTTCTACCGCAACTATATGAGCTAGATAGGAACTAAATCGTGATCATCATATTCATCCCTGCATGTTAAGCGGAGTCCTGGGTAGCCTGGGTTCACCCTGGGCGTAAGGTTCTCCTGTCTCGGCACGAGCAAGATCATTCAACCAAGCCCCCTTGGGTTGAATCTTGACACCACGAGAGTACATGACAGCCAGGTACAGCCAGGCCAGGGCATTACCCACGGTGCCGACCTCATCGGAGACATGTGTCTTCGCATACTTGCTCATAGTCCTGTGTAACTCGACATCGGTGTAGAGGTCGAAGAGGTGCTGGGCGACGGCAGCATTGTCACCGGGCTTAGTAATATATCCTGACTTGCCGTGCTCGACTTGAAGAGGAATACCACCTGTAAGGGAGGCAACAATCGGAATTCCAGCGTGGATAGCTTCGGAGACCTTGACTTCAAAGCCTTCGCGGGTCGAAAGTTGCAGCGCAATCTTCGCGTTAGACATAAGCGCATTCAACACTATACCAACATCAGCATACCTCGGGTGTGACAGGGACATGAACTTACATTGGTCACTGGGAGGAAGCCTCATAACGACGAAGTCGTTTGCGTACTCCCTGTATGCATCGGAATAGATCAACTGCATAACTTGATCGTATATGATGCTGGCATCGGGGTCATCGACAGCGCCTGAAAACGAAAATGTGAACATCACAAGACACATAAAACATAACTATCATACCATGACCACAGATCAACATCTGCGGGTGTTCATCGTCCTCGAGGTCGGGGCACTTGGCCTTGAGGAGGCGTCGGAGTTTCACGTAAGAATCGATAACGTTAGGGATACCCTTTGCGGGGTCGAACCGGGCAATTTGGATGATGTAGCTACGCTGTGGCCATTGGAGTTCGTTCATCTTCTCCTTGACACACAGGCTTCGGAACTCTCCCATGTAAAATGCGGAGTCCCAAGCACCAAGATCCTTGTTCAGACCATCGAGCCTGGATCACATGAATCAGTATACAATTTTGATGAGGGTTAAAAAACCACTGACCAGTCAGTGGCAGCTCCAAGTAACGCCAACTTCTCGATGGGAACGTCAGAGGGAACGAATTTGTTCACCGGGTGACCTTGGTTGATGTCGTCAGCGCCGCCTGGGAAATGCTTTGCGTCCATTGTGACTCACTGATAAACAGGTCGGCAAGCTGGATGTTGTTCCACAGATATTTCCACACCTCCTCTTGTGGTGAACCAGGGACATGGACCAAATCGCTACGGATCTCGATATGCGAACGGTACACAATGGGCAACTCAGGGCGGAGTTTCTTAATTAGAGGTATAAGACCGGGCATCTGAGGATCATCTACGAACCGGTAAGAAAGCCAAGCACAAGAACAGGAAATGATATTCTCACCTATGAAAGCAACATCGACACCGCCAGGAGCCAAGGGACCTCCTTCGGCAGTCCAGCGGAGACCATTCTTCAAGATCCAAGCGTCAAAGGATTCTTTGGCGTCGTTGGTCAGGCGGAGATCTGAGGCGGCGACCCCTTGGAGGATGTTGTGGTTGTTCTTGGTAGTTCTGAATACCTGGGGCGACGGATTTGGAACGTACCTTGCATAAGGCAGTTAGGTACGGTGAATATTCACGCCGGAAAGTCTGTAAAAGGGACATACCATGCAGCGTCAACGTCAAGTGCGGTCAAGAACCTAATCAAGGCGTGTCTCATCTATGTACAAAAATATGTCAGGTGGAAATGATTGAATTGCTTGAGCGATATTCTCACGAGGGCTACGCCACCTAGATTAATTGCCATGACAGGATTAGATCACCAGTCATATGTCAATTTTTGTGGGGCAAGTTACTAACCTCCTTGTGGGGTCGAAGAGAAGAATCCAATCTTGACTTGCTTTTCGCGTAATTCATCCGCAAGCTTAACAACGGCGTTCCAGGTGCTTCAAGTCATGATCAGTAAAAGACCCCTACAACGTACGGTAAACCGACATACCCAGACCCCACGGTTTTCTTGTACTCATCTAGATCATCTAACAAATGAATTTTGCCAGCGGCATCGACGGTGACCTGGTTCCGAGGACCAATACTAAGGCGAGGGTTGTTTCCGGGACCAAAGTACATTATACATTTCCGTGCTGCAGAGTCGGCTTGCTCATCGAGAGTGCGTAGGATAGGGAGACGACCCGTGACACCGACCTGGAGGTGCGGATCCGCAGCAGCTATATGAGCGGACTCTACGTACACTGTTGGAGTCTCGGCCCCAGAGGGAACATAGGAACCAGTAGTGGATGAGATGCGGTGTTTGATGTTGGGGCGTGTCGCGGAGTCTGTGTGGAAAGGCTTGATATTGAAGACGATAGGAACAATATCCATGTCAAGCCACAGGCGTGTACACAAATTTGGAGACTGAATAGAAGCGCATATATCATGATCTGATGGCTTGGACAGGGTAAAAAGTATAGCATACCTCGCGAAGGAGCGACAGAGTGACACCGGCGCCAAGGAACTTGCATAGATGTTCGCTGCAGAAGCTGCGAAGCGTCTCCAAGACGTGCTGTTCGATGACTTTGGCGGTCTTCTCGAGCTCTGTAGCAGAGTATGGGATGATGGTGGACGCGAAGTCAGTACTGTAGACCGAGTCATGAACAGAGACCGCGATTTCGAACTGGGTATTGTTGTTGACTGGATTGCCAGCGATACCAGCCCACATAGGCTACATAGGTCATCAGGATACGAGTACGAGAGAGAGATGGTGACTGACGGTCAAACTAGAGTACGAGGCAGCAACATGGGGTTTCTTGCCGGACACAGAGGAGAGACGACGCCTGACGGCGTCAGAAGTCTTGGATTCAAACTGATGGTGTTGATGAGCCTTGGTAGACATTATTGAAGGCAACGTCAAGATGGGGTAGCAGGAGAAAGAGAATAAACGGCGATGAGGGTTATATACGGGAATCGGACGGTCTGGTTCCCCAGAAGAAGGGAAGAGGCCGGCATGGTCCAGGTTTGGGTCTTTTCCATGAATTGAATGTCTTGATCGTCTGGAGATGGGTGCTAGGCCACGCGCCAGTCGCCGTTTCAGCATCGTGGCCATCTTTCCCTTCTTAGCTCCCATCCATCACCGCGACTGGGGGACCAGGTCAGTCTCCGTCTTTAGCCCCGCACGTTCTTCATGTCTCCCTGCAATCAATGCGGCGCCAGCACCGTATGGGACGACGATGCATCCTCGGCTATTTGCACCATCTGCGGTACTCTCGTAGATTCGTCACAGTCCGTTCTTTCGTCAATACCCGATTACCAGGCTGCCTCATCGTCATGGAATCCTTCTTTTCTTCCAAAATCGACCCTCAAATCCCTCCGGAATCCCAATTGGCAGCTTGCCGGGCAAGGAAAGGAAGCAAGGGACAGGCAGAATTCCGTAAGTTCTACTACAGCCCTTTCACTTTTGTTCTGTTGCTTCTTAATCTAAACGAACGTGTAGGCAGCCATGCACTGAGTTCATCAATTCGCTGGCAAATATACTTTCCGTCCCAACATTGTCTTCCCGAGCCACTACTTTGTTCACCCAGGCTATGGCTGCAGGCAATTTTAGGTGGGGAAGGAAAGCAAAGCTTGTAGCAGGCGCCTGCCTGTCTATCGCTCTTCGTGAATCCAAGAGGCCTGATTTTCTTCGAGACATCGCCTTTCTCCTGGATCAGCATTATGCCCACCTGACACGCGTGCTGTCGTCCATCCTGTCCTTGCTTAACGTTTCTCTCACATCAAGTGACCCCTTCTTTCACGTATCAAATCTTCAGTCACATCTTTCTTCGGTCATCCAGGACCAGGTGGAAGCCATTAATTTGCCTCCCTCCCTTGTCACCGTGATTAGGCCTTTATCCCAAACCTCTGTTACCAACACTTGTCGCTCTCTATCTGATCTCTTGGCCCGAATGTCGCCCTCAGACCCAGCCCCTGCCACCCAGATACATGGTACAGCTTGCGCTATCTTTATGCTTGCACTTGAAGCTGAAGCTCGCGCAACTTTACCAAGTCTAGGTGAACTCGGTGCATGCCTGGCTGCCAGATGCTCCGTGGGCAAAGGTCTCGTCATGAACAGATATAAAGCTATTCAGGGCGACATTGTTACCATGATGGAAGGTATCCAGTGGCTTGATCAGTACCAAAAGAAGAATAACGGTCGAGCAAAAGTTTCAAAGCGGTTGCTTGTGGCCCGCGGCCTTCCCGATGTGCTCTCCTGGCAGGATGAAATTTGGAGGAAAAAAATTGAGGAACAAGGACGTCCCATCGTTGATCTTGATTGCGATTGTGACGAGGATGTGGATCTGAACGATCATGAAATCGACCAGGCTAATTTCGCTTGTTCCCATCCGACTTCCGCTTCTACCCATGAGTTAAACATCCGACCGCGTAAGAAGCAAAAAACACGACATGCTCTCTCCGAAGCCAGTCAATTTTTACTCGACCCTCTTTCGGGTTCACTTCCGTTATCTGCTCTATCCGTTAAATCTTCCGTTACTGAACATGCCCATGGAAATCTCCACAGAAACAACGAGCCACAGGATCTCCATACATATCTTCCACTCACATCATACCTTCTTGCTGCCCCACTTACAGCCCTCCAGTCGTCAAAAAAGCCTACCCGTCTCCAGCTCTTGTCAGTTGCTCGCGGAGGCGCTAGTACGTCCGATGTTGACGACGACGAGCTATTTGAGGATGGGGAGCTAGAAGGACTTATGCGCACAGAAGAAGAAATCCAAGACTTGATAGAAATATGGGAGCGGGAGAAGTTGATGGAAGTCGAGTCCGACCAGGAACGGCGAGCCCACAAAACAAAGAACAAAGCGAAGATTAGGTACAAAGGTGGTAAGGAGAATAACGAGAACGACCATGAATCATTCGTAGGTTCGAAGAAGGTCAACACCGATGCTCTGGCCCGATTCATGGCGGACGACTACGATGATATGCGGGATGACGATTCGGAAGATGTCGTCAACGTTCTTGGCCTTGGTTTTTCGGACGATGAAGATGAAGACGAAGATGGTCAAGACAATAGTATGAACGGGATCATGATGCAGCACGCATATTCTACTTTGGGTCACGAGCGCAAACCCTCACCAGATACTGGCCAACAACCACAGGACGACAACGAAGTCGTCGTCTTGCGAGGTTGGCGACCGCCCTCCCCTGATGGCTCTTCCCTTCATGAAAGCCGATACGATCAGGAGTATGACTGATATACCCCCTCACCATTCATGATGATACCAATTGACAACGGCACTATATTTTGTATATATCACAGGTCCTTGGATTTATTTGTACATTAGGTCGTATAATTTATTCTTCTTTGATTATCCGGTATGTATTGTTATAGGAACCACATTGTATATTGTTCATTACTTCATAACACGTAGAATTATCCAGTCCGCTGGTTATCGGATAGGATCCGCCGTTGGCTTATGATGTGCTGCGGGAGCCTCTTGAACGACGGTCGAGGCTCCTTCCCTCCAGACCTCTTCAAGCGGCGGAGTATGCCTTTGCACGGTTCCGTCCAGCTCGTAAGCTTCTTCAGGTGCGGCATCATCGGTGTACCGTCGTGTCAGCGTGGGACGACTTGTCTGTACGCCACTCTGGTCCACGGAGCTGTCATAACGATGATGCAAAGGAAGTCCCTCCTCTGGCTCGCGAGGGATACGAGGAGAGTATGGGCGGTGCGACAGCTCAGACGCCAAACTAGGGTAGTACTGGCGGTAAGAAAAATACGCTAGAACAGTTCCAAGAAGAGAACCAATGAGGACATCATGCCAATGATCTTGGCATTTGGGGTCAGAACGAAACAAAACATCAATGAGTAAGAAATACGAACGACGATAGTCCATGGTTCGTGAAATCGCCACCAGCGCAGCAGCTGCGAAAGGCGAGAGCGATAGCCAGGCTTTACCCTATACGACAGCTGAGTAGTTGAAGAATAATCTATGAGTATCGCTTACGGCGTGGCCGCGTTTATCAAAAAGATGCAGTTTGCCGGCAAGATAAAACGCTAGAAACCCGAGTCCAGCGAAAGATACTTAACCGAGGTGTGAGTAATGAACATGAGGAAACATAGCGGCCACCGTACAACTCGAATGCCCGGAAGGGAAACTCCGAAATCCGTCCCGTAGAATGCTGTTGTCCTGTTGTTGGCATATTGTGTAATTTGATAACCCGAACGTGGGGTCCACCGCACCGGCTAGCGGTTGACAACGGTCGACGATGTCTATGGTGAGAAATTTATTAGGCAGAAACATATGTTGCATACAAATTGCGTACCAGGGCGAGGACGTCCGACAGTTATCTTTGAGAACTGTGTGATAGAACCTGTCAAGGCAAGGCCAAGGATCACTGGTGAGGGATTTATTAGTCTACATGAAGGTTCCTTCATTCATAATGAATGCGTACACCCAAGCGTGCCTAGCGGGAAAAAACAAGACGTTCAGCTTTTCGTGTAATCCAAGACAGACGATAGCACGTACCGTTATGTAAATCCCACCATGAACGTATTGTGAATAGATTGACGACAGGTTGGATAAGCAGCGGGGCAACGAAGCAGATAAAATATAGAGCTATGTTCTAAACGAAGACCTTCAGATGCTGTGCGGGGATTTCAATGAAATGGTACGCACCGGAACCCTTTCGTGAAGAGCATAACTGTTTGCATCGAAACTATCAATGGCAACGCCCAAAGTGATTAAAACCCTAAGAACACCCACGTATGACGAAGACTATATTCCCGCATCAGCAATAGGAGAAGGGCGTAATCGCTAGAAAACGTACGACGTGTCCGCCAATGAGAACTGCCTTCGGTAACCATCCACTTTGTCCAAAGAAAAGAATAACGCTCTTTGGGAAACAGTAAGTCTGCGCCACAAAATAAACACCGGTGACCTACGCAAGAACGATGGTCAGGATCCTGCGAGCGAATTGTAAGTCAGGGATACTCGAAGTGTGACTGAGCTGGCTCACCAGTCCGGGGCATAAGAGAAGATGATTTTGCGGCGCCTAGCTGCCGACATTTTTGGTCTTGCTTGGGCCGCATCTGTTGGTTTCGTAAAGAAAGGACGCATGTTCGAAGCTTGCTCGTGAGCAGGATCGGAAAGACGGGCGTATGACATAGGAGTGCACTGGTGTGGTGGCGGCTATTTTTGAACCCGCTTATGGACAGTCACTGCCACCGCGTGCCGAATATATTAAAAGTTTTAGCTAAATTTCAGTATCAATCTTATCTCCCCGTAAATACTTCATGTCCTTTATCCGATGTAATGCTCTCATCACAAGGGCCGCAGACTGCGCAAGCGCTATAGAATCGGTACCACACGTCAGCACCACCCCATGGTGTTCGTGGGTAAGTACCTACCATCAAGGGCTAGTACTATCTCGGCCCCTTCGACGTCGCATTCTTCGCTGAAGCTAACTATACCCTTCGCAATTGAATCCCGGGCGGTGCCCAACTGCGCTCCATTCAACTTTGTCTGCCACCTGACGAGTAAAGAAGCATGCCCCGGGGCAACGTCAGCTTGTGGTTCTCAAAAAGGTCCAGTCGCAGTGAACCGTTCAATCTGACTGTCACTTTTCTTGATCTTGCCGTCAATGATCATCTGGCTGGTACTAATGTCTGGTATCAAATCACTCAGAGCCATGAAAGTATGAATGAATGATGAAGAAGCTACTTGCCATATAATGTTATCTAACTTTACTCCGTAACAAGGGAAGAGTGCATGCATCCTTGTGCGTATCTCATGTTAGTTTTGAACGTAACCCTCGCCCCTTGACTCCATCAAGGTCATCTAATAAGTCGGCATAGAAAATCCGAAGCAAAGTGGGAAAGCCACACTTGCCTATATGGCGCGAGTTTTCCTGTAACCGATGCTCTCTATAATTATATTGGAAGGAAATATTTGGTAATACTGGTGCGGGTTTCATCTCCTTACACTCCAGCAGAAGCACGATCTATTAAATATGTAAGTCTCCGTATCTAATTACTTACCTTCCATCAGCTGTGGACACTCTTCTGGAAGAAGATAGTGAATGTCCGTCAAAGTAGAATTATTGTGATAGAAAAAGCATACCGACTCCACAGGTAATGCAGATATCCGAGTCAAGAGCTGTATCGACTTCTAATCAAAAATCAGCTGTCCGACCTTGCCAAAGGCACATACTCCAACAACGACTACTTTTTCAATGAAATCCGTCCCTTTTCCGCATTTAGAAGAATCCAAAATTTGTTTTTAGAATTCATCCTTGAATTCATAGTTGTCAAGCAAGAAGTACGAGACAACAATATCTCAGCGAATCATGCCAGGTAATAGAGGTGCTTCCGCACCTCACTGGAACCAAGAACCGGGGTTACAGGGTTTACACGCTCCTCTCACTACCGTGTTGAACTTTGACGGTCCATTTATTATCAACACTCGGAAGAGAGATCCACTTCTCTGGCATAGGCGTAGCTTTCTTGCCAGTTGGCAAACTAAGAATAGTCATAAGAATCAGTCTACTTCGCAGGAGAGCGTACAGGCCAGATGCCCGGGAACTAGAACAATAAGACATATTTTGCATCCTAGGTTGCTTCTAGGTCATCCAGTGCCTTTGATCGTACAACCAGACCGCTCTGCCCACCACCAACAATCAACACAGCTGAATCTGAGTGTTCGAATGCAGTTTCGCACCTTTGCTTCTCAGTCCACAAAGGATCGTTCGATTCTGGATGTCGCAGAGGTCCTGCCTTTTCCGGAGATCCTTTTAGACTTTCGAGATTGATTAGGTGCAGTGGGAAAGGAATTAAGCGCGCAACACCCGAAACATGGCCTCTATAGCCAGTTTCGAGATCAAATAAGACCTGGGACGCTGGAGACTCTGATATTCGTGTCTTATTCTAAATAACTTTAGTTCGGATGGCTCCAGGAGACAGTCAAGGACTTGTTTGATGTTAAAGATGTCATCTACGCGTCTCCTGCCTCCGCGGGCTTCGAGAACGACGCAAACTATTCATACACACGGCGCTCCGTATCCACATTAAGGGGAAATTCGACAAGTTTAAGGCTGGCACTCAGACAACGGCAGGCACAAGGCGCTTGAAGATACTCGGAGATAGGTGCACAAAGCGCAGTCCTTCCAGCTGCCATGCCTCTTCAAGTGCTGCTTCGTTGTGTCACTTTGGGGCGAGTCTTACATCCAGGCCGATTTCACATCCTTTGAGACCCCTCGGAGATTGTGCTTTGATGCGGGGATGGGGAGACGAGGTAAATATGGAGAATATACCAGAGCAAGGCCGGGCAATAGCTACCCGAGGGTTGTTTACGTGATTACCAGTATTCTCTCCGAATGGCGGCGCGTATCCTATTGTGCCTATCGTATTGAGTCATTAAGCTGCCGTGTGCTCAGATAAGTGAGCGCTCGAACGCACCGGTCTGCATTTCCGAAGGTGAACGGATAGCAAAAATAATAATAGTTTCAGCGTGTATGTTGGAACGTGGTATCTTACAACAATGTTTCATGCGTGACTATACCTTCCTGTGAATAATCCTTCTTCAATCAACTTGATCTCTGTTGGTCCGGTCAGGACCCGGAGTGGACTCAAAGGACAATAAAAGACTGGCACTCACGCATAGCCAAATGCTTAGAATAGAACCGGCACATCGCAAGATTACCTGGGCATCCTACGTCAGCAATAACTTTAAAGTATGCTCAGGCAGGCTCCTACCCATCACTGGCCACAAACCCGGAATACCAGGCTCTCGCCATATACCATTAATTTCCCCTTCTTCGTCCATACCCCAGACGGGGCCACATCTCCGACCAACATCATCTCCGCAGAGGCTCACAACTCCGCCTCGAGTGTCGCCTAGTCTAGATATCCTTCGTGACATCATTTTTCGTTGCAGATGAGAAAGCATGCATACCCTGTTGCAAAGAGGACAACGTCCGCCATTAATTGACTTCCGTCTTCAAAGAGCAGTCCAGTCTCTGTGAACCGTTCGATTTGACTATCGTTTTTGAGTTTGATCTTGCCGTCAATGATCATCTGGCTGGCACCGACATCTAAGAGTAAGCCATTCAGCATGATGGAGGCATGGGACCTGTGAAAGAAACGCCTAGCCTAGATAATAGCCTCCAGCCTTGGCCCAAGCCAACAGAAGAACGCCTGCATCTTTGTATCCTAAATTGGTTCTGAAACCTCGTGCTTTGAGGCCTTCAAGAATGTCTCTAGGGAATATTTCAGTACAGCAAAATCGAAGAATCGCAAAGTCATACCTGTCCAGCTCCACTATTTTGCGCATTTGCCTGAAACCAATCCCCTCCATGAGAAGATTGGGGAAGGACGCATTGATAATATCAGCAACCTCTGTAGGGGGACCATTTTCTTCGTAAAGTCCTATACATGCAATTTTAACCAGCAGCAAACGACAGCTTTGTTTCTACGGACCTTCCATTAATGTTTTAATGCCGTGCTTTGTAGACATTACACATGTGGAGCTTCTCTGGAACATCGTCACGTCTAACGAGGATTGAATTGACAGCTGTTATACGAGGGAATGATAAAAGCATACCGACACCATGATTGTAGTAGTCAACGCAGATATCGTGGGCTGTGACATCTGATCAATGACCAGCGATGAAGGCTTCCGTTTAACTTACCAGAAGTACACGATCCGATGACAACAACCTTCTTGCCAATATGATCCTCAGCCTTTCCGTGCTCAAGAGAGTGCAAGATCTGGCCTCTAAATTTATCCTAGAGACCAGAGGTGAGTGAACGTAGAATGAGTGTATGTTCGACGAACCATGCCAGGGTAGTGGGGTACATTTCCAGTACCACCTGCAAAACCAGTAGCCAAAACGACATGATTGACCTTGAAGACACGCTCTTCTCCACTACTGCGTTGAACTTTGACAATCCATTTGTTATCAGCGTCTGGAAGAGCGCTGACCACCGTTGAAGATGTCCAAATGTTTACCTCCATGGCGTCGGCGTAGCCTTCTAACCAGTTGGCGAGCTAATCACGATTATCAGCATTTGTTAAGAGCGTATTTGGAAGGTACTACCTTCTTTGCAGGCGTGTATACAGGCCAAGTGCTCGGGAATCTGACGTAGTTCAGTTAGAAGCATTTACGATTAAACAGATTCACAGGACTCACGGAATGAAAGGTAGGTGGTCATACCCTATGATAAGACGGGATGGTGAGCATAAACGAGGGAGGTTGAAGGAGCAAGGTACATACAAACCGGGTCATGCAAGCATAATGCGTCGTAACGCGTCCTCCAGTTATCACCAACCCGGGGATGTTTCTCAACTACAAGACAGGAAATACCCAGGGCTTTCAATCGTACAGCAGTTACCAGGCCGCCCTGCCCACCACCGACGATCAACACAGTCGGGTCTGAGTCTTCGAACGCTGCCTCGCGATTACGCTCTTCGGTCCATAAACCATGATTCGGTTCTGGATCACGCAGAGGACCTTTCTTCTCCGGGAAGCCTTTCAGACTTTCAAGATTGGTCAGGATGCAGTGGCCTTTCCAGCTTCCATCGGCCTGAGGAACTAAACGGACAACACCCGAAGCATTGCTTAAATCGCCAGACTCGAAGTCAAATAAGAATTGGATCCATGCAATGTCGGGGTAGGGACGTTGGAGACCGAGATATTCGTCTCTTATCTTGAACGATTGCAGCTTAGATTGTCGTAGTCTATCGGTGAGAAATTGTTTGATCTTGGGAACACCTGAGAATGTACGAAAATCACAGGTGAGAACGAGAAGATCTCTCCAGTAAGCATCGTCCGTGAGCAGATTCAGTACACCGTCGACATTGCCGGCTTCTGCGTGCTGTGAGAATGACGCGAACCAGTCGTATGCAATACTCTTTGCATCTAAACCAGGAGGGAGACTTTCCACGCCAAGTTTTGGGAGGGCGGGTAGGATGGAGCTCATGGTGGAGACCGCGTAAAGGCTATCTATCCTGTCACGGATGGTGTTGGGTGTGCAACTCGGATCTCAGTCAAGCCGTCCGTCAAGTTTGCTACACGTGTGTTGATCATAAGACGTACAAGGGCAAAATAATTCAACGTACATGGGAATCCATTGGATTCAACCGGAAGCCCGGAGACAACGCGCCCGACAGGTCCAAGCATACGACCTGCCAAGAGGCGAATAAGGACGACTCAAGGTTTCAATAATTAATAGCCGTAGTATTACCACGACAGAAGGCGTTATCGATAAGACCTGTTACTAGCCGCTCTCTGAAAGGGCTTGAATTATCTGAATCCAGTTCGAGACGATTCCTGTCGTCGCGAAGATAGGGTCACCGGCCCGGCGACCTGACGCGTCGCTGCCCTCTTCTTCCCAACATCATGGCTGATTTACCCCCAGACTTCCGGTGGCTTCCAGGTACATTGCCTACCAAATATTTTCGAGCCATTCTCTCACACTTATTCTAGAGTACGATGATATCCTACAAGCAATTGCCTCCACTGATGTTGTACAGTGCGTACTAATTCTCGTGATCGTCTGACTAGAGCTAACATGCGATAGGACTGAGTGGCCGAAGCTGCGAGATATCATCAAGTTTCAAAATCAAAGAGGTACTCTCAAATATTCTCGAATGCTCCTGCATACCAATATCAGCTATTTAGAACATCGAACTTTTTCTTTCGCAAGCAAAACCACCACCTCCTCCAGCGGCATCTCCACCTTTGACCTTGTCGAATGGTGGCCTGAAGCTGCCACCATTTCCAGTGCGCCAAGTGAACACTCTCAATCCTGTACAAGCACCTGTCAGCTACATGAACAAGGAGCAGGCCGAGCAGATGAGGCAGTACATCTACGCTGAATTAGACGAGATAGACGAGTGCGTTTCCTCTGTTCTGTTGCTTAAACTGGCGTTCTAATTTCTCATAGAAATTCGCCATTCACTATACAACGGGTCTGCGAACTATGTGTTAATCCAATGCGGCATTACAAGTCAGTTGGCAAGTATCTACGCGCCGTGGAAAAATCACTTCTCGTTACCTCGACATGGGACAGCTTCCCTAAATCTTCGGGCGATGATATTGACACCAAGGTGCCGCTCAACGTCGTCGGAGTACCATCAGGGTCATCCTCGGTTCCAGCGACGCCGCTGTTCTCGCCCATCCCATTCTTGCATAGTGATGCTCGACGATCAAAATCACGCAGCCCGCCTCCTTCACCGCTGGTGCTCGGTGCAGCCGCTTCTATCAGCGCTGGACAGTCAGAAGCGCTGGCTCCCAAGGCCCTCGGACTAGTTGATGAATTGGATGATCCAAGTCCCGGACATATGAGCGACCACCCTACCGCCATATCGTCAGTGACCTCTGTCACAGAGAACGACAGTCGGCCATTCATTCAGAGTCTGGACAGTAGATTTGTTAAAGCGGAAGCCACGCCAGACGCACAGTCAGAGGAACATGCGATGGCTGTAGACAAAGAACCAGAGGGTAAAGAGAATGTTGGATAAGTGCAGTATACATATGGGCGGGTATAATCAGACCAAGTCTTTCTTGATTTTCTCCAGCATCGCATTCATACGCAAGCTTCATGTTCGGCTGACCTCTGCCTCTGCCTCCATTCCCATCACGATCCCCTTTGAAAGGCTGTCCCCGTACATTGCCGCTCTTTCTCTTGTTAAATGGGTCGGCTTTATAGCTATGCAAGGACGACTTGGAGTATGCGTTCCGCTTCATTTCACGGGTGGATATCGGAGGCTGTGAGGGTGTCGTTTGCACGGAAACGGCGACTTTTTGAGTGATAGATTTTGTACGTGAAGGAGGTGCTGGAGGTTCGGGAGAGGGCTGATGATCTTCCTTTAAATCCTCCTGAGTACCGCTAGATGCACTACTGTCTGAATCAACATCCTGCATATCCTTATCGTCTCCTGCACTGGCTGCCGCCATCTTGCGTTTTTCCGCCTTCCATTTACTTTTAATTTTGGCCTTGAAGACCCAGTCTTGCTTGAGTTTCTTTGCTGCAAATACTGTTAAATCACGATGAGATATCAAAAGAACTGTATTAACCTCTTGCTGCAGGGTGATGGGGAAATGTAGGGGGACGTTTTCTTTTTAGCGAGCCTTCGGCCATGACGGAGGCAAACAGGGATGCTGACTAATACATAGCCATGAGGCTCCGCAGGGTAGTGACTCTTCAATCTCTTTCCTTCTTAATCCCACTCAACTCAGTCTTCTCCTTGTATTTCTTCTGACCGTCGCATGAGCGTGCAGAACTTAAACACTTTCGGTTAGTAGGCACTCTTCCTAGGCGACCATTGACTCACAGCGCCACTTAGATCCCTTCGCTGACGAGGGCGACCCTCTTGGAGACAACCAAGACGTTGGATCTCAGGCAGACTACATCCACATTCGTATTCAGCAGAGGAATGGAAGGAAGACGCTGACCACTTTGCAAGGCCTGCCCAAGCGTGAGTCGCTTATCACACACACCATCACCTCTAATCATGTCTGAATCACTACAGAGTACGACTCGAAGAAGCTTCTCAAAGCCTTCAAGAAGGTGATTGACCATGTCCAACTCGACTCCTACCCTTCTGTTTTCTCGACCAGTCATTAACACTCTTTCCAGGAGTTTGCTTGCAACGGCACCCTCGTCGATGACGAAAAGATGGGCCAAGTTATTCAGTTGCAAGGTGATCAGCGTGCCAAGATCTCCAATTTCCTCATCGAGAATGGTATCGAGAAGTCTACCATCAAGGTGCACGGATTCTGAGCACCCTATGATGGCTTCAGTAGAGTACACATTGTCGTCTTTTCTTCGGCCTGGTTGAAAGCGTTTTTTACCGTTTTACGTTATAATGTTTTCATGATCATCCGCTTCAATATATGTACGATTGTGTATTTTGAATTGCGTTCATCAGATTTAAAGTACTGCGGCAATAACTTGTAAATGCCGGGTAACGCAGCAATTCAGCTCGGTGGAAACAAAAGAAACACTCGCCGAAAGAAGAGTGGGTAGCCATGAGATCTATTTGATCTTATCCAACGGTCTGGGATTGAGCCAAGTCAGCACGAGATATGCGAAGATTTAAAGAGAAACCGACCTGTTGAATCCACCACGTCTAAAGGGAAGAAAAAAACAAGTTAGGTTTCATCATAAAGAAACAGCAAGTCCTTCACCTGTTCATATATTGTCGCCAAGTACGAGTCTTCTTGACAGTTTGTAGCACCTTCCTGGTTGCCATCGACGTGCTTTCCCTGTTTGGATATCAGAAGACGATGCTTCAACTCCTACATGACGATAATTACCTTGGTCGAGCCGAATCCACCGAGGCCCATCATGGCCATCATGGCTTCCTCGTCTGGGTCATCTATGGCTTCATTTTGAACGTCATCAGGAGCATCTGGATCTAAATTCGGTCTGGTGGAACGAGGAGTACGGCTTTCTGTTTGGAGTGGTAAACGATAAATATCTAGTAGTGCAATAGAATTGACTCGCCTGTGTCATTTGGAACGCTATCCTTCTGTACTACTGGTTCCCTTGGTTTATCTGAACGACGTGAATCATCGAGCTTGGAGGATTCACCACGGCTTTTCACATCATCGCGGTCGCGTGGCCCGTCTCTCGGCTTGTAGTCTCTGTCTCTGTCTCTGTCTCCTCGTTCTCTATCCCTTCGCGTATCTTCCCTATCACGTCCATAGTCTCGATAATCTTGAGGAACTTGGTCAGTACTATGAGAATGGAAGGAGAAGCGACGGTCACCATTTCTTGAGCGTCGGTCTCTGTCTCGTCGAGGACTTCGTGATCTATCTCGGTCGCGACGAGGGCTGGGGGAACGTCGTCGGCCTCCACGGTCGCTTCCGTGAGTATCTGTCCCTGTCTCTTGAGTCGCGCTCCCAGCTTCTATCTCGACGACGGTGGTCACCTCTTGAGGACATTTGTGGATTGAGTGTGAGAGCCAAATGAGCCGTGTCACATGTGTCACACACTAAATAGCCGGCGGCCACCAAGTTTTTCAACGTCGACCTTGGTACAAGGGCATCCATGAGTCAAGTAGCTCGACCGGCTGCAAATGGCGCGACAAATTTACTTTGTTACACGATATGTTCTAATTTCTTTCGTTTTCTAGCTTTAGCCCACGCAAAACACATAGGTCTCTTCGGTGTACCTTCCACCGTAACCACTGGCGACATACGAAGGCTAATAACGAGAACTGGGGTCCAAGGTGTCTCAAATGGTGTGTATCCTTATCTTCCCTCATATTACATTTTCTCATTCTTTGTAGTTGCTATCCAATATACGCACAGGTACCGGCGCACAGGAAACGTCTACCTCACGTTGTCGCTCCCAAATTTCCTGCGTGACAACCTACGAGTCTTGGAGGACGCGACAATATCTGGAGTAACTGTTAAAGCGGAAGCATCTTTATCGATACCTGATAAAGACTTCCGCTATGGTGATGGGACGGGCACGACTGTGGTTGTGCAAGGACCACCTGGGAAGGCTGATGTGCATACATTCCGACAAATGCTAACAGCTTACACGTTGGACCTTGGCCCTGAACCTATCACCCAAATACCGCTGTAAGTCGAACCAGTCATGCCGATTGCTGCATTCTCATTAGCTGTGCTAGGCCCAAGGGAGGTTTCTCAAGAGTAGCGCGTTTTCTTGTGCGTTTTGCGACAGCTTCAGATGCGCACCGTTTTGTACGGGACATTCAAGGAGTAATCATAGAGAATTCCAATGACTCGAATGTTCACAGAGCGCCGTACCGAGCTCACGTCGTGTATTAATAATTGAGTACAATAAAATCTCGTTACATTCGCTCTGCCTCGAGATCTTCGTCCAACCGAGAGCGCTGCCCCTGCCAATGATAATAAGAAAGATGCAGCCAAAGCAGGGAACGTGATACTTACTATCCTTGCGTTGTCTTCCTCATCGTCTAGGGACCTGCCTCGTTTAAGTCTCCCTTCAGTTGGCTCTGCTTCCTTCCAGTCACCACCTCCACCAGCAACTGCACCGGGACCGTCCTGGGCGTCAGCATATCTTTCCTCGACCTGTCTCCTTCGTTCTATCTCCAGTCGTTGGGCCTGTGCTCCCCATCCCCCTCGACCTGGATCATAGTCTTGCCTATGTTCATCTCTTACCTGCCCGCCGCTTTTACCCCTTCCAAATTGCCGCCCTTCTTTATATCCCAGGTCAAGGTCACACCGAATGATGCGCTCATCTAGCTTGGTACCACTGACATATCGCATGCTGGCCAGTGCCTCCGCGTGAGTATAATATTCGACGAAGCAGAATCCACAGGGTGTCCTACCAAGTCGTCAGTCAAGAGTTCTAATTGCTGCCGTGGATGACATACCTTGTATTGCGATCAAGACCCATAATAATCCTCTTTATCCCACCGCCATCCTCCGGACTGGCGCACTTGGTAAATAGCTCGTATATTTGTTCTTCGGTCGTGTAGAAACTCAAGTTACCTATCTGTTGTCATCGGTAAAGCCAGAACAGGGCAGGAAGGATGAATTTTGCATACGTAGAGTGTAGTTGACTTTGCAAGCAAGTCGTTTTGCTTTTGGCGATCCACCCGTGTCTGTGAGTCCTTGTAGTTTGAAGGCTGATCTAATGGCTGTACTACATGAGCCATTGTGGACGAAAGTGGTGAACAAGTTGCAAGTTGCAACGACATTATTTTGGAATTTGATGAGTGGATAATTAAATAATTAAATAAACAATTACGCGTCAGACGCGGCCGCGTCACCTGCACTTTTCCTTCATCTCTGTTCGCCATCATGGATGAAATCGGTATTGAGCTCCAGAAACATGTACATATCCTTTATGTCTTTGCATATAAAAGCTGACGACACTCGCCAGGAACCCACTTTCGAGTCGGTCGTGACCGAGAAAACGGCACTCTACCAGGAATTGCAAGAAGAGGACCTCTACACAAAGTACAAGAAACTTTCTCGACATTTGGAACTTCTGGAGATACAGGAGAGCTACATCAAGGATGAACAAGCCAATCTGAAGCGGGAGCTTATTCGTGCCCAGGAGGAGGTCAAACGTATACAATCTGTTCCGCTCGTCATCGGCCAGTTCCTTGAACCCATCGACCAGCACACTGGAATCGTGGGCTCAACAACAGGCTCAAATTATGTTGTCCGTATTCTCTCGACTCTCGACAGGGAACTGTTGAAGCCATCATCATCTGTCGCTCTCCACCGCCATTCCAATGCTCTCGTCGACATCCTTCCTCCAGAAGCCGACTCTTCAATATCGATGCTGAGCAAGGAGGAGAAACCGGATGTTTCGTATCAAGATGTCGGTGGAATGGACTCGCAGAAGCAGGAGATCAGGGAGGCAGTGGAACTGCCATTGACACACTTCGACCTTTACAAGAAGATTGGTATCGACCCTCCTCGAGGAGTTCTTCTTTACGGTCCGCCAGGTGTGCTGAATAATTGCTCAAGATGATCTCTTCTTTTGATACCATTATCCCCAGGTACCGGGAAGACGATGTTAGTGAAAGCCGTTGCACACCATACCACAGCCTCTTTCATCCGGGTGGTCGGGAGCGAATTTGTGCAAAAATATCTGGGCGAAGGTCCTCGAATGGTTCGGGACGTCTTCCGTCTAGCTCGCGAGAACTCCCCAGCCATTATCTTCATCGACGAAATCGACGCCATTGCTACAAAACGGTTTGACGCGCAGACAGGTGCTGATCGTGAAGTGCAACGTATTCTATTGGAGCTTCTCAACCAAATGGACGGCTTCGACCAGGGGAGCAACGTTAAGGTATTTGTGCAATTGAGGAACTCCATTGCATTCGGTTTACATCTTCCTCAGGTTATCATGGCTACCAACCGTGCAGATACTTTGGATCCTGCTCTATTACGGCCAGGTCGTCTGGACCGTAAGATAGAGTTCCCGCTACCATCAAGGCGAGAAAAGCGTCTCATCTTCCAAACTGTGACGAGCAAGATGAACTTGGGTCCAGACGTCGACTTAGAGGACTGTCCGTCGATTTCGTTCTCTAATCAGGACCACTACTCATATGCCTCAATAGATGTTTCTCGCCCAGACAGAATTTCCTCTGCTGAGATATCATCAATTGTACAAGCTGCAGGTTTACAAGGTATGACACTTTCCCTTCGTTTAGGGTCTCGCTGAAGATCCCTTTCAGCCGTAAGGAAGAATCGCTATGTCATTCTTCCCATCGATTTCGAGGAAGCATGGAAGGTGTGTTCGCCTTTCATCATACACTGTGACCCCCTAACCATTCGTTGTTTAATAGCAAACTGTTAAGAGATCCGACGAAACGCATGAATTCTGTGAGTGTATTTGTCTCAGTTGACTTAATTGTACTAACCAATAAATAGACCGGTGATGCTTCGACCCATTACATAACCAGTGTTTATGTAGACATTTCTTATGTTTTCATGAACAAAGCTTTCATATTTTACCATCCGCGCTTATGCCTCGCGAATACATTCAACATCCAGTGCATTTCTGTACTTAGTAGCGTCTTGCTGCAGATGTTGACGACCCAGTTGCTGCATGATTTACTATTTCTCAACAGACACAACGTGTGTGAACCGTGAATGGGCACCTTCGAAGATGCAAGATATCACCAGCGTAATGGCTTGAGATCTCTGTCCTGTGTCCGTGCACCCAATGCGACTGCATAGTACAGTTTCAGGTTGGATGTACATCGAAATTCTACCAACAGCAAGGATCATAATCAGATATGAATACGCCACCGTTCACCGGTGTCAAAGGACATGCCGGTTCTTCGTATTCTCCTTCGGTTTGAAGAATTGTCTGAGAAGATTTCTTCAACGTCTAACTCGCCATGATGCATCTGATTCGTTTTCAATACATGGCACCGAATTGCACCCTGTTACATTATTTAATTTTAAGCATCCGGTCATTTATGTCATGATTCTCGACCAGCGACGTGGCTCTAGCGGCGACTAGCTTTGTTCGAACGTCGCTATCGATCTTCATCATCATCTATCAGGCTAATTTTAAAGCCTGGACTGTTGGCCTGCGTTGAACGTCCACCCTCACCTTCTGATTGACACTCATACACGCTTATGCTGTTAAGTCATTACCGCCACCCGCGTCCAATATACCATCGTCGTCTTCTGATGAATTTATGGTCTTTTTCGAAGATAGAAATCAGCCAGTATTACAAAATTCTTCCATAGCATTCGCAAAAAGCCGTAAGATCCTAAATCATACTTTTGAATAATTCCAATGTTAGCAAGCTACAGCGCGACGAACACGTGTGCAGCTTGTGACCAAGATAAATCAGCATCATCTCGGTAATGAATTTTTGCTCCCTCGTGCCTTTGAGCTGTTGTGCCCAGAGCTTCAGCGAAATCTGACCATCTACTACTTTGGCCGGTTGACCGAGTTCACTAGCTCGTTCGGTTGCTATCTGAATTCCTCTTGCTATTGTTGAACGGACTTTCCCATCTTCTAATGCCAGCAGACCGGCAATAGTGCATCCACCCGGAGCTGTTGGTTGAAGATTTATAGCATGTCGCATGAAGAATTCAAAGATATATTACTTACTTGTAACAGAATCTTTGATCTGCGCAGGATGAGCTCCAGCCTGAAGCACCATGCGGGCTGCCCCTTGTAGTGCTAAGAGTGTGTTAGTTTCGTAAGACAAAGACTCCAAGCCCTAAAACCTACTTTGTGCTGCCAATTCTAGTGCCTCCGCCCTAGGAAGCCCCATCATAACGCCTCCATCTGCCATAGCTTCCAGGAAGATACATGCAAAAGCAGGACCCGAACCTGAAAGTGCGGTACAAGCATCAAAATGTTTTTCTTCCAAGAAACGACATCGACCAATGGAAGAGAAAATTTTAAGGATTATGGCATGATCCACTTCCATATTTTCAGAGGCAGAAATTGATGACACAACCGTCATGCCCTCGCGGATCTAATCACAATGAGTATTTCGTTGAACGAATAGAAGGTCTCAGCCATGCACACCTTGCAAGGTGTATTGGGCATGGCGCGGATGACCCTGGTTTGCGGATGAACCCAGGTGGTGAGTTGCGATATGGTGACACCAGCGAGAATACTGATTAAGAGTTTCCCTTCGAGGGCTTCACTGAGCCCGGGCTCTGAGAGGATTGAATGTGCAAGCTGTGGCTTGCAGCTGTTTAGTTCGGTCAGCAAAGAATTCAATGTAGAACGATTCAGCTGACCAAAGTAGAATAACATCAGACTGCTTTACAGCGTCTACATTTTTCGAGGCCACGACTTCGATACTTTTACCCATAAGCCCAAGACCGTCGAATACTGTCCTGAGTTTAGCAGCGCTTTTAGTTTGGCTCACACAAGCGATAAATCGGGTTGGAGTAGATGCATCCGGTGATCCCACTGGAGTCATAGTTCCCGGAGTATGTGACTCCCATTTCTGCAGTGCAGCTGGGACGCGAGAGTGCACATCGAGACTGTCAACGACACCAGACAGAATGGCGATGCCCATAGTGCCGCATCCTGTAATAATTGCTCAATCCTCAGCTGAAAAACCCAAGATTAGAATGCACCTATAACACAAAGAGTGTAGCCCATTGAGGAAAAGAAATATACTTGTCAATGTTCGTCTTGAATGTCAAGAAACAGAAATTTTGAGCAGCTTCTAAATTTGGGTTGATCGACAATTGCGCAAAGAGTCATGCTTGTCTTCGTCACTGTAGGGTCGACCCGCTTTGACGCGCTGGTCCAGGCTGCGCTGTCAGACCACGTTCTTACTGCTCTCAGTAAGGCTGGATATACCACCGCCGTTATTCAATGTGGAAACTCGGACTTTGCGCATGCTCATTCGATACAGAATGGAGGAACCTTGAATACCCAGCAACAAAATGTCACCGTTGAAATGTATAAATTCAAGCCGTCATTGGAGTCAGACTATGAACGAGCAGATCTGGTTATCAGTCATGCAGGTATGTGTGCTCGCCCATGGCCTGTGGGAGTTTGCAGTGATAGCAGACAGGCTCGGGAACGATTCTCGACGTCCTTCGGCTGGGCAAGCCTCTCATTGTCGTTCCCAATCCAACTCTACTAGATAATCACCAAGAGGAGCTGGCGACAGCCTTGGAAGAGCTGGGCCATCTGAGATCTTCAACAGTGTCGTGAGCTATATTCATTAGCTATTTCGCCTTCATACCTTTACACTTCCAAGGGATCTTGCCCACACTATCGAAACATTCGACAGATCAGCAATCGTCGAATTTCCACCTCACGACCCAAGCAGATTTCGCCGCCTGCTGGACGAAGAGATGGGGTTCTGAGCTCAGCTTTGTACTCGATACAAACAATGACCATTTTTGTCTTTGCACCACCTATGGCCCCGACCGTCACATCCACCGTAATCGACGACAAGCCTGAGATCTACGAAGACAACCATGTACACGATGTTTATGACCAGATCGCTTCACATTTCTCATCGACAAGGTACAAGGTCCGTATATTGTGCGGATTTTGGATTCTGTTTGATGGTTCATAGCCATGGCCAATAATCGCCAATTTCTTAGCGACGATTCCGACCGGATGGATAGGTTTAGACTCTGGAACTGGCAACGGAAAATACCTACCGCTCCCATTGGAAAGACCAGGAAGCATAAGGACCATTGGCCTAGACAGAAGTCTGCCTCTGCTTGAAATCGCGAAAACAGCCGGAGGTAGTTATTCGAGATGTTGTGTGGGGAGACATTCTTGGGTATGGATGGAGGACTGGAGCATTTGTACGTCAAGTCTTACGCTGCTAATCACCTCTGATCCATTTTACCAGGATTATGCCATTTCTATTGCGACCATCCATCATCTTGCTACATCAGAACGTAGGCAAATGGCGGTACAGGTCAGAAACTTGTGTATTTTCTTATCATGTCATGATATTCACTGTATTCTCAAGCGTTTACTCGAAGCAGTTTCTGCGTCTCACGGTCGCGTTTTGATATACGTATGGGCTATCGAGCAAGATGAGCTTTCAAAACGCACCGTGCCCACCAGTTCTCACTCTAGCCAAAACGGACAGGATGTTTTGGTTCCATGGGTCCTGAACCAGCCGTCCAGGGAGTCCCCTCAATCTGGTCGTGTTCTGCAGCGCTATTACCACATGTTTGCGCAGAATGAACTCCCTGGACTTGTTGTCAAGTGCGCAGAGCAGATGGAATTATGTGTCGGGCCCAAAGCAACTTTTGGCGCGAGCCATTCTGGCGTTGAAATTATTCAAGACGGCTGGGAACGATCCAATTATTACATAGAATTGCGGCGATGGCAATCTTAATTTCATCGTCAGTCTTGCGTAACGAACCAGAGTCCCCAAAATGGTTTGTTTTTGTATTGAAGAGACAGCAGTACAGAATAGAAGAGGTACAAGATTACTCGCTGGCCGCCATAACTAAATAAATATAAGCAATTGCATAACGAGTTTGACTAGAGACTCACTGGCATTGATGAGATCTCCGCCACTTTCCTTGAGTCACACGGACAGCTTTTGCACGAGAACAATTGACCTGAAGAACTCATGAGACGATATTCCAGCGCGACTGTGTGAGAACTGACCTGTGTCATAACAAGATCAATGTCCTTGGGGTCGACACCTGTCTCATCGACAGGGGCCATCGTCTTCAGGAGCTTCAAGCTCTGGAATACTATCATCATCGTCATCTGCAGCCGACACCCGAGGTCTCAAGTCCCGTAGCAGCCGCACCACCTGACAACTGGTTAGCGGCAGACATCTGCGCCTGAGAGTTCATATCTTCGATCTGCAAGAGAAACGCGATCTAGCAAGCGAAGGGACTATACACAGGGAGAACCCACCTTGGCTTCGCCAAAGACGATGTAGCAGTCACTGTTCGGCGACTTGTAGACATCCGGTGAAGCAAGAACGAAGAGAACCTGGAATACCTTCAGCAACAGTCACAACGAACATAGAACCAACGCACATTCTTTGGCCGCCTAAGAGTGACCCGTGTGATGTTTGGGACGCGCTTCAAACCCAAGCTGAGCAGAGCTTTCCTGGCCTTCCTCTCCGAGCGGGACTGGACCTTTTCAAGGGCGGCAGTAGATGTCGGATCTTCTTCATGGTCATGGTCGTGATCGTGGTCATGGTCATGGTGGTCATGACCTTCGTGGTCAGAGTGGACTTCCTCAATTTTGGACATCTGCAGAAGGGAGTGTATTCAGTCTTCATCCAGGAGAAGGGACGCCAATCCAACGAGATGACGGCATCACACGACCAAATTGCCATGGATTCGATGCATGTAGGCACTAACGAACAAATCCCGTACCTTCAAAATATCGACCACACCGGAGAGTACTGGCTTCTTCGCTATTACCAACGACGAGGGCGCAAAAATCTGTATTTGGTCTATGTTTGGCAACAGCCTTTGATGAGAGGCTCTGCTTCCGAGACCGGCCCGGCCGACACTCAAGTTTCTTTCCCATGTCGATGCCGCTTCCTGTGCTATTTAGTCAAATTCGTTGGGTCCTGGAAGGCTCACAAGGCGCTCCTTCATTGCTCGAACTTATCGGTACAATAGACGAATTTGTTCATGCAGTGGATCCGGACTCTGTACCGTCAGCGGACATTGAAGAAGAACTACAGACTATCCATCGGGATGTCGCGGGCCACCCCTCTCCACGCCAAGCCGAGGGATTTCTAGCTGTTCTGTATCATCTTCGACCACTTCTCTCTTCGGCATCTGTCATTTTACTGTGGTTCGACCTCATCTTGCGTCCGGCACTCCGCGAACCAAAGTTGTCTACTAATGCCATTAATAATGCTACGGACCTAATCGTATCTGCCCTCAGAAACGATGATAATACCCATCAGCAGAAGTCTGATGATTTCAGGCAGCGTATTGTTGATTATTACCTCCTTGACGCGTTCAATGAAGGGTCAGGGGACGATATGATACTGTGGGCCGAGTTGGACGAGTCAGAAAAGGAACGGCAGAAGTGTTGGAAGACCAACTTGGAGAATATTCTGCTTAAATACGGAACTCAATGTCCTGAGGTGCGCCCGAGATATGCAAATGCTTTATTCCTCTACTGAATCCTCATCCAGGAACTAATGACCGAGCTGCATGGGCAGTTCGTCAACCCATCGTCTCGTCTGCAGATCCTCATTTTGCTCAATTTATTCACTTCTTCCCCCGGATTTCGCGACTCTGCATCCATTCTTGCAACACATCCACTAACATCTAGGGTAATGACATCGTTATTGATCGATAATTCTACAACTGTCTGCAGCGTTGGGCTGACACTTCTGGTCAAACTACTTCCCCTTCTTGCCGTTCATGCTTGCGAAAAGTTAAAGGAGATGGTCCCACAATTACTGCTTGTCCTCTCCAGAATTATATGCTGGAAGGAGCGGGTCTCCATTGTTGATGAATCTAATGGTTCTCATATGGACATCCCAAGGGATTTCTTCAATGCCTTTCCCTCCCACGAAATACGTCCGGAACTCCATTGGGAGCGCCTTGAATCGACATTCGATGCAGCGGCAGCCCCGGGACCCTCTCCCCGCCGATTCTTCACTTTTCTTTACTACCTTTTCCCTTGTAATGTCCTCAGGTTCTTGCGCGCGCCATTAGCTTATCTCAATGACTGTCATCCGGAGTCTCCCTACACCGTAGGATGGGATACCGTGATTGACGAAAACGAGTTGAAAGGAAAAGCGGAGGTGCCCGTCGGTGTTTTGAAACTCATCATCATCTGATTCCGTGTATATAGAAACTCCTCAGGGAACATCAATGTCATCCGCTCATAATATGGCGAGATGCTAAAGATGAACTAAATCTTCCGGACTTTTGGGCGGAATACGACGTATCTCGGATCGTGAGCGAGGCTGCCATGTTGGATGTTAATAACATGGCGCTTTCTATTCGTGCGAAGCTCGACGAGACCAATGCTACCGCAACATATACACCCTCGGAAGCGAGTGTGGAGGATACTCCAGCTGCTACCTTGCACCATATTGACCTATCATCCAGAGTCGCCAAAATATCGTTGCAAGACATGATCGCGACTTCTGTAGCGTTGAAATCCAGTCTAGATGTAAACATTACAGCACCGACATCTCAGTGGCCTGGTGCTCTGTTTGCCTCGTCGGGCGCATCTTCTACCAAGAATGGCAGCTCCCCGAGGCCCGAGAGTGTAGGATCAAAAAGCAGTGACGAAATCCCATCCCATATTGTTCAGGCCATTTCTGCCCTCCAGCGCGAGCTCGTTCTGTTAAAGAATGAGCTCAACTTTGAGCTATGGCTTTCGAGGGAAAACGTGCAGCACGTAGGTCGATTATACCAAGAGCGGATTCTTTCCAAAAACGTCGAAGTCGAGAGACAAGGATTGGTACGTGCATTCTGTTTATCTCTATTTTTTACTCATGTATCTGGTTGTAGTACAACAAGCTGCGTAACTATCGCACGCAAGTTATAGGCCTGGAAAGCGAACTACGGGAACACAAGGAGCAGGCATATTCTGCCAAAAACAAGTATGCAGAGTGGAACACGGAGCTCCAGGGAAAACTTCGAGAATTGCGGGATGAAAAGAAAAGGTGGACTATGGAGGCTGCCGCTTTGCGGACGGAAGCAAAGGAAGCCAAGGTGGGGTGTCCAGCCTCGAGAGTTTCCTACTGCGACTGATGCATTCCCACAGGCTCAATTCGCAGCCCAGGGTGAGCTACTGGACAGTGCGACGAAAGAGCTGTTCATGCTTCAAACACAAAAGAAGGAAAACCAACATAAAATTGACCGGTTAAGGGACTATGAGAAGCAGATACAGCAGCATCTCAAGATGCAACAGCTCTGGTCTGAACCCTGTTTTGTGTCGCTGAATCCTGTGCTGAAATCACGCTAGGGACGCGGACTTTTATATGTTCAATCAAAAAGAGGAGGAAATGACGATGCTGCGAAGCGAGTACAAGCAGATGGATCTTCGTCTTCAGAGTTATGAGAAGAACCTTGCAGAGCTTGAGGAGCAGAACAGGTGCCTATTATAATACACTCTACGAGAACGGAGATCTTATATATTATTGACAGAAATTACCGACGCCAAGTGCAAACACTCGAGGCACGCATAGCAGAAGCCAACCGCACGCGTAATGGAGCACAGGAATCCTCCATGCTGTCCATGATGGCGTCTGATAAAAAGCTGTTGACCGCGGTTAATAGGGATTTGCGTGAGAAGAACTCGGAGCTGATGGAAGAAAAGGAGGAGCTCAAGGCCATGGTGGAAGTGTTGAAGAATGAGGTGGGCGGGAGACGGGGTTTAGTTAATGACCCCCGCGCTAGCCCGTTGTCGTCTTCATTTTTGTACGGACAAGGAGTGATATGATTAGTACCTTATGTTCTCTTCAACAGCCCGTGGAAGAAAGTAGTAATTTTATCTTCTCGAAGGTTCGAAATGGTGATGCCCCAAAATGGCAAGTGTCAGATTGTTCTCGAATCGAATTTTTTCGCCACATATAAACAAGGCGCGCGCGCTTCCTTCTCATTCACCGTCTTGATCTCTTGCTTTCCTACTTTCTCTCTTAAAAGTGTGTTCAACCACCTCGTTGCTGCGACCTATCCTAACGTATCTCTCAGTTACAAAATGGCCACCGAAAGCTTTGGATTCCAAGCTGAAATCAGCCAGCTCCTGGATCTGATTATCAGTGAGTGGCTCGAGGCGCCCTCTCGTCTCAAATTTTTACTCATGCTCTCCCTGCAGACACCTTTTACTCGAACAAGGAGATTTTCCTACGGGAGATCATCTCCAACGCTTCTGATGCGCTCGACAAAATCCGTTATGCATCTCTCACCGAGCCTTCAGTCCTCGACACCGAGAAGGAGCTCGTCATCCGTATCGTGCCCCACAAGGAGCAAAAAGTCCTCTCCATCATCGATACCGGTATCGGAATGACCAAAGCCTGACATGGTCAACAACCTCGGTACCATCGCCAAGTCTGGTACAAAGGTAAGCGCCCAAACCCTTCCCACGAGTGCCTTGTGTCCTGATATCGTTCTGTGTAGGGATTCATGGAAGCTCTCAGCTCTGGCGCTGATATTTCCATGATCGGCCAGTTCGGTGTGGGTTTCTACTCTGCGTACCTGGTTGCGGAGCGTGTGCAGGTTATCTCGAAGCACAACGATGATGAGCAGTATATCTGGGAGTCGGCTGCGGGTGGGACTTTTACCATCACGCTGGATACGGTTAACCCGCCTCTTGGACGGGGTACGGAGATTCGTCTGTACCTCAAGGAGGACCAGCTCGAGTACCTCGAGGAGAAGAAGATTAAGGACATCGTGAAGAAGCACTCTGAATTTATCTCTTACCCTATCCAGTTGGCTGTTACCAAGGAGGTTGAGAAGGTGTGTGTTCTGTTTTTGAGTGTGCGTGCCTGTTGCTGACGGTGAATGTAGGAAGTCGAGGATGAGGAGGAAGAGGAGGTGACTGAAGAGAGCGGGGAGAAGCCCAAGATTGAAGAAGTTGAGGACGACGATGACAAGCCCAAGGAGAAGAAGACGAAAAAGATCAAGGAGCAGGAGACGACGAACGAGGAGCTCAACAAGACCAAGCCTATCTGGACTCGCAACCCTCAGGACATCACGCAGGAGGAGTACGCGGCGTTTTACAAGAGTCTGACCAATGATTGGGAAGACCATCTCGCTGTGAAGCACTTCTCCGTTGAGGGTCAACTCGAGTTCAAAGCTATTCTGTTCATTCCCAAGCGGTATGTGTTCTTGTTATATGTCTGGTCTACGTCTGACAGTGTTTCAGTGCACCCTTTGACTTGTTCGAGTCAAAGAAGAAGCGCAACAACATCAAGTTGTACGTGCGCCGGGTGTTTATCATGGACGACTGCGAGGACTTGATCCCCGAGTACCTGAACTTTGTGAAGGGTATCGTGGACTCTGAGGATCTTCCTCTGAACATTTCTCGCGAGACGTTGCAGCAGAACAAGATCCTCAAGGTTATCCGCAAGAACATTGTGAAAAAGTGCCTCGACTTGTTGTCGGAGATCGCGGAGGACAAGGACAACTTTGCCAAGTTTTACGAGGCGTTTGGGAAGAACTTGAAGCTCGGTATCCACGAGGATGCGCAGAACCGGAGCAAGCTTGCGGAGTTTTTGCGGTTCTATTCGACCAAGTCGACGGAGGAGCAAGTGTCGCTTAAAGGTGTGTGTTTTGCGTGTTCGTGATGGACATGTGGTGACCGCGTTTTCTTATTAGATTACATCACGCGGATGCCGGAGGTACAGAAGACGATCTACTATCTCACCGGTGAATCGCTGGCCGCCGTAAAGGAGTCTCCGTTCCTGGAAGTGTTGAAGAAGAAGGGCTTTGAGGTTCTGCTGCTTGTTGACCCGATCGACGAGTACGCGATCACGCAATTGAAAGAGTTTGACGGCAAAAAGTTGGTTTGTGTGTCCAAGGAAGGGACTGGAGTTGGAAGAGACTGAGGACGAGAAGAAGCAGCGAGAAGAGGAGGCGTCATCATTTGAGGAGCTGTGCAAGGTTGTAAAGGAGGCGCTCGGTGACAAGGTTGAAAAAGTGATCGTGTCGAACCGGATCACGGATTCTCCTTGCGTGCTTGTGACTGGACAGTTTGGGATGGTCATCCAACATGGTGGGTGTTGCTATAGCCAGTTCGATTGAGGAGTTTTTTTTTACTGACGGTGAATGTTTAGGAGCGGATCATGAAGGCTCAGGCTCTCCGGGACTCGTCAATGTCGTCTTACATGGCAGTCGAAAAAGACACTTGAGCTGAACCCGACAAATGCGATCATCAAGGAATTGAAGCGGAAAGTTGGGGAGGACAAGGCGGACAAGTCAGTCCGGGATCTGACGTATTTGTTGTTTGAGACCGCGCTGTTGACGTCTGGATTCACGCTGGATGAGCCCACGTCGTTTGCTAAGCGGATTCACCGAATGATTAGCCTGGGACTTGATGTTGACGAGGAAGAGGAGGATACGGCGATCGAGACCGATGCCCCTCCGCCGCTGGAGGCCACGTCTACGTCTGCCATGGAAGAGATTGATTAATAGGAGTTGTATCTGTACTTAATGCATGAAATGATGACGGGTTGATTTCGCTTGATTTCGATTGATTTCGGTTATTACGGCTTTGGATCTGGGGTCCCACGTTGGACACGGATACGACACGCGTTGACGATCGCGACTGTACGTACGCGTGGGAGAAGACTTAAAAGGAAGGACCTGGTAGTCATTGTTTCGCCTCATTGTCCTTCTTTCCATTGTCCACGACCTTTTTATTATATATATACCCTTTTGCATGAACATACCATAATGCCCTCTCAATATTCTCAGGTATGCATCTTACTATCGTTCCTGTGCTTTTGGCTGACGGTACTGCAGTCGCCCTCGATGACTTTGCTAGAATCACCCATTACGCTCGTCTCTACACGTCCAGTACGTGTCTTGTGGTCGTCACTAGAACAAAGCGCTTACACTCTCGTTTTAGATACCGCGGAGTAGACTGCTTACTCGACGTCGAGAGAGTCACCCATTTGACAGTCTACCCTGGATCGACATTCTCGACTCGCCGCCGCCTGCGGAAGAGTCCAATCTAGGCGACCTTGTCCCAGTTGGGCCCTGTCCGTCGTCGTCGCAAAGCGCGATCCAGTCCGTTGACCCGACCTCGTCGTTTGCCGTCGTCGTCACCATCACCACCACCACCGTCGTTGCCCCCATCATTGTTAGAGCGTTGCTCGACGCCACCTCCACCCCACCGACGCGACCTTCCTACGTCATCTTCCACGACCTCATGCCCCAGCTCGCTTAACGACCCCCCCACCACCCCAGCTCATATAAACAACTGTATCATCTCGCATCTGCATATCATTATAAATACGAATATTTTTCTTTCATTTACTTATTCGACATCTTCGTTTTTCGCAATCGATCGATTACATAGTACATAGTCCATATAACTGTAATTTGACAAATGACTCATACATAGTACCACCACCACCATGTCTCGACCTATCAACTTTGGCGCTGGCCCTTCTGCTCTCCCATGAATCAGTCCTCCAAGAAGCATCAAAAGCTCTGCTTCGACTTTGAAGCCACCGGTATCGGCATCGCAGAAATCTCACATCGCTCCAAGGAGTTTACTGCGTTTGTGAAAAAGACAGAGACCCTGATCCGCACGCAGCTCAACGTCCCGTCCACGCACCACGTCCTCTTCACACAGGGCGGCGGGACGGGCCAGTTCTCTGCTGTCGTCTACAACTTTCTGGCTCGACACCGTCTGTTGCATCCCAGATGACGCCGAGCCTGTTCTCGACTATGTGCTTACCGGGTCCTGGAGTAAAAAGGCGAGCGAAGAGGCGAGGCGGCTGGGCGGATCGCGATGTGCATATCGCTGCAGATGCGCGGGGCCAACAAGGCAAGACATTCACCCGCATCCCGGCCCATTCAGAGTACACCTTCTCGCCTGACCCTGCGTTGATCTACTACTGCGAGAACGAGACAGTCGATGGCGTCCAGTTCTCACATGACGGCTTCCTCCCCCGCCTCTTTCCCATTTGACCGCCTCCCGACGGACACCCTTCTCCCGCTCGTCGCGGACTACTCGTCTTCCTTCATGTCTCGCCCCATCCCCCGCCTAGCAGATCACGCTCTCATCTTTGCAGGCGCTCAAAAGAACATTGGCCCAGCGGGTCTCACCATCCTCATCGTTCGCAACGATTGCCTTGTTGATGTCGACGCCGCCGCCGCACTCGGCGCTGCACCCGTCCCCGTCTCCATGGCTTACAAGACCATCGCAGACGCCGGCAGTCTCTACAATACGCCTTCTGTCCTAGCCCTCTACTATCTCTGGCCTCGTCCTCGAGCGATCCCAGAAACTTGGCGGCGTAGAGTACTATGGACAGGTCAACAAGCGAAAAGCAGAAAACATCTACGACGCTCTACGCGATGGCGAAGCAAAGGGTGTATACCGCGCAAAGGTCGAGCAAGGTTCCGGTAGTTGGATGAACGTCGTCTTTGACGTCCTTGGAGATGGCGCAGAGGCCAAATTCATCGCTGGAGCAGAGCAACAGGGCATGAAGGCTCTCAAAGGCCACCGTTCAGTTGGAGGTGCGTCGTCCGTGCTGTCTACTACTCCTCCTAACCCTTTCCAGGTATTCGCGTATCCCTCTACAATGCCATTACAGAAGAACAGACAGACCGTATCGTCACGTACATGCGTCAATTTAGTATATAATGTATCAACACATCTCAGTAATAAACGTCGTACGCCCACCCCGAGGCTCTACCAACACCTTTTCTGCTCCATTTATCTGATGCGTCTCCGTGCTCGCCACTCCTTCAGCCCAGATAGACACTTTTGGCAACATCAGCTCCCCATGGTGCAGTGCGATCATCGTTATTCCCACAGAGTATGTCCCGTTATGCTGCAACCGAGGTAAGATTCGACGTAGATTAAATTCCATTCCACTCACAGAAGCACTGAAATCACCCCGTTTCCGACCGCTCACCAGCCAGTCTCGTACCATCTCCTCTACGTCGTATCGCATCCTGTACTCTCGTTCCTTCTCTCCACTCGCGTCCCAGTGGAACGACGTCTGGATCGACAACACCGCAGGAATAGGCTGCCCAGCGTACCAGCATGACTGCGGAGAAAGCTTGATACTCACTGCAGCAACAATCTAACACCAGCTCGTTAGCTTTGCATCGCACCACAACAGCAACTCACATTCATCGACGGCACATCAACCGGTATATGCATCTCCCGCCAAGAACCCAATTCAGGCCCAAGTACTCTGGGCTGACTCAGATCCTCTCTCAACTGGCTTCCAATTTCCTCTCCTTCAGGGACGTGGAGCTCCCCCGTCAAACTATACCGCTCTACCCACCCACCATCTCTCTCCAGAGCGCGCACCACCCGGTCAACAACCACAGGATCACCCGCCGCCGCCTCAATCACCTTTTCCACCTCTGGTTGGAAAACCCGTCAGATCCGAAAAAACCACCCATGCAACGCGGTCACGTACCCTCCCGCAACATCCGAAACCTGACGCGCAGCCTCATCGATTCCCGAACTATAAAGGACGCTTTATCACCACCTTCCCTTCCAGAAAACTGTATAGGTAACGTACCAGGGCCATCACTACCATCAATACAGAACAAAAAATGCGCAGGCTGTCCAGGCGTAACGGTCTATACCCATTCAGCTTACAATAAGAACCATTCGAACAATGGTCCACCACTCACAATGACTCGGGATCTCCCACACGTCGACGAGATCACCTTTACACCCGAATCTTCCGGGTCCAATTCGACTCGCGCGATACGCACATGTTGATGGCTCGCCGTCGAGATGGTGAATTTCGTGAAAAGCCTGCGTGTGCGTGGCTGACATGAGTTCCATATGACAATAAGAAAAAATGCTATGATACCGTGTCCCCCGAAAGAAATCCTCAACGTTAACGGCGATGGGGTGCGTTACCTGGACGCTCCTCACCACGGAGATGACCCGGCTGATCGTCGGTTCCGCTCTTGTAACGTACTCGACCTCGAGGTGGACTTTCTGTTTCCGTCCAGTCAATAACAACAACAACAACAAATCACGAAGCAACGCCCTCACCATGCCATACGCCCCTGATACCTCGGAATGAGGCACACAAACGGAAACACTCTCATCCCTCCCTATCCCTGAAAGCATAATAACCCCGTCATCCCCACCACCTGTCATTTCCCTGACACTTGATTCTTCCAACGAGGCATTCTGGCACTGGAACGTCGCAGATGGAGACGACAAACGGATCGTCATCGAGACGATTTCATTTCGCCCTGTGAGCACGTTGATTACTATGGATGGACTCCCGAGAAGGACTAGGGAGGAATTAGAAGTAAGGCTATGGTATGGTAACTGATGCGAGGACGTACTCAGTCTTGGTAGGCTAACCCGAACATTCATCGCTAGGGGGTCTCGAGGGAGGCGTACAAGGGTGACCTTGTCCTTGGCGGTTTTCGAAGATTTCGTTGGTTTCCGATGGGTTTGTTGGAAGACCAGTCGGGATAATTTTACTTCGCTCGTATCCAGGAGATACGTCCCAGAGAGCGGCGTCTAGCATGGATTCAAGCTGTATTCGTATCCATGTACCCGTGTGCTTACCGGACAGAAAAGAGTCACAGTCGTTTTCCCTGGTTGTAATGATTCGCATGGGACAGTAAACTTGAGTCGGCATGCGTCCGCCCCGGATAGAACAGCACAGACTTCGTCAATCGGCAGGTCCTGTTAGAGTTTAACATCCTGAGCATAACACATAGAGGCCACAACTCACGCAAGGCAGATGATTTTGCAGTACCGCGTCCAAAACGTACCCGTCTCTATCCGAGGCCGGCCGCGCATCTGAAGGTATATGAACAGTAATCGCTGCAAAGTCTGTATGCACAAGATCTAAAATACTCAGTACATGAAGGACAAGGGAAAATACGTAAATACCTTGGTCAAGCTCAGGCGCGGCACTCTTCAGCTCCCCGACGAGTCGACGAACGTACACAAGCGCGTCCTGCTCACACAGCAGCAGCTCGGCACCATTTTCGACGTATGTAGAAAGGAAGGAAAGAAGGATATGTATCCATTCTCTGTCTTTGGGCTTCTCCAGAGATTCGTGGATATCTAAAGCACGCGAGAGCATCAGAGATTGCAGTGACGTCCATTTATGTGGCGCGTAATGCGCGGGTAGGGAGGTGTACGTTGTTAATGCTGTAGATAGTCGTCCGCGATGGCTACACCAAATTTGAGTGTCATGTTCTTTCGATGAGAACGTGCTTACTTACACGTCAAGGGCAGCGAGACTTCCGTGCAATTTGAGGGCAAACTTTCGTCGACCTGCTTTGGCGTACATGTCGATGGCGCGATTCGTGATATTGATGTAGAGGTCGTAAAAGGCTTCCTTGTCTTCTAGGGCCTTCAGTAAATGTTCATTGCTGATCTTCAGCAGTGACGATGTCTCGGTTAACTTTACTGATGCGTCAGATACCCCAGAAAAAGGTGGACGACAAGGTAGGTGCTGGGTCTTCATGCCAAGTATGTCCAACTGACAAGTATGTTAAAAACAGTGTAAAAAAAGGACAGAGTTGACGCACTTGACTTCGTGCAAGTTCAAGAAGCTCGCCTTTACCGGCATAAAATTGGGCAAGCTCCTTTGTGTCGACTTTTAAGCCGGACTGCCAAACATCACACTTCTCCACAACGCTCAAGGCAGACGAATAGATCCAAGACTCCACAAAATGTAGCGGGAGAGTTTCCTAGAAAGTGTCAGTTGTGTACTAAAAACGGGTTGAACCCAGTCACCTCAATCTCTTTCAACCGTCGGCCAAACGCGCCAAGAAACGCTCCCACTTTTCGATAGACTTCAGGAAGATGCCCGTACTTGGCTAGTAATTCACATTGACGAGTAAGGAGGTAGGTTCGAAAGTCAAAGACAGATATCGTGTTAGCAAGGATGAGATCGCGATATGGTTTCTTGGAGATAGACAAAAGAGGACTCGAATCATCTTTGAGTCCTGGCGTGATCAGGGTTCCGAACCATGATAGATTCTTCTCTCTCAGAACCTGGTAGAACGAGGCTTCGAGCTCGTCGTACTGCAATAGTGCCTCGGAGACCAGATTCATCCCTTCAAAGGAACTGGCGAGACTTTCCTATGGACTCGTGAGGTGCGTTGAGGGTACGACGATGTGCATGCGCACCTTGAGTATGAAGAAGGTACAGAAGTTCCACCCGGGCATCAGACGTTGGCCCTCAGATCGCTTGATGTCGTCTTCTTTCTGCAACACGGCGGTGTCAAATGCAGAGGAGATGCCCTCTTTGAGTTTATTGAGAAACTCTCCCCATGCGATAGGGCTGTCTTGTGTACTTGACCAAGATACTTGGACACATCTAGTGCGCTATGAGTGACATGTGCAGTCGTGAACAGCAAGTACGCACCTATCCCGTTTGTCTGCGTTAAAATCAGCTCTCAGCTTGTCTAGAACGCAGCCCTTCAATTTCAGGAAAGATCCTGTTGGCACCTTCGCGTCGGGTTTGACAATTTGGAGGATCAGCCACTCTTGGTTCCTCCGTGAGGTGACGGAGGCGTGCCAATCCTTGACCTGCTTCTTTACAGTATTTCTGTATGATTCAAGATCGGCGTCCTGCAGCAGCAAGTGAGCAACGGTATCCGGTGCATTAGGTTGATGTCAAGTTATCACCTCACAGTTTACGACGTATATATTCAGGAGCGGCTTTTCGAGCAAGCTGACAGGTACTTGGGAGGTGTGCTCGTCGCGAATCGAATCGAGATTTATAAGAGTTACGTTGAGTTCTTGTATAGTTCGGAGTGACGTCCTTGAGGAAGACTTCCAATGGATATTTCGTAGAGGAAGCTGGGTGTTAAAGGCATGCTGTATCTTAGTCCAGCTCGGAGAAGCAAGAAAGAATGGCGAGCCAGAATACGATACCAGCACTGGCTGGCCAGAGGTCATGATGATCGTCTCCGCCAAAAAGGGCAAGCTCCTGGGAAAACACGGTCCGGCCGGCAGCTTTGCTTTTCTCGTTAAGACGACGTTGGACATGCCATCTCCAGAGGAAGCCGAAACTTCAGTATCGTCCAATGCCTCCTTCAAGTCTCTCAATCTCATCGATCCTCTACTGCAAGCACCACGTGGAGCAGATATCAAGCTTGTTCAAGGATTACGAGCTTCATTGTCTATGAAATTTTTAACTTTAAAGTTCAAAGGCCTCTATGTTACTACATCTACACAAGGAATCTTGTTCTAACTGAGGGTAACTACTTGCAGGTTAAGCATGGTGTAACTATCATCATCTCGAGTGTGACAGACTGGAACTTGGGATCTACACTAACTCAAAAGTTCAAGTATCGACTTATGCGTTCGTAATAGTCACATCCATCTGCTGGACATTTATGTTCAGAAGCAACATGAAAATCAACAACTTTGACCTCTCCAGATGGTGTCAACAGGATGTTTCTGGGTTCCACGTCATTGTGAGATATTCCTGCATCATGAAGACGACAGAATGCGTTGTAAATCTTCCTCCTGGAACTGATCAGTCTTTTCCTATGACTAAGTGAAGAACACATACTTCATACCACTGCTTATATCATCAAACTCATCCACTTGCACGCCAACATCCTCCAACAGCAAAATGGTCATACCATCACAATCCTTGAACAGGCCATAGTAGTGAGCAACCGGTAAGTCTAAGTGCGCCTTATCTTCGTAGATCATGGCCTCCTGATACAATTGCGAACTCTCTTCCTTCTTTGTGGTTATTTTCGCGACAATGGCGTGATGTGTCTGTGAAGCGCCCTCCACAATCAAAATACCACTCCAAACCATGCCCAATGCACCAGAGGCAATGGAGTCAGTCAAGATGATGCCACCCTTCGTGTGGTACCCAGACGATGGTTGCGCCGATACCGGATTGGCTGCCGAATTTAAGGCAGGCTCTGAAAGTGGTGGTTCCAAAGAATCAGGTCCATCATGGCGTAGTGATGGAGAAGTAGTACCGCCGCTTTGCAGGACGTCGGGAGCAGAAGTGGGTAACATGGAAAGACCTATTCCACTCACTTCATCTCTAGCACCTGAAGATGTAGATGATAAAGATGTTCCCGACCCACTTGCTGAAAAACCACCCGAGGAATTGGATGTTGTTGAAGTTGAGGTGGTAAGATTACTGCCGACCATGTCTGCATAAGAAATCCTGGTCAGTGTCGACATTGAAGGACTTTGAAGGTTCATATGCAAAGCATTGAAACTGAGGTGGAGGTGTCGTAGATGAATCTGTAAGCCAACAGTCAGATGTATGTGCACAATATAATAAAGAGATCCTTACGTCTTCAGCCAAATCACCATTGCGACCATTCACGTCTCCCAATCCACGGCCATCCCCATTGTTTCGAAATCGGGCCTGGGGGCCACCAAAGTCATCATTTCCATCATCATCATCATCATCTTTCAGCTTGCCATTGCCATTGCCATTCTCTGCCAATTTACTCCGCCGCTTCCTTTCCACCTTGGTCTGCTTCTTAAAAGGGTCAAAACACCTTCTAAAACTTTGGCGATCCGACGCGTCGTTGTATCCGTGCATTGCAGCACCGATCAAAGAGGGAATGGTCGATCGACAAACATTAGGTTCGCTTAGGACGGCAGTTTGTGTGCTCCTGATGCGTAAGAAGTACTGGGAAACCATTAGGCTACTTAGGACTGATGTGCTTGTATCTTCGTGCACCCCTTGGGCCCAGGTCTATGATACATGCTCAGAAATTGGAACATGTCAACAATAATGAGATACTCACCTGCACCAATATAAGCCACGCACTTTCAAGCCATGCTAAAATTTCATCCTTCTCGCCCATAACTTCAGCCTTCTCTGAGCCGCCAATTCCATCAAAAGCCTTGTCGTAAGCTTGGCTGACGGCTTGGTGTATGTCTTGCAACAAGGGCCTATCAGCTACATCCAGAGCCCTCCTTCGAACACGGCTGGCACCCATAGCTAGATCCCAATCGTTGATGCAATCACGCCAAATGAGAAGGAGCCGGTCAATGTCTTTGACATCTGGGCTTGGTGGCAACTTGGAGTGTGTTGAATCTCGCGGTACCAAGTCAGGAGCTGACACCCCACTTTGCAGTATGTTCCAAGCCTCGTGGCAGTCCTTGAACTGTTCACAACCATTACACTCTGGTTCCGGCCAAGGAATATCTAACTGCGGGTCTTCGATCTGAACACGGACGATGAGGAGGAAGATGAAAACGACCCGGGGATCGAACGCCACGCAATTCTTGAACTCGAAGGACATAAATGCCCCGACATTTTCCTGTGCTCAACTGATCAACGGAAACCAAAGATACTGTAAGAAGGCTACGCACATCACCTTTGCGATGAGATATGGCGATTCCATCAGCAATCGTCTCCTTCTGACTGGGAGCAACAAGACAAAATGATTTCTCGCCGGTCAACGAAGTAAGATGGTCTAGCTGTTGTCCCTCAACATCCATCTTCATAGTGCAGATAGAGAAAATGCTTTTTGGTACAGCCGACACATACGCAGCATTGTTTCCACCGTGAAGTAGCAAATTTGCGAGATGAAGGCAATGGGAAATTACGCTTCGAGCAGAGTGAGAAACACCATCTTCGTTCGTGACCTTGGTGTTTATCGCGTTACTGACCGATCCACGAAGACCGTCCACCGCTTTGCTGGGAATGGTGGGCCAATGCTGGGAGGACAGGCAAAGTGCATTAAACTGTTCAATCTTCTTTAAGTCGATAGTGAGTTTCAAAAGATGTAGAGGTCGAGGTAGGTGTTTATCGTATGGATTGGGTCCGCGGGTATGGTAGGATTTTGTGTGGTTGTCGGGATCAATTTGCACTTGGAAAGCAGCGCACGTCGATGTGAATACCTGGAAAACGGTTGGGGCCAAAATTTCTTCGAGTCTAAAATGTTTTGAACTCGTCTGTTCATCGAAATCCGGTGAATGGGTGCGCTTTTCAGGCATTGAGGTAGGAATAGGAGGCTAAGTGACGTGAAGTCAAGACCCCTATATACCCCGTCCATCAACATGATGTCATCAAGATCAGGTGCATAAGTGCAATCATGTGATTAATAAAACAAAATTTTTTCTGACTCTATATTTTGAAACCGCAACCCGTAATCTATGTACAGAGATGCGGTGGCACTTGCTCGTGGCCAGCCCCAGTAGCTACAGTAGGTAGGTAAAGGGATTTTCAGTCCTTCAATGGTATAAATTTCTCGTAGCTTCGTGTGTTGAGTTCCAAGGGGGTTCCAGACTGTTGTTCCAGAACACCGGGTTGGTTGGTTGGTTGCCTTCGAGGCTGCTTAAAAAAAATTCTCTATGGAATTTTTTTTGTGCTTCTGGAGGGTACATAGGTATAATATCACATAAATACAATATATTTCTATGTAAAAAACACTTTCCCTCACCTTCAAATTGATAGCAGCTCACCAATTACTTAGGAGAGATGTGCACAACACATAGAGGCCACAACTCACGCAAGGTAGATGGCTTTGCAGTACCGCATCCAAAACGTACCCGTCTCTATCCGAGGCCGGCCGCGCATCTGAAGGTATATGAACAGTAATCGCTGCAAAGTCTGTATGCACGAGATCTAAAATACTCAGTACGTGAAGGACAAGGGAAAATACATAAATACCTTGATCAAGCTCAGGCGCGGCACTCTTCAACTCCTCGACAAGTCGACGAACGTACACAAGCGCGTCCTGCTCACACAGCAGCAGCAGCTCGGCACCATTTTCGACGTATATAGAAAGGAAGGAAAGAAGGATATGTATCCATTCTCTGTCTTTGGGCTTCTCCAGAGATTCGTGGATATCTAAAGCACGCGAGAGCATCAGAGATTGCAGTGACGTCCATTTATGTGGCGCGTAATGCGCGGGTAGGGAGGTGTACGTTGTTAATGCTGTAGATAGTCGTCCGCGATGGCTACACCAAATTTGAGTGTCATGTTCTTTCGATGAGAACGTGCTTACTTACACGTCAAGAGCAGCGAGACTTCCGTGTAATTTGAGTGCAAACTTTCATCGACCTGCTTTGGCGTACATGTCGATGGCGCGATTCGTGATATTGATGTAGAGGTCGTAAAAGGCTTCCTTGTCTTCTAGGGCCCTCAATAAATGTTCATTGCTGATCTTCAGCAGTGACGATGTCTCGGTTAACTCTACTGATGCATCAGACACCCCACAAAAAGGTGGACGACAAGGTAGGTGCTGGGTCTTCATGCCAAGTGTGTCCAACTGACAAGTATGTTAAAAACAGTGTAAAAAAAGGACAGAGTTGACGCACTTGACTTCGTGCAAGTTCAAGGAGCTTGCCTTTACCAGCATAAAACGGGGCAAGCTCCTTTGTGTCGACTTTTAAGCCGGACTGCCAAGCATCACACTTCTCCACAACGCTCAAGGCCGACGAATAAATCCAAGACTCCACAAAATGTAGCGGGAGAGTTTCCTAGAAAGTGTCAGTTGTGTACCAACAACAGGTTGAACCCAGTCACTTCAATCTCTTTCAATCGTCGGCCAAACGCGCCAAGAAACGCTCCCACTTTTCGATAGACTTCAGGAAGATGCCCGTACTTGGCTAGTAATTCACATTGACGAGTAAGGAGGTAGGTTCGAAAGTCAAAGACAGATATCGTGTTAGCAAGGATGAGATCGCGATATGGTTTCTTGGAAATAGACAAGAGAGGACTCGAATCATCTTTGAGTCCTGGCGTGATCAGGGTTCCGAACCATGATAGATTCTTCTCTCTCAGAACCTGGTAGAACGAGGCTTCGAGCTCGTCGTACTGCAATAGTGCCTCGGAGACCAGATTCATCCCTTCAAAGGAACTGGCGAGACTTTCCTATGGACTCGTGAGGTGCGTTTAGGGTATGACAACATGTAGGCGCACCTTGAGTATGAAGAATGTACAGAAATTCCACCCGGGCATCAGGCGTTGACCCTCGGATCGTTTGATATCATCTTCTTTCTGTAACACGGCGGTGTCAAATGCAGAGAAGATGCCATCTTTGAGTTTATTGAGAAACTCTCCCCATGCGATAGGGCTATCTTGTGTGCTTGACCAAGATACTTGGACACATCTAGTGTGCTGTGAGTGATGTGCGCAGTCGTGAATAGCAAGTACGCACCTATCCCGTTTGTCTGCGTTAAAATCAGCTCTCAGCTTGTCTAGAACGGAGCCCTTCAATTTCAGGAAAGATCCTGTTGGCACCTTCGCGTCGGGTTTGACAATTTGGAGGATCAGCCACTCTTGGTTCCTCCGTGAGGTGACGGAGGCGTGCCAATCCTTGACCTGCTTCTTTACAGTATTTCTGTATGATTCAAGATCGGCGTCCTGCAGTAACAAGTGAGCAACACTAGCCAGTGCGTCAGGTTGATGTCAAGTTATCACCTCACAGTTTACGACGTATATATTCAGGAGCGGCTTTTCGAGCAAGCTGACAGGAGGTGTGTTCGTCGCGAATCGAATCGAGATTTACAAGAGTTACGTTGAGTTCTTGTATAGTTCGGAGTGACGTCCTTGAGGAAGACTTCCAATGGATATTTCGCAGAGGAAGCTGGGTGTTGAAGGCATGCTGTATCTTAGTCCAGCTCGGAGAAGCAAGAAAGAATGGCGAGCCAGAATACGATACCAGCACTGGCTGGCCAGAGGTCATGATGATCGTCTCCGCCAAAAAGGGCAAGCTCCTGGGAAAACACGGTCCGGCCGGCAGCTTTGCTTTTCTCGTTAAGACGACGTTGGACATGCCATCTCCAGAGGAAGCTGAAACTTCAGTATCGCCCAATGCCTCCTTCAAATCTCTTGGTCTCATCGACCCTCTGCTGCAAGCAGTGGAGCAGATGAAATATACAACGCCAACCGCCATTCAGATTCAAGCTCTACCACCAGCTCTCGAGGGACGGGATATCATTGGTGTAGCTGCTACTGGCTCCGGGAAGACGGCGGCTTTTGCTCTGCCCATCCTGCAAAAACTCTGGGACGACCCTAAAGGCCTTTTCGCCTGTGTAATAGCACCCACACGTGAACTCGCCTTCCAGATATCCGAACAATTTGAAGCTCTGGGTTCAGCTATGGGTGCTCGTTGCGCGGTTTTGATTGGTGGAGTTGATACGATATCACAGTCCGTGGCTCTAGCAAAACGACCTCACATCATTGTTGCTACCCCCGGACGCTTGCTTTATCATCTGGAGAACACGAAAGGCTTTAACCTGAGAGGCCTTAAATACCTGGCAAGTACTCTCATATATTTCCTTCTATGCTAGGCTAAACAAATGCAGGTTTTGGACGAGGCGGATCGTCTTTTGGATATGGATTTCGGTCCTGCAATCGACAAAATATTGAGGGTAATACCGAAAGAGAGGACGACATATCTCTTTTCCGCTACAATGACAACTAAAGTCGAGAAACTGCAAAGAGCAAGTTTGCAGAATCCCGTACGGGTTGAAGCATCGTCAAAGTTCGTTTTCATTTTTATGAATCCATTTTTTCAATCAATAACTTCCGGATCAGATATCAAACCGTCTCAACGCTGCTGCAATACTACTGTCTGATGCCATTAAAAGATAAAGATACATATCTTATTTCCCTAGCGAACTCACAGTCCCAAAATTCAATGATTATATTTACACGGACAGTGCATGACGCGGCTAGGTGGGTTACGCGGCATCTTCCCTAGACGCTGGGCTAACATTCACGTAGGGTTTCTATCATCCTTCGGACACTTGGGTTCCCTGCGGTTCCATTACATGGAAAGCTTACCCAAAGCCAACGGCTTGGAGCTCTAGGAAAATTTAAAAGTGGCGGACGCAGCATCCTCGTAGCCACCGACGTTGCTAGTCGGTATGTCCCCAAGCCTTTGCATGCATAAACTATAATCATAACGTGATTTTAGAGGGCTGGATATCCCATCCGTCGACATCGTTATCAATTTTGACATTCCTACGCACTCGAAAGATTACATTCATCGTGTTGGACGTACCGCCCGGGCTGGTCGCGCTGGGAAAGCGATTACACTGGTGACACAATACGATGTAGAACTGCTGCAGCGTATTGAGCAGGTGATCGGGACTAAGATGGATCTTTGGCCCACGGATACTGAAGAAATGGCGCTGCTCAAGGAACGGGTCAATGAAGCTGGGAGAGTTGCGGTCAGCGAACTCAAGGAACAAAGTTCGAAGGATGGTGGTCGCAAACGGCGACGGGGTGGGGAAGGGTACTCTCGTGACGATGGAGATAGGGATGATGATGTTGTGGAGGCTGGGATGCCTCAGCGGCATAAGAAAAGTAAGGGGAAGTGATTTCTCTCACACTGGTCCATTAGATTATTTACCCGTATTGGACCTTTCATGTGCTCTATCCCTGTCGGTATGTATGTGTCGTTGTACCATAATTCAATACCGAATTACATCAGAATGCACTGGCTATAAATTTTTCTTAGGCTGGACCTCTTCGGAAATCAGTGCCGATCTATTTTAGGGGTTTTCGGGGTCCATCCGAAGTTCCGAATGTAGGATTGAGCAATTTCCACTCTCTTCTTGCTCTTTCGGTGAGCATAACGCCCACGAGTGCAACCACCACGACGACACGACGATGGATGCCCACATTGACGACCAGCAGCAGAAGGACTACCTCTCGCCTTTCTTTGACCTCGAATCGTTGCAGAATGGAGGCGACCTCGGCATCATGTCGCCTTCAGTGAATGCCCAACAACCTCAATCGATGATGACGAGTGCAACTATGCCCTCTCAAATGGACATGGAAATGCTCGGAAACCTGATGTCGCTACAGGGGATCAACAGTCCTAGCAGTATATCCCCGACGTCCCCCTCTCATCCCCAGTTCAGCACCAACACCGCCACGACAAATCCACAGCTACTCATGGAGCAGCAGTTCAAGCTAGCTCAGCTTCAACAACTACAGCAACTACAAAATCAGATCTTTCAACAACAGGTGAGTCTCTCGATTCGGGCGGTGATGAAGGGGATCTTTTCTTATTGGAGACTCGCCACGCATTTTTCATTCCAACAAGCCATTTGAGCTTAAAATTCGCTGATTCTGATGTTTTCTTCTGGATAGATTGCGCTTATCAGTGGTCAGACGACGGGTATACACGCAGACACCCCTGTTCAAGAACCAATACGTGAACAGCAGCAGGCCAACCGCTATAATCATGGATTACCGACTCCAGGTTCGATTCAGGTTTCAATATCGCAACTGCTCCTCTGAAATCATTTGCAGGTTCTTCCGCAGAACTTCGCGCTCAACAACAGCCCATAGAATATGTATCGCCTATGATTCTAAACTATTTAGAACCTTCCTCCCAGGATAATTATGGCGATTCAGTCATGACTCCCATACCCAGCCACTCTATCTCCTCCCAATTCAACGCCCCACGCGGATCGACTTCTGCCCCTGCCCACATTGCGTTTCGATCCAGCCCATCTCATCCCCCACACGGTGACATAGACGTCGACATATCTCCTTTGACCAGCCCTTGGCTCGGTGCTGAGCAGCATCATTCTAGTTTCTCTCACCGTCAATCTTCTTCCAACAAACGCACGGCTTCCTCTAGCGGTGACGAGTCCTCTTCGAAACCGTCGCGAAAGAAGCAATCCCCCGCCGTCCGGCCTTTCAGTAATGCGAGTTCCACTATTATGACCAAGAGAACGACGAATCCTCGAGGCTCACGATCCACCAATTCCACGCCCCTTCTTCGATCCACACGGTCAAGAAATGGTAGCATCATCAGCAACGAAGTCGTCGGGGATTCTCCTTCTCCTGTAGATTTGTCAATGCCACCTCCAGCGGCCCCCTCGATGAACCAAACGTCAATACCTGATATGTCTGCGGAAAACCCTCCCCCGACCATTACACCCGTTACTCCTGCGAGTATCATGAACCTTGGCAGGCTTGGTGTTGGTTCCAGCAACAATACCCTTATACCAAAAGATGGTTCTGTCGACTTGAAGGGTAAAGCTCCTTCAAAATCATCAACCCCCGCAGCAATTTCCCAGAGGAATAAATCTATGAAACGAGGATCGGTGGGCTCATCTCCTGCTCTGAAGCCCATTCTTCCTGGTAAGATCCATCTGTTGCTCGATCTCACTCTTCTCACATCTTCACCAGCTGGTTCTACCACAGGACCTGCTTCATCTTCTGCGAAAGGTGCCGCTCCCGTCGTCCAGGTCCGTAAAACGTCACACAAAGCCGCTGAGCAGAAGCGTCGAGATTCCTTGAAGACCACCTTCGATGACCTGCGTGGTTTGCTGCCGCCGATACCCCTTCCGTCCGACGAAAAATACCCGCTAGACGAGCCTTTGCTTCCAGGCGCCTTACCACCGCGAGGACCTCCTAAAGCTGGTGGAGAAGGTCCAAATAAGGGCGTGAGCAAGCTGCAATTGCTAATCTGTGGTAACGATTATATTAGGCAGCTAAAAGGACGGGTTGAGAGGAGGGATGAAGAGATTAGGCGCCTGAGGAGCGAAATCGGAAGGCTGAGGGATGTTCTTACGAACTCTACGGGCGGTGTGGGCATTATGGAGGAAGGGTGCGAGCCGGTGGATTTGGAGCGGGACCTGGATGAGATTGAGGCGATCAGCACAGGGTTGTCCAGAGGAGCATCTATCGGCGCTGATGATGAGGCAGACGAAGACGAAGACTAATGTTATTGTTAATACATGCGGTGTATGAGTGTGGTCGAGTGACGCTAAGAAGATTGTATATTCTTACTGGTTATATTATTGTTATCAACTATGCGGTTATGAGAAGCATTTTCTTTTCAAGGCAACATTTTTATTATCCTGAAGCTCCTAAGCTTGAGGCTTGAACATTAAATCTGATCGCAAAACGTATTTCGTTCCCTTGACCACTTCTGAACCTTCATGCAGTAGACAGTCTTGACCGTGCCTGCAAGGGACCATCACGATGAGGCAATGTCGAGCGCAGAGCTCGGATGACGACGCACCGATGCAAGAGAGCTGTACCTCGATTGAGAGGAGCAACCGCAGTTTCATTGGGCCTGCATTTCTCGTTCTTGTAAAATATTGTCTAGTAGTGAGGGTCAGTGTTGGCAAATCAAGTTATGAGTCAAAGACATGCCTCGCCACCCTGTACGCCATCCTCGATCCCAGATAGATAGATCAAGAGGGTCCATTCGGATTTGGCACCTGTTATAGCATCTCGCACGGAATCGTCATAATGAGGCCTGAATACTATGATGATGAGTGTTTCATCAAGCTGAACCGACGGAATGCGACGCGGACCCAAAGTGCTGAGAGGGGGTATACTTATAGAAACGTATATTGGAGTTGAAGGAGTGTGGTTCTCGAGCAGGGAGAGCAGTACCAGATCTCTTGTCTGGTGCTGGGGGCGGAAACAGTGGGAGATGAGGAACAAGCAGCTCGTGTAGGCGTTGAGCAAAATCAGGAGAGGTAACACTGAAACGGTCTTAAAGGACACAGTCAATATTATGAGCGCACGAGGAAAATAGAGTATGTACTTACAATTTACCCTTACCGCCTCTCCACGCCGTTTCGGAGGCGTAAGCTCCAAAGGCAGGTTATCTATGAATTGTGCTACTGCCTTACATTCTGCAGCTGAAAGAAAGTTCTACAGACATTGTGAGTACAGTTTGAGCTATGGCAAAAGACAGTTGCGTACGTCAATGAGAAGAATCTGATTTTCTAGGAGCACTCGGCATTCAAGATGACGCTTGGGGGAGATGTTTGGTAGGTCTAATGATATCCCTTTGGAAGACGACGGCTGCGTGCTAGCTAGTTGCTGCGTCTGCTTAGTAGATTTCTCTTGAGTCTTAGATTTTCTAGCCATGTTGCGTGTACCGACTGTGATGGCTGTTACAAACTTCGTCTGGAAGAACGATGGTGATGTCATCATACTGTTTTTGTTCACGGACATCTTTTCTGAAAATTCTAAGCATTACTCAGATACATATAGGCCGATAAGAAGGAGAGCGTTGGATATAAGTAAGATGGTAGACGATGTGTTAGTTGAAGGGAAAACATTCCATGCATACTCTACGCCTACTAGAAGGGCAATCCTGTACGCATGATCAGCTTGTGCACCAACTGATTTGAGAAAAAAAGTACTTGACCACCAGAGGATACCGTGTCTTCCAAGCTAAAAATGGGAGCTGTTGCGCATACCAACAATAGAACTGGTAGTGAAGGGATCTTGCGAAAAGGATACCAATGAGATTGGAGGTGAACAGGATAACAGCGATAGCTAGGTCCAATTTTAGCTTAGATAGAACAGAGGCAACCTTTGAACTTACATTCTGCTGTCACTGGGATCAGACTTGCCGGAAGCGTAGGACGTCGAAAACCTCGTAAAAGGACTTTAGGCACTCCACCGTCCTGTTTACACCACCGGTTCCATCCAAAGGCAATGAGCGTACAAACGTGTCCTAATAGCAGTGCTCTTCTCCACTGAGGGCTCAAAAATATTTCTTCAGAGACCATTCGCCAGTTTACCGTCCACTTGTAGAGAAACACGCGTGACAGATCAAACGCCCCTTGAGCATACTCTCTCAAGTTGGCTCTGAAAGGAAATGCAACGAGGAACTGGGTGCCGAAAATGAAGGAAAGCCTTCGCATGGTGTAGAGAAATCCTCTTTTCTTGAACAATATGACAAGAAGTCCCGGAAGATAGAGTATTATCGACATCTTGACGGAGAGTGCAGCACTAGACAGAAATAATGATGAGAATGAGCAACGAAACGAAGACGGCATACCTGAAGAACAGGGTTCCCATATAATCATTGCCCAACTGAAATGCCAGTACCGCTGCTTGCATGGCTACGACCGACCAGCAGTCATTGAACAGACGCAGCACGTAGATAGAATGGAGGCGTTTGCTCAGAGGCAGCAGGAGAACTACCCAATTTGACGCCCCCGCCTGCCTGTAGATGGCGCATGACAGCACAAGGGAAAGCAGGTATAGGCCTGAGTAGATGTACTGAACTAGCTTGATGTTCTTTCCAGAGTCGCTGATGGAATGGAGAAACTGGTGAATATAAACGTGTCCAGCTGGATAGCTAGTAATTTGGTGAGGTCGGAATGATTCGTGATGTATGTCCCGAACTCACACAAGAGGTCCTGTGGGGCCAGAGATTTGGGAATAATCGCGTTGTCCCTTCATATACGTCTCAACTTGTATCATGTATGTTTCCCAATCAATCTCTGTATCTGAGGCAGCCAGTTAATTTCGTTCCACGATGAATACAGATGTCTTACAGGGAACAAAGCGAACGATGAAACCGGTAAGAAAGGCATCTGATGCGACAACGAGGGCGGCAAGAATCCAAAAGTATCTTTTGTCGAAGAGCAGTGAACGTATTCGGTCAACTTGCAGGCGGAGGGTGGACATCTCTGATCAGGAACGTGGCACCTGGCCGAGCGCGTCAAACAACTTCAAATCACAGATTTGCATCTGTCTTTCACCAAGCGCGCTCATTCCATTCAGTCGTATACAATCATAGCTATTCAAACGAAATCTAAATTATAGTATAGTGCGACAATTCAACAGTAAAATATCCCGTCGCGACAAACCCTCACTGTATATCTTGCAGTAAAAAATGCGTCTTTCCTTCAAAGTGGACATTGGTCTGACACCATCTGTTCCCCAGCCAAAAGCCCTCCCACGAATGATGTGCGATAGATATCACTCTTGCTCCTTCCAAACAAGTCCGTGATGTATTGCTGAACGTAGCCAAGTTTGGAGTCATGCATAGCGAATTCCTGTGCCGTCGCTATACCGTCGCAAAATCCAGTTTTTGCATCATCTCCCTGACCGCTACCAGGTGCGGAACAGTCGTATTGCGAGATATCTTGAGCCATAGTCTCCGTTTGGTTTTGCGTAAGGTCACGTCCGGGGAAGTTCATTTCATGTGTTGTATGTGATAGTATGCCCTCGACTGACTGGACAAGTTGATCCGTCAAGGGCTCGTTGCAAAAAGGAAAGAAATTTGACGGTAGACAGGTCCCGACGGCAGCTCGAAAACACCATCCTCGATCATCCATGCAATTCTCTTTCTTGTAAGCTACAAGTTGTTGAGTCTAAAGCAAGCCGGGCTCTTGATAGAAAAAAACGCACACCAAAATGACCATCCTGAGACAGCATCGTTAAAAGCTTCCATTTGTGCAGTGCAGAAGTTTCTCCGAGACGAGTTTGGATCGTCTTCGTTCCCAAGGCTTTCCGGAGTTAGCGCACAGGACCATTCTCCGACGTAAAGGTTTGCATGTTCGTGGTAGGAAGCGTTGGAGAGAATGTCGTGTACTTGTGCTTTGATGTCAGCCGTGTGAGACGAAGCAGGTTCGGAGGCGTCCGAGGGTGTATAAACAAAGTACTGATGACTGTCTTGCACGACGAAATCGCTTCTTTGAGAGACGAAATCACTGTAGCGGCCAAGATCGAACCCATCGTGGATGTAGAGGGGAAGTATTGCGGTACATGAAGATATGTTTCTTATCATATCTATCGTCTCTGTATCTAGAAGAATCTCAAATATGTTTATCACCTTTGCTGGATCTGTTTGACTCACAAAAGCGAACTAGGTCGTCACTATCCGCGGGTTCGTTGAGAAGTTCTATGCCAACGAGATTGGTTACTGGCGCGTATCAGAACCGTGAATAAGCGTAGAAAGGTATGGGCGTACCGTTGCAAAGTTGTTCTGCAAGAAATACCAAAATATCCTGTGTCTTTGCCCAATTATCTGGCTCAGAAAACATCCTCGTCTGCCCATCAGAAATACCAGAATGCGGTTGCCCATTTTGGCTTCCTGGAGCTCCATGTAGATCAAGCAGGATGCCGATGCCATACCGTAACGCCCATTCAAACGCCTGTATGATTCGAGACCACGCATTCTCATAGACCTTCGAGAACTGGGAAAAGGGAGTATCCACACAAAAATTCGGCCCGAGAGACCAATATCCTATCGGTAAGCGCACTGTGTTGATTCCCAGACTCGCAATATACTCGAAATCATCCTCGGTAATGAATGTGTCCCAGTGTTGTTCCAGAAGTGACTGAGCATCAGCCAGTGAGTCGCAGCCAGACGCAATGTCATATTCAGATATCTGTTTTCCAGAAGCCTGCTCGAACACAGAGGGTGTCATCCATTGCTCGTGAACGAACCTGGAACTTGTCATATCGCGTTGGAAGAAGGAAAAAGAGACCGCTACCATGAGCCCAAATTGACAGAAAATTGTCGTCGATAACGGTATATGTTCGCCTTTTGACAATCGAACGAAGGAAACTTTGGCTGCGAACATAGAGGGTCTTCACAAAATGGCGTATTGGAAAGTCCGGGATCTGCTAGCTTCGAAGTGAATCCAGTAGGTACCGAGAAAGTTTGGGATGATTCAGTTTGATTGTTGTTGTCCAGCTCTGTATCTTGATAAGAGGTATTTGAGGCATCAAAAGAGTAGGAGCCATATGTTCCGTCGACAGCTACATCCCGAGAAGACAAGATAGAATCTGAAGAACTGACGGAGCTTTGAAGGATTGACCAGAGAAGATAAGCGAAGAAGAAATGAGCTCGGGTAACCATCAGAGCAGAGCGATATTCGAAAGGCGAACAACGCGAAAAGTGACAAGGCCTGCTTGCAAGTTTGATGGAAAGAAACCAACCAAGTTCAGTTGGTGACACTGTTGGTCACTGGCAGGCCGCCGGCTGCTCGGTCCGAACCTTGAACTGAACACTCACAATGCAACGTCGCCGTCCGCTTCCCGATACTCATCCCGAATTCTCAATATACAAGTCCAAGGGATTTCATGAGTATCGGATAGAAAATATACGAAAATGCGCGCGTGTCAAGAATGATGGCTATAGGTGGCCATGGCGGGAAGCAGTGGAAATAGGTCTATTGTCAATGCTCTGGCGAGTCGTACGTCCTCACGGGTTGCCTACTTCATGCAAAACTAATCATATTTGAAGGCACTGAATTCGAGCTGGAGTTACTTTGTGTTTACTATCCCTACCATTCTTTTGCTACGGCACAAGTGCTCACAAGTCGTCTCCGGTACACCTTCTGATGGCTTTGAGGCTTCCAAGTGATAATTTCAGGCCTTTTAGAATCCATCATTGTCATTCCTCCACATGGTGTACAACTCGAAACGCGGTTCGGATTCGAGACTTTGACTCTAAATGTTACTCGGCGATTCATTCCTCTGTCTATTCTTCGTGATGTGGTCATCAACGAGGGTCTTTATGGCTGGAATGTACGCTATTACCTTGCTGCGATTGTTCAAGACGGGTCCGGAGCCACGTCTCTGGCAGTCGCTTTCGAGGTCAGCCACAATTATCTACGAATTGCTTTACTCCAGTGCTGATCTTTTGCTAGAATATTTTGCCACGATTCCCCGTCCTCCTGGAGATTTACAAAGGTGTTCATGATGTGTTATCAAATGCGTGCATAAATTAGACCGACGTATTTATACCTGGGTATAACAATGCTTTTTAAAAAGTAGGGAACTCAAAAAAGCTGTCCAAACGATGTCCCAGACATCAATAATCAGGCGAGGTGAGCACCCTCTTCACTTTCATAGGCACTAAGGAGGTCATCGTAGCCCTCATCGTCCCCTTCTTCGGCAGCACTATCTCTCGTTCGTCTCGCCGCCCTGGCAGTATCAGTTGACACCTTTCTAGTGCGAGATTCTGTAGAGATCTTCCTCGTCCTTGCGGCTTCGTTGCTGTCCCCATTTCCATCTGAAGAGGCCTTTCGTGGTCTTCGAACCTTTGTTGATGGAATGTCATCCCCTTCGAAGCTCGACGCCTTCGGAGTGTAGACAGTTTCCTGTTCAGGCCACTCTACGCTCAACGAACCTCCTTGATCTGGCTGGCTTTGGCTGCGGGTGGCATCGCGAATACGGAGAGGTGGAGGACGAGATGGCTGTCGTCGTCGAGAGCGAACTCTTGAGTTTTGTGAAGGCGCACCTGCGATTGACGAATCGGATGTGTCGTCTGCATAGTTAGTGGGAGGAGGGGTCTTCTTTCGAACGAGCTTTTTCGGTTGGGGCGGAGGTTCGAGCGGAATGATGTCGAAGGGATCATCGGGGGCAGAAGGGTCGGTGACACTTGGCCCGTTGTCATGAAGTGAAACACTGATAGGTGTTTTGGGGGGCGGAGGTGAGGACAAAGGAGGTGAATCGGCTGAATCGATTCGACCCCAGCCATTGGCATCGCCGGGTTTGAGTACGATGTCTCCCTGAGAACTAAAAGAAAGCGCTTGTATGTTTCGGTCTGGTGAAGCTGTCGCTGATGAAACTGAAGCCTGCCGTGAAGACGAAACTCTGAATGTTGGAGCCATAGGAGACACAGATCTCCGGTTCAAAGGAATCCGTCTACTGGAGCCTCCTGTGTCAGAATCATTGTCTGAACGAGTAGCTCTCAGAAGAGCATCTGACGCTGAGAGAGAAGAAACCGAGGACTGGGATTCTCTGTGGATCGCGCGCTGTCCTTTTGTTCTCCGAACGTCACTCCATTCATCAGCTCCAGGCTGAGAAGGGACTGAAGGCGGACGGTTGCTATTTCGACTAGTGATTAGAGAAGAGGAATTGAGAAGTAACGGGCGCGGCCCAGTTTTTCGCGTCGGCTGACCACGAGTCAAGGAAGACAGCGACGCTTGAAGATTCTTCGTTCTGTCTATCAAAGAGGGTGTGCCCTCAGGCGTGGGTTCACGGGCTGGACTGTTGGGAGCGGAAAGTGTAGCCTGATGTCCTTCCGGAAAGATGGTACTGTCACGCGGTGGACGGAAATAAGCTGGTCGGGTGGGTGGTGAATATACACCTGAACGGTCCGGGCCAGGCAAAGAACCACGTCGTGGTCCTTCAACGTTCTTAGGGGACCCGCCTTCCTGAGAACGTGGAGATGTGTGCTCTGCAACAGCACTGGGTGCTTCCTTTCGAGTGCCCCAAGAACCTGCTAAAGCCTTGGCTCGCCAGTTTGTGCTGACCTTTGCAAGCGCAGCAGCAGCATCCGAATCCTTCAATTTTTCGGCATAACCCCATAACCGCGTAGATGCAGGGACATACGACGTCGAAGGTGCTTTTTCCTCTGCTGTTGCAGGCGAAAGAGAAGCTGAGGTCGGCAGTGGAGATGGAGGGACAGTCGCAGGAGAGATTGGTGACGGCGGTGGCTCCATTGCTGATTGATTTGTGATACCTTTCCATACCGTAGAAGCCAAGCGAGATGTAATACCAGGATTGAGGTCTTCGGTGGGTCTCTCTGTCTCATTGCCATCGTCATGCAATGGCTCTTCGTCGCTGTCTGACGCATCGGGCGACCTTTCCGGAGACGGTATTTGATTCGTAAAGCCCTTCCACATCGTTACTCTGATACGAGCGCCTAGACTGAGTTGGTCATCCTTCGCGGCTTTTGACTCCTCTTCCCGTCTGTGCAACAGGTCGAAAGCGGCTTGCATTATGGTGTCAATCCCACCCGCAGACACAACCGGATAATGTTGCAGCAGTGTCATTCCCTCGACAAAGGCATCACCCAGTTCCCAGGGATGTAGCGGAGAAGGCGGCGGTACAGTTTCCACTTCCTGTGCCCACAGACCTGGAGATCGGTGACCGCTCTTTCCCAATCTTCGCAATTTCATCAGTTACGAAGACCAAAGAAAGAATATAATTACACCTACCGAAATAAGGCAACTCGTGCGCGAATGAGCATCGCAGTGCACATATCAATGAGGAACTCGAGTCTGGGACTAGCATCTCGTTGTCGGGCCTGACGGGAAAATATACCATCCCACGCAACGAGAACTGAGTTGTAGGATAGTGTCTGAGTCAAGAGTGGGGCAAGCCATCGACTGGTGATACGATGAGTCCTGAGATTGCTTCAAAGCCCTGAGTTCACTTACTACGAGAAATGAGGCAAGGCAGGACTTAATCCTTTGCTTTCCTATAAGTGATTGTACTTGAGTAATTTGGAGCACCAATATAGGTGTAAATGGCTCACCAGGCTGTAGTGGAGATCTGAATCTGCCCATGCTAATCGCTCTCCAAATTTCTTCATCCATACGGTGCTCCCGTCTTCGTCTTCCAGCTCAGAGAATTCTGCAACAACGGCTTCAAAAAGCCAAAATGTGTCTGCCTCAGCATGAGCGATGTCTTCCGGTTCGATCTCTTGTATGAGGACAGAATATAGAGGAACGAGTAAGTTTGGAATGTGGGGGGATAAATTTCCGGGGTTAATGGCGGAATGTATGTAAAGAAGGCGATATAGAGCTGACATGTGTTTTGGATGGGCCTTCCCTCCACTCAACGACTTCGATACGAACAAGGTGGGAGGTATATTTGACCGCCGTGTTGAAAAGGTTCCTTGCGGGGAATCCTCGTTTATAGCCGGCTCCGTTTCGGATTCAAGACGAATCTCAGGAATGCCTATTGAGGCTGAGGGAGATTGAACAGCTTTGATCGCTTCCAATCGGCGATCCAGATTGCTCGCACAGAATATTCTTGTTTCTTCGGGACAAAGATCGTCCAATGGACATAACGGAGAAGATTCCGGCTCGTCCACAAGACAGGCAAAAAGGTCTGGGGGAACGCGAGATAATTGTTTGGAAACATTCTCCAAAGCTGTATCCAGGACAGAAAGTGGCGTTGTAGGAGGCTCGGGTACATTCAATGGTTCCAGCAGCCGACGGACTAAATCCTGTGGGAGAAGATGAGAAAGTGCGCGTTTACATATCATTAAAATCACTTGCATAATAACTCTTGCGTTGGTTGCCTATTTCCTTGCTCCATGACGATTTCAAAACAGGAAGGATGCCAAAGAAGAGCCTTTAAACTAGTCAGAATAGACTAATAGGAAGATGTTCGATAAGGAAGACTTACTTCCATATCCGCGGGCGCAGCCACGGCGGCTGGTCGGGTATACCTTAAAGTATGGTAGTGAGCATGGATAATGCAACTATTGACGCACGCATACCTCGAGAACACAATTTCCTCAACCGAGGAATATCCACAAGAGGAGAAGAATCAGAAGCCAAAATCTCAGACAGTTCATTTAATCTAGCGTAGTTTCAGCAAGGGCACCGTGCAGAACGAGGGAAGACCGCGGACATATCCTGCCTGGGAGGTTCTGGCGTCCATGTGACGCCAAACATTTTAGCAATTGTCGTTAGATACATATCAAGGTTTGCAGAGGTTGGTGGGGGAGAAGAAAGGGATTTCAAAACCTTTGACCGTCATCAGCACGGACACAGCACGGACAGAGAGTCCTACATACACGAGGCGACACGTAATTATCGCGATTGGTCGTAGCGGAACGTGCAAAATCATGGCCCAGACGTTGAACAAGGAAATCCCGGACAATGTGAACATCTGGATCATGGTTCTTTATAAGTGTTCTTGCAACGAACAGCTGACGTGCCTTTGGAATCCACATAGGGCGCAGAGAAGATGATGGTCGAAGCTGCTTCGACTATGACTGGACTGGGTGAATTGCTGTGATACACATCGTTGGTCAGGACGTTGGAGCTCCAGCTGGTCAGACGCACTTGTGTTCTAATTCCTGGAAATGCTCCAACAAAAGACTCGAATACATTGCTAACATCTCAAGCACGTCACCCGCCGCATCCTCTTCGATGAGCTTCTGTGCCTTTGCCCGGGCGAGAACAATGTTGCCTTGCTGTAATAAAGTGGCAATGTCCCGTCGAGTAATGCTGGATTTAGAGTCATTTCTTTCCTGAAGTTGCCCAAGTCGTTGTCCAGTGAGCCGCAGTTGGTACTGAGCATGTTTATTAGATTAGATGTCAAGAGACCACGATCAGGCAGGACAGACCTTGACAGCATTCGGGTCCCATTTGTCGTTAGACATGGCTTGTCGTGAAAACGTGAGAAGAGACAGCGGTCACTCCGGGTGGCGTTGGTCAAGTCGAACGACCGTTGGACTTTGAAAGCCTTGCGGATTTCGTAGACGGTCAAGTCCTCCAACCGGCATAAAAACACCTCAGGTCCTGGATTTTGCATAGCTTTGTCACGTGTGGGTATAAACACCCCGCAGCTCTCGCACCAGTCCTTTAGCGCTCAGAGTGGCTTCAGAGGGGCTTGCAAGTTACATGGCATTCTACTAAGCGAATTATATATAAAAGTACATGTCTATAATACTATTTACGGCTCCCACCCAAAAGGTTCTATCTCACACCGCGGTCACAAGGCGGACCGAACTAACCTGTTGAGAGCTTGTACGTGAGGCAGAGGAACGGACTCCGCTCGGGCCTGGTAAACTTGTACCATACGTGCTAGGTCGTGGCATCCTGGGGGGTCTGGAGGACGCTAAGGGTGAAGGACCCGAAATGTAGAGAGATTGCCTAGGCGCCGTGGATTGGATAGACTTCGGGCGCCGCATGTCCTGTCCAGATATCCTTCGTGGCTGCGAAGACGATTGGTCCGGAATGGGTAAAGACCTTCTCGGAGCCGTAACATGGATGTTCGAAGACGTCGGACGGTAGACCTCCCGTGATGTCCCTGCCATACTTTGGGTTGACACCCGAGCACCTCCAGAATACATGGCACTCGAGGACCAGGGACGGTGTACTTCCTGTTGCGACATTCTAGTTAAAGTAGGACTTGGGATGGAAACGCGAGGTCCTGTGGGTGTTACTGACGACTGGGGGCGGGATTCCGACATTGAAGGCGTCGAATCACGACCAATGTCCATCACTTCCTCGTCAATCAAATCGACCCTCAAAGGTTTGTCTGCCGACGCTCGAGTGCGATATACAAACACACTAAGACCGATGACATAGATGATCACTGTCAAGAGGGTCTGGAATTAAATCAAGCCATGCGTGTAAATAGTTGGCTCACCGTGCGCCGTGACAATCCAACTTAAAACAAGGATGTATATATTGTACAGTCTGCATTGTTCCCTCTGCGTAGCATCTAATATAGATTGTCAAGACGGCCTAGTGTCAGTAAATCGTCATTAACTCACTCGCAGGACAGGCGTAACGAGGAAACCAGTAAGTGAATGTTGTAGCAGTGCCTATGGTGGGACTGTCAATGGTCGTGGGGCGACGAGATAGCCATCCAACGTACTGATATGAATGACCAGAAGAAACAAGAATCGAATGGCATCAAGCCAAGGCCTAAATGATACCAGTATTCTTCCGGCATTAGCTAGATTTAGTATCATACTGGACTAAAGATTGGAGGAGGTGGACATACAGGATCGGAAGCATAATTACAGTAACAGTATGTGTCAGGAGCATTAGAATAATCATATAGCCTAGGACACATAAGCGACAAGTTAGAGGAAACAACAAAGAGTGCTCGTACGTTCCGAAGAGATCGTTGTATCCCATTGCGTAAAGATTTGGATGCAGAAAAGTATGATGGCCAGCAAGCTAAGGAATGAGATCAGGCCTGTTGGAGGTGGTAAGTGACGTGTGAAAAAGCAGCATGTCAACGCGTACCAAGCCCGATAGCCCTAATTTTCAGAAAAGCAGGAGAATAATCCATATTCGCCATGGGTATCAAGAGTACTGGACCAGCCAAGTTTCAAAGAACGTGGGCGTGAAGGATAGACAAAGGCAGCTTAGACACCAGACGGAGCCATCATGGCGGTCGTAGAAGCGGAGGGTGCCACCTGTACTTTGCTTTTGTTCTTCTTAATGCCACAAAAGGGCCTCATTGTCCGACGTCAGAAAATAACTACAACACGAGTCAATAGAACACCGGCCGCCGGTAAACCGCCAGAATCCATGTCGCAGCCACGAATACCGTCAAGAATTTCGATACTGCATGAATTCCCGTGCAAGTTTGTACGAGGCGAGCTAGTTACCTTGGCCAGACGGAGATAATATGGTTATAGATGTGGAAAAAATTTGAAATGCTGTGGTCACGATTTTTGGTATTTCTTCGTGACACTGATAATCGAGTCACCATCTTGATATCGACGACCACTACTGTATCGAAAAAATGACAGATGAACCAACGAAACAAAAGCTATGGGGCGGTAGATTTACCGGAAAGACGGATCCGTTGTAAGTGTATTTACTCTGACCGCGTTCATCTCTCATTCTGTTCAGGATGAATGACTTCAACGAGTCGTTGTCTTACGACAAGCGAATGCATAACGCAGACATCATTGGATCGATCGCCTACACTAAAGGTCTACGACGCATCGGCATTCTGACCCCCGACGAGGAAACCAAAATGATCAATGGTCTAACGGAAGTTGGCAAGGAATGGCAGGAGGGCCGAGTCAGTGAATCTTGAATGCCCCTGCGAAACAGAATACTAAAACGTATAGTCAGTTCCAAGTGAAGCCAGACGATGAAGACATTCACACTGCAAATGAGCGTCGACTTAGTGAACTCATTGGCCCACTGGGGGGGAAACTTCATACTGGACGTTCACGGAACGACCAAGTCGCGACGGATATGCGACTATGGCTCCTCGGAGAAGTGAAAATCATTGAAGAGAGTCTGAAGGCGCTCATTCGAGTCATAGTCGAGCGCGCAGATAAGGAGAAGGATATTCTTATGCCTGGATACACCCACCTTCAAGTGAGATTTTCCTTTGCCTGTCTTATGTGCTCTCATGAATCCCAGCGAGGGCAACCCATTCGTTGGTCTCATTTGCTTCTGTCGCATGGGTTCTCCTTCAAATCCGACCTCGACAGACTTAAGCAGCTTGTCCCTCGCATTTCTGTTCTGCCTCTTGGCTCTGGTGCTCTTGCAGGGAATCCTTTTTGCATCGATCGCGAGTTCCTGGCTAAAGAATTGGGATTCGACTCTGTTGCCGAAAACAGCTTGTGGGGTGTTGGAGACCGTGACTTCATTGTCGAATTCATGATGTGGTCCAGCTTGGCCATGACACATCTCAGCCGTATGTCAGAGGACCTCATTATCTATTCCACCGCAGAGTTTGGATTTGTCACATTGAGTGACGCGTATAGGCGAGTCTTTCGCTATGTTATGCAGATTTATACGACTGACAGTAATCTTAGCACCGGCTCGAGCATGATGCCTCAAAAGAAGAACCCGGACTCCCTGGAGCTTTTGCGAGGGAAATCTGGACGTGTTTTCGGAAATGTATGTCGGTTAATTGAGGTCTTAGCTTAGTCTAACCTTTCTCGTTTCAGATGGCAGGTTTCTTAATGACCTTGAAAGGTTTGCCGTCCACGTACAACAAGGATCTTCAAGAAGATAAGGAACCTCTATTTGACGTCGTCGATACTATCCATGCCGCATTCAAAATTGCCGAGGGTGTCGTGGCTACGTTGGAGGTTAGTGCAACCTGTCGAGCAAATAGATCTTTGTCAAATATATTGTATTTCAAGGTTCACGCTGACAAAATGCGTCAAGCTTTGACAATGGATGTGCTCGCAACCGACCTCGCTGATTATCTTGTTCGTAAAGGGGTGAGTGTCTATTTTGGCGGGGCTCTGCCTACTAGATATTAACGTTCGAGATAGATGCCCTTCAGAGAGACACATCATATCTCCGGCAGGGCTGTTGCTCTAGCGGAAGCCCGACAATGCCAAATTAACGAACTGTCCTTACAAGATTACAAGAGTCTGAGCGACAAGTTTACCGAGGACGTTGTAGATGTTTTCGATTTCGAAGCAAGCGTTGAGAGGCGGCAAGCTATTGGTGGGCCGAGTCGTGTCATGGTGGATAGACAGGTGGCTGTCCTTCGGTCCGCCTTGTCGCAGTAACGTATGTCATTCGTACAGCTATAAAAGAGCACTTGTAGGAAATTAGAAACGAAGGTCTTACATACGTACTGCATTGGTAGTGATCACTGCCTCATTTCTGCCATATTTGCGGTTGTTATCGGCCAACTTGAAGCCGCGTTCGTGCCTTAACCCTCAAACGCCGTTCTTCCTCTTCTCCTCACAAGCAACCGATTCCCAATTATCCAGTATAACAATTTCTGGTCTATTTCGTCTTCGAACCATCACTAGCATTCCGCTTTTCTCAGTTTTCCTATCCGTTTCCACGTCACAACCACTATGGCCAGGGATCGTCTAGCAGCCATGAGGGTGCGTTTTTCTAGGATGTCACCAGCCTAGAACAAGAAGACTAAGTCCTTTTCTTCTTACACAGGCTCAGCAGCAAGGAGGAGCCAATAACTTAAGCTCGTACGTTCGAACGATTTACATCCACAAAAATACCAACGGACTTGGTGTCTTAGTAACTCCTATCCCACTCAGGCGCAGTACCAAGGCGGGTACCAGCGCCAAAATCCCTACGCTCAGCAGGATGATCGTTCATACGAGATGAACGAAGTAAAAGATGGCAGCGCCACTCAACTAACATCTGGTATGAACGGCGACAGCATGTCCGCATTTTACACCGAGGTCAGCCCACTTGGAGACAAATACCCGTCCCTTACCGTTCTTCGCAGATTTCTTCTATCCAAGACAGCCTACGGACGTTCAACGATAATGTGGCTCGCATTGGTGATCTACACTCGCGGTCACTGAATAACATGGATGACGCCGCTGCTCAAAGAAACGCTGCACACTTGGATGAGCTCGTGGAAGACACCAGTGCTCTCAGTTCTACCATAAAGAGACGTATCAAAGCATTGGAGAAGCAGGGCGGTACTGGGCGAGACGGGCAAATTCGCAAACAGCAGGTGCGAGACCCGGTCACCACGCTCATGGCTGTTGATCTCACGCTCTATATAGACCGCATTGGTGAAGTCCAAGTTCGTGGAAGCTATTCAAAGCTATCAGACTGTGGAGCAACAGTATCGCACAAAATACAAGCAGCGGATGGAGAGGCAATTCAAAATTGGTGCGACTCCTTTGGCGGAAAATCGCTTTGACTCAATGGTGACCTTCATCATTAGTAAAACCCGACGCATCACCGGAAGAAGTCAGAGCAGTTGTTAACGATGAAAATGGCGGGCAAATATTCAGCCAAGCGGTGAGTAGAGGGAAGAATACTGCGATTCAAAGTGCTAATACAGCCTGTTAGCTTTTGAGCTCCAACCGATATGGAGAGTCGCGAGCAGCATACCGAGAAGTCCAGGAACGGCATGAAGACATCAAACGTATAGAGAAGACCTTGGGAGAGCTTGCTCAGTTGTTCAATGACGTAAGTCCTGCTAAGTTTTCTCGAAGTCTATCATTGACTAACATATGGAATCAGATGAGCGTCTTGGTAGAACAGCAAGATGAGACTATCAACAATATTGAAACGCAAGCTGCAACCGTTGAAAGGGACACTGAGGCTGGGTACATCAAATCATTCCTATTGCAAGTATACAACTGACGAGTCATCTTTAGCCTTGGGTACACCGAAAAGGCGGTCGTCTCCGCCCGTGCCGCTCGTAAAAAGCGATGGATCTGTTTCTTCATTACCCTCATCATTCTCATCATCGTTGGTGTTGTCGTGGGAGTTGTAGTTTCGCAACAGGTCAACAAGAATACCACCAAGTGATCACTTATGGCTTATCTTTTTCCAGAGGAACCATACTTAGGCTGAGGTTCCTGCAGCATGTTAGCCTAGCAATTCTTATTTATGACAAGGTATTAGTTACTTCCGTACCCGCAACCCTCGTTTGCTCTTGGTTCCTCTCACAACTACCTGTACATACACTTCATTGTCCTTCCTTTATGTCCTGCTTTTCTATCTTAATGCCTTTTTATTATGGTAATGCAATCGGACAGTGGATGATATATACCCTACCACATACGTTCAACTCCTGAGAATAGAGCAAGTATATACGCTCGGGATGAATGAGTAGTTCGTGAGGTCACAATCAAGTTTACCTGAACAGTGAAGCTGGATATTTTAATCTATGAAGTGTTGGATAAACCAGTCCACTACTTTGCTGCAGGTAATTGGATGTAATTTTACGAAGTTGAGGACTTTGAAGTTTGGTGGGGCACGAGACTTACCGTAATGTAATATAGATTACTATCACTGGGGAATCTGAGGTGTTACACTTGTCTAAAACTTAAACATTGACTTCTTCACTTTCAAATCACGTGGACGCAGACATGCCTGAAACAGCCTGATTTGACGAAAGATAGTCAAGAATACCTTCACAGAAGGGAAAATGAAGATTCTAGACAGTTGACGCCTCCTAGATAATTCCAAAGAGATGGAGGTATATTTTGCGACGTTATTGACGTTGCTGAAGAGACTTTGATCATCCCTTGGATGGGCGGCCTCCTGGTTGTAAGGAAATCCATCCGTCACCGCACTGTCATCAAGCTTTCTAGTCCAAGTAACTCTCCGAATGGATCGCAGGATAAATAGATCGCTTGCAAATAGGCAGGGCGATACCATCTTCCACATTAGTAGAAGTTCCCTGAACCGGGTACAGATTGGATTACCTGACCGACACTAGCGATCTGAGCCCCCCATTCCCCCCTTCCTTTGTGACCTTCAAGGGAGGTTCGGAGTTGGTGATACGAGCAATCTGTTCTATATCTGTGACTTGAAGTGAGCTGGCGTCAAGTCGCAAGAACCACCCCGCACAAGTCGTCTCAAATGACGCCACAGGCCGCCTCAGCTCAAGGCTTCTATCATGCCATCTAGAGGTCCCTATCACTGCCATCAGTGGGGTGTGAATGGGCGCAACTTGTGAAGAGCCGTGACCTAGACTATGGTTTTCGTATTGAAAACCCTGAAGTTAATGTCCAACTTGTCGCCGCCTCCACACCGAAGCATTGCATATGTGTACACCGTCTAAACGGCCCGTATCGCATTGCCATAGCAGGGAAGGTGGTCCAGCTTCGCTTTCTTTGGCTAGCCAAGGGGATGATAATTGGTTTGTCGTCAAAGTGCCACTAGTCGTGAGGCTCGGCGTGAAAGGACAATCAAGTGAATAGCCGAAACAAGTATCATCGTGCGGCCGTCATCAGAAAAGAGTTGAGACAACAGGGATAGATGGTCTAGATCTTGAGATACTTATACACACTGATCGCTTTGCTTCTCCATGCTTTCAGATGTTCAGAGATGCCAATTAATGATAGCTTGTTGATGCATTGATGATGTCGAGTCCATTAAGGGATGATCGATAGAGGTCGAATGGGTCAAGTTCCAACGATGGTAAATCCGCTGGAATCCGGATCGGAAAAGATCGTACGGAAAAGCCGTCGAACATGGATCAAAGTAGCTGCACGCGTGACCTAACTGCATTGATAACACACGATGGCCTTGTGACGAACCCTATGAACGGCATCCGCACTGCAATGCAATTGGTTCGGAAGAAAAGGAAAAGATGTTCACCGCGCAAACAATTTTATGCGCATTGCATGGCTCGGTCTCGGAATCTCGGATGCGCCGTCCGAATTGGAAGACCACCGAAAATAGAAGCAAAATTGCCTTCTTGGGAATGTCACTGAACAGCCACCTCTTCCACGTGGCGCTTACGCGTCCCGCTCAATATAATATATAAGCCTTTCCACAACTTCCGATTGACAACACCCCACATCGACGACTCCCTCTGTTCCTCTTCTTTCCCGCCCACAGTGAGCCTTTTTTTTGCAAATATTTTGTGGTCCCATACTTATTCAAGTGTTTCAAGGTTCCTAGCCTGTCCACGTCGTTACCCCGCTTATCTGTCCACCCGACTACATATTTTACCGACCCTCCATGCCAGCCAAGAAACGTTGCCAATTTCAGATCAATACCGAGAGCCAGTGCAATTCTGCGGCGCTACGACTTGTAGGAGAGTGCCCTCATTGTCTGGCGCAATTTTGTGGAGCAGTGCGTTGCCTCTTGACCTCCTGATGCCCCAGACCTGTCTGATCTGTCTCTTTACTTAGCACCGCCTTCCAGAACACCATAGCTGCAATAACTTGGAGGATTGCCGACAGCAGGCTTTCTTGAAAAACAAGGAGAAACTGGAGTCTGAACGGACTGTGGCGTCCAAGATGGCTACAGCGTGACGATTCCTCCCGAACATTATCCGCGACACCAGCTGGCTGTGGCTCTTATACTGCCACCAACCGGCAGACACACGACTGTTGTTTACTACCTCCGTACATATCTACCTACGCATAACGGACCACCAATATTGTCATTAGTAGTTCCCCGCCGTTGTCATGCTTTCCCGAGTATCTATTATGTATAGAAGACGCTTATAATATTTTTACTGCCTCTGAGCGTGCCGGATGAGAGCCCTGGATACTCCTGTAATTGTCCACATGATGGAAATATGCGGCGTTGTAAGACACGGAACGGCATTGGTGTGGGGATGCGGAAATAAGCTGGTTCCCCTCCTTCCTAACTGAGGAGTATATAAAGTCCCTTAGCTGGACTATGGCTGGAATTCCAACAGCCTCTCACCTGATTACCATCACCATCGATTCCCTCTAGAGTTTTGCAGGAGGTCCGTGCTTATCTCGCTGCTTTCTTGCTATTGCTCACTCCCGGTTTATCACATGCAGTCTTGATACCGTACTTGATAAATACAACGTCCTAGGTAGGTCCTTCTTCACCGTCCACCACGTCGTCCAGAGCATTCTGTTGCCTGTCTCTCTTGAACCGCCAGTACTGATTCCATGGCGACCAGAATACAGCAACTTATAAACCATATATCTCAGCCACCAGCAATAATCATGTCGGCAGGTGCGTGTCTCCCTCTCTCTTGCTGCTACGTGTCAGACGCTCATTTCTTCCCAGAATCTTGGCAAACCGTTCCTCTTGCACCCCCTGACAGGTTGGTGCACATGCACACCGTCATGAGCCACATCGTCTGACCGGATATACCAACAGCATTTTCAAGTTAACTGCGGCCTACAAGGTCGACAAGTTTGATAAAAAGATCAATCTAGGCGTCGGCGCGTACAGGGATAACGACAACAAACCGTGGGTGCTTCCCGTCGTTAAGAAGGTACGTGATTCTGGATCCTTTCTAGAGTCGTTTAACCGGACTTCCAGGCCAATGAATTGTTACTTTCCAATCCCAACATAGACCACGAGTACTTGCCCATCACTGGGTTACCCGAATTTACGTCCGCCGCCGCAAAACTGATTCTTGGAAGCGATTCCCCCGCCATTAAAGAGGGCCGCGTCTCAAGTGTCCAGACCATCTCCGGCACCGGTGCGAACCATCTTGGCGCTTTATTTGTGTCTAGATTCTATTCTTGGAGCGGTTCCAAGGAAGTTTTCCTCAGTGATCCCACTTGGGGTGAGTTGACCAGTACGGTGCTCCGTTCATATCTCATACCTTTTCCAGTCAATCACCACGCCATTTTTAAGAATGTTGGTGTGACCCCAAAAACCTATCCCTACTATGATCCTGCTACCATCGGGTTGGATTACGATGGCCTCATCGCGTCGTTGAACGCTGCTCCTCCTCGTTCTATCTATCTACTTCATGCCTGTGCACATAACCCCACCGGCGTTGACCCAACAAAGGAACAATGGACCAACATCGCTGATGTCATGCTCGAGAAGGGCCATTACGCGTTCTTTGACTGCGCCTACCAAGGGTTCGCAAGCGGAGACTTGGAAGGAGACGCCTGGGCCGTTAGGGAGTTTGTCCGAAGGGGCGTTTCCCTCTTAGTCTGTCAAGTATGTTACGCCATCTTGCTTTGTACCTTTCATTTACATGTTGGTTACAGAGTTTCGCCAAGAACGCAGGTCTGTACGGAGAACGTGTCGGTGCGCTCCATGTCGTATCGCCTACCCAAGAGACCGCAGCTCGTGTTACGAGCCAGCTTTCGGTGCTTCAGCGCAGCGAAATCAGTAATCCGCCTACATATGGTGCCCGCATTGTACGTGGCCGTTTCATGTGTGATGTCATGTGGAGTAACGACCTTGCAGGTATCACTGATCCTCAACGATCCGACATTGTTTGAAGAGTGGAAACGTGATATTGTGACTATGGCGGGCCGCATTATCGAGATGCGCAAGCAACTGCACCATTTGCTGACTGTTGAATTGAAAACACCCGGCAACTGGGATCACATTATCAATCAGATTGGAATGTTCAGGTAAGTTTTAATGATTCTCAGAATGAACATGGGCTGACGCAGCCAAAGCTTCACCGGCATCAACCCGGAGCAGAGCAAGGCGCTGACGGAGAAAGCCCACGTATACCTGACGGTGAATGGCAGGATTTCAATGGCCGGCCTAAATACCCACAATATCCGCTACTTTGCTGAGAGTTTGGACAAGGCTGTAAGGGGCTCACTTTGAAGAGCTGTGATTACGTTTAGAGTACAGTAGTTCGTTGTCGTTATCCTTAATGTTTAGTTTTTGTGTTCTCGATTTGTAAATATACTTAACTCTACTCAACGCACACCCGCGGATACGTCACAGGCACATGGCTCCAACAATACGTCATTTTGACCTCCGAACGGAAATTGATGTCCGTTTTGAGAACGTCTATACCTTGAACTTTTTCATCACTGAAGCAAACAAGGATATCGGGTCCTGCTATCGTCACCGTTACCGTAGTCGTGTTTGTCCTTGGTTTTATCATGTTGTTCACTGTCGCTGACGTTCTGCTCCCTTTATTTCGTCGACTGCTACAGGGCTCCACCCCGCTCCAGTCTGGAACGAGGCTGCACTCGAGGTATTCGAGTCCGTGCTGTTCGTCAAGTTGTATGCCGTTCAGATCCGTTTTGCGTCATTGTCCTCGTGCGCGCTGGCCTCACCGCGTTGAGTCAAGCAGCCTAAAGTTGTACGACTGGCGCTTCTCCCCAGTTCAATTCTTCTTCCCTCAAGTCCGTTTTCTTCCACCGTCATGCGTTTTCTTCCCCCTCACCTCTAATTATGGGTCTTGTAGTGTCCCTTGTTGAATCTCGTTTTTCTGACTCTTCAGAGTCCTCGTCGGGCCAGGCGCCTTTTTCCGACTCTTCTACTGCTCCCATGCCTTCACTTTCGGGCCCTACGCCTCGCCACCCCACTCACATCAACCTTCCGCCTCCATTTTTCTCTTCTGTATCCCTGTCACCGTCGCCTTCGCACAGACTTGAAGATCCGTTCGCTAGTCCGCTCATTTCCCCCGCTCTGACCTTTTATACGGCCCCGTCGTCCCCGATTGTTTCTCCGCTTGTCGATGAACCCCCGGAAACCAGTCAGGCGATGGTATGCGACCCTCCACCTCAGAACGTAGCCATAGTGGTTCCTTCGGCTCAACAGTATCAGGCCATCGGGAGCCATGCTTCTCCTCATTTCTCCCCTGCCACTCGATCAATGGGTTTCTCCAGCGCGATGGGTCCTACTCAACAACCCTTTCCGCCCGTGCCTCAGACCGATGACACTTTCCCTGAGGTTTCTGGCCTTGATTTGGCCTTAGACGATGAAGGACCCGAATTAAATCCCCTCGAGAAAATATATCTGTATTCCGTCAGCAAGGCGACATACCATCGGGTCTTTATTTCTCGCGATCTGCCCAATCTTCTTGACCAAATTGCTCCTCAAGAAGCAGTGGAATACGTCCTTCCCTTATTGCAAGTTTTGTCGAAAGACCAAGGTGCGTAAAAGTGGTCATGTTTCAGATTCTTATGGCTGGCAATGACACATCTTCACCTCCAGATGAATCCGTTAGAGAGGCCTTAACATCGGGTCTTGCCTCGGTGATCTGGTGGTTTTTGACAGTAAGTCTCGCCTTATATTCTCAGTCAATGTCAATAACATGTCGCTTTACAGCACTGTCAGGTCGTCGCCACAATGGACAATCAGATCAACTCATATCCGACGTCCATATCAGTTCATGCATTCACACCAATTCTTGGCAGACTTTTACTAAGTCCGAATGGCTTGGTAGGCAGCTCTGCTAAATGTGTGGTTGTAAACCTTCTTCAGCGCATCAGAGAGGCTGATGGTCTCGAAGATATGATGCAGGAAACTGAGAACCGCCAGGCCAAACTTGGTATACCCATACCTGGCATCAGGGTTTCACCACAATCAGACGATTGGGTCGCGGATTCGTCTTTCGTTCCAAAAGCCTCGCTCAATGAAGATTTAACGATAGGTCTCTTTAGAAAGAACGAACGAGTCCTATTTGAACAGGAAATTTTATGGGATTTGGTTGCTGGGCTAGATCGGCTCATCTTGGACGGCGATTCGGACTTGTTGCCAGACCAGAGTCCTCGTAGCGATTCCACTAGCTTTTCTGACCCCTTTTCTGACTCTGTAGGGCGTCAAACAGATGAGCAAATTACTTCGTCGCCGTCTGCCGAAGATTTATGGCAGAAAGAGAACATTAATCCATATTTTCCTGTCTTTCCATTGGCATCGAACAGCTGCTCTTCTGGCACCGGAAACGACACGGACTCCCCCTCCACTGTCTCAAGCAGTGACTCTTCTAACTCTTCAAACCCAAGCTCAACCAGTGGAACACCTGCTCTTTCAACCTCTTCCTCTTCCTCACGGACATCTTCTAGCGAGACTCCAGCATCTGACAGAACATGCTCGAAGGAGTCACCTTTTTCAACTACATTGATACCCCAGCAACATAGCATACCCTCTCAAATGTCACCCATTCCTTCTTCATCCTCTCCTGATATAATTATTCACAGCGCACCACCTACTTATTCACCTCGACCTCAACACCCCCACCATCGCAGGTCCAATTCCGATTCAAGGCTATCAGTCCCGTCTGATGTCACGTTAGCCAATCATCGGGTGCAGGCGGACTCCTACAACTCGTCATCCGGTTTTGTTCCGTTCGGTCCTGTGACAAGCAATGCTTTGGCCCTTGACAGTTTGCATCCATTACAAGATCGCAGCCACTCACCTATACGATCACCCGACTTGCCACTTCCGACAAACTATCAGACTTCCACACTACTGCCGGCATCTAATGGCACACCAAACTCTGACGTTGTCTTGCCATACTCAACTGGTTATATATACAATGACGGAAGTTCGCAGGCGGGAAGTATGAGTGACGACGGGGGTGACCACTGCAACGAGAATCAAGAACAAAAAGCTGTGAAGCGTCTGACCAGCATGAGCTTAATGGCCATCGTTACTTCCACCGGTCAGTATAATCATAGGCTTCACCCAGTGGCGTCAATGTGTTCTAACTTGATCATAGGTTATGTTGATGAGCAAACGCAAAATGCGTTTGTCAAAGAAGTTGAACATGTCGTAATGGATTCGATTTATTGGGTTCGCCGAGAATCGAGCTTCGTGCTTGGAGCTCTGGCGAAAGTTGTGCCAGATGAAGTAGTTCACACATCCCTGGTAAATTATGAGCGAAATAAATTTAAATATCACACACTGACCGGTTATCCCAGCTTCCCCTTCTGGAACGTTTACTCATTGACCCTGCTCCCCTTGTTCGCCACTCCTCGCTTTTCGCCCTACCCGTCATATTGGCGCGGCTGCCGGTAAAGCACAGAAGAGCATTAGCTGTTCATACTATGCAGTCCATGAGCGCGGATGAATCTCCCGACGTGCGATCAGGGGTCCTAGAAGCTCTGGGTGAAGTCATTCACACTTTTCACGATGAATACCGGAAACCCGGTGACGACACAGAAGGACCACCAGCTGAGCTCATTAGTATGTTTATTGGACAGAGAGACGATAAGAAAGTCTGGGATGGACAACAACCTGCCCTAACCCAACCATTTGACCGGGATAAAATGAGGTGGTTAGACTCATTCTATAACGATCCTTGTAGGCCTTTAATATGTGCCTTCAACCTACCTGCTGTGGCCATGACTTTGGGTGTTTCTCGCTGGGAGACTCTTCGGGAGACTTACCTGAAGCTCTCGAACAGTCCTGCGTTCGGCGTTCGGCGGACACTGGCGGCCTCTGTCGGTGACATGGCGAAGGTTTTAGGTCCAGAGATTGCGCAGCGGGACTTGATGTCTGTCTGGTGGGATGGATTGCGGAGCCAGGAGGCAGAGATAAGACTGAAAATCGTACAATCCCTTGAGACGTTTGTCGGATCGTTAAATGTCGGAGGGAAAACGGAAGTTCTCGAGGGGGTTTTGGAAGCATGGAAAGAAAACAGGTGGAGCTGCTGGCGAGAAAGGGAGCACATAGCCGGATGTTTATCGGCCGTCATTCAATCCGTGGCAAGCCAGGGAGACCAAGAAGTGGTTTATCTGTTGCGGCTTGTGTGTGGGTTGTTAAGGTTTGCTCTGATCGACAATGTCAATGCTATTCGAGAGGCAGGCATTCACACCGTTCGTTTCTGTTTTGATATGAAAGGCAAAAGCACTAATTTTAGGTTCCTCGCAGCTACCGCTGATATGGCCCATGCTGCAACGGCACCCTAAGGTCCTCGGAGACCTACATTTAGATCTTCAGGGTCTTTCGTCCTCAAGCGTGTTCAGGCAGCGAATGACGTTGGTGTCTAAACCTACTGCCGATGATCCAGAACTGATATTATTATTTATCAATCAGTTACATTGCATGCCAGCAGGTGCTCCTCCTTCCTGACGGTGATATGGAGGCCGTCAAAGTTCCTGATGAAGAGCTCTGGACAACGCTCCGCGAATTGTCAAAAGACTCTATAGTCGGCGTTCGTATTGGTGTTTCCAGATTAATTGCCGGTCTGTATGGTAAGGTACTCCTCCCTCTACGCGAAGCAATCTGTCATCAAATTCTTCTGCAGCATCCTGTTGGACGAGGACGTTGCCGCCTGTCTCTGTGATTGATCTTGCGAAGACACTCTCACAGGACTCTTCGCATGAAGTCCGATCTTATGTTTCGGGCCTTTTTCTGCTTGACCGTGGACGCCACGTCAAGAATTTCTCACAGGTTTCAAGGCATGCATCGACGTTCTCGAGGCCCCCCTCCGCGTTACCTGGGTCCGAATTAGACGAGGCTGTGTAATCCCACCGAGGGGTACCGGAGCAACGCTCGGAGCGAGATGGCACCTCTTTGACGGTGGGATGAACAAGACGAGACCGGCGACAGCCATGACCTTCTGATGAACTTGAGACTGTACCTGGTTTTCCTGGCATGTCAGGATTGCCGCTGGGATGTGGGAGTACTGTAGTGTAGTTTTATAGTGCGATATATGTTATGATAATTCTAATGTTAGGTTTTGCTTGAAGGAGGAAGGATTAAGACCAGAACCGCGCTAATATGGCTGGTTCAGACGTACTCGGGTGACATTCGGCCCGGGCGTTTCGGAGGGAAAACCCTGTGATGTTTTGACTTGTCGACCTGGAGTTGACCTCTTCTTTACTGTCTGCACCACCGTCGACCGGTGCCGCGAGCGCCCTCCTTGCTGTATATATGCATCACAATGCAACACCTCTATGCGTATACTCGATATGCTTTCGTCGGTGCGTTGCCAATCTCTCTCGTCCTCTCGGTCTCAGCTTGACAGTGGCACAAGGTCTTTTCCTCGTTTTCAATGCTATCAATGCTAGCGTCGCTGTCTGGAACCTCAGTCTTATCCAATTAATAGGATTGAAATGTCCGTCTGCTCATTTCCTGAGATCTGTGCGCTCATTAACTCATTCTGCTAGATCCTCTTGATATCTATTTAACCGTCGTTGGTGCTTGTGGGCTTGCCATGTCCTTCTTAATGTCTGTCCACTTCCCAACCTATGACGGTGGACCATATGTTAACGTCTTACAGTGTCTTCGTCGAAGCTGCGTACGACAGTCCTATAACGGGACGTGTGTGGTTTGAGTGTACATGGGTCGGGCTATTCCTTGTCATGAATTTTTGTACGTACAAGTTACCACTGCCCTTCATCTAGTGGCTGATGTCCACCAAGGTGGTGCCGTCGCATTGTCGGCATTAAAGCCTGCGCTCTGCACATTTGACGGCAAGTAGAAGTTTTTGACTTGGGAACTGATGGCTGTAGCTGATATGTATCCTTAAGCGCGCCGCCGAATCGGTGATATTGGTTGTGTATCCAATCGAGTTATCCTGGCTTTCTCATGGATCACTATTGTTCTTCGTCGGTTGATTTCGTACCTCTATCAAATCTTTTCTGACCTTATCCTGCTCAGTGTCTGGATACCTGATGATGTTAACTATAACCTGCCTCATTCGACAGAAGACGGATACACGAATATGGCTCTATCACATTCGTGATCTCGATACCCCCAGCAGCCGTCTGCCAAGCCCGCCTACGTCTCCGACCATACCTTATTTCCGTAAAGATAACGCTACTATCGTTGCGCCCCTACCTCGGCGACCAGGACCTTCCGTAAACATGATGAGAGGCCTTGACTCTTCGTACGATGTGGAAGCCTACGAACCGCCACCAGTGCCGAGGGTTCCCAGGCACAACAATTTCGCCCTCCAGCACAAGTACTCATCAGGCAATCAAGCTACCGCCCCCTCCCTATATCCGCAATACGTTCAGCCATCTATGGTGATAACACCTTCTCGTATGCCGATGCAGGAATCACCACGTTCACAGCCAAACAATCCTCCTTCTCCTCCACCACTTGGTGATTGGCCTAGAGCTGATATCCTTTCAAGACCTGTACGTGCTGCGCACAAACAGTTGAGGCGGGAACCACTCCCGGATCCAGATGATAGATACCGGTCGACTCAAACACCACATCGAGTAAGACCGACGGGGCCTAGGATCCCATCCACTCGTACCCGCCCGCCACAGCTGGATCTGCACGTCACGTCGCCTACCAAAGGCAAAGAACGGCGGAGACCGGACTCGGATTCATTATGATTTCACTATGTACTCGTTCACTGGTTCTGGATGGGCTATGTTGTTGTAGGTTATTAATAAGGATGTTATTTGATGTATGTCGTAGATGCACGAGGACCACTATAGGCTGTCCGTGTCGTAGTTCGCGTCGCAGCCGAGTCGGATTTTTTTTTCGTAGGCTGTTGGAGGTATCGCTCCTTAAAAGGCAACTTTTTTTCCCGAGCTGGATGCGCTGGCACCACTACCCTGATAGGTCTTTCTCTCACACCCAACATGTCAAATCGACAGCTGGGCCCTCTCCGGTCCCTACTGTATCTTGCGCCAGTTTTTATTTTGGGTCCAATAATTGGCTATCGGCACCACACCAGTCCGTCTTTCATTCAGTTTCGCAACTTACACGTTATTGGAACTTCGGTATAGCACTGCCGGAACCTGTAACAGAGCTGTACGTCCATTATTTGTTAATGCGGCGTTATTCTCACACGTTCAACGAAGAATAAACAACCGCACCAACCTACCGCAAATCTGCGAAGCCAATATTTTAGAGTACTCTAGGATACTATCAGAGGACATTGGTTATCGAACCGTCGGAACTGCAGAACACGCCCAGGCCGACTTATGGATGCACCAGACAATCAAGGACATTAAGACTGAGTGCGACCGCATCGTGAAGGAAAGCGGCGGTAGAAAGCTGGAATGTGAAATATGGAGACAAGAAGGGAGCGGCAGTCACCGGTACGCATCATTTCCGCTATATTGTCGCGTCTTGGGTGTTGACGGCTGTAATTAGATTCGACATAATGAACACACGTCTGTACAAAACCTATGTCTCCCTCAGTAACTTTATCGTTCGCGTTTCTGATGGTACCGACGAGGGCAAGAAACACGCGGTGCTTGTCAATTCCCATCTCGACAGTCAACTACCTGGTCCTGGGGCTGCTGACGACGCCATTTCTGTGGGAATCATGCTAGATGCTATCAGAGTGCTTTTAGGTACTCCTGATTGGAGTCCAAAACATTCCATAATCTTTTGTATGTGAATTTTACTCAGAAACCACGTGCTACCCGGGGGTAACGATCTGCTCAGTGTTCAATCATGCCGAGGAATCCCTTCAAGATGGTTCACACATGTTTTCGACTCAGCATCCGATCGCTTCGTCGTGAGTCCGCCGAAACTTCATATCACTGTACGCTGTTGATTTCTAACCTTGAATCTGTCAGTGTACGCGCCGTAATCAACCTCGAAGGTGGATTCTCCCGTGAAGACTTCCATGCTATCTACTGACGCGTCGCAGCCGCCGGAACAACAGGACGTGAAATTCTTTTTCAAGCTACTTCGAAGGAGATGATTGAAGCGTATGCCCATGTCCCGAGGTCAATGACATGCAATGTTGCATAATTTCCGCACTGACAACTCCTGCAGACCATTTGGTACCGTCTTCGCTAGTGATATCTTCGGAAGTGGGATAATCATGTCAGAGTAAGTCTATTTATCCTCCTTATTTCCCCCTTTAACCTCTATTTTGTAGCACTGATTTCCGACAGTTCCAAGACTACCTTAACGTCACTGGTCTAGACGTATGATGTACTGTTATTTATTTTACCTCTGTGCTGACGCGATAATAGATGGCCATCATAGGGAATTCATACCTGTATCACATGCGTAAGGACCTTGTGGAAAATATCGAGCCTGGTGTCGGTCAACACATGGGCGAGAACGCTCTTGCCCTACTGCTACACCTGTCGGGTCATGCAAGTCCTCTTCCTCAATTGACCGATGGCTATAGCAAGCCTGAAATGGTGTATTTCAGCCATGTGATCCCGTACTTCTTCATATACTCGTTCAGTACAGCCAAGATCATTTATGCTGTATTCCTGATTGTGACGGTGGCGCTGATACACTTCCGAAGTCCTTTCCCTGCAAAGACTTTCGTCTTGAGCGTTTTGGCAACGCTTTTTGCCTTTGTGGGTGCGCTGGCGGGTGCAAATGCCGTAGCACTTGTTATGACCCACGTGTTGGGGAAAAGCATGAGCTGGTTCAAAGATGAACTATCGACAATTGTACTTTATGGGCCAGCTGCGATTCTCGGTGCGGTGCTAACTTTCTACAATGTTTTGCATTTGTTAATTGACTGGCATAGGCACTCTTACCTCGCAGTTACTGTTTCCTCCCCTCCCAGAGGCCGCTTGTTTATTCTTCCGTCTTGTTCGTCCAAGCGATGGCTGCATTTGGTCTGCAACTATTGGGCTTGGGCTCCGCGTCCTTGTTCTTTGTTACAGCCCTTCCCTTGGTTATTGCCTATGCTCTTAATCCACTCTTCGCCAGTTTCACCGGAGAGAAAGGAATTTCTATATTGACGTATGTCTTTGGATCATTCATACCTCTCATCACAGGCACCCTTGTCATAGTGCCGACCATAGAAGTCTTCGTCCCGTTGGTGAGTCTTTCCCGAATAGCTCTCACTTGGAATCCTAGACGTGTATTGTTTTAAGACAGGCCGCATGTCTGCGTCGGCTCCAGCAGACCATCTCATCGCAACCATCGTCACCGTCGTTGGCTCAGTTGGACTTCCTTTACTTGCACCGTTCTCTCACCGATTCGGCCAAGGTTATCTGAAGGAGTTTATTGTAGTCCTGCTGGTTGTGAACGCGGCTTTAATCGCTGTATTTGCTCAAAGGGATGTGTACGACGATATGCATCAAAGGAGAGTATTTGTTCTACGAGTGGAAAACGTAACTACCCATGAACATCACCTACATCTGGCTGCGTCAGATGGCGCGCCTGGTTTTCCAGACCTTGTTCACGCTATTGCTGGTGACTTCGGCGCGCAGAGCGCGGTCGCACAAAGTGTTGTAATGGACTATTATAATGGGGATTGGGACCCACTGTATCCTTTCTCCGCTGCAAGTCCTTTCATTTTCGTCTTTGATTTCACTGGTCACTAAACATGCTTCTGCTAGTTCCTCACGCCATTTAAACTAGCTCTTCCCGCTTCCACGCAAGGTTTCCTAGAAAGTGGTGGTGAGTTTGAGGTTAAAGCCTTAAATGATGCAAGAGATCTCGTTGCTGGCACCAGGAAAGTTACATTGAGGATCTACCATCCGGGACTCATCTGGACTGGTTTGTCTATCACTTTAATCTCCTTCGCCTTCTGATTCTTTCTACACCCTAGTTATTGCCTTTGATGCGCATGTCCTCGAATGGAATTTAGATGACAATCCTCCGGACAAGCACACGAGGCATCACATCAAGGAAGCCTCATTCTATGGACAAGATACATGGGAAGTGGATATGGTCATCAAAGATGCCCCAATACAGGTGAATTATATAGGCCTGCTGGAGAAAGCGATGTGGCCTGGTAAGCGAGCAACGAAGGCAGAAGGTGGGGAGTCGATGGAGCTTTTTGAGCAACTAGACGCATGGCTGGACGAGAAGACCGGCGGTAAGGTTGATGCGACGCTAATAGGTGGCGTAGGGGGGGTTGTGACACTTTGACCTTTGAAAGGTCAGATATCGTACGCAGAACGGATTGTAGAACATGCTCATCTCTTGTATAATTAAATAATCATACTCAGAGTAGTAAAGAACGTGTCAATACGTATTACTGCTACCTTTGTGTTTCCTTCTTCGACGCTTTGTCTGCGCTCCAAGTTCCCGTCGCGACAGTGTTGTTCTCTGGTTATTCCCATATTATCGCCATTACTGCAATCAAGCGCTTGCGTTTGGGCACTACCAAGAACAAGAGCACCAAGTTGAAATTCGAACGACGGGATTTTCCCGTTTCCTTTTGGGGATACCGAGGCGACCACATTGTCAGTTTGCCGCCCATTGTTCTGGTTACCTGGCTAACCTTATTGTTCTTTTGTCCCGGTATATATAGGTTCTCTCTTAGAAAATGCTTCCGTTTCAATCCCCGGCGGGCACTAGACCTAGACGACTTAACGTCACTACCACATTCTTTCCTCCTCACGATTTCGAGTTCCACTGAGTGGCTTTACTTCTGACGAATATGCACAATCCTTTTCTAATCATCAGATTTGTATTTTTCTGTAAGACTGCCTTGTACTCGTCAAATCTTATGGGCTGCTAATCATGGCGAACGACCAGCGATGCTGATTTATTTCAGCCTACTCATTCTCGTTTTTGCGGCCTGGAACGTACATGCTACAAATGCGCTGGATGCAACGGGTACGTTTGCCAATTATTTTTTATTAGCTTCCTCACTGACATTTTCCGTGGCCAGTGTCTGGGTCCGCCGCATTGATGCTGTTTAATAGCTGCGCTACACTCATCCTCATTGCTCTGTACGTGGTGCCACTATTTCATTCATATGGCCCGTCTCATATGTCGCCAGCGCTATGGCGGAGATAGCCTTTCCACACATGAAATTTGCGCACGTCAAAGCCGAGCTCCTTTGGACGACAGTGATGAGCATGTTCGACATCAGTACGTCCTGAATTATACGCATTCGCAATCGCTCATATTATTTCCAAGGCGCATCCATTAGTCTCATTGCCAATGGACCTGTGATGACATGTCAACTTACGGGTACGTCAGTCTACTGCGCACTTACCGAATCTCAAATTTACCCTGTATTCTTGCAGCCGACTGGTCAGTTTGCGCATCTTCGACACTTCTCGTTCCGACGACATGGCTGAAAAGCTTTCTTGGTGGGTTGTTTTCGACTAATAACCAAGGCGAGACTAATTCGTAATCCAGTTCTTGCGTATGTCTTCAGCCTCTTCGTGTCCGCGGTGACCCACTCGCATGAACACTCGAGCATCTGGAACAAGTCCGTTTACACTGTCCCTTGGTTCCGTTCCAGTATTCCTGAGGCATCGTCCGACGGAGGCTCCTCCCATACGGTCGCTGCCAAACTGGGATATGGCAACGACTCTTGGAGCCAGTATCTCGGTGACATTGCTTCCACAGGAGATCGCAAACGCAAGGTGGGCGAAAAGACGCACTGGGCCGATAAGACCCAGATTCGTCGGGGAGTGGACGATCCGTTTGTAAAGCGCAGTGATGGTTCCACCTCCGCGAACTCGTCGCAGAGATCCAGCGTGGAGATCAGTTCGCCTACCTTTCAATCTCCCAGAACACCTCCGCTCCCCCCTAGAGCCGAGTCTAAACCACAATCTATCGGCTCCCGATTTATTGAACGATTCCGCGAATCTCGTGTTCTGGCTCGACCGGGTCAGTCGCATTTCAGTATGGAGTCTACCATGACATCTGGGGGTGCATTTCCCCGCGACATTGACGATCATGACAAGCCCATACCACTTCCTCGGCTTTCGGAGTGGATGAGAGCGGACGCTAAGAAAGGCATCACCGTTCATACAGTCCCCATGTCTCCTTGACGGAGCTCCTGGTATATCTTGATGACTTTAGACCACGAACAGTTACTGTCGGACTCTTGCCATTTCACACAGACATTGAACTTTGCCCACGCACCAATTTTTGTAGCCCTACTATCATGTATATCCACGTTATAGATTATGCAGGAAATATCATAATTCGGCTGTCTCTAGCCCTTGAACATTCCATCCCAGTCGTGCTCTGAGTTCTTGATTCTCACGACTGACAATTTCAAGTTCGGATTTTAGGCTCTCAAGCTGTCGGCGCGCATCCAGAAGAGCTTCGTCATTTTCTTCTGATATTTCGCCGGCACCCACGGTTATTCCTATGACAGTGGCGTTGAGGGTGATGGAACTAGAACTAGAAGGAATAACAACATACCGCCGACAAGCTTGACCAAGCGCCACAGACGGAGAACAATAAGTAACGCGCCGAGTTCCCTTTCTTTACCCTTCAAGGTAATCTCCAGAAGAAAAGTTGTTATGATGATGGCAGCATCAAACAGGTGCAGTGGAGCATGGGTGACCTGCCCGAGGGGATTATAATATTGGAGACCGAAGGCCCAAAGGGCGAGAGGAATTTCAACGAGGAAGAATGTGGTGATAACGAGAGAAATGTGAGCCAGAACTTCGAGCCACGGGGGACCCTCTGGACCTGTTGGGGTACAGTCGGCAGACAAGAGAGTATATGCAAGATCTGCAAGCACACAAGTAGCGTCAATAGTAATCTATAATGTCATAGAAAATAATTATTCGTCTGTCCCCCCAAGATTGCAATTGACAATTCTTACCAAAGCGATTACGAACTTGTGGAAGAGCTGGGCCTCGAGGATTTCACCTAATTTGCAGCGCCAGGAATCGAGGGTGCCTTTGCTTTGTTCTGTGTGTAGCAAGGGCTGCTGCTCTGTATCAATCATGGTTGTTGTTTATCAAACACGGTGGGTCGCTCTGACGTCACTGACCCTTCTCTTCTTGCTACTGTTATGTCTTCCATGCTATTTCGTCCACGCCTCCGGTTTGTTGCGCCGCCATTCTGCCGCCAGAATTGCTTCAGGACAGGATATCGATGTCGTGTTCGCTTCAGCTCTACCGAGACCCTGGCACCACCAAAAACAAGCTTCTCGTTTACGCCGCGCTTTTTCACAACAGCTGGCGTTGCAGGGGTAGGACTAGGAACCTTCTTGGCCACCAGGTCTTCCATTCATTGCGATGGTGCGATAATATTTCAGCGTGATTGGTAGCAGGCCTTTATCTTTTGAATTTAGCCCCGATAGCAATGGAACCGTCAGCTCAACCCGAGGTCCTTCCACCGCCACCCTCATCATCCGTCTCGATATACGAGCTCTCCTTTGGTACCGTCGCAGGCATATGTTCCGGGGTATTCATCAAAAAGGGAGCGAAAGCAATGGCATTTTTCTTAGGCGGCATCTTCGTGCTTCTCCAGGCAAGTTCGTTATGCCCTGCGCGATTCCATTTCTTACTAGACGGTAATAGTACCTCGTATCGTTTTCTGTCATACGCGTCGATTGGGTAAAAATGGGCGGACGTTTTGAGAACCTGTTCTACACAACGGACGCGACTGGTAGAAAGAAGTCACCAACACTATACTCCTTGTTCAAATGGGTTGTGGATTTCTTGACGGCAGACTTTCAACCACGGGCATCGTTCGTCGCTGGGCTTGCGCTAGGTTTGCGGTTGGGATAATGGCGGGCCGGGCTGGGGTATTGATAATGGTACACAACGCCAAACAATGATCAAATTTTCTTGTACTCTGTATTTCTAATTTTTCGTCCTCCATCCGCTATCATGGGTCGTCGCGCTAAGAACAAGCAAGGTGCACCAGAACCATTCGAACCAAAACACCTAGATTCGTCTCGAAAACGAAAGGCGGGGAACGATCTCAATGACAAGGAGACTGCTCCCAGACCCCCCAAGAAACTGAAGGAAGCAGGTCATGTTAAAGCAAAAGCCAAGAGCTCTATCAAGGCCAAAACAAAGGAACCAAAGACCAAAGCAACACCGGCGAAGGGGAAACAAAAGGCTCGGGTAGATTCTGAGTCTTTAAACGGTTGGGAGGATGTCGATGAACAAGCAGATTTGGATGCGTGCGTACTCTTAACATCTCTGAGGTAGATCATGTTTTGAATATTCTTCCAGGTCATTTATGGATGATGATTTTGGTGACGTAGATGTGCAAGAGTGCGCCTAATCATTGACTTTACCTGCTTCGATATTTACCCCACTTGAAATTAGCGACGAACCTCTACGAGGGCCTGTGCAAGAGTTCCAATTCAGTGACGATGATGAAGAAGATGAACCCATCCTTCCTTCTAAAGCTAAAAGGTCGAAACAAAGTGAAAGACCTAAAAAAATTATACCTACGGGTTCCGACAATTCCTCAGATTCTGACGAGGGGACTCCGATGAGGATGGTCCTACAACTATGGCCAACATGGAAGCCCGGTCGCGCGCATTGGATGCAAAAGCCGCTGCTGAAGCTAAATTGGACGCTGAAGAGTTGCAGCAGGCAGCATTCGACGAAGAGGACGATGATCTCGACATGGACGACGACGAAGACGATGTGGATGGGGATGGGGAGGACAAATTTCATCTACCTACAGCTGCTGAGAGAGAAGAGGAAAACAAATCAGGTGGTCCTGATGTGAATATGATACAGCGGCGTATGAGAGAATGCGTACGGGTGTTGAGTAGGTTCAAGAAGTTGGCCGAACCGGGACGGTAAGCACGATTCTTCTGCTTGAACATCAATCCATACTGATGAGTTCTCGTGTATAGCTCTCGATCAGAATATACTGACCAACTGCTGGCCGACATTGCAAGTTACTATGGTTATAATGACTTTTTGGCGGAGAAGTTGTTTCTTCTCTTTCCCATCGGCGAGGTACGCCGCCGTGTTTTAACACCCTGTATTCCGTTACTTCATGCTTCTTTATAGGCCATTGAGTTCTTTGAAGCCAACGAAGTATCCCGTCCTGTCACGATTAGAACAAACACCCTACGGACTCGGCGGCGCGACCTCGCGCAGACACTGGTTAATCGCGGTGTTAATCTGGAACCTATAGGTAAATGGACGAATGTTGGGTTGCAAGTTTTTGAGAGCAGTGTCCCCATCGGTACGGATCGTTATCTCTGGCGCGTTTGCTCTAAACAATAATATTTCAATAGGTGCTACTCCCGAATATCTCGCCGGACACTACATGCTTCAAGCAGCGTCTTCTTTTCTTCCTGTGATAGCTCTAGCGCCAGAACCAAATGAGCGCATCTTGGATATGGCTTCGGCCCCTGGAGGGAAGACCACACACATTGCTGCTCTTCTGCAAAATACCGGGGTTGTGTTTGCTAACGACGCGAACAAGTCCCGAACGAAGAGTCTTACAGCGAATGTACATCGTCTGGGTTGCAAGAATGTTGTCGTCTGTTCCTATGATGGTCGAGAGTTTCCCAAAGTTATGGGAGGATTCGACCGGGTCTTGCTTGATGCTCCATGCAGCGGTACGGGCGTCATTAGCAAGGATTCAAGCGTAAAAGTGAACAAGGTACCTTACTTCTTTTCAATCACCATGCGTTCCCTTCTCACAAAACCCGTCGTTAGTCCGAACGCGATTTCACACTATTGTCGCACCTCCAAAAGCAGCTTATCCTCTGCGCTATCGACAGTGTTAGCCCCGAGTCAAAGACCGGTGGATATCTTGTGTACTCGACTTGTTCCGTTACCGTGGACGAGAACGAGGCCGTAGTGGACTATGCTCTAAAAAAACGGCCGAATGTCAGGCTGGTTGACACTGGTCTTGAGTTCGGGCGAGAGGGCTATACGAAGTATCGCGGGAAGACTTTCCATCCGAGTGTCAAGTTGACCCGGAGGTTCTATCCCCATGTGCACAATATGGATGGTTTCTTTGTTGCGAAGTTCAAAATCGAGAAGAAGGGCAAGGAACGTCCGGTCGCTACGCAGAAGGATGAAGCCGTCTCACAAGGGCTGGAGGCTGCTGAGGATACGGAAGCCGCAGCGTTCGATTCAGACGAAGATCGGCCGTATCTTGAAGGTACGTTCCTTCCATCTTTTGACGATTCATTTTATTAACTGTGGGATATTCGCTCATAGATGCCAAACGCCGACGTATGAAAGCGAAGGGCTTACGGCCACCGCCTCGGACAAAACCCCCTCCAGTCTCTTCCGCTGTATCAGCTACAGCATAAGTAGCCAACACCTGTGAGGAAGGGGTCTAGGCTGATCATATCATTATGCAATCCTGCGTTTCCACATGCATCTCGTTACTTGAACATATTCTATTGTTTCACGATCCTTCCATCAGGCGGGTGCCTCTCTAATCTATGATGGCCAAGAGAAACGATAAATGAGTTGCGACGTTGGACATGAGAGACGTTGGCCGCTCCCAGTGCAATATTTCTAAAAAGAACAGTAAAAATACAATTTATTTAGTTACTACAGGTACTTTTCCAGACGTGAAGGACCTGATACTTATATAAAGGGGCGTTTGTTGACCTGTATGAGACTAATCCAAACATGGTGCAATATCTTATCAAAAGAACATTTGCAATCGCTGAGATGCGATCGAGCACTTAGTACCTTCCGCCCTTATGTGTGTTACGCTATGAACGGAATGGTGAAGCGAGCAGTCAATGAACGACATACCGGTGTCTTCCGCAGGCACATATGCCACAGCATGAACCGACAATTCCAAGCCATAGCGCGACGGTCGCGCCCAAGACCATCCACACCCTGATATCAAATGAAATTGAGCAGACCTATGTGATATACCGAAGGATAAGATCCACGCACCGCGTTGCCCCAGGTTAATTGAAGTTGCCCATCAGTTTCGTCGTTCACACGGTGCCTAATGATTGCGACCACAATGACGTCAATCAGGAAAGCGATGGTAGTGAGGATGGCGGCGACTGAGCCCGATGCCGAGAGTGCATAGCGAAGGCAGGCGTCCAGTTCCGCGGCAGAGTATGAACAAGGAAGATAGGAAGGTCAGAAAGGCTAGTCCTACAGGCTAGATACGGAAGAAGGCGATAAAAACGAACGGAATAGCGCAAGAATAGCGTAACAGCATACCGATAGGATGCAGTACCAAGGCAGCCGCAGAGCCCTTATTGATGAGATCGGCATATTGCTCTACATTCCTGCATCAGAGTACAGTCAGCAAACAGTCAGCTGGGGATAGAATAAGTAACCTTACAAGGCCTCTGCGATAGTGCTATTGAAAGTGTAACCTAGTTTGGGGTCGGTGCACTCAGCTGATACACTGGTTTGACTTATCGCTGCAATACTACGGAGATTATTGTCACATTGATTGAGAAGGACGAATGGTTTAAAAGTGACTGACGAGACATCAATTGCGGAAACACAATATCCCCATACACCAAAAGTAGCGGATCCATTGGCGTCGGCGACACCATATAGGTTAGTTGCCTCGGCAGTGAGCTGGAAGAGGAAAAGAGACTTGATAATGGGTACGGAGAGGAGACCAGAAGGAGAAGGACAAATGCACTCAAAGAAACAAACGGCGTGATCGACGCTAGCATGTCGATATTTGATCTAAGACAGGGCAATTATCGCGTCCTACCAAGTAGGAGAATGAGGGGGCGGCAAGCCAAGAGGAGTACTCAGTGCCTTTAGGCTATTTATTGTAACGGAGCATAGAAACGCTCCATTCCTTGGTTAGGTTTGGAGTACGTGATGCCTGACCGGGACCCTGAGGCAGCGATTACCGGAACCGTAACGTATTTTTGGTAAGTCGAAGGTGCAAAGTGACAGAAATCGGACGACGCCGCCACACAGAGTCATAAGGGAGCTCTGGAACGATAAGTAGGCGGAACCGTCGGGAGAGAAGGATCGAGGGTATTCAATTTGCCACGCGCGTTGCCAGGAGACTTTTGACAGATAACAATCGAAAGAGAGGAAAGAGGAAAGAGAAAAGAATGCAGAGAAACGAAAAAAAATAGAGCAATGTAGAGATAAGGTATTGAGGCAGTGAAGAAGGGCAGCAGGGGGACAAAGAGAACATAAAGGCTGTTATAACGGCCTGCTATCAGAGGGTCAAGCTTTGACGTGATTTGCGGCTGCTGAAAAATTATTGATGTCGCTAAGAGAATATTGATGCTTCGATTTTTTACGACAAATTACAACAGCTGATACGGAAGAGATATCAACGACTGCGAACAATCAATCCTGACCTGGACAGCATCGGGCTGTTTGCGTGTGACCTTTGTCTTCATTCGAATATCCTCAGCAACGAAATAAAGGGCTTGCAGTCGCCAACCTTTGTTCCCTCTCAGATCGTATGATTCAATTCAGTCTAGCCTGTTTTTCCCACAATCGCTCTCCCTTTGTGGGCCAGAAAATAGGGTTTGGTTCAGGAGACAAACACAGGCAAACATGACCCTTTTGCATTTATTTGGACTCGTCCCTTTCCTGTTTCCGCATCCTGCCCTTTCTTTTCACTCATCCCTCATCCCAGTGGGTTTTAAGGCTGCGTTGCACGCATATCTGTCTCTCTCTTGTCAGTTAATACCCTTTTTATGTTCGTATCCAGCTACCGCCTTTTTCTCTTTTTTACCCATCTGCTCACTGTGCGACATTTTTCCAGCTTTCTCCCATAATGTCTGCGCCTGAGACCACCCCCGTTCCCGCTGCTCCTGTCGAGGAGGCAAAGCCTGCTGAGACCCCCGCCCCTGCTGTTGATGCTGCGCCCGCCGCTGAGGCGCCCAAGGCCGAAGAATCTACTCCTGTTGGTTTTCTTTGTTCTCTTTTTCCCTTCCATTTTCCCTTATCGCCCTTCTCATCTTTCTAGGAAGCACCCAAGGAGGAAGTGAAGGCTGAAGTGCGTATCATTCTCGTCGTGTTTGTGTACAGCAGGTCTCATCATCCTTATCTCCAGGAGGCTCCCAAGGCCGACGCTCCTGCAGCCGCTGAAGAAACCCCCGCACCTGCTGCTGAGGCTGAGGCTACTCCCGCCGCTGAAGAAGCCAAGGAGGAGGCAAAGGACGACGCCAAGCCTGTTAGTATTGCAGTTCCAGTATGTTCTTATCACGAGACTCAATTGTGACTCGTTCTAGGCTGCAGAGGCCGAGGCCCCTAAGAAGGAGGAGCGACCCAAGAGCCCTGGTCTCCTCGCCAAACTCCTTGCGCCTTTCAAGGATCAGAAGGCTAAGGTCGAGAAGAAGGTCAAGACCGCTAAGAGCCCGAAGAAGGAGAAAAAGAAGGAAGGGTCCGAGGTAAGTTGTCTGACCATTCTTCTGTCCCATTAAACTTACTATCCCCGTCAGACGGCTCCCGCTGCTGCTGAGGAGTCTGCTAAGGAGGAGTCTGCCACCGAAGCCCCCGCAGAGGCCGCTGAGCCCGCGAAGGCTGAGGAGGCCCCTGCTGCTGAGCCCGTGAAGGAGACGTGAGTATTGATTGGTGTCTTTTCTTATCCGTTGTCTAAAGTCATGTGCAGCGAGACTGCTGCGGAGGCTGCTCCTGCTGAGGCTGCCGCCGAAGCTGCCCCCGAGGAGGCTAAAGAAGAGAAGGTGCGTCGGTCTCTATAGATGCCTCGCTACTGCTAACGGGTCTTCAGAAGGAGGAGAAGAAAGAGGAGAAGGCCAAGGCTAGCAAAGTTGGCCGCCGTCTATCCGCGCGTGTCGGCGATTTCTTCAAGCCTAAAGCCAAGGCAGAGGTCGCCCATCCTCCCAAGGTTGATGAAAACCCACCGAAGATTGAAGAACCTACCCCGGTTGCTCCTCTGGAGAACCCTGCATCGGAACCTGCTGCTGAGGCTGCTGCTGAGGCCAAGTCTGAGCCCATTGCGGCCGAGGAGTCGAAGCCGGAGGCTGCTGCTGCTGCTCCTGTAGCAACGCCTGTGGTTGCTGCTGCGGCATAAGGGTGTTTTTGTTTCTTTTTTTCTGGACCATCATCATCTCTATCTTCTATTGAACGACCTTTCATGAGCATTTTTTATAACCTTGTGTTGTCTTGGCTTTCACTGTGATCATCTTTCATCTCCTCTCCTCATTCTAACCATTATTGCAGTCGTGGATATGTCAAGTCCATTAGCCATGTTTTGGTTATCAGTTCTGACTACGATACATCAGGATCTGGTTCTCACATTTCTTTTTACGACACCATTATCACGACGAGCCTTATCCGTTTCTTATTAATTCGATTCTGATTGAATACCCATCCTTCTTTTTATCGGATCGTGCTCCATGTCATTAGGCTTCCTGTAATCGCTTCCGCTTCCATATTGATTTTTTTGGCGCGAACATGTCTCGTTAAGTTTCAAGTCGTGAACGGTAATGACTCACGAGCCATATTTGTCAACGTGCATTGCAAGGTTTTCTGCATTCAACCATCTACGTCGACGGTCATGGCACCCAAATCCTCCAGTCACGGGAAAGATAAACTGATTGGAACTGAAGACGACGTTCTTCAGGCTGTGGTTCTTGCGGACAGTTTTAACAAACGGTTCAAGCCGTTGACGACGCGAAAGCCTCGGGTATTTCTCCGTCTTTTTTTTTCGTCTGAGAGATGGACTGAACTGTTTTTCTTATGCAGTGTCTACTGCCTGTCTGCAATGCACCTTTACTCGACTGGACGTTTGAAAGTCTTGCCCTAGCCGGTGTACAAGAAATTTTCGTGATGTGTCGATCACACGCGGAACAGGTCAAGGCCGCCATCGCGTACCTCTCCACCATTTCTACAACGATTGCACTTTAATTCATGGTCTGCCAGGGAATCGCGATGGAGCAAACCGGGATCTGGCCTCAAAATCGTACCCATAATGACTGCAAAGGAAACTTATTCGCCTGGAGATGCCATGCGCGATGTTTACACGCGTGGGTTAGTGACCAGCGACTTTGTCCTCGTCATGGGCGATTTGGTCAGCAACATCCGTATAGACGAGGTCGTTCGTGTGCACAAAGAGCGCAGAAAGTCGAATAAGGATGCAATCATGACTATGGTAGTTAAAGAGAGTGGTGTCAAGCATCGGACAAGGTGAGTTTTGCCCATCTGGTGCCCTGTGTTGAATGATAGAAGCTTTGTAGATCAAAGGGCGAATCTTCCGTATTCGTTCTAGATACAGAGACGTCGGAGTGTTTGCATTACGAACCTGTTACAGGTTATCCGCCAACCAAGAAAGCGCATATACCCCGAGAAATCTTTGCTCAACATTCAGAGGTCGAGATACGGAATGATCTTATTGATTGCTCTATTGACGTATGTTCTGTGGAGGTGGGCGTTGTAGCATCGAACGTTGGTATCAAAATCTAACAGCATTAGGTGCCCTCGCTCTTCCAAGACAATTTCGACTACCTCGACCTTCGAAGAGACTTTGTGCACGGTATTCTCACTTCGGATCTACTGATGAAAAATATCTATTGTTACATTGCCAAAGAGGGGTATGCGGCTCGAGTTAAAGATACAAGGAGCTATGACTCGGTCAGGTACTATTTCTGCTGCGTCCTCTGGTATAATCCAGTGATGTACTTTTTACAGCAAGGATATCCTTTCGCGGTGGGCGTTCCCGCTAGTGCCAGACGACAATCATCCCGGTGGTCATGCTTACGAACATATCCGTGGCAACAAATACATTGCGAAAGGCTCTACGGTGACCCTTGCTCGGTATGTAGCATCTATCTCCGCACTATGTTTGCATTTTGACTCTGATTGAATTATCAGGACAAGTAAAGTCGGGAATAACACGCTGATCGGATCTCGTACCCAAATACTGGACGACGTTCAGATAAAGTCTTCAGTGATTGGACGCGACTGCATCATTGGCGCTGGTAGCATTATCGCCGACTCGTACATATTTGACGGCACGAATATTGGCCCAGGATGTCTAGTTGAACAGAGCATCATTGGCGAAGGAGTGATCATCAGAAATAATTCAAGGATAGTGCGAGGATGTCTGCTTGGCGATGAGGTGATTGTAGGCCCCGGTGCAGTTCTTCAGCCTTTTGAGCGGCTGTCGAAGAAATGGCACTCAGAAGAAGAGGACGACGACGACGAGGAAGAAGATTCCGATTTAGAAGAAATAGAAGCCAGTGCGTTATCTTTGCAATAGCGCTCGATGCCCGTGATACTGACTTGGAGACCCATGACACAGGTCAGTCGTCAATATCTGTGCAATTGGGAAAAGATTCGAATGCGATTGTGTGGCCCAGGGGCGCACCTGACGACGAAGACGAAGACGATGTCGAGAATCATGCGAACCAGCGGTTCATGCGGTTAGGTCCGTTTACATGTTCCTTACCTCTCCTAACCCTCGTCTTACTGACACACATATCTAGGTGATGATCCTTCCGACTTGGAAGATGATAGTTCCGCGTCGTCTGATGACGAGGACGAATCTTCATCAGACGAGGACGGTGACTTCAAGATGAGCCTCGAACCAGGTCTCGCATTAGAAACGTCTGCTATCAACCTACCGTCTTCGGATGCTATCGCAGAGAGTGAATTTCGGGCCGAAGTTACTCAGTCTCTTGAGCGAGCTTTTGCCGAGGGGCATTCTATCGACAACGCTGCCGTTGAACTGAAGACACTCCGGATGGCTAGCAATGTCCCTCTTTCACGTGTAAGAGAAGCTGTTGTTGCAGCCATAGTCGAACGCATCAAGATTGTCGAGAGCGGAAGTGCTGCTCAGCGTACCGAAATATCTAACGTCATACAACGATGGGGCGGACTTATTGACAGAATCGGAGGGATAGACGCGATAGAAACCATTTCCGTTCTTCAGGTAAAAGTGTTTCACATTATGCAAATGACCCACCCTGATGAAATAGTTTAGACCCATTGTTCATCATCCGAGCGGATGCCTCTGTTCGGACAGATACTTGCGGCCCTGTACCAAGCAGATATTGTGGAGGAGGAAGATCTAAGAGCGTGGCATTCATCACCATCCGCCGGAGGCGTGGGTTTGGCACCTGGAATTCAAACAGACAATATCAGAAAATGTTGGAGCATAGGTGCCCTTCTGATTCAGCAAATTGGACAACAAGACAGTGGGGAAGAAGAAAGTGAAGAAGAGGGAGACGAAGATGAAGATGAGGAGAGTGAATAAGTGGCTGTTCGAAACTTTATTGGTACACTATATAGTATACAATGGTGGTATGTAATCATTACGGGAGTGGAAGGGATGTGGTATGGCTAGTACTTGAGAATGATGTACAGAGCTGATTGTAGAGAAGATCATTAGAGTATTAGACGAAACGCGCAGGGCGGGAAGCTTACCATGTATGATACCAGGGCTGCAAACAAACCGTTAGCATCAGCTCGAAACGGGGATAAACGGCATGCTTACATCCACCCCAAAATGGTCAGAAGAATGTTGATGAGCTATATAAAAGTAAGAAATATAAACGCTGCAGACACAACGAGGCACGTACCAGGTCAGCTCCACAGCCTCTCTCGAAAAATACACCCAAAGGTGGTAAGATAATAGCGACTAGGATCTGAAATGTGCAGAAAATAGATAAGTCTCTGCAATGAAGGAGCGAAGCCGTATATACCTTGCAAATATCTGATGCAGTGAAGGCCATGATAAAACGTGAGGCGAGTTTCGTAAAAGACTGTTGGATGAGCTGTCCAAGTTATTATGGAGAAAAACGAGTGACGCGCTGCTTTTTGTACCCTCGTCCCAAGTGACGTAATTCCTACGTCCACGTGACATAGCCAAGTGTGGCTATGCTTCACTTGGTACAGCTTGGTACTACGTCAGTCTGAGGAGTCAGTGTAGAGCCACTATGATCATTGAACGCAGTGCAAATATCTCCTACACCCCCATGGGCGGTGACCCATTCCGCCAGTTCGACCTGTATTTTTCCCGCAGCAATGGCGGTCCTTTCCCCTTGATTTGCTTCATTCATGGGGGAGCTTGGCGGTCGTATGTTTCACAGCCCACAGAAACGTAATTTTCCTGACATCATATGTTCAAGCGAAGACAAATCCGACCATTCAGTTCTGGCCGAACGCCTAGTTGCATTCACTGGGTTCCCGGTCATAATTCCGAACTACCGATTGACTCCCAAGGAATCCACGGAAAACTCACGGTTCCAGCATCCAGGCCATGCTGAGGACGTCTTGCAACTGCTCGATTTCCTCATGTCGTGGGAAGGACCAACGACAGTCGGTCATGTATATGACCCACACAATATTTACATCATGGGCCATAGCTGCGGCGCACACATGCTGGCCTCCATATTTTTGGATTCGTCGTTCATCACTCCGACCATAACCCCGTCGCCCCAAATACTCAACTCTGTTCATTGTATAATTATGTCTGAAGGCATCTACGACATCGACACCCTTATCACTCGTTTCCCATCTTACCGTACTTGGTTTATCGAAGCCGCGTTCGGAGGTAAACCGTCTTATTCCGATTATTCCGTGACACACCTTACCCTCAGAACCAAATCAATTCGCTGGTTTGTCATTCATTCGAAGGGTGACAGCCTCGTTGATACCGCGCAGAGCGAGATCATGTATCAACACCTGCACGAATTGTATGGTACCTCCGCCGGTTTCGTGACCATGGATGTGGATCGGCTGCATGCGGATCATAACGCGATCCTGGAAGGAGACGCGTTTGTTGAGTTAGTGGGGCAATATATACTCAAGGATCGTTCATCTACCAGTTTGAACAAGACCATTTAATATTTGGATGTTGGAGTTGATATTATAAAGTTCATCTCCCAAATGAACGGCATCAGTTAATACGGACTTCTTCGAATACCTTCTCTAAGCACGAGGCCGCAACTTCACAATCCTGTAGTGTATTATACAGCGGCGCAGGGGCTAAACGTATCACATCGGGCCTCCGCTCATCAGCAATGACCCCATAGCTCGTTAATGCGTCGTTAATGTTCTCCATCACACCCGAACCCTCTGGTAGGAATAACAGTGACAGTTGCGCGCCTCGAGATTCGGGATCTTCAGGTGTAATGATGGTAAACCCGGGAGAACCTGTGCCATTCTGGTATTTCGTGGGCACCTCACTAGCGGCAACAAAGTACTTGGATTGCTTCAACAGCTTTTCCAGCGTACCAGTCAACTGCAGAGATCGTTCCCTTATCGGTATCATCATACCCACTTCTTTAAATACTTGAAGAGACCCCAAAAGTGACACCACGGAGAGCACAGATGGATTTGACTGTTGGAAGCCTTGGGCACCTACAATTGGAGAGAACGTAGGTCGCATCTCGAATCGGGTCGCAGGTTCGTTTCCCCACCAGCCTGCGTGTCTGATATATGTATGGTCAGCTGCAAGGGGCGGCAGTAAGAAATTCCTGGGCACCTTGGTGGTTGATGTTCGTTCCACTTCTCATGCATGAAAAGACCGGCTATGCACCCAGGGCCGGAGTTCAGGTATTTATACGTACACCAGACGGCAAAGTCGACATCCCAGTCATGCAAAGATAGCGGTACGTTGCCAACTGCATGTGCCAAATCCCACCCACATATACAACCCTAGAAGGAGAGATAATTTGACCTTATTGACAACAGACCAAATCAAGAAAGTGTGAAGGAACCCTACCAGCTCTTTCGCTTTTTGCGTTATCATTTCCATGGGGAACCACTGACCAGTATAATACTGGACTCCAGAAAAGAGAACGATGGCGATGGAAGATCCCTCTCTGTTAAGAACATCTAGGATGTCCTCCTGACGAAGGGTAAATTCACCCTCCCGAGGAACCATTTCCAGAATAGCGTTCCTGGGATCTAGTCCATGTGCACGAACTTGGGAAGCAAAGGCGTACTGACAGCGGGACAATAAATTAATGGCGGAAGATTTCATCTAGTGCAGTAAAACGAACCTGATCCGAGGGGAAAGCGCGGGCCTCACATAATATTTTGTAGCGACTCGGTGTGGGTTTATAGAAAGAATCCATCATGAGGTGCAAGTTGGCTGTTAGAGTGCCCATACACGCCACTTCTTTTTCCTTGGCTCCTATATTATAGGCTTTTCATTTATAGATGCGGAAATGAATGATAAGGACCTGAACTCGCCTACGACCTCGGCGAGCAGGGGAGTTACATGATCGCAAATGTCTACCCATTCCCTTTGATGTGGATGGGAAAAATGACCGACAACAGCTCTACATAATTGCGAGGTTAAGTGAAGATGCGAGGCACTTTACTGGAACATTCATACCTTTTCGACCAGACTTCGAGTTCTTCTTCGACCAGGGTCCTGGATTTCTTCGATAACGCTCCCAGGGAATTTCCGCACAGATAGGTACATGGCCCGTTCTCTGTCCAAGTCTGAGTTAATGTGACTGTCAATCAAAGTGATTTGCCTTGCCATCTCCCGCCTTCTTGATCGCACACACGTCCTTGTTGGTGGGTAAAACGAATTGGTCGCTCAAGGGAGCTGCCATGATGATACGGAGCAAGCGAGCTGGCAGTCACAAAACTTGAAGGTGAAATGGATTTTTCAAGCTGATTGAACCAAATGAGACAGATCAGATTAGATCAGTAATAAGACCGCTCGCTTCGGGACGGACGGACTTGGCTCCGCTTTCGTACTACTGAGGGTGTTACATACTACAACTCCCTAGGTAGGATAAGTCGCCCTGGGTTCAACTTCTATTCATTCACAAAATGCTAATTTTGATGTTTGGATAGACCATATCAAACTTCGCTCAAGTACTGAAACAGATACTCAGCATGAGCACCTCTCGTAAAGCCGTCATCGTTGGAGCCGGTCCTGTAGGCTCTTTGTCTGCCATTGTACTCGCCAAACGAGGCTGGAGTGTATCTCTTTACGAAGGACGTCCTGGTGAGATACCTTCGGTGTCGAATACTAGCACCGTGCAGCATGCCAATGTCATTTCCCAGATCCCCGACTTCCATCGTCGAAAGAAGCCGCCCGTCTGCGTTCAATAAACCTTGCCATTTCCCACAGGGGAATTTGTGCCATTAATGCAATCGACCCCGGGGTGGCTAAACGATTTTTAGAGGCCGCTGTTCCCATGCGAGGGCGCATGATTCATCATTTGGACGGAAAGCTTGATAGCCAATTGTACGATAGAGATGGTCAGGTCAGTAGTTTTTTTGTCCACCAGAAAATTCTTTTCTCCCCTTGATTTTAATTGATACTGGGACGAATCAGCAACAGTTATCATTGTCGGCCATGGCTAACGCTTGCATTCCGGCAGTGTATAAATTCGGTTGATCGTTCCCTACTCAACGAAGCCCTACTTGGGGAAGTCATTGGTTTGCCTAATGTTAAGGTGTTCTTCCAGCACAAATTGCAGCTGGTTGACTTCGAAAAGAAGACCATGACTTTGAAGGATCTAAGTACGGGCGAGGACGTCTCAGCCGATTTTGATTTTTGTATCGGAGCCGACGGTGCCTTTTCGACTGTTCGACGACAGATGATGCGGGTTGTCAGGTCAGTCATCGGTCTCGGCAGCACTTTCGAACTGACAGTTCTCCTGGCCCTGATGGTGACCATTTGTTCAGAATGAATTATCAACAAGAGTACATCAGGGACGAATACATTGAACTCAAGCTCTCGGCAGGCAGGGACACTGATGGGTATCCAACGTTCCTCCTTGATCCGAACCACCTGCACATATGGCCTCGTCACTCATTCATGCTCATCGCTCTCCCCAATCAGGTAGGCGAGTTCTTTTGCGTGATTTGGTCTTCTTATCATCAACCGTTTAATTCCACGCAGGACAAAACATTTACATGCACTTTATTTGCACCTAGCTCCGAGCTTGATCGTCTGAGGACTCCAGAAGAGATTCTAAAGTGGTTCAAATTGCATTTCCCGGATGCTGTCAGCCTTATTGGCGAGAAGGAGCTCCTGAGGGACTTTACGTCCAACCCTCGAAGTCCCTTAATCTGCACCAAGGTATCCAATATCTCTACAGGCGCTTGCGGAATGCTGATCGTTTTCGAAACCAGTCCAATCCATACCATTACTTGGACCGGGCTCTTCTATTAGGCGATGCTGCGCATGCCATGGTTCCATTTTACGGCCAAGGCTTGAACTGTGGCCTGGAGGACGTGAGAATTCTGGACGTTCTGTTAAAGGAAGAAGGTGTCACTTCGACCACTGTGATCCCTCCCGGCAGCATAGACGACCGTCTTGCACGTGCCCTTTCTCGCTATTCTGAGACGAGACATGAAGATCTCGTCGCCATCTGTGATCTTGCGATGAACAACTAGTAAGTCCGTTCTTTCGTGACAAGCGTGGAATCCCCTTTTGATTTTTCTGATTGTGCCCTATCGTAAATACAAAAAGCATCGAAATGCGCCACTTGGTGACTTCCCCGTTATTTTTGTTCAAGAAAGCGCTTGACAATTTCCTTTATTATCTGTCGTCGAGACAGGATATGTCGTTTGACGCATTCAACGCAGTACTTTCTCACCTGACGTACGGATTGGGGGAACCCCGTGGATGGGTACCATTGTACACAATGGTCACATTCCGTCCCGACATTAATTACGCCACGGCTAAGAAGAGGGCGGCTAGGCAGTCTGGAATACTTACCGGCATAGGGTTGGCTAGCATCGCTGTTGTCGCTTCGGTCGGGGTATGGGCAGTACGAGCCGCACGGCTGGCCCTCCTGCACCGGTCGCAAGCCTGAACATTTGAGTGGAGAATAGAACATCAAATACCCTGGTGCACCGGAACAATGGTTCTTTCGAAGTGCGCCGTCACAGAATGCTGTAATGTTGGATTGTCGTGTGGCACCGTGCAGTAGAGCGGCGAAATGTAGAAATATTTTCACGATGGGAAAACAGAAGAGTAGAACAAGAAAACATACGCGAGCGGGCGTGTACTGGTATCCCGGACAGTTGATTTAAATTTCCAGTCCGTCCATGAGGCTAGAGCGTTAGACTCGACGGTTGATGTTCAAAAAATAGTATCCTTGATTGTACAGCTGGCGCCCCTTCTATCATAAGGAAACGATAGGATCGTACGTACAGAGAGGTTCCATAAATAAGCAACGATAACAGCAACAACTATGACTTTGGCGGCTAGCGACAGAAGTAACCCAAGAGAAGGAAGGGATAATGTTCGGTACTGCAAGAGAGAAGGGAACGGGGGTGGGAGATAAATATGTCGTAGCGGTCATACAAACAGCAAAGATGGATAGTTTGGCATATATACGTGCGGATTCAAAGAAACTGGGATCGAAGTGAATTGAGTCAAGTTGTCGTGGTCTTCTTGGGTCTTCCCCGCTTCCTTTTTGCAGGGGGCTCAGCAGCATCATTTGCAGCGCCCTCACCTCCCGACTCAGCGGGCCTGGGATGCTTTGGTGGACGTCCCCGTCCGCGTTTTGGGGCAGAAGATTCAGCTCCTGCCTCGTCCTCCTTCTTTTCCTACATAAACGGTAAGAAAAATAGCATATCAACTGACGCGACCACGCACCTTGGGAGGCCGACCACGGGGTCGTCGGGGGGCGGCAGGGGAAGCCGAAGAAGAGGTAGGCTTGTTCTTACTGCCTTTTGGACGGCCGCGACCGCGTTTTACAGGCGGTGCAGGAGCCTCAGCAGGGGCAGACACTAGGATCAGACTCCATCGATGAGACGCGGCTGGACGATAAGCAAGTCACGGAAACTCACCGCCCTCGGCGTCGGTAGGCTGCTGCTGTTCATCGAGTTCGTCCTCGAGCTTATCCTGAGCTTCCTCTGGGGTATCTTTTGGGGACGCAGACATGAGGACGAGGCGTTATGCTCAGTGCTCGGGAGGGCGGGACACAGAGGGTCAAGAAGAGAGAAAGTGGGGGGAAAAGGACCAAGGATGGTGGAACGGCTTTAATGAACAAATTGAGTACCGAATATGGGAGAATTCGAAAATGAATTGTTTCGTCGCGTGCATTTTGTTGGGCAAGCAGGCATGGGATTATTATGGGATTATGGGATATATCAAGGATATATCCATTATTATTATTCTCGTTGTCCAAGAACCCCTGAATTTGGGGGGTGTTCGTCACGTAATACCAGTCGACTCCTTTTCTGTCTATACAATCAGCAGTGAATCTGTTAATTCTCATAATTCTCATAATTCTTGATACAAACTTGATATAATCACCCAATTATCGCCATATCCCTCAAACCACAAATTCACCTGCATTTAACTTTCCTATCCATTCAATCAGTTTGCCTTTTAATCCTGGCAAACCCCGTATACACATGCGGGTCCTCCCAGCTTGAATCCCCCATATGATATGTTGGGGCCAGAAAATGTAATGCGTTGCTTCCCTGGCGTGCGACGGAAGAATCATCGGGGGGGAAGAATCGAACAGATGGTCCGAATGGTTGTGTTGCGATCTAAGCAGTGTAAGCGATCTTTCCAGATGGTCGGTGGCAGATTCACTCGATTCCCGAGCCCGAAAGTGGAAGGTGACCAGCTATATTTGGAAGCTCGCACCCGGCTCCCAACGCCGCGGAGTTCGGAGTTTGAAATCGAGGTCAGGACACGACCACGGTCTGCTCGTCGTCATCGTCCAAGTCGGTATCTTTTTCGTTGTCCACGTCGTCGCCGCCAGCCTGATGCGCGCCGTCTTCATTGCAACTATATTCTGTCGTGTATCCCTCGGCAGACTTCTGCACTCACTTCCAGAAGACACTTATGCTTTCCCTAAATACAAAGTCTCCTTCTTGAATAATCTTCCCATCCTCAACCAAACTGCTGAACGATGGATTGAGCATGGCCTCGACGGCGGTGAGGCGCAGTTTCTCGACCAGCCGTATAATGTGCAGTCTCAGTCGATTGAGTCGGGGGATGCAGAGGTGCGTGAATTCGATTTGTGAATGATAGACGGAACGGTAATTCGTTCTCGTGTCGCACAGGAACCGACCCTAAAAATTCAAGAAAGATATTCTCTAGAACACATGAAATTAGGGCCACGCAATTCTTACCTATGTTTGATACCGCCGCCACTTCTCCCGCCTTCCGAGTCTCCCTTGTCTCCTTCCCAGGAAGAGGATGTCACACCCGCACACAGCTGGTCTCTCCTTCAGCCGCTTTCTGGGAGCTGTCTCTACGTGCGTGAATGAATTTACGCCTATTAAAGTCCGTATATCAACATCGTGGAATTTTAGCACCGCCAGGGCTGGTTCACCTACTCCTACTGTCACAACAACGAGATTCGTCAATTCAAGGAACTGATGCACGGCCATGCGCATGCTACGACTCCAGGTAAAAAAAGTCCAGATTTATGCCCTGTTCTGTCGGATTTAAATAAAAACGGAGAAATTCCGCTTTTTCTTGAGTTTATTTCTGATATTTTCCCGTCATCACACTGAACTTCGTTCGGCGTTAGTGCCCTTATCCAAAACTCTCGTATTTCTTTATTTCTAGGGTTCTGATCCGTTTCTTTTCCTAGGTGGTTACAAGCCAGAAGAGGACCCCAAGGCACGTACCACCCTCCCTTCACACTATTACATCAAAAAGTGACATACGGCAACAGTGGGAATCTTACACCCTAGGCAGAGCACCGCCTGCAAGCACCGATGTTGCCCTTCGGGAAGGGACCGTCGAGCTGGCGCGCGGGGCCGGGTCGCGCTACCTTGTCCAAAGATGGGGTGATGGCACAATTTGTGATAAAACAGGCAAGAGTCGGGAAGTGGAGGTACAGTTTCACTGTTCGATGGCTATGTCGGACACTATCCTGTTCGTCAAAGAGAGCAAGACTTGCTCCTACGTGCTAGTTATCAACACTCCCAGACTTTGTGGGGAACCTGGCTTCAAGTCACGAAGAGACGTGACTGAGCAAGGTATTATCAGATGTCGGGAGGTCGTGCGTGAGATGCCCAATCCGCTTCCGGCCATAGAATCAACACTGGATTTTCCCCACAAGCTTGCGAGGGTGAAAGCCGAGTTGCCGCCCGCTCCGGTGAAAAAAGTGAAGGGCGGTGGTGAGGCTTACGATGACCTCTTGCGGAGGGCAGTGGATGTGCTGTTTGGTTCGGGCGGCAAGGTAGGTGAACTTGAGCCAGGAAAGGTAGTTGTATCCGATGATGGAGAAGTCGTCGTGGAAATCGTTGAAGACCTGGACAATCTCGATGTCAGGCAAGGCGATGGCGCCCTTGCGGACCGGCTGATAGACGCACTTCGTGTGGCTGGGATAGAGGTCGCCACTCAGGGAGAGGAAGAAGAGGAAGAGAGGGTTCGTGATGAGCTCTAACTCTGATGTACGTCTTACTGGATGGATTTGCTATACTTTATATCACTGATCAATCGTACTTGAAACGAAAATTAATCCTGAAAGCTAGGCAGGTATTCCACATTCAGAAGTGCACTTGACAAGCGATCTAATTTGTTAAGTACTTAGAGATTTGTCTTCTTGCACGTAAAGCCCTCCCGTGAGTAAAATGCCGTTTTTTATGCGTCACTATGGACGCTAATGATATCCCAACACGTATATTTTTTACGGCTGATCCTTCACGGTAGTATGAGCTTTCCAGGACGAAGAATTCATAGCATCATCTCTCGACGCTAGAAGTAATTCAGCTGAATTTTCTTATTGACGTCTCTCTCGCCACCGCCGTGAACTAAACGTAGGCCTAGGTCTCCTTCAAGAAAGTTGAAACAAATCTCTTGTCATTCTTCGTATCACTCTCTGGGAGGTGGCTAATGGCCCTGCCTATTGGAAGTAACGATAAAGGGGATAACGAATCGCGATTCGGACAATGGTCAGTTTTGGTTTCCTAAACACGCCACGGTCACCGATTGTCGGTGTCTACGAGTCTCATCACATTCCGTTCGGTCACAAGCGATATCAGTGCAAGCAATGGGATCCCGCATGCGCAATTTAATCGTTCAGAACTTCGATGTTGGTTTTTTCCCTGTATCAGGGAAGTGTTCACCTATACTGATCTGCCCCGGAACTCGGATCACAATGCCTACGCACGAATTCGAACAAAGATGTCAGCGGTACTTTGCGACCTCGCATTGGCCCGAGGCTCGTAAGGTAAAGCTGAGCTCGTCTACTATTATGTTGCGCCACTGATATCTTGCCCTTCTCTAAAGTATTCTCAAAGGAGGTAGTAAATTCGCACGAAACAAGATCTTTGTGAGATATTCTTAACGTCGGTCTGTGTGTGTACGTTCCTCTGAATCGGACCGATCATCGGCTTGAAGGCGTCGAATCCATTATCCATTCAGAGTCCGTTCTTCGCATACGTGCTCGTTAAGCTGTGCGTCACGGAAATGAATTCAACTTCAAATGAATCTCCGAGACGATGAAGAGAATATGCAACGGAGTGCCATTTTGCCAGCGCATGGAAACATTTTCTGTGTGGAGTTGCTTCCCTTCATCTCCTGACTGTGGCAACGTCCACATCTCCCGGCGTCCTCGACATTTATATGTTATATACTACTGAGCGGGGTGCCCGCCAGAGCTTTGAGCAAAGGATATCCCTGGCGGCGACAGTGTCCTGCCGCTAACCCTCGTGCTCAATTATTCGACCATTCGTGGGTCTTCCATTAAGTCTCCAGGCTTTCATCCGATACGTAGCTTTATTGCGGCCATACGAAATTTCCCCAGTCGTAACGCTCTGTTCGCGTGGCTTCACTGCTGTCATGTGGTAGTGTGAATGCGCGTTCTTGTGCGTGAGTGTTCATCATCTGCTGATTTATATGGTTGCTCAGATTCTACTCTATCGGTTCGAATTTATCATTACAGACCCAATCCGCTAAGGTAAAGACCATTCTGTTTCACTCGCGTAGTCGTGGATACATGTTATTCGCTAACGACTTGCATCTCAGCTTTCCCTCCCTCGCTCCCTCTCTCTTTCTTCCGCTTTTTACGCACATGATCGATGGGTTAATATCCTGGTCATCGCATGATTAGACGGTAGCTTTACTATCCACAAATGGTGTTGAATCAGTATACTCCCAGCCTCACTCTCTCCGTTTGTCCGAGAGCGGTTTCGGTGATATTACAAGATACGCCTTGAGAACGCCAAGAATCAGCTTATTTACTAAGCTGAACAACAGATATGAAGCGGTTCTGGCAGGCCCCTAGCCGTACACCTTTCGTGATCATCTTACCAAAGTACTTTCATTCACTCTGTCTCGGGCATGAGTAGTCCTTTGGATTGTTTAGGAAATTTCACACCAAGAAGATACTAATGTAGTCATTGCAACGACCAAGAAGCGTGGCAGTAGCTCGAACTAACAGCATTGCAAATCTAAGTTGCATTGCGGATCTGCCTTGCACGCAGTGTGCTTTATCGTAGTCATACATGCGCCGTGCCTGTTATAGATTAGTTGTATTGTATAATTACATCACAAGCAAGCAATGGTCTATGGAGAAAGCATAAGAAACAAAATCTGATAATGTGGCGGTGGTTTTGAGTCCCGTAGGTATCTAAAGGTAGATTGCACATATATAGCGCTGACTTCTTGCTAGAAGAATCTCCTCTTCCCTTGTTTCTCGTCCACGGTGACCTTGACATGAACATGTTCCGCCCTTTCACCCCTCTTCAAGTCACTACATGGCCGAATGCTCTTCAACCACTCGTCACCTTCGTCCTCCTCACCGTCATGATCCACGCACTCAACCTCACCACATATTGAAGGTTCGCAACCACACAAGAGTCGGCTCCCTTTTCCACGCCCTTTCAATAGGTCAGTCAGCGTACACCGTGCGCTAGGCTCGACGAAAAGCATCCGCCGGAGCGCTGGCCTCGTTTCACGGGGTAGCAGTCGGAATATACTTTCTGCACCTCCCCCATGAAACGTAGTGACACTGTCAGTACGAGTACGCTTCTTAATGGCAGGAGTGGAGGGTTTATCGGCAGCAGGTGGCGGTTTTTCCTTCTTTTCTGAAGGTTCAGTCTCCTCCTCCTTGACACCGCCCATTACTTCGACCTGCGCGGCAGGTGTTCTTCTCACCGTCCCGTCAAACGTCGTCGCTCGCGCCCTCTCGATGGGCCGAGGCCGCGGTGTGGCAAGCACCTCTTCACTAGTACTCACTCCACCTGTCGTCGGAAATACCTTAGCGTACGACCGCGGACTGAGAGGCAGTGATTCTGTCGACGACCCTGGCCGATCAAACACCCGCACTGAAGGATCCATATCTTGGCCGTTGTCCGATGTAGGTAGCCGCGTATGTGGAAGATGCGGAGATTGAAGTGTGCGGTGAGGGCTCATCAAGGGTAATGTAGCTGTACTCTGGCTGACTGGTCCATCAAACGTAGTAAACATGAGCTTATCTTCAGATGCGACGACCACTGAGTTGGTAGAGGAAGACGAGTGAGAATTCGAGCGCGACTCTCTTATCGGAACGTTTGACTCCGACTCGGAGCCATCATCAGACGTGGCTATCGAGGTCGTTTCTGGATTGCCTATCGACGGAGCAACTATCGACGCTACTTCCGAATCGCAATTGGCTTGTAAGCCATTGAGGTTAAGCTGCGGAGGAGGTAGAAGAGGTTGTGGACTGCTATCGCCGTTCAAGGTCGAGTGTATTGTCGCTGCGCGCCCATGTAAATTATGCGTTCCGTTAACCGTTGGAGTGACGGGAACCGTCAGGCCTCGTTTGGGGGTCGGCGTAGGAGCGACGCTGAGGTCTGGGTGGGCATTCACAAATGCTTTGAAGCTAGGGTCCTGTTTCGGATCTGGGATTTTCCAGGGGAACCTCCTAAGGACCATGCACAGAAAGATAATAGCCACACTCCACACGTCGCTCTTTCTGGGGTCATATGAATCGCTGGACAAGACCTCCGGAGCGAGGTAGGGGTCGCTCCCGACCACGCCCGTAGCCGGCGTATGCGAGGGCTTGCCGGGATAGTGAAATACGGTGGCAGTGCCAAAATCGATGAGCTTCACAACGTTGTCGGTGGTCATGACGCAGTTGTCTAGCTTGAGATCACGATGAGCGAGTCCGAGTTCATGAAGGTACTCGACGCCGTCACAAATTTGCCGGAAAACGCAGTATATCTCGGGTCTGCACATTTTCCCAGACATAACGACAGAGAAGAGGTCGTACGGGGCGTACTCCATCACCTAAAGACACTGAGAACGACCGAACTGATGATAGAGGTCGTACTCACCTCATAGTAATGACCGTGATCTGAGACAATATCTACAGTCTCGATAATGTTCCTATGCTTCAAGGTAGAACCAACGCAAAACTCCGCGGTGACCTTTTTCTGATACTCCTTCTCGCTCTCGCCTGTCCGCTTAGGCCGAAATTCCTTGACAGCGAAGATAGTTCCCCCGTTCTTCGTGCTCGCCTTGATGAGCCGTACGGTGCCGCCAGCGCCGCTGCCAAGAACCCGACCCCACTTGCCGTACTTTTTTGAGAGGTGGGCTTGAGTGGCTTCTTGTAGAGAGTGAATGGGGTGGTGATGGTGGTGGGGGTTGTGATGGTGGTAAGGTGTATTGCTGCCCGATACAGGCGGCGGTTCATCTGGCTGTAAATAGCTTTCTGGGACTGGCGAGCTACGAGACGACGGTGACGGCTGCGAAGACGAAGGCGAGCGTTTACGGGAAGAGGCCTTGTCAGTGCCACCCGAGTGCTGAGAATGGTGCTGGTCGATATGGTTATGGAGCAGACGTTTGAGGTCGTGAAGAGGCCCGTGCTTTGGGGGCGTAGATGCTGGTGAATCAGCAGGACTAGTGAAGGTTGATGAGGCCTTTCGAGCAAAACGAAAGCGAGATTCGTGACGGGGCGACGGCGGCGACATGAACGAGCTCGAAGGCATGGTGGTGACTGGAGGAGGTGGAGCAGGGAGACTTGAAGAGGTACGGTCCGATGCGCATCCGTTTTCATTACTAAGTTTGATGACATTTATATTTTACGTGACCCTCTCCGGACCGATTCTGTTCCGGTTTAATCCCGGCCGGCCGTCACTCGGCCTCCTCCTCCCGCTTCCGTTTCATCTCCCGGCTCACCTTATGCTGTGCCGCCTCGTGCTTCGCCAGCTCAACCGGCACCTTGCTTACGGGACTCTTGGCTATCTCTTGCCTTAATTCGTACATCACCTCGTCGTCGTCGTTCGTCAGGAACGTGATCGCAGTCCCCAACTTGCCCGCTCGACCAGTACGACCTATAAATTTCATTAGCACTAACGTAGAAGTTCCAAAAAGATCTCCATACCAATTCGGTGTACATATGCCTCAATAGTGTTGGCCATCTGGTAGTTGATCACAAGACTCACGTCCTGGACATCAATACCTCGTCCAGCTAAATCTGTCGCCACTAGGACATCGCTTTCTCCATTTCGCAGTGACTGCAGCGCCGCCTCACGCTGTTCTTGATTCTTACCGCTATGAAGCGTTGCCGCAGCCCAATTTGCTCTCTGCAGATCCCTCGCCACCATGTCTGCCGTTTTCTTCTGGTTCACGAAGACGATGATCGGAGACGCGTACTCGCCGCTATTCAATATCTCGAGTAGTTTCAATCTAAAGATTATTGCCGTTAATGAAAATAACTGTGAATAAAACTTTGCCCACCTCTTTTTCTCATCTCCGTTGACAAATTCAACTCGTTGCTCGACCGTGTCAACTGCTCTGCCGGCCTCACCAATTGTGATAACTGCCGCCCTTTTCAAATACTTTCTTGCTAGCCGCTCGACCGCTGGTGGCATCGTGGCCGAAAATAACGTCGTCACTCTTGTCCGACCCATCCTGACAACAGCACCTTCATCGTCGACCTCCATTTTGTCAACCTCACCATCCATCGCGCCTTCCGGCAGTGCATCCAAAATATAAGTCAAATCCGTCTCGAAACCCAGATGCACCATACGGTCCGCCTCATCCATGACGACATACCGGCATTGTCCTAGGACCAATACATGCCGCTCAATGACATCCTTCAGCCGTCCTGGTGTTGCAATAATGATCTCGGCGCCTTCTCGTAGATTGAATTGCTGCTCTTCCACTGCACGCCCTCCTACGATGGAAACACATCGATAATCAAGAGGGCTGGCAAATTTGCGCGTCTCGCTTTCAATCTGCTGTGCCAATTCACGTGTCGGGGCAAGAATAAGGGCATACGGTCCCAGATGCCGATTCTCATCCGTGAACGGGGGGAGCGTGCTGATAAACGCTAACATGGGGATAACGAAAGCAGCCGTTTTTCCAGACCCTATGTGATGGATGCATTAGCAGGCATCAATAGAACATACAAGTGAAGGGCACCTGTCTCTGCGATACCAATAATATCTCTGTTCATTAATCCAATGGGAATAGCTTGCCTCTGAATTGGACTAGGTTCTTTGTATCCAATCCTCTCGATACAATCCAAGATCTGACCAGGAATAGCGCTCTCTGACCAGCTTCTCAAGGGGTGAGGAATTCCACCTCCTCTGGCACTGATGCTAAAATCCTCTCGGAATATCCGCCAATCTCTCTCTTTCATCTCCTCGAGACTCTTTTCTGACCAATGTCGCTCATCTACAACAGCCCGCCGTTCTCTAACGTCACGAACATCGACGTCCATTCCAGCTATGTGCCCCCGGCCAAACATGACTTGTGCGCTCTGTTGTGTGGGAAGAGGAGAAGCAGAAGCGGCAGTGTCGTCCTGCGCATCCCAGTCAAACACGAATTTACGGTCATTCATCTTACGAATTTTGCGTTTCTTCTTGTCAACACCCAGATAGCGTGTACGTAGGGCTTCAAGTTCAGCAGTAGACATAGAAGGGGTGGTAGGAGTAGAGGATGAGGGTGTCGGTGTCGGGTTACTAATAGGTGCCGACTTGCTTCGGTCGGCGCGAGGACCAGTAGGAACATTCTGGTAGGAAGATGATGAAGGAGGCGGACGTCTGTCTCTGTCCCCATCTCGTCTTCTATCATCGTCTCGCCTTCTATCATCGCCTCGCCTTCTATCATCGTCTGTGATGTTATCAGCATATAATGAAAATGGAAAATAAGCAACTCACGTCGTCGTCCACCAGCGTTCCCATGTACGCTAGGCTCTCTGCTAGCCTTTTCTTCGAGTCTTTCCCTCTCTAACCTTTTTCGTTCTTCCCTTTCTTTCTCTTCCTTGATCTCGGCCGCACGTTTAGCAATAGCAACCTTCGCGCGTTCTTCTTTGCTCAGAAATTTAGGCTAGAAGGCTAGTCAGAGAGAACAGAAAGCAAAAGACAAAGACGGACCCTCGACGCAGCTTCCTTTTCTGCCTTTTGCTTCTGTAACAGAGACTCGATGGAAATGGGTTCTGAACGAGTCGTCATCGTCGACGTTAGTCAAGAAGAGAGCCACGTGAGGCCCCGATCATTTCAGTCGAATTCTTTGGTACCGATCCCTTGGATCAAGATTATATCACTGGGCCATGCCTGCCAGACTGCTCGACGAAGAAGGTGACATTACTCCAGAGTTTGAAGCTGCTCTTAGAGTAATGTTTGCCAAATATGCCTCCCCTTCGTCCAATACCCTTTCTCGTGCACAAATTCAACAGTACTTCCTCGACACCAATGGCGTCCCTTCCCCAGATTCGGAAATAGACGAAATCATGGAATTCATGGACATCGATGAGGACACTGGGAATCTTACTTTTGGTGGATTTATGCAGATCTATCAGTTGCAGACGGAAAACGATGAGGCGGAAACGTGGAAAGACTTGGTTCGTGCTACTGATGAACCGATAGAACACTGGTATGACCTTTGATCTAAATTTTACAGGAAAAGCACGGATATAACAGAGATCTCCAGCAAAATTAATGTCCCTTGGGCGTGTATCGCGCATCGGCAAGTACGCTCTCATAACCAGTCATTCTGCTTACTCACCTCCAATAGCATTCTCGAACGGTCGAACAGTTATATAATCGAAACCAGGCAGCTGTTCTTTTTCGTAGTTGCGATGGGAAATTTCCTTCAAGGTTGGGGTTTCATTTCCGAGTCATTTCAAACATTACCTGAAGGCTACCTCGGATGCAAAAGATGTACCTGTGCTCCTCATCTGAGGCTCTAGGGTTCGCTTACTTTGGCGTTCCAAGAGACCTTTGACATGAGTCAAAAACGGACATGCGCGTCTTCGTACCAGTTGGCAGTACGAACTTCAAATATGAACAGTGATCTGAAATGACAAGCTTGAGATTTGAAGGATAGGTACAGAGAATTTCTAGGAAATTCAGGGCCTTTTCAAATGCGCTCTTCGCTATCTCGTCAGATCCCGAATTTGCACGGCTATAGGGCAATACAAGATCTAACTCTGTGTTGCATTTGCCCCGGCTAATGCGGCTGGACAACATTAACGCCACGGTGCAAAGCGTCAAGACCGTGCCTCCTTCACGAGAACATTCTTATCGCCAACCTATCACGGTGGGAAGATGAAATTGTTATTAGGGTTGCTCGATGTCCTATCACGAAACAGTCTTCGAATCCAGAGCACCCGTCCGTTGTACCCTGTTGTACCTTGACCTAACCTTCAACTGCGGCTAAGCACCACTGTGTAAAAATAGCCTGATGACCGCGCCCATTTTTAGTCTTCCGGATATTCGGAGGCCCCCGACTTTCGGTAAGTAATTTCCGGAAACGCCGGAAATCCCGGCCAAACCTCCGGTTTTCCCCGCTGGACCGGCAAAAAATTTCCCCGTTCCCCACAATTTTGCGATTACGACATGCCAGTATTAGATAGTACCTGACGCTGCCGCGCTTCCTTCCCCTGTCTGACATTCCCAGTTCGCTTTCACCGCTCCTCTCGCAATGCCAACTTACTATCAGGGACACACAGTCATCTGCACGAGTTTTTAACACGCCAGACAATACTTTCCAAGAGGTGAAAAATTGCTGACCGAGTGCTACTTTCATCCCGCCGCCACTAATCCAGCGGGGACGTTGGTGGGTCGGAGAAGCTTAAAAGACTAGTGACGCCAAGAGATTGACGTTAGAGCGCTTGGAAGCTTCGCTACTCGGACTTAGCTTGAATTGCGCGCCAAGCCACATGTCGTCATAAATTCCACTTCGTTTATTCTTCTCCCGTCCCGAGGTGCCAAGACCACTCGAAATCGACGTGTGGATACAGGTGGGTGGCAAATTCACGCGTGTTTCCTCACTAAATTCACTTGGCACTTCGACTTAAATCTTGCATACAGTAATTTGAAGTCAAGCCATCTGGCGCTTGGAAGCTGAAACATGTGAAGCAGCTTGATCCGGAATTCAATTCAGTGAGTCCTACCTAGTACTTGTGCATGCGCCTTGGACTTCTACCGCTGCTGCTAGAACATACCGATACGGCTGGCATGCGTTCCCAGCATTTCCTTGGAGCAAATCTGCGTTTTATGACATCATGATATGCCGAATTGATCCGCCGGTTTCTATGTTGTCGTGGCGTCGCATGTGCGCGAGGAATGAATGCAGTGCACGTTACACCAGAAAATGGAGAGCCTTTCTTGAAGCATGCTCCCAATCGTTGACGGACTCAGGAATACGACATGTCATCTAAGTCACCGCAAGCGTTACCTTCAGATGCTGGAAATTCGCCCATCTACGCAGACAAGAGAATTCAACGCGAGTATTTTGAACCCTACCTTGGGTTGCCTCTTCGGGCGGAGAGTTGGTCAAGGACAAGTTATACCCATGCGGTCAAGCGTTCCCACTCCAGCATAGTGTACGGGTGCGATTCGAGAATAGGTAGCTTGCGGTTCAGCTCCAAGACAAGAGATGCGGTATATCAATGTGCGCTGCGAAAACGGCTGAACATCTAGCTTCGATGCGAAACGGAGTTGAAAACCCAGACTGTGAACCGCTGCACACTTGATTCGAATGCTTCGTGATCGACGTGTGGAAATACTATATGAATTCGATCCGCAAAGTGTCTCCGTCCACGGTGCGTTCAATCCTTCGCAAGTTCTTAAGAATTGCCAAGAGTCGATGTCCTCGTCTGATGGGATGAATCGTAGCCAATTCGGTATCGAAATGCAATCTTATAATGATTATCAGAGAATTGCAGCGCACGAATCTAGTAGTTTGATTAGAGGTGAAAGCGAAGCACAAGATAATGTCCGGTTTTCGGGCATCAAACGCTTCTGGAGACCCAGAAATCTATAGCTGGATACTAGCCCGTTGGACCGATAGGACGCTTTGTTCCGTTATTCAAAGAGTCCGGTAGTACTGTGCAGTACCGGGAGAAAGTTGCGACAATACTGGCCATAGGGTCAGCACTCCAATGTTTCCTCTGCAGCACCCAGACCGGAGTTGTAACTAGCAGTCTCGTAGAGGGGATGCAGGCATTACAAACGGAAAGTATGTACTACCATGAACTGCCATCGATCGAAAAGTAAGGATGCGGCTTTAATAGTGCGCGGACAATCTGCCCTGTTGATGCAGACGTGAAGAAGAGACTGGCATGCGCATTGATGATTTTCGAAAAAGATGGGCGTTCGTATGTCATGTAAACGAACTATGTCAGGATAGAGCATGGTTCTAACGGTGTGGAGACTACGGCCAAAAGCATGCAGAGCATCCACAGAAGAGTAAGATCCCCAGATTTTTAAAGCATTCAATTAAGAAAGATATGGTAGAAACATTCCTTGGCTTTGACGACCATTTGAAATGACAGGACCGACGAGACCGCCAATAAGCGAGGGTTGTCTTCGACTGCTAGCGTACAAAAGCCGTCGGAAGTTTACAGAGAGGACAAGGCAAAAAAGCGAGTTCAGTGCGTACAGTAGTCCACCGGTACTTACTAGTTGAAACCAGACATTCTAGAAAATGCAGATCTCAAGTCCTTGGAAGTGTGATGTTGGGAACTTCAAGAAAGAAGAAGTGCTAAGCAATCATGGTCCGGGAGTCACAGCGCGTGTGTGTATTGATTGGTCACCACTTCCAAGACTCGTTGTCGAGGCTTGGAGGTGTACAGGTAGCTCACTGTTATGATACCGATGACAATGCCTAGAGTGAATAAAAGCACTTGGCGACCCACCGCTCGCCGCATTCTCGTAAACCTTGAACTGCGGAGAGACACAAGGAGGCTGTTTTTTCGCCTCGATGAATGTCTTCGAAAGTTGAGCTTCTAATCATGTAGCCAGTCAACTCATTATTTAACCTTGCCAAGTCAGTGTCTATTTCTAGCATAGGCTGTGTTTGACGTTCGCAGCATAACTCAAGAGATTCTTGGCACAAGCCCGAGAGCTGCCCGAGCGTTAATAGGTCCCCGGCGTCGCCGTATTAACATCCGGTATGGGAACGTACGTAGGTTTCGAGGTGTTCTAAATTTAAATGATCTTGGCACCGAAAATCCCAAAGCTTAAGGTGATATGCATACCTTATCTCCTGGAGTGGAGTTCTTGATATGGATCGCGAATCATGGTGCCAAGTACTAGCTCACTGACAAATCACGATGCCAAGAGGACAACTGTAGAACGGGGTTCAACCAACAATCTGTTGGCCGCTGGCTGTCGAGGCCGTGTTTCACCTGGCGCATATCTTAGGTCAATGAAAGCTTTAGTAGGAAACACTGAGACAAGTGACTGGAAGCCGGAAAATTTTGATCCGTACAAACGGTTTGTCAATCCCGTTAACAAGCCAATGAATGGATGCATGTTCTTGGAAAAATATTCCGAAGAACTTGGCGTTTCTCAGCGGGTTCCCCGCAGCAAGAGTGGAAGACTGTTAGTGCTTGCCAAGGAAAGAGTTAGGTTCTAGTTGTCACGAAGTAAACGGGCTGAGGCAAACGAACTACTTAAGACGGTCTCCCAACTCTATATGCAGCTGTGCCCAGATCGTTTCGGAGTAACTAGAAAATGGCGAAGGGCTTAAAGGACCATTGAGAGTCGTTGAAGGGTATGCATCGACGGATTCAGACCATAGTTATCGAAAGGCTGATAGAATAGACGTTTCGGTTTTTCGACAAGCACTGGCAGAATAGCCGAATAAGGAAAGCAATAGTGCCAGCAGAAACCACGTCGACATGAACAGCCGTGAATGATCTTCAGTGAAGGGAGGTCTGAACAGCGAGATACAGGCCGACATGTGTGTCCAAAAATAAGGTGTGTACCGTCAGATATGTGCCAGCCGTGCGTCCTACTTGGAATTCAGTGTGCTCTGCTCTCCTAATTCACATCATAGTTATGTGCAAGGTCATTCAAAGCGTCGGTAACTAGAATCTTAACAGCTATGTGAATTTTCGGTTTACAAAGCCATTCATCCCGGGTTCACGTTAGAGACGTCGCCATGCTGTCGCAGCAGGATGCTACATCCGTTGTTGAACGACTCATCTTCATACGGATCGTTACGAGCTCGAGGATGTTGACAATTAGTAGAAACAAAGCGCCGATAGCACAGCCACATCCAAATATGGTTGCCAACCGCCACACAATCCCGCCACTTCGTCCTTGATTAGATACCGAACTGCCAGTACTTACTGATTTATCTGTGCTCGAGGATCAACATGAAAATGACCGAAGAACTCGAAATTGATAAATTATAGATCCACACACAAGCTTCCTGCATCCTCGTCCATCTAGAGTTGCTCCTTTCTGCTAGCCACGGGGTATTAAAAATCTTAACTCGTGCACCTGCGACACATATGACAATAAAGGCTACTGTGTTCTGGGCTTCTGCCACTCAAATTTTTTACTCTCTCAGGTACACGTCGTAACCTGGGATGGACACGGGGCATGGGCTAGAATCATAAGTCATACAGTTTGAAACCTTGAGCGATGGCGTGGCTACACATATCGTTGTGGTTGGCGGCTCCATATGCACCCTATCAACAGTTCAATTCCTCTACCCGGAAGGCCGTCAGGAAGCTGACGTTCCGAGAGCAGTGGATATTTTGTCAACTGCTAGGTGCAGGTGACCTGCAACGAAACAGGCGAGCCTTACCGAGATGCCTCGCGGGTGAGAGGAGTACTGAAGGAGGCAAGTTAACGCGGTCCCGTTCGATAAGGACCGCTACACGAATGGAAAAATTCAGGGCATGATAATTGAAGTTGCTCGGTACGTTGCGACAATACTATTATGCGAATTGGTGCCTTTAGTGTTCTACGAAGATTTATTGACTCTCATTTCGAATCTTATAGCTTGTGTTCCCGGAAACGATTGTCTGCGGGGGCGCGATGATGCAAGTAAGTACGACGAGTAAGTAATTACTGGCATACCAGTCCAGTAATGACAACGTGACGAAGGAACGACAGATAAGACATATATAGGAACTGTATATGCAAAGTCATCAGCACTACTCCGACGGTCAAAGCAGTCGACCAGTACCTAGATAAAAACCTGCGATCCGAGATGAAAGGAATAGAATGGGATCGAAAAGCATGTGGGTGTGACATACTTACGGTTGATTGGATGTGAAAGGCACCGTTGGATGCGAAGAAGACATTTGGGCGTTATCCCGGGATTCAAATGAGAAATTAGGGAGGTCCCATCAAGCATCAACTGCGTGATTGACGTCGAGAGTGAATTTCCAGATCTCGACACCTTCCCAGTCCTCTTTAGCCCACTTGAGGCCACTCTTGTCGAGAGCTTTAGAGATCTTTCTGTACGGAATCTGCTCGGTTTTGAAGCCCCAGTGGGATCTGGCTTCTAATAAGACGCGGTCAACAAGAGCCGGATCGCGGCGTTCGAGACAAAGAAAGATGGGGGGAGGACGCGAAGAGCCAGACGCGAGCGCATGGAGAGTTCGTAGCAGAGGCTGAACAAGATGTGGTGTATAGACGGTGTCAGCGGTGATGATGAGGTCAAAGGATGAAGTAATGAGAGGGTCGTGCCATTGATCTGGTTGGACTGTCCAGTCAAGCTGGCGAATAGAAATTTCTCCTGACAAAAGTGGGACATTGGTGGAAATATTTCGGGGAAGAATGGTGGTTGTTATGGTGGGAAGATCAGTGGCAACGACGGCCCATCCGAGAGAGCTGAGGACGAGACTAGACAGACATGAGAAATATTCGGACAAGAAAAAGGAGACAAACGCAGAGAGCCCAATACCGCTACCTAGCTCGATGACCCGCATACCGGGACGGAAGAGACGTGGATGAACGACTTGAGCCAGATAGACAGAGAGCACCTGTGCCCCAAGCCATAGGGCAGTTCCATTTGACGTTCCGTCGTCTGACTGTGCTAACCGAAAGGTAAGAGAAGATGAAAATGAATAGGATAATAGAGGCAGATGCTTGGTAGCATGAGCAGGGAAGGGAGGCATGAGGCGTTGTTTGGAATGGAGGCGGTTAGCATCGCGACCGTTATAGCTTTGGTTAGCTTAGGTTAGCTTTGCTTCCTTTGACTGTATTCTGCCTTGCATTTCACGACCACGATACCACGGCCTGCCCTGCTTCATCGCCCACGTTTTCTTCCTCTTCCATCTGCTGCGCCATCGTCGTCTTTGCTTTGCTTTCTATTGCATCATTCAAGCTCAATTCACATTCGCTTCAAGTTGTCCATAGATACTGATCTCAAATACTCATGAAGGCTTTCCTGTCTCGCCTGCATATCGGTGGTAGCAAGGACAAGGAACGAGATTCGCTATCCATCCCGAAGGAAAAGCTCCCTCCATTGCGTCCTTGGCCCCCAGAGGAGACCCAGAGGACTGCCTCTAATACCCCGATTTCCTACGCCAATTTCAAGCCGCTTCCCGAACTTGTTCCAGATCAGTTCTCGTCGCAGCTTACTCCCAGAAATCTTAGCGAGGACCCTTCACCGACAACCTCCACGACGCCGACGCCTTCCGTGACTTCTCCCACCCCCTCGCGTGCTGAGGACCCTCTTCCCGACTTGCCCGTTCGCGCTGTTTCACCACGTCAGGATCCTGATATTTCGGGTCGTAGCCAGAAGAAACAGAACGGATCGGGATATCCCAACGGCAGCGTGTATGCAGCTAATGCGTCGGAGGTGCAGAAAAAGGTCGCTTTCATCTCGCCTCCACCAACGCCTGCCAACTTTGATCGCCCCCTCCCTGAGTCACCTCCTGCTGCTCCCCTTTCCGCTCCCATCAAGACAAACGTATCGCGATTCCAGGCTACCCACAAAGAGCCACGAGGCCCTACTCCCTCAGGTGCCTCATCGTCCAAAACCGATCTAGGCTCCTTGGGCAAGGGCAAAGCCGCTTCCACTCGCGCCGTTTCCCCATATCTTCATAGACCTGACGCCTCAGCCCCATCGCTCAGGTCCACCTCGCCATATTCTCAGATGACGGAGAACACCAGTGGGAGCAGAATTCTCGCTGCGGCTTCTTGGAGTGAGGTCACAGAAGAAGACCTCGTATCCAACCTCGGTTCGAGGGAACGTACGCGTCAAGAAGTTTTGTTTGAAATAATTTCCAGTGAGGAAAGGTGCGTCCCAGAGAGCTTACACCAGTTTTCGTTTAATAAATGCGTTACAGATATGTCCAAGAACTGGTAAAGATGAAGGACACATTTATTGACCCCCTTCTGCATCCCTTTTCCGCACCATCAACGAATACCCCGTTGTCTGCAGCGTCGACACCTAACCTCGATTACGACTACTTCCGCACCGAATCACCGACAGAATCTATTGACCATCTACCTCCCATCGCGGCGCGCTTCATGTCTCCCACACCCTCAGCTGAAGCGCATTCACGGACTCCCAACATTGACACTGAATCATTAGATAGTGACGAGGAAGACGAGGGGGACGATCACATGGGTAGGGCATTCAATACTCCGCGGAAGAACGGTACAGCAAGCCAGACCTCAAAACACAACCATCCACGTTCACCCTATCGCGCTACAGTCACACGGACTGCTGCGAAACCCGGCACGTCGGTTCCGTTCCCAACACGGTCCCATCAATCCCTTCCTCCCCCTGCACGGGCCAACCAGTCTACCCAGTCATTAGGCAGGCAATCCATAGTGGTTGAGCGGGAACGGGAACGACACTTCAGTCATTCCAAAGCGTCAAGCCCCAAGTCAGGGATGTTACGCAAATTCAAGAAGAGCGAAACGAGTAGTAACCCTTTCGGCGATGCGATTGCGCCACATCAGTTGCCCGAAGATCTTCGGATTTGTCTGGAGGTTGTTGATAGCGGCGTTCTAGATGGTCACAAGCGATTGTCGGAGAGTTTGAAGAAGCGATATGACGACCAATACCCACTCGTAAGGACGTTAGCCGATGTGTTTGTATCGAATGTGAGTCCATCAGATTGATTCCAAGCAAATTTACTGATCGGCGTCTTTGAAGGCGGATATTTTCCACGGGTACGCAACTTATGTCTTGCACCTGGAACGGGCTCTGGGACAGGTTGATAATGCACTGTCCAACGTATCGAATAAAAAACCAAAGAACCAAGATGTAGCGGATTGGAACAAGGTATGCAAGTACCTTCAAAAGCTCGAGGAGAACTCCAGTGAGAAAGGCGAAACCGGTCTGGCGATAACACTTTCAAAACCTTTTCAGAGGCTACTAAAGTATCCCCTGCTCTTCCAAAATCTGCTTTTCCATACGGATCCGAGTACCTTTGAGTACGAGAGCACCCTGCAGATGGTGGCGGAAGTTGAGGCGATTGTGAGGAGTATAGAAGACGAGAAAATACAGAAGGAGGAAAGGGACAAGACAAGAGATGTCTTCGCAAGGATCGAGGGGCTCGATAAGGTCCGGCAGTTGGCGCTACCGAAGCCTTCGAGGATATTGGTGGAGGAGAAGCAATGCCCACCGTCACTGCAGGGTCCACCGCTTAAAGCGTCGTCGCCGCCACCGGGCGGGGTGAGAGGGAAGAGCTCATTTAAACGGCTGAGCGATGTATTGGGAAGCCCTGGGAAGAAGGATCTCTGGTTGGTGGTGTTTAATGACGTCGTACTGCAATGCCAGCGGACGGGAACAACTAGTCTACCATTGGCGGCACCGACTAATTCCAGAACGACGAGTATGCCGGAGATGCAAGGAAAAGCCAAGTACGCCACGACAGGAAGGCGAAACTCTCATACCAAGCCCCGGAATCTGTACAAGTTTATAAAGGTCTGTTTCTTTGTCTACTTACAAAGCAGTCTGATAAATGAAGGTAACTGTTGACGTTCTTACAGATAGAGAATTGGGCTATCGGGGACGTCGCTAAGCCTAGAGAAGGCGTCATATCAATGGAGGAGTGAGTTTTTCTTACTCAACTGGTTTGGCGTTTCCTGGACTCATATAACGCTTTAGTGTCGCTCGCACACGTGCACAAGTGCACCAGCCTCGAATCGTCCCTCTACCGGCTGACGATGAAGATGGAGGTATGGACTCAGACGACTCGGATCGAAAAAGCAAAATGAGCTTTTCTTACTGGGGAGCGGACAAGGTGACGGTCCAGAAGCCCGTCATCAAAGGCCGCCTGGTCGCGAACCCGCGCCGAGGGGGTGCACCTTCATACGGGCGCGAATCATCCGCCAATGCGAAATTCGGCTCTCGATTGGTATCAGACGGGTCTCCGGCGGTGCGGGCACCCAGTCGACGAACGGGGGCGACGACGCCCGCGTCTCGGAGACACGACGACATGAAATCCACAGTGACACGTCCAGAGTGGAATGCGAGCACGAGAAACGTGCAGCATAAAACTAGAGTGCGGAATACGTCACAGACTAGTGCAGCTGTTAGCTCTAAAAGCACTGTGCAGCCCAAGACTGTAGGGTCTCCCGCGCCATCCGAGGACTCTGGGGTAGGCCTATATCGTCAGATGCTTGCTAAAGACCCGTCTCTGAATAATGCTTGAAGGCTCCATAACCATCTTGTTTCCTGGTCTCTTTATATTGTGCGTACCTGCTCTGGCATCCCCTCATCTCCGGCGATCCCACCCTTCATCCTCATTGCATCCTTATCATTTACTATTAAACTCTCATACATTATATATACCAGTGCGGTGGGTACAAGTATTTGCCTCGACTCTCCTTTGAATGCTTTTCGCTTACATATCTGCTATATCGATGTTTACGCTTACGATACGTTCCCTCAGTTTTTTCCCCCTCTATTGGTAATTTCGTCAATGGCCAAATACCCCGCATGTTCAATATACGAACTATCATATATATTTCTCTTTCTCTCTCTTCTTCTAACACGCTACTTACTTAGACTTGGCTGTATCACTATATGCTGCTTTGGGGCTCCTTTCAATCACTACTTCCACTGCTTTGGTATGCCGCGTTATGGATACTGACACTTCGACCAGATGGGTCCGAGGCGCATCCCCAGTCACCACGAGGTACCCAGCTACAGTGGTGGTTAAGTCTAGATGTGTAATCAAGAAGGGTAGTGGTGACCTACCGCACAGCAGTTTTAGCAGCAGCCTCGCTCGGGAAGAGACCTGGTGATGTTGAGGACGGCGCGGGAAACGAAGTGTAAATTGGAACGCACCATCGAAAATGTCACGAATGTAATAAGCCTCCTTCGTATCAGGCGTGCCTTCCTGCCAACGTTCGGCGCGTTTGGCAAAGGCCTCATCCGAGACGACAGATGCTGCATGATCTTTTATACTGTAGAACAAGGTGCATAAGCATTTTGGATGGCAAGAATCAGGATGATTCAGGCATACCCATCAATCCATGAGTATCCCACACCATCGGAGAATTGCTCCTTCTGCCGCCAGAGGATGGATTTAGGCAGGTAAGGCTGGGATGAAATCGATGCATTGAGGAAAAATTAGTAGCACGTGCCAAATACACGTACCTTGCCATCTGGTGCACAATCAAATGCTTTTCGAAGGACATACTGAAAACCCACGACACTCTTAGCAACTGTCAGTCTTTGCTAGACCGAGAAAGACGCACTTTTTCCATCTTTGGACATCCATCCTCATCGACTTCCTGGCTAGGACCCTTGCTGAACATCTTTTCCTTTGGATCGATGTTCATAGCGACTTCAAGGAAGGCCTTGTCCAGGAAAGGTACACGGGCTTCAAGTCCCCAAGCCATCGTCGATCTTGCAGATCATTAGTTATTTGAGTGCATCAGTAGGCAGGGACGGTGAACTGACTTGTTCGCCCGAAGACAATCAGAAGTATGCAGATTTTTCACACGTCGCACCGTCTCCTGGTGGAACGCGACCCTGTCAGGGGCAGCGTGGAAGTAGAGATAACCTAGCGAGTGTATAAGCCGGTCGTTCTCTGTCATAGACGGACACAACATACCTCCTAAAATTTCGTCGCTTCCCTCTCCGCTGAGGACCATTTTGACACCCATGGCTTTGATTTTTCGGCTCAAAAGGTACATTGGAGTGCTCGCACGGACAGTGGTGACATCGTAGGTCTCCAAGTGATAGATTACTTCTGGGATGGCGTCCAAACCCTCTTGGACGGTGAAGACATACTCATGGTGCACGGTTCCAAGGAAGTGGGCTGCCTTCCTTGCAGCGAGAAGATCAGGAGAATTTTCTAAACCGATAGAAAAGGAATGTAGTTGCGGCCATGATGTTAGCGTCGCTGAAGAGACAAGTCAGCGCGTCATAAATCGTATTAAGGGTCAGATGGACCTTCTTCTGTAATGAAGCCAGTCGGTGTAGGCGGCCCACTGACAGCCTCTTCGAGTTTTCGTTTCCGAGCCTCGAATTGAGCCTGTGCGACCTTTTCTGTCTCTCTAGCTGCGATGGAAGCAATTAAACTGCTATCGAGTCCACCACTAAGCAAGACGCCGTATGGGACTTCGGACATCAACCGTTTGCGTACTGCAGCCTCCAGAGCTTCACGAAGGAGCGTAAGATTGGTAGGTGTGGTTGGAATTGTAGCAGTGGGACCCTCATCATCTCCGTGCCACCAGGTTGGGTGGTAGTATCGCGTCGTTGTTCCGTCGCGACTATCGTAGACGTGTCCTGGAGGGAACGAAATAATTGTATCGCATTCATCCACGATGGCTTTGAGTTCGGATGCGAAATATACTGCTCCGGGACGTTTGGAACTCCAGCCTTGATACAGGGTGGTGATACCGATAGGGTCCCGCGAAGCAATAATTCGACTGGGAGTGACTGATTCGTCGAGGAGAACAAAGGAAAACATTCCGTCTAGCATGTTGCAAAGATCTTTGCCATGCTCTTGATACTATCAGTAAGGTCAGAGGATTTTATGGTCGGATGATAAGGAAAATCACCAGAGGAATAATAACTTCACAATCAGAGTGAGTTTTAAACTTGTATTCCTGTTTCAAGGATGCACGCAAGGCAATATGGTTGTAGATCTCGCCGTTCACGGTCAAGATCAGCTTCCCATCCTGGCTAGTCAAAGGTTGAGCACCAGTATCTGCGAGGAAATGAGCAAGGTATCGACAAAAATCAAGAGGCTACTGACCAACCCCGACAATAGCGAGTCGTTCGTGCACTAAGACACTTTCTTTTCCTACAAAGCAGCCGGACCAGTCAGGGCCACGATGGCGTATCCGCTTAGAGAGTGCGATGAAGTGAGCGCGTTCCGAGGCTGGTTTTTCGAGTCCATAGACTGCACAGATTCCACACATGGTGAATGAGTTGTTTTCCGAGAATCCAAGTGACAGACAGGGTGCAAAATTTGGATTTGAGAAATTTGTGACTCAGGTCGCGATAAGATAAGTGGAAAAACCTTGAGTAAAAGATACTGACACATCCATATTTGTCAAGTAGCCGGTCTGGTGTTGTCCGTCTTTTTTGACCTACTTGCGCCGTTCCACCACCTTTGACCACCACGTCTCAGTTTTCGCTGTCAGACTTTGTGGAAACATGACTCCCAAGGCCTCGCAAAAGCGGAAGAAGAGCGCTTTGAGTGTTGTGGACGCCAAAGCAGCTGTTGATCTTGCGACCGCGCAGACGTACTCGGAAAATGTGTTTCTATTCGTGCCCAACATTATCGGTACGTCTCAATGTCACATGGGACATACGCCTCTAACAATGGCACTGTAGGCTACTTGAGAGTCATTCTTGCTGCTGTGTCTCTTCATTACATGAGCTATCACCCCATCTACTCCAGTATCTTGTATGGCATTTCAAGTATACTGGATGTTGCAGATGGCTATGCTGCTCGCGCACTGAATCAGTCGTCGAAATTTGGTGCTGTTCTGGACATGGTTACGGACCGGTGAGTTCTCCGCCCGAAAGCTTGAAACCGTACTGAGATGATGATAGATGTGCGACGTCATGCCTCTTGTGTTATCTGGCCTCTGCATATCCGAAGTACGCTGTCTTGTTCCAGTTTCTCATAGCACTGGACTTTTCAAGTCACTACATGCACATGTACAGGTGCGCCACCCAATTCGATTCACTTGCTCGTTCTTGAGATTCGTTCCTAGTTCGATAATCACTGGCTCTTCGAGTCATAAGCTGGTTACGAGTGATGTCAGTCGAATTCTTTGGCTCTACTACAATGATAGGGTGAGTATTGGCATTCACCTCTGTGCTCCCTTGACGGCATGTCTTACTTCATCAAAGCGCACACTCTTCTTGGTCTGCGCTGGAAACGAGTTGTTTTACGTTGCGCTCTATCTCGTCAAATGGATTGACACGCCGATAACACTTTTACTTCATCCGAATACCCCATCTTTCCTTGCTGGAATGACATATCAGCAATTGGTTGCATGGCTGAGCGCTCCCGTTTGTATCCTGAAGAACATCATCAATCTGGTTCAGTTATGGAAGGCATCCAAAATCCTTGTGGGTGTTGATTTAGCGGAGAGGGCGAAGGCGAGAAAGGAAAAGGCATCTTAATTCCATTCCGTTCTGCTGGATTCTAGTCATATTATTTATATATTTCATCTCGAACTATCTTCATACATTTGATCTGAAAAAGTCGGCCAAGTATAGACACGTGATCGCTTTCAAAATTTGAAGTTTTAAGTCAGCGAGATCTTGTTGTGTTCCCCTCCGGCTGTCGGCGTGAATGCAGCCCCAATCGCTCCTTCCAAGGTCCAGGTCTCTCATTAGGACTGTCAAGGGCCTTCATTTATCCTCTACTCGATTTGCCCGGTCCTACGCGAAAGAACGGACTCCACGTCAAAATACCGGCACTCGACTGGTATCTTCATCTTCATCACCCGGAGAACCTTCATCGCTGCAGGAACCTCCAAAGAATCCATCCCAAGACCCTCCGCCTCCAGAAAAACCAGAGCGACCATCTAGACGTAAAACTAACAGCAGCACCGCGGCACCCGCACCACCCATCGAATCCGTTGACCTTCCACCAGGCTTGGATATTTTATGGACCCCAACAGAGCTGCCAGATGGTGAATCTATGAATGCAGCTTGTTTACCTCCCCCAGAAATCCTAGAGGAGGCTCTGAATAATCTGCATATCACCCTTCATCCACAAACACAGAATCGTGCTGTATATGCATCTCCTCAAGGACCACCCACGGAACCTACCCTTGCACTTTATTGTCCAATAGAAGGAGGTGACTATGTGGTCGATGCCACCGTGAAGGAACTAGCACGTAGGACTGGTTCTGAAGTCGTTGTTCTTGATGCAGTACAGCTCGCAGCAGGAGAATGGGGCGACTTTGGCAAAGGTGCGTACTGTGCTTTCAGATTCCCTTCCAGAATAACCGGAATCTCTTGAAAAGCTGCAAACTTTCTTCAGTTACCGAAGAATCCGCTACACTTTCGTGCTTCAATGGCATCATCTTCCCGTCCTACTATGGCCGAGGAAGAAGACGACGACGACGCTGGCCCATTTTCGTCTGGGCAAATGACGGTTACACTCATGTCTCCTTCCAGTGCTCGGGGCTCAGCGGTAGTGTCCAGTTCAAAAACCATCCCGCCGAACAAAACAAAGATGTTCTTCGATGCCCTCGTAAACATACCTTCCGACCAGCCTACTTCCACCCCTCGAATCATTTATGTTCGCGATTTCCCCACATTGGCACCGACTTCATCTACTTGGTACCGTCCTCTTCTAACTGCTGTCCGTCAACGTAGACGCGGTCCAATATCATCCCCTTCATCACCTATATGCAACCCGATGACTATCATATTCGGTATCACACCACCAATAACACCTCCTGAAGTCCTTGTGCCACCTTCCTCTCCAAGCCCAAATATTCTGAGTCTACTAATGAACCGCAACCCTTCTGCCTCGTTGGTGACCTCTGCCCCCAAACCCGGTCGGACAGATTGGAGTGAGGATGAAGTCGCAGACAAGGCTAGGGAGGCTCGACTGCGCCGACGACTGAAAAAATGGGAAAAAGGTGACGCTTCTATTCTCGAAGAACTTCCAACATTGGTCAATGAAGATAACAATGACTCGGATTCGAAGAGACCTGAGGTCATCGTTCTTGGGGGTAACATGTCAATACCTTTACCCGGTCTTCAGCCCCTGTCAAACCGAAGCAATTCAGACTCTGCGGACACCAGATCGCCATTTTTCCGGACTTCGATCCTCGTTCCCAGTGTTCGTTCAATTCCAGACGAACGGGATTGCCGAATAGCGCGGAGAAGGGAGATCAACGAATTGACGATACGCATGGCGATAGGAGCCATAGGTGGCGCTCTGGATGCTGAAGGGGCTGAGAGTCACCTACTAAGAGAGACAGAGAAAAACGAGGACGAAGACAATAAGGTGGACGCAGAAAAATCTGATCTGGAGTCTATGATTGATCACGAACAAATGTGGGATGACTGGGGAAAACGGGTGGAGTTATGGATGACTGTCCGGCATATTGCTGACCGTGCTGTTGGAAGCGTCGTAGCTGACCGTTCAGCAGCCGCTCAGAGCGAGAGACCATCACTGGAGCCTACATCCGTCTCCTGGGACGCAGTTGCCCGTGCTTGGTCTGGTCACCGGCTGTCCAGGAATCTCCGGAAATCTTGGATGAAAGACGCCCTTCCCGTTACCCGAACGAAAAATGACCAAGATGAGGATGAAGACGAACCAGATCAAGAGGAGAAGCCAGAGTCCATCGACGAAGTGGTGGATAGGCTGAAAAACGATCCTGATCTTGATGGACATGAACAGCGTTTGTTACCATGCATTGTCAATACAGGTAAATGTACACTATATTACTATCTTCACCCATGTCTGACTTCTTTTAGCTGCAATGCCTACAACTTTCAGCCAGGTTCACCTTCCGACAAATACAATCGACTCTGTACGGACTATTGTGTCTCTTCCATTACTGCACCCGGAAGCCTTCCAGCAAGGCATCTTGAAAGAGCATACCATCACTGGCTGTCTGCTATTTGGACCTCCGGGAACGGGTAAGACTCTTGTTGTTCGAGCGCTAGCCAAGGAAGCTGGTTGCCGCATGATGGCTATATCGCCTTCGGATGTCATGGACATGGTAACTATGTCTCCCACCCTTGTATCTTCAATGTCTCTCACCATTTTTGGCACCTAGTACGTTGGAGAAGGCGAGAAACTTGTCAGGGCTGTTTTCTCCCTTGCTCGAAAGCTGTCACCTTGTGTTGTTTTCCTAGACGAAATTGATGCTCTTCTCGGCGCTCGTTCGTCAGGTCGAGATAGCGGCAGTTCTATCGCTTACCGTGGCGTTATAACGGAGTTCATGCAGGAAATGGATGGTTTGAAAACGTTGAAGGACTCTAACGTTATTGTTATCGGTGCTACAAACCGTCCGTTTGATTTAGATGACGCCGTTTTACGCCGTCTACCGCGTCGTTTGCTCGTGGACCTGCCAGGTGAAAAGGAGCGGGAAGGTTTGTGGCTTACCAAAAATTCGATCGTCCTACCAATACGCTTATACTCTTACAGAGATACTAAAAATCTTGCTGAGACACGAGACGCTAGATCCTGATGTTGACATCAAGGATCTGGCGAAACGAACGGAGAGTTTTTCTGGATCTGACTTGAAGCGTTCGTCGTCCATCGTTTTTATTTTTATTTTGTAAGTTAAACATTCGCCCAGATTTATGTGTTTCTGCCGCTGTCGACGCTGTCAAGGAGCACGTTGAATTGCCGTGGTTGGTATCAGCGAAAGCTGACCAACCAGTCGACAATTCAGGTGCTCCAGTTGACGTAAAGTTGGCTGAAACGACTACATCAAAGGTTAAGCGGAGAAAGAAATCTGATCCTCAAGAAACATCGGCATTAGCATTTGAGGAGAGCGGTTCAGAGCCTGCAGAGACCAACAATCCGGAGAGTGAGGAGAGCAAGTTGGAGTCGGCAGAGACCATACCTGCAGGAGAGGAGACTATCATACGGACGTTATCTTATCGCCATTTTGCCAAGGCCCTCAAGGAGATTACGCCATCTTCTTCTGAAGCCACAGGGACGCTGGCAGCTCTACGCAAGTGGAATGAAGAATTTGGAGAAGGACGGCGAGATCGCAAGCGACGGCAGATATGGGGCAAGGGCCGCTTTGGCTTCACTGATCCCGCCAACTTCGTGGAGGAGGATGGCAGAGTTCTTCCTACTAACGCTCTTTCAAAGTCATCTGGAAGTACGGGGAGTGATTAATTAGGAGTATTGTATCGGATTATTTGACGTCTATCATGATATCACTAGAAACACCATACTTAAATACGCCGTACCATACAAAGCACATTTATCAATGCACGAAAAGTTAACTACTTCCTAGAGCCAGCGTCTCGACGGTTGGCTCTTTTTAGGACTTTCATCATCATCTTCATTGTCTTCATCTTTCACGTCATCGTCATCCTGTTCCAATCTGACGGCCTTTCCTTTCCTTGTCCTCTGGCTACGTTTTGGTTGGGACTGAGATTGCTCCTGTGAAGCATCCATGTCTTCATCTTCATCACTATCATCGTCGCTTTGTGCTGGGGTATGCTTCGCCCTTCTCCGGTGATCGTCACCCTCTCTAGCTGCACCTTCACCGACAAACAAGAGTGGTTTGTCGGCATTCCGCGGCCAGTCAATGTTGCATGCAGGACATGAACTGCGATGCTTCCGTGTTTGTATGAAACAGTGTTTATGCACCCGAACTTTGCAATTCGGTGTGTGGCAAGCAAAGCCCTTGGTGACCATCTAGAAATCCCGATTGAGTTGAATTGGAAACGATGGAGGAAAAACAAAACAGGGATACCTCCTGACAGATAGTACATTCCAAAATATCATCGGGATATGTGTTTTTCAGATATGGCTGGAGCTCCAGCTGTGTGCGCACGGAAAGAGAATACCTCCCCCGCCTAGCGATGACAGTCAATAGGACGCGGAGACAACGAAAGATGCGGCTCACTTGCTCTTAAGCAGCCACCCGTTGGCGACAAAGCTAGTCAATACATCTTCTGCCTGGGACTTGGACATAGTTGGTTTGACTTGACTAACTTCCCGGAGCGCAGCGAGAGATGACACTGAATAAGCTTCATGCGGCGCTAGCATGATTTGCTCGACCTGAAAACGTGTCAATGCAGGTCGCTAGGAACTGAAATGAGAACACTCACGACTGCCTTGAAGAACGCGATTTCACCGGCAGTGTAGTCCGTAGCCAACTGAGCCACCTCATCGTCCTTCAAGTTGGCCTGGTTGAATTATAAGCATCAAGAAACAAGGATAATAAATGGTTTTCTTCATACCAGGACATACATCCTCTTCCCAGTCCATTCGTCTTGCACGAGGCGAAAGCCGAGATCCAGCGCGTCGAGTGACTTGTTTACTTTTGCTACAAAATCATCCCAAGAAGCGTCTGATCCAGTGTACTGTATGTTGACATTCTCATCCACAGCTAAATTGAACGCGTGAGCATCTGCTTCTGAGGCTGTGATAAAATGCAATAACCTTTGACGACTTGGACACTTCGCGCCCAGAGAATTTTTGCAAGATTCTCTGATAGAACACCTCTTGAGAGCACCGCTTGAAGAAATACTCGCTGAACATCGTCTGCAGAAACCATGGTGCACTCAGACGCGTCGACGTGATGGAGGTAAGAAAGAAACGCGTCGGTAATCACGGTGTGACAATTATGTCACATTCAAATCCAAATCGGGGCCTCTAAATCGCAGTCAATTACTCTCAATGACGCTGAGCATGTATTCGTATACCGATTTTCAAAAAATGTGCTAAGAAAACCTTTGTCCTGTATACCGTCAAAGTTTAGGAACACGTAGCGTCTTGCTGACCATCGCTGCCGCCCAAGCCCCGAAAATTATGCTGACCATATGTAGCTCCCCTCGACCCCCCTCACTGCCCCACAAAGTAATAGTTCCGTAGGGAATCCCATCCTGACCTTCTATCCACCCCTTTTTGACCCAGAACGACAGCGTGCCCACAAGGACCAACGATGAGGGGATAGGAAGACCTTCAAAGTATTTAGCCTTGCCTGAATTGTCTTTTGGAACAAGTGCGACGGTCGCATTGAAACGGGCAAGGCGAGCGAGTCCACAACATATGAAGCCGGTAAGGATGACGGTGTCGAGGTACGTTCGTAGCCCAACGACGAATGCCAACAGGGCAGGGGCGACTCCAAAAGAGATCTACGTGTGGTGAGAGGAGGCACAAGACCAAAATTTCAAACCACATACCAGGTCAGCCAAGCTGTCCAGCTCCTGCCCCAACATACTACTTGATTTCCTCCACCGTGCTACCTTCCCGTCGAGGAAGTCAAATATAAGGCCTGCTAACGGACACCAAAGAGCAGTCCAGAGGTAGTCTGGATCATTTGTAACGAGATATCTTGCTGACGAGAATATCGAAAGCGATCCGCAAACACCATTCATTATTGTCACCAAGTCCGCAAGGCGAAAATTCCTATTGAGAGAAATCGTCAGATTACGGATGGCTCGAAAGTCAAGGGCAGATATATGTACCTGACAAGGGAGAAGTGACCGTCAACGTCTGGGTACCGTTGAAGAACATCAGAGTCATCATTGTCCTCATTAACAACATGAGCATTTGTAGACTTGGGTTTTCGTTGGTTCATGTTCCAAAGAGGAGGTAGAAGGCAAGAAGGAAGACTTCAATTACAGACAAGTACAAACACACCGTTCCACGAGGCTGTGAGGGCTGTCACCTGTCGCGAAAACAATACGCGGAATCCATAGGTATAGTAAGTAATTAATCTAGCTGTCCACATCCATAGCCTCTGACTTGACTACCTTTGATTTCTCCAGTTCTATGCTTCGCGCAGCATATTGATTTGGATGAGTAACACTTTCGCCGTCTCCTACACCTTCACCTTTCTTGATCCCACAATGTCCGTGCGTGATTTCGAAAACTCGCGTGCATCCTACGTGAAAGTGCTCTGTCTTCTTGGTATGCATGATCTCCGGGAGATCTGTCGATTTCAGGCCCAGGGGCGCATATGCCGCCAGAAGAGTGGTTTGTAGGTTATCGGGCGCAAAGTACCGATACGGACAGCCGTATTCATCGTTCCCTTGCAGCAATTGCATGCAGCTATACAAGGACCTGAGGAAAGGTCTGGAGAATAACGTACAGGAACTCACTTTTTGGCAGGATAATTGGCTCGTTTACCCTCCAAGCCATACGAATGCCGGATGTTATACTTGTATTCCTTGTTAAATCTGTCCTCCGTGACCTTCCCCCCCAAAAATGATTTTCTCCAGAAAATGATAGCTTCTTCAATGGTGACTCCAAGAGCCTGGCCGTGAGAGAACATGAAAGACAAGTCAAAGTGTGTCAAGGAAAACACGTACCTTCAAGAAGAGCCCATAATTAAGTCGACCAAAGTGTTTGAGATGGTGATCTTTCATCAAATTCGAGTGCATCACACGCATACACAAAGGGAAATGCTTCTTGGCCATATCGTCAATCATGTCGGCTGTGATGCCGTCGCCTGTCGCCTCAGATGACATTCCATTCCAATCTGATGCAACACCAGCCAAGAATCCCTGTGACAGGTTATTCAATATTGGGACCAGACGCGTATCTTCATCCAGTCGCGGCAAGGATTTGGCGGTTATCTGGAGCCTATCAGAACAATAAAAGATATGGAGTAATGGGGATGCGCACATTCAAAGCCTTATTTAATTGTACTTCGAATTCTTGGAACACGATACTGGCCAGTTCGCGTCCAGGGACGTACGCCCAACCGCCCTTTAGAAATACCTTCCGTCGTTCGATCAAATCTGGAACACGCGTCCATTTTACCTTCACAAACGTTAGCCTCGTACCCTACTTGAAGAGCCAAGTTCCGTACCTTATAAAAGGTATCAGCCGCAAATGCAGACTGCCTATCCGACTCAGATTTGAGTCCTTGATAAGCAGCCTTCAGCTGCTCTCTATACATTGCTTTTTCAGAATCATCGACCTAAATCATGCTTAAGTAGCAGAACAACTAGAAAGAAGGTGGAGAGGGATTCGTACTGCTATCCAACGAAAATCTCGCGAGTTCAAAAAATTTCGCCGTTCCTTCGAGTCATCAGTTTCGTAACGTATCTTGAACAGTGTCGATTCTGCCTTGACAAACCGTCGTCGAAGCTCTTCCCTGCGACGCGTCAGCTTTAAAGACAAAATACAGTCACGACACGTACGATCGGCAGAACGCAAGCCTCAAAACAAAGTGCCCTAGATGATCCTTCCGTCTCTCTGAGTCCCTGTCCACCTTCTCAGCTGAAGTGGCATTGAGCGGCAGATATTTAAGACATTGCGACGTGGTCACTGTTTTGGTCTCCTCCCATGACCGGTTACGCGCCGCAGACGACTCGATTTCTGCGAGGATTCGCAGGCGATCGAGGGCACACCCTTCGAATTCTTCAAGAGTCACATCAAAAAGAGGAGGCGCGTCGTAGCTAAGAAAGTATAAGTCCAGACTGGTCGCTCCGATATGGTTTCAAATCCAACGTACAAGTTGAGCCTGTGAGGATACACAAGGTCGGAACGGCTGCTGAAGTACTTTGAGTCTCCTGCTGCTGAGGTACTAGCTTGCTGGTTTCTGGCTTTCCACATATCTGGTCCACAGCTGCAGTGGGAAAGAAATCGATAGCGACAGAAAGTAAGGGAGATGGAGACAAAGTGGAAGCGAGCTGAAAGTCACCAGAGGTCACCCATGTCACACACACGATATGTCACGCGTTTGTCACAACACCTTCGGCGAATTTCAAATTTCAAATCCACCTCAGAACCTGGACCTGAATACGTTATTTGGTTATCTTCACAACACTCGGCAGGATATTTGTTGGTTCTAATAATCAGCAAGTATTCTTTCCTCATTTGGATTTACCAAGACTTTGCACCTTGCGGATGCGGGGGGCCAGGACCTCCGGGTAATCAAGTGAATGAACATACGACAGCCCTCGACAGCCTAAGCTGCATTATCTGCATCGTAAAGTTTAATACATCCCTACATGGCACTATCTATCAAGTTGCTTGGCCGTCTCTCTGTTCTGGTACGCGTTCCTACACACACCGATCTGAGAACTAATTGATCGTTGTTTTTACTCTCTAGAGTGCAAAAAGTTGCATGACAGTCCCGTGCAGCTCACTGGCTTCACCGCTTGGTGTAAATGTCCTATCATGACTCTTTAGTGCCTCAGCTGAGAGCTCCGCGTAAAGCATACTTCGCCCATCCTATCATATATGGTGATCTTTGATTGTAGGTGTTCATCATTTAGCTTTCCAAGAAATATACATCTATCAGGGGTACTAGTTATAACAACGATATTGGCTAAATAATACAGGCGTAGTTTATACAATACATAGATCCTCACTATATATACAAATTATGAATTACAGTACTCATACCTCCCGGACACTAGCTTGGATGCTTTGGACTGCTCCTGGGGCTCCCTCTAGATCTTATCTGTCTCAGGCGCGGCCTATCTTCCGCTGGTTCTTCGTCCAACTCAAACACCACTCCCGGACGATTTTTCTTGCCACTCTTACGATAACTATCTGCATTTTGCTCGCGCCATTCCCTTGTCGCAACCATAGGATCTCGGGCGGGGGGAACTTGCAGAGGCGTCTGGCTATGCATGGATGCCGTCGGAGAGCCCACAACTGTATTTGGCTATCGAAGAATTAGTGGTGACTCCCGTAAAAGCGCAATTATACGCACTGCGGTACCATTGACAGCCTCCGCCGATGCAGCTGATACAGTACGATGTCGTTTGGATGCAGCCGCGAGGGCCTTAAAAGGGGAGAAGTTGGTCTTTGTTGGACTTTTCCCACTCGCATCGTAGATAGCAACATTTCTGGGCACAGAAACGGGCGGCGGCACCTTGACTCTAGATGCCAACGGCTTACCGCGATGATCAGACGTGGGCTCAGCGGGCCTTGATTCACTTTTACGTGAGCTGTCGGGTTCTGGAGGTTTCCAAAACTCGTACTGCGGGGGCTGTGACGATTGTGGTGGCTGGGGAGTTTTAGATTTGAACATGCCGAGAAAACGTTTCTTCTTGCTTTCATGGGATTGAGAACTCATCGACGCAGAAAGTGATGTACGGGACGGTGTTCGCTTCAAAACAGATGGTGCGAGTGACGACGGCGTATTGAGGATGGAATCTTGCGATGGATGCCGACTGACAGGACTCGGATGGACAGGCACGGGAGGGGGTTGGGAGCTAGTATGTACTGAACGCGAACCGAACTCTTGACGAGAACTACTTGGACGGGGAGTAGGATTAGTATTCGCATGGGACGGTGCCGATACATGATGCGGTGATAGCGATGCAGATGGATGGTGCTGCGATGACGGCGCAGAGGAAGGATACAGAGGACTAGGAGTCTGTGTGACGGACGGCATAGGTAAAACGGTATTGGGAACAGTGATGGCAATTGGAGTGGAGGTTGACGATACACCATATCGTTGACTATATGAAGTGTAGCTCTTTGCAGAGGTTCTAGTCGCAGCAGACGACCCAGAGGTTGGTATAGCTTGGGGGAGCGTTGTCCTTTCTTGTAAACGCGTAGAGGAATGGGGTAACGCGGGGCTCATGGCGGATTGTGCTGTGGGGTTCCATATCATATTGTTCGACGCATTACTGTTTGATGGATTCTCTAGGGTAGCGTGCCGGTCACCCCTGCCCGTTCTCGACGAGTCCGCAAATTGAGTACTAGGGTTGACTGTATTCGTGGGTGTATACGTTGAGGTCGGTGCTGTAGAGACAACGTCAAGTTTGGTATGGGATGGACGCGACGTAGATGGGTCATTAGAGCGTGATAATGTGTGCTGAGAAACAGTATTGTCGCCACGGTCGTTGCTCTGACGTTGGGGAGAGCGCTGCGTAAACCGATCGAGTGCTCGAACCTCAGATATTGACGGAGGCGTCAATTTTGAGGAGGAAGGCTGTATAGACCTAGTTGGAGGACTTGGCGGTTTTGGTGAAGACGGAACAGGCACAGGGAATTGGGCGGCAAGGTCTGGTGTGTATGGCTTTGATAATGTCTTCTTTTCATCCACTTCACCCGCCTCGCAATTCCTCAGTGCGAACCTCGACCTGTTTGGTGGGGGTAGAAGTCAAAAGTTCGGCTAAACGTGGGTGTCGGTATGCAGGTCGAGGTGTTGGCGTGTCACGAGCTGGCACCCTTGTGGCAGTAACGTCGGGCCGTGCAGAAGGTGCGGGTATGGAACTATTGGGAAGACCATATACATTCATTTCTGACTTTAGCGCAGAGTTGCTAGTCGACCGAGACAAACCTACGCCACGCGAAGCTGTTTCAGGGACAGATGGAACCCCTGTAGCTAATTCGACACCATTAGGTGGACAACCGGTCATCGCGGGAAGTACATCCACGCCCAAAGCCGTGTGTTGCGGCAACGAAGATACTGGTAGGGTAGGTGTCGCAGGTTTTGGTGTGCTAGATATCTGCACGAAAGGAGAATTGCTTGGCTGGAGCGTAGGGCGGACTGGAGGTGTCTCTACTATAGGAAACGGAGGTCTCTCGGTAGCAGGTACTACGTTAACCACGGAATTGGAACTATCATGCCTCATCCGACCCACATCATTCACGGAAATGGTTGAAGGAGAATGACGCTGGGCGTTGCTATCACTTTGGTTGACAGCAGAAGAAATCCATGAAGGAGATCGAACTTATTGTGGTTGGGAATTTAGCAGCGCATCCCGACGAAACTCAGATACCGGAGGGCGCGTGTTGTCAGGGCGAAAGGACTGTGAAGTTTGTGTATGAGAATACCCCACGGCAGTCGATGGGCGATGCAGTGATGCACCGATGGCGGCGTTCGAGGAGTTCCCAGAGGAAATTTGGGTAGAGGTAGCGAGTGGTATCGGAATGCCGGGTGCTTTGTGTGGTCTCATGCCCATTGACGTTGATGAACGTGGTATAGAAAGCCCAATGTTCATATTAGGCGCCCCAGGAATACGGGCATCGATACGCGCGTCCGGTGGTACATTAGCCCGATTAACACTGAAATTCTCTTTGTTCACGTAAACCGGAGAGTGCTGTTGATGCTGGCTTGTATCAACAGCGCCTATACTGTTCAATCGTTTGTGTTTCTAACCCCCATTAATAACGGCGGCGATAATATTGGACTTGGACGCACCTGATGCGACTCATCAACACCTAAAGAAAATATGGGCTTAATAGGGCTATCGTTGGTGGTGTTGCTGATCTGGCGTTCTTGTGAAGTGACGGCTACAGAAGATGGATTGATATCCCTGGTTTGCTTCTCAACGGGCGAATTCTTGGGCGACAGCCCCCTGACACCCGACTGCGAGGTGCTTGGCAATGCTTGTACTGCCGCTGCCGTAGAGCTTGCTTGTGCCCGGCCATCTTGAATTCCAGATATGGGTTCAAGACGGAGAACCTATATAAAGTCGCCATAAAGTTACACAACCTGAGGTAATGGAAACCCCTTGCCTTGTCTTTCTCATTCGAAGCCAGCGAAAGATCATTTCTTGCAATAACGGAATCCTTGCTTCTTGACCTGCGCGCAGACTTGGAAACCCGGGAAGTTGAATCTGTCCCAGCGCTGGCGGCAGTCATTGTGGCAGGGGGCTGCGACTGCGTCGATGAAGTTATGGGTGCATATGATAAGGTTTGTTGGACGTTTGGTTCCAAACCTCTAAGACCGGACAAGAGCTTAGGTGTCGATGATTGGATGGGTGGATGGGGCTGAGAGACAGAAACAGGAGTGCTAGGTGCACTGGGCACAGGGGCAGATGCAACAACATCAGTTCTCGAGACTTGAGCAGGTAGCTGTTCCGGTACAGGCCTTTCGGGAGGTGTCGATCTGGATACGGGTACAGTGATAGCTACTTCGGTTTTATCTCGCAGTTCACGGGTACCCGATGCCTCTGGAGTGCGTGCCATCCCAGGGACAGCTACTGTAGGTTTTTCGACACCAGAGGAGGCTTGTATAATGTTGATGTCGGGAGCATTTGGCAACTTATCAATGGAGGGGAGAACTGAGTGCTGGGGCCTTCGCTCATTGAGGACGCTGGGGTTGACTGGAATCTTCATTATCTTCAGTTTCAGCATACTGAGAAAATGGAGATAAACCACCTACATTTTTGAGAGGCGTATCACGAGATGGTCTCTGAGATCCAGGAGTGACTTGGAACGACAAAAGCGTAGAAGGAGATACAGGACGAATGGGAGGTTCGCGGCCCAAACTTGACGGAACTATGTCATGGACCTGCATTTTCTAGAGAAACATTCAGAACAATCTCAAAGAGGATACCGAGCAACGTACCGAAGTAACATCTTCACGACGTCGGCGGTGCCTGTGTGCCAGCAGTCGAGGCTTAGAGCTATCAGAGCTATCACCTTCTTCATAAGAACGTGTTGGCACCGGGACTCCGCGAAATTTGTGCTCGATCTCCCGTGCTGGTTCTGGTGGTATTGCTCTGCTAGCATCGCGCACTCTTGGACGTGTTCTCTCTCTCTCAGACTGCCGGACTTCGGAATTGAGATGTCTTGGACTCTCAGCCTTCCTGTACTCCGAATCACTGTGCCAATGTCTATCCGTCTCCAACATTCTTTCTCGTCGCTTATCTTCTTTTTCTCTCAATCGCTCTCGATCCCCGTCGTCCTCCCTCTTTCGATCTCGGGTTTTTTCTGGCTTGTCGCGTGTCCTCTGACCTTCGTCGTCTGTATGGCCAGACCTTTCCCTTGGTCTCTGCGAAGATGAACCTATCAGATCATGGGTTTCTGAGGGTTTCTTGGAGTCTTTCTCTCGTTCTCTCTCTCTTTCCCTCTCCCTCCCTCGGCTCTCTCTGTCTCTATGTTTCCGAGAGGGAGCTGATGCAGCTATCGGGATTCCACCCTCTACTGGCTCATTTACTTTCTTTGCTTCCCTCCCTCTCTCCCTCTCTTGGTCCCCAGTCCTCTCTCGGTGTTTCCGATGTGAAGTATGTCCAACGTCTGGTCCTAAGAGTGTGTTTGGAGGAACAATTGCACCCACGGGATCAGTCCGACTGCGTGAATGACCGCGTCTGTCAGTTGGTTTCTCAGTGAGAGACTTGGCTGAGTCCTTGGGAGGTATCCAGAACTCAGGATGCGTGGGATTCGATACAGTCTTGACGCGAGAATGGCTCTGCCTGATCGGCTTGGAATTCAGCCAGGTGACCTCAATGTTCGAGGATGGCATTGGGTCGCTGGGTCTTGAAGACCCTTGCGTAGCAGACGATTGTCTCGGCGCTGTCGGTGCAGGGGTTGACGGCTTAAGAAAAGCAGGGTCGGCATTACTTGCCGTTGGAGGGCGTGACGCGTGAGGCTGGACAACGAGAGGTGGTGCAGGATAACTGAGTGACGCAGCTGAACCTTGGATGACTGGTGTCTCCCTGACTACAGCGGTATGAGATAGGTGCAAGGTGGGAATTGACTGAGGAGATGGTCGCCGACTGCTGCGTTGCTTGCCGTCGTCGTGGGCGTTTTTTTGCCTAAGGTCGGTAGGCTCCGGCTGCCTCGAGGTTTTCTGACGAGATGAATCGCCGCCGGTTGGCAGCCAGCTCCTGTGATGTTCGGACTTCTTCACAGTCGACTTTGGCGCTGGTATTTCTGGAACATGTTTGCGATGAAAGAAGCTCTTCATTCAAGTCTCTTGGATGTCTTGAACTGGATTGCCGCTTCCCCTGCGAAAAAAAGACGAGTCGGCAAAGATAAAGTGAGGAAAAAGCAAAGTTGGTGGTATCGACATGAGGCGAACCCAAATGAACCCCGCTTTAGGCGACATCAAGCCAGCAAGCCGATCACAGATGGACAGGGCCCGAGTGGGCAACGGTCCCGGCGACGTCTGAAACGTTTTTTCTGAGCAACCTCTTTGGGGCAACGATATGTACATCATTCTACTACGTGTTTTACAAGGGTGTCAAGTACAGTATAGCACGTCAGGCATCTGTGAGCCTACTTCGTTCTAGCGTTATCGAAGAGCAAAAAGCGACAGCGACCAACAAAAACGAAGAGGAAACGCCAATCGAGAGTGAAATGGCACCCGGATGGCCAGAAAACCCGACAATCCTGGCGCCTGACTGCCGGTTTCAAAACGAGCGCAGCAGTCGACCACCCTTTAGAAGCCTTCTGTTACACGATGTTGACTCATTATCGACAGTAGACAGCGGAAAGGCTGGCGAAGACCTGTTAAAAAAAACGAGGACTTCCTGTCGAGACAATTTAAGGATCGTGACTGAGAGTGAAAAGGAAACCAAGAAAACGGACCAGTTTGTACCCGGAGGATGCCGGGAAACGGCATTTGTCAGCAATTGTGGCAATTCGAGAGTCACTTTGTCAGGCTCAACACCCTACGTATCTAACATCCAGTCTCTCCAATTCTGCTATCGGCGTCTTGCTGTAAAGGTCCTTCATTAAACAAGGCCTGGGACCATACCTTAGATTTACCTGTTCCAGGGCATGGTGCGTCGCCACTTCTATGCGATATCTCACATTTTGACCGCCGCCTGGTCTTTATTTACAGACCGACAACATGGATGTTCTAGACGAGAAAGTAAACGGAGGTCCTCCCCTTGAAGTTAACGAGGTTATTTCTGTTCGAGACCGTATGTTGTTCTGCGTTTCCTTCCTTCTTGCGCATATCTCATCTCTCAAATCGTGGCAGATGAGGCATTCGCCGCCAAGCACCTCCCTGACATGGGCTACGATGTCAAAGACTTTCAAGTTTCTCATTGGCGGGTAGGGAACTGGAAGAAACTGGACAAGAAACTCACGGGTCCAGAGTTTGAATGTGGTGGTCATAAGTGGTGTGTCGCCTATCCGACATCTTTCTGTTGCATCGTTCTCAGTTTGATCATTGTGTTTCAGGCGTATCCTGCTCTTCCCATTTGGCAACTCTAATGCCCCTCCAAATGACACTGTATCTGTCTATCTTGACTATGCGGACCCTAAGAAAGCGCCGGAGGGCTGGCACGCATGTGCACAGTTTGCGCTAGTTATATCAAATATCAATGATCCTACGGTGTTCACTGTCAGCCGTGTGTACGGACCATCTCTCCCGATGCTCAGAGCTGACTTTAGTGCTTCTAAGATGCCCATCATCGATTCATCGCTGAAGAATGCGACTGGGGTTTCACCCGGTTTAGTGAATTGAAAAAGCTCTTCTCTAAACAGGAGGGTCATACTCGACCGACAATCGAGGAAGATTCTGCAGATATATCTGTCTTTGTGCGCGTTTTGGAAGATCCCACCGGTGTGCTTTGGCACAATTTTGTCAAGTGAGGATGCGCGTCTCTCATTGCTTATTAAAGACTTATCACCCTTGCCCAGTTATGATTCGAAAAAGGAAACAGGATTCGTCGGTTTAAAGAACCAGGGTGCGACTTGTTACATGAACTCGTTGCTCCAATCGCTCTACTGTACTCGATATTTCCGTCGAGTACGTTGCACCTCGTTTTAGGTTTATCTGCTTATCAAATGCTGTCCTTCAGGCTGTATATCAAATTCCTACGGAAGATGACCATCCGACTGAGAGCGTCGCCCTCGCTCTACAGCGTGTGTTCTATCACCTTCAAACCTCTGATCAGCCCGTAGGTATGCATCTGGTCTGGTTCCAAGTTCCAAGCCTTGTTGTAATGACACTCCTTAGGCACAACTGAGCTGACCAAGTCCTTTGGTTGGAAGTCACTGGATTCTTTCTTGCAACATGACGTTCAAGAGTTCAATCGCGTCTTGCAAGATAAGCTAGAGTCTAAGATGAAGGTGTGTCCATCAGCCAAAACACTATATATGTCCTTCTCAGCTACTCCTAGGGTACTATAGCAGAAGGTGCTATTGCCAAACTCTTTTTAGGAAAGATGAAAAGCTACATCAAGTGCGTCGGCGTGAATTATGAGTCATCAAGGAGCGAAGAGTTCAATGGTAATATCTTTACTGAGTCATTACTGACGTGTTAGGCTGATTGTGCGCAGATATCCAACTCAACGTCAAGGGCATGAAGAACCTTTACGAGTCCTTCAAAGATTACGTAGCGGTCGAAACTCTGGATGGGGAGAACAAATACCAAGCCGAAGGTTACGGACTCCAAGACGCCAAGAAAGGCATAATCTTTGAGTCCTTTCCGCCTGTCTTGCACCTACAACTCAAGCGTTTTGAGTACGACATCCAGCGTGATGCCATGGTCAAAATTAACGATCGCCATGAATTCCCGTTTGAGATTGACCTTGCAGAATTTTTAGATCCTTCGGCAGATCGATCGAAACCTTGGTTGTACAAGCTTCATGGAGTCTTGGTGCACTCGGGTGACCTTCATGGCGGACATTACTTCGCTTTGATCAAACCTGATCGTGAAACGCGGTGGTTAAAGTTTGACGATGATCGTGTGACACCCGTTACCGACAGGGAGGTCCTGGAAGAAAACTACGGTGGGGAAGTGTTGAATGGCATGCATCAGGGGTTGCAGCAGCGAAATCAGACCCGTGCAGTGAAACGATTCACAAATGCGTACATGCTGGTGTACATTAGGGAGTCGGCGATTGATGAAGTACTGCCTCCATTCACGGAGGAGGATACCCCTGCTCACCTTAGTAAGTCCATGTTTCTAAGCGCAAATCTTGTCTTACCATTTGTAGAGCGACGGCTGGACGAAGAGCGGTTACAGATAGAAGCCAAGAAGCGAGAAAGAGAAGAGCAGCATCTGTTTTTGACGGCCAAAGTGAGTTTCTTGTCGTGTCCTGAGTTTTGGTCTAATCAGACTTGTAGGTCATAACCGATGACACGTTTGCTCATCACGAGGGCTTTGATCTGGCCACCTTTGATGACAAGAACTGGCCGCCCTCTGATTTGCCGAGCTTCCGCGTATTGAAACAGGAAACATACAAAGTCTTCAAGGCTCGGGTCGCTCAACATTTCCATTATCCGGAAAATCTAATTCGACTATGGGTTCTTGTCAACCGACAAAATAAGACTGTTCGCCCTGACACCCATATTCCCGAGAACGAGCCGACATTGAGTAAGTTTTAAAAAATCCACGTCCATGGCCTATATTTCTAGCTCACAACTATATCAGCTGTCGAGGTGATCCGTAACAATATGGCGGCGAGACAAACCGATCTTCGGCTATATCTGGACGTCATCCCGGATCCAAGCAAGGTACGCAGCATAGCGTACCTTGTTATAATAATATCTGACCTTGCCGTAGACCGACATCCCTCCGCAATCCATTATGGTCTTCCTGAAACACTTCGATACCTCAAAGCAAACACTACTAGGTGCCGGGAAGGTTTATATGCTCCGAACGAGCAAAGTTGGCGATTTGATTCCTCTCATCAACGAACGGATGCGATGGACACCAGGGACTCCAATCAAGTTGTATGAGGTGTGTCTGTGTTGCTGCCGCAGTTTTGTCTTCAGTTATCTCACTCTATACTCTCAGGAAATTAAACCTGGCATGATCGAAGCAATGAAACCAAAGATGACATTCGCCCAAAGCGAGATTCAAGATGGGGACGTGATTTGTTTCCAGGTTGATCTGCCGGACAAAGAGTGAGCCCTCGACTCTCATTCACCGGTATATGTTATTGACATCATGGAAGAATTCACGATCTTGAGAGCCAGGGCCTACACTCTAATCCCATGGGATATTACGATTTCCTGCAAAATCGGGTTATGATCATCTTTCGACCTAAGACAGACGAATCCGATCCAGAATTCAATTTGGTGTTGAGCAAGAAGCACAACTACGACACAGTAAAGTTCTCGCCATCCATTTTACACCACATCTCACGGTTATCTAGATGTCTATGAAAGCCGGAGAATATCTACGACACGATCCTATTAAACTACGATTCACGACCACTCATGCTACTAACGGACAACCGAAGTCAATTCTCAAACGGTCTTTGAACCAGAGCGTAGGAGAAATCATGACCCCGTATTACACGACAAGTACAGTCATTCTCTATGAGAAGTTGGACGTCAGTATAGTTGAACTGGAGACCAAGCGAAGTTTAAAGGTCGTATGGACTGGTATTCACAACAAGGAGGAGGCATCTCATTCCTTCCTGCTTCCTAAAACCAGCTCCGTACACGATTTGGCAGAGAATCTCGCAAAGCTCGTGACGTTGACGCCAGCAGGTACAGGGAAAATCCGGGTTTTCGAGATATCGAAAGACGGAAAGACGCAGAAGGAGTTTACCGGCTCAGAAATGATAGGGAACATCCCTGACCCAGTGGAACTGTATGCCGAGGTATTGCACGCGCTAACGTCCAATCAACTGTCCTTCTTATACCATCTCTTCTAGGAAATCCCTCGAGAAGAACTAGAAGCCGATGACTCTGACAAGGTCATTGGTGTCTTCCACTTTTCGAAAGAGGTTTCTCGTACACATGGAGTGCCTTTCAAATTTGTTGTCAAACGGGTAAGCCTATTTCTACCTTTGAAGGTTATGGTTAATTTATGATATTATAGGGCGAGAAGTTCGCTGACACGAAAAAGCGACTACAAACACGGATAGGTGTATCTGATAGAGATTTGGCTAAATATCGATTTGCCTTGATTCAAGTGTCTACGTTCAAGCAACCATCGTACATCGAAGATGGTATACTTTGCTCTATTCCTTGTACCAGGCTTAGTATTGATGGCGTCTTCACTACAGATGATACCATCTACGAACATCAGTTTGCTCCCGAAGACGTGCTCGGCCTTGACCATGTAGACAAATCCGGGAAAACAAGATCTGGCGCTGGGGAGAAAGCAATCGTAATCAGAGGATAAATATGGATCTGTGTTATTCTTGCGTTTTCGTTCGCCAGGGAACCTTTGCTACACATCTCATTCACGCTATTTCTCTCCTTCCACATTGTACATTTCTCGCTCACTCGTCAATTACAGTAAATTTCTCAGCTTTTGCTATGTAACATGGAATTATTATTGCGCCAAAGTCCTACCTGAGTGGGGAAATAAATAATCGATGTGGTATCCCTAATAATGGCATTACTTCCGTTTCTTGTTCTTCTTGGCCTGTCCCCCAAGAGGTCAGCAGTGAACCTAGCTAAGACAAGGTAACGTACACTTTTTGACGGGGATTTTTGGGAACCTTCACCGTCACTGGAGGCAATACTTTCGGCGCTGTTGCTGGGGGGTGGCGGCTGGAGACCGTTCGTTGGCTTTGCGCTTGTCGTGTTTATGGACGTGGCTGATGTTTTAGGGGAAATGAATGAAGGGGCAGCCGACGCCGGCTGAGGAAGTGTGGACAAAGCGTGTGCCTTTACGCCATATTTCAATTCTACCACGAAGTCAGCATTCGAGAAAGAAAGTTAAGAAACAGACATGCCCAAATCAGCCTTGTTTTTTGGAATTTGCTCAAGAGTCGCCCGGATTTTGTCGTTGGCAATGATTTCGTTTGCAGTCCCAAAGATCATCTGGCCCCAGCCATCCAGGAAGGAGTTTGCCTCGGTAACTACCTCCATGACTTCGCCTTCAAGTTCTCTTTCCGCGGCAAGCAGGCTGTTCCAGAGTTCATCACCCACAGAGCCTTTTTGAAGCAGATTCTGAAGCGCAGGTTTGTCTTCTCTGATGCGAATGACTCTGTACACATCTGCGACTGCTCGGCGGACAAGAGCAGCTTTGAGTAACGCGTCCGGAGTCGGCGGGTCGGTTTTTTGGAGAAGGGTTACATAGGTATTTCGTTCTGGATGCGAAAGAAAGTATGGTTCAAATGTCTGCGCTACGCGGTCACGTAAGTCTTATCTCGTCCGTCAGAAGAGTGGATGAAAGAGATACCTGATGTGTGTTTGCGGTAATAGTGACTGAAGATGAACAAAGCTCCAAACACGACGACGATATATGCAAAAGGAACGAGAATAGAGGCCATTATCAAATGCGTCCGGCGTCGTTGATGGCGATGCAATTAAAGAGACGAGGACAGCTGGCGAAAGCATATTCCCACTTGCCAACGTGTGTATTTGACCCTGTTTGCTTCCCAAGGCAACGGCCTGATGACGTGTTTCGGAATACACATCCGAGAGACCCATATGTGCACATATCTCCGGTTATCGTTTTTGCAATTACCCCGGATTATAACGGGGCAGTCTGGCACGGTTTGGGGTTAACATTGAAGCACAATTCCAGTATAAAAAGGGCCCCCGCATTCCACCGCAACTTGTACCCCAACCATCACCTTCTCTCTCTCCAAAATGATGCGCCAGACTTGTATCCGGATGCCTGTACGTCCTATCGCTGCCAGGTTCTCCTGCAGATCCCTCTCCACACAGGTGACCCCACTTGCGTCCCCGTCGTTCGACGCGCTCACTGATCGTCGCAGTCTCTCAAAGACGCTATCAAGGAGACCATTCCTGCCAAGCAAGAGCAGCTCAAGCGGATTGTATGTCTTCACCCTCCGTCGCGTCTTCAAGCCGTCTAATTCCCTGTTCAGAAAGCCCAACATGCTGGGACGACCATTGGAGAGGTCAAGGTATGGGTCCCATGATGAGGACCATTGGTCGTGAGCCCAAATCAATTTGTCTTTTTATCAGGTCGAGAACGTAATTGGTGGTATGAGAGGTCTGAAGGCTATGCTTTGGGATTCATCTGTGCTGGATCCCGAAGAGGTGACGCATAACCCCTCTTCCGAACCATGACTTCCTTCTCTGATAGGTGTTCACATAGGGAATTCGTTTCCATGGCCTGTCCATTCCCGATTGTCAGAAGCAACTTCCGGCTGCTCCAGGAGGCAAAGAAATGATCGCTGAAAGCATGCTCTGGCTTCTGCTCACTGGAAAGGTTCCGTCTGAAGCCCAGACGCGTGCTCTTTCTCGTGATTTCGTCGAGCGCGGAACGCTACCCGCTCATGTGGAGAAACTAATTGATTCGTCAGTGTTCGCCCTATCGTGCTCTGTCTAGGCTAATTTTTGGATACGAAATAGCTTACCGGCAACGCTGCACCCAATGACACAGCTGGGAATGGGTGTCGCCGCATTAAATCATGACAGTTTGTTCCAAGCAGCTTACGAGAAGGGAATTAAAAAGTCTGAGTATTGGGAGGCAACGCTGGAGGATTGTCTCAACCTCATCTCCCGTCTTCCTGCCCTAGCCGCTCGAATCTACCGCAATGTCTACAATCCGGGCAAACCTATGGAAAGCCTTGATAAAGATTTGGATCTTGTCGGTAAGCCGTGTCTATGGCTTATCCTTGACGCGTCCAATCTCTTTTGTAGGAAATTATGTCCGTCTGCTGGGATTCGGGGATAACCACAGTCTAACTGAATACTTGCGGTTGTATATCGCTCTCCATGGTGATCACGAGGGAGGAAACGCGTCTGCGCACACTGCTCGTATGTACCATGATCACTGCCAAGGCCTCCACTGATGCAACCCAATTCATTCTAGACTTGGTAGGGTCTACCTTGTCGGACCCGTACTTGTCTTATTCGGCGGCGCTCTTCGCCCTGGCCGGCCCCCTCCACGGGTAAGCTCTCTGCAGCCGGAAGTGGACACGGCTTGACGCGTTTTCTCTGTAGCTTGGCGAATCAGGAGGTTCTTCGATGGCAAATGGCTATGCAAAAAGAGATCGGCAGCGATGTCACCCATGACAGGATCAAAGAATATTTGTGGAAGACACTCAAGAGCGGTCAAGTGGTACCCGGGTACGGTTGTTGTCTTGCTATTCAAAAAATCGAATCTGAGGATTATTTGATCAAAGATACGGTCACGGTGTCTTGCGGAATCCGGACCCTCGCTTCATAGCTCTCCAAGAGTTCTGTGATTCCAAGCCTGAACTACAGGACAGTCCAATTATCCAGCTCGTGAAGAAGGTACGCGGAGGGCCTCGACTAAACGCCAAGTGCTAAATCGTTCTGCTTTACAGACCTATGAGGTTGCTCCCGGCGTACTAAAGGAGCACGGCAAGGTATGCGGCAACTCTCCTTTTGCCGGGACAACAATGAAGCTTATGAAATGCAATAGACCAAAAATCCTTACCCCAATGTTGATGCGACGTCTGGTAAGAACGCATTCTCTGTTCGGCTCCGCCAAGTACTAATTCCATGAACAGGATGTGTTTTGTACCATTACGGCCTCACCCAATTCAAGGTAATTTCCCCTCATCTCTGAGAATTAGATCGACTTAACATCCTTCAGTACTACACTGTGATCTTCGGTGTTTCCCGAGGTTAGTCAAAATGTTTTGGTCTCAGAAAAAGTCCCGTATTCTGACTTGGCATCAAGCTCTCGGTTGCATAACACAACTTGTTTGGGCTAGAGGTGGGTTGTTCAAATCCCAATACAATGTGCTTTAATTAATCAATTCCCGCTCTTACAGCACTTGGTTTGCCTCTGGAAAGACCCAAATGTAATGCTCCCACTGTTCCCATGTCTTGCAATATTCTGATCTTCTTCGTAGCCCTCTCTCTGGATGCCATCGAGAAGTTAGCGAAATCTGCTTGAACAACATCATGTACTGTATACGCAATGAAATAACAGCGATTGTGTTGTTGAATCGCCACCTCATACCGAAGAATTTCAATTACACGTCCATCGATCTTGAATGAGAGACAGAGTTCGCGGATAGGTACAGATAGGTACATAGTATAAGGTGCAAAAATTTGACAATAATAGTACTTCATAAACCCAGTAAGAAGCGATAGATAAGGGTATCTGTATCCACAAGCGGTGCAAGAAGGAAAAATAGCCAGAATCACTAGCACTAAAATCTCCGTACTTGTTGAGGGGCTTGTCCATGAAGATGAGGAGGCATCTGCTGCTGCTGTTGCTGCATAGGTCCAGGCATCATCTGTTGAGGTGGACGGGCATGCGGCCCTGGCATATGACCAGGACCCGGTGCCATGCCAGGACGCATCTGAGACGGAGGAGGTCGGGCATGTGGGCCAGGGCCAGCATAACCTTGGGGAGGCGGAGCTCCATATCCTGGTCCAGGAGGTCCTTGGCCTGGAGGAAATCCGCGCTGAGGCATTGGCTGACCTTGGAACCCAGGCCCTGGATTCACGCGAGGGGGTAAAGTATTGGCGTGTTGAGGGGTAGGGCGCGGCTGTTGCTGAGGAGGAGGCATATTTGCCTGTGGTCGCGGTGGTGGGTTTGTGGTAGGTCCAGGATCACGAAGAGATACAGGGGAAGGTCGGCCTCCGTTTGTTATTGGAGGTTGTTTAGTGGGGTTCTTCTCCGCTGCCTTGACAATTTCGTCGCTGCGAAGAATACATAAGACGACATGCGGTAAACAGACGATAAGAGAAGTTTTGGAACGTACTCGAGCAGATTGAGAGCGGCACAAAGAACGACCCACTCAACGCAATCCTCATTCCCTTCGCCCAAAGTCTGCCAGACAGCCTTTTCTTCCGCAGTCTTGCCAGTGATACTGATCCTTGTTCCACCACCATTAGGCCCGGGAGGGTTCTTCTGTATCTTTCCAAACTCAATACGCTTGGGGGGTATATTATGACCAGCATAAGCAAAGTAGAACATGCTCCAGAATGCCGCATTAGGGTTTGGCTTTGAGATCTGGAATAATGGTAGATCTGCCGAATCCGGGGAAGGCAGTGATAGCTTGTATATGGGAGAGATGACACCGGTATTGGCAATTGACCATTTAAGGTTGCGAGAGGCTTCACAGCGTACAACACGCGAGCCTGACGACGAATGACCGGGATCTGATGCTGATGCCTTCCCGACGTCTTTGGGACGAGGAGGGAACAGCTTAGCAACGCAAAGATCACCTTGTGGCGACGGCGTTAAGAGATAATTCTCGGAATTCTATGGAAATATGACAACGAGGTAAAAATCAGAAGACAAAGCAACGCACAAAGTTTGTGTGCAGATAAGAGTACAAGATATTGGAAGGCTGGCCTTGGCAAGATGAGCCAAATGCCTACACGTTGAGAGCGGGTCGGACCTACCATGGGGAGTAACAATGAGGGTAGGGAGATGATCAGGTATAGGTGGATGGGTGGGAGAGGTATAGACTGAGTATATTGCTGCAAAAGAGTCAGTAAAAGGTCCAATATACAGAACTTGTAGGGCGGTACTTGCCTGCCATTGGGTCGCGATGATGACTGTCAAAGGTCAAGGTCACTCTCGCAGCAGTTTCAGGAAGTCGTCACGGTCACGTTCTGTCACATGTGTCACGGACCTGCTCCATCGACTTTCCATCGATCCAAGCACTCAACGACGCCAGCAGTCGCACCCTTTACTGGCATACCTGTGTCCCGATTTCTGCCATGAAGGGCCTCAAGAAAACATTGGTACGATTACCGACTTACCCCAGCGCGTATCTTACCTTCAACGGCGTATAGCTCAACCGGAAAGGCTCTCAAACGTCGCAGGAAAGCTCATCGAAGAAGGAATCCAAAGCGAACCATTCCTCTGCACCTTTGCCGCCGCCGCCCAATACAGCAAAGCCGCTTCCTGTTCCCGGTGGCTCTGCCGTTGCCAGTGCTCTAAATACACAACCGCGGTCAGCTTCACCAGCTTCCACAAATCCAAGTGTTCCAGATCGCAGACAGTCCACTGAGGCACCAGCACCTCCCTCAATTGTCGTCGTCAGCTCTGATAATGGGCATGACACTGTTCATCGGCCTCCTCATTACGGCGGCCAGCCTGAAAGACATCCCCCTCCTGATGCAACACCACCTCGCGCAACCCTCAACCGTCTCCGGGCTGGTCCCAAGGATACTATACCAATCGTCGGAAAACCTCCAAGGAAGCAGAGAAGCAGTCGTTTCGTTGTCACTGAGAAGGTTGAGATTGAACGATTGCCTCCATTCATGGGTTCGGTTTCACTTCGTCTTTCCTTACGGCATTCATTCATTTCCATGCTTAGAGACCGCTCCGAGTGAACGTCCTCAATTATTTATACGAAAGCTCCATCAATGCCGCGTCCTGTTTGATTTTAACGATGCAAGCTCCGAATTGAAAGGCAAGCAGATTAAGGCCCAAACTTTACACGAGATGTTGGAGTACATCACTACTCAGCGAGGCGTTATCACTGAAAGTGTATACCCCGAGGTTGTCAATATGGTTTGTTATTGCCGCTCGATTCCGTCATGCCAAGCTCATGCCGGTTTTACAAGTTTGCTTCTAACCTCTTCCGATCCATACCCCCGCCTGTAAATCCAACTGGTGATGCCTTCGACCCCGAAGAAGATGAACCAGTTCTCGAACTTGCGTGGCCACACCTTCAGATTGTTTACGAGTTCTTTCTGCGTTTCATCGAAAGCCCTGATTTCAACACGAATATGGCTAAACGCTACATCGACCAGCCTTTCGTTCTCAATCTTCTTGAACTCTTTGATTCTGAAGACCCTCGGGAGCGAGACTTTCTCAAAACTACACTGCATCGTATCTATGGGAAATTCCTCAACCTTCGCGCCTTCATACGACGATCTATCAACAACGTGTTCTTCCATTTTATCTACGAAACTGAACGGCACAATGGCATTGCGGAGCTGCTGGAAATTTTAGGATCCATCATCAACGGGTTTGCGTTGCCTCTCAAAGAAGAACACAAGACCTTCCTTACCCGGGGGCTTATTCCGCTACACAAGGTGAAAAGCCTTTCCCTGTACCATCCACAATTGGCCTATTGCGTCGTTCAATTCCTGGAGAAGGATCCGGCTTTAGCCGAGGAAGTCATGATGGGCCTGTTGAAGTACTGGCCAAAGGTGAACTCTCCAAAGGAGGTGATGTTCTTAAACGAAGTAGAAGAAGTTCTGGACGTGACAGATCCGGTCGAATTTCAAAAGATACAGGTTGCCCTTTTTCACCAACTTGCTCGATGTATCAACAGTCAACACTTCCAGGTGGCTGAGCGGGCGTTGCTGTATTGGAACAACGAGTATGTCGTGAACCTGATGAGTGACAATCTCGCCGTGATTCTGCCGATTGTGTTCCCGGCGCTATACACTAATTCAAAATCCCACTGGAATCGGTAAGTGCCCCATATTCAGTCGCGTTTCGATTTCCCACTAAAACATCATTAGAACGATCCATGGAATGGTGTACAATGCATTGAAGTTATTCATGGAGATCAATCCTGATCTTTTCGATGATGCAATGCAACAGTTCAAGGAGAGGCAGTACAGGTCAGTGCTATAGGCTCATTCTACACCTCAGTTCTTATCCTTTGACCAGAGAACAACAGCATGCTGTTGACCGGTACAATGCTTGGCAGAAGATGCGGGAGAAGGCTCTTCGCAACGCTCCCGGAGGCAAGATGCCTGCAGGCTACCACGAAATTCCACATGTGCCTCCACCACCCCCGCCGACTGTCGATGATAACGATATTTTGGATCTATCAATGGAGCTTAACGCGGCCTCGATTGAAGATGTCACTGGTGATCTAGACGAACATGGGATTGAGCGCGTGCCTATGGCGGATCCTGGATTGGATGTATGTTGAACTGCCTGCGTACGCTGGGTGCATTAGTCTTACTTGGCGTGATTTAGCGGACATATCCCGACGTTGGAACTACTGAACTAACATCAAATGGGCAAGGTCAAAGCCCACATGTGCGGCGCAAAAGTGTTCTCCCTGGTCCGTACCTCTTTTGCGAGGATCAGCCGTTGTACTTATCAATAATCGTGTCTCTTTCAGTTGATCCCAGTGTGTTACGCGACCTGCAGGCGCATAGAAGCCTTGATGATGTTGCGGCGCATAATATAACTGGTGGCGGGATGGGGTCGTACTCGGGAGCATCGAGCTACTCATGAACGGTTCCGGTGACCGGGACCACTGGCAGCTCCAAATCCCGGCAGCTCTTCCACGAACATTGCTACTTCACCTGGTAAAAATCGATACCTTCATGACGTTCGCCATTATATTACCTTCCTTGTCTCCCGTAATTCTGATTCATTGACTGTATGCTTCCTTTGAGATCCCATTGGAAAACTTTGTACTTTAACTGTGCTGACGGCCTCGCATAAAGCTTCTTTGGTCTCCCTTTTTTCCTCTGGCAGTAGTTTACACTCAGTACATTTACGTTCCTAGAATCATAGCTGTTTTTAGCTGGATGTTGCCACTGCAATTAATTAAGCGCGCGCGAAAAATCAGGAAGATGCCGGAAAGCTGTAGAAGGGTGTAGAGTCACACGAGGTGACATCAAATCTGTCACGTGTACAAGAATGGCTATAGAAGGTTCTGTACGTTTCTGCATTATTCTGTAGAGTTCTGGCGGTCGATGAAATATAAAAACAAGATTCTCGCGCTTTTCCTCTTCACTTCTTGCCTCTCCCATTTTCTTCATCACCACATCCCATAGGTTCGTCACTCGACAACCCATTCGACTGCATCCTTAGACTTTCTATAGACACATTTATTCTTAACCATGTCGTCGTCAAAAGCTATTGGTATTGATCTGGGTACCACTTACTCGTGCGTCTCAATTATTTTTTTCACGTCAAATTTTTTTCTAAAAGTTTCGTCTTCAGTTGTGTCGGTGTCTGGCAGAACGATCGTGTTGAGATCATCGCCAACGACCAAGGTAACCGGACGACACCCTCGTATGTCTCCTTCTCCGACAATGAGCGTCTCATCGGCGATGCCGCTAAGAATCAAGTTGCCATGAACCCTCACAACACGTATGTTTTTTCTTAGCCCTGAAGCTCGATGCTGATAGATCATATACAGTGTTTTCGATGCCAAGCGTCTCATTGGACGCAAGTTCCAAGACGCGGAAGTGCAGGCTGATATCAAGCATTTCCCTTTCAAGGTGTTCGACAAGGGTGGCAAGCCGTACATTCAGGTTGAATACCGCGGTGAACAGAAGGAATTTGTACGTGGTTTTACTACTGCTACTATTTATTTGTGCTCATCTTTCTAAAATAGTCCCCTGAAGAAATTTCATCTATGGTTCTTCTCAAGATGAAGGAAACCGCCGAGTCGTACCTTGGCACTACCATCAACAATGCTGTCGTAACCGTCCCTGCCTACTTCAACGACTCCCAACGTCAAGCAACCAAGGATGCTGGAACCATCTCCGGTATGAACGTCCTTCGTATCATTAACGAGCCAACGGCCGCCGCCATTGCCTACGGTCTCGACAAGAAGGTGAACGGCGAGCGTAACGTTCTCATTTTCGATCTCGGTGGAGGAACTTTCGATGTGTCTCTTCTGACCATCGAAGAGGGTATCTTCGAAGTTAAGGCAACCGCTGGTGATACCCACTTGGGTGGTGAGGACTTCGACAACCGTCTTGTCAACCACTTCGTCCAGGAGTTCAAGCGAAAGAACAAGAAAGGTATGTTTTCTATGTTGGTGTCCTGATCATCAGCTAAGCATTGTTTCTTCAGATCTTTCCTCTAACCCTCGTGCCCTTCGTCGTCTCCGTACTGCTTGCGAACGTGCCAAGCGTACTCTCTCATCCGCTGCACAGACCTCTATCGAAATCGACTCCCTATTCGAGGGTATCGACTTCTACACCTCCCTTACCCGTGCACGTTTCGAAGAACTGTGCCAGGACTTGTTCCGAAGCACCCTCGACCCCGTCGAGAAGGTTCTCCGCGATTCCAAGATCGACAAATCCAACGTGCACGAGATCGTCTTGGTCGGCGGTTCCACTCGTATTCCTCGTATCGTCAAGCTTGTGTCCGACTTCTTCAACGGCAAGGAGCCCAACAAGAGCATCAACCCCGATGAGGCTGTTGCCTACGGTGCTGCCGTGCAGGCCGCCATTCTCTCCGGTGACACTTCGGAGAAGACCCAGGACCTCCTGCTTCTCGATGTTGCCCCCTTGTCGCTTGGGTGAGCATTTTCATCATTTTGCAAACAACGTAAATTTCTGATTCGTTTTCTTTAGTATCGAGACTGCTGGCGGTGTCATGACTGCCCTCATCAAGAGGAACACCACTGTTCCCACCAAGAAGTCCGAGACCTTCTCCACCTACGCTGACAACCAGCCTGGTGTGTTGATCCAGGTGTTTGAAGGTGAACGTGCTCGCACCAAGGACAACAACTTGCTTGGTAAATTCGAACTCTCCGGCATTCCTCCCGCTCCTCGTGGTGTTCCTCAAATTGAGGTCACCTTTGATATCGATGCCAATGGTATCTTGAACGTTTCAGCATCTGACAAGACCACCGGCAAATCGAACCGTATCACCATCACCAACGACAAGGGCCGTCTGTCGAAAGAGGAAATTGAGCGTATGGTTAACGAGGCCGAGAAGTACAAGGGTATGTCATTCTCTTCTAACCCACTAATTTTTTTTCTGACCTCTTTTATAGCCGAGGACGAGGCAGCTGCCGCCCGTATTGCCGCCAAGAATGGCCTCGAGTCGTACGCATACAACTTGCGTAACTCGATGAATGAGGAGAAGCTCGCCGACAAGTTTGAGGCTTCTGACAAGTCACGCCTGGAGACCGCTGTTAACGAGGCGATCTCATGGCTCGACAACTCCCAAGAGGCTTCCAAAGAGGAGTACGAGGAGAAGCAGAAAGAGCTTGAGGCTGTTGCCAAGTGAGTACTATGATCTTCATGCTTTATTCCACCGTTCCTTACTGTTCTTTTCCTAGTCCTATCATGCAGAAACTCTACGGCGCTGCAGGAGGTGCTCCTGGCGGTGCTCCTGGCGGCTTCCCGGGTGGTGCTCCTGGTGGTTTCCCTGGCGGCGCGCACGAGGAGGGTCCCAGCGTGGAGGAAGTCGACTAAACGTGTCGATGCTGCTGGACCTCTTCTCTTGCTTGCTCGTGTGTTTCTTTCGGACTGACGATCTGTACGGCAAAATTATAATGATTGCATTTCATGTACGCTACGCCTAGATAAAAAAATCATCAACCTGTATTTTACGCTGCAAATGAGTCTGATGCCAAAACAACACGTATAAGCCCAAGTCGAGATGAAATGAGGTAAAGTTAATTTTGTGTATCTTCCGTTCTTTCCAGAATAACTATGGGGCGACTTGTCGTAACAGAGTGGAGGTGCCTTCGTGCGGAGCCCAGAGGTGTGTGGACCTTGCAGAAAATAGTTTTGGGTATGTCTTCGCCAGGATATCCTCAGTTCGTCGAATATGCTTTGATACTGATGCAAGCTGCCGAAAATTCCAGTGGGGTTGATTGACCGCAACAAGGGCGTTGTCTACTCAGATGCGATGACGGATCTAATGCTCAGGTCGCCTTCTTCCCTTTGTACCTAGTCCCTCCATTCAATGATCTAGTTTCTTCGGGTGCATTGGTGTACGATGTGGGGTGTAGCGACGGACTTGTACGGTATTTGTTTGGATCTCTTTTCGCTCTCTCTCACCTTGGTCCTTTTTGAAAATCTGGCGCTATCAGGCTTCCTCCGCTCCGTCCTTGTGGACCTGAGTTTTCGATGAGCTAGCTCAGGGTTTCCATTCCGTTCATAGTGCCGAGCATATCCGGAAAGTACGATCTTGGTGAGACTTCTCGTGGGTTTGAAGTTGATCCTCATTAGACACTTGCGGACGACATTTTCGCGTGTGTGTGGTGTGGGTTCACTGCATGGACAGTCAACGTCTTTGGAGGGTACGAAGTGGGAGTGGTATTCGCCTATGTAGGGGCCATGTCCTGGGCGGCAAAGTTGTAACAGTCGACCGAATATTTCCCGCTTTCGCGAAGGTAACGTGTAGACTTCAGTGATAGTCTCCTGCTCCGCCTCCGTTTCTCTCCTCGCGTTTGGTCTTAACCACCCTGTGTTCTCCGCCACTTTCTTGGCCAGGTAGTCTGCTAGTGTTCGTAAAGGTGACAGCTTAACGTATTTCGATCTCGTGTACATTGGACCTACCGTATTTCGTCGGCTTTCAGCGTTCTCATGTTCCAGAAGCGGTTATGGGAAGGCCACGGAAGGAATGCTTGGTATCGACGGCAAACCTGGTAGCAAATCGCTGTGTATGAAAAGCATACCGAAATGACCTAGATTCGATCGTGTCTACGACCAAGAGCACCTTTCTTGGAACCTCCTGAGTGAACTCGAGCTCGGTGGTGTTGTCCATGCGGCCAGTGAGGGGTTGAAGACCCGCAGCGAAATTGTGCCACAGTTCAATATTCATGAGCTAATTACCTCCGAGAACCTTCATGACTAGTACTGGCCTAAACATTTCTTTGCTCTCTGATTCTAGAGTGGAACCTCGACATCAATGCCCAATAGGACATCAGGTCTTCAACCGATGAGGAATGTCCAGCTGATACAGTGGATTTCATGGAACCCGTCAGGTGAGCAAGTCCAGTAGTTATCGATAAGGCGCATGGACACAATCGCGATACGGTGCTTCCATTGAGAATAGTCAAGACAGTACAAAGGGCGTCAGCGATGAAGTCAGTCTGGCCCTCGAACCTTATCAGTGGCATTGAAAAAGTCGCGGAGAGGAACCTAGTGGAGCATTTACTTTATGGAGCACCCTTTGGTACCCGTAACTCCACGATTTCACTGGCTAAGGATCTTCTCGACTCTCAGGCTCCCGCAAGGTCTCGAAGCGACCGTAGGTCCCTCGCCTACCGTGCCTGGTGAAATTTGGAAGTCAACGTACTCTCGAAGCTACCCACTTACAGGCGCCCTTTCACGTACCCGATCTCCTCGTAGGATTCGTCATCAACTGGGGAAAGGACTTCCCCAGATTACTGTGATCAATTGCGACCAGAGGGGACTGCGGGTATGGCGGCGAAAGCTGGACGGAGTGCGCATGTAAACTATGATTTGCTGAAAAAGAAAAAGGCACAAACCCCGACCCCGAGGCATGGATTGTACCGTTACATGTAATTCTTCAATTTCCCTCCAATTAATATAAGTATTATGTCTATCATTTAATCACTTCAAATAATGGATTCGATTACGCATGCAAAAGCTTTTACTTGAACTAAGGACATAACTAAGTACCAGGTCCATCAGTTTTCAGAGCGCCTGCCAAAACAGTACCGCCAGCTATAGGACGGGAAAGTTTGTTCTCTCCGGCTTTCACAAGAAACTCGGCACTAGCAAAGCCATTCAAGTTAGCGTTGGCTGTATATCAATTGTCAGAACAAGCCATGCAGACACGATATCATAACACGAACTGATATCATTCATAGCATAGAACGTCGCATTTAATTGTCTAGGATCCACCTTCAGACTAAAGAATCCGCGGTAAAAACCTTCGCTCCATTGTAAGTCAGCGTTGATTGCGACGAGAGCTTGTGAAATTGTAACTGTTTCCGGTTGCGATATCCGACCGAACGAAGATGATGAAGTTACCGCGGTGCCTCCGAACTCGACACCAATCGCACCTTCCCCCGAGATCGGATTGTAGCTATTTTAATTAATAAAGGGGTGCGACATATGTATGCATGTACTGACCTCGTTGTGTCGTTCGGATCTATTTAGAAGGAGCCTCAGAAAATAGGAAGAAGCAAGTATAGTATGCGACTTACAAGCAAGGTCAGAAACCCAGTTTGCATGGCTATCTCCAGCAAGAATAACCGTGTTACTGATTTTGTTCCCATAAAGATGGTCGAGAACACGACGTCTATTGGCTCGGTACCCATCCCACGCATCCTTGAACGGTCTCAGCCGGTGCCAGAGACTCGGCTTAAAGAACATACCAGATCAACTATAGGAGGACAGCATTATAGAGAAGTCACATGAAAATGAGAAGCGCATACTCACATGTGCCGTTGAGGTTCAACTGGGTGAAAACTATCTGTTGCCTTCGAAAGATAAGCTACACATTAAAGAGGACCGCCTGAAATGTTCTTACCCGACGATGCGCCATATGGCACCTCGTTCCTGCGACTCGGAAAGTGTCTGAAAAAACCCTACCGCAGCGATCGAATGAACGACGGTTAGCATGGTGTACAAGTAATAGACGCACATTTCTCCTGTTCTGCACCCATCAGACTACGATTTTCGTAGGAGGATACGGTATTGACGACTATGCCAGAACGTCAAATGTGCTACTATGCGACGCGCTGATAGATCGTACATTCTGAAGAAAGTGATGGTGGATGCAATGTCACTCCGGTAGCGCTTCAGTAAAACTTACCTGTGTTGTAGTAAACCTACACACGTCCAATTATAATTAGTTGTTCGATGAAGATTATCAATCGCACTTACATCCGTCAAATCCCTGTCGTACTGACCTGAGTATAACGTACGGATTGGCACTTGAAGAATTATTACTCGTGAAATTACTTACGGGTATCAAGCATCGTCAAATCCATGAGCCTCCCTATCTGGAAATTCCTCCATATACGTAGCTTATCGTTCGAGACTACCTGTCGTATAGGCATCCATTCATGGTACGCTCGTACGGCACTTAATTTCCTGTCAGTGAAACACGCTCCCGATGGAGAAAAAGAGCAGCCGATCGAGGTATCGTTAGAATCTGCTGTGCCAGCTTTCCAGGCATTATCAGCGACCTAAAGGAATGGTCCTTCAATGGTAGTCAGCGGTGTGCATTCAGATGAGCTTGCCTCGTGATCATCCTAGATGCAAGCTCTGCATCACTAACGTCAGAAGATCAAGACTAGATCACATACCCTGATGGCAGTCAACATTAACTATCTTTGTGGGAAATGAAGGTACATACCATACTGTAATCCAAGGACCACTCAGGTGAGCAGTACGAAGGCTCTCGTCAGTCCTATACTTGGGCCAAGCGTTGACGGTAGTCAAAAATGGTCGCCAGCTCTCTACCCAAAGTTTGTCGTCCAATCGGGGCACTAGGAGCGTTAAAAATGATACAACAAACCATAGATGTGCACTAACCCATTCCCCAGAGATTCGTATATCTGGGTGTTGGTCCAGTCTGTATTATACTTCGATAAAAAATGTTAAGAAACGTACGTAGTCTCCAAGGTGAACGAAGATGTCAGGTTTCACGAGTTCGGCTGCGTATCCATACGCGTTGAACCATCCTGGTAATGTATCAATAGAAGACATGATCACGTCATTCATCACATCCACCTGCTTGATATTGGGAACACGAGAACACGGCAAGAGTAAACGGGTTTCCTCCATTAACCCTGTTAGCAGCAGCTACGTTCGCAGCGTCAACTTGGAGCAAATCTGGATTTCTCGAGACGCACTATTAGGACTAGGCAAAGTTCTAGTGGTACCGACAGGGCTAGTGCTCGTGGGATCCGTGCAGTCAAAGAATCGGTAAAAGTATCTCGTGTCAGGCTGCAAGCCAGTCGCTTCAATCTTCACTGTCCAGTCCACGTCATAACTTGTGAAGACTTCCCCAGAATTGACGGGAGAACCTGATAGATCGGCCGACTTGAACACTTGATACGACAGACAGACGGGAACGCTCTGATCAGGTAATTGTGATGTTCCACTTGATGGCGATGGAACTGCCCGTGTCCACAACAACACAGAAGTGTCGAAAGGATCTCCCTACAAAATTGTTATATCAAGAAAGTGTACGCATCACACGTTGGAAGAACGAACGCTAGCGGCTGCAATATAATACAATTGGATCGTAAGCAAGTGCGTCCAGTAAGCAAGTAAGTTTTTTTACCGGCATGCGTAAAGTTCAATCCACCACTCCATATAAATGGACTCTAAATATGATCGTAAACGGGAGAAAGGCGATATTTAGGCCTCATACGTTGCTAAAATCCCCTCCATAGAAGGTGACGTAATGCTTATCGTCAAAAATCCCTGCGTCTTGCATCTGACGACGAACATGTTTGATTTGTCGCTTGTGCAGGTTGTCTATATCATGGTCCAGCTACAAATTCAAATGTTCAACCAAGCATCGGAAAAATATCCTACGTATCATAAAAAATATATAAATACTCACCTGGGGTGCGTCCAAGAAAGGAGATTTGTACGCCAGGTTCCTTTCCAGTAAACGAGTAGCTGTTACCCCCAGACAAAGAAACAGATTGAAGATGATGCATAAGCTACGCATATTGATACCTTGCCAAGCAGCAGCAGCCAAATTACAATGTGTCCCTTTTATACCTAAGGCCACACTGGTAGCGGTGTCTTTGCCCCCCCCCCTTATCACGTCTTACCCTCAGCTGATCAGTAACGAGAAGCTGATCCTACGACCGAAGGCGCACGTTCGTCCGCCATTCGGGCGTTATATTATGGGAACTTTAGACTGGGGCAATTATTTTTGAAAAAAAGGAAAGCAACAGTAGCTGAGGTACCATGTTCGACATAGCAGCTTTTGTGCTATTTCTCACATATGCGGATACGGAGAAGTTAAAATTCGAGATTCGACGGGTTCTCATGTTATATCCAGTACACGCGGTCAGGTCCAGATTTTCTAGAGAAAATCCAGAGTACCCACGAGGCAACGCCAATTACATGATGAGGCACCCTGGCAGGATCAAGAAGAGGGATATGACGTGAACGTGTCTCTGGCGATGAACCTGTTGTTAGAGTGAAGACAAGAAGCATGTAACAGCGGCCTTGAACCCGGATATGTAGTTATAGAGGATAGCGGCCGTTTGACATCGATTGTAATGGGGGAGAGCTCATTTGACGATTGCTGTGAGGTTCAGATTCGTCAAGCAACAACAGAAGATGTACTCACAGAGTCTCGTGAAACAATGTCACGCGGAGAGAGAGAAGAGAAGAAATCTTTTCCTTCCCGGCTGCTAGAAAAATTCTGAAAGGCACATCGTCCTATAGGCTGGGGGGACCTGGTCTTGAACAAGTTGCAAACGAAGCACCGCCAAAATTGCAAATACATCTATTGCCGGGCCGTCGGAGGATGATCCTAGTATAGTACGTCATCTTTCTCACGGCCCTTGCGAATTTCGGAAATTGATTGCACTTTTTGGATTTGACTTTTCGTTTTCGCTGCAGATACCTTTGACGTAGTAGCCGCACTCACCAGCTATCTAATATTTAGTGAAGCAAACATGACCAAGGATAAAATTTTCCATAATATTGCATACTTATCCTCGGGTTGATTATTCCGACTTCCTATAGATACTCACTGCCTCCTCTCCTCACTACAGTGATATGGTGTTGTTCAAGGTGTGGTTGTTTGTAGGACTTTTTGAGCTATATGATTCGCTGCTACAGATAGTATCCTCAATTTTTGTGCCTCTCTTGTCGCGGGAAGGAAGGAAGACCTAGGATCGTAGAGGGCCAGGGACTGCGGGGTACCCTGCCAAGCTTGTTTCCCCATTCTCAATGCCATACTACGTAATATCACTGTTTTCTGCAGGTAACTAATTACCGGAAAGTCGGATTTTCTCTCTCCTTTGACAGAGGTTATATATATATCGCGAAGTGTGCCACAATTTTGTGGCAGTTGCGCGACTGATGCTATTGCATGATACAGTGACATAAGATAACGTCATGCGTAAAAGGCCTGGACCCCACCATCTGTCGAATAAAATATTTTCTGGCCATGAAACTCCGGTTTATAAGTCATCGCATTGCGCCCGGCACAGTATTCCTCCATGATCGAGTATACTGATGTCTTGTTAGTAAGACAGCATTAAACCTTGAAGGATTCGTTGTTCTCTAGGGGACTAATGCTGTCGCGTGAAAGGTACTCCTGTATGTAGCATCTACTCTGTGCTTTCTGTGGTTTTTTTTTGTACTATAATGAAGGTAGTAAGATTCAACCTCTTTAGGTGATCTTAAGGAATCTCAAGATGACCGTAGTATTTTGGGTACTGAATATTGGAGCCTACAGCCTGTCAAATTACGTAGTAGCCCTCCTTCTGGTTCTGAGGCGGAGATTGACTTCTTGAGCAACTGCCAGCGTCAAGTTATGCATTATATGATCGATCGGAGAGTGGTTGTTTCATCTTCATCGCTATAGGATGGTTCGTCAAATGCTGAAAAAAACTTGAAACAACTCAATGTCTTACGAAGATTGAACGTCGTCGAATTCACGGAGTCCCCGATGATGGCCGTCGACTAAATGAACTTCTCTTGCACTTCAGAGCTCCTGCCGCGACAGTGCTACACTGTTGTCTACCCGGAGCTAACACACGGTGAACTCGGCATCCGACTCAGCGACAAGTACCCCAGGTACAGAACAAAGGTTTAGACTTTCTTTGTCTAGGTCGTCTCTATTCTGTCCGGTGTACGTCCTCTTCGAGCGAGTTGAGGTCCGATAGGGAAAAAATTTCAAGGGTAGAAGTATCTTTGATTCCATCGACTCGAAAGAGTGCAATCTTGGCAAAAGATTCCGAGAAATCCGAGGAGGGAGAATATCTAGCGCTCAAACTGTCACCGTCTTCTTTCACGTCGTTCGCGGATGGTCCGAGAATCATGCCATATCTGAGTACTATTGATGCACTTGTCCTTGATATAGTTTCACTGGAAGGAGAGAAGGAAGTTTTAACCTGGAATGATCACTCGGCGCGGGCGTGAATCATCCATTCAATCCGGCAAAAACCTATAAGCAAGGTTCAAAACTGAATTAGCAATGGCAGTCCCGGAGAAGCAGGCTAGACCACGAGGATGTCCTGCATGACGGTTCTATTAGCATTTGATTTCCAAGCAACTAACCACTACACGGATATTCTTAGTGAAGATTATGAGGAGAACTTTGCATCAAGGTTAATCCACTAGACCCCTTAGCACGAGACGCAGAGAATGATCCTGGTGACCAGAGAGGCTTATGCTTACTCACTGGTTTGAATGGAGACAATTTTGCAGACAGAAAGCAGGGAAGTCGAGTGTGTATGGGAAATATTTCAAGAATTCGATATCATAGTGGCATCTAGAAAGGACAACAGAACAGGTAAATCACATAATAGTTCGTTAGACTGTGTAAGACCAACGCTGTCACTGTAGTAGAACTGGATGCCCTCCAGTGATAAAAGGAGCCCTCCAGCACTTCCCGTCCGATTTCACATGCCGTAGGCGCGGGTATGCAATATATGCGTCCTATATTCGTACAATGAAAAGAGTAGCCAGACGACATCACAAAAAGTGGGGTTCTAGTTTTCATTGCCTTCTTGGCCACCTAGCACACATCAGTACTCACCGGCCACCGCCCGAGGATCTCTATCAAAGATTTTCGAGAAGATTGACAAAGCTGGAGACCCTGATGAAGTGAATCCAACATCGAGTCATTGATGAAGAAAAGAACCTTATCTACGGGGCCGGGCTATATTGTAGGATGCACATGAGCTATGACGAGACCTGCCATGTCAGTTTTTTTTACTGATTCAGGCGCTCAGAAGAGTTGAATATCGTGACCCATCCGTGCCCAGTATTTAATACTGATGAGAAAGCTAGACAGCCAATTGAAAGCAAAGGATCCGAACACGGAAAATTATATGCACCGGTGTTCAACAGACTGGTATATCGGGCCGACGGCGCCTAGGATAGCAAAAACAAAAACAGACCTAATGTTCTCGGTGAACATGATTCGATCCTGAGATTGATGTCCTCCGCTGTGTATCCGAAGGCTTTCAATCGCTCTAATGTCATTAGGCCATCATGATATAGTTAAAGAGAACACAAAGCGCGAAGCTTCGATATCTTACCAGATCGGTAGCGAGGACAGAAATGGAAAAGGTCAAGTGAGTCACCACGCCAACCACCAGCTTTCCATTGACCTTATTGGCTTCAGCAGTGAAATTTTCTAACGACAGAAATAACGTTACCACATGAAACGCATCAGTGGTACTCAAGACGCACTAGAAGCAGGGGCAGATAACGTTTCGGTCGTACCTTTAGGGTGGCAGGGTCGGGGTCCGAAGGTTGTCAGGAGAAGTTTGTCGGAGCAATTCCAGAATTATTACCGGTTTCCCAAATAGGTCAGCGGATGCGAAATTTTGATGCGCGGAACACTTTCGGGAGGCACATTCAACAACCCACTAGAAGGCAATTGAGTCGTCAGCGTCTGTATGAAGAATGGGCCATCAGAACGATCGCCTTCGTGAGAACGATGAAAAGCGAAGCACAGCAAAAGCCAAAGGAACTGACATCAGGCATTGAATTGTGGAATAAGACAATGAATGAAAGGACGCTTTGAAGACGTCCGTAAAACAGGAGCACTTCTAAACAGGCAAAATTCAGGCCGCCAGTCTAGGTTGTTGGATCCCAGAGCGGAGAAATACGTCGATTAGAATGTGTGGGAAGAGTACGTACGTCGCCCTTGGCATTTATGGATGAGTTTTGTGTTGTAGCCAAGCTATGCGAAGGGTTAGTCTAAGAATACGAGATTGACAGGCGGCTCACATGAGGTGCGTCGCTAAAGTGGGGTCATGTAATAAGGTCCGATTGCAGTCAGCCAGGATAATGAAACTGTGCATTAATACTGAGTGTTATTCAAAGAAATCATGCTGGTATTCCCAAGATGTTCGCCAAGTTCATCCTCCCATACCTTCGGCGCTTGCATTAGTATTTGCTATACAGAGAAGCGCACGTTTCTCGTGATCAATCGCCTCCAAGCTGGCAATGAACATAGGCTAGGCACTAATGGCACTGCCAGTGCTAGCCGCGAAGTATCCGAAAATATGACGTAGAATCCAGCCAGGGAAGGTGAGAGCGAGACTATTAGCATTTTTGGCGGCCATCATTATACGGAGAAATCCTCGAGTCGAGCGAATGGCTAGAAACCAGGACACGGACGTATTCAATTAAGCAGCTGATCTTTTGCGGTTCTTCGACAAAAAACACGCACCTGCTGCTGAAATGTCGCATTGCTTCTATGTCCAGTTTATTGGCTGAACATAGTCTAAGCTAAGCATCGGTCCCCCACTCCGAGCCTGACCTGATCATATCACACCGAGTCTCTCCCACTTGATCATAGCACCCCGAATCGGACCGCACGCAAACGTACGTTTCTCTATACAAGGATTCATGGAGCCTTTCCCGTCGAACAGGATGGATTGATGCCGCTTCTCAGCGCAACTCCGCAGGACTCTGAAAGAGTTGATTAAGTTGAACAAAGTTGAATGCATTATCGGCACACCGGGCCGGGAAAAGCATACGAGAATCTCGGCGGATCCGGAAAACGCGTGTTAGGGCGTTAAGGTTGACACGCGGTAACGAGTCCTGCATTGAGTCGATAAGTTTATTTTTCTATGAGGTTACTTTTTAACGCCACAATGGATCGGATTCTGAAGCAAACGGAAACTGAACTGCATTTTAGGAACGATTCACTCACACGAGCTTCGCCGTCTCTCCACCGCTGACTTCACAATTGCCAGACGGATACTGCACCTTTGTCATGGTAAAAGGTTACTATACAGCCTTTATGCCGAAATAGTTGGTGGACCTTGATTGATTTACCGCAACGTAGATGACGAAGCTATAAAAACCAGGCTCGGCTTTTGTTCGAGGGCATCGGAGTATTGGTAAGTTGCTGACAAAGGAGGAGTCGATGTCTTCAAGTTCGTCTGAGTCTTCCACCAATATATGCCCTTAGAACTCAAAAGTTTATAAAATTTCTTATTGCAGGTCATTACGACATTTCTCTAAGGCAAATATGACATTCTAATGAGCTATACGATGAGTGTATTGTCTGAACTCAGCTCATTCCAAATCCGCCATCAGCCGTGAAGCTCGGGGTTCTACTACGGAATTCCCAGGGAACTAGTGAGGCCCGATAGTTTGGGTGCAAGATCAGTAGTGACACCGTCACACTGAGGATTCTGTTGAGATTGACATTTGTATAGGCACCTGAAAGTGTGAGAGATTTTGTTACTTCAAATGCTGGACTGGAGCATGGAACCTGCTGTCAAGGCAAATGCGGTTTAAGTACAAGTTGCCGAAAATGCCGTTCGGTTATCATTCACGTGTTGTTTATGTACGAATTGATGCATTGATGCCCGGAAGAAGCCGCCCGAAAGGGCAACTGCTTCTGCCCCATCCAATCGGCATATAACGCCGTTTGCTCAATGTCGTCTCTTTCCATCATACCCACCGTTCCTCCTAATGAAGACGGAAGGCGCCCCAGACGCTCTGAACGCTAGTATTTCTCCAGTTGATAATACTCTCTTCCATTTTTTTGGTCGCGAGCACAGTAGCCAGGAATCTGACGAGCAGCAGCCGGAGGCTGAATCCTCTCGTCGAAATTCTCGCGTCTCTTATAACAAAGCGTACGTTTCTAATATGTTGGCGCGAGCTTTCACTTACACCCCACTCCCCCAGCTCCGGTGCTTGCGTTCATTGCAAGTCGTTGAAGGTCTGCATTCAATTTTTGACTTTCAGTTACTATTGTTCTAGTTACTCAAAATATCCAATCAGGTTCGATGTGAATTCAACTCAGGCGAAACAGCCTGTCAAAGGTGCCAAGCTGGGAACTATGAGTGCGTCCCTCGAACGCGTAAGAAACGGAAACCTGCCCCGTACGTTATTGTTTTTTTTATGTCTAACACTTGTTCACTTATCGCAACAAAGCACCCACGAGGATCTGCAGGCGAGAGCAGTCAGCCAAGATCACCAAATTCAGGCCTTGCTTCTGCAGTTCGACAAACTCAAGGCTGACAATAGAATCCGGGATCGGATGTCTCGGGCGCATGTGGATTACCTCGCAGCAAACCGCACGTCTGACCTCAGCAGTAGGTTTATCACACGATCACACTTTTTCAAGCATCATTGAGCATGCCTCAGCAGCTTCCAAGTATACCCATCGTCCTGATAGATTCGAATTATCGTTTGGCGGAGATAGTCCGACCGAACATATCTTACAATCCTTTTCCCCAGGTAGGAATCAGTCGTCGAAGAAGGATATTTAATCTCTAAAACACCTTTCACCGAAGTACACGGACAGAAACACGAGATAGCTCACTCAGCACCTCCCGATATCGTCAAGTACTGCTGCCTTACACCGGATGATATTCGGACGCTGTTTAATCTGTGCGTTGTTTATCCGTATAAGACACGTTCATGTCCTGAATATTCACCAGCTATTTCGAGAGAATTAATGTTCGCCTCACTTCTCGATAGCAGTTACAATGCTTATATGCCTTTGATTAGCCCTTTTTCTCCATTCTCGACCCAGAGCTTCATACTCCCGAGTCGCTGATATGGACTAGCCCATTTCTTTTCACCGTTAGTGCGTACTCTTTCGATCTATCTTTGGCGATCACCCTCAATACTGTCAACAGTTTGTGCTACCGCTTCTCGTTATCACCACTTACAACCAGAGTTATATTACCTAGCTCAAGATTTTGCGCGCGACGCAGCCGGAAAGTCTTTGGTAGATGGCACTAAGAGTGTCGATATATGTCAAGCCTACCTCATAATGGCCGTTTATGCTGCTCCTAGGAAGAAGTGGGAAGAAGATCGCCGATGGCTGTTGATGGGTGTAGCCATACGGTATGCTCCAGGCCTTCTAACGGACGTTCGACCTCTCATAATCGGTCACAGCATGGCCTTAGAATTAGGGCTTAATAAACCTCCACCGCCACGGTGTAGTGAGCGCGAGTCTATGAACAGGACCAGAACATGGTACGTATTCTTTCCCGGTGCCTGCGTTCGTTGACTGACGTGGCTATTGACACAGGCTTAATTGCTTCTGCGCTGACGGTTCACATTCCATACAGTTCGGGAAAATTCCAATGATTAGTTTAGACGATCATATGGCCGTGCACTCTGAGGGCTGGTACAAGGCTTCACGCGGAAATTTACCTTTCGATGTTCACCTTTGCGCTTACGTGCAAATAATTGTGATCATGGCTCAATGGCGTAAACGCATTGGCGAAGGAAATCTACGACAACGGATCCGCGATGTAGGTGATCTGTGTATCTTATCTCAGGCATTTCATAGGAATTTTGTGCAGGGCTTCGATATTGTTGCAGCCGCCATAGAGACAGAAGAAAGTCTTGAGCAAGAATTACGTCGCTGGGTTAGTCGCTACGACGAGGAGTACAGTTATAATCGTAAGTCTGTTCATCTTCTCAATGTCCGATGGCTATTCAACCTTACGAGTGTTAGCCCTCCAGATATGCGCCTATCGTGGGAGCACTACCCATATGTAGGACCCAATTTTCGACTAAGTTTTGCTTGCTGAACGAGAATCAGGATTACCGCGTACCTGAGATTAGTGGTCTTAGCTGTTGGTTTTCAGCATGCTGCAAAATCTGGACTCTCTCGAGACTCAGAGGTGCTAACACGGTCCATTGATGCTGCACGATCTGTCATTCAGATAACGGTGGAACGACTTTATCCTACCGGACATCTGCGCTATGCGATGGAAGCGAACTTCGTTTATGTTTCTTTTGCAGCAGCTTACCTGGTTAATGTAAGGATTCTGTATTCATTGTTGCTTCCCTTCTGATGACACGGAGGTTTTAGCTTCTAAGAGCCAAGTTTTTGCCGCTCCTCTCGCAAGAAGTTCAAGAAGAAATTATATACAGCGTCAATAAACTCATCAGAGTTTTGGCGTCTGATAAAGTGGCCCTGGACGGCCGTCATACTCCTGCTTTATATTCCCGGTTCTTAGCCAACTTAATGGCAAAAAACATCCCCCACCTTCGCACCCCAGCCTACCCCGAATCTGATCATAATTTAGAATTATCGTATGGCGGTGGGGATTTTCAAGTCCTGCCGCAGAATGAATTTTCTTGGCCCGATACCCGGTATTCAGAGTCTCCTCCGGGCGCTAATACAGAGTCGGGGGACACCGTATCTCATCGTACCCGCGAAACGGATATGGATTTTAGTTTGGGCAATTTTGGTATGGCCAATCGACTTTCATCATACGCAATTGATGCTGATCTACAGTTCCCAATGTCAGTGAGGGCAGTATCTCAAGATGTTCCTATAACGACATATGACACAGAAAGTTGGCAGACTTCCTGGGGTGGGTCAAGCTGGGCGACGCAAGAAACTGCGCTTTACAATAACTGGTCTCAGTTTAGTAGCCCGGGCTGGAGACATTGATTGTTTCCGGCGTAATTTCACATCGTTATATTTCTCCGTTGTGTGTGTGCACTTAGCACTGTATATTACTGTTGCAGGTCTGCTGTGGATCACCTCTATTACTCTACTTTTAATCATGTCGTTTAAATACTTGCTGTCTCCTTGCTGTGTAGCCGTTATATTGTTATATGTCTAATCTCTCTGTTGTAGTTTACTCATGTACAAGAAATTTCACTTCTATTGAACTTCTCGAATTCACCGTACTTACGTCAGACAACAACCGTAAATACATTTCGCATTCTATCCGCTTCTTCTTGTCGAATACATCTGCGAGGCCGGCAGTCGCAGGCATGAGCACCTCGAAAGCAAGAATTGAATCGGTGGAGTCCGTTTATTCTCTTGATAGAGTGTTTTCGTAGTGACTTCAGCGCCACAGAAAGGCGTTTCACAATCTGTTTAGTTCTGGCACATCTCTTGCGAAGATTAAGGATGCCTCTTTAGCGGACCGTTTATTTCCATTCTCTGACGATGTTCTGGAGGTTCCTGGGCGGAGCATTGCATGGAAGGTGCGCCTGAATCCACCTTCATCAATAATCTGACTCAGCTGCATCATAGCTCTTCCTTGTACAAAGCGAACCCCTCAAAGCATTAATCGAGGCAGATTCTTCTCCATTGCTTGATTCTTTGCGTGAAACTCGAAGGCAGTATGCGGCGTTGTTACTGGAGAAGATGCGAGCACCGGATGGAAGCTATGAAGACGGATTCGCCCTACCGGGGTCACTACCATCGCCAAAGCGTGAATCTAGGCTGGAAGTCAACCTGGATAGGAATAACCCTCTAAGTTTACATACAGAAGTACGTTATGCATCCTGGATTTTTGCTAACATTCTCAAATGATACGACAGAATCCTTGGACAGAGTGGTTTGCTTCCGTCGAACTGCGGAAAACGATTTTACAAGACGTTGAGCGAACGTGAGTCGTAGCTGATACTTGTTATCTGCTCAACTGAGGTGGTATTTAGGTTTCCCGAAATTGATTTCTTTCGACTTCCAGATGTGCAAGCTCAGCTAACTAATATTCTCTTTATCTACTCTGTCATGCATCCAACCATAGGCTATCGACAAGGTGACTTCAGCTTGAACGCTCTCAACGTTCTACCTGACTGCTGTGTTCAGGTATGCACGAGTTACTGGCACCGCTATATTACGCTGTCGAATACGATTCAATATCCGAAGACGATCAGGAATACGTTCACGATTTCAAAGTACACGAAATGTGTTCTAAGCCCTGGGTTGCAGCCGATGCTTGGTGTCTCTTCGACGCAGTCATGCAATCTACCTCTCGATGGTATGAGTGGCAAGAGCCCCCCGTCGACGCGAAAGGACGATCCCCACTACCCTCTCATGTCCTTTTACATATTCCCGAAGGAGCTGTCGATCTAAAACCCTACGTACCACCCATTGTTCAGACGTGCAACAACATACAAGCGAATTTCCTACGGACAACGGATCCACATCTATGGCAGCGGCTCCAAACAACCGGCATAGAACCACAAATTTACGGAATGTAAGCTCAGGTTAAATAACCCCAGAGTTTTTGAATATTCATAGCACAGTCTCCTGGCAGTCGGTGGCTGAGGCTTTTGTTTACACGGGAATTTAGTCTCCCAGATGCAATGAAATTATGGGATGCCCTCTTCGCGTGTGATCCATCCTTTGATCTGGCTCCATGGATCTGTGTTGCAATGTTAATACGTATCCGCAATGAATGTGAGTTGGCGTCACCTTGCGTTTTCTCGCTGACAGTGATATATTACAGTGTTGCCATCCGATTACTCCACCCAGCTTACTGTCCTATTACGCTATCCGTCAGTGTTACGCTCATTCGAATATGGCTCCCCAGTGCATCCAACAAGCTTGTTAGTACGGCAGGCACTGGCTTTACAAATGTCCCCAACACCTTCTACTGGTGTTCTATTGGTGTCTGAAAATCGCAACCTCTTGAATATCGCGATAGACGTACCAGAAACACCGCCCGCTCCTCGCAGGCGGTCTACTCGAAATAGACCACTTTCAACTTCGGTGGCCTCTGGGAATGGCAATGTGGCTCAAGGACACGTCCGACAGCAATCGTCTCAAAATTTAGGGTTTCCTGAGATGCTTGCTCGTGGAATCCTAGAAAGAGGCGAAAGCTTGGGGATCAATAAGACTCTAATGAGTGCTGTGTCAGAACTAAAGGTAAGACATGATTACTTATTGTACCATCCGTTCTGACTGTCCATGTATATAAAGCGCAACATTCCTGAAATTGCTTCATCGCTCATGCGCGCGCCGGCCAATGCATACCAAATGACTGATGAGAATATAGGGGAACGGCCACCTGGGGAGCATCGGTCACGGCTTGAGATGGAAAAAGAATTATCCGAACTTCATATGGTGAACAAGAAACTCGGCGATTCTTTGGGATGGATTGTCGATGTTCTACTTCAGGATGAAGATCAGACGAACGCAGAGCGCCTAAAAAAGCAGCGACGGCAAGCCATCGAGTCCCTTTCGTATGTCAGAGATATTCTGATCAGCCAGTCAACGGATATTGAAGAGGAGAGGCTGTACAGTGAAGAGCAGATTGCCAACCGGAGACAGGAGAAGACAAAGCAGGCTGATGCTGTTGAGGTTCTCCAACCAAAGATACCTACACCAGTTAAACCCAACCCTGCTAGAGGGAAAGGGTCGCGCCCTTTGCCGGTTGCCAGTATGCCGCCAGCTGGACCTATGTCGTCATCTTTGAGCCAGAACACCAACCCTGCCCGGCTAGCACCTTGGAACTATACCCGGTCAAACTTTTCGTCTACTTCCTCTTTACCCGAGACGTTATTGCCTCGACCTCCACCCCCCACTTCAACGACAATACCGAGATCGGCACTTGACGGTCGACGAGATAAGGCGTCCGAAGTGTTGCAAGATCCGTTGGGGGCGTTGCATTGACGAAAACACTGTGATATTGGATCGAAGTAACAATAGTGTAGGATAATTTAGAACTTTGTAGACTTACCATATACATTTGTCTTACGCAGGCAGGTGGCTCGCTTGGAAGTTATTAAAGCCGAAAGCCGAAAGAAATCACGGGGATGTGATTGGTCGAGGTCCTGGTCGGGAGAGCTCGTCACGATCGGAGCAGACATTCTCCAACCCACGTCCATCTCGTTCGGGCGTTCCCCTTTCCCTTGTCCTCACCGCCCACCATGCTTAGCAGGCGTCTCACCAAATCTTTTCTACGTTCTCAGCGTTCCTTTCATTCGTCTGCTGTCGCCAGGAAGGTCGTTGCTACCAACCCTGTCAAGGCTGAGGAGGTCAAGGTATGGCTAGCATGTCCTTAGAGCTCCTCAATACCCTATGAACGAGACTTTTGCAGTCGTGGTCGTCGGGGAATTACCCTCTTATTGAACATGAATACGACGCCATCGTTGTGTGAGTCTTCCCCACATGTCACCCTGGATCCCCGCGTTTATATGATCTCAGAGGTGCTGGCGGTGCTGGGTTGAGGGCAGCCTTTGGTCTGGCAGAAGCTGGCTTCAACACTGCATGTATCACCAAGCTTTTCCCGACGCGAAGCCATACTGTAGCAGCCCAGGTAGGTGGTCTCTTGGTCTCACATGCGTCCGGTTCTTACCGTCGGTCAGGGTGGTATCAATGCTGCGCTTGGTGTACGTTTCAATCCAATGCACGCAAGTTCGTATTAATGTTTGGTTGCAGAATATGACAGAAGATGATTGGCGATGGCACATGTATGACACAGTAAGAAAAATCGTATATGTCAACCGCTTAATATGCTCATTATTCTTGCAGGTGAAAGGCTCTGATTGGCTCGGTGATCAGGATGCCATTCACTATATGTGCCGCGAGGCACCTAGTACTGTTATTGAGGTATGCTGGACATCAAGTCATATGCTGCCTGAAATGTTCACCGTTTTTCGGTAGCTGGAACACTTTGGGGTCCCATTCTCTAGAACCAAGGAGGGCAAGATATATCAGCGCGCCTTTGGAGGACAGTCATTGAAATTCGGCAAGGGCGGGCAAGCTTATCGTTGTGCTGCCGCTGCGGATAGAACCGGGCATGCGCTTCTCCACACGCTTTACGGACAATCTCTTCGTCACAACACCAACTTTTTCATCGAATATTTCGCTTTGGATCTCATCATGCAGGACGGCGAATGTGTTGGTGTCATTGCCTTGAATATGGAAGATGGTACTCTTCACCGTTTTCGAGCCCACAAGACAGTTTTGGCCACAGGGGGATACGGTCGTGCATACTTCAGTTGCACAAGTGCTCATACTTGCTCTGGTGACGGTAACGGTATGGTTGTGCGAGCAGGCCTTCCCCTTCAAGATCTTGAATTTGTCCAGTTCCACCCTACTGGTATTTATGGTGCCGGATGCCTCATCACGGAAGGTCAGACCTTTTCACTTTAGTACATGGACTCCTATAAACGTCTCATAGGTTCCCGCGGGGAGGGAGGTTACCTACTGAACTCGGAGGGTGAGCGGTTCATGGAGCGCTATGCACCCACCGCAAAGGATCTTGCATCTCGTGACGTCGTTTCCCGAAGTATGACTGTCGAAATTCGCGAAGGACGAGGAGTTGGACCCGAAAAAGATCATATCTACTTGCAACTGAGCCATCTCCCTGCCGAGGTTCTTCATGAGCGATTACCCGGTATCTCCGAGACTGCAGCTATCTTCTCTGGTGTTGATGTTACTAAGGAACCCATTCCTGTCCTTCCAACTGTCCATTACAACAGTGAGTGCTACCGCAGATTCAGAACATCTCTTCTTATTGTCCTTATTAGTGGGAGGCATACCGACGAAATACACGGGCGAGGTTCTCACTATCGATGAAAACGGCAATGACAAGGTGGTTCCTGGATTGTATGCTGCTGGTGAAGCGGCATGCGTGTCGGTTCACGGTGCTAATCGTTTGGGCGCCAACTCGCTTCTGGACATCGTCGTTTTCGGGCGGGCTTGCGCACATCACATCAAAGAAACGTTAACGCCTGGAACACCCCACAAGGCTATTCCCGAGGAGGCAGGCATTGAGAGTATTGAATATCTGGACAAGATTAGGTAAAGAATGTTCTCTTGGTGTTTGCTTATTGAATCTTGAATCTGGTCACAGGAACTCGGATGGACCTGTACCAACTGCCAAAATTCGTCTTGATCTCCAAAAGGCCATGCAGACTGATGCGGCTGTGTTCCGGTTGGTCTGCTTACATATTTGTAATGCGGCGCTATGTTAAATGACTTGCAGAACTCAGGAATCACTGGACGAAGGCGTTAAGAAAGTCAGTGAGATTTACAAAACCTTTAGCCAAGTCGGAATCAAAGACAGGAGCATGATCTGGAACTCGTACGTCACTCGCCATCTATACCTCATGTATATATTGAACTCCTTCCAGAGATCTAGTTGAGACTCTTGAGCTACGGAACATCCTTCAATGTGCAATCCAGACCATCACTTCTGCAGCAGCTCGAAAGGAATCGCGCGGTGCTCATGCCCGCGAAGATTACCCTGATGTACGTGTTCTTTCCACCTTGTTGATGAAGATGTCCGACATGATTTCCTTTAGCGTGATGACGAGAAGTGGATGAAGCACACCTTGTCATTCCAGCGTGACGTGGACAAACCAGATGTCGAACTGACATACCGACGCGTCATTGACACCACGCTAGACGAAAATGAATGCAAGCCTGTACCACCATTCAAGCGAGTGTATTAGGAACTTTTTTTTACTTTGCTATGGCTCGTTGACTCTGCAATTGCATGACTGCCTTTCGGATATATTTTATTGACATTGAAAGCAATACAAGTCGTAAAACAAAAAAAGAAGCCAGAAAATTATGTCAAAGGCCCATCAAGATCAAGTCGGTTGAACTGTGCTTCAGGGAAGTATCGAGCACGAACGGATCGGCCACCGAAATACCGCCCATCCATCTCGCGTACAGTCTTCCATGCTCCTGCAGGACCAGCAAATAAAACGAAAATGCGTACTGCATCTGCTGGATTAGGAGGGGACGGGTTCACGAGATGGACCAATACCCGTTCTACTGTCCCATTCTTGGAACATTCGTCGCCTGCATTTATTAGTCACCGCCACGCTCGGCATTCCAGACAGACTCACCAATTTCTTCTCTTAGATCACCGTCATCGACATCCTCAGGACTAACCATATTCGTGAGCACCATCACCCTGCTCGGTAATCCAAACCGTTCCCTGTCTTCTCTCGTTTTGGCATCTTCATTGTCGTTGATAATTCGACCCCGATTGGACGCCGCGGCAACGCCCTTTGCACCTTTGTTTTTCATCTGCTCCACAGCTAATGCATTCACGATTCCAGAGCCGTCTGCGCCCAAACCTTGTCCCTCCTTGTGACCCCACTTGGCCATCAGTCGCGCGGCAAACCCGTGAGGGTCAGGTCTAGAAATCCAATTCATTCAGTAAAACTGTATCCCTGTGAAAAAATAGATACGGCTTGCCGCTTTGATGACCCTGCTGATTCTTCAGGGGGTGTAGATGGTGTTGGTGTAGCACTAGCTAAAGCACCTAAGCGCGCAGCGATCGCTGCAGCAGCTTTGACCTTTTCGTCTATCGAAGCTTGAAGTGCTGCTGCCGGGGGACCTGGAGGTGGTGGTGGAACAGACGGTGGGGCGAAAGGATTGTACGCTAGTTGAGGTGGTGAAGGAGGACGTGGCGCTGGTACTGGCACTGGCGGACGACTACTCATTGCCAGGCGTCGGAGATACGCCTCATCACCTGTTTCAGTCACAGGAGGAGGTGCGGGGGCAACAGGAACTGGAATGTCGTCATTCCGAGATGGTGAAGGCGCTCGAGGTGGCTGAGGTCTCGACAAGGCGAGTCGGCGCTGGTATGCTTCATCGCCTGTCGTGTTCTTATCGACGAGAGCCACTGGTGGGTCAGGACGCCCGATACCGTGTTTCTCATCATCGGCTCGGGACCAGTGGTCATAATGTTCCTCGTACCGACCTGTTGAACAGATCGAACCAAGTGCGCTTCTTGGGCAAGTGAACATACCAGTTTTACGTGGCCGCTCATCTTCGGACGATCCGCCATCGCTGTCCGTATAATCGCTGCTCCGTCCTCGCTTACGGTGTTGCTCAGCTAAACGTACTCGCTTCTCAATTTTTTCCTTCTGCCTCCAGACTTTGAACTCGTTGTAGTCGTTTGGCTTTAGGAGATCATATGGCTCCATCGGATCCCAGACAGCTACGACTGGTTGGTTTTTATGCTGAGGGAAAGTGAGGATTGGAAAGAAAAAGTGAGTCTGAAACCGAGCACCTTTCTGCCTTTGCCTTTCCCACCCTTCTTCTTTTGTCCAGCGGCTCTGAAACCGTTGACATCTTCCTCCAAAACCATCGAAGGGGGCTTGACTTTCTTCCCCCATGCTCCCTGCGTCGGGGCGGGTTCTTGTACGGGCTCCGAAGGCTTGGGTGGCTCGACCAAAACCGGTGGGGCAAAGATAACCGCCGAAGACGAGACTGTTGCGGAATTGGCTGTTGCGAGAGCTGCGCCTGCTGGGAGCCTTGGCGCTGCTGGTTTCGATTTTTGCTGGTTTCGTCGTACAGGCGCGAATGCAAGGGCAGCGGACCACCCTTTATCATAAGAACAAGGGGAGCATTTCAATAAGAAGCTCTAAACAGTCAAGGGCGTAGTAGATAAAGAGTACCGGCTGTAGATTTTGCGCCTTCGGGCGCGACTGCAGGTGTTGCTTGTGGTATTGGTACGGCTACCGGCTGTGGCGTTGGTTCGTTATCCTTTTGTTCGACAGCAGAAGATGTAGAAGCTGGCTGAGAGGCAGAAGCTGGTACAGTGGTGCCAGACGAAAACTGGATACCGCCGTATAGACCGCCTGCTCTGCTCGACATGGTGGAGAAACAAGTTACAATATTTGTGATACAAATACAAAACTTTTGTATTTAATAATTATTATCGAAATTATTTATTCCTTCAGGGGCGTGAATCATACATTTACGCCTTCTCTGTCGTGCGACCGATGCTTTTCCAAGCGTCATCTAAGGTTAGCTTGTGAGTATGCAGAATGGATAAAACCACAATATGCACCATTCATGTTGGGGTCATCATTCAAAGGAGCAATATGTGTTGACTCTATGATCCCTGGGCGTGCTTCAATGACACCGGCTAGTTGCCTCATGGCACGGGCAGCTTGTCGGTCGCCCTTGAAGTGAGTATGATGCGCCTTTTTCATGGGATGAGAGACCTGCCAACACAATGAGCCACATTCAGCCAATACACAGAGAAAAAGACGGTACAAATTTGGTGTCCATTTTACTGGACATGTTCGATGAACCAGTTGGTTTTGCAACCGTAGGATGCTTGTCGACGCCTTTAGCGCCTAATGAAGAATCGGTTAAAGTCATTGTGAAAGTTAGCTGTGCCCAAAATTGTCTTGCGGAGGCCTCTATATAGGACCTCAGCGGAACATGACGCCTGGGCTGACGCACATATGACGCATCGATAGTCAGGCGACCGCAAAAGAAATAAATTAAAGGTGGTAATATGGTTTATCCGCGTTCGAGAAGTATCGTTCTCGAACGGTCTGGCTCAGTACATGGACAGCGAAGTCACCAGCATCTATCATGGCCCATTCGTTCAGCATTCTTCCCTTGAGATTTGGCGGTATGGGTAGCGGAGGTTTAACTTCAAGCAACTGCAAATAATTAGTTTGTAGAACAAGCCAAGCAGTACTGGCACCCACTGTTTTTCTTACGACACGAACAACCGATTCGATTGCACCTCTGTTCTCTGTTCCCTCCTTCACCTGGTTCCGTGGTCAATGTCGTATCGACCCTCAGAATCACGACTACTCACCTGAGCAATGACAATCCAACTCCAAAGACCATAAGGCATATCATACGCAGACTCGCCAGCATTTGTTCCTCCGCGTCTCCTCCGTCCTTGGGGTAACCGGTAAGGAAGAGGCGGCCCCGGAATGGGCAATTTGGGTCTCTCCACAGTCAAAAAGGATGAATCGAGATGAGGCAAAGGCGCAAGCTTTGAGTAGAGCTCTTTCACGGGCTCTGGAGCATCGGATGGGATGGGCGGAGCAGAACTAGACAACTGTGGCTTCGGCACAGATGCCTCTTGGTCGACGAACCACGGAATGCTTGACGATGACGGGCCATCACTGAAATGTCGAAACTGGCGCGAACAACGCGGTGTACAGTAGGCGAGTCGACGAAGAGTTTGCATGGTAGAGAAGGAAAAAGTTAATTGTTGATTATTTATTTTCTGATAATACCTGGGGTACGCCGAGAGACGACGTCATACAAAAAATTGAGTGCCGTTGAACTCGACGCCATTCATTGGTTCGTCGTTGGCTGACCTACTACCATATGTCTCTATGGCTTCCCCGCGCTTCGCCTGCCTTGCTCGCCCGTTCCTATAGCCATCTCCTGCGCATACATCCAGGCCCCGTCTTTCCCCGCATATATCTCCGTGTCGCCCCTTCTTCGCGTCGTCTACAGAGCACGAAATCGCCCGAACAACCACCACCGACCCCTTCAACGGTAAAGCCCAGTCCACCCGTCAAGGACACGCCCAAAGGCCCGCTACTACCCCGCGTATGGAAAAAAGTCAAGCATGAGGCTGCCCACTATTGGCACGGCTCCAAGCTTCTCGTCTCCGAGGTCCGTATTTCAGCGAGGCTGCAGTGGAAAATCCTGCATGGAGAGGTTTTGACGAGGCGTGAGCGGAGGCAGGTATGTTATCTGTCAATAATCTTATGAAGAGTAATTTTCTGACTTTGTGTGCTCCAGCTCAAACGTACAACCCAAGATCTCCTCCGGCTTGTACCGTTCGCTGTGTTCATTATCGTGCCGTTCATGGAACTGCTTCTCCCTGTCGCTCTCAAGCTCTTCCCCAACATGCTGCCCTCTACATTCGAGGACAAGTTTGCTGCTGTACGTAGCTTTTAAGCTGCACACCACTCTTTGACTAACAGACGATTCCAGCAAGAAAAGGAACGCAAGCTACTCCGTGTTAGACTCGAAATGGCCAAGTTCCTTCAGGAGACGTTGCGTGAATCGGGTTTGAAGGCCAATGCACATATTGTAGGCAGCGAAGCATTCAAAGAATTTTTCCGCAAGGTGCGAAATCCAATGGACTTGTGGCGTAACTGTGCTCAATTCTTTTAGGTTCGGTCCACTGGCGAGTCACCATCTGCCACAGATATCATCAACGTAGCCAAACTGTTTGACGACGACCTCACCCTCGACAATCTTTCTCGTCCTCAACTCGTCTCGATGTGTCGGTACATGGGTTTGAACGCGTTTGGAACGGACAACTTCCTTCGAGGCGCTATTCGATCACGGCTTTTGCATATCCGTCGTGATGACCAGCTTATTGAATCGGAAGGCGTCGATGAACTCTCCACCGCAGAGCTTCAGGCAGCCTGCCAATCGCGCGGTATCCGTACTTCGGGCGTTTCTCCTGCAAGATTACGTGAAGAACTTACGACCTGGATCAATTTGCATCTGCACAACAGAGTTTCCGGTGTTCTCCTCGTTCTGGGAAGGGCTTTCCATTTTGATAGAAAGGCTGGTGAGAACGAGGATGGAAAGACGAATGTTATCAAGAGTTTGGAGAGCGTCTTAAGTGGTCTACCCGATAACCTGGTATGTTTACCATCACATCTACTCGAATTTTGTGCTTACGGGGGTCTACAGTTGAACGAAGCCGAGCTGGAGGTTGATTCTGAAAAGGCTAGCTATAAACAGAAACTTGAAGTCCTGCAACAACAAGAGGAACTCATTGAGGACGAAGAAGAGCAAGAGCAAAAAGAGGAAGATGCGCGTCGTGCAAAGAGAGAAGCTGATGAACTTGAAGCGGAAACTGCCCGCGCACTTCTTCCTGATTCTGAAGTAAGTTGATCGTTGTATCCTGTGTGAAATAATATTAATCATGCTTAGCTTATGCCGGAAGGCATCGAGTCGGAGGATGCTCGTATGACCTCTGAACAATTAAAGGAACTTGCAGAAGCGCTGTCTGTCCTGTCGGCAAAATCCAGTGTTTTGAAGGAACGGGACGAACTGAGAGCACTGATGGAAGAAAATCTACTAGCCGAAGAAGATCCCAAGTCACCTTCTGGCGCACTGACAAAGCGTATACGGACTATGCTCACCAAGATTGATTCTCGGATGCAAGACTACGATTCGCGAGTAGGGAGCTCCTTACAGATGATCTCTGCCGATGCGCAAGGGCGAATTTCCGTGGCAGATCTCGAAAAGGCATTGGCCGTGATAAAGCACAAGCCTGACGACGAAGTTGGCCAAGCCGTGATCCAGAAGCTCGACGTGGACAAGGATGGGTTTGTGGAGTTGGAGCATGTACTTGGGCTGGTGAGGGAAGAGGGCCTAGGTATTGTAGTGGACGACGAGGCACAGACACTGATTGGAGAGCTCAAAAATTCAAAGCCGCGGAAGGAGGATATTGTGCAGGAAGCTTAGAGGCGGAATTTAGACTGGTTATACTTATGTATTCAAGTAATACTGCTGTAGTATCCTATAATGGTCAAGCCTAGACGCGACGTGTGAGAAGCAGAAACAAGGCACAAACAAACATTCGGGGTAACGAGTTCTAGGAAGGACGGAATGATAGCAGATATCCACCGTATATTATAGTGATGAGAGCACTCCAATAATACATCCAAAGTCGTGCCATAAAATTTTAAAAAGATGATTGTTCGTTAATTGGGAACTGGGATGGGTGTTTTTGCACGAGAGCGTGTTCCTTCTGTGTCACTTTCTGCGGCAACCTCTGTGTCGACATCGTATGTCTCTGCCCAGAATCTGCCTGCTTGGAGGGCAAGGACACCGGTGAGGGCGACGCTGCAGATGAGGTTGCTCGACGCCAGGTCGAGGGTAGCGCCGCGGAGGAAGACAGGGAAGGCGTCGGTGAGTTCGTGGGAAGGCAGGGAGGTGAAGCTAGAATATACGACTGGCAGGGAGGGTTACTATGAGTTGGGAGCGAGCAATGAGAAGGCGCTACCTGGTATCACAGAGTATAGGTACATGGCTATCGTGGTGCCAAACAAAACTACAAGCACTAGTCAGAGTATTCCAACGCGAGCTGGAGGCACTGGCGCTCACATATACTCCCGCCGTCGAACATAAGATTTCCGGCCTCGCCGTCTCTGAGGCTGAGGAGGATAGTGACTGCACCGGTGAGAACGGTGAGAGCCATGGCGTAGTACATCTCAACGGGCGCCTTTGTGAGAATAGAGTAATAGGCTGCAGCGATCCATAGGTTTTCGTCAGTGACTGGGGATTTCCAGAGGGTGAGGGCGTCGGCAATCCAGTGAGTGAAGAGCTGGCCTGGATGGGGGGTTGGATACTGGTAATTTACAGGCATATACTAGACGCACCGAGAAGAAAACTGGTCACACAGACAACGATACTCGCCCGTAACCCCATCGCTGCTTCAGTTAACCCAGAGGTTCAAATTTACATGTGATTTCTATAAATTCACTTTACTATTTTCAATTAATTACTAATTATGGTAATATCGCGGGAACAAAATCTCGAGGAAACACTTGTCGAACATTTATGTTGATCCGCGTCGTACTCATGTAGCTCGCATATCGTGCCCAATCCTCATCTCCAGAATCAGAGAGATGTGGTGGGAGTGTGTCATCTAGTATACGTGGGACGCCTGTCGGTGGTCAGTATACTTGTTGGCGCTGGATAGGTCCAAGTTTTACCGTGGTATGCCCTTCGACAGGCAGGACCAGACATGATAGCGATATCTCCAGATCGGAGAAGAATCGGTACAGGTTCAGTGTCCCGTGTTAGTCCTCCAATCAGGAAGACAGCTGCGTTACCAAGACTAGGGAAAGGCAACTTAGACGTGCTAAGCAGGGTGGAATTCAGGACGTACGATATGGACACTAGTGGAGCAGTAGCGCATACTTCAGACCGGTCGACATGGGCCATCAAGGTATCCTGAAAGAGAGTTGGTCAAGGACTTGACTATGAAGGAGATCAGTACCCACTTTGGTCTGATAGAAATTCACAATGCCAGCGTCTGGCTCTGCTGGACATGAGCGTCATTGAGCAAAATCATAACTCAGTCACACACCATAACTCTCGTTCCACGACTTCCAAGAAAGCTGTTCATCACCCCACTCTAGCTCATCCGAAGCATTATATATTTCGTCCCAGTCAATTATTCGTACAGCCTCTTTACAGACATCGCTCAAAACATCGTCAACAGGTTCCTTACCCTTTGCAAAGTCATATTGCTTCGTTCCCCAGTGGTAGAACCACCCAATATTTGCCCATCGTAGTTTGCGCAGAAGATGGGAACATGGAAGCGGCTGGGCAGTCACTGATGGAGTTGGAGGAGGTTTGGGTGTTTCTACCATGGTTTTAAAGTTGTCAGTGCTTGCTGGGGTATTGTTTATCAGCTGTCGGGGCCCAGTGGACTCGTAAGGCGCAGATGAAGGGCCCGCGGGTCGTGGTTGCACTACCACATCTTCGTGTACATTCCAAAGGCCCTCTTCCGGGAGAAAGTAGTGAGTATCCAGATTCGTCGGATTGGGATGTCGCGCCTGAGTAGATAGCGACCAACGAATGAGATCTTGTTGCTTCTTGTGCGACAGAAAAGACGGAAGAATGACAAGACCTGCAAAGGCATTAGCACTCGACAGCACTTTGAACGTGCACTGACCAGGTATCGATGGTATCGCATATGCCGTTCTCGCGTCCTTGAGCTTGATTTCTCTAAATTCGACGGCTTCCGAGCGTCCGACCCAAACCCCAGCCTCGATTTCCTTTGATCTTGCTTCGTCTAAAGTAGCTAGGTCCAAGACATTGGCGAGGCTGGGAGGGGGAAACCGCGCCTTGTACATCTTCTCAGCAGCCCTAAATGGTGTCCAGTCTGCATCAACTGCATTGTTTCGATTCTTTGTTGTCTTTTGGTGCTGGCGTTGCGCCTTTTTGTACGCTGCGCTAGAGGTATCATGAAGGGAAGGCATCAGTGACCGGCATCTCCCGGCAGCGCCTGAACCTTAAACTGTACAGTTCTGCTCTTTTCCCACGCACTTTCCTCCTACAGCACCTTTTCGCTCTCGGTATCATCTTTCACAAGTCGAAATGGAAAACGACCAGGTAGGGTTTCTGGTAATTCTCGCATGCGTGTTGGTACTGAATCCATGTGAAAAGGGTGCTCTCGTTGATCTCTACGTTCCCCGCAAATGCGCGGCTACCAGTGCGCTTTTTCTGGCTTTGACTTTCTTTCCACTGGGGACTCATTTATCGCTAGACCGTCTCATCACCTCCAAGGATCATGCATCCGTTCAAATCAACATTGCCGATGTTGATGCCAATGGTCGCGCCTTGAGCACATCTACGACGTTCGCCTTGTGCGGACAGGTGCGGTCGCAGGGAGAGAGCGACGACTCTTTGAATAGGCTGGCGACTCAAGCAGGCCGTAAGTTTTACCTTTTCAATGGATATATCTTGACCTCATTGTCCGCCATAGTGCTCAAAAACGTCTGGACTTACCAAAAGTGATTCATCGTCGTTCTGTATACTTGAGATTCCTTGTCTGTTATCTACCACGTCGAATCACATACATAACAGCATTTTCCTTGTGTGATTATAAGCCTTAATTTTTGGGTTTTATTTTTGCAATTATCAGCCACGTGGCCGGTGGCGATGACGTACCCCATTTTGGTTACTGCGCTGCTGTGCAGTTGAGTGATGTACCCCATCCCTCCCGATGGGCGAAGACATTTCTTCCTCTTTTGAGAGTACCATTTCTGCTTTTTCTACTAGTTCAGTGCGTTGCATCCGTTTTCATCAGCGCATTTGTGCATCTGAGCTCTATATTACTTCAGTCGGATTCTATGGTGGAGATCAAGCACACTGATTCTGTTCTCGGATCTTCTTCCAGAGTCCAGCCCTTGGAGGAGGATAGGTACCGCTTGGTGTACTCCAAGAGCAAGGTGTATGTCAACCCGACAGCATATGCGAGAGATAACATTCCTGGCTTTGTGGCCCTTGTGAAACGAGTACGTGGAACTGAATCAAGGTCGACTAGCACTCAACTGTGGCAGGAGGCCGTTAACCCGACATATCTTCTCGCCTGGATTCCGGAGACGCTGTTGAATGAAAAGGGGACCGACGAGTGGGACAAGTTCGTCAAGATTGAGGAGAAGGCCCTAATTGACGACGAAGATGACGGTGAGCTCCACTGTTGTGCCTGTGTTCGGTTCTGACTCGATGGGTCGTAGATGTCGTCCTCATCGACCTCCCAACACAGCGACCCGAGTCCTATGCATTCTCTGTCCCCTTGACCTCAATATATTCCTTGGTCCTCTATCCACCATCCTTCTCATCGTGGCGTACGTCGTTAATTCTATTCTTCAATGTTAACCTGAACTCGTCTAGATGGGTCCATCGGAATCAACCTCATCAACGGCGACACACTTCCTACGTTGTATTTTCATGACGACGAATCACGTTCTTTCACCATGCCAGCGCCTCAAACACAGAGGAAGCGAAACAGTGTCACATCCTATCCACCTGCACCATCGCCTTCCGTAGCACTGAATTCACCTAAACCCAATTCATGGGGTGGCGAGGACCTCCTGACCCGGCTACGTTCATATGCACATGTTTTGCGATCTACCCTGCAACCTTCACTATTCCTCATCGACCCTTCCCGAGCAGACATTGAAGCACATTCTACCCAAGTATTTGACGACGATGCTGTAGATGACATTCTCGCTCAGTCTTCATACGCCAATTCTCATTCTCCTGTTCCAGCTCACCGGCGACCGCGACCACTCTCGACTTCATCGCCGAATCCCTACTCGAACCGCTCCTCTGTTCTTCACCGTTCTCTGGCTCCTCCAGCCACGAATACGAACGGACAGTCAACCTCCCAAGCCCGTGTTGCACTCCTTCAGTCTTTCTCCAATATCACCCGAGCTACACGCCATGCTGCACAGAATATTCTGTCTCATCCTCTTGCAAAGCCCATCGTACCCCATCTACCCGACCCTGTCAAGAGTCTCGTAAACGCGAACGGAGAATGGGAATGGGGTAGCTGGGTTGAGAAAGGGGGTGTGGGCGAATTCGAGAGTGCCAGGGTCTATTTAGCGCGTTGGGCTAGGATCGTTGCAGAAGAAGGCGAGCGTGCTCGACGGCGCGAGGCAGATGCGCTCCCATCGTCTTCTAACTTAGCCGAAGAATCATCCTCGTTAGGCATTTTTGAGCTGCTCCATTCAACGTCGAATCTGCCAACACCCAAGACGTCGCGGAATCCTAATCATCCTGTCAACGAGCTTATGTGGTCCCAATGGTTTGCCGAGGATGGCAGGCCGACCGTTCGTATCGAACATATGAGACGAGAAATATTCCGGCGAGGCATATCAGCTCGTGGGACGCTAAGACAGCGAATATGGCCCTTCCTATTGGGTGTTTTTGATTGGGACGTGACGTCCGAAGAACGAACCAAGAACTGGGAAGCGAAGAGGTGAGCTCTTTGCAGTGTTCTGTCAATTTTCCTCTTACCAGTGTTTTAGGAAGCAGTATCAGAATATCAAGGACGAGTGGTGTGGTGTTCCGGAAGTGTTCGACAGACCAGACGTTCTGGAGGTGCTTTTTCCGGACTTTATGCCTATGGCATTGAATGCTCAAAGTCATTTCCAGGAACGCCATAGGATCGACGTGGACTGTCGACGCACTGACCGGAGTCAGCCATTGTTCTCAACACCACCGACCACATCATCATCTACGCCAACTCCAGGCGAAGACGATGAGAAGGAGAGGGCAAGGCGGTATTCCACAATCTCACCTAATATGAATGACATCGGGGCGCAGTCACCCAGCAATGAACACATAGACCGGCTGGCCGCCATTCTCCTTACGTACAATTTTTATGAAAAGGAACTCGGTATGTTTAATTTTCGTTACGCAAAGGTACCATCATGCTCACCCGGGCGCTTTTTATAGGGTACGTGCAAGGAATGTCCGACCTTTGTGCGCCGGTATATGTAGTCATGGATGCTGATGAAGAGTTAACGTTCTGGTGCTTTGTTGAATTCATGCAGCGGATGGTAACGACATATTTTTTCCCATTATATGCCACCGGTCTAAGTCTCATGGGGATGTAGAAACAGAACTTCCTCCGCGATCAGAGCGGCATGAAGAAGCAACTCTTGACTTTGCAGCAGCTCATTGGCATGATGGATCCAGAACTTTATCGTCATCTCGGTGCGTTTAGCTGGGTCGGGTTCTAGCGAAAAACTACTAAGACCGTTTCAGAAAAAACCGATGGCTTGAATCTATTTTTCTGTTTTCGGTATGGGAAGACCGTTTATATGTGTCAAGGTTCTGGCTCATGTCGTTTTGCCTAGCTGGGTTCTCATCGCATTCAAGAGGGAGTTCCCCTTTGATGACGTGCTGCGCTTGTGGGAAGTCTTGTGGACCGACTATTATAGCAATGACTTCGTTCTATTCGTGGCTTTGGCCGTCTTGGAGTCTCACAGAGACATGATTTTGCGGTATCTGGTAGAGGTGTGTGATCTCGCAATTATCCTGCGGTCGCGGCTGACCCCTTTCCTCTTCTAGTTTGATGAAATTCTCAAGGTAACTACTACAACAAAGATCTCATCTGCTGAATGCTTATATCGCATCTTTAGTACTGCAATGAGCTAAGCATGACCATCGAACTAGACACGACACTGGCACAAGCCGAAGTGCTCTTCCTATCTTTTGCGCAGCTTGTGGCAGACATAGACAGGCGGCAAGCAGAGGAGGCGTATTCCTCCCCGAATCAAACCGGTCTTCGGAATCGTGGGTCGAATGAGGTGCAGGTTGCAAATCTGCCGGAATTATCAAGCAATTTGAGAGAACTACTACAGGCGGGACGGGCATAGAACATTCTCATGACTGCGCCTTGAAGTGAATAACCAGGCGCGCTCCCTCTTTTTCTAAAGTATCGTGCTAGATGGATGGATGGATGTTTGATTACCTGACGTTGCTCAACAGGAGCGTGCCGGGGTCTGTACTACAGCTTCCTGCATGTATATATAACACTAGCTAATTGATGTACACTAAAACACAAGAAATAACGCTGCTACGGTACCGAACCAGTCCCATTGTAAAGCCCCTTCATGAGTAACTCCGTCATGGCCTCGGCAGTAGGCTGATGTTTTCCTCGATAATATTCTTTCAGTGCTGTGCAGAAGCATTCCAGTCATTTGCAGTGCGAATGCTGTACTGAGCAACAAGTGGGGGCCTCGTATCGCGGCAGTCTTTCGAATCCCACCCCTCATCATCGTAGCGCAGTAGCTTTTTGACGGAAAAGAACGAGAGGCAATCATAGCGTGAAGGCCTTTCGACGGAACAGAACATGGAGGGTATCATAGCGCGAGATCCTTTCGACACCGATTCATTTTGTGAAATATCATCTCAGACATCTCTCCCAGTTTCTCGGGTTCTTCAGCGAGTCAAAATAATCACATGTGTAGAAACAATTTTTTGTAACTGACTGTAAAGGTTATTGAATGAGTTTTCCGTCGTGCCAGTACTAGTTGAGTGCGAACCTTTTTATTCACTGAATGACCGTGTGTATATAGGTAACTACTTAGCCCACCGCCTGTTGATTGTAGTGAATTCAGTGTTCCAGCAGTCGCTTAACTTGCTTGTCATAAGTATACCAACTAACCGCTAATCAGTCCTTCGGTAGTTACTATCTAGATCCTCCTCGAAGTTCGAAGGTGTTTTATTAATCACATGACTGCTACTTGATCTGGATGACGTCATGCTAATAGACAGGTATATAGGAGTCTTCTTATATTCATGTGAATAACTCGATACCTGTACTGAATCTATTATAAAATCCAACTGAGTCGGGAAAATAGAAAGTCTTATAACTTCCCATTCCTATCTCAATGCCTGAAAAGCGGGCGCATTCGCCGGAAATCGATGGAGAGACGCGTTCGACGCACCGTAGATTGGAAAAACCTTTATTAGCCCCAACGGTTTTTGAGGAATTTAAATGGACCTGCGCTGCTTTCCGAGTGAAAACCGACCCCAACATCTACCCAAATACCTTCCCTGCCCTCGAACCCAATCCATACGACAAGCACCTTGCCAAACCACTACAACTCTTAAAACTTACTCTTGACTTTGACAAAATCGAGGAGTTTAACAAGCTCTGCTTTCGCTCCCAGCATTGGCGCTCCGTACCCAGCGATGCGGTACAATGTCTTCATGGATCAGTCGGTTACGTAGTAGACACCAAGCCCACGAACGAAAATGCCGTTTCCTGCTCTGCTCAGCGCATAATTGGTGATTGTCTTCATCTCGCAAACCTGCTACTTCACGGTGGTAGTAAGACTGCGTACGTGGCAGCAGTACCAGAAAGTACGTTCTCCATCCGCACCATCGAGACGGGTGCCGAGAGACAACAACGAGACCATCTTCGTTGGTCAGCCGAGAAATCGTTCTATCTTGTCGCTGTCCAGTCAGAAGGAGACACCCGCGGCTGGAATTGCTGTATCACATCTTAAAGGTGATGTGAGTAGCCTTCTCACAGCGTCTTTGGTTTCCGCTGATCAGTCGAGCACAGGAAAATGTCGGGGCGTTTATGTCATGTGAGTTCAAGGACTCCGCGACGCTTCGACCCCCGGGTTATACTCAGTCTTCCTCTAATCGTTCGCGCTCAGGATGGAAGACCCGCAGTTAGATCTCCCTTGGCCGAAACCAGAGTGCAATGGCTGCGGACAGTTCAAGGACTGCCACGAAGCTTGGAATCTACTACTGCAAAGTGGGGTGTCGGCGCCGCGAGATTCAACACGCTCCAAGTTACCACCAAGCCCAGACGTGAAGGATATCGACGAGTTCCTTCTGATTTGGCGTGATCTCATCAAGGAATGGGATCTAGTCATGGGCGCCAACCGCAGTCCGAAGGAGGACTCCGGTTGAGGCTGATAGGCTTCCTTGTTGGAAGGCATTTACAATGCTGTCGGTCAAGCTTACGACAACGCTTTTGGCAGCTCAGAGGAGGCTGAACTCGTGGATGAGAAAAGTGAAGTCTTGGGGTGGTTGGAGAGCGCGTGGCTTATGTTAGTCCAAGTGAGTATCTCATTGTTATCGGCATGTACCAATTTCTGAGCCTGTGTCATAGACTTGGGCCCAAGGAGTGCGCGAAGACACAAGTACATGTGTTCCTAAGTAGCTTGATGGTTTCCAAGTACTTCTTACGCGTCAGAGGCGCGCAAACAGCAGTCCTGTGCGAGCCTAATGTCAGCCAAACGAACATTCCTTCTTTGATTGGTGCTGCCATGCACGGATACAAAGATGCGTTGGATCGCCAAAGTTTTAGAAGATGTGTCGACCCTTTCCAGAGGCAGACCGAGGTGGAAAGGAAACGGCGGAGCAAGTTGGACGAGAAAGGCAATGTCAAGCTGAAGATGATGATGACCGTAGTGGATCAAAGGGTACAAACGGCCGCAACAGCAGTTTTGCTAAAGATGTAAGAGTCTGTTTATTATATTCCAATCCATCCAACCGTTTGCTTACAGATTCGTTTACAAAACCTTCATCTTGGTTTCAATGCTTCGCATATGAACCTTCAAAGCCCTTCAATGTCGACGTTGACTAGAATTTCCTACGCAGACATGGTCAGCAGTAACATTACCTCTTCGGCTCCAACAACGTTCAATTGTTCGGGTGGTTTTTCAACAAATGGTTCTCAAGTGAGCGGAATAGGTCTTTCCATGTCGCCCGCTTCACCGTCAAAGTCTGCCTTGAATCCAGCGGCCATTCCGGTTTCGGCGCGACACACCAAGGGTGGCGTCATCTTGTCTGATTGTATTGCCTCTGGTGCATTGGGTACGGTTTGGAGTGGTATCTTGATCGTGGAGGATGTTCCGCAGACACATCACGCCATCGTCGCGAAAATAACCACAACAAAGGAAAAGAACGAGGAATTGTATCAGGAGGCCATGTTCTACGAAGGTATGGCGCACTTGGACCTGCCGGTTGCACGCTACTATGGCCTATTCGAGGATTGTGACGGTATGACGGTTCTGCTGTTGGAGGATGCTGGCGTGCAAGTGGATGAGTTCAATGATATAAGCGATGGTATGAAGTATGTGATCCTCACTTGGTGGTAGAAAAAAAGACTGATTAGTTCCAGGACGAAAATTTACGACGCATTTTGTCGTCTTCATGATGCGGGAATATCTCATAACGACGTGGAACCCAGAAACATCCTGTTGACGCCATCAGGAGAGGTCAAAGTCGTTGATTTCCACGTAGCTTCTGAACATAAATGTCTAGAAGATGGATGTGACTATTACAAACGACTAAGTCGATACTTGAACTTTGAGTTAGTGTAGAGGTCGTAATAATTATAGAAAGCCCTCGGAATTTGAGAATTTCAAAGACAATGAAGCCGTGACCTTTGAACAAGCTTCATTTTCGACCACGATGGCAAACTTGACCATTCTACGCAGCTATGCAACCAAATTGCCAAGCAGCCTCCCACCCTCAGTTCTCTTCAGTCACTCTGACACAACACTCACCATTTACGACGCCTTTCCAAAATCCATCTTCCACTTTCTCATCCTCCCACGCGTCCAGACCGATTCGCCACTAGACCTCTCTAGCCTGAAATCGCTCCTCAAATGCGACAAAACGCGTGCCAAAGAGGTTGTGGAGGATTTAAGCGAGGCAGCGTCGGTGTTGCGAAAGGACATCGAAGAAGAGATGGTCAAGCGGTATGGTTTCAAGTGGGGGATATGGACCGGGTTTCATGCCGCGCCTTCGATGGAGTGAGTGCTTCAGCCCGAGTCTACTTTTAATTCTTCACCAACTTCAATTCGGCGCGTACAGACATCTCCATCTCCATGTTCTCTCTGCAGACCTCTGTTCAACAAGGATGAAAAATAAGAAACACTACAACACATTTCATCCCAAACTTGGGTTTTTCTTGGATATTGACGAGGTCCTCTCTTGGTTTGACGCGGAGCCATCTTATTTTTCTTCAGTGCGTACACTTTTCATGCCAGCCGCTTCAATTTACTAAACGCATGTACTAGATGGCCAAACTGGATCCTAAGAAATACGAACCTCTTTTGAAAGAACCCCTAGAATGCTGGCGCTGTGGAAGTGAGATGAAGAACATACCCACCCTGAAAGCACATCTCCAAGAAGAATGGGACAAACAGGCGACCCAAGAAAAAGCCAAACTAGAGAGGAAACGCAAATTTGAGGCCAGGCAACATAAAACCGACGGTGATGAACACCAGGATAAGAAATTGAAACCAGAAAATGACGATGTCCATACTCCGTGATGAGTCTACTAAAACACGATATTGTACAAAGAAATGCCTATAAGCTTCTAGCGTCTGACAAAACTTGGCCTACAGTTTGCAATCATAAGCTCTACTTGGCAGCAGCAGCAGCGCTCGCCTTCAGTTTCTCAGCTCGGGACTTCTCACTGGCACGACGAATAGCCCAGGTCAACTCATAAGTCCTGACCGCATCTAGAAGGCAAAATGTCAGAACGCTCGTGCTCATAATTGACCACACTGCACTGACCATCGTACGAGCTCAATATCTGTGCCGCATCTGGATCCTCCTCGATATCCTCGATGATATCAATCAAGTTGGATACTTCGGAGAAGAAGGGATCGTCATCGGGGAAATTAATCGTTTGTTCGTGGTCGTCTCCAGGCCTACGTACGTAAAGTACAGGTTGTACATATGGGTTAACAAGCCTAGGTTAAAGAGTATCGTCAGATATTGGCGCCCAGAACAGGTAGGTATCAACTTACTTCAGAGAGTATCCATCAGCGTACACTTCCAGCTCACAGCTGTAGTTTGTACCCTGCAACGCCGCAATGTGAGTGAAACTACCAACAGCTCCGCTGTCATACTTCCTGCGATATAAATATCCGTGTGAGCAATGTGTTCATCATTCATGTACCCCAGGGCTCTTACCATGTAGCGGCGGTGACACGAGGGATTCTATTTTCAGGAGCAATCTTACTCTCATCCACCTTCATCGCAGACAGGTGACCTGCATTCTCGTCCCACTCCAACGAGTGAGCAGAAACAGTCGAGATGTCAACTTCGCCTCCAAAGTAACGCGAAAGATCACAAAAATGAGTCCCTTGTTCTACGATTGGTCCTGCGCTAATGAACCCCATATATTAATTCAAAAGGGAAATGGGGTGAACTTGCGCCAACTCACCTCTTGGACTTGTCCCACCAATCTGGCTTGGCAATGGCCTCGTATGCACAGGCGTAACGAGCGATGGTAGCCATGACCGTGAGGTTGTTGTCTTCGATGATCTGTTTCATCATCTGGACCGCCTTGAGGTATCGCAACATGTAACTGGGACCGCGTAAGTTTGATTGCAAAGTTCTGCAAGCACCCGTACCCAACGGAGCAAATAGTTTTGCTGTCACTGATAGTCTTCGCGATGGTAAATGCATCCTCGATTTCCGCCTCAGGGCCAGTCGCGATGGGTTTCTCAATGAACATAGCAACGCCAGGGAAGTACTTGAGTATCTGCATCTCGATATCGCGACCAGGCTTCAAGGTCCCACGGAACATGGGGGGACTTCCGACAATGACGGCGCGGGGCCTGTCCTTGGGCGCCATGTTCTTGACAAAGTCCTCGAGAGTCTTGAAGACACGAGTGCCCTGGTATGCAGACACGACGAAGGAGTCACATTTCTTCTGAAGAACAGCAGTCGCACGTTCAATGGCGGGATCGATAAGGGCTACGACCTTGAGGCGGGGACCAAGTTTACTGTCAAACGGAACGTGTTGATAAGGGCTGCACGGTGGGTTGGGACGTACTGTTCAAAACGGAAGGAGTGGTTCCAGGGACCCTCGTCAGAGCCTACATCGAGATAAGAATCAGATAAAAGGGTTTCCATGCCACGAGCACCAGCAACCCACCGAACATGATGTTACCAGCTCCAATGAAGAGAACGTTGAAGTCATCAGACCCCCCGACGTGAATCGCCCTGTTAATTTATGAATAAGAGACAATAAGGGATAATTAGACGCGAAAAATAACTATACGGACTTGTCCATGGGAATGAGCCTCAATGGATCAATGGAGGGGCGGCGAGAGCCAGCAGAGTAGTTAGAGCCTCTGCGCTCTGAGCCACGTCGCTCTGAGCCTCGACGGGCGACAGTAGGAGAATGAAGAGGGGAAGAAGGCATTGCGAAAGGAGACGATGGTGGTTGAGTGACAAGAGGGATTAAATTTGACAGAAGTAAGGCGAGGCAGAAACTGGGGTGCCCAGGTCACGTGAATGACATCATAGCAGAAATTAAGAAATTAATTACTGCCGGTGTTAATGTTAAATAACAGTTCGAGGTATCTAGTATTTCGATTCGTGCCAATTTCCGTATGTTATTGTACAAATAACGACCAAGTATGTATGAGTCCTTTTCTTTCTTAGGTAGATGACGGCTCAAGAATGTGTTGTTGCTTGTTCCTCTTCTGTGCCAGCTGCGCTCGCTTCCTCTCTGCCGCCTCCAGTCGGTCAGTCATCGCCTTCAGTTCTGCTTTCAACTTCTCGTTCTCCTCCGCCAACTTTTGCACGTTCGACGCTCGCTTCTTCACTTTCTCCTGGTCAACATCAGGGCTATACACCGCCAACCATCAGTATCGGACCCATCGCCACAAAGTACAGAAAGCAGCTCACTCGCTGGACCCACTGATGATGCTTGATAGGTCAAAGTCCAGGTTCGATGACATTGGGATTTCGGGAAGGAGAGGGGAAGCAGTGAGGGCTTCAGATTCGGTATCTGTGCCCAAGTGAATCGATGCTGCATCCTTTTCTGGCACACTATATGCTGTCTGATAGGTTGTTGTTGCTGCCATCTCTCGACTACTGAAGCATAAGATATATCAGCCTGAGATGCTCTCCATGATGAGCAACGAGAGGGGTACCGACGTGGGCAGATCGTCTCGAGAATCAAAACGGGAGCTCATTGCGAGAGGCAAGCAGTCGAGAAAGGTGAGGACGGGTTGACAGCACTGAAGCTGGGTGTTGGTAGTAAAGGCCAGTTGGAGAGCTTCATGGGTGTCATTGGTAACGCGTCACGCGTTCGTCACTGATCACTGATCGTCTGATCGCAAGTTGTCGACTGTCTCGTTCATGACATTTCCCTTCCGTCCTTTTCGATGCTAAATGCGCTGAACACCGGACACTTGATAATTTTTTTCTCCACTGCCTTCTTTCTCATCGCATCTTATGTTGTGCTCTTCAGTGCATTCCTCCCCTTAACGGGTATCCATGTAATACATAATCACGCCTCAACGTTACGTGTCTGATATTTTCCCCAGGTAATCGACGTCCTGGCCCTCGACACGCATTACAAGTACTTTGTTGTCTTCCTGGTGCCGACAAGCGCCTATTTCGTGATTGCCAATTGGGTCGGTTGGCAGTACTATCGCAACACTTAAATGAAGTACGCGCAGTCAACTTGAAATGATGGTTATGTCTGATCAAAAAAAAAACTCTCATTTGCAGGCCATATCCCATAATGCATGCGAGAACAAAATATGATGCATGGTGCATATACATAGCGCATATATAAAAATAAATATGTCAAATAAATATTACTCATGGAGATCTGCTTCCAATAGAATGCTGGACAGAAGCCTTGGACTTTCTCCGAACATTTTGAAGCTCGAGCCACAGCCGACTGGGTCTCTCGCTGCCGATACCACCCACAGCGTTGGATGGTGCGGGCGGGAAAGCCGGGCTACGTCCACGGAAGCCGCTGGTCGAAGATTTAGTTGAGCGAGCGGGGCTCGGCTCGCGCGTTCTACTTGATATCCCGGAGCGAGCGGGACTCGTTTCTGATCGCGGTTTGGAAGGAAGTAGACTCCTTCGCACCCCAAATGGCCTTGGCGGGCTAGGTTCCCGATCCACGACAGAATCGAACGAGTGGCGTTCGACGCGGGAACACATTTCGAAATGGTTGTGAAGGTGTTCCTTCCGGACGTGACACCGTCGGTCGACGTGGGGTGCTGCTGGCCGTTGGCAATCGAAGCTGTCGTGCGCGTCTGCACAAATAAACATTAGACCCCAATCTGGAAAATGCTTGACTTCCGGTACTCACGCAACTGCTTTTCGGGCAAGTTTTGTACGATGCGCCTGAACCCAGTTGTCAAGAAATCTTTCTAAAAAGAGATGAGTACAGCGGAGATTTACTGAGTAAAGCGCACGTACTTAGTGTATTCTTCCTGTCCATCTCGCGGGCGTCCTTGGCACGCATGGCCCGAGGCATTTGACTAGCCCAAGTTTTCCAATACTTCGCCTTGATATGACTTGCGTGAAATCGAATGGCAGGCAATGACTATTTCTTGCATCAGGCCGAAAACTGAGGACAGCAAAAATGGCTTTCGCGTACCTTGGTCTTGGCTCTCCATGCATTGAGTGCATGACGTAGTGCATTTTGCTGAGTTCGAATGAGGAGTTCATATTCCTGCTTATTTGATTAGAAAAATGAACAGAACTCGGATGAAAGTGACACTCACAATCGGCCGAAGTTGGTCATCTTTAAATTTGTCTCTCCACTTCTCCCATGTCATTTGCATGGTGGCAAGCTTAACTTCATCTTCTCGCCGCTGTAAAAGAAGCCTTCTGTGGCGAGCTGCCCGGGCTGCAGCAAGCCATTGATGAAAAATGCGCCGAATATTATCTGTACCGATATCAGCGCCAGAGCTAACTAGAAGTGGATGAAATGAAGGTCACCTTCTCTTTTTACGTCTCGATAGACTTCCATGAGACTAAGCTCCTCGCCGTGACGGATATATATTCGCTTCCACTTATTAAATGCAGCCCTTTCCGTGCTGTCAGACCGACTTCTTTCATAAAGGAAAAGAGGGTGCTCACTGGAGGATGCCTACTTCATGTCGCTGAGTCACTTCAAGTTCCTGCAGCTTGACGGCGATGACATGGTTGGTCCACTGCGTTAACGCCGATCGAAGAATTCTCTGCGAAAAAGATAAGCCGATAGTAACATAATGAAGAACCAAAACAAACGTGTCGAACTCGAGTCTCAAAGAGAGTGCACTCCTTATGGCGCCTGGCATGCTCAGCCCAAACTGAAGAAAAGATATCAGAATCCCCGCAGTTGCTAACATCAGCCTCTCGTACCTATAAATAACTTCCGGAGTTTCTGGACTTTGAACGCTTGAAGCTGGCGTTCTCTTTGCTTGTCATGGTGCTTCACTTTCATAATATTCCAAGCACGCCGCATAACAAAGAATTTCTCCATGAGACGCGATTTTTTCATCATCTTGAGTTGCTCGTGCCATCGAATACGCCATATCAAAAGCATTCGGGAACAAAGATGAGACGAATCATATTGAACTGCGAACAGATGCGAGTTCTGATGGGTCGACAAAACCTGTCGCCATGTGTGGAAGGTTTTGCGAGCCGTAAGTGTTGACTGCGCATAGAATGAAGATGCAATCTCTGGAGCGATATTAGTTCCCATAGAAAGACCAAACTTTATAGACAAACCTTCCCGAGCACGTTGCTCCTGCAATTGCTGTTTCCATACTAACCAGGTACTTTTGATTAGTCGCACTGCCTTAACCCTCTCGAGCAAGCGCCCTCTTTCACGGGCTTTCCACACCCTTGTGATAGCGCGAAGAAGGACATCGTCCTGCCTAGCAAGATGCTTATCCGCACGGCTTTCCATGTGCTACATTAAAGTAGTCATAAGATGTTATGAAACGCAATAAACTTTTTTTAAGGCACATACATGTATAGATAATTGTGCGGCTTTCCATCGTCGCATGACTTTTTTCATCACAACGAGATTGCAGTATTCCTCCGCTGAATATAGGATCATTCCTAAAGAGAATAGATGGACGAATTAGATGCGTCTTAGGAGGTGATATAAACTCACATCTGTTTCTGCCAGATTTTCATGACTTGTTTTTTGACACTGTTGTCCAACTTGTCCCGCAATTATTCTCTCAGCCGCACACAACTGTGTCATCTGCCGCCAGTGAGACCAACACCTCTCGAAGGCATGCTCGGCTCTGGCATGCTGCACCTCATCGGCGACATCCTCTAGACCATCAAGTGCATATAACTTGCCTTTCCAACGCTGAAAGCAGCGGAGAGACAGTCTCTCGTTGTAGTGCTGATCGGAAAGATGCGACCTGTATGATTGACGCCATTTAGCCCAGGCATCTTTCCTCAGCCTTTCTTCTCGCTTAGTACGGACAATCTTCATCTTTGATCGCATTGAACTTCGCCAGTTCTCGTGCTGTTTGCCGACAAGACTGCGTCTCCAGCGGGAAAAAGCTCGTATCATCTGGTGTTTATCCGCTACCGCATCAGCGGTTTGACACGTTCGCCGGTAAGCTGCCAGACGACTGCTCCAACGTTGAAGAGTAAGACGCATAACAAGATTGTCGCGAGCGTCTTGGATTTGATCATTTGTAGTCTGCATAGATTAGCAGAGAGTTAAGATGTTTGACTGTGCTGGACTTACCATAATCCACTGGAAGCCTTGTTTCCAGACATCCCAGCACCGTTCGATGAGCCTAAGCCGGCGGAAAGTGTCCGCGTCCTGTTCATCGCGCAACATGTCAATCTTCTTCCATGGGTCATCTTCACTGATGACGCTAGCCTTAACGGGTAGAACTGCTGGCTTGCTGTACGGTACCGGTGTATCGCTTGTGGGTTTGGGCCTGGTTCGAGATAACGGGCTCTGATAATGTTGCCGGTGTATCAAATGATCATTACCAGCAGCGTTATATGCAGGGGGTGTAATCATGCTATCGCCGGCCATATCGGACTCTGAAGATCCGAAGAGGCTGAGGCGCTGGCGGCGTTGGCGAGGTGGTGGCATTAAGTGGGATGGTGGTGGAGAGGGAGGTGGCGGCATTTCTCCAAAGTCAAGACCGAGGGAATTGGCGGTGATGTCGGACGGTGGTGGAGACTGCCGCCGCCGAGCACGAGCCCGCATCAAGACCGGGTGATGGTAAACAGCATCTATCGCGTTTTCTTCTGCGGTTTCAGCTTGTTCGGATTCATCTTCGTGAGAATGCAACGTAAAGGAATCGTCGTCGCGTGGAGGAGGCTTGGAACGGACAATAGCACGTTCTGGCGGTGGTCGTTGGCGGGCAGGTTGACTACTGCCAGTGCGAGCCATCGTGGGCTTGCTTTTCTGAACATATCCTTGTTGCTCCTTAACCATTTCCCATTTGTCGGCCCAGCTTCCGCCCTTCAGGGTTCCCAGCTTCAAGAGCTTGCCGTAGTAGACGACCTCGTGAGGATCTAGCCCTCGCTCCTGTAGGATATCACTGTATGCCTTGAATACAGTGAGGAAGGTGGTCGCTGATGCGCCTGCACGGTCAATAATGGCGTCCAACAGATCAACATCGTCTTGAGATAGACCAGTGAGCTCGGGTACTGGAGGAGCAGAACGCGACGAGGCGAGAGACTGGGTGATAGACTGGGCGAGCTCAGCAACCTTGGAAGGAGGAGAAGATCTTGCAGGTCGAAAGGCCGACATGGCAGCGAGGCAAGGACATACGATAACAGGCGCCTTCGCTGGCACTGACGAAGTCGACAGCAAGTATGTAACAACAATTTCCCTCGTAAGGAATCCTTGTTTAGGGCAACGTGACATAAGCGTGACCGTAAGCGCGCCGTAAGGGCCGAAACCCGACGGCCATGCCCGATTCGATCAAGGTCCGCATGCAAGTTAAGATTTCAAGTCTCATTAGATTTCTCCATTAAGTAGCAATGGTGAGGGTCGGTAGTACTACAGTGTTGTACATGATACATGATGCGAGAAGAATCAGAAATATACGGGTAGTGCCGCAGATGCCTGGGACTCTGTCGGACAGTATGGACATTTCACCCGTCTATACGTGTAACAGAAGCTTGAGAAACGAAGCTAGGAATGCATAGACCCACTTACCCTCCGGGTTTACTCAGTTTCTGTAAGCTATCTCTAGCTATAACATGACCACATGCCATCATCATCGGTGGATTTGATTCGGTGGACTGTTCCTTAGAGACTGGGCATGTGAAGATTGAATGGTATCTGTTCTCTGAGGGAACGGGTATTTCAATCTATTTGAAAGTTAAAGGTACGCTGCGGTCAAAATAAGTATGATATACACATACCGGTAACTCATCCGCTTGGCTCCATTCACTCTTACGCTCCCGCATTACGCGTTTTCCCTTTTCTATCTTCGCCAGGGCGCCACCTCCACCGATTTCCGTTACAACATTAAGCGGTACCTGTTTACTCATCCCTAAACTGGCACAATACTCCTTAGCGAAGAGGGGTTCCAGGTCCCAGTGCAACGACGGCGATGCCAAATCAGCATATGGAGAGGTCTTTAGACGGGACAACGGCAGGAATGCGAGGCAAGCCATCAGGCGCTTGAATTCATCTTCGTGATGATCGTAAAACATTCGCATTGAAGAGTTTGCATATGCGAGCGCCGGACGTGGGTCTGGGGGATGTGAAGATAACAGAAGCCGAACATACTGGGAACGATGTAGATAGAACTCTAAAGGAGATGCCCGTGATTTCAGAAAGTCCCGGTTTTCTCTCGCCCATCTTTGAAATAATCAGCACGTGGATTGATGAAGAACAACATGAACCATACTGAAGTGCCGGACCCGTGTCTTGATCCTTCAGGGCTTGTAGAATCCTATGAAGGTCGATGAATTGCTCTCGCAAAACACTCGGAATATCCGTGTTGGATTCCTATCATTGTATCTTCAATACAGTGCAGAAGACGGACGAGTCTCAAGCTTACTTCTAGAAGTGTCTGGGCCGTGTCGAACTGACCGGTGCGTAGGAAGTGTAGGACTACGGTTCGCTCCAGTGCAGCAACGGACTCTTCAGATGTGAAGAGATTTGGGTAAGAAGGCAGTGTACTAGTGAATTTCTTCGGAAGACTGAGCATTCTTTCGATGACTGAGACCGACCGCTCGTACCTTTTCCAGGGCTTTCCCAAGGCGAGACATTGAGGAATAAATCTCTTTCTGTCGTTCATCGATGTCCTTTTTCCTTGATTCCACAATACGCGATAAATTGATGCGTGCATCCTCAGGTAAGATGTCTTCTACGCAAAGTTGTCTGGCAGTGCGGAGAGAATCGAGAAGTGAGTCCAAGGAGTCAGAGATGGAAGCAGATTTCGCCTTGGCTGAGGAGTCGCCAGTAAGCTTTTCCAGTTTGGTGAGTTCCTTTAAAGCAGCTTCCATTGTCTCCGCGGTGAATAGAATAGAATGTCGATTGACACAAGACAAGAACGACAGGCGTCGGACCTCAGACCTGGCAGTCGGTGTATCGGTCCGATCACGTGGATGATTTGGATCAAATTTCTCTAAACTTCTTGCTTGTCCACAACTTGTCCAAGTACATTCAACATGCCTCGTTTCGTCACTGGTGATTCCTTAGGAAACATCAAGTCCTTGGAATACTCTGTTTCTGGAAAAAAGACAGAGTTGACTCTGCTCTCCGAGGGCCCCCAAAAGTCTGAAGAAAGGTCAAATCCTATCCAAGTTTTGGCCGTTGACTACAAACCGGAATCAGCAGTGGTATATACCTTTTTTACATCTAGAATTCTGCTAGGGCTTTATCTCATCTGCTCAAGAAAAGGTGGCCGCTGCGTATGGAGATGGATCTGCCTCCACATACTCCCTAGAGGATTACACTCTCACCCCATTGCACCACTGGACGGAGAACCGTCTGAAAGCAAATCAAAAATATGTTGGATTGTCTATAGCGTCCCAGTTCGTCCATTTTCCCTGTTTCAGGATCCGCCTTGACTCGCAACAGGGGAATATTTACCTGCACATCAAATGGAGCTCTGAGAATGACACCACGTTTTAGCGCAGAAAGCGAAGCTCGTGCCGAATCACGTATTGCACTTCTCCCTACCCGACTTCATTCATGGAAATTAGCAGTGGATCAAGAAACCTTTGCTTATGGCGGTGACGAAGTTGACCTATCATTATGGAATACTGAACAAGCGCTCCAGCAACTTTCTACCGCAGATGTTACCTCTAAAAAGAGGAAACGTAATGTTGACCTCTTCCCTGGTGAAATATGGCGAGCCAAAAATGTGAGTAGCATTAATTCTCCCCCAATTCCTAGATTTATTACCTCTCATTTAGGTCTCTAATGATTCGCTTAGTCTGCGACAGCCCATACGAGTCACTTCCCTGGCATATTTATCTGCAGAATCCCCGCATCATTTACTGGTCGGAACTCAGCTTGGGCATTTAAGACGATACGACACGCGAGCGGCCCGTCGGCCTGTAGCCGATTGGACAGGCATAGTTAAAGCCGGAGGCGTTCAAACAGTGGAGAAAGGGTTCTCAGACAAGTCTGTGTTTGAATTTCTTCTTTCTTGCAGTTCTCTTACTTTTCATCATCAGTGAGGCTTTTGTCAGCGATAACGGGAACAGCATGTTTTCAGTTGATCTTCGCACCGGCCGCGTGCTTTACGGTTATCACGGTTAGTGTCGCGTTCTAGCTAAGATTGGACAACTGTGTTTACCACTTGTAAAACAGGGCTATCAGGTACAGTTTCATCAATAGCCCCCTCGCCTGCTGTACTAGCATCGGCATCCTTGGACCGATATTTTCGATTGCACAGCACCGTACCGCCGCCTTCTGAAATTGGTCGAAACTCTGAGGACAAAGGACAGATTTTGGACAAGGTTTATTCGAAAAGTATACCCACTGTTGTTGTTTGGGATGGAGATACGACCGACGCGTCAAAAGCGGATGCATCTGCTGGCAATGAAGACGATGCTGTCTGGGATGCCATGGAAAACATCGGTGAACGTGATGATGATAGTGACAGTGAGCTCAACGAGCTCAACGATAAAAGGCGACGAAAAGTATCACGCAACTGAAGCGCATATTACCACACTGTGTATAAAGAGCATCTGTAGATCGTCGATTTAACATCGTGTGGCTCATTCACAAGCTTTTCCCATTTCGAGGAAATCCAGAATACTAGCATTCAGCCAAAAGTTGAATTCTTAGAATCGGCGCTAATTTTACGCTGTCAAACAAAGAATGCAATCATGATAGACCGATAAATGAATTTGTCGGGAAGATCGGACGCTACAGCTCTTTTGCATTAGTTGAAGGCCCATCCCTATCTCCATCACAAATACTCTCCAACATCTCCCGTAAATCCGTCGAGGAGAACAAGGTCCGTCTCAACGCACCAGCATACATATTCCACACAACATCCCTAAAGGAATCATACTCCTCTAGGACTTGATCCTGCACAGGACGAATCAAAACTTTCACGGTCCGGTCGTCTTCCAGATAAAGCTTCAAACGGACAACGTTAGCCCTCAAGTCCCGCTCGCATGCAGTTCGAAAATTGTCATTTAGTTCCTCTGCAGCAGCTTGTGTAGCCCATTCCTGTGTAGTCAGAGGGGCACTGGCAGCATCTTTTGTCCGCCAAGCCGTGTTGAACTCATCGACACGGTCTACCCACTCATGTAGTGGGATGCATATTGAGTCGGCACATTCAGATATGGCCTCTTTGCATGCTCGTCGTAGCTCGTGATCGATTCCCTGGAAATTCAGTCAGACGCAGGCAAGGACAGCAGGGTGACAAGAATGTTACGTGTTTGGCACCTCTGATACTGCCGTCACCCCGCGGCATGCCCAAAGTGGAGAACAAGGCATCTGGGAGAAGTGCAGTGGTTTTATTCAGCAAAGACGACAGCGTGTCTATAGCGAACTGTAAGATAACGTGGCAACAGTTCAAAGAAGGAAACTTACCGGTGACGCCAGAAAAGTTGATGCTGGGATCATAGTCTCTTTGCACGAGGTCCAGATTGTTCGTGATTTCCTTCATGATGAGGAGGTGACGGATAAGAAAAAGCTGTCCATCAAGACGGCTAGTTGGAGGGTTCTTGAGTTTAAGTGCCTCAGATGCTGAAACAAGGGACTGTCGACATAGACTGAGAGCTTCTTGTGCAATATCTTCGAAGATAGCCGGCTGCATCGAGCCATTAATTGGATGTGAAGAAAAGTGTGAAAGGGGCACACCTTCACAAAGTCATGAAGTTGCGACAGAACCCAGACAGTCTTCTGTAGTGTAGGAAACCAGGTGTCTTGCTTGTCCAGCGATGGTGTCTTGAATATTTGGCTGATAGTTTCCTTTTCTTTTATGTCTGTTACCGAGACTGGCTTTCTTGCATCTGAGCATATTGCAATCAGTCACATGTTGACTATCACTGAGAACGGCGTACCTAAGAGCTTATCTGGATAGGCTAGGTCCTCTGGTTTTAGCACATAGTATCGTATATCTGACTGAATCACCGATTGTGCTTTGAAGAATAGCCGAGTTTGAGCATCCTGAAGGACCATCTGCAGAAGTTGGCTGATATGCAGCCGGCTGAGCCCGTGTTTCTTTCTCGGCCTATCCAGGTCTAAATTGAGTTCCTCATCCTCATCCTCTTCATCCTCTGATAGATCAGGAACGTCAAGCACCATGAGTGCCTGTAAGACCGTGCACACTTCACACAGCGCCGTGAGCCTAGGCTCATGTAAAATTCGAGGCCGAAGGTCATCGTAAAGGTAATCGCAGAGGTTTTCAAGATACTGGCTAGAATCCGGTAAAGAATAGTAAACAACGAATAATGCGTGTACTTACTACAGCTGGTCTTCTCCCGAGTTGAAGAACTCCCGGAACAGATTAAATTCATCCAGACATAGCTGTTTGAGATAGCTGCATCCCGACCGACTCTGAAAATAAAATAAGCAGGAGGGTTGACGTAGTGATGGGCAATACTACTCGCCAATTCTACTAGCTCCGTACGAGTGGGATCTAGTCCTTTGATCTCTTCCATCAGACGAGTTACCAAGAGTGATTTGCGCGCACTAAAGTAGGCACTGTGACATTCTGATAGCAAGGACGAGAGTTCATCCTTGTGGGCAAATGCGCGACGTTCCAATTCTCCGAGGAGAGGAGCTAACTGGGGCGACACACTTCGGAAACGCGTGTAAAGCAGATGCATCTGAGCCGTCGACGAAACATCTTTTTCTGACAATCGCTTTGAAATGTCTGCTGATAGCGCGCGCAAAGATCCTACGAAATACATCTTGATGAGCGTCATGGCGCGTGTCATACATTGCTGAAAGCGAAGTAGATAGATCTCGGCTTCCCGGAAATGACGCTGAAAGGCAACGTGAAGGACAATGTATGTATATGGGCAACCAGAGACATACGTGGGCCTTGAGATAATCAATACAGATGTCGACCCGTTCCACCATATACAAGAAGTCTGCCTGAAGCACAAGCGACTCTCCGGGATGGTTGAGCATTCTAGTGGCATGCTCAAGCTCCTGAAAGTACTCGAGACGCGCACCAATATCGTTTGTTAATGCTAGAAGTCGGTCCTGAACACACTGATCAGCATTCACGAAAGCCAGGTAGAGTTTGTACCGCTCACTCGTTCCTCCAGCAGTCGCTCACATGCGTCTTTCAGACTCTTGCCGCCTTCTTCGACACCACGCCAGCCCTCCAGCATCCCATCCACTTCTTTGTCGATTTCGTCGACGTGGTCAATTAGTTTGTCGCATGTATCCAGGTGCTCGGAGACGCTAGCAACGTATGCTCGAAAATGGGCCTCCTGGCTATGAGCAACAGAACGGTCAATAAGCGCAAACCAGTCGTAGAACTGTTGCGGCGTTTGGACAGGTTGCTTGGGGTGTAATGCATGGGTCGACAAGGCCAGTCGTGATGAATTCGGTGTACTTGGACGAGAACTTGGAAGCAATAATTTGTTCTTGGGGGTCGACGGTCGTGAGGGACTCTTCTCATCGGCGCTGAACTGAAGAAAATGATAAGGCAAGGCGTCAAAATATCTGTTCTGTGACGCACCTTGACAGGTAGAGGTGGTCTCTCGCTTGCAGCCTTTATGATGCCAACACTTCTGATCTCGACGTCGCTCAAGGGTGCTCTTGCTTCCCATTCCTCGACATTTATCGTTGGTCGAACTGGTGAAGGTGCATTCAATGGTACAGGGCCCCGGCGTGGTGCCGTTCTGTTAGCCATGACATAGTCTAATGAAGGTGGAAGGTGGCTGTGCCAATTATTCGTTCACTGGTCTGCTATACAACTATAAAAACTAGAAAATAACTGTACTGTACAAATCAAGCTCCTCGGCCAATAACGCTACGCCAAGTGTGCGCCTTTTCGAACCCGTTCCTTCCGGTTTGATCTGTGCCAACACAATGAGTACACTAAAATGAAGAATCAAGTACGTTGCTTACAATCAATGAGTGTATTCTGTATCTCCTCACGAGTAGTCATCACAAATGGTCCATACTGAAACACGGTTTGATCCAAAGGCTCTCCTGCGACCTATTTTCCGAAGCCGATGAGATAAACACATTTACATCTGGGAAGAATACCAACCAGTATAAATTCGGTATTATCGTCTCCAGCTTTTACTAAAACCCCGGTCGATTCTGGCTCGCTCGACAGTGTAATTGTGTGAAATGCATTGGTAGCAATCGTGTCGTTTCCAACGGTAACAGATCCCTTCCAGACTGGGAGGCTACGTCAGAAGAGGGACGTATGTGTACTTCTCCACTTACTGTAGATAAAAGCAGTCCAACCAGAAGCTGGGAAGCTGAGTGTGAGTGCAAGCAACGAAACACAACGGACACCTACGGATGTCCTGGAAGATCGTCGTATCCTTCTTGTCAAAAATGACATGGAAATACCAGCAACCCCCAAGAGGTCTTACTGGCGATTCGACGCCATGACTCTTGCCGCTGATTATCTTGATCCTGACGTTGCCATCTTCACCCTCTGGATATGCAGTAGGAATCCTGTGGGCACAAATTTATAACTTGATATCAGAAGTGTCAAAGCCATGCACGTACTGCTCAGGTCCCAACTCCTGGTACGATGGATCCACCATTTTATGCTGGAAAGGAATAGTTAGTACATTTAGGCCGTGCCAGAGACTGGTGATACCCACCTCTTTCGGAAGATCTATCCATAATTGTAGGCCCCGGGGGTCGGGTGCACCGTTGGCATGAACGGGCATCTCAGCATGTATGATGCCCTTTCCAGCACACATCCATTGAACTCCACCTTGTTCTAATGGAAGAGATTAGCACAAGTAACTCGCCCAGCAATGGAATGGCTTGCCAATAGTACCCTTGTGCCCTGCAGAGTCCTCGTGGCGACTTGTCCTGTGCAGGTTAAGGTGAGACATCACATCGAAAGAGCGAGTATTTAGTCCTTACCCCTCCAACATGTACGTGACTGTAGCCTGCCCACGGTGCGGATGATCAGGGAAGCCCTAGCACAAGTCCTTAAACAAGGAGTAGCACTTGAAAATGCATGAGACTCACCGCTCCTTGCGATACATGGAAATGGTCAAGCATCAGGAAGGGAGTCAGATTCCTGAGAGTCATGGAACCGATGCTCCGCCTAACCAGAGCTCCAGCGCCCTAAAACACAAAAAACAGATAAGAATTTGCATCAGGGGAAATCAGGGGTAGCACACCTCTGGCGTTTCCACAGCCAAAACTTTCTTTGCTACACTTCGAGATATTGAAGCTAAAGCCATCGTGTCAGTACTGAGACTGTGTGGGGAAAATAGGAAGGATAGGAGAGTGATGATCGTCACAGAAAGAACAGGAAATTTATACATGCAGCATAGCTAGCCACAATGCACTTAAATGTGAAATGCATTGATCAGCAACGTCAGAGCAAGAGAAAAACATTCCTGATAAGGCTCGATGACGATCACATTACACGAATCTGCTGACACCAAGACTCAGATATTATTCAGCCACACTACGCAGCTCATGGATATTCGTGCTTTGCATTATTATACATAACTTGGTCATTACATTGTGCACATCTTATATGTCACACAACGATGACGCGTATGTCTAATCCTTCAAAAATTTCACCGTTGATTACTTGCTTGAATTCCGTCTTGCTTCCCTAATCTCTTGAGCTAGTAGTGCATCGGGATCCCTACCACGGACCTCAGGAAGCAGGAGAGAAAAGGCTAGGAATCACTTGAGTTGAAGTCCTCCTGAGAGAACTTATGGTTCACGTACCGGCACCAGCAATACAGCACCCAACGAAGACTGAAATCCGCCTTTAGTGTCGCATTATCTTAAAAAAGGATGGATGAGACTCACTCCAGAGAACAGCAGGCGTCCCGATGTCTTTGCTAAGGGTATTGAATGCAAGGGCAGATATGATGGCGCCAGCCTTGCCGCAAGCAGCACTGATACCATGAGCGAAGGCGCGGAAGCGCGTCGGGAAAACTTCAGCTGGATAACACTAACGACAAGATCAGCACATAACACGTAACTAATTATCTTCACGGCTCACGTATGTCGTTCTATAAGAAAGATTGGTTCAAGTCAAGTGACCCAGATCTTCACAATATGTAACAACGTACGTGTTCGCTCCAAAGTTAAAGAAGAACTGGGAGTCAAGAGTCAGAAAGAGGGGCAGAGCAGTCGAGAAGCACAAAGCATACCTGCAAGAATGCAAAGCAGACGATAAAACCAGCACTGCTTAGCGAATAGAACTTTCCAGCTAGAATTCCCACTTAAAGAAGGTTTCATCAGACAAAGGCAACACGCAAAACAGACAGTTGCTCACAAAACAAAGCAGCCATCAAAAAACCCTGGATCTGAATCCATTTCCTCCCAAGCTTTTCAATGGTAAGGACGGATACATAGTAGCCTGTCAAGTTGAACAATACTTCAATAAAGAACTTCAAGAAATGAACAAGACATCTACTGACCGGGAACGAAACCCAGAGCGGTAATGATAATCCCACCAGTAGAAACTTTGAAAAGCTTTTCCCAGGGTGTCCCGCTACTGCCGTCAAATCCAATCTGCTGAAGAACGACATTTTGGTTCAGGTTTATGCCGTAAAATCTACAAAGGTGTCAGGCCGGACATTTCGGGATAAGATGACACGTACGCTATATCAAGTAAGAACCAGCAGACACATGTTCCAATGAGGTGTTTGGCATGTCGCCATTCCGAGAAATATTGGAGGAATTCTTTGAAGTGAGCCTTCTTAGTTGCGACGATGTCAGGATCTTCCACAGAGCTTTCTGCTGAGCTGTCCTTCTCCTTGATATCGCTGGCGGCTTCGGCTTCCTGTTGAGCCTTCTTGATCTGTTCGATGTCATCGGTTTCGGGCTGCTTCTGAGACTCGATGAACCGTGTGGATTCAGGAAGTGTCAGGCGCTGGTAGAGGGTTCCGAAGGCAGGAACAAGCGAAATGCCGACAATAATGCGCCATACTACAAAGAGAATGAGATGCTAGCACACCCGCTGGATATCAAACGGAACATGCCTCCATCCACTTTACTAGTTTCTCCCTTGGTATCCATGACAGGCTTGTAAGCGGCGAGGACAATTATAGTTATCAAGCTGCCTGCAAGGGAACCCCATCCCTGATTCGCGAAAATGTACGCCAGAAGTGTGCCTCTCTTGCAGATGTTAGCACGATCAGAGGTGATCGACGCGGACATGGGATAGTCTCCTCCAACGCCAACGCCTAAAAGGATACGGAATACACCTAGATAAATGAGACAGCTGTCGGGCGGTAAGGATCCTATATAATGCAGGTTTTAGTTTCATCAGTGATACGTCGAGAACGCGTACCAGTAGGCGTAGTCAAGCATAGTATTGTGGCAAGAATGATGAGCATGAGCTCTTTGCCATCTGCGTCCAATCAGACAGCGGCACTCCGTATTCAGCGACACGAATACGTACATATTGCTTTTCTTCCTAAAGCGTCCGCAAGATACCCTATTTGCCAAGAACCGTATGAGCAGTTTGAAGACTGAAAGTGGGATAGATATCCTCACCAAATGCAAATTGCCCGATGACACTTCCGATGTTTGCGCCTGCTTTCATGAAACCTTCTAGGTTGGCGGGAAGCGAATTCCCGTCATAAAGACGGTATTTAAGCATCGTAGCCACAGGCTAGAGTTATGATGAGAACGGTAACGGCCTGGTAAGGATGGGATACTCACATTAATGATAAAAAGATCATAAGCTTGGAAGACGATATGTCAACTGGTGTAGATGCGTGCACATCAACGATACGCACCATCTAGGAAGAATCCAACCTGATAGGAACGTCGTCAGTTGTGTTCCAAGCTTTAGTATTGCGACAATACTCACTCCAGCAATTCCCAGTAGCTTCACCTCAGTATACGTAAGGATAAACGGCGGCCTTCCATCTTGTTCGGACTCCTCCAAGGCGGACCTGTTGGGAACACGGACAGGCTCCGTGTCCATCGTACGAGCATCAGTAGAAACGCCAGGCATGGTAGTCAGCTATAAGAATCTGTTTCCAGCGGTCAGGACAGCAGGATATTTATCGCAGTGGCAACGACGCACGTTCTCTGAGCTGAAATGCTACTCGTGATGGTGGGTGGAGCGAGACTGCTGATTCGTAAATTATTGGTCGTGTGCCGGTAAAATACATCCCTGAAAAAAAGCCATCGGCAGGATCGGCTGTTGATGGGATCAGAACCGATCCGACTTCCGCGTACACCGAGACTTACTTCCGTCGCTATTTTTGGCATCGAGCAGGAGAAAACCCGTGCCGCAGCTGGCATGTGGACCAAGCACACATGGGTCACCTTGATTCTAGCCCGGCAATCCGCAAGCGACGCCTCCAAAGGCCATACGGCTCAGGTAGTAGACTCTAGTAGACTTCTTCCCTCCAGTCGCTCCTTCAAATTAGAATATCAGTCACAACTATACATGGACAATCTACAGTGAGTCCCAAATTCTCTGCAACCGAGTCCGAGGTCCTAGTGCTGCCTGTGCGGCCAAAAACTGTTCCTCTTCTTCGTTTATGGAATCCAATCCTGTTACTAGATCTACATGTTCAGGCGGAATTTGTTTCGTCCTGTAGTAGAGCTTGTACCCCACGTACAGGACAATAAACACCGGTATGCCGATATAGGACGTGATAAAAGTGTCAGTCGTGAAAGGTATGAATGTATCATATCCCTTGAAGAAGGTGATGATGCATGTTGCGACGAGTGCAAACCAGCTCCCAAAGGGCTGGAAGGGCGCCTTGTATGGCAATTTGTCTCGGGACATGCCTTGAGCTTTGAGCGCTTTCATGAATGCCCTGAGAAATTTGTCAGAGAGTCACAGCAAAGAACGTCGTCATGACAGTCTTACAGATGAGCGATACAAATACATATCCATGTTATTGCGCCAAATGTAGAAACGAGGTTGACGAACCATGTGAAAACTGTGAGAATAATTAGCACTTGGACAGGCTTTTCGCAGATCTTATCTCACCTTTGGCACTTGATGAGCTGACATTGAGATATACCAGACCACAAAACATGGTGCAAAACGCCGATGCAACATACGGAACACCCAGGCGATTCACGCGAGTGAATATTTGGGGGGCCTTCCCCTCCGCGGCAAGGGCATAAAGAGTACGCGAACCGATATACAGATCTGAATTGGCCGCACTCATGACGAAGATTAGAATAGCAGCATTGATGATATGGTTTAGAACTCGAATGCCGACCAAAGTAGTAGCTATGCCAAAAATAAACGTCTTTTCTAACTGTTACGAAAATAGACTCACCAACTACAAACGGCGAAGCAGCAGCTAGTGGGGCGATTGTCTATGAGACTCTAACAACAGACAAAATAATAAGATACAGACCTCCCGTTTTGGCGCTAGTAGCAACGAACAAATCGTTGGCCGTGCTGGGAACGATGAGGCCAATAACGAAGACTCCTCCTACATAGAATACGAGGATACGCCAGAACGTACGTCTGATAGCGATGGGAATATTGCGACGAGGGTTTTCGGCCTGCGCACATCTCTCTAAGTTTTGAAATCAAATCGGACAATGTAAAGACACAGACCTCTCCGACTGTAACCTGAAGCGCCTCTGTTAGTACAATACAAGATCACGGAGATGAAAGGCATACACCAATAAGTTCAGTGCCGATGAAGGCGAAGAGAGCATTGGTCAAAGTAGCCCAAAATCCAAGGAAGATTGACAGGTGCTCGTTGTGAACTTGGGATAAAAGATAGTGTCCCATAGGCCCATCTGGATGCTGCCAATAGCGGAAGCCAATACGATCGTGTTGCGGATTTCCACCTACATCAAGCACGTCATTTCAACATGATGGGGATAATAGAATCCCAGAGCATACCCAAGTCAATGATGATACCCATCAGCAACAACCCAATTAAAGATATTACTTGAAGCCGATGTCAGATGAAGACCTGGGTGACGACTGGAGAAACCTCCCACCTTTGATACTCGAGAACCAAAATTCAAGCTCTCCAAATACACGAACTCCGAGCATATTCACAACAAAAACTAAATTAAAAGGTTAATACTGCTGTTCCCATCAGAAGCGGACCTTTGCTTACTGAAGGCAATAAAAATAGCTGTTCCAGTCAGCAAAGCTGAATCTTCAATACTATATCGGGACTTACTCATCCATATGGCAATGTGAACTGCTCTAGTCCAGTATTGTACGACAACTCCGGCGGCGTTGATATTGTTTGGCGTTACTATAAGCTAAAGGCGTCTTGAGTCCGACGATAGGCCGAGAAATCGCAGTACCCACATATTTCATGAGATAATTATAACCCAATGCAAACCCCAGTGCAGGATCGACAAATCGAGTTGCGTAGCCGGAAAAGCCTTTTTTATGCGGGAGATAGGCAGCCATCTCTCCGAGAGCGATCATGACCATGTAGCATACAATTCCGACGAACGAATAGCCCAGAAGAAGACCAAGAGGCCCTCCTCTTCGAAGCGCCGTACCCGACCCACTACAGAAACATCAGCTCAACTGGCCGAGAAGTAAAGAAAGACACAAACATGATCAGCCCTGTACCAACGGCGCCACCGAGCTAGGAAACGGCTTTAGTTACAGTCAAGTCCGAATATAAGTTGCAAGAATGCCAGCGTACAGCTATCATGGATATCTGCCGGGCCTTGAGACCACGGTGAAGAGTGCTCTCGGGGGGCGGCTCGTGAAGATCCTCCTCATAGTAGCCGTTGTTCTGGTTGCTGATAGAGCTGACGGAGTTGTCGCGGACGTCCTTCTCAACCTTTTCAACGTCGACCATGGCTGGAAAGCAGAAGATGGTCGGAGGAAGACAGGTAGCGCGGGCGGCGCTTTATGTAAGGATCAAACAGTGTTTGAGCAAATTGAAAACTTCATCATCAGGTCAAAAGAACTCGAACTTGTCGCCGACCGCCAAGCTGATCGATCACAAGATCAGTACAGCCGCCACGTCCAAACGCTCCAATTTGCTTTGGTCGATTGCATTGATTTCGCTGCCAAGCCACTGTTGCACAGGGAATCCATATGGATACTCGCACTTGGCTACTACAGTTATCAATTAACGAGGAACAGCAGTTACAGCACCGATAAGTACTCTTCCAACACCTTTCTTTCAATGCATTCGAATGACGCCTTTAGACGCCAGTATTTAAAACGCTCACGAGCATCAACGCCATCTCATTTCAGCTGCCAGTATGTCGGTTCGTATGCTCCCTCACATCGCGTTACAACTTATGTCTGATCTCGCGCCTAGCAATTTGTCCAAACCGTTCTGCCGGTATCCCACTTGCAAATCTTTCAGATTGCGCTACAAGGGGTACGATAAGCGCGAAGTGCTAGACGTGGTAACAATCAGGACGGACCATAACTTTCTCGTAAATTGACAGCATCTGGATTGTTCTTATCGTCCAAACCTGCACGCAGTAGTCTCTTGACGCTCAGCAGGGCGGTGGGATCAAGACCCTCGAGCTCGCTTTGCAAATGACGCCGGATTGCAGCATGGAACTCGTCAGCGGATGATGAAGGAAATATTTTGCTTCGGTGATGGATCCGGAGTCATCAGGGTCCGAATACAACGTTAGTATTGAAAGTTACGTACTTGATGAAACCACATTGAACAAGCTCCTCCGCAGTCAGCTTTTTACTCCAGAGAAGTACCTCGTTGGCCTTTGCCACCCCCACTGTGGATAGAATTTCAGCATGGAAGTGACGCGGAGTCGGCCATCAAACTTACTCCGATTTGCAAAGGTAACGCTGGCGCCTCCTTCGGCAACAAGACCTGTGTGCACACCATCAGATATGGCCGTTAGTCCGGCGAAACCTTCATTGACTGACCTAAAAATGTGAATGGCACAGAGAGCCATGCTTCTGGAACACTGTAAATAAAGTCGAAGTGTCCGAGGAAGGCTGAAGAAGATTCATAAGACCAGTGAACTATGAAGTTTGTCGAAGATAAACTCGCCCGCCGAGATGCCTATGTTCGTCAGAACGATGTCTTATTTAATAAAGCATGTCAAGATTAGAACATAACATTTACCCATCACTGGACCATTCAAAGCAGCGACAAGGATCTTGGAGTGAGAATACAGCTGTTAACGTTGAGATATTCACAATTAATCAGTATTCTCCATCTTAGAACTCACAGCCCGTCCACAATCGGTTGTAGTGTGTGCCACATTACTTAAAAACGCGTTCCGTTGCGAACCAGACACAAAAGGGCGCGCGCCCTTGACATTAGTACCGCTAGCGCAGGGCTCATTAACACCTCGCGTAGCACAAGGAGCTCACAGGATCCATACGCGCAAAACCACTTCCCGGTAGCTAATTGAATAGGACTGATGCTCAGCATGTAACAACCATTCTACTTATATAGGCACTCACCCTGCCATACCGTTACAAGCACGTCATCTCGGAGATCAATATCTCTGAGAGCATTCGCAAAAGCTTCGTAATCTGTTTGAAGACGACTATACAAGTGATTGCCATACAGACAGCATGAAGAGCGCCTACCTTCAACTGTAATGGCATTCAGGCTCTTCGGACGGTTCAGAGTTACTGTGGCTATCCCTTGAGAGATTTCAACGACAACTTCACTCATTTCGATGAGGAATGGGAATAGAAGAATAAGCACTTCGAATTATCGGAGAAAGAAATTGCGGGTAAAAAGGTTGCCGGAACCCGGTCAATATTCGAACTCGAAATGGTCTTTCAGCAACGTTCCAGTAGAGGAAACAAAAGTCTGCCTATATCATTAATAATACAACCCAGAAAATAAATCAGATGAATTCCGGTACAAAATATAAAACTTCTCATGATCCCATCACGCCCAACTCTCCAGAACTTTCTTTGCACCATTGACTAGTGTGGCCTCTTTTCCCTGGGGAGTTGGAGAATCCTCGACTAGCTGCTCCAGTACAGGTTTAACTACTGCCTGGAGCTTCGCAACATCCTCTCCGCCCTTGTACCTTCCGACTTGCCAGAGCAAGGAACAAACGTTGATGCGAACTTCGACTGGAAAGTTGACGGGGTTATCAAAGTTTCTCAGAACTGCAACAAGCATCTCTGCCGCACTTCGAGGAGTGGGGAGCTGGCCGCGTGTAGAGGGTGTAGTGAGCGTAGGTGAGCTGACGTCGCTGTTCGAAGAGGTGGATGCAGATGGAGGCTCTGTGGGGGGTGGCGAGGGCAAGTCAAAGGATGCTAGAAGAGCTGTCAAGACAAGAGGTCCTAAATAACCTGTAAATGCATGATATACACAATAAATAACGAATTTACGCACTTCCTGTCTTCTGCGTGCTGATTAAACTAAGGGCAATAACACCTTCGTTTACAAGAAGTGGATATTTGGCGCTATGTGCAACAAGACTTGCAAGAGCAGAGGCGCATTCCTGCGTAAGGACACTTTGAATGGCAGCCTGCCGCTTTCGCTGCTGCGTAGTATTGTCTTCGATTGGACTCTGGAGTCCTGGCCCATCACCAGCCCACAACAAAGACTTGACGACGTTTACCAAAACCCTTGTGCCCTCACTCTTGACAGCCACAGTATCGGAGCGCTTGAGAAGAGACATGATTTGCGACAGTCCAGTAGGTGTTCCGGCAGGTCCCGCGCTTGGGAGCACTAGAGCGAATGTGCTTTCCACTGGAAGACTACCATTTGAGTCATAGCTCGAGACAGCGTCAAATTATCCATACCATTAGCCCCACACATATGCTTGACCACACCAATTGCGCTAAGTTGAACAATTTCTCCCATCTTGTCAGTCTTCTCATCCCATACCCCACTCCGCGAAACACTCTGTACGATACTAGCTTCACACAGTGGCGTATGAATATCAGGAGACGGTGATGATTGTGCCATATGCTTGAGAAGCCCGATAATGCCGTGTTTCAACTTGATGTCAATCGCGGGAGAAAGAAGATGGGTAGAAGCTAGAACGGGCGCTAAGGAGTACGGCGGCGATAACAGTACTTTGGCGTGTTTTTCTAAGTTGAGACATCAGCTATCGGTTGCTTTACGAAGGTGGGGGTTAGGAATCACCTCGTCGTGCTAAGTTACCTAAGGAAAGGCTGGCACAAATAACGAGATCGTCCCGATGGGGTGCAGAAGCATCCTTCCCAGTCCCGTTCATAAAGAAGACGTACTGCTTGATCCAGCTCACCATCCTGGAAACAAATTCGCCTCCGGGTTGTGTAGGATCAGAATCAGTCCACAATAGCTCATCTTTGCTATCCTCCCCTGCGACTTCCACTACGGCTTTGACAAGCGCGGCCTTACAGATATCGAAAGCCTTTTCCATGCGGTTTCTTTCACCGTCTGTTATAACCACCGAAGTACTCCATGAAGCGGGATAACCACCGTGCTCAATGAAGTCCAATATCATCCGGAAACAAGGAACGCTACCATGTTCGGAAGGTGAATAAAACCCACGAGCTAGCGAGAGGCGAACGTCTTCAGCATCAAGTGACAAGGATTCTATCAGAGAGCATGATTCCTCGAGTACGTCGAAATCGCTGTGTATAAGCGTATTGTATATCTGGGAAACTGGTGAGAAAGGCGTCTCCGGTGTTGCTGTAAAGGGATGTGTAAACGCGACAAGAGGAGGGGTCAAGAAGGGTAGAATATCGGAAGAGAAAACCTGGCGGATTTCTATATGCAAGGAAATAAGGTGAGTGCAACGCTGAAGATGCCAATCACAACTTGCTTTCTTCCTTGCCGTCTTGTAACTCTGTGAGGGTTCTCCAAGCCCAGTTCGAGAGAATGCTACGTATAGTCCATGATTCTTGCACACTTTCCAGCGTTTGCTCCGCCGAGGAGGCCCCTTGCCATGACCCAGGGGGGTAAATGGATGCCGACAGTTTCAGCACAGTGCCTGCGACTTGCATGGAGATCAATTTATCCTTGACGGCATCTTCCCTGCTGTTTAATTCAACACATCTTACACAGCAGATAAGACTGCGCACCGAAGCCAAGACTGGCATTGAGAAGCACCCCAATTGCAGTCCGGACGACCTTCAGGTGATTGATCGAGAGAGGTAAGGGTTCAGTTTGGGGAGTAGAAGGTATCAGTTTCGCGTAACCCTCCAACAGGGTCACGACGGCCTGGAGAAAGCCGGCGCCTAACAAAGCGCCACGATTATCATCTGGAAAGACGCGTCAAAAAAAGTCGGAAGACTTAGAGAATGGATAAGCACCATGATCCAGGCATAAGTTCGCCCCCACACGGAGGATTTCAAGAACAGGTATGGTGTAGAAATCCTCCAGAATGGAGGAACGGGTATCATGCAGCTCAAGCCCCAGAACGTCCGTGAGAGTTTGAGGAAGGGAAGTTCTGCCTAATACTGTATGTATATCATCTGTTGACAGAATTTCGAACTACTGTGTTACCCAGGATGCAAATGAAACATACGATGTCCATCCTTGGTCCGTAACGCGTTGGCGAGATCATGAGAAACGATGGTAATTCGTTCCCAAGACGCTCTCGAGTTTGATTCACGGACATCTGAGAGAAGACGAGATAATTCGGCCTCCAGGTCTGTCGGAGATGGTGAAGACATGAGGGAGTGGTGGTGGTATGAAGCTGAGTTGTGCTACACCTAACAGCCGGAAAGATCGATCATGGTGGCTGTGCAGCCGGATCGAATTTAATTGTCTACATAATAATGATATAATTTATCTTTACTCTTTTCCCCCTCAACGCCAGTAGGGAGGTGCGCTGCCATGTGACAACACGATACGACGCGCCTCATCCAACGCCTGTACAACGGCGTCCGGAAGCGGCCCCTTCAGGCTGTCCTCGCAGTTCTGTCTCAGCTGGCTAGCACTGCTCGCCCCCAAAATGACACCGTCTTCTGGTGTCAATTTGGAGTGGTGCTGACACCAGCGAAGAGCTATCTCCGTTAAACGAAGGTTATGTTCAGCCTATCAAAGATTGAATTAAGGAAAATGCGGGTTTAGATGGCACCTACAGCAATACCTTTCAGGTATTTCATAGCTTCAAATTGACCTTTTTGAAGATAGCGAGCTCGGTATTGATCACCCTGTCTCCCAGGCCCAAAACGACCCTCCGCTATGGGATCATCGGGTGATTGAATCTTCCCAGCAAAAAGGCCTCCCCTAGAAGCACGAGACCAAGTTAAAGGGCTTCTCGTGTCGTTGATGACAAAAACTTACGCGAGTGGATTGTAGATGACCAAGCGAAGTCCGAATTTTCGCGTGCAGGGGAGGAGTTCGGTCTCCATCTCTCGTGTGATAGCATTATACATCCTGAGCATTCAAACTTTCGTTTCAAAAGATGTAAAAGCCACTTTTCTCACTCACACTTGATAAATCTTGGGGGTAACATATCCTTTCGCCTTACAAATTCCAACTACCTCAGCAACCTGTGGGCATGAGGAGCTCACTTCTATGAACAGTGCTCATAGTACTAACCTCCCAGGCCGCGTAATTACTAAGACCAAATATTTCACTGCCAGGAAGGTCAGTGCATCATCCAATAAACTCCGGGATTGGACTCACAAAAGCCCTTCGCGATACAGTTCATCCACTGCTTTCAAAGTGTCTTCGAAGGGGATACTTCGGTCTGGAGCATGCAGGTACAGGACTCTGACTTTTTGGCGATTCAGCGCCTTCAATGAAGTCTGGAATGTTTCCCTTAATGCATGGGGAGCGTGATCGCCGGATTTGACAGGATACACCCTTCGTCGAAGAATCAATGAGAGCAGAAATCAGATGATGACAATCTCACTTGGTATCGATTGAAGCATCTTGGAGGTTTAGTTGAGACAGCAGCTATATAGTTGAACGTCAATGCAAGGACGCATAAGAGTCGAGGCACTTCACTTGTTCAGTAGTTCTACCACAGTATATCCTTGCAGTGTCCAATTCCTTGTGCCCGAAGCTGAAGAAAGTATCCAGAATGTCTTGAGCTTCCTTCTTGCTAGTGACGCGACTAGCGGAGGATCCTGGAAGACCCAGAGTCATGGTTCCCTATAAAATACGTCAGTAATGCGCTCCCAGTCAGATGCGACACAGTATATACAAAAATAAGTGGGATCCGAGTTCGTGCCAACATATTGAGAAAATATCGAGATGGGAGTTTGGAAGATAAGATAATTATGAAGAGCCATCAAAAATAGATGCGATCGCGTGAACTTTGTCTCTTGTAGTCATCCACTCGTCACTCACTTCCTCCAATAATCCCTAATTTACCGTGAAATCATGGCTGGTCCCAGGAAATCCAAGCTCAGGAAAACTGGAAACAGTCTTCCGCCGCCGCCACCGCCTGGGGTAGACGATGACGACCTTATGAACGAGCTCATGGCTCAGCTTGATTCTCGAGACCAGACTGTCCAGACTGAATCCGCTACTGTACTACAAGATATGACGTTGGAAAAGGATGTTGAAAGCTCAGAAAAGCCTCAAGGGAAGCGCTCCAAGGACCGGTTCAAAGAGCGTCAGGTAGGCCTGGTCTTCCCGTCTACCACGCCAACTGACAGTGCATCGAAAGGCGCGGAAGGCAGCTACTCTGGCGAGTTCCTTCTCGCCAGATGATCCAGAGGCATCCCGTAAATTAGAACTGGAGGCAAGGCAGGAGGAGGAATCTATCAAACAAATATGCACTGAATTGAAGGTCCAGATACACGAGGCAAGTGTTGCATTAACTCTCGATGAATTGGATTGAACAATCGCCAGATTAATCCAGATGGACATTGTCTTTTCTCAGCCGTTGCGGACCAGCTCAGTTTACTCGGAATCCTCCAACCTGGCCAAGCAACCCATGTTGCCGTCCGCCTAGCAGCGTCCAACTATATGCTATCCCATCCCGACGATTTTCTTCCCTTCTTGCCCTCAATCGGCGGCGAAGACGCGGCAGGCTCCTACGATGGAGGCCTGATAAGTTCCCGCGAGTTCGAACAGTATTGTACAACAATTCGTGATACGGGCGCATGGGGTGGTGAACCCGAAATTCTAGCTCTGAGTCGTGCCTTCAATGTTCCCATACATGTCGTGCAAGGAGGCACACCGCCGGTTGTTGTTCATCTTCCTAACGACACGCCTGGAGAAGATGATGTTCACATTAAACGTGCCGTGCGTATCAGTTATCACCGGCGGATGTATGGGCTTGGAGAGGTAATAATGTTATTACCTCACCATACATATACTTACCCTATGTCCAGCATTACAACTCCCTCCGTCCATCATCTAGTCTAACAAAGATGACTCGGGTCATCGAAAATATTCTGTCATGATGTTCATAATGTTGGGTATGGTACAGAATTACAATATAATCAAAACAATAAGTCATCCTCTTCACCATGTCTTCCCCTGTGATCTGCAGCATTCATGGGCTTGGGTTCATCCGCCAGATAGCTGCCGAAGGCGCCGCCGAGATTGGAATATGGGTCATTGTTTGGTGCGCCCCTTGGTTCCTCATCATCATCATCGGGCACTATCCCTACCTCACTCCCGTCATCGGCTGGGTGGCTCCCACCTGCATCATCGTCTCCATGTCCAGACTTACTGGGAGGGGCCGGTGGCTCTGCAGCAACGGCGGGTTCAGGTTTGTCCAATCCTTGAGAATGTGATTCAACAGGTCCAGGCCCCGGCACCGTGACGAGAGATGGTGGAAGTTGGCTACGAGCCAAAGGAACGAGCACCGCTCGTGAATGCGCATTCAATGCCGGACTATCCTTCAGAGCCTTACCGGCAGCGTTTCTGATGAATGTCTGTGATCATAAGTTAGTCCAATATATTTTCCACTGCTAAATGAATGCACCTCGGGGTTCTTGTGATAAATGCTGCCCAAGGTGCCAGTGTGTAAAAGCAACTGATCAAGGGCTCCTCTATCCATTCTATCGGAATCGGTTGTTATTGCAGGCTTCGGAGCCAGAACGATTTCTCCCGCAGCTGAAGGGTTGAGAGCTAGCATCCGCCAGTACATGAAGCCTCGATCCCGGAGATCAGGATTATCAATGTCTTCTGTGACCCATTTGAGCACTTTATGAACCAGCTCCTTGACTTTATCCATGTGGCTTTTATATGCAAACAATTTGACAACTGCGGTCAAAAGCGCGAGTTGAACCTAGAATAGTAGATTTTAAGTTCCTGGCAGGTAGACAAGAAAAAACAAACTCACCTCGACGCTTTCGTCAGTGTACGTATAACACAAATCATCTAGCAGTTCGTCCGCATTGTCTATAATATTGGCGAACTGGCCAATAATCCATACCATTGCAGCCTTGGCCTCAGGTTCGTCTAAGACATCGAGGTTTTCGCACAGCGTTGGTATGATGCCTTCGTACTTCCCAGGGTACCGTCGGAAGATGTCCTTGATGACAATGGTAGCTTCTTGCACGACGTATGTCACTTTAGTCTCGATGAGACCGAGTAATGTCTGTATGCAATTATCTGACGCGGCCTCAACTTTGATAGCTAATCGGCCAATGGATCGTACAGCCTTTCGTACGAAGTCGATGTCAACTTCTGAAGCGTATCTAAATCTATATTGAGCTTGATGTGCATCATTGTGTCGAAGGTACTAACTCTTGTAGTTCGTTAAGCACTTCGTTGGCATTTTCAGCCCGAGCTAACCGATACATGATTTCCAGTTTGGCAAGTTTGACATAGATGGGATCGTTGTACTTGCAAAAGAACACTCTGACATCGTTCTTCAGAACAGCTGGTCGTCGTTGGATGATGAGCAATATGTTGCGCAGAGCAACGTACTGCACTTCTGGCCCAGAAGATAAAAGGGTGACTAGATAATAAAGCATATGAGTAGACGCTACAAACATTATGATCAACATACCTAGAGGCGGCCCCATTTTCTTGCATATATGATCTATGAGCTGTCGATTTTCCATGTAGTTCATGAGGTAGAGCAGGGCTTTGATAGTCGTGAGGACAACGGCCGAATTGCCAGTGTTGCAGCTGTACGATGATGCGTTCACCGAGCATTTCGGCGTCAGCACATCGTTCTGGGACATATCGTAGAAGGGAATCTAGAATGTAGATTTGACCCCATCTGTGAGGATCTCAGAGAGTGTAGATGACCCATAGGATACACGACTTACTCAGAACTTTCCCCCAAAGCTGCTAGAAGCTTGTTCGTGGTAGCCAGATTCAACTTGAAGATGACACCATCCTGGCGGTCACCTATTTCTGATAGAGCAGCAACGGCATTTGCTACGACGGTAGCGTTGTTGTCCAACATCAAGTCTCTCAAGAGCTCAACGAAACCACCTTTCTCAGCCCTACGGGGATCTGCTGCGTAAAGCTTTGCTACGCATATGGCTGCTGTTTTCCGTACATAGGCATCGCGGTCTTTTAGAGCATGCCGTAGATTGTCAGAGAGAGCATCTGTCACGACTGGAATGGGAATGTAAGACATGGTTCTGATGGCGAGAGCGCGGATGAGGGGATTGCGGTCGCTACAGTCCTAGAATATTTTAAATTTTCAAGTCCTCAAAGAGAGCAAATAGCTACCTGGAGGAAGTTGGGAATGACCAGGTGTATTTGATCTGGTTTCGTCCGACCATAGCTCACGAGGAAGAGATACACCACTGAAACGATTAGAGTGTGTACAGACCGGAATCGTATTATGGCTCACTTTTCTTGATCTCAAGCAAAGGAGTTCCAAGACATTGGACAACATCCGTGAACAACGGTGACACTGCAGAAGGAAACGATCCATTTCAAGTTGGCCAGACGACGGAAGCAAGTGCACCAACTATCATTGCCCATGGTGATATTCGCGACAATCTTCTTCAGTACAGTCCTTCGCTTCTGGAACTTCTTGTCCTTTGCTTCGGCCGCGTGTAATTCGGCTCGAAATTCCTGGAAAATGCTGCTCAATGGCCAATTCCAGGAGAGGTGAGGTGCCACACACTTCTATCTTTCCTCGTTGGAAGAACTTGGCATCCTGACCGGGCTGCGCCATGTTTGTCAACTATGAGTGAGCTCGTCGAGTTGAGCAGCCGTCGAAGATGCCGATGTTCGATGTAGCAGTCCAAGCGCGGTGTGTGACGGATCGTGACATGTCTCGTCTGCACCGACCGCCTCCCACCAATCAACGCTCCCGAGACACGCTCAACCAGGCGTTGCATTTTCCGGTTGACTCTGCTCTCAAGAACCTCAAGAAATGCAGGAATCATTTGAAAACGATTCTTGCTACTTATCAGGATGAACGTGAAATTCTGGAGCGCTTGTACTACAAGGGAAAGAACCAGCACCGCTCAGCTTTATTCTGGAAGCGTGTGGTAGAAACTCGTCGATACAGCAACCGCCTCAACGAATTAGACCCTGTCATGCTAATAGATGATATGCAACAGTCATTCTTCGATGCGAACTCGGCTAATATGTGAGCTCAACTGAACTGTCTGTGATACCCTTTTTGACGCGACGTTCCAGGAAAAAAGCGCTTAAAGGCGCATGGACGTGCTATCCGGACCACAAGTTCGTTTCATACATGCGAAACCGATTAGAATTGATATCTGATTTCGCTTCAAAGGTCGTTCTATTTACTGGAAAACTGTACTGATCGCTGAGCGAAAACTAGACACACGCGCGACTGAGTCAGGCTTATAGGCACGTCCATGTGCAGTATTTGGATCGGCAGCGCTCATTTTTTAAATAGATCACTAAGTCTCGCTATGCAATCGGGGGCGTTCATTCAGTACATTGTCCTCTTGGTTGCTATCATATCTCGAATGGATATCCTCACTGTTGAACTACTAGCGGGAATTCAGCAGGCATCTTCAACCGTTCGACAACTGCATGATATCTTGAAAAATGTAAGTGTAGGAAACGATCGTTTCTTCTTGGTGTTTCATGTGCCCATTCACAGCTAGCTCACACCACGTCGCCCAAAGTGATGTTTCAGGGCCTTGATATAATCAGCATGGATCCCGCACAGTTGGACCCCAGTGCCTTGGGCTGTTTAGTCTCGGACACGATTACGTCGGAAACAGATGCACCCAGGACACCCGCCCCGCTTCCATCAGTTACTCGTATGGCCGTCTCTTCTTCCTTCTTCGGGTAGTCACTTATCAATGAATCACTCAGATGATTCTTCCCTTGACGGTGACCGCAGCATGCTTGCACAAGCAGAGGAGCCAGTGGAGATTATTGTTAAGAGGAAAAGGACCAAGAAGAAGAAAGATGAAATTGATGATATCTTCGGTTTCTAATCCACTCTGTGGGTGTCAAACCTGGTTCATTGTAGTGGCTACCTAAAAAAGGTTCCCGGAATTTGTACCAAATAGTAGTACGAAGAGAAGTGAAAAAACAAAGAAAGATGAGATCACATCAACGAAAAGGAAGAGCTGTTATAGTCCAAAACTTGCACGGGGAATCAACGGTATATGATCATATTCTATAAAGTCCATGTAGCCAAAGGAAAGGAAACCTTTTCAGAACCTCCTCGAAGGATATTCATGACAGTTACACAAGGAAGAACGTAGCCGCAACAACCATGATGGCAACAAATGCCTTTGGCGATGTCACAGCACCAGCACCGTTCTGCGTAGATTGTGAAGATGCACTGGCAGAGCTCGAGGCTGCCGCAGAAGCAGGAACACTGGAAGTGGCGGCTGGCGAAGAAGACGCCGACGCAGAGGACGACGCGGTACCTGCAGCATTCTGAAGTGCTGCAGCCACGTCATCGGGAATCATCAAAGGAGTGCTAGACGCCGAGCTGAGGTCGATTGAACCGTCTTCCTTCATAACTTCAGGGTTCATGGCCAAAAGGTTTCGAGTATACAAGACGTTCTCCATGACAGGCTCCTGGGCCCATGAAGGGAGCTGAGCCATGTCAATGTTCTGACCCCAAGTGCTGGCGGGTTTGCCGGATGTCATGTTGTTAGTGTAAGCGGCGTAGTTTTTGACAGTGGAGCTCTGCAAAATCACAAGTTAGTTACCACGTATAAGATATCGTGTTAGACCCGCACATTAGCAGCAACACTCTGCATCATTCCAGCGACCGACGTCGAGGCCATGGCAGCATTAGGTGGGTTACTGGAATTGTAGTCGATTAAGTGAACGTCAAATATGCTAATAGGATCAACAGCTTACATGATAGCGAACATACCCTTCTGACAGTGCGTAGGAACACCGCAGTAGTAGAAGAGCGGGTTTGTATCATTGATGACTTGGGAAACTGTAAAGCAGTAAGTATGGGCGCGCATTGCGAATGACGTAGTACACTGACAGGTGAAGTCCTTGAGCTGAACTCCGGATGTGAAGGGATTGTCAGATGTCTTGTTGCAAGGAGCAAGCTCAGAGCTCTTAGTGACAGTGTGGTTGTTCGCACCCCATTGGAACACAACTGTGTCTCCGACGGAAGCATTCAAAGCGAAGGGGACATATCGCAAGACACCTTGTGTAGGCGCAACAATAACTGTGTGAGTCGCACCAGTACCCGAGCTACCGGAGGTTGCTGTGGCAGTTGGCGCAGTATATGTAGCAGCAGATCCTCCGAACGACGCAATGCATTCTATAGAAGATGGGTATAATGAGACGGTGCACGCGTACATGCGAGAATCACTTACGTTGAACACAGTTATCGTACGAACCCCAATTCTGGCTGCCGGAACCATAGGTAGCGGCCGCGGTGGTCATCGCGGCCTCAGTGGTCATTGCTGCTTCAGTGGTCATCATTGCTTCGGTGGTCATCGCTGCTTCCGTAGTCATCGCTGCTTCACTAGACATCGCCTTCGACATCATGGTTTCAGAGGTCATCGCAGCAGCAGTAGTAGCCGCAGCCCCATAGCCACCATTCGCCGGCGAGCTTGCAGCGGTAGCTTCAGATACGGATTGACTGCTGAGTATTAGCTGATGTGTTCAGAAAGAACAAGATAACGTTTACCTCTGGAGCTCAGCTGAATCAGTAAGCGGTATGCCATTTGGTGCCGAGACTCCGACTTCCTGGCCAAGTGCACTGTCGGGTCTGGGTAGAGCAAGCGTAAAGCCAGAAAGAATGGCGGTAGCACCGATGAGAGGGAGAATGAAAACCATGGTTGAATAATGAAAGAATAAACCGTAGGGGTGTGAATGTCGTAGGACTGTGAGCAGAAGAACCTCCCTGGAGGATTAGAAGAAAATTCTCTATCGAAGAGGTGATCTGTATCATCATGAGTACGCGTGAAGATGGTAAGGAGAGCGATACATGCCTCAAGGCTGAACGAAAGAAAGGATGCCGAGTCAACTCGACGTTGAAAAAGACGAAGGAAATGGGAGGGAAAAGAAACGAAGATGCGTGGAAAATAACGGCGGCCGCATTTATAGGATGTTCGGATGAGAGGGATCCATGGCAACATGATTCCCATCCGCGGCCAAAATATCTCCTACAGCCCCTGACTAACACAGGTTATGAATGGCTCTGATTCCTCTCGCCGTGATTGGTCGGATTTGTTGCTGGTGTTCCAATCTGCCAATCCATGAACGGACATCTCGGACGCTCGTTGCTACCTTGTTTTTGAAACCAAGTGCCACTATCGCATTTCCGCGTACACAAAGGGGTCTCTCCCAGGTGCAGCTGTACAACAATTGTCACTGGTATTCAATAAAATAAGTCTTACAAAACGAAGAGAGCCACACTACGAAAAATCGCCAAGAATAAGGTCCGTTCCCTGTCCCACACCTCCGGTTGTGTACACGCGGTTGCATCAAGGTTGCATCAGAATTGAATGGGTCGTTCATCATCCAATCAGTCACCTCATCGTGACCTCGTTGCAGGTCCTGACGGTAATCCAATCCGGTCTCGCTGGCTGATATAATGGTCAATAGGAGGATCGCGATTGGCCCGTGGGTTGACTGCACTTCGTTTGGCGTCTCGGAGTGCTTTCAAACGATCTGTCGCTTTCGATGGCGGGTAATCATCCGCATAATTAGGTCTATACGTTCGTTCGAATCTCGAAGGAGCGGGAGGAGTGACAGTTGCTGCGTCGTAAATATCGCGGAGACCTCTCGGACGGGGTAGCTCGGTAATTGGATTCTCAGCCACCTCATATCTATCATACCGAGAAAGCGGTGTACGCTCATGCTCGTCAAAGAGCCATGCAGGGAGATCAGACGGATCGCGAGCCTTTTCAATGTGATAGGCTTTCATTGCACGCGTGAGGCGCGACTCCTGCCCTGGAGGTGTCTCTGCAAAATCGTTTCCAATTAAACGCGTGTCAGATATAACTGTCTGATACTCACCCTCGCCTGACATAGTTGTAACATTGGTAGCCCAGGCTTTGCTGACACTGACGGTCAGAGTACTTGCTGCTGTGGCAACCCGACTCCAAATAGTGGCACCGTCGCCAGTGTCTGTCGAACTAGCTTGCGGCTGACCATAACCTTCGACAGCGTCAGCTCAAACTGCAACTAAAATACCTTTAGGAACGCACTAGATTCAATGGCATTTGATCGCATAGGCCGTCGGGTACGAAGAGACTGTCCGGCGTTCCCGGCTGACCGTTGCTCGTCGTCGTCAAGGCTTGCGAGAGAAGATGAATAGCTTGCGGCAGGCTTCATACGATCGAATAATGATGGAGCAGGCGAAGACGCTGACGATTTGCCAGACGAGTGATAAGAAGTGGCGTCAGATAGAGGGTCGTAGGACTGTTTAGTGTGCGAAGATGCCCATCGTGACTGTGGCGACGGCACTGGGCGAGAACGACCGCCTTGAATGGACGGCGTAGATTTCTGAGGGCGAACTCGTCGCTGTACAGATGGTACTCGACGGCGACCGTCCTCTCCATCAAGTCGGTAACGATCCCTGGAACGCGAGCGTCGGGGGTTGCTGGGTAGCCCGCCAGCGTGAGAACGGGTAGACATAAATTATTCCAATAACGAATAGAGAAAACGATCAGTAAAGGTAATAATACACAGACCAGCTGGAATTATGAGAGAGCGAACTGAGACGAAGAGGGAGAGGAATCTGTGGAGCACAGCCACATACATCCCGAACAAATCGGAGGCCGGACCGGTCACCCTCGAACGACTTCACCGCAACTGTTACTTTGTCCAAGTTATACTTGATAGACCACTGGCTTCATGAAGTATTTGGCTAGCGAATGGCCATTTGTTTCCGTATATATTTTCGTGTCTCAATGGACCTCTTAGGCTCGACACCACCTCATTGCCGCTTCAAGGTGGTGACTCAGGGTCTCATTCCTACTGGCGTCTATTCCTCTGTGGGCCCAGCACTTCTTTCGGCTTCAGTGCTAAATAAATCCTTGTGCATGCTTTTCCGCCAACTAACTGGCTGCACCGAGACGTCACGGTTACCACTCGTCGACGTGCTAATCACTCTGGACTCTTTCGGTTGCATTTTCCTCCGAGCCGTTTCTTCTATCGTTTGTGGATGAACACGTACGAAAGAACCGGTATCATATTGGTTCCATCTCAAAAAATGCACAGTTGATGCGTTGCATACCCTCAAACCTTTGTCGCTTCCGTGTCGCTGTGCGAAGCCATCCTGTTATGTACACCGCGGCTTGCAGCGCGGAAAAATAACCGATAATCCTTGTGACCCATACCATGCCTTCGAAGTCCAGTTTCTTAACTTATTGCTATCATCGGTTCACTTTTTCGCAAGCATGGCGTCAGTGAGCGTCATTGCATGGTGGGGTGCACTTGTGCTAGAAACCATGGGAGAAGCATTGCTTCTCGTTTCATTATGCCTGAGTCGAAACCGCCTACGTATGCACGATCTAATTCCCAATTCCCCCCTCCGATCGACCGTATTTGCTCAAAAAGGCGATACCGGATTCATCAGAACAACACGTAAGTACTGTTGTATACCTGTTTAAACTACTGAAGGGGCGGGCTTTCTAGCCCGGCTGGCTGCGTTGCTCATGGACTAGAATCGATAACGGGTACAGTCGCGACTGTCTGAATGCGTGGGAATGATGATCACGGACAAGATACGGATGGCTTTCCGTACGCCTTTAGCAGCACGGACCAGATCTCTCTCCGACCTGTGTAGGTTCGAGTCAGATGCCTTCCGACCTTCGTGTCGTACTAAAATCAGCCAGATACCTTGGACGGCAACGTAGGTCTCTTGCGATGATTTAGGCAACTTTGTCAGCCTATGTTCTTATGTCTTTGTTCTCTCTTTGTGGAGACTCCAGACTGCTAGAGGACTTCTTGGCGTGCGACTTCTTTCTGCCTGTTTGCCGTTTGTCAGGTTTCCAGGCATATGAATGACACCAAGGCGCATGACAAGACCTACAAGGGGAAAATATGCGGACCACGCTGAGGGCTTCTGGAAAGATGCTTGGATCGTTTCACGAACACATTCTGTCCTATGTGGCAGCTGTTTTGTGGAGCAGGTTTTCACCCTTGTGTCTATGTTTAAGATAACGCAGTGCTTGCATTGGCATGTTCAAATCCACTATAGGATGACATGAGGAGAATCTGTAGGTAACCAGTATTCCGAATTCTTCATGTATCAATGATGCCCTTTGACAAGACTGGTCCGTATTCTGGCGCTTCACGGGCAACAGGCGCAACTACGTTCCGGTTGATCCAGCTGAGAGAACTACGTTAGCGAAAGTCGCAGGAATGAAGGTTGTCGGTCCGAGCTTCCGCAGAAATACACCTGAGAACTTTCTCTTGAGCTGTCGAACGTCAATCGCAGTAGCCTCCTGCTAGCAACTGTTACAGCTTAAAGTAAGGCTAATGAACTGCTTCTTTCTCGGTTATACAGTCTAAAAAGCCGTACTGCCCTCTGTGAGCACAATATTCAATTTTTGATGGGCTATAGTTGCACCGAGTCTGGATTCCAAGGATGATCGATGATCTACTGAGTCAATTGGCATTACATGACGCTAGCCGCGGTAAGTATGCCTTTCAGTAATTGAGATACCAAAGAGCGCCTGGGCGGTGAGTCGCCTGTCAAGCGAGCTGAACAGTGGACGCTGCTGACAGGACGCAGCGCCTGATCCCCCTAATCCGAATTCCCTGAGCCGACGGGCCGACCCGTATCAGCACTTTGAACATTGTGAGTGGACGGTTCCCCCCGCTATTCCGATATGGGTTCCTTATGAAGCTTGAAGTCGCTATCCAACGGAATCAAACAGTGTCCTCCTTCCTTCCACCGCTATGCTCACCGTCCGACGTGTCGCCTGTTCTGCTAAATGGTCTCGTCTCGCCAGCACCTCCGCACCTGGAGATAAGTATAAAGTCATCGTAGTTGGCGCTGGTACACCTTTTTTCCACATCGATTGCACCGTTTTCCCAGGCTCACATTCGGCCAGGTAGCGCTGGCTTATCTGTCGCCAATCAGGTGTACAATCGCTTCAAATCTGCTGGAAAACCACTGAACAGCGGAGACGTTGCCGTTATTGATGCTGCAGAGTTCCATTATTATCAAGTGAGCATTCCTCCCGAAAGAAAATGACATAGTCTAATTTGTAACAGCCTGGATGGCATGTCATCTTCCGTTCCGATAATTCCAGCGTCTGACTTCAACTAGGACCTTGGTAGGCTCTGGTCTCAAACAAAAAACCGAAGTTCCGCCGACCAATGGCATCCCTGATTCCCAAACATTTGACCCATGTCAACGAAAATGTCAAGTCCTTTTCTCCCGAATCCTCTTCGGTAACGACGGCATCTGGGCGCAGTCTCACTTATGAGACGCTCGTGGTTGCGACGGGCCTCCAGATTAACTGGAGTGGCATCCAAGGACTTCCCCAGGCACTCTCTGATTCGACATCCGGCGTCTCATCTATCTATTCGTATGATACTTGCGACAAAGTCTGGGCAGACATTGAATCCATTCGGTCTGGTAATGCCGTATTCACGCAGCCTGCTGGGGTTGTCAAGTGCGCCGGAGGCAAGTCCCTGGATGAATACCTAGTATGTCATTGCTAACTGACGTTTTCAGCTCCTCAAAAAATCATGTGGATGGCCTGGGATAGGTTCAGAAAAACCGGTAGGAGGGAGAACATCAAGATTGATTTCTACACTGGGATGCCCACCATGTTCAGTGTCAAGAAGTACTCGGATGCTCTAAATGCCCTTCGCGTTGAACGTGGCGTCGGCGGTCACTTCCAACACAACCTTGTCGCGATTGACTCTGCCAACCACAAAGCCACTTTTGCCAAGACTGACGGATCAAAAGTCGATGTGGACTACACCATGTTGCACGTTACACCTCCGATGGGTCCCTTGGATTTTCTCAAGGGCTCGCCCATTGCTGACAGCGCAGGATGGGTCACCGTCGATCAAGGTACTCTGCAGCACACGAAGCCAGAGTACGCCAACATCTTTGCTCTGGGAGACTGCTCATCCTTGCCCACGTCTAAAACTGCTGCGGCGATCACCGGACAAGCTCCCGTCCTGACCGAAAATCTCTTCTCTTTCATGGACACAGGCAAGATTAGCAACGCAAGATATGATGGCTACACCAGCTGTCCGGTGCGTCGCGTCTCGTCTATTCTGGTATCTGTAGTGGTCTGACCTATTTCTAGCTTTTGACCGGATACGGTGAACTAATGCTCGCCGAATTCAAATACGGGCTTGAACCGAGTGAGACATTCTCGTCCTTCGTCGATCAATCAAAGAGCCGGAGGTAATTCTATTTCGTCCCCTGCCCAAGTACGACACTAAAAACTTTACTCCAAGATTGTTCTATCACCTCAAGAAGGTATGACATTGGCTCTGGCCCGTGAATAATTTACTCATAATTGCACAGGATATTTTCCCCGCCACTTATTGGCAGTTCATGGTAGGTGGTTGTCTCTTCTCATGGATGTCTCCTCAATCTATGTCTTTCTTCAGGTTCACGGGCAGTGGTTTGGTACCAGAGGGATCTTCAGGCCCCGCTTCTAAAATGTAGCGTAATTTGGTAGACGATGTCATTTCAAGTTCGTGGGAATACATAGATTACTAATGTTGGCCTTTCTGGGGTTGTTTTCTCACGACATCGTGTCACAACTGTGACTACGCATCTTTCACGAACACCACGAGGATCTCTGTTGACAGGCTGAGCCGACAATGTCGACGCGGCTCACTACGACCCAAGTCATCGAGCAAGGACGATATCTAGACCCAGACTTTGAGGCATCTTCACTGACGGTATCTCAGCTCATGGGCGTCCTTCTTCACCACCGTGTCAACTTTCCAACACCATACTCTAAACCAAAGCTCGTTCAAATCTTTAACGAAGAAATCAAGGCAAAGTTATCGCCTCTGAAGCGTCAGCGTTTGAAACAGCAAAACAGCATTGCAAGCGATGATGGAATAACTGACGGTGTAACGGGGCAACCACTGGCCGGTAGTAGTGAAACAAAGGTGAGGATGTCGCGTTTTTATTGTATTCGGTCTACTGACTCTGTGTCAAGACTACCGCACCAGTGAGGAGGTCTTCCAGGCGTTTTTCTCGTGCCCCAACACAAGAAGCGGAGTCCTCTCCGCCTCGTCCTGATCCAGTGCGTTCATATCTTCAATTCTAATTTTGACTTGTCTAGAACATAGACTTGACAGCCCAAACGCCGTCGTTCTTCGGCACAACCAAGCTTGGGCGGTCCATCGCGTAAATCCACCGCCAACAAGGCACCAACGCTGGTCGAAGAGAGTGAACCTGAGGAAGAGTTACCGGTTCGCAAAGTTGGAAGGAGCAAGAAAGCTGTGAGTGGCGTATTCTATCTCTGAGTCAACGTCTGATATGATTGTGTTCTCGCAGTCCGATACTGCAGGAGCATCGAGTCGTCGAGTCTCTCATACTGTGTGTAGCAAGGCTTCTCTCCAGTGAATACTGATTCAACAGTCAAACAGGAAGACAGTGGCTGGGAAGACAATAATGTCTTTCAGTCTGGTGCCGAATCGTCATCGCCAATGCGTCCTTCGCCTGTACGTCCGAGAACGAGGCGGCCGCTACGGCAGTCGCGAAAATCTTCTTCGGCCCCTCCCCAAATGGTCCCTTTATCACCACCTCCGCCTGCTGTGGGACCAGGCGGTTTACACCGATCACCTCCCCAATCCCGGTTTGAACCCCAGCTGCCATCCATCATATCGGCAGGATCGCGCTTATCGGTACCAAGGTTCTCCACCCCCAGTCCTCCGCACCGGGAACCAGAAAGCGAAAACAAGGATGAACCAGTCGGGGAAGCTATACCCGATGATGACCAGGGCATAGTTGAAGCGGACGAGGTCATGGATCATGCTGTTGACCATGAAGCCAACGAGGAACCGGATGCTGTTGAGGATCTTCCGGCCTCTGCTATATTACCTCTTCGAGGACAAGATGTAGTTGAACGTCTTCTCGCTCAAGCACAGAGGCCACCTCCACCCGCTCCGCTGTCACCTGCGATTCGATTGCTCCTTCTAACATTCTTCGTGGGGTTCGTAGCCGTGATCTGGAATTTTAAATTGCAATCCGTATCATTTGGTTACTGTGACCCCGGGAGTGATACAAACCCTTTACTAGAAGAAGCGAGAGTCAACCGGAAGGCCATCGAATTGTGCAACCGCGAGAACAGGAGTCTTCTACATGTGGATGTCGAAGGAGATTCAACGCCGTGTCCGTTACCCCCCATCCTGCCAACGTTCTATCCCGATTCATGCACTCCATGTCCGAGTCATGCGGCATGCACCCGGGACAGCGTGACATGCAATACCGGTTACATGTTGCGTTCTCATCCGCTGGCTTTCTATTTGTCGCCCGTATCTTCTCGGAACGACATAAATCTGTCGCTTTCATCGCCACCCAATGATCTTGTCTGGAGATTGGTTCACGAACTAGTTGATGGATTGCCTGGGTTTCCAAGTGTAGTTCTACCTCCCTCCTGTGTGGAAGATCCGAGACGCCAGAGGAACATCGGGACCTTAGGCAAATACATTGATAACGTTCTTGCAGAGAAACGAGGCGAGATTCTTTGTGCGGGTAATGCAACTGACGTCGCCGATGTTGATGGTGGGGACGCGAAGAAGTGGGGAATGCCCCTTGATAGTCTCCTAGATCTCATGTTGAGTTTGACACCGGTGAGTAATACTGTCATTCTATTTGCCAATCTAGACTCTGAGTATCTTGTAGGCTCACCTCATTAAAAACTTTGACGACCTGTTTACCGAAGCTATTCAGCAATTGGTAGAATGGGGTGGTGTTATCATAAGTGAAGATTCCAGGTGCGTTCGTGTATCTCACGTTATAAATTTGTTTTTCACCCATTTGTATTCATCTCCAGCGGTGACCGGTACATTGCACACAACACTCCTAAACTCAGTTGGGCGTGTACCGTGAGAGTCAAGTCTCGAGAAACATGGATCGCATGGCGATTGACGCTGTATGGTACGTTTCCGGTGCAACATGCTATGCAGCGCCACTAATCATTCCTATTACCGCTAGGCCTGCTTGCTTTTGGCGTTTTCACACTCCTAGCCCAGCGCAGAAGAGCCAGAGTCGAGGAGGATGCTAAACGCGTAGCGGACCTTGCTGACTACGTGCTTGCAAAGCTCAAATACACGGAACTAGGGCATCATACGGATCCCATAACTGTACCATTCCCGTACGTACCATCCGTCCGGCTGCGCGATGAGGTCATGCCCCTCGAACCTGAATGGAGGAAAAGGGAGCTATGGGATGAGGTAGAGAAAGTTGTTGAGAGTAATGCGAATGTTCGAGCGAACATTCAAGAGGTGTATGGCGGCGATGAAATGAGGGTGTGGCGGTGGGTTGGAAGTCACCCATTCACCGGCATGCAGACCCCAAACAGATTCAATGTTGGGGCCCAAACGGCTGACGACGGCACGGGTGCTCGATGATAGTATCTTTCATTCTTGTTTACTTTTTCCTATCGCTCGTCGTTTATCTATGTAATAAGATATTAGGTAGTTCTACTGTTCAATACACATACACGGCATGCGCCGCATCGATTGTCCTTCCATACTGAATGAAGTACTTCCGTGAACGCCACGGATGGCGTGTTATCATCGACGTTGAGCGTTTCACTCAACTGAGGAGAGTCGTCTTGACCACAGAGTGGCAAAAGGGGCAGTCTATGAATCTGACAGGTACATGACGACTTTCTTACTGGTCAATCCCCGAAAAAGATCCGTTATTGTGTTATACTTGTGCAACAAAGAAGTCGACACATAAGGCAAAAAACTTATCGAGAACCTGCATCAACTGCATATATTTGTCCTGTTCCTCCGGACCAAGGCACGCTAAGCAATGCCGATACGATGGGCCTAGATATCTGATGAACTCCACAAACAGGGTCAAGACCACGGAGATCCCATCGACATACTCATGGGGACACCAGACTGTATTTTTTCAATCAGCGCCCGCTTCATGAATTGTTCCTCCGCTAATATGCGGGTAGTCTGGTGTGATAAATGAGCTCTGGTAGCCTCATATAGAAACAGAAATCACCATACCCTGAGAAAACGTTCCAAGTCAATGCGGCCGCTGTTTAAGGCTCTATGGAGATGATAAATAGTATCCTCAATAGCGTTGTCTTCTGCAACCAGGTTAATGAGCCTGAAACGATGGCGATTCACACAGATGATGAGCGTCATTGAGGGAAAGTGAGTTTATAACTCACTGATTGTGAACTATTGTCGTCGAGCAAACAAGCTCATCAACTTCAGGGTCCCCCTTCCGACGAAGCTCAGACATATTCCGTTCCGTCTGATCAACAGTGCTTCTCATACGACTGCTCACATTACGACAAACGTCTCGAACAGCTTCTAATCTCGCCATTTCATCACGGATGGCAGGTTCGCCGAGGAGTAAATCAGATTGTTGCGCACGAAGGCGCTCAGCATCGAGGGACAACGCTTGAGCTAATGAAGCAAGTTCAGAAGTTAATTTCTGGTGAACTTGATCGTGAAGCCGCAGGAGTTCAGGGTTTGGAGGTCGAGGCGGAGGAGCAAAGTTTGATGGGCCAGACGAGGAAACGTCTACAGACTCTTCATCTAAAAGGTTGGGAACGGGCGGAGGGCTCACTCCTGGGGGTTGCAGAGGCTGCGTTAGAGCGTGAGGCGGTAAAGTGTTAGTAAAATTTGGGGGTAATATAGGTGGAGATGCGATGACGGGTGGGGGAGGTCGTGGGGGAGGACCCGAGGATCGAAGATCGTGGAAGCGGAATTGACTTTGAGGGGGCGAAATAGAGGGAACAGGCAAAGCTATTGAAACTGAAGATGATCGGTCTGCAGGAGGACTCCTCGGGACTTCCAAATCGACTCTTGGATGAGACGGAAGAGAAGGAGGAGGGCGGCTCTCAAGTACCGTTGACTAATGAAACGTCAGTAGGACAACTGATATTCATGCTTCATTGTTACCTTTCCTAAAGGTGAAGAAAGCACAGGTGAGGAACGGCTTAGTGAAGGTGAATGCGAGGTAAATCTTGAAGCATATCCCGGCTTGGGAGGTAATACAGGGCGGTTGGGTGATTGTGGTGGTGGCTGCTCTGGCCGTGGACTTGTGGGTAAAGGCGGTGGTGGCTTCTGTGCATACTCTGGATTTCCACTTGGGGGTCTGGCAACTTGTTTGGGTTTGGCGTACACGGGCGGCTCGCGAGAGAAGTAATCCTGCAAAGTTTCGACCAATCCTGATAGGCTACAACCCTAAAGGAACGATTCCCGAGTCGGCGATAATCAAATGGGGTCCAAATTCAATCCTACCTCGCTCTTACGACTCCAGTTCTGCATGTATTCAATATTACACCGTCCGCTGACATCGATATACTTCCCAGCCTTGACTAGCATGTCGCTGGTGGGCACGACGTAGACGATGGGAGGCTGAGCCGGGTATTCCCTTGTGAGCCAGATCGCGACAGGTATATTGTAGGAAGCATCACGATATGAGATAGGAATGAGTCCATGAATACAGAGCAAGAGCTGGGTCCGACCATCGTCATAGGCTGGATGGGATTAAGTCAAGGACAAAGAGACAGACATTCACGAACTGTAGACGTCCGATTTGGGCCGTAGCGAAGGATAACGCGACAGCGCCGCATCCGTATCCGAATAAACGCGTTCTTTGCTGGAATATGGCTGTATGTTTTGGCGAAGCCATTTCTGAGTCAAGGTATACTCCATACCGCGCCGGCAGCGTCAGTTGCCCGGAAGAGTAATTAAAACTCCGCTATACTCCGCTTATATTTCAATGTCCGCCCCTGGTCCCAGTCTATTCCGACTTTCAAGTCTGTTGTTTCCTATATGTCCGTCACCGTCCATGCGCTGTCGGATATTGTTATCTCCACTTGGATTCCGTCCCCTGTCGAATCGTCGAAACCAAGAATTGGGTCCAGGGGACAAGGCTGACCGATGCCAATTCGGGGTTCAAGTCCGAGGGTGCATATTCTGGGGCCCGACCTACCATACTGGCATAGAATCGGCAAGCAGAATCTGCTTCCGTGCACAAAAATATCTCAAAAGATCTGCACGCTACGCAGCCACCAAAGGAAGCATTTTTCGAGTAAATTCCTGTTCCACGGAAATATTTCCGGTGCGACAAAATGTTGTATACTACCCTGGAGAGTGCCAGCACGATGTCCCCCACCAATACAGTGGGCCTCGGAGCAGACCGTCGCTGCTGTTCCCTGTGAGTCATTTCGCCAAAAGAGGCAGGCTGAAGGCTGATTTTGCCATCACCACAGCTTCGCTCTAGGTGATTTCGCAAACTTCCGCAAACTTCCAGACCTGTCGATCACACGAAAAAAAATACCACTTCTAGGCCGTTGTTCTTGGTGTTTTTTCCTCATATTCTTGGCTCGTTTTGTCAGAATCTTGTGGGCTGGCCAGGAACTTATTCTTGACGCAGGGTGACAGATTTGTGTGGTCCTTATTGGGTGAACGGACTTAATGATCGGTCCGATGTGTATTGTTTGAACGCCAGCCTTTGTCTTGATGGGCGGTACACGGTGTTTTCCTTAAACATCCTCCCGATCTCACATCTGGCAGGGACGCCAAAATACACTATCTCCAAAACGACGGCTCTTAACTTCCCAAATGGTCTTCATCGGATCTTAACTCTAACCACACTTGTATTCGTTTTACACTTGATGATGCCCCATCGTAACCCGTGAATAGTCCCCGAATGAACGCCAGTTCCTCTTATATAACGGCACGCCTCTTTTGTTTTCTTCCCCTCTAGCTCTTTCTCCCCCCGACCGCTGCTCTACCTGTCTCCCCCCATATATTCATGACATGTCCCTCCCTTCTATACCCACCTCAGGCGCCACTAAGACGCGTAAAACAGACCACTCAGCCAAGTCTCTTACCCCCCAGCGGAAGCACCGCAAACTTTTGAAGGATGGGAGCGGTACAGAGGTATGGCCAGAGGGTATAGAGAAGGTGTTCGTCGAGGGTACAGCCTTTTCCTCATCACTACACGTGCCTTTGTTCAACTTGATCGATAGGTCTCCGCCAATACTGGCAGTCACCTTGGGCCACCTACTCTCGCGGCCGAAGTCGTTGGCGAAATCAGTTTTTGGTTGACTATTTGCAAAGAGCCGGCATCACAAGAACCAAGAAGCAGGTTGCTAGTCACATCCAGGTGCTACGGAATATGTGGAAGGGCGAACAAGGTATGTTTCGACCGTGACATCCTGTGCACCGAACCATATGCTCACTCTATTTTCGTCAGAGTTTCACTTGGTGGCGGGCGGCGAAGAGCTCTTCCTTGAAGCCGGTTTATTGGGATCCGTCAAGACGGAAGACCAGCACGAATTGACTCTAATTCCCCTGGAATTTGATGATAACGATACGGCCTCGTCGCAGTCTTCACCGAACTTCTCAGATTTTACCTCCGAATTCCCGTCGTCCCCTTCGGGCGCCTCTCAGTTATACGTATTTGATTCTTATTCTCCCGATATCTCAGTTGCCTCGCTTACATCGTCCCCCGAGCAACCGATTTCCCCTGTCCTCTCATCCTCCTCAAGCCAACGGTCGCAATATGACGCGACGTTGTCGTCGGAACAGGCGGGTCCCTCTCGACTCCACTCTTCCCAATTTCCCAAACCCGGTCCGATGGGGGGATGGCAAAACATGCAGACCTCGCCAAGTATGAGCATATCGCCATCGCGGGGTTTCGATAACCGAGTTACGAGGCTGGAACTTTTGGCGGACGGCATGGCACCCTTTAGTGTTAGAGTCGATGCCTTGGTTCCCCGCGCGCAGTCGCCGGGTCCGGTGCCTGCCCTTTCACTAAAGGTCAAACTGAGTCCTTGCGTCCATCAGCGATATTCGGAGTCCTCCCACGCTCCATGGTTTTGCCGCAACCATCTGCTTGTCCAATGTCTGGGCTACCTATGGCAAGTGTGCTACCAAAGTTTATGCTGGTGGTGTATGTATATCGGAAGAACTCGAGGCTATTCAGGTCAATAGTGTCGACGTCGGAGTTGTGAACGCTATGCTCCCCGACTCTTCCCTGACACGGTGTCGGTGGTTAGACGCATGTAAGTGATCCCCGCTTCAACTTCCGAGTGCTTGCTGATGTTTGTAAATAGCTGTCCAGACCGCTCTTACCCAAGAGATTATCGTAGACAATACTACTCTGCTCAAAGTCTTTTACGACCTGGATCGGAATCCACCAGGTAGTTTGCCCCGTGCTGAACTCGTTGGTTTCCGGAAGTACCAGCCTCCAAGCCATGCTTACGCTTCGAATACACCTCAAGCTTATTCGCCTTCCCGTCTTTCGTATTCTCAGCCCCCCTTTCCCACATATAATGGTTCTACCCCTCCATCGCTGTCTGGCGCGTTGACGCCATCCTCTATGAAACCGGTAATATCTACTTCGTCATCTTTCTAAACTAGTTTATGGATTCTTTTACTTCTCACATACGGACTAAAGGTTGTGTTGTATTATATCACTTTCTCGTCGTACTTAGCATTAGTTTTGTCTAATAAACTAGTTTATCTTAATTTTGAACTAGCGGCCGCCTTAAAACTCACGATTTACCACAGTGCAACCATGCCACACTAATAGAGTGACTTAGGGTGGTTTAATAAGAAGCACTACGACGAAGCCCATCTCTCCCCATCGAAGAATGCACTGGATGAAAATGATTATTATGTACATCATTGACCATACGCGTGAGCTAGGAGCTTCTGCGCTTCTGCTCGAACGCTTGCATCACAGTAATTATCCCGTAACGCATACAATTCCCACAAAGTCGTGCCGAACGGGTTGCACAGCTGAGGATCGTCGATATCAGAACGATAGACGCCATCAAGGCTGCGCTCCTCAGTGAAAAGCAACGACTGTAATTTTTCGTCTTTGAGAAGTAACCCGCTGACGAAGTTTAGTGTACGAAGGGTGACAGCAGGAGGCCAGTGAAAAGCAGCGCCAAGTAGGCGCTTCGCAAATGCGGCTGAGCGCCAGGATGGCGCCGTGGTACCTAACGTCCGCGGGGAGAATATAACGTTGAGCGCTCGGAATAACTTGTCAGCCAGTGATTTTTCCGCTCGACCTGGGCTCCCGGGAGGTGTCGAGTGGATACTAGGCATCAAGCTAAGCGGCTGAAGTAAGGCGTATAGGTGCGTGATAAAATCGCCTAGATCAATGTTCAAAGCTTCTCCTATGAATCAAATCAGAAGAAATTTTTAGCGTGGAATTGCTCGGACATTAATGAGGGTGTCCTGACCTTGGCCTGACAGAAGGTCAAAGGCAGTGATGATACAGAGTAAACGATGATGAATGAAAATTTCATCTGTGCTTTCTTCATCTGCTGGCATAGTATCGCGCTCAATAAGACCTTTTAAAACTTGCAAGAGGTCCTTGAAGAAGTCGACATTGACGAGGTGGGCAAATTTTGAAACACCTTCCAACGCTGCCGGAAGAAGTGCGGTCGGTGTGGGGAATTTCAGAATGCTGAAATAGAGAACGAAAAGGAGTTTCAGGGTCTCAGTTTGCTTAAAAAAAGGTCCGTTAGCTAGTGAACATCAAGTTTCCATGAAACTATCCTTACAGTATTAGATCGTTCCTCGATGTCAACTTCTGCTTCCGCTTCACGGAATTCTCGTTCGATTTCTTTCCTTTCCTTCAGGGTTTTTTTCACTTTTTTGCTAAGGTGGGGGGCATCGCCCGGTTTCCTCTTCCCAGGGCCTGGGCGCTTCAACTTCCCCTTCGTAGGCACGTCTTTGTCAGCTTTTGAGTTTGATGCCCGCACACCAAGCTCAGTCTTCAGGCGAAGGAAGGGTAAACAGGAGAGAACTTTCGGGTTGACGTTATAGCGTCTCTCTTTCACCATGCGATTTATCAACCGAACCAGTTCCAAAGATGGCTCTCCAGTCAGATCCGCACGAAAAACTTTGATGATTGAGTCAAGGCATAGATCCGAGCACTAGTCGAAATTATTCGATTAGTGATTCCAAGGATAAGGGGAGGAAAGAACAAACATTGTCCCAAGACTTCTTACTCAGTCGGCCTATGATACACCCCATGAGATTAATTCTAAAATTGAAATGGGTCGCTGAGGTCAACAAAGTACACATGCATTGAAGTGCAATCTCGGTGAGTTCACCGCGTGCTAGGAGAAGATGTGATCCGGTCAGTTTAATATCATAAAAGACGTCATATAACTAGCTACCTTTTGATTCCGCCTCTAACACACGAAGATATGACTGGTAAACACCAACCAGACCTTGCTCCCAGTCCCGAGTCTTGGCAACCTGTTGGCTAACATTCTCGGCTTTTTCCTTGTCGGTAAGGGAACGTATGCGATATCCAGGAATTATGTCAACGAAGACGGCGAGCTGGGATAACATCGCAAGTTTGCGAATTAACGGATCGTTCGGAACGGGATCAGGATGGGTAGGACTGGAAACATGCTCCAAGGAAAAGACGTGTAACCGTCTCAGTAGACCTAGCTACGAAGAGTTAGACTGGTAACATTTCACTATACGACGACATACGCTGGACTCAGGATCCGAAATGATGTCCTGGCATATGCCAGCTATTTGGTGTTTGGCTTCTTGTATTCGCGCCTTTCTCGATGTCCTTGTGATAACATCAACAATGGCAGCCCGTCCAAACCGTGCACCAGTTGAAACATCATCGACTTTTCGAGACGACTGGGCCACAGGCCGGGATTCCTCTTCTTCCTCGACGTCATCCTCCGAATCTTCACTATCAACGATGGTCGACTTTATGCCAAGTTCCTGCACTCTACCATCAGTGAGTTTGATCGGTAAACGCTGAACGGTTTTTTGTTTTGGGCCTTGGAAGACCTGCGAAATGCGAGGAGCCGTCTCATATGGCATTTCAGTATCTGAATCTGAGGCTGACAGTAGATGTACATCGGAGTCATCGTCCTCATTTTCGTAGTCAAAATCATCGTCAATACCAGAGGTCCAAGAACCATCGTCTTCAACGTCAGAGTTGACAGATGGTAAGTCGTCGTTATCGTTCTTCTGTCGTCGGGGTTTACTCATCTGGTGCAGCCTTATGGTTTCCTTTTTACTCCTGTAATAAAAGTGAGCCCGCGTTTTGTCAAGAGACGTGGTGAAAAGCACCGAGAGATTCCAGCCTCGTCAAGACGACCTAAAAATGCAACAGAACTGCCATAGCCATTCAACAGATCCACATCCTGGTCAGATAAACTTGAGTCTTGGTCCCCCTCGGGGATGGGAATGACGAGACGGTCTGCGGCCTTTTCTTTTCCCTTCGCCTTCGTATTTTTAGTAGGCTGATGCTTCGTGGATTTCGACTTGTCGCCATGATCCAATTTTCTTCGTTTGGACGGCTTCTGGAATCAATATAAGAGAATAAGAGAATATATTCATATTCACAAAGCAATTCACCTGTGAAGGAGGGCCCGACCGCTTTCCTGTTTTCATGGCAGAAGAATCAAATAATTGATCATTTTTCCAAGTTTGTCTCAAAGACGGCTAGATCACGTGCCTAGCCTTGACCCTTCAACGAGCTTGCTAGTCAACGTTATTTCTGTGTTCTAAAGGTTCAGCATTCTCACCTTGGCCATGGATGGGCCACCGCCACCAGAGGAGGACTTCTCTGCTCTCCCAATACCCGAGCGTCTCACGCACAAGAACTGGAAAGCTCGCGTCAGTGCATACGAAACACTGGTCAAACTCTTCCAAACTACCGCGTCCGACACTGATCCTGCATTCAAACCTTATCTTAATAACCCGGATCTACTAAAGAAGATAGTAACTGACTCTAATGCAGTTGCTCAAGAGAAGGGTGTGGAGTGTCTGGTGGCATTTGTTAAATACGCTGGCGAAACTGCAACCAAAACGAGAGAGGTCGTTGTACCCGCTTTGGTAGAAAAATGTTTTGGCTCTTCGCGTGCTGGCACGAAAGCGCAAGCCCTTGAATTGACACTGCAGTATGTGGAGGTTGAGAACGGCGGTGTCCGGGGTTGTGGTGCGTCCAATATCAGTTCATCTTGTTGGGACTATATCAAGCATTCTCTCTGCAGGCTGACATTCTACCGGGTCTTGGGGCTAAGCAGCCGAAGACAGTTTCAGGATGTGTTCTAGCTCTTAAGGAGATCGTACGGTAAGTGTTGGTCCTAATCATATCTTACGTTTCAAGCTAAACGATATGACAGGACGTTTGGAATTCAGGCTACTCCTCCCCCTCCGATTCTGAAGATTTTGCCCAAGATATTCTTCCCATTCTGACAAGACCGTTCGCGCCGAAGGGACGACACTCGCACAGACTCTATACCAATATGTGGGTCCCGGCATTGAGCCATGGTTAGCGGACCTCAAGCCTGTCCAAGTCAAGGAGTTGAAAGAATCTTTCGACGCCATGGACAACGATGGTAAAGGTAAAGGAACCTTGAAGCCTGAGCGATTAACCCGGGCCGCTGCACGGGACGCTGAGCTTGCAGAAGCAGCCAGTGGAGGTGATCCCGCCGACGCAGTTGAAGAAGGTGAGTTTATTCTTCCAAACATGACATATGGTTTTGAATGCGCAGTAGAGCCTGCGGATATGGACCCTCGTGCCTTCGCTGAACCGGTGGACATTGTATCCAAGTTGCCCCCTGCGTTGCAAGCAGGACTTACGTCGTCGAAATGGAAAGAACGAAAAGAGGTTCTCGATGACCTCTCCGCTCTACTCTCGGCCACCCCTCGAATCAAGGAAGCGTCAGAACTGGGGGATCTCGCGAAGTCTCTAGCAGTCTGCATTCAGAAGGACGCGAATATCAACTGTGTTATGACGGCAGCTGCGTGCATGCAAGCACTCGCCAAGGGCATGATGTCCTCGTTTGCTAGATATCGAGAGATGGTTGTACCAGTGATGTTAGAGAGGCTGAAGGAACGCAAAGCAACCGTTACTGATTCCATAGGCTTAGCTCTGGACGCAGTTTTCTCCACGGTACGTTGCAACTACCTTCCTTATCGACTTACGGCGCATGCTGATACTTCTCAAGACTACTCTAGCTGATATCATCCCTGATCTTGGGACAGCCCTATCATCCAAGAATCCACAGGTCAAAGAAGGGACCCTGAAATTTCTTGGTCGGTCATTAGCGTCTGCCACTTCTCCAATACAGCCCCCGCAAGTCAAACCACTAGCTGAAACTCTCGTTACCCTCCTAGAAGATAGTTTCGAAGGCGCTAGAAACGAAGCTGCTAATTGCCTCGGCACGTTGATGAAGATGGTAGGGGAGAGACCGTTGAACGCCATGGTGGAAGCAGTTGCAGATGTCAGGAAAACCAAGATCAAAGAGGCATACGAGAAAGCTACGGTAAAATGTAAAGCCGGCGGAGCTGCACCACCTAGAGCTGCACCTGCTGCACCACCGCCGGCAGCCGCTCCCAAGAAGAAGGCACCGGCACCAATGCCTGTCGTCGTAGAAGACGAGCTTTTGGAGTCACCTCCGCTCAGGAAACCCTCAGCAAAGCCTCCTGCGCGACTTCTGGTACGTCCCAACGCGTCATCGGAAACTCTATCATTTAATTGTATCTTAGGCTCGAACTCAAAGTTCCGGGAACGCTCCCGCCGCTGTCGCGCCTCCTCCCAAGAAAGCCCCACCGCCGATCTCCGCAAAATCATCCAAACCGCAAGCACCTAGCGCACCTGGAACTCTAGATACTTTCAAATTCAAGCATACACCAGAAGACGCAGAGACTCTGGCAGCTGACGCAATACCCTCTTCACTCTTGAGAGATCTTGCAGATGCAAACTGGAAAACCAGATTGGCTGCCTTAGACGAAATGTCGACTTGGCTCGACGGCGTAATTAACGATTTTGATGCAGAAGTTTTAGTTAGAGCCTTAGCCGGAAAAGGCTGGTCGGAGAAGAATTTTCAGGTACTTATGTTCTCTCACTATCTAGTATGCATTCGCCGTATTGATGGGTTTCAGGTGTCATCCAAAATATATGGAATATGTGCCACCCTCTCCGAGCGATGTCCCTCATTTGGAAGGTCTTGCGTGGCACTATGCGTTCCTCATATGAGCGAAAAGCTGGGGGATATGAAGTTGAAGAAACCCGCCGGCGACGCTCTTATCTCTTTTGCGGAGAGCACATCTTTGCAGTTCGTCTTGAATCAAGGTGATGACTACATCGGTATCAAGCAGGCATCTGACTAACTAATCAACTAGCTTACGAGCCCTTGTCAAAGCAGAAGGCTCCGAAAGTGCTTGCCGACGCCATCGGCTGGATGAATGTCGCCCTAACCGAGTTTGGCATCGGCGGACTGTCCCTTCGCAGCCTCATCGATTTTCTAAAGGGCGCGTTACAAAACTCCAATGCCACCGTCAGAACAAGCGCCACAAAAACTCTCGTGACAGTCAAATTGTTCGCCGGATCAAGTGCGTTCTTAGGTCTTCAGCAGAATACAAAACTGACTTATATCAGGCATCAAGGATTTACTGGAAGACCTCAATCCTCAGCTGCTGAACACTATAACCGCAGAATTTGACAAGGTTGAAGGTCACGCTCCTCCAGATCCTATTCGGACGTCGGCCGATGCAGTCAGCGCGCCTGCGGCTTCCTCTGGCGGAGGGTCAGGTCATGTCGACGCCTTAGATGACCTCTTTCCCCGAGTTGAAGTGGACGCACTCCTCAAAGGGACTACAATTTTAGCGGATGCGAAGAGCGATGCCTGGAAGACAAAGAAAGAGGCACTCGAAACGTTCCAATCCATCCTGGATCAAGGCAGCAACAAGCGACTGAAACCAAATATGGGTAGGCAGGCTCGTGTCTTTCCTGGTCTAATCAACTGATCAGCTATATTGCAGGCGAGATAACCCAAGTGCTCAAGGCGAGAGTCACTGACACTAATAAAGCTGTTCAGACTCTTACACTCGACATTGTGGGACGTATCGCCACGGGTATGGGCAAGCCGTTTGAGAAGCAATGTCGATTTTTTGTTCATCCAGTAACGACCGTTCTGTCTGATCAAAAGGCACCTATTCGAACAGCTGCTCTGCTGACATTGAGTGCCATTGCCAGTGCGTGCGACGGCCTCGAGCCCATGGTTCCAGGTATACACAGTGGCCTTGAAACATCCAATCCCATGCAAAAAGGCACATTACTTCACTGGATAGCCGATTGGTTCAAAGAACACCCCCCTCTGTCTTCGCTCGACTTGAGCACCTGGGCATCGCCCATCGTCGTGTCGTTAGACGACCGGAATGCAGATGTTCGCAAGGCTGCACAAGCTCTTCTACCATCGTTGATTACATGCGCTGGATTCGATTATGTGATGCAGCAGACAAACTCTCTGAAGCCTGCTTCTCGTGGAAGTGCAGTACCGCTCATACAAGCCGCTCGTTCAGCGGGTTCCCCTACCTTGCCCACAACCGCAGCGTCGACACAGCCGCCTAAGACCTCCAAATCCCTTCTGAAAGCCGCAGCACCAGAGTTACCTTCATCTAGCTCTCCTCCTGATTCACCTGGGACGTCGGCTCCTCCATCAAGGGCAGGAGGCAAGGTTTCAGGCGTGAGGCGCAAACTGCCCCAAGGAAATCGTCCAGAGTCTCGGAGCGAGACTCCAACGGAACCCATGGCTTCTCGTGCATTGAAACCTCCATCTGGAGCACTAAAACGTCCAGGAGCATCTTCTACTCTTGCAAGACCTCCCGTGGCCCAAGCTCTTCCTCCTCCAACTTCTTCGCCTCTTTTCGGCACGAATCTAGACAGCAGAAAGGCTAGATGCGGGAAGGACTCCCACAAGTGGGTCAACGAAGGCGGACCCACACGTAAAGACCTAGCGGAACTTTTACAGAACCAAATGGAGTCGCACGCAACCAAGGAACTTATTGGACGCTTGTTCAGTCATGATCACAATGCCGTCAATGACCACGTAGCCGGTCTAACAATGATGTGCGAGCTATACAACGGTCCGCAATTAGGCGACGACTCGGTAGAAAGTATTTGCCTCGCAAATTTTGATCTTCCTTTAAAATATGCATCCATCAAAGCCCATGAACCCCAACCCAATCTCATTTCCAAATGTCTTGAAATTGTCGAGACTGTTTTGGCCTTCCTCCGTATGGCTAATCAACAACTCACCGATAACGAGGCCCTGTGCTTCATACCAACCATCATTTTCAAGGTTAGTCCGATCATTTCACTGGTTGTACACAAGCTGATTCATTTTAAGCTGGGCGACGCCAGGGAACAAGTGAGGGTGAGAGTACAACAAATAATCCAGGACCTACCCAAGGTCTATGCGTATAGCCGAGTCTTTCAGCTTCTACTGGATTATGGTCTAAAGTCAAAAGTGGCGAAGACGCGACAAGGGTCCCTGGATGAAATGGGTAGTATTCTCAGAAAATCGGGAATGGGCGCCTGTGAACCATCCAAGGCGTTTCCGGTGATCGCTACAATGATATCTGATAAAGATTCCCAAGTCCGGAAATCAGCTCTTGGTGCTCTGAGGTGAGTTTTTCGCTTATATTTAGTATGCACCTGCTTACTTCGGTAATAATAGTGAAGGATACATGCTTGTAGGCGAGAAGGTTTGGTCTCTCATAGGCCCGTTACCTCCCAAAGACAAGACCCAGCTGGAAGAACGTTTGCGTCGTGTCGCTGGTCCTAGCAGCCACGACAAAGTCGAGCCGTTGGCACCACCTCAAGTAGCTCGTCTGGCTGGCCTTCCCAGACCAGGTTCACCTGCTACTACTTCAAGAATCGCAGGTATACCACGACCGGCATCTCCCGCGACAAGCTCAAGATATACAGGAATCCCCCGCCCTGGCTCTCCTGCAACAAACTCCCGAATTGGAATCCTTCCTCGTCCAGCCAGCCCGGCTTCCAGACTGGCAAGACCTGCTTCTCCTGTCGGTCAGCGATCCTCATCCCCATCTACCTCTGGCCCTCCGTCTCGGCTAACGCGTCCACCAATCGCCGCACCTCAGTCTCCAACAGGGCTTTCTCGACCGAAGAGCTTGCTTCCGTCACGTTTGGGTCGGCCTCGTCCTCACTATAATCCCCCTGTCATCGCGGACGAGTCTCCGGCGGACGAAGCCGAAGAACATGTCAACGGATCTGAGGTCCCTGGCAGACCGCGCCCACGCTACCAACTCAGGAACATCGCCATTGGAAGAATCATCGGACATCACCGTCACTATATCCAGCATCCTAAGTAGCGATCCGTCAAGAAGCGTGGACGCTCTTAAGAAGGTCCAAAGAATTTTGTCTTCCGGCCCGGATGCAGCACCTTTCTCTGCTCAGTATCGAGAGCTTGCAGAACATGTTGAAGGGTTGGTAGAAACCATCACCCTGCAGATGGCTCATATTTTCGAGCGTCCCGATGACCTTATTCTGGATGAAAACTTCAGGTTGGCCAAGCATCTCATTCAGACCCTGAACAACTTTTGTGATCATGCATTCCTCGCCGAATCCTTAACAATCGATATACTCACTTCTTTACTGGAAGAGCTCACGCTCCGCCTCTTGGAGACTGACGACAGCTCTGTCAAGAAGATTAAAGACCTCTCACGTTTTATCAACATGATTATATTGCGACTGTTCGCCACTGGACGGAGGATGTCTATCTTCAGGTAAAAAAAATTCGCCGTCTTCGTCCTGGACTGTATTTGTCTAACCAACTACTCTCATTCTAGGGCTCTGTTCAATCTTCTTCTCCAAGTAGTAAAGCCTTTCCCGAGCAACGGCACGATGCCCGACTCAAGGGAAGCCAAAGTTGCTGAATTGGTTCTCAAATGCGTTTGGAAACTGGCCCGTAACATCCCCCAAGATCTTTCTGAACAGAAACTTGACCCGGTGGAATTGTTCCCTGCTATTGAGCATTTCTTACAGTCTGTACCTCCCAATGAGTGGCGCGCACGAGCCACCAACAAGGTGCCTTGTGGGGATATGCCACTGAGAACTGTTAAAGTCATAATTCAACACGTTGTCGGTGCGTTCCTATCTGGTCATAGGAAGCTACGCATACTGACAATATACTTCAGCACATTATGGAGATGACGTGTACGATCTGCTCTCTGCGTCATTTGACGATCCTTCGGCGACCATCGTATATCCATATGTCTACCGAATCTTGAACTCAAGTAACCGGCCCAACCCCGACGCACCCCGCCAAAACGGTGAAGAGTCTGGTGTACCTCGACCCGTTTCGATGACATCCAGTCGACCCATGTCGCCTCAAGGAACCGGATCAGAGGCAACGTCTCATCGGCATTCGCCGCCCAGTCATAGATCAAGTCCCAGCGGTTCTTCTATGAACGGAAATGGTATCCCACCTCCACCAACAGAGGAACCCGATCCGGATGTCCAGCTACTGACCATCATTGGCCACATTTCAAGTGAGACTACGGGGGCATTGCATAAGGAAGGGATCACGGAGCTCCATCATTTCCTAAAGGCATATCCACACAAGAGACCCAGGGTGGAAAAAATGCTTGAATCTACCGGGGCCGCATTTCGGAAGTACATCAACCGTGCGCTTGCCAGTAGGGCAGCTGAGGATCAAGAAAGAGATGTTGCAGTTGCAGATGCTTTTGACAGTACGTTATTTTTTCCCGGTTTTTGTGAGGAGTACGGCCAATTAATTCATAACAGAGTTAGAGGCCAACCGCCCAGGAACATCGGCTTCATCTCGTACGGCTGAAACTTCTCCAATGTCGCCGACATCACCACAGCGGACGAGCACTGAACTTCCGGTCAGTCAAGACAGGTTGTCGAGACTCCACGACCTATTTCATTATCGATCTAGTACGCTGAGCAATGGGTCGTCACAAGGAAATAGTGCACCTTCGGAGACGAAACAATCACTGAGCTAGACCTTTGCGTAGATAGTAGACACCTCCTACATCTTTAGTCCTTCACTCACTGCTCTCTATCTGACATTTGCATTCTGTACACTTTGCATCGACTCGGCCAATTTGCATGACTGTAATACATATTACGATATCATATTTGGATGTGTTGACCACGAGAGTCTCGAAGGCCGGAAATGGAAGTATGACATCGGGTAGATTGCCAGAGCTTCGCCCCATCCCCATTGCTGCCCCAAAGTCTCTTCTCTCTTTTCGTCACCGCCATGGTCAAGGCAGTAGCCGAACACCCTCGCACCTACGATGCTGCCATGCTCTTCTGGCGCATCGTTACCCAAATATTCTTTCGCGAGATCCGACCCCGGGGTGCATTCAATATACCACGTTCAGGGCCTGTAATATTCGTTGGGGCACCTCATAGTAACCAGGTATTTCTTAGCTCACCTCTGTAGGTTTTATGACCTATTGAACTCTTCGTTTCTTCAGTTTCTCGATCCCCTTCTATTGAGTCTCGAAGTCTACAAGGAGACACATCGTCATGTACAATTTCTTACGGCAGCAAAGAGTATGAAAAGGAAGGCGGTCGGCTTTTTCAGTCGGATGATGGAAAGTAGTGCGTATCATGATGCAAAATGCCAGTATCCGCTTTCTCAATTCTGTCTCTAGTCCCCGTCGCCCGCGCTGCCGATTCTGCCAGCCCTGGTACTGGCAAACTGCGAATCTCTCCTGATGATCCATGCATTGTATTGGGCGACGGAACTCGGTTCCTATCCGAACTGTCGCCAAAGATGCAAATCATGCTTCCCAAATCCGTCAACTCGTTGGTCGCCGAAGTTGTAGAAATCATATCCGATACAGAGTTGAAAGTGAAACGCGAATTTGGTGGTGAGAAGGGAACAGCAAAGACCCGAGACAAAATTGCCGAACTCGAGGCTGCAGGAGAAAAGGGAGGACTTCCATTCAAAAAGCTCCCTTTTGTGGACCAGCAAGAAATGTACCGATATGTTTATGAGTGCCTACAAAACAACGGGAGCATTGGTATCTTCCCTGAAGGTGCGTCCTGTACTACATTTATGGTAGTACCCTCGTAACGACCTCTTCCAGGTGGTAGTCACGATCGAACGGATTTACTCCCGTTGAAGGCTGGTGTCTCTATAATGGCTCTAGGCGCGATGGCGAACAATCCCAACGTTCGAGTGAAAATAGTTCCTGTAGGATTATCCTACTTCCATGCTCATCGTTTCCGCTCCCGCGCAGTCGTGGAATTTGGCAGCGCTCTAGATGTCCCCGAAGAATTAGTGAAGATGTTTAAACAAGGAGGCACCCAGAAACGCGAAGCGGTTGCTAAATTTCTAGACCTCGTTTATGACGCACTCAAAACTGTCACCGTTCGGGCCCCTGATTATGATACGCTCATGGTAAGTTGAGCCTACGTTGATTGTGAATATCTTAATTGAAACTTGCATCATCAGTTGATTCAAGCGGCACGGAGACTGTATAAAACACCAGGTCAACACTTGACGTTAGGTCAAGTTGTCGAATTAAACAGGCGACTGTTAGAAGGATACACCCATTTTAAGGATGAACCTCGAGTAGTGAAACTTCGGAAAGACGTATTGAAGTACAACCGCCTTCTTCGAGATCTTGGTCTCAGAGATCATCAGGTCAGTTTCAAGCCGAAATCGCATCATGACCACGTATTCTTAGGTCCATGTAGGTTCCCCGCGCGGTTAAGGCTAGCTGGGCGACCTTAGGCCTTCTAGGATATCGGATTGCTCTTCTTTTAGTTTGGAGTATTTTGGCACTGCCGGGGACAATACTGAATGGCCCAATGTTCATCATTGCGTCTGTTCTTTCTCGAAAGAAAGCTAAAGGTACGAAGTATTTCCTTTTCATTTACTATCCGTATTGACTCATGTCCATTGCAGAGGCTTTAGCTGAATCCGTCGTCAAAATTGCTGCTCGTGACGTGTTAGCGACCTGGAAGGTATTAATATCTCTAGGTGTTGCCCCTTTATTGTACGGTTTCTACGCGTTTGCTGCCACGCTTTGGTCCATCCGCGCCAATCTCCCCCTCAAATGGAGAATAGCCACACCTTTTATTATGATTTTGTCCCTGCCATTCATGAATTTTGCAGCTCTGAAATTTGGCGAGGCTGGGATGGATGTTCTGAAGTATGTCTCATCTTTCTATGTTATCTCTCACTAATTGTTGCCCAGATCTTTGAGGCCGCTGATTGTAGCACTTGTCCCTGGCCAACAACGATCGCTCGACAAGTTGAAAGCTATGCGTACTCAGTTGTCAAACGAAGTAGTGGATGTTATCAATGATTTCGGACCCAAACTGTATGAAGATTTCAACGAGGTCAGTGCAATCCTAGCACATCATGGAGCATCCCCTTCTAACTAGTCGGACACAGATACGAATGTTGCCCACCTCGAGTGTACCTTCTTCTAGTGGGAAACCTGGTCTGTGGAGAAGAACAAGTAGTACTGGCGCTGTCGATGCTCAAGGTCTGGGTCTCATTCATCCCATGACATGGATCGATGAACGCCTCTTCGGATGGAGTCGGAGTGCTCGTCGTGGAACCAGTGCTTGGAGCGGAAGCGATGAAATTAGTAGAGTTGGCACTCCCGAAGACTCGGACGAAGAAGATGCCGGTGACTACGACAATGTCCTCGGTTACCTGCCAGGGCAAGATGATTTGTCTAATCCAGGCTACAAGGCACGAAGTCGCACCAACTCGTATGCTGATCTACAACGGATGCGGCTGTCCCCTCTGCAACCTATGGCAGCACCCCCGAAATTCTACCAAAACGAGACGACAAGCCCTTCATCCCCGACGACAGAATTGGATGGAATACATTTCCGTAGGGGCCGTAGGAATCGCAAGTCCAGTCTATCAGATGGCGTTCCGGTCGAGCGCATTGCTTCTGTCGACCGTGGAGAAAGCTTCAATGAGGCAACAAGCCATCTGAACGATGAGATACGGCAGAGAAAGGAAGGTGGATCAGACCACCACGAGTGACTTGTCGCATCAGGGCCTAGCAGGTTAACTACTTCAATAAGTAGTACCTTCATATCTTTTTTTTTCAACGGATTTCGCCTTTCACTGTACAGTTTCATTTGATTCGTAGAATTCCATTCGAGAATACATCTCAACTTGTTTGTAGGTTTCTGGGACTTTGGGATTCCTTCAGTTGAAGTCGCAGTGGGTACATGCACACTCAGACGGTGAAGAGTACGCACACGACGAGGCATCGGCTAACTATAAATCTATCCCAGAATCCCAGAACATTTTCCTGCTCTTGAAATATCTTACTGTCCGAACACTCCAGCACCAATGATATTACAATCACCGCAATCCGTAACAGCATGAAATAGTTCCTCGTGCTAGTGGGACGGTCGTTGTATTGAATACAACTAGTGTCATTTGGTGGTTGGTCGCAGGCACTTTCCCGGACCCACATTAGCCGTCCGCGGTCTCGATGCTGATTCAATAGCAGTGGGAGAAGTGTTTTGTTACTCATCAATGCTCTACCTCACAAATAGACCACTGTCGTCAGAACCGTGTCTATGGTCGGAGGCCACTCTACAGGCGTCTTATTCTTCGGAGACAGTGCTGTCCATGTGCTGAAGGATTTGAAGAGTTGTTGTGTCTACCCGTATTGTCCGAGACTCACTGAAGACAAGGAAACTAATGAATGCGATGGAAGGGGGAATCGGGCTGGTGTATGGAAGATAGCAACGTCCAACAGAAAAGCTTGGTTCCTCGTGGAGTCCATAGATATCTCAGCGCTTAATATTTACCCGACATGCCACTCAGGCGCAATAGGATGGGGTGCCCGGTCCAGAAAGTGGCGTCTATCATTTTGCGTCATGCCTGGCACTTTCGGGTATGAAGGACATCCTGTTCGAAGCAATCAGGGAATGGTTTCGCAAAATCGCCTTCGCCGGACACAGCAAGAATCTGAATGGTGCGGGGACCTTTGAGATATTCAACGAGGCGTTTGAGGGTGTGAAGAGCGAAAAGGACACGGCACTCTGACTGTAGCGAATGGATGGATGAAGCTTGAAGCGTCTATTTTCATCTCACTTCGGTCCAGGTTCACACCACTCAGAATCTAGAGCACCACGGAGACCCTTGGCGGACAAGCTTTCAAGGCCCCACTGATCTTCCCTAGGGTCAGCCTCGTCAGAGATTTTCCTTACTTCGGAAATATGCCCAATCAGCTTGTTTTGAGGTACACAAACACCGTCCCTCGTGCACGAATCGATCCAGAAGCACCGTCCGCATACCGATCCTCGCATTAAATTCGTCTTTACAAGACATGTCAGTGTGGAGCCTCGAGTCCTAAACAGTGAATGAACCAGAAAAACTGTCATCGCAGTGCGAATTTCTTGTCTGGGCATCAGATGATGTAGATCTAGATACACATGCGCAGATTTAGTGTGTTCACAGCGAAGGAGTCATTAGACTCGAACACAAAAAAGGTACCATCCATGTGGTCCTGATTAGTTAGCAGACGACGGAAACAAAAGTGTTCTAGAGGCTGCTATAGATCCCGTTTCTTTCCTGCCGTCAGGACTTCTACACCGGTCTCAGTGATTCTATCGAAAACTTTAGTTTATGGTGTGAACAACGCGATCTAGAACATACAAGAGGGTATCCTCGAACTGTGCGCTCTTCTTCCCATCCACGGTCGTAGCCGTCCAGTTGTCAGGCCAATGAACATCACCCCAGTTGTGGCCCAAGTTGATCATCTAGGGAGAATATCAGACTCCATCGATTTGAGGACAGGATAGACTGACGGGTTCTATTGTAAAAACCTATTCAACCCATTTACTGGTGTTCCATACCCAGGAAAAATTTGGAATACATACCATGCCTGCCTTCATAGTTCCGACGGCTTTGTTCTTGGCATAGTGCGGTATATTTGGAGAACAGTGGAAAAGGTCATTGATTCCGTGACCCGTGTAGGATCGTACCACCGCACAACCATTGGAACGCGCTATGGGTTCTCTGAGAGCGAGCTGTCAGAAAAAACAAGATTTACAGACCCCGGAAACACTTACATAGTTTTTCCCAAGTCACGGAACAAAGCACCTGGTTTGCAGAGCTTGATGGCTTCATCTAAGCATTCGCGAGTGGTGCGGATGAGCTTCTTAGCGTCGTCATCTATTTCACCTACTGCGTATGTTTCATTCAGATCTCCGTGATAGCCTGGAACCCGAGATAAATGCACTGAGGAGAAGGAAGATAAATTTACTCGCCATCATAGTACAGGGTGACATCTGTAAACACCGTGAGCAATTATCGCCAAACTGATGAGATGAATGAACACACCAATATTTATGATATCGCCGTTCTTCAGTTTCCGTCTGTCGGGAATCCCATGGCAGATGACCTCGTTAATGGATCTATTACACCCGACATGCTATAGCACCAATTACTGATGATCGATGGAGTAACTTACGTGCAGACGGACTTTGGAAAGTTACGGTAATTCAGAGGTGATGGATACGCGTTGCGCTCGATGCAGGCGTTGTGGACGATTTCGTCTAGCTCATCTGTCGTAACACCGGGTTTGACGTGCGAAGCCGCGATATCCAGTACCTCACGAGCCAGCTGACTTGAATTTGTTTCAGTAGTTAACCAGGAAAGGACGAAAGCATACCCTGCAGACTGTTCTCATCTTATCTTGCTCCTCCTTGGAGAGTATTCTCGGAGGTTGGCCGGCAGCCCTAGCTTCGGCCATAGGTCTTCCTATACGGCAGAAGACACAGATGAGCTTACAGAGTCGTTTTCATTTGACGAAAAAAAACCATGACCCTACCGTCATCAGCGTACTCTGGTCGGGGGATGTGGTCCGGGACCTTTCTTTTTGGAGAGAGCGGATACATAGGGCGCATAGAACCAGTGTATTCATAGTTGGGAAACGGGTTGTACGAACCATCTGGGGCACGATGGATCGATAAAACATGAACGACGAAACACAGCAACGCACCTTCTATGGCATCGCCAGCCGCGTCCTTTGCGGCAGCAAGGGTATGAATGATTTTGTGAGTTTTCTAGGCAGCGACGAGTCAATTGGTGGGTCCAGACGCTGCATCGAGCGAGCACTTGCCCCTGGGATAACATAAGGATGGTTGCCAGGATAAATTACGGACAGCGCTCACATCCAGCCTTGAAGCATTCCTGGCCGCAGAAGTAGGAGCCGCGAATGCCTAGCCTGGGCGACGTGAGACTCTGGTAGCTGGCCGCATGGGTCGCTTACTTGTTGCAGGTCGGACATTCCAGCTTGGAAGGGGGGTTGCCGTTGGGACATGTGGTGCTCTGGCAGAGGATTACTGGCTGGGACATGGCCGCGAGAGCAACGAGTCATGTCTGGACCGAAATGGCAGGAGCAAAAAAAACAAAAAAATTATTATCACAAGTCCGAACGGATCCAGTTCAGTCTCCATCCTCAATTTCATCTCGCAAAGACTTGAAGCTTGATTCTGCCTAAACTTGTAATTTATTGTAAATAACCGGAGGCTACCATATTACTCGACGAGTACCGCTACGGAAAACAAAGCTGGATAATACATACTGTGAAGCGAATGGGCGTATTAGATACTGGAAATAGATCAAAGTGCAGTGAAAATTTAAGTTATGTGCGTGAAGTGAAGCCAGTCGGTAAATATAACGGATCTAAGTAAGTAGCAAGTTGTGATGCAAGATTGGAAAGCAATATATGACAGCGACGATGCAAGAGAAAATTAAGCGCGGTGGAGCATACAATTAGTGTACGGGTGATATTGGTGTTATTATGGGAGCAATTGTCGATTACGGCGTCAAGAAACTGAGGCGAAGAAGGGTAAGGGTAATGGTTTTCATTGTCGTATGACCTGGAGCGAATACGAAAGTGCGGTGTCGCTGCAAGCACGACGGAGATCTCTGAAGCGGTCGATGCCGACGACTCTGACCAGCTGGCGCTCGTTCTTGATGACCCACGAGTCAGGAGGCAGACCACGGGTTGTCCTGTAGATGCCCTGACCCGGCATATGCTCCTCGAAGACGAGAGTGATCATTCCCGGTAGGAGACACTGCAAGAGGTAGAGGATATCGGCAATGGGAGGACAGATCTTGCGAACGGACTCGAAGATGTCACTGTGGAAGACCATCTGCCACTGGACGCGTCGGTCGGGTGAGAAGAAGGAGCTGGCATGGACAGGGAGCTGGAGCTTGAGCGGGGGGCCAGCAGGGTGGCCGGTAGTCGAGCTCCAAATGGAGGCGTTCTCGAGGGTAAAGAGCATACGACTAGTCCCGCTGTACCTCTCGCCACTTGAACTCAGCCACCAGCTGCTGCTTCAGATGCTCGAACCAGGGCTGGGCACGCGCATAGGTCGCCCCCAAGGCATCCGCCGTCGTGAGCGACATACGAGTCCGTCTCGCCCAATCATCCATGTTCTTGACATCAGGTGAGAAAACGACTTCGGCAGGCTTCGGCGACATATTCAGTAGTTACGCGACGAATTGGAAGGCTGGAACAAAATATCTGCTCTGCAAGGCAACGATGAAGATTATAACGCGTCTGCAAAGCATGTCAGCGATGCCGCCGCAGGTCCAAGGGTTCCAACGTTCAGATCGAACGTTCACGCACGAGTTAGAACAAGGACCTGGCGATACACAGGCGGCAGACGATAAAATAGGTGCCAGCAAGGCAAGCAGGATGAAGAAATGGCAAATTATGTGAAGAAGAACGACAACGACGACGATGAGAGGCCGACACTGTCAGTGTGAGGAATGGAAACAGGAGGACGGCATAATTTCCCGGGGGGGTTATATAGGGCGCAGCAAAGCGGGAAAGAAAAAAAAACAATATTTATCCACTAGCATTTTCTTCACCGTTACACGTGTATTTTGCACCGATGTCGTCTTCCCTTTTCTGGACGATCGGGTTGCTATTCAGTTTTTCTCACATCGGCTTTCCCTTTCTGCGCCAGTTCCTGGTCCAACTTACGGCAGATTAGGCTCGATTCTTCTTGATTGCATCCAAATCCAGTTCCGTAATTGGCGCTCGGAAGCGCATTCGCTAATTCTGCCCGCATTCATGCCTGCCATTGAACCTATCATAATTCGCTGACATGGCCCTTGTCTCTCGGATTGTCCATATCCGTTTGGAGAGTCTTTATACTCTGGACGTAGCTGGGCGCACCGCCCAATAGATACAATACTTTTTCCCCAGCAACTAATTTGCTCGGAGGCAGATCTGGCCCGATTTCGCGTACCGTTACCTTGCCAACCACATTACTGTTTGAAACCTATTGAGCGGGGAATGTCCATCCGAGGCACAAGGGTCAGGCCGCTCAGGAAGCGCTGTACTATATTATTTTACGCCCTAACGTGTTGGCATTCTGCTCAAGGGATGCAGATTTAAATGGGATGTCGGGCGCCGAGCAAGAATATATTCATTCATTGCATCGCCACAATATACCGTTGCCGGTCTCTCAAATGCCCAGATTCGCCCGTAAGGTTTCCAGATGAACAGCGCGCCCGGACAGTCCTAGAGCGTGAGGCGAGGGTCGCGGAAATAGCAGTGGCGTATCACGTGATCCGTGTGACTCTGACATTCCTTCAAAGTGCTCTCAAGACACTTGCACGTCCAGCTCGATGCCGTCTCCTCTGTGGCCTGTAGGCCAACCTTTTGACATATGTAGTGCTTTCAATCGTCTGTTACAGGATGAACAAGTGGGTCTTTTTACCTTCTTCAGTCGAAGCCCGAGGCTCACTTACGCTACCATGTCAAGGTGTCAACCCCCCTTGCTGCGATCCTTGCTCTCGCGGAATTAATGGAAAATTCTTCTGGTGCGTACTCAAGGGGCCTTTAAGGTATAACCATTCTCAATTTCGATATCTCAGCGGGGACTATGTTTGAATTGGTGAAAGAACTCAAAGCCGGTGCCGAGAATCTCAAGAAACAATCGTCAAATTACATCAGCTTGAATGCGGGTTGCGAGCTGTTCATTGAGTTTGTCACTCTCTTCCCCCATGACGCGTCCGTAAGTGTTCGCTTTCCGATTCTTCTGTTCCGTTCTTACATACCTCGGGCGTTTATACAGAGTTTCTCAGAGCTCAAGACCGAACTGATACGACAAGGGCATCAGTACGTCACTCAGGCGCTTACTTATCGCGCAAAGATTGCAGAGCTTGCCTTCGACTTTATAAAGGATGATTCGGTGGTCAGTCCTTTTCCTATCAGGAACATTCTTTTGTGATGACACTTCCCTTGACAAGATACTCACACATTCGTATTCGAGAGTCGTGATGCAAACACTGTTATGGGCTCACAAACGGAAGCGAATATCAGGTAAAATGGCCCATCAAAAATACGGTCCATCATCAGCTCATATTTAGCATAGTCTTCGTTACAGAGGCAAGACCCCGTGGCCTAGGGTGCGTTGATGCTTTCTCCGGCTTTTTGCTAACGTCTTCTCATTAATACTCAGCATTAAGACCGCAGAAAAATTAACGGCTGCCGGAATTCCTACGACCGTGATTCTTGATTCTGCAGTTGCGTACTGCATGGATATGGTCGATTTTGTTCTCGTTGGTTCCGAAGCTGTGGTCGAGAGTGGCGGACTCATTAATGCTGTCGGCAGCAACCAGATAGCAATCATTGCAAAAGCTGCGAATAAACCCTTTTACGCTCTCGCAGAAAGGTACCATGTGACGATCGACAAACCTCTTTTTGTTATGCTTCTGACATCCTTTACACAGCTACAAGTTCCATCGGCTATTCCCATTGTCGCAATATGATCTGCCAAGTCATACTCCGGACCTACTTTCCTTCTCTCTACCTAAAGGACGGCACCTTCGCAACTCTTCCGTTAATCCGTCTCCGAAATCGTCTTTTGTCTCCGGCGGATCAACTTGGGTGTCATCAGCCCTCGAAGATGTGAACACCTCGGATTCTGCCGCAAAGATCAAGATCAGTGAAGAACAAATCGCCCGGAATAATCCAAGTGTAGACTACACCAGGTCCGTCGCCTAGTCTTCCGTTGTTTTTTTCCCTTTGTTCATTGAAGCTCTTACCTAGACCCGATCTCATCTCTTTGGTGTTCTCGGATGTAGGCAGCTTGACTCCGGAGGGAGTCAGTCAGTACCTTGTTGGGATGTTCGCAGGATGATCGGGTATATTTCAATTCCTTAACTGCATTCTAAAGCCTCCGCCGTTCTGGACTCTGCGTGAGCGAACGATTGTCTTCTGAATGCGGGACACTAGTAGGTGCCGTACTTGTCTTCGGAACAGATCACGAGTGCAAATTCGAAGTGATGCAAGTAGCATTGGGGGTGGTCCCTTGGCCCCTTGGGTATTAGCCGTCGATCAGACGAAATCGGCGATTGACGAAAAACAAACAACACTTGGGGTAAAGAATTTCAGTATCGGATTGTTAGATAACGAAGTCAACGTCGGGTACCTGTTTCGTTCTGTTCCGACACGCGGAATCCATAAGAACTTATGAATGCGTGGACCGTCATCATGTATTAACTTTTTAGCAGGGTGAAACTGATGTCACCACTTGCGAAGACGAAGGGTAGCATGAAGCACGTAGCCGATGGTAGGACGGATCTCGACTGCCTAGGTGCGGTTCTTTTTGGTGAACTCTCAAGTTCTTGATTTCCAGCGGGCCGAGCCTGAAGGTCTGATCAAAGACCAATCAGTAGGATTTTTTTTACTTTTAGGTGCGTCTGAAGGCTATATAAGTTCTACCGTCCAGACCTTTGCTTTGAATCAAAGCCTCGCCTTCATTTTTTACGTCCTTTTAACGAGCTGCATTGCAACGAACATGTGTAGATGGAGGCAGTCAGTTCGGACTGTTTTCTATGCTAGTTGTATCCCCTCACGCTTTGCTACAGAGTTCAAAATACGTACAGCCAATGTGGTCATGTTGTACGCTTAGTAGGTTTCAGCGCCAATCACGCCTGTAATTCATTCTTATGTCTTTTGATGTAGCCCGACGAAATGGTCCCTCCCATCATAGAGAATATTGTCATCATTACTTAAATTTTTATATTTAGATTTATTGCGACGACCGATTTTGCAAGTTTTCCGCGGCTCATCCTTCGAATTGCGGTCCCAACTGTTCAAAGACCTGTTGGCAACGGTAAGTTTTTTATACTTCTTCGAGGTTCTACGCCACGCTGAGACTCAGTTATTTCAGACGACAATTTCCTGAACAGTATAGTGAGCTGTATTTGAAAGATTAGCCTCGGCCGAAGATTGACATGTGCGGTAGATCCTTTAATTAACAGCAGTTGCCCGAGTTGCAAGGCAGCCGCTAGTAGTGGCAGACGATACTGAAATACGGACGGCGGACGGGGTGATGATTCACGAATACCCAGGACTCTGTACGGTGAAAAGAATGCCAAATGAACGCGTGGAGACTCCGTTATTTAGAGTGGGGTATATAATGTTAACACCGACGAACCAATTACCACTCACAAGGGTTACTATAAAATTCGATGACATATTCTGTATTGCGACCGAGATGAAACACGAGTGATGACTGATGGAGCGGAACAACTTCATTTGGAAAAACGTTTTGTTGTGTAAAGCTTGAAGTTTGAAGGGTAAAAAGTTACCTATCTTCCGGTTAGCTCCCTACTTGGCAAGAGACATATTGACACGCTTCTGATACCAAGATAGTGAGGAAACTAGTGTATATTTGGACAAAGCACCTCGTTGTTGGCAAGAGAATAAATAACGTGGCAGCTGAGAAGGAAGAAGAAGCTGGAATGAACGAGTCCCAGATTCATGGTCGCTGTCGACTCTTGAAGAAGACATAGCATGATCTTGGAAATGCCCTGCAAGTGCAAGTGTCACATTCTGTGTCACAGGTTGAAATTTGAATTACGTTCTCTTCCACGGTCCAGCATGTCAAAGGACACACAAGCAAGCCAAGCATCCGAGGAGACCCTTGCAAATCCACCCAAGTCCCAATGGCTCTTCCACCTCGAGGCTTTGCAGTCGACTCCATCCACTGGTTCTCTAGAAAAGCAGCTATACGACAGGGCAAGGGGGGTCGAGTTCCTTTACCGTCTCGGGTCCTCGCTGCAATTGTCAGCGCTATTCCTAAACTTCGATGCCGTTCTGACCAGGTCACAGGCCAGCACCGGCTATGTTCACTGCCGCAACATGGTTCCACAGGTTCTACATGCGGTACTCCATGGATGATTATCATCGACAAGTACACTCGTTTAATTACTTGCGTTGCTTGATGTGGACGGGGATCTAGGACGTCGCTGCTTCTTGTATATTTTTGGCTACCAAAACGGAGGAATGCGGTCGAAAGCTTCGTGATGTTGCCCGCGTTTGTCAGTCCAAAGTAAGTGGGAAAGACGTGGGTGAAATTCCCGATAATAGCAAGGTTGGTGACGTCTCGGTTGTTTTCCTGCTTAGTATTAACTAGGTTTACAGGAAGTCGAGAACTGCCAGACGGCAATCCTATTGACAGAGGAAGTGCTGTTGGAAGCTCTCTGTTTTGACTTTGTGGTCGAAAGTCCCCACGCTGAATTAGTAGACTTATTCAACTCTTATGATCCAGATATCCTAACACAAGAATATGCATGGACTATTGCCCACGACTCGTATGTATTATTTCCGCAGCTATTCCGACTCCATTTAATTGGCATTTATTAGGTACCGGACCCCACTCTGTCTATTATATCCCCCTCGTATCATTGCCGCCGCATGTTTTATTCTTGCTCAGCGTGTGGTGGACGGCCCAAACTCTCCTTCCTTGGATTTGCGCATATCCTCTACCCCACCATCAGCATCTCTTCCCACACCCCCCTCCAATAAGCCTCCATCGCCGGACCGGTCCAGATTTGCTTTGGAATATTTTGCTTTTAATGAAGAGGAACTTGCTTCCCTTGCTGGTTTGGGTTTCGCTTTCAAACATTGCTTATCGGCTGAGGTGGTTATTAGATACCCTACGCATCCTGATTGAATTCTACTCCGTTCAAGACAAAACCATGCATCCGCACCTCTCAACTATAGCCACCGTGAGTACAATGTGGTGTCAGGCAGCCTATTCTAACTATCTAGGAAGATTTCTGCCCCAACGATTACCCCGCCGCGGGCTAATTTGTATGGTTCCTTCTCCCGATTGTCCGGGACCACTCCCGCGGAATCTTCTCGCCTGGACATTGGTCTAGGACGAACCCCAAATTCATCTCATGGAGGACAAACCCCCGAAGTCAATGGTAATTCTCAGACGCCCAATGGCAAGCCAGTCGATTCTAGCTCGTAAAACGGGGTCACATTAGGCACCCGCGATGGACCCTGGCGGACCTACAGCCTGTCAATTTGTTACCACCACACCCAACCTTAAATCTTGTCCTCGGGAGATTTTCTGGGCCTTGCTTAGTAGCTTTCATTTGGCCTCATGTGCTTTGTGTATATTACTAGAAAAATTAAATTGGACACGAAGACGCTCTAGTTCTTGTAAATAATTTCACTCGACTGCGGACGCCACGTTTCAAGATTTGGAGATAAGCGAGACTCCCTGAACCACTTTTGGCCAACGATCGAGATCGTCAATCTTAATTATCAAACGGAAGCAAAATGCGGAAGACGCGTTATGGACAGATATATTACACTAAAAGGTACAGGATGTGTTTAATAGTAGAATATTCCAGGTTGAGATTCAGTGGAAATATGTTGGAATGAAACAGCCTCTGTCTGGTGCTGCGTTAGGTGGTTCGGCACTTCACTCATGACTTCAGGTAGATTGGCCATCCAGTTGTGAATATTACTACTGACCGCGGTCGGTTCAGGCTTATTGATCGGGGACATCATGTCAAATACGCCTGCATCAGACACGAGTGATACGTTGTCGAGTACAACACCTGCCGATGCAGCGTAATCTATGATTTTCAAGTCAGACGTCACTTTGGGGACAAATGATGAGGAAATACAGACCTGAACTTTTACCGGTCCAATTGGATTCGGATTGATAATACTCTATAGGGTCATCACTCGGCTCAATAATAATTGGAGGTAAGCCGACAGGTTCTGGAAGCTACAGAAGATTTCAGTTCGAATGAAAGATGACTTCTGGAATGTTACACACCTTGGGGAGGACAAACGTCCTTGATATTCTCATGGCAGCAGCAATCCAGAATGTTAAACACTCGGCAATACTTGGGTCGGTCGAGTCGAAGTCATATATTGGACTGAAAAAGACTCCTGTCCATCCTGAAAATAATAACTTTTAAATGCGGCAATGACGACGAAAAACTCCAGTGCTCACTCTGAGAGAACGTCCCAAACACCCATTGATCGTAGGTAGTCAAGACGAAGAACTGAGACTCGTTTGTCACACACACGTCCCACAGCTACATATCGAATTAGGGACGTCTGCTTTATCAATATGGAGACACTAATACACACCTTTCCCCATACACGGTGCTTACTCTCTAGATAGCCCGGCGTATCGCTCCGATAAGGAGGGAACTTTAATTCATGTCAGGAGGACATCAATCGAAAGCCTTCGAAACATTCATACCGTCCGACATTCAACGAATTCCTTCAAATCGGCAGGCGACATTATCCATGGTGGTTGAAAGGCGATCACCACAGACTTCCTCGTCATCATTTCGAGGGCATCTGGATCGAGCGAATGTCTCGTCTTCGAGGCCTCGAGCTGGGGTGAGGTCCATAGAAAGTACTGGAAGAGTTCCTTATCACGATCTTGTTTAAGTTTAAAATGCCATGTTTTTGTTTGAATCGGGAAAGTAAGGTGAAGCAGGCGTTGAGTGGTCGTCAAAGGGAAAGTGTCTACCGAGTGAGTGAGAATTATACGGGTAGATGTTCTCCGCATGCTTACGGACCTAGCCAGCCAGCAAATCTATTGGAAATGAGCCTCGGAAGTTAAACACATGATGCCCAGAGTGCTCACCTGTGGATATCAACAGCTGCAGTATGCCATATATCCGCGATGGCAAAATTGTATGCCGCTGGACACGGCAGAGTTAGGTTCTCGCCGGTCTCCTCATCCAAGTCATTCATTTTGAGGGGCTTGTCTGGAAAAACGCGTTGCGTCCCTGCGACAAAATGAATTCATAAATGAATTCACTTTTTTTGATAGAAATACGTACATTGCGTTATCGTAGGTCCTATGTTCATAAATGTTTCACAATCTATCATATTTAACCGTCTGTACTTTTCAGGTCGAATGTGAAGGCGGTTCATGTGAGTCTTGTGTCCGGGAAGAGGTATCTGTGGGGCATCTGCAACGTAAGGCATTTCCGGGAGTTGACATTTTGCAGTATACTGCCGGATGTTGTCTGTACCGCGTAAGACAGTAGGACCGAAGAAAAGCATGATGAAAGGTCGTTACTGGGACAAGCAATAGTCTGGAGGGATTTTATAATGCCTCAGCAAAAAACAAGACATCAGTAGCCAGGATACTGGTCGTCTTCGAGGACAAACGAGGCACGAGTTAGAACAAGGCGCTCTGAATACAAGGTATCGAGGTGCGAACAATGTTACCCATAAATGGAGAAGTAATTACCATATGCAGTTCATGCGACGCCACCAGTTGCATATAGACAAACGCTGGATCATGCTCGACAGCGTCAGCCCAGAACGTGTACAGCGATGCTTGCTTCGCAGGCGACATCTGATGTCAGAAATAAAAAAGTGCACACCACAAGAAGCCTCATGTTGCGGCATTAGTAATGGCCTTTACAAATAATTTGGCAAGTGGCCTCATTGGAGCGTGAACGCCTCAACCTGCTGAATTGCTCGTAGGTTAATAAACATGAGATCACGGAACAATATAGTAAGCATAGATCATTGTCCAAGTCGCCCAAAGATATTTCTGCAGTCCGAACACTTTGTAGGGCTGACTCTGATAGGGTTTCTCACAGGGAGTGACATCATGCGTATGCAATTGGGGGATCGACAGCCTGTATATCATTTATCAGATTTACGTCCAGGAGAACGAGGTTTATATCGCGCACCGATAGGATGGGCGTGCCGGCCGCTGAACAGACAATTTGGACGCAAACAGTCTTGCTGCCGCGTTGCCATAGCATAGAAGTGGCCACACTCGGTATGGTATCGTCCGTCAATAACCTACACAGAAAATAAACCCTCGACGCCGACCATCGAAACAGAGAACGTACGTTATGGCACATATTATGGTGGTCTGAAATGGGGGGCCTGTTCTAAGAATGAAGGTTGTAATCTTGAAAAGCCCCATTATATCCTGCAGAAGACGCGGCATGCCAGCCTCATTCATCACGACACTATCAAGCGAGGCCGCCGGAATCTGCCGTCGACAAGCCCAAGCTCTTCTTAGAAGTAGACTTACTATTGAAAGGCCTGGGATCCTTGCACGCCTCAAATCAGCTGTGTCGAATGAGAGGTTACCGTGGAGGAGTCGTGCTTGGCAATATCGGTTCCGAAACGTATCGCAGGTCGTCGCATCCCCCAAAGTCAAACACTAAGATGGTCGACTATCTGTATAACTTGAACCCTGATTTAATTAAGCGCCAAGTGATATTAGACGCGCATGCATACCACGAGGTAGAAAGTCACATTTTGGCTATAGGTTAGACTTACATTCAATTCAAGAAGATCTGATAAGACGAGGATATAGATCCTAGCGCGGCGCCCTGTAACTCTCGGGGACCCCCGGTGTTAGCGTAGTAGCTGAGAACCAAAGTAAATGAATAAAAGACCTTTCGTGCAACAGCGTTCAAGGCCTCGTGCGGTAGGGTCGAGCAAAGACGAGCGTCTTGTGATCGACCCAAGCACTAGATTAGGGTCGGTAACGACACATGATGGAGGAAAGGATGAATTAAAAGGGCCCAAAAGACGTGCATAATCAATGCGTAGAACGGCGAATCACACAAGGAGAATATCGAAACGTTTACATTAATTCGATACACATAGTGTCAAGCTCCGCGACTGCGAATTTTGGCAACGAGTTGGACAGAATTCCGGACCTAATTTTTACACCGGAAAGGTCAGTCATTAACAGGCGGACGGCGATGCAAAATACGCGCCTCGTGTGCAAATACTCTGCGCCAGGTTTCACTCGCCAGTCTCCGCCGTTTGACGCCCTTCTTCTCGTGTCGCGAAGCCTTGGCCAATTCCCTTCGCACATTGTTTCGTTGCAGGAGATTAGACAGCATGGCGTAGGAGTCCATGATATTAGTGCGAACCCTGACCGTGCGACCTAAGGAGAAGAAAAGGTTGAGAGGCATCAATAAACAGGCGAAAAGTTCCCGACCAGAGTAAGCCGTCGGAGGAGACATATCCTTGGTGCTGTCAAACACAGACTTTGCATGGGTCTTCCAGATATGCTCGGGGGTGGCACCAACGTTGTCGCGGTCTGGCATTTGTTCTAGGGCTGTCAATACCGGTACCATGCCGTTCTGGAATTCGGCCTTGGGCTGGTAATAATGGGTCCTGACCCCGTCGCTATTGCTATTGCCATACTGCAGAAGGGGCAGTGACGAAGAAAACTGACGCAGTAAACTGCGCTGTCGCAGACACTGCAGGCCAGGCTGAAGGGACCGCGACAAGGCCATGGAAAGAGACGAAGAAACGGAATTGATGTTTGTTTGTCTGATCAGTTCAACTGTGCTCTCATGTCCTCCGATGTCCTGCTCGAGGAATTTGAGGTATTCTACCTTTTTTATGCTGCTATCGAGTCCTTTCTGATATATATTACAGGTTCTGGAATCCATATATCCTACAGAACTGACCAGTTCGTAGCATTTATCTACCTGACTTGCCCACCGAAATCCATCTAAGGTTCACACAAGAACTTTCCGAAAAGGATATCCAAATCGATGCTGAGCCTGATGACATAGCTGAAGGAGCAGAGCCTTGTATGTGCCATCGATTCACATCGAATTGCGCAAACTAATCGTCTTACCGTAGTAAAGTTATCCCTTCGGGTACATTATGGGGAGTCCTACCCAGACGCCCTTCCAGACCTCTCTCTAGAAGCCGTAGAAGGAGAACTTGAAGATGACGAAGTCGCAAAGCTCATCTCTGAACTCAATGCCATTGTAAGTCAATTGGTATTTACTCTCGCTCGACACTACTTACGCCGAACACTGCAGGGTGAAGAAAACCTGGGAATGGCCATGACGTTCACTCTTGTGTCACATCTCCGCGAGCAACTGTCTACACTCGTCCGATCACGAGCCGATAAACGGAGGAAAGAAGAGCTCGAAAAGGAACGGCTTGCTCTCGAGGTACGACCTTATCTCCTTCATCGCTACTGCATCATCTCACTTCGGATGTTATATCTGTTAGGAAGAAGAGGCTCGGACTCGTGGAACGCCTGTAACTACTGTCTCTTTCAAGGCCTGGAAAGACAAATTCGATGCGCAACAGGCCAGGAAGAAGCAGCAAGAAGAAGACGAGCGTATGAAGGGGTTGACACCGAAGGAGCGTGAGGAAGTGAAAAGAATGTACTCACGATTAAGTGGTACGACGGCTTTCCCAATGGATTCTACAATTCCCGATTACATGTTGATACCATTGCAGGGAGACAACTCTTTGAGAAAAACCGCAATCTGGAAGAAGATGCTCTTCTCGAGGAAGGCACTGTATCTGTAGACGTCAGCCAGTATGAGAGGTCGCACCATGATGATGATCAAGACGAGGATGAGCGTGTTACATTTAGCGACAGCGATTAGCCCTAGTATTGTGACCACACATGGAATAATTTTGTACCAGTAAAACATCACATGTATGATATACGTTAGGCTCAGCGCGCGCCTACAAACCTTGCATGGTCCCGTCACCAACAACGTTACCATCAATGGTACCTCCGCTTTCCGCAACCTTGCAGCCAAGATGATTTACGCCTTGTTCTTTTATCCACCCGTCAGCATCAACCTGTAATGGCCGGGACTTGCATATATCTCCGACTACCATTTCACCCGCCATTCGCATCCACTCAAGTACAGGTTGCGTCGTCCACCTGTTTAATTCTTGCCACGATGCACCAGATTGGAACCATCCCAAATGGCCACCTCCGGGTGTCAAGGCCATCATCACAAAGCCATTACCTCCACCATCCATTGGAACCGACCGTACAATAGGATCATCTGCAGAGTTGATGGATAAAAACGGGATATGAATATCTTTCACCGCATGATGACTAGACTGTCCATCATAGTAAGCTTCTGCTGATACGTAGGGGAAGGAAGGCGGAGGGCCTGAAGCAATACGCGAAAATGCGTGGTCAAAGTCCCTCAATGTGGGATTCTTCAACGCGAGTACCGCAGCCATGGCTTCGAGAATCCGATCGTTAGGTTTCGCCAGTAGAGCAGTTTGATGCCGCTTAACAAGATTGAGTAGGTTGGTGCCTAACCCTTTCGCGTAAACGTGTTTGCCGATGAAACTGCTTAGGAGCCTAAAGAGATTAAAACTGTGCTCAGAAAGCCAAAGCCCAGCCCCGTTAGAACGAAGGGAGAATTCCGTACTGTTCATTATTCTGGGCCAGATCCCATGGCTGCGAAATGAAATCATTTAACATGTAGAATCGATCACAGACGGGACAAGTTCTTACGCAAGCTAGAGCACAGCCAGAGGTCAACCTGCATCGTGGACCTTCTTCCGAAATGTATCTAGTCATGATATTGGCACCCAAGGAGAATCCCAGTCCGAGCAAGGGGGCTTCGGGGTAAGTGTGTGATATGTAGAACAAAGCCTGGCGTAAGTCATCGGTGTGACCCGCTGAGTATAGCATCGAGCTGGTAATAGGGACTCCAGCGCCTAGACCGTTACGATGAGCGTGGAAATGAGAGGAAGAAGAAGAAATGTGTGACGCACACCCGCGGAAGTTGATGACAACGGCACGGTAACCTAAGCCTCCTTCTTCAACTGGGGTACAAGCGGGGTAAAGAATTGCTCTGACATAGGCTTCATACGAACCTGGAGGGCATTTCCGGTGATTACGGGTAAAGGAGAGTGCTGAGAAGACTGACCACCGGTTAAACCATGCTGTACAACTATTATCGGTGTGTCAGGCTTGAGTTGAGAGGAATCGACGGGAGCGAAATCGAGACCACTATAGACTAGAATCAGAGGCCATTAATAGAAAGGAAGGACAACGATAAAACTTACAGGGTTCCTCCATCAAGTAAGCGAATATACTGCCTTCAGCACCGAAGGTAATCAAACGGGGAACGACGGGTCAAAAAAAGAATTCATGCCTATTGTAATACATTTTGTCTGTCTTCGTGAAGTCAGCCGTAACGCTATACGCAGTTTGAAGATGCCCGCTTGGTTTCAGCTTGTTAAATCTGGACACACGCTAAGTAAAGGGATTCTTACTTTGGGAGCCACCAAGTCGATTTGTATTCAGAGAAGAGGCTTCTGCATCTCGAGAGAACCAGTGATTTCAAAGATAGTTTGTCGCCATCTGCCGATGAAGCACCCTTCTTAACTACAACATGGCTGGGTTGATGTGGGAAAACAACAATAGGCGTCCGAGCCTTTGGCGCAAAAAGCTGAGTAGCAGCAGTGAAGAAGGCGCTCAACCCGACTAGAAATGGAAGAGTCAAGAGGCTGTACAAGTTCTCCAGCTGCATAGTTCGTAAGTAAGGTACGTCGAAGCGACACGTTGAAGGAAAAGCCAGCTCAGAGTGGAATTTCAACGAATGATGGCTTCGTGCATATCAATTGATGGCCAGGACTATCTGTCAGGAAATTATGCTCCGTCCAGGTAGTAGCCGTGTTAGGAAGGCTCCAAAAGAGAACCAGGATTTTAAATGTAGCTGGTAGCACACACCTGGAAAACCAGGACAAAGGACAGGGTGGACAGGGTATTTTCGTAAATTCGGCGTTGTCCTGCTCGGCCCGGATCTGTGAGTCGGCATTTGCCGAGCCGCCCTCTTTATACCATATGACTGCCAAGCAATCGTCCTAGATATACCTCTCAATTATTATTCTTTCGCCGGCTTGTGCTGATTGGGTTACAGGTGAATTTGTTTATCGTATATTGCAGAATAAGTGGACACGCCTGAATTTTTATTTGAAAAGACTCGAAGCAACAGTTCAGCTCCTTGTCCAATATTGGTGTTGCGGCTGAGTCGTGTACAACGCCTTCGTTTCGAGTACAGATACGCGTATGGTACCAAGTCTGTCAACGTGACCGTGATTCTAGTCAGTCAAAGAAGGTCCGAAAGGGAACGTGTCGTAGTTCTTACGCAACCCACGTATAGCTATGCACAAGACCAACCCGACAGAAGGTCTTATCGATTTTCATTGACTCCAATGATATCTAAAGCGTTCCCACCCGTGGGCGGTACCAATGAGATGTCGTATACCAATGACATTCGTTATTGAAGATAATTTCATCTCAAGGGGATTTTGGATGGCCTAAAATCTTATCCTGGTGCTAGCAGAGCAATCCAGCCTTGAATAACGCTATTTCTTGCGGAGATGACCGCTGCAGCCAAGAAAGTACATATGTTGGAAACAGAAAATAGGGAAGCTGTTCCTGTGGAAGGGTTGTAGTGGCATGTGAGTTGTTTTAGTGTCCGACACGGAGTATTTGCTGATATCTACCACCTGTTTAAAGCTTTTAATGACGCTGCGCAGAGCATCCGGATACTCGAAATACTTGAAAGGTATTGATCCACAAGAACATGATCTGCGACTGGCTGGCGTACGGTCCGACGTGACCCGACATCAAGGAAATCTGCGAAGAAGCCCAGTTTTTGCTCACGATGAGTATGCCAGTTCCGTGAAATTGCTCGCGAGGCGCTCTTTGCTGCAAGCTATGCCTGGATACGTCGCTAGATGATTTTTGAAATGTTTCTTCAGAATATCAGCTATTTTTCTGCGGCAGAGAGTTACTAAATGCGCCCTACGAGGGCAAGGTTCTATTATCGCGGTTCTACTGTCGAATATGTGTCAAGGCCCTCGAGATCGTCACGATAAAGTCACGCTGGCCTCGCGCTGAGCCTCCCCCGAAGCACCACCTGTACTCGTTGCTCCCTCCTTTACCCCGTTGTCAACTTTTTCGTCGTGCGTTTCGATGTCCGTGTCCGTGAACAAAAGCAACATATACAAGAAGTATCAGTGTCGTGTCAGTCCTGTCTTGTAGGCCGTTTCTCTGTATTGACGCCATTCTTTCAGTATTTTAGCGGTGCCGGCGAGCCCTTGTATCCGCCCTGTAGGCAGGGTGACAATTGTCGGTGAGCACCGATTCCAGTTCCGTTGACTGCTCGTCTTATTGCTTCAGATTTGTCCATCCAAACGACCCCAATTGGCCAGGGCGCCCATGTAACAACCCAGTCACGTCAGCCAGAACAAACAGCGCAGGACAGCGAACCTCTTCAGGAGCCAAATCTGCCGCACCAAGGGCAACTTCGCATAGTCCAGTTACATCTCGTTTTGGGCCACCTCTTGTTTCCCAAACGGATCTCTTTCGTCAGCTGAAACTTGAATCAGATAGTGACGATACAGAATCTCTTCTGCGTCGTACCCAATACCCAGGCAAAGTTTGGAACCATGATTCTCGGCGTAAAGATCTTGACCGTGAAAGCTCGCGGGGTCGTGCAGCTCATAGAAGCAGAGAGAGATACTGTCCTCGGAATAGGTCTGCGAGCCCATTGCGGTCTCGAGTCAAGGAGAAGCTGCCAGTCGGCAAACTCCAATCAGGTCTCGACAATTCCGCTGCAGTAAGTCTTCTTGATTGCCTCTATTCGCTAGGATTATGCTGAAAGTGCTTGTTTGCCATGTTAGACCCCAGACATTGGCGCGAGTTCAAGCTCCCAATCTGGTGTTTTCGTCAGATCTGCAGAGAAATTCGCAGACCAACCCATTGTCGGCAGAGCCCGGACAGGCCCTGGATCCCAGCGAATGGTAGAGTTGTTTCGCGATCTTGCCAAGTAAGAATATCAGCTTCATTATCCTGGTTAATCCTGACGCTTATTCTTAGGTTTTCCAATGATGTCGTGCAATCAACCGCCGAATTTGAAAGACAGGAAAAGAAATTAAAATCATACACGGAGATTTCCGCGACACTTTCCAAAGTGTCCAATTCAGCGGCAGCTTCAGTTGCGCCTAATCTTGCAGAAATCCTTCTTAGCCATGCTCAAACTCAGAACCACGTCGACGAGGGTTTTGCGGCCATCGGGAACATTTGGCAGGAAATTTTTGGCGTGGTTATTTCCGAGGTTAACGAAATCATTAATGCATCCGTTGAGGATGCAGTCGATGCTCTGAAAACTCGTATGGAACGCACGATGAACGGAAGGGACGGAGATTCGGGACTAGACATGGATACGACGCTCGTAGACGCAATGTCGTTCCCAGAGGGTCCCCGCGTTCCGAAAAGGGGACGATTAGCGGATGAGCCGTGCGCGCACTCGCAGACCGTTAAGCGTCCCAAGCTCGCGGCATGGAGTCCTGCCTCCAGCTACGCTGAATCTCTCTCCCACACGACTATCAGCGTTGGGGACCTCATTCATCGAATGAAATTGAAATTAAACGAGCAGACATCCTCGCTTCAACACCTTGCTAAAGAAAACAGCGAAGTACGTTCACCACTCGAGACTCTATTTCTACGGTATTAACAGGTTCACGTGGATAGTTGAAAAGCATGCTTCAGAACAATCCCCGAAACCCGAATCCGAACCTACTGTCAAGTTCTTCCTCGGCAGCGGTGGCGGAGCCCCCATTTCCATCGAATGCAGCCACCAGCGACCGACCCAAGGCATCTGACTCTCGAGGTGATGAAATTTTGAAGGGATTTACACCCTCTAAGCCGTCGTCTTCCCGCCGCGGAGAATCGTCTCGGTCCTCTTTCGATGATCGTAGAGATCGACATCGTTATGAGGGTAAGAGTGGTACTGGTCACCACGCATCGCGTTCTCCGGGATATAGCAGTCACCGGGATAGAAGAAGGGCTTGATAGCCTATACGTTCGCCCGGCTCCACTTTTTTCTCTTCAGCGCGCATACATACAATACAGCATCGTGAATTCTCATTCGTCAGTCGACTAGTCATCTCTCCGACGTGCCTAGTAAAGAAATCTGCATCAATCAAATTATTTCTGTAGCACACAGCGTACTTCGTACTTGTCTATAATTGTAAGAGTGGTAAAATAAATAACTTTAAATACAGCCACAATCTCTTTCGCGCTCAAAGCTTAAGCAGTAGCTCAGTATCACTCGACCATATGCAAGTGGGCTACGCCCGAAGTATAGCAGAACGATTGCTCCCGGCGTCCTACTTCAAACGTCGACCTGATTGACCGGAACTCTGACTTTAAAATTCCAGTGGCAATGCGCGAGTTGCCGATGAAAAATCCGAGTTTCCTCCGCAAGGTACATCTCTAACGAGACCGTAGATTGATGGTGGGGGGCTGCCTCGGTGGACTCGAGCGGTCAGTGCCCGAGACACATGCATCGAACCATCCCTAGTTTTCAGGGGAAAAATATGTCACGAATACGCAGTGACGAATAAAGAGCTAGATGAATTAAGGTCAGAGCTGTCATTAATCCACTAAAAGATAATGTAGACATACATAGGATTGAATAGAGCCCCAGCATACAGTAGGGCAAAAAGAAGAAGAATGAATCCCGTATGGACGGCCTGCAAAATAAAACCAAATATATAAGGCACAGCGTAACAGGAGAGGATGTAAATTAGATGTACAAGTTGTCTGGTTCCAGCAATTCTTCCACTGCCGCCATCTCAGCATCCGAGGGAGGTGATTCCGGAGCTCCGTGACTTGGCTGATCAATGCGAAGGACACGCTTTAGCGAATTCCATCGGCCGATGTGGTCTCGCGGTAGAGTGGTAGAGCCGAAGTCAAAAACATGCACCTGCATGTCATTCCTTGTCGCGAAACACGTCCGGCCCGTGGTCTCATCCCATGCAAACGCTGTGATTTCTTGCCGATTGAGGCTTTCCATGATATGGGGTGAGATGTTGAAAGTACGATATACGTGTTTCGGCCTCCACCGACAAGATTGCTTCGAAGGGATAAGATCTTTACCAACAAAGGACAGGAGATCATCGAACCGCTTTTCGGGATTGAAATATCGTCGAATGGCGGTAACGTAGTTTGTGGCTTGATGGTTCTCGTCGGGATGTAGCGTGCATATAATTGCACGATTGACGCCAGGAAGAACCTGAGCGATTTGTTCGGTGTTAAAAGTTGTTTGGGGTACTACGTTATTGAGATCGTAACACCACCATTGGTGGGATATCCCAGCTGCAGAGTGCAGAGAGGGGGATATCGTGTAGTGAATTACTCCATGGGGGTTGGCAGTTTCAAGATATACGGAGATCGGCGATGGTGAACGGGAACTAGGGCATTCCTGGTTATATGGGTCAGAGAGTTGAAAACTGTCAACTTGTTTGTGCTCCACGACAACGCGGTGCTTGGCGGAACCGCGAAATCTTCCGGTCGCTGGCGGTAGAGAGTATATTTCCATCACATGAACGTCATTTAGCCCGTTGATCACTGTGCGGATTACCAGAACGTCACCCTGCTCTGGAAGCACTCGAACAGCGCGTATCTGATGGTCCTGCGTAACGTCTCAGCCTGTCGTCTAGAAAGGAGCGAGGAAAGAGCTCACACAATCGGGATAGGGCGTATCGTTGTTACATATAAAAGAACGCGCTTCCTGGGTGTCGAGATTGATTATGACGACCTCATCGGGAAGGATAGCCAAGGTCAGATACAACGAACCTTGATACAGGAATAGGACGGGATCATGAATCGGGTCGCGGAAGGTGTACGGTCGTAGCAGCAGGAACGGCGCGGATGTTGTGATGTTATCGCTTGGGCCTGGAGCGCTCGGACTGCCTAGTCGGTTAAGGTCTTCCATTGGCATCGCTCGTTGTAGCTCGATCAATACAAGGTTCGAAAGGGAGTCGAGACTAATGTGGGCAAAATGGCAGGTATATCCGACGCGTCGAGTCGATGGATCAAGTGTATCGGTCCTGAATGTTACCATGAGCTTTGGAACAGCGCGAGGAGACGAACACCCTACCCGTCAAGACTCTTTCCAACCTTGGATTTCACGACAAACCACACCATGATACCTGGCTTGTCGTTGTACACCATATAACGTGCTTGGAGATACTCTGGTCGAGCGAGGGTAGAGATACTGGCTAGAGCGAACATCCCTTCGTGACTGGGGAGTTCCACATTGGATACCATAACGCGGTACCCCATACGATAGTCGAACGAGGACGAGACAAGATGTTGGCCTCCAGGAAGAACGGCCATATCCAATATTTTGCAGCCCGACCTGACATGAAAATAGTTGACTGGTTCAGGGTTTGGCTTTTCCCAGTTGCGGTTAGCAGAAATGGCTGTGGCGACCATTTGTTCGACTTTGAGATCGCTGGGCTGGACTGTATAGGGCACGAATTGTGGAAGTGGTGGGGTTGCAATATCTAGCCGGCTGAGAAAACGCCTCCATATTGATGGTTCTTGAGAAAGCAGGAATAAGGGTTTGCTGGTCTGATTTTCTGTCGGTTATTGCTGGTTCAACTGAAGGCAGTGATGACGTACCCTGCGAAGAGCAACTATGTCTCGAACAGAGAGATAAGGAAACAGGCAGTACAGTAATACATCCATGGGAAGCCTGTAGAAAATACATGGAGAACGGCGAGTAAATGCCCAGGAGAGCAGGTAGTGAATAAAGAGGCGTTCAGACTGAGGCATGGGAAGGACGAGGACAGGAAGGACAAGCAGCGAAGATTGTTGAAATAAGGCATGGCGGACCTTGTTCTTTCCGTGTTTCAGACCGCGACCTTGTTCTGCGGCGTTGGCAACCTTTGAAGGGGATGGCCAAAAAGGGTACAAGCATTGCCTATCTCGGAAGTCAATGGCCCATGCACTCAATGGCCAATGCCCAACACAATAAGATTCTCTTTCCAAATTTCAAAGAACATGTCCATTTCAAAGCCCCAACGAGCCGCAGAAAAATAAAAAGTATACATGATCCGTGTCGTAACTAGAATTGCGCTCTCAAACCAGGGTATGTGTTACAGTGCCGAATTATAGATAAGTGGTAGATGCGTAGCGAATATGTGATTAAAAGCAAAATCTCATTCGATAGAAATTCTCGGTCCTAGCGCAGATCCACCGAGATATGAGCCCTGTGGCTGACCCATGCCTGCAGAATCGCCACCCGGTGAGTAGTTATGTTTGTCAGAGATAGCTGGAACAGAATCACCGTTGAGAGCTTGCATCTTAACATGGTTTTTAACGGGCGTATAAGACTGACCGTGGACTTTGGACTCCATCAACCCCTTCTCGAAATCCGCGAAACAACGGAGTCCAACCGCGAATGTAGCAAATAACATAAGAAACGCGACAATGGCTAGACCTCGTTTCAGAGACCGGTCCATCTCATGGCCAATAATAACTCACTGAATATGGTCAAAGTCGCCCTTGTAGTCGCATACTGAGCTCGGGAGGCGGGCTCATAAAATCGTACTAGTTTGTAAACTGAAATCGAGTCGTTTGCATATATCTTAGCTGCAAGTCACGAAACAGACTTACTGACTAAAGAAAACATGCAATCAGTAACGGATGTGACTCATAAGATAAAGAAATCTTACAATAGCTTTCTGCCGCCAACATCATCACCAGAGATATCGTCATGATCCTGTACACAAGTCAGCTTGAGATCAAAAGGTCAGAACTGCCCGTACCATTTTATCTCACGCTGAACCGCAACACCACATAGACCGAGAAGGATCAGTACTATGGGTATGGCGGTGATGGTGATCGCAAACTCGGCCGAATTTCGAGACAGGACGACAATAAGAAGCTAGGGATGGTTCAGTGCTGTACAATATGATTACGTATACAAGCAGGAGCGAACCTGCATGGTAACACCGGTGAAGAAGAAGAAATCGAACTTCAGAAAGCAGATCATGATCTGATACCACTGGTACATGGCTGAATGCAAAGTCAGCTTAATTGATCGAGAAAAGGTATCCAACGTACTCTTCATTTTTGGATTGGCGCCGACAACATGGAAGATCGCCCAGCTTTATCATGCTGTTAGTAGTAAGCCGGTCAGGCGAAACGTTCAGCCTCACCCGAACTCTTCGTAAAGTTGTTTTGTCCAGAATAGTATGGAGAGCCACGATGCCGCAATGACACAAGGCGTAACGATGAGATACGGCTCTACTCGTCGCCATAGAGAACCAGGTCCGTCACAGTTCTATGGTGTGCAATGAAACTAGATGATGACAAGCAGGTAAAGAGGAGCTGACCACTTCATTAAAAGATTCCGCGCATGTAGCATCATCGAGCGTTACTAGCGCGGTCTTAGTCTGGTGCACCTGCAGTGCTGAGAACACAATGAGGGCGAGGTGAAATACTGCTGCATTGTCAGTGACTAGGAGCATGAAGAGTGTGATGACGAACGCAGGATCCCTATAAGTTGTATAACATTTCGCAACCGTAGAGCATCGAAAGCCATGAGTAACTCGAAAATCCTAGTCTGTCACTGAGATGGAGGCCATGATGGTGTAGAAATTGGTACGAACTCTGCTAGTGCAAATAGCGCAAGATAACATGGCAACGTCTGAGGAGGATTATGAATGCCATTCAATATGCCTAGACTGCGACTCGTCGCACCTTGTAACCGCCTGTAAACGTGACTTCGTCCTCCACCTGTATGATCGTTAGATCCCGAATTGTTCCTTCAGCCAGGACTGGAGCCTACCAGTCTAAACACAATCGCAATCATAACAAGAACTACCACGGCCTCTGGGAATAAAGAGGGAAATCAGCGGGACCTAGGTTGTTAAGATAGTGCACATACGAAATGAAACTGTTCAACATGGATCAGCAAGTGAGTGAACTATGACAGCAAAATGACTTACTAGTAATGATGAAGGCCTTTTGGGCGCGTGAAGCGAGAAGTGGCTCAATGGCCATGGTGGGGAGATGAAGAAAGTTACGCTGTGTTGAGACGCCAAAATCGCGCCAGGCGGCTGTGCCAAATCACCCCTTTACCGGTTACCGCTTGTGCACAGCTTTGTCCTCCCAAATTTACGGTGGATATTACTGGGAATTTTTGTCCGATTTCAGAGTAATTTATGCCTAACGACACCGTGTTGGCCGCTGCAACAAATGATGTTAGTGCAACGGTCAGCGTTGTCTGTGCTTAGAAGAAATATGTGAAACTTCAAGAAATATTATGTAGACGCCATGGAAGGAAGGAAGAGTTAGCCGGTCAGGCGGCCGAGTCAACTTGCCACCACGCCACTGCCTTTGCTCCTTCCCTTCGTACAGACATGTCCAATTTACTCGCCATTCCATTCAAGAAATCATATAACCTTGATCTCAAGGAAACTGCGCGTCGTTATCTACAGGATCATACCTCGGCCCACCCGGATTCTTTCAAAGTCGATATCAATCGTTGGCAAGAACTTCGAAGAGATGGCGTCGGAGGAACAGTGCACAAGGATGTCACGGATAAGATGAACAAGTGCGCCATTTGCCGTATTTTTGTACCCTTATTGACCCCCACGAACAGCTATCATGCTCAGCTCTCGTCGATACTGACCAAATTACCGTCCGATGTCGGTGCGATCATTCCCGGCTCGAGGCTAACTAATAGTCTATCTTTCACAGATTGGATTGGATATATCTTATGCTCCCGCTTTCTCCCCTAATGCAATGCCGGTTACTCTGCGCAGTCTCGCCTTTGAACGCGCTGCTGTATTGTTCAACCTAGCTGCTCTGTATTCACAACTTGCTAGCAATGAGGATCGTTCACACATGGAAGGAATTAAGCGCGCCATCTCTTGTTATCAGGTCAGTAGCGCGATGCTGTCGGGATGTAGGTTGTAGTTGACCTAGGTGCAAAAGAATGCAGCAGGAACACTATCCTGCTTAAGATCTTCAGCTCTCGCAGAACTCAGTGTTTCTCCTCAAGACGATGACATTCCCTTCGATCTCGATAAATCGTGCGTTCACAGCTTAGAATGGCTCATGCTCGCCCAAGCGCAGGAATGTTTCTGGCAAAAGGCTAAAATTGGTGAGCAGAGAGATACTAGTTTGTTCCATGCGTAATAATCTAAGCTTGCACCGTAAGATGGATTCAAGAACGCTTTGATTGCTAAACTAGCGGCTAATGTACGTGATTTTTCCGGCTAGCCAAGTGTCGCGTGCCCACTTTCTTCCTCTAGACCTCTGCCCTTTATAAACTATCTATCTCCGCTATTCGAGATGCATCTCCTCCAGTAAAATCAGCACTCCCTTCGGTATTCCTCTCTTCCGACATGAAAAGTACAGCGTTAACGATTTACAGGACTGGGTGGCCCACATCGAAGCCAAACAACATCATTTCGAGGCAGTTGCACAGTTCAGGAAGAGCGTGGAAGAGCTGGAGAACAGTAGGTATGCGATTCTGTCACGATGAAATGCGCAGCCTTGGTCATGGCATCTCAGTTACGGCGTCGAAATATCCCGTCTCCAAGAAGCCCAAAATGAGGCGAAGAAGGCCCATGATGTAGCTCGCCGCGGGAAAGTTTCGCAGGCTGTGATACAAGATATACAGGTAAGAAGCTTGTTTTCGAGCATTTGAGGGAGTTCTACCTTACATTTTTATCTTAGTCCCTTGTTGATGTTGTGAAAACCGCCCTCGCGCGCGCTGAGCGCGACAATGATCTTATATATCACCAGGATATACCAGCAGTGTCTGCGCTCCCTTCTATACCCCACGCAGCCATTGCACAAGTTACTATACCCGCAGGATTGTCGAATCCAGCGAAAGGAACCCACATGATCTTCGGGGAACTGCTTGGTTGGGGCGCCCAGGAAGCCATTAGTAAGATCGCTGCGTATGAACGGATAATCTTCTTGCTGAAACGTTGTAGATATTTACAATGACAGGAAAAAGAATCTCTTGCAGGACCAGATCGTGGAACCTACACGAGAACTGAAAGACAAAGCGGACGAGTAAGTTACAAGATCTATTGTTTATTCACCTTATGATGTTGTTTTCAAGGATGTTGACATCCCACAATCTACCTGCTTCTATAGAGGCACTTGAGCGTCCTGTCGGATTGCCTCCAAGCCTCTTAAAGAAAGCCGAAGAAGTACGCCTCGAAAATGGCCCGATGAAGATTGAATCGTGGTTTGAAGACTTGCAGAGGCAGGCTCGACACGACTTTAATATCCTAGAAGAGGTGGCGTTATCCCTGTTGGCTATCATCGAAGAGGTCCTAACACTGGGTTAGGCGATGGATATTTTGGATACAGAAGCTTCCGAGGATGAAGTTGCTCGCAAAGAACTCCCTCTGGATCGGCCACCTTCATACGAAGCCAACATCGAGCTGATTGAGAAGGAGAAGCGGTATCGAGCCATCCTTGATCAAGCCAAGGCCAGTGACGACACTGTCAGACGCAAGTGGGACGAATGGGAAAACAACATCACAGATTTGACGCTAGATGAGGTACGTGGGACTTCATACATTCTATCCATATGACGTTCTGAAGTATCTTGTGTGGTAGTCGGATCTAGAAGCTATGGTACCTTCCTCCACGGCGTCTAGTAGGAAAACTCCAGAGTCAACCATCACTTCAAGATACGCTCGACATCTTCGAGTATTGCTTGAGTCGCTTGATACGCTTCATGCCGACCGAGACCAGTATGTTCGACGCGCAGAAGCCCTAGCCGAAGCCGACGACATATATCCGAGGATAGTGAAGGCCGCTTCCGGAATCGAACGTCTGACTAAGGTCCAACCGGCGACGTTCGAGGATGTCCTGGACGAGGAGCTAGCAAAGTATGATAAATTCTGCGAATACATCAAAGAAAGCGAGCAGAAACAGGAGGATATTCTTTCATCTATAGAGGTACGAAATATGGTTTTCTTTGTCGCGTCGTTACATCAAAAATATTATAGGCGGATAACGAGAAATTTATAAAATCCCGTAAGGACGATCCATCAGTGAAGGAGCGTGAACACGCCCTTCAGTCCTTGGATCTATCATATCACAAGTATCGGGAGATCACAAACAATTTGCAAGAGGGGATCAAAGTAAGTCATCTCAGATATGCTTTCATGGGCAAAAGTAATAACATATATACAGTTCTACAACGACTTGTCTGGGCTGCTTCTGCAGTTCAAGGACTCGTGCAAGATTTGGTGTAATCATCGACAGGAAGAGATCCAGTAAGTACCTAATATAGCGCTCACGTAGACGGTCACCAACGCATGCACCAGTGCTCTTTCACAGTCATTAGGATCTATGTCTCTCCAAGAAAACGATGACGCCGAAAATCTTTCGGAAGAAGATATCAATGACCAGCCAGAGGTAGTGGAAGAGCCACCTGCACCTAGTCTTCCCAATCCTCCCAGCGAGCCTCCGCAGAGCGCTCAACCCAAGAAAGTATTCGGAAAAATCTCTTCAGGACTGCCACCTCTGAATTCTAGCGAGTGGGGTTTCGAGGAGATAAAGCTGCCTCCGGGGCCAAGCAAGAAGAAATCGAAGATGAAGGCGTAGTTGTAGTATGTGAGCTTCAATCCATATATATCCTTGTTGTATCTCGACATAATATGCATCTCTAGAATACCTTCAGCATAACTAATTAGCGCACCTGTCAGATGCAAGGCTTGCCTGAGTTTTTGTCTGAAAGAACGTAATCATCTTCTCACTTGGATTACTTAGACCTTGTATTATTCTCTCCGTGACTGTCCGTCTTTCATGGATAGTGCATTGGTTGTCGAACTCGGCCCTCAAGAGTTGACGTCTAGCATTCAGTCCTTGTATCTCCCCTTGAGTCTCTTCTATGCCGTCCCGTGTCATTGGACACACAATACGGACGATACTCAGGAGAGGCTTCCCCATCCTGGCAGGTTATTATCATGCCTCCGCAGAAAGGACTTACACTGTTGCTATCTGAGAGGTCCGGGAAGAGCGAGACTCGCTTTTGGTTAATCTTTCTTACTATTGTTCACAGAAAAAGGGGAAGAAATCCGGAACTTACCGCCTATGTTCATAGCTGCATATCCCGAGACATTCTACGAGGATAAAGTGGCTCCGGAAGAGCAGCGAGCGCGGCTGAGAACGGGCACTAGCTGTCATTTGATAGCCAGGTACTGGAAACTGCTTTCGTTTCTGACGATAACAAACATAGCGACACGGAGTAGTTTAGGTGATCCTGTTATGTTTCCGCAAAAGCACTTGAGCCGCAAGCGGGACAGCATCGGAGGTAAGCGCGCTAGAATCTCAGGCAGAGTCGGTTACGATTAAGAAGAGCCCGACCACGGTGACAGCTTGGAAGCATCTATGTTCAGGATGACGGTCAAATTAATGTGCGGGGAAATGACACCGACAGCGCTGCTGCGCCGGAGAGTGCGCCAATGGAACATTGGAGTTAAATAACCGGTGACGGTTACTACTACGCGGCGCCCCTACGGACGGGAGCGATACTGATGGAACATAGTTTTTTTGTCGACGATGACAGGTTTTGCGGGCCCGGTGACGGTGCCGGTCAATATTGGACTGTGAATGAGAGGTCCAGACCGGGCCTCATGGTTACCGCTACAACTTCGAACGCTCCTTGAAAGTCGGAGACAGTTGAAACACGAGAAAGTTCTTTGCTGCAATGGTCCAGAGAATGGCGGAGGTTGACTCCCGAACGATACCCACTTAGTCCCGATGCTTGTCGAGAAGATCTCGGCGGGCAATACTCGTCAACTATGAACCTGGTCTTGACAGCCATGGGAATTCTGCATCTTCGTGTGAATTGAATAGTAAATATCTTGCCCCGAGCGCATTAATATTCATTATATTTATTGGTCCTAAAGTGAATTACTTCTTTAGTCCCATAGCAAACTGAAGAACGAAGCTGCTAAGTACTTACGTATGGTCAAACTTTCAAAATGGTATTCCACTCGAGATACTTTTAGACATTTCCTGACTAACGAGAATCTCTTCTAGCCAGAGCGTCTCGATGGTCGTAAACGCGTTGATTGCCCAACCAGAAGCAGACTTTTGTGCATCCTTGATAGCGGCTACACGCATCTCTCCTCTTTGCACCACTTGGCCACATATCTCGGCAATTGTTCTTCGGACGTTCTCCTCGTTCTCTTTCGAGATGGTGTCTCGATGTCCTAGCAAAGTGTCTTTCCAAGGCCTCAGTAGCTCTTCAGAATTTCCATCCCGCGCTAAGTGATATAAACGCAATGCAACGAGCAGACGAAAAGAAGGATATGCAGATTCTCTCGATCGATGCAGAGTCCAATTTCTGCACACGCATCAATTAGTTGGCATCTGTAAGAAGCGAAAGGTGAACCCACCCCCAATAGTTCTCTCGATCTAGAAGTTCCTGAAGATGATTTGCTTTGCCCGTGAAAAGAGGCTCCACGAAGTCAAAGACGTCGACTTCTCCATCGACTTCTCTGGCAGGGGACGATACTTCCGAAAGTATGGGAAGGACAAAACCATATTCGACAAAGAGTGTTTGATTAGAGTGTGAACCATACTTTAGGAATATCTCTTCATCGTCATCCAAGTGCTTATCAGCGGGGGATATAAATACCATGTCCTCACCGAACCGCTCACGCGGTGGTACATTCAATTTGTCGGCAGTCGAAGGACGTGGTGATATGTGAGGGAGATGAGCACTATGGTTGGCAAAGTCCAAAACAGGGCACATAGTGAAGTTGTCAGGATCGGATTGCTTTGCTTTCAGACGTCGGTAGATGCATCTTGTATTGACTTTACTTTGAGAAATCAGTTCAACTCAAGAACGCGATACAGACCGCATGGATCGCACCATTTAACCACGCCCACAAGTAATCTGAACGATCTATGCTTTCCTAAAAGTAGTCAGAACATGCAACATTTATCTGTTTTATGCAGACCATTTGCTGAGAGACCTTGCGAAAGTCTGAGCAGAATCGTTGTAGCATCTTGTCCAAAGCTCTCAATGCGCTCGGAGGAACAAACGATAGAATTTGAGTATTTTCTTCGACTATCCATGTTAAAGGATGGAAGGAAAAGTCCCGAGGTAAGAGAGAGATATAAGGCCCAAAGTGCGGGTCCATGGAGGGATTTCCACGGTGTATGGCCAAATGCAGAGACACCATCTGCACGGCATCCAATTTTTTGAAAGGATACAAAGGAGAAAGTGTCTTTATGTTCATCATAGCAGCAGCTGGTACCCGAAAAAGTACTTCAGACGGAGCGAAAGGTCGCAAGACGAATAGGCCGCATCCTGATAATGTCTGAACAATTTTACTTTTCATAGAAAAAGATGAACAAACCACCAATACTTTTCCGCCTTTCTACTGGTAGTTTATCCTTGCGTACATCCATCCCTTTTTCATTCAGCCATTGCAGTAGTCGATCCCATTCCAAGTCCATCGATGAGTGAAGGAAAAAGAAACGTGCCGGCAACATTATCGGATCGACGGACCGGGGAGTTGCGTCGGATTTTTCGGAGGGATATCCGATTGCATTCCCGCGGCCGTCTTGTCTGAGCAAAGTTCTGTCCACTACTACCTTCACCCCGGCCAAGTAACGCTCTCTACAACTCCATCATGTCTGTCTTCAATGCCTCTCGCCTGCTCGGAAAGACCGTTATTGTTACTGGTGCCAGTTCAGGGATTGGAGCGGTAGGATCTCTTATCAAACCTGAGGTTATCAGAACCGATTATCTTTCTCTCTAGGCCACCGCGGTGCTGTTTGCCAAGGTATGTAAAATCAAGAACTTTTGAATCTGCATTGATCTTGACTCTATCAGGGAGGTTCGAATATCATCTTGGTCGCCCGTCGTGCAGACGCGCTCAAGAAGGTGGCGGACGCATGTGCTGTTGCTCACAAGGAATCCGGTCTCCAGCAGGGGGGTAAATTCGCCTCTGTTCAGCTGGACGTCTCGGATAAGGCGCAAGTTGCAACACTCTGGGATAAGGTTCCTCAGGATCTCCGCAATGTCGATATCCTAGGTAATGTTTCACCGTCTAATTTCTGTCCCGTCGCACACTCATAAGAGATGGTAGTGAATAATGCTGGGTTCGTCTTGGGCGTTGAGCACGTTGGAGACATTAAACCCGAAGACGTGGAAAGCATGTTTTCTACCAATGTCTTTGGGCTCATTTCCATGACTCAGTTGCTCATCAAAGGTGCTTCTATCCTATGCTCACCAGTAATACTTCCGTCTAATGAAACCCAGATTTCAAAGCCAAGAAAGCAGGACATGTCATTAACCTCGGATCTATTGCTGGACTTGAACCATACGCAGGAGGAAGCATTTACACTGCTACAAAACACGCTGTCCGTGCCTTTACTGGATCGATGAGGAGGGAACTCGTCAATACTCCTATCCGGGTCACTGAAATTCAGCCAGGTATATATATTACATGTTCTATTTCTCACTTTCATGAATTGACTGTGTTGTAGGAATGGTGGAGACTGAATTCTCCATCATACGATACAGAGGCGACACGGCCGCTGCTGGAAAAGTGTACGAAGGCCTGCAACCTTGTAAGTTCATATTTCCTATTTGTCATTCCTCCTGTTTTCTCACATATCCAGTGACGGCTGACGACATCGCGGAAGAAATTGTTTGGGCAGCTGCTCGTCCCCCGCATGTCAACATCGCAGAAATGCTTGTGTTTCCTGTTAACCAGGCAAGCGCCACAATAAACTACCGGGAACCGAAATGACCAGTTGAACATGTAAAGTGAAATTAGAAGTCCAACATATGTAACTATTGCTGTATGCTTTTCATTATGAAGGGTAATAACACAGCAATAAGATATATAAGCACTGACAGATCCTGGTTAAGCAAGACATTCCATGTACAAATAACAAGCTACTTTCTAGTCATGACTTACTCCTCTTGGATCTTGAGCGGGTATTTCTAACAACGGCCGGCTCTGTCTCCTGCGGGAGATCACTGTCATAAACGAACTTCTGAACAACAATATTCTCTGGAATGAGGTCTCTCAATGGTGAAGAAGCGTTCGGTAAATTACCCAACGTGTCCAAGGGTATCGCCTGTTTGAACCAAAGTCAACACGTTCAGCAATACACGTATCAGCTGGATGTCATTTACCTTCGCCGTAGGAGCCAAGCAGCTCTTTTTGACGTCATTCTCTTTCGGCGGATTGATATTTTGTAGCTTGATCTCATCTACAAAAATTGCGGTAGAAAGCCCTCGGTCCCACTTGACGTGCTTTTTCTCTCTCGCGTATGCCTCACCAGCAAATTGCGCCTTCTCCGGTGGACGTCGAATAGGAGTTTCATAGTCTTCCTCTTCTCCTGGCCCTCGTCGATGTCTCCTAACCCGCACCGGGCTGCTATCAAGCTGATCCCAACCGTCGTCATCGTCATCGTCTTCTTCTTCCTCCGCCGCACTCAGATTCTCCTCTTCGTCTTCTTTCTCCCCATTCAACCTCCTAGCCCGTCTCTCGGCGCGCTCCCTCCTCAACCTTCCCTTTTCATCCGCCTCCTTCTGCGACACGGTTCGGGCCTTCATAATAGGACTCTCTGGACGTGCCCCCTCCTTCCGTATAACCTCAGTCGCCAGCGTGGCAGCGAGGTATACTTGGTTTTTCACAGTATTTGACGACGTCAAATGACGTAGAGCTATCGATGTCATACCGGCGAACATAGGGTCCTCAGCTTTAGGTTTGCGTGGGCGCGGGCGCGGCGGAGGCGCGTCGGAAGGACGACTGAATATGTCAGTGCCAGGATGGATAGATTTTCGTACTCTGGTGGTCCGTCGAACGCCTGGCAAGGGCGGCTCTGGAGCCGGAGGAGCCATAGGTGAGGTATCGACGAGCGTACGACTTTCTGACGAGGACTCTACTCTGGGAGATGTCGGCGCATCAGCAAGTGCAGAGTTCTCGAGGGACGGGGTGTTTTCGGCAGGAGTACTCAACAGTTGCGGTACACTTTCGATGTTCTGAGGAGGAGGAGATGCTGGGGTCGGTTCCGTTGGGGATGACTTGCTCGTGGCCAGACGACCGTCTCTCTCTGCCACTAATTGTAGCTTCAAGGTCCGTTGGGAAGATCTCCTGGTTGGACTGGATGGTTTTATACGAGGAAGAACCTGTCGTACAACTGTGGAAACAGGTCTAGAAGGAGAAGGCAGAGGATCGGGTCCGCGTTTACGCTTCAGATTAGTCGTTGGCATAGAGAGCCCTAATCCTAAAGTTGAACCTTTCGAAGCAGGCTAGAAAGATGCAAAACTAAGTATGAAGATACCTCGACCTCGACCTCTAGACTTACAGCGGAAGGATCAGCTCTTTGCAAGCCAATTGTTCTAGAGGACTTTACAGTCTGAGATTCCATGACTCTGCTAGCTGAAGCAACACCTGGCCTTGCATACGGTTTCTTTCTTGGGATTTTGCTTGTAATGACACTGGGTTGCCTCAAACTTGACTTGGACGTCTGCAACTGGGGTATTACGAGTGGCGTCGGCGAGGTGGGTTCATTAACGGTTTCACCATCCGTTGTAGAAGTCGTAGGTAGAGAAGGTGATGGATCTGCAGCGGCGGCTTCTTCAGAAATGGAAGAAGGTAGGTGTGGGCGACTGGATGATATTGGGAACGGCAACTTTCGTGGTGGCCCAAGTTTCGTAGACGCAGACCAACCCGGATGTCCAGTAGGCTCAGCAGACCCACTTCTCTGCTTCCCTTTGAGGAAAATCGCGGTTGGGGGGGTAACCCGCTTGCGGCTCTACTGACCTACTTCGCTCAGGCGACTTCCCCCCAAACCTGACCCCACCCCATTTACTTGCCCTCATCGGAGACTCGGGGGCCGTTAGAGGAACTCTGCGTGGAGGACTGTCTGATGGTGGTATATTAAAGAGGGACCCGGAATTATTTGTGCGAGGATTGAGAAAAATAGCAGCTCTCTGGGAAGACAACTGTCCTTGCGCGACAGCTTGTTCTAGAGGTATTCGTCGAGCGGATGTTCTATTCGGATCATCCAAGGGAAGACGAAATTGTGGCCTTTCGGGGGATAAAAGCTGAGCTTGCCGCTTTGGACTTGGAAAACGAATGGGACCATCAGAACTAGCAGGTAAGGTCGCAGACGGGGGTAAACTCAAAGGCTGAGGAGTAGAAGGTGCCGTATTTGCGTCCCCTGGTGATGGACGAAGAACAGAGGGTAATTGTCCAAGGAGGTTGGTGGTACCCGGTGACAACGAGGCCAGCTGTCGCCTGGAAATGCCAGGAACATTACCTGCCCTCCGGCGCGTAGGAGACCCATCCCGCCGTCTGTCCGGTCTGGTACGTGGCGTCATCGGTACAGTACTTTCGTCACTCTTCTCAAGTAGGTTGCCCTCCTTAGGAAATAGTCTTTCCTTTCCCTTCCCCTTGTCTTCGGGTTTCGCCAACGCTTCATTGTGATCAGGCGAACGAATCGCAGGTAGTTTTTCCTTGACTGGGGAAAGGACAGTCGTTAGCAAGCTTCGGCGAGGTCGACCCGGGCGTCGAATAGGAGTTTGACAATCATCCACAAGCTTCTGGACCGCTGTGCTGGTCGACGCAGTTGAATTCTCATCAGTAGGAACCAATGCATTCACCACGTCCTGTTCCTCGCTGCTATTGCTCAACGCTTCTTGTTCTAGATTATCGTTGGCCGACTCTACGTTACGAAGCGGAGATGGAACTATCGTGTCTCTTTCCCCTTCAGAGAACAAAGAACCAGCGGGGGAGCTGTCTAGTAAAGAGGTAGAGCATGCTGGTACGGATGGGCCGGCTGGTGTATTAGAGAACGAGTCGAATGATATCAAATCCGGTTGCGAGATGTCCTTTGGAGAGGGAGTCATCGGTATCGGACTCGGAAGATGGGTAAGAATAGGAGGGGATGATGGCGATAGTGGCACCTGGCTTGGAGGTTCAAAAAGGTTTCTTAAAGGTTGTATTGGTGATTCGAATACGTCAAGGGATGGGAAAATGGGGAATGATTTTCCTGGCGATGAATCTCTATCGACGCCCTGAGGTGGCGGAGACGGATTATCGTGAGCACGCATTATTCTTGAGGCTAGGACGGATGACGGCTCTGCATAAAGTTGAAAGTGAGCATAAGAGAGAACTGAGTTGTACTTACCATCGTTAGCTACCTGTTCGTTTTCTGGCGTCACCGGACGTGATTCCTGCAAAACTTCTCCAACGACTGTGATGAGCTGCTCTTGCCGTGAGACGTTCGGAGTCTCAGGAATAGGACTGGAGAGACGTGGAGAACGACGCAGGGGAGTCGAATGTGACGGCGGTCTCAGTAATTCCTGGCCAGGAGTGTTGCTCTGAGACAAATTGGTTGGCGTAATTGCACTGGGCATCGCCGTCGAAGGTGGCGGAGTGCTTGATTGTTGATTCTGATCGCCCATTATTCAAGCAAATACAGGGCGGCGACAGAAGGGTCACAGAAACAAAATGGACATACGGATGGGTGGCATGTAACGGTGGTAGTTAAGAAAGTCAAAGGCACTGAATCAACGCGCTCGTTGATTTCCTGCACGTGACCAGCAAAGATGACCAAACTGGGATTATACCGTATATGACATTCTCCGCCAGCCAGGCGACCACGACGATACACCCAATGCAGCCCTAAGGCCCTCAGGATGGCTGAAGATATACGTGTTTTGCCACAATGGCTCAAATTCCTTGACAATGTGCGAGCATTCTCTCTTTTATACAGTCTACTAATACTTTGTTTGCAGACAAATGGCATCGTCACCACCCTGACTGCCTGCTTCATTCTCTATACGCGGTCCCCTGGCGTCATATATTTTGCCAGCGGAGCTGTCTCCTGCTCTCTATCTGTCAAGCTTATCAAAAAAGCTATCCGACAACCCCGACCGCCACCAACGACGGGTGCAAAGAAAAAGGTTACCTACGGGTGAGTTCCACCACCGTCATCTTACGCCGTGCTGACGAAGCGATTAGAATGCCGAGCACCCATTCTGCAACCATCACTTTCTTCGCAGAGTACATAAGTCTGGCCTGTGCCTATCTCCCTATCCATCCGAGTCTTCCTTCTATGTGGATGGCGCGTATACTTCCTCCCATCATCGTCCTTCCTTGGGCTGCCATGATTGTCATGTCAAGGATATGGCTAGGCCATCATACGTTGCCACAGGTGGTTGCTGGCTGCTCGTACGGAGTGGTATTTTCGTATGCATGGTATCTCATGTGGGTCAGTGGCTTAAATGAACGCGGTAGATGGGCAACCCAGACTTTTCCGTATATTCTACAATAATTAGCCTAGAATAGGGGCAATCCCATTATGGAATTTGTGATGATACGCGTCTGTGACGTCACGTGTCTACTACCTTGACCATCAACGACCACGACTACAGTTACAACGCAATGGATGACCAGGATCCCATCTCTCAATTCTTCCCTGGCCAAGAGGACGTCGACTTGTACGCTGTTCTGTCCCTTTCAAATGATGCCACCGTCGACGCCATAAAGAAATCCTACCGCCGACTGGCCCTAATTTACCACCCGGACAAGCACGCGACTGCCGCTGAATCCGCTAGAGCAGAGGCCTCCACTAAGTTCCAGCAGGTAGGCTTTGCCTATGCTGTCCTTAGCGACGAGAAACGCAGGCAAAGGTATGACAAGACAGGCAAGACGGATGAAGGCTCAGAGCTGAGCCCAGGCGAAGACGGCTGGGAGGTCTACTTTGAGGACCTTTTCGATCGTGTTACCCGAGGAAAGCTCGATGAGATGAAGAAAGAGTATCAAGGCGCGTTTTTAGCTGTTGATTGCCAGTTATTTTTCTTACCCAGATGTCCAGGTTCTGCCGAAGAGGTAGCAGACCTAAAGTCGGCTTATCTCAACACCAAGGGGTCACTTGAGGAAATAATGACCTTCATTCCCCATTCCACGCACGAAGACGAATCTCGCTTCATCGTCATCATTTCTGACCTCATCAGCAAGAAGGAACTGCCCTCCATGCGCACTTGGGAGTCCAGCATCAAGGACGAAAAAGCCAAACTTGTCAGGAAGAAGCAAAGTGAAAAAGAGGCAAAGGAGGCTGAAAAATTGGCCAAGGAGCTCGGAGTGTGGGATGAATTTTACGGCAGTGGCAAGGTGGGCGAGCGAAAAGGCAAAGGTGGAAAGGGCAAGGGCAAAGCGAAGGAAAAAGACGAGGAAGAAGAAGATACCTCCGCACTTCAGGCACTGATTCTCAAGAAGCGCCAGAAAAGCATGGATGGATTCTTCGACGGTTTGGCCGCGAAATATGCAGAGCCAGAACCCAAATCTAAGGGCAAGGGGTGGAAGCATGGAAGGGCTGGCGATGACGATAACGACGACGCGCCGAAGAAGAAATCTAAACGCGCTGCTCCGCCACCGCCACCAGATATTGACGATGCAGAATTTGAAAAACTGCAACAGAAGCTGTTTGGGGACAAGGCCACCGATGGGAGTTCAGGGGGAGAGGGTAAAAAGAGCAAAGGGAAGAAAACAAAATCCAAGTAACTGTTATTATTATCTTGACCATTTCATTAATCTTATCACCGAGTCTTTTTTTTCACCCCGAGGCCAACTAGTGTCTGAATCAGACTGATTGAAGGACCTGAACAGCATCATGCTTACCGGTGGGTCTCATCAAATTCAACAACAAGGAGAGCAGCTTCGTCGGGGTTCTCGCTTACTTCTCAAAGTCTGTTTTTCTTTGGGACTGGAAAATGACAAGGCCAAGGCTACTTGAAGAACAAAGCGAGGATCTTCGACGAGGCCGTCGTACCTGCCTATCACTTCCGATGGCAGCTACCGAGAAAGCGGAGCGTCCGTTGGAGAACAAAGACGGGAAGGCTGTCCATGCAGTGCATTCCGTGTGAGCGAACTTGAAAGCGAAGAACATGTTGAAAAAAATTGAGGGGGGAACGAGAACAGTGAAATAAATCATCATGATCAAGGAACGAGTAATATCGCGTCGAAGAGGTACCTGACAGACACTACGGTAAGTAATACGAGGATCGTATTTACGAACCCGGATCCGAGTCGGGGCGTCGCATTCAGGTTCCAACAAAATTCCAACACCGCAGGAACGGTCAGCGAGTTGTGCCTTTGATAGATAACCAGTACGGACAGAGTACTGTACCGCCCTTCCGAACAGGACACGTCGCTGGCCTGCTGTACGCGTTCATTGAAGAAAATTAAGGGAAGAATGATCCGCTAGGCACGAGTCTAGACATCGGGTCCCTTGCGGGGTGATAGGCAGCCCCACCAGGCCAGTTCGGTACGTCAATCGAGGTTAGCGCCAACAAGGCCAACAAAATGTTCTCCCCCTACACCCATGTGCCGCATTCCACAGGCAGTAGGCATCTTGTATTACGGTGATTTGGAGGCTGAGAACCAACTTGGAACTTGATTACAAGTTGGAACGGGTTATATTCAATGGCGGGGGGGAGATATAAAGCAGAATCCATTAGCTAGTGTTCAGTACAGCGGCCTCAGTACTTATCCAGCAGCAATACCCAATACCCACCTACTACTACCACTCTTACCATGATTCGCTTCGATTCTCTCTCCATGGCTGTTCAGCAGGCGATGTGCACTCCCATGCACCAAATCCTGCCTGTATCCCAGTCGACTGGAGCCCTTTACCTGGGCTCCTTGGCCGCCATCCACGAAAAAGACGCTCTCGTCGAAAAGAATATCACCCACCTCGTCCAGGTGATGGATGCGCCATGGCTCCCCCTCTCTGAAAAAGACGGCTTCAACTGCTACCGGATCCCCATCCTCGACACCTCGTCGGCAGATATCAAGAGCCATTTAGAGGCAGCATGCAACTATATTGACCAGAGCCTTCGCTCGGGAAAGAGCGTGCTGGTACATTGTCAGCAGGTACTTATGACGTGTTGTGCCAGCCTGATCCGATCTGATCATTTTGCAGGGCGTGTCCAGGAGCGCTTCGATTGTCATTGCCTATCTCATCCGCAATCGCGGTATGTCCTACGACAGCGCCTTTGCCTACGTGAAGCGAGAGCGGGCATGCATTGCTCCCAACTCTGGCTTCGTCCAGGCCCTTAGAGAGTGGGAGGCAGCTTTCCGCAGGCCTTCTGCGGGCAGGCGTTTCACTTCTTAGAGATCTTTCCGGCAAGTCGGGTTGTTTGCTCATCCTAATGTTCTTGGCGCTGACCCACGTCCTTAGGCCTCGGATTAGACTATTTACGTTCTATTTACTACTATACCAGGTTTTTTGGGTTCTTCTGGCGTCGATGATACCTCTTTACATTCGATTTCGTTTATTTGCGCCTAAATTCTTAAATGCCTAACCGGCAATCAAAGGCTATTTCTTCGGGACATTTACCTACTTAGTTTACCGTTCGATTTGCGGAGCGATTTCCGTAGTTCAAGTATCCAATTCGGATCTGCCAAAATTCTATTGCCTCCGCTCTTCCTATGTTTGTTTCCTTATTTTGAATTACCCACGACAAAGGCGGGACACAGCTTGCCCTAACTGCCATTTACCGCTTTACTCACGTGAGCGTGGTAGGTCAGAGATACCTCCGCGGAGTCTATATATTGTATAGTTCATAAACAGTGTGCCTGCATAGACAGAGGTCTAGAGCGCTGCCAGAGTCAAACACAATAACTTCCCGAGTAGTGACACCGTTCGAGAACAGTGATCCAGACCGCTCTCTTTCTAGATTTGACAACATACATACTGTTATGATACACTTTCAGAGCATGCGCGAATCCAATAGATAGCTGATACAGATAGTAAAAACCGTTAGAGCAGAAAAAATTATAAATATCGAACAGAATCAATCCCCAAGCTTCGTCGAGCATGGATGATAGCAACCAGCTCCTTCATGCTCTCCTCTAGAATCACAACATTGTCCAGCAATCGAGATAGTGTCACTGTGGGTATACTCTCCTTCACCTCAGCTTCGTCTTCCTCAACAAAGGGATTGGGCTCCTGCTTGTCCACGAAACCTGAACTAAAGACATCCTCTTCCTCAGCGTTCCAGGATCTCTTCGAGGGCGACCATGGACCCGAGGAGGGTGCAGGCGCTATGAGAGGCTCTACGGTGATAGACCTCGTCTTCTGATAATGAGCTCCGAAAGGGCTCGTTAAGAGGTTCTTATTCTCCGACGTCTTGGGGGGCGTAGATGGTTCGGACGACACAACGCTCGCTTTAGCCTTGCTCTTTTTGGGTGTTAAGAAAGACACGAGGGCGGATGCGGAAGAGGAAGCTGAAGACTTGGATTTGGGTTTCGTAGGTGGCGGTTGCGTGACGGGATCTACCGGTTGTACAGGTCGTCCCTGCTCGCTGGACATCTCGATAGCCAATGACAAGGCATCATTGAGATTCTCAGAAAACAGTAGTCCTTGCCGGCGCTCGAGTAGAAATTTGTCAAAATCATCAACAACCTGCCGGTACTTCTCTAACTGGGATACGAGCCCATGGAAGATCGTGTGTACGACAGGTCTCGAGTTCTCATCCATGCTTGAAGCCGGCAAACCCTGGGTTTCTGCCTCGAGTTGTTCTTCGATCTGGAAATCCACTGAACGATCATCCCCGTCATCGTATGTGCCTGACCAATCCCTTCCTTCTGTGGGAAGCGAATCGTTGACAGCAAACGTCAGCCACCCGGCCAGTGATCTATCTGGATGCGTTGCGAGCGTCGCTAGCACACCCGTCAGCGCAATGTTGAATTCAGGAGTATTTGAAAAGAATTTCCTAAGAGAATCAAGAATGAGGTCAAGGATAGGGTCATGGACATTGAGTCGGTGCTTTCTGCTTTGACCTGCCTCCGGATCAGGTAGGAGGCCAGCACGAAATGCGGGTTGGTTTTGTATCGAGATAAGGGCATCACCAAGATAATGGTCGTACCCCGTACTAAAAGGATCAGCATTGTGCGAAGGATCAACTCGGGACACCAGTGTGAGATAAAGGCCCATTTCCCGCTCGTGGGTGGAATATGTCGTTTCTGGCTGATAGAATAGAGGACGAGAGGTTTCCAGAGGGACGCTAGGCTCCTCTGAGCCCGGATAAACGAATGTTTCCTCGTCTTCGTCATTCTCTACCGACGGGGTTGAATCAACAGCGCTTGGTATCAAGGCAGGGTGGGGAAAACTAGTTGCTTTGGGATCGAAAATGACGATCATGATCTTGTCTATACACAGCTGTGGACGTTGCAGCAGTAATGACTGGAAGAGTTGGAGAGCAGATGTTGCTGTTGGTTGTGACTTTGACCGAAGATTCGTCAGCAGGAGATCCTTAAGAGTAAACCGACCCATCGAGGTAAAATATTCTGACTGCTTTTGGGCATCAGGTGCTTCCATCTCCAATAGAACCATAGCGCTGCTTTTGCGTCGCCTCAACTTCTGCTGCTTAGCCGTGGTCGAGCTGGCTTGTGGCGGCGCAGAACTGGTGTTCAAGTTCAGCACCGAATTCTGTCGCGGCTTCAGCCGCACCTCGTCATTATCCTCACTAATGAGAAAGTCGATAAGAACATCGGCAAGCTGACCGTCTTGCAGGGTTCGAATCATGACCTCGATATAAGACATGACCGCAACTGCGCTACCGTCAGTGTCTGAGCACTCTAACACCGATGGGTACAAAACATTTTCGAGGAATATCCGGCGGACCGCATCTAGGATGGAGTGAACGATGGCTGTGCCAACAAGAGACGAGGCATCTACGGAGTCATGAACGACGTTTCGCCGAAGAACATCCTGCAAAAATTCCAAGAGTTTCAAGAAGTGGTCCAAGCGAGATCGGAAGTCTGGATTCGTGGCATCTTCCACTCCCATAGCGAGAGATTTGGCTCTAGCAACTTCCATCATTTCCCTCTCATCCTCGTCCTCGAGACCTGTACTACCGATGACCATGGCATTCTCCAGAGTGCTTTTAGGAGGAGGGTACTCAAGTTTGGTTGGAAGGAGGGAATAGACTGCTCCGAGGCCAGCACCAAGGACCTCTGAAAAATCACCGTCGAGAATGTACTCTGCTAATGCCAGAGCAGCATCCGTGATTGGGTCCGCCGGAGATGATACCGACTTGGACGATGAAGAATCATCACCGGTTAGACGATGCACGGGCTCTCCCGGGGACATGGCAACGTCCATGAGAAAAAGTAAACCTGCACGCGCAAAGTCACCTATTTGACCTTCACGATGCACGAAACGCAGTAGATAGTTGAACAGGAGAAACTCATACTCGGGTTTCTTCGTCAATGATGAAGCTGGCGCTGATGTCACGGTTGCTTGGGAGGGAGAAGGCGATGGAGATCTGGGTGGTGAGTTTCTTAAGTCCTCATCCTCTTCATCCTCATCCTCATTTTCCTCTTCAACAGAAAATAACGGTTCTGAACGGTACCAATGTTTGTCGTGGAAGAATATCATCAATAGCTCGCGGTAGGTTCGAATACGACTGCAGAGAATACAAAGAAGATTGACCACTATTCTCAAAAAGATTAGAAGGTAATAGAAGCGTCAAAAGCGGATGACGTACAGTCTTCTTCATACTCGGACGGTTGACTCCTCACAGCATTACCCGCGGCGCCCATGACCTTGTTGCGGCCATCCAGTTGCTCCTGGATATCATCCCCAACGCAATTTCGCAATAGCCTTAGAACAGCTCTATGCACCGCAGAGTGTACAAGAAATTGTTCATCCAACAGTACGACCATGTTCTGGACGGCCCGGAGAACTTCAGCCTGAATGCCAGACGGTCGATCTGTTTCGCTCAATCGAACGAGGGTACCAAGTACATCTATAAATGGTGAGATAGCTAATCACCAAGATCCCAAGAAATATTCACCATTCTTAAGAAGGTACTCCAGACAAACCCCCGTCGTGCTGAAAGTATGGTTGGATTACGTTCATTCAGTTTCACGTATGTCACGCACCCTTCCTCCGTTCGCGTCGACTCAAGAACAAGAGTATCAACAAGTGATTGAAGGTGAGCCGGAACATCCGTGGATTTTATTCCTCGACTCAGTTGCCGTTCGTCAGGATACAGTAAGGTATTCTGCCAGAAGATGAGAAGGCTTCCAAAAGGAAATCAAGTTGAACGGACCTTGATGAGATTCCAGGACTTGTGAAACTCTAGCGCATGATCTGTAGGTGGCTTTGGCGTCGACTGCGCCCCAGTACGAAGGAATTTGGAGAAGTAGTCCATCCCAGCGCCTCCTCCGAGGATACTGTGCCCGGATACCCCGCGTCACAATGGGTGTGACACCGTGAACATTATCACGTGATGCATCACAGCCACTGATGGCAACGTGATGATCGCCCTTGACATTTTACCTAGTAACGTTTTTGTCCCGAACTGCCATAGATATGTACATATTTTGAGCTCGCCGAACTGTGCCAGGTGAGCTTTCGCTCAATCTTTTGTCATTTACCGCTGCTACGCATCTAGTCGCGCCTCTGGCATCCAACGGATATCGAAGGCGGAAGTTGCTAGTTGAAATATACAGTCACGGTCCTACATCTGTCCCTGACTATATGGATAATGCAATTCACCGCAGTCGGCGTTTTCCTTTATCTTTTTCTCTTTTCTCTTTCTGAATGTCGTGAGAACTGATCTGTCTGTCTTTCAGCATTCATCCTCTCGTTTTAACACCTCGGTCGCTTCTGAAATACCTTCGTTTATGTCTGTATATATTACAATGCCTACGCACAGAAAATCTTCGACGCTTACTTCCGACTTTCCTAATCACCCTGTATGTGCATACCCGTCATCCGGGCTGACAGTGACAAACCCTTATCTGTTGTATTCACAGCCAACCAACAGCCGTCTCGATGCTGCGTCCTCCTTGCGCAATGGTCGCCACACCCGAGTATCATCCATGACTATACCCAGGTCTTCCGCCGCCCTACCTGTATCACATCCTACCCAAATATCCCTCCACGTCCGCAGGAAGACTTTCGCTGGAGATATGAATGCCGCTACTCGCAATCTTCTCCTTGACTTTGAAGAAAAAGTCGCGCTTCTTGAATCCAGAAACAAGCACATATCTGTCGAGTTGGAAGCCACCCGGGATGCCCTTGTCATGGAACGCGAAGAACGTCAGACCGTCCTTTCCCTGCCTGCGCAGCGACCAACTACTCTCGACGGTCAAGTCGGCGACCGGTCGGCGATTTTATGGGAAAGGAAACTTCGAATGGATATCTTGGCGGTCCTGAAGAAAGTCAGGACTCAGAATACCGTGCTTTCGCGTTCTGTCCGAGAATACCAGGACCAATGTGAATCTCTGTCAAGTCTCCTCGACAAGGAACGTGGAGAGCGGCAACTCGCTGAGAGCGAAGCTTGCACGACTGTCTCAAGTCAACTTCAAGCTTTTCGAACACAATAAATTGCTCGTCAACAGAGATTTAGCATTTCAAAGAATAACGTCCTCTTTCGAACCTCAAGCACCGGCAGAATCCAGTCAAGGATGTGTCAATGATTCTGCGTCCTCTGAGGACCAGTGCCGATGTTCCCTCCGCGCTCAGCTCAATTCCGCGATCGATGAGCTTCACGTGGTCAAACTCCAACTCGCTGTTTCTCAAGAGAAACGCGTCAGTTTGGCTGAACGTATCTCATCTCTTCAACGCCAGATGAGCCAATGTGTTGACTTGTCGGCACAAGCGCTAGAAGTGGAAAGGGACTTGCGAGACGAGATTTCCCATCGTGCTAGCTTATTGTCAAGCGAAAACATTAGACTTCAAGACAAAGTTCGAGTCTTAGAAGAAAGGCTGCAGAAACGTGCTTCCTTGAGCACTCCGGCTGGCAGAGGTTCCCTGAGAAAACGTCCCTTGCAGACACTCAAACTTTCAAATTTGGCAGCCTCCGCTATTTTGAAGGTGCGTTACAGAGCTGGACCGTTTAGCCTCTTCTTGACAAAATTTAGACCGACCTTCCATGTGCCTCCGATACTCCTTCGACGCCACAGTCAGCAGATTCGAGTGTCCTTCTGACTCCAGACGCCGGATCTTTATCTGCTCCGCCTTTCGTCTATACTGATTCACCTACCCTTGCCCCTTTTCCTGTTGGGTTATCGAGTGATTTATCTTACTCTGATGCTCGTCATCCTCTTCACTCTTCAGCATTCACTTTGACTGGGTTGACACCTCCATATAGAAAGGACGGTCGAAATTCTGTCATCCTAGCTGCTACTCTTTCTCGCAAGAGTGCTCCTCTACCGTCGTCAGTTTTGAAGACGGAGTGTACACAATCTGTGAGTTGAGCGCTTTCCAGGATTTTTCTGCGACATCTGCAGCTATGTTTTCTAGGTCAATGTAATAAATACCTGTACCACCAACCACATCTTATGTGACACTAGCTCATACCATGTCAAGCCACATGTACAGCCACGAAACCAATTGGAATCGAAACGAGCATCTGCGATTCTTGTACGCTCGTGAATTTTCATCGTTTTCTTTGTGAATCTAACAGCACATGTGTAGGCTGATATATCGCTCAAGCAATCGGGATAGGAAATACTTGAACCGTTTTAGGGCTTGTTACTTAAAGATGCGCAATACACAGTAGGCTCAAACTAGCTTCGATTTCCTCAGAAAAATAATGCCTATGAGACAACTCTTGGGGTTAACTTTGTGCAACGTCTCGCTTCACCGTGTTGATTCATGTGTCCAGACGTGGGGACGGTGTCTGGAACGGACGAGCATATTGGAAGTGCTCTCTGTTTCTAGTCATGACAGGGATATTTTCAAGAGTTAACTTCTTTGCTGAAGGAATATGCTGAGGTTACGTATGCCCTTTGCTCAATACCATCCATGTCTGCTGTGTGGAGTGGTTTGAGGAAAGCCTCGGCATTAAAGTAATCATGGAGGCTTTGGAACGCGTGGCATTCGTTACCTTCGCGAGACCGTCGACCAGTCAGTAGATTGTCAGCGGATTTGAAGTTGGTTCGCGATTTGCTATTCAGCGCGATGGTTCTGGAGTCTGAATCACCGGTGCGATAGAACACTCAGGAAGCGACCAATTCTTGCCTTCGACCGTGAAGATTAATAGGTTTTTTGACTAGCTTATTTTTCCTGTTTTATATTTAGTCTCTTCTAACGGTTTTGTATACACATACACTCTGGGATTTCTAGAAAAGCTATCGTATGTTGATGATTACAGAATCGAAAGGAGCATATATCTAATATTAATTCACTCACGAACGGTGTGTCGTCTATTATGTAATGGAACTACTATAACTCCTTCCCAGAAACGCTGGTGATTACAACGCAGCGAATGCTTCCTGTATTTGTTTTCACCTGGTACCCTACATCACGAGTTAGCGAAGAGCATATCCCCTCCCAATTTCTACTCACTCAAGAGAATACAGCTTTCTGCCAAGAGGATCATATCCTGAAATCCAGCATTAAAGACATTAAAAAGTTCCAGTTTCGTTGTCATTGGTAGGGCCAGATCCCGTGCGAGATGTCCTCAGCGCAACCAGTTCCTCAAGTAGGACTTGACTCGCAGACACCCATACCGTCTGCCAGAGAATAAGTGGCATGATTAGTAGAAAGAAACTCGACGAAGATTCGGACTTAACCCAATAATCGGATTGATAGGCGAACCGTGCGGCATGGTACCAGTTATCCGAAATACAGCTTGAGCGGCCATGAGAACTTTATCCTTAGATTCCTTGTCGACCTTGGCGAAGAGACCGTACAATTGCATTATAACGGCGTAGGTCAAGTTATGGGCAACGAAGAGAGTTCTCCTTTTAGCAGCTGTTGGGTTGGTCACTGCATTTGGCAACGGAAGGGCGCTTCGCAGATTCTCAATTAGGCCGTCTATGGCGGCAAACGACGCATAAAAGTCAATCGACTCTTGCTCGGCCATGTCTACAATGATATTTTAGAATGATGACGGAACAAATGCGGTCTACAGACCAGACTTCCAGTTCCTTATCAAGTCGGTTGCGCGCTCCCATAGGAGGGATGCTTTCACATGAAGCGCCTTTGTCGGCATTTCATTATCGCCCGACGCAGGCGCGCCTTTGAAGTACTTCTGAATGGTAAAACTGCACACCATATTCGATGGAAACCCTCCCTAAAGAAATTCCATATCAGAAAATAATTATTATACGAGAGAGAATTTAAACGCACATTCTCGTAATCTTGGTCTTCGAGGGGCCACGGCGTATCGACTTGAATTCCAACGATATCGGAAGGGCACTTGGAATTGGGTTCAGACGCCAAAGCGACTGCCCAGCATTTATCCAGGATCAGACCCGTCCAGTAAGCGTCCACACGCTCGCCTTCTTCGATAGCATCCTGCGGCGCCGGGAGAATTGGCGTTGGACCCGTGGGGGTATTTCGGTCGGATCGTATTTTGGTCAGTCCAGTACTGAGTCCCAGGGAAACGGCCGTCGTGACATGGTACTTTCCTTCCAAGAAGCGTCCGGAGGCTAGGAAGTAATATGACAGTAGAATCTCTGCCTGTATGGTTTGCAAAAATTTCTGAGGATGATGATTGTTTGAGAGTGCACCAGATACCTCCGTCAACGCTCGCTCAAGGAGCATCTTTTCGTGGATAGTCAAAGACGGTATATGTGATAGAAAAATTCCCAGTAGGTAGACAGTCGTCATGAGTGCTGGTAATGGCCGAGAATAGTATGCAGAAGGATCAAGGGCGGCCGATCGGAAGCGGGAAACGTTCATAAAGAATCCGTATTCTGAGGCGCAATGGAGAAATTTGTCGATCCTGTGAATTGGGAATGTTGGATTCAGATATGTTATAAGATTAAGGAAGGTAAAAGAACAAACAAGACGGTTCTGACTTCGAGAGGGGGGTCTGGCAATGTCCACCAACCATAATCTAACGGGGAAACTACAGATACAAATATATAGTAGTCCGGGATAAATGAATGAATAAACATACTGGAATCAGAGGAGGAACCATCAATCGAGTAAGGGTCACTCAGAACGACGGACGGGCCTCGTTCCTGTGGGTTTTCAGGCTCGCGAATTCGAGTCTCAACTCGACTTATATTTTCCTCGAGGACCTCCATCTTCCAGGCTGTCCTTATACTGGCAATCTTTGGATCGGTTTCCTCGACTGCACTGTCCACAAATGGGACGAGCACCGTCGCATCACTGCCAAGATGTTACTTGACGTCAAGGACGATTCTGGCGAATGATAAGAGGACCCACCATTTTTCGCCTGCGGCAATGAATGCAGGCTTGACCCTAGTGGAGAGCGAAGCTATGGATGGAGGAAGGAGAAGACATAGCAGCGTTGGTGAACCAAGATCAGATGGTAGACAGTGTTGTACACCCGGAGTGCCTCCCAATTTATAGCCTTGTAAAAGGATGTAATCCGACATGTACTCAGGACACAAACCATAATATGTGAGTACGGAGTATTAGCGATGAAAGCAAATTGTGTCAAGGAGTTTCACGTCAGAGTCAATTCCCCTGTGGCTGTGTACATTCCCGAACCGAATACGGGATACTATCATCCGGAGGAGGATAGAAAACGAAGGCCAGATGTATCTGACTAAGAGCTGCTCTGTTACTAGACGATGTCGTTTGATTTGCACTTCCCCGTCGCAAGCAAAAGTGAAGTAGTATTTTGTGGGCATAGCACAAACCGTCACTACCTGCAGACAGAGATCTTTCTGTCGACGGGAAGACAGAAATTTACAAAAATGAATCAGCTTCTGAGCACATCAATGACTGTAATTTTGCTGTGGCTTTACAAAGATCAGTCAGGTATCGCACGCTGTATTATGCTTGACGCTTACCCACCTCGACTTGAATAAAATCAAAATCATAAAGTCGCACTCCAATTGCAGAACTAATTATGCCTCAAACCTTGACCAGGCTAGGACTGCAGTCAGCGTAGACCAGGAGCTGTCGGTTATCAAAGTCAAGCTGAGTAGCCGGCCGCTCGGGGACGGAAAATTTGGCCGTCGTAGACTGGTTGGTGACGATCCGGCCATCCAGGCCTTTGGATGACATACCGGAATTCGGCGTTTCCAAATTCCGGTACCGTCAATGTCGATGAGCTAACAGCACGGCGTCATCCCCTTACAGGGACAGATACGCAAGTAAGTACTAGTAACTGGATAGATAGATAGAGAAGGGTAGGATATCCGTTGTTTACTTGTGTGCGAACCGTCTGAATATCTAACCTCTTCTGTTGCCGATTACCTAACCTGATGCCTTGTTGATGTCATTCGAACACAAATTACATGATAAAGCCATTTGTCACTCCTACTCTTGGCCCTGGCCAAACAGAGCAATAAACGCAGGCTTGGCAACTTGCAAGGAGATGAAATTTCCTCCGCTAACAACATATCTGCTGTAACGTGATGAGTTATATTTGGGAATGACTCTACCGGACAGTTCCGTCTCGTAGACTGCACGATTCAGTCAAACCAGAAAAGCACATATTGCGACGGCTCGAACCAGAGGTTGGAGGCTATACCGTCCATATTATGCAGAGTGGCCCTGTAGTTACAGTGCAGCCCGGTATGCAGAGTCGCCTGTAACTACAGGCGAATGGAGTATGCAGAGTCGGAAGAGCTGCGCACAACGCTCTGCATACTCAGGGTCCTGTAATTTTCCCACATCCTGATTACGCCACAATACCCTCCCCCACCCTTCGCCCCTCTGCCCACAGCCCCAAAAACACCGGGCACAATCGCCAACGATTAATTATTGACATCATTTTGGTGCTCACATGATATTCAATGCTCCCGTTTTGATACTGGCTGATACTGGGTGGCAACTGGGGTATTGAATTTTCCGCCCTTCTGCTCATTGCCAGGGGGGCCAAAAAAGAGCGGGCTCAGAAAATATTATTTGATATACTTACTAGTACTCCTTCCAAAAGTTCTACACCTACCCTTACCATATATTTGACTGAATGCGCATCGGCATGGCTTGGATGCACAGACTGTGGGAATATACCATTCCCAGATTGGTATACGGTTTGGAAATTGCGACAGCAGGCGAATTTTGGGATAGTAGACAGTGTATTGCACTTATTCAATTAAAATATGACAAAAGAAGCAGTGTATGATTGCTCTATCTTGTTTGTGTCATATAATGTATGGATACTAAGGACAAGAAGTACTCCGACGTTTTCCGGAGTTTGCCGAAACACCCCTAACCCGCTCACAGTAAGCAAATAGGTCGAGATTGTACAGTCCCGAAATTCTCTCAGTGCTTGTAAATATAATTCACAATGTCTATTAGCTTCTTTAATGTTCTATGCATCTTCTCTGTGCATGTTTTCCGTTCTGTGCTTATGTAGACATGAATTATGATCTCAAAAGTATGCCAGAGGCATGTGTAAAAAGTCATACCTCACAGTACATGCTTAAATTGAAGTATATTACCCAGAGAGGCATGGTCTGTACTTATCTGGAGTGATATGTGTCACAATGTATATCTGCCCTGGCAGAAATATACCTCGGTCAGACAAAATTGCACCAGATGAGATTGTGCAAGTAATGTTCTTTTATGAGTTCACTTCAACGAGAAATGCAATTACAAGGCACGTAAAGGCAGATCGCCATGGATCGGACACCTGCTTTGGATAATGTAATACATAAAATTTTATTTTCAACCATTCTTACCCTTGGAAAGGTTGCACATACCTGTGTACAAATGATGCATCCTTGAAATGTCCTAAAATGCGTGATATTCACCATAAATGGCAGATAAATCAAGGTTGGGATAGATTATATACTATACAAAGTACACAGATGTATACTAGATAATTTCTATAGTATATTCCGTTAGCTTTTTGGGCTTCGGAGTAAAGGATTCGAGCAGAGGATGCATCCCGAGCATCCATTCCGCTCGCTCGATCGGTCCGGTCCGGTAAACCGGATACTGATCGAGTGGCTGTACCCCTCCTTTTCTTCGTCTCACCTTTTCACCATCGATCCAGCATGGTGTAGTTGCCTGCCTGCCCCCACTGCTCGTTTGAATGGAAATAAAGGTATATTTAATTACTTTTAATGCTAATATAGGTTTTACAGGTACTTTTGATCCATCTGGTGGCCCCTGGATGGCCTGGATATCGTGCATCAAGCCCCACTCGCCTGCGCGTAAGCCCTCCTGCAAGGCAGCATAATTTCCCCCTTCCAAATGATGGAGAATTGCACTACCACCATCTCCCTTTTACTACAGCCCCCGACAATTCTTGCCGCCGCCATTAAGCCCCGCCTTGTTGCCGTTGCGACCTACCTAGCATCCCCCACATCGAAATCGGGGCCAATCGCCATTCACCATGGCTTCTGAATGCATTAACGATGCCTCATTCACTCGATAACTCAACATCCGCCTCCATCTGCTGCCAGGAGGGCGTATGGATGCAAAGCCAACCATCACGACGACCAGGACGACGACGACAGTGATGGCGTGAGGGGTAGGGAGGACTCGATTATAGGGCATGAACATGCCAAATAGCGGGCTAGGGATGGAGTGGAAGCAGGGGTGTGCTAGGGACGGGTGGGAAGGCGAGAGGGTGTGGGCGGGAGGGCGAGAGCAAGGTCGGGATGCTGACGGTGAACGACACTGATGACGACCATGTCATTCGAGGCATTGAATGAGGGCTCAAAGGCGTTGTGAACGAACCCACATTCATGGCTACGCGATCACGGATACCCCCTGCCGCCACCTGCTGCATCCCGTCCAACATCGGCCTCCCGTACGCTGCCCAGCTCACCCACCCACCTCAAACTCATGCATCCCTCATTATTTGGACCGGGTAACATGCATCATAGCTCTGTTTACCCCCTTGATGCCATGGTCGTCGTCTACCGGCTCCCTATCCCGACACCCACCTTTCCCCGCTCATATCACCCCCATAATAACGCAACGATCACTGCGCCATCGATATCATTGCTTCCCTCTACATGAGGCTTCATGGATGCTATCGATGCTTACATCCCGCCACGCCCGCCTGCACCGCATTTTATCCACATTTTGTATGCTGTACTATATTTTAACTATATTCATTTTATTTGATAATAATACGGGAGAATCTCTTTTAGGCAGGCATCGGGAGGACGACGAGAGGACGTCTCTTCATCGTTTGCAACGATGACGGCAAGGTGAAAGGACACGAGGGCAATATACGAATACGTAATTTGAGTATGCAGAGTATGTGTCTTGGGTATGCAGAGTGGGTTTCTTGGGTATGCAGAGCGCATCTCCCCAGCGCCACCGTCCTGTAGTTACAGGAGACTCTGCATACCGGCTTGCACTGTAACTACAGGAGATTCTGCATACTGTGGACAATAAAGGTTGGAGGTTGACAATGATCCACCTCCTAAATACTGGTCCCCGCGCGACGACTAATATTACGCCGAATTCACTGTGCGATAGTTAGATTTTGCCGTCGCCTTGATTGTAGTAGAAATACATGACAATCCGTATTATATTCTCAGCCACCAAAGTCAATAACTCTTCAGAAAACACTAAACGCTCCGCGAAAGTGTCCATCATAACTCCAGCTCATACCGTGTCAAGCCACAATTACAGCCACAAGTGATTCTTCTAAGTACGCTTGTCATCTCCTTGACCTTTTTTTGTAGTTCTAACAGTATTAGGCTAATATCTTGCTCAAAATATCAGGATAGGAACGTTATTAGAGGACACGCAATACATAATGGTCATCAGTTAGTTCATCCCTTGGTTCTTGGCCAAGAAATATGGTCTTTGTCAAACTTTGCTCAAGCCATTTCCTTCTGCACTGTTATGAAGAAAGCAATAGTTAACGTCGGAGCTCGTTGGTTATGTGTGAAAACGTACTTGAAGAAGTACAAGAAACTGAGCAAGCGATCTCTATCAATCAATTGTGACTTATGTGAACAAGAACACTGACACTTGCATGCAAGAGATTCCTATCTTGGTATCAAGCCACGACGAATTACAGTCGACACGTCCGACTCACCTATAGCGAGGAACATGGCTAAAACTTCGACGCCGGAAAACACGAAGAAGTCTGGCACTGGAGAAAAGTGGACGGTAGAAGACATCGCATACGGTATCTATCCGAAGAGTAAACCAAAGACTGAGAGAATCACAGTGTTCTTGGATAGACGTCAGGCTTTTTGAATAGGTTAGCGGCTATTTCTAGGCCCGCAGCAACTTACAGTGATTTACTGGCCTGATACATCTAATGTGTTGACAGAAGCTAAGCAGATTATTTAGATCATGATTGTGATACGATATGTCAAATCATTTTCCTTGAGACAGGTGTTGCAGAGGATGCCATATCCGCCGTGAATACGCAGCGATGCCTCCTTGACGAGATGTCCATTATACCTGAAGATAAGACTTTCTGGTTGAAAGAACGAAAAATCGGGAGGTATCGTTACACCCTTGAACAAGGCGAGCTGAACGTTGACTTGGAATCGAGCTGCTAGCAATCAAACGAAAGGGAAGAGGACCAAAGGTTCAGTCGTAGGAAGAAACGAAGTCTATTTTGGGACTGCAGACAGGAACATCATCATATTTCGTTCAATGCAAGTGAGTCACACCTAGCACCAATGTCAAGACACGACTTCATCATCTCGGTGGGTCAGATAGACCACCCTCGAACGCTACCCCGGCGCCGCTATTACTACTGTTGCATTAGGATGGACTGCCGCAGTTCTAGTAAGTTGACCTCGCGAGTGGAATCACCAAGATGATTACCTCAGGGCAGGCGTATGCATCTATGCAAAGGATAAGTTTGTATTTACCAAAAACATTGGTAGTTCCGTCCAAAAATTATGGTCATGCTACTAACATGACAATGTACAATGTAAAGAAAGATTGCGATACGGAGTGGTTATATACACTAAGCATCAGCCAAGCCAGTGTCAGTTGAAATGGTGTTAGATCGTTAAATACTCTTGCAGATGCTGCAGTCAAACGTAATGGAATCGCGGAAGATAGCGGCTATTTGTAACCAGTCAATAAAAATCCAACACGATAAAAAAAAAGACATACGCAAAACGATCAAAGCTATCAAAAAGCTAATCACGATAACATAGAGCAAGGTGTACTTGATGACCTGGATGCACAGACCTCAGTTATAAACTAAGCGAGAGTACATGGGTGGACGTACAATCCATCTTCGTTGTCTCTTCTGTTTTGTCGAGAACAGTGGCGCTCGTATTTGTTTCGAAGGACGCAACCAGACTAGAGGGAAAGGTTAGAAAACGGTTCATAGCAACCGAACACATCACGTACACAACATCGTAGAGTGTAGCTGGTTAACGAACGGAATGAGAAGTGGAGGCGTCAGAATTATCATCAAGATGTGAGCAAGCAAGAAATCCGAGCTCCACAAGGACATCTCGACAATCTTGACAATGAACTCTCGAGCAGGTTGTGACATTGCTGATGTTCCAAGACCTCTTCCATACCATTTGCCAGTCCACCATGCCCTATTGGTCTCATCGTGCTTGAACTCCCTGGTCAAAAAGACGGCGATGAGGATTCTTTGGATTGCCCTTTGGACGGCAACGATTGACAAGATACCCAAAACAGCATGAGATGCGTCCCAAAGTTCCAAGAACCACTACCAATTCTGATGAGAAATTTACTCCCGGAAATTGCAAAGTAAGACTTACAAAGAACTCAAAGAACGCGATGATACCGAAGAGAGCAGATCCATGTGCCAACGCAGCCATTACCGAACCAAACTTAGCCCAAGATTCCATCATGGGTCCCAAAAAGAGTGAAATGAAGAACAATATGAGAAGCACGGCGGCATTCCAGACGACGGGACCGACTGCAATAAGGCACATCCTGATTAGCGGGCTCGGGTTCTGGTTGCCATCTGCATCTGGGAATGATTTGACAAACATATACGCATTTACGAATAGGATCGCCGTGCATATGGGCCATATGATTTCAGAGAAAATAACGGTCCTCCATCCAGCACGAGGCACATCACCAGCGAGCTTATCAGATGGATGTCCGAGCTTTTTCTTCTTGTAGCCGGTGATCATTGTACGTGACAACCTGCAGTACCCATACCAGCTGCTGGTTTTTGTACGAGAATTACCCCGAGACATCCATCGCAGGAATTCCCGATAATCGATAATGAAATCGGCGAACGAGAACTGATGCGGGTTGAAGAGGAATGGAGCGATGCAAAGGGACAACACCGACGCCCAGAAGTAGATCAAGTGTGGGATCCAGATAGCCATGGTAGCGTACAACAGCAGCAATAGATTTCGCATACCCATATAGATACTGGGCCCAGCGAAACGTGAGTACAAGATGCTGAAGTTGATTCGGCTGGTAGCGAAGCCTCGACCCGTGGCAATATATCGGGCGCCTCCGAAAGTCAGATTACTGAGGATAGACTGGCAGTAAATCTGCGTGGAAAATACTTCGAAGATGGGGGAAAGAGAAAGGAAATGTTTCCCCAGCCGAAGCAGAGCTTTGCCAGTGCCCCTCTCGACCAGTTCTGCAAAGAAAGTCAGTGTCGATTACATAGAAGTGTCAATTGATGTACCTTGCAAAAACAACGGCAAGAAGGCGATGAAGAAAACCAAGAAAATGGAGATAACACAGCGACGGATCCAGTCAAACACCGGAATGAGGTTATAACACCCGGGTTGACCACCCAGAACGTTTCCTTGAGAGTCAACCTTGCAAATCAAAAGCTGCTTGTTGAGAGTTCCAAGATACATGACTATATGCGGGTAAGTTAAAGAAACAAAATGAAACGGAAGATGTAAGCGGCTTACGCGTGACCATGAAAATCTTGATGGAATAAATGACAAGGATATTGTTAATATGGAAACCTGGATGGCCGTAATAGAACGTGAGGAACCGATCAATGGGTAGCTGTGTTCCCAGATAATAATACTCTCGACTGAGCATCTGTTCTCCCATACCAGTCCCGATCTTGGTTTGGAAGTTCAAGATGGTGCCAAAACCAAGATCACGCCCTTTACCACACTGGTAGTATTCCGAGTGCTTGATACGACCACCGCGACCAAAAGCATTCATTCCTGCAAAGATATCCTCATTAAGATGAAGGCCCTTTTGCGCTTTGGATACTCCTCCTCGAGTGTTCATGAACGTCGCATTCAAGAAATCAGGATGTCCATAATGTAGCTTGCCACCGATCCATGCCAATGCACGAGCGGTCATGGTACCGAACGTTTGTTCCTTTCCGGCAGCAATATCACCAAGGACACCGATATTCTCGGAGAAAATGTACTCTCGTGTACCGACGATGGCCACGGGCGCCTTGGTGAATTCTTTGTGTCCCCACTGCGCGTACGGACTCTGACTGGAAACCGAGTATTCCTCAAATTCGCCAAGAATGTTCCGGATCTTCAAGCATTCCTCTAAATAGTTGTCCTGGTTGGCATCGATGAGCTGCAAGTATTCGCCACGATAGAATATAATGGCGTGGTTTTGATTGTCAGATTTACCATCGCCAAGAATTGGGTTTCCAGGAAGTTCAACACGGAACTTTGGTCGTCGCCGACCAGTCTCCTCGTCAAGTTCGGAATGTCCGTCAATGAGGGTAGAGAAAAGGCGAGGGTCGCCACCCTTGGGACCGGGTTCTTCGTCGAGATAAGCGATCTGCAAGTCAGGATACGCGCGGAGGAGAAACTCGGCATTCTCTTGCTCCTCCTTGTTGAACTTGGCATACCGCTGCATGGAAATAGTGAACTTGAACTTCCGCCTAGCCATACGCTCGAGCTCTTTCTCCAACCGCTCTGTGTTTCCGCCAAATGCGTGCACAATGTCGGGGTTCTCGACTCGATAGAGGAGCTTGATGGCTTTCGAATAATTCATCATGCCAGACACAGTACGGTACAACGTCTGAGCACGTAACGATGCCCATATACGTGTCCTTAGAGTGTACTCGGGTGACGAGGTCTTGAAACCGATGCAATAGAATGGTAGATCATCAGTTTTCTTCTCGTTGTGAACACTGGAGTCACCGTCCATTTCTTCTGCAAGAATCTTGGTGTCCTTTACAAAATTATCCCATTCAACAGGATGAAGTTGTTTCGTGTACTCCAAGATCGTAACCCGAGTGTTTTTGTCTTCCTCTCGAATGATCTCTCGTAAACTCAGCAAGATCTTTTCGGAGTAATGAGGGACCAAGACAGTGAATGTAGGCATGGCGTCGACAGGTAAGGGCTCCGGTAGTGCAGTGGTCAGCGAAGAAGCAAAGAAGGAAATTCGACGCTCGGCCTCTCCACCGGTCGGGAAGAAATTGCCTTTGAACCCTTCTTGGTTGGTGAAGAAGGGTGGCGCACGAAGCGTACGCCTGCCGTTAGCATCGTCGACTTGATGGTAAAGCAGACGTTGGACATGATCGATAGAAAGGAGATGTTCGCGGTACATGGATATGATGATCGCATTCCAGATCTGAGAAACCAAAACCTGCAATGACATGTAAGCGCAGTTCGATGTACAGTACACCAGATACACACCTTGGGCTTGTATTTCACTTCCATCTCGCCTGTCGCCAATAATTTGGCATATATACGTTTGGGTAAACGCGTGAAGATATCTTTCCACGGTGTCCAGATGCTCAAGCCCAAACTGAAGCTCCTTCCGATACTGAAAATGACAATCCAGATGATGTACCACAAGTACGTGTCCAAAAAGAACAGTACTAGGTCCATAACATACATAATGGCGAGTGTGAATGGGACCTGGTTACTACAGAGAGAATTCCCGAACAGTTTGTCGCTGCACCCCTGTACTTTCGTCCTCGCCATTACGGCAACAGGAGACGAGAACGACGACGCCAAGAAGAAATAGGATTCGGTAAACTTGCAACCGAAGATGAGCACCCACATGCAAATGGACGCTGCGCGCGCACTACGGGCCAGACTTGGATAGGACGCAGTAAAAGTCTGGGATGCCATATATTTCCGTGACTTCCCTGCTACCCGGTCACCGAACATACGACCGGAAGGTATTAACCCGAACACGAGCGTGGCGACAACCGCGATGAAAAATTGAACGATGCCTAGGATGAGCGGGAGCTGACTGAGATTGGGAAGATCGTCCACCATGGCAATGTAAAACGTGGGACCGCATGTCAAGGCCAATATAATGAGGAGGAAGACGAGCCGAGTGGTGAGATGAGACGCATTGTTCCAAGTCGTTGGGATGTAGTAAAACTCGGCAAGCGTGGCGACAATCATGATACCTGTCGACACCGCCCCACCAAGGGCAACCGCAGACCAAGTCATCTGCGGGGACGGCGATGACTTGTTCTTAGGCGCATACACTTTGGGAGAGTTGAATGCGGTATAGAAGTAGTAGACGGCGACGTGTAGAATCCAGATACGATTGAAGTTTACGAGTAAGTGTAGAAGGGAGCGCCTCTCAAAGTATGTCTTGAAGAAAACACGGTTCCACTCAATGCGGCTAAACTTCATGAATCTCTGAGCTGGAGGGACATCTACGAGACGAGTCTGTGGGATGCGGTCGTTAGGCAAAGAAAATTGAAATTCCCATTACATTAGACGTACGTTGTCATTGAGGACTATCTTGGCTAAGCCCTCTGGATACCAAAAGAGTTGGTTAATATCGTCGTAACCAATGATTTCGTGGTGGTCTTTCTCCCTCCGAACGAACTTTCCGTCCACAACTTCGTACCCCTGGTCCCTCATGAAGCGATACAAGGGCTTGATCACGGTGCTGAGATACAAGCCTTCGGGAACTGGATCAATCCTGTTCTGGCATTCTGGGCTTCTGTAATAGTCGTCGGCGCACTTGAAAATGAAACAGAGGCACTCGGGTACAAAGCGGACGTTGGCAGCCTCTCCCCAACACAAGAGGTAAAGTGCGATCTGGCGAAGACGATCATAATGGGACATGTTATTCATGGCATTACGCCAGCGGTTGAGGGCAGAGTCGAGGGACTTGGTGGGCTTCTTGCCCTTCACTGACTTGAGCCGCTGTAGGCCCGGGTTCTGAGATTGACCGACCGCATCATCCAGGTTAAGCTGTGCAGCGAAATACCACTTGCGGTAATTGGCATGTTGTCCACCGATGTAATCCGCATGGAGGGTGAGGAGAGCTTGACTCGGCGACATGCGAGATGCCCTGGAATCTAATAGGTGCATCGTAAAATCGAACTAGGAGCGAATGAGCATAACTATTGAATCCGGTAAAGAATGGGCGCACCATATTACGCATCGAGTCCCTTTGAAAGCCAAACTTTTGGGTGAGGTCGAGGAAGATGTCCTCTATTTCTTCCTTCGACATGGGTATCTGTTTATCTGCAGACCAGGCAGGGTATGGTTCACTGGTGCCAAGACCAGGATCGGCGAACGGAGAAATACTGGGTATGCTTGCATGAGATTCGAGGGACGGGACATAACGACGACCATACACGTCTTGTTCAGAGCCATCTGGTGTGGGAAAAAAAGATTGAGAACGAAGCAACGAGGGATGAAAAGAGAAACAGGATTTGCCAGACAGGGAAGAACCCGGCGACAATGATCCTGAGTCCATTAAAGAGAGGTGTACACACTGTTTTGGTCGAAATAGCCAGGAGCAGCGGCTAGACGAGTCGTGCTGGAATTATAGGATCCGTAGTTGTCGCCCATATCTGAGTCAGTGTCGTAGCCGCTCCTTGTCTGAGGAAACTGAGGACCTGGCTGCGGGTACTGGGGTCCAGGCTGCCGCTGGGGAGGGTTTGCGAAGGGATTAGAACGGGGATCTTGAGGGCCGCCATAGCCTCTGGATGACATGACGACGCCGTGAAGACTTGGGAACCAATCTAGAAAGTAAGATAACTAGAAAAAAGAACGTTAAAGAACGGCAGAGCGTCGATAGCAAGGGGACAAAGGAGACGGTAGGAGCAAGTGATGGTATCAAGAGAGTGATTCTGTAAGAGAGGGTGACTGCTGGTGGCTGCGATCCAGCGTGGAAACAAGAAGCGGAGTTACCGTGGGAACATCATCCGCTTTCGGACATCCGATTGATTATAGCACGCGCACTGGTTGCTTATTGACATGCTACACGGTACGACGCGAAGTTCCAGTTACATCCAACAGCATTATTGCAAAACAAAGCTAGAAGTATCTCTCAAGTCTTTTCGCGACTCTTAACCTGTAAAGTAGGCACTCTACCTTTCATGCGTTTTTCTCGGACTTTTATTCATTTTTCCTAGCAAACCACGGACATGTCTAAACCGATCATCCTGGCGCGCCGCAGAGCAGAATCTTCTAATGACACCACGGTAGCAAAATTTGTTCTTGCAGCGCAGCGCACAGTCGGTCCTTACGTCGAATGGGACTTCCCCGAAAAGTTCAATTATGTACCACCTCCCGTTTACTTCTGTATTCGGGCCCTTATACCCTCCCCGGAGCAAGTGCATAATCTAGGTCCATGTAGCCTCAATTATGACCCCCCTTCTTCGGAGTCAGATTTCGACATTATCAAAGCTCTGATCCCTTCGTACAAAGATTCTAGATTTACCGTTTCACGCGTCGATCCTCGGCTCTGGGCTACACTCATTCAATTGTACTCAACTTCTTTGCCAGAGTGTTTCGAATATTACCCCATCCCACTCTCCGATATTTATCTTCCTCTCTTGCAACAAATACCATCGACGTCTGATTTCACACTGATTACTATTCTTGAACTGCCTGATTGCGAGGAGCTCACCGACTCTAGTATCTCTCAACTCAGACATTTGAGTAGTCTTTGTGCCTTGGAAGCTAGCGGGACAGCGTTGACTGACTACGGTGTCAGTGTCCTTAGCAAGACGGTGGGCTGGTACGATGATGACAGACGTCGAGGTCCTTGGCCATTGAGAATCCTTCGCCTCAGAAGTTGCCGAGGCATCACACACAAAGTATTCCATTGTATCAAGAACTTCCAGCTTCTCGCTGTCTTGGGTATGTCACTGACAGTCTAGAGCTATAGAGATGTCACTGATCTATTATATCTGTCAAAAGATCTGCGCGGCACCAAATGCTCCGCCTCATCTTGCACCCTTCCGTGGTCAGTGTCCAGTAATCCAAGCCTATATCATCCAACCCCCCTCCGGACTTCACTCACGATTCTGTCGTCCCTCACCCCTCCTTCATCCAAATTTTTTTCTTCATCTTCAGTTTTCAGTCTCTATATCGACACGGTGGAATATGCTCATGCTCATGTGTCTAAATTTAAGGGCGAGAGCTGTCCAGCAGCCTTGACTGACAAAGGAAAAAGTCGAGAGACCGCTGTTTGCCTGGAAAACACGGCAATCACGTTGCTGCCCCACAAGAAGGACTCCCCGGATAGCAAAGACCACGCTCTCGTCGCTCAAGTGGCTCCCGAACAGTTGCCTGCTCAACAGCCTCGGATAAAACGTCCAAGAAGAGTATCGCCGGGTATGTGGCTCATATCAGCATGATAACACTCCGGATTGATACGAAACAGCAGGCAATGAGGACATCTCATACCTGTATGATTCTGATACTCTCAATCCTTTTGATGAAGATATGGGGGGCTCTGATGGATCTTACTCCAAAGATCACTTCGAGACCGGCGATGAAGAAAGTGATCGCGACGTTTATGTTGCAACGCAGCTCGCAGACTCCCACCATTTTTGCTCTTCAAATTCAGTAAGTGTGATCAAGTGGTTGTGCGCTCCCTTCCTCATAGCCTTTGAAGATGTTTCCACGACAAGCAGCTTTGCAACCGTCTCCAATAGGTGTAAATCAATCACTCGCCGCATCGTCGTCAGTTCTTCCACGAATACCGGACTGGATGACCAGAGTCACAACCGCTGAGATGGCCGAGCAGAATTCACACCATGCTGCTTTGGCATTTTATCTTGGTGCCCGACGTCGTCCTTCTCCACAAGAGCCTGCAGGACATCGAGCAGAGATATATCCAACTCAAGAAAGGAGATTTCGATCAATAGGACTCAACAACGGTTCAATGTTCTATCGCACTCCCCCTGACTGGAGCACGTTGGAGAGCACAGCAAACCCGAAAAAACAAGATTCATTGCCCGCGAAGAGATCCAATACAGAGAAGGCAGCGTTCAAGATGGATACCGCGAAGGCTCGCTTAATGGCCGAATGGCGGACGTCGCTATCTTCTGCTTCTGCAGAGAAAGGATTGAATGGAAACAAAAAGAGGAAGCTCTCTTTACCGCTGGACGGCATTTCGCAGTTCCAATCCACCGACAAGCCAGCGTCGGTCAACCCATTTCACCGAAAGAAAATTTCGTCATCAGAGGCTGCGCAGGCTGTGGAATTGCCACGGCGCGAACGACCGGAAAACATTGAATGCACGAGACAAAAACCCATCAGACCGATATCGAGCTACGACGTCCCGGAATTGCCGAATGACGCAAAGGAGCAGCTACTCGCTGATGTCCGAGCAGAAAGGCGGCGTTCACTTCCCTCAGAGCTTGGTAAGACTTCCGGCGGCAAGGGTGGGAAAGACGCGAAGACTGGGTCACTTGTAGGAAAAATCTCGAATAGTGGCGCAACGTCGACCACTAGCATGCCCGGAGAAAAAGCAAAGTTTGATATGAAAAAATGGTTAGGGGGGAAGTAGCTCTTGTACGGTACATGATATGTTTACTGTATGGTTTTCTCAGGTCAACGACGGAGCCGGTGGGAAAGCTTACATCAGCACACCTTTCTGATCACTTGAACTCGATTTCCATAGCGGCAGCTCAATTGGCGCTCCGCCATGTCCGCTCACCTACAAAATTCTTACAGGCGGTCGAGCGCGTTAGGGCGCGCTCTACTGCGCCGTTCCAACAAGAATGCATATCGTTCCATGTCAACATTCCCTCGCCGGCCATATACCTTTCACATTGGCGCCAGCTGGGCAGGAAAACCTACGTCAGGAAACGAAATGAAGAAAATACCTTTTCCCGAAGACAGCCCCATAGGCATATGGCGAGACCAAATGCTTTCATGCACAGTTCCTGGTGCAATACCGAACGAGGCGACGAAATGGGCCCCAGATGCAGGAGAGGACTTTTTCTACGTAACAGAGGTGTGTCGTAGCTGTTTTTCCTTCTCAAGAGAACATGGCGAGATTTTCTTCTCGAACAGATGAAAAATTCCTCTGTAAGTCACCCATAGAAATAAGCTACGTGTCGCCGACTTGTATTCCTTCAAGGGTGTCTCCTTTGGCGTGGCCGACGGTGTTGGTGGGTGGGTAGAGAGTGGGGTCGACCCTTCGCTGTTCTCGCAAGCCTTCATGTATCATGCTCACCGATACTCACGGAATGCCTGGGCCGGTGAGCCAGAGATCGACCCGACCCTCGACTATGCTGAACGCGAAGAGGTAGAAGGGTGGGAATTAACGCCACTGGAGAGCATGGCGCTCTCATACCATGGCGTACTGAGAGAAAAGCACGTACAGGCCGGTGCGTGGAATGCCTCGTGCAAGGTTCCCTACTTCTAACGTGTCATTTGCTTAGGCTCTAGCACGGCCTGTCTCATCCATATGAATGCATCATCAGGCCTCCTGCGAGCCGCAAAGTGGGCCTTCTTCATATTCTACATAGCTTGCTAGCTAACCCATTATTGTACTATTAGTCTAGGCGACAGCGGTTTCATGATTGTTCGGTCTTCGTCCGTAATCTATAAACAACGCGTTCAAACGCACTACTTCAACTGCCCAAAGTCAGTGTCTTCATTAATTATAACGCTCTGTTCTAATGCGGATCGGATAGACAACTGACCAAATTACCCTCCAACTCCACCCGTCGATTCAAACGTGCCTGTGTGGACTCGCCAGGAGAGGCTGACACTTACGAAACTACCCTTCGAGACGGGGATATTGTTGTTGCTTATGTTGGTATCCTCCTTCTGTTTCTACTTCCTTTGTTCATTGGCAAACGCAGACAGATGGGCTCGGCGACAATGTCTTTCCAGACGAAATAGCAACAATTACTTCCTTGGTAGGTCGGGCAGGTCTACCTGAAGAAGTTCAGGTTCAGGCTATGGCAGACCGAATGGCCAACTACGCAAGGTTGTGTATGCTCAACAAGGGTAGGCGTAGTCCTTTCGAGAGTATGTGTCTATTATTGCTATCTATGGCCATATGCTCACTTCAATGCAGGCGAAGCCGCCAGGCAAGGCATGTTCTTCCGGGGAGGAGTAAGTTTCATTGGCTACTGGCAGTCCCCACTTACTCACGGAGTGTCCTAATAATCCAGAAACTTGACGAGTAAAGTCGTTGTCATATTCCGGCTTTCTGTGCTAACTCTTCATTCTCAGTGTAACAGTTGTTGTCGCCCTAGTTCGCGAAACATCATAGAGGATTCATATCTTTATCCCAGCTAGTCGATATTCAGGACCATTTGGTTGGATTCAATAATATGTAGCGTATATTTAGTTGTCATTGTAGCGAAACATACATTTCTCCTCACGTTTGATATTAATACATCGATAGAGCGCTGTTACTTCAAGCTATATGGTACATGCAAAATCAGGTCGATGATGTCAACTGTATTACGGTGTATGATTTTCGGGCTGGGTGGCACGTTTTAGTCGAGTGTAGTTGTCCATGATGACTTTCCACTCGCGAGATAATATCACATCCGGAATGCGTTCACCAGCGTCATTCAACTTTCCTGCCCAATGCAAAGCACGGTCGTAACATTCGAGAGCGGACTGCTGGTCGCGACCGGATATTTGTTCTTTCAAAATGCCCATCAAGTTCCACGCCTCCGAAGCAGTTCGGCGAGCGTCTCGTAGCAAGTCCGTTGCTGGGGCCTGCAGGGTTTTGGTCTGCTTGTATACCGGTGAAACTTGATCTATACAAGCAGGCTTTGGGGCCCGTCAAGGCACGTACCACACTCTCGGAGGACTCTGCCGCTGATGAAAGCCATTTAATAGATTCTTTCGGCGACTTGCCTCGTGCATACAGCACCTCTGCCTGATGGACGGAGAGAACAGATGACCGTTGGAGTAGAGTCGAAATGTGGAGTGATTTAGAAGGGGAAATGGGCGGAGATTCTGGCTGTGTCATAGATCGAAGTGTGTCTAATGCACTATTTTCTATTTCTTCCGCCTCTTGGAAGTTTCGGTTGGTGGCGTAGAAGGCAGACAGGGAGACAAGTACAGAGGAAAGAACACGCTGGGCTGATGGAGATGAAGAAGCGACAGTAGGTACTGCAGGCTTCGCTGTATCGACCAAAGCGGTGGGATCCTTCTGAGTCAACTGAATGGCGCGCGCCCACCAAGCCAAAGCATCTTCCGTCTGTCCCAGTCGATTGGAAAGATCACCAATCTTCAGAGCTACGGATGCTGACGGTTTGCTGGCCCAGACGCGTCCGTACTGAGATTTTGCTTTGGCCCAAGAGTCCTTGCCCATTTTTTCGAGAACTGTAGCGTGACGCGTCAATAGTGTGGGCAAGGTGTTCGGATGAAGCTTTTGTTTGCTTTCTTTCTTTTCTGCAATATCAAGTGCCTCTCGTAGGTACTTTTCGCCGTAGTACAAACGGGCGTCGACGACCGTAGACAGGTCTGTCAGGCCACTCGAGGGATTGGCTTGAGTACCAGGAGTGATGCCCACTGCTGGCGCCCAAGTTTGCGACGCCCATGCTGCACGAACAAGGTGTCGCCCTTGCATGCCAAGACCAGGGTCTGTGCCTCCCTTGGCTGCATCCCCCGACCACCCCGGAGTCTCTGCATCCCATTCCCATTTTCCAACTTCGTCATCATCTGCCCTCGGTGCTAGTTCCACCCGTTCTATCCATTGATGATAGGCTTCATGGGTGCCCAGTGCGACAACTCCTACAATTACCAAGCCTCCAAAGGTGAATTTGAGGGTTCGTTTTCCAACATCAAGAACGAACAGCGTCGGCTTCGCGAAAACATGCTCTGATTCGACAGGTGGAGCATCTCTACGAGGTGTGTTGGACTGGAATCTGGCAGAAATGGGAGTTTGCCGTGCTACGGTCGTCGCGCAGCGGACAGAACGTGCATATCGTGCGAGCATACGAGTAACGGTATGTGGCAGTGCAAATGAATCCATAGACACAGCCACATACTCGCGAGTGATGACGACGACAACGCGTCAAGTTCAGCGAGTTCATACTTGCGTCTGGGTGCCTGTCAGTCCCCTTACTAGTGACTACTAGGCCTTTCTTGTCTTCAGCATTATGTCGGCACGCCCTATCTGATCGCCATGGCCCGAACAGGAATTCTTGAATTCATCACCGGCGTTTCTTATGACTCTTAGATCTCTGCATAGTGTGGTTTACCCTGTTCTTATCAGCTGTTATCATTCACCTGGTGCTGTATTATTTTTGCATCCATCAGATCTCTCCAGTTTTCCTTGCCCAGGGCCCGACCGATAGCCAATAATTATCGATTTGCTCTTTTTTGAGCTCCTTTGCCTACCACCCCGAGCTCCATTCGTAGTATGGTCTTGCATACTACTCGATTCTCTCTCAGATTCGACTGTAGCGCCGTGGAAGCTGTCCTAATCCAGTGCCTTTCTTAGTTCTGTGTATGTCTCCCACGCGCGCCTGAAAGACCTTTTTTCCATCTTCTTGTCATGACTTTTCCATTTCTCCGGTTTAAAACTTCTCAGAACAAGTCCAGCTCGGTTTATCATGTTTTTCCCGAACCAATTGGCGTCTTGCATTTTTGATTCAGCGCCTTGAATATACCAGAGTTTTATCGATCATCAAGTGATCGCAATTAATGCCTATCTAAACGCGCTCACAGGACGGCTAGATCCAATGTGCAGTGTGCATGACACGCCTCCAGGCAAGATCTTCCCGTCTCCTATATAACATCATGGTCCCTGGCTGAAAGCGCTTCCTGCCTTCCCAGCTCCCGTTCTTGTTCCTCATGCAGTTTCTCGCGATCCTGTGGCCCATCCTCCTGGGGACTTTGTTCACGACTGTCCAGGGGGAAACAAAGAATTCGAAGAGGGACAATGGCCAGACCAATATCTCTCAGTTTGTGTCGACGAGGAACGGTCAATTCATAGTCAATGGCAGGTGTGTACTTTCCAAGTTCTTATTCACATTCAACAATAGCTTCCAACCATCCCTAGCGAGTTCAAGTTCGTCGGAGTCAACGCTCCGTGGCTTCCGACTCTTATTACCAGTCAGTCGTGTTTCTTAAGTCTACAGGCTCATTGGCGCCTAAACTGAGGGCACAGAGGAGGATATCAAGAACACCTTGTGCAACATGTCGGAGGCCGGAATCAAAGTCGTCAGGACGTGGGGCTTTAATGGTGTGTTCTAGCCTGAGCCTCTTCATTCAATGCCCGTCTCACGCGGAACGAAGACGTTACGGAGATCCCCGAAAACAAGAATCAGACATGGTTCCAACTCATAAACAAGAACGGGACTGTAATGATTAATAATGGCACGAATGGACTCCAGAAACTCGACTTCGTACTTGAAGCCGCGCACGAATGCAATATGCTTGTCATCCTCTCACTTACGAACAACTGGAATCCAGTCGCGAACTCAAGCACAAGTAAGTGCCTTAGCATCACTTTCGTAATACTCTCATTCACAGTGAAAATATTAGATGATACGCGGCCGAGGAACACCCTTAGTAACGACTTTGGTCAGGCTTAGTACATCTGATCGAAGAACTTGATGTAATTGTCCGTTTACAGGCGGTATGGACACCTACGTACGGCAGTTTGGTGGATGCAAGCACGATGAATTCTACACCAACCAGACCCTGATTAATGCGTTCGAGAACTACACTACCCAGATCGTGACTCGTTATGTGAACAATCCGACGGTATTCTCCTGGTAGGTCCCTTTTTCTGTGTGAACATATGCCTTGATGTTTACGGCCGGATCAAAACAGGGAGATCGCCAATGATGCAAGGTATACACACGCTGTTAATTAATTCGCACTTGCGTAACTTAACTCCGGCGAAGATGCAATTCATCCGTTGCAGCGAGCCCTTCTTGCACTCCTCAGACGGTAACGGCATGGCATTCAACAATCGCCCAGCATATCAAGACTATTGATAGTAATCATATCGTCTCCTCTGGGTTCGTCTCCATTACTCTCAGACCTTTCGTTCTAACTGTCGTTCCAGTAATCAAGGATTCCTCTGTATTGGTTGTCCAAAGCTCTTCCCTTTAAGGCCCACACCGCCTGCACCACAGGTATCGGCAGTTCCGGGCCAGCGACGCGCGACCAAGCCCCAACTTCTCACCAAGCGTAAACTTATTATGCGCAGGGAGGAGAGGCGAAGAAAGAATCGCGCTCTGGCAGGTGGAGAGGCGTCAGGTGTCCGGGTCCGAGGTCGATGGGTTGCTAGTCGTGGGTATCATTTCCCGCTATTTTTGTTTCGCATTGATGCTGATCTTGGAAAAAAAAAATAGGAACCCGGCGTCAAGAAGAAAACGAGATGGGAAGCGCCTTTGATGGGTCTGCAGGTGTCGATACCGAAGATATCTTGAACATTCCCGAGATCGGATACAGCTCATTCCAATTATTCCCTGACCAGAACACTTATACAAATGGTGCCGCTGACTCAGGCTTGTCAGGTTTCCAGAGTGTATTACAGGAGGGCTTGGATTGGATTCAAATCCAAGCCGAGCTGAGTGCCACGTGAGTATGGTATTTTTGGTGAAGTATCCCAGGATTGAATAGCAGCGCGCAGGTTTGGGAAGCCAATAGCCCTTACAGCATTCGGTTTGGTGTCGCAAGAACATGCTCCCGACTTCGTTCCGTTCAATACCACCGTGGCACCATTTGCTGCTGACTCTACAGGCACGGCCTTATCTCTGAAATAGAAGAGTGAGCATTAACCTTTTCGCGAATTACAGCGTCAACCACTAGCAATCAAACGAGCAACTCAACCTTTGGTGTTACCAATTCAGAACGTACCCAGGCGTATTCCGCTTGGCTCGATGGTAAGAGTCACTTCGAATTTATGCGCACTGGTGTTTCAACGGTCCTTCTAGCTGGTATATCCAGTGGTTTGGCGGGTATCATGCAATACCAGGTAAGGTGTTTCCACGGTGTGATCCGAATTTATATACTTATTATTTTTCACCATGAAAGTGGGGTGTCTCTAACGTCACCGCTGCAGCGGGAACTTCGTTCTCTCCGAACGAGAATTCCACTTCGTCGAGCCCTGATGAAACTGGGACGTCCAGCTCCCCTGATGATGGATACAGCATCATTGACTCTAAGTAAGTGCCACCCTCAATCAGAGGCTGAAATGGACACTGACACGATGCTTTTTATCAGCACGGAGGACACTGAATCGGTTATCTCCGCAGCTTCTCAGCAAATTGCAGCCGATTGAACGATTTAAATAAACGATTCTTCTTGTACAATGATATTTGAAAAGTCATTGGACTAAAGACTAAAGACTCTTATGTATAACGCTATTTCCATGTTGTTTATGATACATCTCGTAGAGATGAGATTGTTTTCAGGACCTTTCACTTCAATGCAACGTCTTTAATAATGCCGCTTTATCTTGTAAATTCAAGAACTAGCAGATTTCTTGGTGTCCAAACGCTAGACTGAGTTTATTGCCTCAAAGCCACCTCATCCACACTACCGTGTTTTTTTCCTCTCGACTATGTCTTTTAGAGCCACATCTACTTAGCACGAATACTGCCAGTGAACTTGATACTTGAGCAACAGGAAGCAACTTTGTAGAATTAAGGGTTGCACTTCTTAAACCACAAAAGAAAGTCCTGAATCCTTTAGCCAGAGACATTAGCAGTAGCCCTCGTGCTCGCGGAAGGTATTGACGCACTTTACTTAGACTTGGAGACCATGGTGATTATGTTCGGTTACTCGGCCCGAGATTAGGGGGCCGCTAATCCCCCGTCACGCGTGACGCGCACTCATGAAGTTCTACATTGACAATTTACCAGTGAGCCGCCTTTTTCTTGCTGCTTGGCCTTCTGACCGTCTAGCGCGTCAAAGATAATATTCCCTTATGACCGTATATATCCTGGTACGAATGTCTCCTTGTTCTCATTCTCGGTCTCAATGTCCTTGTGAAGAACAATATGCCTACATGTGCGATCTCAAAAGGACCCTCGATGCAGAGGTTTATACCATTTCCCCCTTCATTTGGAGTGATGTAAAACATGTTTTGGCAGGGTCACTGCGTCCTCGAAATGCCGTCGGGGACTGGGAAGACCGTCTCGTTGTTGTCCTTGATCGTTTCATACCAACAGGTACCGATCTCGCAGAACCAGCATATTTCCCGCTCTAACCGAAATCAGTTTCATCCAGCACGCCGGAAACTTATATACTGTTCTCGAACTGTTCCAGAAATCGAAAAGGCCCTTGCCGAGCTGAAGAGACTGCTCGCATATCGAATAGAGTGCGCCGAGACTGAAGATGAGAAACAGAAAGAGAGAAGTTTCACGGGACTTGGGTTGACCAGTCGTAAAAACTTGTGCATCCACCCAGAGGTATTTTCATCGCTGTTTGGACTCTTCTATGAAATGACCGTGCAATAGGTTTCTAAGGAAAAGAAAGGCAAGGTAGTCGACGCTCGGTGCCGAGATCTGACAAATGCTGCCGTCTGTGAAAAAGGAAGAGCGGATCCGGGCTCTGTGGAATTATGTGACTGGCATGAGGTATGAGACTACCCTTAACTTCAGATTCTCGAAGTGCACGCGGTATATTTGACCATAGAACCTAGGAAAACTTGAGCCTGGAAGTCTGATTCCTCCCGGAATATCAACCTTGGCAGATGTCCTTCAGTACGGACGCGACAATACAACATGCCCTTACTTTACGGTTCGAAGAATGGTGAATTCTTTGTCTATGGTCACGATCTACGAATCTGACGTCTCCATAAAAGTTACCTTTCGTAGACGTCATCATATACTCGTTTCACTACCTCCTTGATCCCAAGGTTGCCGAACAAGTTTCTAAAGAAATGTCCAAGGACGCAATAGTTGTATTCGATGAGGCACATAACATCGGTAAATATACACTCTCTAACCATCCCAGATTGATAACCAAGTACCAAATAGACAACGTGTGTATCGAGTCTCTCAGTATAGATCTGACGCGACCTATGTTGGACTCCGCGAGCCGCAGCATCGGCAAACTTGGTGAAAAGATAGAAGAGTATTTACGCTGCCACAGTTAAAATCTGCATTAGCTGAAGTAATCTTTACTTAGGATCAAAACGACCGACGCAGCAAAACTTCAGAACGAATACGCTAAGCTTGTTGAAGGCTTACAGGAGGACCCGCAAGTGGAAGACGGTATGGATGGATTTATGACGAGCCCTGGTAAGCTTCTCCCCGATCTCCCGTCACTTTCAAATTTTAATCGTGTTAGTTCTACCTGAGGATCTGCTTAATGAGGCTATACCCGGGAACATTCGGAAAGCTGAGCATTTTATCGCTTTCCTAAAAAGATTCGTGGAGTATTTGAAGGTGAATTATTGTTCCGTGACACTCGGATCTTGAATCACTAAACCAGAAATTCTAGACAAGGATGCGGGTTCTCCACGTCGTAGCTGAAACGCCGCTGTCATTTCTGCAACACTTGAAGGATATCACATACATTGAACGCAGACCATTGAGGCCAGTATTTAGTGTAACGGATTGTGATGGCTCCCTCGTTGACTCTTGCCTTAGGTTTTGTGCTGAGAGATTACAGTCCCTTATAAGGACCTTAGAGCTCAGCCGTCTAGACGAGCATGCATCGTTACAAAAAGTCGCTAGTTTCGCAACGTTAGTGTCGACTTACGAGAAAGGTACGAACAAATCAATGCCTTCCCGCAAGCGTAGTTAATACGGTCTCTTACAGGTTTTCTACTCATTCTGGAACCCTTCGAAACCGAAAATGCCACTGTACCCAACCCTATCTTTCATTTTACGTTCGTCTTCATTGACAGACACCGTCATGTTTCCTGGGACGAAGTCTAATATGTTGGTTCTAGGTGCCTGGATCCTTCGCTAGCCATCAAGCCCGTATTTGAGCGTTTCAGCAGTGTGGTAATAACATCGGGTACCATCTCACCCTTGGATATGTATCCAAAGATGTTGCAGTTCTCCCCTGTGGTACAAGAAACTTATCCTATGACGCTGACTCGAAACGCTTTCTTACCTTTGGTGAGTACCGCTTTCACCGGCCATCTTTCTTGATGCTGATCCAGCTAAAGGTCATCACCAGAGGCAGTGACCAGGTGGCCATCAGCTCCCGATTTGAAGTTAGGAATGACCCCGCAGTTGTTCGCAACTTCGGAAGTATTCTCGTTGAATATAGCAAAATCGTACCCGACGGAATTGTGGCCTTCTTCCCAAGCTATCTTTACATGGAATCTATAGTAGCGGCTTGGAATGATATGGTGAGTTTGATATCCCCTAGTTCAGTTCGCTGTTAACGAAGCTTCTAAAGGGTATCCTAAACGAGGTTTGGAAGAACAAGCTCATTTTCGTCGAAACTCCGGACGCTAACGAGACGAGCATTGCGTTGGAGAATTATAGAAGGGTACTTCTCATTTACGCGGCTCACCTGATGATCTTATTCTGTCAATATGCAGGCTTGTGACAACGGGCGTGGAGCTGTACTTCTATCCGTAGCCAGAGGCAAAGTATCAGAAGGCATCGATTTTGACCACAACTATGGTCGCGCTGTCATCATGTTTGGGTACGATGTTCCTTCTGGCATAGTTATACATTCCTTCTGAGGGATTTTCAGCGTTCCTTATCAGTACACTGAGTCTCGAATTCTGAGGGCCAGACTGGAATACTTGCGTGATGCTTACCGGATACGAGAGTCCGAATTCTTGGGGTTTGATGCCATGCGGAATGCTGCGCAGTGTGTTGGCCGTGTCCTTAGAGGAAAGACCGACTGGGGTTTGATGGTGTTTGCAGACAAGGTTTGTTGTTGATCTGTGTTTTGCCGCCGGTCAAGGAAACTGACGCACTTGCAGCGGTTTGCTCGAGCAGATAAAAGAGCCAAGCTTCCTCGCTGGATCAACCAGTATATAACGGACACTGCTTCAAATCTTTCGACCGATATGGCGTTGACGCTGTCAAAACTATTTATGCGGACCATCTCCCAGAATCCAAACGAGAACCAGACAGGTATCTCCCTCTGGACACTTGCAGACATTGAAAAGGCTCAGGCGAAGCAAAAGGCTGACGCCATGGCCATGGAGGTGGAGCGACAGACGAACGCTATGGACGATGAAGACGAGTTCGGAGATGGAGGTATCAGCGACCGAATGCTGGCCGACTTCGATATGGATGCATAGGCTGGATGTTACACTATAGTCATACAAATAATTTAGTGCGTTAATGGGGAAGCTGAGTCGTGAATCTAGTGAGAAAACAGGATGTCCGTGTCATAAGCCTTCCTCCAAGCACAGTGTACATTTGCCTGTGACCTGACCGTCCAAAAATGAGCGCCCGGCGACAAAATTGCACAAAGATGAGGGCTTACCTCCGCGGTAACTCTTCTTATTGGTTGCCCATAATACCGGCGGCAAGAACAGGGACGGTGGTGAGATCCGCAATTCGACGGGTGAGCATTGCTCAGATAGCAACGGGAGGATTGACAGTCGATAATATTTTGGCCTGTCTTTGTTAGGTGGTCGCACTCTACTGAACGCTTGAATAAGAGCTCTCTATAGCACATCTGTACGGATATTTGATGAATTTCAGCATGTACGAAGGAAAGAAGCCTCACATTCGACGTCGGCGGAGGTAGGCCAGATCGCGGATTTTTGAGTTCAATCGAGTGTACGCTGTTTAAAAGCATATCAGAGATCGTCAATCATCGATGGATCGTCGTTCTACCTGGATCTGAGTCCGGTCGAAAGGAAAATGACGAAGAAGAGAATGTGCAGGTCCCCTGCTTGAATTCTGTCCTCCCTTAAAAATGGCGAATTAAGCCTAACATTTACGGCCCGGGCTTGATATCTGGTAAGCACAGTTTATAGCATAGAACAAAGGAAAATTCCGTGGCAAGAATGGCAAGAAGCGGGAGAGTAAAGCCAGGATTCTGGGTGAGGGACATCGAGATATGGACGTCCGTGTCCCTGCAAGTCAATTTGATCAGATGCACCCGATTCGATGCCCTGACAGGGGTCCTTCAACTGTGACTGTATGTTCCTCCAGAAAAATTAGAATATCCTACTTACTTCTACAAGCTAATAAAATATCTGAATCTTCTCGACGTTATCAATAATTTCTCGGTAGATTTACATGACTCGGACTAACCAGAACCTTCCAACCCTGGAACATATCGGTGTCACTAATCACTAAACGGGGCGAAGAATCCTATCCTTGCCGACCTTACGGAAGAGCATATGAATGCTCGAAACAACAGTAAGTTTCTTCCGTTTTCGTGAGATTGCAACCTATATGCGTCATCTATGGACCCACTGACTAACGGATTTACTGAGAAGCGCATGCCTTTAGTGACCGCCCAATATCCAACTATTGGCCGATGAGCGCCAGAAGGCAGACCCAATAACAAACATCACACGTCAGTAAATTAAGATACTCCCAGCAAACATATGCCTAGCTAGTCCCGAAGGGGACATCCATGAGAGTGTGCGGAGGGAACACGCGCTCCGTCTCTTTCTGATTGATAACTCCAGCGTTCCGCAACATGTGCGTGTAAACTTACAGGGAAAAAGTCTCCTATTCCTAACATAGGGCATTCCCTCACCTCTGGACTTGTAGAACCATTTTTCCCTAGATGAATACGAGGGCAAATGCATCAACTGGAGGGCAGCAGGTGAATCATACGTCCCACTGGTTTGGGCCTCGAAATCACGGCCCGCGTACATAACGTATAACTGAATTGCAAGCGCCTGTTCAACCACCTTGTGGCGTGCGGATACCAAATGAATGAAGAGAATCTGAACGGACCATGATTCTTAGGTCTCAAGACACGGTCTTCACACACCTCTTCGCTTCTACTCTATTGTCATGATGTTGCATTGCTTCGACGTCGCTTTTATTCCCAGGTGCATGTACAGTGCTCGAGGTGAACGAACTAAACTGGGAATCCTAAACATTGGGCAGCAAGTGGGTGCAACAACTGGTTTTCTATATACCAACAGTGAATGTAGTAAGAGCGCCCACCACACCCCAGTCACTGGAAGACTTTCTGGTGCGGCGTATTAATTGTATAAATTACGCTATGCAGTCACGAAGGCTGATCGCAACTTTCCGGACCAAAAGGCGACAGTTTGTAAACACCGGACAGGACTGTACTTATCATCAGTTCAACGCATCGAACGTCAGAAAGCAAAGCTTACGTTTATTTGGATTCTTCTTTCCCTTTCTTTGAACTGTCAAGCTCCTTCTCCAGCACCTCATCGATGTTCCTTATTGATTCTCCCTTCACAACCTTTCTTACCTGCTGGGAATCTAAAGTCTCGTGTTCAACGAGAGCGTGGGCAAGCTGGAGGGACTTGTATAAGGAAACGTACGTTACAGAATTGTATATGCTCACTTACCTTGTGTAGTTCATCAATTTTTGCCTGAAGAAGTGCAACGACTCGAGCCTCTCCGGTCTTGATGATGCTAGAACGTACAAAGATCAGTGCCCGCACAGTCTCGGCTTGGCCTGATGGCGCCATATGCCCTCATCTTCCATGTGGCAGGTATTTCGGGGCGAAACTTACTTGGTCACTTCATCCTCAATCTGTTGCATCCGGGCAGGGCTTGTATCCTTGTCATTGAAATAGACTGGGCCGAGTTTAGAAAAGCCCCAGCGCTTTGAACCTCTTGAGTCTTGCCGCAAATGAACGAGAACCGGGGCGTACCTTAACCATAGACTGAGCTATTGAGGTAGCGTTTTGGATATCCGAACTAGCTCCACTAGTGACATTTTCAGGACCATAAACTGCGGGAGAAATCAGATTCATCTGTACAGCCAATATATGGACTCCTTACCAAGTGATTCAGCAACTCTACCTCCCATGGAGACATCGATGGAAGCAAGGTATTCCTTTAGAGTGATAGAAGTCCTATCATTTTCCGGAAGCATAGAAGTCTAGAGATACACACATCAGTTTTCACATCATTGAATAGATAGCAGCCAAGCCTACATAGCCTAGGGCATGCCCCCGAGGCACGCATGTAACCTTATGAAGGGGCATTGCACCATCCGTATACAATGCGACAAGGGCATGCCCGCCCTACGAGACCATAAACGCGAGAATACAACTTCCAGTCTGTGGGACCGACCTCGTGGTATGCTGTGGCAAGTTTGTCCTTCTCAGCAATGTACTGACTCTTTCGTTCCGCGCCCATGAGAATACGGTCCTGTAGTTGTCGCCAAATTTAGATTCTACACCGGTAATGAATGCACGATAAAACCTTAGCCCATTCGAAATGACTTAGAGTCACTTCTTTGGCCCGTTCTTTGGCAGCCTGAATGGCAGCTTGGCTAAGAAAATCCAAATTCAGTTGATGTAAACGGCGAACAAGCACCTGACTCTCACTTCACCATATTTTGTAGATCTGCACCGGAGAAGCCGGGCGTTCCGCGAGCTAGAACTTTGGGATCGACATCTGAAAGATTGAATTGATTAGCCATATTACAACTACTTGTTCTATCGATTGTTACCTTTAGCTGTCGAGACATTTCGCATGTGATGTTGAAGAATCTGTGCACGCCCACGAATATCGGGAAGGGGTACAGCGATATGTCTATCGAATCGTCCAGGTCTCACGAGAGCTCTGCAAAGATAAGTATAAGTATGTTTACATGGGTGACCGAATTGCCTACGGGTCGAGACTCTGAGGAAAGTTGGTGGCGGCAATAACAATGACGCCTTGACTCTGCTGGAATCCGTCCATCTCCACAAGGAGTTGATTCAATGTTTGCTTCATGTACTGTTGATCTCTTGCATTCCGCTTCCCACCAACAGCGTCGAGTTCGTCGATAAATATAATAGCAGGTTCTTTCTTACGGGCTGCCGCGAACAGATCACGAACACGCTTAGCACCTACACCGACGAACATTTCCTCAAAATCGGATCTTTTGGGTGGATTGTTAATGATCGATTCTCGGCGACATGGTCGGCCAACTCACCCCGAGGCAAAGAAGAAAGGTACACCGGCTTCTCCTGCAACTGCGCGCGCAAGCATTGTCTTTCCAGTCCCGGGTGATCTGGTGAGCTAAATATGAAATCCTAATCATCATGGGAAAAAAAGCACCGACCCAGTGAGCAAAACACCCTTTGGTAACTTTCCTCCTAGTGTTGCAAAGGAATCCGGGTCCTTGAGGAATTCAACGACGTCTTGCAATTCCTATATGTGGGTTGGCTCAACTGACTGTCAAATAAGCATAGGAGGAAAGAATTACTAGCCTCTTTAACCTCGTCTACACCATGAATGTCACTGAATTTCACAGTACTTTCTTGTGACGGTTGGTACTGCGCCGTTCGAGGTCCATTCTTAATAATTCCCGTGTTCTCGAAGAAGACCGACAGTATAACCAAGAAAACTATACGATAAAGAATATGCGTCAAGAACTGCCTGAGGGTATGGGTGGATATCACACACAGAAGGAGGACACCAAGAGGACGGCGATAAAGCGAGCTAGCCGAGGTATCCACGCACTTTTACCTAGAAGATATGAGAACATAGAACGATAGCACTCGGGATTAAAACACACGTTCGACAATGGAGACTTGAACGGGGCCGATAGACTCAAAGGCGGAGGCTAACTTTGCTGGGTCCACATTCGAGAAGAGGGGTGACGCTGAAGCTGAAGAGGTCGCATGTGCCGAAAGAACTGATTTGGCAATGTCCTGGCTAGATCTGGGTGCAATCGGGGGATGGAGTGGTGGCGGGTTCCGGTGAAGAGGTAGCGTGCGGTTCAGAAATACCAGTTTCGGGCGCGGTGGTTGCATCAATTTGCTCCTGAGGCGTAGTAAGCTTGGCTCACTACTGCTGGTGAAGACGCCAAAAGAGAATCCCGGCGACGAGCAGCTGAATAGACAGAATTCTGCCGGCCCGTATTTATCAAACACGTCAAATAAATCTGAAACGCTTCTTCTGACCGCAGAAGGGGGGATGTCGAGTCCTAGGCAGCTATTAGATGTGTATCGAAGTGAGAGGACAAGCAGACGCACAAATTCACACATTCGTTCCCAGCGATTGATAATAAGCTCATAGGAAGACTTGAGCTTCGTCTCCATCAAAGCATCAAAGAGCGCCAGTTGCTTCACAACGTCATGAGGATACACGTTTGCCTCCGCCTCAAGTTTCGTGACATGGGCTACAACAGTGGGCGACGGTGCTGGCGACCCTTTGAACCGATTGAATATTGAACCAAGAGTAAGATTCCGAGATGGCACAATAAGATTGATTGTCGATGTAGGAAGAAACGGTCTCCTGGACACCCGAGAAGCGGTGAGCAACGTCCTCGTTGTTGGACCCAACGGACGCTGTGTACATATTCGAGCTAGTAGTGTCGAGTGGGAATATGCTACGAACCGCAAAGGGTTCCGTAGCTGCCCAAGATGCTCAGTAAACGACTGGCAGCAGCGAAAATGGACTCACCTGTGGTGGTGGTGGCAGCATACCCTGGCTTGAACGCGCGTAATGCCGCCAGACGCTGAGACCGAAAAAATGTCGGCAGACACGTGATCACAGAAGGATTTCTTCCGCTTCCATGAAGGACCAGCGACGAGGTCAGTAGTTCTTCAATTTGTTCAAGGTATGAAAGGAAATCCATCTTTCTTTGTAGCTATATCTTCCATCAAGAAGGCTATAGAGACCTGTGATGCTGCTCTGGATCTACTTGCCCAGTCCTCGCAGGCGGAAGATGTCCCCCCACCCGAACTGGCGGTCATTCGTCAAGACTTTCTGTCTTTACTTCTACTGATCTATGGATCAGCAACGAAGATTTCACTAGCCATGAAGCCCAAAGCTCCCACGCATAGTGCAGCGCTCTCTCCGTTAAAGGACATATCTGATCACATCTCTGCTCTCGCCCACTGTACAAATATGTTGCTACCCCAAGTTCACGGGGCCACTCTTGTCCAGGAATTCAATGGCATCTGCAGAGATGTCATCAAGTCAGTTAAATCCCTTCTCGCTATTTTTGACGCGTCCGAAACACGCGTTCTTGAACCGGGGGATGAGTACCTCGTTAAAACCGGTGAAATCCACCATTTGATTGATAGAGCACGCTCGACATCTGGAGACGGATTGTCGATTGACAATCTGTCTGCTGTTCGAAAAAAATGGCAGCAGGATAGTGGTCCCTTGGACGATGGTTTGAAGGAACTTAATGACATGATTGAATATGATGCAGAGGCTGAGGAGGACAATGAGGATGATGGATGGGATGAATTAGGCCTAGAGTCTGTGAAGTGCCTCGATGAAAAGGAACTTGAACGGACTAAACAGGTTACTCTTTCAATTCTTGTTTTGGACCTTTGACTGAAAGTACATTCAGGTACACACCATTATTCGATTATCAACGCTGTTACACAAACGAATTCTGCGAGACTTTCTATCGCCATCATCCTTGTCGGCCTCTCCGATATCAGATCTTGACAAACTTGCGCTATGTTCATCAGCCCTGTTGTCGGCTTCGGACGACCTTATCTCTTCCTTTTATCCCCCTCAAGATCCATCTGCAATAGCTGCTGAATTTAATATCTTCCAAGAATGCCTCGGCCGTCTCAAATTATCTGTTGACGCTCTCCTTGATGGCCAGATGCTGCAGGCACAGTTTGATGCTCTCAGTGTCACAGACAATAATCCAACTCCGACTCTCACCAAGTGGTATAAGACATGTTTTGGACAAATACAAAAAACTTCACAGAACCTATTGCAATGCCTGCCAGCCAATTCAGAGGCCTGATGCATGTGTGGGATATACTCAAACGGGGGTAAGTGTTATCTTCCCTTTCCCGCTGCAATTCGATCATGGTTCTTCTCTAGGCCACGCAAGTCTCATCGATTAATTACCCTTGGCTATAGTCGGTTCATGAATGCCGCGAAGTCCGTATACTCACACGAAACACTTACACGAATAGAAGTGTTCCACAGACCAGAGCGTTTCCACTGTCGCCCTGTTTCGCCGAATTGGCCGGAATCATCGAGCAGCGAGGATGATGCTTTCTAGAGCGTTTCTTAATGGGTGCATGACCTCTGTCACCTTGTCAAAAATACAGGCTAGGAATTGTCCCTTCTCATGTCGGTTTCTAGTGCTTTAGTAATCAACTCGCCAAGCTGTTTGTGAAAGTTAAGGCACGGCAGCACTGCGGGACTTAGGAAGACATGCCCGCAATGCTCGAGATTCTAATTGCTGCATCTACTTACCTGCCAGGGCCATGAATCACCTGGATATGGGTTTCAAGTTGGTTCACTGTCGTGTACGACAAACTCTCGCAGACTATGTGCAGGCTCTATGGAATATCAGTGCATTAAGCCGTAATGCAGTAACATTCTTGAATGTCCTTCACATTTCACCTTCCTCGCGGCCACCGTCTACGTCCCTTGATGTTGGCTGGACGCGATGCCGTTTGTCCCGTTCCCACTGCTCTTTCCATTTAGCACCTAGTACGTTTGGATAGACGGTCGGGCTTCTGATAGACCGTAACCGATCCTCAAACCGTAATATCTTCTCCATGTCACCTTGTAAATCAAAGTGATAATTCTGTATCTTATTTAAAACCGAAAAGGCAAAACCGACATGTAATAAAAACTCACTGCTTCTAGTTCACGCTTCGCCCTAGCTTCCTCCCTCAGTTTATTCAGCTCCTTCCGCCTTTCAGCATCGCGATTTGAGGCAGTACGTGGCGTGTTAGCCGTGGGCTAGAGTAAAGTTACGACAAAGTCTGGCTAGGGTAACTGACACTCACCTTGAAAAGGGAAGAATATACTGAACTATTGCTCAAATCCAAGTCACCCCCGCTCACAAGTGGCGGCTTTCTAGAAGCCGGTGTGAGAGTATTGGTCAAAGAAAATTCGTCCTTGGGGGCTGTCGGTGCTGAGGACGTAGACTTCGCTACCGATGGGGTGGAAGGCCCAGCAGCTCCAAGTTCCTTGTTCTTCTTAATCGTAGGAAGTTTCTTCTTCGGCGCCTGTGTAGGGTGATCGTCCTTCATGAGCTGAGTGGTGGCGCTATCACCTCCGCCAGGTGCATCGCCAGTGCCTGGGACCTTGGGCCGTTTTGAGGAAGGAGGTTGAGCAGCGGACGGTATCGGTTTCGGGATAATTTTTCGTTCGTCCTTCATCTTGACCTCTTTCACCTCTGACTTTGCTTTCGTCTTGCCTTTGCCCTTCCCAGCTGCTTTTGCACCCTTCGTCTTCCCTTTCTTACTCCCTCTCACGGGCGCATCCTCATCATCGTCAATGAACTCTTCGTCATCATCAAAACCATCTGGGATGGCCGAGGCTGTTTTGAGGAGCTCATCATCATCATCCTCGATATTGACATCGTAGTCATCATCCTCGTCGACGAACCGGGCACTAGGTTTCCTTTTCCTAGACTTCTTCGTTGCAGCTACATCTGACCGACCGACGTTAGGCGAAGACTCTGGAGAGTGTTGTGGTAAGTGATGGTCGGTCGCAGTATCCGGTTCAGTACTGTGTATACGGGCCCTCTTGGGGGAATGAGGATAGTCCCGAGCGCCATCGTTCGTATCGTTGTCGTCGTCAGAGAAAGCTACATTCGGTCGTTTTGTGCCTCTACGCTTGGCCTTGGGCGGCGATAGCTACAAGAATACAGTGAAAGAAAAGGTAACAGGTTCTAGAAATCGCACCTCCGCAGACATGATAGCTTTCGTTAGGTTGGGACACGAGGTTGACTTATTAAATGGATACGGGCCGATAAAGCCGATTTATAAAAAATGGATCAACTTTGATCAACTCATTCTTCATTTGTTCCCGTACATAAATAAATATCTGACTACTACTTCTCTTCATGCATTATTCCCCGGCAAGCGCGCCGGAGCAAACATTCTATCGTTAGCTTGCAACGCTTGAGCTACGACCGCTGGAGTGGAAGCTGGTGCAAGACTACCACTTTGTTCGTCAAAAGTGATATTATTGAGCGCCGCATTAACGATTCTCTGATACGTGTTCCCGGCAGTGTCCTGATAGGTAAAGGTATTGTTGTTCGTCCCATTGCCAGTATTTCCAGTCGAAGCTATTTGGAAAAAGCCGGCTACGGTACAGAGAGGCATGAGTTACGATCACAAAACGAGTATTGAGGGCGTACTAGTTATCTGATGATTGTGAATCGTGGTCCCTAACACCAAGGGGCTTGCTTGTACTGTGCGATCGTATGAGTGGTCGACCTCAGAAGTCCCTGGGGGGGGGGGGGGGTACACATCAGTAGAAAGACGAAGGGATGGCCGTTGACACCTACAGTTCGTAAATGAAGATGTCAGAAAAGTCATATTGAGCTCAAGAGGCTGTTCAACGACATGAGCACAAACATCACGGAAAATGTGTTGTCTCTACATACATAGGAGAATGAATCGGTAACAACAGAAACACCATTATGGGTGGAACGTATGTCTCCCGTAGCTGTTTGTTTTATTGACTATAACCGTCGGAATTTCAGGTGGAATGAGCAAGGCAATTAGAATTGATGATCATACTCACCTGGGTCAAAGCCTCGTTTGTGTAAATTTGTAGATTCGAGTAACTCATATCCTGAGTCCAAACAACATGCGTAGTTTTTCCGCTCCCACTGATAACGTCGGCCTCGATATGCACACTCCGCATTGCCTCAACGGTTATTTCGACGTCAAATCCTGACTCAGATACACTCCCCTTAGCCGACGCCACTGCGAATGGCTCGACAGCATATTTTGTAATCTTTCCAGTAGTGGGCTTCGGTGAGGAATCCGTAATGACCTGCAGCAGCCCAGAAACAAACCAATTCTGGTTCGTAGTATGGTCTGCTTCCGCAGAGGGAACGTCGATGGTAAAGTCGTGAGGATTACTGGCCCCTCAGAGTCAATTTATTGTTTTACCACAGCAAGAGATAGACCTACCCATCTGAGAGCAAGGGGGCAAATGGAGTTACATCAAGGAAATAAGTGGGAAGATCCAAGGCGCCGTATGAAGTAATTGGTCTGAGGACTCACTCGATGACAAAATAGCTTGGAGAGTAGATGCACTCACCTCCAGAACGACGGTATGATACCGCCGGTAAAGATGACAGGATATGGGAATGCGACACCGGCTACCTGTCCATCGATAAGCAAACGAACTTCACGGAAAGGCCCTTGGCCAAAAGTGGTGCCATCAGGAAGATCGGAGATGAAATCGTTGGCGGCATTGGTGTACTGCGTACGTGTCAGATACGCTGATGGCCAGGCGAATAAAACAAAATCATCACCCAGAATTCCTCTTGGGCATTACCGGACGCAAAGAGCTCTGCATATATCTCCACGGTATTGGTAGGGAGAGTAACGTTCAACTATTCTAATCATCAAAATGAATTCATGGAGGCCCATCTGAGCGGCGTACCGAGAAGCCAGGTGGTACTGAAGCGTCATTCCCAGTGTCGTTAGCTAGGGTAGAGAGCGGTACGATTAAGTCAGCTTTCTCAGCCGGGGGGTGCTCATTCGAGGAGGCATAATATGTCGCGTGGACCACAGCTATTAAACAAGGGTGGAGTTAACACCAATGACAGGTTGTCCAACCCAGACGGATTAAGCCAACTTACATGAATATATACCATCCAAGCCCGGCTGAATGAGATTATCTAACTGAAAGATGAAAGTGCCAGTCATCTCAAATAGCGGCATGTAGTGCGAAACATCCTTGATGTAAGTCCAAATGATTCCATCGCCTCGAGTGGGTTCTGGCGTAGACGTCCTCCAAACTATATGGCAACCAACGGTCAGTCATGCAAGCGCCACATCAGACTGCGGCGTGCGCCTCACTTTCAATATTTTGAAACGTAAAAATGCCAAGTCGGTCGAACTGAGTTCCATTGGAAGTTACTGTCAGATTCAGAGTTATAGCCGACCAAGACCCAACAGGCCCACAGTCCGTGGGTGGCCTGTGCACTTCATCAGCAACTGAGCTGGCACATCATCCAACAAAACACATACACTAGCTCCACAATTTCAGAGCTTGAAGTTACTGTCGTCAAGCCTCATGCATACGTAAGGCGGTAAAGTCACTAACTCGCCGAAAGAAAATGCAAAATCACGTCTGAATGCGCCATATGAAAGACCAGTCTAGAAGATAACAAACAGCTGACTTACTGAAGCACTTGAACTGTGCATTGCTTCACATTAGAGGGTACAATGGCCGGCTGAGCAACCTGGAAATCCACGAGAACGGCAGCGCGAGTGACGGCTGTCAGGGATACGAGAAGCAACGAGAAGATCATGGTGGACGCTCTGAGAGAACACCTAGAGAGATCATAGCTCATTTAAAAACCTTCTCAGGACCGTGTTCCGCCGTCAGAAATATACGGAATATATTGGCGTAAATGGATGGAGAAGGCCTCCGGTCCATGCGGTACGAGAACAACCTAAGATCAGCCGGGAGATAAAGAATCTCACAGTGCTACCAGTTATACTGCAGGTATCGTCATGTAAGCGTGCACAAAATGGTTGTGCAAAATGGCTGGTATTAATCCGAAATGAAGACACGAGTCTCTGCGGGTAACCCAATAAATAAGAAGTCAATCCACTAAGATTCTATCAATAACCATGTGGTATCAAGCATGATAACCGTACCGTCCCCAGGGTGCATGACGTTCAAAACTCATGATTGAATACATCATCTGTTGTTTTCTTTTTCTGCTCAGGGTCCTCTATCTCCGTTCCCCTCTCGCCATACAAACCTCCTTCTGCGTCCTCAGGAAACTCAGTAGAGCCATCTTGCGAATACACGCTACCTTCAGGAGCGGTAGACGATTTCGCCTTCTTTTTCTTGGATTTCTTTCGTTGTCGTTCCTCCGATACAGAATAGGCATCTTCTGTCCTCGCCCACCGATCCTTCTTCTCTTTCTTCTTCTTGCTTCGTTTCGAGGAAGATGTGGAGACAGCGGTGTCCTCAAAGTTGGCAGGATAGTGCCATCGCCCGCTGGAGGCTGTACTCGAGTTAGCACCTCGTCCGGCACCGTAATAGCTCTCGTCCTCCGGCCGCCAAAGATCTCCATTGGCTTGCCTTTGCCCTTCCGAGGGTAGGTCTATACTTGATCCGGCCTCCTGGCCCTCCTCGTACGGCTGCCCCTCTAAGGTTGACTCCGGTAGACGATCATTGTAACGGGCTGCCCACTGGGACTTGCGCTCCTTACGACGGATCTCGGAGGTATCCACAAGACCGTATCGCTGAGCCCATTTTGGTGTCCGACGGTGGTTCTTGTTATTTCTGATGTTCTGTGACGGTAATGAGACACAATAGTTGAGCGAGATGCAATAAACCAACCTGTATGTAGAAGTTGTGGCCATGGCCTAGTCGCAGTTACTACCATGTTACTCCACATAGCCTTGGTTGACATACCTGGAATGTATCCGCAGATGGTCAACAGTAAATTCAGCCAAAAGTCTCCTCCGAACCCAAACCTCGCTGCAACGGCTGTGATAGAGAATAACATCAGACTATGAAACGAGTGACAAACAAATTTGACGACGTACCCAACGGTGGAAACAATGTTCCCATGATAAAGAGGAATACAGCATAACCATGATGTCGTTTCGGTTTCAATTGTTCTCTGGTATTTGGGACGTACGCCTGGAGTGTCGACATGGTGGTGGTAGGAGTGGAAGATGTAAGTGACGAATTGAGGTAAAATGAAATTCAGCGGCAGCTGCGAGCACGTGGCATGCGTATTCGGAACCCAGATTCTTCCTTCAACCACTAGGCCAACAAGACTCAAGGCTCTGCCTTATCCACCATCACCCCACCCCGTTCGTTGGTCCGGGACATTCTAAAGGTATCCTTCAGTTGAAAAGCCTTCATTGCTCGCTTTTCTTTGCTGACCAGCTTTCTTTCTTGTCAGACTCGACTTCACGGCCGCGATTTGAACCAGGATGGACCATGAGGAACCTGCACTTGATTTATCCGACGTCGTGCACGACCATACCATCGACGACGACGACGCTGCCACAAATTCCGATAACAATGACCAGACCCAGGACAGCACGCCAAATGCCATCTTGTCGCCTCTGCAGAAGCCCAGTAGCCACTTACCTATTTCTGCCTCCTCTGAGCCCTTCTCCGTCGAAATACTCGAGCGCGAAATTGCCACTTTGCTCAACCAGAATGCTTCTGCTGCATCCGCGGCTTTGCTCAGTGCTGCCGCTCAGCAACATCAAGCCAACCTGGGACAATCTCGAGATGGAGAAGGTGACGGTGGGAATGACAATCTCACTGGCTTGGCTAGCATAGATCTCAGCGGATTAGCAGCTGTTCTAAACGCAGCACATGCTCAAGCCGCGGAGAATGAACGTGCAGCTCAGGAACTGGCTGCGAAAGATCCAGAATTCGCTCGACAGCGAGCTGCCGCATTGGCTGAGAAGGGACAGAAGAACACACGAACAGCACCTGCCTTTCATTCGCTGACTGCCGGGGAGTCCTCCGAGAGTCCTCATAAATCCTCCAGGCGGGGGGAACGCGGTAGCCAGCCACCAGACACCGACTATCTCTATTCCGATGGCCATAGCGACAGTGACGCTGACAGGCCTAGCCACCCTATCCCTCCTTCTCGACCTGACAATGATCCCCCGACGTCTTTATCTGGCGAATTTACTGACATAAATGATATACTGACGCAGCTATCGGGTCAATACGATCCCCGAAATCGAACATCGCAATGCTCACGGTCCGTCTTCGCCTGATTCATCGCCTGTCGTCTCACATGCCCGACCCACAACGGATCCTCAGCCTCGCCCTCCAACTCCCCCGCCCGTTCTAACGCAGGTGAATCGAACCGTCGTCTCGCAACCTGTTGCATCCACCTCTGCTGTCACATTATCTAATGGCAGCAATAAGAAGGGCAAGAAGACTGAAAAAGAGAAAGGGCCCAATCACATGTATCCTTGCGACCATGAAAACTGCAATAAATCCTTCACACGGCGTAGTGACCTTGCTAGGCATACACGGATACATACTGGGGAACGACCATTCGTTTGCGACTATACCAACTGTGGCAAAACATTCATTCAGGCATGTGGCCCTGAATTGTTCCGCTGTCGTGTTGTGCTGATAAGTCGAAACATTCTGACAGCGTTCAGCTTTACATGTCCATTCTCGGGTGCACACTGGAGAAAAACCGCACTGCTGTGAATATCCGGCCTGCGGCAAGACCTTTAGCGATTCGAGTAGCCTAGCCCGCCATCGGAGAACTCATACTGGCAAGCGCCCATACAAATGCGAAGATCCCAACTGCGAGAAAACATTTACGCGGCGAACGACTCTAAACCAGCATATGCGTACTCATGATCCAAATTGGACGCCAGATCCCAACGTGTACGTACACCTATAACATGATAGAGCCGTTCCTAGACTAATACACGACCCTGTTGCAGGAAGTACAACTTTAAGTCGAAGAGACGAAGGGTGGAAGACAGCAGTGATGACGATCAAGCACTCGCAGAATCAGTACGCACGATATCTGCCCTGTTTCATGCTGGCGGTGCCGCCTTGGCCGCCCCTCCGCCACAAACAGGACCCGAGGAGGCGCTGGAAGTACGAGTCGCAAGTATCAGTGCCGAAATAGCAGCTGCCATTGCGCAAGCTCAGTCTCGTGGTTATGAAGAAGAGGAAGAAGAGGAAGACGAGCTGGAAGATGATTCTGGTGATGAACTAGAACGACGTGATACAATCGGGCCCAATACGAGTGGGATCAGGGGATTGGGCGATGGGGAAGACCGGACTGCATTGGAGGATAGCACAGATAGGGAAGATGACGACAGCGACGCGTTCCCGGCACCTCTGCGAACGCGACGGGGCAAGGATACTGTCGCAACAGGAGAGAAGAGGAAAAGGTAGTAAGGTGGGAATATAGGCACGTATATGGAACACATTATTACTGTAACATATTTATGTAGTATATAGTAACGGTAATGGAATGATCAGGAGCAGCTGGAGCCGTCTTGGCTGGAGACGGAGAGTCGAAGTGTCGGTTCCCCGGTTAGCTCCGTGTGGGGATGGCACGTGATATCAATGCATTTGGTCCCCTTCTCCTATTTAAAGCAACTTGACAGGAAACGGATAATCTACGTCCCACCATTGCCCGATTCCATCCGCACGTATATTAACGACTGCCTCTGTATTCTCTGTCGCCGTCATGTCCAACGAGGAGCCCCCCAGCACTGATCTCATTACTCTCACCCGGTACGTTTTCCTTGGCCCCTTGCTCGACGTCGCTCACACTTTTCGCAGCCATGTCCTCAATGATCAGATGCGCCTAGGGCCAGCGGCGACCGGCGACCTCACTTTGTTACTGACCGCCATCCAGGTCACCTCGAAATTCATTGCTACCAATGTTCGAAAGGCCCGGCTCATTAACCTGTACGTCGTTGCCGTCCGTCTTATCTGTCTCTTACGAACCCGTTTAGGGTCGGTCTTGCGGGAGAGACCAACGTTCAAGGCGAGGATCAGAAAAAGCTTGATGTCCTCTCCAACGATATTATGGTTAATGCTCTCCGAGCTTCCGGCAAGACTGCCGTCCTGGTGTCGGAGGAGCTGGAAGACGCCATCATCATCGAGGAAAAGAACCGCGGCAGATACTGTGTCGTATTTGACCCTCTTGACGGTAGCAGCAACATTGATGCTGGTGTGAACATTGGAACTATCTTCGGGATATACAAAGTGGTGCGTGTTATTTACTATTTGTCTCCTAGAGCACTACTGACCCCTGATGATAGGGAACAGAGGGCTCCGCTAGCATACAGGATGTCCTGAGACCAGGCAGTGAAATGGTTGCGGCGGGCTATACCATGTATGTCGTGTGTTCCCCCCCCGGTAATATGTCTCTCATACCGTTCCCTAGGTACGGATCATCTGCCAATCTTGTTTTGTCGACCGGACAGGGCGTCAATGGATATACGTTGGATGCTTCCCTGGGAGAGTTCATTCTCACCCACCCTGACGTGCGCCCCGTTTAATTAAATTTCATCCTGGTACTTACCCGTGAAATTATAGATCCAGATCCCCCATCGCGGGAAGATTTACTCCTTCAACGAAGGGAACGCCATGTATTTCCATCCTCCTGTCAATGCCTACCTGAAATCGATTAAATACCCCGCACCCCCTAAAGCTCCGTATAGCGCTCGGTACATCGGTTCTATGGTTGCTGATGTTCACCGCACCTTCTTGTACGGTGGTATTTTTGGATACCCCGACGATAAGAAGAGCAAGAGTGGTAAACTCAGGTTACTCTACGAGGCATTCCCCATGGCCTTTTTGACTGAGCAGGTATGTAACATCCAAGTCTTCCTTTGTTTCGTGCTTATCTTGTTTGTTCAAGGCCGGAGGTATCGCTACAACTGGTACTCAGCGTATCCTTGATATTGTTCCTACTGGGATCCACCAAAGATGCTCAGTTTTCCTGGGAAGCAGGGACGATGTTCAAGACTTGATGAAGTTCTATCAAGATCCATCGTTAACCGAATCATAGATATAATAGGAGAGGTAATAGCATATTATCATATTTGTGCAGCATTACTGGGAAGATAAATTCTAAGGTTGCACTGTGTGAAAAGCCAAAGTTTCGGACTTCGCAGCTACTTTACTCCCATGATCTTCGACGGATGTCATGATGAGATGAAACCGGTCGCATTTATATACAACAGTCGCGTGTGCAATAAAGATACAGAAGCGCACCCGGGTACTTATGGCGCAATCGGATCCGACGATGTGCCGTATAGACGCCGACCAAGGACCCATGAGTGATGACGAACAGCTCGCATGCTTCACGATTGCAGAGATAGAATTTTACATATCATTAAATAAATCAAATGATAACGTGGAAGAAACGAGAATGCCACTTAAGATACTGTTTCCCAAGAATCAACTTTGAATCCTTTAGGGAACACGACTCCGAACGACCATAATTTAAGAGGGGAAAAGTATCCCTTCCACAATTTTCTCACTCGTCTGCCACAACTCCTTTGCCACCTCGGGGTCACAAGCTGTCTTCGAGGCTTCGCCGAGTTGTGCAACAGGCTCCAAATACCCTCCTTTATATCGCGGATCAGCGTCGATTACCGGCGAAGCAGCAGCGAATACGGAGGTGTATGCACCAATGTCGGGGTGCATGAACAGCATACGCATCAACCACTCTGTTACTCGTGGAAAGGGCGACACGTAGGAAAAGGTATTAACGTTCCCAGGATGCAAAGACATCACAGTGATGTTGGCTCCATCAGCTTCGAGGCGTCGCTGAAGTTCTTTGGCGAAGAGGACATTGGCGAGTTTTCCTGCGCCTGCAGTATGTGTTTCACTCAAAATTCAGCTCATTGAGCAGGGGGAAAAATTACCCACAGTATCGACCGTAGTAGGGTGCTGGATGATCTGTATATTCATTGTTGAGATCATCGATACTCCTAAACCTCGTAGTCTCCGACGCGTACAAATGGCCACCGGAAGAAAGCTGTTGTAAGATAAAATGAATCGATCTGATGAAAAGAAGAAAAACACGAACGACGACAATCCGGCCACTGCATGTTTTTCCTTCAGCTGTAGACTTCATGACAGGGAGAAGACCTGTCGTGAATATAAAGTGACCGATGTGACTTTAAGGGAAGGCAAGTAAGTAAATTAGCAGTGCGAACTTCGGGTGCAAAAGAACACACACTTTGTGAGCATATGGTCGGCAACGCCTACGATACCAGCTCAGTAGGATTATACCGCAAAAATGAGTAATGGCACACACCGTAGTGGTATTCGACCGGATCTTGGATCAAACTGGGTGAAATATTGAATTACTATTCGAAGTGACATCGAACGGATATAAAATACATACAGAGCAGCATTGTTAACTGCACTGCTATTAGAAGACAGCAACCGAAAGGACAATAGACCCACCGAGAATATCCAGGCGTTCCTCCAGAGCTAGGAAGCCTTTTACTGCCTCTGAAGCACTGTGTGGATCCAGCAGGTCTAAGTGAAGATATTCCACTTTTCCCGTTATGCCCTCAGCCTTGAGGCGCTCTATGGCGTCGGCCACCTTGGTAGGATTTCGCCCAGCGATGTAGACCTTTGCTCCACGGCGCGCCTATACGCTTTCTTAACAGGCTTCAGCTCGAGGAAGACAGATAGGTATACCAGGTGCTTCACGGTGCTGAACCCGATTCCTGTGCTGGACGACCAGCCGAGGTCAGTTTTAAGGATTCTATGGACTGCCTCATATTACGTACTTGCCACCCGTTACGATTGCAACCTTGCCGTCCAGGTCAGGCAGATCCTTTGAGGGATCGAATGTAGTGCTACGATATCTATCCCACTTGAAGACTGCGAGTAGAAAATATAACATCCCTGCGAAATTCTTCAAGTTATCGAACATGATGGGCGTGAGGAGAAAACAGTGATTCAACAAATCTTTTCATGATGATCAATGGGCGTCTCGGATCATCCAGCCGTCGCCTCTTTGTTGCTCGAGCGCAGAGATCGCGTAGATAATTTCGTCGGTGAACAGACAGGTCCCAGAGTCAGTTATTGCAATCCTTAAAAAACTATGTCTGCATACGAATCATTTCCCAGAGCCATACTTAGGCGCGCGCTAATGGAAGAGACGGAGTGAATGATCACGGCAAACGCCAATGGGTAGGGAATAAAGGTACAACAATTTCCTTCTTCATCTACACACCACATCACTTCTACCTTCCGCAAACTAGATATTATGTCTACCTCTACGTGCAAGCCCAGATCTAATACCACGGACACAAATAATATAAGTGCTCTTCATCTCTACGTTGAGTAGAGTAATCCGTGTTGAGACGGCTTTACAGGCGGCCTCTATGCTATCTGATGAAGATACACATAGACTTGTTGCTTGTTGAGAGCAGCTCATGCGAGTGGTCTTCTCCTCGGCCATAAAGACCTAGAAAGATTAGAACAAACCCACAACTCTACCGGACTCGGGGTCTAAACCGACTTCCCAGAATCCTGTATATGGTTCCATTGGCAATTCATCCATCGCTCAGAGAAAATTTTGCTCACCTGGACGTGTTCCAAGGCCAGGCATAGTTTGCATGTCTCCGAGGATAGGGTACAAGAAACCAGCACCAGCCGACAGCCGTACTGACCGAATAGGAATCGTAAAGCCTGTAAAGATAACGTGTGTTCTTGAGACGACGAAGACAAAGGAAAGTAAGAGAACACACCTGTTGGCACTCCCTTGAGTTTAGGATCATGGGAGAACGAGTACTGGGTCTTGGCCATGCAGACTGGAAAGGGTTAAGGACGCTGCCATACGCCAATGGTTGAAACTCACTAGGAAGGCCTTGATAGCCTTGACGGGTATAGGTATCTATTTGCTTCTGAGCGAGTTCACTGAGTTCAATACCATCCGCGCCATAGATTTCCTTGGATATGATGGAAATCTTTTCAGCGATCGGCAAATCCAAATCGTAGAGATATCTGAATTGCGAGGGACCTTCACAGGTGGTGATCACAGCTTCGGCTAAAGCGCGAGCACCAGCGCCACCTTCAGCCCAATGGTTGCTCACAACAGCAGCATCTGCACCTCCGGCAAGAGCCTCATCGCGAACAAGAGCAAGCTCTGCCGGCGTGTCGGATCTAGATGTCTAGATTTAATAACGTCCTCGAGCACGATAGACATGCCACTCACGCAAACTGATTGATAGCGACCAAGACCTTGATTCCGAATTTCTTGGAGTTTTGGATGTGTTTAACCAAGTTCTTGCATCCTTCCTTTAACGTAACAGGGTCCTCCTTGGTATATGTCTCGTGGAGAGGCTTTCCAGGGGTCACGTCAGGTCCGCCGCCATGCATTTTCAAGGCGCGAGTGGTCGCAACAATGACAGTAGCATCAGGAGTAAGGCCGCTGACTCTGCACTTGATGTTGCAGAATTTCTCCATCCCCATATCAGCCCCGAAGCCACCCTCGGTGAGGACATAGCCGACGCGATCAAAGGAATCACCTTCCTCGGTGCCCGCGAGCTTGAGAGCGACACGATCAGCAAGAATGGAAGAGTTGCCATGAGCGATGTTAGCAAAAGGTCCCGCATGGACGAAAACCGGGGTTCCCTAAGAATATGATAAATAAAGTAGCTTGAAAACGATTTGAGATTAAGACCTGTAGAGTCTGCATCAAGTTGGGCTTGATAGCATCCTTGAGAAGAACAGCAAGAGCGCCTGAAACACCAATGTCGTCGGCGGTGATAGCATCCCCTTGTTTACTTGTGGCGACCACCATCGCTCCAAGACGTTCCTTCATATCTTCAAGACCAGTAGTAAGCGCCAGGACAGCCATGCATTCACTTGCCACGGCAATATCAAACCCAGTGACGCGCTCATGTCCCTGTTCAGTGAAATTCTGGCCAATCGTGATCTTCCGCAAAAAGCGGTCATTAGTGTCGAGGACCCGGTTCCATGTGATTGTATCCAAATCGACATCAAGACGAGCAAAGCGGGTGATTTCTTCGGGTGTCAAAGAGTTCGGATCGGTCTTATCGATGCCCAACTTTTTCAGACGCTTGAGCATTAAGGGCGCAAATTCGCGTTTACCCTTCTTCGTAGGAACCAGACGGCTGAAAAGGGCCTTAAATAGACTTGAGCCGCCTTTCTCTTCCGATATTTATGTGCAAACCTTGTCTGATTGTGTGGCCTCATGGAATATGCGAGCGTCGAGAGCAGCCGCTAAATTACTTTTAGCTCAAGTATAAGCAAGGAGTGGTAGACATACCGAGTAAGTTGTTCGCCGCTGTCACAGCATGGATATCACCGGTCAGATGAAGGTTGAACTGTAACTCAGGTCAGAGAAAAAATACACATGGAATGCGAAGGAGATGTTTACTTCGTCCATGGGAATAACTTGACTGTAACCTCCACCTGCAGCACCGCCCTTAATTCCAAAGGTAGGTCCTTGACTCGGTTGACGGACACATGCAAACGCTGGTCGCCCCAATTCGGCACCCAACGCCTGTGCCAGACCGATTGTCGTTGTAGATTTGCCTTCTCCAAGCGGTGTAGGGGTAATTCTATGCAGCAGATTAGCTGCTAGTGACTGCACTATTACAGCCAGACATACCCAGAGATTACAATATATTTTCCATCCTTACGATAAGCTAGGCGATCCAGAACGCTAAGTTCAATTTTAGCTTTGTACTTGCCATAACTTTCCACTTCATCCGGAAGCAGTCCCAATTCCTTGGCGAGTTCGGCAACAGGTTTTGGTGTCTGTGCCATGGCAATTTCGATGTCACTGGGAACTTTCTCAAGAATATTGAGCTTCAATGGTTTCACTTTCCTATCCCTGGACTTTTGCCACTAGCCGTTCGGCTGACTTCAAAGTGTTTTCCATAAGCATCGCGACGGTCATAGGGCCAACACCGCCTGGTACCGGTGTGATAAATGAGGCAACCCCAAATGCGGTTGAGTATTCCACATCCCCGACAAGACGCTGACCGGACTTCTTGGTGGCATCTGACACCTTGTTAGTACGAATAATGCAATACATTTCGAACTCACCAGGAACATAATTGATACCAACGTCAATAACGACGGCGCCAGGCTTGATCCAAGACCCTTTAACAAATTCTGGTTTACCGATGGCAGCTACGAGGATATCGGCGGTTTTGATCTTCGGTAACGCTCAGGCATCGACAACAGAGTATAAAGATGCACACATACAATTGATTCGATATCCTTTGTCCGGCTGTGACACTGGGTAACCGTCGCATCTTTGTGTCTGAGCATCGAGGCCACAGGACTGCCCACGATATCACTACGACCAAGTACAACAGCATGAGCACCAGATATCGAGACACCGGTGGTTTCCAGAAGTCGGATGACCGCAGAAGGTGTGCCAGGGGCGAAGATAGGATCGGAAGCCCGAGATGAAAGGTGGCCAATATTGTACGCGTGGAATCTATGATGATGTTCAAAAATCACGTATGAACACAGTTTAAGTGACCACGCACCCGTCTACATCCTTTTCGGGGCTGACTGCCTCAGTCACTAGTCTTTCGCCCTCGGGGGTGACATGTTCGCCTAAAGGAAGTTGCACCAGAACACCGCTAACGCTTTCGTCATCATTAAGACGCTTAATGGCCTCCACAACCTCGTCGACGGTAGCCTCAGCAGGAAGTGCAACATGCTTGAACTTAATGCCAACTTCCTCTGCAGCCTTCGCCTTCATCCGGACATATGTTGACGAGTCCGGACGTTGGCCGGCCTGAATGATGGCCAGCTGAGGCTGAAATCGCGGGAATGTCTCTTGCTTCGACTTGATGCGGGCTGCTACTCCATCGCGAACAGATCTGTAGAAAGAAGAGTGAGCCCGATAGAACGACAGCAAGCAGCGTTGCAATAGCGCACTTGGCAATGGCTGTACCGTCGATTTTGGTTGTAGAACTAGCCATCGTACGACGAGGAAGACGAAAAGCTAGATACGGATAATTGCGCGCGATGTACCCCTTTCGGAGAGCCGTGTTATTTGCATTGATTTGGTGAAATAGCCGTAAATGCCGAACTTTGGGGAGCATATCGGCAGTTGGGCTATAGGATGACAGAAGGGAGCATACGTGAGACAGAGGAAAGACCGTTAGATTAGTTAAAATCCAAGAAAACCACGAAATTTCTGGTTTTTTGTGGACTGACTCGAAAGAGCGAAGATGGTAGATATCAAACGGAAGAAAAAAATCGATGAAAAATTAAAAATTCGTTGCCTGCAGGATCCGGAAATTCCCACGATCGTCCCACAAAAATTACCCAATCCCGGTCGGCCACCAGCTCAACGACGATGAGCTTGTATTCCCTTCAGCTCTTTCGTTCCTGTACGGCTTCGCTGTCGTCCAGAACCCTTGCACGTTCTGCCGCTTTCAGACATCCCTCTTCGACATTTCGCGGGCGGCGTCATTATTCCGATGTCAATAACGCAGAAGCAAAGCCAGAGGCAGCTGAAGAGGTGAAGGAGGAGGTGAAGGAGGGAGAAGCAGCACCCGCTGAAAAGCTCCAGTGTGCAGAGGAGCTTGCAAAACTAAAGGCGAAGGAGGAAGAAGTCGTTGACTTGACCGTATGTTCCCGGTTGTCTTGGCCAGCGCTGAAGCTGACGAACGAGTCCAGGGACGGCTGCGGTATCTACAAGCAGACTTTCTAAACTTCCAGCGAAATGCTGCTCGAGAAAAGGAGCAGACACGGGACTTCGCTATTACCCGCTTTGCCTCTGACTTGCTCGAGACAGTCGATGTACTGACACTGGCATTGAAATCGGTGCCTGCGTCTCTTATCGAACCGCCAACAACCGAAGACAAGCCTGTCTCCGACGAGTCATCTGCTCCTTCATTACATCCTTCACCTGAAGCATCTGCTTCAACAAAACCTCCCGAAGCTCACCTTCGCGAGCTCTACACTGGCGTCGAATTGACCCAGCGTCAGCTTCTCCAGACGCTCTTCAAATACCACGTCAAACCTTTTGATCCTACTGGCGATGCGTTCGATCCTAATCGTCATGAGGCACTTTACCAAGCTCCAATACCAGGGAAGGAGGCTGGGACAGTCATTGATTGCCAAAAAAATGGATACACCATTAAGGACCGTGTTCTTAGAGCAGCACAGGTTGGAGTGGCACAGGAGATGTCATGATCCATGGGGTTACGCCTTTGATCCTTATGTCGGGGAATGGCGAGGTTATTTTATTATGATGTACCCAGGATGCTAGAACATAGTGTAGTTAGTACCTGCTAATCAACGAATCTCTACTCTGAACTGCTCCCTCAGTCGAGAGACCACCTCCTGTTGTACTACATTTGCTTCTTCATTCGACAGGGAGCTGCAGGAGTGTCAGAGTATACACTGTATGCACCGAAGTCAAGGCTTACCGATCCATAGACCGATAGTTTATTCTATAACACAGGCTCGTCCGATTCGTTTTTGGGTGAACAAACGAGTCAATCTAGTTCGGTGATCAGTCTCGATGGTTAGCTTTTTTCAGATACAAGTCCTCGCCTTCTTTACATCTTCCACTAGATCCCCTGCGACGTCGCGAACCAGATCGCAGAAGTCATTTTCATGGACGCTGACATCTTGGGTGGTCCAGAAACTAACATCCTTGAAGCAAGAAGGGTACTTGGAGTAGGGCTTGAATTGACTGATTTCTCCCTGCTTGAATTGGGACAAAAACCGAGTATCGGTGGACCAGAACAGACGGATGTCAGGAATCGAATAGAGGACCATCGCGATTCGCTCTAGACCCAGTCCAAAAGCCCAACCAATCTTATGAGGAACGTCTGATAAGACAATGAGCAGTAGATACAGTGAGACGACACTTGGAACACGTACTAGCAGTATCCAAAGTGGCCTGTCGCACCACACCACACCCTAAAATTTCCAACCATTTGCCTCCAAAGAATACTTCAACCTCAAAGCTAGGACTCGTGAAGGGGAAATACGTCTCGATCCAACGCACTCGTAACGGGTTTTCTTTCGTCGCACCGCCAACACCACCGAAAAGATGCAAAATCATGCTATTCAGTGACAGCTTCAAATTTTTCGCGACCAGCTCAGAATAACGAGGATCGTGCACTGGTTGGGCCGGATTCGCAGGGGAAAGATGGGGTACATCCTCAATGACAATGTTTGACCGGGTCAGATGGCTGGAAAGGCGTTCATTGTCGTGCTCGACCTCCTTCATGCCGGACGCGTCAGCGGACCAGATGCGCGCGCCCTCCATCTGGTGGAATACAGGGTAATGCGACCCGTCTATTTCGTCGCGGCGGTACACGTCTGCCGTCAACAGCCACTGTGTCTTCCCCTGTGCAAAGACTTCAACTTCGTGCGCTGAGGTGTGTGTCCGCAACATTAACCCTCTATTTATGTAGTAACTATCGGTCACAGCCCTCCCTGGATGGTCCTTCGGGAAAGAGAGTTCGTCGAAATTCTTGAAGGGGGTGACCAAAGGCGACAGAGAAGACAAATGAGCATAGTCCGGAAAATGCGACTCGATGAGGGAGCGCAAGGTGCTCAGTGGATGGTTAGGTTGGCTGTGAAGGCGCAGTGGGATTCTAGACAAAATGGCTGGTGTAACATTTGTTATGTCGTCTGTCGCATAGCGCTCCCCAAGGATATCGAGATATTCTGATTTCAGAGCATTAGTGCTCTGCCAACGCCGTCCAGATATTTTGGACAATGCAAAAAATCGGAGAAGCCGTAAATTTGGCATATGCCCAATACAATGCCCTTCACAGAATATAGTGAAAAGTAGGAATTTAGCGCATCTACACGAGTCCTGGTGCCAGGCGGGAAGCAAGAATTTTATGTTGATGTATGTTGCGCAAAGGCCCCAAATAAGGTATGAACAGTGACCCATGTATTTTCTCCAAGTCGTATCGTAAGTATCCTAACTAATCTACACTAACTATCGGTAAATCATAGTTCGTAACGTTAGTCGTAAAACGCTGTCCGTCTCTACTTCATAAGTGTTTGAAAAAGAAACAAGAGCACGACAAAAAGAGAATTTGATGGGTGAATAAGAGAAACAAGGAACAAGCAAGCAAGAGAATAAACACAAGAAACAGAAAAGACGTTAACCAAAACTAAACATTTACCACCCGCCAAACCATCGCCCAGGAACTTTTCGTGTGGGTCTCGGACGAACAACTCTGACAGTGGTAGGTTCTTCATCTTCCTCCTCTTCTTCTATCTCCACCTCCTCTGTGATCACTTCGACAGCAGTGGTACGAGGAGCAGAACCAGTGGAAGATTCAGCTCGCTGAGGAGCTGGAGAAGCGGCGAAACGGGTATTGGCAGGCGGTGGAACGGTAACGGTCTGGGTTTGGGTAACAACCATGGTTTCGGTTTCATATTGGGTTTCGGAAACGATAAGAGGAGGAAGTTCTTGATACTAGAAGAAACAAAAAAAACAGTCAGTAATTGTATTGAGACAGACACTAAATGTGACGATGGCCAGGTCACGGAACTGTACGGCCCCCCATACGGATTCGGAACCAAAACAGCGAACACATCACGTGGTGGTGAACGCGATGTGATCGAAAGACACGATCTAATGATCTTTCGCAAGACGCGCCCAGTGAATACCACAGGACGGTCCGACCTGGCCATGCCAAAGAAAAGGACGAGGGGGACAAATGAGAATGAAACACCGTTAGTCCCCCAAGCCCGGACGAAGGAGGGATGATGGGGTACAGATGGGACTTATACGGACTATATATAAAGCAAAAAATGTCGATCCTCCTTCGTCTCAAAGCTCGGAGCGGCGCGGGAGGGGCGGCGGTACCTTGGCTTTACGCCTTCCCGAAGGCTCGTACACGTATTCCTCCTCTACCGCAGGTTCGTCGTTGCCAAGCGCGCTGTAAGATAAAATCAGAACTGGGTAAACAGTTTCACTGGTGATAGGTAACCTACATAAGTTGTTCCATAATCCAACTCTCACGACGAGAAGCATCGTGCTCGCGCCGGTTGAGGCTTTCCTCTCTCCTGCTAATATCCCTCTCCCGCTCCGCAACCTTGAGTTCCCGATCCAAGATCTCATCGATACGAGGACTTGTCCAACCTGGAGGTGTCAAAGCATCTTCTCTGACAACCTCCTTGATAACAGTTTGGACGGGAGCCACAACTGTCTCCACGGTTGTTGCCTGAGCGCAGGGAGGGCATAGGATGGGAGATGGGGATGGAACGATACCGCCTGGAGCGCCGGCAAGAAGCTCAGCTTCTCTACGGGCAACCTCTGCCTCTCGCAGAGTAACAGCAGCCTCCCGGGCCACGAGCTGTTGCGATCGCTTGGGTGAAAGATAGTTGAGGATACCGGTTGACGTTGGGTCAGCTGGATTTGAAGAACTCTGGCTGCTGGGCATCGATAGCATTACCGCAAGGACAGCCAAGACAAGAGAGAGAACAAGAAGAAGAGTGGTAGATGAGATTGTTCGGTGATGATGATGAGATGACGAGCGTTCACGGTGGTGACGTTCGCCATGATGAGAAGATGAAGGCTGGGCCATCCTGACGCTAGCAAAAATGAGAAAAGAGCCAGGAAAAGGGAAGAAATACGAACCTAACTGACGAGCTGGGCGACAAGGATGTGGTTTGGGTTCGTAGGATAGACGTGGTGGAGGTTGGGGGCGGGCGGGAAGAAGGGTGACGCTTCGTGGTGGAAGAAGGAGAGCAAGGGGACTCTTGATGGGCGATGAAATTTAATTCCCTTTTCGACCCCCCAAACCAAACCAACATCACGTGATGCTGACACGTGGTCAGCACGTGTTTCCATACAAAGCTGTTTCATTGTCTTCCTTGTTTGCCAGTGAACAATTACCATCGTATCCATGGATTTTCGAAGGCGGCTAGCCGCACAGGGCAACCCAAACTCCCCTCGTAGTGCTGGGACGTCGTCGACAGAGTCTCCTGCATCGTTGCCTGCGACGCCCCGCAAAGCTCGTGTGTCCATTGGAATCCACCATTCGCCCGCGTCGACGCCGTCAATCTCATCGTCTATACCCTTTGACTGGGAGGCCGCGCGTTCGCGACGACCGGCTCCTTACTCGACCCCTCAGCAAAATAAATTCAAGAAACCTCGGCCTAGTGTCTTGGGTACGCCTCGAAGAGCAGTTGTACGCAGAAAGAGCTTATACGAAAAGTGGTGTCTCTTTTCTAGTTACTTGAGTATATCTCATTTTTCGCAGAATAACATCTCTTCCTTCGCAAATTGCATTTGAGATCGCACTCTTCCCCCACAATGTCCCTTTACCAGCACCAAGGACATCAGCGTCAATTATCGGAGGACTCTGTCATCTGTGCCACCTCTGTGTACGCGTCAGCCAAGTCCGGCAAGTGCCAGACTCTGATTTAGGATGGGAGGATATGTATCGCGAAGACGAGGGCATGTCGTGGTTCGACTGGGTATGCGGTTCGGCACTTACTTTTCCAACACTGACTTTTCCATCAGACCGTTCCACTGACTTTGCTCCTTATTGCCGGATCGTTGGCAAATTCCATTTTCCTCTTCACTCGTATTCGCCTCTATCACTTGCACCAACAGCCGGATCCTGTCTCCTCCCCAAATGCCAAATATGTCTCCGCAGAGCTGGATTTTGAGCCCCTAGAACCACCATCCCTTTTATCGCGATTCCAGTCCGGTGCTTGGGCAGCCTTTCTAGCATTCTGGCGTTTTTTGTTAGGGATTGGATCACCAAAATCAACTCCATCCAAGCGTATGTCCAGAGTACAACAAATTGATATGTGGTATCCTGGAGACCTGGAGACGCTGTTATTTTGCATCTATTCTCCTGCGCACGCATTACTGTGGTGTGCGACGGGCTCTTCGAATTGGATGATCATGCTTCTTATCATGGGTGTCGTGGGACTTCAGGTAAAAGTCTTAATATCGCTACCAGTGCCATTCTAACTCTATATCAGTTAAATACAATGACTACGTCATACAAGACTCTTGTGAAGGACAAGGAAATCATCGCCGCTGAGGTGATGCACGAATATAATGAAGGAGTAAGTCGATGCCTACTATTTCGCTATCTGTTACTGAAGTCTATGTAGTTTGTGTATCCACGAGTCAATCCTATCCGCAAGGATGTAGCTGTCATGACTCATCAGTCGGAGGTTGTCGATGCATGGGAGGACTAGGAGTGGATAGATGGAGTGGTGTTTATATCGCAAGCATATCGTATATCTCACACAAGCATTGTACGCATTTACGACATTTTTTGATCAGACTTATAGGTATCAATGGTTTCTCTCGGAGGAATCCACAGGTCCGTAACCAGTCCCCGATAAGCCATAGAAATGATAGCAGACAAGTGGGCATGTCTTCCCATGGCATGGAACTACTCAATCCCTATCAACGTGTTTAATAAATTCAATAACTCATTACACGCGGCGCGACGGGTGACCGCCGACTTGGTCGTGACAGAAAAGTCCTCATCTGTCGACAAGGGTAAGTATTTCACGATCAACCTTGGCTGAAATTATGCGGGTCAAGAAAGGAATTACAGAATGCTACGGCCTGAAGAGGAGAAAACACGTACGTCATGAGAATTACTGGACAAGTTGTATACCTTTGGCCAGCTTCTTGGACAGATCACCCCGAAAGAAGTTGGTCGTGTTCTTGTAAGTAACAAATAACATGAGCCTGTCTTTGTAATGACTCCATGGAATGGTCAGGGCCGGCCTCGGTAAATCGGGCGAAGTCAACTTCCTTTAGACTTGCGAACTACCGTGATTCGGTGCTGTATGGTCCTACGCCGCAATCAATGGGATTAGAATGTCCAACCTGTGAAATTGAACCCTTAAGCAAGCTAGTTGCTTCCGACACCTTCAATGTCACAAGGAAGTTCATCAAACAAGATCACGTATACGGCCCTCGAAACATCAATTTTTAACAAGAAAATTGATTTGATTTTGTTACTAGCCCCAGGATAAAAGGCTGCTAATGATATCGATTGCAAACATTCCACTAGTATCACAATGGCCTTGCAAGCTCTCTTCCAACCTCTTCAGCTCGGACCGATCACGCTGAGAAACCGCGTCTTCATGTCTCCCATGACGCGTGGTCGCTCAGTTCCAACCAACGTTCCCAACGATATCAACGTCGAATACTATAGACAACGCGCTGCTGGAGGCGCAGGCCTGATCGTAACGGAAGGGGTACTCATTACCCAGCAGGGGTAAGCGTGACAATGTCGACGTCTTTATCCTTCTATGCGGCTCATAAAGCAAAAGGACCGAATGGAAGAACGTTCCTGGTATCTGGTCATCGGAACAAGTGAAGGGATGGAAGAAGGTTACCGACGTTGTACATGCCGAGGGCGGTGCGATTTTTGCCCAGGTATGCCTTTTCGTACACTATGATAACCGAAGACTAAGTCGTATTCCAGCTATGGCATCGTGAGCACATAGATTCTTTTCGCTTTGCTTTGTACTCCAACGCGAAATTTTTCCAGTTGGCCGTGTTAATCATCCTGATGCTCCTGAACAAATTGCTTCCGGAGAAGTACGTGTACTACGCCAAATTCTTGCTCGCAACTGACTTTTCTCTTAGCCCGTCTATGCACCCTCAGCTATTGCAGCTCGCGGAGGCAAGTTTCGTTACCTTCCCGGCCAGCCAGGCTACGTAACCCCCACTGCCATCGATGACCCCCGCGTCCTCGTTGCACAATGGAAGCAAGCAGCAATCAATGCCAAAGCAGCAGGCTTTGACGGTGTCGAGATACATGGCGCAAATGGGTACTTGGTCCACCAGGTTTGTTCGTCGTTTCTTTTGTTCAGTGTGGGAGTTAATGCTTGTTAGTTCCTCGATAGCACTTCGAACAAGAGGATCGATGAGTGGGGTGGTAGTGTCGAAAACCGGTCTAGGTTCGGCTTGGAAGTGCTCAAGGCATTGATAGAGGTTTGGGGTGCGGACCGTGTTGGTATCAAACTCAACCCTACCGGAGGCTACAATGACATGGGGTAGCGTATCAGTCTCCATTTTCGAAATTACAGGCATATTATTGACGTTGAAACTCGACAGAATGCCTCTTCAAGAGACACTAGACACGTTCGGCTACTTTATCTCTGAAGCCGGTAAGTTTGGTTTGGCATATATTAACCTCGTCCGTTACGTTGACGGCCTGGATCAAGTGGTTGACGGCACGTAATATCCTCTCTACCCGTTGCTTTGACTGACTGAAGTGCCCATATAACAGGTGCAAAACGTGGCACGAAACACGATGTTCTCGCTTCGTACTTGCCGCTCATCAAACATTCCACCGCGTTTGTGAACGGCGGATACACAGGCGAAGAGGCCGCCCAGTTGATTAGCCAGGGTAAAGTGGCTGGAGTGTTCTTTGGTATCCTTTGGGTCGCGCATCCCGACTTTTCTAAGAGGCTGCAATACGGAAAACCATTGGATGGACAGCCGGATTTCACGGCGCTTTATGGACATGGCGGAGATGAAGAAAGCGAGAAGAAAGGATACACCGACTACCATTTTTCCCAGTACAATTAGGGCACACAGAATGTAACAGTACTGTTGAATGTAAAACAATTACTTACTACATAGTCCCGCCTGCCGGATTGTATATGTGGGACCGTGGGAACAAAAAGATACACTACACTTGCTCAAGACCGCCATCTACTTGGCCTCTCCAATGACCCGTGTAACGAATTTCGGACGGAAGCGAACCTATCTTGAAGCTGGACTTGCAACGACACCAGCAGAAACTGCAGATCCTACAGTTCTTGAGGCGATAGACGAACCAACAGCCGAAAATGTCCCACCAAGGAAAAAGAAACGTTCAAAACAAGAAGGCAATTCCAAGGCAGCAGTAGATGGTAGGAATAATGCACATTCGAAGCAAGGAAAAAGTGCGTATTCAGCTTTTACTATATTGCTTCGTATCCATGTAGCTTGCTAGCAAAAGCCAGTAGAGCTGCCGCATCTGAACTTCGCCGCCAACAACGAATAGCTGAACGCGACGCCCTCATAACGTGTTTCGCATGCCGTGAAAGAGGCCATGCAGCCAGAAATTGCCCCAAGACGAAGATCCAAGACACAAATGGGAAGCCAGGAAAGACCGTCGTCGGTATCTGCTATAGGTCCGCTCCCATGTTTCGGTCATCTTCAAGTGCTTAAGGAATGGTATACTAGATGTGGCTCCACCAAGCATACTTTGTCCAAGTGTAGAAAACCTTCAGATCCGTCGAATCCTTTCCCTTTTGCTTCCTGCTTCGTCTGCAGCGGTCAGGGACACCTAGCATCGTCCTGTCCACAGAACAAGGAGAAAGGAGTATATCCGAATGGAGGGTGCTGCAAAATTTGCGGGGACACCTCTCATCTTGCGAAGGACTGCGAGCTCAGAAAGAAAGGTCGGTATGCCTTAACATTTTGGGTTCATGGCGGCTAACACCTTTCCTCCTTTAGATCTGACGCATAATCCTTCCGTTTTCGTTGTAGATGAAGATGTGGGCGTTGGTGCTGACGAAGATGGCTTTCATGTTTTCAAAAGAAAGCACCATGAAGTGGAGCGAGATGAAAAGGCTGCTCAGCGACAAGTGGTGCTTTCGAATCGGAATCCTCCCGTACGTAAGAAAAAAGTAGTGCACTTTTAACATCAGTTTTGGATCTTGGGGCTGCCTTTCTGAAGGCCTTCTCGATGTTTCCATGATTTATCTGTGATTCTTTCAATGGGACAATGCCGTGAAGTAAGATTCGCTCATTTCAGTGAGATCATGTCTGTTGACGTTCCGTCCAGTAATCGTCGAATGTCTACATGTGCTTAACATGCTGCCTCAGTGGAAGATCCCCCTTCTCGTAATTGATTAATGGTAACTTCCATATAGTCTAGTTGTCGCGGCCTTCTTAAAGCTCTTTACTGCTTCCTAAACTCGGCGGCAGTCTTTTATTCCCACGAACCTGAGCCTATCTCTTATTGCTCTTGAAAGACGTAGCTCCTCTGGTATGAGCTACTTCACTGTATATTTTTTCACGTTAACTAAGAACACTTTGTCTTTAGTTGCCCTACGAAATGTCGTCGAGGAACTTTGCTTCGGATACGTTTGTGGAAGACGACGGTTCAAATAACCAAGGTGTTACTTCCTTTCCAGCGCAGGAGGATTTCTTGCATGTATTGGAGTATGTCTTTTCAACAATAGTTAACTAAGAGTATGGTTCTGACAGTTGTATAGACCATTTATTGATGCTGTGGTCCAGCTGGAAACACTGGATAAATGCGTGGACCGTCGCCATCAGTCACAAAGGCTTGCCCTATCCATGGGTATCGATGTTGAAAATAACACCGAAGACAGTCCTTCCTGAGTTGGAACAAATCAACTCCGTTGAGACGTTGGCAAACGATAGGCTTAAAGTGGATATGGTGCTCCTTAGTGCTCTCCATGAACCATCGGTTCTGGCCAAAATGAGTGCCCATATCAACGAGCTCCATCATTGGATGGAGACGAATAGAAACCATGCTCGCCGTATCGCCGATACACTCGTGAAGCACTATAAATCTTTTAATTTTCCTCTGAACTCCGTATCGTCACGCATCGGAGACCTATTGTCGGAAGCGTTGGCTATCAGAAATAAACTTGAAGAGGTGTGTGGCCTGTGGGATTTATTTTACCGTGCTTTGCTGATGGTTGACCCAGAAAGTTGAATGTGAGAAGAAGCCATATACGCAACAAAGTATACTGCAAAAGCGGGCGGCATCTGTAGTAAGATCGGCCTTGGAACCCATTCTAGCGGATTTTCGAGTGCAAGAGGAGAATACGTGGCAAGAACATAAAGAGAGGTTTTGGCAGGGCTTGCAGAAATGCATGGCGCCGTCAATTGAGATGTCAGAAAAGGGAAACGGGCAACTAGTGATTATGGAGATGGAGACTTGAATGAGCGTTCAACAGACTGAACGTTGAATGTATAATGCGTCGTAATATTCGTGTTAAAACACATTGAACAAGTTATGATAGTAGCATGTTGAGTCCAACTCGCGTCTGGTAGAACCGTTGCTCAAGCCTTGTCGGTCAAACGGTATTGATTAGAAGCACAGCCACACTGTCACGGTTGCCCTTCACTTCGTTCCGCCTCCCCATTTCTTTCCTTCGTACCTCATCGTTGCCTCTCTTTTCCCTCTGTGTGGTCTTCGTTGAGCAGGAGAAATTCGCTCCTTTCTTGAACGCTACGATGTCAATAACAATAACACCGGAGATCATTACTAGGTGTGTATGCTTAGAAATCGCGGTTTGCATGAATGCTGAGAACTTGCAGCGCTCAGCCAGACAGCAAAACTCGTCGATATGACCGTCAGCTCAGGCTATGGGCTGCCTCTGGTCAAAATTTGCTCGAAGAGTCGCGAGTTTTGGTCTTGTCGTCGTCAGCCACATCAACATCGATCCTAAAGAATCTAGTCCTACCAGGGATCGGCCACTTTACCATTCTTGATGATGCCATTACCAGTGCTTCCGATGCTGGTAACAACTTCTTCCTGGAAGGCCCTTCTTCAATTGGGAAACATCGTGCATCCGAAGCTGTACGCCTTCTGAGCGAGCTCAATGATGGCGTGACGGGAGAGGCGGTGACTTCGACACCTGTGGCCAGCGTAGTGTCGTCGCTCGATTTTCTCAGTAAATTTACGCTTATTATCACTCATAATCTTCCTCCAAGTCAACTGCAAACCCTCTCCGACACATTGTGGTCGTCGCCAACGACACCTGCTCTTCTAGTTGTCTCTTCATCCGGTTTCCTTGCCGAATTTTTCATCCAGCATCATCCGCACCCTATCATTGAATCCCATACCGAGACACCTCCATCTCTGCGAATATATGATCCGTTCCCTGCTCTACTTGAGCATTCCAAGTCTCTCAAGTTTAACGAAATGGACCCTACAGAGCATGCGCATATCCCATACATTCCCATTCTTATACACGCCAGATCACTCATTTCTCATACCCCAAAGACCCAGGAAGAGAAAAACGCGTTGAAAGCACTCATTCTCTCACTCAAATTAAAACAGGACGAGGAGAATTTTGATGAGGCGCATGCTCAGGCGTATCGCATCTGGACGCCAATATCCCTTCCTTCCGCACTCACCCAAGACATCTTTCCACATCTCGACACAAAGCTTGCTCCGCCTGCCATCCCAGATACTGTGCACGCCCTTTTGACAGCACTCAAGCGATTCACGGAGCGGGAGCCACACGTGTTGCCCGTTTCTCCAGCGCTGCCAGATATGAAGGCTTCGACGGAAACGTATATTCACCTGCAGAGGATGTATAAAGACCAGTTCAATGCCGACAAGGAGGTGTTCAAATCGTTGATCCCAGCGAATGCAGGTGATATTCCAGATGATCTTATCGAAACGTTCATTCGGAACGCACACGGGGTGCAAGTCTTTTTGGGGGAAAAGTGGGGCGCGTTCGACAAGGACGTGAACCGAGTTGGTGAGGCGATGGCGACCAGTCCAAAAGACACGAGCGTGCATTTGGCGCTGAGGGCAGTCAGGGAGGTTCTGGAAAGTAGTGGCGCTGGTGAAAGCGTTAACGCCAAGGTATCGGCAGAGGAGATTAGGACGCAAATTGCGGGGATGCTGCCGCCTGGCACGGAGCTTGGTGAGGAGATAGATGATGCCGTCGGAGAGATGTAAGTTTTTTCCGTGATGCTTAGCCCCTTTGATGCTTATACTTCTTAGTACGCGATCTCCTACAGCTGATCTGCCTAATACTGCAGCTATGCTCGGTGGTCTGGTTGCACAAGAGGCTATCAAGATGATTACTAGGCAGTATGTTCCTCAGGGTGGATACTGCGTTGTAGATTGTATAGACATGCGAACGGGAGTTGTTGGGCTGTGATGAAGTCAAGAAAAGAATGTATTATAGATGAAACAGCTGTAACAAATTTGACAAGTGCTCGCGTGGTAGGCGCCCTGTTCCAGACAAATGATGGCGGCTACCCATCATCCCCCATGATGTCTCTTAGTATTACTGCTCCACCAAGTCGAAAATTGCAATGCCCAACCGACATGGGACGCCTAGCGGTCCTTGGCCTTTTATTGACATTGAAGATGCAGTCAGTACACTCCCATTCTGCCGGTAATGCGTCTCAACAAGAATTATAAACAGATAGATCCAGAACAGCTCTCTACAGAAGTCGCTCCACGACGACAGACTCACGAGTCAGATGCTGAATATCCCTTTAATAATGAGGCCGATAACTGGCGACGGTATCCTCACAGTCTCTTTCCCAACTGGACAAAGAGTCAGCAGAAAAAGAGCGGTATACACGATATTATAGAACCACGATGGAGAAACCAAGGCAGGCACTTACGATCTACACCCCGGTCGTCTGCTTGTATGGTATACAGGTTGAATATTCTGAAGGAGGGCCGGTTCCATGCCAAGACGAGTCGGGAACCTGGGTGGGTTGTTCGCGGCGATACGGACAGCATAAATCAGTTCTGGGATGCACTGACGAACCCTGTAGGTACTCTAATATTCCTGTCTTTCTGTTCTAATGTACCTGCCAGGCGCCTCCAGACACCCGTACTCAAACATTCTTCGTTGATACCTTGAACGGGCCGGTGCTGCAGATGCTCGGAACAAGGTGGGTTTCTCTATATTATTTACTGTCACCGCTCACTAAAAGGTTCATAGGTTCACTATTGATCCCTTCTTCTTCTCTTCTTCCCTTGGTTGGATACCTTGCCGGTATCAGGAACAATTTCTTCCAGGACGGGGCGACCGTAAGCACTAAGGCCTTTAATCCGAATTCCTGCGCTGAAATCATTTTCGTAGATATCACTTTAACGTTGATGTTTGTCCTGACCCGGCCTAACCGCGTCCACACATCTGCACCTACGCCTGCTCCCTCTAGTTATCCTCCTAGCACGAACACGATACCCCAAAACGGAGACACTTCCTATGACTTTTCTATACCCTCTAATTTTTTCAACGAGCAAACTATCATTGATACCGACCAGCCTTTGCTTTTACAAAGTACTAGTGGGTGTCAATTATTGCATGCTGTGTCCCCAGCTCACACCGCACAGATACACTCCTGGATCATGACTTGATTGGTATACATGCTGTTCGCCGCTCCATCGACCATCCGAGTCCTAGTACTGTTATAACGTATTTACCTCCCCCTACTCAGCACGGAACCACAACCGCAGATAGCCTACATGCAAGAATCATGGCAACAGGTTCGGACTTCTCATGGGCCTTGGATGTAGACATCCCGCTAACTATGATGATAGGTCGCTCTGTTTATTGGACAGAATTATATCGCGTCTCTGCGGATGCTACCTTGCTCGTCCTTGCACAGTTATGGTATGCCCTTTACGCGTGGGACGAAGTTCTGGAAGCCCTTACGACGGAGGTCGTCTGGCTCGAAGCCCACACGCTTTCGACGCTTCGCATATACGAAGCGCCAAAGCCTAGTCCATCTGTTGCCACTACGGATCCTATCCCTGCCTCCTCCAACGATGCGCCCCAGGCCCCCCCACCACCCGAGCATAATATGGATGCCCATGAACGTACGCACGCGTATATACACCAACTACACGTCTTGCGCGCGCATTTGTTGCACTACCAGGAGCTGCTCGAGGATTTCAGGAAAACGGTAGCATTTCTGGTGGATACCCCCCATCCAGGTATTCCTGCAGATTTGCCTTCCCAAGTGGTTGTTCAGAAGGAATGCAATACTCTTCTCATGGATATCAAGCGCCTTGAGGCCACTAGAGCTATGTTGGATGAACGTCTAGGCAATGCTATGAATTTAGTTAGTGTTGACATGGAACTGGGTTTAGTTCCTCTTTCTTACTTTGACGATACAGGCGTTTAGTAGCGTGGCAATCGAAGATAGCAAAAGGAGGCAGCGGCTGAGTGAGGCAGCATTGCGCGATAGTGCTGGTGAGTAGGTTTTCTCTTCTTGATCTACATCGGATTTAACAAATCTCGCAGCTATGAAGCAAATCGCGTATATCACTATGATCTATCTTCCTGCGTCATTATGTGCGGTAAGCATCTGACGCACAATACGCAGCCCAATCTGACAATGAAGCAGGCATTTTTAGGGATGAACACGCATGAAATCACTGGGGACCCAAAAATGCCCGGCAGTATCCCCATATACTTCGCTGTCGCGCTCCCACTGACCACCCTCACAGTGTGGGTGATGATGCTTCTTTACCGCAGTGAAAGACGGCAAAGAGAGATCGAGATACAGGAGGGCGGCGTGGTAGCGCCTGTGCGAGCAGCTCTAACGAAACTGCTCTATCCGATACGAGTGTTCATCCGTGCACTGTCGTTTACTCCCCAGAAGAAACGACCAAAAGACGAGGCTGTGATTATGAGCACACGATCCAGTGTGAGGACGACTAGCCGTCGGCCCACTGTAGTGAGAAGTGCGAGGTCAAGCGTGAGGTCGGCTCGTAGACTACCTCAGGATGATGATGACGAAGCCCAGCCCGAAGTCACGTAGTTTTAATTATTGCACAGCGGTAGTATATTAGTAGTACGGACCACGAAGGACCTCCAGGGCGGATGTATACTGACTCTGTATCGAGAACTAAGGTTCGCATTGCTTATATGCAATGTTCGTTTCAATTTGACAACATTGCATACTGTTCCTCTCCGCCCAAAATAACACAAATAGATAGTAGAAAGCGTATAACCCAGCGGTACAGCGAGCTACTTTGGTGCGGGAACAGTTGATGCACTCGGTGGCGCCTCCATGCGCGCTACAACCGCCTCCGATATACTCCCTGCCAACTTGAGTTTATCCCAGACAGCTCCATAGATCTCCATCTCTCTCTGAACGATACTTTGCTGGATATTCTCCCTCAGTTGGTCGATCATCGACTGCACATTCTCACGTATCACAGGTAGAACGACCGACTCGATGTGTGGGCGAAGATGCTCTGGCGAGATGGGCACAGGCGGCGCCGCAGGATTGGATTTGTAGTCGTCCAGAGCAGCTTTGATTGCATCCATCCGCCGAATGCTTTCTTTTTCTCCGATCTCCCAGATTTGGACTCGCGCTTGAAGCTGCGGCTATAGTGAGCATAACATAATCTGGGCAAAGGGAGGTATTTTACTTTGTGAATGTCATCTTGTAAAGCAGCAGTTTTCCCTCTTCACTTCATCCTGGTCTGCGTCCCTTCCAGCCGCCTTAGTCATAACATCTGCCATCTCGACAGCGACCTCTCCGAGTTGTTGCTCTACGGTGTGGAGCCTAATGCTCGACATTTGGCGAAACTGGGCCTCTGGATCTGTCCCTGCATTCCTGGCCGTTTCAAGCTCCTCGTACCGGTTTTCCATTAGCGCGATGACTTCGGCTTGAATGTCATTGTCGTGGTTAAGAAGTAAATTTTGCAAGTCAAGTAATTGGCTCTCTACTGCGTCGATTCCCTCCCGTAGCTCAGCGGCATTGAAAGTGGAATCGTCGAGTCCACCGTCCGACAATCGCCGCCGTTTTCGGCTGGAAATTGTCGTCGTTTCTTCCGGACCAAACTGGTCCTCCCGCGTCTTGTTTATAGAAATATTCAATTCGCTGACGTTTTTCGTCACTGTATCAACCAACTTGACCATATCTGCGTATTTATTCTCGATGACGCCTTGTTCAGGCCGAGGAGCCATGGGCCAACTATCGGTTTCCACGATTTTGTTGAAGTGATGCTTGAACCGGGCGTGGTGGTCGCTTAGCTCCTGTTTGAGACGCTCGAGCTCTTTCGAACAGGATGCGACAGAATTTGACGGAGGAAGGCTATCAATAAGGTTTTGTGTTACTTTGACCCTTTCCTCGAGCACCATGATAGATGCACGCATCTTGTTCCAGGCAACCCAATGACTTGAGAGAGCGTTAGCTGTTATATAAACTGTGTAAAGACGCATACTTTAGCCTTTGTTCCCAAATTTTTCTCTTCTCCTCGGTTGACAGTTCATATTTGGGCTGTTTCAGTCCTAATGTTGGGTGATCCGGTGGAGGCGGGATGGGATCAAGAACAGTGGGCCCCGGTGGAGGTGGAGGCGGTGGCTGGACCACGTTAGTCGACGGCGGCGGGGGTGGTGGAGGCGACACGAAAGAGGTCGAGGTCGCAGAAATCGGAGGTGGAAACGAGGAGCTGGTAGCCGACGGTGGCGCTGATTTCGCCCAACTTGAATTGTCGGTGACTCTGCTATCCCTGGCTCGTCTTTCTGGTCGCGAACTAGGACCTAGTACAGGCGACGGCGACCGTCTGGCATTGCTTTCGCGTCGAGTAGAGCCCATGGAATCCGTGCTAGGACGCCGACGGGGGTCCCTTGTGGGCGAGGGCATTGTTGTCGTGAACTTGGACGAGTCAGAACGTCGACCTGGAGTGAGTGAATGCCACTCTGCGTCCGATGGATGAACAAAATAGCAGTAAGACGGCCTTGGGCAGCCTCTGTCGATTGGGGTACCGTCGCTTCTGTAGTACTGGTTGTCTTTCAAGATGGTGAACCTTGATAAGCTTCAAGAATGTTACGTACGCGACATCGGATTTGCCTGGCCATCGAAGTATGGGTGCAAGTCTCGTCGGACTTTGAACGTCATGCCTATCGTGACTTTGCATTTCACTATTTTCTGTCCGTCAAAGGCTCAAAGTCCAGCAAGCTCGCTTATGAAAGGGAATCTACACATCCGCAGTGTCTTTGAAAAAAAATATACAGAATTAACTTGTCTAAGAGTTACATTTTTTTGACCGAAGTTGCACCATTTCCAAGTCCGTACTGGTGCAGGAAACTTTGGCCAAATACTGCAGCCAACTTATCTTCTAGACGAGCCATGGCAACATTCTCGAACTTGTCCAAGACCGGTTGTAGCTTCGATCTCAACACCGTTTCTCCTGCTGCCTGGAGATCCCACATCGGATGGGCTGTTTTTAGCTCCTTCATCGCGGCCATCAACGCGCCGTACTCTTCATCCCCACAATCACTCATCCTCTCGACTTCGACGACCTTATGCTTCACCTATGAATTATTTCAATCCTGGCTCCATATAAACCTTTATGAGGAACTTTACGTACCAGCTCAGCGTTCCCACGTATGATCTGCCCTTCGATTCTGGCGATTCGGGTCTGCAGGAATATCTTAAAGTTATCCATCACTTGGGGACTGACATCCTTGACTTTTCGCTCGCGTATCCAGATCTTATGGCCATTTTCCTTGAGATATTTGACCGCATATTCTACCCGATCTCGGGAATCCTTCATCCATGCATACAGACCCTCAACGTATGTCTCCATGGTCTGCAGTGTAGCCGGTTCGGGAAGTTCACCAAGGTCGCCTAGCGTCTCAGCCATGAGATGCCCCAGCTTGCTCTCGAGAGAATCGAGATCCTTATATCTCTCTAATTCTGAAATACCACTCGTCTGGTTGCCGTTCGGAAAAGCTTCAGATACTTGTCGGATTTCTTGGCGCCGTGTAGCGCACTCTTGGATTGCTAGCTGCCTACGGATACCTTGTACAAAGAGACTTGAGGAGAATGTCAGCGATCGGTAGGTAAGATGGACGCGCTCTTACGTTGATATATGCTGGAGATACGCGTCTTCGCTTGAAGGAACGGGTGGCCTGTATCGCAGAGCTTCGCGGTCTGTAGGCCATGGTGAAGAACGGTCCAGATCGATATAGTGGAACTTTGCAAGAAGCTCAGCTTCTCTCAAAGTCGTCACAGTGGCTGGTAGACGGGGTCGCTTAGGGGGAGAGGGTTGAGGGCCCGTTCCGTAGAAAGACCTTGCTGTGCCCCAGTCGTCGTCGTCCGGGTGTATATACTTGCACGACGATCCATAAGGACATGGTCCCAGTGCCGTGCCGTCACGAGCGAAGTACTGAAAATCTATCAAGTTTGCGAAGTGTTTGGGAAAATAAATCTTACTGAGCATCGTATTCTGTCCATGGACAACATGCTTCTTGTGAATGGGGGTGATGGTAAGAGACGGACCCGGAAGTGACTCTTCACCAAAAAAAAAGAGTAGGCGCCGAGAAAGTTCTTCAGAGAAAAGAAGTCGTTAGTCGCATGTTCCTAGCGGTTCTGGAGAGAGTGATCACTTGTTTTATGGAATTCGAAGCCGGAGTTGGCGGGGATTCATATTTTGCCTTACATATATGCTTTTCAATGTGCTCGTTGCCGCGAATCGATAGCATTTTACTTTCATATCTACTATATTTTGAGCCTGCTTTTAGCACGGCCAGGAACGTATCTACAGGAACAAACGGAATGGATAACCTCGAAAGATATCAGCTTTATATTATAAGTAATGTAGGGTTAAACTTACCTCTGTTCTTGACTCTGAAAATGCTGACTAGGACAGAATAGATGATCATGATGATTCCAACCCAAAGATATACCTGCAGCCTTTGTCGAGAAGCAGATGTCTGGTAGGGCACGATGACAGTAAGCATCAGGAAGGAAAACGCGAGGAGACCATCTGCATCAAAAGTTAAGAAAATTACACACAGAGATAGGCAATCGACGTACAAACTAAGGCTATGACTTGAACCTCTTGCCCGAACTGGTTTTGATACCCATTAGCAATCCAATTACCGTTTGCACCAGAGTATGGAGCATTTCTGATACGCGTAAACATGTAGCCAGAAGTGAAGATGAGTGAACTCAGGATCGAGAGGACAGCCCAAGTCCATCGGCTTTTGAGAACCGGTGCAATATAACGAAGAACGGAGAGGGCGCCCAGGAAACCAGTAATGTAGGTGCCCCAACGAGTCCAGTCAATGGGTGCTTTGTATGGGATTGGAACGGGGGTATGATTGGAGAGTTGCTCCGCCAGAGGTCCAGCCTCGAAACCACTACGGAAAGTCAAGAATAGTACCAAAGGAAACGCGAACGACATACTTGGAGAAGTCATATTTGATTGGATTATATTTTCCATTGGCAGGCTGTCGAGGACCTTGGGTTGGAGGGTACATGTAGACGACTGGCGCCGAGGTCATTCCAAGCTGCGGAAATGATGTGAGCGTGGTCACGACATGAAAGAATGGGCTACATACCTGCGCAAAGACCGTTTGACCGTCGTCAAAGTCTAAGGTTCCAAAGAAATGGGCGTCACGATGTTCCTTGGGGGCGGCTACCCAGGCTTTGGCAACTGCGGTCCACGATGGATCAAATTCCCTGTTTAGAGTTAACAAGATGCACATAGCGATGGTCTACATAGATACTGACCTGCATGGCTCACATCTACGCCGCTTGTCCAGTGCTGTGAACTGGATGGCAGCAGACCAGTTGCGGTTGGAGGCGGTCAATAGTTCATATGTCTGGGCATTGAGATGAATGAGGCCGTTGCCAGCGGCAGCAAGATCGACGAGTTGTGCTTGTATGTCGTCGGCGGCAGCAAGCACGACGGGTAGAAGTAAAAAAGCAGAGGCGCAGAGTGACCTGCCAATACATGGATGATGGACGTGGAAGGCAAAGTTTCAGTAACGTGTCGTGATCACACGGCGGCCCTGTACAGGGCAAGTACTGGTACTGTCTTCTTCTCCTCCATGTCCCATGCTCTTCTCCTCCGGCTCTTTATCAATTATTTCTCTGTCCATGTCGCCCTTCAGTACCTTGCTCTGTACTCGGACAATATAGGAATTACATATTACATCACCTCGCGTCTGCGCCAGCTCGATACCAAGGATCTTGCCGATGTCTGGGGATTTATTTGCCATCTTTTGGTGACCAGGCCGTCCAAGTCTCGCGCTCTGGAATGTTTCGTAGTCGATATTGCACACCGGTCGACTCATATTGCGATGATAGTACGTCTGCAGTATCTTTTACTTTATTGGATGTTATTCATTTTCGCAGACACTCTGGTTCATGCAAGCAAGTCTCCGGGATCTTTCTGGTACGCGACACAATTCCAAGTCATTCTTGATATGCCAGCGTATCCTTCATCAATGCCATGAAATTATATTTGGAGACCTTCCACCTCCGGTTCCAGCACCCTATTCATCCATCTGTTCTTCTTTCCAGTCTCGCTTTACTCGGAAGAAAATTAAGCATCGAGTCGAACCGGCCCTCGTGGGACTCGGGGTTGTACTCGCAGGTGCCCCAGCTATGCCCAAGCTGACAGAAATCGTGGGCCAAGTCGCCATAGAGCAGGGAAGAGTGGACGATGAAGGCACTGGGTACCGGAGCATCAACAGATATGGTGACGAGGTGGCTCCTGCTGCTAGTCCAATTTTAAGCAAAACTTCCTTGGACTCAAGCTATGATGATCACGACGACGCCGACGATCTCAGCGATGGATCTCAGCACACGCCATCCCCAGGATTTATATCTAACGAAGAAAAGACCGTTAGACACCGTAACATCGGTCCTGCACAGACAGCTCCCTCTTTACCTTTACATCTTAATGGAATACGGAAATCGCGCCTGTCGGAAGATCCTTTAGGCCAACTCGACACTGAACAAATTGTTTCGCCCTATCAGTCATCTCCTTCTGTCTCCGCGTCACGTCCTCCTCCACGTTCCGTGTCGATTAGTTATGCCGATAATCTATTACAGTCTTACGATGGGCCGTCTCAGACGCACCTCCTTCGAAGTCATTATTGTCGATCAGAGGTACTTCTTATTCAACGATATCAGTCTTCTCCTCTAACAGTCTTTTAGATCCAATTTCTACTAGTTCTTGAAAGCATTTCAAACCGGCTTCTCGATATTCCAAGACCGGCGCGAATAAGTGCTCTAAGGGCGGAGTTGACTGCTTTGAACCACCAACTTCCAGCTGAGGTATTTTTTTTTTCTCATTTTGTATAGCCTCCTCTTTTACACAAAGACACAGGTATGCATGCCTATGTGGTGCTCCTCGTCAGATTCTCCCCGTCCCGTGGGAGGATCGCAACCCCATCATCGTATCGTGCGAATTCCCCCCGGCGAAAGTGTTGTTCTCAACTCAGCCGAACGCGCTCCCTACGTACTCTTGATAGAAATCCTCAACGACGACCTTGATTTCGATCCAAATAAACGAGCCAACAAAGACGTCTTGAAGAAAATAGTTGTTAAGGAACACGAAAAGAAGGGCGCCTCCAAGGAGTTGATTCCATTTCCTCCACTCCCTTCACGCCACAGTCCCAAATCTGACTCTCTGAATGACACCGATGTCGTGGCCGCTGCAGTTCACACACCAGTCTTTTCTCCCATCTTTACTGCCTCCTCACCTCCAACACCCTCGTCACCTAACGAATCTGACGAAGAGATGGACCTCGTTGAACAACTCTACGGATCCGATCAATCTCTTCGTTCTCGACCTGTTGATCTTTCCGATTCCATTGTGCTACCCCCAACTCCGAAGAACAGGGAACTCGATATGGTTGCATGGTCACGGTCCTCGTCAATTCCGCCCTCCCCTTCACCAGAACGCGGTGCACCCATGGCCCGTGCTTTATCCAGTACCTCTGATTCTTCCGCGCATTTGTCACCCGTCCCTGATCACGTCGATAACGGTCCTGCCTTATCTCTTGATGAATATTCCGAGCGCATGCGGACGGCTGCGATCATGCTGGCCCAGCTCAACGCCAATCTTGTTCGGGAACCTGTCACGAACGGCGCATCATCAGAATCACAGTCTCAATGGGGTCCCATAAGCTGGCTTCCAGGTTCCAGTTGGTTGACAACGCCAGGAGATCATTCAGCGAAAAATTCCTCTGGGTTGGGTCCCCCAGATCATCCATCATCGCAGCATCTCCAACCAACACGAATGAGACTGCAACTTTCAGAAGCTTCTGCCATACGTGAGCGAATCATGCAAGAGATGTTAGCGTTGGAGGCAGAGCGGATGGAACGGATGAGAGAAAACAGAGAGATGGATAATCTCATGCGAATAGACAATCTCAGTGGAAGGAAAACTGCTGAAGACGAGGGTATCATTAGGAGGGAGATAAACAAAGCCGATCCTTCTGCGGTCGTTTTAGGTGAATCTTGGGCAGCCAAAAAGGTTTGGTTCGATCTCCACACCTTATTAATCGCTCATCTGTCTGATAGAGTCGCATAAGGCATGGATCGCCATATGGGCATCTCGGTAATACCTTGGTCGCTTGCCATAGCTACATCCGACTGACACTCCGTTAGCAAACTGGGATTGTGTCTCGGTTATTGTCAAGACAGGCGGTGATCTTCGGCAAGAACAACTAGCAACTCACCTCATTCGTGAGTTCCAAAGAATATGGGAGGAAGAAAAATGTCAATGCTGGGCAAGATAGTAAGTCGACCTCCCACTTCCTTATTAGTTTAGATCAGTATTTCATGTTTATCAGTTTCCATATTCTCATAACGGGAGGCTCTTCTGGACTGGTGGAAACGATAACGGACGCGCCTTCCATTCACTCGATCAAGAAAGCTGAATATGCTCGTCGGCTCGCTCAAGGTCGACTGGGTCACGTCACTTTATTTGACCATTTCAAAAGTGTGCGCTCGGTTTTACTCCTTATTGCCACCTTTCCTCATCTGAACGCCACTCAACCAAATAGACATATGGTGACCCTTCATCGGCGAAATTCATTCGTGCTCAAAGGAATTTCGCGAAGTCTCTAGCAGGTGAATACCAAATCTGGTGTTCTCCGGTTCCAACGTATATCCTAACTGAATCTAGGCTATTCCGTCATCACCTATCTTTTGCAGATAAAAGATCGACACAACGGGAATATCCTTTTAGACAGGGACGGTCACCTCATACATATAGACTTTGGATTTATACTGAGTAATACGCCTGGAAACATTGGCTTTGAGGCTGCTCCATTTAAATTTCCTTCAGAGTATATAGAGGTTTTGGGTGGTGCTACAGGCCCGTCTTTCTTGGAGTTCAGGCGGTTGTTCAGGGAAGGATTTGAGGCTGCGAGGAAGCACTGCGATAGAATCATCAGTGCGTTGCCATTGACTTTTCTCTGGCGTTTCATTGACTTCGGCTCTAGCCCTCGTTGAGCTAATGCAAAAGGGTACGTAGTCATTGGCAACGTTACGAGTGAGTCAGAACAACGCTGACCTAATACCCTGTAGATTCTGCGCTGCCATGTTTTGCCGCTTCCGGGGAGCAAACCGCCAATCAATTGCGGGAACGCTTTCAGCCTTCCTTGACACACTCACTGATTGGAGAGCATGTGGACCGTCTTATCGACAGTTCTTTGGGGTCACATTGGACGCGATTATATGACTCGGTAAGGTTCGTGCTGATTATTCGCGTCGCTCGTATTTATGAGAATCTGCCAGTTCCAATACTACTCCCAGTCTATCCTATGATGCAGCTGTCTCTTTTCTCTGGGCTTTTGGAGTCTCACCACATATTGCATATCCACCGTATCATTATCATCTTGCATTTCGTATGTTATACTTGCATTAGCATTGGTTGAAGTATATCCAGGATAGATGGAAAGGAAAACAAGCAAATAGCATGCCAGCAGAGGTACTGCCTAGCTATTGTAAGGATACATCTTCTGAACCCTAGCTAAATAGTCTATCATATCGGTTAAGGCAAGAGTATCCCTCGTAGTCTGTGTAAACACTAGTTAGCAGGTTGAGGCTTCAGTATGGATGGAAACTCACCAAAGTTTTGTGTACTATCGCACCAACACTTTCCCCGCTTGTGTGCCTCGCCTTGAGGACAATGCTGGAACGGTTCATGCCGATAGCCTGAACAACACGATGAGTGGTCAAAAAGAGTTTAATCAGCTTGGGAAAAACTTGCCAATATCATTGAAGAAATGCTAGAAAGAACTTCAGTCGGATGATAGAGGACAAGACATGGCATCACATACTATTTGATCCTTCCTTGCAAACAACGCTGCTCCTATGCTGTGTACAGGCGCATCACCCCATCGCTGTTCAGGCCCGGTCATGAGTCTGGGACAAATATTACAGAAGAATGGCAAACCTCATAGTAAAATCCGCCTTTGGAATCCAGGAAATCGAAAAATTTGGAATACGCTTCACCTCTCCAAAGGTCAAGATCACCGATCTCGAAATTGCTCCAGACTGTGAACTTGAGCAGTGAACAGATGCGTTGAAACCTATCGGCTTACAGTGGCATCGGTTGTACGTTAGGCCTCCGTCGTCGGAGAGGAAATCCATGGCATTATCTTCAGGCGTTATACCTGGGTTTGCTTCCAAGAATTCTAAGGCCGAGTCAGAAACCATTATGACGATGTATACATGATCAGACACACCGCGAACAGCTGCCCAAAGCGTCGGAATGGTTCTCTCGTATTCGTACAAAGATACGGTGAAACCTGAGGCACAATTAGGATTGAAAAAGGGAAGGTCGTACCAAGGCATACCGTAAACCTTGTGTTGGTCTTGCATGATTAGGAAAGGATCGTAGTCAAGGTCACAAAAGAATTTGACGTCCGGTCTTTTATCAATTATTAGAACACCGATGTGAAGCTTAGGATAAATTTTCCATACTCGACTCTAACCGAGAAGTCAGTGTGCTGAATTAAGTAGGATATGTGGATTCACCTCCAGTAGTACTTGTACGGCTTTAAAAGCTCGTGTCTGTAGAAAAACTAGCGAACGATTGAGAAGGAATTAGGCACATAAATTGATATTCTCACTCCGGAATTGAACCGACACATATTCCTATACCTGCATGCCAAGAAATTTCAGTGTACGTTCGAATCAAAGTAGGAATCCCACCAACGGCACGCTTCCTGCGCAATAGTTCAGCCATATCAAGAAGATATGTTTGAAATACGAACGCACCTCCATAGATGACGTTATTCTTCACCATATCTGCTCGAGCATCTGCCGCCTTGGCCTCGTCTATGGTGTCAGGCTGGTACCAGTGGTCATGAGGGATAAGTCCAAACTTGACGTCAACATCCGTGAGCTCTGAAACCCGGCTAAAGGTTGAGGAAAGGTGAGTCTCGAAAGACTAAAAGTGAATAGCGTGTCCGACCTCTTGAATTGATCTGAAAACGGTTGCTCATTCAAGAACACATAAGGATACCGGAACTTTTTATTGAAACGATCCTCCATCTGTTTCATACTAACAATAATGCCATTCAAATCGCTGTTGCGAGCTGTCAGAACGAAAAATTGAGCCTCTATCAAAGCAACACGGTAACCAAGGACGCACCGAGCATGACAATGGCTGCGGAAGCCTTTCGCCCCTGCGGTGAAGTTACATTGTTGTGCACATAGTAGTCATCGGGGACAGGTATTTGGTATGGTGGTTTTGAACCGCCCCATTGCGTCTTGATGCTGGAAAGTGATGTTGCTTGACCGTAGCCCGGATGAGCAAAACTCAGTATGTAGTGCAGACTAATCTGTAAGAGCCGTGAATGACAGACAATAATGAGAACCAGCAGAGTAGTGGCATACGATAATCCCCAGGACGAGTACAACATAACGCCAGGGCGTCATCATGGTGGGCAAAGGCAAAGAGTATTGGGCCTGCGCGGCAGAATTGCGGCAAAGATATATCTTTCATAGGGTTAGGGTTTGTACAGTGCACAGCACCTGACACACACGCGGCGCAGTCAATGACTTCGCGTCGAGATTTGCAGTACAAACAGTTTCCATGCCTGCTACTCCAATAATTCCATCTGTTTGTACTATCGTACAACCCGTAATTATATCGTGATATTATTAGATACAGTGGTAATGCCAGCATTTGGGTGTTATGAGAACAAATTTTCAAACTTCCTCACGCAAGAATTTGGCGAATAATCTTCGGGAAATTATCAGCCTGTATCCATGGAAAGGTATCCATGAGCATATACTTACCGAAACTGTCTGAAGGATCGCATGAACATCTTCCTGCTGACCATTGATCACCCTGTGGACAATGCTGGAATGATTCATGGCGGTAACCGATATCTCGGAAGAAGTGAATCTGATCTCTTCGAGCGAAGAGGGCAGCAGCAATGCTGTGGACTGGGGCATCTCCCCAGCGCTAAACATACGGAGGTGGATATTTTTAGTAGCAGTATCTATGGACAAGAATAGAACGTAACATACCTCGTAATAGAAACCTCCTTTTGATTCTAGGAAATCGAAAAAGGCCTGATAAGCCTCCGACCTCCAAAAGTCCATATCTGCAATTTCAAAATTGCTCCAGACTGTATTTATTTGTTAGCTCGGTCAGGGCGACATCATGATGAGAAACTGACAGTGACAGAGGTTGTATGAGTCTCCACCATTGTTGGATAGATAGTCCATGGCATTATGTGGATCAATGTATTCCGGGTGAGTTGCCATGAATTCTGTAACAAGTTCAGTTTCACTATCAGCTTCCCGGCGATTTTCACGCACCTTTTACCGTACTCCATAGTGTGGGTATCGTGGGTGCCCACTCCGTTAGCGAGATTGTGAAGCCTAGTTACACGATGAGAAGCTCTTCACAGTTGATAACGGATGTTGACTCACTATATACTTTATCATGTTCCCGCATGTAAACGAAAGGATCGTAATTTATATCACAAAAGAATCGGACATCTGGTCTAGAAGAACGGTTAGAACAGCGTGGAAGATGGATTATACGCTAGACTCACTCCACTCTAGACAGATAGCATGCGATGGTCAATAAGAATCATCATAGTCACTTGTTGCCATTTATAGCTCACCTCCAATAGTACCGGTATGGCTGTAAAAGCTCGTGATGAAAGAAGAACTATGTGGACGTTTGACATCAGAGATCATATTCGGGCAGTACGAGCATCGGATATATTCACCCCAGAGTTAAAACGACACATGTTGCGATAACTGCGATTGCTTGTAAGTCAGGGAAGAGAAAGAAGGGAAACCTCGCATACGGTACACTGCCTGCGGTGATATGAATATAGGTAAGAATCTAGAGTAACTGCGAGCTCACCGGCATAAATAATACGCTGCGCCATCATCTTCTGGCGGCCTAACCGCGCTCTATCTTCATCGATCCAGTCAGGCTGAACCCAGTGCTCTTTGGGAATTAGCCCAAATGAAATCGGGGCCTTGCTAATGACGCTGACGCGCCTAATGAATAGAGCGTCAGAAATGACGGCGTTGACGATAGTGAAACAACCCGCACTCTTTGAACGAATCCGTAAATGGCTCATCGTTGAGTAGCACCCAAGGATAATTATAATGCTTGTTGAAACGATCCTCGACGGATTGCATGCTCGAGACAACTCCATTGACGTCGCTGTTTCGCGCTAGCAGGACAAACGTGGCATTGGCCCGTTCCGTAGCATTGTGATATAGCATGTCTGGGAGCGCCACAGCATACGAACCGATTTCTTGAGTCGTTTCTTCGGACACATGCAGTTTTGAGCCCCAGTTACTGAGAGAAGAGATGCGCTTGTAATCCTCGAAAGCGATGGACAAGATGTAATGAATGCTAATCTGTTATGCTACTGAGCATGATCGACATGAGGAGAAACAGAAAGCACTTACAACCAGGACAAGCACGACGGTAATATACCGCCGCGGTGTCATCATTGGGAGATACATGGGGGGGAAAAGATTGGATTGTTCTCCGAGCCGTGGACGTATTAAAAGGAACGCGCAGTCAAAAATAAACAAAATGGAGCCGCGCGAGCCGAGATTATTACGATGCACTGCTTGAAAAGGAGTGCGAAACCTCCGCCACTGGCAACCGAGATTTCCTATGCAGTATCCGCAGCTCGGCGTCAGCTGATTCAGATTCCCCTTGTGCCTTGTGTAAGGATAGTATGATGTGAATGTTCAATGGCGTTCTGAAGATAATGAAAGATTCCGTTAGCGTAAACCCGGTGGGAACTACGGAACTGCGCACCCGTTGCGTCGCTGAAAGATGAATATGTGATGGATCGGACACGCAGTTCAAGTCGACAGTACTGAACGGCGGCCCTTACACCGCCTTGAAATGGACCTTGAAAAGAATTCCTGCTGGAAATACAGGTGTATGTAAGTACCCGCCCACTGGTCCTAAGATACTGCAGGGTAGTGGCATCCGATGGCATGTAGCAACCAGAAGTAACGCCGACAGGTTGAATCATCGCAGTTAGCTACTAGCAGCAGCAGATACTTATATACTACTTACTGGGTACATCAGAGTCTGGAACTGCAAAACCTCGGGTTAGGGTTTGACGCAACTCATTTGCTGTTGTTTGTCATCACTTTTTTTCTCAGCTTGGGCAGCGACGAAGCCATTGCTTGCGCGTCGGTCAACAATGGCGTCCGTATCGCTACCCACAAAAAATGGTCTCACTGACTCCTCTACCTCACCGTCGTCTTCGTCGACCGGCGCCCTCTCTTCCAAATCTCCATTTTCTTACTACAATCGCTTCGCAAAGTGGCGGGCTGATCTCGGATTGCCATTCCCAGGCAACGTTGAAAATCTCCAGAAGGAAGTCAAGGGTGCGCCATCTCTATCGCTTTGTGTATCTCTACGTGACTGAGCGTGCCATTCCCAGCGACCCATCTCACAAATTTGTTTTTCGATGGCGCTCGCGCCGACCTCACCAAGAGCATGTCCATGAACCCGCTATTTCAAGTTACCCACTCCTTTGCATTGGGTTCACAAACGTCTGCTCCTTCCTACAATTTCGGTGCTATGTTTGCCAATGAAAAAGTGGGTAATTTGCGTCTGGACTGTTGACACGACGTCCTGAGACTTTACCCACAGGTATTCATGCAAGGTGGAGTGGACCACGACGGAAACGTGAATGCCCGGTTAAACCAGGGTTGGTCACCCGGAAATGTCTCCAAATTCCAGGCCCAGGTGCGTTAGTCGTGGCATTCGATGCGAGACGTCTTCCTGACGCGGTATACAGATGTCGTCCCAGCCCGGGCACAACTTACTGCAAGTAGAGCACGATTATCAGGGACAGGACTACAGTCTGAATGGGAAAGCCCTGAATCCCTGGCCCACAGATCTGACGGGTATCTACATTGGCAGCTACCTGCAATCAGTGACGAAAAACCTCGCTCTCGGTGTTGAGTGTCTGTATCAGCGACCAGCTCCTGAAATATCAGAGCTCGCCACGAGCTACATTGCCAAGCTCACTGGTACGGACAAAAACTGGATAGCGACCGCAAACTTCCAACCGGCTGGTATATTGCAGGCGACGTACTGGCAAAAGTTGAGTGAAAAGGTCGATGTTGCTGCCGACTTGCAGGTGATTGCTGCACCAGCCCGTCGGGACGCGATTGCAACCTTGGGCGTCAAGTACGATCTTCGGTTGGCGACGTTCCGGGCTCAAGTAGACTCGGGTGGAAAAGTATCAGCATTGCTTGAACAGCGATTTACGCCCACGTTCACCTTTATGTTATCAGGAGAGATTGATCACTGGAAGGTTGGTATTTATCTTTGATCGCAGTTGATGGTCTAGCTCACTGTATCGCGATAGAATGCTGCGAAAGTCGGTTTCGGTGTTATCATGGAGAGCACATCACTTTCACAAGAAGAACTGGAGGCACAGATGGCCGTCACCCCACCATGATTTAATGTATTTACGACTAGAAATTATTGGCGCAGTTATTATCTTCGTCGTTTATACACGCTCTACTCATGACTGCGGTGATTTGAATTTCCTGTTTGATCCTGACAGTCATGGTAAACTTGCTGGAACTGCGAGACATTTCGTCCGCGAACGAGGCTCGCAACAACCAAGCCGATATTTACGGACATTAATCTTGTAGTAAATGCAGGTATGTGTGCTGTCGACGCTCTGATCTAATTTGTTGACTCGTCGCAGGCGATGTCATAGCCTTGCAGGGCAAAAGTGGTTCTGGAAAGACGACATTGCTGAAATGCATAGCCCACCTTAATGTATACGATGGGCTTGTTCTATACCGTGGATCGTACGCCCATGTATCTCGCCTGGCTGCCTTCCCCCTAATAGCCTGACTTTCGCAGAACGCCAATGACTTATGGCGAGCAAGTACTTTCCCCCAAGTAATCTGCCGCTCACCGTCCCTCAGGCATACCTAATTACCGCAAAAAAGTGGCCTATGTCCCCCAGCGGTCCCCCATTCTCCCTGGTACTCCGCGGGACTTTGTGACCAAAGTACTGTCGTTGGCCGCCCGGTCCGGGGAACCCATATCCTCCTTCCAGAATATCACTGACTTGGGCGCCGCTTGGAGCCTTGATCACAACTTGTGGGATCGTGAATGGACGAATCTATCAGGGGGAGAGTCCCAGAGGATCGCACTCGCAGTTGCACTGGGCTTGAATACTGCCGAAGTACTTCTGTTAGACGGTCAGTATCTCTATCTATCTAGTTCTCGCTTTTCTCCCACTTCTTTCTGATGCAAGTACGAACAGAACCTACGTCTGCTTTGGACCCGGAACTGGTGCTGTTAGTGGAGCAGTCATTGCTGAAAGACCTGCGTTCGGAGAACACGGCACTCAAAGCTATTGTGTGGATCACACATTCAGATGAGCAGGCAAGCCGAGTAGGGACCCGATTCATTCAAGTTTCCGGGGGTAATTGTCATGAACAGTCCTTACCGCCAGTATAGGCCGAAAGAGATGCCATCGATTTCTTTAATGTCGGCTGCCGTCCGCGTCTCGCTAGGGCTTGGCTTTTCGGTGCATTAGATTTTGAGCAGCTTGCATGAATGATGAATATATAAATACTCCTGAGCGCCGCGCATCGTACTAGTGCCATACACGAATCGTCTTCTATCCAGCTAAAGGGCACCACTTGAATGATCCGTCTCTGTTGTGTGACGTTAAACCGGCGCAGAGTGGTGCAGTCAGGATCTGTACCTGTAACAGCTACTCTCACCGACCGGCGCATCATTTTGCAGGAGCTATGTTTGTAAAAAAGTGGCGCCCGTTATTTCTCTGAGGGACACTTCGATCAAAGCTGTCAAGTATATTGTACATACAAAGATACTAATATTACAAGTGATTGGCTACGTGCAGAGGGGGGGGTAAGTATGCGTGAGGAGGGTGAATGCGAATAGAAATACAATATGCAAATTATGGATGAAACTAGTATACCTTTTAATCGACAACGACCAGCCCGTCGAAACTCTTCTTCATCACCGACTTCTTCATAACATTCAAGGGATTAAACTCATCCGCCTTCTTCGCCTTCTCGCTGTCCTCTGTGAGCTTCTCCCATCCCTCAAGTTCTTCCTCTTCACCTTCTCCCATGAATACCTTCATCAACGCGGGCGAGAATCCATTCATCAAGGCAACCCCCTTCCGCTCCGCTGTGACTTCTGTGGTACCATATCGAGCAAGGTCCCAGAAGACGAGTTGAGGCACCTCATATCCCGCGGCCATGTACGCTGCCTCAATCTTGTCGTAGTTGGTCTCCCAAGCTGCGGGATCGCTCGACTGGCCGTCCGCCTGGTCAAACTGCATATCCGAGAACACAAAGAGCCGTTTGATCATATCCTCCTGCTTGACTTTGTGCTTGACCGCTAGAGGAAGGAGAAGCTTCATAAATACCGCATTGAAGTTCGTGTTCATCTCCCAGTTCGTCTGGACCATATCGTTGACGGTATCGTAGAGTGACTTGGTAGGATCTATACGAACGAATTCAGGACGGCTGGAAAAAGTAATGAAGCCATCAGTTGAAAGGCGGTTTGGAGAGTTTAGAGAGAACTAGAGATAGGGCGAGGGCAGGCAGAATGGGAGCTTCGGCATCGCCGCCTCCGATATATCCCATGGAACCAGAAACGTCGCACACAGCGATAGCATTGTCGATGGATCCAGACTCGCGCAGTTTGGAGATGAGAGTATTCCACTGAGCCTCTGCTACACGCACTCTGTTCTCGGCAATGGTCTTTTTGAACTCTGCGAGCTTTGGATACTTTCTCTGATTCCTGCTGCCAGCGGTTAGATGACTGAATGATTTGGTGCAGGATTTCATTGGGCATAAGGGTTGCGCCACTTATAGTCTTCTTTCTGCTCTCAACCTCAATCATGTAATCCTGGAAGCCCTCGGGATCGTGCTTGAAGAACAGTTCGTTGTTGTTCTTCATACACAAAGAGGGAACACGGGTGTATTTGATCTCTTTCCACCGATTCGCCGACATATATGTCTCGGGTATCTCAGAGGCCATACGAAGGGGAGCAAGAATCCAACGCTGGAGGAATGAACGAAGGATAGTGGCCTTTTGGAAGGGGTCGATAATAGGGGATTCGAGGGAGGAGGGGAACGTAATGGGGAGGCTCGCGCGTGAATCATGCAAGAGATAACTGACAGCCGTAGTAATGTTTGTGAACCTATCATGAGAACCACCAGCACTTGGTGCCCATTTTCCGACGAGAGAAAGCTGACGAAGAAGGGAGAGACGATCGGCCAATGCGGGGATGGACTCAGACTGAGTCAACAGGGAAATATCCGTACAGAGGCGAGTGGCGAACAAGCGGGCAACGGCGATGTATAGAGCACGGAATTTAGGATCCTTGAGCTTGGACGTGAGGACCTCATACCGCTCCAACCCGGCAGAGGCACGAGCCTCTCGAGCCCGACGCTGACTCTCCCTGTTGTGCTCTTCCGGGTCCTGGCGAGCTTTCGACTTGACGCGTTTGTTAGGAGGTGGGCGACGGACAGAACGATTTCCCCTGGCTCGTTGCTTCGCAGGTGCGGCCCGACCTACCACGATGGAGGAAGGTGGATTCGCCGGACCCAAGTTCACCAACGGTAGCAAGAGCGAGGATGTTGAGCAGGTCCTTCCAGTACCCATGAGCACGACCGGTATCGTTTTTGATTTTAGCATTAAAGCAGACGGGCTCGCAGAGGAGATGGAGATTGGAAATGGCAGTACGAGGATGATTGTCATACAGCCAGCCAAAGGCACTGAAAGAAAGGATGAGCTACTGACGAAAGAATATTTCGATGAAAGACTTGCCGGTAGAACGCCTCCTTTTCACCCTTGCCGTCAGGAACACTCCTCAGCTGCCAGATGAGATGAAGGGTGAGGGGCGCATCCTCCGCCCAAGACTTGCTCAACACCTCTGCGAGATTGTCTCTTTGATATCCGTCCAGGGCCCTGAAAGCTTCGAGAAGTGGGCGAAAGGGTAGACTGCAGGGTAGGTGCCATGTTCTCCGTGAGGGTTTGGTTTGCCGTCTCTTGAAGGGCCTGCATCATGGGATTAGTAGGCGTCGCGACAGGCTCACTGGAGGCCTCAGTGGCGAGGGCGCTTTTTGGGAGAAGAATGTCGAGAAAGGCGGGGTCATAGAGCTCTGGGATATCAGGCAAGACGACTTGCTGAGTGGTAGCAGCGACAGACGAAGTAGAGGCCATTTTGAATAATCCTGGGATAATGGGAGTCCGAGTACAAAGGACGGGTCTCAAGAAACATGGATGACCCTTTATACCACCCCGGATGTGGCACCGAGCCAAAGATGTCAACATAATTGACTGGTGGCTGGTGGGGAAGACCAACAATTCCTCAGAGGTGACTCAGGTCTACTGACTCGCATTTCGTCGGAGCCGCAAAACATCAGAATGACTGGAATGACTGGTAACGCTGTAATAAAATACTAGGGTCAATAAATAAATAACATATTGGTGACAAGTACAATACGTCCGGAAAGTAGCAGTTACATTGTCCATCATCGTCGTCTACTTCCTCGCGTCGTGTAAACATTTCTAGCGTCCGTCAATGTCCCCGTCAATGCTCCAGAGCCCTTTGTAGAGTATTTCGTGTTCCCTTTCATTATTGGTTGTGGTATTGATGGATATGAAACGGAAGATGCAGAAGAAACCAATGACGCCGGCGCCACTGGTGAACTAGGTGATTGAGCAGAGGACGACAGTGTTTCGTCGATCACCGAGGCGATATCGTCCTCTTCTGGCAAAGGAAGGTGCTCCGCCAGAAAGGCCTCGTTCTTAACAGACGAGAGCACTTTCTGTCGCCATGCCTCGAGCAAGTCGTCCCGACTTTTGGTGAGCTCCCAGTGGTCGACATATTCCCACGCTTTTCTCCGAGGCGTAGATCCCGTTGGCACATCTTCTTTGGCACCCTGCTCTGCCAAAGAACGCGTCGCACAGCCCAAAGAAGACACCTGTGAACTTGCGGAACTTTTCAAGGTCGTGATCATATCCTGGAGATTGGAAGCCTAGCAGATCAACTTGAATATGATATTCTCGAAAGAAAAGAACTTCGCGTACCGTGGAGGATACCTGGTTCACGAAACCCTCGGTACTACGAGATGTTGATGCAAGATCAAGGTCAAGTGATCGATATTCAGATTGAACATTCACACCCATAGCCTTAGTTGTCTCGATTCGAGCGCGTTTGACACGTTGATGTTGTTCGAAACCTGGATCATTCATCATGAGTGACCATTGAACACGTACAGAAAAGAATCATACTTGTAGAACAGGAGTCCACCATGTCCTGAGTTTGTTTTTGGATTATATTCGAATACGACGATATTGATCCAGCAACGTTGGTGCTCAGAGAAGCCAATTCCGTGGTGACAGTCTCTTTCACCTGGTTCAGGTTCTAGGAAGCTAATAAGAAACACCATAACCGAAAAAAAAACAACAACAGATGCTTACTTTAAGAATACCGTCTCTTGTGCGCTTCATATCTCCACTCCGCTTCTCCAAGGTGGTCGCCACTTTGGTACCTTCGCTTTCCATGTCACTCAGCGCGCTATCCTGCTTCCCAATGAATTCTTTCAACACTCCAGCACCCTTTTCATTTGCAATCTGGACACCCTTCACAGCCACCCTGAGTCCCTTATCTCTCTCCATCACAAAGTCTCCAAGCAACCCAGATATCCGTTTGACTAGTTCGCTCTTTGATTTGTCCGCGTTAATCCGCTCGTTTTCGATCATTGTCGTCAAGACTTCATTCTGCTCGCGCAACCGCTGAATCTCGGCATTCGCAGCGTCGGAACCGAGTGATTGCAAGGCAAGAAGTCCTTGCCGTTCAGCTTCAATGAACTGTAGAGCATCGCGAAGCACATCCTCAACTAACAGGGCCATCGCTTTCACAGCTTTTTCTACTCCTCCAAACGCATTAGCTCCCACGTTGTCCACTTTGGCGCACAATTGTACACAGCTGGAGCTCAGGTTTTCACCCCACGAACCAAAGCCAACTTTGAAAGTCTCGTGCGTCTCCTGCATAGTCTTCTTCACAACTGTGAGAGCTTGATCTTCGGAGTCGTCCTGCCCACATATATCATTTAGTGATTCTTGTACTTGCTGTAGATGCTCGTGGATACGTTGGGAGTACGATGCAAGGCTCGACAGTTCGGAGGATTCGAATTGTTTAGCTTCTTGACGTAATTTACTGACATTTGCGGATGAAGTGCTCATGAATTCATCGAGGTGTCGCGAGAGAAGTTGTGTGGCTGATGCGATGTTCTTACCATGCGTCAGAACTGCCTTAGCGTTCGACTGCATGACATCGTTTTTGCGTTCTGTAAGAGTAGTACGTCAACTATTGTAGTGCCTCATGGGCACATGGGACGCACCAAGTTTGTTGAACAAACTTCCAACATCGGCGATGCTCTCGTGAGTCACGGTCTTCAATCCTCCAGCAACTGTGTCCAGGACACCTTCAGTCGCTTGGAATGCTCGGCGGACTACCAGTTCTTCCTCGAGCGCCACTTTGACCGACAAAAGTTCAGTCTTCTTCTCCTCTAGGACCTCTTTAGTGGACCTTAGGTGCTCCTTCGTGTCCTTCAGCTCGGCTTCTCTCTGTTTCAGTCTTCCGATACTCTCTTCGAACTCCTCTCGCACGACTTTCATTTGTCCCTCTACAATCTCCACTTGTTTCCTCGCTTCGATGATCTCGGTGTCCCGGAGCTCTTGCTCAGCAGTCATTTGATTCCATGTCTCTTCCGAGAAGAATATACCATTCTTTTCTCGCGCAGCCAGGACATCGGCTTTCAAACGCTCGATTTCCGCAACGTACTCCTTGAGGAGGGAGTTTCGCGTCATCCGTTGATTGACTTCAGGTTTGTTACGAATAGATTTGGCTCTCATCGCATAGTCAAGGGTCGACAACGTCTCTTCGATATTGGAACGGGCGGGAGAAACGGTGGCAATGATGCAAGTCTTTGTGCGTCCTCCAAGCGAATCTTGCAGGAGTCGAGTAAGTTTGGATTCCCTGTATGAGTGTCAGGCTTAACAGCTTCGAATCAAGTAAAACTGACCTGTAAGGAACGTGTTGAGCTTTGTCAACCAGCGCGTTTATCACGCGTCCTAACGTCAACAAGCTCTGGTTGATCATTCCAGCTTCCCGGGCGCGGGCATTCTGAGCACCAGAACGTCCAATGTTTTCAGACCCGGCCAAATCAACCAAGTTAAGTTTTCCGGTCCTAAGTAAATCCTCCCCAACAACGCCGTTTTCTTTGGTATGGACGGTGATAGAGAAGATAGAATGCGACCGACTAGAGTGGTCGTTGAATTTCGTCGCAGCTACTTGACGTCTGTCACTCCCCTTGGTCAAGAGTGCCAATGCATCAGCAGAATCTTTTACAGATATCTCTTCGATGCCTTGGATGAAAACCCCGCGCTTATTGGCATCGTCGAAAATTTTCAAACCACCGTCCGCGCTTTTGGAAGCGTCCTTGGACATTAGGCTGCGTATTACCTGTTGGAACAGGAAGATCAGGTGCCAGAAGGTCACGGAGTTCTTCGTTGTACAGCTCGATATAGGATATCTTAACGCTGAAGTCAGATCCAGACGTCTCCAGAGAGTGGAAAAGTCGAAATAGAACCCGCGGAATCATACCAGCGTGGACTGATGGATTGCCCATGGCAGTTGGAACCAAGTCGCCATGCATCGTGTAGCTGAAGTCGATATGTGAATGTATATTGACAAGTCATCAGAGGTACTCACGTTTTACCGGTGCCCGTCTGACCGTACGCAAACAATGTGCAATTATATCCCATCAACACCTGCTTCCAACATTGGACTGACGACTTCATGATATATCAATGCTTGGTCTGCTTCAGGACCAAAGACCAGATCGAAGGGATACGTGCGTATAGGTGGAAGAGTTACAACACCCAGAGTAGATGTTGGAGCTGTCGTTTCAATGGAAACCTGGTTACTTTTGGCTCCGTTTGAGGTGACGATGACTGGGCTATTGCTTTCGATTTCACGTTCCGAGCGTCGTCGACACCGTAGAACAACCCGTATATTCGATTCAGCATCATCTTTATGCTTTACCGGAGCGGCTGCTGTTGGTTTCTGTAATCTTGATGTTGATGGCACAGGTAGTGACGAGTTCTCTATTGGAGACGAAGGTTTGGCCATAGCTGAACGGGAACGTGGTGGCGGTAGGCCTGGATTATTGCTCTTCGAGCGCGACGATGGTGGACGACGCGTAGCCATTGTAGGGAACGGCGAGCGTGATAGGGAGATGACGGACAAACCAGAGGTATAGTCGTGCACCAAACAAACGCGGACAATACAAACTCCGCTTGACGCGCCATACACGTGACCTTGACCTACTTCCATTTCAGGAGCCGATGCCGATGCTGAGCCTGCTTTGTTAGCGACGCCATGGGCAAACGCAAAAAATCGTCGAGAAAACCGGGTCCAACGAGGAAAAAGGAGCCCCTTGGTGCGTATAAAATGCTTTCAAAATGCTTTCATCATCGCAGTGCTTACAAGGGACGCAGATGTCACGTTTACATGCCTTTTCTGCCACCACGACAAATCAGTATCAGTGAGAATGGATAGGAAGGAAGGAGTTGCCCAGCTGATTTGCAAGGTCTGCGACCAAAGATTCCAGAGCAAAGTCAACCGTATGCCACCCGTCCGCCTACCTTGAACTACACCCTGACTCCTTCTCCTAGATCTCACCGAGCCCATCGACATATATTCAGAATGGATTGACGCTGCAGACGCGGCACAATCAGGCGAGCCCGTTGTCCGACGCCCTGCAGCTTCATCCAGCCGTGCTCGAGCACCTGCATCAGCCGGGAGCGACGACGATTGAGCTCTGGAACTTGAGGCTGTATTCTTGCATTTAACTTCTCGATAGCAATACGTGTACTCTTTCTTCCGCAAGTGTATATTATATACGATTTTTTATTGTTCTCAGAACACGCTGTTGCAGCGTTGCTTAGGCTATTTTCGGCGAGCTCAGTCAAGCCGTAGTAGCAACACGGCAACAAATGCAAACACATCTCCCTTTGATCCCAATCGCCTTTCCGTCACTCACGCCCCTTGCATCCGCTCTGTTTCCTTCTTTAACATTTATTGTCTCTTCTGCATTCTTTATTCTTTAGAGCGGCCCCTGTAATAGAGTTGGTCCCGCCATGGCCACCACGGGCAACAACATCAAAGTTGTTTGTCGGTACGGCATCTCATTCACTCATATCATCGAGTTTCCAATGTCCCTCAACCTTTGCCACCCTACTGTCCAGATTTCGACCTCCCAACGCGATAGAACAACGTGAAGGCGGAGAAAACGTTGTCGCGTTCGATGACAATCTCACCACAGTTAAATTACGGTCGACCTCACTCACGTCGGGTCCCGAGAAGGATGGTTTTACTTTCGACAGAGTCTTTCCAATGGGAACGAAGCAGCACGAGGTATTTGACTATGGCGTGAAGGAGTGAGTGCCATTCTTTCATATTTGAGATACAGTACTGAATAGGGTAACTCAGTATCGTTAAAGGTAATACCAGTTTGCCATATTCCTTGTCGATACACTCTCTTACTTTGCTCTTTCCAGATGTCCTAGATGGGTACAATGGTACCGTCTTCGCCTACGGCCAAACGGGGAGCGGGAAGACTTTTACTATGATGGTCTGTCATTTACTCTGCCGGCGTCTTCAGGAACAACAATAGCTCACCATCTTTAGGGTGCTGACATTGACTCTGATGAACTCAAGGGTATAATTCCTCGAATCACTGAACAAATCTTCCAGTCCATCGTAGAGAGCGACGCACACTTAGAATACCTCGTCAAAGCGTCGTACATGGAAATTTACTTGGAGAAAATCCGTGATTTGCTGGCCCGTACGTCGCCGTACTGCTTTCATTTTACTGCAAAACTGAAAATACAATTTCTGATATTAGCTCAGAACGATAATCTACAAGTTCATGAAGAGAAGTCAAAAGGTGTATACGTCAAGAACCTGTCCGACTACTATGTCAGTAGTGCAAGAGAGGTGTATGAAATAATGCGAACTGGTGGTGAAGCACGAGTTGTATCATCAACAAGTAGGTTGCTTTGAGCATCGCATTAGTGTCACTTAACATTGTTTGCATAGACATGAATGCCGAATCGTCTCGGTCTCACAGTATTTTCCTCATTACTATCGAGCAACGCAATACGGAGACCGGCGCTCGGAAGACCGGAAATCTTTACCTTGTCGATCTTGCCTGGGTCGGAAAAGGTTGGGAAGACAGGCGCTTCTGGCCAGACGTTGGAGGAGGCAAAGAAAATTAATAAATCTTTGTCTGCTCTTGGCATGGTTATCAATGCTTTGACTGATGCGAAGGTTTCCAATTTTTGTCTTCCGTTTATTCGTGCCGCTAACAAAGGAATAGGTCAAATACATCCCCTACCGTGACTCCAAACTTACGCGCATCCTTCAAGAGTCGCTTGGAGGAAATTCACGCACCACCCTCATCATTAACTGTTCACCGTCATCTTACAACGAAGCCGAAACTTTGTCTACGTTACGTTTTGGTATCCGAGCAAAGTCGATCAAGAACTCTGCCCGTGTCAACGCCGAACTGTCGCCTTTGGAACTCAAGGGACTTCTCAGTAAAGCGCAGGCTGCCAACGCATCGTACCAGAAATATATCGCCGCCCTTGAAGCAGAGCTTGCTATCTGGCGTTCTGGCGGACATGTCGAAGAGGTGGAGTGGGCCACGCCAGGAAAACATGGCGCACCTGCAGCACCTGCCACAGCACCTACAAAGAAGACTCCTTCATCTTCATCGCCGTCAACTCCGGCTTCCTTATCACGCAGTTTGACGCCAGTTCCTGTCAACCCCGCTATAGAGGGATTGCGATCTGACGATAGCCGTCCTCAAACGCCAACCGTAGTTGGTCTAGATAAGGACGAGCGCGAGGACTTTTTGAGGAGAGAGAATGAGATCAGTGACCAACTGGCCGAGAGGGAGAGCTCTTTAGTCGCAGCAGAGAAGCTCGTCAAGGAGTTGAAAGAAGAGCTTGCGTTTTTGAAGGAACAGGAAGCTGCCGTCAACAAGGTTTGTACTCGTACTAAACGGCAGGAAAGAATAAAGCTGACGCCGTCCTTTTTGATATAGGAGAACAAGTCGATGTCTAGTCAGATCAATGAGCTCAGACTGCAAGTTGAACGATTAGATTACGACAACAAAGAGGATGTCATTACAATAGACATCCTCAAGGAACAGAATGCGGATAGCAAGAACGAACTGGAGGAACTGAAGAAGCAGATTGCGGAACTCAAGTCTGCGCAGAAAGAATCATCTGCTGAAGACAAGGAGAAACGCAAGCAGGAAAAGATGGCGCTGATGATGGCGAAATTCGATACTGTACGTTATACATTTTTGCTTACTCATGCTGGTGTTTACTCTAATAATAAACTACAGCAAGGTGCCTTTTCCGAGAAAGATGATCAATTGCGGCAGATTCTCGCGAAGTTAGATGCCGCTGACTCTGTTTCCTCACTAACGGCGGATGATCTCACGGCAATTAGAAGGCAATTGGCCGAAGGCCAAAGCCTCGTTAGAGAGACCGTTGACCGACTTAGACAGAGTCAGGAGGAAAACGAAATGATCATACGCAGGAGAGATGAACTAGAAAGTCGTGTTGCCTCTTTGGAAACTGAATACGAAGAACTTCTTGGTAAGTTCAAAAACAGATTGCTTTGGAACAGTTGTTTATGACATTCATATGTTCAACAGAGAAGACCATCCATGACGAAGAAACCAGTAATGTTGACATTGCAGAGTCTATGGCTGATCTCAAGGTATGTTTATTACCTTCGCCTTTCGCGACATCAGTTGATGTCATTTTGCACCCTAGAACAAACTCGAGGCACAATATGCGGCGAAACGTGATGCTCATCTGAGCGAAGTCGTAGATCTTAAGCAACAGCTTGACATGAGAGCGAACGAGGTCCGAAGTTTGAATGCTTCCATTGAGAGTTTGAAGAGTGTCAACGAGGAACTTAAGGTCAGCCTTTTCTTTTGTTAACTTGCTTACCTTATTGACCGGAACTATCCCCAGCGCGCCTTTGCCGTAACATCCGCCGGTATTGAAGGTGGCAAGAACCTTGCCGAGAGCGCCCAAGATCTCGAACGCACACGAAAGGCCATCAACGTTCAATTAGCGGAATTCGATGGTGTCAAGAAGTCTCTCATGCGAGATTTGCAAAATCGGTGTGAGAAGGTGAGCACCTATTCTAGACAAGTCCGATTCGTATTTGTAATAATACCTTCAGGTCGTTGAGCTGGAAATCCAGTTGGACGAGATCAAGGAGCAATATAACAACGTCATTCGGAATAGTAATAGCAAAGCCCAGCAGAAGAAGATGGCTTTCTTAGAACGCAATTTAGAGCAATTGACACTGGTACAGAAACAGGTGCGCTAATACAAATGACATAGGTAGATCGTGCGGCTGATATAAGATTAGCTTGTTGATCAGAACTCCTCCCTGAAGAAGGAGGCTGGAATTGCAGAACGCAAGTTGCTTGCACGAAACGAGCGGATACAGAATTTGGAAGCCCTCCTTCAAGACGCTGACCGAAGATTATCCGTGCAGAACCAGAAATTCGAGGCACAGCTTCAAGCTGTTAAGGAGCGATTAGATCAGGCTCGCGGTAGGTGGTAGTTTCATCTGCACTGCGTGTCTCTTATCTCGTTCGTTTTATGTAGCACAAAAGGCGGCGACAACGTCTTCGTTAACTTTCGGTCGTATCGCTAAGCCTCTAAGAGGTGGGGGTGGGACTGCGCCTCCGACATCAGTGCCTGTGCCCATCAGTGGAGGTGGTGGCTCCAATGCCAACCCATTGGCTAGACTCCAGAACGAAGAAACAGGGTAAGTTGGATCATCTATATCTTGGTCCGAACAACATTAACCGTCATTGGCATTCGCCGTTCGCTTTGACAGTTCCGGAGGTATGTGTATTTGTTAGTGTCATGGAATCAGGACTCATCATGTTTTGTAGCTAAGCGGGCGTCGTGGTTCTTCAACTCTCGGTGAAGTACACAAACCCGTGGCAGACCTTCCACTTCTTTCTGCATTGTCCATACCCTTTATCTCTCATTTAGCATCTATTATCTTTCTCTAATGCAGCGTTTTCCATGCATGAATTTTTACTGTATACGTGGCGTGATCGCCTGTGAATCTAAGATGTACAGGCCACTGCGGCAATCTTCACCCACTTTCGGGACCAACCTTTACCATAGGCCCATCAGACGGGGCATCAACCGGTTGGAGCCTCCGTAATATTTTGGGCACACTTTGAGCACCACAGATGGTACATTTTTCGGCCTGTGATTTGACAGAATATAATGGTGATAAGATCGGACCAAAATGGGTCGGATCCGTCGGCGAGGTGGGAAGCACGGCCTTATACCGAAGAAAAAATATGATTTTTATGCGGATTTTTTTGTCTTTTTCTTGCGTTGCTGCCGGAGTCAAGTCAAGGAGCAAATGCGATGAAACGGCTGAAGGATTGACGGGAAGCATTGTCCGGAAGCATTGCAATTATTACGTCACTGACGCGCCTAGCTTCGAATTGGAAAAGAAGACCATACAAGTTCCCCGTGCCACGCGAGATTTCCTCATTTGATTCCGTTGAAACGCGAGCCAAGATTTTATTTTATTCTTCTATATTGCCTCCGGTGTTACTTTTTTAATATTTTCTAGGAGAAACGGTTCATTTTTGCCTTTGCCAGAATTTTGGCCTAGTTTCGCGTCCTTCGTCGACGTGCCGCTCTTTGCTTTCTCTCCTATCCCTTTCCTTCAGGTCCCTGCTACCTCCCTTCCCCCTTGTCTCACAAGTCGCGTCTCTGGCTTCCATTTGGCTCTAGCAGCCCTCCTCACGTTCTCATATCCGCCCTCTTTTGGTCACCGTGGGTTTCGCTTAGGTTTACGTCGTGTTTTCCACCAAATAATCGTCGTATCTTCTTTTGTTGACCATCATAGTCCCGCACCCGTTCCCACTGTCGTAATTTCCCCTTCTTGCCACACCAAGTGAGTGCACGCTCACTGGACTCGTTTTCGCGTCTAAATTGCATAGACATATTATATAGCACCTATTTTCGTCGATGTATGGGGATTCTTCGCGCAAGCCGTCTGGGTCGTCAACACATTCCGGAGCTCACTCCCCGACGAATCCCCCGACAAATGTTTGTTACAATGCTCCAATGCACTCTTGTGGCGCTCATTCTTTTCACTAGCTGGCACCGCCAAGAAAAATTACGCCGACTACGAGTGGGAACATGTTGAGCGTTAGCATGCCTGGCGCCAATGGACTCAAGGGACTTGTCAATAATGCAGGATGGCAGGTAAGTTCATTGGGCATTTTCCTTTTCGGTCCCAGAATGGTTCATCGTGGCTTTTAGGTTTGGGACTCAGGAACTTCCTCATCGCGACGAAATCCCTCCATTTCATCGGCTGCTAGTGGAAATGATCTTTCAACGTCGCAGGGAGACCCTAATTTTCGGGGTAACTTTGGGGAAGGGTGGTCAGCATCGCGGTCGACTAGCGGAGCTTGGGACGATGCTAACGGCGGGAGTCCTCAGAAGAAGGAATTCGCTCAATTGGTTAGTCATGCACGACCTTCCGGACTTTGTTTATCCAATGACTCGTCTGCAACAGGAACCGCCGTTAAATCTGCATCACCCGAGGCAAAGGCAGCTACCATCGGCACCATTTTCGGGTCCAAGAATTGTATGTCGTAGCAAATAGCCTTTCTGCCTTCCTTTATCCTTTTTTTTTTGCTCACTTACTTGCATTGCTGTCAGGACGACCGATCTTCTGGTTCGAAGAAAGGTCGATTTTCTCCCCAGCGGTATGACGGTACTTTGGGCAAAGATTCGAATTCTTCTCGATATGCTTCTGCGACATCGCCGACGAAAGCCTTCGTTGCAAGCAACTACTCTGTCCAACAAAATGCTCCCGCAGCATTTGATTCTATGCAGAGTGCTTCGGGCGTAGATGATCTTTCAATAAGTCTCCGCGGCATGGCTGTCGAAGATGACTTCACTGTACAGACTCGACAGCACGATGACTCCTCCCAGCCTGCTCCCAGCCAGCTGAGAGCCATGCCTCAAGGCCGTGGACCTTATCCCTCGTTCCCTCAGCCCGACTACAGCGGCTTCTATCCTAATGCGACCAGTAGAGACTCGTATGTCGAGTATCCTTATGCATATGGCGCTGCGCCGCCGGATCCGTCGTTGTACGCTTCCCCACATTTGGCGAACGCTGCTCCCGCGATTTTTCCCGGGCCCCAGGCCTTTAGTGGCATGGCTGATCTTCGTCAGCAAACTGCGATGTTCTATGACTACTCCGTGAACCGTCCTCCCGGGTCCCATTTCTACTTTCCGGCTCCCCAAGCTATGATGTACCCTCCCACTCATTCTCCTATGATACCCTCGCAAGTTCCTAATAATAATCCGCCAACATCGAATGAGAAGAAACATGAACTATCTGTGCGTCTTTGTCTTACTGGTTTTGGGACTTATGACTGACTTATATTCCCAGTACTCTGTTCAACAGCAATTAGCGTCCCAGACCATGATGTATGCTCCTGTTCGGACGAGTCCATCCCCTCACGGTCAACCATATGGTCCTGGCATCGACTATAATTCACAAGGGCCTCCCATTATTGGGAGTACTATCTACGGTCCCAGCGGTCAGGTCGTCTATCCCCACGGAATGCGCCTTGGCCGCCGTGACGGTGGTCATCCGGTCATGTCGTTGCGTAGTCCGGTATTGGACGAATTCCGGTCAAACAAAGCCCGCAAGTGGGAGCTGCGGGTAAGGCATTCTTCCATAGAAACATGCGTTCTCTGGCTGACGATCACAGGATATCTATGGTTACATTGTTGAGTTCAGTGGTGACCAACATGGGTCGCGTTTCATACAACAAAAATTAGAGACTGCGACTAGCGAGGAGAAGCAACTCGTTTTCGAAGAAATCGTTCCGGCCAATATTTTACAACTAGTCCAAGACGTCTTTGGTAATTATGTAGGTAGACGGTGCGTTTTAATCGGCTTTTGGTGGCTCAGAATATTTTCAGGTTATTCAAAAACTGTTCGAACACGGAACACAAATGCAAAAGACACTACTTGCCAATACTATGGAGGGACATATTCTTCATCTTTCGTTACAAATGTATGGTTGTAGAGTGGTTCAAAAGGTATACGTCCTTGATATCCGCTGTGTGGTGCCCTGACTTGTTCTAGGCTATAGAATATATACTACCAGATCAACAGGCGGCATTCGTCAGGGAACTTGACGGCCATGTTTTAAAATGTGTCATGGACGCAAATGGGAACCACGTACGTTTAATCCGCACTTTGAAATTCTTGTGCTGATCATCCTTGTAGGTAATTCAAAAACTGATCGAACGCGTGTCTCCGGACAAACTGGGTTTCGTGAGTTCGTTCAGGGGAAGCGTGCACGAGCTTTCTACGCACGCTTATGGCTGCCGTGTGCTTCAACGCTGCCTCGAACACTTGCCTGAAGAACTGGCTCGCCCATTGTTGGAGGAGCTGCACGACTACACCAACACTTTGATGCAGGATCAGTTCGGAGTATGTTGTCATTTTGTGTCCATCACCGCAGACTGACCGGCCTCGCGGGACAGAACTATGTTATCCAATTTGTATTGGAGCACGGACAATCGCACGATAGGACCCAGGTAACAGCTAAACTACGAGGCCAGATGTTGCAGATGGCTCGGCACAAGTTTGCGTCAAATGTCTGCGAGAAGGCCCTTATCTGCGCGGATGCCGAAAGCCGACATATCCTCATAGAGGAGATAATGGTGCCAAAGCAGGATGGCGCAAATCCGGTTATGACGATGATGAAGGATCAATTTGCCAGTAAGTCGCGTTTACTGCATGCCGCTCACGGCTCACCGGGCCTAGATTACGTCCTCCAACGTGCGCTGCAAGTTGCTGAAGGGGAGCAAAGAGAGGCATTAATAGGCATGGTTCGTCCTCAATTGATGAGCATGCGAAAGTATTCCAGCGCATACAATAAACACCTTAGTTCCAGTACGTATCTAGTTCTCTTAATCCTTTCTCTCCGAAGCTCACACCCTAGTTTGACAGTCGAGAAATTACTTGATAAATCTAGTACTCAATCTGGGGAGCTTACTGTCATCCTTCCCGAAGTCATTCTTTCTGGCCGCACCCCTTCAACCCTATAATCCCTTTCTATGGACATACACCACCACACGCTCATTTTTAATTCTGTGATCATCAACTCTGCTTTGTGTCTGCCTGCACCGTCTATTTCCATGTCATGCATCCTATCCTTTGCACATTTTTGTTGGATATTCCTATTCCCATATTGTCGATAGTTTGGTTTTCTTGTTAGTTGTCGTATTTTAACTGGGCCATTTAGTCGTTTGCTCGTCCTTGCTCTCATCCTTGTCATCTGGTTTATACGCATAGTACACAATTATAATTGTCGATTTTTGAGTCATAGTGCATTGCTTCGTTCTGGATAATTACAAGACAAAGTGACGCCAGTTGAAACTTGGACCAAGAAAGACATGGGAGGTGACGTGGGTCCAACCAAAGTGGGCCAAATAGTACGTGGGTACAGTGAGTAGGATCTTCCAAGCTTCAAAGACTCCCAGTCGGCCGCTGTGTCGACCGCCTACACTGCCTAGGTAGCCTCCCCATTTTCCTCTATTTTTCTGCGCAATGGAAGGCGCAGAAGCAGCGGCGTCTCTTTTTGGCTCGGACGACTCCCTAGACCCGTTTGCGACACTGGGAACAGAGTCGACCGAAACGAAAGTTACACAATCGGCAGAACACTTGTTTGGTGTCAGCGACACGTACGCGCCTTCTGGGCACTTGGATACGATTTTCGATGCCCCTGGGGTAGTGGGAAATACGTCAAACAAGACAGAGCAACAGAGTGCAAGGCTCGATGCTGCACAGAATCAGCAGTACAACTCCTCGCAGGCCCCTTATTCACACAATTTAGCATTCGGTGGTACTGGGCACGAGCAGGTTCATGGGGCGTTTGATGGTGCAGGACAGAAGCAAGGACAAGGGCCAGGTATTGATTTCTTTGTATCATACCCTTGTACAGCCATTCACACTATCGAGTAGCTCATGATTACGCTGCGGCAGTAGAACAACGGGAACCTTCGTACAGCGCCTCGCATGATGCCTACTCGCCGCCAGTGAAGTCTATGGTTGCAACGACGCAGTCTAGCTACTCGCATCATGCAGCATCTCCACCGCCTCCTTTGCATACTTACGATTCTCCAGCTTCCCCTTCAACCGTCTCTGCATTTGACCCCCCTGCGTCTTCATTCAGGCCTTCATATTCGTCGTATACACCAACTGCTGCTGCTCAGTACAATCCAACCGCGTATCCATCTGCAACTCCCACTTTTTCTTCATTCCCACCTACCAGTGTACCTGCAAGGCCGACCTCGCCCACGAAGCCAATTGAGAGGCCAAAGGTTTCCAACGCGTATGACCCACCATTTCCAATGACGAAACCACGACGAAATATGTCACGCGGGCCTAGCATGCAACCCAATAACACATTTACTTCGACATCGCCTCCTCCCGCTCTGCCGCCTCCTCCCACTCTGCCACCACCGCCACGCCGGACCACGCCTCATAGCGCTTACAGCACCCCAGCGTACTCTCACCTTCCTCCCCGTCCTTCTCGTACCCCGGATAGCGGCCCGCCCATACCGCCTACAAGCACTTTCAGCCAATCAAATCATGTTGCTCTGCCTGAACAACATGGGCATCCTGATTCGCATTACCCTTCCCAACTAGACACACAGCCGAGGACGAATGGTAGTCAACAATATGCACCTGCATCCTATGATAATCCGCCCTATAAAAACGAGTCGACGTCTCCTTACAGCAAACCTCTTAACTTTAATGGAGGTCTTCTCGAAGAAGACGTCGATCCTGAAGCGTATGCCGGCGCGAATGGCATGATAAATCAGGAAGGTCTGAATTGGAATTCATCGTCACCATTTGAATTGTCGCACGAAGCAGCCGCTCCCGTTCCACCTGTCTCAACCTCCTCGCCTCCGCCTCCCTCTGCACACCACTCAAGTCTTCGTAATGTAAACAATGCGAATGAATTAATGTCTCCTAACGTCGCCTCTACGCAAACATTGTTAACGGATAATGATCGCCACGAGGGAACGAATGGGTCTCAGGCTCCTCATTGGCAAGGACAACATTTCAATACGACGAGTAGGACTTCATCTCCATTTGACAGCACAAAACATCCTGCTGTGGCACAGTCTACTCCCCCCGATCCATATCGTCCTGGTAGCGTGAACTCATCTCCGTCTTCTGCAGTTCATGGTCCCCCCGTTGTAGCAGGAGGGACCCCATCTTTCAGCCTCTACCTACCTCAGTCATCTGTTGGTATACGTCGAACATCCTCCCCTGTTGTGAACAACCGGTCTGTGGAGAAGCCACCTTCTGTTGATCTCTACCGTCCGAAGTCTTCCACCAGCGTCCCAAGAGCATCGTCGCCCAACATCAATCTTATATCTACCCGGACTCCGCCTCCTGCCGATATGTATGTACCTAAAAAGCGTTCTTCCACTAGTTATGATAGCACGTACTCCCCGACTCATGCTTTCAAGCCTCCTCCGCCGAGTCAAAGCTATCTTGCGACAGCTAAACAACCGCCGCCGCCGCCGCCTTCTTTGCCCCGCGGGGAGTCATTGAGAAATCGCTCAATGTCCAATGGTTCTGCTTTATCATCATCGTCTACTGATGCAGAAGATCCGTATGCCCCCGTCCGTCATACTCGTGCGCAAACGAGTGAAACGGATTATGGTACCGTGATTTCTCGTTATGACTACCCAAACCATGAAATGCCCCAAACCTTGGGCGCACCAGAAATGAAGCCCCCAACACATACACCATATGCACCTTCACCGTCTTTGATGGGAACGAATGATCCGCTAGGTCGTTCTTCAGCTCGAATACCGGTATTCAGTTTTGGTTTCGGTGGCAAGGTAGTTAGTTGCTTCCATGGAGCGGCGACACTCAACACTGGATTTGATGTGGCTCTCTCCTCGCGAAATTCTACCGCTGTTGAAATCCGACTTCTCAACAAGATTATTCCTGAATCAGCTTTGGACACATCCGTAACTTTTCCAGGTCCTCTGTTCTCGGATCCTGGCAGTCCTACCACAGGGTTAGTGCGGACAGGCGTTTCAAACCAAGCGAAGACCCGAAAAGCTAAAGTTATCAAGTATCTAACGGATCGAGCCGAGGAAATGAACCAGGGGATTGGATATCTTCATGCGAATAGCTCAGAAAGGCGACAAGCAGACGGAAAGCTTGTACTCCTGAAATTATTGAAAGTCATGGTTGAAAATGACGGTCGGATTTCAGGCTCGTGAGTAACAAACTACATTTGCCTCACGAGTTGCACTCATGCGCTTTGTAGCCCACAAATTGATGCCGCTTGTACGCTCCGCATTGATATCTCAGCTAGATCAAAGTATCAGTGAATCCACCTCTGACTCAACCGTCACTTTGGGCTTTACGCCAGCATTGGAGTCTACAGCCGTTGCTTCATACACCGGTGTCTCTGTACCATCACCGCGCAACGAAGAAACGATCTCCACAACGACTCTTCGCTCCTCAGCGTTGAATAAGATACAAGGCTTTCTTCTTCACGGAGAACGGAAAAAGGCATATCATTATGCATTGGATGAGAAGCTATGGGCACATGCTATGGTTATTGCCAGTGGGATAGACAAGGACGCATGGGAAGAAGTCGTCAACGAATTCCTCAAGACCGAACTAGGTGTGAAAGAAGATATGTCTCGGAATAGTTTACAAGTTCGTGGCAGTGAGGCCATGCTGCCGTCTGTCAATGGACGGGAAGGTTTGCGAGCAGCATATAGATTGTATTCTGGGCAAGGTGCTTCATCTGGTAAGTTAATTGGATTGGTGTTACGCCATTAATACTAATGATTTAACAGTCCAGGAGATGATACCCCAAAACTTGCTCTCAAGAGCAACGGGACATGTGTCACTGCCCGTTCCGGCGCTGCCTCAAATGACGCCTATGACACCGAACTTTACAGTTCCACAAGTGGCCGCCGGTAGTATTCCCACCGATTGTCTCTCAAAGTGGGCTGAGACAGTCAGCATGATGCTGTCACCGTCAATAAACAGTGACACATCATCGGCGCTGTTGGCCTTCGGTGATCACTTATTGGCTAACCAATGGGTTGAAGCTGCGCATGTCTGGTATGTCGAAGGCTTTGATGGTCGTGGCTATTTTGACGTGGCATTTCAGTTACCTACTTTCCTCACAGACACCGCCAGCTAGTAGCACCGTTCTTCCTCCGATAGGCGGCATTGGACACCCTACGGCAAGACTGATACTCGCAGGTTCACGCAGTCCCCAGGCGTGGCCGAATTTCCATAAAGATTCCGACCCCGTAATATTTTCCGAGATTATCGAGTTTGCGCTATCTTTGGCTACGCCGACTAAAGGCCAAGAACCCTTTGGGGGTTTACCTCACCTTCAGGCGTATCGGTTTATCAGAGCGGCCACTTTGGCTGAATTTGGTTATGTGCAGCTTGCTAACAGGTAGAGTCCCTCCTTTCTGACACTGCCAGTTTGCCGATCTTGTCATTAGGTATTGCGAAGCCATTTTGGCTAGCATGTCACGACCTTCACCGTACTTCAATGAAACACTCATAGAACAGCTGAAGGGTTTGTCTGATCGTATCGCTGGTGTGTCACTTGTGGACAAAGGTGGTTCGTGGATGAGTGGAAAATTGAGTAAACCAAGTCTGGATACGATAGGCGGATGGCTAGAAGGGCGCTTCACGAAACTTGTCACTGGTGATACCGAGGCCACAGTTGCTACCGAAGAAGATCCGTCGAAAGTTGATGACCGCAGCGGTAATATGGGGCCATTCTCACAATATAGCTCCATCTCGTCTGCGGCTCCGTCCGCGGATCCGTCTCCCCATTCTTCCGTGGTGAATCTTCCCATTGCTCCAGGTCGCACTGGATCTGCAATGTCGACTCATGGATATCGGCCACCAGACCGGGCCGCTTCAGCCATGGACACAATTCGCCGAAAGCAATCACCCCCTCTCCCGCGTATATCGTCTGCTTCTGCAACAACGACGATGTTTGCGCCGTCACATTCTTTTGGGCAAGCGTTCTCGGATTATAAGCCTTTGGGTACTATGAATGAGGTCGATGTTGCGACACCCAAACCGTCGTCTGATGAGGCTGATGATGATCCAAATACGCAAGAGGTCACTTGGTGGGGAGATGGTTTGTCTTCACGAACACCAACTGCGACGAACTTTGTAAAAGTCGACGATGCTGCTGTGACGTCTGCAGATGGCTTCATATCCCTGATGGATAATACCGCCTTCGCACTTGCGCCCCCACCAGCAACAGCTTCGCGCTCACCTAATAATGTTCCCGATGAGGTGGACGAAGAGGAAGATCTAGGGTTTGGGAACTCCAAGCCTAAGGATAAACCTTTCGATGACAAAAACGCTGAATCTGAAGAGAAGAAAGAACAGAAGACTGCTGCTCCTGAACGACCTGGCATGTTTGTTTTGCGGTTTACTGTTGTTGGAGTACTGATGTTATTACAGATCCTAAGCCAGTTGCAAATTCAAGCGGTAGCAGCAGCGGATCTTGGTTCGGTAGATGGTGGAAACGAGGTGAATCCTCCGGACCTGTCAAAGCCAGTCTAGGAGAAGAAACATCATTTTACTACGATAAGGAGCTGAAACGATGGGTTAATAAAAAAGTCAGTGATTTCGCCTTTCTTTAGAATTCTGCTTATATTATGATACATAGGCTGGAGCTGATAGCAGCAGCTAAACCTGCCCCACCGCCTCCTCCGCCATCAAGACCGGCGACGACATCCCCAGGCATGTATACAGGTATGTCGCCTCCGACCGATTCGATGGATGGACGACCACCTGTTCGACCTGCTTCTGCTGCCGAATCTTCAACGGCACCACCGAATCGACGGGCAATTCCACGCGTTCGTTCGAACTTGGTACCTACTCCTGAAGTAGAGCCCGGACCTCCTACACCCCCCAGTGCTCGACTTGGGCCGCCGCCACCATCTCCTATGCCAGGACGACCCAAGTCGCAAGGCTCGAAGCGACCTATTCGTAACCGCTACGTAGATGTGTTTTCTCAAGACGCTCCCCCCACATAGGACGGTTGAGCTCATAGACTAAAGTCATTATTTTATTTAGGATTTTACTCCATATATCGTTTGGAACGAGCTGTATTCTTACTGGTATGAGATGAATTAAAGTAAAGCCGGGGTTTTGGTACGTAACATCGTACTTTACGAGTTTGTCAGTCACAAAGAAAACCCGCCATTGTGGTTGAGAACACGAAAAGCACTTGAAGTTGCGTGAGAGTCAATTTAGTCTCTCGTAGACAGACGCAACATACACGACTACGGTGGGGGTGAGGTTGTAGTGAGTGTATGGAGTCTGTTGCTTAAATAGGCCATCCACCGTTCAACTCAGTTATTACAAATCTGATGACACGTGATCACACCTATTTCGTTAATTACTTGCACCACGACGCGTCCGGTATCTGCTTTGAGCCTCCAACACTATTTTTTCACGCATCAATAGCTCGGAATACCTAATCGATGGATCAAACGACTCCTCAAGAGTCTGCCACCACTCGTAAATGGTCTAGAAAAAGGCCCCCCGCCCCCCATTCCTGTCATTCCGCCCCCACTTAATCGTTCATCACCCGAATACCTTAGAAATATCATCGATGGTGTCGAAAATGCTCCACTATACTCGGCGCCTTCACTTCCTACACCTCAATAGGCACCCCGACCTTATCGTCGAGCTGCTCCACCCCTTCCTATTCCAACCATACCTCCGCCCATTGATCCTGCCATCGCAGAAAAGACACGGTAGAAGGACCAGGAGGTAGCGTAGCAGAGAGACCAATTACAGCTAAAGTTGAAGGCAATCGTCCACGGAAGAAAGCACCAATATGCTTGAAGCACGGACGGAAGCTACGTCCCCATTGAAGTATGAGGTGACATTCTCCAGCACAAGCGTAGATGATGTTGTCGCGGAACGTGTCAGAGGCAGATATCCTGCGCCACTCCAGTCCTCTGAGATGCTCTGGGTCGACGCAAATGACTTGCCATATCGCGCATGACGAGATTTCTTCAGCTATGGAGCGTCCAGCTTTGCGAGTTTCTGTCAGAGTCTCATGGGTATAAGCCAGGCCATTGATCCCGAAGTCCTTCAGTCCAGATACCTATCATCATTGCTAAAGAGATACTAAGAGGTAGAGGAGACAGGATGCATACAATATTTGCCGCTAAACCATTCGTCGGAGTCACCACAATGCCTACAGGAAGTTTCCGACAGCGAAATCTGGGATAGGCTGTTGGATTTCGGGAGAGCTCTTGGTGTACAAGAATCGGAATAGCAAACGAAGCTGATTTTCCACTACCAGTTGCGGTGCACAGCAGGACGTCTTCGCCATCGAGAATCCGGGAAACAGCCAGTGCTTGGATGTCAGCAAGTCCATCTTTCCATGACGGAACAAGCCTTTTGACAATGCCTTGAAGTATTTCCAGACCATGAGGGTGTTGCCAACGATAAGAAGATGCCATGAATGGCTCTGGTAGTGAGCGAAGGGACAAACGGACGCGCCTGGCGTGCCAGATACGAGCGGAAGGAAGGGAAGTGCACGGTTACTCAAAATTGACTGCCATCAAATTATGTAAGGCTTTGTCATAACGCCCTTGAACGGCAACCCCCCCGCGTTAAACAATAGACTAGAGTCAATTACTTGAAGAGCAAAAAGAGACTGTCCAATGCCTTCAATTATCTTCGTCTGATATATCTCCGGGTAAGAAAGCTACCTGGTATTCTGTGTGTGAGATATATGAAGGCGACATATAAGTCCGACCCCCACTACGACTGGAGATTTGTCACAAGACAAGTATGGGGGCACCTGCGCTCTGGACTGCTTTTTATTCAGCTTGGTTGCAAGTTCGATTTTGCAGGAGACTTCTACTCTAGGTATGAGCATGTACACGACATAGCCAATCGCGTCAAGCCGACGTGCAGATGTAGCATACCAGTTGTAACAGCTGGCCACTGACAAGGCTATGGGTCTGTGGCAAGTGCTAAGTCATATAATTTAGATGGCACCGACTTGTGTAGCCCGCATAGCTCAGTGGTAGAGCATTGTACTTATGAGGATAACTTGGCCATCATGCAAGGGTCTCCAGTTCGATCCTGGGTGGGGGCATGTTTTTTCTTTTTTTCCTTTTTGGGAGTATTCTATTATTTATTAAATTTTTGCCTAAATATTAAATCGTTTATTAAATTAAAGAATTATTTAATCCCTGCCTTCGGTCCCTCAACTGACTCCACGAATAGAATAAGTCATTTGTATAGAAAGCCTAACGGTCGCGCTTCAGACATATGCCATTCTGAATTTCAAAATGCCATTTATAGTAATCGGACCCAGGGAAGTGCGTTGTTAGTATGACCAATTCAATGAAACAAGATTAATCAACCATATAAGGATAAAGTACTTAGGTCTTAGGAGTAGTCACCTATACACCTCATAAGGCCGGCCTTGTATACAATTCCCTGTAGGCTCAGGAATTAAATTGTACACAATCCTGTGGGGCCTGTAGGCCTGATAAGTATACACATGTATGAGGGCCTAAATCCAACCTAAATCCACATTTTCTCAACTATTAGGCACATTTCCCATCGGGATGGGCCGGAATTTTCCGTGGGATCTTTCATAAAAATCTAAAATTAGCCTGTGAAGTCATCCCATCAATATCTGGCCGAAATCGGCTGGATGCGACCAAATGATGGCATCATAGGGGCTATTTTCCGGTCAGAATAGGATTTAGGCTGGCTTCTGGTAGCTGGATGGGTCAGGAAACAGTACTATAATGTTCATGAACCTAAATAACATAAAAGCGAACCTACTGATGAGGTATGGGGGCTCTGGAGAGTGTGTAATATAGGTAATTTCGCAAAAATGGCTGCAATATTTGCTTTTTTGGGGTTTTTTAGGGTGATACATGCATTGTATTGACCAGGGAACATCACCAATGAATTTCCTGACCTTGAAAACCCCTAAAATATCCCTCTATAGCACTTGTGGCACATTTTATTACCAGGATTAGATGAACACATTAGCTTTTTAAGAGAGGATTGGGGTGCACATATGGTTTATTTTATTTTCTGAGCTTCGAATGAGACTGGGATTGTTACCAATGAATTCCTTGATCTTGAAAACACTGAAATGACTATAGGAACAATTTATCAGGCTCTATAAATGGTAGTAATGATAATATTACAGTTTAGGAGGAGCACATATGGAAAATCACCTTTCTGTACCTCGGAATACTTCGGAACTTCTACCAGTCTGTTCATTGACCTCAAAATACCTCGTATAACACAAGGATTTAAAGAAAACCTACAAAAATACATGTTAAAAAAGAGTAATAGGGGATGGAGGAGATATACCTTGTATTACGCATTTCTAGTGGTTGGAGAAGGTATTCCTGTTATCTATTAGACGATATATATTCTATAATCATTTGTACAAATTCCCACATTTATCCGAAATGTATTGGAAGAGATATAAGCATATCATTTTGCAAATAATGAGGAGCACATCCCCAATTTCGATATTCTGATCATTCTATAGCTTGGGGAATGTCAGAATCGGATTCCTTGACCCAAAAATGGTAGGGTCACCAATCATCCAGGGTTATTTTATCAAGAAAACATCTAATGGTAAGAACAAATCAGACTGCAGCAATTATCAAGGAAAGTTCATATTGTACTTCAGAGTGTTGACACTTCACTTCCCATGGATTATTGGTGACCCTACCATTTTTGGGTCAAGGAATCCGATTCTGACATTCCCCAAGCTATAGAATGATCAGAATATCGAAATTGGGGATGTGCTCCTCATTATTTGCAAAATGATATGCTTATATCTCTTCCAATACATTTCGGATAAATGTGGGAATTTGTACAAATGATTATAGAATATATATCGTCTAATAGATAACAGGAATACCTTCTCCAACCACTAGAAATGCGTAATACAAGGTATATCTCCTCCATCCCCTATTACTCTTTTTTAACATGTATTTTTGTAGGTTTTCTTTAAATCCTTGTGTTATACGAGGTATTTTGAGGTCAATGAACAGACTGGTAGAAGTTCCGAAGTATTCCGAGGTACAGAAAGGTGATTTTCCATATGTGCTCCTCCTAAACTGTAATATTATCATTACTACCATTTATAGAGCCTGATAAATTGTTCCTATAGTCATTTCAGTGTTTTCAAGATCAAGGAATTCATTGGTAACAATCCCAGTCTCATTCGAAGCTCAGAAAATAAAATAAACCATATGTGCACCCCAATCCTCTCTTAAAAAGCTAATGTGTTCATCTAATCCTGGTAATAAAATGTGCCACAAGTGCTATAGAGGGATATTTTAGGGGTTTTCAAGGTCAGGAAATTCATTGGTGATGTTCCCTGGTCAATACAATGCATGTATCACCCTAAAAAACCCCAAAAAAGCAAATATTGCAGCCATTTTTGCGAAATTACCTATATTACACACTCTCCAGAGCCCCCATACCTCATCAGTAGGTTCGCTTTTATGTTATTTAGGTTCATGAACATTATAGTACTGTTTCCTGACCCATCCAGCTACCAGAAGCCAGCCCAAATCTTATTATGACCGGAAAATAGCCCCTATGGTTACTGTTTCTTAAATTGGATGTGACTGTTACAGCTGACCAATGTTGTGACCGTGATTCCGAGCTCGGAAACTCAGTCACACAATTGGTCAGCTGTGACTGTGATTCCGAGCTCGGAATCACGGTCACAACATTGGTCAGCAGTGACCATCTGTTCTCAGTCATGCAATTGGTCAGCAGTGAGACCATGTGAAGGGATCAGAGGATCACATGACTCATACGCGTTCACAAAGTAGGCCAATTTATCAGTGTGAGGTGAGAGTCTTGGTGCAGACATTGTGTGACAGAAGAGATTTAAGGCTATGTTGAGGGGAAGACACATTGTGTGAATAGTAAGGTGTGTACTCACATGCAGTGTACTGATGAGATACAAATGATTATTTAAATAGTTGGAACACTCTCATGCTTTCCATGATTTGACACACAAGATAGTGAAGGCATTTGATGCATATACACTGGGGAGCAGGCCCTATGCCTGCACTATGATGGAGATTCTGTATCAGACCAGTTATATGATAATCAGATAGACATGAAAAGTTATGATGATAGGACTGATGACTCAGTCTTTTTCCATCTGGAAAATCAGGTCAAGTGCAGGTGAAAGTGGTACTGATGCATTATATTTCTTGAGATAGGAGAGGAAGACAGACCCGACATTGTGCATATTATTAATATCAATATTTCTTGCGGTGAATAATCAAATACAATTTTGGTTATATATAATATACTTTTAGTTATTATGTATATTAGTATAGATGATATAATGTCCAATTATTCTAAATCCGTAAGCCATTGTGTCCCAGGGGTACTCAGGTACCGATCTATTCGGAATGACATATGTCTGAGGCGCGACCGTTAGGCTTTCTCTACATTTGAATTCCAATACTATGAGTTTTCGTAAACTAGTCTTAAGAAAACCGTCCCTCCATCTACTTTAACTAATCTCCTCTGCCGAGCTTATCTAGGGAGCGTATACCCTGCTCGAACCATTCTTCGCGTGTTATCCAGAACTCTTCTCGGCCTTTCATAATATCTGCTAGGACGGCACCGCCAAGGAAGACCATGTGCTTCCTCCGGGGAGGATCCTCAATCTTGATTTTGAATTTCTGCAGTGAGGACAATCAGCATTGTAGAGAGTTACGGGATAGATACGCACATTTAACCTCGAAGGATCACCCTTGAGCACCTCGACAAGATAGAGCTGCTTCATCTCTTTCTCCAGCCGGCTAGGAAGCCCTGGGTACATACTCGATCCACCAGAAAGAACGACGTGCTTATAAAGCTCAGAGCGGACATCAACAGCAGCGGCCTGGATGGTTTGGAAGAGCGTTTCTACATCAAGGGGTTAGCAAATGAAGTAGAACACGGTATAGACCATTACCCGCGATGCCAGGCTGTTCCACATCGATCAGGTGTGGTTGGAACATGCATTCTGGAGCTTCGAATCGCTCCTCTGCAACTTTAATTGTCCGTCCGTCAGGGAGCTGTTCGCTTTATTAGTTTAGAGCTATACATATCAAAGTGCCTGACCTGATAGCTTTCGACTAGCACTGTGGTCTCCTCTGAAAGACGTGTATCAAGCTCCAAATCGTAGCTAATGGCAAATTATCAACAACGATCCTTCGGAGAGACAGAAGAACTCACCTGACGTAGCAGAGTTTCTCCTTGATCGCTCGCACCGTCTCAAAGTCTGCTGTTCGATTCAATGCATATCCCCGTCTCAGCAACAGCTTAATCAGATATCTCGTTACGTCGCGCCCTGCGATATCAAGTCGCCGTGTGAGATGGGGCATCGCAAATCCATCGTATACCGGAACAATATGAGTCACGCCGTCGCCAGAGTCCACGACGACACCCGTTGTCAATCCTTTCGAACGATGAGCGCAGTCAGAAATGACGGTACAGCAACGTACCCTGCGCATACAACGTCAACACGGCCTGGATGGCAACATACACTCCATCAAATCCGTATTCCTCGAACATAACTTGGCACATCCTCTGCCTGTTCACCTTTGGATTCATCGGGGGCTCTGTCAGCAGCACTTTCCGTCCCCTGGGATCCACTTTGAGCTTCTCATCAAAGGTGTAGTCCCACAAATGTTTCATATCCTCCCAGTTGCGTATGATTCCGTGCTCCATCGGCTGCGTTATCTGAAGGTAGTTTCGGTTCTCTGCTGCTTCATCGCCAATCATGATATCTTTAATGGTCGCGTTGCCAACTCGTTCTTCAGCTCGGAGAATGGGACGGCCAACAATAGAAGGAAATACTGAGGCATTTGTCAGTACGGTGAGAGATGATATAAACGAGCTCAGGACGCACCATGCTCGGGAAAGTTGGAGCCTGCGTATCCGACTTTGACGAACTGCGCAGGGTGAGTGTGTACGTCTGAAGTAAGAATTTGGTACACGTACACCGGTACCGTTGTCGACGACGAGAGGTGGCCCAGGATCCATTATGGTTAGGGAGGAGATGAGAGGTCGGAAATGTTTGGCAAGATTTGTCTGGCGCCTCTGTCGACACGGGCGGCGGTGATGTCATTGACCCTGCTTTCAACGATGCTTAGAGCAGGTATTCAGCGTCTTGCTGCTCGACGGCTGTACTCGTCAGATGCAGCCTACAATTTCGAAGCGTTGGACAAATGGATCGCCTCGCCGAAACAGTACATTCTGAACGACACCCTCCATCCAGAGCATCTATCTGATCTCTATGTGACTCTTCCTACCCGCGACGGAATACGCAAACCGTTCCATGCGCCAGAGCCGTCGACACCGATGGGTTACGGTCACCATACAACATTCTTCTACCCTCGCATTCCTGAGCCCTTCCTGCGTAGAGACGGCACGGATGCAGATTTCTGTCCACCGGAACCGTTCACTCGCAGGATGTGGGCAGGCGGAAAGATATCGTGGATGGCGGGAAACCCTCTGCTTATTGGTGGCAAGGCGACTGCTAAAATGACGATAGGCTCTGTCGAAAAGAAGAACTTTGACCGTGGACGTCCTATCGTGTTTGTGAACAAGAAAATCGAGATCTCCATGGAGGATTCGGCTGTTCCCTCTGTGGTTGAGGAAAGGGTGCATGTTTATTTGCCCGTTGCTGCTACAGTTAAGAAGGAGCCTCGTCAAGGTAGGTACAGTGATCTCTTTCAGAGTCAATAATTTCTCTAATACTACATGAAACCCAGTTCCTGGGATACCAAACTCATCTGATTTCTCATTCACTTACAAGCCGACGCTGACGACATTGTTTCGATTTTCTGCGCTCACCTTCAATGCGCACCATATCCATCTAGACAAGGATTATGTGCGCAACTTTGAAGGATATCCAGGCCAGTCTGACATGGTACCAATGTCTCCTTTCTGACTCGTCTGTAGAGCGTCTAGTTCACGGACCTCTTACGGCCCTCATGATGCTTGAAACAGCCACTGAGCAAAACCCGGGTGTCGAGATCAAGACATTCGAATACCAGGCCACGAATCCTCTCATCGTCAATCGACAACATACAATCTTTGGACAATGGACAGGCGACAAGGCATTTATGTGGTGTCAGGACGAAGACGGAGTGGTCGGCATGACGGGAACGGTCATTTTTGACTAATTGTAGCGGAGAACGCATGAATGGATCACATATAGAAACACAGCATTTATATAAAGGAGACAAAGAGATATCGGTTGATGAAGTCTAATCAGAGGCATTAATACTATCTACAATATCCCTGTATACACTCCCAACAGATGGTCAGATGATACCAATTTGTAGTCGTCTTCCCTGGGTGCTCGTCATGATGAATGAGTACTTGGAGAACTGCGGTAACACATGAAGTATAAATTGTTAGCACAAACATGGCCGGGGTCTGACTTAGTGAGAGCCCCTGTCTTGACGCGTCGTGGCACGTGATGCATATTGAAACTCCGCGCGTTATTTATATTGGATTGTCTGTTTGTTGCCGTCGAACCGCCCTTGACCAGAACCACCACCTTCTCCTCAAGTTATCACCACATCCTCACACATTCTCAACCGCAATGGCACCCAAGGTATATACTGCGTGCCCTATCGCCCATATCACTCGTCTAATGTGCTTGTAGCCCGCCTCAACTGCTTCCAAAGCTCCGGCTTCAACCGCTGGCAAGGCGCCAGCTAAGACAGACACCAAGGCTGCGAAGAAGACTGCCAGCAAGAGCAAGGCTGCAGCACCCGCCGATGGCGAGAAGAAGAAGCGCAAGAAGTCGAGAAAGGAGACTTACAGCTCGTATATCTACAAGGGTACGCGTCGGTTGGCTTATCTTGGACCATGACTCATCTCCTGACGCGTCATCTTTTGTGCAGTCTTGAAGCAGGTTCACCCCGACACTGGTATCTCCAACAAGGCAATGGCCATCCTCAACTCCTTCGTCAACGACATTTTTGAACGTGTTGCTACCGAGGCTTCTAGTGCGTTGTGATGCTGTTTCGCCGTCACGTACTCAATCTAATGTCTTATTTGCAGAGCTCGCCGCCTATTCTAAGAAATCAACCATCTCCTCCCGTGAAATCCAGACCAGTGTTCGTCTCATTCTTCCCGGTGAACTAGCCAAGCACGCCATTTCTGAGGGAACCAAATCTGTCACCAGTACGTGTCATATATCGTCTTCATCTATGATCATGTTCTCATGGTCTTGCGAACAGAATTCTCTGCCGGTGGCAAGTGAACGGGATTTGTATCCGTAGCCGGATGGTACTTTCATTTCACTTTTGCTTTGTATTCTAGTCATCTTATTCCACCATCCTGACGGGCTACGTACCATCTATATATTATAGAGCATATCTAGTCTTGTCGTACATTTGTAGCCCGGGCATTATATATATTTATACAGATGTATGGATGCACGTAAATAAGAGGGTAAATCAGAACCCTGTGAGTGTAAATCAGAACGCAAGACAGTAGTAAGCAACGCCGGTTATGCGTACCGTATTTGTTCCCAGCCTCCTTACGGTTGCGTCTGCCTTCCGCAATTTTCTCTTCCAGAACTTCTCTGTTCTCGTATGCCTCCTTGAGCATCGTTGACAGCTGATGTCTGGAGCGAGCAATACCGCTGAGCTTGGATGCCTAGAAAAAAGAAATTAAACAAGGAATAAATGCCAAACAGCGCGAGAAACTGACGTTGATGTTCATTTTCGGTTTCTCAGGAGCATCTCCAGCACCCTTCGTTATCGCCTTTCTCTCTTCTCTCTCCTTGATCTCCTTCTTGGCTCGCTCCATCTCCGTCTTAGCGTCGACGTCCTCCATGCCATCCTTCTCCATACCCTCAAAGCCTTTCGCAACACCCTTCTCCAAAGCCCGAACCTGGTCATTGTACTCCTTTTGCCACCTCTTCAGGAACTTTGCATAATACTCTGGCTCGTGCGCCTTCCATGTGCCTGAGGGAAGTTGGTAGTACCCAGGATATTCGTCGTTCATTGTCGGTTCTGGTGGTTCAAAAGTTGGAATGGCTGGTGCGGAAGATATGCTGATGGAGGATGACGAAGGGTCAGTGGGCTTGGGTGTAGAGGAGGAGGAGGCGCCTGAGTATATAATATAAGTAACGCATAAAAGCCATTTCGATAGCACTCCTCACCTAATGAAAAGAAATCCAAGGCAGGAGCAGGAGCAGCAGTCCGAGCAGCAGGCTTGGGTCTCTCTTCTTCCAATGATATGTTGGACCTCCCTTTTGCCAGCGACGGTGGCAGAAAGGGTATTGAAGGCCCTGGCCCTGGCGCTTCGCCCTCGCCCTCGTCGGCTGACGGTGCTGAAGGCAGATTGAAGGACAAAGCCTGACCCTTGCCGCCACCCAGGACTCGTTCTGTCGGAGCAGGTATGGGGTTTTTCTGTTTTGGCGCCGGAAGCATAGACATCAACGATGATGTCCCAGCACCAGACTCCAATCGAGGCTTCTTCGCGACAGGTTTGGATATCTCTTCTTCATCTCCGTCGTCTTTCACAGACTTGAGTGAGGGCAGAGCAATCGCGATTCGCTTCTTTGTCCTAGGAGGAGGTAGGGCAATGCTGGATGATGAGGTCGTTTTGGACTGAGGTTTCAATGACTGACTGATTATGCCACTCGAAGTCTGTGGTTTTGTCTCGGTTTCCCCATCGCTCTCACTGCCGCTGCCATAGTCTTCGAGTCCGAGCATAGAGTCAAGTGCAACTTTTTTGTAATAGCGGTAAGAAAGCGCAATGTAATGGCCGAGGTGAAGAAAGAACAAAGTCACGCGGTAGCCAAATAAATTATGCCAGTAAACAGAAAGAATCATATTTATGCAATGTGTAGAATAATCAAAACAGCTTCTTACTTAAAGATAGTCGCGTCTAGAGAGTGTGTGATAGCAATATCTAACAAGTATCCCATAATGTCCGATCCCTGTAGCATTGCCGATGATTTCCCAGTTCGAAAACGAGGTGAGTAATAACACAGTCCAAAATGATTATGCCTTCTAATGTCCGAATAGAAAAAAAAATAAACGTCGTGATCATGGTCGTGCTAAACATACCCATAAGCATCCGGAATCTCAGAGAGGTGCATCTCAAAAAAAAACTTACATAACTGTTCTTTACGGTAGAACCAGAAGTAACCAATGACAATTATCAATTGGCAGATCAGTGCTATCCAGAATATAGGTTCGGCCATGGGACTCCCTGTGTGATACGAATCAACACATAATCCGACTAGAAAGATTTGTTCAACAAACCTTTGAGACCCTCGTCAAAGTCCCACTTAGCAGCATCAGGGAACACGCTTCCAGGCCCAATACGATTTGGCGCAGTCGCTCGAGCGATCATGACACAAATCGAACCGATAATTTGAGAGAATGCCAGCGTGGCACAAACGTGCAGCCGTGAAAGTGTCTGGAGCAGGATCATACCGAGACCAACTCCCTGAACGGCATCTAAAACACCGAGCCACAACCACAGTGACAAACCAAGGTATGGTCCACCACTTCCCGCCCAAGGAATATAGAGCGCAAGCGAAGAAGTACCCCACATCATCTGACACCATTTGGGTGCACCGAGACCCACCGCGAACACAGGCAGAAGCCACGTATGTGTTTTACTGAAGTGCGTAAGGATGCCAAGAAGCGCTCCCCAAACACCAATGAAGAAAGCGATGACCAAGAGAAGAATCTGATATGTTGGAATAGGAACATCCCACAAGAAACTCCAGTTGCGTCCGTAAGGCTATACGAGGATAGACAGTTAAACATACATTGGATAGAAGTTGGACAGGCACTTACCCCACTGAGCCAGTAGTCTCGAAGGATTTCGGACGCAAGGAACCATATAACCAGTTTACGGCGGAACAAGGTTTTCAAGAAGTGAGGCACCTTGGGCGGTGTTTGACGATAGTACTCTGAAGAGGTGATGAGAAACCGAAAACATGCGAAACAATGCTCTACGACTCACCTGGAAGACCGTAAAGCATCAAATAAGCGAAGATGAAACTCATGAGGGCCAGCGGCCAGACGATGAGAACAATCCACCATGGCGGCGTATAATCGTCTGATTGACCAGTTAGGGAATGGCCCCAGTACCACAGTGCCGCCACCCAAATCTGCTGGGAACCTTGGACGATACATGCACGAAGAGTCCACACCTCCGTCGCAGCACCCGCTTCTTCACCAAAGTTGAGGCCAAAGAATAAGAAGGCGGCGGCCGAGGCGACGGCATAACACCAGGTCGCTGTGCTCGCAAGTGCTCTATGTGCAGGCTTGATTGAAGAAGAGACCGAAGGGAAACCGACCAATAGGAATGCAAGACCGAAGAAAATCCAAGGTGCGGACAGGACATATACAGATGGCTTCAGTCTGAACAGAGGATACCACACCGCAGATGCAGCAAGGAATACACCACCAAGGACATAAAGCTGAACATCGTCTTGCCAACTTCGACCAGTCAAAAGAGTGATCTGGAAGCTTGTTGCACTCAACATCTGCAAAAGCATTGAGAGGGTATACGATGCCATTGAAGAAGCATATCTCACCTGACCCGCAGCGATGACAATAGTATACAATGGCCAGCCCCATATTTCACGAGACATGGCGATCTGTAGCCCTGTCATGGGTATGATTTCAGGGGCGCCTGCATCGTTACGAAGGGGTCCATCATATTCAGAAGAAAAGGCTTGCGTGTTAGGCGCTAGCGGAAAAGGTCAGAGTAAGTCAAAAATTGGTGATTGTAAACGTACAATCAGGGCGAGAGTATATTGATGGAGAAGGTGTTCCCCAGACGGAATCACGCTGCGATGACCTGATACTGGCAGCACTGTCGAGTTTGTCCTTGCGAACTTTGCCAAAGAATGCTTCTTCGCTTTTGACGAGGAACTTCTCGATGGACAGTTCGTGCTCCGAGTTTTTAGCATTGAGGGCCTGCAGTTTTTGAACGAATTCCGAAGCGACTCCGCCATCAGCATCAGTGAACTAGAACTCAGTGTTAGGTCATTTTCATTAGACGAAAGAACAGTCATACCGAGGCGATGGCTTTGTTCAAAGGCGAGTTGGACTTTTCATCAACGATAGACGAGATCGATTCAACCGAAGACACGCGAGAGTGGGCGCCAAACGGACGATTGGGTGTGAGATTTTCATCCAAGAATGGATCTGGAGCATGGCGCTGGTCCCGGGCAATGGTGCGATTGGCCCTCTCGAGGAAATCGTTGTATCCTGGACCAGGCTCCAGTGTACTACCGCGCGAATGGCTGAAGTAGTCGTCATCTTGACCGCCGTCGGTAGTAATCGAATTGCGAGAGCCATCTGGAGGGAGTAACCGAGGTCCACCAGACGGTGTAAGAGTATCTTGACTCCATTGACCGGGAGAGCCAGGCGTATTGGCATGAGGACTGTCAAGCATGCTGTTTCGGTCCCACTCAGGCTGAGACGGGTAAGCCTGGTTGACAGGGTTCCAATCATCGGTATCTGCCATAGGACGAACACCAGCGCCATCACAATCAGACTCCCGCCAAGCATCACCGCCGGCGATAGCACGGCTGGTGGTGATGCTGCGCTTGTGGAAATCTTCCATTCGCTGACGCCATTCGACCACAGGGAAACGTTGGACGGCAGATCGGGCCCGGAGAACCGCGCGTTCTTCCTCGGTGGACTTCAGAGCCATTTTGATAGTTTTGGTCAACTGTGAGAGCATGTGTGCCGTTGAACTGGATTCTACAGGATACCACTATAACAAGAGAGATAGGTTAGTCGTCAATCGTTAATGAATGAAATGAATCACTAACCCAACCGGGCATTAAACCCAGACCTCCAAGACGACTTCCGACTCCGAGAGCACCTTTCCTACCAAATTCGACAGCTACAAGACCAAAAGGCTCATCACGCGAGGGAATCAGAGCAAAATCGGCACCACTGAACAGATAGGGAGGGAGCGCTGTGAACTCAGGCTTTGAGTAGACCCGATCCGGGAACATTTCCATCAGTCGCGCTAGCTTTTCGGCGGCGAATCGCCCATACAAGTCAATAACAGGACCAACAGCAATGAGCTGAATAGTGGGTCGTTTCTCCAACCTGTGTGAAAGTTTAAGTTGAGATGACTGTAGTTATGAGGGAAACTTACAAAGAAGGCATTACATCAGCAATGAGATCCACACCTTTTTGTTTGGACCAACGACCGACGAATACGAACAAGTCAGAATCGGGATCTTGTTTGATCCCAGCCCATTCTTGTGCTTGGCGCTTGTGTTCCGGGCGGGCGGCTTCTGCAACTTCGTCGATTTGAACGTCCTTGGCCTTTGTGGGAGCTTCGTCCAACGCTTCAATATCACTGGGATCAGGATTGGGCAAGGAATCGACATGCTTGAGCGTCCAAAGGGCAGGGTATCGGGCCCAACTGCGTTTACCATACTTGTCAGACACACCAGCCACACCAATACTTTTCTGGTGGACACTGATGAAGGAAGCGGCCGCATGCAGCAAGTTGAACGTGTTTCCGAACTGAACATATTTAGTGCAATGCTCCTTGCTGATATTGAATGCCGAGCAAACTTCCTTCATTTCTTCCTTGGTCCGAAGTGGCCAGAGACCCTGGAATTCGGCATTGTGAAGCGACAGACAACAGGGGAGGACCTTGGGTAGGAGATAGATGGGCGCCAAAGCACCATGGTAGTCGTTCACATGGTAGATATCGACAGTGGGATTGCGACGAACAGTAGCGGCAATAGCTTGGTTCCAAGTCGAATAGAAGATAGCGGAACTGAGATCGTCCATGCGAGCCGGATAAGGATCAGCTTTGGTCTGGGCGCGGAATACGGGACTATCAAGGATAACATATGTGATGTTGTCCAAAACGTGAGTCTCCACCTCAATGAGATAGGGCTCGCCGAAGATGATAACCTCGATGGGTTCGGCGGGATCTCCAGCTGGGTACTCCACGTCCTTGACTTTCGGCACGACCCAAATTAAGTCGACATCAGTCATTGCTTTACCCATAAGACTGGACATAACACCGAGACCACCGATCTTGACCTTGACCTTCCAGTCGATGATCTCGTACTCGAGAGTAGCGATAAGCACTTTCCGGCGCTTGTTCTTATCCTCAGGCCAAGCCTATAATCTCTCCGATGTGTTTGTGATGCCCGAAAATGCCTCCTCCCTTCTCTGGCATTCCTCCGTCTTTCAGGTCCGACTGGGATTTATTGCCCAAAACGCCCAGAATGGGGAAGTAGCTGTTAGTCTTCGCTTTCACGCCGTATTGATTGTGTTTGATACCGTAGAATGACCACATGAAAACGAGAACGGCGAGAGTACCGGTGATCAAGGGAATGGCAAGCAGTAGAGCGTACATGATAGCACCGACGGATGCTTGCCCACGTGGCTTCAGCCACCATCTCATGGTAGAGTCGTCAACAAGTAGCGACCAGGCAAGATGGGGAGATGGTGGAGCAGACATGTTCACGTAGTTGGGAGCAGCGGTATTTGGAGGAAGTCGGTCGAGAATGCCATCGCCATCAACATCTCCGTAGTAGTAGTCATCGAAACCCCAGACATTGAGCTGGACGTACGTCGGCCACTGAGCCATGATTTCCAGTTCCCAGTAGCCGTCATCATTCTGTTCCATCACGCTCGACAGACCGCTGTCGAAACCCCAAGTGTTGTAAGGGCCACGAGCGAGTAGCTGAGGAACGCGCCGACGAGCTCCGGACCAACCATAGTCTGCGTGAACTACAGCAGCCGTTGACATTGTGGCTCGACTCCAATCTAGATCACCATTAGTGACAGAAACAACATAGTAGGATTTCAGAGCGTACACTGCACAATGATATGATCGCCATCCCAAAACAAGTCAGAGTCCGTGAAGACGCCAGAGTCGATCGTCGTTGTATCCTCCCAGTCAGCCCAGCTTGTCCAGTTTTGACCAAAGTTCCACGAGTACCTGAACTTTTCGGCGCCGTAAGCTTTGTGAGTGAACGTGTACTTGCCGTCCGACTTGGTAAAGACGTCATCATTGTAGTCGTTCTCGGGGAAGACCATAACATTCTGAGAAGAGCCCTTCCTCAAAAGAAGATGATCTACGGCCTATCAAGAGTAACAGTAAGTCCCAAGCAGAACTAATTCTCAGTCAATACGGACGTTTGTGGAATTTCCATTACTGTCCTGAGGTTTATCGACAATGATTTCTAACACTCCGTCAGGGAAATTTGTCAAAGTCGCAGTCCATTCCCATGCAGATGTTGAACCACCTTGGATAACAGATGCGGGGGGGTTGGATACATTTTGGCAGTTGACGTTTGTGATCGACGGTGTGGAACCTTTGCCCGATGAAGACATATTGAGTGAGATCGCATTTGTGACTGAGTTGCAGTCCATAACAGTGTTGAATTCGATCGAAATGTCGACAGTGGTAGCGTTCGTCTGGCCATCCTCAGCCAACAAACGGTAGTCATGGCCTGGATTGAATGCGGTCATCGCGAGGGGTGGAGCAACCCACTGAGCTACAGGCACGAGTGCCTTGAACCCATAGGCGTCCATAGTAAGATTTGGAAGACAGCCATACCAAGGAGCTTTGCCATCGGCATAGTACGCTGAGCCGGAATCCTCCAAAGTGTATGTCTCGAACGGCGCAAACAAGTTACGTACCGTTGTACCGGACTGGAAAGGAGATGAAATCCATAACGACTCCTGGCAATCGTACTGCCAGGTCTTAGTCTCGTTTTCGTTGCTGTACAGCATCCAAACCTGGTCCGTAAAAGTTCCGGTAAGATTTTGGACACCTGAAATACCAGACCTGGAGATAGACCACAGGCCCATCTCAGTCACTGTGTTATTGGAACCGGGCCGCTCGATGAAGTGGGTCCAGTTGCCACGCTGCACGAGATTAAATCCGTCTTGCAATGCACCATATATCGTGCGCAGGTGGTTGAAGTGCGCGAACATCCGACGACTATCGGTCGTAGGATCGAAATGATCAAGGGCGTTCCAATCGTCATGGCACCCTACTAAGGCTTTATCCAGAGGCATGTTGAAGTACTGTTCAGAGCCAAGAGTGTAGCAACCGTGTCGCTTCCACGCTGTGTTGCTCGTCATGGCTTGACGCCTATAGGAAGTTGAGCCACAAGAATCATATATGAGAAGTTAAAACACTCACCCGTAGAGATAATTGGATGCACCGGTGTCGTACAAGTAGAAATTTTGCTCTTCACCATAGAAGTACTGAGGACAAAATGTTCAGACAGGGATTCTAGTCAATAGCCAAAATGAACCCACCAAAGGAATGCCGGGCATGACAAGGCTAGCGATGAAGGTGGCCAGAACACTACGCTCCCTACCATCGGCCAGACTATGCCAACGGAACACATCAAAATTGCTCGTTCCATACATGTGTCGGGGATCAACTTTCCCCGTTAATTGATTGATGAAGTCATTGTCAACGAACATCTGATTCCATGCGGTGATGAAGTTGATGTCCACATCGTAAGCGACGTTGAGGTTACCGTCCATACCCAAGAATCGAGTAAGAGAACGATAAATGGAATAGTGGAAGGCGACTGAATCCAGCCCATTGACGCCCTTGTCCCGAAGGAAGTATTCGTTGTCATCCGACGTAAGGTTGGCTGCGATCAAAAACCCGCCAGGAAGTTGCGTAGGAGTACGCCCACGTCCACTGAGCACAACTGTCAGATAGAAAATGGCTGAGAGCAGGAGCTTCTTACTAGTATAGGGAGCCGAAAGTGTCACCTCCGGTAACTTCACCCGGGACGAAAAAGTTTTTCTTACCAAGGTTGTACGCACAAGTACGCGCGCTGGAAGTCCACTCCGCTAGAGCGGCAACCGTAACCTGAGTAGCTTTATCGATACGGATGGCGTCAAAATCCAGGGCAGTGAGGGCCATGCAGGCGAAGTTTTGAAGCTTGGCCATAACCTCGGGCTTCCATTCACGGAGACGGTCCTGGACGGAGGCGAATTTGGACAATTGACGTTGCCAATCCGCGTGCACACCGAAAGCCTCCATGTCACCATTACTGATCAAAATCTGACTCCATGCAGCCATTCGTCTCGATGGTGACAATAGAACCATCATCGTCCCAAAACTTGGGCATTTCGCATGAATCATTCCGGGTGTTACTAATCTGTAAGTATCAAGTAGGTAAAAAAGCCAGGGCTGAGGTGATAAGTATCTTACACTAAAGTCCGCATATTCGGTAAAATTCCAAGGCATATAATTGGGATTTTTGTACACGGCATCGTATTCGTTCAGACTGAAAGGCGTACTGCTGTTCAAGTGACTGAAGCAAGGAATGAAACTCGGTCACGCTGTTGCAGTACAAGACAGTGGACTTACCCATCAAAGCCGATGAGATCCGACATGGTTCCTACGGTGAAATCGACCATCAAGTACATGTTATGGGCGTGTATGGTATCGATTGCATTCCTCCAATCATCGATAGTGCCCCAGTGAGGATCAAGGACGGTGAAGTCAAGCGGTGAGTAACCTATAGAATGTTAAGTGAAGAAGAACAGGGGGAAAGGTTAATAACACACTGTCGGCCTGCCACAACATGTTCAGAAAAGGCGTTCCAGAAATGAAAACGACCCGGATGCCCATGCCATAGAGGTAGTCCAACTTTGATAGAAGACCCTGGAGGTCGCCACCATATCTGAGCTGGGTTTCTCTCCAGTCGTTTTCGTACATGGTGCCAAAGTAATCATTATTGGAAGGATCGCCATCTGCGAACTTGTCCAGTAGAACGGTATAGACGGGAAGAGCCCGCCAATTTTCGGGAGAGGGTGTATAAGTGGTATTTGCTCGAGTCGCCTTGTACTCTGTCGGTTGGGTTGCATCCTGATTGACATTAATATTGTAGTCAGTGAGGTCGTCGCGATACGGCGAGGCGAGAACGAGGCCAGCGAGAGCCGATAAGGCGGTAATTGCGGTAAAAAGCCGCATGGTGGTGTGGGGACCGACCAGAGGGAGAGGGAAAGGGGTGAAAGAGGGAGGAGGGACGCGTATTAGAGGGAAAGATAGAATCTATACAGGGACGAACAGGATAAAGCCTGTCGCCAGGCAAAAGGCGAGCAACGATGATGGGAGAGAGTGACAGAGTCAGTCGGACAGCCAGACGTAGCAGCGTTCGAAAGATGGTCGGCGTTTTCCCTGTTCTGTTTATGTGGTCAATATTTATGCACCACAGCCACATTGCCACACCCTGGGAATTTCTCAAGGCACTCCCGGCCCTCCCGCAAGCCTCCTGTTTCTAGTGACAAGCATCCTCGCAAAGAAGCATCCTAAGGGGCCAGGAGCTACGACTCATTCTGATTTTTTTCTGCCTTGGATACTAAATATATTGTCACCGTATTTGCCTCCGAGACAGTCTTGGATCGCAGCAACTACGGAACAAAGGTAATTTGCCATGCGTTTCAGCTGTGCAAAAACACCCAAAAACACACACATCGGCCTGACCTCACCTTCACTGCCTTGCAGGGATGTCAGCATCCAAATGAATTTGTGCGCCAGGCCGCTTACGTGCCAGGATAAGAGCTGACAAAGATCTATTTCTGATCGGTTGTGACTGTCACTCGTAACGATTGCGGGACCGGCCCGATCCCGGTTGCCATGGCCAAATCGAGATGGCAATGCCGCTGACCAAGCAAACCCGCTTTCGCGTTCACGGCTTTACAGTGAAAAGCACCATTGTCCCCTCTGTGCATCGGGCCTGCGTCCAGCACAGAATTCATCAAACCTCTTCTTCTAACCACCACGTCGTTTCTGTTCTTTCTTCTTCGTATTAGCGTCGCCTTGTTCAGGTATTTCCCATATTTTTCTTCCTTTTTGTCTACTGACTATTATTGACAGCTTTCTTTATGCTCTCCGTACTCTTTTAAATCGTGGCTGTCTGCGTTGTATCACCACCTACTGACGTTGGAACTGTCTCTTTGTATCTCCGATACATCATCCAGTTCACTGTTTCACCACCTCACGCCTTGATTTCATCTCGACATGTCTGCACTAGCCGCTACCAATAATTTGTTCCATGTTCACGACAACTCCGCCGATCCGTCTTCCAAACCTTCTTCTCCATCTTCGCCCACATCTTCATTTCAGGCGCAACAGTCTGTTCCTCGGTCCCTAATGACCACAATAAGAGGGCAGAGCTCTCCCTTTCCCTCCACGCCGACTCTGAGCCACCCAAACGGTACCACGGAACCTACGCCAGGTGTCAGCTATAGCGACTATATCCGTACGTGGACCGATGCCCATGTTGCACGCTGGCTTGCGGATATTAAATGTGGCAGCCATGCCGCCACTTTCAAGGCAAATGATATCCGAGGTGACATTCTTCTGGAATTGGATCAGACAACACTTCAAGAAATGGGAGTGAGCAGTATTGGTGATAGGTTCAGGATACTGCACGCTGTGAAGGCACTGAGGCAGAAGGCCTCGACGAGATCTGTTGCTTCTCCTGTCCTGGAAACCAACAATAGATCGCGGTTGGTAACCGGTCTCGAGAATTCGACGACGGCCGCTATGCCGTCAGATCAATCCGCCTCTCCATTAACCGTGCGCAGGGGACTAGAGAGCGGCAGACCCCCACCTCTGTTACTGAACTCTAACCCCATTAGACACGATTTACCTCGGCTAATCCGCGACCAACAACCACCAGATTCAGCAAAACCCAATGTTCCTATACGTCCACTTCCTCAGCCAATCGCAGGCCCATCCAACACTACGCCTAGTAGTGCTCATCCAGGTTCAACCAGGTCTGGGTTACCCCCGCTTCCTCCTCCTCCTCGTGGGCAGCCACCTCTTCCACCTCCTGGACGTCCTCCTGTTCGACATTTCCAAGGTTCTCAATCAAATGGTCGGCGGACGCCCACCCAGACTGACAATGTGCCCACGTACGCGACACAACCTCTGCCGCCTGCTCCTCCAAACCAAGTCCTCCTCACACCTTCGCAAGGCTCGACCTGGTCAGGTTATCACCTTCCTGCTGATCCACGTCCCGGAAACCCCGGCGGTGGCAAAACACCACAAGCTACTTCACGTTCAACCTCACCACTTCCTCGTGCTGGAGGTCGCGGTACCAATACGCCCAACCCGGCTCATGGCAGGAATGGATCGATAGGTCTCAATTCCCCGGTCTCATCTAGCCCTGCTAGCAAGCAGCAGAGATTAGGTGGAGGTTCGGCGCATCCATATGCCACAAGCCAAGCCACTGCCCCAGGTTCAAACGCTTCCCAAACCGCAAATCTTTCACCCATCGCCGAAGGATTCGGAGCAGCAGGTACTTCACCTCCCACCTATACTGTCGGACGTGGGTCGTTTAACCCGAGTACCCCTTCACACACAAATGCACCTTCATTGGATGACTTGAGACGGAAATTGGTTAAAATAGCGCTTCCCGATGAGGGTCTCACTTATACTATTGATGTCGATAATTGCGCAGGCGGTGTTGAGGTTCTTGAAAAAGTCTTGAAGAAATTTGGCAAGCGTGGAGCACGCAATACGGATTCTGAAGGTGTGGATAGTGTACAAATGGAAGATGGCGGACTTAGCGTTGACGGCTGGGGCGCGTATCGAGATGATGGGACAGGGTAAATCGAGCCACGTTTTTGTTTTATCTAAATCACTGAATGCTTTATTCTAGGGCCGTTAGATGAGGCTGCACTGCTCTCATATTGCCATGCCTCACTTGACCATCCAGCCCGAGACAAGCCCTTATCATTGCGGAAAATTGCAAAGGCTCGTCGCGAGGATCGAAATAGTCCTCCTTCTCCACCCCATGGTCGTTTCCTCGGAGGTCAAACACCTAAGAGTACGAAACGAGCTAGCTCCATCAGTATTCTCAGTGGTTTGGGTGTTCGTGATCCTGAAAAGGCTCTGGAACCACCCTCTCCTACGCATTCTGGTTCAGGCAGGTCGAGTCCTGCCACTACGCATAGTGCGAAGAGACCATCTAAGTTGCGCAACTTCTTTGGACAACGACCTCCGAGCGAGCTTATTACGACCCACTTGACGGAATACTTCCCTTTCACAGAGAAGAAGGTCCTTGAGCGTACAGCAAGACACAGCATGATGCGAACGGGCACGATGCGTGACAGTGCCTCTTCTTATAATCCACCATTACCTTCTAGGTTTAGCAGCAGCACTCTTGCATCGCTTCCGCGGACCTCGGTTTCGGCTTCGAGGACTTCCTTGTCGTCTAATGCCGCCCCTCCTTTACCCGAAAAGCCATCTTCTGATAGTGGTAATACAACACCAGCTGAAGACATCCCTCGTGTATCTCTTTCTACTGAGGACGGTCGTTCTGTAAATCTTCATGATACTTCGGACAACACAAATGATCATCCGGAGCTTCTTCCTCCCATCCCGTTCCCAACGGAATCATTCTCGGAATCTCTGGAAAGTCTGACCGGAGCCAGCCGTCGTATGTCTAGAACATTGTCCACGGCGTCGCGAGCTTCTCGTCGGTTAAGTTACATGACCGAACTTCGAAGTAAGAAAGACCGTTCTGATACCGCAAGTCTCATGACGGTAGATGAGATCACAAAGGAAGTCGAAAGTAGAAGAAGAAATACTGGCATTTTCGATAGAAGAAGTTCGGAGGAACCTGACGGTTGGACTCAGGTTGAAAACGAGGATGGCGCCGATGACAACGATGAAGAACCTGACGAAGAACAATACACGGATAGTGAAGAAGACGGAATCGTGTCTGGTCCAGAGAGTCCTACCTTGGACGAAGATGATGACCACATTACAGGCGTAGCAATGCGCAAAGGCAAGTGAAATGTTCATATATGACAGAATGGCACGGCTAAACCTAGTGTCTTTTATCCATCCAGCGAATAAATGGATCAAAGGTGCGCTCATCGGTGCAGGATCCTTTGGGAAGGTCTATTTGGGCATGGACGCTTCAAATGGTCTTCTTATGGCAGTCAAACAAGTGGAGCTGCCAACTGGTTCGGCTCCCAATGAGGAACGCAAGAAAAATATGCTCAGTGCCTTGGAGCGCGAAATAGAACTGCTTCAAGATCTACAGCATGAAAATATCGTGCAGTACCTTTGTTAGTATCCTCGTCTGACGGAACTCGATTCGTTGCTGATATCTTTACGTTCAGATTCATCACTTGAAGATGACTGTCTCAACATCTTCTTGGAGTATGTGCCAGGAGGGTCGGTGACCGCGCTGCTGCGTAATTATGGTGCCTTCGAAGAGCCTTTGGTCAAGAACTTTGTCCGACAGATCCTTCAGGGTCTTAGCTATCTGCATGAGCGTGATATCATCCATCGTGACATTAAGGGTGCCAATATTCTCGTTGATAACAAGGGAGGCGTCAAGATATCAGACTTTGGCATATCGAAGAAAGTTGACGTCCGTGAGTATTTTCCCAAGCTTGAATGTCGGACATTAGATTGTTAACTTGATGAAAACAGAAGCGCTTGCTGGTAACAATCGTGTCCATCGACCATCACTGCAAGGATCGGTGTTTTGGATGGCGCCGGAGGTTGTCAAGCAGAGTGGGCATACACAGAAGGCTGATATCTGGAGTGTGGGCTGCCTTGTCGTCGAAATGCTTACCGGTGAACACCCATGGGCACAACTCACCCAAATGCAGGCCATATTCAAGGTACTACTTGTCATTCAAACATTTATTTGCATCATTAATTATCATTTATAGATTGGATCGTCAGCGAGGCCGGCTATCCCCTCTGACATATCTTCAGAAGCTCAAGACTTCTTGACGAAGACTTTCGAAATAGACCACGAGGCAAGGCCGGCTGCGGCTGAACTCTTGAAGCATCCTTGGATACATATTTCAAGCGCAACATGATATTTTCGAACCTTTTTTCCCCCTTTGGTGGTTTTATTTTTCGGAACACTTTGCGTTTTTACTTATATACTTTGTTTATTTTCGTTCACCTATGCTATCTTCGCTGTACTCGGGTAGAAAGGAAGTCACTGTACGATAACACATATATCTTGACAGATTTGAACATTTCAATCTTCCGCCTTGCGCTTTCTTTTAGATCCTGTTCCCGACACCGCTCTCGAACCTGGTCCCCAATTTTGAGGAGTCTCTTGATAGCGCACTAGCTTCACCTTTGACGAAGTTGTGACAGATTGTGGATGTCTTTTGAAGTTTGCCTCCGTTCTAAAGGATGTCAGTGACAATTGGTGATGGAATAGCTTGAACTGTACTTGGGTTCCTTGGCAAGTAATTTTCGAGCTGGAGATGTCTCCGAGACATTCTCTAACTTGACAGGATGCAATTTGACAAATGATCGGAATATATCATGGAGGTCCGCCCGTGTCGCTGTCGTTTTCAGAGATCCAGGCGTTGCATGAGACCTAGAAATTGAATAACCCGCATGCAACAGAGCAGAACTTCGGTTAGCACATGTTAGCTAAAACCCGCGTCTAACATGTTAATTTACAACGTACGCCACCTCATCTAATGACGGTGTTTGACAATGGAAAAAACTCGCCACCCTTGTCGGCGTGAAGTAGAACGGTGTGTGCAGCTCCTAGAACCCATAAGCATTTATTTCGCTCATTAGAGTTAGACCAACCTCCTTCGCAACGGTGAGCATTCCTTTCATTCGGGCGGACGTTCCGTACGAATCAGGGTTCCCCTCGACATGCTCCAACACCTTGGCAACAAAATCCGTGTCATGAATAGGCCCTGACCACATCGGACCTGCTATCTATATGCCAGATGATTAATCACGATAATCGCGTATATGAAAAACCCACTTACATGTAAAGCGGATTCACATTCTGGACATCTGTCGGAGACCACAGGACCAGGATGTGTCCTGAAATTATAATTGATATTTCCGGAGGCTTCGTGTTTCTTTTCAGTGACCCTACCCAATGGCTGCTCGTAGAATGATTGACACGACGTGCAAACGAAATAGGCAGATGTTTTCCTGCAACGACACTTATCGATATCCACTTCAAGTGCGACGAAGAAACGGGACCCACGTGAGTGCCTTTTTGACTCCAATTGCCGATGTATGCACCTTGATGAAAAGCCTCACATAAAAATCTATTGAGAGCGATAGCAACGGTTCAATATAACGGCCGTATCTTGAAGCGGAAGTTGAAACAGCGTGGAGCACAAGCCTTAGCGCCTGGATAAGCTAGTATTGAGCCGAGGATAACATTGATAGTTCCGCGCCTACAGCTTCGTGACAGTATTCTGCCTTGACAGGGATACCACCATAATTGGATAGGCTAGTAGGACATGTCAATGTGAAACGAGCGCGCACAATATTCATAATACCCAGATGCATACCATTTCTCAGGGTAGTTGTTAGTAGCAAGCACGGAGAGGTCCGTGCAAGTGACGCAAAGAAGACCTATAGTAAACCTTGTAAGTGATAGCAATGCCTAGGCACGGTCTAGATACTACTCACCACCGTCATTTACACTCTGAACGGCAGCATCGATGAAAGGAGCGGCGGTCCCATACGGATCAAGATCAACAACGTCCACACGTTGACGTTCCTCACGATGGTTATACATCAAAGTACTGTAAGATAATCAGCATCAAGCAGCATAGCCAAGTATGCCTTACCATGCATCCCCTTCGTTGATTCGTATCTTCCCATCACCCGTGCCTGGGAACTTCGAACCCATTGAATTCAACATTGCGTTTCATAGCAGCTGTTGCCGCACTAGACAGGTCATTCGCGATCACATATCTGCCCAAAACGTCTTAGGAATAATTTCATGGCTGTTGTGGGTTTCGAACTTTACAAGCGGTATCTCCTTGGCGTAACGGATAGAGCGAAGTCCCGTTGCAGACAATGCCTCAAGAATGACGGCTTTGTAAGGCTTGTATTGGGGCTTGCAAAGGCATAAGTGCTAATAGGATGGGGTCGTCGGAAATCTCTCACCTCCTTCTTCTCCGGAACGGAGTTGTCGCCTTTGGCCTCTTGTTCAGCCGGTTCCGTTGCTACTGAGGCCCCATTTTCAACTTGAGTCACATATCAGATACTGTAGTCAACAATGGCATTAATACCTGCTCACCTTTCTGCCGCTTCCTAGTATTAGCCTTATTAGCCTTCTTCTCTTGGGCCTGTTTCCATCGAGTTTCCTTCAATGAATTGAGTTCCTCGCTCCATGTTCTGATACATGCGACACTGAGGTCCCGATTGAACTCTTGGACAGGATTCAAGAACGCTTCGTTCGAGGAAAGCAGCAGATGAGAAGTATTTTCCGTGTGCAGGGTAAAGCCGTCTGGTACAACTAGAGAAGGGCCGGTCGACATGTTGAACCTCCTACGCACACGGTGCGAACAACAGTGAGCAAGACGGCGAAAGACAGTCAGAGGAATCGTCGTCGAAGTTGTAGGAAATTTTGTTACCAAAAGCGGCAAAATAGGGGCTATTGTGCTGTAGATTACATGGTAAAATAGATTGGATACAAGGTTGTGCGTAAAGGAGAGTGATTGTAGTCCACGATAGCTGATGCGATGCAAGAAAATGTACGAAGATGCGACACTTGTCCGTCCATGTAAAGTAAAGGTATAAGGAAAATCCGAATTAATATGCAAACTCCTCCGAAACGAGGTCAATGTAACCTCGTCTATCTCCCTTCCGCACCCGGGCAGGATTGATCTGATGGGAAATGGCTTTACGCACCATCGCACCGAAAGAGGTGGGTCCACAGCCTGCAGAACGATTCAGTATTAAACGATAGCGGAGCCAGAAGAACTCACAAGCAACAATTACAGACCCATTAGACCGTTCAACTTCATCTTTCAGAATCCGGTCTATTCTAGGTTTACCCGGGCGGGCATGCTCAGCTACAACAGCCATATCGCGCATCTCCGGTTCGTTCAAGTGTAGTCTTTGACCATAGGTATCTACATCTCCCTCTCTAGTGGGCGTTTCCAGGGTGTCTGCACTCAATGACATAATCGTTTCGGTTTCGTTAGAAGAGGGGGAAAGGGGGCTAAGAGTAGGTGTTGGCGGGCGGAGTGGAGAAGAGGCATGGACGTGAGAATCAGCGGAAAGGTATGAATGGCGACGATTATAGTCCTCCGAAGACAATGGCTTCGAGCTCGCCAGGTCTCCTTCGACTGTCGATTCTGACGACACGTTTCTTTTGTGAGTAGGCTTGTTCTCATGGGTAAGCAATCCATCGGTAGAATGTATTGACTGCCGCTGGAGACGAGCAAATTCATCGAGTTTCTCCTTCATGTGAATCGCGTGAGAGAACTTCCGCGTATGTGCCCGTCGGTCCTTCCCGACTTTCCGCACACGCCGATTAAGTTGAGCTTCTCCAGGAAGTGCCGTCTCGTTATCACCATCGAAGTTAGTCAGGTCGAGCGTGTAATCCTCGCGTCGTCTCACAGACATATCACCTACGTCGCCTTCATCACCAAACTCCCCGACATAGTAGCTGAGATCGACGTCCTCGCCTTCGCTTTCGGATTCGGCAGGCGAGGCGGGCCGGCGGTTGAAATGAGGCGCAGGGGGTATGAGTTCCGAATCGAGTTCAATTTTCGGCCGCGACGGTTGTCGACGAATTTGGGGTTGGAAATTAGTCACGAAAATGTCCACATCGAGACCGGGAGAAGGAATCATGGACATACACCGACGAAGGATCGACGCACACCATTGAATATGTCCTATTGTCAGGGGTGAACATGGTGGAAGAAATATATGATTTACAACATACCGTATTCTCGGATGAGCCACACAAATCTTACCCGTCTGGTGGCGAAACCTTTCCGCCCCCACCCACCAGCTCGCCCGCCAAGATGTTTACCATCCCGACCAGCCAAGCAAAGGCAGACATACTCAAGTATTGATAAGCCGAAGCTGACACCAGATCCAGCAACGAAGATGACAACAGTGGCGTTATCCTCCCAACGAGCACGTACGGCGCTCCCAAAGGGTCCGTCTATAAACATTCGCATAAGAACACCATTCTTTGGCATAACCGTTCCATTCGGGGGGTTTTCACCCGGTGGGTGGTTCTGACCCTGGCTCAGCAGCTTAAGGGTATAATCCCATAAATCTCTCGTCCACCCAGCTTTAGATCTAACGAGAAGAACGATGGCGCGACCCGAATTTGAAGGGGCCTGCTCATCGCATATAGATGCAACAGTGAAAGGATGACTGACAAGGCGTGAAACGGAAGGGACGTTGATCAAGAAGTGTTGGCCTGGAGCCCAGGAGAGAAATCCTGGAGATATGTATGTTAGACGCACTGTGGCTCCGGACAGAAGCTCAACATGCGCATAACCTGGGGGTGGAGAGTACCGCAACGCGCTGGTGGGTTCCATTAGCGAAAGACGAGAGTATTGGTCGGAAAGATAGGGTGATGGTGCTGGCGGAGGGTATCCTGAGTAAGACTCTGGGGATGGGTATGCAGACGGACGCAGCATTTGGCTTTCAGAGTCCACCGCCTTGTGTGCTGGTGAGGTTACGACGGTTGCTGGTGCCGAGGTGGTATCTCTACCAAAGAGGCCGTTCGTATAAAACCACCAAGTGCCACGCCATACACGCTCTGCGATCCAGATGGCTAAGGCAATCCAACACCACATGGCCACCGGAGGATGATGGAGGGCAGAAAATACCAAAGTAAGCGGCACGAAAGCGATATGGCCGATGTAGAAGGTCTCGTAGTGATGCTTCCGTATTGGATGAATCGAGAGAACTACGAGGAGTGTCATAAGAATAAAGGCCTACCGAATAATGAGTAGGTATTTAACAAAGATGGAGAAGAAACATACCGCCCACCCATATAAAAACTTTTCGTACTGCCAGGCATACACATACGCCTCTTTGCCGGTTAAGCTGCGGGTGTCTCTCAATAATTGGATGCTCCAAAACACGACATGAAGAATGGTTATGATGTATATGAGCCTGCCGGACCACCGGTGGAGCCAGGATAGCTTGTCAAAGTGTATCTGAGTCGTGAATGGAAGGGCGAAGATGGCGAAAGGTGGGGCCTTGAGGGCAAACAGGACACAGAGCGGGAGAAGGCAGAAAGCAATGATCCCTGCCCTACCGCCGGCTGTCCACCAAGCCTTGTATATAGTATACTGTGGCTGCCAACGGGTAAACTGGGAGACATCGTAGGAACGAGTTGATAATCCTGGATTGGTGACGTCAAAGAGACCGTCGGCAGGATTGATATAGTCCGGGCCGGCAAAACAGAGCAGGATTGCAACGATTGGGAGTAGGGCAAGGCACAGCAGCTGGCCGTTCGGCGGTAAGGATATAGGATACTGGTTCCGTTTGCGGGCAATCTTTCCTCTCCAGGTCCGTCTTCGTATTGCCCACTTAGCCCAGTAAGCGCCCAACGTGCCGCCACGGAACCGTGTAAGGTAGAGAAGGGTAAAAAGAAGGAAAACTACCGCGACGCAAAACCAGAATATATAGGCGTACCGGCGCGAGTTGTCACTCATCATGTGTATCACAAGGTACGCCGTGATCCACTGGACATCATTGGTGTACACAGGCGTGGTCGGATTGGGATCTACGGCCTGCAATGACGAGGACATGGTGGCGAGAGGTGCCCCGACTGGGATGGGCTCTGGATATTTAAAATATGAAGCGTAGCACCGGAGCTGCGGAGGGTGAGAAACGACGACGACAGCTGCGATTGACTGGCAAAGAGTTAGACTTGGAAAAGAAAGGAAACTGGCAGCGGCAGTACGGTCATGGATGTCTTAAATAAAGAAACCGGAAAGAGGGAGTGGATGGGCGTAATTGCTGCGTATTGCCTTAGTCTAAGATTAAAAGTTCCAGATTCTGCACGTGATCTCATCCCGCCGCGCCGCCCAAGCGAAGCCAACGAGGGTTGGCGGTGTAAGGTCTGAGTTCGGATTAAAGTTGTACATGTGCAGGATTCTTGGCTGTATAAGTAGTACTGCATGATAATTTACCTGTACTTTGCTTTCTAGACGTCTCGGCGTAAGGCTGCGGGGTAAATCGGAATCGGATAATCGTTGAAGCTACATAGTACGGCTGTCGAGAATAGTTACTTTCGCACCCTTGCGGCACCCGAGCTTTCCTTGGAGGTACATAAGACGGTGGAAGAAAATGGATCCGATCCGGTGTGATCTCAGACATCATGCATAAGGTCTATTTAGGTATGCCACGAGCAATAAAACCCTAGTAAATTCATCATAATTCAAAACCGCCAAGTCCAGACACATAAATCAGTTTAGAATCTCTCCAGAGCGGACCTGTCGCAGTGGCGTTCAAGAACATCAAGTGTCCTAGACAGACTGCGACGCACCTCTTTGCCAGTCTTCTTGATTCTGGCAAGAACGTCTTCGTAGGGAATGCTTCCCTTCACAATGACTTCTTGCGTATCCAGATTGACGGAGTAGTCATTCACACCTGCATTCAGAACCCATTCAGTAAAGAAGACTCGTGACAAAAACCGCGGCGTTCGCTCACCGTCAAGTTTGGCCTTTTCGAGGACACGAGTGACAGCGCCGGAGCATCCAGTGCAAGTCATCTGTTCGCGCTTGTGAACAATGAATACAGCATGTCTCAGGCGCGACTCACCTTGACATCGAATTTGTAGGTTTGCTCGACCTAGAGAAAAGTTAAGCGCCAAGTAGAAACGCTCGATGACAAGACTTTCCATAGTGATCTACCTGGGTCTCAAAGTCAGCATCAAGTACAGCACGAAAGGTGAGTTTCCCTCACAGGAAAAGTTCAAAAGAAGTAAGGGGATAGACAAGAAAGTCAACCAGAGTAGTTATACACAAGAGAACTGGTGAGGGGAAGGAAAACTGTTGACACTGTTTACCAAGCGCGAGTGCTTATAAGTCAGACTCACCATCAGATCGCGTCATCGATCTGACCCGCATTCGGAATCGTCACATTACGAATCATGTCCATGGCATATATCAGGATTGTACCCATGCCAGCACTTTCTTTGGGTACGACGGACGCATCGTTTCAGGGTCATTGTCGGGAACGGGGAAACTGCGAGCAAATCACAGCGTACCCCTGTGAATGTGATACGACATACGGAGGACCTTCTCGCCCACAAATATCCGTCATTAAGCCTCTATATATATTATACAACCAGGGTCATCGGTGAGAACCTCGTCCTTCAACCATCTCCATCTGCTCGTCTCCTTCGGTTGCTACCGCCTGCCAACCATCGCTTGCGCGTGGTCCTCCTCGTAACCGGTCAAAACAAGGATAAATCCAAGCTGGGAACTATGAGTTTAGGCTTTCGTTCTCGGGGGAATTACTCACCAAATATCCGTAGTGAATCTTTATCTCTTCGGTGTGTGATGTAGTACACGGGAATGCCGGCAACCACAAAGCCTATGAAAAGACGTTAGTTTCCCGAGGTACCCACAACTGTTGCCGTGCATACCTAGAACTGCGATTGCGGGTAATGGCGCAGCGATAACTGGCATGCAAATGAGAAACAATGCGACCTTCGGCCAAAGTTACTGTCATCCAGTGGATCATACAAGTATATACCTACCGCACAAAATATCAACGGTGTTATTATCCATGTCTTGTAAGGTCTGTGTCGTGAATCAGATGATGCTTTAGAGTTGAGATACCCTGTGTTTAGTTTTACCTTTCTAGCGCTGGTTCCTTCACCCGTAGAATAACTAGTCCCAGAACCTAATCTGAAACGTAAACAGAAGTATTCCAGTGTCACCAAGAACTCACAGTGAGAAAATAGAATCCCCACGACGCAACAACAGAGAAGTTTATGAGAGAACGAAACCCGCCGCCCACAAGGATGAAAGCGGTAGTAATGGCTGTTTGCAACAACGTGGCATTCAAAGGGGTCTTCCTAGTCGTGTGCAGTCGCCCAAAAAGAGAAGGAAGATACCGTTCTCTACCGGCGGCGTAAATGAGACGTGAGGATGTGAAGAATGATCCTGTCGGAAAGGCCCGGTAAATAGAGCCACGAGTCTCAAAGAAGGGAGCAACACACCATTTAGAGCACCAAAACATGAGAATGCTACCATAAAGGCAAAAACAGTCCCTCCTATGGGTCCAAACAATGCCCGTCCAAAGTCCATGGCAACTGTATTGCTCAGACCGACAAGATCCTATCTCCAGTGTTAATTCCAAGCTGCACAGGAATAGAAGAGCCCACCTTATCTAGAACCACAAAGTAGGAGATATTGGCCAGTAGAAATAACACCTAGATAAGTGACCAGATCAACAAGTGAAGGTCATAGAGGGCTTTCCTTACAGACCGTGACGATAGCCATGCTAGAATGTATAGTCCGAGGAATATTCTTTTCGGGATTATGCATCTCCCCTCCCACATAGTTTGCCTGGTCCCAGCCGTCGAAAGCCCATAGACCCGAGTAGAGCGCTAACGAATAAGCAGACGGACTCTTGCTGGATCCTTCAAACCATGGCTTCTTGAAAGACTCCGCGGCTCTTCCGCGAGCGAGCTGAATTATGCCTAATGCTGTAATCGAGATCTGGATGCTGACTTTAGCAACGGCATGTATGCACCATTTGCATACTACGTACTAAAGCGGCTACCTGCAAGGAAAAGTTGTCTCGACATCAAAAATACGGGCATCGAGCAGTCTAGCACTGACTTTTACGCTAGTGAACACGACTGCGACACGGGCACCCAATTTACGCGTCCAGATGCATAACAGAGTTACAGCCAATACTGCGCCTATTGCAGTAAGTTTGATGGCCCAGTCAGGAATATCATCCGGCGATACCTCAGACCGCGTAGTATGCCAAAATATCCGATTGATGTACTCTGCGAAAATAAGGCTGATCACTGCATTACCACCTTAACATTGGTTGGGTTTATGAGGTGTGCCATTAATCAATGACACCGGATTTCGTACCAGGTTTAAGTCCGATTATGGCAGTCCACGCGAAGAGATACGAGATGAGGGGTCCATAGGCATACGATAAATAGGCTTGCGCGCCACCATTTTGCGGTATTGCGGATCCCAGTTCCGCAAAACTACTTGCTCCAGTCCATGCTAATAGACCAGACGCGAGCCAAACGGCCAGACTTGCACCAACAGTGTTCGTATTCGCAACCACAACACCCGGTGACGAGCTGGAGAAAGACCTTACGTCAAACGCGAACTAAGACGAAATAGTTTGACCGACAATATTCCTGATCCTATCTGTCAAATTGAAAGAAATCAGTTACCAAAGAGAGCATGAGTTTACAGAGTGTATACCTGAAGTCCAACGACAAGAGCAATCCCTAAATGAAAGTTAAATGAGATCCTGTCTATCATACTGCGACCGTTGTCACTTACCATTGAGCAACCCTATATTCTTGTCGCCGGATTCACTGGCTACCAGTTCAGGATCTGTCAAGCTCGCACTTAGAGGCAGAAGATCTTGCTGGAAATCGAATCCATTGACAGAATATGATCGCCCTCTACAGCATATGAAAGACCCTGCAAATCTGAGGGAAAAGACACGTACCGTCCATACGACGGCGGTGCGGCAAGGGGACCTTCCGAAATCTCGAGGTTCCTTAGAGAATCTTCTGAGTCGCGTGAATCTCGTGGAGAAAGAGTTGGTGAAGTGGTATAATGGCCATTCAATGGTGACCTGAGAGAAACATACGAAGAGGGCATGGAAAGATTAGAACGAGAATGAAATTGTTCAAATTGAAAATTCGAACGTTCGGCCCTGTTTGTTTGTTCGTGATTGGCAGAGACTTCGAGCGGAAACCTGTGATTCCGACGTTTCCCGCCTTTGCAAGAACCATGATGCTCACTCGCGCTGTAGGTTTGGGGCCAGCCCTCAGGCAAGCTGCATTTGCTCCGCGATTGGGTATGTACGGTATTAATGCTACTCTGTGCCTCCTGACTGACTGTCTGCAGTTCAAAATCAGGTCGTCGGTCGGAGCCTCATTGCCAAACGGTGAGGCAATTCGGTGCACGGGAACGCCTAGGCTCACGCAAGTTCTCCAGAAATGTCCAGATCCAGTCACTCCCATCTACAGCATCTGTTGAAATTCTCAACAAACAGCGTCTCAAACGCCCCAGCAGTCCTTGGCATATCTACCAGCCTCAGCTACCAGCAATCACCTCCATCGCCAACCGTGCCACTGGCGCCAGCCTTGGTGCTCGTGCGTATATCATGGCGTTCAGACAGATTGCACGTTATTAACAGGGTGCTGTAGTGCTCTATGGTTTCTCCTTGGCCTATCTCGTCGCTCCAGGGACCTTCGACAGCACCCATATTGTTGAATTTGTGGGCGGCCTCCCTGATGTTGTCAAATACGTGGGAAAGACCATTCTTGCTGCACCATTTGCTTACCATTCCTGGAACGGGGTGAGGCATCTTGTCTGGGATTCGACAACCAAGTGTATGCTCTCTCCTCCTATCTATCCATCTGACTGCTTATTCTCTTTTTTTTAGTTCTTTCCGTGGAGAGCGTCTACAATACTGGCTATGCCATGCTGGGTCTTGCCGGTCTATCAACCATTGTACTTGTATTTATGTGAATGAACTCCTGGATTTGTTTTCGAGCGAGCATAAGAGTGCACTGAGTTCCCACGACTGTTGCATGTAGCATATAAAGTGTATCACAGATCTCTGCAAATAATCGATTTTTGTCTCCAGTTATACTACTTAGTATCAGGGACAACCTTTATGCACGTGCTCACTGCTGTCGTGCAGCGGCTGGACCGTGACGCGCCTGCTCTTGACTTGATACTTCGACGTTCTTCCAAACACCATGCTTGTATCTATAATCTGAACGTATATTGTTGTTCAAACACTCACGATAAGAAGACATGCGTTTTCGAACAACTATCGACAATGTTCCAACTTTCTTCCGTCTGTACCCTGGCCTGTATCTTCTGCTGTAGACCCATTTTCTTGCAGGAATCATACAATCCATCGAGAAGCTTCAAAAGAAATGCATCATCAAATTCACAGAAACGAACATGCATCTCATCTGCAATAGCGACACGAATGAAGGCGGTATACAGGTCTGGTCGTACGTCGGTGCCGCTTTTGATATCTATGCGTACAACTCAGCCAGACCAGTCAAATCAAGGTCGAATCAATATTCAGCAGCTATCGTATCCAGTCTAACGCGTCAAATGAAATCACCGTGTCTCTATTCTCGGAGGCTCTCCTTGCTGCTCTCAGGTCTGCATCGTCCTCCACTACCGGAGCCTTGTCTTCGTTCGAGGCCGAAGAGGTCGTCATGAAACTCGCAAAGAAGAACGACCAGGCTGTCCTCAGTTTTGATATCACTGGAATGACCAGAGTAGGCCGACGCGTTAAAGTCACACACGATGTCAAGATTGAGGTAATGAAGCCAAGCGACGTCGAGAGATTGAATGAGCCCATGTGCCCTGAGCCAGACGTTCGTAATGTCCTTTGCTGCTTTACCGCTACCTATACTGATAGAACTATAGACTCACATCCTCCTTCCGCCCTTACAGAAGCTGCGAACGATCGTTGATCGTCTCCGGCCCATGTCCAATGTACTTGGAGTGCGCGCAAACAACAACGGATGCCTTCATCTTTCTATACACACTGAAAGTGTCAAGGTCGACACTGAGTGGAAGGGATGTACGAATCCAAAAATGGGTATGTTATGTTTTCTGGCGAAGCTTCTCGTATCTGAGATAGCTCTGCAGCGCGGGAGAACGCATCCCAGCAGGAGGATCCTCCTCCAGATCCCAACGAGATGTTCAGTGTCCTCGTTTCTATCCGTAGTTTTATCAAATTTCTGCAAAGTCATGTTGTCTCAACTACCACGATTGCTTGTAAGTCGCTTATAGCGAATCAAATGCAAGGTGAAGCACATTGATTCTGATCTCCTTCAGGTATATGTCAGAACCACTGTATGATACTGTATGTGTATATTGGAGACGTGGCAGATGCGGGAGGGGTGCTGACCTTTTACATACCTGCTATGCTGGACGATGACGGTTAGATCGCTAGTTTTTCTCTCAGACTTATTCTATTTGCTAGCCTAGTCATTAATCATTTATCAATGCCCTTCCCCAAGTAGGAAATATATATAAGTGTGTTTAACAGACCACCGTCGTGCGGCACTATTGGCAGATAAGCTTAACATCGGTACGTGCTGGGCATAGTACCGAATATTTCATCTCATCGCCGACATGATCCTTCCATTTCTGGAGAATGTGTGTTTTCATGGGGCTATCTCCAATGGACCGACCCGAGGCGCTGGATATGATAATGCTCTGAATACTTTACAATATTAAAGGGTGGTAAAAACAACAGGGTACTTTTTTGCTTCTTTACAACGAATGCTCAGCTTGAGCGGACATTGTCCAACAGTGCCTGAGCCACGACAGAGTGAATTTCTGTACATCGTTCTTGGCAAAGGTCCATGCACTAAATAACGAATATTAGGATGGGATACCAAATAGATGCAGGCTTGACATACCTTGAGAACCTCCTCAGGTCGCATTTGGCCATTTTGCCAGACACTTGTGACCATTCCTAATGCCGGTATGGTGGACAGGATCAGAGATCCACTGGATGCCTCCGTTTCGTGCGCAGCCGGATCTAACCATATATCTTGTCCGACAAGGGCCTATGTGATGTTCAGTAAACCTTATAGAACAGAGTACCTTACTGACCGCCGAGCAAGCCACAACGAGTCCAAACATTTCAATCCCAGCATCAGCCAGGGCAGTACAGGCTGCTACTGAGCCGGATGCAATGCATCCTTCTATACCGTCCGCTTCAATGATGACAATAAAAATATCGATTGTCGACTTTGGCAGCAGCTCTAGGCGCACTGAAGATAAAAGTGCTTGGTGTATAGCAGTAGCCAAAGAGCGATCTTCGGCATCCTAAAAAAACTATGAATGATTACAGAATCCAAGAGAAAACAGACGGAATGACAACTTACACGCATCGGCGCTTTCCTCCGCTCACATGAGTAGGGAGCAAATTTCACTTCAACGTTCAATCGACCATTCTCGCTGTACGCAGTGTTTTTCGACTGTCGGGGGCCGTAACTACAACCAATGAATAATCCGGTATTTCGAAGACGGCAGAAAGAAATACACGGCGCAAGCAATTTTTGTCTTTTCAGTCTCGATATATGCAGACCCATTTGCTTGTGTTATAAGACCTGGCTGGAGAACTAGAACACTCCGTTGAATCTCCAAGATGAGCGAAAATTCGAACAGGATGTCATACAAATGGGCCGGATGTCGTTTGGATTTCTGCCTTTTCTTGGCATTCCCAACTTCCATACAGGATCCTCGATGTCGTCGTCGTCGTATGTTGGAGGAAAGCTCTCCTCCGGGCCATTGATTCGTCTTCGGTCGAAGCCAGACTGAGCCATGAAGGTGTTATAAGCCAAGATCGGTTGGAACTCCGGTGTGCCGGCGGCTAGGCTGCAGCTGTCTTCGCCCACGATGTCGAAACTCTCCTTCTCCCTTGCAAAGACGAAAAGGCCGTCTGCAGAATCTGCTCCCTCTCTCAAGCGACCTGCTGCTTTTGCTTCTCTTGACGACGATGAGCCCGTCGATGCAGCACCGACATCGTCCGCAGACAAAAACACGGCTGCGAACAAGAAACTACTGGCTCAGAATGTGCTCACATCCAAGGCGATGAAGAAACGCATGGATGCAGAGAAAAAAATCGACGCCTCAGTGTATGAGTATGATGAAGTCTGGGATAAAATGCAGGAGGCGAAACAGAAGCAGAAAGAGGCCAAGGAATTAGACTCGGCTCAGAGAAAGGTGGCAAAGTTCTGTTTGTCTCTCTCTTTTCCTTACTGACAGTATACCTTCAGCCAAAATATATACACGGTCTCCTGCAATCTGCAGCTACGCGAAAACTTGATCATTTACGCGCTGAAGAGAAAATGATGCAACACGAACGTGAAGCTGAAGGTGACGAATTCAAGGACAAGGAGTCCTTTGTCACTCAGGCGTACAAGGATCAAATGGCAGAAGTGCGCAGAGCGGAAGAGGAGGAGAAAGGACGTGAAGGTCAGTCAAATCCATCTCTGTACCACTGACTTGGGACTGAATTGTCACCCTGTAGAATTACAAAAGAAGCAAGGTGGTGCAACGACAGGCATGGCCCATTTCTACAGGAAACTCCTTGAAGATTCGGAGCAGAATCATGAAGCTACCGTGGCGGCAACGCAGAAGCCTACCATTGGTCCACAAGGTCCCATGCCGAACCTGACCATCACCAAACCTCCCGACTTTACGCCGATGTCTGACTTGGAGCTAGCGCGGATCGCGCGACAACAGGGCAGAGAAGTCGAATTGAATGATGATAATCAGATCGTGGACAAACGAGAGCTGCTGGCAGCCGGACTAAACTTGTCCGGTCCAAACACGAGGAAATTGGGGCGATCCACTCTGGGTAAACCCAAGGATGCCCAAACGGAGGCCGTTCAATCACACCGTGCTGTTGGGACCGCAGCCAGTCGCAGGGAAATAAATGAACGAAGGGCGAGAGAAATCCAAACTCAAATGGAAGAAGAGAAGTCGCGTTTGGCTCTTGAGAAGCAACGAGCAGAACAAGAGGCCCACGAGCGCGTCATTGCCCGAAGGAATAATGAATCGGACGTTCAGAGTGCTCGGGAACGATATTTGGCCAGGAAACGGCAAAAACTGGAGCACTCTACAAACATTGATATCGAGCCCTCGTAGATTCTTCTTTTCGAGATAAGTTGTATTTCTAGTTTACCTGTAATTATTGTCTTACTATGTATACTTATTAGTGCTATATTTGATGGTTTCAATACTGTCTACCGACGTGAACACGCCATTACACCGAGATAAACACAGTCTTGTCACGTCAGCAGATTTGCAGTCGATGGTCTCCAATCAATGGTATCATCCTGTCAAATGCCTTCAATACCGCGAGAGCCGTTGGACGGTCATCTGGATTTTCATTCAGCATGGGCTTGATGATCTCAAGTAGTTCTGGGACGCAATATCCGCACATCTAGGCGTGCCAATTAAAGCAAACTATCCACGCTCAAACCGCACAAGGATAACGTACTTTGCATGCTCGGAGCATTAGCACCGCAAGGGCCCATACATCCACCTTGAATGGATCGCCGCATTCACCATTTTCGCATTCCGGAGGAACTTCTGTGGCTCGAAAATCGACAATGGATGCACGTTGCCCTAGCTCCACTCTCCGGCTCAACTCGTAGTCAATGTATGCATAGCGGCCGTTATAATCAGTGACCAGATTTCGTAGGGAGATGTCCAGGTGAGCGATTCGATGCATGTGCATAAAGACGGCATGCTGTCCGAATTCAAAGAGTCATCACTTGAATTCGGAATAACGAGCAGACCCACCTCGATGCATTGCCGTAGTGCTCCGAGAAAAAGTCCTAAGCAGCATGGCCCCCCATCCGCAATCAATTGCGAAGACCATTCCTCCATTACGATGAAGGCCAGCTCATCGTCAGGTACAACTACCAGATCAAGGACGGCTGTTGGCCGCATTAAGCGGGGGGACGAGTACAAGACTTATGAACGCACGAATACAGTGGTTCATTTCATGCTCTCGAATTGGGGACGTCGAAAGAAACCGTATCACTTCTAGTTCACGGCTTCGGCAGTGCACGGCCTTGATAACAACTTTTGCACCGTTCCGAATGCATGTTCCTCGAAACAGATTGTCGCGCTGTGAATATATAATGGACATCAAGGTTCGGTACACATGTCACCGACAACACGTACCAGCCCGTCATCCGGACAGAGAGCATCGTCCCCATGTGATAAGCGCGCCCTTGTCGAGGACGGTAGTCGGTTGACACCGTCCGCAAAGTGATCACGGTAATACTGTTTAACGTCGCGCACGGTGTCCAAGCGAAATCCCTTCGACAGCAACAGGTTACGATAGTCAGGCCAGTGTGGAGAAACGCGACAGTTCACATCCTCCTCGTCCCCGGAGGAAGAGGAGGAAGCAGGGGACAATGGCTCATGGTCGTCCTTGCGCCACGAAGCGGACATGTCCTGTAGAATCATCGGAGGGGTATACAAGGAAGCATGGGCTAAACGCAGCCTCTATATAGGACAAATTTAAGCCACGGCAAGGTCGAAAACAATATCATCGAGAATGACGGGGGTAGGAAAGAAATTCCATTGAGAGTAAAAGACAGAGGCCGTGCCCGGAAGATCGCATGTTTACAATCAAGGAGCGACAGGTTTTATAACCATATTCTGAAAGACGGTTGTTTGATGCCCATTTTTTTCGGCAAAGAGGCAAAAACTTCTCAGGAAGTAGCGCTAAAAAGTGATCCACAAACCGGGGTCGGTGGAGGCGAAATAAATATCCTGCAGCTTCCCCCACGGCAGTCAGAATGTTCTATGATACGTAATGTTACTGCAATGACCCCCCTTTTTCAAGGCAGCCGTCAGCACATGAATGGTACTTGGGTGCATGGATTGACTGGAACCAAAGAATCAAGATCGGTCCGGGCTACTGGGCCCTGGGCAAGGCCGCTTTAGGTAATCCATCTGCCACGTGCCGAACCAAGGCTGAGCGGTGCCGTCTGTCGCGCGAAGTCTTCTTCCATTTGCGTCCTCCATCGTCACCAACCACTTCATTTATCCTTGGTTCCCTTGATCTAGCCCTTGCCATGGAGGAGGGTACGAAATCAAAGAAGACCGTTTTTGTAGGAGGAATCGCCGAAGATGTCGATGAAACTATGATATACGAACACTTTTCCACCTTTGGTATGTCGGTCCATGTTGCAGCTCTTCGACTGTATTCATGGCAGTCTCGCAGGTGACATTATCGAGGTCCAGCTACCTTCGGCTGTAACAAATCTCAACCAACAGTCTGGTCGGTGCTAGGAACACTCCTTCAGGACCCTCGGCTAACTTTGCTGCAGAGGCGAAACATCGTGGCTTCGCTTTTGTCACATATGGTTCGTCTGCCGATGCTCAGGATGCCATTGACAATATGGACATGAACGAAATGCACGGCAAAGTCATAAAGGTCAATTTGGCTCGGCCCATGAAGACGCCTATGCAACTGGGAGGAAACAGGGCCGGTGAGCTGCTGCATATACTTGTCCTTCATTTCTCTTTGTGACCCCATTTTTTAGTCTGGGAATCAGAAGAATGGCTCAAGGAACACGCAAAACCTCTCGCGGAAAGTGGAGGTATGTTTTCCGCAGATCTGCCTCAGATGTTCCGGACTGAATTTTATTTTTTTCGAGGCGTGCAAGGCCGTACCACCCAGCGTGACCGGGCAGAATCTGAAGACGCCAATGAAGATGCCATGCAAGAGTGACTATACACTACTATTATAGCACTGAAAAGGTATGTGAATTCGCACCATGCCGTTCAAGCCATTGACGATAGAACGATAAGCCCTTAGCCCCGTGTGCAACCTACCTCCGACCCCAGTCCCTGGACATACCACTGAACGCGTTCCTGTATATGTACATGGCGAAGGACAGAATTCTCGGCTGAGAATCGCCGTCAATCGACGTGGGTCTACGTGGAAAAGCAGCTTTAGCAAGGTCCAAACTTGTTTACTGAGGACAAGGCCGACAATGTCTAGAGATTACTACGCACCGGTATTTGTTCGTCTATTATAAGCCTCTCGGATTGTCTGCATCATCAAATTGCGCTCGAGCACGTTTGATATCTTCCTGCATGAACAGCAGCTCCTCCATTCGAGCCAGCTTCTTCGAGTCGGCTGGCCGCGAGAGAACACGACGTAAGTCGTCAACAGATAAACGGCCTTTCTTTGATGAGCCGCCAGCCGCTAGACACTGTGTGCGATGTCGGCGTTTGGTCAACAGAAAAGGATGAGTGAGACACGCACGACATCAGTGATGTATTCAATAAGAATCTCCTCCATTACATTCACGGTGTCATTTGCTGGATTTCTGTCGTCTCCAAACCCGTACATGAGATTCTTCACTATGAACCACTAAGACAAATAGAAGAGGGGGCAGGAGAGCACTGCGCTTACACTCTTTGGTGAACAAGCCTTTCATATTCGACTGCTTTCTCGACCCTCGTCCTGCACCTGTGCTCGTTGAAGCTGTGTTGTCTCGCACATATGATGGTGTGTAAGGTTGGAATGTCGTAGACCTAGGTACCGTCGGTGTCGGTGTCGGTGCTGGTCGTTGTGGTTGTGGTTGTACTTGTGTCGCAGGCCTGACCACTTGCGCACCTGGATGGACGTAGGGATACTGATGATATGACCATGGCTGGTAGCCAGCAGGAGACTGATACGCGTAAGGTGTTTGGGCGTAAGCACCGTAAGGATACGTCGCGGAGGTTGGCTGAGTGTAGTATGACATGGCGGTTAACGTTGAGGTATCGTGGGAAACTTTTACCCAATTTCACGCACATCAAATCCAGAGTGAGAATGGTATCCAGCATATACAGCATTAAAGTAAACATATACCATACAGTAAGTAACCACGTATCATCAGTCACTGTCGTTTCCATTCACACCAGATTCCAACTGCCTCGCTCGCTCCATTAGTTCCTTTATCTTCTGCCACTCAATCTCAATGATCTTTCGCTCGTCGAGCCATTCACAAATTCCATCAGCGTCATCAAGGTCTTCAGGAGGCTTCTTTCCACCTGCATATGCTACGCGAATAAATCCGTCGGATTGCTTGTGGACGTGGAGCTCGTCAACCTCGTTCTCTACGGACTTGAATAGTTTGTACTAGGAGAAACGGTTCCATTAACTCCGACGCAGGTGATACTAGAAGGAAACGTACCTCCCAATGGGATATTTCATGATATACTCGCGTGCGTTTGGCGCAAAAGCGTCCAAAGTAAAATTCGCGTGTCTGCTCCTCATTGTCCTCGTCATCGCTGTCATTCGGCTCATCAGGTAGATTCTGCGAAGCAATTTACAAAACGTTGTCAGCAGAGAAACCTGGACTTACTTGGAAACCCAACGGATCATAAGGCGAGCCGTCGAGCTGTCCTCTCAATGTTGATAGCCTACCCCCCAAATGGCAGGCGTCGCACTGGGGAAGAGCAAAATCTAGTTTGAACAAGTTAAGATCCGGAAACGTCTCCAGCGACTTCTTGAATTCAGGGCGCCATACAGACGATGCAACGAGAGAATCTCTCAGGCCGATAAGTTTTCTCCGAGCAGATATTAGCGCTACAGAAAAGTAATCATCTTCACAACTGCAGTTTGAGCGATGAATATAAAATGAGGAAGCTTTACTTGCCTTTCATTGCACGTTTCATGAAGTCGTGCCTCTCGACGGCAGGATGGACAGCTATATGGACGAAGAACTGGAAAACAATCTTGAATTGGTGCGCAAGATCTTGTTGGGGCCTGAACTCGGCGGGTAGTAGAGCGGCGCCGTCCCCGTCATCTTCGACGATGAAATCAGACGACTTGTCTGAATCTTCATCGAAAAGGCTATCATGGTCGCTTTCTGGTTGTGCGCCTTTGAATGGTCTGTCACCGTCATTCTCAGACTCATCCTCCTGTTCCTCTGAGTCTGTTGATTCCATCGGCTTTCCCTGTTTCTTTCCTATAAGGCTATTTAGAAGGTAGTGCATCAGAGCTGGTTAGTGCGCACGTTTCAGTTTTTCAAGGTTGCGCTGAAAAGCCGTTTTCCTATGGCGTGAACGTAAACGCGACTCCAGAATATCTGCGCACAATGATCAAACAACATCCGCCGGTCAGTAGCAGAGTAACGCACGTTCTTCCTCTAGCTCGTCATCCTCTTCTGTTTCTTCAAGTGGGGACGAAGGGCGAGGGCCCCTGCGCAATCTACTACGCCGAACAACTGGAACGTCGGATCCTGAACCTGAATCTTGCTGGACCGGCTGTGGTTTGCTTGGACGTTTCTCTTTGCTGGATTTTAGTGATCTGGATTTGAGGTTCAACTTGTTCGTTACAAGAGCAGGGGATCCAGAAGAATCTTCATCGTCGCTTTCAACTACAACTCGCCTTCGCTTCACTGGAGACGGCTCAGCTTCATCAATTTGCAGTTTGGGTTCAAATTTTATCCCCCCAACGTCTGAGTCCGAACCACCTCCGTCTGACGCGTCCTTCTCTGTAACGCGTCCTCGTTTGCGTTTCGTAGGTGAAACTGACGGTTCGAATTCCTGGTCTTTGACACGCCGCTTCGATTTGTATTTCTGAAGAGGAGGACGCGCCGGTGAAGATGAAAATTCAAACAGGGTGGCTTGCTTGAACTTGGCCTGGCCTTTCTTTGGTTTCTTTGGTGGCATGGTGGAGTAAGTAAGGAGATCTCGTGTTGGTCAGAAAAAGGAATACCTTTGCACGTGGCTGCCACACGATCATTTTGACCTCGACTCTCGACCTTCATCGTCACCCAGGCCTTCAAGCTTCAAATTTCCCGACAAAGCATGTCACCAGGATTCTTGCCTACATCTTCTTCTTGTCTTTACCAGAAATATCGAGAGTCTCCGAAAGGGAGTTCCTTGGTGGACCTGATTAGGCTGCTCAGCTTGCTGAGACCTTATCCACACGTCTCAGAATATTCTTCTAGTTCTAGATCGGCTTCCGATGACGACCAACGGAAATACCATGAGGTTCTTGATTCTCTTGATAATTCTACTTCTGCAAAATCTGTCCGTGGAACCATGAATGTGAGTTTTTATCCTTGAACTTGCAACACGAATTTAATCGCTGCTGGCAGAAAAATAGCAGTCCCCAAGTCCTTTGCCACACAGGGACACACAAATGCACAGCACTCAGGATCATTCACATGAAAAGCATTGATCTGGCTCCGCTCGTCCCTGAAACATCACATTCCTTATCCTGTTGACCCGGTTTCAGCAGCGATACGGCATTTCAACCCCACCCATGGTGCCGTCTCTCACCGCTGCTATTTCTTACGGAGATAGTGATAGCCACGCATTTCACCGGTGGGCATTATAACTAACTCGCTCTTAACATCCAGTTCCATCTAACTCCGACCCAGGAGATAGCATGATGACCAACGTTGGCATTATTCCGCAGGAATTGGTCGACTCCATCATCGACGAAATCCCAGTCGACGATCCTGATACCCTTCGCAGCTGCACACTAGTCAACCGTTCTTTCTTTCCCCGTTCTCATAAGCGGTTGTTCTCGACCATCATCCTGCGCAGCTGCTCATACAAGCATGCCAATGCTAGTATCGACCCTTATCGACGTTTTATGCGTTTTGTGTCTCTCTATGCACATTACGCTTCACTGGTCAAGGATATACAACTTCACGACGTCTATCTACCTGTTTCAGGCTCTTGGTTCACCCAGGATGATAATGTAATTCCGCAAATTCTCTCGCGCCTGCCGCACCTAGAGTCCATATCTATCTCATCATTTGACTGCTGTCTTTCTTTCCCTATTATGTCCGCTCTCCGCAATCTATTCGCCTCCCCGAAACTCCGGAGCATTTCCTTTTCCAAGGTTGTGTTCTACAGTCCATCATATCCACTTTTATCTTTATTCTCGCGCGCATCGGGTTCCAAGGCCATTCAGATTCATGGCGGCGTCTCTTATGGTGCACATTATGAGACTCCGCCACCTACAACGAATCATCCATCCTGCCAGGTAGATTCACTGTCTATCAAGATGTATCCGGCTGCAGCGGCCGACTTTATCGACTGTCTTCTAAGCCGCCGCTCAGCCGTCGACGTCAGCTCCCTGAGGAAACTACATATATGGACAACATGGATGAAACACGCAGCCATTTTCAATCAACTTTTGGCTGCTACAAAGAGCACTTTGGAGGAAGTTGTCGTTCATACTTCCAATTCTTGTGAGTGTGTTCTCCAGCCCCATTATACTTTTTCTCATCCAACTATGTCGTCAGCATCGCGCCAACTGGACATCAGCCATGTGCCGCGTATTCGGTGCTTTGTCATGTGCTTGATGTCGAACTTTTCTCCTCCTTTGACCGCACTGGCAAGCCTCTTTGGTGGCCGGCCTCGTGAGCCGTGCCTCATGGAAGAGGTAGATCTGCATCTGCTAGTCAAGCCTGAGATGCTGCTTCAGTTTCCATCTTCTGATGGAGCAGCGCTGGATGATATTCTTGTCAATGTTCGACGTCCATGTTAACATCCACCTCACGCGATTGAGTCTTTGATGTAAATGAGAAACAAAGTATGAGCAGGCGAGTGTGAAGAAAGTCATCGAAAGCCTTCCTGGCTTGCATGCTAAGGGTATTCTCACAGTCGGAGTTTCCAGTACTACAGTTGCGTTTCCATCATTGCATCTAAATCTTCTGGTTCTAACACCTTTTTTGTAGGGGCAAGATGATGCCTTTAGATAATAATTATAATTATGTTTTCAACCTTAAAGACCTTATGTTTCCTATCGCTCTTACTTACAGAATGTATAATAGCCATGTCTGACTTAGCTACCCCAGAATGTATTATGTCAATTTAAAGATCCTTGCAAGGAATCGTACTGGACCATCAATACTCAAGCTTACAGGTAAGTTCGTCATCCCCGTACTTTTCTACCCAGCCTTTGATTCCCCCTTCAAGAACGACTGCTCGGCTCCCCGTGACTCCTTGCTTATCGAGTTCATCCTGGTACCATCCCGCTGTACGTGGTCCGCGACCACCGGGCTTGCAGCTGTTGCAATGGAAGACAACAAGCTGGTATCGCGAGACGCAGAATGGGTGTCAGAACCGGTAGAGTCGGATAGAAAGAATGTGCTGGGAGATTGATAGCGCCTTTGATAAAGGATCCCTGTGAAATGCTATCAGAGGAGGACTAAAGGAGCAAGACATAACCTGGTTACCTCAAAATCGGTGCGGCGGACATCTACAACCAAAACATTGCTGGATTCGAGTAACAGACTGTGTAATTTTTCGGCTGATATGCCATTGGGGATAGATTTGGGCTCCGGGAAGGCGTTGTACCAAGGGACTTCAACTGGAGTTGACTCCGCCATCGATGACGGTTATTGATATCGATTACATCGCATGTACGCTATCAGGACTAGTAAAAATATTCCTGCCGAACTACTCGGCACTACATTTTCATCGTATAGACGTCAAAACATTAATGTATGCGAGGAAGGTAAGAAAAAGTGTCATTATTATTTCCGTTCCTATGAATGTCTACAAAGGCGTATGTTAGGCAGAGTTGTTTTTTATAAGGATACCAGGAGCCTACCCAAAGTATCACTTCTGTGCAGCCATGACAAACGCAAAAATCACTGCTATGAGCGCAACCATGCAGGCTGTGATAGCGGCGATGAACATCCGCGCTACTGGGTATTTACCCTTGGTGAGAGCGTCTTGTATTGAAAAGAATCTCGTCGCGCCAATAAGGAGCAGTACCAGTGATAGAGAGATAGCGGTTGCCCCCAAAGGACGAGCATATCTCTGGGTCGCAGCGGAGGATAGAGGGGAATCTGGGGATTTACTGGAAGAGACAGCGAAGAGCTGGACGATGGCGACACCCACGGAAGTGACGACGAGAGAGGTCCGTACGTAGGCAAGGAAGGTGCGCTCAGATGCGAGGTGATCTCTTGCTACGGAGCCATTATTAGTGAGAAGGAGGCTGACGTGCATTGAGGTACTGTGAGGTCACTGGCAAAAGGAGAAATTCCGAATGTTTCGAGCTGCGACATACTTATACGTACATACCGGTTTCTGCACACTATCTTCCTTTATACCATATTCTTTGACAATGGATTGAGGAATGGATTAAGGTGCCTTTCATCGACGTTGGCAAAGGTAGGTGATGGTCGAATTTCAAGAATGATCCAGGGAAGCCGCAGTGCCAGTCCTGCTTCTTCTCTGCATCCGTCATGTACTCATCAGCCTTCCTCGACGTACTCCAGTAATTCACTTACCATGGGTCACGATTCTCTTCGTATTGACACTGGCTTGTATAACAAAGTCCCTCTCACCAGCGACGTTCCAGCAGACAGGTCGCCCACAATTCCCTCATTTCGATTATCGACCTCACTCAGCGAGAAACCACCTCCTTCGCCGACGGGTATCGACAGCCTCATCCTCATAGTTTCCAGAAGACATACGGATCACGAAGCAATGAATCCCGAAAGCTTCTCGCCCATGTATTGCGCCAGCTCGCCAATAGAGTCATGCCTCCCAGCGTTTATGACATCGCCACCGCGACAGACCAGATCGGAGAGAAAGGGTTAAGCAGACTTCTTAAGGGTGGCGTAAAACTCGGCTCTGGAAAGCCCCAGGGTAGTAGGGTTCCAGGGGACGAAGATGAAAATGCCGAGGTGGACAGGGATTTCACCCCAGACGCGACATTTGATATTATGTCCCAGTTGAAGGACGTATTAATGATTTCCGTCCTCCGAGGATGGCAGATATTTGACGAAGGGTATGAAATTTTATGCCTCATGCGTTTGTTTCGCTCAAATGTACGTAGGAGCACAGATGTCAAAGCTGAACGTCAGCACAGTGGGAAAAGCTCTTCGCCGTTTCGAAGGTCAATAAATACCTTAAATCCCAGCGGGAAACGCTCTAGGTCACCATCCCCGGCGTCTCCAGCTGCTAATTTCGGAGGCCAGGTCCGTTCGACTGAATTGCTTTCTCAATGCATATCTATCCTCTCTTTCCGTGGTATCGGAAGATTGCAGGTATAAGATAGCCTTTCCAAGACCGTCGCGTCCCCCGAATGCTCTCCAGGCCCTCACCTTGAAAGTTGCCCAGTTCCTCTTACATGTCCATCGTCGTAACCCTAAAGTCGTATCACAAATAGGATTTGCCCTTATCCCCGCCTTCTACACGTTTCCACCCGAGATGTATGCGCGTCTGCTGGCATTTTTTGAAGAATGTATCATACGTGGCATTTTAGATGACTTGCGTGAAGTCCAAGGACTTCAGGATGAAATATCTTTCCACGGTAGGATTCCTAACCCGATCTCGACATATCTGTGGCACTTACTTCGATGCGCTTATAGCTCCAGAAGCTTTCGATGAATCTTTGGAAGCCCCGATGGTCTCTATCAGAGTGGATGTAGCAGAGGATGAAAGTGATATGTCGCATCATACGAAGCCGAAGTGGGCTCCTTGGACAGACACCGTATCGCCCCGCGTCCTTAGCATCTTGTCTACGAACGCGCCTCTACAGCCGCCCTCAGTTTACTTCTTGGCATCAATGACTCCCCCCCTCTTGGCCGCAATATTGGACAATATCACTTTGGTCTTGACTCGACAGCGCCCATCGATGTTCTGCACCGGCTGCACCGGCTGGTGGATCTCCTTGTCACAGCCAAAGTAGACGCCTATCTGGATCTACTTGCGGTAGTTGCTTATCACTCTCCGAAATCCAGACACGCCCGCCGCAAGTATGCTATCCGCATTCTGGCCGAAAGGAATGGGTCACGTCATAATCAGTAGGCCGCTTGCAAGTTCTGCATATCTGGCCAACTCTCCATCTATGAGAGACTTGCTTCAAGACCATCCTTATGACCACCAGTTCTTGCCGTGGCGTTTCATCCCCAGCCCCCGATATCCCCATAATGACTGCCGTTCTTGCAGTAGTCCGATTGACGGATTCGGACTCTTGTGCCCCTTCTGTACTTGTGCCGTTCATTTCGATTGCTACGATCATCTAAATGGATGCCATCTTGCCAAATACTCCCACAACGTCGGGCGCGAGTGTCCAGAAGGTGGCATTGTATCGTTTCTCATACCTGTCATCAAACAGACGAGATCACGGTGTTTGGACGCTTCGAAAGCGTGGTCACACATTTCGATATGTTAATTTATTCACACTCTGTCTTTGTTCAGCATGTCAGCAGCCTATGTGGGGGTGCATAGCTCAGGGACTCAGATGTACCTCTTGTCTTCAATTCGTCCACGTTCGTTGTGCATCTTCGCATACTCTATCAGGGTGTCATTATCATGAGTATGACTCAAGCCACATGATAATTGAGTGGAACACACTCCGGCAGACCTGTATCGACTTTTACGAAGATATACTTTCGTTGTCTCAGGAGCAGCTTCGGGGGAGGAGTTTTGAGGAAGCATCCATCATGGCCTCCGTACTTTGGACTCAGTTACAGCTGTTGAATAATGGTGTTGCCCTCGGATCCATTCTCATCACTCACAATGGTAGGGGTGCTGGAGAGATGACATCATACGAAGTAGCCGAATTTGAACTCCATCGCGTCCTACAGGCGTGCGAAGATCTGATATCACAAGGTTTCCTAGCAGCATCTGCTGCTACAGAGGACTATCTGCAAGGCAATGGCATGCAGCGATCTGAACATCCAATCTGTTCGATTGGTCTAACCTCATTTACATCACCACGACGATGAAATCCCCTGCAGCAAAACCATGGCTTGGGCCCTTCAACCAACCAATCGTCTCTCCTGACCGTTACTCAGCCTGCTATATTTACTGCTAGAGAGTCACCAGACCATCCATTTGAGATGCTACCCTTATCGCACCTGCGGGATGTTCTCGGAAGAGACTTCGATCTACACTCAGACGCAATAGCCAAGTATCTGTTGTCATACCTCCATCACCTAGGGTTTTTCGAGCGAGTAGACAGACATCCGACCCTCTTCGATGATAATCCAAACGTGAATAGCATCTCGTGTAGTTTCCCCTTACCCCTTGGTCTCGACTTATCCACGGACGTGGAAACACTTTTCACATCGGTGGAAGCATGTCTTTCAGATTTGGATCTATCTGTTAACGAGACGGGTTTCCTTCTCCTCAGCAGGCGTCTCTGGCCCAATGGCATGGCGTCAGAGTATGCGGTAAGGCGGTTGACACAGGCTATCATTTCATGGGTCTTCGCCGAGGTGAGCTGTAGCATGTTTGTTCAACGACATGAATGCTAATAACATGAAGGATGACAATCTTGCTATGATACTTCGTGACTATGTCGCGAAGCAGCAAAGCCTTCCTGGTGTTCGAATGGCGGACGATGTCAACCCTTGGCCTGAGGCTCGGACTCTGCGGCATGTCCCCCCAAGTTCTATCCATAACGGTGGTGACTACGTAACGGCTAGGCGGTCATTGTTATCCCATTACGCCATTCCATGGCTATTGGCTTTATCACAACGAAGACGCTGAGAACTACGGAAGACTATTATACGAAACATCTATTCAGGCTGGCACAAACATCTCCTTCTGCTGACCAATTGGCCGCTCCTTCCCCTGATTTCCCGTCACCGAAATCAGCAGATGTCGTTACGCACAACTTTGATGCTCAATATTTCGACAGATTGCTCCGTCTTATCATCCGTCTTTCTCAAAATTTGGTGACTTTCACAATTTTTGACGATTTATTTGTGCGTTGGTTAGAGGCGGTATCAGCTTCAGATCGTTTCGAAGAGGTATGTTTCCCGTCCCACTTTCGGAGCATTCAGTTAAATCTTTTCCTTTTTACTCAAGCCTATACCCTCACTCAGCCGTCTGTTCGCACGAGATGTCCAGGAGTCAACTTCAAGAGCGAGTGTATTCGATTCTACAGCGGGTCAAGATAGTAATGATGCTACTATAGACCCCTGGCGCCGGGTCATCAGTGTTTCCACTGAGAACAAAGCCGGTCTTTTACGCAGTCTGCGGTGGATATACGTCTTTGCACGATCGGGTGTCGACGTACCTATCCAGACGTATTTTCACTTTACCACTTTGATGGAAAAGTTCCAGACGACAGTTACCGAGTCACTTTTGTTCGTCAAGACCGTAATGTCATCGACGTGGCAAAGGCCAACAAGCCGCTTTGAAATCCAAGATATGTTTGGCAAACTCCATACTCGCCTTATGCCGGAGGTTTTGCAGACTCTTTCTGGTGGAACACATATCAAAGACGTGTACGGTTTCAGTCGCTTGTTCTGACTTCTTGTTTGGCTTCTGACGTGACTATAGGCTTGATTTCATTCGTCAGACATTAGCTACATGTTTGCTGCTGTATGGCTGCAACCGAACCAAGGTCGTGGAAATGGAAATGATCTACAATGACGAAGTCAAAGACTTGCCTTCTAGGTTACTTTCCCAGCATTCATGTAAAGTTGTTCTTTGACTTATCTTAGTTTCAGGCGCAAGATCAACGTCCGCAGCTCGATAGTTTCCGATCCTATCATCGTGCCTTCGAATTTCATGGCCGCTGTTAATCGATACATGAGTGCCGACGTTGATGACGTTTCTTGCCTGATAGCGAAGTTTTTCCACATGTTTCTTATGCGCTCACCGTATCTTGAACCTCATGAAGTAGACAATTTTATCCTCAAGAATGGGAACATGCTATGCAATTGGTGAATTTCGTTTCTGTCCTGTCCTGGGCGGTCACCAACGGATCCTCCTTAGCGCCTGGCAGTTATATGGAATCCGTCGATCCGAAATCTCTGCGTTCAGAGCGCCATTTCTTTTGCGAACTTTAGTTGTAGATACCCAACCATTCCAGCATACCTTGAGGAGGGTCTTCAGCGCCGAGGATGATTGGGAGCTTAGGTTTTATTCTTCCTCTTCCCTGTGTGACATCCTGACCCATACATGCACTTCCCAGGTTAGACGGTATCGCTCGACTATTTCGCATAATCTTGGATTCCCCAAGCTCAGACTTCCAGGTCGAGGGCAGGCAATGGAAGTCGAGCGTTAGCGACGTGTTCTACTACTTTTTTACTTCTCTTTGGGCAGACAAAAAAGTTTGTGTCTTCACCTCCTCTCAACAAATTTGAATAATTCTCGTGTAGGAGGAAATCCGACTCTCAGTTGATACCTTGGTTTCAAACATGCTCGCGGTGCATTTTAATGCGATATCCTCCTGTTGGGATGAAGTTCTGTCCAAGTCACCAATCGAAGAACGTGTCAAACTGGTGTCATTCCTGATACAGCTGCGATCGCATTTCCCCACCTGGAAAGGTAATGGGTTTCTCTTTAAATCACCATTATAACTTATCGAGTCACCCAGTGGTGTCTTGGGAGGTCATCATCGAAATACTTCTCGAAGACCAATATGATGAAAAAGAAAGCGGCGATGGGCCAGCTGCTGCGCACCTGGCAGGTCTCTTCGTCTCTACGCGAATGTTGACTGATCAGGTCTTGGGGCATAGTCTATGTATGGTCTGTCTTCAAAGCACGACGTATCACCTGATGAGCCCGCAGATCCATCAGATACGGCACTTCTTCGTGTAGGCATTTGATCTCTGATAGTGTCTTCCTAACTTTAATAACTTAAAACATCTAGGCCTCTATCTTGCATCTGAGTCTCAGCATGATTGCAGGAGGTATCAAGATAGAGTATAACGATGTGCTTCGGATCAAGCACCACTTAGTCAGAGCCTTCGGGTTTGATAAGGTCTCATTGGCGCCTGCAGCGAATGGGCATACCTTCTTCGTCGAGTTTGGCGAAGCTGAAGAGATACCAGAGCTCGCATATCCTTGTGTGACGGAGCTGACTGTGGTTCTGGACGCTCATCATATCCTAAATTTGAACTCACTTAGTACGGGGATACAAGAAGGTGCTGATAGCACCACTCCTCTACTAATCGGTGCTCCATATGTAGATGTCTGTTTGGGTCTATTCTGCACGGTTAGAGATCTACAATCATTACCGGTTCTGGTCCTCAAGAGCATGATTGAAGCCCTAGGCATCGTCATTTACAAACATAACTTCGAGAAGGTCTACCTCCGACATTTGCAGCAGACTCTGCGGAGGGCAGTCTCGCGTGCTTTGGAACTTCTTCTTCTGGATATCAATTACGAATGCCGACAATTGGCGCTCTCTGTTGTCCAAGCATATATTAAGCGATGGCATGGATCTATCCGTTCTTTTGTTCAGTGAGTTACCACTTTTGTTGCTGGAAACTACTCTCATTCAATCATGCAGTTTTGCAATCGAACAGGTCGCCAAACTCATTGCTTCGCAGAGCCATCTTTCTCAAGATGCCTTGGTGGCTCAGGGCAAAGCTTTCATCGAATCCACCCTTGTAACGTAAGTCAAGCATCTCCCCGCTCTCATGGTGAGATAATATGACGTTATCACAGATATTGCAACAATGGAATATTTACTGGACTCATCCGAGTGCGTATATAATCATTTTATCGAGGCTTCTATTCATTTCCTCCTTAGCGCGATCTGGACCCTGAAGTCTTCGTCATTCTGAAGCAGGTTGCCGATGCGAATGCCAAGGCCTCGCCTAAACCTATTTCTGATCTGCGTGAATCCTTACTGCGGGATACCCTTCCCAGGGCCGTAGAGACGGACCAAGCTGCTTTCCAGGCTTTGTTAAAGAACTTACAGAGCTTCATAGAGGTGGTATACCATCAAGGATACTCACTTGATTTGATGTCATGTCGGTTCCGTACTTTCCTCTCTTACTTTATGACACTGACTTGAAGTCTAGTTGTGGGTCAACATTTGGTTCACCTTGCTCGCCGTAGTTCAGAGTGGGCTTCTAATGCCATCAATCCTTCCCCCCTGCTCTCTATCGCAACCATACTGATTCAACACAACAAATCCCAAAGTCGGGTCTGTAAGATCATGTCGAACAGGTGCCGTTTACGACTGACATGCATTCTAATAGGACATGCTGACATATACGGATGCCATTCTCCGAATCACACTGACTAGGTTGGCTGTCGATAAAACCTGTCTTTCTAAACTCATCCAAGTCACTGCCACCCTCTATCGGAAAACGCAATCAACAGACTCTGTGCCCTCTAACGCAATTATTGCCGTTGTCCTTGAATTGTTGTCTGACGGGCTCCGCATGAAGGTCCGTGTTCTGCCGATAACGTTGAAGGCAATGCTTGAAGTACGTAAACGCTGTCCTTTTGCAAGATTGATGAACTCTGAACTTCAATAGGCTGTAATGACGACGGAGATCGGAGGGCATACAACTCCCGCTGTTCTGTATCATCAACAGTTTGCAAGTATAGCTGATAATGGGTTCCACTTCCTCCAGAACCACGTGTGGACAGATGTGCGCTCCGATAGTGACTATTCGGCGTCTCTGACAGTAGGAAAATTCATCCTACAAGCAGCTACCTACGATCCCAGTGTTATGTCCAGAGTTATTGAACAAACTGTTGAGGTTAGTCGTGTACTAGACGCCCTTACAGATTCTGAATTCATATCATAGCGTTCTTCACGACATTATATGACCATCCGAGCGTGGAATATGCTCGTTTTATCTGCACTAATGGATCCATCTGAAAGTTGGATCACGCTCATGTATATGCAGCTTCCAACATTCTCTTCTGCATACCAGGCTACTCTTAGAGAATACCTCCAAGCCGGTACAAGCCCCCCGGAATCTGCAATAACGGACATCAATCATGCATACGTGGCCATCAAATTATGGCTTATGCTGGCGCAGAAACGAGCTGTAAAAGAGGACGGAGGTTCTATATCCGCGTTCATGGTTTGGAACGAACTATGGCCTCCGTTCGAGAGTCTTGTCAATGTCTTTGAAGCAGAAGTGCAAGTGGGCTTGTCAATGGTAAGCATCTTCCAATGACTCGGAAAGGACGGCGGACCGGTTGACGAAGCCCCCACAGACGCTGGCCATGCTGACCTGGTCGACAGTTGCTGAGCTGTTTCTTTTCATTCGAGCACTGCATAGCCCTGTGGCTTCAGAGTCGGCATCACACATTGGCCTGGTAAAGCGATTGAAGAACCTTGGCCGCGGGGAAGCGCATACGTCCAAAGTACACCTTCATTTTCGTGTTGCTCAATTAAGCCTGACTATAATTTTGTGCAGCTATCACGAGCACTGCGCAATATGTCCGAACCACCTCCTGAAATTCCTATAGGTAGTCATATCAATCAGGCGGCGAAGGATCTCATCGCGGCGGAGAAACTGAGGATCTTAGAGGCAAGGAGAGAACCAAGATCAGGTAGAAGTGCGACATAGTATATGTAGAATATGAATAATGCATTGCAAGATTTGGGATAGTCTAACGAAGGCAATATTAGGGCAGCATCGAAGAAGCCTCCACTACAATCACACACCTAGCTATGACATTCATGATTAGGCAGTGCGTAGCCGGGCCTTTTGAGCCTGTTTCCGCTTCTCTTTGATGACGGTAGACCCTATAAAGAAGCCAATAACTGATAGACCGACGACGAGGATAAAGGCAGGTAGCCGGACAGCCCATTCTCGAGCAGGAAAGAAACTGTGTATTTGACTGGCAGGATCGAAGAAGGGCTGATTTGCTACTGAGTAAACGAAAGAGAGAAACAAAAATGCCACGCACCAGTAATATTGCCCAAGTTGTATAATAGGTGAATACGACAGCTGCTCCCAGCAGCATTGCCCCTCCCAGTGCTTTATCGCTTGTTCCCTGTAATCAGAATCAGAGAATTCCAGCACGGACCATGAGAGTAGACAGAGGTGCACCATTGAAGTTACGAACGTGGAAGTAAAAGTTGATCGAGTGACCAAAGCAGGCGACGCGTTGACTTCGTTCCCACCACTTTCACCGGCAAACAAAAGTCCAGCCGCACCTCGTCGTCGTTGTCTCCATCGTCGTTGTGAGCAGCGGTATCCATCCCAGGAGGGCCTTGACGCTCGTCGCATGGATACCCATGTCTTTGCCTCACTAGCGCATGTCCAAATCCTATTAGTACCAGTTGGCTCTATATCTCAGCCGACCTTCGATAAATATGTCGCGGAAATTCGCAACTTCGAGTCCATTAGACTTGGGGACATACCAGTGGATAGCAAGGATGAGAGAGGTGCGTACAGATGATTTATATCGAAGAATATAAATCCCATTGCAAATCTAGCTCGGTTCATGCCCAACCCTCTTTCGACAGGCCATCTCCATTTGAGCTTTCCAACGCATCCGCCTCCTACTTCACATATACCCCTTTCGTTGTTGCGGCCTTCTCATTTCCCACTCGCCGTTATTGGTATCGCCTCATGCGCACCGGATGACACGCTTCCTTCTGTCCTTGCCCAGTTCCATGGCACCCTACTTGATCTCTTTCCAGCGGACTTCGTCTTCCCACTTGCCAGAATCTGTTTTGTTTTTGAAGAGGGTGATGGTAACAATAGCACCAATCTAGGCGACAGTCTTCCAGGTTTAGCCGTCATTCCAAGCATGATGGGTAACAAGAAAATATACCTTGGAACACTTATAGCCGATTTGTGTTCAAATGTCCTGGGTGAATTCGGAGTACTTGTATGCCTCATTGTTATCTGTTGTTGGCTTAGCTTAATGGAAATAGGTTCAAGCACTCGAAAGTCCATTGGGAAACGAATATCTGAACTCATCACTCCTACCGGTTCTCCCTCCGTTATCGGAACTCCCCACGCCCTTGAATGGAAATCGAATACGTGATGTCCTACCGCCTCTATCGTCACATAACAGTGTACCCGACATGTCAAAGTCTGGTTTCACCCTAGCGTCATCTCCTAGCATGAAACGAACTTCGTCTGCGGGTCATCGGCAATCTACGCTCACAGTTCCCGCCTCAAAGAAGCGGCTAAGCAGTATCGGCGCTGTCTCATCTCCTGGACGATTGTTCAAAGTCTTAGGCGATTTCTTCACCCTTGCAGGCAGAACAGAAGACGCCTATGTATGGTAGGTCTTTTGACTGGGTTTGACCTAAATGTTCTCATGGGCGACAGGTATACGGAATCCCTTCAACTCTTCAGAGCGACGCCCGATCCAGTGTGGCAGGCTTCCGCTTTAGAGGGTCTCGCCACGATATCTATCCTTGATTCATGGTCGGCTGGACATGGACTAGTTTGTTCTTCTCATTTCTGGTATTATTTTTTCTGACTTTCCTATATCAGCAAACATCCACAAGTGCCACCACCCGTGATCCTTGGGCTGACGTTGCCGACAAACTGACCCAAGCAACCTCGCTGTATTACAGGACACCCATTGCCGACATGGACCATCACTCTCTTGTTGCTTATCTTTATTGCTGTTGCGTGCTTCGACATTCTTCTCTTCTTTTCTCTGTATGGTCCGCCAAAGGATGGGGTCCGCTTGCTTTTACAACCATGTTGCAACCTGGGACGACACCTTACCTCCCACCTACGATATCCTATGAAGACCGTAATTCATGGTCACATTTAGAACGTTTAAGTTCAATTTCGGGCATATCTCGCATATCTGTTGCCTCCGTTATTGCTCAAGCTCATGGTCCCTGGTTGTTACACCTGGACGCTAGGGAACGAATAGGCGTTCTGGAAGCGGTGGCTGCCTTGTATTCTTGCTTGGGATTCAGGCGAAAAGAGGCATACATCTTACGAGAGGTTCTTGGGTGTATTCTTGACTTGATTGTCTGTGGTAGAGATGAGGATGGTATTGCTACGGCGTCATATAGTCCTGATGAAGGCGCACAGACTTCCACGACAAATGCTACCATGTCGTCGGCACCAGGCAACCCTCAGGTTGGGGTGAGGGTGAATGAAAGCACAGAGGGAAATCACAGCATCTTGAAGCTTCTCACTCACCTTTGCAGGGTCCTCGGTATCGAATTAGATGCTGTAAAGATCGTCGATGCGGACAGCACTTCGGTGGATGCCAATGAGCCGGATGACGACTTTCAACTCCGAGAGCCCTTTGGTTGGCCTGAGTTGCAGGTTGGCGTTGTCCGAGAAGCAGTGGCTGTTGCGGAAGCATTACCAGGTCATTGCGCCAAAATTATAACAATGTTTTGTATCTCATTTTTGTTTAGATTATCTGGCCGTTGCTCAATTTGCCTTATCTTCTCTGAAGACTCTTCAAGACGTGCTGGAAGTTGGCGATCAGTATCATTTTTACAAGACTGCTACGGAAGCATTGTCGACGGCACGGCGACGGGGGGACACTAGACCCGTGGAATACTGGACAGGGAATCCCATCACCAGTATCTCTGTGGCGCCGTATGTCTGAATTCTAGCTTCCAAGATGAAGTCTGATTCCGAATCTACTAGGCTACCTCTTATACGTCTGCCCAACGAGAAACCCCTGTCCGCCCTTCGGCCAAGGTCTGGTGAGGTGAACCCAATTCTCACCGGAGCTAGAAATCCTTTCCTTTACAATCCTCGACAAGCAGCATTTGGTCAAGTGAGTTAATTCTCCATATCTCACATTAGTACTGACCTCATTCCCCCAGCCGAGTCAAACTATGGTTGTACAAAATGAAGTACTTGAATTCGTAATCGAGCTCCAGAACCCCTACGTTTTTAACCTTGAACTCGACTCTCTTTCTCTCAGGTTCGTAGATGTTGATTATCCTCCTTTCGCGTATTTAAGATCCGAGCAGTACCACTGGTGTCCCATTTGAATCCACGCCAACGCGAGTATTGATTCCCCCGGAATCAAATTATCGTGTCGTCGTTTCTGGAAGGGCCACGCAAAGTGGCACACTGACAATTCGGGGTTGCATTGTCCAAGCGCCCGCAGGGGCCCCTCGCGAATTTGTCATTCCTCTTGCTACTGACGACGAACTGGAGCGACGAGCGCGAAGACACGGGGCTCTACAATGCGAGATGGGCCGGTCAAAGTATTCTGGATTGGATGCATTCCCTTGGGAAAAGGCTTTGAAACGTGGGAACACGCAATTGGCCAGATCGCCACCGAGGTCAATCCCCAGATTTTTAGAATGCAAAGTTGTTCCCGAACAGCCACTTTTGCGCATCCGACGTACGTCAGTGACGCATGGGGCCCTGATGCTGTATGATGGAGAGAGGTGAGTTGGTTGTGTTTCTGCTGGGGTCAGTTCTGACTCAACATCAGGTCTACCATTCGGTTGACAGTCGAGAATGTCTCCTCCCTGCCAGTTGATTTCCTGAGATTGGTTTTTGATGACTCTACAATTGCCCCCGCCCAGCAGGCTCTTGCCGAAGGCTCCCTGTCTACCTTCGACACTTACGAAACGGAGTACAATCTGATACATCGACCGCTATTCTCATGGAATGAGGATGAAAGCCGGACTATTGATCCAGCCGGTAAACTAACATTGACTGTACAATGTTTAGGGAAGGTCGGATGGTATGCGGTCTTCTCACTAAGAAAATCCTTCTCTAATCATACTCTGCAGCACCAGCGGCACTATACACGTCACGTATGCTTGCATACAACGCAACCCGGAAAGTCCTTCAGAAGTATTTCACACTCGTCAATTATCGTATCCGCTCATGGTCACCGTATATCATATGCTGGACTGTCAAGCAATGGATATTCTCCCATTGCCTTTGCACGATGATGACAGCAGACCCAAGAAATCTCAGTTGCCAAAGAGTGATATACCTGACTGGTGTTTGTTCTCAATTGAAGTGAGAAATTCTTATGGGACACCATTCGAAGTAACTATCGAGAGAGTACAACAAGGTATCCTTCTACCGATGTGCTCAGGACTCGATGACTTACTCGCTATCACAGACGCCGGGTTTGCTAAAGCCTCAAGCATCATCGCTCCTGGTTCCACTTCACGGTCAGTGTAGCCATCAACTGTATTCTGGATTAGCTAAGTTTGATGCTGATCTAGCCTTGTCATCCCTTTGCGAAAGTTTTTGCTGACCCAGCCACACGTCTCCCAAGCTATACCAACGTTGTCTGATAGGCAATTCGTGCTCACTGAATCCAAATTATCGGATGACGAGGAACGAACCCAGACGGAGCTCTTTTGGTACCGAGAGGAATTGTTCAAGTCACTACAGTGTCGATGGCAAGAGGTATGCTTGTCACGATCTACTTCTCGTTCGTCGAGTTGACGGTTTTTAGGTGGGTGGCACCCGGTCTGGTGATTTGTCATTACGACAGCAGCGGATGACACTGCCAATGCTGAATACTTTGCGCACGGAAGCTGCGAGGATTGATATGTCTTTGCTGACATTTGACGAGTTGGAGGTGCCTCATCGAAACGACAAATATCATCCTCGGGCGAACGAGTTCGTACACCTTCATATCAAGATTAAAAACCAATGCGGTAGGAAAACTCGTGAATTCTGTGTAAGAAATGCTGACGTATGACAACAGGCTCTCCGTTGACTTTGTCATTGGACCTGGTTATGGAACCTTCTGAGCATGTCATCTATGAGGGGGTCCTCAATGATATACCGGTGGGACAACTGGAGGGCGGAACCTCATTCGACATCACTATACCGCTGTGCTTCCTTGCGTATGGCCGCTTCACCATTTGGGCAGCAGCTAATACGTTTGGAGGGAAAGCCCGGGAAAGGGTACAAGGTCTCGCACACCTTACCGCAGTCCTCTCCGAGGGATGATACTGGCGTGCCGAAGGGACACTAATAGTTCCTCATAGTTCAACACGCGCGTTATTTACAGCAGGCCAAGTATTGGCGGTTCTGAGAGAGCGGCGCGCAGTGTTCTACAGAGACGGGTTCGTACCGTAGATTGTGCTTGCATAAGTAGTACACTGGTTATAGTATGACTCAACATCGCACTGCGAAGAGCCTTCATTCAATATTAGTCGAAGTCCGATTCATCTTGTTTGAAAGCAGCTGAATACGCCAGTATCGTCCCATACACCAATCTGCGTGGATGGTTAAGGCAGTGAAGCGGAAACATGTGGTGACGTACCCTCCCCCAATGATGGACATTACACATGCACTCTTTGTAATGACATCGGAGTGCGCCAATACAACGGGAAGAGCGAATCCGGTGACGACGACAAGAGATGTAATGAAACGTCCCAGGTCGATAGGTCCACCACCGCCTTCATATTGGCTCGAAAAGTCGTCCGAGCCACAGTGAGAGAATACGGCGTTAGGAAGAGGTGCGAGAACGAATGTTAGGGCTGCATTGCGATAGGGTCATGATGTATCGAAGGAAAGGATACTATCAGAGACGAACCAACGAGAAGCGGTAGCCAGTTGTGCCATAGCGCACAAGACAATATGATCAGTAAGAATCCTACAGCAAGTACGAAAGACAGAAGAATGACGGCTAGAATATAATGAGTAACTAGATGACTGCAGCAGAGCAATCAAAGTACGCACTTTTGAGGCCAGCAGCCATGGTGCCAGGAGGGAGACGTTGCTTGGCTGTATTTGGCTGTTGCCTTGAAGTGGACACAGTGTGACTCAAAGTCATGCACGCGTGACATCGCTCTTCCACAACGACAATTACGACGCGCAACGGCCGCAATGCAACCAAACGCGCCGGCGAGCCATTCTCGCCTCCTTAACGCGTTGGACGATAGTTTTGTGAGGAATACCCTGTCTTCCGTCGAAAACATGCTACTGACATCCATGAAGAGGCCACTTCAGCTGTCAAATGGTCTTGCAACTAATGACAGGGTGCGCGCGCTACGCGAAGCCCGTGCCAAACAGGTTGTCTCGTCTTCCTCACAACAAAGTGAGTTTTTGAGCGTCGAAAGCGGTGCTGCAGTCAACTGATGGGCACAGTGGCGGACGCGGAATTTTTGTCGAGTTCAATGGCCCGGGGTCGCCGTTCTATTGGTGGGGCTGGAGGATTTAGCTTAAACTACGACGACGAGACACCGATTAGATCAATAGATGTTGGTGGGCCTGACCAGCAACAAAAGTAGGTCATGAACTAGTTTATGCTGCAACCATCCTCACCTTTCTTTGAAGACTAGAGGAATTCGTTGCTCAGTTCGTTACTAGTGCAATCGACAATGTCAGTCACGGGTTGACCGTCAAATCTGCTATGAAAAGCCTTGGCCTCAAAGAGTGCGATCCGTTACGATACCACCACTTCATTTACTCATTCCCTTTAGTGAGAAAGATACTGTACCTGGACTGGAAATCCGGCTCCTACCACACCAGCTAATAGGTGTTAACTGGTCTGTCTGTCTCACAAGATCCGTCTGTTTCTGGCTCATTTAAGTATACAGGATGCTCGACAAGGAAAAGAGTAAAGATAAAGGCGGCATCTTGGCGTTCGTTATCTTTTCTGTCCTTGGTTTTGTACCACTCACGTCCTGTGGCTACAGGGATGATATGGGTCTCGGTATTCTGACTTTATTCCTCAATCACGCGTCTTTACTAATATCCAGGTAGGGAAAACAGTGCAGATGATCGCTACTATGCTATTGCACATGCCTAATATTGACAGCGAAGTTTGCCGGACAACGCTGATTGTCGTTCCTGCTGCTCTTCTACAACAGGTGGTGTATATTGTCAACTGCAGCAGCCATTCGTTGACCCTTGTGTAGTGGAAGGAAGAAATCGAGCAGAAAACAGGAGGGACACTTACGGTCCATATTCACCATGGCAAGGACAAAATCAAGGTACCGATTTCTCCGTTTACGCTACCCCGATGAACGAACCATTTGTAGAGAAAGTCACAAATCGATTCTTACGACGTAAGTAGGTTGATTTTAGCATCTCCGCCCTCTTTCATCGGGAACACATTGAAGGTCATCGTCACTACATATCAAACTCTCAACGGGGATTTTGCTATTCCCAAAGATGTCGGTCCAACTGAAGAAGCTGAATGGCTTTTTGAATACGGGCGAGTGCTACAGCGTCGTGAATGCATCACCCTTGCCTGACGTTTAGCGTGTAGTGGCATACTTGCGCAGACACGTTTCTATCGTGTCATTGCAGATGAAGCGCAATATATCCGGAATCGGTAAGTGTCATTTTGCTTCTAACCCTATTCGCAATTGACATTCCACAGATCGACGCGGTCGAGTGTCAGCTTAGCTCACGTTAAGGCAAAATACAGGTGGATGCTCACTGGCACCCCTGTCACCAACACTCTGTAAGATTCTTTTGTGTTTTTATCCCTTGTCCTTGTGGTCGTGACAACATTCAACTAGCGCCGACATCTATGGTCTTCTGAGGTTTGGGCGTTTCAGACCCTGGAATGATTGGAATGACTTTAACGAACACGTGGTATGAAACTACGGAGATTTTGACTTCTCCTCAAGCCAACCCTTGGTCATTTTAGGCGCGTGTTCAGAGCGAAGACGCCGTACTCGCAGGTATGAAATTTCTGTTCTTTCATCGTTACCTAGCCTAGAAGTGTCGACATCAGGTGAAAGGGCCAGACAAATTTTACGCCCAATATTACTTCGCCGGACGAAGGGTTCCATGCTCGAAGGAAAGCCGATCTTGGAGCTTCCGCCAAAGGATATCGCGATCGTCAACCTTGAATTTTCAGAAGAGGAGAGAGAGGTACGCCATCAGGTTTCATCTTGGCAATTAACGTGGGAACTCAAACTCATTCAGCTTTACAACTCCTTTGAGTCCCGAAGTAAAATTCGACTCAGCAAATTTATCAAGGAAAGGACCCTTGTCAAGAAGTGAGCCGCTGAAACCATGTCTTGCGTTGTCAATGCTCATGCTCCTTCTAGCCACGCCGCTGTTCTGGTGAGTAGACGCTCCTACAATTATAGATCAATGTTCACTGTAGTTCAGGTTATGATTCTACGGCTCCGACAGTTGTGCTGTCACCCAAATTTGATTTTGGTATGCCACCTCTTAGATTCAGAACAGGATTACCGCTGACTTACGGTGACAGTCTTTAACAGACAGCTATGACGATCCCACGATGTTACTAGCGGGAGAAGCTGAGAAGGAACTATCCCGTGCTTTGAAATTTCGAGGCCGGCAGTGGGTGGATGATGTTAAGAAGATGTATGTTTGGTCAAATTGTATATTGTATCTTTGCTGATTTGATATTTAGGTTTCTACTTCGTGCGCGCGCTGCGGAAACCTTGGATTTCGATGACGACGAGGAAGGGGAAGAAGGGTCAAGCTGTCCTGCTTGTGGAGATTGTAAGGCTCTTGAGTTATCCTGGGACATTTTCAAAGAATTCTTCTAGACCTTACCAACGAGACTGGTCGAATTCTTGGGTGCAAGCATGAGATGTGTTTTGACTGTCTACTTGATATGCGGAACGCTCCCATCGCTCACAACGGCGAATTGTACGTTTTACTAGCTTTTTTTTTGCCGATCCCGTCACAGTTTACCAAACAATCACAGTGGAAACGGCAGCGAAAAGGAGAACCTCGCTGCGGAGAAGAAGTATGAAGAAGCAGCTTCCAAGGGTCACAGGCCATGTACGCCAAGGTTCACCGCTGGTCATCTTAAATTCTATTGACGTTATAAATGTTAGGTCCAACGTGCAAAGAAATGCAGAACGTTGGCGATTCAAAAGTTTTCAGATCCATAGCCTTTCAGCCTACCGATGAGGAATTAACCAAACATGCCAAACGAAAACGCACGCTTAAGCGGGCTGTTGTCGGTTACGACATATCCGATGAAGAAGAACAGACATCGCTGGAAGAACGGATTGCGTCAGACTCAGACGACGACTTGCCCGATATTGCGAATATTATGCTGCCCAAGAAGAAGAAGGCCAGGGTTGAACGAGACGTGTGCACCTTTTCCTTGTTTCTGATGTTGCTGATACTGATTGGATGCAGGATGATACTTTGGATCTGACAATTGACGATATATCTGCATCGTCAAGGTCCGAAGACGTTTACATGAGTCAGTCATCTGAAAAGTTCTCCCCCGCAAAGCGTAAGACATCAAAGAAAGCTGGAGATGGACCTTCAGAAGCTCTGATCGCAACATGGCGGAAGGGTGACGATGATATGGAGCCGAGTACAAAGATGTTAAAATTACTATCTCTATTGAAAGAATGGGACGCCAGCGGGGATAAAACTATATGCTACTCACAGTGTTTGTTCGCCTCTCGTCCTCTGCACCAAGTACCACGGCACTGATATAATTATAGGGACATCTATGCTCGATCTTCTCGAGACATTATTTTCTCGATACGGAATTCGCAGCGTGCGTTTTGACGGAAAGATGGACCGAGCATCCAGAGACCAAGCAATACAAACATTCAAAGGGGCAGGAGGACCTAAGGTCATTTTAATCAGCACAAAATGCGGTGGTGTTGGGTGGGTAAATTTTACCTTACATGAGCCTACGCTGACGCGGAGAAACAGACTGAACCTGGTGGCGGCTAACAGGATCGTCAAGTAGGTGCCATCCATGTTAATCATACTCGTAACCGACATTTTTGATCAGTATGGACCTGTCATGGAACTATGCAGCGGAGTCACAGGCTTATGACCGGTAGGTATTCTCTATTTCGTTCACTATACCAGAGCTTGGTATTTACATACTCTCAGGGCTCATCGAATCGGGCAGGATAAGTCTGTATGGGTTAAACGACTCGTTGTAGAAAACACCATTGAAGAACGGTAAGCTGTCAGCGTTATGTGATTGCGTCCATTCTGGCAACAGTCCGGTTTAGTATGTTAAAACTTCAAGATGTCAAAGTTGGTCTTGCGGAGGCTGCCCTCGGTGAAGGGACAGGTAATAAACTGCACAAGCTCAGTGTAAAAGATATCAAATTTGTGAGTAGTTCTTCCTTCTGTTTCTATCCCATACTGAAGATCTACTAGTTGTTTAATATGAATAAGGACCAGAATGGTGATGAGTAATGCGAACCCTAAGAGAATCCATTTTTCTCTTCCCTCAGCCCTGGATTGGCCCTGGAGATACTTGACTTATTATGTATTCTAGTACTCTTTACTCTAGTACATTTTCTGTATATCGTTAGGTATAAGTAGCTCTGATGCTATATCTAATTATAATCTAATGTCGTCGGTTGGAGGAACTCAAAAAATGAACGAATTCGGTTGCGGATTCGACCAAACTTGACTATTTGTTTTTGGATGTTATCAGGCCAATTCCGCCGCGGAGCTCTTCCGACCCGCATATCGTTTATCATTTTGCGCTTGATTGTTGCTATCTTTTGCCGTTGGCATCAACTTGTGGCCAATATATGTCTTCCCATGCTTTGGCTTTACTTGTTTACGTTCACTTGACTCCGAGGATTCTTCATGGATAATAACTTCCCAAAGCAAGAGAGACAGTCGCTATCGTACTGGCTTCAAGGTGTTCGAAGTAATCCGCTGCTTGATCACCGAACAACGGAAGAACTGCCAGAGGAAGCGGACGTAGTGATAATTGGGTCTGGGGTAGGCCACTACTACTTATGGGCGACATATCTTCACGTTGTCAATGAGGTTAGGCAACGGGTGCAATGACAGCCTTGGAGCTCTTGTCTAGCCCAAATCCACCCAAATCCATCGTGATGCTCGAGGCCAGAGAGCTGTGTTCGGGGGCTACCGGAAGGAATGCTGGCCATTGCAAACCAGATCAGGTATTCTTTCCGTACAGTTCACCACATGAAGAAAGTTATCCCATTCGTTGACAGTGGAGGGGATTTGCGAAATACCAGTCCAGATTTAGCACTGAACAGGCCTTAAAGGTTCGGTGCTTCTTCTGTAATACCGTATTGAAGACGCTTAACAATCTTTCAGATTCTAGCCAATGAACAAGAAGCGTTCGAACGCGTAGTCGCGTATATTCACAAATACAATGTCAAGTGCGATCTGTGGGTAGGAAAGACGGTGAGTGAATATCACAAGACACGAGCACAGCCATTATTTATCTCGATTTCAGCTCGATGTCATAATAGACGAAGAAATTGCCACCAAAGCCGCTGGCATTTTTGAACGCTATCGAGCTGCAGGAGGAAATGTAGACCATGTTGAACATATCACTGATCGCACCGAGGCTACCAAGGTTGTTGAATATACTGTGTACTGTGCTAGAATCTGACATGTTTTATAGCGTTCTCGTATCAACCACGCTGTGTCTGTCTTTTCGTGGGATGCAGCTTCCTTGTACCCGTGGAAACTTGTAGACTATATAATTACGACATGCTTGTCCAAGGGTCTCAACCTCCAAACCTGGACTCCAGTCAACTCTGTCAGCTTGTCTGATGACTCAAGAAATTGGGTCGTCGCAACAGAGCGAGGATCGATTGTTACTCCCACAGTCGTACATGCAACGAATGCATACGCTTCAGCTCTACTTCCCGAGTTCGAGAACATTATCAAACCGACGCCCCATATGTGTGTAGTTCTTTGCTTGACAGTTCAATTAATCTGACGACTATCTAGGTGTAACAAGGTAATTCCTCCACGGTCCTGGTCTGGTACCAAGGCTCTGCAAAACACATACGGCGTGCTTTGTCCGGGCGACGCTTTGTACTCCATCAACCCACGACCAACTTCGGATGGTATCATTCTGTTTGGAGGCAGCAATCCGGGTCAACATGCGTTGCTGAAATATATCGAAGAGCATCCTGATGAGCGAACGAATGACGGTTTAACGAATTTCGAGCCAATTACAAAAGCTGTCGATGACTTCATTCAAAGTGAATTTTCAGACTGGTAAGATGCATATTGGCACAACATTCCGTGACTAAATCTTGTTCTCCAGGGGGCCTGCATCTGCTCCAGGAGAGGGATTAGACTATGCATGGAGCGGCATCATTGGCTATGTAGTAACAAATACCTCTACAGATAAGTCTTCATCTCATTTTGTCCTTAGAGCGCAGACGGTCTACCATATGTTGGGCCAATACCTGGTAAACCTGGTCAATGGATATGCGCCGGTCACAATGGCCATGGCATGGTGCGCCCATTACCTTTTACCAACGTACACGCCTTTCATAATCGAACAGACCCGAATCTTTACTGCTGCCCCGGGACTTGTCAAGCTAATTCAAGGTGGTACTTGGGCAGATACAGGTCTGCCAGAATGTTTCGAGCTTACGCCAGAGAGATTGAATCGCGTGTCCAAGCTAAATTCCAAATTAAGCGACAGAAGGGACACGAGAATGTGAGAAGATGATAAGTAGAGTGAAATGATAATATGTGGTGTAATCTAAGAGTGTGAGGCAAGAAATCATTGATTTCTTGGGTTTGGGGTGAGAGAAAACAACTTCGAGGTACGAGCTAGTTGAGCGGAGGAAGAACCGGCAACAAAAAGTTGTACTGGAGGGAAAGTAAGCTAGAAGCTCAGACTTGCGTAGTGGTAGAAGCTGAAATCTCTGGTGTTCGGGATACCTGCAACCTGGACAGCTGAGAAAAGTAGCTGCCACTGGTTTGACTCAAACCAGGCACAAACCAAACACAGAAGGGAGTAGGTGGGCGGGGGCACCAACTTGAATGTTCCCCAGACCCCGGCCCATCATGCAAGATGTATTGTATAATAAAATAAATACACCAACTCATTAGGGACTCGAAATCTCACTTTGGGCTTGAGATCGTATAGCATGCTTAACGTTAGCTCACTGCAGCCATCCTCTTTTCTTGTTCACAAAACATATCTTCAATGTTTATTTGTACATTGTACTCTGTGTAGTGTATACTCCCAGAAGTGCTGTCATTTCTCCCCTTGCCACACTGCACACTGAACACACGATAGATCAGCCTCCTGTTTTGACGTCGCTTAGTTGCGAGGAGAAGCGACGTTTGCAGATGGTCGGCTTACGCGTCTGTTTTCCGGAACCAACACTCAATACATAATTTCGATTAGAATCGAGGTATTACAATATACATACAGCAAGCATGATTGAGGGTCGAAGATCCTTCAAACAACGGAGAGGATCCACAGAAGAAACATGATCAGGACATTTTGATACTGGCGGACGATGCGCGTCTAGTAAGAAATGACGGTAAGAAGTGAAGTGCAGAAAGAACAGCATACTAACCAGAATAGCGACGGGCTTCTCGTTGGCTAGCCGGTCCCCTTGATCCTGCCCCTGCCCCTGCTGCCCCAGCTGTTCTTCCTCGCCAACCAGCTCGAATTCTTCATCTAATTCATCTTCGCCAATGTAGTCGTCGTCGTCAAGATCATAGTGAAGAGGGACAACCTGAAGTAGTCAGTGAGATTTCAACAATTTGTTGACGTCCAACTTACTCCGTATGCTTGAGGAAGAATTACAGGTGTGGGGGGAATAGGTAGGTCAGCGCTCTCGGTTTCAAACTGGAGAAAATCAGCGGAGTGAAATAGGAAGGAAAGCAGCCTACTATAAATCGAGGATGTCGTCGATATGGGTGGTAGCGCTTGGCATGCGAAAAACGATAAGTCGGCAGGCGAAGAGTCGAGGCAAAATTTTGCTGAAGGACTTCATCATACGCAGGGATATGACGAGGTACGGCTTTTAGACTGGTTTGCTTGGAGGAGCGATGAGGCATCTCAAGGGGAATAAGTTTGAAGGACGACGTAAAGAGCTGAAAGGCCTGTTGGAGCTTATATGTATTTTTCTTAGCTTTGTGAGGAAAATTTACACGGCGACCGCAATTGGCTGAGCGTATTCCTTCTTTGAACATGCATGATGCCGGACCACAGCCAGTCGTGAGGGCCCTAATCGAGAATATTCTTTTCGATAGACTGATCGACAGGACACGCAGGTAACCATTTCCAAGCCGAGGTCATTCCCACCAATGAAAGACCTGATCCGGTAGATTGGTCGGAGCAATCGAATTTGTAGACGCGCCGGACTCTTAGGCGACCTACAGCGCCTGACAGCCTCGAGGCCGAATAGACCATGTTGTCGGGGATACGCTAGAAGGTGTTCGGCCCTTCTATCGTGTCTTGAAGTAGGTCCTGTCACCAGCAATCCCGAACGAGGACGCCGTCCGTCCCACGCCTAACAGATATTTCTCGGTCTTGCACCTCAAGTTTTCCCGAACGGGATACCCATGCAGGTAGGATATTCTTCTTTCGAACACTCCGTGGCCTTCGACACTAAATCCTCCAATTTTTCGAATCTTTGCAGTACCTCGGTTCTTGTCGCTGGGGCATTAATGCGGACGCGTGCGCGAATGTGACGTGACGGATCGAGTCATGTCGTGTCACACCAATAAAAGGCGCGGGACCGTGTGTATGTCGCGTTATTCTGTATCAGTGATGTACTACCACCACTGAAATGAACAGCGTCGTTCAGGTGTCCCATACTGGAGTGAATCGTCAAGACAAGACTCGGCTTCTGCAAATTTCATCAACAATAACGACCTGCCAACTCACCAAGTAGGCACGCATTTGCGCACGGACCTCAAAGAGCTCAATACTACGGTATCCATCTAAATTACAAGAGGCAAGATGACCCTTCAGCAATGAAGGAAAGAATACAGCAACGCACTTTCTGGCCGTACCCATTTTCTCTAAGAATCCAGCTTTGAGAATGTCGCCTTCTCATCCTTCATGCTCTTAGGGTCAATTATCTTGCTTGCCGTCTGTATTGCTCGCCAAAAGCTTCAAGAAAAGCTCCCCCTTTGTCGCAAGATCCTATTCTCCGATTATCTTGACGGTCGAGCCGTGAGATTGCGTCTGGGCGCCATCGCACTTGCCTGTCCTCGACATTTTTGCCTCTTGAAGTCTTGTTTGTCACCAGGATAGTCCAGGAACGATACCAGAGGCTTGCATGCGTCTATCGCCTTCAAGAGGCGCAACATGTAAGAACGAGCCACGGTAAAAACCCGCAAAATCAGCCTTGTAAGTGAGAAAAATCCATCGTAATCACTGTAGACTGAACCAGATGCCCTTCACTGCAGCAGACGATGCTGCCGGCAGTGCTGACAGTGTCGACGATGGTGGTGGTTGTGGTTACGATTGAAGAAATAGGGTTACAAATCAGAACCATCGGAACTGCCGATCGCATTTTCTTGCCGCAATACCTCTCTCTCTCTGCGTTTGTCTACTCTATTCCACTAAATACTCTCCTGCTAATGACCGTATTTCTCAGTCTACCGGCGCAGTTTACCTGGTAGAAATCGCCCATGTTGATTTTTTGAACTGTTACCGTGCAAAATGCTCATTCCCAATTTGTCGCGGTTTGAATTTTAGGTTCTTTTGAGCCACCCGTATTGCCTTGTTGTTTGTCCGACGATGCCAGACCTAGCGGCTTCTTTGCATTCTGCTAAATCCAATTATTGTGCCGAGCGGAGCGACAACTTTCCTGAGGAATTCGTTCGAAGTCTGTCAAGGACCTCATTTTTAGGTTATCGCTGCACTATGACTTCCATCGGTTTTTTATACATGTTGCGGCCTAGGATATCTGCATGTACAGTCCTCCTCATTTCCTCCTATCGTCCTAATTGTTTTCTTTGCTAGGTAGTTCTCAGCTGTGCCTCTGTTCAATTCAAGGGCTCAAATGCCTCGGGACTTCCCTCCTCACTAAGGTTTCCTGTTGCAAATGATGACCTCGCACCAACGTTTGACTTCCCTGGTAATGGTCTTCCTTCTCATGAACACGAAATCCAGAAGAGGTGACTTGCCTTGCTCCTCGAATCGCGACACTGGATTTGCTAGTTGATGGCCCCACCTCTTCCTAACAAGTTGAAACTGAGATATTGTAAATGCATTCACCCTTTTACGTGGTGCTCTCTGACTTGTTCCAGGGATACTGATTTCTCGTTACAATACCTTCAGCGACGACCAAGCCAGATCTTTCTGATGCGCCCAAAGCCCCTAACTCTCGTTGCTCGAAGGTGCCTTGGAAGTCGCCTTCTTCTTATGGTCCTCGCAGAATTTGCTCCTAATTCGCAACGCAACGGATATTTCGAGGCCCAACAGTTCGTTGTATGAAATACAACGAGTCTCTGGCTTTTTACCACGAACCATTGCCGCCCACTCAAACAACGTTCTCAAGGACAATGATCATCATCAGCACTTGATCCGCCAAATGCGTCGGGTAGTCCCTTCTTGGTTACCAACGCGCATCTCAGCGGTGTATGCTGTCCATCTTAGATCTACTGTTCCCCTTTAACTTTCCACCTTCGGTTGTCAGTCGCCTAATGCCGAGCCCTAGAAATCGGTAAGTACCTTCTCCCATTCTTCAGCTGATGGAACTAACTTTGTGTTAAGCATGGTCAGACCTATAAGCAGCGGAACATCTGCTTGGAGTTCTCTCCCAAAAAGAGGTTGTTTTACGGAACGATTCTGTCCCAGATGTTCAGAAATGATAGTCAAAAGTTTATATGAACTGCACGCAAATTTTATGTTTACGTCGTGATGACTAGCCAACCGAGTAGCCTCCTTTCACAAGAAGTATCAGGAAAATCATATTAACGTGACAAACGAGTAAGTTAGCGCTTCCATATGAATGTGTGTTCCCGGTAGCAACGTCACGCAAATACGGATGGTCCGTAAAATGGGAATGTCACCTGGATCATACAGTTTTCGGTCGAACGACTAGTGGAAAGGGGAAGCATCTCCAAAGGTAAGTACCTATAAAAAGGATGAAATTCACGATTCTCAGCCTGCCTGTCAACAATCCATATTATCTCATGAGTTCCTAAATGAAGATCAGAACGAGCGCCAGCTGCCAACGTCTTTACCACTCTATTCGGTTGAGCACGAGCTGCGAACGCTCGAAGATTTGGTACCTGTACATTTATGGGGATGCACGATACTCACTTTTCGTTTGTAACCAATCATCGGCACACTGCTCCCTTGCTTGTACGGCGCAAGAAATGATAAGCTCTCTTGTGCATACTATCTGACCTCCGGCAGCAGTAGAGTCGGAGATAGGCAAGCATAGGTAGGATGCTATGGCCTTCGCCACTAAGATAAACACGCGTACGGGTATCCCATCCTGGTACGCGTATTTTCCGTCAAATAGAATGCTGGCGTTTTTTGGCGTCAGAGATTTAGATTACGCGTCAAGCATGCCTGAGACTGCTCTCACCTGCCCGTAGTGGTCTGGTATGCCATCAAAAGGCGGAAATTGATGCGCCAGGCCGTCAGGTCCACCCTATCCCTAAGATTATGTAATGCAAGTCGTCATATATAAGGCTAAATACCCCTAAATGTGTCTTTCATCTCAGCCACCACCTTGTTCACGTAGACGACCGTCCATACAATGAGCGACAAAGGGTACACCTACACCGGCTCTGGCACTAACAGTCAGGTGAGTCTTAGTCGGCTATTTCTCCGATATAGTCCTGATCGTCGTCGTCATTACAGGGTAATCACTATTGTAGCCGCCAAGATAGCGGTACTGGGGCACCTTCCTACCATTACTCCAACCAGTAAGCACTTCCGTCTCTCCTGAGTAATGCACCCTGAAAAAGCCGCCTTAGGGATGGGAGCTATTATTATAGCAACTCAAATGGTTCCACCTACTACAACAGCGGTAGTGGGTATTCGCAGTACACTTCCCCTGGGGGACAAGTCAGCAAGTCAACTGGAAAGTGAACTCGTGCATCGGTAAGCACCTGTCCCATTTTTGTACCTCACTTTGCTGAGTTTGCTCACACCGCAATAATAGTAGTAGGACGTCGTTTGTAATTTTTGTATTTTATATTAGCAATTGAAGCTCAATGAGAGCAAAACACGAATTGTCGTGCCAAGTAAGGTCTCTGAGCGCGTAACATACTCGATGAAGCAGGGCGAGTTGTAGACGAAGCTTTGTTTAGGAGTGTACAGCCACTCCCCCGCCTTCTGGCTCGGTCTGCTTCATATATTCCACCACTTCGGCAGTGATTAAACTTCCATGCTTGATTGCAGAATGCCAAAGTCCGCTGCAAGCACTTGATTTGAATTTCTAAAGCAAGAGTCCAACGAATTGCCTGATGATTGTATAACGCGTCCCGCTAGCGAGTTCAACGTCGGCCAATGCGCAGCAAAGGAAATATTGAGCAGTATCAACCGAAAGGAATTCATACAGCTTCAACTCTTCTTCATCCGTATTAAAATGATGGGGATACCGAAGGAAGGTTCAGCGAGGGACAGCTTTGAATTCCGTATGAAGATGGTCCGAAGGTTACAACGCGGAATGTTGTTAGGCATAGTCTGATCTTATGTTTCATTCAGATTCATATAGGGAAAAGCAAATGAGGAGGAATTCGTATCGCAGATCTTCTTCGATTGAGAACTGGAAACAGCGATCATTCTGTACCAATCTTCTGCTGTTATAGGCAGCTTGTTGCGCTTGACCATAGCGCGATGATAGGCCGCATCCTGCACTAAAGGATCCGGGGAGTTTTCTACGCTGGACCTTTGTCATCGCCATTCTTGGAGGGGTAGCGTATACTAAGGTAGTCTGCTCGTTCCTTCTACCGAGGAAAACAGCTGCGCCAGGACATCCATTAAGCCTTCTATTCCTGGTACCAGAACACTATCCGTCCTACCTTCCTTGGTTCAACACTTCATGCAACATGCCAACAAAGGCAACACACCTAGGCGTATGTTGATCGTCGCCTTCACCTCTTCCATATATCTTGGTTGCCCAAGTTCCCCGTCCTGAGGGAAAGCTTCTTCGCTGACCAGCAAAGACGTTCATACGCAGAATCCTGGAGGCCAATGATCGTGGTGTGTCTTCCAAGTTCGAGCATAGGAGCATTCCCTAGGGAGGTTACCGACCGTGGTTCAACACCAGATCCAGTGGTAGCTATCAAAAAGATAACGAGACTTTCATTTACATATGAGATCGTCCTAAGGAATTTTTTCAGTACAGAAATGTTGTTGGGAAAAGAAATAGAGAACGCACAGGAAGATTTATTTTCGCATCCCGGGCCTGTACTCGACATCGGACAATGATGCGTCCTCAATTGCGGGCAACGTTGCCTACTGTCTCTTGGGCACTTCCTGACTCCATGGCGTAGAGGACTAAGGGCTTCGCTGGACCAGACTTCGAGCCCGTCTGAGGTGACGGAAGTTATCAGATAAGAGAGGAAATATCCACGTGCGCCGTACAACGCCAACAAGTCGAGTTTATACATGTTTCCAGTGGACACGAAAGTAACATTGGTCGTTGACTCCATTTTCTAAGTTGTCTCTATCACACCCCGGCTTTTGGATGGAGGCAACCTCTGGGAAATGCATGCTTTCATTGCGATGCAGTGGTATGCACAAGATATTATATGACATTTCTCTGCTAAGACCAAACACGAGCCCGTGAAGCAAGAAAACAGGCGGCCCAGCCGTATGTACAACAATATACAGGAATGTATTCATAAAAAGGTACACATTAAATAGATATAAGTATTATTTGATATGCCGAGCGCCTGTGAGGCCCCACAGTTCAAGTAAATCGGACTAAGAACAAGATGGTATACGTGCAAAAAGAGAACGACAAAAGTATACTTCAAACGAAGAAGAATATCCACACAGTGATAACCAGAAGACACTGATAAAGTACAGCAATGAGAAACAGCGTCCAAAGGAATAGTTGTTATACTCACCAGGGGTGTAAATGATGTCTCGTCATCGTTGTTCTCTTCCTCCTCGTCTTCGTAGTCATCGTCATCATCACTGTCCGAGGCCTCCTCCTCCTCGGCTCCTTCACCGTCGTACTCGATATAGTCATCAAGATCATAATGAGGAGGAACGATGAACTAGTATAATCAGCGTGAATTTTCAACAGAGATTACAACCAACTTACTCGGCCGGTCTGGGGAACAATTGCAGGCGTTTGTGGGACAGGTATATCCGTGGACGCTCCTTCAAACTGAAACAAAAATCAGTGCACTGTAACGAGAAGGCCGTAGAATACCGTACCCTGTAAGAAAGAGAGTATGGCTGGTAGCGTGTGGCGTACGAGCCAACTGAGAGGTGAAGAGAGGAAGAACAATTTTGATGAAGAGCTTCATCGTAGGTAGGAGGATAGCGAGGAACGAATTTCTTGCAGGAGCGATGGCAGGGCATTTTGGGGGATCAATGAGCGGCGCAGGAAGTTCACGCAGTTTAAATAGTCAAAAATTTTAGGTTTCTGACTTCGTAAAAAGGATTGCAAAGCAGCCGAAATTGACGTCCTTTTGTTTCCTTTTGAACATGCGAGAGTCCGGACCACAGATAGTCGTGAGGGGCCATAATCGAAGAAGTTTCTTTCCGATCCTGATTGACACGACGCGGGTCTCCAGTCACAGGCAGTAGATGCCGTTCCCATCGAGGAAACGGTCTTGAACCGGAAGACTGGATCAAATTTGTAGGGGCGCGTCGGCAGAGCGCCTGACAGCCTCGAGGCCGAATAATCAGAATGGACATGCCGACCACGACGTCGGGGATACGATGACCAGGGAATGTTCGGTCTGTTCTGCCTCATCTTGAAACAGATACCGTTGCTAGCTATTCAAAACGTCGAAGTCGTCGCCAGGCCATCCTGGAGGAATGTGTTCCTCGTTCTTACTCCCAGTCCGCGGCGGTATCCTCGCACGGGCCACACGGAGAGGCAAGAGTACTGCCTCCATAGGACTCTGCGACCTTTGACACTGGGAAATCCTTCGTACCTTCCGTTCAAATCTTTATCTCGTCTCTTGTCGTCCGGGGCATTAACGCGGACGCGTGCGCGAATGTGACGTGACAAAATGAGTCATTTCGTGTCACACCAATAAAAGGCTCGGAACCGTGTGTATGTCGTGTTATCCTGTATCAGTGATGTACTACCACCACTGAAATGAACAGCATCATTCAGATGCCCTATACTGGAGTGAATCGTCAAGACAAGACTCACCTTTTTGCAAGATTCATCAAGAATATTGATCTGGCCGACCTAGTAGGAACGCACGGACCTCAAGGACTCAACGCCACGGTACTCGTCTGGATTACAAGACACAAGATTACCCTTCAAGAAGAAAATCAAGAACACAACAACGCACCTTTTGGCCGTACCCATTTTCTCTGAGAGTCCAGCTTTGAGAATATCGCCTCCTCATCCTCCATGCTCCTGTGGTCAATTATCTTGCTAGCTGTCTGTATTGCTTGCTGAAGGCGTCAAGAAGAGCACCCCCTTCGTTCCAAGGATTTACTGGCCAGATATCTCGATTATTGAACGGTGAGGTTGTGTCTGAGTGCTGTTGCCATCAACCGGTCCCGCCATTTCTGCCTCTCGAAGTCTTGTACATCGCCAATATGGCCCAAGAGCAATGCCTGAAACTCGGATACAACTATCTGCTTCAAGAGCCCTCAAGAGGTGCGATGTGCAAGAGCAATCCGTCGTCAAAATTGACAAAGTGAACCATATTGGCAAGAGAAATCTATCTGTGTGGCCATAGACTGAAAGAGATGCTTCCACCGCAAGCGACGATGTTGTCGATGTGTTGGCGATGTCGACGGCGGTTGATGGTGGTGGTTGCGATTGCAGAAATAGGGTTACAAATCAAGAACCCTCGGAAACTATCGATCGCATTCTCTTGCCGCTCGACGACTCCTCATTCCTCTTACCGTTTGTTTTCTCTTTCTGATGAATATTCCCTTGCTAATGGTCATAATTTTTAGGCTACTGGGAAAGTTTCTATCGCAAAAATCGCCAATGTCGATTTTCGAACTGCCACCGTGCAAAATGCTCATTCCCATTTAGTCGCGGTTTGAATTTTAGGTTCTTTTGGGCCACCCCGATTGCCTTGTTGTTTGTCAGACGATACCAGACCCAGCAGAGTCCTTGCACAGTGCCAGACCCGATTATTGTGCCGAGCGGACTCAGCGGAGCAGGAACTTTCCTGAGGAACTCGTTCAAAGTCTCTCAAGGACCTCACCTTTTGTTTATCGCTGAACTGCAATTCCTCTAATTCCTTTCAGGCGTTGAAATCTTGCATCCAGTATGTATTGAACTCCTTTTTTCGATTCCCGACACTAATTTTTTTCAAGTATGAGCTGTTAACCCTTTTCAGTACAAATCTGGGGTTCAAATCCACCCTAAGAATCTCCGATTCGACGTCCGTCGTCCCGAAAGCGTTAATCGGCTGTATATTCGAATTTGGCTCTCCTTTGTGCCCAAGACGGAGGGTGGATCGTGTACCCGTCCTTCTATGTCCAAATATCCCAGGAATTGGGGTCTACCTTCGCCCTGTCTACAGTAGTGCCCGGCCTTTTGCTCTGTTTCCTGTGCTGTGAGCCAGGCAAACCCCTAAATCCGCTCAGATAATCTGTTTTGCTCATACAAAGAAATTGCTCTTGACCCCGAATCTAAGCGTCTTGTTCACATCAGTCTTCCGATCGTACCGTATCCCATGTGTTTTACTCAAAGACCTTTTGAATTTTCATTCACGGCGATGTCATTTCGCTACCGCGGAGAAAACGTTCGCATCTATGCGCTGCTTGTAGTAAGCAATTTTCTCTATACCTCCAATTGACCTATGAAATGCCTGAATGTGTCTCCCTTTCACGCATTCCGGTGATTATCTCAAGGCGCTCCGATTGTACTGTAAATACCATGTCGTTGTGAAAATCTAGGCCAGAACCGATGGACACCGGCTCGTCGATTGAAGTGCGTTTTCACAGAAACTTATCGACCGCGCGGCCGATGAACAAAGACTCTACTCATGGCCACTTGATTGCCCAGTGCTCTATCTCACCACGATTCTCAGGCTGAAACTACTCACTTTTGATATGGCCATTTTGATTTTGCTCATGTATCACCTGCACGGAGAGCTCCCGAAAGTTTCAACCGCCTAGTTCTTGAAGCCATCTGCCGAAGAGTAGAGGCGCTCGCCTTAGCTTTCATAAGTGGTTTACTTTTTTTAGGGAGAAGAGATTCGCACCTAAGTCGGTATGGAACCTCTGCTTGGCTTCGCTATTCTCCACGGTCGCAGCGCTGAGTTTCCGCTCACTTATCCTATAGGGTTGACACTGCTGATCGATCGCAAAATGAAAGAAAGATCGCCTTAAAAGACTGGAACGAGGATTCTCGGGCCTCTGGTAATCCTAGACATCTAGGCTCATTATTTGCTATAGTTGACACAAAGCTACTACGATAAGCCCATTGGACCAGTACCCGTATTTTTGTGACCCGTGGCAGGTGACTATATAGACCGCGAGTGAGAGGTGGTATGGTAAGGTATATGCCTCCAAGTCTTCTCAACAGTGGAGCTTCGAAGGGCTGTGTATAAGAGCCGGTATCGAAAGTCTTCCGTCAAAAACATAAACAGAGCCAGGGGACGTCCAGTGGTACGTGCTGTTCCATTCGGGCCCTTCACGAACTGACTCATCATGCAGCCTTGCTGTTCAGTAAAGATGTGATAAGCCGCATAAGTGGAGAAACATGAGACTGACCTATCGGCGATTCCAGATAAAGACACCAGCGCCGTCAGGCTTCAGGATTCTCACCGGCTCGACGGAAACGGGGTTGTGGAATGCCTGCACGAAATGAGATGAACTGAGAAATTCACTATTGAGAGACGAACAGCGTAAGCAACCATGACGATGATCTTCGATCATATCAATACCATTCAAAGTGCCTTCCCTTACGGAGATGCAGTCGTCTTGAACGATTTTGACCAAGACATCGCGCATTGGGCCAGCGCTAGGCTATACGGCCCTCAAGTATTTGATGGTACTGGCGAAATCGGGACGCATGAGGAGCGCTTTCGTGAGCAGAACTGTTCCAGTGGTACTTATCCTATGATCGTCTGGCTCGGAGTCGGTTGAGAGGAAGAGCCAAGACTATCAAGAAATGGGTGAAAGGCAGATCCTTTACTTTTTTCCCTGTCGCGTACAATGCATTAGACTGATACCACGGACTCGCAGTGAACGTAGGACCCAAGATTGAGACCACCTCATTTTTTTGATGAATAGAGTTCGTTCCGGAGCCAAAACTGCTCTGGGTGACATCGTAGACGAGACCTGGTATCTCCTTGTCAGCGCGATATGCGGTTCTTAAAGATAGATACCACTGAGACAGAGACATATGAGACCGGCGTCATGCGTCGGATAGACGTTGAGAGGGTTCTTTGACATTTCGGCCCGATTCCGATTCCTTACAGTTCCTTATCCATCACGACCCTGAGCTATAATCATTCCGGCAACTGCGTTGACTGATATCACCAGGACGAGGCGGAGTATCTGCATCATGTAGAAATATAGATGCAAGTTGGCATATACTCTCCTGAGACAAGACTCAAGCAGACATGCAACTCCCGCCTCACCTCATTGCACTGGGAGTCGAAGCATCTCATTCTGACCTAGTCTGAGTCCGGAATTTTGAGAAAGCAACGCCTTCGTCAATTGGATACCGGAGATGATCGGTTAGTGTGGGAATACTCGAAGACATGAGATGCCTGACCGCCCATGTCGGAAAACCTGTCATAACTTGTTCGGATGCAGGCTCGCGTACCCAGTGAAGGGTGGCGGTACATAGTACATATCTTCGCCCCGGATCTGTCTGTCTTCCTTACATGTACTTGCTCTAGAACTCAGGAATATTCCCTTCCATCCCGATATCCCGACACCCAGTCGCACGTCTTTCCCAAATTTAAGTCTCTCCAATCCGATATAGCGGACGATGTTTCGGCGCCTCACCTGAGTGAATTCCATGGTACGACGAGCCGGATTTTGAAGTCGGGAAGATTCGGTCGATGGAAATGACATGATCAGCCAAGTCACCGCTCTTTGTATGAAGACCAATAAAGAATCAATGTCAAGGAAACCAGCGTGACTTGTACAAGCGCAGCCGTGAACTTAAGAATATATTAAGTGTCAGCAGGTACGGGCACGTTCCTTGATAGTTAGAAGAAAGAACGAGGTAAAGCGAGACACGAGTTGTTCCAATGATGCACTGTTCAAAGAAATGGGAGTTGCCTTTCATTGTTTGGGGTCTAGCTACGCGTTCTACACGCGTCAAATGACTTGAAGAAGGCTTCCACGAGGTCTAGCCCCTATGTTGTTAGGTAATGGAAATCCGTCTCTTATAAAGACCTACCCAGTGGACGCCTCTTTCACCGTAGCCAGCATTTTCTCCAAGCCTCAGAACCTTCATTCACTGCAAGCGAACGCATAATGGGCGATAAAGGGTATACTTACACCGGTTCAGGCACGAACAGCCAAGTGCGTTTCGTGCTTGGGTGCTACTTGCCAGTCAGCTTATCGTCGTTGTATTTCAGGGGAATCACTACTGTAGTCGTGCAGATAATGACACCGGCAAACCCTCGTACCATTATTCCAATAGGTAAATGCTTGTTATCATTTTGACTGGCTGTATCGCTAATGTTATCACCTTCTCAGCGATGGGTCGTATTACTACTCGAACTCCAATGGTTCGACTTATTATAACAGTGGGAACGGCTATTCTCAGTACACTGCCCCCGACAGTCAGGTTACGAAGTCGACAGGCAAGTGATACCGGGAATAGAGGAAAGGTAAGTATGCTCAGTATTAAAATTATCTGTTCAGATGATTGACATTGACGGTTGTGATGGTCCTATCTTTTAGATATTTGTACTTACATGTTAGCGGCCGAATATACAATGATGAAGTGTGTTCTGGAACGGCTGATAAGGAGAATTGGTTGATCAAATCATGATTCATCCCATAAGGACAACTTCATCCGGGCCTATGTCTGTAAAGGTTTCCTGGAATTCGATGAATCTGTGGTCGATGTGAGCTAATTGTTAAACTATGGTTTGTAGAGGACTTCATCTCTATTCCGGTGAGATATCTTTAATTGAGCGAAATTGTATCTTACAAGGATATAATGAGCCCGTTGCAGAGACTTAAGGCAACTTTTCCTGACGAAAACTCTGAAGCAGAGCAGATGTTAAACTCGTGAGACAGGTAATCTGACACACGAAATTCAGCAGGTATTTGGGTCGTGCACCGGACGCGACGGCAATAGTTGTGTCTCAACAAGTTCGATATCAACAGATAGGTGTTGATAGCAGCATCAGCAGGCGAAAGGAATTCTTCCAGCTTCTTCGACTCTCGGGTATCGAAGGTACTGGAAGAAGGCCCGAAGACTCGTACGGCTAGGCATGTTCTGATCTATGCGTGTGCTGGGCAGGAGAAAAGAAGTAATTGGGACTTGACTTTTTCGGTGTGTTCTAGAGAGTGATCTTCCTCGGCGGCATCCACCCATTTCAAATCAGCATGTATTCGTCCATGTCGTCACTATTGCTGCGAAAGAGAGTGGAGTATAGCACAAAATCCAATATAACGGGAATAAAAGAGCCAGAAAATCTCGTGCTGTGTCTTGAAGACTTAAAAAAAAAGAGAAATTGAAGATGAAGTGCGTCCTAGCGGTCTTCTGCGGTTATGCGCCCGTTGTCACTTCGTGGTACGTTCCAACCTGCAGGGCGAAAGATAGTTGAATGGATGTCCTCGAAGAGATAGTCTGAGAGAATTCGAAGGAGCGCACTTTATAGAAAAGTCATTGACCGCGATTCCGTAGTGAACCAGAGGTCACTATATCAAAAATATCATAAGTATTTCAGTTTGAGATTGTCCTACAGAATTTTCAGGACGGAAAAAAAAGTCGGGAACAGAAGGAACGCGCAGGGAGGCATGAATTTCCACATCCTATTCAGCACAAGTAGTGTTATCTGCTGGGTTCTGAGCATTCTCAGGTGTAGAGGATCAAGCTACCATGACGGAGGATCATAATTACAAGAGTTAGTCCACGTGCTTCAAGCACCACTATGACACGCCTATTCTAGTCCCCCTTCCTGCTCCTCCCATCTCCTCTCGACTGCAACAATGTCGTCCAAGGATGGTGCCACCAAGAGTTTCCATAATTACAAGGCAATGCTAGACCAATATCCTACAGAGGTGCTTGTCTTCTCAGCATTTGCCGTTGGCGCAGTAACGACGTTTGGTGGTCGACGAATTTATACGCGATATTTCCGGCGAATTCAGAATAGTGATTGGGTCACTCCTGATATGATCGCAAGGAAACGCTGGGTGAAAGGCGTTGTGACCAGGTCCGTCCCTCTTCTCATCATTCAGCTAATGTAAATTGACCAAGCGGCAGTGTAGGGGATTCTGATAATTTTCGGTTCTTTAGTCCCGAGTCGCTTGTTCTGCATCGATTTGACTATTTGTCAGTCTTTATCATACTCCTGCCTTTGGATGGAGGTGGCCTATCAAATTCAGGCGCGTGCCAACCAATGCGAAAGGTGCGCATTTCTATGGTGCCGAGGCGTCAGTATCTAATATATTCCCTGGTTTAGACTTGAAAGACAAGACACTTCACATACGAATTGGCGGTGTCGATGCACCCGAGGTACGCGTTACTTGGATGTACAAATCATGTATTCCCTTCATGAAGCAAGGCATCAGGGGGCACACTTTGGCCGGCCAGCGCAGCCGTACGCTGAGGAGAGCTTGGCCTTCTTGAAAGAGAAGATATTTGGAAAGACCGTGTACTGTCAGTTGTTGAGGCGTGATCAGTATGCCCGCATAGTATGTCTATCCTTTTCCGAGCGCTCGTTTCTCATACTCATATAGGTATCCACTGTCCTTCTACCGCCAAGAATATTACCAGGCTCTCTTTTCTATGGAAAGAGCCTATCATTGGAGATGTTAAAGGAAGGTTGGGTGACAACATATTTGCAGGTACCCATGACATTTATACTCGCTTTTCCTCCTACTCACTTTGCACATAACAGTCAGGAGCAGAGTATGGTAAATGGGGCAAGGAAGAATTCATCAGAGTAGAGAACGAAGCCAAGTATGTCATGCGTTATTGCTTCTTCTTCCTATCACTCACCGTAATGCAGAGCAGCTCGTAGAGGAATGTGGAAGGAAGGCGTGAAAGGAGAGACTCCCGCTGAATATAAACGTCGATATGCCGACCTTGAAGCCGCCAAGGCCTCCAAGACGACATCTTCATCTTCTTCTCCGAAGAAGACACGAAGAGTCAAGTCATGGCTTGGTCGACTCTTGTCTAGATAATGCTGTAATGATACTGTATCACTTTTAATGATATTTCATATCTTTCGATTTTCTTTGAGGTTACATACGACAATGCAATGACTGTCCGAGAAAGAACTTGGATTTGATCGGCAACTCCCAGCTTGACATGCTTGGTCTGTTACGATCACGACCTCCGCCATTACGGTGTCTGTTTCACTCCTCTGTGGCCTTCTCGCCATCTGGTTGGCCCGCCTGACCCTATCTCCCACCTACGCCCAGTTATATACGACGATGTTCCCCGGCCTCCTCCGCCATCTTTGCTCAAACATCCGTATTCATTAGCAGAATTCGACCCCGAACCTCCGCTCGGAACTGGAGCGTACGACATTCGGTGGAAGCTCGAGCGACAGCAGTTAGATGACCTGGACCAAAATTTCTGGCTAGATGTGAGTGAACGAATTCATATCATTAAAGTAAACGCGTATTCATTGTGTGCTAGAGTAATATTCGATTTGAAGGCGGTAAAGAAGCTGTTCTGGCCAGCTTGCCCCCAACTGCGACGCCAGTAGATAAAGAAGAGGCGCTTTCTGAGTTTTACAAGCAGTGGGTGATGCAGGAGACGGATCGGACGGAACAATACACGCGTGAATGGCGAGCAAGGAATGTATCTTGCATCGTGCTTGCTGCTCGGGTGGCTGTAGGCAGACTGGGTAGAATGATCACCTTTTGGAGATGAGATATGGAGTTCTATGTACTGTGGTGTCTATTACAACCTCGTAGCTACTTGAACCAATTCTTCAGCCCAGACCATGCACCTGAAATCGAATTTTTAATTTCTCCGGGATACGGGAGGTCCAAGTTCTCCGATGCGTCATCCCAGAATCCACCTTCGCCTGTCGTTGTCCGTGTTGCTCCCCGTGGTGAATCGGAGGCGACCGGAGAGGTGCCTGTCCGCCGTCGACTCCGACTCGCCAGTCTCAAGAAGGGTATGGGATGGTCCACCGCCAGGATGCGTTTGCGAGCCGGCAACGACGAGAATTTTGGGAATGGCGTGCTCTTCTTCTACTGCCAACGGTGTTGACGACTCCCAATAGTCAGGCGTATATGGCTACAAGCACGTAAAAACGGAGGAGACAATGGCGAAGGCACAAGGCACTCACGATCTGGACGGCAGGCTCTGGATCAGGCAACGTCACATCTGGTATTTTGATATCCCAGAATCCAGTCGTCGGGGCTGCGACTACCGGCTCGTGAGCAGGTGGAATACCAGGAGCCTCGCCCCCTACGCTTGCTTCTGTTGACGCGTTCCGTACAACCTGCTTCGTTGCCATTGAGGACAGACTCTGACTCTGTTCATGCTCCTGCAGACGTGCAACGAGTGCCGACTTGTTTCCTCTCCTTATCAACGTTGAGACGGAGAGCTATACACGAAAGTAAAACAGTGACACACGGGGATAGGCCACGAGCTCGAGCTTCCTGCCTGAGATGGGAAACGGAATGGGTATCCCATGGCTGCGACAGAACAGCAGGAGATACAAAGGATCTTTGCTGGGTAAGAATTCGAGCAACCGTTCTACCAGAGACGGACAGCATGGAGGCCAATGGAGGGAAACGGAAACTAGAAATTTCCAGATTACGAGAGATGATGTCATCCTAGAATCAAGTTTATTCTCCTTGTTTAAGCCTTTTGCCTTTGTACCACCACCACGTTTTCCTGCTGCGGTTCCCAAATATTACCCTGAAAACGGTAACTGTTTCATGGATTGTCTCGATAGAGTCTCGATGAATATTGATTTGTTTGCGATACGCAGATCTATCAAATACCATCTGCCCTCATCTGCCTCGTGTTCGGAACAAGACCAAATTTCGCATACCTTTCCAGGAATATGACTCTTTCTTTCTACTAAACACTAATAAACGCCTCTACCGAACATGCTTGCATCACCAGCGTGAGGCATCCGTCCCTCTCCTCTCTACCACTTATAATCTCAACCGCCGCCATGCTCTCTCTGCCTATCAGATCGACCAACACCAGTCTGCCCCATCAAGGCGGTCTCTGGAATAGGTTCAAAGGCAAAAACAAAGACGAAATGCAGAAACAACAGGCTCTCGCTCGACAGCGTCTCTTGACACTATGCTTCGAAGAGATGGAGACTGTTCGAATGGTGTGTTGTAACCACTTTTTCTTTGGTTCGAGCTAAGCGCCACATTAACAGCTACCTAATACCCTAGCTGTATGTCGCCTCATTTCCCATCTTGGGTCGCGTCTAACATCGTTTCAAGGAACTCGAGGCCGTCGCACGCGAGTGGACGAGACCGCCACCCGATGCTATGTTTTCTCTTCGTATACCCGTCGAATATGCATCTTTGAACGCTGCTGTGAGTCCGTCAGGCCATTTCATCTCATTTAACTCACTTTTCTCTAGCGTCTCATTTCCGGTCCTTATATCTATGTATGTAGCCTTATCTATCCGCACGAAACTGTTTCAAACAACTGATTCCGTAGCTTACCGGAGAAGACTCGTTTCAAATCGCCCAAATGGGTGTTCAGGGTTTGCGGGTGGAGATTGTTAGTGACGCACCTCCCCCGCCGGAGGAGCCACCGTAAGTCTCCTTCTCTTCTCTACAGTACAAACTCTTAAGATGCGTTTCTCGCTAGCCCACCACCGTAAATCGCCTTTCTTTTTTGTATCGATCAACCCTTAACCCATGATGTTCTCGTCCACAGACCACCACCCGTTTTGGAGATGCCGGCCACCTTCAATTTAGAATTAATGCCCGGCCAACACGTTGCCCTCGACACCACCGTATCGTCGGACGAACTTGATATGGCTCGCATGGAAGACGGGACTACAGTTGATGGCATGTTTTGGGGGAAACTTGACATTGTTCATCAGGGTGACACACACAAGATGGAGTTCAGCGGGACTCGGCTACAGAACGAGCAGTATACTCCCGAATTTATGTTTGATTCTCGCGTCATGACCAAGCTGGCTGTCGCCGCGAAGCCCACCACTGCAAGATGTCATCTCAGTCTTCTGACTCCCGAGGTGCAATATTGTGATGTCATTCTCACCTTCTCGCCTCTGTGGAAGCTGGGTATTACCTGGCCTCCAGCAGAACAGGTGGCCGATAACAAGGTAAAATACTTTTTGCGAGCGCATCCTGGTGGTGCCATGGAGCACTTTGAAAGTGAAATGGTGTCGACGGCTCTATATTACGAAGCAATGTACGTTATGGCTTCCCTTCATGTCCATCATTGACTGACAGATTCAATCGCTTTTAGCCCTGAACCCGGCATGATGGATCCTAATGACTACATTGCTCCGCGTAACGGATATGCTATGTCTTTCCGAGATTTCATTCCCCACCTAATGAATGTATTGGATCAGCTTGGAATGTCTCTATATGCTCGCACGAACTTCATTAAGTGAGTCTTTTGCTTTCGATCGGATTGGAAGATTTACCCCTCGCACCCTTTCTTTCTTAACAGTAACAATATGGGCGCTTTCTCCGCGCACAAGAATATAGCCTATCGATTCCTTCCACCTCCGAAAATTGCCGCCGCTATCGATATCTCTGTAACGTCAGACCCATGTGTGTTTCTGCGGTTGTTCCTTATCTGGCGGGGACTCTCCGATGATGATGTTGGCATTTTTGCCGGTGCAGGAGAGAAGGAAGCCAATACGGTCAACTGGAGACAAATCGTGGGGTGGACGGAGGAGTCGAAGGACTCCACTATGTTCAGGGTGCTGGAAACTGCCGTGCTTGAGGTGACCTAGACTTTGGGACTCTTTTCTTTTCCTTTTCCATGCTTCTTTTTCCATCCCTTTGCCCCAGGACAGTACGTATCACTACTAATCGGGGGATATCACTGTTACTCTTGTCCCGTCCACTGTAGCCTTTTCTTTCTCTTGTCATGTTCGTCTGGTACTCCACGACTCGTCCACGTTTTCTTGATGATTTCATCGTTCTATTGCTGTGTGGTATATGCTCTTTGTCCCTGTAGTAATAGTACTGGTAGTAGTAGATTTTTCTATATTTCTTAATTGTATTCACCTTGGCGGTGGTACCTTGGCTTGTTCCGGTGGCCTGTTCCAGAGCGGAAAGTCACGCGATGTGACATAGCGCGTCTTCTGACTCTTCTGACTCGCGTGGTAACTTGTTCACGATCATCATGGCGAAACTTTCTCAATAGTGAGTCCAGCTTCTTTTCGTTGCAATAGGCGTGAAGTCTTACCTGTATTTTAGTGAAATTGACCGCGAAGCCAACATCGCGCGGAACCGTGCTCTGCTCGAAGAACTCGAGCTCAAGCAAGCTGTCGAGGGACTTGGATTTCCTACAAAACCTACGAAAAAGGAGCCCAAGAAGAAAACCCAGCCCGTACAGCCATCAAAAAGGAAGCAACCCAAGAAGGAGGACGAAGAACCCACCGTCCGGCGGCAGTCTGCGCGTCTGCGGAATGTGGCTGATCCTAATGAGAGTCCTTCGAGGAAGAGGAAGCGTGAAGTACGAGTGTTGCAACCATCTTTGATCTCGAAAAAGACTTATTGAAAACGTAGGCCGAATTGGAGGAGCAGCGTGCGAAAGAGGCCGAGGAGCGTATCGAAGCAGAGGAACGCGCCCGAATTGCCAAGAGGCCCAGGCATCAGGACTTGGAGCTCGCCACCACGTTAGAAGATGAGGATGAGAGGCCACGGTTAGCGGATGTTTTGAAAGGAGCTTCAAGTACGCGCGTCGACGAAGAGGACCGGAGTGGGAAGAGGGAGCTGGAGGATTTAAGAGAGGAGCTCAAGGGAATGCGCGTCGTGTCCCGGGCCAAGGTGACAGAGAATCGCATCTATAGTGCTGCGTACCACCCAGACGTACAGAAGGACCTTATCTTTTTTGGAGGTGAGTGTCTGCATGTCACGCCGTTGGTCAGAACTAATTAATGTGTGCAGATAAACACGGTCAGCTGGGTATCTGGGACGCGCAGGCTCCTCCGGAGGACGTGGGGGACGAAGATGGGGATGCTGTGGACGACAGTAATAAGGCAGGTGGTAAATATTGGCGGTTACAGGTCCATTGGCCTGCTACTTCCAAGTCGGTATGTTCATGTGATGTCCTGTGAACCTCCATGCTGACTATCCTCTAGTCCATTTCGTGTGTCAAATTCAACCCAGTCGACTATCACACCGTACGTTCAATTTGAAAACACGTCGACGGTTCCTCACTTCTCATCAGGTTTACACCAGTGCATATGACTGCACGATACGCAATCTGTCCTTCACGACGGGTGTCTCCCGTCAGATTTTTTCGTCTGATGAGACCCTTCTTTGCAGCATCGATCTTACGCCCACCGGGAACGAGATGTGGATTTCGGATGCTGCGGGTGGGTTGACGCATCTTGATCTTCGGCAGCACCAATCAAAGGGTACCTGGTATGGTTTGTCTGACCAGAAGATTGGATGCGTCAGTATCAATCCAGCAAGACCGGAGTTTGTGTTGACAGCAAGTAACAGTCGTTCCCTCAAGTGAGTTTTGTATCCTTTTTCTCAGAGTACCACTCATGCGTGACAAAGAATCTGGGATGTGCGAAAATTGAAGAACTTGGGCACGCCACCGACTTCGTCGGATAGTTCCGTTGTAGAGATTGGATTTGAGAGTGTGAACAAGTTTGTAGAGTCTAAGAAGGGGTATGGGTGCTTGCGTGGTGAGTGGCGCCATGACAAATCTGTGAGTTCCGCATATTGGGATCCTCGAGGGAAGAGTGTGGTTAGTACGAGCTATGATGACGCTATACGCCGTGAGTGAAAGTTTTCTTATTGATGTCTGCGAAGCTGATGGATGATTAGTTTGGGATTTCGATACCACAGCGTTTGAGAAACCCGGTCCGTTTGGATCATCTAGGCCGTTCAGCCGTATCAAGCATAATTGTCAGACGGTAGGTGCTGTGCTTCTTGAGTATGAAAAGTGAAATTCAATTTTTGTAGGGCAAATGGCTGACGATCCTTCGAGCGCAATGGTCTCCGAATCTTGATGCGCACCCACATTTTACAGTACGTTGAGGGATTGTCAGCTAGGCGTCCCTAACCTTGTCTACAGATTGGGAACATGAATCACGCGCTGGATATTTTTTCTGGCAAGGTTTGTGAACTTTTTTTAATCGTAAAGCCATCTAAATCATTTACAGGGCGAGCTTATCACGCGGCTATCCGATAGCGCTAGGTGAGTTATATCCTAGTAGGGAGTCGAAACTTTGCTGATTGCAAGGTAGGATTTCGGCAGTTCAAGCGGTTACATGCTCTCACCCTAAGATCGTGGCCCGAGCTGCGAGTGGTAATGCAAGTGGGCGATGTGTACTCTGGGCGCGTGAATAATTGGCGCGGTCATCTAATATACTTGTGATATACTTGGTTTGTCCTTACCTCTCTTTTCCTGTTGTGAAGATTGCTAACGTGTTGCCAGTTTTTGGTTTAATGAAATAAAGTCGCCTAATACGATTGCGTCAACCAAAGTTGAAGTCCGCCAATGATTCAAGACCAGATGATACACGCGATTTGCGATATCTTTGTGAATAACTTGTTGTAAGTCATACATAAGTAATGTCACCCTGGCGAAAGAGCTCGAGGGTGCTGTGAGTTATTGAATTCAGGCACACACTCTCGTTTACTGGTTTGAGTATCAGAACGAGGTGCGGCATAAATATTGCTCTACATTTGGATATAGATAAGGCCATTAGTTGGCCGGGGTAACTTCACTGAGAAAATCGGCAAGATAGGCGGCGATAATGTCGTGAACGGCACTCGTTGGATGGAGGTGATCGTACCATATGGCACCCCCGCGTTTGCGGAGGTCCTTTTCTTCGAAGCCGTGGTCAACGGGGTTGTCAAAGATGGAGCAGAAGGTCTGGTATGAGGAGAAGAGCATTACAGTGGTATCGGGGTGTGAAGAAGCAAAAGATCCGAGTGCCTTTGCGAGGCAAGAATTCCAATCGTGATAAGACACACTAGCCGAGTCGGCAAGGTAGGAAGAGACTATAGGCTGATGTCAGCGCGTGTAGGCAGAAATATGTAATGAGGCGGCTACCTGCGGGTGATTTATGTATCGGCGGCACATCGATAAAGAGAAAATTGCGAGCACCAGCGTCGTACAACTTTTGCTGGATGTCAAAGAGAGTCTTCATACTGTCACTGTGATCTATAGAGTAGCTGTGAACGAGCAAGTGAACAACAAAGGCGCGACTGAAGAGTAACGCTGACTGACGCGCAGTCATTGATGCCGATCCAAGTCACGAACAAGCTGTCCCGTTCTGACCACGATGCCCAGTCGGGTTTGGCGCCGGCACCGTCGAGAAAGCTGCTGAGCTGTGACTTGACGCCAGACACGGTGTTGCCACCGATGGCATAGTCGTACACGAGGAGCGGGTTAGTGGCGTAGTCGGAGTCGTGTTCTTGGTCTGGTTTGTATCGAGGACGCGGGCAGTGCTTGGCGATAAAGTGCCCTACCCAGTTTGGCGCAGTCAGGCTCGTTCCAGAGACCGCCCATCTCGCCTGGAAACGGTACACCCAAAGGCATGGCCGCCGACGGTCGGATAGCTGGGCGACCGGGAAAGTAGGCAGTGAGTACGGAGCTGTACGAGTCGCCACTGGCACAGAAGAATGAATAATAGTCCTGGAAAGTAAAAAAGAACATACAAAACGAAGAGTTTGCGGATGGCGGGGAAGCCGGGCCACTTGGAGCCGATCTGGTACACCTTGGACATGGTGGTCATCGTCAAGCCTGATTTGGAAATCACCGCTTACCACCATGGTTGACGAATACGAAATGCAAGACCTCGCAGCGCCAAAGCACCAGCAATCAGCAAAGGACGACGATTCGACAGTGCTCACCTGGTCCTTCGCCTGCTCTGCCCTGTCAGTTACATACTACCAGCTCGTCAGTTCGCCTCTGACCTCGTTTCCAGACTCACCATAGCCTCTGGAACACTCGTACTATCGCCCCGGCTCCTCCTCTTCTTTGCCTCCGAACACCGCGAGCTCACGTCCTTGGAATCATTCCTTATGGTCCACTTTGGCATTTGCCTCTTCGCTGTGGCTCTCGCCTTGGTTCTCAACGTATGTCCCAGGCTCTTCCATGCTCGGTACCACTCACTTGTTTGCAGCATTCCCTTCTACTCCCACTTACCTTGTGCTCCTTCATCTCGTCGTTTCTCTCGTACAACACGACAGATGTTGGTTCTCTCGCCACACTGGCCTCTGTGGCGGCTGGTGTCATCGCCATCTGGGGTCTTTGGATCGTACGCCAGTCATCTGCATCTCTTATCATTGCCCTGCCTTGACACGCATATAGCTCGTTTTTGGGAATTCCTCTTCGATATCCAAGACCACCGGTGCCGATAAACATACCTCCTCATTCATTTTTGGCAACACATCTTCCGCGTCCGCCCAGAAGAAGAGGTGGAAGAGCAATCATTCTTAGTCTACTTTCTCCATCTGTTTTTTCTTTCTTGGTAATAACAACTATCTAACTGCGGTTCAGGAACTACCTAGCCGACGTCGGCTCCGTCGAATCCTCGTAACCCACATGCAGCATCTCAGATGCAACTCAGATACTCCCCCAGATACTTGCGCCTTTCAGCGCCACAAACGGACTCGGATACGAGCTTGCAGTCGTTTTTGTTTGCGGGTACACCGACAAAACCACATGGGGCTTCTTCCTGACCCTCTGAGATCATCGCCACCGAATTCCTAGCCTCGTAACAACTCTGGTACGTGTAGGTTACTGCCGGCGCCATGGGTCTTCCATTCTTCTTCCAACAACGGCAGTGGTCAAGGACCTGAAACTAAAAACTCTTTCTAGTCGAACTCAATCTCAGGATCTCAGGATCATGTCAATGCTTCTAATTATCTATCCGCCTCGTGTATGTTGGGTTAACATAACACTCTCCGCCTCTTTCCCGTAACGTTTCTTGGCCTCATTTATCGCCTGTAAAGAGGTCATTGATGTAGCGAGCAGACTTGTCCTCTTACTTCTCGGTCTTACCGGGTCCGTACACGTTGGAACGCCATTTTGCCTCGGTCATCGATTTTCATATCCATAGTTCTGGCTAAAGTCCGCCTATGTCCTATGCACCAAGGACACCCTTCTATAACCGGACTAGTGAAGATTCTTAGCTATTAACGCAATATGAGACGGGGAAACTTGAATTCAATAGTCATTCATTTTTCCCCGTTTATATGAAATGGTCTCGTGAGTTTTTCAACTTGTCACATAGACAGGCTTGTTCTATCCGCAAGCTTGTATGTGCGGAACTTCGCGTCGGCGAATGCAAGAAAGTTTGATTCGTCTTGCGATCCAGACTTTGGGGACATTCTACTCGCGCAACCTAAATAACATTTCAAGTTGCAACCCCATGGAGTCAATCGGAACATGATGCATGAAGGGGAAGTAGTTCACTGGCAAGGATGATAGAACATCTTAACGAGTCTCTTCAATACTCACTGCTACCTGCAATATGCAAGGATATCGCGGATAGTTTCAAAGGTTTAAAAGTAGATATTATAAGTAGTTTACATTCCTTAGTTAGTATGCTGCACAAAACCCATACACCTAAATTGTCACCGGCTCCAGATAACTCGCCAAAGCCCACCCAACCTCGCCACCAACCTTGCGCCGCACCAGCAAAAGCGAATCCGGCTCCTCCGAGTCTCCATCATCAACATGCAGCAGCAACCCCCGACTCAGGTGATCCTTCGGATGCCCCGCCTCCTTCAACACATCAAGCATCTCTCTCTGCCCATTCAACGTCAAAAACGGATACGAGTCATAGAAATACTTCTTCTTTGGCGGATCAAACGGATACACCGACCGGACGACATAGAGCGCCTCCTTTGCCTTTTCCTTCACATTCGGATCTGAGAGCTTTCGTCGGAAGCTCTTTTTCCGTGGTAGTGATGGCATCGACGTGGAAGGCCGGCGCAGCTTGGGCTTCAGACTCTCAAGTGCACGACTCTTGTAGTCGTACATGTCGTATTCGAATTCTGACCGCGTCTTGGACTTGACGCTTGTTCGCTTGGGGTCTAGCGATGATAGGACGCTCCCAACTGCGGTGGTCGCATTCGATAGCGAAGACGACGCTGATGACGGTGACGGTGGACGAAACTGCACACATCGCATCCTTGAGAGCACCGCATCCACCTCTTCCCACCGATCCCACCAAATCTTGACCGTGTTCCCAGGCTCGACGCTTAGCATATCCCACAGTTCTCGCCAACCGGCATTGACCTGTTTCCAGTATTCTTGCTCTGCCCGTGCCAACCGAAAGACGCACCCGCAAAGAACCCGATCAGCCTTTTCCACGAATAATGGCAGCTCCTCTGCAAGCTTTCCCCGGAGAGCTACATAATCTGCGGAAGCTTTGAGCAGCTCGGCAGAGGGGCGGTTCTTGTGCGACACAGGCATATTCATAAGATGTGTATGCAGGGGCAGTAGAGTGTTTTGTAGTGTTTCAACGAGATGGAGGGGTTTGGCGGTCGCGTCCAGGAGCTGCGAAAGTGGAGTGAGGAGGTCCTTGCTCAATGTTTGTGAAAGTGTTGTCGTAAGTGGTATTAGATGCATGGTAATGAGCGTCATAAAAGCTTCAAACGAGTCTGATTGAACCTCTGTGGATATTCCAATGACGTTCCCGAAAGACTTGGCAAACGCGTGTAGCTGTGTCGAGGTTGCAGTCACGGAACGCGACCAGTGGAGGACGTTCTGCGCGAGCTGGTTGGAAAACGATTGGACTCGCAGCAAACGGGCGTAGTAGTTGATCATGTCGCCAGTGAGAGTGGCGTTGGCAGTAACACTAGGGCCCTTGACGCTCCTGACGCGCACGACATTCCGCTTCAGCACATCCTTGACAACCTCTGCCCTATGGCGCTCCTCGTTCACCCTGAAAGCCAGATCCTGTACCGCGTCTCTCGCCAACCGGAGATTCTCCTTGTCAGGATGTCCCTCTGGTGTTTCCTCATAGATAGTTCCGAGCAACAGCGGGTACTTGAGGAGCCTCTGCACGGGCTTGATGAGCAGGGAATGTAGATCCCAGGCGCGTGACATGGAACTGGCTATTGTTCGCGTTTGTGTGTGGTAAGCTGTGAGGGCAGGTGTGACGGGTAGTGAGCGGAGATGGCGGGAGGCGGCTTCGTGGCGGGCAATGTAGGTCTTGTACGGGCGCTCCATGTCGGATACCGACTTGAGAAAGAGCGCCCCGACGGCGTCAGCGTCGAGGGCGGCTTGCAGGGCATGGTGAAAGTGGCTGGCAAAGTCGGAAAGCTCGGATATGTTGCCGAAGATGAGCTTGACGTCGGCGGACGTCATTGGGGCGTCAACAGTCGAGGTTAGGGTTTGGTCACCTAGATGTATTGGCTTTCCTTCACCGTGTGTCAATCACAGTTCATGTTACTGTGAAATTAACTCACCCAAGGCTAACGGTATATGTACCTGCCTTACCAGCGCGAGATCAGACCCGTACGACTTTTCAGAGGCGAGTAGCTCTTGCAGCGCATGCTGTCTCTTCGTCACGACCGCCTCGCTGTGTTTCTGGGGCGGCGGTGGGCGCAGAGGCGACCTCGCTGGAAGAGGAGGCATAAGTAGGTGGTCGTGGTCCGACGGCTGTCGGGTGTGACGGTTACACGTTACCTCTGCCCATGTGTTATCAGGTTCCCGTCTCGTCCACGGATTTAATTTCACCGTATTCGCTTGTTCGTCGCCATTCACTTCTGAGCTGCATTTTCGCGACGTTATCGTAGAACGGACGGTGGTGAAGGTAAGGAAACAAGAGCGGTGATGATACCTTGTCTCCGTTGGCGATTGTTTCCAACTGGGTCAAGTGGTTTCTAACGTTACCACCCTACCCTGGTTTTGTTTCATTTTGCGCGTCGTCATAAAGTACATTATACAAAATAATAAATATTGCCGCTCTACCGTCCCGGTCCGCCCATACCCATCATCTTGAGCATGTCTGCCATCCCTGGCATGCCTCCCATACCCCCAGCAAGCCCACCTAGGCCGCCTAATCCACCCAGTCCGTTCCCCATAGAAGCCATCATCCCTGGAAAGGTCGTCAGCACCACCGTACCAGCACAGGAACAGATCTAACTTACTTTGCATCTCTTCCATGTCCATCTGGTCTCCCCCTTGGCCTTGCATCATCGCCTTCATCATCTCTTGCATCCCACCCCCGTTGCGCATCTGTCGTTGCATCTGCTGTAACATACCAGGAGGCATCGCCCGTTGCATCGCCTGGATCTGAGCTGGCGTCGGCATCCCGTTCGCACCTCGGCCTTTGCCCCCAGCTGCGGCCTGCATTTTTTGCATCGCTGACAGCCTTCGAGAAATTATCAGCTTTCCAAGTCAAAATATCGAAAAGGAAGGTTCACGTACCATCCATTCTTTCCACCTGCTTGTTTCGCCATGTTCGCCATCATCCGGTATTGACAAAGCAGTTCTTCCACTTCTCGTACACTCGTTCCACTCCCTCGAGCGACCCGTGTCACACGCCACGTAAGTCCAGTCGGTTTACCATCTTTCCCTATCTCCATGAATGGTGTACCGTCAGAGTCCAGCTCCACCGCAGTCATACTATCCGTTATGTATATCATCCGTTTCATCCTCATTGCTCCCTCTTCATCCGACCCTTGCAATAAATCCTGAGGTAGACCTGGTATCATTGATGCAATTTTGCTTATCGGTCCCCTACAATATGGACCGTGATGGTCAGCACTGAGCAATTTCCCGGGAGAAGGTTTCACTGACATATTCATAACATTTGATATTTGCTCTCGCCAGTCTCGAATACTCAGTTTACCTTCTTCCAATTTCTTGGCCATTTCCTTTTGCTTGTCTGGATTTTGGGTCGCCAGATCTTGCATGTGTTCCATAAGTCCTTGAACATCGCCCAGACCCAAAAGCTTTGATATGAAAGGCTGGGGAGAGAAACGGTCCAGATCGTGTAGATGTTCGCCTACACCGAGGAAGATTATTGGCGTCTTTGTGGCTGCAACACTAGAAAGGGTTCACAAATCATTTCGCTTCAGCGCCAGAGACGACGTACGCGGAAATGGCGCCTCCACCCTTCGCATGACCATCCATCTTGGTTACGATAATTGCTCCGAAATTTGCGCTCTCTTTGAAGGCTCGACTTTGCGCCTCGGCAGCTTGACCTACATAATGGATCAGATTAGTGTATATTACTGATAAGGTTTGCAACATACCGATGCTAGCATCGAGAATGAGAACGGTCATATTCGGATTGACTGCTTCACCGATTTGTACCATTTCCTCGAACAATTCAGACTCTTGCTTATGCCGTCCAGATGTATCCACGATGATAACCTCAAATCGTTCCTTCTTAAACTTTGCAACACCCTGAGCAGCAATTGCCACTGGATCTGTCTCGGTGTATGATCCAAAGTACGCGACCTTGGCTTTCGTTGCGGACTGTCGTGTCTGATCGAAAGCACCGGCACGGAAAGTATCCGCACAGACGATGGCAGACTTGAAGCCTCGTTTTTGGTAATGTACAGCAAGCTTTGTACATGTCGTAGTTTTACCGTTTCCCTGGAAGCGGATTGGAAAACGGTTTGAGAAGATCAAGTAGTAAGACTCACTTGCAGACCAACGGCCATTATCACGTTCGATTGTCCCTTCTTTGGTTTGTAGGGCTCTACGCCGGGATCCACCAGGTGAACGAGCTCATCAAAGACAGCCTACAGAGACATAAATCAGGATAATGTCGTGGCAAAGTAGTCCGACTACCTTTTGAATGAGATTCTTCCGATTAGTTTCCTTGCCCTTGTCTGCGCTTTCAAGAGCTGCCTTTACTTTTGCCTTGACCTTTTGCCGCAACGACGCAACGAGCTTGACATTCACATCCGATTCGAGGAGAGCAGCAGTGATTTCCTTCAGAGTTGCATCGAGAACCTGCAGGAAAACAAAGAGAGTCAAGGACACAGGCGAGTACTAATGAATGCGACTGACCTTCTCGTCGACGACGGGTGCCCTGTTGAGGGAAGAGAGGGCGGCATTGAGCTTGCGGCCCAAGTCCGCTAATACCATGGTCGCGGTTCTTCAAGGGGCAGACAAGCAACGTCACCAAATTTCAAGTCGCGCGGCGATCATGTGCGTGCCGCCTTGTTTACCAAGTTCCTCATCATGCCTCCCTCAGACACCGAAGACGACGTCCTCGAAGACAACGAAGACGACCTCGATGAAGACGCTGAAAATGACCTTGACGAGGAGCTGTTCGATGCTATAAACGAGGAAGCCACGGAAGACGGAGACGATGTGCGTGTTCGCTGCTTGTGTTTCTGTGCAATGCTTTATTCTCTGCAAGGACTCTTCTAGCTCTACCGATGAAGGCTTTTCTGACGATAATGACGACGACGACGATGAATCGGAGCCTTCGAGAGACATGCAGCAGCCTACATCACAGCAAAGCTCAGTCCAGAACGCGTCCTTGCTGTCGCCTCAATCCCAATCCCAGCCGTCTTCTGTCAAACGTGCGAGGATCTCTTCGTTTTCATCTTACTTACTGTTGACGCGAACAACAGAAGCTTCACCACCCCTGGTTCGCAAGAGATCCCTCTCACCTGCCCAAGCTCGGAAAAAAGCTCTTTATTATCCGAGAGGGTCTGACGTACCCGTCTATCGTGCATGCATCGTCGAGGCCGTATGTGCAATACCCCACCCGGTTCCCATCCATGCACTCGCCTCTTCTCACTGCATGACCCATCTTCTCACTGGATCTGATGATGGTTATATCCGTGACTACGATATTTTTACGGCTCTAAACGGAAAGAACTTCTTGACGGCGCCACAAAGACATCACTCTGGTGTTGTGGAGGGAATCATGAAATCTGGGCAACTCCGTTTTTGGTGGGAGAATCCAACGCCTCAAGACGTGTCGACTGCTTCGGCCGAGGATGAGACAGGGCTGTCCCCGGTATATTGTTTAGCGATGCATTCAGACGCGCTGTGGGCTCTTGCGGGAAGCGACGTGCGTTTTCCATTTTTCTCCCCAAATTCGCCTCACTAACGAGCAAGCGACAGTCTGGCCCCATCAGCCTCTATACAGTGAGGCATGATCCTGGACGTTTATGTCATGTCATGAGTGGTCATCGCGGCCCCGTATCTGCGCTATCTCTGGACCACGATGAAAAAGGTTTCTTTAGTGCTGGATGGGACGGTGACGCGCTTGTAAGTAATTGCATGGTTGGAATTTGGAATATAATGAACGAGTTTTCAACAGCTGTGGGACCTCAACACAGGCCAGAAAGTAAGAAACTTTACATCTCATGGTGCCCAGCTTACAGGAGTTGCGGTACGGCCGACAAATGCGGTGTTTGCAGAGCCAGGACCTGCAGTCGTCATCCGGCCCGAATCCGAGGTGACTTCGACTTTACCAGACGAAGGTACCATTGCATCGGCTCCCGCGATAGCGCCACAACCCGTGCCACCAGGCGCTTCGGTAGCTGCATCTGCACCTGATTCACCATCTCAATCAGATGGATCTTTCGATGACCTCTTCGACGAACCGGAGAACAATACACAGGGTAGTACCCAAAACAAATCCCAAACCTCAGCAAACGGGGCTACGGGGCTAGCTGTTCCTCCCCCAGCTCAGCCCCAACAACCTCCGCGTCCCAATTTCGGCTCAATAGCACCATCCAAGAATGCGCCCCCTTTGCTCGATCCTGATACTTATATGAAATTCTCGCCGGATATTTTATTGACGGCATCTATAGATGGCCAGGTGATCCTCTGGGATAAAAGAGTAAACACACCCGGCACGGGAGTTGGAAGACTATGGATGAATGAAAAGACTCCCCCCTGGTGCTTGTCGGTGCGGATGCTGTGTCTCTCCCGAAGCGTACTCGTTTTGACATATTATTCCGTCACAGGCATGCTGGTCTGCGGACGGCGGCCAAATATATGCCGGAAGGCGTAACGGGACCGTTGACGTCTGGGATGTACGCCAGCTTGGTCGTTCGGGTCCTTCTTCCACCCCCAGGCTTCTGAAAACCCTGAGAAACCCACCAAGCTCCGGAGTAGTTTCATGTGTGGTCGCGTTTCCAGACAACAAACATATCGCCTGGTAAGTGGTCTGGTCCCTGGACGCATGCGAGATGTCTTGACTCCGGAACAGCGCGTCCATCGATAATCTGCGTCTGTGGAATGTGGATGTTGTCGAATCTGACCCTGGTAGACCAAAGGCTGGGATGCAGTTCAAGATCATACCAGGCCACCACGGGGGGTATATCTCTAATCTTTGTAGGTCCCTTCTTTGGTGTGTTCGATAAGATCTGACTAACCATGCGAATAGTGGTCGATCCTGGAGGCAGATTTCTAGTAAGCGCTAGTAGCAACCGCGGGTGGCATGGGGAGTCCACACGGACAGTATTTGTGCATGACATAAAGCATGTTCAATAACAGCGATAGGTTCACAACGCCGCAATTTGGACCTTAAGGGTTGAAAACGCTGACTGACTACTCTCTTCGTCATATTTGAATCATTTCTTCTGCAAGTAACAAGATATTTTGCATGTTCGCCGCCAAGTCACGAGGATCAGAGACCATTTCACATCCCGTCCTGTGCTCCATCCCGCCCATAATTAGCTTCCGAGCGTGTATTGAGAAGTGAGCATCCGAGGAACAGAACGACCTGTCAATAATGAAGTTCAATATAGGACTTGCAAGCTTCGCCGGACTCTTCTACATCAAAAACAAATCCTTGAGATCTAGACCATACATTTGTCTTCTTAGTGTGTCTTCGCCTCTTTTCTCCTGCCACAATTCCCCCGAATAGCGTGAATTGTTCTCATCAGTTAATAACGGCAACAAAGCCTAACAGAAACCCGAGTGTGACGTGACAAATATACTGAACTGTGCCAATCGAAGCTTCTACTTTTCCTGAGTCGGAGGGTCAAAAGGACTTGTTTAAACAGGCGCGAAAGTATGTAAAATCTCCCTCCTGTATGTATGTTGCGCCAGCCTCTCCTTCCAACTGGGGAGGAATTAACGTATGTCGGAGATGACGACTCTGAATTCTTTCGCCATGTACATGGTCGATCGTTGAACACTTTGAACACATCGTATTTGCTCCCGTGCGTGCCGTTCTCCTGCAACGCGTATTCAGATACACTGACGTGTATAACAGCTCTGATCGCGACGAAGTCCAGGCATGCCACTCACTTATACACGTAGCCTTTTTATCTTACGCGTCGCACTCTGTAGCGCTCTGAATACCACCACCGGATGCTCAAGTTCGTGTTTAACGGCCAAAATTATGTCGGTCCCGTAAAAGAAGTTTTGCAGTTCGGACAACAGCGTCGAGGTGTGTTCATCAGCGAAAATCGAATTCACGGGGCTGATGATCCGTTCAGTTCTTGATTTAGGAACGGGAGGAGGTCTTTGGTATGCTTATTTTCGTCTGCATCCAATGACCAACGGTGGGGGGGAATTGACGAAGGTCCTGCTTTCTGTTCAGGGCCATCGAAATGGCAGACGAATTTCCTCGTGCAGAAGTCATTGGTATCGACCTTGCCCCAATTCAGCCCCGGTATGCCTCTCAAAAATCCACATTCGTCGCCTCTGTGCTCACCAGCACCACCCAGCGATGTCCCTCCCAACTGCACGTGAGAGTTACCGGTCTTTATGCAGCCATGCCGTTTCTTAAAGTCCCTCTTCTTCCTCTTCTTGCAGTTTCGAACTCTGTGACTTAGACCAAAGATCCATCCCTTATCCAGATGGTTATTTCGATCTTATTCATGCTCGCTCGATGTTTATGGGGGTAGGTAAATTTAGGCGCCCTATTGCCCGGGTGACGGTCTGACCTCGTTTCTTCTGCAGATACATAATTACCCTCGATTCCTGCGTGAAGTCTCGCGTCTCCTCCGCCCTGGCGGTCTAGTCATTCTTGTGGAACCAGACCTGACTCCCACTATTGATCCCTCTTCTCCCGCTATCTCGTCTCGAGCCGACGCATCGGGCTGGTTCACCTTCTGGGAAACATACCATACTTGTCTACGCCGTCAGAGAATAGACCCGACTGTTCCGCAACGCTTGGGTGATCTGCTCGCTGCTACCGGAACATTTGAGAAAATCTTTAGACGGGAAGGCAACATTCCAGTTGGTTCTTGGCCAAAGGGTGAGCGTTTGCTATTCAGGCTTTCAATAGCAACAATTTATATTGACGATTATTCTAGATCCTGTAACTTTGACGGTTGGACAGCTGCAATGGATGGATTACGAGCTGTTGCTCCCGGCACTACGTCCCTTTTTTCTTACCGCTGGACTACCAGAGAGGAAAGTTAGAGACATCGTAGCTGGCGCTCAACACGATTTATACCACCCTTCTGTAAATTTATCATGTCGTATCAACATCGTCTACGCCTCGAAGCGCCTGTAGCTATCGTCATTATAAGTACCGTATGCATTTTATTATCTACTCACGGACGATATACCGTTACTTACGTTCTTCATAATAATGCATCAGACTGGCCTGCAACCTCCATCAATTCCTTGACTTGCAGGACTTTCTTAATAAAACATCACACACTTCGTAATCATAAAGCAGCAGTTGTTCACCTCTGTTCCTGTCTAAAAAGTACATATGGAAGAAACGACACACACCCAAACCCTAGAACAGCATATGACGATGATGTACAAGAGGGCCCAAGACATGGAAGGTCAAGATGATCAACGAAACGTATCAAAACAGGCGAGTGCGGGGGTGGGGAAGATTGACATCAAACAAAACGAAAGGACGGATCCAAAAGCGGTCCAAAGATAGTGCGACAGGCACAGCTTACTCTTCCTTGACGGTGTAGTCATGGAGAACAGGAGAGGGCTTCATTGACCTTGCTGTTCATCGCATCGTTGTTTTCCAACAAGTGAAGCAACTCGGCGTTGTCCATCTCGAGCAACATTCCAGTAATCTTGCCTGCCAAGTCGGGCTGAGAGCTAGTAAAGAAATTTCAGTATCTTCACCATCATCAAGCTAGAGAAAACATACGCCGCAATCTTCATGTAGATAACTTCACCGAGCATTTGCTTCTGCTCCATCGGCGACGCGCTTGCAAGAGCAGCTTGGGTAAGCGCAGAAGTCGCGTCAGGGACGGGAGGAGCGGGCTGAACAGCTGCACCAGCATTACGAGTCTGAGGGTTAAGCTTGTAACCCTGTTGTTGGGGTGGTGCACGGCCAGCAGGGGCCGGGGCTGCAGCAGGAGGGCGGGGCGGGCCTTGAGGTGCACCGGGAGCACGAACATTGCCATTGACAGGCGGGGGACCGTTGGCACGAGGGAGAGGTGCAGCGGGCATGGGAGGCGAAGTACGACCTGCAGCAGGACGAGGTCCACCGCCACGACCCCCTCCAGGGTAGCCTGGCATGCCGTAGCCCTGGGGGGGTGGCTGGCCGTAAGGCGCAGGAAGGGGCATACCGGGAACTTGCCCATTGGTGGGGGCATAGCGAGGACGGGGTGGTAACATTCCAGGCTGACCGTATCCCATCATGCCACGACCTTGAGGAGGATACCCAGGACCAGGTGGGTAGTACATCGGCCCATTCATATACCCACTGGGGATACCAGCAGTCGCGGCCTGCTGCATCCTGATCTGGTTTCGCTGAGCAATCTGACTTTCCAGCTGTTGCCTGCGGACTTCACGGCGCTGGGCAAGCGAGACGTAGAGGGGTTTCGAACCAATCATCTTGTTATTCATCTCGGCGACAGCCTTGGTGGCCTCGTCAGGAGATGCATAACACACAAAGCCAAAGCCTTTAGAAGTCCCCTTGTCGTCACGCATAACTTTGCAGCTCGTGACAGTACCGAAAGGCTCAAACTCGGCACGGAGCTTGTCATCATCGACATCGTCCTCCAAATTCTTGATGTACAGGTTGACACCCTGGTACTTGCTAAGTTTCTCCATCTTAGCCTGCTCGTACGACTTGCGCAACTCTTCTTCACGTTCTGCCTTCTTCTGGGCACGGGAAACGAAGAGCTTCTGACCGTGGAGCTCAGTGTCGTGAAGGGTCTCGACAGCCTTCTGAGCAGCTTCGTGAGTCTCGAAGTTGACAAATCCGAAACCCTTGCTCTTGCCCTCCTCATCGGTCTGGATGACGGCAGAAGTGACCGCACCGAATTGTTGGAAAAGTTTGTCAAAATCCTCGGTGGTAACCTCGGGAGAGATGTTCTTGACATAGAGGTTGGTGAATTGGGCTTTCATCTCGTCGAGCTTGGATTGACGTTCCTGCGAACATTAGTAAATAATTAGAATCAATGTCAAAGACGTAGAGAGACATACCTTGCGAGAGATGTGGTGTCCGACGTACACCTTCTTGTCATTGAGAAGCATGCCATTGACGGCCTTGATGGCGCTCTCCGCGGCCTCTGCGGTTTCGTAGTGCACGAAACCATACCCCTTCGATCGGCCTTGTTCATCAGTAGCGACCTTGCAAGATAAGACGTTCCCGAAAGCGGCGAAGGTGTCATGAAGAGCCTACAACGCCGTCATTCAACAATGGCATTCTGCGGATGGAGATGATAACACACCTTGTTGTCAATTAGTTCGTCAAGGTTCTTGATGAAAATGTTGCCTTGGCCAGTCTTGCGAAGGGCAGGATCACGCTGAGACCACATGATACGGCTAAAGAAAATTTTATTTTAACCATAACGCAGTTGAAGTTGATTCAGACAGACCATGCACGGTTTTTGATCAATGAATAATTGAGCTGCTCGAGAGCACGCTCACCTGGGAAAAGACGTTAGTCCGGACCGATTCAGTGGCAAACCGCGGAGCTCACCATCAGCGGTGTTGAGATAATTAACGTAGGCGTAGCCAAGGGAGCGACGTGTAACAGCATCACGGCACACACGGATGCTTGTTCGGACATAAATGTCAGAGCCTGAAGCGCATATAACGGCAAAAATTGAACAAACCTGGCGACAGGGCCAATCATATTGAAGATCTCGAATAACATAGCCTCCGTGACAGTAGGGTCTAGTTCTCCGACGTAGAGCGAAGCGCTCGGAGTCGACGAAGTCGTTTGGGGGGCGTAACTTGGAGTGGCGGGCGCTGGAGTAGGCATTGCGACGACAGCAGGCTGGACTGCTTCGGGAACGGGGGCAACGGCTTCAATGACAGCAGGAGTGGACATGATGGAAAGTTTCTTTTTTTGCAAGCAAATAAAATTTGGGTTTTTTGAGAGATTTTGGGGTCGTTACTGCTATATGAACTTTTCTGCGACTATTCTTGAAGTCAGCGAGGTGCAAAGGAGCCATGAAATGAGGACATACACAGGAGGAGCAACAAGACAACCGCTTGTGATAAAAAAGGGTTTTTATGTTTTTTATCGGCTTTTTAGCTGAAAACGAAGGCGAAGCTCTGCATCAGCGACGACGACAACGACGATAACAGTGGACTAACCTTTAGATGATGGTGGATGAAGAAAAACCAAGACCCGCTTTTTGATTCAAAGCAATTCAAATTTCAAACTCAGCCACAGCGCACTGATCATTTGCCTTCTTGGGCGAGCCTTTGTTCAAAGTACAATAACAGAAAGTCCAATAGAATTTTCACTCAAGGATGACAAGCTCCACAATAAAATTTAAGGTAAGAAGCTAAGGAACAGATCCTCGAGATTGTAACTAAGTGGCACAGTTCAACCCCGTGTGAAGTATGCTTTCGCGCCGTGGGAGGCCAGCTCCGTTTTAGCCTAAAGAAAGTGAGCGCGCTACAGGGACATGAGGCAGAAAAACCTACCTTCTCCATTGTATGCCCTGCAGCAGTATGGTGTGCATAAATCTGCATGATCGATTGGAATAAGTCGGCAAAATTAAACGCATATAAACAAATTTTACCTGGCGGTAGTAGAAAGCGTTACCAGCTCCTTGAACGATCCATCCGATCGTGGCCACCAAGCCCAAGATTGCAGCGACCCAGTGGTGGTTCACGAACATTTGAATCGTCTGGATAAGGCCTGCAGAACCAGTGCTGCGAGGAATGATGAGACGCAATACAATGCGGCAAGAGACATTCGGTTACCTAGGCACTCCAATGATCCTATCAAGGCAGTAAACTACTGGGCAGCGAGCTGGACAGGTTGACTCACATGTAAATGCTGAACAGGAGATGAAACCCGCCAAAGAAGAAGTAAAGGTCTGGGAAAGAGTAAGACACTATCAAAGGCACCTATAGGGTACGCACAATAATACAAGGCTTGTTCCTGTCATTGCGTGAGACGGTGCCAATTATGACTACGCATTGACAAACTCACCTTCATGTAACCGTTGTAAATCGGACTTTTTCAAGGCAGTTAGACAGGCTATCGAAGGACTGCGGCCACACATACCGATACCAGAGAAGAAAGGAGGTGACGGAGATTACGAACAAGTAGCTGCGCGGAATCGCAAGGTGAACATGAGTTACGGCAGGGGAAGCACAGGGATTCAGACTCACCCTATACTAGCGCCGACGTCGCGCCCACCATCAGAAGACCCAGCAATAAGAATGAAAATACAGGCTATCATATTGAGAATAAGTGTGCCAAGAAGCACTAGCCATAGTTGATATAAACGAGTTATGAGCGACTGCGATGCCTCTGGTATTTCTTCTGGGATGGAATGGAAAATTAAGGGGAAAACTAGCGATACGTGGACGTTAGACAGACAATGACGACGGAGGAGAAAACTCACAAGGCGGCCAGTTGTTCTTGCCATGCTGCCTTATATGCTCGGCCTTTCTATTAAGTTCCTGTTCGCGTCGTTCTAGGTCAAGCTCGCGTTGTCGGAGCTCCTCCAAACGGGTGTCAGAACTCTGCGACTGCGGGGGAGTTGGGTCGTCGAATGGATTTGTATCCAGCGAATGGGTAGAAGCAAACGGATTCTCGGCGTAGCCTGACCACAAGTGAGTACAAGGAAAGCAAAACGAACAGAAATAGATGTACTCATGTTCAGGATGGTGTCAAATGGAAGTATGTAGTTAACCCTAACCCCGAGCGATACCTACGTGTTTGCATCGGAAGGAACAAATAACGCCACGTGATTGCCGACGGCCGCCCAATTGCGCCACGGTTCGAATTCGTCAACGATGCTGTACCAACTCAAAACAGGGTGCCGGCGAGCTGGCATCGTACACAGCATTCATATTTACACCTCGACCGACCCGTCCGCGAATTACTAAGTAGCATCGGCAGTAAAATTTCCATCGATCAGATGGATCGGGAGCGAGTCAAATCCGAAGGCAGCCTCGAGCATTCATGCTGCCTGGATAGAGCGTCCGTTTTCCCATGGAACATCCAACAAGATGGCAAAACCTCGCATGTATACCTAACGTCAGCCTCGAGGCTAAAGGTTGCTACCTCCCGTAGGAGGGATGGAGTAGCGTAACCATACTATAGATTTGACTTGATTTTCACGTTATTTCACAATCGATCGTCCCTGATAGTAACCTCGGGCCTAACACAAAGCGATGCCTAGTTGCTATTTGGGCACGATTTTGGTAGAAAAAGAACATATTTGGACCGATATCTCCTTGATACGGAACTAATATACACAAAAAACTAAGGAAAACGTGTGGGTCGGCGGCCGATCTCGGCATGGTCGAAGCAAGTATATAAGTTGGAGCACAAGGTAGATGAAATTTTGCGTCCTTGCATCACCTTCCTTCTGCCCGACCTTCCCTACGGTTACTCTTGTGCGTTTCTCTCGCTGGTCTTGCTAACCCGTACTGATTATCGGCTGCAGTTATTCCACGACTTTATTGTCGTCGCATACATTCCCTGACCTCTCATTCCTTACTTCCCGCCCACGATGTTCGCTTCCGTCGCCACTATTGCTCTTGTTACCATTGCTGCCGTCCAGGCCACACCCCATTTCCCTCGTCGCAGCCTCCATGGCGTTCACCATGTTGTTCGTTCCAAGCCTGCCGACTACGCCGAGGGTTACCTCGAGTCCTATGATGTTTACCACGCTCGGTATCTCGCCATTGGTTGCCAGAACCAGCACAACACCCAGTTCTTTGACGACTGTTGTCACCCTCTCCTAGTACGTGGCCTCTGCCTAGAAACTATAGTGGAGCTAATCTACTTGTCCCATAGGCTAATGAGACTGTTGCTGCTAATCGTCCGGCCTACTGCTCTGCTACAGCATCTGCTTCTTCATCCGCCAGTGCTGTAGTGGCTACCTCGACAGATACCTCGGATGACAGCGGTGAATATTATGACTGTGACGACGATGCGTCCTCTTCTGCGACCTCTTCTTCTACCGATTACGTACCTGCCACCACTTCCTCTTCCTCTTCCGAGTTCTCTCAGGCTGCCAGTACGTCAGCTCCGGAATCGAGCTCCACAGTCAGCAGCAGTAGTTCCAGTGCGTCTGTAACCCAAGATAACACTTGGACTCAGGACACCAACACCTGGGCTGCTGCCACGACTTCGTCAAGTGAGAGTTCCTGGACTCCGGAACCCACCACCTCCTCTACCTCCTCTACGACCCAGGAGCAGAACACTGACGCGCAAAAGAACACTCAAACACAGGAAACGTCGACTTCCTCTTCCGCTACTTCTCAGTCTACGGGCACTTCAAACGCGTCTTCGGGCAGCTCGTCTTCTTCCAGTGGAACTTTCTACTCCGGTGGCGTGTGAGTATTCTCATGTGGGATTGGCTTCTTTTTCTAAATATCTCTTCAGAGGTACCTTCTATTATCAGTATGGTGTTGCCGGTTCGTGCGGCACTGTAAGTTTGTTTCGACTCTACCCAAACATCTACTTAATCACTGTGACATCTAGGTTCACGCTGATTCGGACAAGATCGTCGCTGTTTGTAAGTTACACGTCTGTGATGATGTGTTCTGTTCTGACCAGAGCTTTCCACTATCACAGCTGCCATCGTTATGAACTCGGCCCTCTGTGGTAAGACGATCACCCTTACCAACACTGCCAATGGAAAGGTTTGTTGTAGTTTATAATGGACAGTCCAGTTTCACAAGCTAACAATGCCTTCACAGACTGTTAACGCTGTCATTGCGGACACATGCCCAGGCTGCGGTGATGGAGGAGCATCTATTGACTGTTCTACTGGTACATTCGATGCTCTTGCTGATGAGTCTGATGGTACTTTCCCTGGTAAGCCGATCATTTGTCTTTGTTGCATGAATCTGACGTCCTTTCCAGTCACGTTCACTCTCCCCGCGGTTTAAGACCGTCCCTCTCGTCAACGGCTTGACCCTGTTCATACACATATACCCCAAGGCCAGCCGAGACCTTTCACTTCTTAACGTCTTTTGCTCTTATGAGTGAAGGGCGCAGGCTTAAAGCTTTTCATTTACCATATACGATTGATACGGGGTTTCACGACCAGAGTTAGGAACTGAGCTACCTATGGTGGCTTCGTCCCTAGCACTGACATTATCATTCTTATTCGTCAGTGTCGAATTTATTATTAACGTTTCTATGTTGCGCTTTCATGTTCTCTTTTTTTATTTGGGTTTACATTATTCCCGTCATTTGCTCGTCGTATTGCAACCATCAGACAAGAATAATCTTCACTTCATTTGTTTTGTAACCATCTTGGCGGGACGAGAGGATGGGATAGGGAACTGTGTTCCTGCTGGTACCTATTTACGCTTGTAATGTTGATCATATACAGCGCTGGCTAATGGAATCTGTTGACCGGATGCCTTCTATATTGAACTTTAACTGTGTGATCGGCATGATAGAACGTTCATCGGAAGGTTTGGAAGCGTAAATGCGCACGACGGCCAATTAGAACCGTGTTTTGAGTGCATTTATCTCCGTAACGCCAAGGGTATCTGAAGGCCAAGGAAAGGTGCGCTGGCAATGGGCGGCCGGGCTTGTTTCAACCGCTGGATTTTTTCCACGCCTTGTTTCCCAATACGGCTACTGACCGATCTTGCCATTGCATAACAAGTACTTCGATGAGTGCTATGAAAAGAATTCTTGTCGTTGGCGGGAATGGCTTCATCGGTAAGTGAACAATTGCAAGAAAAGATTCACCAACGAGACTTGGCATCCATAGGCTCTGCTGTGTGTCGCGCTGCGTTGGCGAAGGGCATGCAGGTTACCTCTGTGAGGTTAGTCGTCCTAATCGCGCTCAAGCCGTACTTGACACGTACCTATAGCTCATCTGGGCGCCCATATCGTACGCCCCGGGGCCACAGTCCAGCATGGACAGAAAAAGAAAGTTGCTCTCTTCGTTTTTCTCACGAAGGCGACACTTTGACGGCATGCGAGTGTAGGTGACGTGGCTGCAGGGCACGGCCCATGACCCGTCGACGTTTGCAGATGCTCTGAAGGACACCAATGGAGTGGTGCATACGCTTGGGACGCTCCTTGATGATGACAAGTACAAGAAAGCGGTGAAAGAAGGGAACATTGCAGGGTTAGTTGGGAGTTTGATTGGCTCGCAGAATCCCTTGGAGAAGAAGACGAGCAGTGGCTATGAGAGCTTGAATCGTGATGCAGGTTAGTATGCTCCGGTGTCCTCTGCTTCGCTTCACATTGCTTGCTAGCTCTTCGGGTCTGTGAAGCCTTTGTGAATTCTGGGACAACAGAAGGCCCTTCACCTCGTCCGTTCGTTTACATATCAGCAGAGGATATCTTCCGTCCTATTATCGCTGCCCGATACATCGAAACCAAGCGCGAAGCAGAGGCAGGAATCGACAGCCTTGTATCTCAGAAACCTGGTCAATTCCGCGGTGTCTACATTCGACCTAGTACGCCGCCATATTATTACTGGTGTTACAGTTAACGTTGTATGTTATACAGGTCTCGTCTATCACGCGCACTTTCGGCCCCTAAGCACACCTTTTGCGGCGCTCCTCGAGTTCTCCGCTGCCATGCATTCCAAGGTTCCTCGCGGGATTCCGACCCCTTCTAGTGTTCTTCGTTCGATAGGGTCTGCATTGGCGGTACCAGAAGTGACAAACAGCATGTCGAATGCTCTTACTATTCCACCCATACATGTCGACCATGTTGCCGAAGCAGTCTGTGTAGCGTTAGAAAACGATGAGATTAGTGGGGCAGTTGGGGTGCGACAGATGCGAGAAATGATAGGATGGATGGCTACACCTAGAGACGGATCACTGAATGGAGCACACTAAATAATATATTTTCTGTCGATTGTGAGAGAATTCGGACTTTGAGCCTAGGCCCGGGTAAGCAAGCTGACTCAGGGGCTATACCCCAAACTTTGCGACATATTCCGCCTATTATTTATTTCCAACAACTCAGCCCACTTTCTTCCCCGCCTTCCCCACTCCCGTCGCCATGCTGTCTTTCCCCGTCGCCAGACCGCGTTCAGCGACGGTGACGGCGACGACGTCCAGGAGACTCCTCTCGTCAACGGTCCCGACTCGGAAAGCACTGCCGCTTCTTCCTCAATACCCTTCGTGCCGCAGCTCAAGAGAACCGTGAACGGGACCTCACGTCCAGGGGAAAGACGCTCCGGATGCTCATGTTTGGCAAGCCGGGAGCTGGGAAAGGCACCCTCTCAGCGCGTCTGGTGAAAAAGTACGATATATTGTCTATCTCGACAGGAGATCTGTTGAGACAGCATATCCAGGAGAGGTGCGTCTCTTCATCGATATCCCTGGTCCTTTGCTCACGGTATCACAGAACCGAGGTCGGTCGACAGGCAGAAGACATTGTTGCACAGGGTGGATTGCTCCCCGACGAAGTTATGCTCAGGGTCGTCACTACCAAGCTGGATCTTCTGCATAACAGGGTAACTATCCTACCTCGTGTTCGTCCCACTCGATGTTGACGACTTCGGCAGCACTGGATACTGGATGGCTTCCCACGAACGCTAGGCCAGGGCGAACTTCTAGATGCCCATCTCAAGTATGCTTCTCATCTGCTGCTTTATCTCTGCCCTAAATCTAACTGCGAGTAGAAAACAAGGAACACCATTGAGCCTCGTCGTCAACCTCGATGTCCCTGACCAGGTCATTCTTAGCCGCATTTCTGACCGTTGGGTGCACTTGCCATCCGGACGCGTCTACAACATGTCATACAACCGACCCAAGGTTGACGGTCTTGATGACGAAACTGGGGAACCCCTTACCAAAAGGCCGGATGATAATCCCGTTCGCGTCCCGTTTCCGTTCCTTGTTAATCACATTGCTGACTTATCGTTCCCAGGAAATCTTCGCAAGGCGGCTAGACAAGTTCTACTCCACTACTTCCCCCCTTTTATCGTATTACACCACATGTGCGACTAACTCCGAGCCTGCGCGGAATTCACATCAGCACCCGCACCAACTCTCGTTCCCAGTGAGGCCGCAGCATCAACTCGTGCTCAAGACAATCTCGGGAAAGACGTCTGATGAAATTTGGCCTCAGCTAGATTCAGTGCTTAAGACGGCCTTTCCCAGTATCAGCGAAAGGGCGGAGGTGAAGCGGAGGCATAGTCTTACTGAGGCTATGTTAGGGGACGGGCGCCAGGTTGCGGGGAGCCAGATGGAGTAGTTTTTTGTTTTATAGGATGTTTGAGTCACTGTATTTGTTACTGCCGCGATGCTTGGGCTTAGTTCTTTTTTTCATTTGCCTGTATTTTTCGATGCAATGATATATCCTTTTATACACTGCTTCTTGTACATCAAACAGCTTCGCGGCTCCGAAGAATCATTACGCTTTTATCGGAGAGCATACCTAAGAAATCTAATGAGTATGAATGTTTCGGAGGCGAAAGAAGGAACAACCGACATTTTTACGGTATACAGTCCTTCAGGTAATCCCTCTTGGACCTGTTCTCTCACCAGCCTCAGGCCTGCTTGCGTAAATACGGCCTTCCATGCGCTATCAGATCTGTCGTTCGGACGGTCAATCTGCTGCCAAGGGAAACTAGACCATCCAAGTCTGACCTGGTCAAACTCGAATCCTGATCATCAAACGAAGACTTTGGACCACCGTCTGGGGCATCGGAGCACACATTTTCTTTCACCACAATCAAACTCTTGCCCTTGTCTTTTTCTCTTAGAGCCATATGGCTCCGTCTGAAAAATTCGACAAGCTGTGCATCATTTAGATGACCTAGACACCATTGACACCATATCACGTCAAATCCGCTGTCAATATCCTCAATCGATTTTGAAGGGGAGTAACCAACTCGTTGCAAGAATTTTGCTGGTGGATTAGCAAGCGGATGGGCTGGATCAAAGTCCTGCAACGTCCCTTGGACGACGGAAACGCTCGTACGTTTATCTGCTAGCCCGGACCAATTTTTCTGGGGTGTGATGGCTGCGTGTCTCGCACGTTCAAGTGCTTCTTGGATAAAGGGAGTCACCGGTTCGAGCAATAGAACATCGGAGACGAGGAAGAGCAGAACATCGGCGGTTACTCTGCCGATACCTGCCCCCACATCCAGGGCGCGTATCCGGTGAGATAAATGTGATTTATCTGTCGGCTTGAAAGCAGAGTCGACCGTACATAGCTCTGGAAATAGATGTAGAAGAAATAAGCGTGATCCCAATGCATCGACGCGTGGTAGAGACTGCCAGGAAGAGATCAGATGCTGCTTTCGAGGAGTGGTTGTAACGTACGCCAGTTCCAAATCCTCCTAGGACACCGTCAAGGCTTGCTGGTTGTGATGTCCAGTATTCGATTCCATCGGTAAGATCTGGCTGCAAGGAAGAGGCCATAATGGCCGTACTTGTTGAAGTGTTAACACCGGGCCGGACTCACGATGCAAAGTACAGATAAAAAATCACTAAGGTAATATTACAAGAGAAGAGGCATGTTTCCAAGGCTGCTTGTTCATTCGTTCCAACTTCTCATGATAACGAGCTCTAACACCTGTTCTTCAATTTTTTCGTCCAGTTGCTCCTTCCATCTGGTCTCGTCCTCAATATACATATCAGCGTTACGCTTCAAGGCGCTCATATGATACAGCCCTCCCCCAAGACGCTCCCATGGGTGTCCGTTACCCTTGGTGCACTCCCAAGATTCTTGCTTCTGTTCTGAGATGACCTGATTCGCCTTGGCAAGGAGGTCGAGGAGATGGATTGTATAGAGATATGTCGCATGCTGAGCATAAAATTTCTGTTTCTCAGGTAAATGAGGAAAACCAGAGGGGTCTGTAAGATTTAAAGTAGGCATAACGTGGACAGCAGGCTGATAAGGAGGTATGTGGATCTTCATCGTGGTGGTACTGAACAAGGCGAGACAGGAGCTATTTGTCTACAGTTGGACACGCTTTACGTAATTAACGCGTCTCAATGGCAGACCTCTTCGACAACCCCGACGACGAACTCATACCAACGACACCACCTCGGAACACGGCCCCGCTCTTCTACCAAGGCAGCGAAGATGGTTCTCCCAGGAAATCTCCCCCAGTTCCTGACATGTTCGATGATGCCGACGAGGTCAACAAGATATTCAACGACGCCGACATATTCAAGCTACCAGAGGAGAAGAGCTTTGATGTCGAAGAGGAGAGGAGGAAGATTGCAGAAAAGTACAAGAACAAACCCGTACCACGAACGCCGATGACGCCGCACGAGGTTCTACCTAGCAGTTCACCGCCACGCAATTTGGACAAGGAGAAGGAAAAGGACAAAGATGACAAGAAAGAGCAGAAGAAGGAGAAGAAGAAGATTGCAAAGTTGAATGAAGCTTTGTTGGTGGGGCCGTCTGGGTTTCCACAGTTGATCAAGGACACGAAGGATTTCAGGATTAAGGGAAAGGGACACGAGGCGCGTCTTTTGTTACATTTTATCTGGTACAAGTCACTGAAGTGCTATGGATATTGCAGGAGGCAGATCTGAATCGGTTGCTACAGCGGTATCAGTACTGGACACAGCGGATGTTTCCCAAAACGCAGTTCACAGATACGGTAGCAAAGATAGAGAAGCTCTGTCATTCCAAAGTTATGCATGTCCGTCGCGCTCTTTTTTTGCCATTCCGTTGAATCAATATATTGTCCAGTCACATATGACCAGTTGGCGTGACGAGGTCATGGGTGTGAAGAAACCCACGGCTGATAACGAGGACGAGGAGGCCAACGGCAATGAATCAGAAGTTGCAAATTACGCTTCATCGTCACCTGCTCCTCCTACCCGGCCACCGTCTTCACCTGGAGTATCGTCGGGGCCCGACGAGGAGGACGCGCTCATACGTGAGGCAGAGATGGATGCGGATGAACGTAGAGAAAATGCCGTCAAGGCACCTGCAGTGGATGATGACGAAGAGTTTTGGCGCGATGACAGTGGGCCAAGCTCAGCACCTGATTTTGATGAGGAATGGGAAGCTATGGATGACATGGAAGCTGAGAGTTCCGCGATGTCGTCGTCTCACGCTCTGGAGAGACATGTCAATGAAGATGTTGAAATGGAGGATGTGGCGAAGCAGAAGGAAGCCGTATTGATACAGGCAGAGCCTTTGTCTACGCCAGACCCTTTGAATGATTTGTACTAGTACTTGAGCGGTCGAGTACCTGTACTCGTGCTATACCATTGATATTCGCGTGATGCTCAGCATTTAAACATTAAAGAATTCCGAGAGCCGGATAATTCTGCCAAAATTCGCCGAGTTCACCAGTGCTAATGAGTTTCACGTGACCGCTCGGCGTCTATCCAAATCGGTGCAGCCTCCCCTGATCCAGTATCCTTGGATTACACCACAAATAGCCTCCTCCACGTTGCATCCAAGCTCGTACACCGACGACGTGTGTATTCGAGGGTAACGACCACGACCCATGCCACGACTATCGCGTGCAGCCCTGTAACGTCCACCTGCTCCGACCCTGCAATGTCCTTTACCCCAGCTATGTCTTGGTTCACATCCTGGCTCCCAGAGCTTCCAGCAATCAACATTTCCCTCCCAACTAGTATACAGAGTCGCTTCTTATCCTTTCTGCTTAAGAAGACTCTTGGTCACTTTCTCAAGCCCGGCCAGTTGGATGTGCATCAAATAGATTCTCAGATTGGATCAGGATATGTTCAGGTTGCCGACTTGGAGTTGAGTAATGAAGTATGTGATATTCTGGTATCGACGGCTACGAGCCTTTGACCCGTTTCTAGGCTATCAATGAGCTCTTGAATGGTATGCCGATCGAGCTGCATGATGGTAGCATAGGCTCCGTCATTGCTAGGATTCCCTGGCCAAATCCTTTGACTTCTGCAGTCGGCTTATCTCTCGAATCTCTCCATCTAACGTTCGTTTTGTTACCCTCATCCAAACGTACCTCAAATGCCTCCAACCTCGCCGACTCGGTAGCTTCAGTAGCTTCAGTAGCCGAAACTTTCATTCACGACGAATTGACGCCCCGGGAAGAATTCAAGTTGCGCGAATCATTTTATTCTGAACATTCCATTCCCGATGATCCCAGTGTTCCTGGTGGTCTTGATCCTTTCATAACATCCCCAGAATATGAGGATGCTCTGCCAGATATCGATCCGGCAGGCGTCTCTATGTTCGCAACATTAATCGAGCGCCTCCTCGCGAGGTTCGAATTCGATGCAACGAATACCAAGATAACTCTTATGCAGCCAGGTCGCACGAGTCTCACATTATCTATCGCAGACATACGGTATCGTACAGAAGACAGGTCGGATGACGAGGAAGATGGGAAGGTGCGGTCCGTATCCATCACTGGCATCACGGTTTCCGCACGTAACCTTCGGCCAGCATTCGATATATCCTCGTCTTCCTTATCCATCCGACCAGTATCTTCTCCTACTAGCACACTTCAGTCGTCATCTAGTACGCCTCGATGTCCATCACCGACTTCATCCTCTTCGTCGCTGGACGAAGACACGCAAATTGCCATGTCTCAATCCCTCGCCTTTTTACCACCCCGGCCTTCCTCTCCAGCAAGTTCGGTGGCTAGCAGCATGTACCAGAGTGCAGTTTCGATGCAATTGGAACATACAGCCGACATCCAGGCTCCTCCCCCGGAACTCTCGGACCAGTCCGACCTCGGACAGGCCAAAGACGATGATGCAATAGAGCAGGATGAACACATCATCCTCTCGTTTGGACCTGATCCAATCTCACTGCGATTGACTACCCCAGGTTGCTCCCCCACACGCGAGAATATTGCATCAAATGAAAACTTCAAGTTTTCTGTAACTGCAGGCATCATAGCCTGTTCGTTCCGTGCTTGGCATGTACGGAGTATCATGGACATCGCAAATGTTTGGACATCACACCAGCGGCCTTCTGCCCCTCCAGCAGCCGAGACTTTACCATCTTCACCGCCCTTAGCTATGGGATTAGAAGTGGCTTTGAATGTTAGAGGTTTAATCATCCTTTTCCTACCGTCGACAAGCCCTGATGCGGCACTGGCAAGAAATGGGATAGCAGGGTTCTTTGAAAGGCCCCTAGTTCCTCCCAAGCTACCCCAAGGCTATCTTCGATTTCACGTCGAGGGTATTTCTTGTTCCGGGGAAATATCTTTAGGCTCAACAGAAGCTGCGAGGTCCAGTTCGTTAAAGGGCAAGAAGAATGCTTCTTCTACGTCATCGACCCTTTCAGTGTCCTTGGATGAGATTTCTGCATTCGCATTCCGATCCAGCGAACCTTCCTCTCAGGATGCTTACGCCACACCCATTTTGATCACTGACTTCCATCTGCCAGAATCATATCACGTACCACATCAGCACCCGAATCCTATTTCGAAGTGTGGCGAATGTCCGGAATTACCCTCTTTCGATATCTTGGATTGGACTGACGACAGGCACCATCTAAATGGAATGAGGCTATCGCAATGGAGGACTAAACACAGACATAGATCAGAGAAGCCAACCGAACCCAGCAGTCATCCCGCAGTCATAATGTCCATGTCTCAGGGCCTCTCGCCGTCTGAACGTGAGAAGGATAGGAAGTTCCATCAAACAAATGTTGAGGTAAAAATCCTCCCTTTGCATGTATTCGTGGATCTCCGGCAAATCCTAGCAACGAGCTGCATGATGGAGTTCTTGGACGAACTTACTACGTCACATACTTCTTCGACTCTGGATGATGAGGATCGTTTCGATAATGATAGCGGGGATGAGGACGCCGGCGACGCCGAAGGGGATACGCCACCGGCTACGCCTCATGGTGGAATACTGAGACTCAAAGAAAGGGAAGCGGAGAGGGAAAGACGAAGACTTGAGCAACTGGTTTTGAAAGATCTTGATCTTGATTTTGACTATCAAACTCAGAAACTACCAGGGATTGAACAGAAGCGCTCAGCGCGAAAGGTTTGCTTTTCTCATAGAAAGGATTTTGCACAATCTCATTGGCAACCAAGCGTCGGACACGGAAGCAACAAGAGGCTTTACTGAGCTTTTCCGTCAAGGTGCCTTTAGTTCGTCTGCAAGTACGATGTCCACCCCCTGCCGGATCATCGCCTCGCTCTGGTTCGCTCATCCTCGACTTACATGATATTCGTGTCGCAAATGCACCTTCGAGGAAACCGCCCAGCGCCAGGTTTGCTGATGAAACTTCTGATGCGACTGAGGGAGATGTACTTGCCGCTGTTGAGATTGGACGTATTGTCATATCTTCTTCGACACAAACGATTGGGAAGGCTGCAGCACTCATATCTATCGGGCCTTTGGCTGCCTCTGATGATCATGAAGAAGCCAGCACATCTTTACTACCTCGTGTCGTTGTGACCAAGTCGGCGCGTACATCCACTCTAGCCTTGACTATTTCCATCCCATCGGTCTGTGTCAATATGTCTAAAGCTGCACTCGACGGCTTGCAATATTGGGCAGATGACGTCACGCAGTTGTTAGAAAAGGCATTTGGATCTACGCCCATTAGTGACGACGGCGATAAGTCAAGTATCATCGGCAGCAGGTTTTTCACCCAGTCAAGGAGCGGGAGCGGTAGCGAAACAACAACTAGGGCCAGCAAACCGAAACAGACTGAAACGGCAGTGAAGGTCACGATCGCTGAAGGTTAAGATTACCTGTTATGAGTAGGACAACCCTCTGATTTACCTCTCTTCAGCATTTATCCGATTAGCTCTTCCTCGGAAGTCCGAGGCTTCTGTACCTGTTCGGCCGTTAGACTTGTACGCTTCTGACGTCGATATCCTGGTCGAAATGAAGCCCGATGGAAAGGCGAGAATATGCATACTGATATTAGTTTCCTCTGATCTAACGCCCTCCAAGGATGAAACTGTCGTCACAGTGGGGATCATGGATTTGACTTTGAAGAATACTGATGCTTCGAATGCTTTCGAAACATATCTATCGTTGACTGCTCCTCGAAGTCTGGTCAGTTTCTTTCCTCTGCATCTCTTTCGCGTCTGACCAGCCTCTCGTCAGACTGCGACCCCTCAATGCCTGCTCCGTCTTCAGTTTACTTCCCTTGTTATACCGGAGACAACAGCAAAGGAATCCCGCATAAAGATCTCGTTATGGGGATTTACTTTCAAGCTCTATCCCAATATTGGTTGGACTACTGATATTGCTGAATTCGTTAAGGCCCCTCCCGGTGTCAGTGGTCATTCCCTCGCTATGTCTATATTTCCTAACGAGACTCCAGGCCTTTGAATCTGTGATTCCAAGCGAGCGGACCCGTATTTCAATTCGAATTTCTGATGGATCGATCAACACTGTAGCCCCCAAACACCCAGGTTCTGTCGTTGTGCATATTGGCGATCTGGAATTTGGGACAAACCTTGTCGGATCATCGTCGGACGTCTCATTCCGTTTAAGTGTTCCGGTCCTTGCATTGCTCGCCATCGACGATATCTCTGACATCGCTGAACCTAACTATACTTCGAGTTCTCGTAATGGTGTTTCCCACTGGAGGGTTCGTCCTATGGTTCTATGCGAATGTTTTTGACTGATGGACGTCCTGTAGAAACTCGGTTATGCTTTGCTTGCTGAAGTTGCTTCTCTTGACCTACATTTTGCAGCCACACAAAGGTCAGAAATGAAAGTGCGTTGTAATTGATGGTGTATGTACTTGCCTGCTCATCCATGCGTGTATTTTAGGTGATCGTGGATCATGTTGGCCTTCGCTTGCATCTTTGTGCTGATACTTTGGAGGAGTTGATCGCTTTCATCGGTGACCTTACATCTGCTTTCAAACCTCCGACAGAACAACAGTGAGTGGACTAATGTCAATCTTCTTTTCTACTTTTTACATGTTTTGCGCCTAGGGAAGTCAAGCCGAAACGAAGACCAACGATGATCTCAGAACAACCATCAAGTCGCCAAAACCTGATGTGTATGTGCTGTCCTCAACTTACGCCTTCATTCTCATAAAAAAATCCTTAGCCTCCATTGACGATCTTGCCTTCAAGCGTGTTCCCGAAATAGGACCAGCTCCAGACATGATTAATGACGACCTTCCTACGAATCTCGATTACTTGGATGAATCATTCAGTGCAGCCGCAGGTTTACGTGAGCTGCGTGATGACGACCTTGAGGACTTTGATAATGAGGATACCGATGAAACGCAGACGCCTGACGACCAGCTAATTGGGATTGTATCAAAGGTGGGCGGGGAGACCATCAAGATGCTCCGTCCGGAAGGCATACATTCGGTTGAGCATTATTTCGACAGTTTGCAGCCTGAACCTATGGATGGACAGATGGAGTGAGTGTCTTCCTTCCTGTTATTGTCGATTCTCATCATCTATGCCAGGCTTGGAGGAAGAACAATGCGCATACAGCTGATCGATGCGGACATTAACGTCTTCCTCTACGGTGGATATGATTGGGCCAAGACGAGGCGAGCTATTGAAGAGGGAGTCAAGGAGATGCGGAAACGTTTGGCGAAGATCAGACAGCTTGTTGCCAGCGGACAGACACAAGACACGCTGGAAGACGAGACCAGTGCATTACTCTTCAATTCCGTTTACATAGGTTTGGACCAAGACGCTGACGAGCTAGAGCCCGGTGCTCTGATTGCTGCCATTGACGAAGAACTCAAGGATGATTATGAGACGGCTAGCCAAAGCTCTTGGCAATCCCTCAAGCCGTCGGCAGTCGGCAAAACACAGATCAAGGCCGCTCGAGTCCATGGCAAACGACTCACTCGCGCTAAGGGACCTAGCATTGAGTTCCGTTTGGCTGGCATGAAGCTCAGTGTTGATCAGTATAAGCCAGAAGAGCCGACGGTGTCCAGGATCTTTTCTACCGTGCGAGATTTGGAAATTCTTGATCATATGAAGACATCGACATGGAATAAATTTTTGACGAGCATGCGATCTGATTCGCGTGGTAACGTACGGGAAACAGATTCAAATATGGTTCGCCTTGAGCTTCGTATGATACATCCTGTGCATGGACATTCTTCGGAAGAAGCGAGATTGAAGGTGATTCTCATTTCGAACTTAGCTTGATGGTCGTCTCATCACTTCCCTAGGCAAAGATCTTGCCCCTGAGGCTGCATGTTGATCAAGACGCACTTGACTTCCTAAAGAGCTTCTTCAGTTTCAAGGATCCTCATGCTCTCCCTTCCCCACCCAAGGATTCAGATGATGACATATTTTTCCGTAAGTTTCCAGGATAATTAGAGTGGATGCCTTTCGATAACCTTCTACTAGAACTTGCTGAGATATTCCCTATTGATATCAAGATGGATTACAAACCCCGGCGTGTTGATTACAGGGCATTGAAGCAGGGCAGGACCATAGAATTGATGAATTTCTTCCACTTCGATGGCTCTGAGATGACGCTTCGACATATAACTCTAGCGGGGGTAAGTCAGCCGTTACATACCTTTGCCATTCCCTGACAGTATATGTAGATTTCTGGTTGGCCGCGTCTCTTTGACCTCTTGAACGATTTATGGACACCAGACGTCAAAGCTACGCAGTTGGTTGATGTCATTTCTGGCGTGGCTCCAATACGTTCCGTGGTCAATGTCGGATCAGGTATTGCAGATCTAGTACTCTTACCCATAGCGCAGTACAAAAAGGATGGGAGGATCGTCCGAGGAGTACAAAAGGGTGCCACAGCATTCGTCAAGTCGACAGCCATCGAAGCCATCAAGCTTGGTGCCCATTTGGCCACCGGAACTCAAGTCATACTGGAGCAGGCCGAAGGAGTTCTTGGCGGACAGTTCGACAACACTATCATGGCGGAGACATTGCAGGGAGATGAATTTGTTCAGTATGGTTATGGTGATGAAGATGAAGCAGCAGAGATGATCAGCAAGTACGCTGAGCAGCCGGCTGACATCAAGGAAGGCGTACAGTCAGCGTACAGAAGTCTGCATCGAAACTTGAATTCGGCTGCGCAGACCATTTTGGCTGTTCCTATGGAGGTATACGAGAGATCGGGCAACGAGGTATGTTCCTTTGTCAAATGCCAATTGGCCGCGTTTCTCATAAAAAAGTACAGGGGCCTGTTCGTTCTGTTATAAGAGCAGTACCAATTGCAGTCTTGAAGCCGATGATAGGCGCTACTGAAGCCGTTAGCAAGACTCTACTGGGTCTTCACAATACTCTAGATCCTAATGTTCGCCACGACAATCAGGCAAAGTATAAACAGCGCTGATTTTATCTTTACGATCTTTTTACCGCCCCTAGCATTTTGCATTGAACCTCCTTACGGTAGAATAATACTTCAATTGTGTATCAATAGTGTATATGTGGATTATGGAATACATGGCAGACGCGAAAGAGAAAGAGAAGACTATCAATCTATATCCATGGTCATTGACCGACCCTCTCCCTGTATGAGAGCGCTCCGACTCTTTGAAGGAACCTTGATTTTCTCCCGTATTTTTGATGATTCTGGTGATTCCATAGCCACGGGTTCGACCAGGGCGGAAGATGACAGTTTGGCTGCTTCCATAGTCTTTTTGCGGTGAGCCTTTTGTTTTTCTCGGCTGGCAGCCATTCTATAGGAATAGGTATTAGCAGATAGCACCTCGCGTAAAAGAATATTCCACGCACCTGCTCTTCCAGAATGCCCGCTCTCTGCGCTGTTTGATTTCTCCGACTCGCTTCATGGCAGTAATCGTGGTCTTCATCAATTCTCTGTCGTAGCGCACTGGTACGTTTCGTCGCTTCTCAAAGTCGATGGTGGAGTCCTGTTTCCATTGAAATGAAATTCCGGCCACGCCAACAAATGACAAAATACGCACAATCGTCATTTCCTTGCCCGCAGCCTTCCTAAACGCCTTCGTCCACCGTACTTTGCGTGGGTTCCGCTTCATCCTGCGACGTGGTTTTGATATTCCAAGAAGTGGGTCATAGAACGAGCAGCTTACTTGAAGTTCTTATGGCATCTAAAGAAAAATGAGACTTTATGCAACCAGAAATTTGAGATGCATACGCACTTCGAAGTGCAGAATCTGAAAACCTTGGCATCGTTTCGAACAAACGCAGACCCTAGGAAGATTTAGTGGAGTATGCAATAGTTGTAGAGAATCTAACATACCATGTCCTGGATATACGCTAGTCGAACAGAAATAACACTTTTCAATCCGCATGGTGGTAAGAGGAAACTATCGAGTACCTCTGGCAAAGATATTTTCAGTCACGTCACAGGTCACACTCATGTCCACTACCACCACAACTCTATCAGCTATGCAGGCCGAATCTGTTGCAAATCAAGGGTGAACAGAGTCTTTCGTCGCTGTAACCAGCTGTCGTATGCAAATACAATCGCCGTTCACTACGAATGCTGCATCAATGGAGGGTGTGATGAGAATGGACGCAGTATGGAGTCTGGAGATGCTGACTTGCTGCCAATCGCCTAGGTATTCACCTTCAAAAGCGTAATTCGACTAGCACATTTATCCTAGGCGATTCTAGCTAATACGTAGTCTTATATGCTTTGTCTATTTTGACTTTTAGTATTCAGAGTTGCTCTTCTGCGAATGCTGAGATTCGGCTTTCTTCTACTTATCTCAAGTACCTATAAAGACGGGTCCACGGTTATCGTGTCTTCGATCCCCCTCTACTCAGTATTCTCGGTGCGCTTATGTCTAAACTTCCAAGTGCGTCTGCTCCACTCTCTGCTGCCCTCCTAATACAGTATGTATGACACATGCGGGTAATCTTTCGGAGATGCTTATTCTGGTTTTCATGTCCCTGAGAAGGAAGAGTCTTCTAACGCGAGAACATGGCCGGGATGTGCCGAAATACTTAGATTTTCTCAGTACACCGAGATAGATTATGTCGTGAATCGTGACGAACGCCGTCAGTGTCTTACGCCGACAGACGAAGCACCAGCTGCTAGAAATTACTCAGTGAAGTGGCGTTCAAAAAATGAGTGGCGGTTATGAGCAAACAAGCTTAATGATGAAGTCCTTTGGAGGTGAGTCTTCGCACGGGGCTTCTATCTTGTTACCTGGTCTCATGGAATCGATCGGGGTTGCCGGGGTACCCAAAATGTTTAATGTATGTCCTAGAGTGACGTGACAATATTTCGACAATGTGGACCTCCACAGGCATGCGGCAGCAGCCAAGAAGCAAGGAACCCGCGAAGACGACTCCGAGGTATTCCATGGAGGCGGAAACTTACTTTCATGCATGTCAGGATGATATGTTGTTTCTGATGCTTCTTGATATTCGGTTGGGCGATCAATATAATATACACATAAAGTTTGCATACAGCTGGTATAGACTTACGAGTCCAATCTCCTGGTGTACGGCTGGATCATTCAAGCGAAACCTTAAAGGCTTCGTCTTCTATGGGCACCCCAAGTGGACGACGAAGTTCTAGAGATGCTCCAGAACAACGAACGTAATTATTTTCATCCATCAGGAGATAACTAGAAGGAACATACCGTATCTGGAGTTCCGGCTTCGGGCCATACACGACCGAAGTCTAAGTGCAATGTCAGGAAGGTATATTTGAGAACTGGGAAGGTGGGTATTATCACTAGACACCACACGAACAAATGCCGAGACTGCAGCGAGGTAACCAAAATAATTTTTCTTTAAGGAGTAAGTGCACCACGGAAAACGTTTTGCACTCTTGGGGGTAACGTCTTTGGTAAGACTAGTCACGAATACATACTCCCTTTCATGAGCCGCCAGGTATTCAGTGATGTCACGGTATCAGGAGAACATTCGGAATAAGCTTTAATGGCGATAGGAATGTTGCAGGCGCTGAACTGGAAGGGCATCCAGGAGTTGGCGGGAGGATCCCGGGATGCACCTGCTGGCTAATATCCAAGAGAGTTGTCCAAAGAATTGTGGTGTTTTCAACACCCGTCGATACAGCATCCAAGTCATGGGCGACGTGTTATAACAACAGATTTTTCAGCCCCATTATCACTGTATATGTGGTGGAGTAGATGTACATGCCGATGATAAACGCTGGCTGCGCATAATTGCTTCAGCAGAGATTCAAAGGGGGCATCCAAGATTCCAGACAACGGGTAGGTTCGGTGCTCCATTAGTGGCGGGCATATGATGACATCGTCGTGAAAACGCAAGGATGGGATAAAAGTCGCAAGCGACATCCTACGACAGAGATCCTGAGCATAGGAGTGCGGTGGGTCCATAGACACTCCAAGGCACATAAGGGGCGCGCAGTAATAGTCAGGTGAAGTGAAAGAGGGGTTGTTCTTCAATCCTCCTGGAGTACGCATTGAGGCAATAGCTGGCTGAGATTCAGAACAACGTAATTTCAAAAGGTGGGTAGGGGTCGTGATACCATAGCATAGGCTAGAGCGGGCGAGTGTTAAAAAGCCGCCTGTATCAGTCGAGTCGAGAATAGAAAACGCGAATACGCCATTCGACGGCTCCAGACTGGTCAGTTTTTGGAGTAATCACATCGGGAGCACAAAAGGAGCGCATGCCGAGAAATAAAAGGGTCAATTGGTGACCGTGTCGAAGAGGAGAGGCGTTCAGACGTTTTATGGTACAATTGAAGAGATTCCGGGAGACTCTGTTGGGGTAATGAGAGGTGGCATGGTAAAGAAAAATTGCTTACAAGTAGAGCGCAGATTGCAAGGAATGATAACAGTTTCTTCGCGACAAAAAAAGTGATGAAAAGGCACAGATACACGGTCCATAGATTTACTGGGAGACCAGTAAGACGCGTAGATTCGAGGTCTGAACAGTTTCTTCAGAGGAGCAAAAATAGATACCAAGTGTCCATGATTTTAAGGGTTTTTCTGACAGCGCGAAGCAGAGCACTAGGATCGGGTAACGCACAGACAGGAGGAGAAGAAAACTCAATCCATGGAGAAATTTGGAGCCAGAAGGACGGGTGCGCTGTCCTCGTAAAATACCCTTCGTCTTTGGCACAGAGGAGAGCCTAAGACAAATATAATGCCATTTACCACTTTCGGGAAGACGGACGTCGAATCGGAGATATCTAGGGAGGAGTTTGAACCCCAGATTTGTGCTAGAAGTGTTGAAGCCAAAGACTTGCCGTCGGAAAAAAAGGGATTAGCCTCAGGAATCGAAAGGAGGGGTGAAATACATACTGGAGATGTTGGATTTCGATGTGTGAAAGGAGCTAGGAAGCAAGCAAGTCAGCGATAAACAGAAAGTGAGGTCCTTGAGAGAGTTTGAACGAATTTCTCAGGAAAGTTCTCATTCCGCTCGGCACAATAATTGGATTTAGCAGAGTGCAAAGTCGCCGCTAAGTCTGGCATCGTCGGACAAACAACAAGGCAATACGGGTGGCTCAAAAGAACCTAAAATTCAAACCGCGACAAATTGGGAATGAGCATTTTGCACGGTGACAGTTCAAAAAATCAACATGGGCGATTTCTGCCAGGTAAACTGTACCGGTAGACTGAGAATTATGGTCATTAGCAACAGGATATTTATTAGAATAGAGTAGACAAACGCAGGGAGAGATATTGCGGCAAAAAATTGCGATCGGCAGTTCCGATGGTTCTGATTTGTAACCTTTTGTAACCCTATTTCTTCAATCGTAACCACAACCGCCACCATCGTCGACACTGCCAGCACGCCGACAGCATCGTCTGCTGCAGCGAAGGCATCTGGTTCAGTCTACAGCGATTACGATGGATTTTTCTCACCTACAAGGCTGATCTTGCGGGTTTTTACCGTGGCTCGTTCTTACATGTTGTGCCTCTTGAGGGCGATAGACGCATACAAGCCTCTGGTATCGCTCCTGGACTATCCTGGTGACAAACAAGACTTCAAGAGGCAAAAATGTCGAGGACAGGCAAGTACGATGGCGCTCAGACGTAATCTTACGGCTCGATCGTCAAGATAATCGGAGAATAGGGTCTTGCGACAAAGGGGGAACTCTTCTTGAAGCTTTCGACGAGCAATACAGACGGCAAGCAAGATAATTGTCCCTAGGAGCATGGAGGATGAGGAGGCGACATTCTCAAAGCTGGATTCTTAGAGACAAAGGGTTCGGCCAGAAGGTGCGTTGCTGTATTCTTTCCTTCATTGTTGAAGGGTAATCTTGCGTCTTGTAATTTAGATGGATACCATGGCATTGAGCTCTTTGAGGTCCGTGCGCAAATGCGTGCCTACTTGGTGAGTTGGCAGGTCGTTATTGTTGATGAAATTTGCAGAAGCCGAGTCTTGTCTTGATGATTCACTCCAGTATGGGGCACCTGAACGACGCTGTTCATTTCAGTGGTGGTAGTACATCACTGATACAGGATAACGCGACATACACACGGTCCCGAGCCTTTTATTGGTGTGACACGACATGACTCAATCTGTCACGTCACATTCGCGCACGCGTCCGCGTTAATTCCCCAGGCGCCAGAGATACGGCAAGGATTTGAACAGAAGATGCGAGGGTTTTCCTGTCTCAAAAGTTACAGAGGGTTCGGAAGAAGAATCTCTCACCTGTATGGTGTCTTGCCTGGGGATATTGCTGTGGACTGAGAGTAAGAACGAGGAACACATTTCCTCAGGCTGGCCTGGCGACGTCTTCGACGTTTTGAATAGCTAGCAACGGTATCTGTTTCAAGATGAGGCGGAACAGACCGAACATTTCCTGGTCATCGTATCCCCGACGTCGTGGTCGGCATGTCCATTCTGATTATTCGGCCTCGAGGCTGTCAGGCGCTCGCCGACGCGCCCCTACAAATTCGACCCACTCTTCCGGTTCAGGACCGTTACTTCGATGGGAACGGCGTCTACTGCCTGTAACTGCAAACCTGTGCTGTGTCAATCAGGATCGGAAAGAAACTTCTTCGATTAGGGCCCCTCACGACTATCTGTGGTCCGGACTGGCGCAAAAGCAAACAAAAGGATACCAATTTCGGCTGCTTTGCAATCCTTTTTACGAAGTCAGAAACCTAAAATTTTTGACTATTTAAACTGCGTGAACATTTGGGTTTCCTGCGCCACCCATTCGTCCCCAAAAATGCCCTGCCATCGCTCCTGCAAGCAATTTGTCCCTCGCTCTACTCCTCCTACCTACGATGAAGCTCTTCACCAGAATTCCTCTCTCCACCTTTCAGTCGGCACGTATGCCGCGCGCTACCAGCCATATTCTCTTTCTTACAGGGTACAGTCTCCTATGACCCTTTCTTCGTTGCATGCTGATTTGTTTCAGTTTGAAGGAGAGTACACAGATATACCTGTCCCACAAACGCCTGCAATCGTTCCCCAGACTGACCGAGTAAGTCGGGTGTAATCTTTGTTGAAATTCCACGCTGATCATACTAGTTCATCGTTCCTCCTCACTTTGATCTCGATGACTACCTTGCATATGACAGTGAAGAAGTGGATGAGGATGAGGACGCCCGGGACAGTGATGATGAGGACGACGACGACGTTGAGGAGAACGGGGGGGCATCACTATCATTATGATGGAACACTCAAAGTGCTCGCTGCAGCACCGCTGGTTAGTGGAATAATTCTCCCTTCAGACGCCGTTTCTCATTGCCATTTCTCACATCAGTGTGTTCTAGTCCTTCTTGTGTGGGCATCTTACTTTGTTTGAAAGATGCTCGTTTTTTTCTCTTGTTTTTATACCCTAGTGTCTTTGTAACTATTTTTTTTACCAGTGTCGTTTCAACAAACAAATGTTTTCTTGTATTGTATGGTATCATTTCCGCTGCTATTTTATGATTGGGCAAGAAAAGCTGTATGTCATTTCAGTCGAGGTTACAAACGGATTCTACATGTCTACAAATTCGGGCTCTAATACTTCTTCTGTGAAATAACCAAGAACGTCTGGTAAGGATATTCGAAAGTGCCTTGGCTTTCGTCTATCCACACTTTATCATCGCCTTGCTCTACGATGGCCTTGACGCTATCCAACACTTTAGACCTGACATCGTCAGGTAAAGTCTGGATGTAGCTCTTACTGTTTGCTCTATCCACCGCGAGTGAGACGTTGCAGGGCAAGGTATACGCCCAAGTCTTCTCCACTGGTGGTTCAAAGAGCCTTTTGTAAGAATCAGTATCAAAAGTCTTGCGCCACAAGCCTAGCCGGAACTGAGGACTGCCGGCTTCATGCTGCTCGATTTCATTCCTCAATTGAGCAACCCATCGTGCCGCATCCCTGATTGGCAAAGGTATGAGATGCATGGTATGCGGTATACAGAAGGAAGGAGCCTACCTATCTTCGAGGTTCCAAATGAAGGCGACAACTCCACCAGGCTTGAGGATCCTGGCGAACTCGGCGGAGGCAGCGTCGTAGTCCGGGCACCAATGAAATGCCTGTATTAATGAAGTGAGAAGTTCTCTACCCGGGACAAAATGACATGCCTGAGCAATTGTGACGAGGTCAGCCCAGCCGTCTTCAATATTGGTGGTATCAAATGTACCGTCCCTCGCAGAGGCACGCTCGTCTTGAACGGTCTTGACGAAGACGTCGCGCATTCCGGCGCTAGGCTCAACAGCCTTCAATTCTTTGATTGAGCTGGCGAAATCTGGGTGCTTGAGAAGCGCCTTGGTGAACAGACCTGTTCCGGCACCGATTCTATGTTCGTGGATGGGCTCAAAAGGGCGTCTGGACTCGGGATGGTGCACGTACTCGGCGACATTAAACGGAGGCGTTGCCTTTACTGCTTCCCTTATCGCAGACAAGGCCATAGATTGGTACGACGGTCGCGCGCTGGACGCAGCAGTAAGATAATCGACCCGCATGGACGAACATGACACGTACCGGTCATAGAGTTCGTTTGTGCCGGAGCCAAATCCATTCTGTGCAACGTTGTGAACGACAGCCATACCTCTTTGGAGAAGAAAGAATAGGGAAGATGGCGCGATATGCTGCCTTTTAAGACAAATCATTGGAGGTTGGCGTCATGTGGAACGAAGAAACAGTCGAGTCATGCGGCTTTACGGTCCGATGGATGACTCGTTGTCTGCCCACACCGCACACATCTCTTTGGGTCCTCTCGCCCGTCTTGCGCGCGAAAGAAGCTGCCTACATATTCTGGGACGCGTTGACTCGGGCTGGGAACAGCATACAGAATGCAAGATCAATGTTCGCCAAACTTCAGAGCTTCAGCACAAGGAATTTATACGGATTTCTGTTGCAATGATGCCACCAGGGCACCAAGTCAGCGAGGGGGACAAACGAGCTTACACGTTCCTGCTGAATCAGAAGAAGGGCCAGCCGCGAACCAGGATTTGCTTAGTCATTATGTTGTCGCCCTCCCTCTCCACAAAAAGGAACGCACGCTTTCATGTTTCTCTTAACACGTACTAACTCGTAGACCGCTTCCGAGTTGTCGAGAGGATCAGTCGACACCCACCCTCCCATACTACGAACGCTAACGCTCGCTCTTGTGGGTTCCCCACTGTCCATATTACATGATTGGTACACCAATACTATGCGCAATGCGCGTATCACACCGTCCCCTCCCCATCATGTCGTCTCCGTCTGGGTCCAAATTCTCGCCTCGCCACATCTGAAAAGCCTCTTTGTGTGCTGCAAGACGTTGCATACAGCCCTGAGAGCGTTTGCTTTGATGGATGGCTCGCGGATTACCCGGATGACGCACGATTCGACACTTTGGCGGCTGTGGACTAGATCCTCGCCAGGAGTTCGTACCTGGAAGTGTTCATGGTCTTCTGAGGCCTCTGCCCCAGGTGCCAATGACCAAGGGGTGAGCATGTCAAAATAACTAGCCAGACGGACGGCCTTGGCTCAGGTCCTCGTTTTATGCCGACCCTTCACGTTTCTATGCTCTCCAGACTTCGAACACCCTCAGAACACTGTCTTCCTGCATGTCGGTATCTCTAGCTGCTCTGTGAGCACTGGGATGAGACACCAGGACTGTGGGTGGTATACTTCACCCCATCTATAGGGCTCTGAGAGGCGACCTTACTCAAGCTTGTGCGCTGAGTAGGTCCCCTCCCCTCGACTGGGCGACTCCAAGCTTGTGCGCTGGGTCACTCCAAATGGTTGTACGGTGTTCAGGTTCAATTGACTGTCGCTGAGTTAATTTTCTTGACTTGCGATACTCATGGGATGGCTGTCTGGATATTATGCCAGACGAGAAGGTTGAGGCTACGACTGGGGATACATCATGTACTTTTTATGTAACAGGAGATAACATCCTTTCTGTTTTTCTTCTGCTCTATAGTCCTTCCGTCTTGATGATTCATTATTTAAGGTTCATGGATAGGGGGAACTGTACAGTTCTTCGGGTTGTTGGGCTGTTGCTTTAGTCATCATCTTGACGCAATGACTCACGCGAGGTTTGTTTTCGGACCACCCGCAAACCTCGTGGCAATCTTGTTCTGCCAAGCACTAACGTTGATGGGAGAGACCATCCTACGCGGACTGCAAGTTTATCTTGACACTTTTGGGCCGTAGACCTCACGTAACAGTTTCGCAATGAATATCCTGAAGTCTACAGACCAAATGTATGTGTTTTGGGAAGCTGCTGTGTCCCCTGCCACTCCTTGGCCAGATACTAGAATGGATGAACCAGCATAAATATCTCGGAGTTCATGTTACCTCCTACCAGGATGACATTTTCTCTGACCATTTTGATCATAACTTATAACGTGGTGAAAGTGGCATCGGAAGTTGATCGGAAGTCACTAACGTCACTATCAAGGTTCATGCTCTTGAACTTGGACATATTTCTCTGCACCGTAAATCGTTGACTTAGAGGAACGATTCCGACCTACTGCTGAGGCTGGGTTGGTAGGGGTAGGAAGTACTACTGGAACAAGTAGAGCACAAACCGAGGAAGTCACTGTGATACACCCAGGCATGAGCAGTGTGACATCATAATCATCATACTTATCTATAGCAGATCTCACGGCGTTGACGCTAGTGCTGAAAGGCCATACCTTGCGGGGACGTGACTGTATCAGTGAGGCCCAACGTTCGTTCGGTACCATAGCGTAGTGGATTAGGTAGGTAATGCACGCGTAGTACGGACTCTGGTTAGTTTCCTTCCTAGGGACAGTGATCAGAATAAAAACTCCATCCATCCTCCAAAAAGGACAGCAGATCTCGTGTTGAGATAAGCGGTAATTCTCCAGCCGCTCACCCGGATATAGCAGGGAACCCTCGCAAACAGGCGAGGGTCATCGTCGTTTGTCTACCTATTTATCTACATACCGTGTACACTAATAGAAGCAATATGATGTAATAAGGAAAGCCAAGGAGGAGAACAGATGAATGGTGCTTCCTACTGAAGATCCCGATGTCGACTGCACCATGATGCGCGACACTTGACATTCCAACACACCCCCGCAAGTTCGTGCATCAATCCCAAGAAAAGAAGAGAAAAATGAGAGGAGAAAACATACAATGTACACCCCCGGAAGGTGAACACCGTGGTGGGAAAGAGTAACCTAGAAAGTGACATCGGAGTCACTCTCATAAGCCAACCCGGCGAAGTCCGCCGCCACAGTCTTCCCTTTCTTCGACTTCCGCCACTTCGCCCTCTCCTCACAATCCGCCTTCAAATGCCTGGCCTTATCGCAGAAAAAGCAAGTGAGCTCGACTTGACTGTTTCCCTTCAGGCCCCTGGATGCCTTGCCACCGCGAAAGGCGACTGCCGCAACTTCATCATCATCACCTATCCCATCCTTATCCTTCTCCGAACGTTCAGGAGCAAGCAACGCTTGGCGCATTTCTTTGTTCAGCAAGCGAATAATCACGTTCGAGAGTGTGAGCTGGTCGGGAGGGGTCGCATCAAAGTTGATAATGACATTTTCGTAGGAAGGGGGGAGTCCCATGGTGAGTGCGAGGATTAGATCTTGGTCGCTGACATCGATACCAGCTAGTTCCATCACCTTTGCCATTCGCCTGATCTTTCCAACCCAAGCCTCCATGCCCTGGCCCTCAAGCATCTTCGCCGTCAAGAACTTCCTTCGCAAAGACAAGCTCGTTGCAAAGCCCTGTGCACGATGCACAGTCTGCAAGTTCCCCCAAATCTCCCGTGGGTCCTTCGAGTCCATGTGCGCCAGCTGCCCGACATCCACCCTCAAAATCATCTCGGCCCTAGCCTCCACCATCTTCTGCTTATCCCGTGCCTTCAACTTCGTCGTGATCTCCACCAAGATCTCTGACTCCGACTTCCCATCTCCATCAACCTCAATCTTGACAATGTCAGTCCAGAGCTTCCGACGCGTGAGCTCAGCCTCCATCATCACTCGCCATTCCGCAAAGTTTCCGACCGATAACTTGGGAAAACGCGCACCAAACAACTCATCCGACATTTTGCTCTATAGGCGATCTCGACGTGGCAAACAACGAATGTGGAGAGCAAAAAATGAACAACTGGACCATCTCGTGGACCAGAAAAGCGAACAGCTGGACCGTCTTGTGGACCAGCAAAGCGAACGACCAGACCGTCTCGTGGTCTAGCAAGTGACAAAGGTGATCTCGACACCAGTGTCGGGGTGGCGGTGTAGTGATAGTCTCGAGAGTCAGCACAGAGAACAAGAGCGACAAGGACTGTGGGTTATGCTGCCTGTTTGTGTTGAGATAAGCGGTAATTCTCCAGCCGCTCACCCGGATATAGCAGGGAACCCTCGCAAACAGGCGAGGGTCATCGTCGTTCGTCTACCTATTTATCTACATGCCGTGTACACTAATAGAAGCAATATGATGTAATAAGGAAAGCCGAGGAGGAGAACAGATGAACGGTGCTTCCTACTGAAGATCCCGACGTCGACTGCACCATGATGCGTGACACTTGACATTCCAACATCTCGCCCAAGTGTAGCCATACCGGCCTTTCTTACTGATATCTTATGCTTATAACTTGATACTTATGCCTTTATCTTTTCCTAGTTTACTTCTTCTTTTTGTGTTTTCCTTTTATTTGTGTTCAGCAACGAGTCGACGGGGTCTTTGATAGTAATTTGCTATTGTTTACCCGAGCTTGTATATAGCGGAGTCGACCAATACAACAGTCTTACAGTCTTCCACAGTAGTTTACTATTGTTTACCTGAGCTTGTATTAGCGGAGTCGACCAATTCATACTGTTTTAGGCCCTGTTCGGGTGACACGGCTTAACCCGGCCCCAGAGCCAAAGTTTAAACCGGCCGTTTAAGTCTGCTTAACTTGGATTATTCAGCATGTCACTCCATTGTCACCTGCATCCCGACACCGATGCTGTGCTCGCTCTGCCCACCCTCCCGCTCACTATACACAATGACTACAACAATGCCAACAAGACTAGGAAACATAGTACTCCTGTGAATGAAATTGAATATCTAGACAAATCAACACAAATTTGGAAGAATACTGCTGCCATTGTGTTGGTCAGTGAGTGGCACATGCGGGGAAGCGCTGGGACACCCTTCGACGACGTCGGTGGCAGCATTGACGATTGCTTGACATCATTCGGACATCATCTGCATTCATCCGAGTTATTCTGATCTTGTGACATTTGTGACCAATTCTCTTAGCCTGGCCTGGCCGGGTTAAGCCATGTCACCCGACCAGAGCCTTACTGTTTTACTTTACCTGAGCTTGTATTTAGCAGAGTCGACCAATAGTAACTGTTTCACTGTTTCTTACTGCCAGTATCAGATAGTAACGGTATCACACCAGCGACATTCCACGCATCATGGACCCTCTCGCTCATAGAAACATGTCAAACCACTCCCTCCTGGTCCTTAGCCTCTCACCATTATGTCCTTAAGTGAGGATAACATATACTTTGAGCAGTGCCCCAAGCGTCGGGTCGCTGCCAATCCTGCTGTTAACGAGGCGTACCAATAATCTGTTTGTCACCATTTATACTAGTCAATAACCCTGCTACCAGCAATGGCTATAAATGCGTCTGTGTCAATATCATGATGCTGCAAGGACGATTCACACCTCCCGACCATCCCCCACGAGATTCTATGCCATGGACCTCACAGGTTCATTGATTAGTTGCTTTATTCCAACGCATATACTCACCTTTTTTTAGCTGTTGGGAACACCTGGATGAAATGGATAAGTATATCCTTCCAAGTGCTTCCAAGGATAGATTGGCCAGCATTACAAGATGAAGATCATCAACCATTACATGCGCAGCATGCACAACGATGCCTTCGAACGCTATACACATTCAAGCCCGGAGAAACCCGACTGCAAATCGTGTCTTTCTCAGGCAGGAATTGCTCGCAGCCATCACTACTGCCTGTTGCACAAAGTGTGTCTCCTCAGCATCATCATCGACTGGTTCCCATTTTACACCACTCGCATGCACTTACAGCTTGCACGTTGCTCTCCTAACTGTGGGAAGCGACCGTACAGGGGGTATTATGGTTGTTCAGCAGACAAACAAGAGAACTTTGTATGGCTTGTCGTCATCAATCCTTCAGACTCCCTGGCCCCTCTCTCATGTCAATGCGTCGCAAGAATGGAAAGAATTGTAGATGCATATTCCAATAATTGTCTTGTCCGTCTTATCATTTTCTTCTGACCATGACTGCCCTTATTGTTTTGTCGTGGGGTACTGGAGAATTTTAAACAGCACAATAGTTTTTCTTCAAGCCTCATTCTTCCGCTCTCTGATATATATATTTATACAGAACCCTGTTTGCACAAATGCTATCAAATTACTCAAGTAACTGATGGCATCAAACAATCAATGGCTCTTGCTGCAGGTTGAGATTTTAAAGTTTCCATTTGCCTCGGTACTTAAAGGCTGTACGATGATGCCAAGCTCGCCCATTTGCATGACCAGGAGGCTTTTTGCTCACATGTTTCCAGCTCTGTAAACAACCGGGGCAAGAGAGCACTTCTGAAGGAGAAACAGATAACATCTTCATCAACTTTGCAAGACTTTAGTGAGTTTTCAAGAATACTACAAAACACGGAGGATGCCTTTGGCATAGGTATTGGTCAATAAAAGCTTGTGGCATTGTGAGAGGTTTTTGTTCTCTATGCCTCGATCACATTTCAGTCATGACACTTTCGTATGTACTCTAGAGTCTAGAATCTAGAAGTATCTTGAAATCCATATAGCTTCAATGTAGGGTTGCGCATGAAACCCTAGGTTTTGATACACCTGGGTTTATTCCCGGTAAGTTACCAGGGTAAGTTACTGGTAACTTACCCCCCCTCGCCAGAGGGGTTTTCGTAGGACCTGTGTTTATTCTCTCAGAGGTTGAGGCAAAAGTCTGGACAAAATTGGCAGTTTTTGGACCAAAGGTTAGGGACAAATCTGGACAAAAACACCTGTCAGCGGCAAGAGGTTAGATCAACAATCCGGACAAGGGATGCACTTTCAGATAAGGTTAAGGCCTAGTCCGGACATTCTTGGGATACATTTGATCTTACATGCATTGTCCTGAGATTGCTTCTCCATTTCTTCATCCATTCAAAGCTCTTTGAAGACATTGTGCCATTAAGCAGGACAACAATAGTTGCTTTTTGTGTGATAAGTAGCCACTCTCACCTTAATTGTGCGGAAAGGTACTTAAAGCTGTGATATTTACTCATTTCCAAAGATAATGTCAACAACATGGGGAGACGCACTATCCGATGTGTTGAGCTCTAGGGAGCGATTTTTATGGATTTTTTTAATGATTTTTGACGAAATTTGATGTTAGGGTGAAAGTCCGGACAAATGGCGAGGAGGGGTCAGCTTAGGCCAAGAATCCAGACAAATTTCAAAATTTTGCAAAATGAAAAGTCCAGACAATTTTCTCAGTTTGGCAAAAATCCTGCCCTAACCTCTGAGAGCATAAACACGGGTCCTGTTTTCGTTGAGGTAACTTACCTGTCATGTGACAGGTAGTTGAGCAGAACAATTTAGTACTACTACATGCATATTTCAATTTGGATTGTATATTTACAGATGAGTGTCTTTACAACTGAATTACCCTGCATTACATCAAGAAAATATATAAAAACACGAAGACAAAGGTTTTGGAAAAATTTGGCAATTGCGACGTGTTAGTCATGTGATAATGCACGTGATAAGGTAAGTAACGGTAACTTACCATAGCAAAACCACCCCCCTGGGGAGGGGTCGGTAACAAACGGTTACTTACCCCCCCTGTAGGTTTCGTGCGCAACCCTACTTCAATGTATGACTAAAAAAACAAGATGCTAAACTCATCAAACAGGTCTTACCAGGGTTCGAACCTGGGTTTCAGGAAGTTGATTACATAATTAACCAATTTCAAAATCCTGAGTGATAACCACTACACTATAAGACCAGATGGTCAACTTTATAAATTAGTAATGGCTATCGGCAAAGGGGGGCCAAACTCAAATAAGAATTGAATCACTTCAGTGAAGACAACAAGGATGTCTTCGCCTTTACTAAAGTTGTCTGACAGTTGATCGCCATATTGTATCAAGAGGGGAGTCCGAAAAGATGCCTTCAGCCGCATGGCGCTCACAAAAATGACCACCGCCAACCGCTGAAAGAACAAAGCTAGTAGTTATGCGGGAGGGCGAAAGAATGTATTACTATGCCCTACATTCCATGCCGGTTCATTTTGCTTTGCCTCTGGTTTTGGTACACAAGCTCGCTCGTAAAGTAGGACAGTTGTTGCTAAATGCTGATCTCGCTTTCGGATATAATTGGCCTAAATTTTCCAAAGAATCCGAGGCGATAACCACTGCACTATAAGACGTCCCCGACAAAGATCTCTTTATCTTTGCGTATTAGCAACGATGATTCGATATGAGATGCGTCAGCATTCATTTACATGCACATTCGAATTTTTGCAGTCATAGAATGCGATCTACAGAGCCGAAATCCAGACGTTCGATATCCTGCTAATTTTCCATTCCTATAGTGGCGGGTAATCCTCGCGATAGCTTTGAAGCCGCGCCGGCCCACCGTATCATTACTAGTATTTCATCGGTAGCTCAAATTCCTGCAGTGCGTTATCGCGAATGAGCCTGGGTACGGAGTCAAGCTTTGTCCAGCTCTTGCCATGAGCTATCCTTGGAAATGGAGCCTTGATATGGTCGCCGTATCGAATAAGCCTGGCCTCGCAGGCACCCGAGTATGAGCGATACAGCGGGGAGCTTGGTCGTCGTCGCCGCGGCGTGGGTCCTTGCAGCGCTCGCGCACATGGACGTTCGTCACAAAGTTACTGATAAGAGACGATCATGCTTGCCCCTAGCACCTTTGATCCCTTTCACTTCTGTCCATCATGTCTGCGACTGCTGGTGCACCCAAGACCTTGGAGGAACTCAAGGATATTTTGAAGGATGATATCAAAGTCAAGGTTGCTGGTGAGGACTGCTTGAATTACGAGTTGGCTTTGGGCCTAACACTATATAGGAATCGACGGTAGGAGCTCGCGTATTGCGGCAGTAGTGCATTTTGACGCGTTTACCAGTTGATGGCGTCCTTCGTGGCAAGTTCATGGTGCGATGTCCGTCTTGTTTTGTTTGAGACGCGTGCTGAATGTCTCTTAGAGCAAAGATAAATTTATCAGTGCAGCATCGTCGGACGGATTTGGCTTTTGCAGCGTCATATTGTACGTTCAGCACGCCTTTCGGATCTCGCAAGCTCAACGGTGCCCACAGTGGCTGGGACATACATGACACTGTCTATTCACGAGAACTACTCGTATCAAACAAGGCAAATGGCTACCGGGACATCCTAGCACGTATCGATCTCTCCACCTACCGTCGCATTCCCTGGGAAGATAATGTGCCCTTCTTCTTGGTGTCCTTCTTGGATCCCGATACCAAAGAACCACTCGTGGTTGACCCAAGGGGTATCTTGAAGATCACGACTGAACGGGCGGCTTCACTAGGCTTCGAATGTTTTGCTGGCGTAGAATATGAGGTTAGCCGTTCCTCCATTCGTGGATATGAACTGACGTACGTTCCTATCAGTTCTTCAACTTCCAAGGCTAGTCATGCGACCAGAACTAACATTATTCTTATACACTGTCGACAGAAACGCCGGGGTCATTATCAGAGAAGAAGTACCACAATTTGAAACCGCTGACACCAGGAAGTAAGCCGTTTTGTCAATACTTCGATTCTCTTATTCATATAAACTAAGTGCACGGGTACTCTCTTCTGCGTACTCAACTGAACAACGATTACTTTCACGACATTTTCAATTTGGGCGCCCAATTTGGCGTCGACATTGAAGGACATCGTGGGTTGTTCCACTAGCACCTGGCACTTCCTGAAGCATATACCCCAACAGACACCGAAACCGGTCCTGGCGTCCTGGAGACAGCCTTGGCTTACACTACTGCTCTTCGAATGGCCGATAACGCTATACTATTCAAGTACCTAACGAAAAGTATCGGTATGCAGCGAGGTGTCATTCCAAGTTTCATGGCCAAACCTTGGAACAATGTTCGTCACTTTGACATATTGACGATTTCACTTTCTAACCCTACATACAGCTTCCAGGTTGTAGTGGGTACGAATCCTCTGAATTTCCCTCATCCTCCACCACCTAACGGCCCTTATAGTCATATTCATGTGTCTCTGCGAAACAACCAGGGTCAAAATATATTCGCACTTCCCCGATCAGAGGCTGCCGTAGGACGTGAAGGAGCTGCTTTCGAAGATACCAAGTTCATAAGCGAGGCAGCTGAGCAATTCCTGGCCGGTGTTCTTGACGGCGTTGCTGACGGTCAGTACACTATCACTTACTATCAATCCTTGCTGTGATTGTTGACTGACTCCGTGCTAGTCATGCCCCTGGCAAGTAATCGACATTCGGACCAGTGCTATTGCTTTTCTTACTTCCAATACAGTTGGTCCCTACCATCAACGGCTACAAGCGCCTTGTAGGCGGCGAAGCATTCTGGGCTCCAAACGCCGTTACATACGGCTACGATTCCCGCGCTGCGTCCATCCGTATCCTCTCGCCGCCTTCAGTCCCTCCAGCGGCGACGAGGTTCGAAGTTCGTATACCCGGAGCGGACATGAATCCATACTTCGCCTTGAGTGCAGTCTTCCTCCTCGGTCTAAGAGGTATCGAGAAGAAACTCAAGCTCACAATACCACCTATCAGTCATTTTACGCCTGAGGACAAGAAGAACGGGAAGGTAAGCCGTGCGGCGTCGATGTTGCCCCCGCCCTGGGGTCTTACAGCTTTGATTAGGTGAAGATGCTTCCAATATCACTTGAGGCAGCCACGATCCGGATGATGAAGCCAGAAAGCATCGCCAGAGAGCTAGAAATGCTTGGCGATGTGTTCGTTGAACACTATGGTGGAACGCGAGAACATGAAGTCAAGTTGTGGAACGAGGCTGTTACCGATTGGGAGGGTGAGTTTATGACTCTTGTACGGATCGTGTATCTGACTGATTTGATGCAGTGGAACGCTATATTGAGCTGGCATAAGTCCGTAGAGTTACTTGTTACGCATTGTTGGACAGTTTAATAGACATATTTAGCTCTTTCGAGGAATGGTTTGGCCCAGCCATCGCTGAAAAAGCTACCGATTCCTTGACTACCCTTCTTTATAATATGAAGAGGCATAGGCTTTTTCTCCCAACACAAGCACAGTAATCACTTAAGCAAGGAGTTGTAACAGGATAAACTTGAAAATTGCTGGCCCCAGATAGCGTAGTCTCAGGGTGGACTTAGAACCACTATAACGCATCATGCAATCAGTCAGTTTTCCCCCCGAACAGATGTGCAGTAGTATATGTTCCCCTAGATGGATTGTACGGTATCTACAGCTAGCATCCCCAACAAACCGAACCTCATGATCGGTCCCTAACGAATCCCAAAGTTCCCAGAGACGAGGCAATCAACTCCAGTACTCTTTCACTCTCCTTCCGTTGTACTTCCAGAAGCTTCATCATATCCGATTGGAGCTCGGAATTTTCAATCAGTACATCCCCATGAATACGGAGGAAAACATTTTGAAGAGCTTGGACAGCTTCGAAATCTTTATGCGAAAGTAGCCGTTGCTTCAGGGAGTGAATAAATAGCTGAAGACTGTCGAGGGAGATGAGTGAGCGAATTTCCAAGTCCAAGGCAGCTGGAGATAAAGATTTTATCAGGTTGAAAAATGTTTCGTCTGTTTGAAAAGGTCAGATAGCGTTGCGGAGTGGACGTCATGACCTACAATCCCTGTCGCGAGGTTCGGAAATCAGCTGTCCGTGGAACTGGCTCTGTGAATGGCTTGCAGCATTTTCCAATCTTCGCGTTGACTTTTTCGAAGCTTTCTCCTGTTCGGGGGTCTCAACAGCAAACCGCGTTTCGACACCAGGAAGGGTGGGCAAAAAGAATGGTGCCTTTTCTGGGGCTTTTGGGGGTTCCTTCGGCTTATTACGATGCTAGGGAAGGGCTCAAAAAGAAAGTTATGTCTGACCTAGAAAAGCGTACCTGTATCACTTCTAGGTTGAGCAACGTTTGCCATCGAGATCGGGGAAGCAGCGTCAGCGTTATAAGCTCTCCATCTAGCTGAGGAGGAGTCATGAAAACGTCGGTAGCTTCTTGTTGTGCAGATAGCGGCGATAGAGAATCAAGTGCTAAGAGTAGGTAGCGTTAAAGCAATCCGAGTATTGATTATCTTGGCATACCTTCGTCCTCTGCAGTTCCTTGCATTGAAGGAAGCGCTGTGTCCGCCAGATCGTCGTCGTTGACACTTTGGAAAGAGACAGTGTCATACTGTGCACGGTTTGCCCTGTCAATGATCGGTCAGATTGATAAAACTGCTCAGCTATTTCAAGAGACTCACCAGAGATAAATGCCGACGCTATCAACATGTGAAGTGGCGAGGAAGTCATTTGTCGGAGAGAAGGAAATACTAGTAGCCACACTGGGTGTCCTGAAAGCGTCGATCAGCCGACCAGTTGGGACATCATACGTTCGGATAACAGAATCCAGGGAACTGGCAATTAGCCATCTTGAATCCGGGGAAAACGTCTTAAAAGATTTGTGAGCACTAATTCGAAAAAAGGGACGACCAGCTCCCATACAATATCGAGTATTCGGCCTCTAAAGCCTCCCAATTCTCGAACAACTTTCTTCGTTTCAATATCGAGGATGCGAACTATCATATCGTCACATATGACTGCCAGCAACCCGTTGTCCCGATGCAGCACCATGGATACAATGGGCGAAGGAACAATTGTAGTGCGCTCCAACTGGGCAGTGTGGAAATCAAAGAACTAAATCACGTTGACGTTAGCCCTGCAATTGGCAAGACAAGAAAGACGCACATTGATGGTTCCATCCAATGTGCTCACTATAACAGCTCTGTTCAGTGCATCCGTAGCAATCCCAGTAATGGTACGCTCATTGCCCTTCTTTCCGGCGGTGCCTAGTCTACTTGTAACCTCTGCAGGACATGGTCCGACGTCGAAGGTCTTGCGTCGCATACCCGATTGAAGGTTCCACATATAAACAGCACCTATTGAAGAGCCTGCCAAACCGAAGTTTCCGCATGCGGTGACACAAACAGCCTATACAACGGTATAGGTAAGACCAAATCTAAGTGTGAGGTAAAGCATCGACAAACCTTGACTGAGCCGAGAGCTTTTGCCTTGCCTTTACCCTTGACAGGCTCCGTAAAACCGAAGGTATATTTACCCACTTTCTTGTTTTGCATTGTCCAAGACCGCGCAACAGACTCATCCGTATGTGCGGTGAGAATATCATCCCAATCTTTCGCTCGAGCTGACGAATATGACAAAGAAGTGATAGCCGGGAACTTCAGAGAGGCCAGTGGTATTGACAGAGCAGTGGCCTTCTTTGCAAGGGATCCTGGAGAAGTCAATTAATTAATTCAATTGACCGAATGAGAAAAAAGCTGACGGACCCTGTGAAAGTTCAAATGACCGCGAATCACGCACTACCGATGTACATCTGAGACTGCGATCCCTTGAAGCCGTCAGAAGCTGCTTTCCGTCATCACCGTAATATCGGATAAGATGGGGAGGAGCATGATGACCGGAACGGAATTTTAGTAGACGCGGTGCTGCAGTGGGAGAATCGAATAGCCATTGCTAGATGGGATGGTATCAGTAAGTACAACTCGACACCAGAAGAGTCCAGTACCTTGACGCTATTGTCTTCGCCAGAGCTAACTAGGACAGGTTGGCCGGGAATCCATTCTAAAGCGCTTATAGCGCCATCATGTGCACCGCGCATCATATGCAACAAACGACCGCCAGAATTGAGATCCCATAAAGCAATATGGCCCGCGGATGAAGCAGAGGCGAGAATAGGTTCCCCGTCTGGAACAGCGAGGTTTGGTCTTCAGCTTAGATAGAAAATAGATGTCCTGCTCACCACTTCTAAAACCCAGAGCTCTTATGCCGCCGCCCTCCATGAACATACGTATCAGACGCTCATCCGTACGGACATCATAGACAGAAATCTCTCCAGAAGTGAAACCGATTCCAACGACATCAATCGCTGGGGACTGTACCAATGCGGTTATGGATGTACCGTGCAAGGTGGATGGTGAAGGTGCCGAACCCATCGACAAAAGATTTGCTGATGAAAATCTATGTATGCAAGTCCTACAAAGACGGGGATGAGGTTCGGTTCGAAGGAATATAACAGATATCTCCTTAAACTTACTGCGAGCGAATATTCCATAGCTGCATACTTCCTTGACTGCTAGATACAAGCACTTTGTTGAGATACGTAGCAGGATGTAGTATGGATGTCGCGGTGAAGTCTGCGTCAAATTGGACCGTGGCTTGTAGAGCTGGTTCTTAAACTTAGCAAAGGATGGATATCAGAAAAAATAAATTGAGTGATTACCTCCATCCGTGGTATCCCACACAAACATTCGTTCTCCCCTATCGTCCAGTGCCAAAATAAGAGTTCCAAAAATCGTAATGTACGACAATGAAGACTCTAGTGGACTTGATATTCGAAGGACCTGAAAAGTAATGAATTTGAGGTAACGCTTCCTTTTGCGCGACTGACCTCTTTTCCACGGATGTATTTGAAGATGCTGGGTCCAGCAGCAGCCCAGACAGCATCACCATCCATCGCCAAGTAAGATATTGGATCAACCGTATCCGGGCCTATTGAATGTCTATCAGCAGCTTTCCGCGTATATGCACAATTTATTCGCACCAACGAAAAGTAAGGTCATCTTTCCACCTTCCCATAGAGCCCAGGATTTTCCAAGGCACGTCAGAATATGCACTCGTGGTCCATCAGTAGCACCCTTGTACGACCGAGTCTGCAGAACAAAAGGTACTTGGTTGGTGACGAGACCGAGGGCCCGAAAGGGTACGAACAGACGAGGTTCGGCTCGTTGTTTTTGTGCAGAGGTCGAAGAGGCGGTTCTGCGAATTTTCTTGCGAGGCGGTTGGGTATCGTAAGTGGCTGCCATCGCGACTTTCAAGTGAATGGTAAGTGAGCAAGACGCGATCCTCCAAAATTTCCTGACCGATCGGGAAGGTTTGTGTTAGGCATCGCCAAGGTAAACAAATAATAATCCCTCTCCTCCTACCATGGGCGTTCTACAAGTTCTGACAAGAATACTCATTGGGCTCTTCGTATTTTTGGTCGCTAGTGCGTAGAAACGTTTCCACTTGGCTCTTCCACTCAGACGTTCATCCCCTAGTCATTATACTTACTCATGTTTTCAAAACTCGCGGAAATGTAGTGCTTCTTGTTGGCCCCTCTGACGCTGGTAAAACAGCGATATTTTCAAAGGTATGCTCTGCCTGAAAATATCCGTAGTATACTGACGTTTCTTCCTGCAGATTATGTACGACCAATCGCTACCATCACATACATCTTTACAGGCCAACACCTCATCCGTCGACTGGCCTCCGTTCAAAAAGCCTGTAGTCATTGTCGACATACCGGGACATCCAAAGATGCGAGACCAGTTCAAGGAACATATGAAAGAGACAATTGTCGTCGCCTTTGTCGTGGATGCAAGTACAGTTTCGCGTAATGCAGCAGCCGTTGCAGAGTGAGCACACTTGTCAATATATCATCGTTGCAAATAATTCAACCTCCTTCTAGACACCTTCACATCATAATGGACGCTATAGTCAAGTTACCATCTACTCAGAAAACACCCAGTCTGGTGATTGTTGCTCACAAGACCGACCTACTTAAGAACGTGGCCGGGTCAGCCAATGCCTCCTCTAATGCCCTCGCCATCAACCGAGTGAGAACTGTGCTTGAAAGGGAGCTGGAGAAGCGCCGGGCTGCCCATTCAGATAGTTTAGGAGTTGAGGGTTTAGGCGAGGAGAAGACAGAGCTGGGCGGTCTTGAATGTGCGGACACGGCTAAGACATTCAACTTTTCCGACTGGGAAGGTACCAAGGTGCACTTTATTGCCACATCCGTGAAAGAGTCGGCGAAAGACGTCGATGATGAGAAGAGTGGCCCACAAATTGGACTTGGTTCTCTCCGAGAGCTTCTGGTGACCATGCAGCAATAGATCTGTATCTCGCAGTCAATGTGTATTTTATTAGACTCGCAAAGAGTACGAAGGCTCGGCCGGAATTGGTTGTATGTAGCAATTGGGGATGCACGGACGGGAGAAATCGGTGGCCTAGTGCTTCATCAATGTAAGCGAAGGGAATTACTTCTCCATGACGCCTGTGGACGAGGGTCTCTTGTATCCATTCATAATTTCAGCAAGAACCCAGCAATTTCCCACAACATACACCAATCCTCGCAGCCATAGCCCCCAAAACACATTTTGTCCCAGAAACTCTAGCTTGTACGCTTCGCTGAGCCATAGAGCTTGGACACCGACCCAGACGGCAAGACAAGTGAATGCCTTGCGTGTCGACATGTGGATCGAAGGAAGGAGGAGAGGAAGAAGGAGTAGATACCAGAGGAAGTACTGGAATTATATGGTCAGCCCGTGAAGTTGAGCAAGGGGGGATATACATGCCTGTGATGTGCAAACTTTGTTGAAGATAACAAACACGGCTGTTTGAACAAACCATGCGAATACCAAGTCATCCTTTCTGCGGCCTAACGCTAGGCCCGATCCAAGGACAAGCGTCATTTGAGGAAGAAAACTTGTCAAAGGGGAGCGAATGACTCGAGAGAACAATCCTTGAGAGTCCTCAGGATCCCCGACAGGATACGTCAAGTATGTCAGGTAGAAATAAGGTGAGAAATTGTGTCGGTGGTCAAGCCGGTGTAGGTGATACAGGTACGATTCATAGAGGAAAGGATACCCCCAACTACACATTGTTCAGCATCACTTCAAGAAAAGCACACGACTTACTCACACAAGATAGCACCCTACACCCAAGATTCCGAATGTAAAGACACTCAGCAGGCCAAAAGAAATCCCACGCCAATTCACAATTGAGTTGCCCTTCGCAAGGACGGCCAAACAAGCAACACCGTATATCCCTGGGTAGATCTTCCAGTGGGTGCTGACGCCTAGCATGACTGCGGCCGTTTTCCAGCGATCCGTAAGGGCAGCATACAGTGTGAGGAGCACTAGGAGGGATAGAACAGACTCGGAGGACCCTCTAGTCGATATTGAAAAAACCATTGGGTTGAGCATGTGAAGAGCGCTGAAGCGTGTCGCCCGGGTGAGCCGATATATCAGCAGCCCATTAACGATGTCGCATGCAGCGAAGAGATATTTTCCAAAGGAAGGATGTACCCATTCGTTAGGCGCTAGCAGAAGGGCAAGCAGTGGGGTGTAACGGTATGTCTCCCGGGTATACGGGCTACAATGATACGTTTAATTCTGTCAGTGACACGACAGCAAACTAATGACATACTCTCCAAGTTGGATCCAGTTTTTCAAAGGACCTTGAGCGATATTCCCCTCTCCTGGATGCAAAAGAAACGACGCGGCGTCACTGAATACACGGTAATCGATATCGGTGTACTTGACGAGGGAACGAGCATCGTGCCACTCGCTGTAGACGATGAGAACGACGCGTATTACAACGGAGAGAACCAGGACATTGCGAAAAGAAGAAAAATATGGAATTATATGGATAATAGCCATGACAGGAACTACAACATGGGAGTTACCAGTAAAGCTATCGCGGGTAATTTACGTGCAAGAAGGTTCCGGTAAACAAAGGTACAAAAAATCTATCCGCGTAACAATATGTTTTCCACCTTCTCAAATCTATATAGCAAGAAAAAGGCAGTGAGATGACCGGGACACAGAGAGCGGCACACGTAAAAAGACTCACGTATTGCGAGATCCATCGGAAACCTAGAGTGCAACCGTCAAATCACGGCTGAGATAATGAAAACAATGCGGACCGACCTTCTCCATAGCCCTGCCTCTGGACAACCGAGCACATGAACAGTTCCACAGGCCTAATATCAGTAAGAGGAACCTTGCCCTGCATGAAAGATGGGATGAGCGCTGCCCAGCAGACCATTACCAGTCTACGCACCTTGCCCGTCGTTTGATACAGTCCCAAGTGATGCCTCAACTCTTCTTCACTGACAGCACCCGGAGCGTCAATCTTGTTGCCGAGAACGAGGAAAGGGACCTTAGCAAGCTCTTCAATAGAGAGGAGGGCATCAAGTTCAGCCTTGGCTTCTGAGAAACGCTCAAAGTCGGCGCTGTCCACCAGGAAGATGATTCCATCGACCTCTGGGAAGTAGTCGCGCCAGAGCCGACGAGCTGGGTTCGAGTGAGAATGTTTTCACCATAAGATAACGCAGGTACCAACCTTGCATATGTCCACCGAGATCATGGGTAGTGAACTTGACATTTCCAATGGCCAGTTCCTCGGATGCTGCAAGAGCTTTCAGAAAGCATCAATGCCGGACAAAAAGAGTACCTACTCGGGTGCAACGTAGGTTGAAGGGTAGCAAGTCGGTCGTTTTTCAGCATGTGCAGCAACGTCTACCCATCCGGAATGGTCAAATTAAAAGTACACTGGACAGTAAAAGCACACACCGTTTTTCCGGCGTTATCCAACCCAAGGAAAAGAATTTTGGCATTCTTGTGCATCAAACCTGATTGCAAAACATAAACATATCATTAAAGAGATGGCGGAACTGGAATTACCAAGTTGAGCAAGAATATCAAAGAACCAGTTAACAATGAACATGGTCGGTAACTGCGAGAAGTCCTAGCAGAGAGAGTAGAAATACGGATGGTGGTCGAGACGTGGAAGTGCGTTGGAGGTACGCAATCAATGCGACCCTGGTCACGTGAAATCGTCATGGCCAGCTTACCAGCAGGCGCCGCGTATCCAGTGTTCCACCTTCACGCTGAGAATTCATACAGATGTCATTAATGATTGAAAAGGTGAAACCAATACTTAAAGTTATGATGACAGGAGATAACGTGTTATTTGTCTCTAACCCAACTATATACCAACTGTAAGAACATACATGAATACAGATAAAAATACTTATACCCCACGCCTAGTACAGATACGCAGACAGATAGATAGTTGTAAATACAGAGATAAAGAAAAACGGGGTTACCATGCCTCAACGCACTATATTACACCCGTCCGCAGATTTCCAAGCCACAAACACACCCATAGACCGACTAATCCTTCTCACGTTCACCGTGGACTGGCTACACGAGGATGCCATCGATTCAGATCCTTGTGATACCGAACGTTGTATCCTATTGGTATCTTTCTGTCCCCGAGACACAAATAGCTGTGAGTCCCGCTCCGATTCTCCAGTCATTCGAACATTCGAAAGCCTCTGTTCCTCCTCCCACTGTCGTCTCCTCTCCCACGCAGAGTCGAAATTTTTGCGCTCTGGGGTAAGAGCCCCAGGTATGCATGTCCAGTGGAACCGCCGCTCAATTTGAGCACCAAGATCCATGTGGTCTTGCATATCCCTAAAACAGCAATGTCAGTGAGAAACGGACTTTCATGGTAAATTAACTCACATATCAAAACGAACCAACAATGCTTCAAATTCCTCTCGTGTCATGTCTTCGATCATGGCTTTGGGATCATTCGGATCCTGTTCGACTGTCGCTTCTCTCAAATGCCGTATAGCATCGACAGACCTAGACCTTTTCTTTGAAGCAGCATCTGAATCTCGTCTTTTCCGACGTGCTTCGTGTTGATACTCCAACACCCACTCCCACATTGCTTCGGAACATCCCAGAATCTCAGCCGTTCGTACGGCGAGGTGGAGATTCAGCGTGCGCAAGTCAATGTGCAGCTTGGTGTTCGGCAAACGATTTGGCGGGTTTTTTTTCGGAGGTACAGAGGATGTATCTGATGACGGAACTTTATTGGTCGGTTTTGACTTTGCCGAACGGGGTGTAAGTCCAGCTGCTTTAGAGTCGTCAAGAGAAACATATTTCGAAGTCTTATGGAGTAAGCTTTGAACAGAGATCCATCGCTCTTCACCGAGGGCATTATAGGCACCACCCAGAGGCGACATAGCAGAGACGGATCGACCTCGCCTTTGGTCCGTCGACAGGGGCGGCGGTCGTGCGGGGAAGGGATTAATTGCATTACGAGCTTCTTCATCTGGGTCAGAGTCATGCTCATGTTCCGAATGGGAATCGCGTTCCTCATGCTGAAGCTGTTTCGGTGCCAATGGGGGGAAAGCGAACATAATCGGAGGGTGTGTACGCACATCTGTTTAACCATTAATGGATAAGTATCAAGTGTATCAAGTGGAAGGACAGGAACAATATATACCTCTAAAATACATTCCAAGCAGGTTTGGCAATAACGAGAGTGGGGAGAGATTGATGAATCTTGATGCCTGCATTCCGTTGTATATGGTTTGTAGTAGGTAGTGATCTCTAGGGTTCGCGGGAGCTCTAGGCTCTGGCATCGTCAAGAATGATGAGACGTTCCCTTTCGACGCCATACTTCGGCTGGACTGCTGAGTAGCTGAAAAGAAAGGCAGGTGCTGATGAAGGTGAGCCACCGATGATCGTAGCCCTCGAGTTGCGCTAGGTCCTGGACTAGTTTCTGTTGAACTTAAAGATGCAGACGACTCCGTTTGCATGCTCTGCGGTGTATATTTGAATGTACTCGAGTCCAACAGATTCTCCAAGGATCGATTCTGGCGCTGCTTAAAGCGTATTGAAGAAGGTTTATTCGATACTGAGATGGACTTGCGACTTCCATGAGAATTAGCGTGATTGATTGTATTGGAGAGTGTATCACGTTTCTCTTCGTCAATGGCCGTGCCGGACGTAGGCACAGAAGGAAGGGGGAAAGACGCGCTTGGCGGCGTCATGGGTGAATTGGGATCTGTACCACATGTGCTGGTCGTCGCTAATAGACTAGGACAAGCGGCCGAAGGAGAGGCTGGATCTCCTGGCTTTGTGCCACCTGACCGTAGTAGATCTGCCGCATCACTCATATAACGGTCTGTGCTTGGACTTCGAGCAGGCAGTGAGCTTCTAGACAACCTGCGCGAATATAGTCGGTGGTGTCCGTCTCCAGATAGCTGCGGTTCTAAATCAGGATTGCAATTGTCGTCAGGGTCGTCGTCTGGGCTGTGACCGGGGAAGAAGAGGTCTTCCTCTATCATCTAGTAGTAAATGTCAGATGCCTGCAGTTGAATGAGACAAATTTTCTACTTCAAAAGCGCCGCCCGGCTTCATTACGCGGACAATTTCTTCGAAAAGTTTGTCCCACTGGCAGTAAAATTAAGTGGAGATAAGGGGCTACGATTGGGACTAACCTTGTCCTCTGGAACACCCAAGGCGATTCGCTTGATGTGACTACAAGTTTAAGCATTAATGCTATCCCGATAAAACTAGAAAATGCAGACTAACACATAATCGAACTCATCATTAGGGAAGGGCAGAGATTCCAGACTAAGACATTCTCGTATCAATATATGCAATCAAAAATCTGACAGGCGGCACATACAAGTTGGCCTGAGTCCATGTTATGCGCTGTGCAAGATCGCTGGAACCGACTCTCTGAAGATCGGGATGGAGTGGGACGCAATCCAATCCTAGGCGTGAGTATCAATCTGGAGTAGCTTTTGATGAGGAAATTATGCGCACCAACAAAATGGCAATCTTTCCAGGATCGGGCGCAATTAAGTATCCACGCGCCGGTGCCTAATGCCAGGTTCAGTTGGCCACTCGGCAGTGAGAATTGAATGGACCTACCGCACCCGATATCCAAGGCTTTGGATGGAGGTTTCTCGAAGACATGCCAGGTGTTACTCTCGCATATCTGATGGCAAACGGACGTTTCCCATGTATCTCTGGAAGGATTATCAGCATGATAAAGTAAAGGAGCAATGTCAACTCACAGATCCAATACATCCTTTTCATAACATCGTGGATAGGGAACTTGATCTCTACTAAACGGATGGTGTCTGCTTCCGCCGACTGAGCCGATACCACCCGCACCCCACGATTGTGGAATACCTCCTTTTACAACAAACTGCGCATCTCGTGTACTGATGGTACGTTTAAGTTCCTCAAGTACTGTCCGATCAGCAGTAGAGAATTTATTTTCCCTGTCTGAGAGACGAGATTGGCTGGGAGCGGGTCCGGAGGGAAGATTGTGAAAGGGAAAGCTTGCATGATGGACAGTAGGAGCAGACTTTATGGAGACTGGAGGATAGGGAAGAGAATGCAGGGTGGCTGAGCGCGCCGCTGTATCTGATGGAGGTGAATGGTGGGACCTGGGTTCGGAGGTGGTATTGCCCATTTGGTCCAAAGGCCTGGCGGCCCTGCTCCCAATAGATCTATGCCTTCGAACAAAGCCGCCAGTGAAGGCGCGCCCGGACGAGCTTGAAGGTCTTGACTGTAACGGCAAAAGGATTCAGTCAGGAAACTCATGCTAATAACAACTAAGTATAATGAAAGAAGTGTGCATATGACGCTGTATATGCGGCGATTGTGGGGCAAAGATTTGAATATTCTAGGAATAACTTACAGAGTTGCCGCCCGGGCTCTTAACAGCGCTAGGTGTGGTCACTGGGGTCGTCGACGTCGCCCGTGGCCTGGAAGGGACATCGTCATCGGGTGCTGGATAGAGCTCCCAGGGCGTCACGTCCTCTGTCGCGCCAGTTGTAGTTCTGGCCCTGGCTGCGCTCACTGTCCTTGAGCGTGGGGCGACGACTGGGGAACTGGGGCGGGCAGCATGGCGGGGCGGCCGCGGGGGCTGAAAAGGGAAAGCCGGAGAGGGTGTGGAAGACAGATTTGCAGCGAGCGGGAAGAATGACGGAGGAGAAGAAGACAGGGACGGCGGTGGGACCCTGCTCGATCTTGAACCAAATAATGGGCCCACACATACGCCCAGCCACTTGCCGCGTTTCAGTTCTTTCTATATGTCCGGCCTCTCTTCGTCCATGTTAACAAGTCTCGGATCACTTTATGTCTGACCATATCCCATGTCTAAGGCCCCATTCAGAAAAGCGATACCTCGGGCCTTGCAAAGTACACGTTTTCTTTCTTTTCCTCGAATTTCTGTTCGTCGTGTCGTGGGGAGAAAATAGCCTCATCGAGGAACATGGAAGATACGAAAAACAGAATTGACGGCATCCCTCCGGTATCCTTCGGTACCGAAACATTCCATGGAAGCTCGTCGGCAATTACAACTATGGTATACTATCATGACAATTTGCTGTCTATCACCTCCTTAGTGAGACCTTCTGGCCCGTCTCTCACCTCGACAACTTTGCTGATACCAGCCTGAAAAATATCGATCAGCATCATCACAGGCCAAAAGAAATGGCGTACGGTGTTCTGAAAGTTGATGAAGGCGCTAGCATGCAGCGTCAGCAATCCGATTTCACTCGATGTTGGCGCCCAATTAATAAGAACAAGCGGGAACGATTTTCGTCCGTCAGAATGGTTCAGCTCGTAGCTGAGCACAACGTATCGAGGGCTGTTCTCCGGGAGCTCTGCCGTCAATGAGCCAAAGCCTTGTATTCAATCAAGCACATACCCTCTGCCAGCTCCTCGATGCTGATATTATCAAATTGCTCTACTTCCTCCATCGCAAGCGTGGCCTTGTTGATCTTGATTACCAGCGCAGCGTGGCCTTCATTGCGACGGGCAAATCTGAATTTTCGTAAAGTATCCTTGATCGATTGGGGTATGTCGACTGTTTGAGACTACACATTCGTCCGTGGATAAACGTGAGTATCAATAGCGCAGAAGCACGAACCATTACTGCTGTGATGGTGGGATGGAAGAGGTGGTATTTATCGCGGAGATAAGATAAGCTTCGTTCCGCTGACGACATGTTTCTGCCGATTGGTCATCTCTCCCCTGTAAATAAATGCCGACACGACCTCTTCGCGTGGGTATCTCTGCCTCCCCTACTCGCACATCTCTAACTTTCTGCCAATACGCCTCGCAGCAAGATACTACTCTCTTTAACCCGCCATAATGTCGCGTTCGACGGAACACTCGAGGCTGCGAGTACCATCCCAGTCCAGGTCGCGTCCTAGGTCGTTAAGGACAACTGCAACATCAATGCTGACGGATCCGCAAGGGCTGGTATCTGAAGGAGCTGTCAGCGAGCGAGATGCTGAACTGCTGCACGAATTCGTTCACCCTCATCACCATGAAGCCGAGGAGACACTTATCGGAGGATCATCCGACGATACAGAACTTGATGAGGAACTCAAGGCAAGAGCTCGTTTGCCATGGTGGAAAAGGCCCTCGCCCATCTGGTACGTGACTTGCCTCAGTCTTCACAAGTCCATCAGTCTTATCTCTAATCTTCAAGGCTGTTGGCGATGATGCCATTCTCCAGCATCGCTTGGTCTTCTACGATTGCTCCTAGGGTTGAGATCTACACCCAGCTCGCATGCGCCGTACATAGCCCCGATATATACGACGATCAATTGACAGGATTCGTCTCCACCAATACCACAACGGAGGCAACCCTCGATGTCAGGCAGGACCGCTCCGTTACTGTATACTTCCGCGACATGCCAGAGGCCCCGAAGAATGCCAACAAAAATGGATGCGCTTCGGATCCGGTCGTACAGGCAACTGTTGCAAAGCTCGCGGCGAGTATGTACTATCTTACGATGTATCGATCCATCCTCAAGCCTTCATAGCCATGGCTGCGACTATGGGCGTGCTAGGATGCTTGACCACAGCCGGCATGGGGATCCGTAAGTATCCTTCTGAAAACCAACAAGAAATACACCGCTCCTAATACGTATACAGTACTCAGATCGGCATGGCCGTACAGCCTGTCCTTGGTATCTCAGTCGTCGGCCTCCTTAGCACGGACTTCAACTTTCTTGTCGTTAACTCCTACTATGAACAACTCCCCGGCTGGCTATTGGTTCCTCCTTCTTGGTCCAATAATCGAAGGAAGCTTGGGAGGTACTATTTACCTTACCGTCGTCAATCTTGGTTCTGACTGTAGTCAGGATTATCCACGGCCACCGCAGGCTATGCACGCTTATATAGCGGACACCTCCACCTCAGCCACGCGGTCAATAGCTTTCCCCTTGGTAACTTTTCTGCCTGCTTAACGTCGCACAGATCTCGCGTTTTTTCTCTAAGTCTTGGACTCTTATTCGTCGGATTCGCACTTGGCCCCACCTTTGGCGGCCTTTTGATCCGCGCTACCGGACAAACTATCTCGGTGTTTTATGTTACTACCTGTCTTCATATTTGCTATGCTCTTTTGATATGGTTTATCATCCCCGAGTCTCTTACCCATGCACAGAGGCGCAGATCTACGATCAAACACTACGAGTCCGATCCGCAAGCGGGCGTATTCAAGCGCCTCTTTGGATTCCTGAGTCCCCTGAGTGTCTTCCTGCCGGAAATGAATGGCTCGGACAGCCATCCTCTGAAGCGTCCGAAACGCGACTGGAACCTCACACTCATTGCCGTCGCTTACGGACTCGCGCTCTCATTGATGGTGAGCCTTGTGGTTGCCATTGATAAGTAATGACTGATGCCGATTCACGTCAGGGCTCCTACACGTACAAGTTTCAATACGCAGCTGCCACATTTGATTGGACATCAGAGACTGCGAGTGAATTCCTTACAATTCGCTTTACGTCCTAACATGGCAATTAATCAGATCGGATATTGGCTCAGTTTAGTCGGTGCTGCGCGAGCTTTCTTCCTGACTGTGATACTTCCTCGTAAGCTGATTGGAGTCGTATCTTTTGCGCCGAAATCCCCATCTTATCATATGCACAGTTGCGATCAAGTTGTGCAAACCGAAACCTAAAGATGTTTCTATGGGGGAGAGAGAACCGTTCATACCCTCAGAAAGCAACGACTCGAGGTCTTCTCACTCTGATTCGGACCGTTCATCAAGCTTCCATTTAGAACGCCACTCATCTCGCTTTGACTTGGGACTTGCTCGTGTATCATTGTTCATCGACATCGTATCTTATGCATTACTTGGATCTACCGCCAGTCCTTTGATTTTCACACTCTCCAGCATGCTCGGGTCAATGGGCACAGGATTTTCCCCCGCTATCCAGAGTGTTGCATTGGAACTGTATACGCAAAGGGGAGGCACTGAATCTGGGAGATTGTTCGGCGCTTTGAGTGTCATACAGGCCCTCAGGTTCACTCCTTCCTAAATCATGAGATAACTGCTTCTAACTGATTACGACAGCTCCCAGATAATAGGACCCTCGCTATATGCGTTTGTGTACATTAAAACTGTCGCGACGTTTCCGAGGACGATGTTCTTTGTTGGCGTCGCGTCGGTATGCGTGTCCTTGGCCTGCTTGGCGCTCATTCGTCTGGATGATCCAGAAAATCATCCCCATATGTTGGATACAGAAGAAGAGGGTGCTGTGGATGGGAGTGTTCAACGGGATGACACCCTTATTGACATCGATGAAGCGGTCGGCGACCTGCGTGGAAGGACAGGGTCCTCCTCATCTGGGCGGTGAACGGGGCGAGGGTATAATAATAGAGAAAACCGAGGCCCAGTACTGTATTCCTGATTACTCTAGTGTTACGCTTATGTTTTTCTGTTTCTGTCATAGGAACGTGTATTTTTGGTTCCAGAAAGACGCTAAACCATTAACTCCCATCAGGGTCCCGATTCTCGCTTAAAAGGACTGTATAGATATGCATGGTGGATGCCGTGTATGACCGGACGGAAGATTGTCGCGGCCAAACGCTGTTCCGTGCCGGACTCGTGGCCAGGCCAGGACACGTTCAGCCATATGCCTTAGCGATAGCCTGTGGGCACCTGCAGGTCGAGCACATCCTCGTCTGGTTCAAGGCCGTCTGCGCTTTGCACTAGCCTCAGTTCGAGCCTCGTCGTGCATATGGTATGTTGGCGATATGTTGATTACCGGATTTGTCGCTACTATTTTTACATTACGGGGGCCGTCATTCTTAGCACTCAATGTCGCTGCCGTCGCGGGTTAATTTTGTGCACGACCCACAGGGAGATACGAGCGACCAAAAGTAGGCAAATGAGGCAAAGGACTATCTCAGGGAGGGACACGAGGTTCATAGATACAGGCCCGGAAGCGAAAGGATAAAGGCGAAACGAAGCTCCAGAACGAACGAGATTACGAAACTTGCAAATGAGATTTGTGGGGTATCTCACGTGATTATATAATATGTGATGCCAGCCGAAGGATTGACCCCTTTTTGACAGCGACGTTGAACGCTCAACCGCTCGATTTTTTTTTCGTTCCTTTACAGTTTCCTTCCCAGGCTTCGTATCCCTTCCCTTCCCTATCAGCGGACCTAACTATACCCGGACGCTGCTCCCATTCCAGTCACTGTGATACCGTCACCGTCTTCTTCCATTCAATCGGAATATTCAATAGTGAGTTTGATACACATGTTCTCTCGTTCCTGAGCTCATCGATATAAAGACCGTTGCCGCAGGCGTCTTTTTTACACCTCACCTTCCCCCTCCATGGCTGAACACCCTATCATCGCGAGATTATTCGCTTCCAATGCTCAGTGGGCTGCTGACGTTGACCAAGCTGAGCCAGAGTTCTTTACAGAGCTAGCTCAGGGCCAAAGCCCCCCAGTACGTTTCGAGCGTCGGCCACAGGATATGTTGCTCATGGCTCTTCCTTCCCCCCCTCGCAGATTTTATGGATAGGCTGTGCAGATTCCCGCGTCCCCGAGTCTGTGATCACTGGCTCTCGTCCGGGGACGATATTCGTCCTTAGAAACATCGCCAAGTGCGTGTCACCCGTCATATCCAATTTCCTTGGGTCTCATTTGTCGTCTAGCCAATTCCATCTCGATGATGACAGCGCTCTGTCGGCGTTGACCTATGCCGTTGATCATCTCGGCGTCGAACACGGTGCTTCCTCTCTTTCTCTGTCTTGGTAGCATTATCCCAACCGATGCGTTTGCCCCTCCCACCCTCCTGGGAACACAGTTGTCATTGTCGGTCATTCAGAATGTGGAGGAGCGTCGGCGTGTTTCAATGCAGCGCCGTCGTATACGTCAGGCGAACCCTGTGCCACGGTAGCAGGGCTGTCGCCTGAGGAAGCCATCAACAAGTGGTTATATCCGGTCACGGCCTTGGCTGCGTCGCTCCACCTGTCTTCTGCACCGAAAGAAGAGGCGCTTCCGATACTCATTGAAGAAAATGTCAAGATGCAGGTAGACAACCTGTCGCAAACGCCGACTATCGTAAATGCTTGGAAGAACAAGAGTGGGAAAGGCAAGGATGTGTACATTCACGGCTGGGTGTTTGATCTTGCCAGTGGCCGGCTGAAGGATTTAAGGGTGACACGGGGCCCATCGACCAAGTAGACTTTAGAATGCCTACAGGCTGATAAATCGTTGAACGATTAGATTTCTGTTTCGTATATCAACGCACCTGCTTTCGTCGAATAGCAATAATTTGTAGTACAATACTTAAGAAACTCTTGGTGATCGAAGAGGTCGATCCGATCATGATGGTCGTCGGAGTCGCCATTCGGAAGTTATGTCCGTTTGTCAGCGTTTGCCACCGTCATGCACCCAACTGGCCTGCCTGATGACGGCGTGCTCGTCCAAATCGCGTCCTACAATACCAACCTTCAAGGTAACCTAGGCCTTCCTCAAGACCTTGTTGACTGGCTATCGCCTACCTTGCAAGTTTCGACTTTTCTCTCTCGTTCGCCCCGAGCACCGGACATCATCGCTGTTGGCTTTCAGGAGCTTCTGCCGCTGCATCTTGGGCGTATGTATACACCGCAACTTACGACCACTGCGCAGCTGACTCCATTCTGTAGTCTCTGGCCTCTCCAAGTCCGTTATCGACGACCGCAATGCCCACATTCTTTCCCAGCTCGAAGCACATGCCCCCAATAAGGAACGATATGCGCTCATCGCAAAGGTCGTCAATGTTGGTGTAGCCCTGCTCGTCTATGGAAGAGACGACGGTATTGCAAAGACAGTCTGTGACGTTCAGACCAGCTGGACAGGGTGCGGTCCGTTATACATGGGCAACAAGGGCGCAGTTGGCGTCCGTTTCCGTGCCCCAGGAGAGAACGGAAGTGTTGGTGAGGTCTACACGTGAGTTACTTGCCTGCTTGCCTATTGCCGCATTCAGTTACTTCATTGTTTATCAGATTCGTCTGTGCCCATCTCACGGCTCATGCTGAACATCTGGCAGAGCGCGTCACCGACTACAACCAAATCGTCAGCACCCTTCTCTTTCCCTCGTCGTCGTCTCCTCCAACCACGATCTACTCGACTTCTCACTTGTTCTTCCTTGGGGACCTCAACTTTCGCCTCTCAATACCGCCCTCTCATCCTCTGCACGCGTTCTATACAGAACCAGACGTCGCAGCCGTCTTGGCAGCCCAGAATACGCGACAGGCCCTGAAAGAATTCGACCAGCTTCTGACCGAGCGACGAAAAGGAACCATCTTTGTTGGTCTTCGAGAAGGGCCGTTTTGGAACTTCAAGTGCAGCTACAAGTATGATGTTGGCCAAGTAGACAAGTATAGGTGGGTTCCGTCCATCGTTCAAAAGGAGCGCTGATTTCATTTCATCAGCGAGAAACGGGTACCTGCATGGACAGACAGGATTATGTATACCACCTACACTGACTCGCCAGATACCCCCGATAATTCTAGCATCACAAACTTGCTCTACACTTCTGTCCCCGGATACACAGCCTCTGATCACGTAGGTCTTATCCTGGTTCCTCCTTCTATGTCTGACTTTGTCCTAGAAACCCATCGTTTCGCTACTGTTCATCCCTTCTTGTGCATCAGTGACGACGCCCACGCCACCAGTCCTTCATCTCCCTGGCCACTACTTCCCGACGCCGGACCCTTTTGCAACATACAAACGCTATACTGGCCGCGTTTTCGACAGGATCATCGGTATCATCTGGTGGATCTTCACCCTATTCGGTGCAGGTTCCGCGATTGTGGGAATTTTCAACTTTTTCCTCGGTATCGGGGCGTGGAGTTGGTGGCGTTCAACGCCTTCGAATAGTTCTGTATGATCTCGGTTTTTGCGGACTATTTATGTATGGATAATTTATGTGAGATTCTGGGTAAGAGCGCTTGTTCGACCATCGCCTTTTCCTGCTCATCTCTTCGTTTCCAGTGACTTTATTGCGCACCAGCATATGTCTGATGATCTAAGCAAATAGCTATGTACTGCCTGACTCTTACTGATAGCGCAGAACAAGCTAACTCTGTGTACTCAAAAGTATTTACAGTGTACTTAGCCGGTTGTCAGTTGTATGCTGTCAGTTTGTCTTCATGGTATCATTCAGATTGACTGTTGTTTTCCCAACTTCAGCTCGATGCCATAATTATGCGTATGCTTTTCAAGATAAGTACAGCTGGCAGAATATGTACAGAGTGCAGAGTCTGACTCCCGCATACGCTCCCAACTACTGCCCTCCATAACGACTGTTGGCCTAACTCAGTTCGTCATCAAAATCATCACATGAGAAAGGAGACAGTTGAAAGAATTTTCTGACAAGACAACCTTGAGATGCTACGGGGCGCGCGACTTTCTTCTGACAATTATATCAGTCATAATCCTCTATAGAGTCGCTTGAATTGAAAAGTACGATTTGTTCAGCGCCACCGCCTGGCCGCCAACATGTCGTTCATTTCCCCATTTTCTCTTCACTCTGTGCTTCAAGCTTGTTGTTGCCTTTCGACTAGCAGCTCTCTTTTTTTCCTATCATTGATCTCGCTATTGATGTTGTTGAAGTAACTGAATATGTGTGCAATGCTCGATAACATTATCTGCACACTCAAACTAGGCGCTGGTAACCTTATAAGTAGCCTACGAGGGCGTCAGCGCCCAAGGCTGATAGAAACCTGAAAACTCGTAAGCATGTGATTGGTAGGTGTCAATACTAAGGCGTTCCCATTTGACTTCCTGGACGTTGGACTGTCGGACTGAAGAAATAGTGTGTACGATTGTTCTAATCCTGTTGTTTCATGTCTTCATCCCAACTACGACCAGACTGAACATGCAATACCCGAGTCGTGCGACCTGTCCTGAACGAACAGATAGTAGTAGTAATATTATTGACAATGGTGTAGTCACTCGGATCGTGCATCGATCATCCCTAAAACTACGGCCAGGTCAACGCAAGTCCGAACCCGTCCAGAACAGCTCTAGGGTAAGCATGTCGAAATACGTATAAAATGACACCAACTGTCATTCAGGTCTAAGTAACTCGCTGCCGCCATCGCCGCTCTCTCTGCCACTAAGCATGTGCCAAAACGAGTCGAGGACTCGGATTAAGGTTCCCCTACAACGGGCCTACTCCGGTCAAAAACCCGTGTTACCATCTTCGCTTGCCAATGTTCCCTGCGTTAACCTTGGAGCCGATGGACTCTTGAATAGACTTAACACTATCCTCGGAACTTCATACACCCTGGTCACTCCAGGCGTCTCTTCCTTCCCCAAGCACTGCGTCTCCGAATCAAACGAGTATGACTTTGGAACTGCCTATGCCCGTCTCCGCCTGAAATAGTGCAATAGCCTGACCACCATCGAAGACAAACGACGCAAGAGTCAAGCGCGGGACTGGAAGAATCGACAGAGAGCACTTGTGGGAGATTGGATCCTCGTCAGGTCTGATATCTATTCAACAATCGAGTGGTGCCTCATTGGTGGCTTATAAAAGACAAATTACCATGGGCCGTATCGCATGCATGGCTGGACGATGTGCATTTGACAAATGTGCAGACACTCATCAACGGCTACGAATGGCTTGTGCCTTTTCCGAAAGATGCCAACCTGGACTGCATTCGTATCGAATTGCTTAATCTCCGAGTCGGAGCGGAGTACGTGTGGTTGGATGTCCTCTGTTTGAGACAGAGCGCCAATGGGCGGAGGGAGGATAATAGATATGCGCATGGAGGAATGGAATATGGATGTGCCCACCATCGGGTGGGTGTATTCGGGCTCTGAGCAGACTGCGGTATGTTATTTCAGTGGGCTGGGGTTGCCTCTGGATATCAGGATGGCCTGCGACTTGGGTAATGATCGATGTTGGTTCAGACGTGCTTAGACGTTACAGGAGACTAGTCGGCATTACATTATAGGCGGGATACCAGCCAATGACTCGGGAAATCTGGAGGATATCAAGGAAATGCTTGACAAGCAAATGATATCGTTGAAGAATATCAGGCATGCCCTTAAAACGGTTTTTGATGTGCTGATGCACATGCAGACTCGGGTATCAACCAATCCTGCGGAAAAAGTTGCAGGATTGGTATATCTACTGTCCTCGAAGAGCGTACCTGCATACGATGGGACTCGCTCTGTTGAGGATGCCTGGACCGCATTAGTGGATGCAATGCTTGATGGGTATCGTGGGGATCTATTTTTTCTGTATCCCAAGCCTAGGGAGGGAAGTCAACGATGGAGACCTTCGTGGAACCAGGTCATGAATGACGCACTTCCATCAAACAGCGGGAACCGGTGGGATGAGGACGTTCAGTGGGATGAGAGAAGGGGGCCTATCGGTGCTTTGAGGCTGTACTTTGCATCGAAAATGGTGATATACGAGGGTTGGGAGATCCGCAAAAGCGACCAGGAGAGTTGGAAGTCAAAGATGTTGACATGACGGTCCATATATTCAAGATAGTGGCCGCCCACCAACACCCAATATCTGATGGTTCATACACGTTATTAGGTCCCAAAAGACTGGGTAATCGGAAGAAGATTGCCAAACGGCAGGCAGGTTCGAGAAGGTTTCTGTGCACTATGTTCACAGTGACCAATAAGAAAGAGAGACGGCAGCTCGAAAAAATTCGTGGTGCCAGAGAGTTGGTTCAGTATCTTGCCTGAAGCAACTACGAACATGTATTTAATCTTGTTGAATTTTTCAGGGTCAGTAGATCTTCGGGAGACATCGATGTTACGCATGCATACACCTTTTTACGTCTGTGAGAGATTCGGCAAAGAGTGCCTCGGAAAAGTTTCGGTCTTCACGCGGTGATTGAAAATGAAGTCTTAAGGAAATGGCCCTAGCAGGCTCCGGTTTTGTGTCGTACTCCCAGCGATCGATGTCATGACCAGCTACTGTGGCTCACGGTGTCAAAGATCTCCATTGTTATAAGAAAATTACGCCTTGGTAAATGCTACAGTGGTCTTGTTAAAATGGTGCAAGCGGTCGAAGAAGATAAACTCACATCAGAACGTGATATTAAGCGTTGACAATTTATAACTTATACAACGAGTCCCTGCAAAATGCGCATTTGACTTGAACGACTTGACAGTATGAGGTTTGATAAGGAATGACCACAATAAAGCAGGTGGCTTTGGAGGCCCTGCTCTGGCTGAAAGAGAAGCAGTTTAGCAACTGAACGATGAGTACCGATGAATACTCACCTTTCATTTCTGAATGTATCGCTGAACGTGGCTCCGGCAAAATTACAAGTACCTGGACGTCCGGGATAAATGGGTAATTTGGGGGGTCGGGGCCGCTTCTACTGGCGGAAGATTGTAAGAGCTGCTTCACGTAGAGTGATTCGAAGTGATATCCACCCAAGCGATACCGGAGGTAACATAACTTTCTTAGTCTCCAGGAGGGTCAAAGTATAGCGAGAGCGTAGAAAGGCAAGTCAGCATTGTGATGTGATGAAGTATGCAAGAATTCCGTCCAGAAAGTGGGTTTTCAGGGAACAAGTGGAACGTTGAGGCAGAACCAATCCAGTAATTCGATAGATGGCAGTCATCGATAATCGATAGAAGGCTATTACCAAGGCAGAAATGCCAACTGGCACGCTTCTGGGCGACTTGTTGCAATTATTACTGAACCATGAGTGCCCAATCACGATATGTTTGAATGGACAATTGATCTAGAGCGTTTTCGTGACCGCTTTCTGCTTGATCAGGCAGAGGCAATTAGGTCCATCTCGTCGCCTTCGTAACAGTAGAGGTCTTCCCTAAGCCACCGAGGAGGACTTGAAAATCTTGTTCAGGCTTCCGTTTCGGACCAGAAATAGTGTTAAGCCTTCGACTGAAAAATCGACAAGTCCTTGACGAATATCGAACGGGTCTCACGAGAAAGGTTCTGCTCCACTAGGCAGAAAATTGAGTGGGCGAATTTAGGAGTTTCCCTCACAGAGCACCAGGATCAGGCAAGCGTAGACGAGCTCGAGGCAGTAGACTCTAATCCAGAGGACATTTGGAAGCAGAACGATGGATACACAATCCGTATAGTCTCCAAGTTCGTCTTCGGCACGGGGAAAAGCCAAATTCGAATATGTAGCCGATGAACACTTTCGGGACGGACGTCGAACCGGACACTCCTAGGGAGGAATTTGAACTTGATTTGAACCCCAGATCTGGCTTAAATTTGGCTAAAAGGTTTTCACTTGGAAAATACGAGATTAGTAACAAGAATCGAAAGAAAGAGTTTAATAATACATACTGGGTGCTGGATTTTAAAGCGTAAAGGAACTAGAGGAGTAGAAATTTAGTGATAAATGAAAAGTGAGGTCCTTGAAAGACTTTGAACGAGTTCTTCAGGAAAGTTCTTGCTCCGCTCGGCACAATAATTGGATTTGGCAGAGTGCAAGGACGCCGCTAGGTCTGGCATCGTCGGACAAACAACAAGGCAATCCGGAGGACCCAAAAGAACCTAAAATTCAAACCGCGACGAATTGGGAATGAGCATTTTGCACGGTGGCAGTTCAAAAATCGACACGGGCGATTTGTGCGATAGAAACTTCCCTGGTAGGCGGAGAATTATGGTCATTAGCAAGGGAATATTCACGAGAAAGAGAAGACAGACGGTGAGGAGTCAGGAGCAGTCGAGCGGCAAGAAAATGCGATCGATAGTTTCCGAGGGTTCTTGATTTGTAACCCTATTTCTGCAATCGCAATCACCACCACCAACGACCGTCGACATCGCCAACACATTGCCAGCATCGTCACTCACGATGGAGGGATCTCTTTCAATCTACGTCCACACAGATGGATTTCTCTCGCCAATATGGTTCACTTTGTCGATTTTGACGACGGATTGCTCTTGCACATCGCACCTCTTGACGGGCTCTTGAAGCAGATAGTTGTATCCGAGTTTCAGGCATTGCTCTTGGGCCATATCGGCGATGAACAAGACTTCGAGAGGCAGAAATGTCGGGACCAGTTGACGGCGACAGCACTCAGACACAACCTCACGGTTCAATAATCGAGATATTTGGCCAGTAAATCTTTGGAACGAAGGGGATGCTCTTCTTGACGCTTACAGCGAGCAATACAGACAGCTAGCAAGATAATTGACCCCAGGAGCACGGAGGATGAGGAGGCGACACTCTCAAAGCTGGATTCTCAGAGAAATTGGGTACGGTCAGACGGTATGTTGCTGTATTCTTGATTTGCTTCTTGAAGGGTAATCTTGTGTCTTGTAATCCAGACGAATACCGTGGCGTTGAGTCCTTGAGGTCCGTGCGTTCCTACTAGGTCGGCCAGATCAATATTCTTGATGAATCTTGCGAAAAGGCGAGTCTTGTCTTGACGATTCACTCCAGTATAGGGCATCTGAACGATGCTGTTCATTTCAGTGGTGGTAGTACATCACTGATACAGGATAACACGACATACACACGGCCCCGCGCTTTTATTGATGTGACACAAAATGACTCACTCTGTCACATCACACCTGCGGCACGCGTCCGCGTTAATTCCCCGGGCGGCTGCAGGGCAAAACACTGCAGGGATCTGAATTCAAAGGACAAGAATTTATAATATTAGAGGGTACGGTGTCTTCAGGAGGGAGAGACTCACCTACTCGTACATTCTGCGCGAGGATGTCACTGTGTACTTGGGGCAAGAACGAAAAACATGCGCCCTGGACCGACGACAGTTTCTGCGTTTTGGATCATTGACAGCCGTATTTGTTTCAAGATACAGCGGTACAGCGGAACAGACCAAAAGTCATCTGGGCATTGTATTCCCGACGTCTTAGTCTGCGTGCTTGTCTTCGTTGTTCGGCCTCGAGGCTGTCAGGGCGCTCTGCGACGCGCTCGTTACAAATTGAATCCAATTTTCTGGATCAAACACCTTTCATCGGTGGGAACGTTCCGAACGGCGTCTACTGCTGTCGAATGGATACCTCCGTATTGTGTCGATCGGTGTCCAAAAGAACATTCTTTGACGAGGGCCCTCGCGACTGTTTTGTGGTCCGGCCTCACGCATATTCAAAAAGGATAATGGCAGAGGCATCTTCGGCTCCTTTGCAATATCTTTTCACGAAGCCAGAAAGCCAAAATTTTCACCATATAAATCCAGTGATATCTCTCTGCCGTTCTTTCATCATCAAAATGCCTTGTTATCGCTCCTGCAAGAGAATGGTCCCTCGTTATATACCTGCCTACGACGAAACTCGTCAAAATTCTTCCTCTGTTTATTCACCATGCGACCTGTCGTATGCCGCACGCCACCAACCGTACTACTATTCCCATAGGTTCACGGTACAACATTGTTTGGCCTCCATAGGTTCCCGGTTCCTAATTCCTTTCAGTTTGAACCAGAGACTACAGAACCAGCGGTGCCGCAGACACCAGTAATCGTCCCTCAGGACGCCATAGTAAGCCAATTGCAATCCCTCACTAAAGTTTGCCCTGATTGTTCTAGGCTACTACTTCTTTTCACTATGATCTCAATGATGAATTTGAGCTCGACGAAGAAGAAATAGAGCTATCTGAGGAAGAGGATGACGAGGATAATGGAGAGGAAGAAGTCGAAGTCGAAAACAGAGCGGCGCAAGCAATTCTTGCCGCTGTGCTGGTGAGCACGGTAACGTCTTCCTCGTACCCAGTCCTCATCCGAGATGTCCTAGGCATATGTCATACCCGCATTGCTGGCCTTTCTTGTGTGGGTATTCTACTTCGCCTGATGGATTTCTTTGCTACTGTGGTCTTCCCATATGTGTACTCTACTTCGTTGGTAATCTATTTGTTTCTTGGGCAACTTCGCTATGTCTGGCTGGAGCAGAATGAGAGACGCAAGTTCATTGTTTACAACCCCCTCTACGCAACGACGCGTCTGGGCCGTTGAGTTCATCGCCAACGCCAGTACAGGATCTACTAAACGACGTTATGAAAATAACAATAGCAGCGTGAGGACAGCATCATATATATATTCTGGCAGAACTGGTGGTTCACGTTCTTTCGCCAATTGTCATGTCCCATTATCAGCCATGAAAAATGGGACAGACCTTTGCGCTTTTTTTTCGACTTCGTCAGCCGTGAAGCCTCGTGAAGCGTGCTTAGGTCATGTATCGCGGTTCTTGGAACTTAGCTGGTAGCAACAGCGCCTGTACTAAGTAACCCTCGACTTGTAAATGACTCAATGAATGGTGGTGTAAGGAACGGTCCATCCACACGTCTGCTGCGTTCCGAACTACCTCTAGGTAAAGAAGCAGAACGAGGCCTTCCTTAAACGTAAGAATGTGAGTGCCGGTGCATTCTCAAAACATCCTTGAAACAGACTCTCGAGTAATAATAATATGCTTATATGAAACTCGGACGGCCACCGTTAGGCGAGTAACAAACTTTACAAGTCTAAAGACTCATCACCAAGTGGACAGTCAAACCAAGTCACCGAACGTTTCAATGTGAGCCCTAAGGACGCCGCAGAGCAGAGTCGTTTATGATCCTACTCGGACAGTTGAAACCGTGATGTTGCGTCCGCTCTGCACACGGCGAGAAAAAATTCAGAACGATATCATCGCTCAAGAAAAGCTTTTGGCCTTAGACATAACTGTATGCATTGTTATCATGGATGGGGCAATACAAGCATATAGTAGAATACGACGCCGAACCGCACTCCCCAAAGGACCCCTAGTTCATTTGCCGAATGAGGGCGTTGATGTTGGTCTCGCGGTCACCAAAGTCACCACCCTGGACGAAATGCTTGAACTTCCGTGTCCTCCAGCCACCATTGGGGTTGGAGAGCTTGAACGGCCACAGGAAATTCGATGCCTATACCAAGATATCAGGAAGTGAATGTTATATAGAAGGTGGTACATACCTGCTTGAAGTTGGGACCGGCGGTAGAAATTTCGTGGACAAGGTCCTCGATACAGAGGATGTTGTACTTGCCAAGAGCCTCTTCGATGACGGCGTTGTTGGAGAGGGGGATGCGTTGCTTGTCAACCTTCCCGTAACCGCGCTTGTAGATCAGTTCACGGACGGACTTGAGGTTGGGCTCGCTAAATTGGTGAATTAGAAAGGTAACCAAGTCAAAATATTCATACATACCCGTAGGTGATATAAGGCTCAACAAGACGGAGCATCTGCTGCGTAGCCTTCGTGACCTTGACGAAGACACCATTGTTAATCTGCAGAAGTCGGAGGAGCTGGAGAATTTTTCGGGGCTTGGGGGCGATCTCGTTGATACTGGATAGTCAATGTCAGCACCGACCGTGCAGAAACAAAACAGGCAGACGCACCCCCTAATCCTAACCACAAAGTACACCTTGGGTTGGGCAGGAACGTAAAAGTCACCGGCCGTCCGTGCCGCCCGTTTCAGTCTGATCTCCTCCCTCTCCTTTGCCTGGTATTCCTTCACATAAGCCTCAGCACGCTTGAAGATGACCGTTCGTTTGGCTTTCGATGCCTAGAATCAAGTGGTCAGAAAGGAAATCATAGCAATACGCAGACAGGTCAGTCCCGAAAGATGGTTAATTAAAGGCAGCACCGCGCGATAACGCTAGCCTTATGTCGAATGGTATCGTATGCATCATAAAACAAAGCGAAGCACAGGAAACTCGAGCCTACCTTACGGGCAGCAGCAGCGGCAGCTAGGCGCTCTTCACGAGCCTTTTCATTTTGTTTCCTCTTTTTCAAGAGGGTTTCGGGCACTTCGATTGCCTAGGATGAGTTGAGCGAAAAATTTTGCATATTGTGATATGAACATACCGAAGCGGTGGGGACGCTAAGGTGATACGAGAAGGGCCTGTAAGCAAGGCATGCAGCGGCAAGGAGGCGGGATACTCACGTCGTCGGGGCCATAGAAATCTTGAGGAACGTCGACGCTTTTGGGCCTTGGTCGTAAGTTAGGTTCAGTTCGGTGGCTACTGTACAGTCTGACAAATACTTTCCCACAGTAGTAGCCGGCGGGAAATCACGTGACCCTTCTATCAAGGGTTGAAGCCAAAAATAATTAAATAATTATTCAAACATCTCTCACTCGCTAATTGCGCTGTAGCTGAGTGCAATTTAAGCGCCGGATTGCGGTTTCTACCGCCTATCCACAGTTCGGAACTTCTATCATCACTCTAACATCTAGAATGGCCCGCCGAGACAGTTCTTTTTGCGATTCTAACCTTGTGATCAACATATCAAGCCATTACATTTTACCGCCCGAGGTTCCGTGCATGATTTGAACATTACGGTTGTATCGCTCGTTTTCTCAGGCTGTAGCCTGCTTATAAAAAGGCAGAATGGCTCTCCTTACACGGCTACTGCCATGCTGTTCCTCCCATGGCGCACCTGGGCTGTCTTGTTTCCACTTGTGAAACTTGTACCGTTGGTTGCTTCTCAAGTAACGCAGGTAACCTGCAACGCGTCCATTGACTCCAATTGGGTGGGTTGCGTTGGATTTTGTACTATACACCGCTAAAGCATTGATATCAAGTCATACAATTCCCTTAATCAAAGTTCCTGCGTTGTTGCGTCATATCTCGGAGGCGTATGCAACTCTGGGAGTGAGTATTTCCATATTCTATGTCCACATCAATGTTCAGGGCATCTCGTAGATTTTACTGTCACTCCTTTGAGCGAGGGAGACCTCTACGCTGGTCCCACTCTTGCACAGGCCAATAGCTGTCGATGCAGCTCTGTGTTCTATTCTTTGATCAGCGCCTGTGCGCTTTGTCAAGGGCGCATATATGAAAGGTGTTGATATTTACATGTTCGAATGGTTGCTCGCATCATTTACACGAATCTAGGTGGTCTCTTTTTCATACCAACTGCACCGAGAATCTAAATATTCCAGTCGGAAAGTAAGTTTCCATATGTTCAATCACACTGGAAGAACAGACCTTTACGATGATAGATTTAACGATGCTATACCTGCACAAACGGCGGTTCCGCATTGGGCGTATCAAAATGTCTCAGTATGCTGCCTAATTCTTAAGAGCATCAAAACCGGCGTTAACTTCCACCCTAGGTGACTGATACTTTTGATGAACAAGAGGCTAGGTCAGATTCAGGCAAGCCAACTGGTTTTTTGAACTCAGCAACCGACTCAATCGCTGCTATTGTAGATGCTCCTGAGTCTACCGCCCAGCCTACCTCTACATCAACATCAACATTCCCGTCTGCATCCTCCGGCGTAACATCCCAGAAACGTACAAACGTTGGCGCCATTGTTGGAGGTGTCATTGGAGGGGTTGCTCTTATAGCTTTACTTGGATTAGGTATATGGTTCATACGGCTGCGCTTCAGATCGAACCATGAATCGGAGCCCATTCTCGCTGCTGATATGGACACTCATCCCCGCAACTTTATCACCTTACCTGTAGGCCAAGCCGCTCCGAAGCTATATGTAAGATGTCGATGCTGTTTTTTTTTTTTAATTGCCGAGACTCATTGTATGCCCAGGATCCTTCTGATCCGAGCACTTATCCTATATCTTCGCCATCTCCCGTGTCTTCTGCGAACACACATACATATGGAACACATCAAACCGTGGCATCCGCTTACTCCGGACTTGCTCTCCCCTCCAATCGTACGTATTCTGGTGTTCCCGAGCTGTGATTCCATCGCGTTCCATGATCTTTACCACTTGCTTGTCGTGTGTAATGATATATTCCCCTGATTTTTCTCATGATCCACCGGGCGCTTCAACCTACTTCTATGATTCCGCTCCTTTTCCCTTTTGTTCATCAGACCTCCTTTTGAGGCTGTCCGAAACTGGATGCTACTAAATGTGACCAGTGATACCTGAATCGTACACTACCGTTTGGTCAGATTCGCAAACGATGGCTTTGAGTGTGTCCCTCCTGTTATTAATTCTTCCTGCCCTGAGTCCGTGTCTCGTGAGAGGCCAAACGACGAATGCCACCTGTGTTTCCTCGTATGGTTGGGTGAGTATGAGCTACCACATATCTATACAAGCTTCTCGCGTTGAGACGTTCTTCTAGGCCAACAATACTCTTGGACAGTCTCCTTGCTTGGTCGCGGCATATCTCCAGACTGCATGCCTCAATACATGTAGGTGCTGTTTAACCACTGCAACGTTGATGTACAGCTCAGCTCTAATCCTTTATCATAGCGTTCATCGTTCCAGCACTGCCTGAGGGCACCCACTACACGGGTCCCAGCACTGCACAGGCCGATCTGTGCAAATGCAATACCGTCACATACTCACTCATCAGTGCTTGTGCTGATTGTCAAAATCGCCAATTCCTGAACTGGGGCAACTGGACGGCGAATTGTGCAGTGGTTGCTATAGGCTTGTACGTCGGATTTTCAATACGATGGGGACGAGTATCGAGATTGGTTGTTATAGATTCCCAAAACCCGTTCCCGCTGGAACCGTCATCCCGCAATGGGCGTATATCACCATCAACTCGGTACGGTTGCGCTTGACTTGTTAACCTGCCCCTGACAGGGTTCTCCAGACTAGTGACCTGTACAATGGGGAGGAAGCTGAAAAAATTGCGGAAGAAGGCTCGTCGACTGTTAGCTCAACAGCGTCAACTTCGCTCTCAACAGCTTCTACCCTGTCATTGACTACTTCCTCGACACTGCCTAGCAATGCTGCTGCAACAACAAGTACATCTTCGAGCGGCTCCAACGCGGGAGCCATCGCAGGAGGCGTGGTTGGCGGAATTGTATTTCTGATGGGAACGTCACTTGTGATGTTCTGGTTCTTCCTTCACCGTCGCCGGCAGGCACGTTCAGCTGCAAGACCCTCGGACATGGTAAATTATGCTGACAGTAACCGCGTCTCCTCTCCTCCGATGCAAGAGACCTTGACTGACCGACGAGGGCCATCTCCGTTGTCGACCGTCGTATCGCCGTACACATATGTTCGTGGTTCCTTGGATTTATCAATTGTTTTACTGATGGTACTAATTGAAGGAACCCTCGCAAAGAAGTCCATCTCCTCCGAGTCCATCAGTACATGCAACATCTGCAGTTCACACGACTTTTGGTTCTATAGTATCTCACGGATACTCCGGTGCTCCCGAAGTATAATGAATGTAACGTTAGCTATGCCGTAAACGCTGTATTGCAAGCATCGCCTCAACAGAATCCGTCTCTCACACCGTCTTCTCTACCATGAGTGCGAGCGATTATCTCAAAACAAAATGATGAAAGTTTCTTGTTCCAGTGTTGAAGATCATTATGGATGGAATCGTCCGGCAAGTTCGTATAGGTCCACAACGCATTCCTTTAACTCCCATTCGATCAAGTGACTGATATCTTTTCAGCGCAGAATCGCCCGGGAGCTATCCATGTTGTTTATGCGTGCTTTAGCGCGTCTAAAATAGCCCTTACCGCTAGGGCAGTTCATGGGATGTATTGGCCTATCATCCTGTGGACCGCACAATCCGGTAGCTGTTTTGGTCCTTCTATAGGTTCCCGGAATCGGATTAGATCCCTAGAATCCTGATGGGAATGAGAAACCCCTTGGATAGCCCTTCTCATGTTCAGAATCTGTCGTTTTTGCATTTTCGTGCTAAAGCTCCTCGTTAGCTTGCACTTTTCGATCACGGGGACAAGCTCTAGTGCCGCGTCAAATGTCACCTGTTTACCTTCGTATAACTGGGTATATCATCAACCGCCTGCAAGTTGAGGTGTAACTAACTTGTTCTTACTGCCGCAGACCCACAATGACTGTGATCAAACGCCTTGTGAGGTCGCTGCTTGGCTTATTTCCCAATGTACCGACCAACGTACGTCATCCTCTACCAACTATTCCACTGACGCCACAGGGTATATCATATGCATTTCACAGCTTTTACACTTAACCCGCTACCAGAGAACACACACTACTTAGGGCCAACGTCTCCGCAAGATACCAACGAATGCGAATGCAGTTCTGTTGTTTATTCTCTTGTATCTGCCTGTGCAGTATGCCAGGAGAGGAATTATCTATCGTAGCCTTTGTTTCCGTCTTTGTGGACACTGAACTAAAGACCATCAGATGGGATGCGTGGAAAGCGAACTGCTCTTCGGTCTATTACTCTATGTATGTATGAACCGCCGGCAAGAGGACCGTTTCCAACTCAAAACATGGCTCTAGTTTTCCTAAAAACATACCAATCCAGACGACGGTTCCCGTATGGGCATATGCCAACTATTCAGTTGCGTAGCTATCTTTCGCGATTAGGTCTGATCAGCTCATCTTGCGTGTAGGACCTTGATGAATTCGATGTTTTTACTGCTCAAAGTCTAGCAAGTGAAAGTAATGTCATTCCTTTCAATCAAAAGCTTTTTCATCCTAAATTGTCTGCACAGAACAACCCGACTCGTCGTTTATACCAGAGCCTACTACATCAAATAACCTTCAAGTACCTCATCCGGCTAGTACCACAACGACAACTTCGAGTTCGACAACGACAACACCTACGGTTATGACAACGTCTGCCGATTCGCCTAGCCCCACGACAAACGAGAAGAACGTCGAATCGGCAGCACGAAGCCGTACGATCGGTATTGTTATCTGGGTTATCGTGGGACTTGTGGCAATCCTAGGATTAAGCATTTTGTCCGTCTATCTCACGAGACGGTGGCGAAGATATCAAGAGAGGAAGCTCCTCACCCCGCGGTATCACGCCGTGCATTCTCGGGAAAATTCTCAGCCTGAAGAGATGAAAGAACTCGTGCGTACCACCGCAAGGTACTTTGGCTCGTTCAAGTTTGCCGTTGTGTGCTAGGCACTGATCCCGTCCTTCTAGCTCAAGAATATCCATTCCCAGCATGATTCCTTATGTATTCTTTTTACTGTGACACTTTGTGCACTTACCTACAATGTTTCTGTTCCTAGCCTCCGAGCGACGCTGGTTCTGTATTACAGCTGTCGCCTGCGGTGGAATCATCTACCTTTTATACTTCACTTGAGGAGGGAGATGTGACAGTGAGAGAGCGTGGTGGGGCCCCGCCCGCTCAATGGCATTACACGCCACAGCGGTTTTTAGCATAATCGGTATGTGCTACACTCCGGTAACTTAGAAGGACTTAATATCTGGACAATTAGGTCTGCAATGTACGTGTATGCAGTAATATGGACATATAAACTCTGTTCGTGTATGTTCTCATGTAGACAGCTTACGATCGATGCATTTATTCAGTGTGTACGATGGAAAGTCTGCTTGCCTTCTAACCAATATTATAGTATACAAGTGCACGACGACTCCCCTTACTAGGGTATAAGAGATCGCCTAGTCTGACCATTAATTAATACAAAAAAAATGCCGCCTTATCTCAAAGCCCAGGTGGAGATTTCTTCTAATGAAGACGATGAGAAATGATCCATCCAGTCATCGCGCTTAGCTTACCTGAAGAGTAGGAAGTCTTGACACTTCCTCTACGTCGTCCTTGCTCTTGTTGTCCTTGTCCTTGGATTCGGACGCCACTTCTTCGTCATGACTGCCTAGACGACGTTCACGTCTTCGGTACGTCCAGATACCGACCAAGCCAATGATCGCCATAAGACCGAAGACGCCGCCTGCAATACTCCCACCTACGACGTCACCGTGGTTAGAACTACCTTCCTGAGTGGGAGTCGGTGATGGTGTCGGAGTCGTCGTAGGTGCAGTCGTTGAGGTAGGTTGTGGTACAAAGGTTGATTCCGTGGCGTCTGTCCAACGGCTAATTAGTATTTTTGACATGACAGGCAGGGCAGCGAGCACTGACTCGCGTCCTGTTTCGCTTGGTTGATGTCAAAGTTGTCCTCAGTCTACATCGGAGATATCAGTACAAGTCATGACGGATAAAATTGTGCCGCGTTACTTTTACGTCGAGGTATGCCCAGGCAGGCACGCGAGTGCCATTCGGTATTGGCTCGGGGAAACTGATATGCAGAAGTCAACATCGCGTCAGGCAACGCGTCAGGGGATGTAAAAAATCCTACCCTCCAATAGCTACAGAAGCACAGTTGACACGCCATTGGCTCCATCTATGGCAAATGAGGGTGCATTCGTAGAACTGGTTGTGACGCAACTTACTGAACAAATGTTCGATTTTGGCAGGCCGCACACGCGCTGATGAGGGAATAAGACACGGTGCTACATTGACAGGGATTGGCCGCGTCGACGCTTGGGCCTAGATAGTGAGTCTGATCGGGTAAAGATTGGAGGGTATACGCTAATAAATAGACATTAGATGCTAGTACCGTAAAGAAGGCGACTATAAACTTACATCCGCCGTTGCATATACCTAGCAGAGAGGATGCCACATCACAAGGACTCTGCGAGACCGAATTGAAAGTCTAACAAGAAAGAAAATGTCAGTTTATTTGTGCCTCTTAATAACTGTTCATACCCAGTGAAAGTCAGACAAGGTACAGGTAGCAGTAATATTCGTCTGGCCAATGACTCCTAGTGGGATAAAGACGGTGAGAAGCAGCACAGAGAACGACCGCATCTTGGAGGGCATTGGCAACTTCACGTAGAAGACGTCTGGCGGTCTTTTAAGAGGTACGAGATATAAATTTACATGGCGAACAGGACCTGAGGAAGAGCAGTAATTTCCGTACTGGCCCCGATTAAACTGACAGTTCTCAGTACCTGCACGCGAACTTGAAGGTACGATCCAGGTACTCGGTTTTATATAGTGATGAATCAATGACCACGCGCACGTGAACCTACAGCTTAGAACATTTGTGTTCGACAAACTGACAGTGATTGACCTGGCGATAATATTAGGCCCATCCAATGAATTCGTCGAGGTGTTATCATTTAAAATATCCGACGACTCACACAATACTGTTACAAGATTCTGTACCACTCCTTCTATCTACGCTTCGCCAAATACATGACGCATGAAAATCCGCTTGTGAAGCTTAGCCCCCGCCTCTTCGATCGCAGCGATATCTTCAGATGTCAAATCTGTTACGTCAGGAGTCTTGAGAGTCTCTGTGATTCGCGCTGGCTTCGATGTGGTCCTGTATTTAGGTAAGGAAAAGAAATTCCTCAAAGGGCAAAATTCTGGCCGCACGTTACTACAAGGATGCCTTTCTGGAGGAGCCACTTGGTGTAGACTTGGCTTGGAGAGATCTTGAGTCGCTCAGCGATGCCATTAACGACGGGGTCGACCGGTCCGCCTGGAGCCCGGACAATGGGAGTAAGGCCACCATATGAGGCAATGAGAATCTTGTGCTCCAGGGCGTACTTGTAGATGGGCTCGGCAGCTTTGAATACATATGGGTGGAATTCAATCTGGAGAAACATATAAGGAACGAGTATGATCGGCCAGTTGCGAACTTGCCTGATTTACGGCAGGTAGAATGGTAGCAACCTCGATGACCTCCTTCATATCTTCGACTCTAAAGTTGGATATTCCAATGCTCTTCGTCAAACCTTGGCTCTTGACTTCTTCCATCTGCTTCCACCACGCTTTCAGCTCCCCTTTGGCCGACGTGGGGTCATGGATCAAGAATAGATCAACATATTCCAGCCCCAGCTTCTTCAGCGAGATCACCAGCGTATCCTTGATAGTCTGGCCCTCCGCAAGACTCTTCAACTTGGTTGTCACATAGAGCTCCGAGCGGGGCTTTCCGGATGCCTTGATGCCCGCACCGAGGGAATCTTCGTTTTCGTACATCTGCGCACCGTCGAGGTGCGTCACGCCATTCTCGATGGCTACACGGACAGGCCTCTGCAGCATCCTGCTTATAGAGAGCAGTGCCGGTGCCGAATGCGAGCCAGGGAATGGTGGTGCCGTCGTTGAGGGTGTAGGAGAGCATGTTGGATCGAACTGTAGCGCGCATGAATAGCAACCAGGAGAATCAGACATGGCTCATTATTTATACCACAAATGACGCGATAAGTCGCTCTAACCTTAGTAATCTAAGAATGTCCAGCTGCTCATGAGAACATCTCTACCCTGGTTTCATCAACGCCGCTTTTCCGATGTATTGTTAGCTCATTATTATCGCATCCAACGGCAAGGAGTACGTCTTCAAAGACCATATTGAAGCCAAAAGAAAAGTCAGATAAGGAGGACAAAGGAGAAACCATTTACTCAGAGCGGACCGACAATCGTGCGATGAACGGAACGCTTCCGTCCTCGGCCGAATAAAGGACCTGCCCTAAAGATGCACCCCAAAAGCGCCACGACAACAATTTTTACTTTCTATCTTTTAACAACTACCAGGCGCTGTATATACCACATGTTAGACTGTCCTTTTCTTCGGCAGTCTCTCATCGCGGCGGCCTCAGATAGACGGTGCGCTCTTTGGCTGGACGTCCGTAGTTTTTTCCATGGATGAATTCGGTCACCTAGCGTTCCGACACATATAGCTCAGTATCCACATCATGTATATTTGACTTCTGGTCTTTGAATAGATTCTATTCCTGCCAATGAATGTATCTATGGACACTAGAGAGTCTCCACCACCGGGGACGTATGTGGGCTCTACCTTTCAGTCGGATTTGTTGGTCTCCCGCGAACACGTTCTCAGGATTGAATTTTTAGTCCGCACACAAGTCCTATATAGCCCATCCAATGCGAATCAATGTAAACTGTATGTAATACAGTTGCTCCATAGGCGGTTTTGTACGCTATAGCCGATGCTATTTCTTCGACGAGGCCAAAGGAGAACGGAAAGAAGAACGAGACGCCCAGCATAACAGCAAAATTGCTATACCTAGCAGTTCTCAACTGTTCACGGCGACTTTTGGGACGCTCCCGGTGGATGTCCAAGCTGACGTCTGAATCGCTCTCAGGCTACTCACGGTACCGGTAACAGCGACGAACTCTGATGGATCTGCATGATTCCAAGGCACTGACGGACCCAACTTTTTGGATTTTTTAGTGTAGATGATCACTTGCGAGCCTTGTGATACTGATGAGCGGCTTCGGAGTCAGTGCACCAACAGTCCACGGTTGTCATGAGACGGCGTACTTCGCTCTCAGATGATCCATGATTAAAGCTAAATTAAAGAGCAGTATTTTGATACACTCCGAGGCTCGCCGATGATAGGTACACTTGAGAACGATACACGGCTCCGTTACTTACGAGTGAATACACGACAATCGGGCACGAGCTGTTCTCGGTCGGCGGCCGTAGCATTCGGAAGAGTGACGATTGAATCAAAGCAGGATGATCCTCAAGTTCAGGGCATGTGCCATGTTGTAAAACATGGATCTACGCACATTGACCAGCGCAGACGATCGCGACAACACAAGGAACGCCTGAATCGCGTTCATCTGTGCAAAAGAAGGAAAGAGAGCTGCAGAGTCAATATAATCAAGGAAGAAAACGTGATCTGTTGTCTGTATATACTGGATCATGTCCAAGCCCGTTTGGGTGGCCCAAGGATTCGGACGAACCTGCATGCCGATGTTGGAGGACGAAAAACGACAGCGCCAAGTAGATAGAAGCGAATTAGCAGAAAAAGTCACATTGTCAGCGTACCACCTAGACGATGCCGGCCACCGATAACGACAGTAGCCGTTATCCAACTTAATCGAACGAGAGCATAGTACCAGGATCTGTCAAGCGTAGTTGACTTCCCGAAGTTTGTGTATCATAGATTGTCAGCCTGGTAGCGCTCTGTCGCCCTGCCTGCACTGGAGGAATATGTGGATACGCCCCACTGAAGAATAGGCTCGCCTCGGCGCTTTGTGAAACTCACGTTGAGATTCTCATGTATCATGTGGTATTTACTGCTAAAGTCCAGATAGAGTGCCAGCAGCAATGATAGCCCCCACTAAATACAAATACCATCTCGAGAAGAACATAAATATCATGGTGCAGGCACAGCAGTATAAGTGCGGTGCACTACCTTTCGAGCACGAGAAGATGTTGCTTGGTTAGAGCCTGCCCTAGAAGGCCTGGAAGACTCGTGATGGGAATTCTTGTGCCTGTGACTGCGTCGCGTCTGATGAACAGGAGGTGTCGCACGTTCAGAAGCTGTCCTAGAAGGCCTCGGGGCTGCGGTGCGTCGATGGTGTGTGTATGGAGTCTTATGGATCTAGTTAGTCACGGGCAGACAGGCAGAAAGGTTGTATCTCACAGGCACTGTGGCTAAAATTTGCGTAGTCTGAGGTACTGATCGATACTCCACCAAGTTACCGCGGGTTCTTTTGCTTGGTTTTGGTTTGTGACGTCGTCGGATTACTAGCCATATAACCAATCCAAGTACCGCCAGAAGGACGAAAGCTCCTACGACGGCTCCGATGATTATGCCAGACTTCACTTTTTCAGATGCTGTTATGGTCGGTGTAACACTGCTTGTCGCGGTGGCACTTGGAACCGCCTCTGTGGATTCAGACGCGTCTAAAAATGTGGCCTATGAATAACTAAGCACTACCCGATATAAACGTCGTGGACTTGCCGGTGTCTGAAGCAGCGATTGTCTCATTAAAATCGTTATATATCTAGGAATGAAGTCAGAAGGTACGTCGAGGTCATGTAAGTCGCTTACCGTGACATTCTGGTACGCCCAGTGCGGTACCGCAGTATTTTGTGGAATTTCGCCAAGATAGCTGTTGAAGTGATCAGAGGTTGGTGATTCACGATTTTAGATAACAACTGACATCGATACATAGACACTAGTGCAGTTTGTGCTCCAAGACGACCAGCTACGTGATGTCAGTAAAGGGTGTGAATAGATAATTATGAGCTTACCTTGCATAGCTACGATTCTGGCAGAAAGCGCATGCACTCAACAGAGAATAGTACACGGAACTGCATAGACAAGGAGTGTCGGATCCTTCCCAAGGGCCATCGTAAATTTGTCCTTCTTGCAATGGTACAACCGTGAAAGCTATACAAGACAAACGTGAATCTGAATAGTAGGCCAGTAAAGTGTTTTGTGCGTACTCACTCGAAGAAGTACAAGCGCCCATAAGGGAAGAGGCTATACTGCAGGTGCTCTGATTAAGAGAATTATACACCTAGGCGCCGTAACGTGACTGGGCCAATGAAAACATTCAACATACTGCCTACCCAGCTATGGTCAAACGTCGCATTGCATGTCGCCTCCTGGGCCAGGACCAGCCGCGTCTTGAAGAGGAAAAACAGAATGCCCCAGGCGAACACCAACATGACAACGGAGAAGAAAGTGGGGCCCCGGTTATCTCGTTATCAGCATGTTTCGGAAAAGGTGAGCAAGGGCCTGAAGCTCAAGCGCCTTGTCTTTATATGTACGCCGTTGGCCGCCGAGGGTCGAGAAACGTACAATTTGTCGTGCGCAGTAGCTTCCCCCACGGCACGCCGCACGATCCGACACACGGAGACTCCAAACGCGTGAATAAAGCAAGGTAAATTAAACGACGCTTTTTTGTGAAGTCAAGGCTTCTCAGAGGACGTACGCAACAGCCGGTTCAGCACGCGTCGTGAAATTGGAAGAAAACTGGAATGGAAGATTCTGATCACGGGCCCCTGGCACGCCGAAGGGTCAAGTCCAAATTTGGAGTATTTGTCTCTGTTGTCCAAGACCCTGCGTATGAACGCGTTCACGCTCCTTGTTCTTTAACTTCTCCTCTACTGACGAACGACTATCATGGCATCGCAGCAGCCTCCACTCCAGCTCCTCAGCCTTCCAACGTACAGTACCACCTCATCATCGCGGCTGCAAGCACTTTACTCGAATAACATATCCTGGCAGAAGAATTCGGATCCCGCTGGATTTCACGCGAGCATCGAATGGTGGCGGAGAACTTTTGAAGCTTTTGTCGCCTCTGGGATACAAACCAACATATCTAGCAGACTGGTATTGAATGCCTCTGCGAGGATAAGTGAAAGCCTGAGGGTCGAGGGCGTCGGAAAACCGGCTGGCTTGAGTACAGTCATTGTGAGTCTTCTTCACCACGTTGTCCTCGTCACTGACATTGCCTGTCAGCGAAGACTGAACTAATAGAACCCTCCAGCAGCAAGACGCCACCTGCATTGATTCCTCTTTCCGCTTTCCTATCTTTGCCACAGTCCATCTACGCATCACATTCACTCCTTCATATCCTGCCCTCGCTAGTCGCGTCATATCTGATAGCCAAGCCGTTCTGGTGGGCATTGGGTACAAATAGGTGTCGATGGACTTTTCTTTTCAAACGCTGGGGACTCGAAGTGGCACGGGGAGTATGTCATCATGAGCCTACTAGAACGCGCCGCCGAGAGAATCCTGGCGGAACAGAAGGCAAAATCTGGAGGCCCAAGTGATGGGATATACAGCGTAGAAAGATTCCGCCTGGACTTTGCTGCCTGCATCAACGAGACTCACATTATGAGTGAAATGGATGCGAAAGTTCTTATCAAATTCTTGGAAAGGGATAAGAACATCATTACCGTTGATAAGGAGGTCAGTCATCGTACTCTACGATGTCCTCATTCTTATTTTCTTTTCGTAGGTAATTAAGTTTATCGACAAGGATGCTCCCCCAGAGACGTGGCGAATCACTGCCGTTGATCGAGGCGTACTGGAACTTAAATCGGCCGTCGCCAATCTTCATGGTCAAATCGAAGGCCTTCAAAAGAAGATTGACCTGTGAGTCTTATTCCTCGAAGCTCTGGCTCAACTGACATGCAAAACCTTCTAGTTCCACCCATAAAGCTGCAGAAGCTTTGAGGCAGAAACGACAAGTCAATCGCTCTTAGCTATATTCGATCTCGCAAACAGCTACAAGACGTACTGGTTAAACGACTCGGTGCGCTTGACACGCTAGAGAGCACCCTCATTAGGGTTGAAGCAGCAGCCGCAAATGTTCATGTAGGCGTTTACTGATACTTTGTCGTCATTGAGGCTGACAGCATTTTAGATACTCGAATCATATGCTCAATCTACCTCTACCCTCCGTGCTATCCTCTCACATCCATCGTTGCAACGCGAATCTATCGAGCAAACCATGGAGGCGATGGCGGAAGCCTAATGCCGATGCCAAAGAGATAGACGAAGCCGTACGCATCGGCGGAGACATTGCAGTTGGAACAAATGAAATCTTTGATGAAGATGAATTGCAAGCAGAGCTGAACGGGTTGATACAGGAAAGTAAGGAGGAGGAAGATATGAAAGCCCTGGAGGAGAAGCAACGATTGAAGAAAGACGAATTGACTGTGCAAGACGTGGACGGGACGATTGCTGAGGAAACCAAGAAAATGGCAATCCTCCAAATTTAACTACAACCATCGCACTCATGATATTTAATTACAACGGATAGGTGATTCACTACACATAATACATAAGTTACCTACTTCGCTCGCTAGTGCCGGAAAGACCCATAGCACCTTTGGCCTTTCCCAACATTGATTGCTAAGGATGAAATAAGAAGATCTGCGATGGCAGTTCATGTTGTAACTCACATCATTGTCGTTGGAGTTGCCGCTAACGGTGTCACCCATCTTCTGAGTGCTGGTCTTCTCGCCCTGTGTTGATATCAGCGCACTGCACAACATGTGTGTCATTTTGACAAACCTGGGGCTGGAGCGTAGAGGCCGCAGAGTCGGCGTAGCCTTTCAAATTATCACCCATACGCTCGGTGGCGGATTTCTGACTATCAGGCTGCGAAAATGGTTACAATTAGATGATGCTGCAACAATAAATCGGCAGAACTGACCTTCATAGCCGAGCCAGCCTTGTCAGTGAACCATTGACGGCCAGTGTCAGACATGATATTAATGCGTTTGTTTTGGTAAAGGTTGAAAGTAAAAGTTGTTTGGGTGGTTGAGATGTAAATTCATTGAACTGAATTACCCAGCTTTATATGCTTCGATAACTCCATAGAAGGAGCGATCTGCAATGAACCTGACGTACTTAGTGACGATATGATTCAAACAAAATAGACCGATGAGACCCAAATGACGGTGAGGCTTGGCACGCATGACGCGTCGTCTCGTACATACGATCGTAATTCCATTTCGAGCGCGCATAGTGTACATGGATACTTTTCGTATATAGACTGATAAAGGCAGGTTAAAGCTTAAGACCAACATTGATGTGGACAGCCTTGACTTGTGTATACCTAAAGCCAATAATTAGAACAGATCTTGGCAAGGCAAAAAGGTCACGTACATGTCGATCGCGTACTCACCCAATTCCCTTCCAATTCCAGATTGTTTGTACCCACCAAACGGCATGTTTTTCTCCACAGAGTTAAAGCAGTTAACCTGGAACGCGAATAAGACATTTCACCAGAATCACCACGTCATGTACGAATCATCAACTTACGAACGCCTGTCCCGCCTCAAGAGCATGTGCTACTCGAATCGCACGACTTGAGTTCTCCGTAAAGACAGCACTTGAGAGACCATAGACCGTGTTATTCGCCATCTCGATGACCTCTGTTAACGTGTCAAGCTTGTCCGCAGCCGATGCTGGTCTCACTCACCTTCCTCAGTCTTGAACTTGATGACTGCGGCTACTGGACCAAAGACCTCTTCTTGTACGATCTTCATGTCAGGTGTACACTCCGTTACGATCGTCGGCTGGATAAAGTAGCCCTCTGAACCGTGTCTCGAACCACCAATATGAATATTTGCACCGTCGTTCTTTGCTGAGTCGATGTAGCCCATCACGCGCTACATTCATCAATGGAATGTCACGTTAGACAAAAAATTTCATGGCTTACGTCGAACTGAGTTTGTGAAACCTGTGGGCCGTGTTTCGTGGACGGGTGGAAGGGATCTCCGGTGGCTGACTGGAGAGAACGAGCAGCCTGGGCGAACATTGGAAGGAATTTGTCATATATGCCCTCTTGCACGAAAATCCGAGAGCCAGCATTGCAGTTTTGACCTGACGTTTGGTCAGAGGGATGTAAAGAAAGGGTGTCTTAAGACGAACCCATATTGGAGCTAATAGGAATAAAAGTGAGCGTATTGAAGGCTAACAAAATCCGGATACATACAAAATGCCCCTGGTGGCCCATTTGATCGCTTGCTCAAGGTTAGCGTCATCGAAGATAATGTTTGGGCTCTTTCCGCCAAGCTCCAGAGTCACAGTTTTCAGATTGGACTGTGCTGACGCGATTTGGATTTTTCTTCCTGTAGCTGTACTTCCCGTAAAAGCAATCTTCTCAATAACAGGGTGTTCGCTGATAGCCTGTCCAACAGTATGTCCTAAGAAAGAGTAAATTGGTTGACACAGATCTGCAGATAAGAACGAGGATTACCGTATCCATTTACGATGTTAATGACGCCTGGCGGGAAACCTGCTTCATTACAGAGTCCGGCAAGCCTGAGAGCCGTCAGTGGGGTCAATTCGGAGGGCTAAAAAAAACCATTCAGATAGCCCCACAGCCATATATATTGAATTTCATCCCACCTTGAGAACAATCACGTTTCCGGTAGCTAGAGCAGGGCCGATCTTCCAAGAAATCATGCTCTAAGTGTGGTATTCAGCACTTAGGAAGAACAGTACGGTTAGCAGTACGCGTACCAAGGGATAGTTCCAGGGAACAATTTGGCCCTACACTTTTCTAAGACAATCGCGTTGAAAAGGACTAGTAGGATACATACGACGACGCCATAAGGCTCGTGTCTGGTGTACGAGAGCTTTTGTTCGTTGGTCTAACAATGTGTGAATCAGTAGATGAAAATACCAAAAGGATATATAATGTATTTACCTCGATAGTTTTACCTTGGATTTTATCAGCCCATCCAGCGTAGTAGCGTATAGTATCGATGGTAGATGCGACGTCAGCCATCCTTGCCACTCCAAATGGTTTACCTCGACGCATGGTGAGTAACCATATCTAAAATGTATGTGGGCCAATACATACCGACATTCAAAGCTTCTAAAGCCGCGAACTCGTCCGCGTTCTTCTCGATCAAATCGGCCAACTTGCTCAGCATTCGACCCCGAACACTTCCAGGTACCTTAAGACCCCAGGAGGTCTTGTACGCCTAGAAGACATCACTTAGATAGGATACACTGGTGATAATGATGATCGACAAACCTGTTTTGCTGCCTTGACAGCGATGTCTACATCCTTGTCTGACCCTGCGGAAACAGATGTGATCAGTTTCCCTGTCGCTGTTGCAGACCTCATGAGCTTATTGATAAGTGCCAGCAAGGACCTAGAAGATTCGTACAAGGATTGACCACACTATGAAGGAAAATCGAGTTAGCATTGATCTTCTGCAAACAGTGATAGTCCAGAACTGACTCAATCTTAGCATCACGGTCAACGGGATCAACAAACTCTCCATTGATAAAGAGACCGGTGTTGAAAGTTGATTTGCCCTTGTAGAGCGGGGTATCGAATGTGTAGGTGAAGGTAGAAGGCATTTGGCTAAAAGACTTTCGCTGGGAAAAACACTGATTGATGCAACTGCCTATTTATGAATGTCTTAGCCCGTCTTAGTAACATCCACCTGGTCTGTCTCGTCAGCATCCTTCGATTTCTAATCAGACAGGGTCAGGAATGGGCATGAAGAGTAAAAGCCGCTGCAATGAGTCGTCCGTAATGTTTGATCATATGGCAGACGCGACTGAGTTCGGGGGTTTCCGGACGCACTTTTAATTGACTTGGATTCTCCTTTCCAACCGTGGGGAAACTTATTACCTACCCTTGTGAGTAATACTAATAGTATTCTTGAAACATGATATGCTCATACTTACCTTCCATCGCCGAGCTCCGGAGGATTGGGAATAATATATAACCGACATCTCCATTCTACACTGTGTTTACGGATTCTCTCGGCAGAGTCACTAGCTTTTCCTGAGAGTTTTCCACTGGACATGTCGCTAGATATCGCACTAGTTGTGTTCACTCCGAGGACTCGTGAAATACGTTTATGTAAGTATCAGCAGCTCGCACGGTGGACCGCACAATCAAAAGGATGACTTATGTTTGTTTAGCCGAAACAACTTAAACTTCAACCCCACTTTGAAAAAAGAGTGACGATCGAAAACGCGTCTTTGTCACCTGAAAGACGTGTCTTTTGCTTGAAACATTCAATAGTATGTCTAATTCTGTTCATGTTGAGCGGGCGAAGAAGTGGGACGCGAATCCTTGGTTGGTCGAGTGGCTCGACAACACCGTGAAGCATTGCAAAGGAAGTGGAAAGAAGTCATTTGAAGCTTGGTGAGCTGTAGTCTGCGCATGCATGTCTCAGATCTTGGCTGATGGCTATGATCAGGGTTTTGCAGGATTCATGGCCGAGTTGAAGGTCGAAAAAAGTTGAGTTATTGTTTAGATCCACCGGTACCGCTGCCTGCCGGTGGAAGATATCCTGGAAAAGGACTCGGAAACAAAAAGACTTGGAACAAAGCAGCTGTACGTCTTTTGCCCCTCCGATGTTCTCAGAAAGTAAAAATAAAGAGCCATAGGTCGAGTTTGGTGCGAATTTGGTGTACATCTTCTGCATGTCGCGCTTACTTGGAGTTTCGATGAAGGCGTCAGTGACGAAACGCTCACACTTTACCACAACTATGCTTCTACAAACGATTGTTGTGCGCCACCGAGAACAAAACCTGCGCCGAAACGCCGACGCTTGGAACCTTCAAGCGAGTGGTTAGCTGTAAGTGGAAAGCTTCCTCTGTGTCCTCTTACGCTCTGGGGCACTGACGGCTTCCTTCAGAGACGTCACGGTATGAATGCTTTATGACCCATCGATCGGGTTTCTTACCCTGTTTCTTAGCCGCTCTATTGGAAGGCTGCAAAATACCCAATCTCCAATGGGAAACTGCAAGAGCTATTGCTGTTTCAGAATATGTAGGTCACTGAGGTCAATGCGCTTTCTGTCCTTGATTTATTAATCAGGACCGTACCCGAGACACAGCAGAAATATGGAGGAAGGACTTCGAACTCTTCCTGCGGATCTATGGCACCAGAAGGCGCAGTATCATACCTTCACCTCAAATCCTTACTTTAGGTGCTGCATACATTGAAATGCATACCTCGGGGGACGCCTTTATTAATCTGAACTTCCATCTTCATGTAAGTCTCTCCTAGCTTTCCCTTCATATGTGCATGATCGTCGCATTTGCAAAAATAGATGGCCAGCAACTTGTGGTATTCCGCCAAGGAACTTTTTGAAGATTTGGCACGCCGTGGTCTGTACACTCCGTTCTCGATCGAGCGCGCTTACCGGAAAGACGATGATCTTATGTGGAGGCTCTTCGCCTGTGGTGTACGAGCCCACAACTACATGCAAATGCTCTGGGTAAAACTTAGACAAGTCATCACGTATTGCGAGTATTACCGTCCCTACTTCAAACGATATAGAGTAAGCTTTCAGCACGCTGAATCCAAAATACTCATGTAGCCGTACTTGTAGGATCAAACAGGCATGTCCCACATAGAAACCAACTACCAGTATTGGAGCACGCACTCGTTGCAGACCGAACTCGACTGTCTCGTCATTCAGTTCATGGGATCGGAGTCAAATGGGTCCTCTGCCGTTGCATTTCATGACGGAATTTCCCGTAAATTGGTTAGTTGCATTTAACAGTCTAAGTTACTCCGAGTCTTTCTCATGTCACACGGATCTTAGCAAGCTTCCCCTTCTGAAGCTACCAAATTCAGCGCAGAGGCTTTTGAAGTGCTCGGTGATTATGCTGTTGGTGAGCCATACACAGTGAATTGTGATTGTAGCTAATTCATCTCAGCTTGTGAATTTCATGCAAATATGGTGATGTCTCCATTCGGTGAGACTCTTCGCCAATACGCCTTCCAAAAAAGCGGGGACGTTATTACGCAAGGCATGTTGAGGTATGTTATTCCCATGGACCCTGACAAGATCGACTGGAAATCCACGGTGGGAGGAAACTTTAAATGGCACAAACAAGCGACCGATCTGAACGACTATGCGTCAAGTCATTGGAGCAACGTTGTCCACGAAACCGGTGGTCTCATGATGCAGGCATTGGGAAGAATGTTTGATGTTCCTCCATGGCAGGCCGACGACGGCGTTCACAAGATACTAACTCTCGACCAATTGTGGAAGGAAGCCGACGAATATTTCTGGAATGCGGCTCATAGCGTCGACAGACCGAACGAAAAAGGACGGGTTGCGCGCGAGTATGGATTATTGGACCCCAAAGGCAACAGGCCGTCTTTCATGGAAACTTTTGTCCACATGGCGCAAGCTCTAACGATAGCTCAACAAGAGAGCGACAGGCTGGTCGAAATGGAACCAACTTCCAGCCAGACTCCGCCAAAGACTTTCACGCCATTTCCTACGTCGGTACCATCTCAGTCCAGCGCTCAATCTGGCCATTCTTATGTCAACGAGACTCAACAATCGAGGCCCAAAGAGAAAACCAAAACCAAAGGTCCCCAGGCCTCCGAACCCATCCTGGAAGAGATGCCAGTTACAGAAGAAGTTAAGCTTGAACTGAACGAGTTTCCGGATTTTCTACCTTCATCTTTCGACTTGCCAAAGAAGATACTCAAGGTACCTTTGCCGAAGCACCTGGCAGAAATAAATCACTGTTAATATCCGTCTTTAGGTGTTCCAGCGAATCCTGGCTGTCGATCCTGACACCATGAACATGGAGCAGAAGGACAACTCGAAAAGGGGACATGTCCGATGGGGAGACTTTGAACGTGTTGGTGTCTCCTACCTCTTTTCATTTCGACTATAATTCATGTTCTGTTGTAGGCGATGAAAAGGCTTGGCTTCGACGTAATCCAGACCGCAGGTTCCTCTGTTCGGTTTGACCCTCCTGCAAAGACTGCACGACCAATTTCATTTCATCGTGTATGTTTCTTCTGCGTAATTCTTTCAATGTGCCTTAAACGCAGATCTATGTAGCCACATCCGGATGCTGTCCTAAGCTCTCATTTGTTAAGAATGTGAGTGACTACATTATGCGTGAGACGAATGCCTGACGCGTTCATTATCAGTGTTGGTCACCGGCTAAGAAAGAGTTACGGCTGGACTCTTGAGACTTTCCGGCTCAGAGGAAATGATGATGATCTTGACTGATTTTGGGGATGTATGAACGATCGTATATGATATAGTAGTGGTTGGCTGATAAGTATAGCATCTCATTGGCAGAAGTAAAGTCATTTTCAAATTTTCGCGAGAACCATCACAACTTGAAGAGCAGGCAGGGCGTGACAGTACGTTGGGTTTGGGGCGTGTGGAATGGCACCTGGACCCTGGACCGAGCTCAAGCCAGTCGCATTGTCAATTTGATGCATGGTAACTGGTGACATTCAATAGCATTGTTATTCACAACGAGAGAGCAGCCGTACTAGCCGTAACTATGAGATACAGTTAAGAAACATTTGGTTTATGGTAAATTAAAATGCAAGGGAAGGATAGCAATGGACAGATGATGATTGAGGGTTGAGGAATGAAAGATGAGAAATGTGTACACGGTGGTGTCAATGCCTTCACCGAATCATGAAGGTGTGTCGCAGAACAAGTATATGTGCAGGTGAGGGAAAATGCCCAAGGAAAGAAAACCGAAAAAGAAAAAGAAGAAAATTTATGCGGGGACCTGGCCTCTTCCACGTCCACGTCCGCGTCCACGTCCACGACCCCTACCCCTCCCTCGACCACGACCCCGACCAGGTCCTTGGGGCATCGTGTCTCCTACAGTATCTACAACAGGAACAGGCTGTCCCTGACGGTCGCCGGGGCCGTCTGCTGGGGACATTTGAGATTGCGAGCGCCGATGTTTTTGCTTCTGCTGCTTGCTATGAGACGCACTTGGGGAGGTTTCCTGAGACGGCCATTTATCCCGCTCCTCCTGCTCACTCATACTGGGAGTGGGAGGGGGAGTGAAGCCACCGAAACGCATGAGGAGCTGGATGATGTCGTTGAAGTGCTCCAAGCGTACACTGTCGCTGAGAGCTCTGTTGACGTTATTGGGTTTCAACATGGTGTTGCGTCCTTCGGTAGAGGTTATCCATGACCATGCTTTGCTGATATCATCAGAGCTGGCAAGAGATTTGTCGAGGACCATCCAAACGACTTCAGGGTCACGGGCATCAAGAGCCAGGGTAAGGAGATTGGTGGATTCAGGAGGTGTATAGATCGGCTTGGAGTCTTCGTCTTTGGGAGGGAATGCATTAAAGAAGTACGTGATGATCTTTTGATGACCATTTCGTAGGGCAATATGAAAGGCCGTAAAACCTTCGCCGTTGCGCTCTTCGGGATCGGCATCTATACACAAGTTTAGCTAGGGCAAAGTTAAACGAAGACCAAAACTTACTATGCGCGTCAAGCCATGTGACGAGCTCATGATCGCCTTTCAAGGCAGCGATATGCAGTAAGGTTTCCTGTGGATCCTTTGGTGTTTGCGAGACAAACTTCTCGCAATCACGCTTGATTTCCCCTCCTGCAGCATCAACCTCGTCTTCCCATACGCCGGCCTTTACTTTAGTTGCATCACCCACACGAGCCGCCGCAAAGACAGCGGACCTCGTTGCCTGAGTCTTCTGCAGTTGGGTGCGTATTGCCTGTTCAGCGTGCCTACGCTGCGCCGCTGCTTCTGATTTTTTTGCTTCCACTTTCTCCTTCTGTCGCTGCTCCGCCAGACGCCGGGCTAGAAAATGTTTAAGGCAAGGATACACGCGAGAGTCGCGGCAACGAACCTCGTTCCCTGTCTTGCTCCTGCCTCGCCTTGCGGGCAGCATTCTCCCTCTCTCGACGCTCCTGTGCTGCAACTTGTTCTTCGCGAGACTTGCGCAAGCGTTCGTTGTATTGCTCGGACGATTCCCGCATCGGCATGAAGTGTTCATGGCGATACCCTGAAAAAAAGATGATGAGTTCTTATCTCCTTGATAGCACAGGATATACAGACGTGTGTGCATGTATCGATTAGTGTGTCCTCTCATAAATTGCTCGAATAAATACCTATGAAGTGAAAAGTCAGCGTCCACTGTGCAACAAAAACGAGGCGCTGCCGCACATGTAGAAGTCCATCTCATCCTCGGAATAGTATTCTTCGTCTGAGTATTCATCATAATCGTCATGGCTGTTGTCGAGATACTTGATAAGTGTGTTGTAGGCGTCTCCTACTTGCTGGAACTCCTTGGTGGCATCTGGGTTGTCGGGATTTTTGTCGGGATGCGTGCGCAATGCAATCTACAGTGACGAAGCGACGATGAGAGCGCATACAAGCTGCAGAATAAGGAGCAGCTACTCGTTTGTAAGTGCTTTTTACGACCTCCAGGGATACACCCTATAGAGCAAAGAAAGAAGAGGACTGTTAATTAGTTATCGATGCAGAAGTATCAGACGCACCTCTTGCAAGCCTAGGACAGCATAGGCCTCGAGTATTGAGGCATGATCTACAGGCATCACGGCTTGGAAGAAGCGGTGGATGTGGTCTGTGGTCAAGCAGCGAAATCGAAGAAAAGTGCCAATGAGACGCGACGCCCAAATAGGAAGGCATCCCTTGGTCACCACCCACCACCCACAAATCGTGTGGTTCGTCGGTTCCTGTTCTTACGACGCGTACCGTCCTCGTCTGGACATTTTCATTCCCACTGAATGGCGTCGGACGTCCCGCTTAATGGTTCTGTCGCGCCCACGGCCGTCATTACGGAGGCTACACCGGCCCCACCAGGTAACGACTGGAGGAATGCTTTCCCAGCTTTTCAAGGCGACAGGAATTGGCTCTGACAAGTGCGTCAAAAAATTCTGAACTTATGCTCGACGCTGACCTACATGCCTCAAGTGTAGTCCTTACTTTAATGCCGGTTTCGGTCTCATGGTAGTGCCGTTCATTCCCGAAAGTTTCGCCCTCCTTACACCTTGTCATTTTCGAAGGGAGTAGGCGTTCTTGTCGCCTACGCAAGTCAAGCACTGAAACTCGGATCTATTGCGCTTCAACGACGATTGCTGGTCACCTTGGAAATCAGAAACAAAGATCCTTCCTATGACTGGTTCCTCACCTGGCTTGCTCTACAAACAAAGTCTCCACCAAAACCTGACGGGAGAGTCCGCTGGGCACGAAGCCACCAACTCAGCGTTGAAACAAGGGTGTACCAAGAAGACAACGCCCGAAACGCCACCTTTGATCTAGTCGCTGGACCAGGAAACCACTATTTCAAGTATCGTGGAGCTTGGATCAAGGTCCCATCTATCGCTCCTCGAACTTCGGACCGCTACTAACACCATTCGGTAGATGACACGACAACGTGAGACCCGCGCTGTCAACTTGCGAAGCGGTGATCCATGGGAAACGGTTTCCCTCACCACACTCTCTCGTGATCGGAAAATATTCCCTGTTCTACTCTCCGAGGCCAGGGACATAGCTGTACGGCAACAAGAAGGAAAACTGGTAATATACACGGCTTGGGGAGTCGAGTGGAGACCTTTTGGAAAGGCCCGCTCTCGAAGACCACTTCCAAGTGTGGTTTTGGCTCCTGGACAGTCCGAAAGAATTCAGCAAGATGTAAAATCTTTCATGGAGCGCCGTCAGTGGTACGCCGACCGCGGCATCCCTTATCGCCGAGGCTATCTTTTACATGGTCCTCCAGGATCAGGGAAATCATCATTTATCCAAGCCCTTGCTGGCGCATTTTCTTACGATATATCTATCATCAGTCTGTCTGAAAGAGGACTTGGCGATGACAAATTCAATTTCTTACTTTCAAATGCCCCAGCACGCACCTTTGTCTTGATTGAAGACATAGATGCTGCGTTCAATAAACGGGTTCAAACCTCTGAAGATGGGTAATTATACCTTCTAATCGCCCGCGTCCCCAGAAATTGGCTCACGACAAGTTATCCAGTTATCAGTCCTCCGTCACTTTTTCCGGATTTCTGAACGCCTTGGATGGTGTCGCATCAGGCGAGGAACGAATAATATTCATGACGACAAATCATATCGAACGACTAGATCCTGCCCTCATACGGCCGGGGCGCGTGGATGTTTCAGAACTCTTTGATCATGCGGTGCCAGTTCAGGCATACAACCTCTTCATAAGCTTTTATGGTGGCGACTCGTCAGTTAGTAAAGAGAGGTTAGAGGCTATTGGTAAAACCCTGGAGAGTCTTGTATCTGAGGAGATGAATGTGGGACGGAGAATTAGTATGGCGGAGCTGCAAGGTCTCTTCATTCGCACAGATGTTCAGCAAGTAATGAAGGCTTGCGAAGACATCTTTACTCAAAAACGCCAGCAATAGGATTAGAAATAGTGGTCCCTCACTCAAAAGTAATATCTTATAATCCACAAAATAGAGATGCAAACAAGCTATTAGCCATGTCTAAGCGTACAACAAATATAAAGGAATACTGTCAAAAAACTGGTTTCCGTTTCCGACCTGTAAACTTCGAGTCGTGAGGAACGCTCTCCTTACCGCGTTTTCGATATAGCTAAGACCAAGGGCATTAGGGCTTGAACAACTGAATGATACCTGGACTTGCCTCCTTCTTTTTCAATATCCAATCCCTACCCTTGATAGGTTTCCTCTTTCCGCTTTTTGACCTGGTCTTTTCCCGCTCCCTTCGCCGTTCAAACCGTGCCTTTCCGTCCTCCTCTACCTCTCCATCGAGTCCTTGTGGTACCTGCTGAGAACCCCCTCCACCGACAAACAGACATAAGAAAACCTTTTTGGCTTTCTTTGAATTCGGGTAGTCTACGACTATACCACCACCAAATCCAGCCTTCTGGGCTATCGACGAGATGAGTTGAATCTGGTCATCAGAGGATGGGTAAAATTGAAAGACTGCGCGTGAAGGATTCCGCAGAGCTGAATGGAGTGTGGTGAAGAACCTGTTGAGTCGATGAGGTGGGGCGGACGTCGGATGGGATGTTTCTGCGTTTAATAACCATTGCAAGACAGAGACACTTGGAAAGCGCAGCTGAGTATAAATTCGGACGATAGCACTGTTCTAGTTACCTGATAGCACCGTCAAAGCTCCCTGGTCTGAATCCAAAGCCCTGACCAATGTCCTGCAAAAAGAGGTCGCCTTCGACTTCTCGTTCAAGGGCGACCTCTTGATCATACATTAGCAAAATCGATTTATTATGTACCAGCAACGCACCAAGCATACTGGGAGCGATATCGACACCCGTCCATATGTATCCCTCTTCGTCAAGAATCTCGCCAGACAACCCGGACCCGCATCCTATGTCCAACAACATTGCCGGCTCATCAGGTGGAAGATTCAGTAATTCCAGTGCTCGGTATGTCATGTCAGCCTGGATTTGCTGATTCCGTGTACTAAGTCGTCGAGGTCATTGTCATGGCACTTTAGACCGCTCATAAACGCACTTTTTCGTGTATTTTTTTGCTTCCACGTCGCCATAGTACTGCTAACATAATCAAGACCCACTCCAAGCCGATTAGAAAGGTTTATCTTACAATCTCTGGTTGGGCTTGTAGTTCTGGCCGCGACATCACGAGTGCTGGAAAAAACGGGGACAGGCCGTGGGAGGTTTGGAATTTTCGTCCGGGTGCTACGGTCCGATGGTCCGTGACCAATTCTACATGTGCACATCCTGCTACGACTGGTACTCAACCCTGCTAACTCATTTACTTATAAGGAATCCAGTGTGGATGTTGCTGGACTACTTGCTTCGGTCCCAGGAGGCTTTTTTTCTCCATTAAACTCTAGAAACCCTCGGGTTCTTCCAGCCTTCCAACTTGGAACCATAAGCTTTCAATAGCTCCACTGTTCTCTGCGCGTCTATCCTGGAATGCTGCGTCCCTGTGCCTCGGTGATGTTCTGCTCCCTCATCCTTTCTTCACAGTGAACTCTTAATTCTCGGCCTTGCTCGGCATGCAATAATCATCTGGCCTCGTAGTTCGATTCTTGACCGCTAAATGATTCCCACATACTGCGTCCTATAGCTTGCGTGCCATAATACTTTACTCCGGTGTACTTGCTTTAAAAAACATTGTTACAGGTAGGGGTGTCTGGCACGGGGAAACCCTCTGCTCTTTCAAGTGTTCCCATAGTCGCCGAAACATTCATGACCATACGGAGCGGAGACCATGCGTCTGCCAACTTACGCGTACACCTCCACTGAAAGGTTGATTCCAGACACAAGGTAAATAGACGTGCGCACAATGCCGGTCTAGGAAAGGCTCATCGATATCTATCAGGTCCGAAAAATCTGCCTTATTCCTGAATCTGGTACTAACAATGATGTTATCGTCCCAACGCAGAGATTGAATCTCCTTCTGCTGTTTCATTCGACGATGCATGTTATATCAAATGGTCACCCTTGACATCAGGCAGCCCATCGTGCTCCAACGGCGCTAGTTTTCGTGCCATCGTGCAATGTCTCCCGTCTTCTGACTGCTATTTGGCAGGCCACCATTAGTAGGTCCAACACGACACCCAAGGCAGCTTTGCAACATGGAGTTAAGGCCTCCCCTTCTTATACTTGATTTGGACTCTCCGGCTCTTTGAATCACCCCAGCTAGGTACCGGTTCAAGTATCGATGGCCAATCCAGGCTACGATATATCCGACCTAACACTCGATGCCGTCAAAGAAGTGGGCGGAGGAAAAGTAAGATTTCTGTCTAGACAAGCGTGCAGCTGGTCTCGAACCAGCTTGTCCCGTGTTCTCAAACCGTTTACTGCCGGATGAAAAGGGCTATAACTAGAGAACATCGGACCTACTTGCTTACTAGGCCTGACGAAAATTCGTTCACGGAAGGCAGTTGCATCATTTTGTGAGTCCTATGTATTTCTCCGTGACAAACGTTCAGGCATACCGTCGCTGACTGCATAATTGCCTTGTCAATATCATACGTATGATAGGAATCTCTAGGAGCAACTATCTTAGATCAATGATAGCCCTGGGCTATCTTCACGCAGATCGGAAAGCCATGTCATATAGGTGGACTAAGGCCCAACTCAGAGTACTTGTACGGGTCCAATCCTTCTTATCAAACTAGCAATTGCTTCCTGACCTCAAATATGCGGATAGTAGAGGGCTAGGAAGACATGCCGCACTGACACTCGCCTCTCAGTCCCATCCAGAATCCGACATCAACTTAGTGTAATACGCGAAAACGACAAAAAAACTTTGGGCTTCCTGAGCCGCATCGTGTTGTCCTGTCTTCATTCTACTTGCTGCACCAACTTATCCAATTTACTTCATACTGTGAAAAAGTGTCAAACCTCCGCGTGCTCCTTGTCCACTAGCACGAAACTTTCGTCCCTAGCTCGACGCCAAGCTTCCCCACGGGCCACGGGGTTTTAAGCAGTTTTAAAAATGTGCATGTGATCCAGCTGTATTAAAGGACTTGCGTATACAGTGGTATGGAGAGGTCGGCGGATTTTACCTCGAGTTCAGCTCATCAAAACCGATCGTTGATTGTTTGGTCCGGAGAAAACAAGGAGATTCGGGTTTTGAAACATCGCCTGAGAACAAAGCAACAGCAATGATCGCAGTCGGAGAATTCGAAACGGGTCCTAAAAATACTGAAAACCAACAATCACAGAATCCTGTGCGTGGAAATTTCCGCGGTTGAGTTGACCGTTGAACGAATTGAACGTGAGACAAAAGATATGAATGCAGCGCGCATATTCCTATGCACAAGTGATCTGAGAGACCTTCCATCAAATTGAAGAGAATCCTGGACTTGGTTGAAGGTTAACGCGAGAGACTCACCTATCAGAGGAGATCATTCAACGTGATCTGTTGGTGAGCAAGGTTTCGTTCGATTAAGAGACCGGGCCAGAGGTACCGGGATTTTTACTGGTGCATTCAATCTGTCATCGTGAAATGATTCCAACTTGTAGAGATGCTAAGAAGTAGCGAGTCATCCGAAACCTTCAGACAGTAAGTTACCGAAGAAGCATACCGCATGCTGAGGCTGTATAAAACAGACATCCCGGTCAGGCGATTAGATAGCATAAACGACGCGTAAAAAAAGATTCCAAATGCTACCAAGAATCGTCCGACGGTGCCAATGTCAGGAAAAGCTTGGTTTAGGCTCGATTCAGGTTCGTGAGATTCCGGCCCGAGACCGCCGATGTGAGACGCGATGTGACACACGTGACATATCCATCTATGGCTACAACCAGCAAACAATACAAGGGCATCGGGGAGGATTTGTGGAAAGGCCGCTCAGAAAAAGTGGTAAGTGAATATTTACCCTTTTCGATACTACTATGATGCTCATTACCTCAGAATGCAGAGCTTTTTGCGCTGACATACGGTGCACTGGTTGTCCAGCTTATACAAGACTATGAAGACTACGGTGAAGTGAACAAGCAGCTAGAGAAGATGGGGTACAACATCGGTACACGGTTGATAGAAGATTTCCTGGCGAAGAGTAGTTTGGGACGGTGCTCAGACTTTCGGGAAGTTGGAGAGGTCGTTGCAAAGGTGCGTAGGCTGCGCTGTGATTGCTGAGAGGACCGTCGCTGATCCCTTCTCTTCTCTTGCTATTAGGTCGGCTTCAAATCGTTCCTCAACATTTCACCATCCGTCACACATGGCACTGCTGCACCTCCATCGTCGCCGGGGCGTCCGAATAGCGTGGGCTCTGTACCAGGACCGTCAGCGTATTTCACCCTAACCCTGGACGAGAACCCTCTGGCGGAGTTCGTTGAGCTCCCAGAAGAAGTCCTCGAAGGTGGTCTTTGGTTCAGTAATGTACTGTGTGGGGTTATTCGGGGAGCGCTAGAAATGGTGAGTAACGGATTAGCTGCTGTGTGCTGCCTTGGCTGGACAATACTCTTGCAGGTGCAGATGCAAGTACAGGCAGAATTCATATCCGATGTGCTACGGGGCGATGAGACGACAGAGATTCGAGTGAAGCTAATAAAATACTTGGAAGAAGAGGTTCCCGTTGGCGATGATTAGGTACTTACCTTTGCCTGTATAATAGCATTTTACTCTGGGCCATAATTTATATGTATAATGAATGCAGAGAATATTTTATGAATAACGGCCAATGTGGTTAAGCTTCTTCGCGTTCTTCGCATTCGACTTGGTCCTCTGTCCTCTAACAGGCAACCGCATCGCGTGTCTCTTTCCAACCCAGCTACCAATCATCCTGTGATGCTGTATGTTTTCTCTGATCTCTCTCCTCAACTCCGACTCGATCTTCAAACTGTTCAGCGGGTCCCGGGGCTCCTCTCGCACTTTCCCGTATCTTTCCGCCCAGTACCGTTGTTTGGCTGGCTGCTGCTCCCTCCTGGCCTTGAACTCGGCTTGCAGGGTTTGTAGTGGTGTCGAGGTTGCTGGGGGGGCAAAGCCAGGCGAGGCTAACGGATAATGAGGCACCGGAGGGGCAGTATGTGGTGACGATAAGAATGATGCCAAAGAAGTGACTTGAAAGGGAGTAAGGTCGCCAATTTTCATCTGGTCGTGGATTTGAAATCTCGCACATAGGCGATGGGCGATGTGGTGGCCGACGCCATAGATTTTCGTCAGGGCAAACTGGAAAAGTCAGATTAGATTGCGAATATATGCTAGTAAATTGAACGAACCCTGGCACGATGGGCGTCGTTGAGCTTGATACCCAGAATGTGCACCATCGCACAGGCGGAAGGAAAGACGTAAAGGATCACGGGACACGGCGGGACATTTTCACTCTCCGCCACTGCCAGCTTCAGTCACGACCACCGACACCAACCATGGCCTCCAGCAAAGCAGAAGGTCGTCGCGAAGATGCTCTCGTTAAGCAGCGAGACCAAATGCGGGAGGACTTCGAACGGCAGAAGAAAAACCTCATCAACGAAACCGAAAAAGCTCGCCCCTCTGCCAATCGTTTTGTTGGACAGCATGATTCCATGGAAGATACTCTCAAGCATAACACCGTTGGTCTCGTTCATTTGGAAGAGTTTCAGCAAAAGAGAAAAGAATTAGAAGAAGCGAAAGCTAGGGAGGCAGCGAAAACAAATGAGCTAAAGTATGTTTTCCGTCCACTCTACCCTTTCTTTTCTTTGGAACGAGTCCAGATGGCTTATAGATTGTGGAGAATCTGTTTAGAGAGGAGACAAAAAAAGTGAAGAAAAGGAAGAAAGCCGCCAAAGCTACGCTCTCTTTTGCCATGGACGACGAGAACGAAGACGGCGATTCGGGTGTGGATAGCTCTGGTGCCACCAAGGATAAGGACAGCAACGGTGAAGATGGCCCTCCTGCTAAGCGCAGCAAGTTCCGCAAAAACCCCAATGTCGATACCTCATTCCTTCCTGACAGGGAACGAGAAGAGGCTGAGAGAAGGGAACGTGAGCGCTTGAGGCAGGAGTGGCTTCGACGCCAAGAAGAAATTAAGCAGGAGGATATTGAAGTAACGTATTCTTACTGGGATGGTAGTGGACATAGAAAGAGTGTCATTGTACGTTACCCTCTCTCCTCCGTCTTCCCTGGATTTCATGACGTTCTTTTCAGTGTAAGAAAGGCGATGATATTGCTAGTTTCCTAGAGAAGTGTCGCTCTCAGCATTCCGAGCTGCGTGGAGTTAGCGTTGATAACCTTATGTATGTCAAGGTATGTGTCCCTTCAGCTTACCAGTAGTGTCACGCTTCCTCACCATTCTTCGCAGGAGGATATTATAATACCGCAGGTTTGCGTTATTTATGTGTTCTGCACTTCTTTTCTCATGCATCGGTACTACTGCAGCATTATACCTTCTATGATTTCATCATTAATAAGGCGCGGGGCAAGTCAGGACCTCTGTTTAACTTCGACATTCACGACGATGTTCGACTTCTGGCCGATGCTACAAAGGAGAAGGACGAATCACATGCTGGGAAAGTTGTAGAAAGAAGTTATTATCAGCGGAACAAACACATTTTTCCTGCGTCGCGATGGGAGGTGTGTGACGCTACTTCCTCCGCCATTTATCACACTGAATTCTCTCAGGTATTTGATCCGGAAAAGAATTATGGAAAATACACTATCGCCTGAGGGTTTACTCTGTGTATCGTCTTGAGAGCGGACGTACCATATTGACGCTTCGTTGAAATTGATTAGGCCGTTCAGAATCGGATTCATAGGCCTCTTCACAGCCGCAGATAACGTGCACGGTATCGTTTCAATCAGTTAGTTGAAAATCCGGCGTCGGCAATATGTATATTTCCATTCTATTTCCCCAGAATATTGATTGGCAGCGTATCCTAGTCTTCATTCTCCACGGGGAACTTTAGTAGGCAATATTCGGTTCGAAATGGCTGACGTTTCCCGGAGGTCGTAAGTTGAGAATAGCTTCGAATGACGGTTCCTCGTCAAGTGGCCTTCATATGTTTCATGGCGACCCGTTCGTTGTACCGAATATCTGGGAAAGGTATTTACGCCGCTCCCATTAAGTCATTGGTAGATCTCCGGCTGTTGGATCTATGCCTGATACTCCAGACCCAGAAGTGTATCACCTGAAGGTCTTTACCAAGCGATAACAATGACGTGTTGAATACACGCTTCGCGCTCTATCCGAGCACTTTCGACTGGGTTGATCAAAAATGTCAGTGAGGAATTGTAATTCGTGAGCCACCACATTCCGCACACGGAGTAAGTAAAAGGACGCCCATTCGACGAACAACGATCATCGGGATAAAGAATCACCAATTGAGAAACAGAGTTTGGCAGATACTCGAGAACTCCGTGTACCGTGGTTTCGATTCAGAGTCTAGAGATAAGGTACTGTCGGACTCGCTTGAAAATACCAAATTGCGACACAAAGCGTTCCTTCTTTTCTACCATGCGGGCCGCTAAGGCGATTCGTGAACACGGAGTACACATGGCTCTTCGAGCCTCTTTGGTTCCGATAGTTACAACGTTATTCATGAAATGTTCGCAACAAGCCGACAGGGCGGTCCGGAAGGGATGCTGCGCTCATACGTATTAATATCTCTGGAGTAAGGATAGCCAACATGCCGTCTACGGTAGTTGTTCTCGGTAATTTGTTTTCGAAGAAATATCGTCGTCAGCGGAAGTGTTTCCTAGTATAGTTGTATCCGGGGTGATATCATCCCAGGTGATGTGATCGCTTTGTTTACTTTCGAAGGTAATGATCAACAAACCTTCTTGCTCTCGACGTTCATCTCGTTGGCTCAACTGTACTGCTCTCACCGTGAAACAACATGGGCCGGTTAGCTGAAATGCAGCGTAAGCTCCTGGAGGTGTGTATTTCTCTTCAAAGTAGCTGGCTATATGCTTAGTGCCATTACAGCAAATGATGGGCCCAGAAGCTATGGGTGTCGCAAACGCCAATCTTGTCTGGTCAGATGATAAAGTTTGCAGGAATTTCCTCTGTGGGACATGCCCTCATGCCCTTTTCACAAATACTGTGCGTTTACCGTCATGGGACCGTTTGATTTCATTGGTTGTAACAGGAAAAACCAGAAAATGGACCTGGGAGCCTGCCCCAAGTCGCACACGGAGCGGCTCAAAACCGAGTACAATGCGGCCAAAGAAGCGAATCCTAACGACCCTATATTCAATAGGTTCCAGATGGAGTACGAGTCGAACATATTCGCCTTCGTTGATGAATGTGACCGGAGAATTCGAGCTGCACACCGGAGGCTGGAAAAGACGCCAGAAGAGAATGCAAAAACAACGAACCTGGTATGGTGTCAAATACCCTGCTCGCTGGATATCTCTGAGTTCCAGTGCCTTCTAGATGAAGGAAATTGCTGAAATCGAATTGGCCATACAAGGTGGAACAGAGAAAATCGAGACGCTCGGTAAGGTTTCCTCATCTATTCCGAAGGTCCACAAGGCTAACATCGTGCCTTTATAGGGGAACAAGGCCAGGTTGATGAATCCATGCGTGAAATGCAAGCTATAGAAGCGCTGAAAAGTGAAAAGAGCGAAAAAGAGGCACGTCGTCTGATGATCTTCCGGGATGCAGTGGAATTGAAGATTCTTTTAGAGAGAGTTGCAACAATTAACAGACACTTCTGGTGCCTCTGGTCACCAAAAGCTGCGGGTTTGTGATGTCTGCGGCGCATACCTTTCAGTACTTGATTCCGATCGTCGACTCGCAGATCATTTTGGTGGTAAAGTAGGTCTTTCCCACGTTCTCGCAGTCAAGCTTCCTATTTACGCGCCTTGTGTAGATGCATTTAGGTTACCATGAGTTGCGGAACATGCTGGCGAAGTTCCGTGAAGAACGAGAGAAACGCAAAGCTGCGCCACCTTCATCAGCACCTGTGTCGGGCGTCAACGGGCCATCTGGTGCAGCGTCTGGACGGTCTGGTGGGGATTATCGCTCCTCTCGAGGGGGCGATGAGTATCGTGACCGGGACAGAGATCGTGGATACGGTGACCGACACTCATCGTCGCGCTACGAGTAAGTGATGAAATTGAATCTCGTTACCTCCATTATTGATCGGTGTGTTATATTGCTGTAGTGACCGCAGACGCGATCGGGCAAGATCACGTAGTCCCAGGAGAAGTCGATATGATTGAAGTTCCGTATGTTTCCTTCAGGATGTCGCTGTGCCTCGTTGTGATACTCCGAAATAAAGTATATATCTTATGTTGTCTTAAGAAGGATCTGATTGTTTTGCCGTCCCGATCTAACATTTTGATTAGAGTCGCCGGTGGGTCAGCCACTGCATGTATTTACAAGTGCTGTTGCCGCAGGAATGACCCGAAGGCACCGAGTCGGGCTGGTGTCCCTGGCATCAAACATTCATTCTATTGGATGGGTGAAATTCACACCCGGTTCATTTCAAGCGTTCGTTTCTGCTTCGCTGATCCCTGCGCATATGCAAAGCATTTTTATCTCCGCGAAAGTCTCCGGGAGACTCATAGTACCGCGGCAAGAACCTGCAATAATATTTGCCCGTTTTCGGATATCACATCCAGTCGAGATGCTGTACATGCAGGTTCGGTTCGATCTATGATGGAGTACAGCAGAGGATGGCCTTCTAAGAGCGTGATTGAGATAGAAATGCTGTACAGGAAAGAATGAATGAATGAATTACAATTGAGCGAAAAAGAGCCCGACGAACTACTCGGAATAGGTGATCCACTCCCCCGCCAGGAGCACGTGATAGAGGCGACTTTCCAATTGCGAAGGCAGCTTGCGACGGACCTTTTGGATTTTACCTTCATCTCCTTCATCTCTCTCCTTCCTTTGCGCTTCCTTCACACTGTAACGCCGCTGTCGCCTTTCCTTGGCTACTTGCTTTCCTACCATCACCATCCTCTTTTCCTTTAAATCTGCCTTCGACCGCTGGCGCTGTCACTCACCCCGTCTTTGCGCACTCTTACTACGTCGTTTCGCGCTGGACACTACGACTCTGTCCATTATATTTCTACGGGTCCGTCGTAGCTGCGCACACGACGCCAGGGAAACAGCATCGATCCCTCTGATATTCTTACGGCCTGCAGTCACGAGAAATTCTCCCGGTAGCCACATCCTGTCGGCAACACGTCCATTACACACGTCCATTAACGACCAGTGCCACCGGTTTCCTACGCTTTACCCAGTCGGCGTTTCGGTCCGTACATCGCAGCTCCCAGTTCCACAATGAGCCCAATGGACACGACAGTATCACTGCCGCCTTCGTCCGATGGTTCGCCCGAGTTCGTGCCAGCCATATCCGGAACTATCTTGCCTGCTGCCGTGCACAGCTCTTCTTCTCGCCTCATACCGGACTCTCCTACAGTCTTTCCCAATAAAGCGGAGCTCAATGGCCCACTGCACGTGTCAACAAATCAACCCAATCTTTCTCCGCCTGCATATTTGGAACCGGATGCTATCGACCCTTCAGCTGTCATTCATTCCACTTCGAGTACCATTTCGGATTTTGCATCCGGATGTTCGCTCTACGTTCCTACTTCCAACTTTGAAAACGACATGCCTGTAGCGGGCACCGCTGCCTCTCATGCACCTTCCCTTTCTCCTCCCACTCACACCCGGACGCCCCCTCGCATACATACCACTGCTCCTGCATTCAGTACTACCCCCACATCCTCTTTACAGTCTGCTCTTGAGCCAGTGACACCGGCTCGAAGTCGTGCAAACACTATCGGCTCTTTTGCTCCCAGTGTTATGATGAACTTGGCTACTCACCAACCTCCCATCGGTCTGTTCCCTTCAGCACACAAGAACGGCAATTCACTGCTTGCTGAAAGCATGTTACAAGAGTGCGTTTTGTCCCATTCTCTTTCGATTTGTCATCACGTATTCATCCAAATGCTTACAGGATTGCCCATAACGCAGAAACGGCTGGTCAAGCTTGTAGGATGCAGCAGCCCCAGCGTGCTCATTCACTTCTCGAAGGCCTTCGAAGCAAGCTTTCGGTCGTGTCAGACTTGATTTCTAGCCTCACTGACGTTTCTTTGTCGGATTCGAAGCTCGGAACGCCGTATGGTAACGAAACTAAAGTCGACTACTTTTCTCCGCCACCATCATTACCGTCCAGCGGCGATCCGGTCGTTTCATTCCCAATTATTTCTTCGCCATTATTACCATCATTGGTTGGCGCAGAGGAGCGGCGCAAACGGTGTGCTTCCACTTTGGAAGAGGAACGACCTGTCAAGAGTCTCAAGGCCGAGCCGCAGGACAACACTCCTCTGTTTACTACTCCATCGGCTTCCCTTCCTTACCATGTCAACAGCCTTCCCCAATCTCCCCCGCCTTCTCGACCGGCATCCCCGCCCTTCATGTTCACTGCAGGAAAACAGCAGCCCTTACCACCAAACTACAACGTGTATACAAGTTCCTCAGATCTGTTCTTGAATAGCCCCACCCAACCGTCGCTGCCTCCCCACCGTACCTCGTGGTCAGAAAGTATCGTACCGACGCGACACTCACATTCATTGTCTGCGAGCGCTATTGGCGGTCTGGGTACTCCCGCGGGTGATGCCGGCATTCCGAGGGTACCTCCGTATCCCGGTGCCAGTGCCCCCGTCGGTCGGATGACCCGCTCTGGCTCAATTGGCGGCGCGTTCGGTACTCCCTTCCCCTCTTTTGATTATGCGAAGCACTTTGGTGGTGATACATGGCCTACTGCTCCGGCACAGGATGCTTTTCCCGTTTTGCCGCCTTTGAAACGGTCGGGCAACAGCTATGACAGTTCCCTGCCGACGACCTCGCATTTCGCTAGACGTGGTTCTCACGAGTCCCATACTCGGGAATATGATGAAGCACCTGAAGACGAAGATGGCGATGATGATGACAGTGAAGAATCTCCCCCGAGCAATAATCATCATTTGGTGGGCCCTTCTCTCCGGATTTCAAATTCTGTACAACTAAACAGTTTCCTTTGTAGACATCACCAGATCACACAACTTCATCAGATGTCCCTCAGGAGTATCGTTCCGAGGTTGACCGTATTTTTTTCGAATACCTGAATAGGATATGCTCTAATCGTAAGTTTGTTTGAAATTTGCGTGACTCGTTCGCTATTGACTGCTATTTTCAGTCGACGCTACTGATTCGAAAGGTGAAGCAATCCATCAAACTCTCATGGCGAAGAAAATGCAGCGGCTAGATGAATCGCCTGATTTCCGACCATTTAAGTTCCGCATCCAGGCCTTTACTTCGGCGTTCTTGGACGAGGTGAGTTCCGTTCATCTCCTTGTATGATCATTATATTGAATCCGGCATAGCTGGCGAGGCAAGGATATCCGGAAGACAAAATACCGATGAAAAAAGTTTGTATCGCTCCGCCGAACTATTTGTTGCGGACTAATAATGCTTCCGCAGGTACGAAATTACCTTTGGCGGCAACCCCACATCTTGCGCTTCAACGAGGATGGGAAAAAAGCGAAGTCTAAAGGGAACCACATTTGGAATGTTGAGGCGAAGAAGATCGGGGATGGGAGATGGGAATTCCGCCCTTTCTACCGCAAGCTGGCGGGCACACCTCCCAGCGTCGCATATTGCGGTCTACGCTGGCAGTGGACACCGAGGGTATGGGATCCTCAAGCATCTTGGCAGAATGTTCCGGTACATTACAGCTCCCCGTACCTGCCTTCTTGGCTATCATGGAAGGAGGACACACTAAGCGGAATTCCACCACCTGACGCTCAGAGCTGCGAAGTTACTGTCAACGCAATCGTAAGCTCTTCAGGATTTGACGCGGTTGCTTAGCTGATTATACGGCGGCTATAGTTCAATGTAGATGGTCAAGAGGGACATTTGTCTCATAGGTTTACTTTGAATATTGCTCCAGTAGCCTCGGTCGAGTCATCATCATTTGGACGTTCATCGGCCGTTCATGATATGTCTGGCGTAAATGACCTAGGCATGGCGGGTCAACGGTATGTACTCTCGTGCCATTGAGCTTTCATGTCATGACAACAATTATCTTCAGTCATTCCACACGTACAAACAACAGCGGATCAGACGATACTCCAGCTCGTGTTGTCACCGTGCTTCAAAACGTTGCGCAACGTGTGGCCGATGAAACTACGCACATACAACGTTCCAGCCCTCCTTCAAAACAACAGGATTTGGGTGACCTTGTGAAGCAGCAGCGCGTTCTTGAACACACGATGAATGCATACGACAAGGCCATGACAGGGCCCACTCATTCTGACACTCAACGCTTGGCTCGGGCAGCCGCGCAGATCGTGGCCGAAGCCGCACAAACAGCCGTCGCTCCTATGGCTGCAGCTGCTGGCATGATCCCCACGGATGCTATGGCTATCCAGTCGGCCTCTGTCAGTGATATGTCAGACGGAGTACAAGGCGCTCTTGCTGCAGCTGTGAAAATGGCAGGACATGGCTCTAACGAAGTCGACGTCATGATGACGACGCAATCTCTCCTTGCTCAGTCACGGCGAAGTCCAGGAGACATGCTCGAGGCACGCCATAATATGGTTGGAAGTCATGTAAGCGGCGTGTCTCTACCAAATTCTCAGACTGTGTCTGTGTATTCGTCGGCGCTTCCCATTTAAGATGGTTATTTCTGGGGTATATATTAGGGAATAGGTGGTTTTTCTTCTTGTCTTTCCTGGGGTTTCAAGCTTTGTTTCTTGGTTTTCGACGGGACTAAGCATCGTATGTCCGTAACAAAAGGTTCTTTAGATCACGACCGCCACGATACTGATTACGCCCAAAATAAAATGTTTGTAAAGTATCAATTCAATGAAAAGGTGTATCACACATTGTACAGGTTAGAGCATCAGAGTCATTTAACAAGGTACACATTCCGCAGGATTTCTGTTCGACTCCGCTGCTCTTTGGCGGAGTCTCGCTCTGTTCCCGAGAAGTGGACACATTGTTTGATCCTCCTAGTAAAGTCCCTCCGAAGCCACTTCCTTCTTCTCTTCGTGGCCGCTTACTGGGAACCTCGTCGCCGTCCGAAGAAAGCTCGTAAACCTCGTTCTGTTCTCGAAGTTCCAGAATATCGTTAGCGAAAATGTTCAATGATGCTGCCGTCGCCGTGTTGTCCTCCAGTTCTTGTCCGAGATAAAAGATGCGCTGACAAATGGGCGAAATATTAAATATCTTCTGGAGCTATATTCCGTTGAGACAGCAGTTGTAAGGTGCGCAAATCTCCGCACCATGACTTTGATATCTTTGACGGTGGTGGTCTTGGATATCGTCACCTTTCGCCTCTCGCCGTGTTGCTTTATCTGCCGTAATCGCTTGGATTGTCGGGCACCCAACATCTTTGGAGCAGGGTCTCGGGAAATGGAGTCGCCACCCTCATTAGGCTTCGTTCCCTTACCAAACCGAATAGTTATGTCGGTAGTTTCCCAATCACGCTTTCTAGGAACAGCAAGTCAGTGGCACTGCGCATCATTGCGGAGAGATTTGTGGTTACCGTTTCTGCCGACATGGATCACAAACAGGTATGTCATGAACGAACCGTGCCGAGCTTCCACTTTCTTTTGCAAGAGCAATCAAAGGCCCAGCTGAGTAACTATAATTGTATCGTTTGGTCCTCGGATCAGTGTAAGATCGTGCGAGTACATACTAAGTTTCCAGAATATCCCAGTCGCTTCGTTTGACAACGGCCAAAGCGGAGTCCATATCCGTCGCACAGTTGGGATCGAAAATGAGAAGACGATGGTGACAAAAGAAAGGCTCATTGTCGATGACTTCCGGCCTTGGGAAATCACCAGGACGAGTCAACCAACGCCTCCAGGAGCGTAGAAATTGCGTTGGGAGAATCGCACATGGAATTTCCTCAAGCAGTACCACGCCCCTGACAAGTTCGTTATCATTTAGGTGCTTTAGTCTGGCCTGTATACCGTCAAGTACCATGGTAACCTTGGTGGATCACACACGCACCTTCTCATTCTCTGCACGTTTTCGTAGCTCCAAGCGGTCAGCCTTCGTTATATCGATGGAGGCTTCGCACACTGCGCATGGTTCCATCTCAGTGGAGAATGCTTCCCAGGTCGGAAACAACCTTATCAATATTTCCATTCCCTATTCGAGATGAATGACCCACAGGATGGAGGACTTGTAAATTTCGACTCACCTCCACTGAAATTCGCGTCCGTGACGTCGTGTTAAGCACCAATCCCCCATGCTCACAACGAACGTGCCTATCGTATTCCGGTGCTTCTGGAGAAGGATCGCTCTCAGAGACCACATGCATTTTCGGTTTCGCCAATTTCCAATCTACATGTTGTCGGCAATCAGTTTCACTAGTGTCGGCTCCAAGTTGAGCCGATAGCATACCTTTTAGCCAAGGTTTAGATATCCAGTAGCCGAAAGAATTAGCGCCAACTTCTGAAACCTGTTCGAAGTCTCGCACTATTCGTGGATGCTCAATCTGATATATTCGCTCTGGTTAAACTGTTAGTATTTGTACGTACGGCTCGCTTCGACGTACCTGTGAGTGATCTCTGTACGCATTCTCTGCAGACATCACTAGGTGTCAGTATCGGTTTGAAAACACAGCAAGTCTCGTCATTTATCCGCTCGTATGCACGCTTTCATATATTAGTTTATACCGAAAGAGTGAACAAACCAGATTCTTACTCTTGTTATGCGTTTCATATACTGAGATCTCCTGTAATCTAAACGTCCATGAGGACAGATAATCTCGTCGTTTGGGATTTCAGTAAGCCGCGGTTCATTAGTATGCTCGCCTGTTCCCAATGTTTCCTGAGAATTATTCATAGTCTTGATGGCAGCCGTTATAGAATCCGTTGAAAGCCATTTCTTCAAGGCCTGTTGACTGACTATCACAGCGTCCTGTTTTCATGTCAGGGAATGGGAAAAATGCAGACAGATAAAATTCTAACCTCATTGACAGAGGCACCACTCCAAGAACGATATATATCCATGACTCGGTGCCTTGTTTCATCGAAATGGGCGACAGCAGCCTTCTTCCTAGTTAATATGTTAGTTATGTGTTTGTGCGTTGAAAGAGACACATACTTGGTGGAATATGTCTCGCATTCTTCATCATGCGTAGCGTTTAGTGCGTTAACAACCTCCTATTACATCAGGAGAAGGCGAAAGGTTCAATGGCATATTATTAGATACGGCCTGTTCAGTTTTCAAAGGCTCGCGCCTAGCATATATCAGCATATAAGCGTCTTTGGAAGAGATTTCGCTGCATTGACACAACGTCAGTTAACAACGCATGTGGTGTGGAGCATATTAACCTAGGAGCCTGTGCATTTAAGCCATTGGTCTGATCGGGGGCCCTAGAGAATGTCCGGTTTTCAATAACAACAAAAACGGTGAAACGTTGTGCACAATTACCCCTCGATTTCTTCGTCACTGGCATCAATCACACGCTTTCGCTTAGCGGCCTTCGCACGTTGCTTCTTCCCTTGCAATGATTCTTGTCTGCATTATTTCAGTTAAAGGTATAATTCACTAGAAGAAGACTCACTTCACTTCCGAATCTGACTCTAGATCAATAATTTTCTTGTCTGAAGGGGTTTTCCCCAACTTTTCAATCTTCGTGACTACATCATCGTTGAACTGATACCAGGATCGAGATCTATAGCAAGAATTAGAGATAATGCTCATAGAGTTGCAAGACCAACAAACGTGATGTCGAAAACTTGTGCTTCGTAGTGTCCGTGGTAGGCACTAGCACCCTTGTGCAACAATACCCCGCGCAGCTCATATATACCGTCATCGTGATCATCGTGCGTCGCACTCTTCCGCAAGTCGGCATTTCCTATGAACCTATTCATGTTAAGGATGCCAGGAAATATGATGGTGTTTTTGGACTTCTTTCTCTCCATAGTGGAAACATCGTAAACAAAACGCAGCAGGGAAAAATGAAGAACAGGCGGCAATTCACGTAATTCGACATAGCGTGTAGCGTCACGGTGACCATCACACCGACAACAAAAGTATCTATGATTCAATGAGCTCATCTCCAGAATACATCACAGACGAAAGAGATTACTTGTTATCGCCGGTTAATTTCTCTGGTTGTAGGGTTGCTGCGATGCAATCTCCAAGTTTTGCGTTATTCTATGCACCTGCGTTCCAGCAGAGAGTGGCAAGAAGGTACTAGACGCACCTTAAAACTGATTTCAATTTCCAAAAAGTCAGACGACCGTTCAGACTTGTAAGCACAGGTATCACAGAGAGTTCCGTAGACCTGTTTTCCTTGAAACTGCAGCAATCAACGAGCAGTTACATTATCCAGGTAGAGATTTTGCACACTTGATCGGTGAGAAGCGACCGTAGCGAGGGACTGGTTTGTTTCTTGAATTCTGCATCGAGATGAGACATAAAGAGCTTCGAGAATTCTTGGGCGTCTTGTTGCTCTGATGTCCGCAGCTGCAGACTCTCCACAAGTTTGATGGGGTTGAAGACGGTCTGAGAACTTTCCTGTAGGGCGGCGAATGTTACTTGCAGCTGAAATATGGGAGATTCCTGTGGGACTTGTTCAATCAAGTCGTATGATAGGGAGTCACGATTGCTACCTTGAACTTGTCCTTAGAGCCTTCTGCAAGTCGACACTCGTATACGCCTTTTCGAAAAGCTAGGTCTCGAAACCATACTTGGAGCGAGGCATTCGCGTAGCAGGTCGCTCCAAGATTCTAGGGTGTTAGATGAGAGTGCCACTCAGTATGGAGACTAAGCAATATTTCACTTTCAGTCCCACAGGGATATCCGGATCTCGACTGTGGAGTAAAGGGTCGTCGCCGATGTTAGCAGCCTTGAGAAATGCCTCCCTAGCACGATCTATCGCGATGTCATCCACCGCTCTCGCCCACAGCAAACATGCAGCCTCACCTTCATCCTCCCATAGTTCTTGACCAAGATAATTGAGACAGTTGGGGTTGTATTTGCAAGACTGCTTGCTGCATGTAAACTCCTCATCATCGGAAATGACAATGACGCCATCCTCTGCATCGTCAGGCGCTGGTGATGAAGCCAAACGGTAGTCTGGTGAGTATCTATTACGACAGAACGAGCAATCGTTTCTTCGAGAAAGTCCACAGGTCGCGAGAAGGTGTTCTTGGGTAATTTCTGAAGACGTCGCCACCTCGGTGCCCACCCAAGCCCACGGTGTTGTCATATTGCCTGGAAGCGTGTTTCTCTTGAGTAACTGTCCTGGGGCGAGGCCATTGGGTGACGAGGCGCGTAGTTTGCGTTTCGGTGGCATGAGTGGACGTGAATGGAGGTAGTGATTAAGTAAAAGGGTCGGCAAGCGAGACCAAACTTTTCTTTACTACTCCCATGACGTCTGTCCTAATCTGGCGGCGATGGCACCATTCTACTACGGTGCTCGCGCCTCTTTAGATATTGTGGTAGGTTACCAGTATTGTCGAATATCTGAAGTAGGTGCTGGAAATAACGAGCCTAAGGTTGTAGCTTGGGTAGATGATCCTATACGTTACACACATATCCCAGTTATTATAATACGATGCCAATATTTGCTTGCTTATTGAGTTATTTGACTACAATCCAGTACGATGAAGACTAAATATCGTACATACGCGTTGCAGGCGGGCCGTCGCTTACCGCACAAACTTCTCTCTTTGCTGCTTCCATGTCGGATCCACCATTCTGGTTGCGCAAGCTGACCGCAATAAAATCGCGTCTGTTTCCTGGTGGTGACGCTAACTTGACTCGACTGAGGAGGAGGCAGGCACTCTTCGCTGCTATGGGTCGCAGGTTACCCCTTCTCCGGTGTGTCATCATAGGTTTTCAAGAAAGGAACGATTCTGATATCCATTGCCAGGATTCTCCTTTTCGTCACTGGATATCTTTGGATGCTTGCAATACCTGCTCTGCCTGGTCGAGGAACGTACATTGATGAGAATGCACTGCTACCTGGCCAGGTACATACGTTGTTCTACAAAAGCGCCCGTGTCGACTCATTGACACGATTCTAGGTCAACACAAACTGGAATTGGGCCGAAGTTCATGCAGCTGATCGCTACCTGGATCACATAGAAAGACTACAAGATGGCAATGCCACGAGTGAGCAGTGAGATGAGCGGTCATCGTCTAGAGCTACGTACTTATTCACAATTACTAACCCAGGCGCGCCCAATATTTTGTGGAGGAATTCAAGAAACTGGGGGTAGCTGCATCCACCCAGAATTACACGTTTTCGACCGTGTTTGGCGTACGTCTGGCGATCGTCATCTTCATGGGAATCTGACCATTTCTCGGTAGGAGTCGAGCGGAACTAATGCCTATGCCATAATGTCCGCTCCACGTTCTCCAGGCGTCGAGGCTATGGTCATCAGTGCCTCTTGGCTTAGTCGCACTGGTGAGGGTGATGGATCTTTAAACTTGCGCGGTGTGTCTACGGTCTTAGCACTCGCTGGGTTCTTGCGCCGTGCGTCTTAGTCCACTCTGACATAACACTCGGTTCTGATTAGTTGTAATTGATCAACAGGATATTCGTTCTGGGCCAAAGACTTGATTTTTGTAATAAGTGATGATTATCTTGAGGGAATGCAGGCTTGGCTAAGTGCTTACCATGGCGTTTCCCACTCAAGTGAGGTCCTGTCCCATATTATTGTTTCATGATCCAATTCCATTCTCGTAGACCTGCATACCAATGATCTAGATTTATCATCTGGTGTAATATGGACAGCCCTCAATATCGATTACCCAGGTCATTCGTTCTCCCATCTGGGTATCTTCCACGGTGTGTATGATGTTTTGGTTCAACTTCACAACGTATGAATGTGGTTTTGATTAGAGGGTCTCAACGGTCGACTCCCTAACCAAGATCTTCTCAATTCTTTCAAACGCATTTCAAAATATTCTGGTGGCGTCCCTGTCATTCTTTACGACTACATGGATCATCAGGAATTCCCCGATCAGTACGACTTATTGCCCTCATGGATCCCTGCTTCAGTACGGCAGCACCAGGGCGTGAAGGCATATTTGTATCGTTTCAAAAATGTATTGCACCATGGAAGATATCAAGCGCGCGGAATAGGCAGTGGCGTACATGCACTCTTTCATCAGTAAGAATTCTCTCGCAGTCACATGGACCGCTAACCGACGTATCTCAGATTTCGCATTGATGCCTTCACTATATTCGCCCTCCCTGCGACAGGGCCTCATGGGTTTCATGCAATTGGACGGTACGTAGCTAGTGCCGATTTTGTTTCGCTACTAAAGATATTTTTGTAAAGTATCATTGAATCCACGTTGAGAACCACGAATAACCTATTGGAACGCTTACACGCGTCCTTCTTCTTTTATATCATGACTGACCCGGATCATTTCCTCAAGATCGGTCTCTATCTTCCTAGTGCAATTCTTATTAGTGTTGCCATGATGTTCACCGGCCTAGGGCTATGGGTTGAGGCGGGTTGGACTGCATCGGGAGATGAGAAGTCAATTGACAGGAAATGGACGAGGAGGAAGCGGCCTGTTCTTCACGTGCTTGCAATCATGATATCGACGCACCTCTTAGGCGCCACGATGTTTTATTTGGTGAATACCGAGCTATTTTTCAGGAGTTGGGTCGGTTTTTTTCTCATGATGGTTCGAAACTCAATGTGACTGATGTTCCTCGACAGATTTGCCCCGTAGCCGTCATGCTCATGACGGCAATCCTACCAATATACACTATGTTTATTCCTGCCGCTTCCCCGTCAGATGCATCGTTGTGTGTCGTGCTAAAGGCGTTAAATCTCTGTTTCGCCTCCACTGTCATTTCCATTACGGCGGTACTGAACTTTTCCTTCGCTGCCTCAATGGCAATCCTTCTAGGCATTCCGCTTTCAATATCCCCCGCGTCATCTCGGAGAACGAAACCAAAATTCGTTTATTATATTCCTTATGCTTTGTTCGGCTTGGGTTGGTTGGTTCTCTGTCCGGAAGGAGTTCGCAAGGCGGTCTGGGACTGGGAAACCCTAGGAGTATGGTTCGGGCCTTTCCTCAGTATAGTAATCTCCCCATTGGTCCTCCAAGCTGGTGTAGTTTGCATATTGGCATGACTTGATATACCATGACTCATTGGATAGCAAACAAACTATGGGAAGCGTTACGTCTCAGTACAAATCATCCAAGAAAGGTACTTTGGATATGTACAACGCGGCGCCACCAACAGCAAGACCAAACCACAACCAGGTGTAAGCATCAAACCTAGGTTCTGCCCCAGCTTTCGATGATCGCCTGAGATTGAAACGCGGAGCTAACGACATCAGGGAGTGCTTCCGTCGTGAAGTGGACACGACGGAATCAGGCGATGAGAACGCTAGCGAAATAATGCGGTCCGCGTGTGAAACTAATGAAGGATAAGAGCTTTTGAGAAGTTCCTTCAAAAGGGCATCAGGGAAGGGCGTTTGTGTCAGAATCCGAATATGTGCAGCAACCAAGATATCCAAGCTTGTGGGACTGTCTTCCGGGTCAGTGGATCAAGTTACGACACAAATGATTATCCAGTACCTATCGGCGTAGAAATATGCCTTCGTATCCAGCAACCGGGAATATATGTCAAAGATGGCGCGCGCCTTCTCCGCAACCTTCGGTGCGTCATTCAGGTCGATGTTTGATGGGACGAAAGGGTTGACATACCTTTTCGCGTTCGAAAACGCGCAAGAAGCGATCCTTGTGCTTTTCTGGCTGTTCGATATCAGGCTTGGAGCGTTCTATGAAGGATTTCTTTTCTAATTCTTCGCCTGGCAATGTCCAGAGGTCTGACGCTTCCAGCCGCTTCCGATATATGTCACGGATTCTGAGCGGCACATAGTATCGCTGGGGTATGGGATACATTTTTGCTAGGGCCGGGTACACCAGCTCGTTCCAATTCGCGTGCTGAGCGTAAAAGACATGTGACTGAGAAAACCTGAGTTCGGTCTTAGCACCTCAGAGAAGAGACACTCACCACCAAGTCACCAATGCTAGACACGCAGTGCTCATACCACGCAACGTTCTGGGCTTTGGGGGATGCCGTTAACGATACAGCGATGCGCGAGTTTTTCTCATGCAGTCCCGTAACGTACTTCATTATAGCCGACAGAGTCGCCACGACGTGTTGTTGGTGGGAAAGAAAGGGTAAAGTTCCTTAGAGAAAAATAGTTATTGATTGAATGTTCTTTAGCCTGTAGCACTGACCTACCAGTCGGCGACAGCTCCGGATTCGTACACTCGACAACGGAGAATTTTCCAGGAATGGAGAGCTGCAAAAAGATAACCGCCGCAAGACACATAGGTTCGAATGAACGGAGACCCCATTGTCCCGGCCAAATGTAGAGTACGATTTCCGAGTCTGTCATGGCCAGTGAGAGCGCTGGGAAAACATGTACGCGACGGTCATTGTTTGCGCAGCACCTGTGTAGACAAACTCACGGCTAGATTTGGTAATCACCTCTTTGACGGCGGCCACCATCGTCCATCTGACAACGCGCATTCGCTACAACGCGTAATTTCTAGAGACATTTTATCTTTCTTGGTAAATTTCCGTGAAACCAAGCCATTTCATGTTATTGGTACTTCCATGTGGTCCCGCTCCGAGGTAACCGACGGTCCGGCAGCTCTGGACACCAGAGCGCTGTTATTTAGCCGACAAATGCCTGGACGGTAGCTCTGGAGAAAGTTCGGTTTCTCGCAGCTTCCTTTTCTCTGCATGGGTAGTATAATCGATGTGCATGGGTGCATCCGGTGACCATTTGAACAGAAGTTGCTGGCAGTCATATGAAGTCACACAGTTTCCTCTGGGACATAAATTGTTCCAGGTCTACTATTAATTTTTTTCTCAGTAACGATGAACCTGTCTGCGGCCTTCACCTTTTTGGCTCTGGTGGTAACCAGAGTATATTCCATTCCTGCATTTCCTGGTGCAGAAGGTACGCGTGTTTCTTCTCTGCAACGTCCGTATCCACCACGCGTTCCAAAACAGGATTTGGCGCTCAAGCGACCGGTGGCCGAGGAGGTAGCGTCTACGTCGTAACGAACTTAAACGATTCTGGTAAAGGCAGCCTCCGTGATGCCGTATCAGAATCGAATCGAGTGCGTGTTCCTGAAAGGCTACTAGTTCCATCTAATTTTCCTCGCAGATTGTCGTGTTCGCGGTGGGTGGCCTCATCACAATCGATGACCGTATCGTTGTTTCCAGTCACGTCACTATTGCTGGACAGACAGCACCTGGTAAGTCTCATGAATTACAGTGCCGCTAACTCATCATACTCTCCAAAGGAGAAGGTATTACGGTATACGGAAATGGCGTTAGCTACTCATCGGCATCAAACACAATAACCCGGTACATCCGATTTCGCATGGGCACTTCGGGTACGCTTGAATATTTTTCAATAAATGATGTACATACCATTCGGTCCCGCAGGCGACTCCGGCAAAGACGCCATAACCATAGCCAACGGCGAAAACATGATTTTCGATCACGTTAGTGTCTCTTGGGGCCGAGACGAAACGTTCTCTATCAACGGCGACGTAACCAACGTCACGATTTCCGACAGTATCATCGCGCAAGGCCTGGAGACACATTCCTGCGGCGGTCTGATTCAAACAGATGGAGGTGTCAGTATTCTCCGCTCGCTGTACATTGACAATCAGACGCGGAACCCCAAAGTGAAGGGCGTCAATGACTTTGTCAACAACGTCGTAAGTATCCCGAAGCCCGAGCTCGTTCATTTGGTCGCCTACTCTTGTTCTGATCGATAACGCGTTGTGCAGGTGTACAATTGGGGTGGCGGTGGCGGTACGGGTTACCACCCGATACCAAACTTTGATGCTGGTTGACAGTTACTTATTAAAGGCTACATTGCTGGAGACTCGGCCGGTCAATCATACGCGAATATCATCGGAAATGTTTTTATCAGGTCTGGCGCGTGAACTTCCCAGCATTCCTGCTCATCATTCTTGTCGTACAGTGGACCATCAACATCTGTGCATCCTTGTATGTCTACTTCATTTATGGCCAGCTGATTCCCGAAATGTACCTTCCCAGTCACTCGCGGTAACGAGAACTTCCACGCGTATGTGTCTGACAACTATTACGACCCCGACCAGGTCAGTCTCCTGTCAATCCTTGACTGTAGCACGCCTAGACTCATTCTAATGTAGGATGGCACTTCGAACGGCTGGGTTCTGTCAGCGACCACTGACAACTATTCCGACATCGACTTCCAAACATCCCGGTACAACTATCCGACTGTCGTTACCCTGCTCAGTTCTTCTCAGGTTCTGGCTTCTGTCAGAGCCTCCGTTGGCGCAAGCAAAGTTAGAGATCGCGTTGATACATACCTAATTGAGACGGAACTTGCGTCATTAGGCACCAAGGGTGCGCTGATATCAGACCCAACAGCCTCACCGATCAATGGCCCGGGGCCTATTGACGGAGGAACAGTAAGTCCTTGGGAATGTGCGTGGAACATGCTTAACCGTCTGACCTCCTTATTTCAGGCGCTGACGGATTCAGATGGCGATGGTATTCCGGATGTTTATGAGTCTGCTCTTGGTACAAACCCAAATGTCGCAGACTCTGCGACCATCGCATCCAACGGTTATGCCAGTGAGTTTTATGCCTCTTAGAAAGATTCACAAAGTACCTATTGATATTGCAGATGTCGAGAACTACTTTAACTCTTTGGTGTAAATAATGAAAAGATGCATATTGAAGTAACTACTTAGGTGACATAGCTGAGGGATCGAAAACAGTGAAAGCATATAGCCAGTATATATAACAGGTAACAGCGACAACGGGATAAAGCAGAGTTAAGCGGGCAGTAAGGAGGAGCAGAAAGCAGAAAGCAGAAACGATAGCGAGAAAAGTAATCACAAGCATCTGATGTATGCTATCAAAGCAATTGTGAGAGTAAGCGCTGAAATTGATACATGGTCCATTGTCCTGGGATCGGTCCTGTTATCTTTCCTTCCGTGGGGAGTTCAGTCCCCTAAGGGGCCCATTGCGTTCGTTCTAGTCATTATTGACGTCAGGTCGATTATTAGCCGTTCCTTGGTTTTGAGGCTGCAGCGGTGTCTTGCTCCTTCCGATCATTCCTTGACCTGGCAATCCAGTCGGTGTGTAGGGGCCTGGTCTCATACTGACTGCTCTACGTGTATCTGCAGTCGGCATACGATTGCCGCTCTGCACAGGTCATCAATGGAGGCATCACAATGTAACAAATCTCGACTTACATTATACAAGCTTGCCTTTGAAGACGACCTGCTTGAAGACGATCGCCCTGTAGATGACGAAGCTGGGCTAGCCGGCCCAGACGAGATCGTTGGTGAAGGTGCGGGGGTGATGAATGGGGGTGGAGAAGTAGCAAATCCTTGACTTATCACTGGTGCACTGGCAATTCGACGGTTAGGCGCTCCGGCATGACTACTTGAGCTCGCTAGAGGTCTTGGAGTCGAAACGGGCGACGGTTCGTTCTCGGGCATGATACCTTGAGTGCGCAAAAACTCTGTCGTGACAATTCAGCATCAACCAGCATAAGTAGCAAAACGTGAATATTACCTCGCGACCTATATCGGAATATAAATGACACATAGGTGCTTGGCGTTTTGGCAGTCGAACCCGATTGGAATGGTCGGACCATCCAAGTGAAACCAAGCTGCTCGAAGGACGGAACTTCGTCACCAAACCTGCACGAGTTTATTTGAGGAACGAAGAAAGCGAAAGGTCGGGCATGAGCGTACCCAACACGGTGGTCCCCAGACCGTAACACACCCTGTTTTGAGGTTGACAGCGATAGATGAGGATCCGGCGGTCGAGTGGAGACGCGATTTACTCTCTTGATACGCAGAGTAACCATTCCAGCATCTCTCGAGGAGACTCCGGAAGATGACTTGCCTACAGAGATGCTTGTAAATAGAGATCTTAGGACACAAATTAGCACTCACTTGCTTCCTCCTCAGTTACTTGTTGGAAAACGAAAGGCCTCTCGGTCGTCTTGGATGTTCTGACTCCAGATCTATAAGCAATTCCGTCTCCGTGCAGGAATCTCCCGGGTACGGTAAGTCCGTCGAGAGTTATGAAGGAGCATGTATCAATCTTGCCGTTATGGTCTTGCCAGTACACTGCAAAGGCCTATAGCAGAAGGTAAGAAATTTGAACACAGAGCACACACTCAACACTCCCCTGGCCATCTTCACTTGGAATCCAACACGATACGCGGTGATTAGTCGCGTCGACCGCCACCAAATATTCTGGAAGCGGCTTGCCGTTAGCCACGATCCAGGCTGAGAAACCACGATGAGTGAGCATCACAAGGAGAAAATCATTCAAAATATGAACAGAAAGAGGGTAAGGTCGCCACGAACGGGAGAGGGGATGAAGGAGTGGTTGTGGTCGGGAGTAGACTCCAACTTTTTGTTCGATCGCGATGAATCCGGGCACGTGATGCCGGATATCCCCTTCTGGGACAAACGCAATGTCTTGATTTCAATTTTCAAATTGTCTTTTGTTTTCCTCGTTTCTTTATGGCAGAGTCATCAAAACGTAGCATTGACCTCTACAAAGATCTTGCGTCTTCTACAAAGGTGATTGTAAAGTTTTGTTTTGGAAAACTTTGTGCTGAGACTTGGTTATTAGAACCACCGACTCAGGCTTTCAAGCACATCCCCTTTCACGCCTACTTTTGTCACTTCCAGTGTATCGCAATCTTCACATCCAGCCGACATATATGCCACCAGGGTACACGGACGTAAGGTGGTACTTGCAAATCCAGTCAAGGAAAGCCGGGAAAAGAAAGAAGGTATCGAGCGAAAGGCGAAACGTAAGGCTCACAAGGAACAAAAACGCCTTGGCCTGGTCGGAAAACGGGAAGCAAGAGAGAAAGCTGTGTGGAAGCTTGACGAGCATCAGGCAAAGTGGGTGCATTGTCAGATTGTTTCTCGCCTCTTATCTGTTTCACTAGATTCAACATTTTCTTGCCATTGCATCATCTCTGGATGGGATACATGTCAGAACTTCTTGGGCTTAACCAAAGATCGACATCTTCTTGTATTCCCACAACGAAAGACATGCCGTCGACCGGATCCATGCATGCTAAACTTCTGAAGGCAGATTTGAATGGGTCTCTTATATCAGGTGCTTCCATTTGTCTCCATGACATTATACCAGGCTCATGGCTCCTCAAAGTGCGACGTAGCAAGAATCCATCCTTGCTCGCCTTATCGGGTATTGTAATTCACGAATCCGAAAATGCCTTCAAAGTCATCACCAAAGAAGACCAAGTAAAACGTTCGTTGCGAGTCTCGTCTGACTCTACCTTGTTCTGATTATTTTCAAGTCATACCGAAAGCGAATGCAGTCTTTGTCCTTGCAGTTCCTCTATTTTCTACACACCCGTTGAATTATGACCCCTCTGCGCCACTCATTATTCCTTCAACAGAGGAGTCGAAAGACACAGTGTTGGATCGACCACACATCGAGTTTGAACTTTACGGGAACCAGTTCAGATTCCGTTCTGCTGATCGTGCGGGTCGCAAGTTCAAGCACAAAGAGACCATAGAGCTCTAGCTCTGGCGTCCGACGACAGTGTATCGTCACTACCAACAGGAGCCCACGGACAGTACTGTATCCATTACAAGTTCAAGAGCATCGAATCTCTTGACCTCTTTGACCGTCACCGTAAGCTTTGAAGAAAGGACTTCATTGTCGAGGTTGTAGTTGCTTTACATGGTTTGGCTGCCAGTGGGTTCTAGGGTCTCTCAGGCCTTAGATGCGGTGAGAAACTCTTCGTTTATGAGTAGGTTCAGCAGGCGATGGATCAGGATTACTTATTTGCAGATCATAATTAGAACGAAATTGTTGATTAGCGTAACGAGAAGTCAAGCTAGTCAAGCCCCTATGGAAGACGGCGCTGCCAAGCATGCATAAACACTACTATAAGAAACCTTTTTCCAACTTTCTACTCCTTCACCGCAACCTTTTAGACAGTGCCCGCTCTGCGACTTTTTGCACGCAGACCGAGGTGATTAGGTATAGCGTAGACGAAGGCCGGTTGGGTAAAAGAGCTTGCTAGCCTGTTCAGTGGTGCCGTGAGCGTCAGACCTTTCCTACATGTATCGTTTGCAATATACGCGTCTTTCCACAGTATATCTTCATAACATTTTGATACCAAGAAGACCTCCATTGTGTTTTTCCCGCCCTCTTCTACGGTTGTTTTCGTCAATGCCACCGAAACGCGCTGGCACTTCGAAACGCAAGGCCGCGTCGGACAGCGACGATGACGGGACAAGCACCAAAAAAGCCAAGGTCGAATCTCCCGTCGAAGGAGCACAGCCGACCAACAAAGTCCTGCCAGTGAATATCTCGTTCCCGTCGCGAAAAGGGCTGAGGATCGCAGCGTGGAATGTTTGTGGACTGGCAGCGAGTCAAAAGAAAGTGCGTCAGCTGTTCGTCGGATTGGCCTGGTCTCATTCTCGAAGGGGTTTAAATTCTACGTCGAGGCTGAGGATCCCGACGTCCTTGTGTTGACTGAAACCAAGGTAAGCAATGGCACTTGCTCGTCCTTTTCGTTCTCACTTCTGTCTAGGTCAACGACGAATCTGTCGACCCCGCACTGAAAAGCCGGTTTCCTCATTCCTACTGGTCAATCTCTTCAAAAAAGACGTACTGTGCGTATGCCTTTCGGCCTTTTAAAACTAGTGCTGAGGAACCCTTGCTGCAGCTGGGACCGCCGTTCTCTCCAAGCACAAGGCTCTGTCCGTCGATAAAACCCTTCCAGGACATCCCGACCCAGAGATCGTCAAAGGACGCATCATCACCCTTGAATTCGGGAGCTGTTACCTCGTCGCGACCTACGTTCCCAATGCCGGCACCGACCTCAAGGTATGTTCGCATTTTCTCATCGACCTACAAAGGTCAGACCCTCTTAGACTCTGGGCGTTAAAAATGAATGGAATGTTCACTTCACGCGATACATCCGGGACCTTGACAAGAAAAAACCCGTCATCTGGACGGGGGACCTCAACGTCGCTCCAACGGAAATAGGCTCGTGGTCTACTCTACTCATCCTCCAGCCCTATATCCTTAACCTCCAGCAGATCTTTGCAATGCAAAAAAGAACTGGAACAAAACTGCCGGATATACTGAGGCTGAAACAACGGCGTACAAAAATATCCTTTCACCTCCAGATGATTCGCCAGATGCTGAACATAAGTTTGTTGATGTCTGGAGGAAACTGCATCCTGAAGATAAACACTATACCTATTTCTCCTACCGGTTCAACTGTAGAGCAAAAGGTATCGGTTGGCGATTGGATATGTGTACGATTTCACTTGTCTTCCTTGCGCGTTTTGCTCACAGAAGTCTATCTAGTTGTCTTGAGCGAACGCCTAGTAGATCGCGTCCAGATGGTAAAATGTTCTATCGCCAGCATCGCTCGCCTACTGACTCGCCAACCTAGTGCGAAATCCGAAGCGAAATATACGGTGCATCGGACCACTGTCCTTTGACTCTGGAAATAGACGGAGAGCTCTAAGTGTGTCGCTTGCACATTGATTTCTGTACATTATCCCTTCCTGTATCTTGTTTATCGTCTCCACCTGTTAAATTCATGCATCTCTTTCTTGCCAACGCAAAGGAGTTTATTCTGGAAGAAGATTCTTACAAAGGAGCCCGAGGCTATCAAACTCCTTGCAGAACATTCGCTAGAAAGCCTGTAAGTGATAAGCTTCTGGCCAGGGCTAAACATGTTCCTGCAAGTCATAAAGTTGTTTAATATTCTCCAAATCGTACATGTCCAGTCTCTTCCGCATGAGCACGAGCGCCTTTTTCGCCTTTCAAACCTTGACCACATTGCTGTTGCGGTCTTAGTACACGTAACTTTGCAGAGGAATAGATCAACGTACTTCGCATTTCAGGTCAAACGTCGACGTATTGGTAAAGGCCTTTTTCGCCCGTAAAGAATCTGTCAGCTTTTTGGCCGCAACCAATATACTGTCGGAATCATCTGCACTTGACTTTGTATTAACCATATTTTAGCGACATGTAAACGGAGTTCAAAAGAAACAACTCACCACGGGAAACACGGTCTGATGCCATTCAGCGGGCGCTTCCAACATCGGCGCCAACGTAGCTGCATCGTAGTGAATTCCTGAGTAAATAAGTATACATCTCGTTCCACTGCCATGCGGGCCAGGAGGAAAGTGATCGACCCGGCCAGTCTCCACATCGATAGAGCATATTTCGGTTTTATAGTGGGCTGCAAGGATGCCTAGCTCAATAGCACCTCCCCATGTTGAGGGTTTAAGAATCGTGGATATATAATCAGCAGGAGGCCTCCTAGAGTCACGATGTAAAATAACAGAAGGAGTAGGCAATGAAAGACAAAATACCCTAGAATAGCTTCATTGTATGTCTCCGCGTCTGCTCTAATACCTTCGGCGACGACTGCGGATCAATATCAGATGCCATCTGAATGACGATTCAATCGCTGAACACACTTTGACGCATTTGTGGGGCTTTAGCGATGTCCTGTTCGAAAATAAGAGCGACTGAAGAAAAGAGACAGGAGTTATCATCGGGAACGACCTGATATCGGAAGTGTCGACTTTGTTATCTTGTAATCCAGAGCGTTACTTACGCGATGTATAAGATAACCTCCTTCTGTCGGTACATTTTCTGACGTGTTTGCAGCAGCTGGCGGGGATGCAGGTATGATAGGTATGGATGAATTTCTGGTAGACGGCGCCGACTTAAACGCAGTGTTCGCTGATGGGGATGGCCGCGGTCGGTCGGGTGCATGTCCTGGTTCTTCACTGACAATGAGCTGATCACCACGAGTAAGTCCCAGACTGGAAACTGGTAATTCTCCAATCAACGTTAAACCCCGCGGTGGGTACCCGTGCTTCACTTGAACAGAGATCTAAACACCGCAGAACTTGAAGAGGGCCGACATACATATTTGACGGGACGGAAGGATGTCGGTGACTTTTCGTATTTCTTGCTGGAGATCCTGGACGGTGTATGATTCATCGTCAAAAGGGATGGATATGGTAGATGTGCCCTTGGGATGACGGAGTCGGACGGGAGCCATGATGGTAAGAGGACAAGGAGCAAGAGACTGCAATACTTAGCACGAGCACGACATACAGGTCAATACATACGTCATTCCCAGCCAATATCTGGATCCAATTCCTTCTTATAACCAAAAATGCTTTGAAAACGCAGGCGATTTCTGCTTAGTTTTTTGTAGTTTTCACAAGAATTACTCGCGGTATTTACAGTTATTTACCGGTCAATGAAACAGCAAAACTGGATATTTACTGTAGGTTCCAATTGGTTGGGAATTTTGACTAGGTTTGAATGTAAGAATGTGTAATACTATACAACAATAAGATACAGTAAAAAAAAGATGCTCAAAGGTGCGAGTACAAGTCCGTTTTCACAGCATTATCGTGGCATGGGTATTCTAGGCTATTTTGAGTCATTGAAACAGTCCGGCCCATATACCCAAACCTCATTAGTCAGCTACTCGGAATCGCTCGAGTGCTATAGAAAAGTGAGATCTCCTTTCCAGTCTCTCTCTGATATACAGCCTCAAAATCTTTGCAGATTTTTCTTGCACCTTTCCGAGGAGCACCAGGTAGTTTGACAAGCTCATTCTTGTATGCAATCATTTGCAATGACTGCCTTTTCCATTAGCTGGTCATGGCATTTGTGAGCAATCTGACACTTTTTCGAGTTTGATTTGGCATGTCCAGGCATAGTAAAAAATTGAACAAGAGGAGAAATAAAGTTCGGAGGCAGCAGGGCAATAATGGACGCATTGGACTGTCAGACTGTCCATCAAAGGTGATGGCTTGGCAGAACCGCACTTTTATTTATGCCCTAGACTCCTCAGATAATGGCCGCTTGGTCTCAAACCTGTCACACAGGTTCTTCAGAAGGTCATTAACATTATTGAGGCCTTTGTGGGTGATTACATTCAGATGGAGGACACACATTTCCAGGTCAGATTTTGAGTTCATGAGAAAATAGATATTTTTAGAACAGAAGCCTCAATTTCTCGGGAATATTATTCATGTCACATATGAAGAATCACTGCAGAACATGAAGATACAATACACATCAGCAATGTAATACAAGTTGATGATGAAGGATGAAGGGAGGGAGAGCAAGAGGCTAAGTGTTTCATTGAACCATGGTGTTGCAATGACCGGTAAATAACTGTAGCGGCCAACTGCCTATTTTGGCATCGTTTCAATAATCTCTGCGTCATCACTATACGCTTGCTCTTCAATTTCACCATGTCCGGCACCGGTGCTCGTGAAAATATCTTCGCAACGCGAATGGCTCTCACAAATACAAAACTGCGACTCAAGGGTGCACAGACGGGTCACTCTCTTCTTGCCAAGAAACGAGACGCTCTCACGACGAGGTTCCGAGCTATCCTCAGAAAGGTGGACGAGGTCTGTCGTATTCGACTTTATGCGTAGGATGGCTACTCAATTCGACTTCAGGCAAAGCGAAAGATGGGCAGAGTCATGCAGTTGGCCTCATTCTCAATGGCAGAGGTCACCTATGCGACAGGAGACATATCGTATCTCGTGCAGGAGCAAGCCAAGTCGGCGTCGTTCAGGGTGAAAGCAAAGCAAGAGAACGTATCTGGTGTTGTCCTTCCTGCATTTGAGGTTGATCGTGTCGCTGGTTCTGGTACGTCGGACAAAGTCGATACCTGGCTGATGATGACGGGCGCTATATAGATTTTAATCTCACGGGATTGGGACGGGGCGGTCAGCAAGTCCTGCGCGCAAAGGAAGTGTATGCCAAGGCAATCGAGACCCTCGTCGAGTTGGCGTCACTGCAGACGGCGTTCACCATCCTCGACGAAGTCATTCGAGCGACGAATCGACGAGTCAATGCCATCGAGCACGTTGTCATTCCCCGACTGGAAAATACCATCAAGTACATTTTGAGTGAGCTGGATGAGATGGACCGTGAGGAGTTCTTTAGGCGCGTAATTCGCTTATCCCCGTTGTCACTATATCTTACATACCATTTCCAGGCTGAAGAAAGTACAGGGGAAGAAAAAGCGAAAAAATGCACCTCCAGAGCAACCTTTTGAGTTTGAAGAGCCTCCATTAAACCCCCAGGAAGATCAGGAATCCACCGATCTGCTGAGTAGCAAAGACAGCGATGTTATCTTTTAATCAACTTGGATACGGCGATGAATGGACTAGTATATACATAGGCATGGTTTGTATTTGTTCCTTCACTATTTAATTCTCCCTCGTAGTAATGAATACCCTTCGTAATTCAGCCCAACAAGATGACAAAAATACTTGTCTAGTCTATCGTCGCCGGTTTCTTGAAAGCCAGCTTCAAAAGATATTTGTGCAAAGGTGTCAACTTAACAGACTTGTCGTGCTCGATAATCATTTGAACTTGCAAATCGTCCATCTTCACCATTTTCAAAAAGTCCTCGTCGCTCCTGATCCCAAGAAGAACGGCTGCCGGGATGAGTTCTTCAATGCCCAATGTCTTGAAATGCACACGGAGCATGATTGACATAGGATAACTATCCAGAGCGGGTACCAGGTGTACCGGGCATTGGAAAACTTTGGCCATCTTTGTTTGGAATAAGGATGGCGACCAAGACGATTGTGTCTGTCCGTCGGTGGGTCAAAACGAGGGGATAGAACAAAAGCGGGAAGTAATATACCTGCGGAGGTGTAGGAGTCTGTGCGAGGTGCCGTCGTATATAGACTTCGATGGGCCAGTAATCTTCGTAATTTAACAATACAGGACTTTCATTACAGACCTACAGAGGGGATATTGAAATTGAGATTCTGAAACAGATAAGATGGGACATACAACTCGCTGAAATTCATCCCACTTGTGAGCATGTTGGGTCTTGACCTCATCCAGGAACAGGGTCTGGGGAAAAGGTTCGACGATGGTCTTGAATTTTGTCAGCAGGACATTCTTAGAATGGATGATCAGTGTTGGCTTGTTGGACGGAGAAAGCAGCGTACCGTTACATCCCAATACAAGTCCATAGATATGTTCATCGCCTCTCCGAATTTCTCATGCTTTGTTATGGGCTTGGAAAGCTCGTTTAGGGTATCCTCATTTGGCCGAGGGACAATCTGTCCAGGCAGCGGAAAAGAGAACTTGTACTCCTTCCTCCTGAATCCCAGTCTTTTGGCATACTTTTCGATGTCCTCTCGCAAACCCAGTGCTCGGAATGCGCTGATAGATGTGGTGTTGAAGAAATCAGTCCGTTGCTCTGGAGTCATCTGCATCACCAGGTGGAGATGGTGGTTTGTGAAGATTCCGTTCGCACTGAGGATACCGAGCAGGTCGTCGTTCCGGTCTAAGTTGAGAAACACAGGGAGCTCAGAAGTATCGGCTCTTTCAAGTATAGGTAGGGCGCCGCATGAGAGGCAGGCTTCAGGCCAGATTCGTTGGGCAATGCGGGTTGTAGGCTCAGGAGTGTTGCATCCTTGCAGCGTAGTTGCGTTGGAGAACGGAGGCGTGCGTGCTGGAGAGCTAGTAGAAGACCAAATGCTAATCCTTGATGGTGAAGGACTCGTGAATGTATACGCATTATTGGGAGTCAAAGTGGGTCCAGTAGGGGATAGAGGTAGACTGCGATAGAGACCAAAAGCGGGTGGGGCAGATAACGGTACAGATCTTTGAACGAAAGGACTTGGAGTACGGAGATCTATCGGATTTGAGGGCGATGAGCCACCAGCGATAGGTTCAAGTATTTGCACAGAAGGCGACCGAACGGGGACAAACTAGCAGATAGATGTATCAGACTTCGCAGAAAAATGCAGATGAGAGCTTACATTCTGAACATCTCGGAATGCCCTGCGAGAAGAGGAAGGTTCCCCACCAACCTTGCGGAATCCTGGGGGTGGTTGACCGATGTATTTCGTCTTCCGTGCTTCATCCAAAGAAGTAGCCCTCAATCGTCTCACCTCATGACCCGGAGACAAACCGTCATTGAAGTGTGTAAGCCTACTACGTTGCCGTGTTGCTGTGGGACTCTTTTTATGACTGCGGTATGAGAATGTCCGATAGGAATATGCATCCCAGTACACCTGCACAGGCCAAAAGTCATGAAATTTGTCCAATACTTCGTACTTATCGAGAAGCTAATGCATGTGTGAGAGAAAGACGGAGAGTATTATATGACATTAGCGTACGTTGGCAATTAATGAGTTCCACAGGTGTTTTGGCTGGTCTTCGTGAAGCTTTCCAATGGATAGCCCCCACCGCTGAACGTCTTGTATGAGTTTCTGATAATAATGAGATCAGTTAGTGATACGATCCTGAGGCAAAGTACCTTCATTCCCTCGAACTGAGATTTGGTCATGCCGCCCACACTTTCAAGATAATTAGCGAGCCTCTTTATATTTAATTTCCATGGAGGGCCATAGAACTCTTTAGGTTTCTCCATGTCTACCCTAGTAATGAGTGAGAAAGGATTCAAAGATCCCGACAAAATGAACACCCACTTTATAATGCTTGCAAAGAGAAATAATATCGGATTACTATTCTGTTTCAAAGTTGAACATGATCACATGCTTGCAAGACAATTTGGAGAGATCTGCGCGACCGTGGAATGAATGTGTTCTTCGATTACATACTTGGAACTTGGAAGCATATGCATGGCATAAAGCTCCGGTGGGAAAACTAGAGAGAACGCAAAAACGAATATTCGAAGATCCGCAAACGTGTATTTTGAATTCCCTGATACCACGACTTTTAAGTGACCACCGCAAGAATCGTAGATTGTGGAAAGAGTGCTTAAAAGCCTATCAACGTACTCAGGCTTGACTATTCTGGAACGATATTTCCGACGGCATGTCGGCATGTTATGGAACAAAAATGTAGCGATGTTTAAAGGACTTGCCGGATAATATGAATTGAATATATACCTCACTTGGGCGGTCTCGTCGTTAGCTATACTCACGTACGTTGCTGCAAGGTGACGGGCTGGGCGGGCTGGTTAATGCGCGAAAAAAAAAATATGGAGGTTGGCACCGGCAATCCGGCAACGGGGTGAACCGGAAGATGTGATTTCCCCGGACCCCGCATCTTGATTGTGGACAGCGACGACGACTCGGAGGCCCGCACGGAACCAAATATGACAGTCTATATAGGTCGACTCTCCAGTCACATGTTGAACCTCGTCCATACACTCCTAAGTACCGCCTTTCCTCGTCTTTACCTTTCTCTTCGCCGCCAGCTACGACGAGCTCGACCATCTCGCCTTTCCCAATATCATGTCGCGAAACGGTAACAAGAAGCCTGTCGGCTTTGCAACCCACATCACTGCAGGCGGTATAGCAGGTGCTTGTGAAGCGGTACGAGTCATCTTACCATCGTATCGCGCGACGTGCTCACTGGGCTACTCCTTCCACAGCTAACATGTCAACCCTTGGACACCATAAAGGTCCGGATGCAGCTCTCCAAGTCTGGGCGTGCACCAGGGGTGAGTCTCGTTGTCGTGTGCCAGTCATCCATCGTGTTTATGAATGAGCTAGACAAAACCAAGAGGTTTCTTCGCCACTGGCACGTACATCGTACGCCGGGAGACCCCTTTGGCTCTCTACAAGGGTCTAGGCGCTGTCTTGTCTGGTATCGTCCCAAAAATGGCCATCCGGTTTGCTAGTTTCGAGGCATACAAGGGCTGGCTGGCGGACAAGGAGACAGGGAAGACAAGTCTTGGGAATATCTTCCTTGGTATGCTGGTCTTCTGAGTATCATCGAATACCGTCTCTGATAAATCTCCCATAGCTGGTCTTGGCGCTGGAACTACGGAGGCTGTCGCTGTCGTAACGCCCATGGAAGTAGTGAAAATTCGCTTGCAGGCACAACAGCACTCCTTGGCCGATCCTCTCGAGACTCCGCGGTACCGGAATGCCGCTCATGCAGTATATACCATTGTGCGGGAAGAAGGCTTCTCCACATTGTATCGCGGTGTCTCTCTTACCGCGCTTCGACAAGCGACAAACCAGGGAGCCAACTTTACCGTGTACCAAGAGCTGAAGAAGGCAGCCCAGCGGTGGCAACCTGATCTTCCTGAGCTCCCTTCCTACCAACACATGATTATTGGTCTCATTTCTGGCGCCGCCGGTCCCATGTCGAATGCACCTATAGACACTATCAAAACTCGTAAGCTAATATGTTTTGTTCTCTTATGCAGAGCTAATTCCAGTTTGCAATAGGTCTACAGAAGAGTACCGCCATCCCTGGTCAGTCGGCATTCCGTCGCATCTACGGTATCGCTGAGGACATGTGGAAGGCTGAGGGAGTGAGGTCGTTCTACAAGGGTATAACTCCGCGTATCTTACGCGTGGCTCCTGGTCAGGCGATCGTGTTTGCGGTATATGAGAGAGTTAGCTCGGTGATTGAGCGGATTAATCCCACAGTATACGAGGACACCTATGCAGAGTAATCTGGCCTTCTTTCCGAACTCTATTATCCATTTCTATACCTATACTAGGGAATTCGTGTGCATATTCTATTGTAATGACAGGACGGTCAGCTCCTTGTTCCACCTTCCAAACTCAGGCAATGATGCTGGATTACTTCGTCTCCTTGCTTTCCTCCTCCTCAGTTGTGTCAGCACGACTACTGGTGACAGGAATGACCCCGCACCCATATGTGCCTATAACCTTCAATAATGATGTCATCGGATGCCGCAATTGTACGAAATGTTTGAACAGGCTCGTGTATTTTATGTAAGAGACGAAGATAAAAACAATTTCGGGGCTACGCCTTCTTAAAAGCCAGCTGCAACAAGTAGCGATGCAGTAAGGACAGTTTGACCGACTTCGTATTGATAAGGAGCGTCTCAACAAACCCATCTTCCATCTCAGTCATCCTCACGAAGTCTTCATTGCTTCGTATTCCAATTAGCAATGCAGCAGGAATAAGCTCCTCGATATGGCGTAAGCGGAAATGATGTTGGAGCATTGTAGGAATGGGATAACTGCTGAAGCCCGGAATCATGTGTTGACGACCAGGACACGTGAAAATCTGTACGACCTTGTCCTGCAAAGAGGACGATAAAACGGGCTCTCCCGTCTAGGGGTACACAGTCAGAGGGGGAGCAGAGGACGGAGAGCTATGAATACCTGTGGGGATGTACTAGTCGCTTTCATCTGACTCCTCACATAGTTTTCGATGGGCCACATCTTCGCGTAATATGATACAAATGGATGCGCTTGGGAAACCTAGAAGAGAAAGTTAAAAATCCTGCTTTCTCCCATACAATAGCGCAAGACATACCTCCGAAACGAAGGCATTCCACTGACTTCCCGTGATGTCATGGAAGTACAATTCTTCAGGGTTTTCCGTGACAGTCCGTTTGAAGCAGATAGAGATCGTTTTCTGGAAGCAACATGTTAGTACAAGACTCTTGTGTACTAGCGTGATAGATATTTACAGCAAGTTCATCATACTTGTCCCTAGAGATCTGCATGACCTGAGCAAATCTGTCGGGTAAACACGTTCGATCCAAGAGCTCATCCTCAACATCTTCAGATGGCTCAGGTATCGCGTCTCCTTCCGTAGATGAGCTCGATTTGTGCGACGTGGATCGCTGTGCATAGTCTTCCAGCCTTTTCTTCATATTCATTGCAGTGACCTCGTTGAGGTACCCGGGCGAAAGAAGATGGAAGAATCCATCTCGCTCTTTCTCGTTCATCTGGATCAGCAAGTGAAGGTGATGATTGGTAAAGATCCCTGCCATCCTGAGAATGGAGAGGAGGTTGTTCTCTCTGTTAGCATCCAGAAAGCGGAGCAATTCGGAGTTGTAGGTTTGGTCCACTTCGGGTTGAGCACCACAGGTGAGGCAAGCTTCTGGAGAGCGAGGAAAAGATTCACCGTCCTCAGCCAGACTGCTGCTTACCAGAGAGGGAGCTGGCCCGCTGCTGGTACTCCCGTCAGTGCCTCGTGCTGGAGTTGATGCCTGAGCTACGTTGCTGGCAGGTACATCGGCAGCCAGAGGTACAGAGATGGGGGCACCACTGGGGATCCGAGGAGGAGTTAGAGATTGGGAGAGAAGGCCAACGCAGTCAATTGTGCTTGCGCGCACAAATGGAAAATTAACCAGTGGCTGGAATGATGCTCGAGTAGAACCGGGGTCGGATGTGGGGCTCTGGATGTATACAAGAGGTACTGCGTCCTTTGACTTCAGGGCCGGCGAAGATGGACTTGGGTGCCCGTTTCTGCGAAAAGATGACACCTGACTATGGCTGATCTAACAGATATCGTATGATAAGCTGGAAAAATCTTGGATTATCCTAGCGCTTACATTACTAATATCTCCTAGCACGGTACGGGTTCTGTATGGCCTAGAGAAAGTATACCCCTCTTCGAGTTTGATTTTTTTGTTATCCGGTTCGCTGATGCCTCGTGATGGCGTTCGGTCGCCAGTTTTGGCTTTATCGCGATAGATCTTTTTGTATCTGTCGTTACGAACCCATCTATCAAAGTAGGCCTCGATGGGCCAAGCATGCTCGAACTTGTGAAGACGAGGGTATTTTTGAAGAACCTTGAAAAACGGTGTTATTCAAAATGACTATGCTTTGTATCAACATGACATACAGCTGCTTCAAACTCTCGCCAAGCATGCGCTGGTTGTTCATTTCGAAACTTGAGAGGAATCAGCCCCCAGTGGCACTGGAAGGACGAAATGCGAATATACGTCTATAGAATATGAGTGAAGTCAACAAGAGGATGTAAAGTCTACCTTTATGGTTTCGAAATCCGACTTGCTGATACCCGCTGGTTCCAAGTAGTGAAGCAGGTCACATATAGGCTCATTTTTTCTCAACTTGGGAGGTTTTGGTATTTTGGTACTATGAAACGGTGCATCAGTGAAGCAAAAAATGGCAAACACAAAACTCACGAGGACTCCATAACACGGAAGAATCGAATGTGATGGTCTGAGAAAGAGAGAGCGACAAAAATTCAACAAACATCACATGCTCGCGATCTGCACTTGTCGTAACTTGGACTAGAAATCTTCTTCAGTGTGACGGTAAGACAGGTTCTCTCAGGGTAGTACGGCATGTTCTGGCTTCCATTACACGCCGGAGAGCATATATACATGTAAAATACAGTCAACAAAACCTGTCACTAGAAGAACGTGAGAAGTATAGTAAAGGGTCAAAGTCAAAAACACACCTCTTCAGCTTGGCCCGACGATCCAGCATGGCTTCAGCTAAACGTCCTTCTTTGCGAGCACGCTTCAGCTACAAAGAAAGTCAATACGGGCATTGCTCATGATGTAGTCTTGAAAAGCACCTCTTTCTTGTCTTCCTTGGAGACGATACTCCGTCCGGCACCCCAAGCCTGGAACATCCGACTACGCGGCAATCGTTTAGTCTAAGAAACCACCAGGAGAGGTTCACACTCACTTGGAACTAGACTCGTCAATTACCGGAGGACCTGCGAGACCTTCTTTCTTCTTCTTCTCTTCCTCAGTGGCCTCTTTTTTGTACTTGTTCTGAATCTTGATCCAAAATCTCTCTTTGAACCCCACCTCTTCACTATCTCCGCGCAGCTGCAGGGCACCTCCAGCAACCTCGTCGATGCTCAAGTACTTCTCGTAGACATTCATGAATGCTACCATCCCATCTGGCATGAGCACAGGCGTCCACTCCTCCTGCGGGCCCCGTGCGTCTCGGTCTGAGGTGACGATGCCATGCACGTCGCAAGAGAGGAACTTTCCTTCGCCTGTACCTGTTCGTAGATTGATGGTCGGAGAGCCTGCAACGCGAGTGATGACCCATACCTGGGAAACATCTGTCGGCGTGCGCTCTAGAAGACTTGGGACTGGCTCATCGTCGTCTTCAGATTTCTCCTTGTCTAGGACGTGCAAGACGACACGGTTGGTGGTAGAATTGAAATTTACGGATATTGGAGAAGGATCGGAGGGGTGAATGATGAATGTAGGACCACGAATTTCGATGGCATTTTCAGGGAATACCCAAGTGTCAGGATCCTTGTCGTCTTCCTTGTGCCTACTACTACTCGCCCGACCTTCGTCGTCAGCATCTCTTTTCCGTTTCTTTTTAGTCTTGTCGCCTTTAAATTTGAGCTTAGTAGAGCGAACTTTGGTGTCTGTTGGCATGTGTGAAAGAGAGAGAAGGATGATCGAGCCTCGAAGCACCGCCACCAGTGACCTATCAACGATTTCCTCCCCAAGTGTATCTCCCAGTACTTGCAATGGAATCACCAGTACATTCTAACACTGTGCAAGACTTCCTTGATGCACTTTCTCGTAGTCGAAAAACAATTGCTATCACTGGTGCAGGACTGTCCGCGGCTTCAGGTGATGAATGATTCCCACAATTGCTCGAATAACATCACTCGACAGTTTCTCTAGGAATTTCCCCTTTTCGTGGTGCTGGAGGAGTATGGGAAAAGTATGACTTGAACACACTAGCTACCCCTCAGGTGCAAAATCCTTCTCTCTGCCTCAAATATTCACGTGTTTCGTTCAATCTACCAAAAGGCATTCGAAGATAATCCAAGCCCTATCTAGACGTTCTATTTCTCTAGATGGCTGGCGTACGAATATTCTGTTTGCTTGGTCAATAGCATTCTTATGATGAAGTAGAACTTCGAGAGCATCTCCTAATACAGCACACCTAGCGCTATCTGTTCTCTGTGTTCCGGAGAAGTTGGAAATATTAGCTCCTCGGGATAGTACTGTGAATACCATTTTTGAAGTTGATATTCTACATAAGCACGGAGGAAAGGTTGCGGTATTTAATTTGAATCGCTCCAAAGGTGACGACCAAGTCGACTTTCTTTTTCTTGGCCCTTGCGAGGAGACACTTTCTCGCATCCTTTTCTCAAGTTCGCCATGATAGTGTCTCGAAGTTAGATCCTTAAGCGAGAACGTTGGGAGAAAGTGACCATAGATATTGTGTGAATAGTTGCATATACATGCGACAATATTCGCCTCACCTCTAGATATCAAAAAGTCTGGCTTTGAACGTTATACGTCGACTTAGAATGAACTTTTAGGAAGCGAACTTAGAGAAGCCTTGGAACCGTGGTAAACCCTGTCACGTGGCACAGAAATTTGGCGTGGGAACAAAGTCCTCAAACGCAAAGTGCTCTCCTCAACGCCGCCTTCGACCTCAAGACCTCAAGAACGCCGTCGTCGCCCTCCATGAAATTCTCTGCAGGTGGGTGTTATGCTCAATACCTACCCGTCTGTCTTTTCCCGGAAGATTTTGGCCAGAAATATGGCTGGATTCGCAACTTTGAAACTGGATGACGCTGAGACTAATACATTTTGGTAGACGTCTCATCCTCGCGGCGTAAGGCCCGCAAGGCTCACTTCGATGCGCCCTCATCTATTCGCCGAAAGATTATGTCCTCTGCTCTCTCTAAGGAGCTCCGCGGCAAGCACAACGTACATCTACTTCCATCTCGCTTGCTGGAATACTTCCTCATTTTAATGTGTTCAGGCTCGTTCGCTACCCGTTCGCAAGGACGACGAAGTTCGCATTGTTCGTGGCAAGTACAAGGGACGGGAGGGAAAGGTGACACAGGTGTACCGCAAGAAGTGGGTTATCCACGTTGACCGTGTACAACGGGACAAGTCCAATGGTGCCTCTGCCCCCATCGGTATCCACCCCAGCAATGTGGTCATCACGACCATCAAGATGGATAAGGACAGGTGCGTTGCTTTAGTGTGGAATTTTATCAAATTTACTGAGGATTCTCTTAGGCGCGCAATCTTGGACCGCAAGGACAGGAAGAAAAATACGTCAACGGATGTTGAGATGGTGGATGTGCGTTGGCCTTTACTTTTTATCTCACTTGATACTCACGCCCACCCAGTAATTCATTCCTTAGCTGTCGTCTCTTTCATATCTACGTCGACGTACAAAAACCATCCATGTATCTATGCACCTGCGAAGATATGCCCATGACAACCGTCTTATATTAAGTGAAGATCCGTTCGAAGACATTCCCAGAAGTTTCAATTTTGGTTTTGTGAATTTGATTGTGTGCCATTTTAATTGGGGATCTAGAGCATTTGGCGTTTAGCGGGATGAATTTTACTCATCTGTTGATGCTTTCTGGCAACCGTTCTACCGTTACACAACCTTCCTCGTGAGATGTAATTGCTGTCAGCGATCTCTTGTGATAGCCCTTCGGCTCGACCGCTATGTGATAGTCCCTGCTGTGAACACACTTTTGTTGCACTGCCGGAAGGTTTAAGTGTTTGGCTCATGGCGAGGCGACTCCTGCACCTGAAGGCTTCCGATACGGCTGTCTATGCTTTTCACAGGCTTCGCGTAGGCTTGTCCCTAACTCTCGTCTAGCGCTACTGTTATTGGTGCTACGTCGGAGTAACATTTCAAGGCTATGTTGAGTTAGCTCCTCGATGACTGTCCAAAAGTCATCAAGAAGGCGATATTGCAGCCCTTCCTTCCTTCAACTCATAACGAAAGGGATATTGAAAGGAAATTTTCGGACGAGGGGATGTTAGATTTTGTTTGTATTTCTTTGTTACAACAATGCGACAGCAATATGACAGGAAAAGATGTTATACAGTTATTACTTGTAAGTGATGTTCAGCGAAAGACTGAAAGGTAGCGTGCTGGCAGTAATAGTAACCTCTCCTCCCGCTGGAAGAAGCTCCGATACCTTCTTCTGCAAGTTGGGGCGGGTGCTGGCTTCCAGTTGAGGAGGAGCCTGTAGATAAATTTGTATTGGGCCAGATGATAACGATGGCTTCTTGATCTGGCTGTAGAAGACATTAGCATTTGAAAATACGACAAGGTAAGGAACATACATATCCTGCTTTTCTGTCAGCATGTCGATCAACTCTTCGACAGTAACCTCCGCGCTGATGGGCATCTCTAAGGATTCCCCACCGCATACGGGACAATCGTCTCGCTTTTCGTGTTCAAACGTATACGAATAGATACCTTCGGTGCCGATGAGCATGAAGTAGTTGTTCAAGAAAGCAGCTGAGCTAGTGGCAATCTTGAAAGCCTCATTACAACAAGCCGCTATCGACCATGGTTAGTTTGATATTTTTTGGGATGGGGAAATGAACGCAAACCTGCAATGATAGCATTCGTAGATGCAATAGCTGGGATGATATTTTTGACCACTCCTTGGGTGAGTGACCATGTCACGCCTTCTATTTTGAACTCTCTTGCGCGTGCAGACGCGACGGTGTATAGCCAATTGATATGGTCTGGATCGTCAGTATCCATCTTCTTGTCTGTGGAAAACTGGTTAATAAGCCAATCGAGCTCGTGGGCGGGCGGTTCACCTCCATGCATACGCGGCCATTCGAGCACGGATGCCCACTCTATGCAGTGTTCCGGAAGGCGTGGCGTGTTGGCGATAGTACAGATGGGAAAAGCAGTAGGTTTGTTCAGCATATCCAGAGAGCATTCATAACACGACGTAATTGTTGGTAGGATAACGCGGGCTTGTCCCTTGAAACCTAGATACCCTTAGCTGGGAAGTATGCCCCAATGATGTGACTACAAACCTTCTGTGCCTCCATCAATTAGAGGCTTCAGACTCTCCGGGTTCTCAGGATCGACAAGATTGACTAGCGTCGCGTTCATCCATCTTCGTGCTTCGACAGAATCGAGGCCACAGATGACGAGATTAAATTGCATGTAATATTCGTCGTCCTTTATCCTGTATCTTGCCAAAGTACCTTCATAATAGTTAGTTTTGTCTTGTTCAATATTCTGAACACACTCACGGCGTGACCTTGACTCCCGGTACCCTCTTCATGATGAACTCTGCCGCCTACCGTTGCCTTGGGCTGACCAACGTCTTTCGGCCTGAGACAAATGAGCCACGCGAGACGTACGAACGAGACATAGCAGCGCCTACCTAAATAGAAACTGTCGATTGAGATTACTGATATCAATGGTATCCATGTCAATAACATGAATGTCCTTGAACCCGGTAAGCGCAAGATTGGCGAGAATCTCGCAGCCCAGACCACCTGCCCCGATGACTAGGATCTTGGCCTGGTTGCGAAGAAAGTCCTTGACCTGTGCCAGTCGTCAGTCAGTGTCGAGTGGGCCGTTCGAGAGGGAAAACACGCGCACCCCGTCCCCTGCCATGAATGCGGGATCTGTACGGGGACCTGGCATGTCGAGTATTTGGTCTATATGGTCGTAGCGCCCTGCCCAGTCCTGGCTCGCGATACCATTAGGGTTTGCCGTCGTCGCCATAGGATACCAGCTATACTTATGTGAGGAGAGAGGTATCGAATATTGATAATCCGAGTCGAAGCCCGGTTTCCTTTTTAGTCGTCGTACACGCCGCGCCTTTCCTTTTTCCTTTGTCGTCAAATGGCACAATCAGGCTCTTTGCTCCAATACAGCGGTCACCAACACTTTCGTAATCGCCTGGTACTGTCGGTATTGAGTGGGAAGCCAGTGCGAATCGATAAAATACGTTCAGACGACAAAAATCCTGGTCTTCGAGGTGTGTACTTGCTCGTGTTTTATTTCCTCTGCTTATTCTATTCAGATTTCGAAATTAGTCTTCTTAGACTGCTGGAGAAAGTTACAAATGGGACCATAATCGAAATATCAATAACCGGTACGCGTGAAGGTGTTAAAAATAATAAAATGCTGAATGGAAAATAGGTACTGCCATTCTACTGAAGCCAGGGATTATATCTGGAGGACCGTTGGTTCATGATTGCCCTCTATCCCGTTCTGTTGGCTATTTCCTCGAGCCCATCATCATGCTGGCGCCCTTTTCCAAAAAACCTTTTCAACTCACCTTGAGAGGAATAACAACCGACGAACATGACCTCTCCGTACGTCAAGAGATACGAAACAGAAATTAATGCTCATTTTACTAGGCAGACCTGATACGAACTGTGACTGTTGCCTCACTTGCAGCTTTTTGGTCTCACTGATGGCGTGGAATTACGGGTATGCTCACTAGTTTGGATTCGGGGCTCTCAAACTCATAGTCGTCTAGATAAAAAAGCGAGGTGCTGCTCCCGCTGGCGGTGGAGAAGTCCAGTTTATGTGCCCGATAGTCAAGCAGGTTAAGACTCTTAACTTCGTGGAACCGGGAAAGATAAAAAGAATACGCGGTATCGCGTCAGTATACTGCTCTATCAGCTGGAGCCACAATTGTGACTCAATTTTTATAGACACGCCGTACGCGTGAGCCCGCAATTCTCCAATAGAATGATAGAAGCATGTCGCTCTGTCATAAATCGATATATTCCTGATATATACCTCTATTCAGACGTTTACAAAGGTGACGAGAGTGGAAAGTAAGTCGCCTTCGTCTTTGCGCATTTTCACTTTTTATGTGACTTCTCAGATCCCCAGGTTATGCGTTGACCCTCTTGGCTGAATCGACGACCTCGGCAATCCATTGTTCGGAGGCGATATCTCGACCAGGAGTGACACCAGAGGAGATAGCGCTGGAAGCTACTCGAGCTCTCTTAACAGAGATTGAAAGGGGAGGTTGCGTCGATCAAAAGCACCAGACACTTATCCTAATGATGATGGTGCTCGGCAGTGAAGATGTTGGTCGCTGCCGGATGAGTGAACCGACGCCTCGGACGTACGTCGTATCTTTCACTGATGTCGATGAAAAGGCTGAAATTTGTTCAGGATACAATTTCTACGAGACATCCGCGATTTCTTTGGTACATCGTTTAAAATAGTCCCAACGGACCCTTGCAGATCCCGACTGCTCGCAGTTGTTATATTCGTGTTATGGAAGCGGATATGTGAATGCCAACCGGACAATCGCATGAATGCTACTATCATTCCGCACTGTATCCATATGCTGTAGTTTTAGACCATCCGTAACCATTACCGTAGCGGCCTTTTGTGCTTTCTGATGGTCGTTTCTTTAGATTGATTCATATCAGAAGTTTACATGAAATTCGACAGGCCCGCTGCGTGATATCGCAGGATCCTGCAAGATGCCTACCCATTGCATTGCATGCCAACGTTTTTTGACCTTGCCGCCTGGCTTATGCCAACCGTGAATGATATTTAGGACAAGGGTTTCGGGCAAGTACGCCGCTGATGGACTGAAACGGTGGAAGGAACGTGAATACTTATGAGGAACTAGACAGAGAAACTGGTGCGGTCCGAAGTCTTCGACGTGAACGCCTATGCATTACTCATCGACACCACGTCCTACATGAGAACAACTCAACGAATGAATGAGGTTTCCGCTTTCTTACATCATTGCACCAGAGATATGATCATGGCGTAAAGATGTGACTGCCGCAAGGAAGGTTTTGAGTGTGCAGCAGTGTGGGCCTTTAGCATGTCGAGGCCTAACGGTGCACGGGCAGCTGGGTGGTTAGTGCTTGCCCCTTTGATGGCTCTCCTTAATTCGTCGAAATGTCACATGAATGGCTCCGATTTGGAGGAGTGAGGTCAACTGGAATTGCTGTGGAACTCAAAGAATGCTCATCAACGGTGATATTGTGACTGACAGCGTCGTTGCGTCTTTCTATTTGCCCAATGGCATGATTCCAGAGTGATCGCACAGTAAACTGTTCTTGTCAATCAGGTGGATCGAAGTTCGACATTCACAATAGGTCGGCAGTATCTTTGCACCCCGACGATGAAGGAGCGCATGTGGTTGGGACCATAGAATCGTATCGGAACTACCACGACGAAGATAAGGGATAGGAACGCGTGAAGGGTAGATTCGCCAAGAGTCATATGAAGGTCTATTCGGAAATCGGTTCACCACGCTCTAGCAACGAGTCCTAGTCACTTCCCTACCACGCCAAGGTGGATGAAACGTCCTCGTTTCTGGTGTGTCTCAGCAGCATTCCTGGGACGAACAACTGAACGCACCTTTACATTGTGCGCCACACGTGTGCGATATGTTATATGCTCCGTCCTACGAGTCTATGCCATCAATATCCCAGTTCTCCTCGATACCAACGATGGCTGTTGTCGCCTATAATTCCTCTTGTCTATCGGTAGAAACGCAGCCCAAATACCATCCATCATTCTCCTCCCCCGATGCAGATATAGTGCTCAGCTCCTCGGACAACATCCTATACCACGTAGATGCGTGTACCTTGCGCACCACTTGTGGACTTTTCGGAACAATGTTCTCAATTCCACAACCACAAACGAAATATGCCGGCCAGGAGGAGGACTCGAAGGGAGCTGGTTGTAGACGTGAGCCGGAGCCGATCCCCACGTATGAACCTGCCGCTACACTCACCCCTCTGCTCTTGCTTCTCTTCGGTCTACCCCTTCCCAAGTCGATACCCAGCTGGTCGTACGACGACATCGAGCGAATCCTGACCCTGGCAGAAAACTGGGACGCGCAGGGGCCGATATCCTTTATTCGTGGGGCACTTTCATGTCCCCGGTTTGTCGAAACAGACCCGTTGAGGTTATATGCGATAGCTGCGCACTTTGGTTGGGAGGAAGAGATGAGATTGGCGGCCAAATTTACGCTGCGGATCGACATGTTCAATCTATCCGACGAGCAGGAAGAGGTGCTCGCCAAGATATCATCGAAGGATCTCCTTCCGCTTCTGCACCTCCGTCGCAAGCGAACGATGACGTTCAGAGCGCTCATTAACGACACAGCACGTTTCTCGGCAGGGAATGATGACGGCTATGTTTGCGGTCGGTGTGGGGTAACGAAACTGGATAACAGGACATGGAGGGAATTTAGGGAGGCACTGACGCTGGAAATAGACCAAAGGCCACTGGGCGATGGGGTCAGCGGATTGCCAGTGGGAGGTATAAGAAGTGGAGAGCAAGTTGGTATCGGCTGCATGTCGTGGGCGGTGGCGGAGAGGTGCTGGGCAGCCAGGTGTCAAAGGGCAGGCTGTCGTGCGGCAAATTACGATCGACTGACGACGCTGAAGGAGATCAAGAATTGCGTCGACGAACTTCCCTGGATGTGAAGGAAATCTTGTACAGTTATGTCGTCAAATTCGTATATAATGGCGTAGCGGAGCTTGCTGAATTCCAGGACCAACTCGTATTCAACTTGCAAACTCTTCCGTGACGCACGACAAGAAGGTATGGTCATCGGTTTCCATGGTCTCCTTGAATTCACCAACTTTAAAATATTTGGGAACCCGTCATTCCAAGATGCCAAGAGTGTCACTAACCGGTACGACGCACAGCGGTCTTTGCAGGTGCGAAATGATGGTGGAAGGAAAAGACAGAACACTTCGGCATCTCCCGGGCAAGTCCGGCTCCGGGTTCTTCTGTTGCCGCCCTACCACTTGACTCTCGACTGCGATGATAATTTCTCGCATATACAGTGACCTAGACCGGACATGACTGCAGGGATGCGACTAACATCGTTCTCTGGAGATTATTCTGCCTCTTGGCGCATGCTACTCTAACGGCGGAAAATACTAACCTGCACTTGGTAAATGCTCGGAAAAATATAAAGATTACCGTTTACCGCTTCATTATTCTCAGTGCCTAGCCGACCTTCCAGCCTATTTATACCACTCGATAGTTTACTCTGATGTCTGCTTTCTTCCGGTAACTTTCATGGATTCTTCTCTCTACAAAGATTTCACTACCTCTCGCGGTTTTGTCTATCATTACTTCGTGTCCGCCCCCAAGGATGGACAAGCTTTATCTGCTTTTCCTTCACGGGTTCCCAAGCACCTCGTTTGACTGGAGACATCAGGTCCCCTTCTTTGCCAACGAGGGTTACGGCCTCATAGTTCCAGACATGCTTGGTTATGGAGGCACCTCGAAGCCTACCGACCCTGCAGACTATCGAGCCTCCCTCATCACGAAAGACATTGTAGAGCTCATAGATGGGGAAAATGCAGAGCGCGTTGTCGCCATCGGCCATGACTGGTTCGTTGTTCATTGGAATTATGATCTTTTTAACTCTCGTTGCTATTCTTTCAAGGGGCAGCAAGGTTTCTAGTCGGCTCGCTAACTACTACCCCGATCGCTTCATTGCATATGGCTTCTTAGCCGTGGGATATGTTTTGCCCAGATTTGAAAACAATTATGAGCAATTTTTAGCATTGGTACGCTCATTCAGATTTTCCAAACATTTTCCTAACGCTATTAACAGTCCAAGGAGACCTTTGGATACGAGATCTTCGGATATTGGTCTTTCCTTTCCTCGCCGGGCGCGGACAAAATTATTGAAGACAACATGGAGTCGTTCTTACGACTTATATACTCGCAAGACCGCAAGTTATCGGTATCAGATTTTGCTCCTACCGGTGCATTAAAGTCGTATCTGCTGCTAAGGAAAGGTAGATAATCCTATTGCTTCATACATCACCGAGGAGGTCTGTATGATCCTTTCACTTCACACGGCTTAACCCCGTTGTTAATATGACGCTCGCGTAGGAAAAGGAACTTCACAAAAAAGAATTGCTTGATGGTGGCTTGGACCGGTTGCTTAAATTGGTATACAGTGATGACTTCGGGCGTAGATGCTGAAGATAACAAAGGTTTGTTAAACAACCAGGGTCTCCTTCCATTCTCACTCTTGACGACAGAAATATCGGCGGACAACCTAGAGATCACGAAACCAGTATTTTACGGCGGCGCGTTACAGGATGCCGTGGCTCTCAACGTGGTTAATAAAACGGCGACCACTGAAAAGTGCAAGAATACTACTCTCCATGAGTACGATGGAGGTCACTGGATAATCTGGGAGACAAAGGACGACATCAATCGCGATTTGCTGGACTGGCTCAAAGCATTGTAGTCTCGTAGTGTTCTCGGTATTACTCAGCTTGCGAAAACCATAGCACCCTATGTTTTCAACTCCGCCCATTTTGCCAGTTCCCACTACTGGCACTGAAACTTTTTCGGGAGCTTTTGTTTTTTTGGTCTACGAGGCTGTTCTAAGCTTTCGTGCGCGATGATCGTTTTCGCGCCCGTTTGCTCAGAGTATCTTGATCGTCACCAGTCATCACTGTACCTGAGCGCCGAATTCCTACTTCCAATTGGTTCTTAATGATCATTTTACCGGCAGGCGATTACATCAATGATACTCTTTACGCGACAATCGAATTGAATTCCGCTTCTAGTTACTCTTCCTGAGGACTCCACTCTGCTAAATATAACAAATCCTGCGCCCATTTCTTCGTCGGCTGTGCTCTAATGCCCTAAGGAACATCAAGTACTTGTCGGTATGCACTAGCGCCAACGAAAACATTTCTGGACGTGTTTCAGCACCCACCATAAAGGCTCTGAATTTCTACGCATCTCATTAAACATCTCATTCATTCTGATCTTCCCTCCAAAATGGCGTCACAGCCCGCAATTCCAGACCTCACAGACGCAGATCTAGCAATGATATTCCAAGTGCTCGATGCGTATCTAAATACGATGATACTGCAGGCTTTGTTACTTGGTAGGTTTTCGCTTCTTTCTCTTTTTTCTCGATCTACAAGCTCTCCTAGGCGCATATAGTTGCATACTAGCTATTACTTTATGGTACATGTGTAAGCACATCCTTCCACCTCTCTTCCTCTATATAACAAGCAAATACTTCCATCGCAGTTCGCGGGAAAGAACACAGATACAGGGGATTCATGCTGTTCACAGTCCTCTCGCTCTACATCCTCGCTGTGGTTGACTTTGCCTTCAATTGGTCCTTCACGCGTACCGCGTTCATAACCGACGGGCAGAATTTCTGGAGTGTATTCATGGCGATGTTCGGATCTACATCCTCGTTACGACCGCCTCATTACCTAGTATCTGGGATCACAGGACTCATCAGTACAGTCCTCGCTGATATTGCTTTGGTGTGTTAATTGCTTCGTGTGCTCCTTCAGTCTTAGTCTAATTTGAGAGCGCCCATAGATATGGCGCTGCTGGATCGTCTGGGGCCGCCGCTGGCTAATCGTCTTAATCCCTATTTTGTGTACCATAACCAGCGCCAGTGAGTTGTACTCCCACATCTCTACAATATGGGCTGAACTCCCCTTTAGCGATCAAAAGCATACAGACCTATCGTGGTCTACGGGACATGGTAGACTCTGTAAGCCAGGAGTCTGCGCAAGCATCGTCAATCGACTTGACGACCGTCTACATCGCAATGGCTCTCGCTACAACACTCTTATGCACTGTTCTAATCGTGTATCGTATCGTGAGCGTTGGTGGAGCACGCTATGCATCGGGCATCCGCACATACCGGGGTGCCATCGAGGTGGTCGTGGAGTCTGCAGCTCTCTTCTCGGCATCTTTAATCGTTTACGTAGCATTGGTTGCCCACAATAGTGTGGCGGATGACTACTTGGATGTCATCGCGGCAGCATTTAGGGTAGGTCTTGTGGACGAATTGTCTAACGGAATCCGGCTAATCATGTTCTGTGCAGGGAATCGCGCCCACCCTTATCGTTGGCAGAGTAGCTTCTGGGCATGCCCGCCCAGATGATTCATGGAAGGAAACGGCATTGACCGCCACGCCTTTTGATTCTATTCACTTTGCCCGTTCTCGTCACGAGAACATGACGAGCACGCAGGACACGGTCGGTGTCAGTGCTCGAAGTATTATTCTCGTGGATTCACATTCCACTACAAATGAAAATGGGCAAAAATTGAATGTTTGACAACACCTGGTATTACCTAACTTAGAGCCGTTGCTTTCGACGTGTAATTTCCTATCTATATGCATATGGAGAACCCATATTTCTTGGTTTTCTCGATGTCACTCAATTGGCGAATGACAATGCAGTACATTTTCCATTTTCAACTCTGCCGACCTAATTGCAGGAGACTTGAGTCTTGCGTACTCCTGGCTTCTGGTCCATGGCACTGTTCTGAGCTCTCTCGCGCCCACAACCATCACAGTGATTCCATGCCTAACTTGCTTAGACGATTACTTTGATCGTCTCCATCATGGTCACCAATACAGTGCCTGGCTGTGGTAACGCTTCAGTTGGTTCTCGGCGATCAGTTCTCTAGGCAAGTAAGTGATACATCAATGATACTACATATTACCAACTATAAATCTTTCGTCATCTCCCCAGGAACTCCGTTCTGCTAAATATGTAAATCTTAGAGGCACTGGCACATACCGCTGCAATCATTTCTTTCGCGGCTGTGTTGATGTCCACGCTGTTGCCGGAACTTGCCGCTCGAAACGCGACCTAATCCTCAATATTACAACGATCTCTTCATTCATACAGAGCTGCTCTTTAATACTACGTACCAAGTAAGGGTTCTAGGCTGTCCGTTCCCTACGCTTCCTCCCAGCCAGTCTTTCTCAACTCGTACTTTGTCTACGCTGTACTGTCCTATGGATACCTTGTCCACATTATTTGGCCCCTCTCGTCGTGGCAGAATTTTTTGGGTGCTGTGAGTATTCAATTTCGTGTCGCTAGGCCAGGAAGTACGATGCTGGCGGTGTCGCTGTGATGAGTTGATGCTTGCACGATCCCTACGGTTTCAGAACTGGTGTGCTTATAAATATAGGGATTGTTGGACTGGGAGTAGGTAGCAGGACATCGTCTTGGTTTGCATGGTGGCAAGAGCCAGTAATTTCAAGTTGGCTTCTCGACTACCATGCCATTCATCGAGTCAACTTGTCTTGAGCAACCGACGTGTCATGGCTAATGATGAGATTTGACTAATTTTCTAACAAATCAAGGAACTAGTACTCTAACTATCAGTGTTTGTACATTCGGACTTCTGGGTCTACTCCGAGTCCTCCCCAAACACCAACTGGAAGAAATAATGCATTATGTTGGTTCGCAAGATAATCACAATATGATCCTCAGGCAACCTGACAAGGGAGGTCAGATCATGGATCATGCAGCGGACCAAAGAAGCCCTCGGAATGTTAGCCTTTTTGCCGTCATCACGCTGTATTCAGAGCTGATCAGGTCCAACAGCAAATACTTACTTCAAGGTGACCACGAAGCTGGGTGAGAACGTCAGTCACCCATCTCTCGGTGTCATCCACTTCACCACCGTGGCCTTCTCCTTCTGTAGAAGGTGGTGCATCTTCATGATGGGCGACTTGTTCAACTCCGCCAAAATCATGGGCGAGGGCTTTGAAGTAATCAGCCGCCTGTACTTGGACGAAATCCTCCTCGTTATGGTCCGTATGCTGAATTCATTGCTGTCAGATCCAACAAGGACGAATAGCAGATACACTTACTTCGAGGTAGGCGATAATCTCAGCGAGAAGTCTCTGTATGCCATTAACTTGGCTATGAAATTCTTTTTCCTCTGCCGACGACGACGATATATCAACATGATCCTGTCCCTGCTCAAAAACGAGTGTCAGGTTGCAAGGAAAAATGAGGGCGGATTTACGCACGACTTTTCCGTTGGCTATATGATTAGAGGCAGCGAAAGCAGACATGGTGGTTGCAGAATGAGAGTAGAAATTTTTTCAAGGACCATTATAAGTATCCTTTGGAGCAATGGAAGACGACTTTTCTGGACAGAGCCCGTACCTTACTGGTCGGGTTCGGCTTTGCGAAAAAGTGAGTTCGTTTCCAATATGCACCGAAATCTCACCTACCAAGTAAAAGATGACAGCGTGTTGATGCTGGAGCAGCTATCGGTGTGACTGAGCAGTGCAACGAGTACTCGCCAGGGCAAGGGCCATACCAAAAATACGAGCACCTCCCACGACGCGTCCAAATTTTTATCCTGTGGTGCAATACAATCTTGACTTCTCGAACGGTCCGAACCAATCACAGACCACGTTCGTCTCTTCTCGTGTCTTTATTGGAAGTACACCCTTTTTGAATGACCGGCTTGGGGGGGGGGGCGACATCTGAGGAACGTTCTTCCCAGAGCAATGGCCGCAATAGTCAAGCAAGTTCCCTGATTCCCAGCTTTGTAGTGTAGCACGCGTCGATAGAACATCAAGTATCGAGTGAAAGGGTGAGTGACATGTGAAGTGGATTGAATATGAGGTCCAGGAAAAGCGTGACGATCAACGGTATTCACCAAGCTAAGACTGCGTGTATACGTGGCTAATATCTGAAATCGAGAGGGATATCAAATCAGAGCGAATGAAAAGATCTGAGAGAGAACCAAGATACAAAGTATCTTGGGGGTTTGGGGGTGAGTGTCCCGCTTGTGAAGGAGACAGCTTCCGAGAGAGAGGGAAGTCGGGAAGGGTGACCAAGTGTCACTGACTGAAGAAGCGGGAGACCCAGGTGTTCGGGAAGTTCTCGACTGGCCAACAGCGAGATGCATGATGCGACAGACAAACGAACCCGAACAGCTATCCAATATCAAGGGTGCGGAGGAGGTCGAAATTATGAACAAATGTATCTATTCAATGCGGCGGGCCGGCGAGCGACGATTAAGTAAATCCACAAGCGCGAAAAGTGTATAGCTGTGGCACAGTCGCTTCCTCGAGTGCCTGTGATCCAACAGGTCACTGGTCACTGCAAGAAAATCCGAAAAAAGTGATGGAGTCCTGTGGAGTGCAAGGTGCGATTAAGTGCTTTGTACTCCATGGCTTAGAGTAGCCTTGGCGTGAAAATGTCAACAATTCGAACTTGTTGGCAGAGGCATATTTCCTTAGAGCCATATATTGTTGGAGTCACCGGTAGAAGCAAGATGAGTGGCGTCACGTATTTATTTACAAAATAAATAATCCACAATCAAACCCAAATATAGTTTCCTTTTGTTATCACCACCGGGACGATGAGTATCGTGGGCTCAGTGTTTTCATCACGATCGTCGCCCTTCCATGTCAGTAACCGTCGCGTCGCCCTCGTCATGGACAGCATATTCGCCATAGGATTCGGTCTCGCCCTTCGTTTTGTCGTCGACACCGTCGGTCGCAACAACCTCAAGCTCACCGGTACTATTATTGGCCTCTGGGAGGGCATCGTGCTCCTTCATTTCCTACAGAAAATGCCATATTCCTTTGACCCGTATGTTGGATATGCGGTCCGTCTTTTTATCGATTTTCTGTTCACCGAAAGCATTACTCGCTTGCTTCTTGTCGTCGTCTGGAGCGGTTTGGGGGTTGTGCTGGCAGATGTTGCACCAGGCATTTGGCATGATACGGGCATGCGCAAGGCATGGCACCGCCTTAGGCGGGAGCTCTTCTTGCTGACCAGGTCGGTACCCACTTTGACGCCATTCACGAAGCCTCGTATTGTCCGATTTTCGCCTTCTCGGACGGCCTCTATCATTTCCTCAGCAGTCGGCTCACGAGCACCGTCTATCCTTACCACCACCCCGACAATCTCCCAGCCTTCAATAGACATTCACACCTGTACCCCGTGCGCCCAAGAGACCGGTGCCAGGCTTTTTCCCAGGCGAAGTGTCGGAGACAGAGACCCAAAGCTCGTTATCAGGCAGCTCGCCAGCATCTCCCCCCGTCTCTCTTTCCGTTCCAATCCATGATACGGATACAGAAAGTCTGGCATCAGGCCAGGGGATGTCGAGGGACTTTGCATTTCCTTCTATGCCTTCGCAGGGTAATGACGACCTGTACGCTTCCTCTTCTTCCTCCGACACGACAGAGCAAATGGATCCGACTACTCTGGATCTTCCGGAGATTGTCGTTGCGGAAGAGGAACCTAATACACCGAAGCAAGATCTCGTTGTCTTTCCACCTACACCAGAAGACTCTCCCTATGAACCTCCCCAGGAGGAACGTGTCGTCACCCCGCCTGCATCAGAGGTTCCAGTAATTCCAGACCTTCCAGAGACAGGCATAGATACTGACTGGGAGAACGTCGAGATGGAGGATGGTGCGCCAACGCCTCCACCCAAGGATGACCCTATGCGTCCCCTGAAAATGTTCCCCTCTTCGTCTCGCGCTCCGTCACAGGTCCGCTCTGAGACAATAGCTCCCTCTTCATCAAAGCCATTGGATGAATCTAAAGCTTGGTCCGAGGTTGATGCATCGTTGTCAGGATCGCCGTTTGAATTCAAGGCGGATAGCGACTCCCCACCAGCAATGCCCATTCCCGTCCATTATTCCCAGGCACAGGTTCCCTCCCATGATACCGCTCTTTCTACAGCGGAACCCCCCATAATACTTTCTCCTGCAACCGACTCTCCGGCAGATGACGATGCTCCCAACCCAGTCGCAAGCAGCCTCCAGCATTCACACTCAATGGCGACATCAATATCGCAATCCACGGAGATGGCCAGCAACCTCGCGCGCGCTTCCTCTATCAACAAAGATATCCTAAATCTCACACCAGAGGACCAGACGAACCCTCCCCCTCCCTATCGGGACCCAGCTTTGACCACTGACGAAGCTGAATCCCCAGAAGTCGAATCAGGTCAAAGGCCACCGACGCCGTCCAGCGACATAAGTGTCACCTCAACATCTTCTCTCCTTCGAGACGCTAGAGACCACCACACAAAGATGACTGAGTACATCAACCGGGACAAGGAGTTGGAACGGCAGATAGAGGCACTCGAAGCGGATGGCGAGGATGGCCTAAGCCTGAAGCTCTTGAAGACCAAGGAGTTGGAAGCCCTCAGGCGGAAAATGGCGAAGACTAGGGAAAGAGCGGAGAGGAAGTTCCATTACGGTGGGTGCTTGTGTTCAATCTGTCTTTCTTGCTGCTAATTGTTCCATGTAAGATAATCTGGAGGAGCAATCCAATGAAATCGAGTTGGGTGGCATGACCGCACAGAAGGCGCTGGAAGCTACGGAGAAGCGGCTAGCGTATCTCCTAAGCGAGGGGAAGCTAGATAAACCATTAAATGTCACTGTGCCAAAGGCACCAAAGGGACGTTCCATCAAGACGAAACTGCACACCGCTATGAAAGAGTACGTCTCCATTTTGATCTCTTTCACCTGCATATTGGCTGACTGAACACCAGGCATGGCATGAGCGTCGTCGATGATAGCTCGAATCAACGGATACTGAGGATAATGCTACCCTAGACGACCTGACTTATGAACTGATATGTGTAATGTCTTATATTTTACGAAGCTTTTTGTTGCTGTCATATTCTTGTTTATATTTACCAGTGCTATCATATACCATCTACCACGCAGGATGTATTCATTGTACAATCATTTTTATTTTTTGGATGGGGAGGTTCTGCTCCTTCAACTTACAGAACGGCATTTTCTCGGTTGGTCATGGGGATAAGCAGAAGGAAGCTGGCTTCATTTTCGCTACCTCAATCCTGGGTCATGAGGGCCTCGGGTAATAGCTTCAAAGTTGGACAGCTGCTGGGAGCGGGAGAAAGTTTTCTTGATATACTAGCTTGAAAGGTTGCTAGCCGTGGTGCAAGAGACGCAGACAGAATTTCCTACTACTTCAATGTTCTTGAAACAAAAAAAAGGCTTTTTTTATCTAGTTGAACTACTCGATGCCGTACGCCTTCAGATCCACCATACTCGGTGAGGTGTATACGGAACTAGCCTCAAAATTGAACACTCGCAGTAGATGCACCCCACGATCTTCTAATCCCAGCTTCTCAAGAACTCGTCGGCTCGCAGTATTCTTAGCGTCGGTGAACCCAAAAACCTCTTTAACGCCCAACACCTCTGAAGCATAGTCGAGTAGCTTCCTAGCGGCTTCCGTCGCATATCCCTGCCCAGACACCTCGGGGAGCATAGCAAATCCCACGTCGGGTACGGGATACGACTGTTCGGGTGAATCGCCCTTCATTAGGCTCACAATTCCAACATGTTTTGAGGTCTCCTTGAGCGAGACCAAGTACTGGCCGTGCCCGTGCCGGGCGTGAGTAGCTACGAAGCGCTTTTCGATGAAGGCTTTCGCTTGTTCTGTAGTGGTGATGCCCGTGTTACCACAAGTGGCAATGAAGGAGGGCGAGTTATAAAGTTGAACGAGGAATGCACAGTGAGTGGGGGAAGTGGGAAGGCAGTAGGAGATATATAGACGATCGGTTTCGATGCGGAAGTTGGGGTCAGTCATGGCGGTCAATCGTTATCAGTGATTTGCAGGACCATGTGCTCTTTGAGTGAATTAGAATCAAAACGATACAAACAGGAAAAAAGAGATAAGAGATAAACTGACTCTTCACAAGAAACTACCACTCTTCCCAGCGCCGAACCGGTCACCGAGACTCTTTGCATCTCGCAACATTTTCTGTCGTGTACTGTCATCCATCAAACGGCCACCAATGGACATGTCACGAGTGTGGTCCCAAATAGCCTTGGATGAATCCTCTTCGTCATCATTCTTGCCAGCTGACTTTGCATGAGCATCGACCAATGCCGAGCCGCGAACTTTGCGCTAGAATAAGAGTCAGCGGAGAACGAGCAGATGAGAAAAAGACGCACAGTATGCTCCTCCACGCCCTTCCGGATGCTCTCATCCATCTTCTGCCTCTTCCTTGCCTCTAATGCCTGTTCAGCACTCATACTGTTGTCAGCATTCACAGCCCGCCGTCGCTTCCCAGACACTTCATCAGCGAGTCGTTGCTGCCTCTCAGCAGGTGTCTCTGTCCACAGGTTATTTTCCGTCTCTTTTGCAGGCGCAGCGGACCGAGCGAACTGCCGAGGTTTGTTGAGTTTTGTGGGGTCCAAGGCTATGGTGGTGATGAACAACGAAAGTATTATAAGACAAGGACAGGCTTACTCCCGAGTAAATCAGAGGATGAAGGAGGCACTAGCATCCATTCGTCTCTTTTGGGTGCTTTAGGCCGAGATGCTTCCTGCATTTACGGTTAGGCACTGGACGTTCAATAGAGTTGAAGGGAATCGACGCACCTCTATTTTCTTCCTACGCTTTTCTTCTTGTTCCATAAATTGCTTGACGCCGTCCGTTTCGTAGGCACTGGTTTGTCCTGTTGATAGCGGTTTCGGTCCTACATCATCATCCGAGTCGTCGTCGTAGGTTGGTAAAGCTGGGCCTTGAACTCGTTTTGGTGGGCCTGATTGACGCGCAGCGAGGAGCTCTGGTGGCAGGGCGGGTGCATAATCATCTTCGTCATCCTCATCATCTTGTTGCTGTTGCTTCACTAGTTCCGGAGGTATTTGAGGACCCACGACCGAAGGGCCAATATCTTCTGCGTCATGTTCATCAGTGTGCTCGCTCCGGTCCAGAAGGTGGGGAGGAATTTCGGGGCCTATTGAGGACATCGTGGTCGCAAGTCAAGAAAGTCACGGTCACGTGGAAGAGATCAAACATCTTAGTCTAAAGTTATTCTAGACTTTCCCATATGTGCATTCGTAATGATACGTATACTATCTGTGCCGCAGTATATCAACCACCAGCTACCAATCGTAGGCGTCAGTCTGCAGATACATCTCCTTACACGTCGTCCCTTGTCTGAGTATATCGATTTGTACGCCAGCAACGGCATTGCTAACATCAGAAATCATCGATTCCGACCCGCACGCTAAGAAAAGATGTCAGAGAATCTTAATAAGACAAGGGCATTACGATTATTAAAACCTACTGGTTACTGCAACACGTCCTTCCCATGTCTGGGATTTTTCCCGGATAATGTCAAGAAGCTTCGGGCGGCCAGTGTTCCAAAGCACCGGCAGCTCCTCAGAAAAAGACTTCTTCGTGTCACTTGCAAGGACATCATCCGAGCCGCTCTTCGATTCCATCTCCTCTGGTCCGGCACCTATCCCAGTGACGAAAAAGCTTACAGAAACACCGTCGTCGTCGAGGCCTTTAATAGTGTCAGAGATGTATTGTTCCATCTTCTGAAATTGATCTATAGGACACTTAGCAGTCGTTGGATAAGGAAGAAGTGTGATGCTTACCTCTAGACCGAACTGCCCAGACTAACTCAATTTTGCTGCACCGTGTCTTCGCATCGACTTCGCCTTTACGGCATCGAACGAGATCTTGAAAGATGGGCAGAATATACGCGATGCCACTGCCTCCAGCGATGAGCAAAGCCTTGTCGAAAGCTCGGAGTTCTGGCGTTGAATGTCCGAAGGGACCATCGAGGAGAACAAAGAGGTCGCGGCGACCACCAGCTTGTTTACAATAATCTTTGAGAGAACTGGTAAAACCCTTCATAGGCACGATAATGAAAGTCATATCGTTCGGTTGATCGTTGCCGCTCGGTATACTGCTGATAGAGAAGGGGTGGGACTCCAATGGACGTACGCTGAGGAAGCGGATGAACACATGCTGACCGGGGGACCATCGAAGTTTCGTAGGAATACTGAGATGTAACATGCCTGATGGTGTTACATGGACACGGGCAACGTGGATATGGAGGTTGACATATATCATGTAACCAACACGAAGCACAACGCCCCAGGCGAAGACTGCAAATGTCGCGTACATGTAGTACCTGATATCTTGTCATAAGCCGACGATTCAGGCAAATTCATGAATAGGGCTTACCCTCTATCGAGATACTTCCAACAGTGAAGCCACAAGAATCCAAAGTAAACTAGAGAAGACTTGAGAGGCCGTAAACACATTCGAAAGTGTGGAGCTCACCCCCAACAGCGGCAAGATGGAGAATCCAGAAACACTCGTACCCGGCCTTGCGGAAGATTGGAAGGCTAGCACAGCAAAGCCAGATCAATGGTGCTAGAGCGACGAAGCCGGTCCAATAGGCACACTGAAACGATATTTAGATCCAGACTAACAGACTGGCTTGTGCTTACATTGTTGTGAAAACTATAGTTAATTCCGCGTTCCCTAAGAAGACTTTAAGCTGTTGCCATAGCTTATAACGGATACAAGCTTACCGAATGGAGCGTATCGTCATGGAAATGGTGTGTACCAAGGGCATATACAAATGCAAGCCCGCCACTCCTTGATGGAGTACCTGCATCTTCTCGTGGGAGCTACCTGTGCCAGAACATAAGAGTATGTTCAAGAAGGGAAGAAATCAGATCCACCTATCAAAGTACCAATGAAGTTGATTTTGTGTCCGAACACAATAAGAAACGGGAGCATTGCCATGGCCGGCCATTCGCTTCGCAGGCCTAAAGGAGAAGCTCCATCTAGTAAAATTGGTTGGCGAATGTCGAAACATAAAGGATCAGAGCCTGAGGCGTACAAAACGGGGGCCTGTAATAATATGTGTCTGCGAAGCAGTAAAGAGTGGTGAAAAGAAATCCCGCAGCGAGAAGTAACGTCTGGCCCTGGTTTCCTGCAGTGTACCATGGAGAGATGAACCTGTTGACTGAGGTAGGAATGCGAGGGTACGCAAGCAGTCGAAAGAGGGCATAGAATTTATCTTGTAGGGTCAGAGATTGCGACGTTGACCCAACAGCGAGGCTATGGTATAATCTATTAGGATATCTACTCACAGAAGAGGACTGATTACCCACCTGCGTCGCTGAAGAATCCTGAAGTGAATATTAAACAAGATCGCAATGAAGATGGTGACGGCAAAGAAGTATAATTCGCAATGGCCGTATTCTACAGACGAAGCCCAAGGTTCATGGGTAGATTGGTACGCCGTCTTCTCTGCGGAGGTAGGGACGTAATGGCCATTGTAGTACGACCCCGCCGCTGGATCTTGGGACATTCGAGCATGTAGAAGTGAATCCATAGCGACTGGAACCCCAGAGAAAACGCTGAAGCCGGCAGAGAGACGAGCAACAGACGTCTTCGACTACTTTGTATGGTGCTGAATTTATACATCCAGATAATCTAGGCGAGGTTTCCATGGCCAGCCAAGCCAATTCAAGTAGCACCGAAGACGGAGATTTCCGCCCCTGCCCAAATGCGGCAATGATCGGGACCTAGAAATTAGAAAATTTATCGCGTGCTGTGACACGGCATAGGTCGGCACAATTTGACGAAGGGATTCCCCATAGACTTACCATTAGAAACGCAATGGAGAATCCCAAGAGGGCGATACCATGAAGTTAGGAAGTAGGAAGGCTCTGGGATGTCTGTGGATGGAGAAGGGGAAGGGGAAGAGTAGCCTGGCATGGTAAAGGACAAAATACTTTGCCGACAAAGATTTGTATCGGAACTGAAGCAGAATGAGGCAGTTTTTTTCTTAGTCAGCGTCACTAGGCCAATCGCAAAAAGGCGGAGGGCGAAAATCACGCAATCGCCGAGCGGCGAGACCTATATAAAGCTCTATCTAAATTGCTTAACTTTTCTCTTCCCCTCACTATGCTTGTCGCCTGCTGCGTTTCTTTCTTGTCTTCCTTGGGCTGGTCTCCTCTTGCGACTTCGTGGTTAAACTCTCCTTCACTATTTGAGGATTCGTCTTTATCACTACTTGGCTTTCTCTTCGCACTATTTCGTTCATTCGACGTCTGGTGCCGGGATGATGGTGGCAGTCCTGGGTGTACTCCCTGCTCTTGCTAGCTCTCATTGCCATCTTCAAGATGCATAAAAGGTCTTGCCCTCTATTCTAGCTGTTCATTGCGCTTACCATCACCTGAAAGTAACCTAGTTATTGTACCCTGTCCAAGTGTCGTCATTCCCGACGGTCTGCATGATCTAGCTTTATCCATTAAAGAGTAGCTCGCCATTTTGTTTCTCCGCGCCAGTGTTCCTCGTGGACTTCTCCAACTGCTTCCATGTTGATATCCGCTGTCGTTACAGACCGTCTGTGACGCTCTAATCGATGCGCTTGATGGCGCGATACCGCATGATAGTTACAGAAAATCGTGTGTTGCCAGCGGGTCGCCGTTCCATTCGGGTCCCGCCCAATTCGGGGCACATTCGGAGCCTACGCCCTCCGTAATGTATCTGGGTGTACTTACCAGGTGATGTCCCGCCGCCACTGTCATTCCGACAAATTGGCAATCCTCAGAAAGGAAGAATTTTTATTCTGATCACTGACCCTAAGTGTTCCACTTCTGTGAGTAATCAAAGTTCTTGACACCCTTCCAGGTTATGGCGGTCTTGACATTGAATCATTAGGATCTATGCTGTACAGATTCACTATTGTCGTATTTTCCCGCGCCTTTACAAGTTTTTAGACCGACATTGGATCACTAGACGAAATATACTCAGACCTATCAGAGTGGATGGACACACTTCTCAGCGTTGATGATACATAAGCAACAAGACAGCAAACACGCCGTTATGAACCGACGTTACTTGCAGTACTATACAAGTATACCGCAGGATTACGCCGAGATCTTGGATCCGGGATGTCACTGGGAACTATCCTTTGCTTGCTTGACTTTCGGTTTTACACCAACCGTCACGCAAAGACAGTACGCGATTTCCCTCTCAGCCTCGCAATCATTGCATCATCCAATCAAGTCAAAATCCTCGTCTTCATTGGTGTGCTCGCTCCGATCCAGCATCGGGGAATAATTTGGGCCTGCTGAGGAAGTAAAACATTGACGGTCTAAACTTATTCTAGACATAATCTGCTTCTCCATACATTCATAACGGATATGTATAATTTACCAGCGCTACCAACCATAAGCGTCAGTCTGCAGATACATCTCTTGACATGTCGTCTTTCTTTGGAGTATATCGATTTGTACGCCGGCAACGGTATTGCTGACATCAGATATGATCGATTCCGACCCGCATGCTGGCGAAGGAAGGAAGGAAGTTGGTCTTATCAGTGTGGCTAGCGAAATAAGCATTATCAAAACTCACTGGTTACTGCAACACGTCCTTCCCATAGTCTGGGATTTTTCCCGGATAATGTCAGGTAGGTTTGGGCGGCCAGCGTGCCAAAGCGCCGGTAACGCCTCAGACAATGACTTCTCTTTCGCATCACCTACAAAGTCATCATCCGAGCTGCTTTCTATCCCCTCTGACCTAATATCTTTCCCGGTGACGAAAAAGCTTACAGAAACACCGTCGTCGTTGAGGCCTTTAATAGTGTCAGCGATGTATTGTTCCATCTTCTGAAATTGATCTATAGGACACTTAGCAGTCGTTGGATAAGGAAGAAAGTGTGATGCTTACCTCTAGACCGAACTACCCAAACTAACTCAATTTTGTTGCACCGTGTCTTCGCACCGACTTCGCCTTTACGGCATCGAACGAGATCTTGAAAGATGGGCAGAATATACGCGATGCCACTGCCTCCAGCGATGAGCAAAGCCTTGTCGAAAGCTCGGAGTTCTGGCGTTGAATGTCCGAAGGGACCATCGAGGAGAACAAAGAGGTCGCGGCGACCACCAGCTTGTTTACAATAATCTTTGAGAGAACTGGTGAAACCCTTCATAGGTACGATGTAAAAGGACATCTCGTTCGGTTGGTCGTTGCCATTCAGTATGGTAGTGATGGAGAAAGGGTGGGACTCCAATGGACGTACACTGAGGAAACGAAGGAATATATGCTGACCGGGGGACCATCGAAGTTTCGTAGGAATACGGAGATGTAATATGCCTGATGGTGTTACATGGACACGGGCGACGTGGATATGGAGGTTGACATATATCATGTAACCAACACGAAGCACAACGCCCCAGGCGAAGACTGCAAATGTCGCATACATGTAGTCTCTGGTATCTTGTCATAAGTCGAGGGTTCTGGCAAGATCATGAATAAGACTTACCCTCCGTCGAGGGAATCCCAGCAGTGAAGCCACAAGAATCCAAAGTACACTAGAAAGACATGAGAAGCAGCGGGAACATTCAATAACACGAAGCTCACTGCCAACAGCTACAAGATGAAGAATCCAGAAACACTCGTACCCGGCCTTGCGGAAGATTGGAAGGCTGGCACAGCAAAGCCAGATCAACGGCGCCAGAGCAATGAAACCGGTATAGTACGAATCCTGAAACGGAATTTAGACTCACGACTACTTGTTGGCTTGTCCTACTCACATTATTCCAAAAGTCATAGCGAATTCCGCGTTCCCTAAGAAGACTTTAAGCTGTTGCCATAGCTTATAACGGATACAAGCTTACCGAATGGAGCGTATCGTCATGGAAATGGTGTGTACCAAGGACATATACAAATGCAAGCCCGCCACTCCTTGATGGAGTACCTGCATCTTCTCGTGGGAGCTACCTATATCAAAATCTAAGTGTATGTTCAAGAAGGCAAGCAAATATGTGCACCTATCAAAGTACCAATGAAGTTGATTTTGTGAGCGAATACAATGAGAAATGGGAGCATCGCCATGGCCAGCCATTCGCTTCGCAGGCCAAGAGGGGAAGATCCGTCTAGGAAAATCGGTTGATGAGTATCAAGTCGAAAAGAACTGAATCGACAGCGTACAAAACGGGGGCCTGTAGTAATATGTGTCGGCGAAGCAGTAAAGGGTGGTGAAAAGAAATCCCGCAGCGAGAAGTAACGTCTGGCCCTGGTTTCCTGCAGTGTACCACGGAGAGATGAACCTGTTGACTGAGATAGGAATGCGTGGATACGTGAGAAGTCGAAAGAGGGCGTAGGATTTATCCTGCAAGGTCAGCGCTTGAGATGCTGACGCAGCGGCGAGGCTACGGCACCGTGTATCAGGAAATTTACATGAAGAAAATGAAGATATTACTCGCCTGCGTCGCTGAAGAATCCTGAAGTGAACATTAAACAAGATCGCAATGAAGATGGTCACGGCGAAGAAGTATAATCCGTAATAGCCGTATTTTACAGATGAAGCCCAAGGTTCACGGGTTGATTGGTACTCTGTCACTTCTGCGGAGGTAGGGACGTAATGGCCATTGTAATACGTTCCCGGGACTAGATCTCCGGACATTCGAGCATACAAAGGTGAATCCATAGCGACTGGAACCCCAAGAAACACAGTGGTACCAGCAAAAGGATAATAGGGATTTGTAACTACATCGTATGGCGCTGAATTTATATCACCAGATAAATTAGGCGAAGCAGCACCAGATGTAAACTGAGATTCGGGCAAGATTCGGGTTTCCGCCCCTGCCCAAATGCAGTAATCATCGGGACCAGAAAATTTGTAGTGTGACTGTGACAAAGTACAGGCCGGCACCAATCTGACGAAGGGATTCCCCATAGACTTACCATTAGAAACGCAATGGGGAATCCCAAGAGGGCGATACCATGAAGTTAGGAAGTAGGAAGGCTCTGAGATGTCTGTGGGTGGAGAAGGGGAAGGGGAAGAGTAGCCTGGCATGGTAAAGGACAAAATACTTTGCCGACAAAGATTTGTATCGGAACTGAAGCAGAATGAGGCAATTTTTCGCTTAGTCAGCATCACTAGGCCAATGGCAAAAAAGCGGAGGGCGAAAATGACGCAACCCAGACCTATATAAAGCTCGTCTATCTAAACGTTTATCTTTTCTCTTCCTCCACTATCACCTGAGCTGCGTTTCCTCCTTGTCTCCCTTGGGTTGGTCTACACCCTCGGCGCTCAGCTCGTATGCAGGACATCGTTAATGTTGCCTTTACTTTCTGAGGCACTGTCATTGCCGGGTTATCACCTCTACTTGGCTTCCTCTTTATCATTGAGGTCGTTTGAGGTCTAGCGTCGCGAGCCGTTCTATGGCATAGTCTCTGTTCTAGCTAGCTCCCTTCACCATCTTCAGGATGTCTGAAATACCAACTGTTCGTTGCTCTTGCCATCACCTAAGATTAGCTGGCACCACACTCTCTGTGCAAGTCCTCCATCTGATTTTTGTGTTGTCATTCCTGAAGGTTGACTTGATCCTTTTTACATCAAAGAGGAGATCGATTGTTTGTTTCTCCGCGCCTTCGTTCCTCGTGCACGTCTACGTCTCTGCTTCCGTATCAAAATCTCCGTCTCCGCTGTCGTTACAGACCGTCTCTAATCGATGAACTTGATGGGGTGATATCGGATGCTAGTTCCTGGAAACCGTGTGTTGAGCAGGAGGCCGTTCCAATCGGTTTTTGCCTTCATCCTGGGCACAAGGTCTTCGCGATCTGGATCCATGCGCCTGCAGTCAGTCCTTGATGCTCCGTGTGATGTTTTATTGCCAGTAACACCGACAAATTGGCGATCCGCAGTAGTGCTCCGCTTTTGTGACCTTTGGAATCGGAATGTTTTGACACCCTCCTAACTGAAAGGGATTTTGAATTGAATCATTGAGATTTATCGGGTTTAAATAAGGGCTGTTTACACTAGTCTAATTGGTACGAGATCGCGTAACTCAGGTCTCCCCCCCATATCTCACGTTTTTCCGCAGACGTCGGCCGCTCCCTCAGCGCGTAGCCTTCCATTGTATGCGGTCTCAGCCTCCCCACGGGAGCCTCTCCCGGGAGTCTCAACCGTCTCACCAGTGAGTACGTGTCACCTGAATGCTGTGGCACAGCGGAATCTAACGGGCTTCTAGTTTCTTCGCCATGCCTCTCTTTCTCCCGGACTATATCTCCCTGGTGGTCTCAGTGGGAGCGCTTATCACTCTCGTTGAATCACCAGGTACGTTCCGTCTTTCTCGTAGTGTTTCCTTTAGCTTACGTTTCGCTCTCGTCGAATCGACAGAGCTTTCGTGTTTTTAGCACCCACCCTGGACAGTACTCTTCTTACCTTCGACATGGACAATTCGGACTAGCGGACGGACTTATTCATGAACACTTGCTTCGTTTACAAACTCATGTACAGTACTGTCTCCCTCCCAGCGCTCACACACGCGGAGGCTGGTTTCTCAAATTGGACTTGTGCCAAAAGGGTGATTTTTTGGTAAACTCGTACGATCGGTCGGACACTCGTCGACCAATTAGCACTGTACAGATTCACTATTGTCGCGATTTTCCTGCTTTTAGACCGTTACATTCAAATGATCACTAAATGTAATCAATGGAATGAATATACTAAAACCTTTTAGAGTACACACCTCTCAGCGGCGATGATACATAAGCAGTAAAGCGACAGACACGCCGCCTACTATGAATCCCAACGTAGCTGGCAGTACCGTGGAACTACCATGGGGGACTGCATCAAGATCCTGGCAGGTCGACTGAGGGTTATCCTTCCCTTGCTTGACTTTCGGTTTTCCACCAACGTCATGCAAAGACGGTACGCGATTCCGCTCCCACCCTTCATCAAGCAACCTCGCAATCATTGCATCGTCCAGTTGAGTCAAATCCTCCATGTCCCACTCGTTGCATAGTTGAGACATCCACTTCATCCTGCGTCGACTAACAGCTCCTCCAATGCCAGGTGCACGCTCCTTCAGGCGGACCCTCAACTCTCCAACTCGCCTGATGGCCTCGCCTTCATAGCCGCCTAAGGCGGCACTGAGTTTTGACTTGAGTAATGCTGCTATTCTGGGACCAGATCCGTTGGTCGATATCATGATCTGCAAGGGACCATCGCGTATCTGAGCACCAAAGTAGAAGTCGCATAGATCAGGTATGTCTGCAGCGTTGACGGGTATTCTTTGCTCGCGGCACAGCTCGACGATTTGGCGTGAACTGCTGGGATCGTCGAGAGCAGTAAGGACCATGTCCATCTTGTAGAGTTCTGCGGGCCCAGAGAAACGACGGTCATAGTATGTGATACGGTCCGGATATAGTTCAATGAATCGCTTGGTTCGAGGGTGAAGGCCCTTGGCTGGAGCGAGAATAACGATCTTTGCGTCCGCGGAAAGAACGGCTTCAATGCGTCCTGACGCGACTTCTCCCCCGCCGACGATGAGAACAGTTTTGCCCTTGAGCTGCCAGGCGACGAGCAGAGACAACCCGCCGAGATTTGACGAGATGGATGGGTCCGAAGGAGAAACAGAAATATCTGCAAAGGACATTGGGAGGAATGGACGACGAGTGGACGACGAAGTGAACAGAAACTGGACTAGACCGCAAGTGACGATGACGTCATAATTTGCATGTGATTGGCATCACCTTTGAGTGGCCCCTATTCTCGCTGCCAGCGGCTGCGCCCGCCTAGGCTAGGAGAGGGAATATAATGACAGGCTTTGGAACACATTGCAAAGGGCCAATTGCTGATTTGTTTCCTGCTATTTCTCGTGTCTTGGCCTGCTTTTTGGAGAAGATGCGGTGAAATTTGGAAATCAGAACGCTCGCAGCTGCCGAGGCTGTGCTTCGGCATTAGGTGAGCGCACCACAGCGACCACCGACAGGCCCCTTCAGCTTTCTACCTTTCACTCCCATTCTGCCCCTACTTCTACTTGATATCTAGTTTTCCTCATTCGTCAAATTTCTTCTGTATCAACCACATAATCCTTCCTCATGGCCTATCGAGACCCGTACGCTGCGCAGTACGGCCGGTACGAGCACGACGCCCAGTACACCCAGCCCGACTTCAATCCTTACGGCCATCAGCAACCACATGCTACTTACGACGAGGGTGCTTACGATAACTATGGCTCTGGCTATAGAGATGAACCTACAGACGCCCGTGGGCCGCATCGGCAAGCCACTATGAAAAGTCACATCACCACGGATTCTATTGACTCACCTACGGGTATCAGAGCCAGAGACGCTGCTGACAATACTAGTGGCTTTGACCGTGGAGAGTTTCCACCCAAGGAAAAGTACGTCTCTATGGTCCTATTTCCCCTTGGTTACTTAGCTCCAACCAGAGTTCCCCAAACCTTGAAGAGTTATCGATATGAAACGCAGGGAAATCTCTGGACAAGGGTAAGCAAGTTCATTTATATGTGAATATTTTGTTGATGTCAAATAGGGAGGTCGTCCAAGGTGTATTGGGAGGTTCTGCTGCTGCACCCTTCTGATTGCTGTTTTTCTAATAATCAGCATAATCTTGTCCCTTGCATTGGTTAGTCTCTCATTGGTTTTCCACATCAATATTAACATGTATGCAGTGGATTCGGCCCCCCAACGTCAGCATCGGTGAACTTCAGACAATGTCTTCCGGTGGTAGTGAGTTCGAACTCACCAACGACGGTGTCAACATAAACCTTGGCGTCAACATCTCGTACGTATTCTAGACGTGGATTGCATTTCATTTATTGACATTTTCTCATAGGGTTGACAATCCGAATTACTTTTCAGTCAATCTGAAGAAAGTAACGGCCGAGGTAAACTTGTCGCAATCTCCGTTGCCGATTTGCCGCTCACCGCTGTACCTCAGTTGTTCTACCCTCTCAACAGCTCTAGCACTGGTACGGACATTGGAGGTGGCACCTCCAGCAACATCAATTTCGCCTCGCACTCGCAGACCAATTTTACCTTCCCGTTCGCGATCGAATACACCACGGCCGATGACCCCAACAGCGCCATCCTCGTAGATCTCCTTGAGAAATGTGGGGTTCTCGGCACAAAGACTAATATTGATGTCAATTATAAGATAACGGTGAGCCCAGCCTTTCTGCCGTACTGCAGTGCCTCATAATCGTTTTTCAGCTCGCCATACGCATTCTTATAGTAACGGTTTCACCGGTCATTTCCAACTCGTTCAGCTTTGCATGTCCCTTAGACTCGTCATCGCTTTCGGTGCGTACTACGTGCAAGTTATTCGTATTTCAGGACCTAACTGTTTTTCATCCAGGATCTCATGGGCAGTTCTGGCCTAAACCTGACCAGTATCGCCGGTATATTGGGAGGATCTTAGCACTTCATTTTTCCTTGCATTGCACGTGTATCATATATTTCAAAATCTGGACTATATTTGCTATGAATCTAGTACTACTCAAGAGACATGGTCCATACCAATGATTTTGAACATTCATCGATTCACCTATTGTACCAATAAATAGCATTGCATTCCAGCTCGTTCGTCAACGAACCATTAAGCCTGCAGTAGCTTCAAATGTGCCATCCCACAAGCACCCATATCCCAGTTTCTAACGAGCCTATACTTTCTATTGAGTTCGCAGCCTTCCACATTGCACTGGGGTATTGGCCTTGGTGGTGCAGGAGGGTGCACTTCGCCCTCTGGCAGCAAAGACGGCGGAACTGAGAACATCAGAATCATCTTCTTCTCTTCGTTACTATCGGTTTTCTCCTTCTCTGCCGCACCATCAACATCCATCTTCTCCTCCGGGACCGTATCATCGACGTCCATTTTCTCCTCAGTTCCAGGACTAGGATCAACTTGGGGAGGCCGCGACGAGGATATCCATCGATACATGACGGGTATTATAGGTGCAGGGCGCAGGTTCCTCTGTACTTTCCCTCCACCTCCATGGCCTCTTCATCGCTATCGTTCTGCACCTTGACTCCGGACGGGGTTGCCCGTTCCAGTAGTAGTTCCGTTGCGTCTACCCGCCCCGCGGACGTGTTTGTTTTTTGAGTAGGCCGGTTGATAGTTTCAACCTTTGCAAGAGCATGAGACAACGAATTAGTACACTGACAAGACGCACCTTTTCATCCTCCAACTTTTTCTCAGAAAGATTCTTCCTCTTCCTGGCTGTCTCTTCCCGACGCAAGGCTAAACTCGGTCTCGTTGAGTTGCTTTTTCCTACCCTTGCCCACGGATACTGCAGTGTCACCATCTGCAACTTGCAAGTTGAATTACGAATAACGTGAATGGGATACAACATTTGCCGCGTACCCAAGAAACATGCGAAGAGTCGACCACATTGGCCAGAACGGCCTGCCTTGACGTGAGGCGCTTCTTCGAAGGACTAGCTTGAGGTGTCGACTCCGATTCAGGTGACATAGACTCTCATCGTCATCATCATCATTATCGTCCATCTTCTGAGCTCTCAAGGTAGGAATCTGCGGCAGACAATTAGGCGCTGTGGCTGATTTGGGAAGAGACATCCAACCGTACCCGGTACTATCCTCCTTGTGCGAGCAGAAAGCTCTCTTTGGTGGACGGTGATATTCTTCCGGTGCTGGTGTCGCCGTGTTGGACGTTGAGCTCGGTACAGTGGGGGAGTTTCAACTTGATCTTGAGTCGCGATGGATTGTGCTGGTTGCGACGAAGAAGTATTGCTGAGCTGGTCGTCCTCTTCTTCTACAATGGCGTCGTCATCATTCTGGCACAGAAAGATGGGGATTCCAGCGCGGACGTGAAGGGACATGGGCACGTACAGATTGAGCATCTTCCTCGTCTAGAACGGTAACACCGACCTGGTCGTCCTCGTCTTCCTCCTCCGGATCATCGCCATCCTCCTCCTCAGGAGAATCGCCCTCGTAACGCTCAGCGTCGTCGTCGGCGCCTTCCATGTCGACCTCATTCTCAACTTCGTTGCGCCGCATGGTGGGAAATTCCAGGTGTCAGGATTTGGGAATGACATCATGAGAGCAGTTTCGCCTTCTGGTTATGACCCTCACGATGTCAGCTGGTTGCATCTCTCTGCAGCACCACCATGTCAAGTAACCTCGTTCAGCTCACGCCGCCCAAACAGCTAACGCAGCAAGAACGTGAAACCGTTTTCCAGCATATCTTTCGCCGTCTGGCAGCCTATAGAAACACCCCGAGCTCTACGCCTTGGCAGAATATTCTTTGTCGTCTTTGCCAGAAAAGGCGAAATCCGATAGAAGAAATGCGTTTAATAAAGGGTTAAATGCATGGGCGCAACAGCTACTAGAACATACGTGGGTTGTATGCGGAGAGCCAGACGGAGGTACGGTCGACAATGTCGTCTGTACGTTAACATCGCTGACGACAGGTTCAGAAAGCTGTCCTGAACTAGATCCTTATGCCGATACTTCCACCGGTCAACTGCTTAAACTACCTCATGAGCGGGACCTTAAGAGAATCCTTAACGCCATCCTTTTCCTGCATATCACAACGTCCAAGGAGTATTCTGCTAGGACGCGGTCGTTTCTGAACACTTTTGGCAGCATGGACGAAGACATCATAGTGTCTACACTTAGACATCCAGACCGTGCCATCGAAGAGGCGCAACAACATACCCAGACTACTACCAAAGATCACGCAAAGAGAAATAAAGTGCTGAGAATGGCCGGGATGGGCCTTGGCGCAGTTGTTGGGGGCGTATTGGTCGGGGTCACTGGAGGTTTGGCTGCGCCGCTTGTAGGTGCTGGAGTTACAACTGTCGTTGGGTGGCTCGGCATCGGTGGGACGATTGCAGGTTTGCTAGCCAGCGGACTAGCAGGATCTTCTGTCGTCTGTGGGGCACTATTTGGCGTGTACGGCGCGAAGTCTACGGCAGATATGGTACAGAGACATACGAGGGAAATACGGGATTTAGCTGTTTTGCCGGTGGGCGTTCAGTCCGAAGAAACCCTTGCCGTCCGGCTTTGTGTTAGTGGGTGGATATCGTCGCCTATCGTAACGTTCGTAACGCCTTGGACTGTGTTCGGAGGCCATAACACATTTGCTTTGCAATGGGTAACTCCTTTAACTCCTGGTTACTGGCGTTTCTGATGCTTACTAGGAAGTCCAAGCATTGCAAGAGCTATCAGATGCGCTTCTCACTCTTATCAAATCTCACACCATGAAATACATCAAGATTGAAATTGTCAAGCGCACCGTCTTTGCGAGTTTGATGAGCTCTTTGGCGCCTATTGCGTGGCTGAAGATAGGGCAAATCATTGGTATGGTGAAAGATTTCAGGCGATCGGACCCGTTATGCTCACTTCGGCACTTCTGTTTACAGACAATCCTTGGATGAACTCCAAGGCATTGGCTATCAAGGCTGGGGCAGTCTTAGGAGATCTTCTAGCTAAACGTGCCTTGGAAAGCGGCCGGCGACTCTGGCTGGCTATTCCTTGGGATCCTTGGTAATCTTCGAGGCACTGAAGTACCTCACCACCCTTCCACCATCAAACACTGGGGATCTAATTGAAGACGTCTTTCTTTTCGGGACTCCCGTATCAACAGACCAGGCGACGTGGGCCAGTATAAGACGGCTAGTATCAGGCCGACTCGTCAATGGTTATTCCACGAACGATTATGTCCTCGCCGTACTTTCACGCGTATCGAGTGTGACTTGGAACGTTGCAGGTCTTCATTCGGTTGATGTCATGGGCGTAGAGAATGTCCACTGCGATTTTGTTGATGGGCACACCATGTGGAAAGAATTGATAGGGAAATCATTGCAGCTTGTCGATGCTCCTGGATTGGTCGATTCTGAAATCTATCTTCGGACGGAGGATATCGACAGGCAAGGGGAGGGGGATTTGGGATCAAGCCAAGAGGACTTGCCTCAGAAGGGTACAAAGTAAGGTTGTATAGGACATTATGGATTAGATTGTTTTTTAGAGTTCAAAATTGTTGCTATCCTGTCCTGCGAGTTCTGCACGACCAGGAACCAGCAATGACTCTAACGATGATAAGTTGTCAAATATTATTAGGATGGATTTGCTACGCACTGATGATGGCATCAACTCTAGTAGTTAGTCCTCGGAAAATGCCGGCTCAATGTTGACTTCTGTCTCCAAGCATCCATCGAGGTTTTAATGCCATCACAAGAGCTAGCTGACTTTGGATAAATTTGGTACCGTAAATTCGATACCTGCAATCTCCTCGCTGGCTGGAAGAATGTTAGCCCATTTTGAAGTTGTGGCGAAAAAAGTTCAGAATCTGGTAATGCAGCGCCGTTGACTTGGCTATACTCAAGTTCTGCGAGAGCAGCTCGCATATTTCCCTGTCAACTAGTGAGTGATTTTCCCTTGCTAATCGGCATTCCAACCTGTGACATCAACCACGTAGTAGGAAGTCAACTTTTGTAATGCACTCCTGAATAATTCAAGATGTGGATCAATACCTCTACCGCAGTCTATGTTGGTGCGTAACGTATAGAGACTAATGTCATCGGTCAACGGGCTGATTCAATGTATCATTTCAAGGCTATTAAAAGGCTCTATTTTGGATCATCCTACAGTCCGAGAATCCGCGGAGAGCAGCTGAAAAGACGCGGACGTATCCTTGACAGCGTGCCCGTCACTTAGACTTTGATTATCCTCGAACGGTTACAGGGTTTGCTTCACTCCTATCAGCCCTAGGGACATCTTGTATACCCCTTTCCGGCTCCCTGCTTGCGATGAAGACAGGCGCGCAGTCGTGCCAGCTGCTGCCATTCGTTCATGTCGTCTACGATTTTGTTTGTTAGACAGACGTCGACAGTACCGGAGGTTTCACTTTCTCTTCGACGTAAAGGCTTCTTTAAAGTTTGCCTGCCGACTCAACGTCTTCATCGGTCAAACGTGCAAAATTTCGGGATTGTGATATCCCAAGGCTGGGAGGAGCCCATGCGTAAGTGCTTATTAGCAACATCTTCATCAATCCGTAATAAACTTACGAATCTTGCGTGACCTTGTGGTTGCATTCGGAATTCACCTAGAACGGGAACTGTCTCTAACTATACCAATCTAATGCGCTGGAATGACCTCCTGGCAAGTGTTCAGCTATCTCTCAGAGGTACTTTGTCGCACAGAATTCGCTTGGTGGGACGGATCTTGCACCCTCCATCCCACTCTATTCTTGCTGTCAATTCCGAATATCAGTCATCGCACGCGGGCCGGGACTCGGCTGGATTGTTCCAATCACGTGATAGATGATCGTCATATGTCTGAGAAGAGGTATATAACTAACGATACATCTTCAAGTTTCCCAAGATCACTGCTCAAAAATTTCTCTCAGTCTGATGTTCTAGCAACCAGCATGTCAACGCCTACACCCCTCAGATCCCTCATTGGCGGCTTTGGCCTTTCTCTCCCAGTGCATGCTCTGTTGCTTTTGAACGGAAATGTCTTCGGAATATCCGGTTTCTTTCACCGCGCAGTAAAAGGGAATATAGAGGCGTTGGCGGGTGTATCCGGGCTGCTCGCCGGAGGACTTGTCATTGGAGCTCTCGAAGGCGCAAATACAGCAGTACTTGGTCTCGAAATACGACAAGTTCTGCTATCCGGTTTCCTTGTAGGATTAGGAACCAAGGTATCTCGCTTCTATAGATCCTGTTCACATGAATTAATAGCCTATCTCGTAGATGTCTAATGGATGTACATCCGGGTTAGTAACTCCGATTACCGCTTGTGCCTTTGATTTACCGATAGTTGAACCGATAGACATATGATTTGCGGCATTTCCAGACTATCCAAGAGGTAAGAAATAGTTCGAATGTAAATATATGCATGCCATTCTCACGCTTTCAAGGTCAATTGCCGCGACCGCAACTTTTTTTTCCACGGCAGCGGTAACGGCGCGTCTGTTACATGGTTCAAAGTTGGGCCCCTCAAACCCATCTTGGGACTGGAGTTTAGGGTCGATGGGGAAAAAACTTATTGCCCTACAAGCAATCCCTCTAGTGATTTCAGCGTTTCTTTGTTTCTACAATGTCAGTGTTCTTGCCTTCTTGCCCACTCAGCCGTGACTAACATAGGACAAGCAGAAACCAAAATCAGAGGATGTCGCTCCGAAAGAACCGAATATTTTAGCCCGACGCGCTACCTACTTCAACAACGGATTCAACTTTGCACTTGCACTTTCTCTATCTAACCTCATTGACCCGATCAAAGTATTGACATTCTTACTCCTACCTATCCATTCTGCTTTCGATCCATCACTCGCTTTTCTCGCTATGGGGGCTTTACCTACCTCGATCATCTTATACAACTTCTTTTGCGGGACGCGGAGGCCCATGCTCGGTGGCCCATGGGCGATTCCAACGGGAGGAGAGATTAATATAAAAATTCTGACAGGAGCAGCAGCGCTGTTCGGGGTGGGCTGGGGAATTTCAGGCATCTGCCGTACGTTAACCAACTCGTGCCAGCCGTCTCATGTCTGATAAAATCCTTTTAGCTGGGCCAGGCCTAGTGAACTTCGGGCGTGCTATTACGTCAGGTTCTGACGTTGCGCCTCTGGCTGGCTGGTTAAGCGCTGTCGCCGTGGGAGGCTTACTGGGTTAGAAGTACGGAATTGGAAGGCTAGCTTAGAGTTACGATGACACGGAACAGGATTAATAGCTGCTACGTTAAATAATAATGGATGTTTAATCAGACAATGACATTTACCTCAAAGGAAAGGACGCTAATACTCGTGCAAATATCTATCTAATAATACAAGACAACGGGAATGAAGTCTACGACGCGGCCGCCACTGCGGTCGGGGCAAGTGGCTTCGCTTTGCTCCGGCCCCATTTTATCGCTATTCGTTCTCCATCAATCTCAAGACCGTTAGCCCACGCCTCAGCTGCACGTTCAGCGATACTTCGCTCCTTAAAGTTGATGAATGCACACCTAGATAGAAAACGATAAGTCGCCATGTTGCTAAAGTCAGTGGGGAGATGTTAACCGTGACTTGGCTACATGAACAACAGAACGTAGCTGCGTTGGCTCAACACTAGGTAGTGACTTGAGAACGGTGGTGCGTATACTCAGTTCCGTGGATTCGGGAGAAAGTGAAGATAAAAATATTGATGTCTGAAAATGATGTCAGTAGCGCTTCAAGGAAATAATGGAAAGGCATACAATAGTCTCGTCATCAGGAGGCTTCAGGCCCTGATTTTCGGCGTGTGTGGCCATAATTTTACGGGCTACGGGGTCATTTCGCCCGTGGTACCGATCCTGCAAATTCTGGTGTGACAGCGCACTCTCTACGGGTTTCTCATGTCGGTATGGGCATTCAGATCCGCGTTTGCATTCCCCCTTGACGAAAAAGGAGCACACATGTGGTCGATTGCGCTTATAATAAGGATCTGTCCGCGCCAGTTGCTTCAACATTTCCTTCCCTGCAGACTGCGTTCGTCCGCTGCTAAGGCCGGACTTGTCACCTTCCAGCTACCGATAAAGGATTTGAGGCGAGAATAATGAGGTAAATGATAGTAACGCACCTTGGCCTCCATGTTCTGCGCATAGTATTCCCGATTTATATCACTTGTAGGCGCGTCCTTCTCCAGAGCCAAAGCGGTATCACGGACTTGCGTGGGTAGACCATATTCAAGATCGAGAAGACACGTCTGGCAGACATTCTTCACTTTGGCACACGTTTGACAAATGACGGTGGTTTTGAAGCGCATGCCAGAACCTGGATTCCATCGGAATACTGTGAACGGTCGTGCACAGGTACCACAAGAGCGTCCGTACTCTTGCTTCGACTACAATGAAATCAACAAAAAAGCGATTGAAATGGTGAAAGAAGCACTGACCATGCGAATAAACGGATTATCACCTAAACCTAGAATACTGTTGAACAGGCAAAGTACGATTTCAGACGGCAGGCACATACATGTTTCGCAAAGAATAGGAAATTCGCTCTGCTCCCATCCTGCTTTGTTGATATCGGCTTTGGGAGGCATTCTGGGTATAGTCACTAGGTAGTGGTCAGTCCGTAAGTTGTGAAAGTTGTCAGCGATCAGTCAAAGTTTGGCAAATGCTCTCAACACAAATATACACACGTGATGTTAATAGGAGCTAACTAGAATGGATGATGATCTAATACATCATAGAGAAATTTGGCGGAATACACAACGAGAAACTCCATCCTCCTGCAGAACCCAAGTCCTTTCTAATCTATACCCTTTCTTTCGAGGTAGCCAAACACACCAAACACACCAATACCCCACACCGATGAGAGATAGAGCAAAGGCGACAACAGCATGAGACTGAGGAGAATAATTAGCTTACAACTTGCGTAGGTGTGGACAGACTCACCCAATACGGCAGATGCTCGTATGTTCTTGATCCAGGTGCAGGAGGTATTAGAGGTACGAGTACCAGGAACACATTAGACAAGAAGAACAAGACGATTACAATCTTGGGTGCTCGAAATGGTGGATCCCAATTCCATGCTTTGTACGCGGAAGTATACAGTAGCAAAAGACCCAGGGAAACAAGAGCATTAATAATAGCAAGGCAGTATGATGACACTGATGGAATGTTGAGAGATTACAAGTGTTGAATCCGCTGAAAACTCACGGCTGATCATGAACAGGTAGGCGTCTCCCGGTGGAGGCAGAACCATGAACATGGTAGAGAAGAACCAATTCGTAGCAAGCCCTGCCAGGGGCGCATTAAATGGCTTGTTGCTGGCAAAGAACCATGATACCGGAATCACCCCCTCTCGGCCCAGTTCCTGTATGACTAGAATCGGCGCCTGAGAAAAGACTCGGATCTATTCTGGAGAATGACCTACTGCGCCCTTGACTGAACTGGCCAGTGAGCAGATTTCCTAGCGTCGACAAGGCAATAAATACGCTAAGAACCTACAAACTGTTAGATTTAGAGGAAAGTTGGAGGCATCAGCTCACTCGCTCAGTGTTCGGTCCAAATAGGTTTCGAAAGAATAAAGCTCTACAAGATAACTTATTAAATGAAAAGGAGTCGTGTATGGATCCACTAACGCAACAATCCGCCGGCTTCCTACTATATCACCTTTGGAAACTACAGCGAAGTAGCCAACGTTGACAAGCAGGTAGACCGCAGTTACAGAGATAAGTGCCAGAGGTGCCGCTCTCTTGATCGTCCGAACAGGGTTTCTGACCTCAGATAATGCATAATTGGCCGTAGAATAGCCAACAAAAGACCTATAATCGAGAAAATCAGACATTAAAGGACAGAATGCAATAATAGACCACACCAAATGATATTGTATAACCCAGATATCAATGCGTTTGCATCGGAGTTACTGCCTTGCCACAGCTGATCCCACCGGAGATTATCGGGAGCTTCGTATTCGTCTCTAACGCGAAATCCGGGAACACCGACCAGACAGAACAAGCCCGCTATACCTATCGACGAAAGGAGGAAGAGTTTGAAAAGACCTAGTGTATTTTGAAGACGGAGTCCCCACTTGAATGTGGTACCATGGAGCAGGCAGCAAAAAGATATGCACATGAATGCTACGAAACGAGTATTCCATCGGGCCGGTTCAACATTCAAAGCATGAAGGACGTCTGCAGAAGTATCAGCTGAATACTACTAATACAGGGAGGAAATATGAACATTCTCCAAAGACAAGACTGTTGGCAGCCGACGAGCCCTGAAGAGCTTGTAAGTAGGTAACAGCGACGCCTACAGACGCTAAGACTCACCGTTATAATTGCATAAACAGAAAATGTGCAAGTTGCTAGGAACTTGGGACGTCTGTATATGAATTCGAGATAATTCTTCTCTCCACCACTTCGGGGCAGTCCCTACAAGAATGTCTCAGTGCACAACTTAGATAGATACGAAGTGCAGAGCATACAGTGCCAAGTTCAACGTAAACAGCCGTTCCTACGGCTGCAATACTCGCACCGGCTAGCCACATAATAAGCGCAAGGCCCGGGCTTCCAGACGAGCGCAGGATGTTGCTTGGGGTCGCATATATACTTCAATTTGGACATCAGAGATCATGTGTTGAAGCCATAGCAAGGACACTACTCTATACCCAGTTCCAATGATTCGATTGAATACTAGAAACATGGCGCTGAATAGACCTGACAGCAGACAGTTGAGGTTGGATGAATAATATTTTGAGTAGTAGGGTGAACGCACCGAGCTGTCGCTTTGCCTGAGGTACATTATCGTAGGACTCCCCGCTACGTGCTAGCAGTTATTGAGCAATATTATTGGAGCCGAGTCCTTATCGCTGCTCACAGTCGCCCTCGGTCCGATGTACTGCAGCACCGTCAATACCACTAGCGACGACGATAGTCTTGGTAGAGTCATAGTGGGTTCCAGAACGAGTATTCAGAAGAGACTGTCGCTCATCGTCGTCGCCAACGCCAGAAGTCATAGAGTAAGCGCGTACTGGTGTCAGTGGTGGTCCAGAGATAGGAGCGGCACGTGGTCCGCGATAGAACCAATCTTTTCAAATTTCGTCACACCTCATCATCATCGTCCACGATGTCGACTAAGGACGACCCTAGAGACGCTGCTCTTGCTACAAAATTCACTCTGCCTCCGACATGGTATAGAGAAAGTGGTATGTCATTGCGGTATTCATTCAGTCCCTCTCTGCTCATGATACTGCAGAGGGTCTTGGAACGTCTGGCATGTTCCTCTCTGGCTTAATCATGGTGACGCGGAACAGGTAAGTTTGTCCTTTCCAGACCAGGAATTCACCATTTTATCCTTTGAGAGGTACCTTGCCTGGCCTTCAGTTCTGTTCGGCCTGAACCAGTACTTCAACCAACATCCCATGCGCGCCAAGGAGGGAACTGGTGGTCTGTCCAATCTTCTGTATGTAGTAGCCTTCTTGTTCTCAAGATGTAGCACTGAAATATTTTCAGTCTATGTATCAGCGCCTTGGTTGCTTCCTACATGCCCCTCTTTGTCATCAACACACCCTCTGGCACCCCTCTGGCACCCCTCCATCATAATATTATCTCGAACTTTTTGTATTGCGGCTCCCTAATGCAGCTCTGTTGGATGGATACATCGTTACTTCGAAGCAAAATCTATAAATATCTCTGGGCATAGCAGCTCCTAGACGAAGGAAATCACTGTACAACGAGAGCAGGCCTTCCTTCACCTGAATCCTTGTCCAGGGACAAATGGCATCCTTTGGCTTCCACCTCCAGCAGTATTTGGTATAGCCGTTCCAGCACGAGGCATCGCCCTAGTTCCTGAAGATCCTGCAAGAGAAGCACTATGAGCAGAGACGAAGTGTTGAGGACCTGTTGTCGATGTTGGAGGTAGGAATCCTCTTCCACCAGTATTTGTTGATGAGGGCGGAGCGAATCTTTCTCCTGGAGGAAGGAATCGGTTTGAGGGGGGAGCTCCAGTGTTAGGCTGACGAGAAGGAACATTTGTTGACGCATTGACAGATTGTCGCTGTTGCGCTCGTGCATGTACTGGCGTGGGCGGTGGGCCCATGTTCCGGGGTTGGTTGTTACCTTGCACTTGAGCGGGCTTGAATTTGGTGAGAGAAGGAGTTGCTGCTGATAGTCCGCCCTGTGAAACATCTTGATTTACTCTTGCTCGTTGAACGTTTCGTGGTGCTTGCATGTGCGATAACTGAGGTGGAGGCATGTGTGGCGTCGACGGCGGGACATAGACGTATTGCCTAGCAAAGGGATTGAGATTATAGCAAATCATGATAATCGAAGGTGACACACTGCGCAAGGTTACGAGATGCTGGCCTTTGCTGCCGCTGCTGTCGAACATCGTTAACGACCTGTGGTGCCATGTCGTTTGTGCGATTATAGGACAAATTGGGTGGCTGTTGACCAGGCGGCAAGGTAAGCCTATCGGGTCCTATCAGAGAGGAATGGGGGCTTGGAGTAGTCATCGGCCTGTGGCGCACCAGTACATTCACAATAATTATGGAAGCAGGAAGGTGAGGCGTACCGCTGATCCATAGGGCGTTTCCCGTGCGCATTCATATTATCCGACGGCTCTTGGTCGTCTCTGCGATGATACATGCTGCTGTGAAGAATCGACTCCTTGCTGGTATGACGATAATTCCCCCCCGTTAAATACTGGTTCGCTCTGAAATGGTAGACATTGAGTCTTGTGTCTTTGCAGGCAAGCAGCCTCACGCACCTTTTCAGTTCCGCCATCTCGCGCTTGAGCTTCTCTATATGCGCCCTCTGTTGTTGATGCCTAGTTCTGTAGTACCGTATCTGAGCAGCCATGGACTCTTGCTGAAACTGGATAACAGTCAGGAAATGCTCGACAAAGACGTGATCAAAAACACTTTGGCTGTATATGCAATAGAGTCCAGCGCATACGGTATTGATCGAAACCAGTCGGACATCGGTGGTTCCATCTATCGGTGGTCTGGATTCAATGAACATGAAATGCTTGAAAGCTGGTGACTCACCTCGCGTTGAAGGGGCACCAACTGAATGCCGGGTGACCCACATACCGTACAACTCTGGTCAGCATCTGCCTCAAAATGTCATGATTGTCCAAGGCTTCAGACATCCGACTGACTGAGATGGTTATTGCAGACTATATGCCCACATTCCGTCAACCAGAACGGGATGGTCGCGCCGGCATCCGAAGAGAAAGGGAGTTGGCATCTTGCACAATTGACGAATTCCCAAAAGTCGAATTCCGGTTGGGACGTGGATACTGCGGACATTGCTAGTGACGAAGGGGAGTAGGGGACGCGAACAAAGAGGTGATGAATAATATTCCTGAGACGCGACGCGTTAGAATTCACATCACGTGAAATACACGTGGTGAGACGCAAGACGCGTTTAACTTCTAAAGTTTGAGTTCCGAACAGTGAAGATCTGAGCTTGATTCGCCTACCCACCTCGGCCGGTACTCGTTGGTGCTCACGGGACTTGTATCTGCATATATTCTGCCTGTAACTCTGACCATTCAAAGCTTCCAAACTTTCAAGGTTAATGACAACACTACGTAGTATTGAGTACGTATCACTGTCGGAACTTGGTTACATCTATACTTGCTTTTTGATGTGGTCGATCTGTGCTTGCTCTGTGTCATCTGGGTTGGCCTGGAGCTTGCTATTTTGTTGGTTTCTAGAGTTGCCATAATGATTAATAGGGATAGTTGGGGGTTTCAGCAACCGAGATTTCTTGTTATCTTCTGGGCTTTACCTGAGGTTTCTAATACTACTCCGACGCTTTGTGTCTGATGAGTGCTATCTGAACACAACCGCCTTCTGATTTTCGAACTTTCGGGCCGGCGTTAAATACACTAAGTGCCTCCCTCCGAATTGGGTGTAATTGGTGCAGTCGTACCATATAGGCGCCTCGTGCTGTGCTTCATTTCAAGGCGAAGCACGCTAAAATTGGACCAAATTCCTCTCCTCTCGTTACTACGTCAGCAGACACCGAAGAATGAGTGATTGCAATTTCTTTCCATTTCGTTCTTACTTAGACGACACACATTCTTCATGATAAAGATTTCCAATCTACGACGAAGTTGAACTAGTGAATTTTGCGTCTCAGACTGTTGGAGTTTTGAATACTATCGCTCCCTTATCACGATGTGAAGTGACAAAATATAGCAAGCGCTGTGTGGCGGTACAACACGTTGTTGAAATGCTCTAGTGTTGATGATTCCAGGTCCATCACCTGCAGGCTGTTATGCTGTAAACCAAGTTCGGGGCAATTATATGAATATTTACACTGAAGCTTACATACAGCCATTAGGCGCTACAGCTTTCATAAATGGCGCACTGCTATTCAGTTCATGTTGCTGTATGCAAAGGCGATGTTGTGACATTGCAGAAGGGGCTGATGATGATGTCCCTCGATAACCCCGAAATCGGAATCGTGGGATTCTGCGGACGTCCGAGTATAAGAGGTTAAGCGCCCAGGGACTGCTCTCTTACAGCTATCACAAGTATCTCCCATGGGCAGTTTGGAAGCAATTCGTCGACGGACGATGGCCAGCCAGCCTCAGTGGGGAGACATTCCCGGCTGGGATCGATCGAGTCCGGACAAATTGCCTTCGTCACGTGCCGAGACCGCCCATTCTTGCTCAGATTGCGACGCGTCTACCGGCCCTGCCAGTATCGAAATGGGTACGGTCACCAAGATACGACCTGATTGTCATGATTTTTTCTTTTACCACCAGAGACTGGTCTCTAGAAGGTCTCTTGAAACAGGGAAAACGATTCTTCCCGATACCTCGAGTGTCCGCAGTCGGCGGCCAGTCCTTGGAGGATATACTGCAGCGATATGACGGCGATACGAAGCCCTTGGTCATTGAGGGCTGGCACAAACACCCTGGATGGCTAGGCCAGAAATTCAGCCTTGAATGGCTCAGAGAGCACGGGCAGAAAAGTGAGTTGTTTATCTCTTCGTCGTTAACGCGCCTCATGGCAACAGATATTGCGGTTCGTAATATTCATGATTGGTCGGATCGTACTGTCCCTCTTGAGGAATTTGCGAAGCACTGTCGCTCAACACCGTGTTTTCTTACGCCAGGAGGTTTGCTCATATCGTGTCTGTCTTTTAATGTCTTCTAACCAGCGCTATGCCAGAGACTGTCAGGTGGTATGGAAAGGATGCCGAATGTCCAGCAGACTGGTATGAATGGCTGCACAAATCTGGGGTCATTCCATCCCGCCTCCTCCCAGACGATCCGCGAAACTGTTTGACGAATCTACCAAAATCTGTCAGTAATTCTGTTTTCCAGGTATATGTGTGCAGTTCTCAAGTCTAACAGGCTGCCGTGGAAACCCTGATGTGCTACCTTGGTATAGGCGAAACTTTCACGCCGTGTCACAAGGATCTCTGTGCTTCCTCAGGACACAATCTTATGTGTTACACTGAGAATGACGGTTCTTCATTCTGGTTTATGACCAAGGGCTCCGATGCCCTGAAGGTGGCTGAATACTTTCG